GATGCTAGAAGTCATCGTCTTTGTAGTACTGTGTGAGCACTGCACCGACCACGTTATCCGAGGCGTCAGTTTCAACCCGGGTAAGTCGCGCCGGGTCATAGTGTCGTAACACTGGAGCTGTAAGGAGTCGATATTTCAACTGCTGAAAGGCTGTTTCATATTGCTCAGTCCATAGAAAGGGGACATCATGCCGAGTCAGGTAGTGAAGGGGCTTAGCAAGCCTGCTATACCCTTCAATGAATCGTCTGTAGAAGTTACAGAATCCTAAAAATGACTGAATGCCCTTTACCGTAGTTGGGACTTTCCATTCTTGAACCACTCTGATCTTCTCTAGGTCTACTGAGATGCCGTCGGTGCTCACAATAAACCCGAGAAACTTGGTTTGCTGGACCGAGAATTCACACTTCTTTAATGCCACCTGTAGCCCTGCTTCCTGGAGTCGTTTCAGGACTTCTCGGACATGACGATAATGCTCTTCAATTGTGTTGCTGTAGACAAGAATATCATCCACAAATGCTACCGCATATTCGTCCATACATTCGCGTAGAATGTCATTCATGAACCTTTGGAACGTTACAGGTCCGTTGGTCAATCTAAAGGGGACCACTCTGTATTTAAAGGATCCATATCGAGTTCGGAAAGTGGTAAGATCCTCGGCTTTAGGTGTTAGGCGAATCCGGTGGAAGCCTTGCTAGATGTCTAGTTTAGTGAAGAATTTCGCCTTACTTGTCCGTTGTAACACCTCGTCGATCAATGGGAGCGGGTAACAGTCTTTCTTTGTGAGTGAGTTCAATTTCCGGTAGTCCACACAGAAGCGTAGTCCACCACCGGGTTTCTTAACCATCAAGATTGGTGATGCAAATGGTGCTAAACTTAGCACAATGAATCCTTTGTCGAGATTTGCCATAATGTATTTCTTTACTTCTTACAATTCGTTAAGTGAAAGCTTGTATAATGGACAGTACCCTGGCTGTGCCTCCGCTTTAAGTATGATATCATGATCAACACCCTTTCGGTGCGGAGGTAGTTCATCTGACTTTCTTTTTAAGAAAACTTCTGCTAGGTCCTGATACTCCGTCGGCAGTGTCGCTCGGATCTCATCTATCTCTAGATCTGATGATGCTAATGATGATTTGATATCGAGGATGTGATCGATTTCGGCAAGCGAAGTGGAAAATACTTCAGTGCGTTTATCAGAAAGTGATCTTGCCTGTAGTCTCTAATATGCTGCAGGACCGATGATACTGATATTTAGTGGACAGTTGAACTTAGATATATTCAGCAGTAATGGGTCGTCATTCCTTAGATTTCTCTGCATTTTCTCGAGGTTTGCTCTCTGCCATTAGTGATCTTGATACTTCCGTGGTGAAAGGTCAATGCTTTGTTCAAGTAGCTTATCTCGTCGGTCTGCATCTGCTTAATACGTACTAGCGGTGCTTGTTGGAATAGGCTTCTTGAGTATCGTGATCGGAGTGGGAAGGGAAACCTGGTTGCATACTTCTTTAAACAAGGTTGGTTCATATGGCCAAATCATTCGACGACGGCGACAGTCGAGTAAAACGTCATATTGCGCTAGCCATATTCGTCCAAGTATCAAGTCGTGTTTTCCAAGATCTGCTACTAGCATAGGTACCTGCTAGTGGACATGCCCTTCAATACACATTGAAAGAATAACTGTATAAGTGATAGGCCTAGCTGGCTTGCCATCAAATCCATTCACTAGGCACTGCCTTTCTAACCTCTAAACTCGTAGACCTTGCTGTTGGCATAGCAAAGCTACTAAAGCTATGTCGATGAAAATTAAACCATCTACTCCGGTATCACATAGTGCTGAAATAGAAAAGGAACGTCTATTGATCATGAGCTCTGTGTTAAACACTAAACTATCATATGGACTTCCAAGTAACTTCTGTAAATTCAACGAATAAAGTGACACCTTCTTTCCGCCTAGGAGGGAGACTTCGCCTAGGCAGGTGCTTTTCCCGAATCCTGATTTTCGAATTCTTCCACTTCGATGCGAGGAGAGGGGTTGCGAGCAGGAACTTGAGTAATCGCTACAGTGGTTGCTGGACCTGTCTTTTTGGGACAATCACGGGTCATATGGCCTTGCTCCTTACAGTTGAAACAACGTCCTTCTCTTATCAGTTTTTGTCTTTTAGTAAATGGCAACGGGCTGAATCCTAAGTTTTCTTTCTTGATTCGAGTCGTGGAGATTGAACCTGTCGACGACGAAGTGAGGTTATTTCCGGAACTGGAAATTCGTGCTCGGTTACTAGATCGTGATTCTTGCTGAACGTTGATGTCGTGGGACAGACTGATACAGATCTGGACAAATTCATCGAAAGATATTGTGTTCTGGTTCTTCTGGAGCATCACCTGGGTTTGTAGCAAGTATGGAAGCATAAGATAAAGATCTTGCTTGCGGTTTTCGATTGGAATACATGCTTCTTCGGCAAGCTGTATGAAGCTAGCCAGAAAATCGGTAAAGTTCTCCTTTGGTTTTATTTTCAATTTGTGGAACTGAGTGTATGCCTCGGCCTTCCTGTTTGGGTTGGCAAACACTGTTTTCAGGTGCATGAGAATATCTTCTGCATCGGTGTAGTGAGTGGCCGATTCAGGATCCATTCTTGGTGCGATGTGTAGCTGTGCCTTTCCTTCGCAACGGCTTTAGACATATATCATTCGGTGGATCGGATCGGGGTAATGATCTGCATTAGCAAGCAGCTTCTGTCGGATCACTGTTTGCCAGGTTTCGAAGCGAACTTCCTTGCCATCACTTAGCATAAGAGCATCAGGCATCTTGGTCGTTTTCTGAACACGAGGGGTTGTAGCTACAGCCTCCACAATCGATGCGCTGCGCTGATGGTTTCCTGATTGTAGTAACTGGTATGCCATCTCATTCCTAGCATCCACTGCTATCTTTTCTTTGTCCTTTGCGATCATCAGGTGAGCGATAGCTTCATCGCGTTCTTCAGCAGCTTGCTCTCGGAGCATAACACTTTCCTCGAGCTCTTTGCTAACAGCATTCTCTCTAGCTTCTAGCTCGTTGAATTTGGCTTCAAGCTCTTTGTACTTCTTGACCATTGTTTCGAAGCGCTGTCGTGCATCCTGCCGAGCGAGAGTGTCGCGTACCGCTGGTGAGTTTAGATGCGAATGAACTAGACTAGCACCGGTGCTTTGGCTTCGTCCTCGTATTGGTGACGAAAGGTCGGAGGGAGGGAGTTCAATCGAAGTCGGATCATGTGTGGTCGTTTCTTCTTGATCATCGCTGTCGGCGAGTCTCGTTTGCTGGCTCCGAGTCATGCGGGGAGTCTTCTTCTTCGAATCAGCCATTCTTGCTGCTGATTGGTCGGCTCTGTCGGTCTTTTCGGTTCGGTTCGGTTCGGAGGTCTTGGCTCTACGATGCCAAGGAACGGGAAGTGGGGCTAAGCAGGGCTGAAACCAATCACAATGATGGTTTGTACAGTCGTGCTGCTCAGTAAAGTGTTTTGGTGATGTTTAGTATTATGTTACGAGCCAAGTCTTGATGAAAAAGAGTGCATTCAACTAGAATACTAAACATGGGGAAAGAAAGAAAGAAGAAGAAAGAAACAACACGCTGAAACAATTAAGGTAGTGATGCCTGAGGCCTCCAATCAAACAATGTAAAACACGAACTACGAAAGGCGGTGGAACACGGCAGAATCGGTTCAGGATCATTGATCCTGAATTCTTCGTGACAATATACTACTATATAACCTATACCTGAGGTTATTACAGAGAACCCTACGTTAGATAGTTCCTTTCTATAAGATGAATGTAAATAGCATGTTAGCCTAGCCCTAATTAGACTTCGCCAAAAACCGCAATTGGGGCCCCATGCGGTTTTTGGCGAAATCTAGCCCTAATTAAATCAATTTAGCTATAGCCCTTTATAGTTAGGGTTATAAAAAAACCATTCAAACCCCATTTTTGTATCATTTTATATAAAATCATAAATGTAAATATCTATCTATATTGTAATCCATTAGTACTAATATAATATTCACCACTTTTTCATCTTAATTTACTAGTAAATTATTGACCTTCTAGATTTAGATAAGTATAAGGGTTACCAGAATTACAAATCCTGTAATTAATAAACCAATTGGGGGCCAAAACCAATTGGGGGCCCACAAACCATTGCGGTTTCTAGACCTCGCCCCAAAACCCGCCCCAATTGCGGTTTGGGTCTTATGGCGAAGTCTAAGTGGTAGTGCATATGGACTCGTCTCGGCGCGCGCAGGCGAATTAGAAGAGGGCTAGGTCTCCGGGGTTAATTTGGGCTCCTGGTCAGACTCGGGGTCTATAGGGTAGGCAAGCTTTAAAAAGGCTATATTAAAAAGGTGCGAAAAACGCGAAAGAAACAGGATTGAAATTAATAAAGAAAGGAAAGGTAGTAATTTATGATCCAACTAAAATTACCTTATTGAACGGGAAATTAGACTTATTTCTAACATTTCTGTTATTTTTATCTTTACTATATGCCAAAAGGTATTGCTTAAAGGTATACAGTTTTGCTAGGGATTCAAATAGTGAAAGGGGTACCCTCAAGGTATAGTATTTATATAGAGGTTAATAGAAAGGTGGAGAGAAAGGTGGTTAAGTGGTGCTTCAAAGTTAGGTAAGGAGTGTTGCCTTACAGGGAGGGGGTGTTTTAATACCAACACCCTGTAGCTATTTAGTGTAATGATAATTATTCTTAGTAAGGGCGGGCGCGCGTAAACTTTTGCGTTAAAACTGTAGTTTATCAAAAGTCGGTTTAAGTAAAGAACTCCCCACCCGAACGAGGGTCTATAAGTATGGGTAATAAAAAGTCAAGGCCTTTTGTTTGTAGGTATAACCTTGAAATCGATGGTAATAATTCGATCGCTTACAGTATCTAAACAATTATGAATTAAGGTTGGTGGGCCCATCTTAGCGCAACCCCGCATTTATTTATGACGTCACGAGTCACGCGAGGCCCCTCTCTTTATCACCAGATGTTGTGTTATTCATCTTTCTACTTCCTTCATACCTACAATAGTAAGGACATACCCCTGATAATTGTTATGATTCATGGCTTATAGGGTACAGTGACTCGCTCTCACAAATTGAATGACCGTGACCACCCAGTTGAAGGCGTGATGGGCACTCGTGACCACATACCGCGCTACTTTGCAAAGTCCGGGCCAACTGATGCTGATCCTCGCAAGACAAAGAAGGACGGAGGCGGCAAAGGAAATTGGTGAGAGTGCGACATTGTAACAATTGGTGTTCACCTGAGCTTATCCTACTTACTCTAGGGGTCGATCAGGAGAGGAGATACAGGACTATGACTATTCGTTCGCCAATGCTCGTCGTCGATCAAACAGTAGCACACAGGGCCTTTTCGATTTCAGAACTAAGTTCGAGGCCTTTGACCCTGAGCCTGTTTTCGAAGCCCATGCTGCCTCGGATGTCACGAGTGACACGGTGACCAAGGTAGAGAGTTCCAGTTGCGGCAATGACAGCGAGGTCGACCAGGATGGGGTGAAGTACTAGGATTATCTTTAACTGGAATGGTTGCAATGACTAGCGATGCATGACCAAGCGATGGGTAGTATGTTGAAAGTAGTGAAGGGTATCCCAATCGGTCATCAGAACATTCACCAAGCTTCATGAAATGAGAGAAAATTGCAAGTCAAATTCGGAATCCAAATTGATATAAAAGACAATATTGTTTATTTAAAAATATTTAAAAAAGCAAGGCGTACATTATTCCCTCTAGCGTTGAATTGATTTTGAGAAGCTAAACGTTTCTGTGGACACTGAAAAATATATTGTGAAATCCGTACATATTGTGACATATTCATTGTCTTGTCCGAATAAGTGAGCAAAACGACCGGAACGCCTACGATTCATCAAAATAGCATATCAAACATCCGCTTCTGTAATATCTTCGCCATTCATAGTACCATTGGGGACTGAAGATTGGGCCTCTGCAGTTTCGCGCAGGTTTTGGAACCAGAAGTCAAGCTTTCCGACCTCAATGTACCGAAGCAGGATATCATTCTCGGCCTGGAGATCGAGGGCTACTCGAGACTTTTGTTCCGAGCGGAAACGCGACACAATAATATCGGCATCAGAATCCGCCATCAGAGCTTCCGCGGGGGAGAGAGGCATGTAAACAGATCGAACACCAGCCCTTGGCTCTGCAGATAATATATTAGTCACATTCAGAGAAAGATAGGTTGAACCCTCAAAGTATTTTGTATAAACTCACCTTCTAGACATGCGATCAGTGATCGGTAAAGCGCAGTATCGCCAATGTAGCTGTCTGAATGGCCATTGGGTTTCTCGGCATCCTTGCCTCGAGCCACCCAATCGTCTTTGATCAAGCAACGTCGCCAGATCAACCTCCGCAGAGCCATGAGGTACGAGGGATCTCGCTGACCATAGCGGCCATAATCCAATACTTGCAATGCGAGGTGGAACTCACTTTTCACAAGCTCACCATCTCTGTCATCTGTGGGCTGGGTAGGACCTATCAATGTCAAGAGATCAATGAGACCGTCAGCACCTACAACTTGTCTGTTGACCAAGGTGGAAAGCGCTTCACTCAATATTTCGTGAAGCGATGGTCGATCTTCGAAGAGGTGGCTTCCATAGAAATCGAGAGCTAGTTCAGCTTCAGCTTTTCTGTCAATCGCACCCTGCCAGGTCGGCTGAATGTATCCATATAAGATGTCTTGAATCCCGTCAACTTCAACATAATCTTCAAGACGTTTTATATCTTCCTGTAAAGTAGAGATTTGAGCTGGTGATTGCTGGAGCTCCTGTGTCGCTAGTTTTCCCAGCTTGGCGAGAGAAATCTCCACGCGGTGGCTCCATAGGTCTTTCTCCATATCCAGTGCCAGATTCTCCAATGAAGCCGCGGCTGTGTCATAATCATCTTCGCCGGTCACATCGTTAATCCAGCTTAGACGGGAGTAAGCAGGATTTCTTCGAAGGAACCGGGTCACGGCAGATTGGTAGTCTCGCATCAAGAGTGACCCCGGATAGCCCATCGCCAGTTGCTGGGTGAAGTATGCATCTGCCCATATATCACCAAACTTGTCAAAGTATTTTGAAACCAGCTGTGAGGCCTCAATTCCAGTTTGACCCGAGGAGATATCTGAGGAGCTCCTTTCTTGGTCGTGAAGCTCAACGATTAGCTCGACCAACGCTCCCATGTCTCGGAAGCCTTCGGCCAGTTGGATGGCATCGTGAAGATGTCCAATGCCAGCCAATTTGAAGAGTTGCCACTTGCGGTCTACAATATGGGCTTGATCGATTGAGACACTCTCGTCCATAAGCTTGGGATCCCCCTGTGCTGAAAGCCAGCGAGTTCGTTCAAGGTGCATCTGTCCGATCACATGAAGATGACGATAACTGTTTCGTGCAACTTGATTCAGAACCTGGGTGTCGGGAGCATCTGCAGTGGAGGTCGGAGCCTTCCATGACCGGCAGCTGTCAAGTTCCAAATCGAGCAAATGTCCTGCTTCGGAATAACCAACACCTCGTGAGGTCCAAAACTCGGGAAGATCCTCATATCCATCGGACAGGACTCCATCTTCCAAGAAGTCCTCACTTAGGCCATATAACACGATATGCTCGTCGCGATATCGGAAAGCAGTTTGCGTGACAGCCAGAAATAGCTCGCTGGCCTCCAGTATCTGATCCGATAAGGTTCGCGCATTGATGGAAGTGTTGCCCCGACGGCGCTTGATTGCATTTTTTATCCATGGGATGATATGCTCCATGCGGTAGGAATCACGCAGGAACCATTGTCGCACAGGGTCAGCCTCTCCTTGAGATGGGTTGAGTGGAGTCTTAAATTTATCATTCATGGCTCCGATGACAAGATTTAGAAACGGCTCCTCCCCGTCCAAGGTTTTCGATTTGAACGACTCTTGGACTTTCCACATGGCTCTTTGCGCAGCGATCTTTTCTGCAGCCCAAAGAAGCTCCCACCTCGCCGGTCTGCTTAGCGGGTTTCCATTCTTCAATAGTAATGACGCAAGGTCATCCAAGGCTTTCGCTCTCAGTCGAAGATTCTGCTCCAGAGAGATAGCAGTGGTGGGAATGAAGCGGGATGAGGATCGGAGTAGTTCGCTGCAGATTTCCAAGGAGGCTTGCTCCATTTCTGATGGAGGGAAGTTCAAGTCACTTTCGCCGGATAGATTCAGCGGGTTTTTTGCCATTGTACCGAAGAAAACGGCTTGCTCAAGCTTGTGCTTTGCTGTGACCTGAGGCTCATCGACATCGTCATTTGAAGTTTCCGGGCGAGGCAGTACTGTGACACGTATCACTCCGAAATTCCGCAGCATAAGCACACATGCTGCGCAAGATGAATCACTAGATTGGTCTTCTGCTATGTATCCCAGAATCTCGTGGTCCTTGCCAGACCGCAGGTGGATGGTATCTTGAAAAGGAAGGGGTAGCTTATTTGAATCGAGAAGCAGTTGGGAAGATGGTGTTTCTTCGAGTGTCGATGTCAACGACAAGACCACGAGAGATTGACCAATGAGGATGAAAGCTGTCTCTTCTGGTTTCGGCGCAAATATCTTAGGTTTCGACTGGTCAAGCATATGTGCAGGAATATGATGAAGATCCACTGCATGGGTGGAAATAACACGACAGCGGGATGATCCTGATAGTTGAACTTGAACGACAAACAGTGCCTTGCTTTCTGACCATTGAGGTGACCTTACAACCAAAAGGAGGTGCCAGGACCCATCAGAACCTTGACTATCATCGGAAGACTGCAATGCAGAGAAAGCAAAATCCATGACTTGGAGGTCATTAACAGAATTGGCGGATTTCATGTGAATTTGGGGAAGGGCAGCCAGGATGTCGTCCTTGGCGTCATATCTTTTCTTGAGAGTGTTGCCATGATTCCAGTGCGTGTCCCAGATCTCTATGAGCCCAGTTGAGGTTGCAATGATCACATCACGTTGACCGCGCTGGTGCGAACCCCCAGCTCGGACGGCGGTGACCTCTTTTCTCCAATACCCGCCTCCCAGGACGTTTTTGATGCCTCCAAGTAATCCACCACTTCCGTTTCCTGCAGTGCTCCGAAGGAAATTGACAAATACGGAGGGCTTCCCTTGGGGGTCTCTTAAGGTGATGTGTGCGACTCGCCCGGAGGAAAATGTTGCGATAATTCCCGACGGCTCCACGTTCAAGATTTCTGTCGCGCATTCACCCGAAAGCATGCCGGGGGTGGATCCTTGAATGCCATTCTGCTTTTGTCGGGACAAACCAAGTGACGCGGCACTGGATACGGTCTCCCAGTAAACGACCTTTCCCGTAGAGGGAATGATCACCAAGAGACCGGGATGTTCTCCCATAGCCGTGGACAACAAAACTCCTAGTGGGACTGCGCCTTTGGGGTCTCTGCATGACTCTGGAATCGATACCGTGAAAGTCTCCGATGGGGATGGGGAAGAAGTGGGTGCGGAATACGGCCACACAATCGCGTGTGAGCGGGTCAAAGCTAGGGCATGGTCATGACCTGGCCCAAAAAAGCACTTGAGGGGTTCTGTGTTTTCGAGTGTTAATGATTCATAACCGAAGGAAAAGAAGAGCTGCAGAATCGGGCAATACCTGATTGTAAGCCACGAATTTGATCTGGCAATGCTGGCAATTGATCGACGGTGTAAAAATCGGTGCTTGACTTTTTGAGCAGAGTAGCATTAGCATCCAGAACTTGAAAGTTTGATACAACGCGCAATGAGATGAGAACTACCTACCAAGACAATTGTTCCTTCGTTGTTTTCAAACGCATCGCTCTGCTTAATCGCCCGGGAAGCTATATGCGAATCGGTATTAGACGGGTCCGTAGGGGCGCTGTCACCATTTGGTACGGAGGGTATCAATTTTGCAATCTCACGTCCTAAGCTGATGTCGGACGGAGATTCATCTGGGCGCCGAAGAACTGAGCGCTGCCTCTTCGCCTTTGGGGGGTTTACAGAGTCATCTGAGCTCGTGCGTTGGCGTCGACGAGTGGTGCGACCACCGGCCTTAGGAACGAACATGTTTTCGTAATTGTCCGCAACACTGTCGCGAAGACGCGCTAGCCCGAAGACCGTAAAATGGTTGATCAATCGAGTTCCCTGAAAGGTGAAGCAATTTCAAAAGAGTGAAGAAGAATCAGTAAGTAGAAATTAAAAAAGAAAAAAGATCAAAAGGATCAACAAGAGAGTTGAATTGGAGTATGAGGAATAAACAGTAAAGATCTCCGAAGGCGGTGAAGTAACTAGATTTATAGCTAGACAGATGTATGTACAACACCTAGGTACTCGATTCAACCATATAACCACCGGTTAGCTATATTGTTTACATATCTATCAATTATGGAGAGTTGTCGATTAAACGATTGTATATTAACTTCATTTGTTCAATGAGTTTTACCTTGTGACAAATACCATTGATAGCAAAACATGCCTGCATACATCTACATAGTTATATACTCTCAATATCATAATACTATGTACACAATGCAAACAAGTAAATTTCAAGGTCATTAATTCCCAAAAGCTTACAAGGCTTCTATACATTTCAAAAATCAGAATGAGTTATGTTGTATTAGCTAAGTGAAAGAAAATAAGAGTCACCTGACGGACGACTATCCGTCGGGCCGGAGTATACTACGATACATTATTGTATGTACCCAGGCTCACGTGAACCCACCCCCCCCCGGGACCCCATCTTACCCCCAACGTCCCTCTCAATAATTTCTATGCACCCCCATGGCATTCACGTGAACTTCAGGAGATAGCCACCATGCTCATATACTGGGCTATTACCAAGACCCCAAAGGGTTGCTTATGGTTGCAATTATAGAATATGTTCTCACAAATGTCCCAGTCTAGCCTCCGACTGAGGTCCATTGGACGGGTCGGATCACAATTTCCGACTAGTACACTGAAGCCGACATACTCTACCGGCTTATCTACAAGCAGAAATCTACAAACGGCTTTATTCTTCCCAGGTTTGTACCGTCTCAATTACCTTACAAACCCTCGAATGGCGGCTGAGACACGCGCTAGGGCATGGCGTTCAACGGGTTGGCATGGTCAACGCATGGATTGAAAGCTTCCCCCAAACCGCTGCCCAGGTCCTGGACGAGATGGACAGCACCCTTGGATTTAAATTATCCAGCATCATATCCGATGGGCCCAACTCTAAACTCAATAAGACGGAAAACTCACAACCTGCGGTCATGGCGACGTCGGTCCTAATACTTCGTGTATTGGAGAAGGAGTTTGGCTTCGACGTCAAATCTCGCATCGATGTCACACTTGGACATAGCCTAGGAGAGTTCTCTGCATTGGTCGCCGGTGGCTATCTTGAATTTGGCGACGCTCTCCGGTTGGTTCGACGTCGGGCGGAAATAATGGCCCAATGCACGCGCAATTTGGTCGAACAATCCGGTGAAACATACGGCATGGTTGCGCTCCTTTGCGAACCTGAACACCTGGACAGTTTACTTCGAACCGTCCAGGAATTCCTTGGCCTTGAGCCACCAGGCATCGAAGGCGACACACATAACCCGGTCCCACCGATTCAACAAGTGGTTGTCGCAAATATCAACTCCAAGAACCAAATCGTGCTTAGTGGTAGCCTGGACCGAATCAAAACCCTTTTGATTCAGTTGCGTCAATTCGGTGGTCATGATCCGAGGGCCGTCAGATTGAAAAGTGACAGTCCATTTCACAGTCCTGCCATGGCGCGAGCCGCCGATTACATGAGACATGCCCTCGAACAGATCGACATCAAATTCCCGGCATCAGTACCATGTATTTCGAATGTTTCTGCCCTGCCTTTCAAATCCAAAGAGGACCTCACTGATCTACTCTCGAGGCAATGTACCGACACGGTGAGATGGTGGGACAGCATTCGCTATCTTCACCAGGAACGAGGGGTAAGGCGATGGATCGGAATTGGGCCAGGAAAGGTTGGGCGAAATTTGGTTGGCAAGGAGGTTGGGAGGGTTGACACCAAAGGTGGCGGAGTTTGGGCTGTCTGTGATCCTCGTGAGATGTCAAGAATCATGATCGCCTTGAAGGAGACTGAATCAGAGAACTGAAAGCCGCAAACAATATAACAGCATGAATCATTGTATATCTCTACTCTGGAAACCGCCGTCTTGGTGTCACTGAAAGCGCAAAGGTTCAACCTTTGATTAAAACATAGAATTAGATGCAATTTTTGAATCGGTCGTAGGATAGGTTCTGAGTAAATTTGGGGGAATATATTGAATGACCTAGATTTTGGATATTGTTCATGGCGCCGGAGTTTTTTGCGTGTCTATTATGTTTCCTCCCTTTACAAGGCCGTGCCTGGAGCCCATGAATCGCCAATATGTTTGACATCCGCAACGAACTTTTTATTAGAGATTGGCTGGCATGCTGAAAGAGAAGCAGCTGAGTTTCCAGGGACCGGTACGTGATCGTCGGGGGAGTAGAATGGGTTCTGCAAAAGCTGAATATACGCACTCTGTAATGCTCGAAATGCCTGTCATCAATCGTTAGGGGGTTGATCCATTTCGGTGGACGGCTTGTCACTGGACATTGACGCAAGACACACCGGCTTCATATCAGAATCTCTCAAACCGTTCAAAGCAGAGCCTGCTGGCTTTGCAGCACCGGTCGCATCTTCCCAGCCAAATAGATCCACGATGATCAACAATTTCACGCCAGTGGTGGTTAACCAACCATAGGCCGCAAGTCGCTCGTCGATTGCATGTAAGAGTCCCAGATCCTGATCAATGGAAGTTTGTTTGCAGCGAATATCAAAGATATCAAGACATGAGTTCAATAAGAAGGAGAACTCGATTGTGGAATCCGAGTATGGGGGAAACAAGGCAATATGAAGAGGGTTATCCTGGCGCATCAAGTCAGTGAACAATCATTCCGTGGAGTCAGGTTTTGCAGGGTTATACATACTGCTTTTCCAATCACGCCAATACAAGCAATTTTGGGACCTGCCATTGTTGAGAGAAAGAACCCTTGGAACACGCAAATTATGGGTTGGATTTAACTCGTGATCTGGAAGTTGGCGTTTAAAATCTCTGACAATATAAGTTTATGTGTGATTTTTTTATCTCCATAGCATGCTCAAAATCCTTGGAAATTGAGTAGGGGTCAGTGAAATGAGTCTGTGACAATTGTAGTCGAATGGTAGATATAAAGTAGAAGTACAGTGATGTCGTTCCGGTAACTAGCTTAGCAATTTTCAGGCATTAAGGCAGAAGCAGTGAAGAACGAGCCAATGATCACACAGGCAATTCGATTTACGAGCACTTCACCGCCTTTACCATACCGAACTGTACAAGCTCAAAGTTACAGGCTTTCAACCAATGAAATCAAATACAATGGCTTATGTCATTCTTATCAAACAGCGGCTATACCAAGGTACCACTCTGCGCTTGAGGTCTTCCACTTCGGAACCTTCTTGGGGTTCTCCTTGTCTTGCCAAACCGGAGCCCGCCACCTCTGCACTTTTTGCCCTCAATTTCTATATCAAGTCGTCGCCACCCAATTTAGGCTGCGATTCACCTTTAGAGAACATTCGACCTCAAGGTTCACGACTCATTCATTTGCCTCTATTCATTCCAATCGAAGAGAATTCTCAAGATGTTGCCAATGGCAAGGCCCGCCGTTTCTGGCGCTCTGTGTGGTAGGTATCTTTCTGGAAAATATCGATAAGGTGGATTTACTGATGGATAGTAGCGGTGCGCCCCCGTTTCGCACTTTCTCTTCCCCGTGCTCAGCCCTTGGCGGCTCTTTCGACTTCTTCGATCAAATCCGCGACTGCACTCGAGCGTCAAACACCAACAAGCCAATTGACCGCGTCAGGCAAGGTCCGGACGGAAGTGCCTCTACCCAGCCAGGAGAAGAAAGAGGGTGCTATGCAATATGTCTTGTTTGTAGCTTCGCTTTCTACATGCGTGCCCGAACATCCGCTAACTCCCATATAGGACCACCCTCGATCAAGTTGCCAACTGGGCCCGTCAGAGCTCTTTGTGGCCTATGACCTTCGGTCTTGCATGCTGTGCCGTGGAGATGATGCACCTTTCGACTCCCCGCTATGATCAGGATCGTCTTGGTATTATTTTCCGAGCTTCTCCGCGACAGTCTGATGTCATGATTGTTGCTGGTACATTGACGAACAAGATGGCTCCTGCCCTGCGCCAGGTTTACGATCAAATGCCCGACCCCCGCTGGGTTATCAGCATGGGTAGTTGTGCCAACGGTGGTGGCTACTACCACTACAGTTACTCAGTCGTACGAGGCTGTGACCGGGTTGTGCCGGTTGATGTCTACGTACCTGGATGTATGTCTATTATTTCCCCCTAAAACTTGTGTTACAGTTGACTAACCAAAACAAAGGTCCTCCCACCTCTGAGGCATTGATGTACGGTATCTTCCAGCTGCAGAAGAAGATGAGACATACCAGAATCACACGCATGTGGTACCGCCGTTAATGGAAAAAAGCAATGAGCGGGACTGTTTCTTTTATCAATCATGCTGCATGGTGGAACCAACCTCTACCACCGTGGAGTGGAGTAATTGTGTCTTTCTACTCTGTATATCAATATCAGATCGAAGTCTGATATTTCGTCCTCTTTTTTGCGTATCTCTTTTTTTGCCCTATCGGAATATCCATTCAAAAGAACTCAAATACACATCCTATGATGATTGGTTTAAATTATCGCTCTGTAGGGAGTATTTCAAACGTTGGTATCAAGTTCATCCTTTGATATTGTGACAGATGCAGTAGCGTTTGCATCCAAGATTGTTTTCGCATTTGCTTATCCATGTTTGTCATGCCTCTCTAGCTATAGATAGATAGAGGCTTTTTTTCTCCAAGTCCCAAAATTCATTCATCATACACCATCATATTCAAGATCATTCTTCATTCTTCACATAGTGTGGTCTTATCATACTGCTATCTATTTATTCTATAAAGTCGCAGAAAATCGCTGGCAAAGAATTACTAATACATATAGTTGTGTGGTAGTTCGGCAGAAAGATAATCCGAGCCGGTGATCGCACTCCGGAGTTACCCTGATGCACCCATTCCAAGGCTTGCTACGGACGCTTGACGGCTCTCAAGGAATTTAAGCAGTAAGTAAATCCAACAGGGCATACATAACAACCTGCAATCTCTTATTTTATATGGTATTGGGGCACGAATGGGCTGACATTGAACTCCCAGGTCAGAGTCTTTTCATCATGGCTCGCGCTATCTTGAACGCCGCCAAGTCGGCATCAAATGTGGTCTCCATCAACCAGGTAGGTCCGATACTTGGGATGGTAGTGGCATAACTCTAGGTGGAGGCTTACCATCCGCGCAGAAATACACCGTTCAGTCCACTGGTGTCTGGGAGCGCATTCGTCGCCTTTTCGCTGTCGACCCCAACCGCTCAACCGGTATCCCCTTGAACTCTCAATACCGTCTACCTACCCCAGGCTCTTTGCCTCCTCTGTCCTACGATGACCCAGTGACTATCCCTGCGGGCGACATCGCCGATAACCCCTACTGGAAGCGCGACGTCCGGAGAAGCTACCCCCAGCTTAGCACTGTGCGCCAAGCAGATGCTGTGGGACTTCTTACCGTTGGTAGCCAGGCCGCCCCCAAGGACGATGTCCTCAAGATTGGACAGGCTGGAGAACAACAACTAGTTGCTGTCAAGGCGCAAGGTGAAGAGCGCGGCCTCGCTGCTCTCTTTGAGCAAGATAAGAAAAGCATTCAAGGTGTTCTGGGTGCCAATGGCTTGCCTCCCAACCCTGCCAACATCAATCCCATCTCACAGGAATCACAGTCCAAGTACGTGCTTGGAACAGAGAACGGTTACCCCGAGAAGTATGTGAGATATTTGTATTGATTGATTGATCCCAGCTAACCATCCACAGATATACCTGTCGCACCTTTGTTTGATTAGACGGGTACATGTAGCCAGGAAATACATATTTTATTCCAGATTTTATTGCATCCGGTTCATTGAATGGTGTCTCTCAAAGTTTTTCGAGATACAATCTAGATCAATAGTAGTTTCTCGTGTGACAAGGTTGACATTTTTCACCGGGGGGGGGGTCTGTTTTGATTTTTGATTGTGAGGTCAAACGCTGGGGAATATTGTATATAGTCGAGAATGAGATCTCTAAATCCTACTGTACTACTGGAATACTGGAAACCTGGAGTTCAAACGGAGATATGTAAGGGGCCCGTCGATGATACCATGGGAATACCGCATGCGGTTGGAAAAAGAATCGAATTACAGTACAGTTGATGATACTAAATATATGTACCTACATACAAGGGGTTGCAGGTATACTTCTGATATAATACAGGCAATATGCATATCAATCAATCGTGTCTAATATTGTAGATAGTAGCTTTTGTATAATCTCCAAGCCCACTTATTATCTCCAGGTTTCTCATAGACCCACTGACATTTCATATAGAATAGATTAATTAGCATAAACCAAGTTTCTTCCAATTGAAACTTGAATTTAAACATACTTTATGCATATAGTAACTATCCAATGTATAGAATAGTTGAAACTTGGATAAATGCGAGTTGACGTCATGGCTTTCATACTTTGACATCCTGAATCATGACGACGTCACCTCAACTTTCCCTTCATAAGGAACGCCTTCTCACTCTTTTCTCTTCCCCAATTTATCTTCTATACTTTGAGCAAAAATGACTACTTTGCACTGTAAGTGGTGGAACATTTTTATATCTTCTTTTCAAACATGATTAACAAGGCCTAGATCTCCCCCCCTGTGAAGCCCTCCGCCATTGCGCTGGGTACCATCTTCACCCACACTGCCTCCCTGGGCATCCTAGCCCCCGTTTTTGGTGACACCTATCACCGCGCTCAGGCTGCCAACTCGAAGGAGGAATTCATCAAGTCAAAGGAAGCCGCCGGTGCCGCTGCAGCTTGGGGAAGCTCCCTTGCTGGAAGTGCCGTTCAAACCTATGGTGTGGCTGCCTTGATCAATGCTACCGGTACCTTGAGCTACAAGGGTGCTGCGTATTTGGGAACACTTATCTTCTTTGCAACTTCCGCTCCAGGCGTACGTCCCAACTCACCAAGTCGCTGTAGTATATATACTAATTTTATCTCCCACAGGTTGTGAGCCAGGTCTTCTCCGAGAAGCGGCCACTTGATACCATTGCCGTTGGTGCTCTCTCGCGGGTGTTCGAGACTGTCGGACTCAGTTTGTTCTTGACTTGGTGGGGAACACGCACTCACCCCTTTGACTAAAGGGTATGGGAAACCACATATCAAAATCCTCTAGTAAGATTATGATTGGATGTGCTTAGAGACTTCAATCGAATTGGTTAATTGGTTGTACATGTACACTGAATATGACATTACCTTGATAATTGAATTCATGTAACCTATGTTGTTTCACAGTATAATATAGCTCCGTATCAATACTTTATTGAATCTATTAATATGTTAGTCAAGATACCCACATTCCCCAGTGTGCCCACATATATTTGTAGATCGACTGAAAGAAACATTTGGTTTTTCATTCTAATTGGCCTGGTGGGACCTATCATTATACATTAACCATATTTACAAGCAGGGTATAATAATGTGCGTGTATGTTCTATATATATCACTTCAATGCTATACTATATATACATATGCATATGGCATTGTCGATCGCATTCATACGGACCAAAGCTCGTGTACACCTTCGTACAATAGCATACATATATACATATGTACGATATTGTATCTCGAATATCATTGATGCTATTTGAAATGTCTATATAGGTATCAATTATTGATCAACTATCGACTATGTTCATTTCTATGAATTAGTTGTAATTAATTGCAGTTTTCAATTTTATTTAGACTCGCCACCATGTATGTATATATCATGTGATACGATTGTTGACTTTATATATGGAGAACGATAACAAAAAAAAGTCACCCCCCACTAAAACCTCCTTTATCAAAATTCCCCCACGATGATCGAAATAAAATCTTCAACTTTGGACTCAGAACTAGATCCACCGTCAAGTCCAGATGGGTTCAATATCAGTGAATCATTGGCCCCACGACGTGAAAATAGCGCTGCGACGACTACCGACATTTCCTTTGATGGACTCCTGAAGGAACCTTTGCTACTAAAAGAAGATCTGAAAAATGGATGCGGTGGTCAGCTATGGCCAGCAGGAATGGCACTGGCCAAATACCTTTTGTGCCGTCATGCTACCAATCTATCTGATAAGACAATGTGGGTGCTCAAATCCAAGCCTGCCTTCTTTTCCTCGAAATTTTTTCTCTCTCTTTGATCTCTAATTCAAACAGCGTGGAAATTGGAGCTGGAGGTGGACTCGTTGGACTTGCGATGGCACGTGGATGTCAGCTCGAACACCCCATTTATATCACAGACCAAGAACCCATGTTTTCTCTAATGAAAGAAAACATCCAACTGAACAACCTCGGTCCAAATGCGACTGCTGCGATACTAAACTGGGGAGAACCGATCCCAAACCAGATTCCATCGAAGCCGGATGTCATCATTGCGGCCGACTGCGTCTATTTCGAGCCGGCATTCCCTCTCTTGATCACCACGCTTCAGGACCTCCTTGGGCCCAACTCAGTCTGTTACTTCTGTTACAAGCGCCGCAGACGAGCCGATCTCCGATTCATGAAGATGGCGAAAAAGGCTTTCGAAATGGAGGAGATCCGCGATGATCCCGGTGCCTCTGCGTACGACAGAGAGAATATCTTCATCTACACAATACGTGCCAAACGTGAAAAAAAAAATGAACACGTGAGATGATATGTACAATGCTAGAAATATGTTTTATGTAGAAAAGAAAATCTGACTCCGGAATAATACACACACTGGTCACTCAGTCTCTCAAGTTCCTTCACAGTTTCAAATTATCCCCTCTGGTTTTGGCACCTGCATTGACGGTATCACCATTGATATCGGTCACACGACCATCCTTGCCAATGACCTTGACTCCTCCCTTCTTCAGATCAGACATCATCTGCTGTTTTTCAGCCGCCTTGCCGGGCTTTTTCTCGGAAGCTTCGGCATTGGCCTTCTTCTGGGTCTTCTTATTCTGGCGCCTGTTCCTGGCCTTCTCTTCGCGGGACATTTCCTCCTTGGAGATTGATGCACCATTTCTGAGAACCACCTCTCCTCCAACCTTGCCATCATCGCCAGGTGCGTAAATTTCCTGGGGAGCGAGTCCTACAGGCCCGCCGGCAGCACCGCCAGCGGTGGGGCGTGCCTCTTCCATCATGATTGTTGGCGCATCAGTAACGACATTGATGCTTGCTTGGGCGATCTTGGGCTTGTAGTGCCAGTTGCATAGTGTATCCAACTGAGCACTGACATCGTTCCACAGACTGGTGATCTCGGCGTGTTCCCGCATCAACTTCCGGTCCTTGGTGTCGACAAAGTTGGGATCATTGGCCTTGAGATGTTCGGTTTCATACATCTCGGCCAGACCTTGCTGTGGCTTGGTATCATCCAACTCGAATCGGGGCTTTCTTCCAGCCTGTTGGCCCTCAGCGCCTGGCCGACGACGGATCACTTCATCAAACTCCGTAGCGAGAATGCGACGCTTGACCAGTTCCTCGATGTCTTCGGTGGTCTCGTTGGTGACAACGGGGACGGGCTTTCCAATCCGTTCAAAGTCAAGATCTTCTTCAATAAGAGAATTAACAGGTCTTTGCACAGCTCTGGCTTCACCGGCAAGCATCCATTCCTTCTTGGCCACATTGGCGGCCTCCAGACGGCGGATTTCATCTGCAATCCGCGCCTTCTGCTTTTCGTGTGAGGATTTGGGAGCATTTGAATCCCCAGCTTTGTCAAGATCGTCACCTTCGCCTTCAGCAGAGTCTTCCTCCTCGTCAAACAAATCTCGTCGAACGTCGGCCATAGCACGATCGACATCAGCATCGTCAACAGGCGCCGCATCGGGTTGTGTTTTAGGAAGTGCGCGAGCCTTCTTGTTGGAGGGCTTGCGGGGTGGAGGTGCGAAGAAGTCGGCATATTTGATATCACTAGTGTTGACCCAGCCAGCAGCCTCTTCATCATCAAGACCTTCGGCGTCTTCATCGTCGGAGTCGGAGTCAGCGCCGAGATCGGCATTGCCGAACGTCGGCCCCTCTTCCTCGCTATCATCCATCTGTTCGTCCTCATCTTCGGTTTTGTGTCGTGAGTTCTTCAATGCATTGCTGTTGCTGACCGGGGCGGCATTTCCAGCCATCAATGGGTTGGAGTGCCAGTCGAGATCCTCCTCGTCGCTGTCTTCACCCTCCTCAGGTCCTCCTTTGGCATCCTGTCTTTCGAGCGCCTCTGATTGCTTGTTGAAGTCATCGATGGAGAAGAACCCATCATTCAGACCGAACTTATCCTCGACGAAGATTTCGGGCGCTTCTTCCTCGGAGGCCATGGATTTATCGTCGTCCCATTCCTCCATGTCTTCTTCGTCTTCCATGTCATCATCCTCCTCGGCCACGGCCTCGGATCCCAAATTAGACTCTCCATCGAGGTCATCTTCGGCGCCCGAGCCTTCAGAGAGATCATCCAACATTCCCTCCTGGCTGTCACTATCGGATTGCTCAAGCTCAGAATCTGAGATATCCTCGAGCTCAGAATCCTCCTGATCCAAAAAACCATTGTGCTGGGTAATAAGAGTGATGTCTCGCTCGACTTCTTCACCAGTCGACTCCAGAATTCGTGTGGCCTGCTCCCATATTTGATTTGAAGTGAAGCCATCTACGTAGAGGTTTTTCAGTTGAAGTTGGGTGGCAGAGGCTGATTCGAGGTCTGATCTTTTGCGCTTTTTGTTGATCTGCCGGCGAGTAGTTTGAGCGTCCACGACAGATCCAGCGAGGGAGTCCAAAATGTGCTTTGCGGAGTCCACGACGGTGGTATGTAGGTCGTTGGTGGGTCGGAGAAATCCCCATGGTGAGGACAGTGCAGATGAGAGAGCCATTTCAGGCTGTGGGACCTTTGCGACCGCACTTGACTTTGATTGCTTCCTAGCCATTGTTGAGTATTGAGTACAAAAGGGTTCAAAGTCGGCAACACGAAAAAATTATCGGGCAGAGAGGGACGATCGACCAATCAGAATGGTTGGTGATAAGATAAGGATACACACCATATACACCTCTTTCTCTCTCTACACCTCTAGGGCAAACAATGTACATAGATACTCTCTTCTGTATTCCATCTCGTCTAGTTGGATATCCTATTTCTTAGCTTTCATACTTTTGATACATTCCTTATAGCTTCAATTTGAAATCTTAGGGTTGCTGAATTTGTTTTGCCAAGGTTTGCCCGTTTTGTGGTCGAATATCAAATTATACCGGTTCATGATCAACACTCTACAATATTGAGTCTTCAGTTGGGCTCACATATTGTCATGAACTTATGATAGATAAGAAGATGTTGCATCGAAATGGATGTCATTAGACCGCCACCTGCTACTTAGGATGACGCCAGTCTTCCATCATGGATCGACATATTGATAATCTCAACACGACAAGAGCACCACCCCGTAAAAATCACATCCTGAGATATTGATCTCCGAAGTTGAGAGGATTTTTCTGAACACCAGTACTCTTCTCCTACCAGATCCGCCTGTAGCTACAATAAAGAATTGAATCCCCCGCCACAGAAACGGTCTAGAACACAAATGTCTTTGGCGGCTTATAGTTCCTAGACTGTGAATTGCCTCAATTCAGGCGTTGAAGAAATATAAAATGTCAACAGACCGTCATGGTGACAGAAGTTCCAGCTTGAAGCTTTTTGGCAATATCGTACTTGTCGTTACCCTATTTAAGTAGCGGTCTTCCGTACTCGTATGCATAGTTCTGTTGCTCATCAACTGTTTCTGATATCTTGAGCAAGTGATCAAAGTTTGCCACCGTCTCGTATACACTGTAAACCAGTCAAAATGCCTATCTCCCAATATGTCGAGAGACCTGCCAGTGGGTCCAAATCGCAGTTTGAGCCAGGTGAGTACAGGTCTTCCAAATACAGGACCCAGCTTGGGCTCATGCAATTGTATAGGCCATAAAATCCCTATCCAGCACTTGACCAAGCCGGGATTGCAGTCTGACATGGGAAATCCAAAGCCCGTGTCCACTCATATTCCCACCGAGGATGGTGGATACCAGATCTATAAGGCCGCTGGAAAGCTTGAAGGAAAGAAAGCGATCATCACTGGCGGTGATTCTGGTATCGGCAGAGCTGTTGCAATTCTGTTTGCAATGGAGGGCGCGTCAAGTTTGATTGTTTACTTGCCCGAAGAGGAGTCAGATGCGCAAGAGACTAAGAGAAGGGTTGAGGAGTATGGCCAGCAGTGTCATACTCTGGCCATTGATCTTCGCAAGAAGGAAAACTGCCAAAAGATCATCGATGTCTCTTTGCAGAAGATGGGTGGTATTGACATTCTTGTGAACAACGCGGCATTCCAAGACATGTTGAGCGATATTAGTGAGATAGATGAGTGAGTTGATCAGATCTGCAAATGTTGATATGTTACTGATACGACAATAGAGCACAGTGGGAGCGAACTTTCGATACCAATATCAACTCCTTCTTTTATCTATCCAAATATTCTCTTCCACACATGAAGAAAGGATCCACCATCATCAACTGTTCATCTGTCAATCCTTATATTGGCCGAGGTGATCTTTTGGACTACACTGCTACCAAAGGAGCAATTGTCGCATTCACACGAGCTCTGTCGAACCAGCAGGTGAAGAAAGGCATCCGAGTGAATTGTGTATGCCCAGGCCCAAGTAGGTATCATCTGCATTCTGTATCAACTGAGTACTAACGAGACAGTCTGGACGCCTCTGATTCCAGCCACGATGCAAACCGCCGCCATGGAACAATTCCATGCTGTGCCACTTGGTCGACCGGGTCAACCCAGCGAGGTGGCGACATGCTTTGTTTTCCTGGCGAGTCAGGATAGCAGTTATATTTCTGGACAGTGTCTGCATCCCAATGGAGGTATCATGGTCAACGGATAGGGGATTGTACACGGTGATCAATTAGTATATATTGTACTTGACAAAGCAGCCCAAATCTGAAACCGATCTTGACTACGAAAACAATGCACGCAAATTAAGACTATAGGCCGCTTCATGCCATATGATATCTAGTATCTTAGAATGCCGTTTGTGATTTTGCGGCTGTACATTACTGCTCTCGCCAGTTTTGAATCACTCGGACTCATCGGGGTTTGCCCCCAATCGTTTCCCTTAATTTTCCTCCTCATCCTCCCTTTCATCCGTGTGTTGCTTGTCTTCCTGATCATCCTTTGAAGCATTGGCAACGATCTTCTGGACAGCATCCACAGTCGCATCTGGGCCACCTGCCTCACGAAGCAAGATTTTACCCTTCTTATCAACTGCAAAGACACCTCGCATAGTGCCCTTGGGGGATTTCTTGAGACCAATAGCTGCAATCAGAGTGGCCTTGGGGTCACAAAGAAGAGGATATTGAAGGTTTTGTTTGGTTTTGAAAGTGGTGTTGGCCTTGGGAGAATCACCGGAAAGACCGTAAATAGAAAGACCAGAGGAAGTCAGGTGGGTGTGATTATCACGGAACAAGCAAGCTTGTTTGGTGCCTGAGGAGATAGCCATTAGTTTATTGATCGAAGATAGCACGTTTCTTTTTTCTTTGTTTCTTTCTCCAGAGCTCTCAATAACAATACTTACAACCAGGTGTTGAGGCTTTGGGGTAAGTAAACAACACCACGCCTGATTTGCTCTCTTCGAGTAGCTTCTTCAAAGAAGTCGTTTCACCATCATTGGTTTCAATCTCGCCACCGAAAGTTTCAAGGTCGATTATATCATCCACCTCAAGAACCTTTGGGGAGGTCTCTTCAATATCATTATTGACAGTATCTTCTTTCTTAGGAGCTTTGATCTTCTTCTCTGGGACAGGAGGGGCAGGCGCCTTGCGTTTTCTGAGTTCAACCATATTGGAAGGACTGAGGATTACAAAGTAACAATGATGATGACAATAATAACAACGATATATATATATATATATAAAAAGATCCGGGAGATTATGCAAAGTTGAAGTTGTTGATTAGATTTATAACTACAGGGAGAGCACGGAGTAGAGTAAAGAGTAGATCAAACCTAAGGTTTCCCACCTTACGTAACCGGGAAAACCCGTGTTCCTCGCCCTGACCCGGAAAAATTGGAAAAAAAGCATTTTTCCTCTTTTCTGACAGGCCGAGGAGAAAAATCCACTTGACTCCATCTTTTTCTCTCTGTTATCTCTTACTCATATTCGCCTCCGAAGATAGATTTAGAACTCTTTGAACCCTCCATTTCTCTAAATCTTTCTTATACTTCTTCCATTACTTTATTCCTCTATTCCTCTGATTTCTTGCATTTCTGGCATTTCTGGCATTTCTTTCGCCTCAACTGAACTTTCACATTCATACGGTGACTCGTCCAACATGAAGGTCTTCTCTTCCGGTTGCACCTTCAACTACTCATGGGACGAAGTATCTACTGCAAACTGGCGCAAGTACTGTCCCTGGAATGACAAGTCTACACACGTCGTCGGCGTAGATACACTCTCCCGCACAGTCGACCCCAGCACTGGCATTGTGAGTAATCCAAATCAGTTGAACCATCTGCCTTGTGTATGAATATGTTTACTGACTATTGCCTTCTAGCTTCGCACTGAGCGTCTTATCACATGTGACCAATCTGTACCACAATGGGTCCTCTCGATACTTGGAGGATCGAATACCTCCCACGTTTACGAAATCTCCTATGTCGATCCGATTGCGAAGAAAGTCACCATGTGCTCCACCAATTTGACATGGTCAAATGTCCTCAGCGTCCGCGAGACCGTTGTTTACCGGCAATCATCCCTCAACCCGTCTACCACAACTGAATTCAACCAAGAAGCGAAGATCACTGCTCTTTGTGGGGGGTGGCAAAAGATCAAGAACAAGGTCGAAGAGGCGAGCGTGGATCGATTCCGTGAGAATGCCAAGATCGGCCGCGAGGGATTTGAAACCGTCCTCGAGATGAGCCGTCGCGTCTTTGGCGAACAGCGCGACCTTGAAAAGCAGCGCACGCAAGCATGAGCCCCCGAATCCTCAAACCGGTTCCCTTCTTTTATTATTTTCTGCATAAAGCGACTGCATATTCCGGCGTCTTGTTTTGCATCTCGAAGCATCTGGCGCCACTTGGAGTTATTTGTTTTCGCGTTTCGATCTTTCGACTCTTGTCACTCTGCTCATAAATACCACCGTTTGCCTCACGATGCCAATTGGCCCAAAAAAGTTTCGATTTCAGTCACATCAGTTATATTAAGCGATTTATCTATTTTATGTTTGCTTTTCAAAGTTATCGTTATCAACCCGTTCAAGCCTCCCAAGGCAGGCACCCATGTACCATTAGAGTTGCTTGAACATGCATTTCGCCTAGAAAGTCTGTTAACACCTTTGATCCTCTTCCTCTTTGTCATTTCGCGAGATCAGTCTAAAGCGTGGTAAACCCCGATTTGTACATTTCTATCTAGAGCTATCAATGTTGTTTACTTGTGTCAATCTAACAAAACAAACTCAGCATCACTAACACGGTTCTTTCCACCTGGGCAGACCTTGAATGTGAACACTATGGATTTGAAATTCTATTATTGTACAGCAGCATCTTGATTCATATATCGTAAAAACCCCAAGCCATATATCCTATAAAAAATGTCCATGAACACCCATTCCCGAAAATGTACACCAGCAAAGCCTCGCGATTATCCCAATAAACCTCCCAGCACCACGCGACTGACTCCAGCGACCTCACTCTTGGCACTATTTCGGCTGGCGTCTTCGAATTCGCGCACTGCGCCGGCCACCATTATCTTCCGCAACTTAGCATCCGCCTTGGAGAATGTTTCACCCAAGGCCACTGTGCAAACCGAGGGAGAGGATACTAGCGTAGTAAGTCGGCTATAACAATCGATTAAAACATCACATAGCGTCGCAAATGTCTCAAAGAAGTCTGGCTCAAATGGTAATGAAGGCGTGAGAAGATAAGTGTACTCCTCTCCTGGGAGGAGATCTGATGACTCTGTGAGCGGGAAGGATGTGACGGAGGCTCCAGAGGAAGCCGATCCAAGATTCCCAGCCGTATTTTTCAAGTCCGAAGGATCACTGGACTGCATCGGGAGCCCAATCTCGGTTGCAGAGCTAGCGCGGCGAGTCTTAGTACCTGCATGCGCAGCGCGCTTGAACATCTGGGGTATGCGGGCTCTCGCGAGAGTTGAGGAGGAGCTGCCATCCGGAGGATGTACTTGCTGGAAAGCCTCGAATTCCAACAGGAGAGCGTTGAGAGCTCGCAGATATTCAAAAGGCGTTGAATTCACATCCAATATTGTTGGTAGAGAAAGTCCAAGGAGTAGATAATTGATTGCGCGGCGTGAGAGCTTTCTAGCTTCGAAGTATGGCAGACGGGCGATGTCAGCGCGAGAAAAATGCACAGTATTAAACCAATAGACTCGTCCTTCATGACTATCGATTGCACAGTATGGGGTCAGTACACATCTCAGATTGGATGGGATGATGATCCACTCACGCTTTCCTTAGATAGTCGAGGGTTGATATCCGTTTTGCGGCCATTTCATGAATTTGTTGATAGATTGCGCCTGCACTCTGAGGTCCAAGGAGACCACCCCCACTAGATACTGGAGGTGGGAGACCATGTGAAGCTTCATATCCAGCACCGGACTTGGCTGTGTCCCTTCGAGTGAGACTCGGGGTAAATGTAGAAGGGACCATTTCAATATTTCGGAACAAATTCAAATTGATGCGACACGAAAGACAAATTATAGAACAGAAAATGAAGAAAAATGGCTAACTGAAGTCCAGTCGTTGTCGAAAGGGTTCGAATTTCCCCCGCAGAACAAGAAGTTTTGTCTTCTGTTAGTTAATCTTCTCCCCCCTGTAATTTATTTTGCCGATCACCTCCATGTTGTACAATCTACAATCTAAATATTATTGTACTTCTTTACTTCCGACAAATACTTACACAACCTACAAACAAATTCCCAAAAAATACTTGATATGAAATAATGGATTTAACAGCTCCCGAAGATCAAATTCCTTTGCCTGGACAATGGCCTGTTGATCCTCAGGAAGATGTACCAATCTCAGAGGACCGTCTTTGGGTCGATGGATGCTTCGACTTCAGTCACCATGGTAATTCTACTATTCTGCCTACTCAATGTCTGTGAATGGATGCTGATTATCTTTTCTTCTTCTTCACAGGTCATGCTGGTGCTATGCTTCAAGCTCGTCAGCTCGGAAAGGCTCTTTACGTGGGAATACACTCCGATGAAGCGATCCTCGAAAATAAGGGTCCAACAGTGATGTCACTGGAAGAACGGTTGGTTTTCGAAACAAAACTTTTGCTCTTGACTTGATCCTGATACTAAAATACCCTCTTGAGATAGTGTCGCAGCCGTTGACGCGTGTCGATGGGCAACTCAGAGTGTCCCTCACGCCCCCTATGTGACCTACCTGCCTTGGGTGTCCCACTACGGTTGTAAATATGTTGTTCATGGAGACGACATCACTTCAGACAGCGACGGAAATGACTGCTACCGGTTCGTTAAAGCTGCTGGTCGCTTCCGTGTCGTCAAGCGAACCCCTGGGATATCCACAACCGATCTTGTCGGTCGCATGTTGCTGTGTACCAGGAACCACTTTGTCAAATCTGTGAAGGGAACCCTTGCTGGACAGGAAGGCTTTGGGAGTCCGGAAGAGCGGCAGGCTTCTGCCACAGATCTGTTGCGGAGAATTAAAGACTATGCCACAGACGAGAGTGGTCTTCAACCTGGACCTCAGGTGTGGACCTGGACTGGCTCAGGCACAGCCAAGCTAGACCATGTGGTCGAGGAGGCTGGCCTTTTCGAGACCTTGGTCCACGGGAAAGGTCCCAAGCCTGGGCAGCGCATTGTTTATGTTGATGGAGGCTTCGATCTCTTCTCGTCCGGTCACATTGCGTTCCTGCGCAAGGTTACGGAGCATGAGGAGACCGAGGCCCGTCGCAGTGGTTGGTATGAACCGGAACAGATCGAGAAGAGATTGAAGGAGTATAACGAAGATTATCCTCCTGCCTATCTTGTCGCAGGTATTCATGATGACGATGTCATCAACCACTGGAAGGGCTTGAACTACCCAATCATGAACATCTTTGAGCGCGGTCTCTGCGTTCTTCAGTGCCGTGTAAGTTTTGTCATTTTGCCTGATAATTACATGATTGCTGACCATGTTCAAAGTACATCCATGCTGTCGTCTTCTCTGCACCTTTCACCCCCAGCGAGTCATACCTGAAGGCTATGCCTTGGGGGACTCCCGATGCTGTCTATCATGGACCCACGACCTTCATCCCGCTTACCTATGACCCTTACGCTGACCCCAAGAGAATGGGGATTTTCCGGGAAGCCGAGCAGCATGCCTTTCAACACGTGAATGCTGGCGAGATCGTTGGCCGGATCTTGAAAAGTCGTGAAGCTTACGAAGCTAGGCAACGTGCGAAGCTGGAAAAATCGGTAGCGGAAGATCTAGTGAAGTCAAAGGAGGCAGCCGGAGCGACCCAATAGGCTGGCTTTGGGGTAAATACCTACGTAATGAAGATTAGCTGTACATACTATATAGACCTCATCAACTGTGGTTTATAGAACACCTACTACGTTCTTTACATGTACGACATGCAGCAAATTGATATATGATTTGAGTGGACAAAGTGGAACAAACCAAAATGAAAATTCTAGAGATTTATACATTGTACACAGATGTGAAATGAGAGACCACTGGCATTCGTCCAAAAACACTATCTGACCAGCAGGTATATTATGACCAGAATACACAGGTAAATAATTTTACAGATTCAGCCATTTGCCAGTTTGATGCGCTGAAACACTCGGACCCAACTGCTAATTGTTTATTCATCCGCCGCAACCAAGACACCCTTGGACTCAAGGAGCTTGGCAAGCTCACCATTTTGGTGCATGGACATCAAGATATCACATCCACCAATGAACTCCTTCTCAAGGTATAGCTGGGGGATAGTCGGCCACTCGGAGTACTCCTTCACACCTACAAACCCAACACATTTAGCAACCCAATCCGGCAAAGCTCAACAGAGGTCCAACATACCTGAGCGTAGCTCCGCATCCTCCAAAACGTTGAAAGCAACAAACTTCTTAGGGTCAACACCCTGCAGGCCGAGGATCTGAATGCTAGCACGGGAGAAGCCGCACTGTGGTGTCTCGGGAGTACCCTTCATGAACAAAACGACGGGGGCGGAGGCAACCGCCTTATCGATGGCGGTCCGGGTCTCGTTAGAGAGAAGACGGGCATGGAGAACAGAAGGGATGGAGGGTCCCGAAGGAAACTGAAGGGCCGAACGAACGGGGCGCAAAAAGTTTGGCCGCGAGACGGGACGGAAAGCCTGGATTCATGTTAGTTTCAGGATCATTCAACATATATTGGAATATATTGTTTGCAAACACACCGATGCAACTGCCCTGGAGAACATTTTGAATATGAAGACTGATATGTAATAAGAGTGAAGTTCCTAGGTTATCGGGAAATGCGAGCAAGAGCTGACTTAGAATTATTCGATCAGTGGTTGGTTCGGCGTTCCCACATATCCCCACTTTATTTGATATAGTAAGCTGTTTGTGGCCTGAGGTTTGAAATCATTCTTCTTGTTCTTGCTCTTCGTCGACTTCTTCTTCATGGACATTCATGATCCTTTCTTGTTTCTTTGATGTTCGCCTAATTCATGAAAATGGATTCTCAACCCTCATTTATTGCTGAAAATTACAGACATGATAAGAAAATCCATATACTTTTGGCAGCGTCTGGTTCTGTTGCCACAATAAAACTGCCAAATATAACAAAGGCTCTATGTCAGAATAAGAATGTCTCAGTTCGCATCATAGTCACCGAGGCCTCAGAGAAATTTCTCATGGACCAAAGCTCGGAGCAACCAATCCTCGACTCACTACAGAAAATTGATGGCGTGGACGGAATATACCGTGACAAAGATGAATGGTCCCCGGCGTGGACGCGCGGGGAACCAGTCCTACATATTGAGCTGCGCAAATGTTAGTGGTCATGACATCTGATCGTTGATAGAAAGTCAGACTAACTATGATACACTAGGGGCACATCTTCTACTGGTCGCTCCAATGTCAGCAAACACCATGGCGAAGATGGTCAATGGGATTGCCGATAACCTGCTTCTTTCAACTATCAGGGCCTGGGATACGACTGGATTGGTGGACAAAGAATTCAAATCTCTCACGCCAAGGATCTTTGTGGCCCCAAGTATGAACACAGCAATGATGATTCATCCAGTAACCGAGAAACAACTCAAAATTCTACGTGATGAATGGGGATGGAGTAAGTCAAACCCTAATGGCTGGGTGACTTTGCTCTCTCCCATCGAGAAGACTTTAGCTTGTGGAGATGTCGGAACTGGAGGTATGATGGAGTGGAAAGATATTGTCACGGTCATCCAAGAGCACCTGGAATCGATACAAAATTCATACACATTGTGAGGCTTTTGTTTGGTCGTTCGTGTTATTACATATCATAATTGCGTCGACTCGGCCTCCAAGGGCTTCGGCTCTGCAGTATTATATAAACCGAGGTGCTGCATCGCATACTCGGCGAGCAAGCCCACGGTGATCCCTCCGCCGGTCAACAAACATCCATTTTTGAACCACCACCAGCAGTTCTTGACATTCTTTAACTGGACTTTCCAAATCATGACGCCAAGCGAAAGTATGGCACTGCCGCAACTGCCAACGAAGAAAACAGGCCCAGCGCCTGCAGCAATACCTGCAGCCGCGAGAAGGGAGACTTGAGTTACCGCCAGGCCACTTAGGACAGCCTTGGTGTTGTGTTCATGGCGAAGGGCAATTGACTTGATCCCCGCTGCAGCATCATCTTTGATGTCCATGTGTGCATAAATCATATCGTACAGTACCGTCCAAGCAATACAACTGGTATAAAGGGCCCCAGCAGCCATTAAGGCATCGTGATTGGCAAGCAGGTCCACACCCAAGGCCGGGAATCCCATAATTGCTCCCCATGAAAATGCAAGACCCAGAACAGCTTGGGGGTAATTGGTCACGCGCTTGGCGAGAGGGTAGGCTACTACAATGGGTAGACTAGGAATTCCATACCAAAGACATTGAGTAGGGAATGAAACAAGCACACCCAATCCAGCCAACAATTGTGAGCCCGTAAAGAGCACTGCGTTCCGGGGGGAAAGAGCGCCTCTGGCGATGGGACGGAACTTGGTGCGTTCGACATGAGGATCCAGATTACGGTCCCACAAATCATTGATAGCACAACCTGCGCCTCGCATGATCAACGCGCCTGAAAAGAAAAGAGCCGATATGCCGAGGACGTGAAGGGGGGCTGCGCCGGCCATTGGCGCCGCGAGAAGGGTGGAAAAGAGAGTCGGGAAGAAAAGGTAGTATGTACCGGTAGGCTTATCCAGGCGCACCAATTCGGCATATGGGATCCATGAGTTTGGTAAGAACGTGATCAGGCCAGTCTGGGGTGGGATATAGTGTGTGGCCGGATTCTTCTTTGCATTGTCTGTCTCAAGTGGCCTTGTCGCAGGCAATTGCGCAGAGCTGTGTCTAATTTGAACCGGTATTTTTCGGGAGAAGATTCTTGATATGGGGAATCGACTGGCCCTCAATTGCGAGGAATGGACATTGTGAGCGAGTGAGGACAGTCGCCCATTGCATAGGCCGGTGAGGGTGGTGAGAGTGACCTTGGATGACAATCGACCGCGGAGGAGGCGAGAGCTGGAAATCATATCGAAATGAATCTAGGAAGTGAACAGGAAATGGGTCAATCGGTGCAGATAGTCATTATTCTGTTTCCAACAAATTGTAATAATTGCGAAAGCTCCGGGGCAATGGGTAGCTATTCATATGCAGGAAAAACGCGGGTTTATTGCCCCTAAGCCTAATTGGGTTATCACATCTATAGAGAAAAAATTGTTGATCTTTCAATGTTATTTGTGTCTTGCTAATATAGTAAGTAATATATATCTTTGTAAGAACCAAGACAATCAGATATTCTATTTCCAACTCAACTTATTCCAACTAAACATATATGTATGTGTGTATTGAATATTTGCAACAAAACTGTAAAGTGACACACATGTTGGTGCCTGAGGTGTCACGGCGCGTCAAGATCAAAGTGGAAAGCACTCTACTCCGTAGATATATGTACTTTTGGACTTAGCTTCACCTTTCACTTTTCTCAATTTTCAACCTCCTTGACTTCTATTGTTTTCTCTCTATTCTCTCTGCTCTCTCTTTGCTATCTTCTACCTTTCTGGTGACACCTTGCCCTGTATCTCTTCGAGGACTTCCAATGATCTGATCTACATTGATCAATCGACACTGGGCTCCGCGCTTATCCTGTCGCCTCAACGATTATCTACCTTGCTCCTTGAGTCATGACAACCATTTTTCTTAGCTTTACTCTTGATACAGACCCCCACTAAAGGCCAAGTGATCCCTCAGGGCTTGCCCCTTCTGGGGCTATCACTCACGATGCCCGCTCACCGGAGCCGCATGGCATTCGAGCCAATGTCGCCACTACTTGACATAGATGAGATAGTTGACTCAACCCCCAACTTCCAACTCGCGATGCGAGTCACTTGTGACTCCATCAAAGAATTCCCCCTTGAAGACTTTGAGAGACTTGTGTTATACCAAGTCGTTCTGTCTGGTAGACCTCTTGTCATTGAAGGATTCCAAGAATACCTTGACAATAATCTCTTTTCTGAGAAATGGCTTCAAGAAAAGTACGCATCAAAGGGTAAGCTCGTTCTCTGATCCGCATCTACTATCTTCTGATTGATACTGACTGAAATATCCTGGCAGTCGAAGAAGTTCGTGATCTGGTCCGCAAAATGAATATATCGTTCACCATGGGACATTACCTGTCAAGTCTACCGGCCTTGACACGCCAGATGACGACCGAAAATTATGATCAGAAGGATCGACAACGTCTTTATATGAAAGACATTGATTGCCCACCAGAATGGCGCGCATACATTGAAAACATCATACCGCCGTCTTTGTTCTACTTGAATGAAGCTCCCAAGTCCTTCCAAGGACCAGCTTCCCAACAGACGAATCTATCCGAGGTCTCGCAAACCGCACAGGCGGAACTGATCGCCCCAGCAGGCGACCTGATGAGCAGCCTGCCCCCCAACATGCGGGCAGAAAATCTGATGTGCTACATAGGACATGAAGGGACGTACACGCCGGCACACCAAGAAATGTGCGCCAGTTTGGGCCACAATTTGATGGTAAATGCTTCTGAAGGGAATCCAGAGAATGGCAAGCCAACTGTGCCAGGCTCTTCATTATGGCTGATGACTGAAACGAAAGACCGATGCATTGTCGCTGAGTACTGGGTGTCTGTTCTCGGGCATGACATCGATATTGAGGATTTCTTCGCCCCCTTGCATGCGTGGAAGATCGCACCGTTCAAAACTTGGGTAGTTGAGCAGAGACCTGGTGATCTGATTCTTGTGCCACCCCTGGCTGCTCACCAGGTTTGGAATCGTGGAACGCGCACCATGAAAATTGCGTGGAATCGGACCACGGTCAATACGCTCGAATTGGCACTGCACGAAGCATTACCACATGCTCGGATGGTCGGCCGGGACGAGCAATACAAGAACAAGGCCATTGTTTTCTTTACTCTCGAACGCTATTCCAAGTTGCTGCAACAGGCGAAGAAAGTCAGCCATCCTGTAGTCACCCAATTGTGGCAAGATTTCGGACGCCTGTTCGACTTGTACAAAGAGATTTTGTTGTCAGAAACCTTTTCACAGAGGAAGCCAGAGAAATTTGTGGAATATCACGAGTTTCAAAGCAACGTGACCTGTTCCTTTTGTCGCTGCAACATCTTCAACAGATTTCTGACTTGCCCTGGTTGCATCAATGATATTAAGGGCAGCGAAGACGAGCCTTACGACGTTTGTATGGATTGCTACGTGATGGGTAGGAGCTGCCACTGTATCTCAAACCTCCAATGGATGGAGCAATTTCCTTTCAAAGAGCTCACAGATCGATACGACACGTGGCGCCGTCTTCTTGTTTCCTCGGACGAAGAAAACAAGGATTTGAAGCAGAAATATCCAACTTTTGTTGTCGCCCGAGCTCAAGCTGGGAAAAAGTCCATTGCTGAAATTTGCCAAGAGCAACTGGCTCGTCGCCCATGGAACGATCCAAAAAATCCGAAGCCAGCTTTCAAACCTGAAAGAAAACTCAAAACCAAGGAAACCGACGGCGAAGAGAATGACCAAGATGGCCGCCCACGAAAAAAGCGAAAAATTCGACCACCTGTGACCAACAATCCTGAGGGGGTTCACCGCTGTCACGTTTGCCTTCATTTCGAGGTGAATTGGAAGCTAGCATCTTGCTCCAACTGCGACCAGCGTTATTGCTATGGCAGTCTATTCCGCGCTTTTGAGATTTCGCCTCAACAGGCAATGGAAAAACACCACTGGCTGTGTCCCAAATGCCGAAAGGAATGCAGCTGTGGTGCATGTCAACGTGACTCGACGATGAAACCTTACGAACCAAACTGCACCTTGCTTGGTCATGACACGAGCAAGGTCGCAGACCCTCGTAGTGTTGAATCATTGGTGGACTTCAAGAAGTCCAATCTCTGGTGGTTGAAAAAATTCGGTGACGATGTGCACGGTCGAATCTATAAACGACAAAAAGAAGTCGAACAATCAGAGATCGAACGACAGAAACTTCTTGAAGCGGAAGGCTTCAAATTTGAATCAAGTCCATTTGACCAACCCACCCAGAACGTCCAGAGTGGTTCCGATGGCCTGGTTGACATGGAAATTCCTGTTGATCCATCCTTGTTGGACGAATCTTTTCTAAGCGCAGCCGCTTAGTCCACACAGCAGGACAAGCGCCTGTCGTCATATGCTTGTACCCTGAATGTTGCTTGCATGACTTCTTTTCATTTTGTTTTACCATTAGTGGAAGCAATTGCTACAAGAGCATCTATCGATGTGTTTGATTGATTTGTGATATCCCGAAGAGTTCATCTCTTCAGCGACATGTTTTTTTAAGTCCAATTGAAATGAAAATATGAACTTAACCCGTGAGGTCTGCAAATCAATAGATTTTACAATTTTATATCAATCTTACGCCTTTTCTACCCGTTTATGTAACTATGGCGACCATTTGAAACAGTACTTTTGCTTGGTTTTTCTGTTTCTCTCAGTATCTCTTTCTATGGGTCTCTTTTTTACTTTTCATATATTCTTTGGTGTCTCATTGCAATCTGGTTCTGATCTTGCATATGCAAAGGCTAATTATCCCCGATATCCTTGTAGTTGAACACCTTTGATACAAGCTATTGCCAGACCTTTAAGACATGATGTAAATTTCAGTCATTGGATTCTGCAAACTATTAGGCACCTTTGTACTCGTACTGTAATTCTTTGAGAGATGTCAGATCAACCGAGCGCATGACCTTTTGAGCGATCAGAATGGTTGCGAGCATGGCTGTGATATATTAGACCCAATCACATCAATCAAATAGACTGAACATACCTCCAGGAATCAAGTAAAATACAGGCCGTGTCCCATAAGATGATCCGGTTGAAAAATAGACTAGAGCCAACAACAAGGAAACCATGCCACTCCCCGGTACTAGAGCAGCATGAATTCGAGCAACACGTTGATTGTGTACATTCATCGGCTTCTTGCCCTTGCGATCTGGCTGGAGAGGAGAGCATCTCATGATATAGGCCGTTGTGATCAACGAGACTAGGCCGAGGAATGAGAACAATCGTTCAGCCTGACTGGATGCTGACAGAACCGAAGGCACGAATATGACGGCAGTCAACAATGGAAGGGCCGTGAAAACCATCTAGAAAGTTCAGCATTGAACATTGATTATATAGGAAAGATATGTACACTATACTGGGCGTTGCGAGCATCGTTTTGGCTCTGCAACAGCTCGATAACCCGTTCCTGTTCTTCTTCATCCAATTCCTCGCGTCCACCTGATTCCTCGGGATATCGAAACACTTTCCGCAGTCTGACTGCGGCCATTTTCAAAATGTAGTAGAAACAATAGTACGATGTACAATCCAAGTTGTCAAATTGGAGGTCATGACGCCGAAACTGTTTGTCCTGTTTGCAACAACTTGGTAAACATTTACATGCAATGCAATTCAATAAACAGAGTACTACTACTATGATATGACACTCTCATAACCTACAGATTTGTTGCATTATAATTATAGTAACGATCATCATCTAGAAAGCGTAAGCACTTCGTAAGCACAAAGTGATATAGCAATAGAGTAGGTGTACAAAAGGATTAGCGTAAACTTCCCTGCTACGACTCAAATATAGCAAGTCCTACGTCCACTTACCTAGATACCCTTTATGCTTTCATCGAATAATCGATGACCCGATACCTCAATATGTGAAAAATGATAGTCTTTCTATAGTTAGTATTCTCAAAGGCTAGAGAGTCGGACATAGACATGACTAGTGCTCGTACTAAGTAGCTAGAATACTTAGTTTAATACCGATATATCTACATATGTACCTTTTCCAGGGCGACTAGGATATTATAATTAGTAGTTGACCGGTTAACCAGTTATAAGAAGTCCACAATGTTCTATTTTAGTTACCCCTATCTCATTAAATACCATGGAATCTTCTCAGCTAAGAGGCACTAGCTTGGTGATAGAAGTTTGAAATACCACGCTAGATAGCTGAATTTTCTTCCATTAACCAGCCAGAGGATTGTGTCTTTCCTCGATAGTCTAATGCGTCGTAGTAAAAAAAATAATGGTGAAATATCTATACCAGCCGGTGGTAGATCGGAGATGAATCAGCCGCCCCAACTAGTTACCCGCCGACAAATCTGCCGCAACTTGCGATTGATTTTCCGCATTTTACCAACCGCATTTCCCCCGCCCACCATGGTCTTCTCACGAGTATTCATTCGGCGTGCCGGGCTCGCCCGACCAGGACGTCAAAATATGACTGCACGACGCACAATCATGCCAGCCCCCGGGCCGAACGCGGGACCATTGCTGGAACGACGCGCAGACCGAGAGCTGCCAAACCCCAATCCCGGCCGACGCTGGCTACTCACTCTGCCAATCTTCATTATTGCCACTGGAGCTGGCATGCTGGGTATCTTCAATTACCAAAAGTCCTCGTCTAGTATTGTGAACAGCACGCTGTATGCGCTGCGCACCTCGCCCCAGGCTCGCGAGATTCTGGGCGATGAGATCTATTTTGCGCAGCAGATCCCGTGGATTAGTGGCGAAATGAACCAATTGCATGGTCGGATTAATATCTCTTTCTGGGTGAAGGGTACTAAGGCCCAGGGCAAGATGAAGTTCCACAGCATCCGGCCGAATCGTATGAGCTATGTGAGTAGTGGCTATTTATTTGGTTTCTTAGCTCAGGGCCAATTGTCTCCTTTTGCAAATTACTGACTGTAATTATTCTCTAGTTCCGCACTGAGGAATGGAGTTTGGAGACCGAGGATGGACAGGTGGTCCAATTGCTTGAAAAGGGCAGTGATCCATTCCGGCAGGTTTGAATATGTGACATTGTGGCAGTATGTACAGATAAAGCAGTGCATTGGGCTCGGGCGTTCTGGGACATCATTTATGGGTACCATTTTGTTGCGTTATCCACCGAATTGGCGAACCCTCGAGGGATTTCTATCATTGAGAGAAAAAGGAAGGATATCATTTTATGTATCATATACAAACGCCGCTCAAGTAAAACAATATCGCGCGTATGGTGTAATAGTACATGTCAGAACAGAAGACAAATCTCCAATTAATCAAACAGATGCGGGAGCAGATTCAGGCACTGACTTGGCCTCTGCCACCGGCACTTCTGGCCAAGGCTTCTTGATGGCGTCCTGAATTCTCACGACACAGCCCTTGGGACCACTGACCGCACCTATATCAAAAAGAAGTATATTAGAGAAGCGTGCCTCAAAGACAACGAGAAGGAATCACATACCGCTCACAACCACAATGCCATTCTCAGAATCAACCTTGAGAATCTTCAAGTTCTGCACGGTGTTTTGGTTGTTACCCATGTTTCCAGCCATCTTCTTGCCCGGATACACACGAGAACCACCGCCCTGACCAGGACCAGAAGAACCCATGGAACGATGCGTCAAACTAACACCGTGACTACGGTCCTGACCACCGAAACCATGTCTCTTCATCACACCAGCAAAGCCCTTACCCTTGGTGTTGGAGCGGGCATCAACAAATTGTCCTTCCTTGAACCAGCCAGCCTCAATGCTTTGACCAACAGGCAGAAGGCCCTCTTCACCCTTAACACGGAATTCGAAGATATGACGCTTAGGTGAAGAACCATTGACAGAGAAGTGTCCCAAGAGTGCCCTGGTGACATTGCTGGGGTGCTTCCAGCCAGCACCAACCTGCACAGCATAGTACCCATGCCTCTCACGGGTCTTGTGGGAGAGAACCTCAACACGATCAAGCTGCAGAACGGTACAGGGAATGCGCTTTCCGGACTCGGGGTCGAAAATGGCGGTCATACCCTTTTTAATTGTGATAGCACCGGATCGGAGGGGGAGGGAATTGGCTTTGCGACGGAGAGCCGCTGTCGATGTCGATTCGAGGACGGGCAGACCAGGGCCAATGTTGAAACGACTGGGTTTGGGAGGATTGAGCGATCTGATACCGAATGAGCGTACGGAGATTGGTGTGATCAGCGAACCCCATAGGGGCGACTGAAGCCCTAAGCGTGGCGACATTTTGTGGTGATATGAAGGTGCAGGTGTCGACGGTTTTGCCGTTGATGAAGGGAAGTTTTTGGTGCATGGCTTAGTCATCCACGCGAAGTAGGTATATGTAGGTACAGGGTGTATACTCCGCGTATCGATAAATCTACATTTCTTCACCTTCTCAACCCCAATTTAACAGGGAGATATTGTAATTCGAATCCGTTACAGACCAGATCAATATACATACATATAAAGACATCTCAACGATCAAAATATCATCATCTTCCACAAACCCGTCCATTCCCTCCTAACTCCGATCGGATCGGAACCCGAAAACGCCGAGAGATAAAAAAAGATCCCCGTCAGAAATCAATTTCTTTTCAATCCTACTAGACAGCATTCACAATGTCTTTACGATCAACCCTCCTCTCGAAATGGATCCGACCCAGTGAGATCCTCAGAAGGACCACTTTCAATAATATCCCCCGCGCATCACGCCCCATCTTCGCGCAAACACGAACCTTCATAACAGCACCGCGGCTTTCAACCCGACCCAAACCAAGCTCATTGCTACCAAAGCAACGATTTAATCGCCGCTACAACTCCGGCTCAGCCGGCAATAGTCATGGACAAGCCCAAGCTGAGAAAGCGTCTCTATCAGATCGATTGAAGAAGCTGTCTAGGGAGTATGGATGGACCGCACTGGGTGTGTACCTTGCGCTGTCGGCGCTTGATTTCCCATTCTGCTTTGCAGCAGTGCGATTGCTAGGCGTTGATCGAATTGGACATTACGAACATGTTGTTGTTGAGTTTGTGAAGGATAAATTCAAGGCTGTTTGGCCAACCACTGAAGGGTCAGAAGACGGACAAGGAAACTTGGCCCAGGCCGAAGAAAGGAATCAGGATGAGGCCAGTAAGTTTTCTATACCAAAATTTTCTGTTAGAAAACACATGATACTGATTTCTATAGGTATTTGGACCCAGTTGGTATTTGCGTATGCTATTCACAAGAGCTTCATCTTCATCCGAGTCCCCTTGACAGCGGCAGTTCTGCCCAAAGTTGTAAAGACGCTACGGGGATGGGGATGGAACATTGGTAAACGGAAGCCGAAGAGTACCTGAACAGATGAATTTATAGCATAGCGAACCATTGTGTACATTATTTTAGCCATTCAGCTCTCTAATACGGCATTGTTGCCTTCTCCTCTCATCTACAACCCAACCTATGGCACCGACATGAGAAAGGAAATGACAAAAAGATTGCGCTGGGATCTGTTGATATAACTAGCCAACAGCAAGACAAAGATGAAAAAAAGAAATGAAAAAAGGGCACCAAAGCTCGTAATCTTCGTGGAAATTAAGATATAAGTGTGTCCGGTCGATCACATGTCGATCATATCGTTGAATCTCAGGATGCCGTTCGCTTTCATGACACCGTTGACACCATCTGGCATGCGGTATGCCCATTCTGCAACACCCATGGTGTCGGTGGGTAGTTCTTCGACTTGGTCCGACTGACTGACCTCATCGGAGGTATCAGCCACAAGCACGAGACCAAGTTCTTTGATGGTTTCAACTAGTGCGGGGACAACGTTCTGGAAAATGTTAGTATATGAGACAGAAATAACAATATAGGATCAAACGAACCAATAGACTAGATCTGCATATCAATCCCATGAAATTGTTACTTTGGGCAATGCGTGCAGATTCTTTGATGGACATCGAAGCCCGACCACTGCTGTTGACATGGGGTTTCGAGTCAACATTGCGAGTGAGGTCACGAATCTGACCAAGGTCATTGCAGAGAAGAACGGGATCTAAGAGGAGTCAGTGTTGGCAATTATCGATAGACTTTATGGTGAAGACTCACAGTTGGGTTGCTTCCAGTTGAGAGCACTACAGATATTGGGGTTATAGGAGGTGAAAACGACAGAGCGCATGAAGTCCGGATTCTTATCTCTAGCAACACGAGCGTGGTCGAAGACATCGGTCAGAATAGCGTCGGCAAAGCTGTTCACATCCGCCAAGGAGGTCATGGCGAGTCTCTTCTCCTCCGCAGGGGACGGGTAGAGGATGGAGATGTTGACATTCAAGTCGATAGGGAGTTGGCGGAGAACATCCCGTAATGGCAGGAAGGAATTTGCGAGGAGACGATGGGTCTTGGGCATATCAGAAGCCGCCTCCGCGGACAAGAAATCGAGGATCGTGAGTTGATTAACACCGCGCTCTGCGCCGATGAATTGGAACTGATCGAATGTCAAATGAGATATCGGGATCTCAATTCCGTGATGATTGATCGTGAATTGCGGGTACAAGACAGCAACACGGTCACGAGTCAGCTGCACGAACAATTGAACATAGTCACCCGACAAACTGGATCCAGTGACGAAGCCATTGTGTTCCGAGTCTTGGGCACTAGTCGCCTTCCAATATGTGGCAAAGTGCGTGATCTCCAGGGGATCGCCGTGGTATGGCTTGATGACCTGGAAGTTGAATCGCAGTTGGCCGATTCCGCGAAGCCGGGGATCGAAAAGCGGCAGACAGCCCGAGCCAGTACTGGATTTTTCGGCGCGGAAGAGCTCTGGAAGAGCGACACTCTTCGCAATGACTTTTGAGCCAAACGTAGGGAATATCTCGAAGTCCACGGCGAATGTATCCAAGTTATCCACGTGGAAGGATATCGTACGGGAATCATCCTGGATAGGGAGCATGATAGTACGGGGGATGAGATCGGAAAGCTTGGAAGAGATGGTCATACGAGCAGCGGGATGGCGACCTGCCTGGTCGAAGGCAATGGATCCAACATTCCCTTGATCGAACAAAAGCTGAACAAAGACCTTTTTGTCAAGGAAGTTATGACCATAGCGACGGAGGGGGATGATGGGAGGAGGCAACTCTAGGTCCGGGATGCCATCGGTCATTTCCATCTCAGAGTGACCGGGATCCATAGACATCGGGTCACCCATCGGGCCGGGCTCTTGCATCCGAACGCCATTCAGAATGTCAAGCGGTCCTAGCGCGGGTGGTTTACCCCGAGCCGGCTGGGCCCAGAGAAGAAGCATACACTCCAAATGCCCCTCCCAAGCAGCGTAGTACATCGCTGAGAGACCCTTCTCATCAGCAACCTGTGAATCCACACCGCACTCAAGGAGCGTGCGTAGACAGGGGACGCAGCCTTCGCTGGCAGCGTGGAAAAGCGGAGTCCACTGGTATAGCTTGTCCTTCTGATCGAGGTCAGCACCGTGGTGCTTCAACAATAAAAGCAGATCGGGTGATTGTGATGCACGAGCGACCATATGTTGCGGGTAGAGACCCTCGGCATCAGGTAGCAACTTGGCATTTCGCTCGAGGAGCATCTTCACAATAGGAAGCGAACCATGTTGACAGGCCAGGTTCAGAGGGATATGATCTGGTTCCTGCATTGACACCGGGTCAACGCGGGCATTGCTGCGGAGGACATGTTCAGCACAAGCCAACTGACTCTTAACAATGCTGTGAATCAAAGGAGTGAAATTATCGTGGTCCAAGAAGTCGACGGTTTTAGGATCTGCTTTGAGCAGATCCCGCACCATATCAGCACGGCCATTCCTACAGGCATAATGCAGAGGGATGCGACCATAGACATCTGAGCGGGAAACATCCACAGAAGCCTTGAGGCCAGCCTTGAAGACGAAGTCACGGCCAGAGATAGCGGCTTCATGGAGACAGTTCCGCTCGTTGATATCGTCCTCGGCGTGAATGTCAACCAGTTGACTCTCCAGTAGAAGCGCGAGCACTTCATCCGAAAACCCGTTGATGGCTGTTAAGAAAGTGCGGGTTGCACGCTCACGAGCGTCCGGAAATTGATGTAACCTCGCCAACCATTCGCGTAGTGTCTGCAAATTGCCCGTCGATGCCGACTGTAGCATCTGGATATCTAACTCATCCTCTTCGGAGCCCAAGAAGACGGTCCGGTCTGTCGGACGCGAAGCATCATATTGGATGTTTTCTCCCTCTGCCCAGGCTTCCAACTCCAGCCGGGCGGTGGTGGCTCTGTCCGCGAGGTCGCGAAGAACCTCCCGATTAAAACACGGTTGGACTTCCACGGCCCGATGGAGATATAGCTCTTTCATGCGAGATTTGGAGGTTTTATCCCATTTCTTAAGGATTTTGGACATAGCAGTCTCGTTGATCTCAACGAATTGTTGAAGCTTGTTCAAGTCGCCATCGAACTGCTGGAACCCTTCGAATAGCGCAACGAAGTTGGAGGGTGCTTTGGAATTAGAGCTGGTACGGTTCTGAATTACCCGCTTCTTATCGACCAGCGTTTTCAGGCGCAGAGTGAACTAAAAAAAACCTGGTGAGTCTTTCAAACACGATCACAGTCATATCATGCACTGAATAAACGGCCATACCTCTTGTTCTTTCTGGAGGTAGAAAGCGTTGACTTTCTCAATCTCTCGCTCCTACATATTATAATCAGCACAAGTCTTCTCCCAGCAAACTAGAAAGATCACTTTACCAATCGAAAAAAGAACACCTCCTTGTTTGCGCGCAACAAAGCCTGAGGATCTGCATTATCTCTAGCAAGTTCCTCGGCTGTTCTTTGCGCCGGGATGTTAGGAGTAGCACTGAGTTGTTTGATAAGCTTTTAAAAATCATTAGCGTCTCCGTACAGACACCAGCATATGATCCAGCCGTTGACCAACCTTCTTCAGCGCCTTATAGTTAACGAAGCTAGCAGCATATTCAGGAAGATCTAGCTGCCTGCGCTGGATCTGTTTGCCAAACTTCCTATAGTGCTGTATCAGTACCAAGCCAATTGGAGGGGTATAGTCTGGGTTGCGCAAACTTACATATTGGAACACTCTCAAAGAGAGCTTTAGCTCTGCCGAGCTCTACCGAACAAAAGCAAGACTGTACTCGGCGATAGGAAGCTGAGGGGTAATCGAAAGTGTGAGCTTGTGTGAGGGTGCAGGGTGTGAAAGGTGGGAAAGAAGGATAGGACACGTCTGGAGGAAATGGTACCGAACCCTCGAGGGATGAGGGGGTCCGCAATTGCAGTGGGGAAGATAATAATAATAGTGGGACAAAGTAGAGTATCACTTATGTGTGACGTTGCTTCGTAAGGTTTCCCATAAGGTATTGTGATCCAATAGTTTAAGTTGAGGGGGCATGAATAGCTGACAGATTTTTGGCAGGGATGAAGTTGGAGCTTAGAGAAAGAAGGAGAGGGAAGAGATAGAAGATAGAGAGATAGGGAGAGAGCGAGAGGGAGAGATTCTCAGGTACCGTAACAGGAAAAGTGGGAACTCTTATGATTCACACTATAAAGTGTAGGAAGTCCTTTAGTGAAGGTGTGTATTTTTTTTCTGTTGTATGATCGAAGTCGGAGTGGTCTGCGGATCACCGCCAATTAGCGCAAACAACCACTGCACGTGTGGAAGTTCTTTGGTTGACACTTCTTATCATTTGATTGCGTATTCGAGTGCCAGGTACAATATACTCCTTGGTCACCTATAGCCTTATGGATGTACATTGATACATACACAGAGGTTTGGGCTATAGAGTACAACATTAATGTATGTATTAATTGATCACTGTAGGCATACCGCTCATGGTCATATGCCTGATGGTTAGTTATGTAATGCCTTGATGCCTTAATTTGGTGTTGGCTCAGACCGCTTTCAGCCTCGAATAGCGTACACTCCGTACCTACATCGGTACATATGTATGATAACTCTATCCGGCACGGAATGATTCCCCCGGATAGACCCATGAAAATGAAGCTTTTTATACTAATACAAATTTATACATCACCACTGTTGAAGATGGTTGTGACATTGTTTCACCAGTATAAGCCCAATTGATATGATTCTATTTACATTAAATAGAGAAATAATAGTGTAATTAGTTTATCTACCATTATATAATCCCATCCATGGATGTTTTCAACAATGTAAGTATTAGGCGTAGGAGTGTCTCGAACAATTTGCCATACATTATGATTACAATAATAACTAGCTGCCACGTCGTGATGCATACATATGTACATGTCCACGGATATATTCTTCGCCTTCTTGATCATACTGTTGGCCTTTACCGCTTTGGTCTGCGTACCGCTACTCTGCTACTACTACAAAATTGTACCGTCAGCAAACATAAATTCTAGTAATTGCAATTCTTATACCAGTTACAAAAAGGAGTAGATAACAGACACCCGTCAACTCGAGTATGTCCGCATGGAAACTCCACGCTCAGCAGGAAATGTACAACTCCTTACATAAAACAAGACAAAAAAACAAGCTATGCAGCTGGGGGATGTGCGGGATATATCAAAACAGATGACCAGAACGAAATCAAAGCCCGACAGGCCGATTGCCGATTAAGGGTGACGAAGGAGAAAGCCGGGGGAGAAAAGTGTAAGAAACAATAGAGACATGACGAAGTGAAGGGTGAAGGTCCATCGCGCCGGGAACTGAAACATGAGAGACCCGAGGGGGAGAGAAAAACGAATGAAGTCGGCGGTGATGATGAAAAGAAAAGAAGGAATGTATGTGTGTGTGTCTGTGTGTGGTATTTGGTACTGTGCAGAAAGGCCGAGCTTTTTTAGAAATCACAAAATGATTGGAAACGTTAATTCCGCCTATCAGAAGTTTTGGGCAATACCGGCATTCCCTTGTCGTGGGTAGACACCCGGATTTTCAATGCGAGTATTGCGACGCGCTTGAACATCCCGGATCACAGGTTGGTATTCGTCACCACCATAGGCCCCGTTGGTGTTCATGTCACCATAGTACGGGTTCTCACCGTAGTATCCACCGGAAGGGTGTGCAGCAGACATGTGGCTTTCTTCTGAAGCCTCGGAGCGGTTGGCAGCGGAGTAAGCCGAAGAAGCGTTGGACGGGCCACGGTGAATGTCGCCGTTACGGTTGTTCGCAGCTACAGGGGCTGCACCCAACACACCAATGGGTTCCACCTCACCAGAATCCGGTCGGGCGCCGTCAGAATATTGCACGGTGCCTTCGCTGGGAGTGGGACCGTGGTGGTAGCCGGGGCTGCTGCCTTCTGACATAGCAAGGCCACCCATTCCGCTGGAGAGATTGGTGGACGCCTTACGGCCGGCAGAGGTAGTTCCCCAGCCACGGTAACCAGAAGAAGTGTCATCCTTGGGAGCCACAACACCTGCCATGCCAGGAAGAGTAGGGTCATTGTTGGGGTTGAATCCATATTCTTCAACTTCCTTGCGGCGTTCCTCTTCAGCGGCCTTATTCGCCTTGCGCTTGCGCCAGAAGAAAAGAGCGGCCAAGATGATCAGAGCGACCGAAACGACCGGCACGACGACTGCGACAGCAATGGTGCCATTGGTTGAAAGTCCAGAGGAAGCGGCAGCAGCTCCAGTCGAAGATGCCGAGGAGGCTGAGCTAGTGATGCTGGAGGATGCGGCGGTCGATGTACCGGTGTTGGCAGGGGCTGTTGATGTGACGTAGACCACAGTGGTTCCTCCGTTGCTGTTGCTGGAAATCGACGAAATCACTGTCGGCTCGGTCGTTGAAGTGGTAGACTGCTGAGCTGTAGTCGTAGGAGCAGAAGTAGAGGTGCTCGACGTACTCGACGTAGTCGATGTGGTTGGCACAGTCGTAGATGTGCTGCTAGTACTAGACGAAGTCGTACTGGTGGTGGGCGCCGGTTCACTGGAAGAGGAGGATGTTGTGGTTGTGTGGGCGGCGGTTGAAGTTTGGGACGAAGAGGTGGAAGCTGTAGTCGCGGCAGATTCACTGGGGGTGGCCGAGGTCGCAACAGAAGCGCTATCAGCAACGACTGCTTCAGTAGCAGCAGGAGTAGACCCGACGGTCGCCGCCATCGATTGGGATACCATGGTCGATGTTGTTCAATGTGGTGAGATTGGGATCGAAGCGATCCAGGAAACCGGAGGAGTTTTAGGAGACGAGGATTTCCGGTTCCGGCAACAATATCTTCATGAAAGAGAAGTGTTAAAAAAATCCTCCGAATCCGACAGAATGATTTAACGAGAGACTGGACGCTTCGGGACGCGTGGAAAGAGTTCAGGGGAAAAGCGGGAATATCTTCAAACCCATCAATCCTAACAAAAGAGAAATGAGAACGAAAAGAAAAAAAGGAAAATGATAAATGAAAATGAAAATGACGAAGAACTCGAACGCAATCAACTCACAATCTCAAAGCCTCAAGTCAGCCAGCCATGGGGGGGGGGGAAGTGTGGAAGGGGAGAGGATTTGGGAAGTGGAGTTTTCTGTACGAGTGCAGCGTGTTATCCGCAGTTGGTCATTCTTAGTTTGTATCATGTACTATTAATACACCTAGGCATATATTACGGATTAGGTACATATACATGTAGCTACTTGATTATATTCTGCAGGCTATTGTAGAGTGTTATAGTAATTTATTGTTGTAGTACTTTGTTTATATGCATAACATGATACTGCTTAGGGTAATCCCTTTGCTTTGTCTCACAGGGCTATGAAGACCCCTATACTCCGTAGTCACACTCACTTCTTTTATATTTATCTACATATGTACATGCTTAATCTCAGTATTTGTAGACTATAATAGACTGTATAAATATACTGTATTCGATCGGAATGAAAAATTTATTCGATTCCAATGGTACAAGAAGAGACAAAAATCAGTTGTACCATGGAAGGCAATGCCCATTTCCCCCATTTAGCCTTGTGTGCCCTAACACATTAAAATATATAGGGCATATATATGGCTACAACCGTACTACAGAATAGTAATTATATACATATGTAGTCATAATAATCATATTAATGGTCAATGATGCACTTCGTACTCAGTCGCCACAAAAATCTTGTTATCTGGCTTTCTCCACTCCGGGTTAACGGTTGACCATAGTCCTCGTATAATATTGTACAATAGTATCGTTGTATACCGAGGTACTGTACTAGTCGACCGTCTATGCGCTATAATTGTAATAAAATACGATCGACACTGTCCAATCTTGTTTGTTGCATCTGGCCCATTCCCGTTAAAAACTCTATGATCTCTTAAAATCGATTCGGCCCCCGAAATTTACTGTGGAGTGTTGTACACGGTCTAGATTGGAACACCTACAATCTATAACTTGGCAGTGTACTTCCCGTCATACGTACGTACATCTGAACAATTTACACCTGTATGATTGTTCTAGATCTACCAAGAAAAAAAAGACACACATATATACAGCCTAAAGGCGAAAGAAACGCCGTAGGCAGATTTCCCCCTTTCCCCCCCATTCCCAAAAATAAACAGATAACAGGGAAACAAAATCGTCGTATCCAAAGGCTCTGAGATTGCTCTTTATTTGTTGTTAACCATATCCCAGTTGGGACGCAAGCTAGTCATCATGTCATCCCTGGTGCCAACTGCCTGCGGCGGCAAACGGCTAACGCGATAATTACCCATGCGGATATTGTTTTGGTGCGCCGCGGAGACACCGCTCCGAGCACTACGGACACTACCTGCGTCACTACCACCGCCGCCTTCGTTCTTGAACCGCGGCGGCGGCACAAAGTCCAGATTGGTGTACGTGCCAGACTTGCGCAGCGCGTGGGGGCTAGGCATCACAGCTAGATCGTCAAAGGCGGAGACGAGTGGGGTGTGGGCGCGGACAGCGGGACTGTACGGGCGCATACCACCAGTCGGAGTCTCGGCACGACCGTCACGACGCTCCTTGAATCCGTGCGCGGGGGCGAAGTCCATGGCCGTCATGAGAGAATCGTCCGTCAACATGTGTGGGGTAGGGAGCACTTGCAGCGGGGCTGGAGGAGGCATGGGTTTACGACCGCGTGCACCGGGGTGGTTGGAGGCGGATGAAAAGGCACGGGGACCCGAGGCAGATGGGAAGGCTCGCGGGCTGGGCATGCCATTGAAGCCGGCGGAGTTGGTGGCCTGGTGACGGGCGGCGCCTTGGAAGCGAGGGGGAGCCCGAGGTGGTGGTGTCATGGCCCGGCGTGTATAGGGCGCAGCGTAAGGAGCAGGAACCGGAGGAGCCGCCGCGTCATAGTATTCGCCTGTGACAGGGTCATAGATGAAACCCCCGGCACCGCCGCCGCCCTCGTAGAACTCGGGCCCAAAGTCCTCGTAGTACGTGGTCTCGCGACCGGTCTTGCTCTCATCGAAATACTCCTTGTAAAAGGAGCGGATCCGGTTGGCACGCTGCTCGGGATTGTCGGCAGGGTCCTCTGGGGGCAGAGGGCGCACACCGAGGGTCAATCGGCGGGTGTCACGGTGGGAATCATATACCGGATCCAGGTTGTGAGGTTCTTCTGGGAGTCCGGGTTCCTTGTGGGCATCGTGGGGCTCATCTTCTGAGCCATGGAGGTTGACCGCGGGGAGATTGTAGTCCGACTTGCGGTCGCCATAGTCACTCATCGTCACATCGCTGACCGGCAGGGAGATACGAGGAAGCTGGGCAGAGACCTGGTCGTGTTCAGGTGATTGCGAAGGCTCAGGGAGCGGGAAGTTGAGGCGTCCTTCATGCGGGCTGGTGCCATGAGGCTCGTCCAGACCGAAATTGAGAGGAGTGGCATCCACATGGGGCAGGAATTCGGGAGAGCCACTCCTGTCGGCACTAGGACTCCCGATGGCCAAGCCAGGTTGAGCCACAGGGGCAGGGGGTGTCAGCCCATGATGGGGGGATTGATTGCGCGGACTAATGGGGCTGCGCGCATGGGATTCAGTGGGGGAACTGTAAAGCGGTGGGGATGAACGAGACATCCTCTGGGCATTCTTGAGAAGACCTGAATTCGAATCCTCGGCAGGTCCAAATCGGGAGCCCGTAAAGCTCGAGGCATCATCAAGAGGTCCCCTGGGGAACGACCGAACAGAGCCAGTAGCAGTGGCAGGGCGATACTTGTCATCATCGATTGACATGGAGTGCAAAGAATCCCGCGAGCCGACCAAACCGGGAGGCATCAGATAAGGACTGACGTCAAGGGACAATCCCTTGGTATGACCTGGTTCCGACATTGGGGGCATTCCTCCCTGTCCACCTTTCCTCCTCGTGGCAGGTCCAACTGTATCCATTCCGAAATCGAGGGATTTATGTTTATCCATTGCATCTTCCCGTAGAAGTTTCTTGACGTGTCTCCGGTGAAGAACAATGAGGACGACGATGGCACATAGAATGGGAACACCTGCACCGAGGACGACGGGCAAGACTGTGGTGGTCAGATTGCTGGTGGGCTTGGCACCATTGGTGGTCCCGGATTCCGATGACTCGGGCGCTCTGGCCACGAGGGACGGCATATTTGTAACTAGAGTGGTGGTCGGGACCAGGAATGGTAGTCGATGTGAAGGGACGACATCCCGGCGAACATAGTTTCGCATAATGACAGTCCGGTCTATGGGAATCGACCCGATGCAATAATGTGAAGACCGGTCAACGCGATTAAAATGGCGATAGCCGCTTAAAGATTGATGCTCGTCATTTAAGTCGGATCACACAAATTTTGAACAAAAGTATTCGAATGATCGAAAATGAGTGACTCGAGAGGAATGTAAATGAGTGAACGGAACAAAGTTCCAAAAAAAGAATGTGTGTAGGCAATGAGTGTAATGAGTAAGTCGAGTTGAAGGTTGAAAAAGAAGAAGAAAAGAGGAGAAGAGAAGGAGAGTTCTAGATTGGGGGGGCCTTTAGCGTGTGGAAGATACACACACAATCTCTCTCACTCTCTCTGTCTCTCTTTTTATCTATCTCCGCATTTACCCCCTGAGAAAGCTTCCGTTTCTGTTATATTTAGCTTACTATAGTAATGTGTCTTCAATTATTTCCTTTTTATTTTTGGCTTTTTTAGAATGATATATCCCTCTGATCATTCTCCTCTTCAGACTGTTTGTTGATATTCTAAGAGATAACCAATCTCTGCAGTAAGTAAGGTACAGTGAGACCTCTTTTCAAGTATCCCCTGGGGCTTGGTCGCGTCAGGAACCCGTGTCATTGACCAATCGCTGTTCGGCTGCCCCTGAACCCGAAATGCGAAGTGGACACCCCTACTGTTGTGTGGCTGTATCTTGAACCGGTACGTTGTACTACGTACGACTACTCCGTATAGTATATCTGTATCCCCTATGTAAGGGCTTAAGGGGGGATCTAGTTACTTCTCCTGTTCTTCTCCCCAAGTCTAATTATAAAATTCTAACTATCGATATGCCAAGCTCTGATTCTTAGGATAGGCTGATGCTTAATCTTTGCGTAATATTGAAGCTGTTCCAATATTCCCTTTGATAAGATTGTACGTACCTAGGTATGTACCTATGTATGTTATGATCTTCTAGCATACAAGTAACCCAGCGCAATACTAATTATATTAACATCGTATCTAACAAATGATCCTTTAAGCTGAGACGCCGGTCTGGTCCGCTCATTTCCACTGCAAGGCGTTCGAGCTTGGCACGGATAATCTGCGGATTAACTTGGCCCGATCTGGCTATAGTACTACAGTATATATCTAGTATGCTCTTATTATCTTCTTCTTTCCTTTTGTTTACTTTATCTCATTGGCTATATCCAGTACATCGTAGTAGAGCTACTTGTATGACTACAGATGTAGGTATTCTAAGCCATATACATATGTGCAGGTAATATCCACATCTGTTACCGTGGTTGCATCTAGCTGGCCTGATGAACGTTCAACTAAAGATTGATAATAATACTATTGACCGACACTCAGGAACCTAGGCAGTGTGTATGTTAAGCTTTTGATTCTAGCGTGACAAGGGGTATCCCACAATGATGTTGCAAGGTTAACGTTTCGAAGAGTCGACCATCGGTATATATGTAATGGCAACGGCCAACGGTCTAAAGACATATGTACATGTACCTAATTTGAACAACCATCGAATGGATTCTATGACTATTGCACACAGACTGCAATAACTAGTATATTTCTAAATGGCTGAATTATCAAAGTTTTTTTTTGTATTAGACTTAGACTGGATAGCAGATTCATAGAAATGCTCTTTTCGAAGTAATCATCACATATGGGTTCATTGCTTTTCATCTTGTCTTGTCTTGTGAGCTGGGTCCCGGGGGGTCTTCGTTCGAAAACATCATCAGAGTGCAGATCATCCATCTTGCTTCCTCCGTGATTAGTACAGCGCAATTAGAATATGAGCTGCGCAGATATGAAACATGGATGAAAGGAATGATGGCACAAGAAATAAAAAGGAAAGGTCATAGGCCCTATGGGCAGTTTTTCAGTGGTGAAATGCACACAAGAAGAATGTAGCAGAAGAATAAAGTGATCGGAATGTACAAGGGGGTAGAGTTGTACAAGAAAAGAAAGGAAGAAACATGAGGCAATGGGTTCTGGGTCACATCGCAGTAAGAGAGACAAGATTCCCTGGCAAGATCATGCAAAGAAAGATCAAGGAAGGTGGTGGTACACCGAGATATTAGGATAAGGATGAAGAAGATGCTCATGCAAATGATCTTCAGGTATTTTGCGTTTTCATCTCATGATTTGGGAAGAGCGGGAAGAAGGCAATGAGAGGGAGTGAGTGTTGAGAGATATACACGTGAAAATGCACGTTATTATGACATTTCGGCAAGTGCAGCCTCAAAGTCAGCGATGTCATCTTTTGGCTTGTCAAATATGCGTCGGAATGGCGGGTCTTGGTGAAAGTCCTGAGGGGTTGTTGCTACACCCTCTGCTTTACGTATCACCTCCTTCAAAGCACGTGTCACGACACCTGCTCGAACCACCAAGTTCTTCAACGAAGACGTATCAAAAGGAAGTTTCTTTGCCCGTGAGGTAAAATCAACTTCATCGAGAGCAGAGAGCTTTTCATTACGGGGCTGAAGAATATCCAACACGGATTTCGATTTTGCTGAGTCTTTCACCAGGTGAGCGAGAGGAAATGCGGACTCGGAGTGGTCACCATGAGGTACGTCCCATGATACCTCACTGTTTCGCTTTGAAGAAGACGTATTGAGTCCTTCGTCATCGGATTCATCAAAGCTAAACGTGAGAGAGGAAGGAGACCCCGGTGGTGAGCGATGTTCTTCATCATCATCAATGGTAGCAAGATTCACGATTTGTTCCGCTTCTTTCCACAATTCACTCGAAGGTCCATTAACAAGATCTAAGGCATTGGCTTGATGCCGAAGACGTTTCAACTCCTCCACCAAGAGCGTCAATTCTTGAACCTGCCCGAATTGACCCCGAAGACTTGCTTGACGTTCCAGGATGGCCTTGGGAACGGTCATACTTTGACGGTTGGGTTCCGGCTCAGCGATCTGTTTGTTTTCTGCGACAGGAGTTTCCTCCGACTCGTCAAAGTCGAAATCACTATCCCAGTCTTCACTGACCCCTTTAGAACCCAAACCCCAAGTACCAAACTTTCCGGATGTTTGACGTGATTCGTTGGTGGGAAGTTCACTTGCGACGGGAACACTTTGACTTCGGAGATGCACGGTGGATGGTGCTTTGCGACACACGCCACGGCTACTTCGATCGGTTGCACCTTCTTGCTTGCCTTGCATAGTCCTGGGACGCGCCTCGAAGTCCGAAGATTCGCGATCCGGACGTGTTTGCTCGGACCAGTCAAAAATGTTCGCTTTTTTGTTGACATGCAAGTTATGGGCACCAGAAAATGGTCCGGACTTGTTGATGGGAGAGCCGATGGGAGAATCGGGCTCAGCGTATTGGGACAGAGTGTGCGCCACAGGCGATGGGAATTCATCGCGATCGTCATCAGGAAGAGACCCAATCATACTGAGAGAATCTTCATCTGGCACGCCAGGCAAACCCGTGTTATCAGCCATGGAGACATGAGTCAGAGGAGGGGAAGCCAAATATGAATCCGTAAAAAGTCGAGGATCCTTCTCAGACCGAGCGGCGAAAGAGCCTCGCGGAAGCAGGGCCTCCAAAGTCGTGGCTTCTTCAGTTACCAAACTCGTCCCTGCCTTATCAAACATTGTTTCGATGCGAAGTCCCTTCAATCCACTGGCACTGGTTTCACGCGTACGAATGGAGTCCCAATAATCGGACATCACGTCGGTTTCATATTCATCGCAAGAGGTGAAAACGCGCGTGTCATCGGACCCAATAACTGTGGAAGCCGGATCAGAACCTGAAATCGAAAATCCCTTGGGACGACGACGCAGAGAGCCATAAGCCTGACCGTCCGGACGGGACGCTTGCTGCCAAGCCGACAGGGCAACGGCATCGGAATTCAATGGCCGTGAGCCCGCCCGAGATCCCAAACCAACGTTATAGTCCTGCGACACGGACCGTGGACCAACCTGGGACCGCCTTTCCAAAGCCGACACAGCCCAGCCAGGCTGGGAGATCGGATGCGGAGGTTGAAACACGGTTGGGTCAGTGATATTCCGTCGTTCAGGCGCCGGAGAACTGGGGATAGCAACACTCTTGTCTGCTTGTGATAATTCAGAACGTGGAATTGAGAATGTTCTTCCCTTGACACGCTTGAGAGAGCCACCACGAACACGTCCCACTATCGGCGTTCCATGTGCAGTGACGGTATTAGCCATAACAACCTTCGGTTCAACATCGTTGAATGAGTATGACTGCTTGTGGCTGATTTTCTCCCTTGGGTCTTGCGAGGCCAGAGGGTTCCCGGGCGCTGGCACCTCGACTGCAGGCTTAGGCGCGGTTGATTGGAACGGATTGCGGAATTCAACCGGAGTGCTGGGAATCGACTTGTCTCCTCTGGGTGTAGCTGCGCCGGGTGAAATAGCATCGGCCATTAACAACGCCGGAAGATCACCTTGCTCAGACACAATTTGGCGCACACTCTGGACCTTTGGAGTAGTTGAAGTTGAGAACCTACGCGAGAGTCGTTCTGCCAGTTTGCTAGCCTTGGGAAGGAAGAAAGACGACCATTGCTTCTGCTTCTCGAGATTAAACTCCTCGATAGCGGGGGATTCCACGGGGGATTTTGGGAAATATGCCTCAAAGTCAGATGTCGCTGGGGTCTGAAGAATCATTGATTCAGACCGCTGATGGCTGGTGGCAGGCCTGCGAAGCGCAGCAGGCGAAGGTCCAGAGATGGTGTTCATACCGAAAGCATGCATAGCAGTGTGTTGTGAAGCCGGGCGCTTGACCAACTTGTTCGGCGGCCTTCGCTGACTGGGTGAGCGGGGGAACATCGGGCTTGCTGAGCCACTGAATGAGGGAGCCACTGGACTTCCCGCGGTCGGGCTTTCGGTTTGATACGATGCCATAGACAATCGACGCAGCCAACCGGTCGATGGTCGCCGGGCATGGGCCTGTTTTTTCGAATCCGTTGATTCATTCTCCGGGATTTGTAAAGGTGGGTTTGTCAAGGTTTGACCGCGATGTCGGCGCCTGGCAGCACTGAATGACAAGGGTGCCCGTCGGAGATCTGACCCTGAGTACTGGTTGGCGGCGCTTTCTTCTTCCTTGGCGGCGAGCCATTCAGCTGCGGGACTTCGAGATGGAATTGCGGTTTTGGGACGAGACTCGACGGTGGTCTTTCCGATCGTGATATGAGGTCCATTGGGCAAGTCTTCCGTTAAAGTCTTGCGGCGAAACAGGCTGGCCCTTTGCGTTCGTTCGGCGCGCCCGAGCGCAAGACCGACGGGTGCGATTCCGACAGTGCTTAATGCACACAGCTATGATTTATAGTCAGCGGACATTCTGAGCGGATCAGACCACTGCGACGCAGAGCGAATCGGGGGCCGTTTTGCGATTTAATATCAATTCGGGGGCTTACCGTTGATACGTGATCCATCCTCAGAGGACGCCGAAAGGAGTGCCAAACACCCCGACGCTCAACTCCAGGTGCAAAGAGGTTGCGAAGGACATTCCAGGTGAATGTGAAAAAGAAAGGAAGTGATTAAAATCAATGTTTGAGAAGTGTGATGGAAAGTTCGGTTTGCGCGGTCAGCTGTGAGTGAGAGATGCGCTATTGCTCCGAATGAACCCCGGCCACAATGGTTCCAAAGGCTTAAAAAAGAAAAAAGAAGGACTGGCAAATAAGCACTGGACAAAGATTGAGAGAGAAAAAAAATAGCAAATTACTGCTTCGAAGCCCCCTTGAAGGCCGAGAAAGAAGTCGAGTCGAACCGTGGGGGAAACAATAACAAAAGCGTCGGGGATATTATTCCCGCCCTGCGTACGCTAGGAGAGCTTCAATAACTCTTTCCCCCTCTCTTTGAACCTTTATTACCTGGTTTTGATTTTGATTTGATGAAAATGCCTTGTTTATTGTTTAAGGCAGGGTTTCAAGAATTCTCATACTCAAAAAAAAAAAAAACGAAGAAAGAGAAGGGAGAAACAAAGGGTATGCTCGAATTTCCCAGCCACTACAACTAAACAATTACTAACTAATGCATGTTCCGAACAAAATACCCCGATTGCACTCTTTGTACCCAGGCACAGAACGGTGCTAAGTGGTGCACGATCCTGCGGGTGTTATTGCAAATGCAGGCGAGAGAGATTAAGCGCCATGTTGGCAGGCCACTGGCACCTATCCCTTGCGGCTCACATTGCGTTGGCGTCATAGACTAGAATCTTTTTCAAGGAAGAAACGGAGAAGTCCGTCTTTGACTGGCCACGAATGGTCCAGAATGTCCCCCCAGTCAGCAAGGAATTGACCTAAGAAAGCTAAGAAAGCCATGCGATCCGAAATTCCCCACACATCTGGTTTCGGCTGGCTGAAATCGGTTTTCGGGCCCCTAACCTGACTAGGATCGTTAGAACTAGTCAAGATCCCCCCAAAGGTCGATCGGTGTCCACTGGTTTCCTACGATGAACTGTTCTCCGAAGCAGAACCATGGTGCTGTGTTATTAAAGAGGATATTCAGGAGCTTACAGCCATTATAGCGTTTTCTCTCCGGGTCCATCTACCTGAACTGTCAAACCCGTCACTTATAGAACAAGGTTTTTTTTTTTTTTTTTCCCTTCTCTTACAGGTCCACTTTCAAATCGGCTTTTTCTTCGACTTGAGGATTTGCTTGAAATAATACTATCCAGGGAAGGGTACAATATAGTAAGATGAAGTTGCATTGTACAGGTAAGGGCGCCAACTTCAAACGGCTACATATGTATACTAGTTCTAATAACTACGAAGTATAGTTCCATATAATGCACATATAATACTTATTATCTCATGCAATATTCAACATTCGATACATACCATAAAAGCTGCAAAGTTGAATTGGAAAGAGCAATCTGGCTATATTTGTTTAATCAAGGTATATATTTGTTGACATCGTCATAACACTCCACTATACCTAGAGATATGTCCACTTTTGTTCCACTTTGCAAATGAAAAGGAGAAAAAATTGAGTCCCCATGTGATAAAATGACTGAATCGGTTTGTACTGCCGAATCTATGCCGTTTCCTTTTATGATGTGGCATTTAACCGTCAATAATAGCGTATCAAATGGAGCGGGGGGAGCCACCTCGTGTTTCAAGGCTCTTTTCTTTTTTTTTCTTTTCTTCTTTTCCTTTTCCGACGTTTCTTGACCTTTACAATAATATAATAATAATAGTTACTGTAGACTCTTGCAGCTTAAAAATTAGTTTAGGCCGATCTCTCTGAGATCCGAAGCCTTGCCTGCTATCGCTTTTGGGGATCGGCATGTCCAATCATTCAAATTGGAAGGTCATATTTTAACAATATAGGGGGTGGAAATTTCGGTTAACTAACTGATTTTCACTTCATAGCTATATGAGTCCATCATTAACTATAGCTACAGGTGCATATATATATATATATATATACATCCTTGCTCAGAATCTGTCAACACCCGTTATATCAGCCCCGACTGTGATCTGCAGAGGAAAAGCAAAAAGAAATAGAAAAAGAACAAAAAACAGGACAATCCCTGCACTTGATCTGCTAATAATCAAAAGCGCAAAATTCACGAGCTTTGGGGCTTAAACCCTGCCCGTGCGCAATTTCCGAGGTTTGTGATGAGTCCGAAACCGATATAGTTAATTCATATCGGGTCCCAATGGACTTTGCACGTACAAATCTTGGACAAGCTTGAACGCTTGGATTGATTCATCTCGGTAATAGTTCAATTGTGTTGCACTGCAACACACTGCATTTTCAAACTTGAAACTACCTTTGAAACAGCCCGCAACCTGCAAGAGGCTCCAAATTTAGATATGAACTTTTATTCATGAATAAATCCCTCTTCACCGTCTACTTGTTAGCTGTAGCTGGAATCTCTTTCCAGATCTGCAAGTCGATTCTAAATGTGTTCACAAAGCTATGATCGGGGAGACGGGAAGAGCTCACATCGGTTATCTATACCATCTAGTCTATTACTGGACTAAGTATGAGCTGTGTGACATTCGGATGGTCTGATGGTTTCCCGTATAACACAAACACATCCGGTTTTAAATTAAACTGCCGTTGCTAATTGGGTTGCTGAAGCGAGGTTAATTCACCGTAGCAACCAGAATGTGAAGCACTCATTCATACCTACTACACACTATAACAGCGAACTAGGCCCTAGGCACACCATGGATTCAAACCTAGATTCTGGCCTTCATGCTAGAAATTGATCACTTCGTTTCAATGATAGGTGAGAGTGAACAATATACAAAGTGCTCATGATATATTCATATCTATACTCCTAAATACCACTTTCTACTCATTCGGTACTACATATCAGATACTAGATAGTCTACACTATGTAAATGCGTTGATAATTGTGATTAAAATCATAGATATCTCGTCTTAATTGCTTAAGCAGACGCTTCAGCTTTGCCAAGAGCTGGTTCACTCTGCTTCAAGAACCAACAATAGCATCTGTAGACGATTGAGGAGTTTATAAGTGTCAGGTCTGCTCTTTGATGCATCATTATAATTCTTCGATGTATTCATGTTAATCTGATCAGTAGAATGTTGCACACTAAATTGAAATAAGAACGATTTAATCAATTGGGTAGGAGCTAGTTTCTAAAGTGAGGATGGATAGCAGACAGCGTCTTAGACATTATGGGCACAAGCCAATCCCACAACTTGTATTTGCTTTCAGAGTGATGCTAAAGCACTTGTGATGAATATCAATACTATCTCTAATATCTCCAATCTAATAAAACGTGCTCAGCAAACAATAAACACAGTACTGTTTGGGCATTGATAAAAGTCCACACGTGACCTTATCGATAACGGAAAAAAGCCCACATGCACTCTCTTTTGACGATGACCTCAGGTCGAGACCTCCACAAACGGTTTAAGCCAAAAATTTCCTTTTCCTCCTCGACCGCCAAATCCGCTCCTAGCGCCTGGCAATATGGAGGCTGAACTCCAAGCCCAGATCCCTGGTCTCGACCATATCATCTCGGAATACTCGGTGGTATGTCTCTCCGCGAAATTGTGCGGGGGTTTGTGAACAAAAGCTGATCAATTGACAGGGTTATTTGACCCATGCCGCAAACCTCTACGTCGACGATGCCACCAGCCAATCACCCTTGGCAGAAGCTGCCGAGTCTGTCACCGAACTCCTAGTCTCCGCCTCGGGAGACTTCTCCCCGCAAAATTACGAGGCGATCGGCAATCTGGTTGAGAGATTCATCACGGCCCTGAGCTCTTCCAATGGTGACCCCGAGCGCAGACAGATGCCATTCAAGGCCAAGAAGCTGGACCAGGCCATCAATGTCGGTGCGCAGCGCAATATGTCTTCTACGCTAGGTTTGACTGGAAACACCGTCGACTTGGAATCTGCAAATCTCAGAAAGATGGAGTCTAAGGTGGACAAGAAGAAGCTCGAGAAGGCCGAGCGTAAGATTCGTGCCAAGCAGGACAAGAAGCAGATGAAGAACGTTACCTACGAGGCTTCTCGCTTGCTCCAGCAACCAGATGAGGCTATGTCTTACGAGGAGTTCTTTATGGCCGTCAACCCTCTGCAACTGGGCTCCGATTCCCAAGCCAAGAGTAAAGATATCAAGCTGGATAATATTGACATCTCTATCAGTGGTCTCCGCATTTTGACGGATGCTGCCTTTACACTTGCATATGGCCGCCGTTACGGTCTTGTCGGACAGAACGGTATTGGTAAATCTACGCTGTTGCGAGCTTTGAGTCGCAGAGAAATCCCTATTCCCACCCATGTTTCTATTCTTCATGTTGAACAAGAAATCACCGGTGACGACACCCCCGCTTTACAAGCAGTGCTAGATGCCGATGTGTGGCGGAAACATCTCCTTGGGGAACAAGCGAAAATCTCGAAACAACTGGCAGCTATTGAAGAAGAAAGATCTTCACTGGCTGATACTTCGAAGGACGCTGCTAGACTTGACGAGGAACGCGAGGGTCTAGATATCACGCTGAACGATATTTACGGAAAGCTTACCGAGATGGAGTCCGACAAAGCCGAATCTCGTGCAGCTAGTATCTTGGCTGGTCTCGGTTTCTCCCAAGAGCGCCAACAATACGCCACTAAAACCTTCTCCGGTGGTTGGAGAATGCGTCTATCGTTGGCACGAGCTCTGTTCTGCGAGCCCGATTTGCTTCTTCTCGACGAACCGTCTAACATGTTGGACGTTCCATCTATTACTTTCCTTTCCAATTATCTCCAAGGATACCCTAGCACTGTCCTTGTTGTCTCTCACGATCGTGCATTTTTGAACGAAGTCGCTACGGATATCATCCACCAACACTCCGAGAGACTGGACTACTACAGGGGTGCCAACTTCGAAAGCTTTTACGCAACTAAAGAGGAGCGACGGAAGACCGCTAAGCGTGAATATGAGAAGCAGATGGCCGAGAGAGCTCACTTGCAAGCCTTCATTGATAAGTTCCGATACAATGCCGCCAAGTCATCCGAAGCACAATCCAGAATCAAGAAACTTGAGCGTATGCCCGTTCTTGAAGCCCCTGAAAGCGAATACACTGTGCACTTTGCCTTCCCCGGAGTCGAGAAGCTCTCACCCCCTATTGTCCAAATGTCCGAAGTTTGCTTCGGCTACACCCCCGATAAGCCTCTTCTTAGAAACGTCGATTTGGATGTTCAACTCGATTCACGTATCGGAATTGTTGGACCTAACGGTGCTGGTAAGACCACAGTACTGAAGCTGCTCACCAACCAGCTGGAACCAACAAAGGGTCTCATTTCTACGAACTCGAGATTGCGTATTGGTTTCTTCGCACAACATCACGTCGATGCTCTAGACATGACAACCAGTGCAGTTGGATTTATGACCAAGACGTACCCCGGCAAGACAGATGAAGAGTACCGACGCCACCTGGGAGCGTAAGTCAAAAATAAACCACTCGCAACTACTACACATACTAATCAATGGGTTTGTAGATTCGGTATCACTGGTACGACTGGTCTCCAGCGGATGGGATTGCTCTCCGGAGGTCAAAAATCCCGTGTGGCCTTTGCTTGCTTGTCCTTGACCAACCCCCACATTCTTGTTCTTGACGAACCTTCTAACCATCTGGATATTGAGGGTATGGATGCTTTGGCGGATGCTCTTCGAGTGTTCGAGGGTGGTGTTGTGATGGTTTCTCACGATGTGACTATGTTGCAGAGTGTGTGCACCAGTCTCTGGGTTTGTGACGGTGGTACTGTGCACAAGTTTGACGGCACCGTCAATGCTTACAAGAAGAAGATCAGTGAACAGGCTGATGCTGCCGGTGTTGTTGCGAAGCACTAGGTTTGAGGAAATGCATATGCAGAGCGAGTAACGTCATCAAAAACCATGGAGATCTTGAACGATGTTATGATACTTCTGATATCAAGATACATGCACTTCTATTAGCCCCATAGTAGATTGTATCTTCAGCTATATACATAAATTTCTACATTTGTATGTATATGTACATTTTAATACGTTGTTGACCTTGTACCCGTTCAGATATGCTTCAGTCATCCATGGATCGGCTCCTGAAACCCGATTTCCGTAAGCGGGTCTCCTTATCGGCTTATCGCAACGTCACTTCACACATCTCGAATGCTCCAGGTTCTTTGATTTATTTGATGATATAGGGGAAAAGCTTGTTGTTATGACTGGTACAGATGAACAAGGCCTTTCAGGGGCAAATTCCCCTCTCCTCGCCCCATCAGACAGCTCTCCAGACTACGGGGGCAACAGCGACGAGAACCTGACCTCCGAACTACAGTACTCAGGAGGGTGGTTCATCTGGGCGTTGACATTCTCAGCTGGAATAAGTGGTCTTCTGTTTGGATATGAGTATGCTTGCCCCGTTAAGCCCAACATGTTGCGACTCCGTTGATTCGGTTCACTAACAATTGCTTAACCTTCTAGCACAGGTGTCATTTCGTCTACTTTAGTGACTGTCGGCTCGGATCTGTCGAATCGACCTTTGACAACGTTAGATAAAAGTCTTGTTACATCATGTACTAGTCTGTTCGCGTTGATTGCGAGCCCGCTCACTGGTGTGTTGGCGGACAAGCTGGGACGACGGAAAGTCATACTTGGCGCCGATGCTTTATTTGCACTTGGAGCATTAGTGCAGGCATTTACGAGCCAGGTATGGGGAATGATTCTTGGGCGCAGCATTGTTGGGCTCGCTGTTGGGAGTGCGAGTGCGGTTACTCCGCTGTAGGTTGGCGCAATGCCGATTGCCTGATCGGGAGGAGCAAGTGATTGCTAACAATATGGACTTATACAGCTACATCTCAGAGCTAGCACCATCCCATGCAAGAGGAAGACTTGTCACGATTCTCAGTCTTTTTATCACCGGTGGCCAGGTGGTGGCATACATAGTCGGGTGGCTGTTTTCTACGACACCTGGAGGCTGGCGATGGATTGTGGGGATTGGAGCATTCCCAGCCTTCTTCCAGCTTGTGATTCTCGCATTTCTACCCGAGACGCCTCGATGGCTGGTACAGGCTGGACTGGATGCGCGGGCAAAGACAGTCCTGAAGAAAATCTACCAAGATTGCCCAGGGCGTGATCGAGTTGTGGATCGCCTGGTGCGTGTTATTAGTGGAGAAATTGACCAAGAGGCGTCAGAGATGGGTCAACCCAAATCCCGCGGTACCAAGCCTCAGTGGCTACATGATACACTGCAACGGGGACAGCAGTTGTTGCACGGTGGAAACAGGAGGGCGTTGATTATCGCGATGATGCTACAGGCAGTGCAGCAGCTTTGTGGGTTCAACAGCCTGATGTATTTTTCTGCAACCATTTTCGCATCCCTTTCATTCTCATCTCCGACCTTGACATCACTCTCGGTGGCAATGACGAACTTCATATTCACACTCCTTGCATTTATCCTGATTGACAAGGTTGGACGCCGGCGAATCTTGCTCTATTCAATCCCCATTATGGTTTTTGCTCTGATTGTGTGCGCATTTTCATTCTCGTCAATAGATGGCACATGGAATTCGCAAACTCCCACGCGTCATGCCGAAACCCAAGGTAGTCACAGCTCCTTTGTGCCTCTTGCAATTCTTTTCTGTCTTACTGTATATACAGCGGCCTATGCCCTCGGACTTGGAAATGTTCCTTGGCAGCAGTCGGAGCTCTTTCCTCTAAATGTGCGTTCACTCGGATCAGCGCTGGCTACCGCCACTAATTGGGGATCGAATTTCATTATCGGTCTTACATTCTTGCCTATGATGGAATTTCTGTCACCATCATGGACATTTGCGCTTTACGCACTTGTTTGCATGGCTGGGTGGGTAGCTGTATGGGCAATTTACCCTGAAATGAGTGGATTAGGCCTCGAAGAGGTTAAGGGTCTTCTAGCTCATGGATGGGGGGTGAAAGAAAGCTTACAGCGACGTCAGAATTCTCGATATGTATAGATATGCATAGAAATTCTAGATCTTTGACCCTTTGGGAGAGTTGGTATTTTGTTAGAAAGTGGCTGAAAGACAGACAAAAAATCCTAGTGGAATTAGAACTAACTTACACCACTACCCTACTCCTCAACGTGCTATTGCAATTTCCTGTAAGACTTGACTCGAGGACTGCCCACAAAATTCACCCTCCTGAAGACCTGCTGGAGGACCTACTGAAGGGTTACATCTACTTTTAGAATCCCAATCAAACCTGTTGCATATTGTCTAGAAAGTCTGGCGGCACTCTTTAACATCGCTTCATTGCCATCTTCTTAAATGTTTTCAATGCAACTTACTATCCCAGGTGGGTGGAGAGGGGTTTAATACATAGTTCCACTCTTTGAAGTCTCTTTCTAAACTACGTTCAAATCGTAGATGTATAAGAGCTTCCTACCTCCATTATCGTTGTAGCGGGGTACCTTGAATATGTCTAGTTTCCAGACCTTGGAAACACGATGTATCAATTCAGCCCAAAATCCTGATATTTCATTGGCCAAGAAGACCTTCCTTGTTCCAGCCTCACTTTTCTCTTTGTTTCTCTTTGTTTCTCGACTACTTTTCTTTGTTTCAGTTACGCAGATCTGAGACATTTTCTTTGTTCTTTTCTTTACTCCCGTCTCATTGGTCTATTGTAAGAAGCCCTAAACAATTTGGCCGTTGACATCGATTATACTTCGTCACTTTGTTGATTTCTGATTTCCTTGAACAGATAATGACTGTCATATTAGTTTGTCTGCGTCAGCATTCGTCTTGTTCTGTGCTACTGTGAGCATTCATCTTCGAGTCTCGAACTCACACCAAACATCAGACCAAGTCTTTTGAACCACTATCATCATCATCATCATCATCATCATCATCATCATCATCATCGTCGTCGTCAGCATGCAAAGTAGAAAGCCCCTTGCAAAGTTGTCTACTCATAGCCCGATCCTGCGCCTGGCAAATGAGGTAAGGAGAAATTGCATTTTTAAAAGTCGTTTTCAAACGTTGATTGAATGCAGCTCCTTCAAAAGATCGCATGCTACCTTCCCACTGATAGGGATGTCCTCCATTTTTCCCAATCCTGCAAAGATATGTGGGCAAAGGTCTTCGCCGGGGAGTCTGCAGTCTGGCGAGATCGCTTCGGAAGGCATTATGATACTCCCCGCGGAAAAACTTACAAAGAGCTCAAAGCAGAATACATGACTCGAGCCATCGTTTTGAATGGAGAGATATCGTTCAAGGAAGAGGAGAATGATCGCCAGTATCTCTGGATGGAGGTTATACAGACCATGTTCAAGGAGGCTGTGACGCTGCCCATGAAGCCGACTGCGTCTAAAACTGTTGCAATTCTTAAAGAGACCCTCAAGAAAGTCAATTTCCTCCGTTTGCCAGAGCCAGAGAACCCAGGAACTTCTTCGCCTCTTTTCTATGCTTTGCAGTTGGTAAGTCGATGACTGTGGTGATGAACACGGGCATTCACTAATATGCAATTGATAGTGCCTCACGGCCTTTGCTCTCGACCTACAGGTCACCGAGCCCTGCCGACGCACGGACTATGACATCCAGACAATTTACTCGATCGAAAAGAGCAACGTCTTGTCAGGTGATTCGGAAGAAGACGAGTTTGACAACGAATCGCAGCAATCCAATGAAAGTGAATTTCCCCCTTTCGAAGATGGCTCAGAGAACTCGTTTGAAGATGTCTCAAAGTCAGCAACACATGAACCCTTCATTGACCACAAGAACCTTAATCTCGCCAAATTGCTCCAGTTCCGTAGCTTTTGGCAACGTCATCTTCTCAACACCGTCGAATATACCTTCCAAGAGTCCTTCTGTGCGCTAAGTGAAGACTTCAGACCCAAGGTGCGCAAAGATGATCCAAACGATACCAAACTCAGCTCATCCTGGATGGGATACTATTGTGAGATCTCGGATACCCTTACACGGCCAAGAAATGACCCAAGCTTACTGATATCCTCACAAAACAGCCTGCATTCATTCCACTCAAATCCACCCAGTCCAACCACGCTCGATCACACTTAGGGAGCTCAGGGATCGACAGACCTGCGCAGATGGTGAAAGCCACATCGAAGAAGTGGAAGTGATGGTAAGCGCGGCATTTTAAGTCTGGTCATCCTTACTAGACTAACATAATAGACGCTCGACCTTGAACATCGACCTGACTTGTTTTGGCCCGAAGAATGCAAAACGATTGCTCCTCTCGCCGAAGTCCCTGACGCCAAACGTGTCGCTTTCGATGGCAAGCAGGGAAGCTACGGAAATGAGGACAGCAACCTTGTTTTCGGATTCACTGAGGATATCGATGTCGCCCACGGTGGGTTCTCTGGCTGGAAGCGTATCTGCTTTACAATTTGCGAAAATGTCCCTCAGCAGGATTCCCCTCATCTATCCCCGGGAACTGATGGATGGGTTCATATTTACGAAGCTGTCATAATACCAGGAGGACGAATTATGCTGGGGCGTTGGGTGGATTTAAAGGAGCCCTGGGCCAAGGGACCTTTTATTTTCTGGGATGTTTGAAAATCACATCATTGTTTTATTTGAACTATTTTATGCTTTTATTTTTGCGCTAGACTTGACGCAGGATCACGAAAACATTCAAAACCCTTGAAAAAAGGGAGTGGAAGAGGAATAGCTATGAGAATCCAATTTGCCCTGCTGATAACCCTTCCCTTTAGGCCTTTAGAGTGATCAAACATCCGCCATGAACCTCTACCCAAAGTCCACTCAAAGACTGTTGTAAACACGCCGAGAAGCCGAGAATTGACCATTGAAGCTGATACCCAATCTATCTCAAACTCTGCCCTAGCTAGAAAGAACGTCGAATACTTGGAAGCAGAATAAACCAGAAAGAAGCGTATACAATGTATATAATTAGACACCCAAAGACCTGCCAAAAACTGCATATGCCAAACTCACGAAAGCATGTTTACAGATGTAGACTTAGACAGACTCGATAAGGGAATCATTAGTATCTTAAAGTGATATTGCTTGTTTCGGGTGTCGCATGTATTCCCGGCCGATGCGTTTGGTAGTTTTGGATAGAAGAAAATTATGCGTTGAAGGGAATAGATGACACTTAGAAACAACGGCACTATTCCTCGATATCCTTGACCTTCTCCCACTGTCCCTTGAGGTTCTCCTTCCACAAACTGACTTTGTTATCACCTCCACTTACGGCCAGAATGTTACCGCTGAGACTCCAGCTAACGCGCCACAAAACAGAGTCAAACTCCAATGTTTGGCTGGACCATTGGCCCGGGTTAGAGGCGTCAGAAGTCCAGATGCGAACGGTCTTGTCCTGCGAGGCGGAGGCAATGTAGGACTTGGAGAGAATGCTCGGGGACCATGCGACATCACGGACCCAGTCGGAGTGACCCTCGAGGGTCTGAGTGAGGTTGTAGGATTTGGATTCCGCGCTAGAAGCGAGTCAGTTCATATTCACAAGATAGCTGCATTTCAAGAGATAAACTTACTTGTAATCCCAGATCTTGACGAGGTTGTCACTTCCACCGGTCACGAATCGGCGTTGTTGGCCGGGTCCGGGGTTGGAGCTGATCAAGCTACCAGCAAAGGCGGCGGGAGCCCAGCTAATAGAGTTGACACCCATTCCGTGGGCGTGGAATGTCTGGTGAGTCCAGTTGTTGTCACGGAACTCGAGCACACTAACGTGGCCATCGGAAGAAGCGCAGGCAAGAAGGCATCCACTCTCATGGGGAGCCCAAGAAACCATGTTGACAGAGGCAGTGTGGAGGGAGAAATCGAAGACCTTGGTCCATGTGCTACCACCGGAGGGGGAGGTCGCATTCTGGGGCTGTTCCCGCCAGATCAGAACCTTGCCATCGTAAGAGGAGGAAGCTAGAATTGTGCCAAATTTAGGGTGAGCCTGAGACGAGAGAATGGCGAGGTTAGCCTGATTGCGCGCGATGGTTGATAATTACATCATGCATCACTCACCCATGCGACACACCACACAGCACCCTCGTGGCTATCAGATTCTCAAGTCAGTTACGAGGTCCCCAGGTACAATGTGCAACTGCTCAAGGCCAGCTCACCCCTTCAGTGTCTCAACCAGACGGTGTGATTCCCCCTCAATCTCAAAGATCTTTATCGTTTTGTCGGACGAACATGTTGCCAACCGGCGGCCGTAGTAATCCAAACCAGCATCATGCTAGATCACAAGACATTACGATTAGCTCAAGCAGAATAAAAAACACCCAGGAACTGCCAATTGGGGTTCGCATAGCACATACAATCATTTCTTCGTGCCCCGAGTTCGAGATCACCTGAGGGGTCGCCTAAGGATTGAAGCTATTAGCAATGTAATTGACATATAAGCGCAGTTCTGGCAATAGCCTACCATTTTCTTTTCTAAATATTGAAGCAAACAATGAAGTTAAAGCGGGTTTCGGATCAGCTCTCCCTGGAGCCAAACAACTGGCCCTTTGCCGTATCTTATCGTTGCTGATTAAGCACACGTGATTCCAAAGTTATTCACGTGACGGGCCTCGGTTTATCGGATGTAAACCCCACGGAGATCTCGTGGCGAGGGAGCTTCCTCTTTACATCTTGTTTCCTTATTATTGTTTTCGCTGTTGAGTTTGAACCAAATAAGACCAATACTTTAATTTTTCATCTCTTGTCCCGCCGGTCGGTCAGAGGTCATCATCATCATGGGCGATGCGCTATGCGGGCCGTCGAATGCCCTCCAGAACTTCCAGAAGCATACTTCAGTGGATCGAACCCTTCAGCAAGACCGGCTGACTTCACGTCAAGTATCTGGTCAAGTTAGTGATAGCCAAGGTTTTGTCTCTTGATGTATACTAATCCCATGCTCAGGGTTTCCGATCCCAGAACCTTCAGGAGGGTATACTCGACCCGGAATTTGCTGCATTTGAAGCCAACCTCGCCGGTCCTGCATTGCCAGACTTACAACATCCTGCTCACTTTGGACCGACACATCATGCCGCCGCACACCACCCAGCGGTCAATCACACGGGCAACGCCAATTGGGCCTCGGACTTCCAAAACCTACAAATATCAGGGCCATCACACCCTGTAGCACAATTACAAAGACCCAACATGGCTTCTGCGATAGCGAATGGCGGGTGGCATAACGAATTCATGAATCAACAACGAGGGCCTATGTCTCAGGCCCAGCAAACGCCGCAAATGCGTGGTGGTGCCTACCAACCTTCTTTTGCGCCGAGCTACCCGATGTACAGTCCGATGAATCAAATGCAGCCCCCGCAGGCTGTACAAACCCAACAGAATCTCGTAGAACAATTTGATGAATCTGCTTTTGAGGCGGCGTTTGACCAGGCACGGGCGGATATGGAGTCGCAAAAAGCCGAGGTTACTCAGCAAAATACCCCGCAGAATTTGGAGGACACCCACGAATATGAACCAATTACCGAAGATGTACGACTGGGATCGGATCTCATTCCACAGAGCGAGAAGCAAGACCTCCAGACACGAGGTCGGGATGCAGATGAACTTGCGCGGACAGCAGGACAACTACTGGATAGCGTCCGCAGCGAACAAAGCGAAAAATTTGCACAAAGCAATTTCCTGGCATTGATGCGTCGAATTCGAGATCGCGAGGTGGAAGTTGAAGGGGATGAGTTCCGTGAAGTCAGTACCAACCCGTAACGGTTTGGATGTCGGACGCGACAGAAACACCGGTATAACTAGATTCAAATCTACGAGGACCTTTGTCCTTGCTAATCTTGGTGTAGACGGCGCAGTCTCTTCATCCAGGTGGGCGTTACTACCCGGGCCAACCACATCCCGCTCCGGGCTCCAATATTGAGAGTAAGGAAACCCTATCGGCAGGGTCTGATGCCTTGCACCCTGCACCCTGAAAGCAGAGAAACCTGACCAGGCATGTCCAGGTGTGGATATCAACAGGGGTTTCCGACCGACGGAAAAAATCTCTCATTTGTCCAGTCCGATTGGATATGACACAACTGCGCAATATGAAGGATTCATCAATAGCCAGGGACTTGTGGATCGAAGCAGTGTTCCATTTTGCTTTTTGAACAGAGAGATGGAGGCGCATTTTCTGCATTAGTTTGATTTACAAGGGTTCAAATCAATTGACCATTGATATTGACCATCGACATGGACTATAAATTCGCTGGATATGTATAGGTACTTGTTGAATTTTATGGTCCATGTTCTGATATAGGTACCAGTACATACTTTGATTGAGTTCGATTGGAACGATAGGAAGCACGTGATTGTTTCTATTGAGAAAGTTGATATTTCCCGATTCGGTAATTCAATGGACTCATTCTTGGTCTCTAATTGGTCAGGGTCGCTATTGAATAGGAAGAGACAATAGGAAGAAGAACAAATTGATTCTTATTGTTTCCTACTTACAGAACGTGATATAAATCTTACATATATATTCTCTTTTCTTTCTCATCATTCTTCTTTCCTCTTACATCCTGTTATAACCAACCCCCATCTATAGTAAATATCGATCTAACAAACCCAAAGTCCAAAATTCAAAATTCAAAATGCTGCCATCAGATTCTATGCAACATACTCTTCAGAAGCTCGCTGAAGTGCGACCAAATCGCACTTCTACTTCTACCTCTACAACTGCTCCTCCTCCATACACACTATCCGTTCACAGACCAACCGGCGTGAGTGTTATGAGCCTTGACCAATCGGACCCTCTGTATGAAGAGGAGCCCATGTCCCCCATCACCATTCACATTGATAATTCAATCACTGTGACTGGCAACAATAACATCATTGTGCTGTCATCATCTGGACCCAGTTCCTCAACAACCTCAAGAGGCCCCGAGGACCGAAACTCTTCTCGATTGTCATCTTTGGCAGCTATCATCATCGCGGCTTTGAACCGTGCCCATGCCCTCCGGGATGAGTTGGGAGTCCCCCGACCCGTCAACATCAACATCAACTCTGCCATTCGCGTGGATGGTAATAACAATACCATCCCTCAGGCGGTGATCCCCAAGCCCAAGCCCGATGTTGTCAATGTCGGGGTCGGAGAGGACATTGTGCAGAAGCGCCGTGCGAGTTCGGTTAGTGCTCCAATTCATATAAGCATATCTCTTAGAATTCTCTCTTATCACTGATTTGGTTAATCTAGGTGCCTCCAGAATCCCCTCCGGCTGGTCGCCGGCGCCGCATGTCCTGAAGGAGAGGTGCGCTCATGGCAAGATTGGTATTGCTCTTTCTTCCTTTAGCTCTTTGGAATTTTCGATCTCTTTGCTGTTGATGCTAGGTCTGCTTTCTCCGTATTTGCGTTCGCTTTGCGCCTGATTTCATTTTGTTTCTTGGAGGTTTTTTTTTTTTCACATTGGTAGCGCTAGGTTGATACCCTGGGGTGTCCGTTATACATAAGACGATTTGACCCATAATAGCTCTATTATGAATCATGACTCCTTTTCATTTAGCGAGGACCCTCTCTTCTTTTTCTTTTGTAACCGAGCGTAACATTTCGAAATGAATCGCCACGAATTAGATAGAGATAGACACAAAATTTGATCGAGGATAATCAATGCCAGCCCGCTAAGCACTAGTTACATGTGCGCTTTTACAGTATCGCCCTACCTTCCACTTTTAAAGGATTGGAATTCACACCCTTGGCTAAATATCGCTTTGGGAGATAACATCGATGCAATAATTATAGGAATTTGGATATTTGAACTTCATTTTAAGCAATTCTAGAAAAGTTCACTCAACCACAGACACAACAATACTACTATATATGGTGCTATCCAAAGTTATGATTATCAAGTACGGAGTAGAAGGAGGGGAATGCAATTCCACAAAACTGAGCCCTATCGTTTATTGTAGTCAAGTGAATACATTCTCCCATTCGAAAAGGCACATTGGTTGGCTTGATCGAATATAATCTATCGAATATGCTAGGCTTCATATAAACTGACAACTATTTTCTTTAATCAACTAGCGGTGAGGAGTGTTGATTGATGCAGATTTAAGCGGGGTCTCCTACTCAAAGAATAGAAGCAAATGCAGGATGCATCATGATCATGTTACGAAGTCTTTAGTACTCCGCAGTAAGTGGATCATATTGAAACTGTCTAGTTAGCGCTAAAGGTGGAACTAATCCACTGTGTGATGGAGAAAGCTACAAAGTGGCGATTTTGTATTATCTGGGGAATTAAGCTGGTCAATTTTGTTTCTTGTTTATCGTCCCTCCATTCCTCCTACATCATACAAGTATCGTGATTACAATCATGAGTTCGCAAGTAAATACCTGGCCTGACATCGGGGTTCAAACCCCCTTGCCGAAGTATGAGCATCCTTCCGAGACTAAATATCCACGTAGGTAAGACTGATCCGGGTATAACAGTGAGAAACTGACATTCTTCCTTCTGCAGTAAAATATGCGGATATTGTTACTTTTGATCTTGCTGAGTACGATCTCCCGGGAGGTAAAGAGAGACTAGCCCAACAATTTAAGCAACATGTGCACCAAGCTGGTATGTACTCATAGTTAACAAGTGGAAAAAGAAATATTGACACAACGAAAGGTTTCTTTTACATCACCAACATTGGGCTTTCCCAAGAAGTCATTGATCTTCAATTTGCGATTGCAAAAGCAATTTTTCAACTTCCCGAAAAGGAGCGCCTCAGACACCGCGCACCGTTGGAAGAAGGTAGCTACAATGGCTATCGACCTTTAGGGGCATTGAATCTGTCCCCAGGAATGCAAGACACATTGGAATTCTACAGCATTTTCAAGTTCATTCCCCAAAGTCAACGATCACATCCCGAAATTATCAATCAGTACTCTCGAGAGATTGAGAAATTCTCTAGGTACATGCATGAAAACGTTTCATTCAGAATACTACGCATATTGGCAATCATGCTTGAGCTACCAGAAGATCAATTTGTTGACGGCAATCGCTATGAAGATGAATGCGACAGTTCTATACGATATATGTTGTATCATGCCCGGTCGCAGAAGGAAAATCAAAATTTCGACAATGTTTACTTCCGCGGACACACTGACAAAGGAACATTGACATTCCAATTCCATCAGCCAATAGCTGCGTTGCAAGTTCAACAGTTGAAGGACGCAGAGTGGGAATATCTACGGATTCCTGCTGGTTCTGTGGCTGTCAACATTGCCGATACGCTTCGATTTCTCACGAACGGGTATTTGAAAAGTGGATTGCATCGGGTTATAGCACCTCCAAGTGACCAAGTTCATCTTGATCGTTTAGGATTACTATATTTTGTACGTCCAACGGACAAGTTGCCTTGGAAGACGTTAAACAGTCCATATTTGCGGGGGATGGGTTATGGGAAGACTACGACGGAGAATGACATGGACTTTTCTGGGTTGGATTGGTGGAGGGCCGGGGTCAAGTCTCGCAAGGGGGCAAATTATATGAGTTCTGCGGCTAGCACGACCTAGTTGTCGATGGATAGATGTATATATGACGCAATTACTGCGGGACCTCTGAGCGAATTGAAATTTTGGCTTGGAAGAACCCTGGAGATGACGTGTGATTTGATTGGTAATCTGCAAGCTTCAATATATGTTCACCATTCGTATCTGTAGATTCGACATACCATACTTACGTGGGATCAGGCGAATGTTGAAAACGTCACAAGCAAAGATACCACTGACATCATCAAGAAGCAAAGGCGTTTTACAGATGATTCATCGTCAATTCCATAGACTATATAAGTAAAAAGCCCGATAGTCCACTAGGTATGTGATAGCTGTTATAGTTGAAAGAGAAATAGAGCCAGAGAGGAAAGAAGGTCAGAGGTCTATTTGGTTCAGCCTCTAAGCAATTGTTGACCAATATTTTGATTTACAATGCTTTCTCACAATCTACTTCATTTCCGGTGACTATATATGTAACTAAGACTATCTACCTGTACATAATGCACAGTTATGTAAAATATGTAGGTATAGCAAGAGAGATGCTCCTTCCACAAACCATCAAGTCTGTGATCATACATCTTGACCACCTGGGCAGATAGGCAGCTCATATCATGACTCAATGAAAAATGAAAAACACTGAGATTCTAAAAGAAAAGATTCGAGTCTTTTCGAGGCGCCAAACCATGTGTGAAATTTGAAACGAACCATGACTCCAGCCCCGAGATCATCCCTCAGTGTGTGTCTAAGCAAAATACCAAAACGGTCTCCGGCTCAATGATTCGAGCAAGCCAAGATTTACATCACTTGGTAATAAACCCCTACCTAAAAGAGGAGTCTACTACCGTATCGATCTCACTCGATCCCCATCCCAACCACGCCAACAAGTACCGACCAACGAAAAAAAATATGAAGAACTTTAAAAACTGGCGCTGCTTCTGCTAGAAGCTAGGGTCAAAACAGCCAAGAAAGAAAACGAAAGAGCGAGAGCCGAAGAAGACGTGATCTGGGAACAACTTGTCCAATCCAGTTGTTGACCTTATGCTTGTCAAATTCTGTCTCGCGGTCAAAACTTTCGTGCAACTTTTCGACAGGGAATCTCTTCCACTCGCCACTCTCTGGTTTCGATGTTTTTAGTTCGTCGAAATGGTCATCATCGATGTGCACTAGAAGCCGAGGCCTGACTGCGAGTTCAGCTTTGAATCGTTGAAATTGCATCAGTTGGTTGAGTTTGAGAATTGACAGTGAAACGGGGCAGCCCTCTGTGGTCGAATCTTCAATCGAAGCGACATTCTGTTTTAAGTTTGCGATAGCACTGTTCTCGGTTGTTGCAGTTCTTTTGTCAGATGAAGGAAAAGCACTCACAGATGGGGCCTATTTCATACCTTCCTGGCTAAGTTGTAGACATGTGTACTACTACAAACAGACAAAGAGAGAGATTCGAAGAAGCAATAAAGCCAAGGCCAAGGATTATAAGATTCGTCTGAGATGAAGTGTAGATTGGTTGTCATTGAAAATTGGATATTGTGACGGCCATAGATAGTAGCATTGGCTAAGAGCTACTCGAGGCAATTGAATCCATCGCGGATTTGGCTAATCTCTTTTGTTTTAAACATATGAAGCTTTTGTCACAATAATGAGCCTTAATCACAGGCCTTGATATCAATGATGCATGTGTTAGCCCAAAGAGAACGAAGAAAGTCCACATCGAGGATAGAAACTCCCTACTTGTTAGCTTTAAGATGATAACAATTGATATTGGTGAACAAAGGTGACAGAAATTGGTGTGACTCGTTCTCACTGAGAGATCTATTTGTGAGAATTGGGACAGGCCGAGTGATCCGACAGGTTATATCCGCCATATTATTTTCTCGGCGACGAAAGTCTTCCTGCTAGAATACATTACAACGAAGTCATATACAGAAGACACGGCAAATTCCAATTGCGAAATTCAAACTAATTTTTAAACATGCAGATCCCATCTTTGCAGCGACTCAGCTTACCCCGAGAAATGAAGAGTCAAGAATCGGTTAACCAAGATTGGTGCCCTTCTCTCCACATTGAACAATACTCCGAAATCGGAACACGATGGGTGCAAGGCATATATCTTCGGATTCCAAAATTGGCCAGCTCTGATTATTTCCAGTTAGGTGATTGGAGACTTAGATTAGTGTAAACACGCTTTGGTTGGTTAGTGTAGTTCACTTGGTCGAATGACTTGTATTATGTATACGGTTATATTGCTACATCAAAGAAACTTCAAAATGCATGAGAACTGAGATGAATAAGGAAGTCTGACAAGCAATATTCAGACTCAGGATACCGCAGTAAGTCTGACATTCCAGCATAATGTAACAGGGTAATCAGTCTCGAGCTACAGCAACGTGATGAAACCGCTGTCAATTACCAAATATCCTAAAATTATTGACTTTCTACTATCCGCTCCACACAACATATGCTCGTCTAGAAATTACGGCTCTTGTCATGGAAGGAAAGCATCTTCACGAGGGGCACAGACCTACCTATACGGACTGAGTCACGCTGACCGTGTGCCCAGGTGTTGTATGGTGTCACTAGAGTGAGCGTTTTGGTACACAGCAATAACCAACTTTATTGACTGCTCGCATTAAGAGATTGATGTCAGCTCGCCACATATATATCAGCTAGCCACACATTCCAGTACAGAAGTATATTGTAACAATTGAATTTCCGAGGGTCAGAAAGTCAGCTAAGTTGAAGTTGAAGATTGCACACATCAACATCTCGTCCAAACCAAAGATCACCAGACAACGCTTCAACAATAGCATCATGTGTAGCAGAAATGGCCTACCCTTCCATTGGTCTGTTTCACCTAACAAAAACTTTTACCATCATCACCATCTTCATATACAAATAACTACACCAAAACATCCCTATAAAAAAACCCAGTTTGTAAAGAAACAATGCTAAATACATTAGCTAGATGCTATGCCGAAACGAAACACAACCTCGTAGCCATTAGCTGGGAATTTAATATTCTATACTATACATTGTACGGTCGGTTTGAGGGCGCTAGCAGTAGAACTGCTATCTAGCAACTAATCGGAGCATTAAATGCAATCTAAGAGAAGGCATTGATTAGATGGATTAATTTCCTTTATGAGCTTATACTGATCTCTATCCGGAATTGATTCAACGCACTATAAATCTTATTTGATAACGCTCCGGAGAAGATCGGGCTCTTGGTAAATCTTAGGTTTACCGTTTATTCGCCGACTACCCCCCTAATTCTATAATATTACACAAAGGCTTAAGAAAAAAGGCGGTTCGAGAGTGAGTATACTGGTACAATTATATAGTAGTTTTATTATTATAGTGAACTACTAACAAGCATTGATTTTCTTCCGCACGAAATCTTTATTTAGGATAAGACTGGCTTTGTTACTGGCTAGGGTAAGCCTCGGAAGGTTGCTTTAAAGAGTCTAACTGCGGATTTACCTGACTAAGAATTGTTAAGCTAAACTAATTACTTATATTGAATGGATTCATATCGGTGAGTGGTTGGTTAACGCATTTCATAACCGGCCTGCGCACGCAAGCGAGCTGCGCAGTCCAAAATACATAGTGAGTGCGATAATTTACACCTCTGTATCTCAAAAAAAAGTTTATATAAACTTCCTTTTATACAGGGATGCTGTTTATAAGATATCAAGCCACTTGCAGAGCTCTAGTAAACTTGGCAAAAACAGTGAGTGGGATGTATACGTATATATTTTTTTTGAGGTTTTCCAACATAATTCTCGGTATTATAACAATTTAGGTTTTTATATAACTCGAAATTAACATATGATCTACAGATATTTATCAATTTCGATCGACAAGAGATGAAATAAACCAAGAGCATGGTTATTAAGATATAACCATTGAATATCTTATATTTACTACATAATCTAAACTACGCAGCTCGCTTATATGCGCAGCCCTCTTATAGATTACATTAATGTTGCTATAGTTTCATATTAAGGGAGCCCGATACTAAGAAGAATAGTATATGTTAATCAATATCGATGAATTCCCGATCCGACCTACCGATAACGGCTAGATTAACGATACTGTAGCATTAGAATAGCTTATTCCGTCTGACGAAGCCCAGAAAACCCTAATTCAAAGGCGCCGGCCGAGGCTTTTGTTAATAGATAACTATCATTCTCATTATACGTTCGAATTTCCGAATACTACAAAGTGAATTTTATTATTCTATATCACTTCATTCCGTATACTCCCTACCTCGTGTAACTCCTCCATAGCTAGGCATTTTAGACTCCTAAAAGATTAGACCAAAAGCACTTATAACAAAGAATTTATGTGGGGTAGAAGTGCGTCTTACAATCGTAACTTTTTCCGGATGATTAGCGATGTTCGTTAGCGATTATAGAATTATTACCTCGTTTAAATCAAAAGGCTTTTACCCTATAAATACGAACTTAGTGATTAAACCTTTGCTAGCAAATGAGGAGAACCTTAATCTTTCGGGTTTCAATACCCCCTCCCCCTCACCTTCCAGTTCAGCGACTAGTTCACTACCTATTTCAACGGCCCGGGTTAACAAATTGCATATAAGCATTGCTAAAGAGGTTCAAAGTTTTAAAAGCCACTAGAAAGTATGCAAAAGCATATTCAACGCAGTAAATATTAGAAATGTGTTATTAAGTTAAAGACTTAAAAGCGGACTCGGATTTGAAGAAGGCTTTGTTACACAAAGCTAGGGCAAACGCATCTAAAAACAAACAAGCGGTAAACACATTGAACCGCACCCCGTTAGGTCTAGCTACTGCGTAAAATTCAATAACTTCGCGGAGTAATAAGGATTCTCGCAGGCGCATTCTTCAAATTGCTCGGCATGAAAAAACCCTAATTGCCGAGCAAGCCGCCTGGCTGTAAAGAGATAATGAAGAAAACGCATTCTAAACAAGGCTATTGGCATCTGGGAGAGGCCCGAGGCCATTGAGCCCTATGTCAAATAATATTATATGGAGAGATGACTAGTTAAAGATCTAAAAAGATCTAATAAAATATACACTTTGTATTGGACGAAAAAGACTAATGAGCGGGTAGGCCAATAGTCATGGCAACACGGCTAGGTACACTATATAACTACGATAAACACGAGGAAGGATCTCCTGGAATGCCCATGTAAGTACTGCTAGATACCTCAGATGCAGTAGTAACCCTGATCAAATAAGCTTTGGGCATCTGATATTAGTCTATCTCGACCATGATGAAACCGAAGATACTCGAATGGTACTGAGCTTTAGAGAGACCAAGAGGTTTATTCTGAAGAACTATTAAAAGTCATCAAACTACTAGGCAACAGTGTTGTCAGCGATTCATAATGGATACGAGGTAGAGCCTTCGAAAGGCTGCTGCTTGGGTTTCACAGCGCACAATCCTTTTCTTGGCCACCAACCCGCCAATGCTTCAGGGTAAAAGTGCGCTGCATTGTCGAAATCGGATGAGAAGCCTTGCTGTCAAAAATGCCATGTTCTAGGTGTCATTCTTACGGGTGGGAGTCAGATTTGTGTAAATTCTATCGAGTGTACCAGGGTCTGGAACAATTTATATTCGCTGTGAAAAGGTCTTGGGCTGTTTCACATCGTTAGAGCAACCCTGCATATGCAAGCTCTTGCACAAAAGTACTAGTATCAAGCTGCTTGAGAGATTAACAAAACGTAGTTGTCTAGAGATGAATTCATGTGCCAGGCCCTTTGTTGACTACCGTTGCATCCAAGGATTTGGCCGAAGTTGGACAACAGGTCTCGGGTTGAATTATATAACAAGCCATAAAAGCTCAAGATCGACTGCCTCCAAAGCTCTTGATCACATCTAGTTCTGACCAAGCTTTTGACTTTCTTGCCTGTCTCGGACAAAGTCTTTGATTCAACCTGCCTTTTCAAACATGGCTTTCAAAAATCTTCAGCACCTGCTTCAGGAAAGCTCATCTCAGGAACCCAATAGAAGATTTATCTATTATCCATTGGGATGCACTGACGAGCCTACGACCTGTACGTACAAACAACTCCTACAACATGCGCAACACGCCTCTTGGTCACTTCGTGCGAGATCCATCGACTCTGATCTGCAACCTGGCTCTCCTGTTCTTTTGCACTTGGAGTCTCACTGGGACAACGTTGTGTGGTTTTGGGCTGTGATCCTTGCAGGGTGCGTGCCTGTCATATCTACCACGCTTCCGAATAACTCGTCACTTCGAACGGCACATTTGACTCATTTGTCAAATACATTAATGGACCCTCTATGCCTAACTCAGAAAGACTTGGTATCCGAGTTTAGCCGGCAAGGATTCACAAAAATAATGGGAGTCGATTCACTTGATCACCAGACCGTTCTTGCTATGGAAGATTTCACCAAGTCTAAATTGAGTGACACGGCAGTCATGATGCTGACCTCGGGCAGCACGGGGAAGTCCAAAGCTGTTTGCCTCAGCCATGGTCAGATTTTGGCTGCTCTAGAGGGGAAGATGTCCGTTGTGGATCTCCACGGGGAGAGCTTTCTGAACTGGATTCGGCTCGACCATGCTGCCTCTCTTATTGAAATCCATTTGCAAGCCATATTGGCCCAGAAGGATCAGGTTCATGTTCACAGCGCCGATGTCCTGTCGAATCCCATCAATTTCATTGATCTCATCGATAAGCACAGAGTTACCAGAACTTTTGCCCCGAATTCCTTCTTGGCTAAGCTTCGAACCGCACTCTCTGATAAACCAAATGCACTTGAAAAGACAAACGGTGCTTCTACAAATGGCTCCTCCACAAACGGTGCCTCTCATCACTGGGATCTCAGTTGCTTGAACTACGTGGCATCAGGAGGAGAAGCAAATGTGACCAAAACATGCAATCAAGTTTCGGCGTTGCTTTCTCAATATGGAGCTCCGCCACATGTCATAGTTCCTGGATTTGGAATGACAGAGACCTGCGCTGGTGCGATATTTAACACTCGATGCCCGCAATATGATATTGCGCACAAGATGGTGTTTACCTCCGTTGGAACTTGTATGCCTGGAATTGAGATGAGGATCTCAGATGACTCAAGCAGCAATACCCGTCTCGCGCCAGGGGGAACGGGTAATCTCGAGCTCAAGGGCTCAGTAGTTTTCAAGAACTATTTCAACGATCCCCAATCAACAGCAAACTCATTCACCAGCGATGGGTGGTTTAAAACCGGCGACCGGGGTTTTATTGATCAAAACACCGGCTATTTAACTTTGACAGGACGACTCAAAGAGACAATGATCATCAATGGGGTCCACTACAGTCCCTTCGGGATTGAAAGCCTGCTCGATCAGTCAGAGATCATAGGTCTCACACCTAGCTTCAACTGCTGTTTCTCCTATTTTCCCTCTGGTGCAGATACAGAAGTGATCTGTTTAGTTTATCTGCCAACCTATAAGCCAGAAGATATGGTGACCCGAGTGCGAACAACCGAAGCCATTTCCAGGATTGTCATGATGGCTACTGGCTCACGTCCAGAGATCATTCCATTGAATGAATCTATTTTGCAACAGTCGGCCCTTGGCAAGCTCTCTCGTCAGAAGATCAAGACAAGTTATGAGAATGGCGAATACAAATACTACCAAGATATAAATAGCGAGATGCTAAGGCTTTATTACAAAGCAGTACGAGCTCCCCCGAAGGATGAGCTTGAGCGAAGTATTCTCGCCGTTTATATTGAATCGCTCGGGCTCTGCGAGGAGGAATTCGGTGTGGAAACACCAATATTCGACGTTGGAATCACCTCCATGGAGCTCATAAAACTTAAGAGAGACCTTGAAGAAAAGGCGGACATGGGCCGGGAAATACCATTGACCGCTGTGATGACAAGCTCGACGGTTCGTGACCTGAGAAACGTGCTACATGAGCTCCAATCCCCTCGAGCGTATAGCCCTTTGGTTATCCTGCAAGATAAAGGCAACAAGGCTCCCCTTTGGCTAGTCCACCCTGGCGCAGGCGAGGTTCTCGTCTTCCTTAATTTGGCAAAATATATGAAGGACCGACCAGTGTATGCTTTGCGCGCACGAGGATTTAACGAAGGCGAAACACCTTTCTCCACGATCAAAGAAACAGTCCTCAGCTATTATGGTGCCATAAAAATGCAACAGCCCCATGGGCCATATGCATTGGCTGGATATTGTTACGGCGCTATGATTGCGTTTGAGTTGGGAAAGCTTCTTGAAAAGAATGGCGATGAAGTGAAGTTTGTCGGGGCTTTCAATCTTCCTCCGCATATCAAATTGCGAATGCGCGACCTCGATTATAGAGAGTGTTTGCTTCACCTAGCCTACTTCTTAAGTCTGATGAGCGAAGAGCGATCGAGGGAGCTCGCATTGGAGCTCAAAGGTCTTTCAGAGGAAGAAGTGTTCGACGGGATGATGAGAAACGCATGTCCGGCTCGCCTGGCAGAACTTTCATTCTCAAAGTCCAGCTTGGTGAGATGGGCTTCCCTTGCATATGTACTGCATAGTATGGCAGTCGATTATGATCCGGAGGAATCCGTAGCCAGTGTTGATGTGTTTTATTGCACCCCGTTGGCCATAGCGGCAGCAACCAAAGAAGAATGGCTAAATGATCATCTTAGTAAGTGGCAAGATTTTTCAAGAGCTGAAACTGGATTCTACGAAGTTCCCGGAAGACATTACACAATGCTGTTGCCCGAGCATGTGTTTGAGTTCCAGAAGATCTTGCGAGGTGTATTGGAGGCTCGTGGGATTTAAATCTTCTTATGGTTTTTGAAGCCATGAAAAAAACAAAAACAAAAAAAAACAAAGCAACTGTGATATTGAATAAGAAATTGATATTTATCTTGCTTCAATCTAATTGAACTTGAGTTGTACGCGTAATTGGAGAATCAATAGAATCAATAAATGTAGTTCAACGCTAGAGCAAAGATATGCTAGAGATATACCAGGTTTATGTCCATAAATTCCGGCCTCAGGTGTCAACGCCAAGAACTGTCGCCGCAGCCACAAAAGAAGGCCTTGAACGGGTTCCGGCATTGAACATGGAGCATCTACGGAGTACGTTTCTAAAAGATGAACATAACAGGTCAATATTAGCCGAGCAAATCTTGGTGGCGTTAATGTCATGATTCATGCAATGCGTCAAGGTCATGAATCATGCAATGCAACCAAACATTGCACTACCGTATGTTGGTGGTACGGTTATTAACTATACGTCATTGACTTGTCAGACAAGCTAGGGAATCATTCTCCTATTGATATTTAATGAAATTTTCTGGACTTTACTTCATTCTCAATCACTTTTCTCTTTGCAATTTTGGCTTACGCATTTACACACTTTATCTCTACGGAATCCCCGGAGTAGCCACACCGAGGTATTTCAGTTAACAGCTGTGGGACATCTCAAAATTACCATCACACAGCATGGCATCGAATGCCGATGGCAAGAGCATCTCCGCATATGGAGAGGCTCGCTCGACGTTGGAGGGCAAGCCTCTTGATGCCGAGACGGTCCGAAAAATGAATGCCTATTTTCGTGCTAGCATGTACCTATGTTTAGGCATGCTTTATCTTCGCGACAACCCCTTGCTCACGGAACCTCTCAAGCTGGAGCATCTCAAAGCCCGGCTTCTAGGTCATTGGGGGTCTGATGCTGGACAATCCTTCACCTGGATGCACATGAATCGACTCATCAAGAAGTACGACCTTGATGTACTCTTTGTTTCCGGCCCTGGACATGGTGCTCCTGGAATCCTCTCCCAGTCTTACCTCGAGGGAGTCTACTCGGAAGTCTACCCGGAAAAAGCAGAAGATACAGAGGGCATGAAGAAGTTTTTCAAACAATTCTCCTTTCCCGGTGGTATTGGAAGCCATGCAACCCCCGAGACACCTGGTAGTATCCACGAGGGTGGTGAGCTAGGATATTCACTCTCCCATGCTTTCGGCTCGGTATTTGACAACCCTAACCTCATTACCTTAACCATGGTCGGTGACGGCGAGTCTGAGACCGGCCCTCTTGCGACGAGTTGGCACAGCACGAAATTTCTGAACCCCATCGTTGATGGTGCGGTTCTACCTGTTCTCCACCTGAATGGATACAAAATCAATAACCCGACGGTGCTCGCACGTGTTAGCCACGAGGAGCTATCTTCTTTGCTCGTCGGATATGGATGGAAGCCATACTTTGTGGAGGGAAGTGATTTTGACAGCATGCATCAAGCCATGGCAGCCACACTTGAACAATGTGTCGTGGAGATTAAACAGTACCAGAAAAAGGCCCGAGACTCCAAGACACCTTTCAGGCCCCGTTGGCCCATGATCGTTCTTCGTACCCCCAAAGGGTGGTCAGCTCCCCGGGAAGTTGATGGCCATCTTCTTGAGGGATTCTGGCGTGCGCATCAAATTCCGATCACTGATGTCCGCACTAATCCTCCTCATCTCAAGCTTCTAGAGCAGTGGATGAAAGGCTACAAACCAGAAGAGCTTTTTGACAAGAATGGCACCTTGATTCCGGAACTCAAGGAGCTAGCTCCGTCGGGTAATTCGCGGATAAGTGCCAATCCTGTTGGCAATGGTGGTCTTTTACGCCGACCGCTAAACATGCCCGATTTCCGAGACTACGGTTTGAAGGATATAGATCCGGGTACAACGATCAAGGGGGGCATGGCCAACATGGCCAAGTTCCTCCGCGATGTGATCGCTCAGAACATGAAGAATTTCCGCCTATTCGGTCCTGATGAGACTGAATCCAACAAACTCGCTGAAGTTTACAAAGCAGGCAAAAAAGTCTGGATGGGAGAATATTTCGAAGAAGATAAGGATGGGGGCAACCTGGCCCCCGACGGCCGTGTGATGGAAATTCTCAGTGAACATACCTGCGAGGGATGGCTGGAAGGCTACATTCTTTCCGGGCGCCACGGACTTCTCAATAGCTACGAGCCTTTCATCCACGTTATTGACTCTATGGTCAACCAACATTGCAAATGGATTGAGAAGTGCCTTGAAGTGGAATGGAGAGCTCGCGTTGCCTCTCTCAATATTCTCATCACAGCGACCGTCTGGAGACAAGATCACAATGGCTTCACGCATCAAGACCCTGGCTTCCTTGATGTTGTCGCCAACAAGAGCCCTGAAGTTGTCCGCATCTATCTCCCGCCAGATGGCAACACTCTCCTTTCGGTCATGGATCACTGTCTCCGCAGTGTGAATTATGTGAACGTCGTAGTTGCCGACAAACAAGATCACATTCAGTTCCTCAACATGGATGAAGCCATTGAACACTGCACCAAAGGTCTTGGAATCTGGGACTGGGCTAGCAATGATCAAGGCGTAGAGCCCGATGTCGTGATCGCGTCCTGCGGTGATGTCTCAACCCATGAAGCCCTCGCCGCGACCGCTCTACTGCGGGAACATCTCCCGCAACTGAAAGTCCGGTTTGTGAATGTAGTTGATCTCTTCCGACTCATCTCCACTCTTCACCATCCACACGGCTTGTCTGATAAGAGGTGGAAGGCTATCTTTACCACCGACAAGCCTATCATCTTCAACTTCCACTCCTACCCTTGGCTCATCCACCGCCTCACCTATAAGCGACCCGGTCAACACAATCTACATGTGAGGGGTTATAAGGAGAAGGGCAACATTGACACTCCATTTGAGCTGGCTGTGCGCAACCAGACTGATCGATATAGTCTCGCTATTGACGCCATCGACTTGGTCCAGTCACTTGGAAACACTGCATCTGGTTTGAGGGAAAGGCTGATCAATGAACAGCTTGCTGGCAAAGCCGAAGCCTTCAACAACGGTCTTGATCCCGAATATATTCGTAACTGGACTTGGCCCTGGCCGAGGAAGTAGAACACCGAAAGTGTTCAAACAGATATACGGAAACTTCCATAGCAATCCACATGAAAGTAGTTTGAACACTCTGAAAATCTCGTTTCTCTAATACACATCTTTTCAAGAACAGCAAAAATCTAATCGAAAGCATAAATTAGTACAAGCTCATGGCATAAATGATGATGGCCTCGGAAATCCATTTTGAACACTGACATATCCCTGCGTCTACTTCTGCGTATTCTGCATTTCCATTTGCATTTGAGATTGCGTCTGTATCTGTGCCTGTGCTTCTCTTTGGATCCTGACAAGACAGGCTTGACCTATAGGCGTGCGATGGTGATTGTTGAGCATATCTGCCCGAGTAAAGGACACCCGCCAACCTTCACAAACCCAGTCTCTCACTTCCATATGAATTCTTTTGTGGTGATCACAATCACTCTTCTGACAGACATCACAGGCATACAGGCGATCCTGTGTATGGGTCCAAAGACGAAATTTTAGTAGAAGAAGTGCTTTTTCGAGGCCTATTGGCTGTGTATGATCTAAACATGTGTAGAGCAACGTGATATCACGATAACAGAAGAAACTCAAAGCTGACTAGGAATGGGTTTTAAAAAATTTAAAAAACACCACAGGTTCTGAGAAGTTCCAGTCATTGCTGGTACCATCAATTTTTTTTTGATAAGAAATGAGATATCTTGCTATCAGGCCACAGGGCCTATTTGAAGCCGAGACCCCAACATGAAATGCAGCTTATGTTAATGTAGAGAGGAATGCAGAGCACTCATCATATAAAGATGATTATAGGCCATCTTTCTTCCCCGATGTCGTAGTTTTCTCTCAAAATCCAACTTTTAGTTGATACTATGGGAAATTGATATCGGAATATGATTTGATCAATACACTTTGATGGCCTACTCAGAGGGTTATAGTCCGCGCAACACACAAATTTATAGTAGCATTGCTGACCAATCCAGAGTTTTTGCCTTAGTGCTCTTATATTAGGGTCGGTTTAGGGATTAAAGAGGCTTAGGGACTTGCGGCATTAGGGCGTTTAGGGATCTTCAGGGACTCTGGTATATGAATACGGCTTTCAAGTATGCCCAGGTGAAAATCAGTAACTTGTCAGCAATGCTTATGTACAAAGTGTGGTGCGCGGATCAAAACCTCTACTCAGACCCATGGATGATGCTCGGGCCGGCCCGTGCCAAGCTGATGTCGCGACGTAGACCATCCTCTTTATAATCAATTGTTGGTAAATAGTGTGCTTGTATGGAGTCTGTGGCACAAACTGTCGTCCTGCAGATTGCGAAAATCCTTGTGTTCTTCCGGTATAGTAATGATTCTTCGAAAAAATTAGGCGGCCCAGCGGAAACCCTCCCCGGTAATTTCATACTTGAAATGCGGACTGGAATTCTTTTTCTTGTGGTGATTGGCTATTTCTGATCTAGTCTGTCTCTGGGTCATGAGAAAGTACCTGTTTATAGTCATGGCTCGGCGGTAACGGAACCTTTCCCCGCAAATTCGTTTCAAACTTGGATTGTGGGCTGAGATATCTTCTCTTAATGCGGTTGGCTATCTGTGGGTTTGTCTGACGTGAGAAGTCTATAAGTGGTTTAGGGCATTATGGCTGAACTATAGCCCCATATACTAATGCACCCGGGCGAAGTTCATACTCCACATGAGTGACTATCATTTGTCAAATATCTTTACAATATTGTAAAATATGAAATCTTTTAGCTGATGGCTCAGCGTGCCAATTTGAGTCTGCTTATTATTTTCGTTAGAAACTGATATCCGAAGCTAGAGTATTATGGCAAGGGAACAAGAGTAAACAATATCATCTTATCATGAGGTCTCCAAAGTAAAAGAGGCCTGCCATTCGCCTATCACTGTCATGATCATCATAGCTGCTCCTCTATTGACAAGACTCTTATTACCTGATACTAAAGCGCCAATGTGAAGCCCCTTTGTCCCCCCTCTTCCTATTCAAATCCCTAAAGCGTTTTCCACGATCTGCTGCCTGTCAATGACCGCAAAATATGGCAGTAAAGGTGTCCATTGGCCGTCAATATCAAAACTCAAATCATACGGAGTCAAGAAAGGTTGATTTGTGAGGCAAATTGCGTACCTGAATCAGTTTGGATAGCATCTGGAACGCTTCGTGTACGTCAGGTAAACAAAACACGAACTTGACTTTTGTAGGAGGTTAGGAGAATCTGAGGTAATACGGTCCCCTAGTTTCGGCTTTATTGAAGTGGAATGGACCTAACAACCAGGCTCCAAGCTATGGGCAATGTGGACTCGAATTATCGGGAGGTTGAGATTCAATCGCTTGTGATATGATTGCTGGTAGTGACTGTTGGTAAGATTAAGGAAAGAGTCAACATTTGCATTCTTCAGGTAAGATGCAGCTCTCATGATGAACTGTAACCGGCCAATGTCGTAATGCTCAATCAAGCCTTCAATTTTGAGTGTCATTCCAACGCTTCGTTGGATACCTGGCCAGGTTAAAGGCTGTGCATTTTGTTGCAGATGCTGTGAAGGCTGCGAGGAATAGAAAGCTCTATTTTCGCTCGCCAACGTAGGCGAGCTATGATGAAATGTCGGCTCAACTGACTTTACCAACAGGTGAACAAACTGATGGCACGGGTCACTAACAACTCTTCGATATCGCAGGTGTAAAAGCCAAACACCGAACAAATTACCGGTGTCAGGGCATGCATACGGCATGGGCGAAGGATAGGACGATGAACGAAGGGCATCAAGATGGATTTGATGTGTAATCCCGTTACTATGGTAGGTAAATGAGCTTTTTCACAAGATAAGTCCCTGAAGCCCCAACTTGCGGTGTATGGTAGGATTCTGGCTCACAGACAAATTACATCGTGTAGACATAGTGGACATTGATGAGAACATCTCACCAAGTCCTGTCGCGTGAATGGTAGTCCACTGAGCATGGTTGATGGCTTGAAATCAATCTGTTGCATTCTTTTGAAAAGATAGAAAGATCTGATAGGCATTGGTAAGGGGAATGAAGAAGAGGGAGGTGAAGAGTAGAACAAAATGGAGGTTTGTAGTAATTTGGCGAACAGTCAAAGCCTCGTTGCTTCTGTTCTTTTTTCTGAATATTTGTTAATTTGCAATTCTACCCAGTGATCATCGAGTGATACTAGGTCACCTCGTAGGCCCTTTTCTTATAAGAACGATGAGTCTACCTACGTAGTTGCTTTCTACCTGTTCGCAATATATAATACTCATAGAGATGAAGAAGTTCATATTTAACGAAGCAAGCTGATTTATATATAACGAAAAGATGCTCATCTATACGCTAAGAATGATATATAACAATGAATTATTATAATAGACTTGAGCCCCATATGGATGTACTTATCAGACATGCAACAATACAATGAAACGGCGTGTTCAAAAGCGTAAAAGTGGCTAGACTCCTAGCTTTAGGTAGGCAGTGCTTAAGAATCGATTTTAGAGACGACATTTGAGAGTGTCCAAGCATAATGGGTACTCTGTTGAACTCGATCAGTGCCATTCTTTAATACCATTATAGCTGCCATACTGTATTCAACACATGGCTCTGGGGTTAAAAAGAGCAGCCAGATGAGGCAACAAAGGGTCAATTTCTGATTCCTATATATTCTACTTAGTATCCAGTGTTTTTTCCCCATTATTATACGCCCTCGTCTCTCGCCTAAGCTTAATGGGCTTTAAGTTGTGCCACAAGGCTATCTTCTGCAAGTTCGACATTTTATAAGACTGTTCAACAGGTTTACAGTATATGCATTCAAGACTCCTACCACATTTCTTACATCTATCGCTGCAGAGCTCCATATACGCAGGCTTTCACTATTTGAGAAAGCCAGTACAAGTAGGTACCAGACATGTGGATATACCTAGAGGCAATAATTGACTGCAATTTTCCTTGGCATCAAGTGCAATCTCATTATGCCTGCTGAACATTTACTGTCCGCCTTGAACGACATTCTAACACACTCAATATGTAATATGAATGAGATAGATATTGATTGAATTGTAGTAACAAAGATAAAGCCCTCATGATCTTGCCAGCAGAATTGACAAAAAGTCTGCAAAAACAAAAGACCCTGCGCCGTGGCGCCGAGATTTAACGTACAAGATGCAGTGGCGAATTAAAGGATTTTGAAGAACGTGGTGAAGTAGATGGCGTCAAGTAGGTCATTGAAGCTTAATAGTACATTAAGGTGCAAAATTTGAGAATTTATCGTTGAGTTAGCCAAATCTGCCGACGGGGACATCGTGCCGATGAAGGTCCTTGGACCAATCTGGTACGACCTTATCGCGCTCGTAGAGTAGACCACAGTTGTGGCAGAGTGTCTGCATCATATTTGTTCAGATATAGTCCAGAATTGATCTCGCAAAGACGACTTACCCGTGGGCCTTCTGGACCATCTCGTACAGCCCAAACCGCTGTGCCCCATACTGCACAGTTCTTGCATCTCCAGCTTTGACGCTCCCTGGGTGAAAAGTATTAGTATATTCAAAACTGCTGGACTTAGCGGCAACATACCATTCAGAGAGTGTACCACCACCGCCGCCATAACCAGCACCTGATCCACCATCAGGCGTACCACGACCGCCAGGGGTCCCACTTCTACCATTAGGGCTCAAACTGCGGAATCGGCGCTTGCGCTTATTCCTCTCACCCCGACCCAGCGGCGTTTCACCATCAACTTCAAAGTGACTACTATTTTGTCTTTGAAGATCAGGTGTGATACCTGTGGTTGATGAGAATCTAGCCGTCTCTCGTCGCAAACGACGAATCTGGCGTTCACGGTCACCCTCCCGACGTTCAATTTCTTCCTTGGACAGTGTCTCAACCGAAGGCTGCCACTCGTCACAAATTGTTTCGGGGTCGTAGCGCCAACCGGCCTCCACCCCGTTGGCAGAAAGGTTGTCAATATCGTTACCGTAGCCGTTAATGCCGCTAATAAGGGCACCACTTTCGCAGACTTCCTTCTTGAATTTCAACACAGCTTCGTAAATGGCATGCGCAAGAGCGGTGACCCATTCACCACCGAGACTTAGATCTGCGCAAGTGACGCGCGCAAATTCCTCAGCCAAGCCAGGTGGATGTAAAAGAGACCACTCGAATCTATCTGTGTACAGCTTGTTCTGCAAATTGATGTTGAGAGTGATCAGACACCGGTAGGCATCATCGGGGTTGAGGAGACTGTCATTGACAAATGCCTCTTTGGTAGGTGCCACGGTGGCTGTGACAATTGGTCGGGAATCAGGTGTCGCAGCAGTTGCGGCAGCTGGTGTCATCGAAGTATCTCGTGATGGATCAGTTTGCCGAGGAAGACTGGGTGCCGCGCCTGATTCCGTGCTTTGGAAAAGTGGGTGAAGAGCCACACCGGCGTATTCCTCCAGCTGCTGGCGAATTTGGTTGCTGATGGTCATTGTTGTAGCTTGGGGATTGGGTAGATCGAGATCGCGCACGAACCCGATAGCGAATTCTTCTGGAGTCGAGAGCGACTCATGGAGATTCCATAGAAAAGTGTCCTTGATGCGGAACGGAGGTAATGGGTCGGGTCGGCGATACGCAGGGAGGGTCTGGTTGATAGCAGGGTCCGCAGAGTTGCGAGGGAGAGGGAAAGGTTCGAGGGGTTGATGGGAAAGGACTTCCACATCAATCCGAATGGGCACCAGGGTCAACGGGAGTTGAGCCTGGATCTGTAGTTGGTCGGCACATCTAGAATCACCACGCTGTATGTTAGCCAGGTTTATGGACAGATGGAAAGACAGAGGCTACTGCCATAGCCAAATTAGTCTTGCCAGTGGGGAACATACGCTGGTCGCAGCATTCGCTTGATCATCCATTCGCGGAAAAGACCCTGAACTTCCACTGGCGCATGCACTTCCTTGCCCAGCTTCTCTGAATATAACACCTTGTCGACGCTCGCCTCTTCGCGCCGAAGGCTCCTTAGCCCTGTCGGCCGGCGGGGGCCGTCGGTCTCATCGAAGTCCTCATCGTCGTAGCCATCCTCGGCGTAGTTGATTGCTGTTGTGCCACGCTTGGTAGTGCGCGGTGTCGGACCGGCCTGCGACGGAGGGTTGATGGGTGTGAGCAACGCGTTTCCATACTGGCGCATGCGCGGAGGGTACGAAGTGATGTAACCTCGGAGAGGGGACATGTTGGCGATTCAATTGCACAATAACATGCCCCTTCGAGGGTGTGGTGGAAGAAAAAGAGAGCTTGCGATCTGTTGATTAACTCGATGTTCGAAGGGCTGATCACTGGACTCAAGACACGATTATAAATGGCCCGAGCGCAAAGAGTGATAGCAAGGGAGCCTCGAAAGGTTCAACAGCAAAAGCTGGAAAGTGAACAAATATCAAGATCGCGTCGAGGGGTTCGAGATAGGATCCAGCTGGTGAGATTGGCTCCGTGATCGATATTCTGCGCAATGTCCAGTCGCGCTTTGCCCATTTTGGCGCTAGTCCCATTCAAGTATATCACGTGCATTATTTGTGCCAGGTATTTCAGGCGAGATTATAGCACGTGATGGCTCATGCCACAGGCGGCAATAATCTAGACATTAAAATAAATCATCTTTGACAATCCTCGATGAGCTTGTATGCTTACATGGAATTATTACTTGTACTCAATACATCATACCTGAATAGAAGCAAACAGATATTGAGGAAGGTGAAGCAACAGTTGCCAAAATGACAATCCTTACACCATATATTCAATAGAAGTTCACAGCCAAAATCACTAATGTACCCAAAAATTTTGACCAAATTTGACTAGGAAATCAATATACTGAAATGAATGAAGACACCCAAATTGCTGAGTACGCCAGCTCTGCTGTCGGTGAGATAAAGAGTAGGATATTTGAGTTGCGGGACATTGTAAATGCAACCCTAGAAAAGAACAGACGAAACATCGAGGCGCAAGGCCGGGGGAATGATAGTCGCAGTACAGATGCAAAGAATAGAAGTAGAAGGAAGAGAGGGGAAAAATCACCGGAGACCAATAACACTCTGCAAAGGGTTAGATGTCGAAGATAAAATGTGTTAAGGGATCGGGGTTTGTATCGTACCATCTCCAATGTCCATACACGCCGAATCCAGACCTTGACCTGGCCTTCGACACCCTCCACGTCGTCCAACTCAATGCCTTCCCACCAACAGCGGCGAGCAGGTTTACGCCAGAATAGAAGGAGCTTTTGGGCCATGCCCACGGAATTGTTGTTGGACAAGTCTCCACGAATATCAGTGCGGAGTTTGGCCAGGGCAAGACTGCAGATAACTGCCTTGTTGGGCTCTGCAGCACGATGACCCCATTGATCTTCGCGATCAAACCCACTTTATCAGAGATTAGCATTTGGTCTCTTTTTGAATCCTCGCAATTCACTAACCCAGCAGTTAACATTTCGATCAGATGTTGCTCAGTTGATCCAATCTCCTCGCTCTTTCTCAGCCCGGAAAATATTCCATCTTGTTTCAGGAGGGATCGGCCAGCTGCCCGTTTCACCTCTAACATCTCATCATGGCCGATGTCAGGGCGAGGGGGGATGACATAGAAGTCAAGGTCCTCTCTGAGAACAATGATTCCGGCACGGTCTTGCAGCATGTCACGGGCAGAGCCATGCATTGGGTCAGCCAGCTCCACCTCAGGCGAGGTAGAGTTAGAAGGGAGAGAGGAAGGTATCGTCTGGGCAACACTTCGGAAGAAATCCAGCATATATTGCAGTGCCGCTGGATCATACTATATGACTGACGTTAGCAATGTTACACTTTACTTAAGATATAGCTCCACTCACATCAACGGGATAGACGTCGCCATCATGGAAGCCATTTGTGGTCGCATGGCCATCGGGGAGTAGACCGTTGGGGAAAAGGGATAAAAGAACGAATTCCGGCAAAGTTAGCAATTCATCCCGCGAAAGAGTGAACCGAGTGTTCCTGCACACCGATTAGATACAAAGTATATGGAAAGGCGAATTAATGTGCAGTCCTACCGTAGGTCAAGACCAATGTGTTCGTCGCCACCAATATCTATCACGAGCGTTCTGTCAGCATGCACCCCAGAATTGAATAAGCTTTTGTATGAAGCATACCACCAAGGGTGTTAATTGGAGGGCCCCCTGTCTGAGAGACCTGGGTGATGATGCTCGAAGCACCTCCTGCAGCAGCCATCACGTAGGTAAACGACTCAAGCGGGCTGTATCCTTCGGTATAAGGCGGCGGAGGTTCACCGTCGTCGGAAGAACCTTCGTTTTTTGGTTCAGAGAAAGATGCCTTGGTATCAGCAACAGGCGCCGAAGAAGGGGCCGGCTCGAGGGACTCCTCGACAGGTGCCGGAGGCGCTAAGGCTGGAAGGCAAGCGGGTCCGGGTTCAGTAACTTTGTATGAAGGATTGGCGTCGGGCGACGATGAGAAGAAGAGGGATGAAAACGGTGGAGGATGCGCGGACGAGGAACTTGAAGCCGAGGCTGCAGGGGCAAGTAGTGGGGGTGCAGTGTAGTAGTCCTCCTCTAAGGAGTCCGTTGAATGAGACGGGCACGCCGTGATTGAGTGGTCCGACGGTGACGTTTCTTGCGACACCGTGTTATAGGTTGCCTGAATCTACTCAGGCCGGTCGATCTACGCGACCCAAGATGATCGGTCTTGGTGGCCTAGCGATGTGATTAATCCTAGTCAGGTCCAAGGTGATGTCTGTTCCGCTGTCAGGGAGTTGCTTCCCAGATTGACACTCGTATGAATCAAAATATGGTATCACATCAACCAGTACGGATATATATTCACCTGGTGATGATTGTGAGTGTTAAAAAAGCAGAGATGACAGACGACCTTGGAATGTTGGAAGCGCTTAGGTTGGGGAATGCGTAGATCAACGACGGCGGTAAGTCCGAGCGCCATATCTTGGCATTGTGCCGCCCCTGATCCTTGAACAATTTGTATGTTCACTGAATATAATTGCTAGTTATTTAATGGTTTTATCCTTCACTTGTGCTTTGGTCATTCAATGCAGATATGATATTTGAGATCTATTAAATACATTTATTTGCAGTAGAGGAGATATATGAGTCGTCCAATGGGTGAGATCTGGCCTCCTATCCAATGGCTTTTCAAGGTTGTATTGTATTAATATTTGAGAATTTGCCTATATTGGATCTTTTATCCTATGATAGATTAAAAGTAATGATGAGCCCATAAGCCTGGATTTATCAATGAAGAAAAAGGGGCATGTTACATGGATATATAGATTGTAGTTTGATTTATGAACATATGAGGATTCAGACCTTACGCTCAGCAAAGCTCTGAATCAAACCCTCAAGAGTCGGTTCATACTCCTTCAAACTGACTTGGTCACCCTCAAGGATGGTGTTGGCCTGTACAAAGATCTTGCGAGGAACCTTGTTCTTCAAAACAACCTCACGTACAGTGGTTCCCCACCAACTGTCAACAGAAGTGATATCATCATATAATCCCTTGCCAGCTTCAACATCCGCAGTGCTCTTGTAGACATGCAGCTTCTGAAGATATTTCTCCACGGCGGGGCGGCCATGGGTTAGAATCTTCGACCGGTCAAGATGAATCTCGAGATCAGACAGATCCTCCTTGCTGTATGACAGCTTGACGAAGTCGTCACCGGCATCAAGGAAGGTACGCAGAATACTGTAACGAGCCTGCATATGAGCTTGGCCCCACTTCTGGGTCTTGGGATCCCAGAACTCGAGGGCGACCAGACCGGCGCGAGCCATGGACAAGTAGGCCGCGAATAGAACGTCTCCCGCTTCACCAGCCAGGTTTTCCTTGCCATCACCGAAACCGAAGATCTTCAAAATACCAAAGTCACAGCCTAGCACCATTGCAACACACTCAGCGCGGCACTCTTCATATGATGAAGCAATGGAACCAAAGACAGAGCTCCATGTTTGTCCTGGCTTGTACCAGGTGGATACAGGCTTGTTGGTGACAGGGCTGATAGGCGGGTTCTTGATGTCAAAGTTATACTCTCCTGGGGCTGTTTCCTGTAACAGTTTACCAGTTCCGTGACCCAAAAGCTCGTGAATGCCAACTTGGACCTCAAAGGCCGGGTCACGGAATCCACGGTATACCTCTTGGTCCCTTTCCGCAATGAAGGGAATGGCCTCATTAGGAGCCTTGGCACTCAAGACATTGCCCAGAGACACGTTCTTAAAGCCCAAGTTTTGGCGAATATCATCATAGTTGGGCAGATTAATACCAGCTGGTAGACCTGAGCAGGCAAAGCTCAACACCTCCAATGATGTGAAGTCAGGGCTGAGGAACTTATCCTTCTCAAAGTCCCTACCCCAGGGCAGCTTGGGAATCATGCTCTCGGCAGAATCCACCAGCGTACCAAAGGCACGAGTACGCTCAAGGTTAACCTTCGCACTGTTAGCAAAATGATGTATTATTGCTCGAGGAATTTGACTATACCAAGGCAACAAAGCCCTCCCACTCTCCTCGCACACCATGGGGGTCTCTGTAGGTTTCAACAAATCCGATGTTCGTCTCAAGGACAGGCTTCTGGTCCTGCACCCAAATGCGCTGGCTCTCCTTGAAAGCCTCGATGGAGCCAGCACCGAACGAAAGAGCATAGGCATCCAGCATACGCTTCTGCTTGTCATTCGCAGCAACAAGTTTAGCCTGCTTGATAGAATGGGCAATTTTAGCCATTTCCTCCTGGTGGTCACCGAAGACAAGACGCAGGGTCTTTCCCTTCAAGTCACCCTCAAGCTCAAAAGTGTCCGCGTCGCCAAGGTCGCGGTCCCTGGCGGGTGGAGACGAAACGCCAGACGCGATCAAAAGCTCAAAGTCACCGGAGGATGTCTTCCGGATTCTGGTGTTCTCCAGAGCGAGTCCCTTCTTCTCCATCAAATCACCGACTGCCGTGATTTCTTCCTGCGAAATCGTGGGCGAATCGGGGTAGTAGGCGGTCATGTGACCGCTCTTGGGATATCCGAGGTGCATCATGGACTGCTCGCTTGTTTCGTATATACCGCCTCCAGCGGCGTTAGCCTTCTGGAAAGCTGCCTTTGTCTCCGTGGTAGCAGAGGCTAGGGCTTCGAATGCGGATGGCGAGAGTCGAGGAATGAACTTCGAGTCACCGAAGCCCTTGTAGTTTCCACAATTGCCCAGGAATTGACCCGCATATTCGAGGAAGAAGCGGAGGTCTTCGGTGCTAACATGTGTCTTCTGGGCGAGGTCGTTCCAGTCGCCATTGGAAGCGTGATAAAGGGAAAGAATCAGGTCGTAGATGGGCTCGGATTCGGGGGAGACTTGGCGTAGAGTCACACGGGTGCCCTCGAACGCAGCTCTATATAACAACAAAAGTCAGCTCATCGTAGCTCTTGAGAGGGTAGAGCACTGCGCGATTTGCAAGCGCATGGGGTCACCCATACCTGCTCATGAAGTGTGCATATTTTCGGAGGTTTTGGTCTTTGAGAGTGTCAAAGTGAGTCTTGATTTCCAACCTGACTACCGTAGGAGGCGAATCAGCCAGATAGTGTTGCTTGACGCTGTCGTCCATAGCGTTAAGACGAGAATATGAAGCGAAGGTGTTTACACGTTTGGAAGCGGACAGTCCAGCAAATTGGCGGGGTAATGGAGGTGACACAAAACGTCGGAACAAGTGCGGCGCAATGCGCATTAAGTACATGAGGGGCTTTTGACGGTGTGGTAGAGCTATGACATATCACCCAATCAGATACGTGGTTATCTGTTCGCGCTCGGATCACCGATGGAGGTCCGATCTACATTGCTTGGCATAAAGAACATCGTATATGTACATGTATTTTACATTACAATATTGTACCTATTGTTGTGTGGAATGGTTCTGCTTTCTTTTGGTAATTTACAATTGTTGCATTTAAAATCTGTTGAACTACGAGGAACACAACTCAAATCGGGGTATCGGTCAATAAACAAACAACAGTTAGTACCGTCCTTATATCAAACTCTCGTATTTATCCAATCCTTGCTTTTGAGTTGCCGTTTGTTGGGTCTGACTTGTGCCTTGGAAAGACGTTGATCTCATATTTGTGTTCCTCATGGTGTTGGTCGGGCTCATGCTCCCGCCAGGAGGAGGAGGAGGAATCGAGAATGATTGGTTACCCAATCCCGCCGTTGTTGACCCGGACAAATAATTTGAGGGTGTCATGGTCGACATGGACGCCAAAGAAGGACTAGGTGCGCCCACCTGTGGTCGTAGATTGACATTTACTGGGGTTCCCCAGATGGAAGAAGATGAAGATTGAGGCTGCATGGCAGGGAAGGCCGAGGTAATAGGCTGAGTAATTGGCTGAGTAACTGGCGAAGTTTGTCGAGCAGGGGCCAGTGACGGGAAGGAACCCAACTTCTGATCGGGAGTAATGGAGCGGAAACCGAGGTTTGACTGCTGGCTCAGAGCACTGGCCTGGTTTGTCATACCTGCGTTGTTTGAAGACCACGAGAATGAAGGCGACATGCTTGGAGGAGCAGCTTTGGCTGGCGCTAGCTCCATTCCACCCCACATGTCTATGGTTTCACCATTCGCAGAAGGCTTCTTTCCAAGCACCAGACGCTCAAAGCTGCCAGCGACGTCGGTATCGGGCGAACTAAGGCCCGTAGCGGACTGCGAAAATTCATTGGCCCTATTCTGGAAACCAGTTGATTCAGTGCCTGAGGAAAGCTCTTGTAGTTTCCTGCTTTGTTCCTGCTCAATTCGAGTTGAAAGAGTCTTGATCAGGGCCATAAAGTCATTGAATTGATTCAGACTCAATAGAGGTCCAAGGCTGAAGCTCCAAAGGACCGGTATAACTTCCAAAGCCAGGAATTCAGTATCTGCAACAAGTCCCACTTGCCGGAAAACCTTGAGTGCTGCCATCATTACTGATGGCTCTTTCGTTTTGATCACCTTGAGAGATGGAACGAGCTTCTCTTGGATGGTGTACTTGTCTAAGATGGAAGACTTTGTCGCTTTAGTTTTGTTGGTCTGAACCCCAGTCAAATCATCATCCAACCCATCGTACTCTTCGACAGGTGCTCCACACAGCACACTGAATGCCTCCAGACTGCGAACCTTGATGGCAAGGCTACTGGTGCGACTGAAAGTGGTGGCAATAGGGGGAAACACTTCATTCTTGACAGTGCTGAAATCGAGAACTGGGAGCACCACGGGGAGGCATTTGATAGAGGCATCGACCAAAGAGTGTGTTGGTGAATCCAGACCGAGCCGAATGAGAGGTAAAATATCTATCAAAATACGTCAGATGCGAATTGAGACACATTAATAAATCAGTCTTACCATCTTTGAATTCCATCCCCGAACAGTTGTTGGCAATAGCCTTCATGTTTTCAAGCACAACCATGAGACCGGCATCCTTCTTAGAGTCTCGTTCAGCAGCCGCTTTGCCTGAGCCAGTCCCAAAGACTTCTTTCAGGCGAGGGATTATCTTTTCAGGGAACACACGGCGTCCATTGGGAATTCGTTGCAAAATGCCGAACACATTTTGGAGAATTAGCGGAAGTAGTTCCCGATCCTTCAATTCATCCATTAGGGCCCCCAGCAACTTTCTCTCTAACACAGAGACAGGAAATTCGGGTAACACTCGCTGCAGACCACGCAAGAACTGAGACTTCTCATTGGGGCTTTTGGCTGGCAGTGATTCCAGGAACCGAATGGTGGAAACCAGCACATTGTCGAAGTATTGGGACTGCTGGAACTCCCGAGCATTCATTCGTTGAGCAGGTCTTCTGGTAATAAGCTTTGGCAATACATGAGAAAGTACATCCCTGGGGATCGGTTTGGAGCAGAGAAAGTTGTTCCCTTGAGAGGGCGTGGAAGATGGAGAGCTCAGCAACTTCTTATATGTGGTTAAATTTGCGTTTGTTTGTAGAGGTGAGGAGTGCGGAGAGTTGTATAGAGAGACGATGATGAGACCCAGAGAGAATAGATCGGCCGCCGAGGACACATTGGAGTCCAGGGCAAAGTCAGGCGAAGTGTAGTCGAGGTTCAATTGTACTGAGGCTGGGAGTCTCGGATCTTGGTAGAGAACTTCAGACACAGCCAACGGTGGAAGCGATGATCGAGTTTCAGAGGAGTCTGGAGGTCCTGCAAATCCCAGACCAGAGATCTTCCAATCTGATTTGGCATTGATATAGATAGCTTCCGGGTTCAAGTTTCCATGCACCAAGCCCGCAGACTCATGGAGAAACTCAAGACCCTTGGCAACTTGCAGGAGGCCTTTTTGAATCTCCAACTCATCAATTTCCACATCTGTTCTCCTCCTTGTCCCGTCCGCCTCCCCAGCCATGTACCGACCTGTTCGTGAACCTGAACGTGTAGTATTCTCCTGGTCATCTTTCTCCAAAAGTAGACCAGAAAGGGAAGCAGTAATGTGTTCGGTCGCAAACATGAGACCACCGTTCCGGGTTTCTTCCACAGGCTCAAGGACTTGAAGAATAGATGGGTGCCGTAGGCGAGCGAGATTGCTCGCTTCACGCTTGAGCCGTTCGATCACATCCTCTTGCAGCTTTTTGTTGGAGGACCCGGAACTTCTTCCAAGCCCTCCGGGACGCGTCTCAAGTGACTTGCGATCAAAGATGAATACCGATGCTGTAGTTCCGGTGGACTTTTTCTTTGCATCGTGGATTTTCCAGGGGCCGGAATAAACAGTGGGGTTTGGTGAGATTTGGTAATTGGCGGAGATGTTCGAGCTGAATGACTTCAGCGCAGAGGTAAACATAGTGAGTCTTCAATCACAATTTGATCTGCTAGGCAGGCGGAATGAGGTAAGGGGTGCTCGTTTCACAGTGTCGTCACGGTGCTAACAAAAGACATGACTATTTGGCATACGGTCACATTGAGTGTGGAGATCGGTAAGACAGGTAACTTACTCCACCAATTGAGCCTCAAATGCCAGAGAAGAAATACAGCAAGTCACCCAAAAGGCGGAATAAATTGAGCTTCAATGGTTTCGCACAACCAACTGTGTTGGTATCGCGACCGCCCGCACGTGAGTCAACAGCTCCCCATTCTGGTGCCTCAGGCGAAAGCTGTTTATCGCCGACACAAGCCGAAGTCGGCGGGCCTCTCTAAACAAATACCACTGATTGGCCAATTTTGTCCATATCCGCTGACTCACGCCCTGTTTATGGGGCGGTGAGTCTTCATTGCCCGCTGCAGGCCGAATAACCGGAGTTCTGATCGACCTCCGCAGAGACATTCATTGCAATTCTGACGAGGAGTCATTCTACTGCTTCGGATATATAAGGACCATTGAATTCCGTGCTTTAGGTGTGTATAGGTTTCTTTCTAGGACTAAATTGACAGTCCAATCTTCAATCTCCACTCTAGATCTGCCGTCTCTCGAATTGTTCCTGACATTGTCGCAGTTATGAAGTCAATTCATCAATTGGCCCGCCGGCAGGCATTGACCGGCCTCGCAATGCCCCGCGTCCTGTCCACCCAGAACATTGCTGCCAGCCGGACATGGCAGAGAGCCTTCAGTGCTTCTGCGCCGGCTGCTTCACAGCTCCCTGGTCTCGACCCTTCGAAGTTGACTGTCACCAAGACCACCACTCCCAAGGAGCCTATGGACTCGAAGGATCTTGTCTTTGGCAAGTACTTCACAGGTAAGCCGGACAGGATTTTCCAAGCTTGATAAGCGCTCACTAGAGGAAACCTATAGATCATATGCTTTCCGTGGAGTGGACCGCTACCGACGGGTGGCACGCACCCAAAATTGTCCCTTACCAGAACCTAAGTTTGGATCCCTCAACTTGCGTGTTTCACTATGCGTTTGAATGTTTTGAGGGAATGAAGGCATACAAGGACAGCAACGGCGGTATTCGTTTGTTCCGTCCTAACAAGAACATGGAGCGTCTGAACAAGTCTTCTGCGCGTATTGCCCTACCTACCGTGGATGGTGAAGCTTTGACAAAGATTATTGGTGAATTTGTCAAGCTTGACAGTAGATTCATCCCCGAGTTAGTATAACAATTATAGTTCGACGTACGGAAACGCTAACTCTCCCAGTGCTCGTGGCTACTCCCTGTACCTGCGCCCTACCATGATCGGCACACAGAAGACCCTGGGCGTTGGCCCACCAGGATCCGCACTACTGTTTGTCATTGCCAGTCCCGTCGGTCCTTACTACCCAACTGGCTTCAAGGCCATCTCCTTGGAGGCCACTGATTACGCCGTCCGCGCCTGGCCCGGTGGTGTTGGAGACAAGAAGCTCGGAGCCAACTACGCTCCTTGTATCCTTCCCCAACTCGAGGCGGCTTCCCGTGGCTTCCAGCAGAATCTGTGGCTCTTCGGCGAGGAGGAATACGTTACCGAGGTCGGGACTATGAACCTCTTCATCGCTCTGAGGAACAAGGAGACTGGACAGAAAGAGCTTATCACTGCTCCTCTTGACGGTACTATCCTGGAGGGAGTCACTCGTGACTCCGTCTTGACCCTTGCCCGCGAGAGACTTGAGCCCCTGGGCTGGGCCATCAAGGAAGAAAAGATCCGGATGTCTGAGGTGGCTGAGGCTTCTGCGGAGGGCCGTATGATTGAAGTCTTCGGTGCAGGCACTGCAGCTATTGTCAGCCCTGTCCGCAACATCAGCTACCGGGGTAAGATGGTCGATTGTGGCCTCAAGAAGGACGAGGAGGCTGGTGAGATCGCTCTCCAGATGAAGAACTGGATTGAGGGTATCCAATATGGTGATGAGAAGAACCCCTGGAGGTAAGTGCCAATCTTTGATATTTGGACAATCACAGACTAACTGGTTGATAGTGTGGTGATCTAAGCCATATAAATCATATGAAAGGGCTTCTGTACCCAAGCTTTGTTATATTCTTGCGGAAGCTTCCAAATTCCATGCCCTAGAACTTCATTTTGGTTTATTAATTTTGCATTTTTCTGGATAGTTTACTGACGCAACCTCGTTACCTGGACTGAGTGGTTACATTATATATATCAACTGGAGCTCAGTTGTTTACATAGAGAGCTCCTCTGCAATTTTTTCATCATTTTCGGTTCTTTCATTCAAACGAGCCCTTCTGGAGATGTGCCGATGGTATAGCAATGTCCTCCAGGGCTGTTCTGAGCAGATCACTCTATTACGAAGACCTTTTAGGGACAGCAGTACTATATCTTGTCGTATAAGGGAAGTTCCTGATAACTGATTGGACTACGCTCTTTAGCTACCAAACAATGTTGGAGTATTCATCACTGACCAATCACTTGATGTTTGTCTTCCTGCCACAGAGACTTGGTATCAACCAGATCTCAAACATATAAAGATACTAGGTAGTCAAACTGGTCTCTGTGACAAGCTCGCGATCTGATTGCGCGATATATCTCAAATCCAAAAGTTCAACTTGTGACAATTTATCTCCAGGGCTCATTGATGGCTTACCACGTCATATATAAGATTTCTACCATCACTTTGCTGATATACTTGCTTCCCTGCTTCTAGAAATGTCTCCAGCGATCATATGTCGAGGCCATTGATAAATTGCCTGGGCTCTAGCTGCTATGTATGAAGACATTGCAACATACACCATAAAAACACACACCGTGAGGCCCAGAACCGAACAGCACAGGCGCTGCGCAACATGCCACCAGGCCTCTAGGTCCCCGAGTTTCATTCCTTGAACTCAACATGGTAAGCGCCCAAACCCTTCTTCAAACCGGCCACAACATCACTATGCTCATCACTTGGAGCTATCTCCGACCCGGCCTTTTGCCTTGCTTTGGCTTCATTGACTGCCATTCTTGCCCTTGGCACAACATTCCATTGTAAAGCTTTTTGGTAGAAGGTCTGCTTTGACATAATCTGCTGGTCTCGGTCCTCGTCGGGCAGGAATAGCAAATCAACAGATTCCAAGTTCAGGTACGACGTTTCGGGGTAGAAACAATATACAAGAAATGCCGCCACGATATTCAAGACAGCAAAAATAATGTAGGTTTTGTAGCCGATATTTTCGAGGGCTGGAGGTGTGATTTCCACAACCTAAAAGTTGAGCTTGAGTGTTAGGTTGCGAGGAAGATGTGAGCATAGCTATTTGCACTCACGAGAAAATTTCCCAGAAAATCGGCTGCGGCTGCAAGAGCAGCTCCTTTTGACCGAATTCTTAGAGGAAGAATTTCCGCTGGGTATACCCATACCGTGGCCATCCAACCTATATGAGGATTTAGTATTGGGTAAGGAAGGGTCAGAACAAAGGGAACTGGATTCACCCCATGTAAAGCAAGCCTCAAAGGCAAAGATAAAGAAAACTGCTGCAATAGCAGACTGCTGGTTGTCAATGGCAACAGTGATAGCCTCGCAAGCCAACACAACGCCCATTCCAATAGACATGCTGATATATAATCGTCTTCTCCCAACGGCATCGATCATATACCACTATGGAAATTAGCACGCACATGGACATCATAGAAAAAACAAATCAACACACCGTAAGCAACGATGCTACAATATACCAGACTTGCAAAAAACAGCTGACAAAAAGAGCTCGCTCCTGTGTCATGCCCAATGAGCTCTTTAACAAGGTGGGTGCGTAGTAAGTTACAATATTGATACCTGGGTTTATCAGTCGGATCCAAACTAAGCCGAAAGAGAGTGAATACTAACCAGAAGTCTGCTGCATAAATTGAATGCCCAGTGCCAGGAAAAGCCGCTTGTTTGCAGCGCAGCCCCCATCCGATAAGAGTGATTTCCAGGACCCTTCCTCTTCGGCTTCGATACTGATTGCTGCCCCAATCTCATTCTTCTCTTTCTGCACAGCGGTATCTTCGATTGGCTTGTTGCGCAATTTTGACAAAACAATCGTTCCTCTCTCCGGTGTGGACTCATGCAACATGAGCCAGCGTGGTGTATCGGGTAAGAACGGTGCCACGACGAGGATATAAATCGCGAAGACAGCCTGGAATAATATAGGAAACCGCCATTGCACCGCTCCTGAGTGGAAATAGAACGCATAGTTGATCCAGTAGGCGAGCATCAACCCGAATAACATCATAGTTAACTGGCAAGATAAATGCCATCCACGTTGGCTCGGTAGGCAGATTTCACTTTGATATACAGGGGCGACAGAGGTGAGAAATCCAATGCCTGATAGAATTTCACCCAAGATCAATCTCTTTTTAGATAACTACAAGGACTTCTTTGACATACCTAAGCCTGTGACAATCCTTCCCACGATGAACTGAATTCTCTCAGCACAACTACCCATCAATATAGCACCGATAACGATCAAAGCTGCTCCAACCAATAAACCTCTTTTTCGACCAAGATCTTCAACCCACAATGCAGCGCCAATTGCACCAAGAACCCCGCCAATATCATATAGAGCAGTGATTGTACCGGTCATCACGGTACTGGGCTGTCCCATCGCATCAAGCCAATCTTCAGAGATGACCACCCCAGACATGACACCTTGATCATATCCAAAAAGCAGAAACGAGGAAGCACACACAGAAGTGATAGCTCCAACTAGCGGGGCGCCTTTGAGAGCACCCAGCCCTGTCTTGTCGGCCATGTTAGGATATTGAGAGATCAATGAGAGGGCATATGGAATAGCGAAAAGAAACACATGGGGGATATTGTCTATCTCTTTATTCCAGAAGGGATCATCATCAATACCACGCAATACCACCGGGCCTTTCAAGTATGAGGTATTTGCCCCCGAGACTGACATGCGTGGGGGTGGATCTGGGGAATGTGGGGGGCAAATGGAATACATATTCGCTCGTCGGGAAGTCCATTTAGATAAAGATTCGGGCAAAAGCTTGGAAAATCAAGCATTAACTAAGCTTTTTCAAGGTTAGTGACATGAATTATATGGTAATTTGTTCGCCGATCATCTATTTCCCCTCTTCATCAGAGTCAAACTACCGACTATCCACGCAAGACCCAACCCTATTCGACACAATCATTGGGGTATTTCTCGATCTCCACTTTGCATATTAACAAATATGAAAGAGAAACCCGAGGTCTTACCGAGATTCCCAGATTTTGTTGCGCAATAGATGGGTAATGATATCATAATAGCAAATATCAAGGGGGCAAAGCCAAACCCAAGATACCAAGCCAACTTTCCCTTATCAATAGCGGAATGTGATTTAGGATGGGTCTTTGGGATCCAGTTAGGTATGTCTGAATCGGATAATTGACATCCTTGTGTGGCACAGGAGATAGGTTGATGTACGGCAAGGATTTCTTTTATATCGATTACTCTCGAGCAATCAACCGCTATCCTGCAAATAATGAGCAAAGAGAGGATTTAGATCTCCCAGTATTAACTTTGAGAAAGCTTCAATTCATCCATAACCTGGCATAATGTACGTATCCGCGAGGAACAAATAAAATCCATCCATGGTTGTTGTCTTGAGTCAAATTCCAACAAATACAGACATATTTAAAAATGATATATTCCATGAAAGAAGTAGCATTTATTGCAATATGCCAATGGAGACAAAAGGAGAGATCTGACAGCAGCTGGCATCTCACGATACTGGGGTAACTTTCAGCCAACAATGAGTTCAGTGTGTATGGACTTGTAATGTCCAGGCATCTCCCAGACATCACTACCAATTATTGTGATCTGCTGACCGGTTCTCCAGATCTTGTGACAATAATAGGCGAGCGCAAGTGGGCTTTCTTCTTCCGAAAGCTGATCGATCTGTGGCGAGACCAATGTGGCTGGTACTAGCCCCGCGGCCGGGGGTGCGTTGAACTTTTTGGACAGAGCATTGAAAATATTGTTTCCGGTCGGTTGAAGTTCCGATAGACTTATGAACCGGTTCTTGAGCTCATCAAATTCTGTAAAGGCGAAAATAGATGCATGTGCTTCTGCGACATAGAACCCAGTGCTGCGAGGGCGTTAGTAAACATCTTCGTTGCCAAACAGAAACAGGATATCGACATACCAAAAATTGACAGGCTTGATTGAGCTCTCATCGTTGAATAGGATCTGGTATTGGCAGAGTTGATACCCATAACGCTACATGAGACAATTTGCAAGATGCTGTTCCAAGCAAACTATTCATGCACACTTAGGTTGGATTCAATGCAAAGTCGGCAAAATTGCGTAGAAGAACGATAGTTATGGAAACTCCAGCTTTTTGAGCCGCTCGCTGACCTCGATCTTTTCGTGGTTGACTGTAATGAGGTCTCCCTGGTCATTGTATTGGGACCCAAACTTCGATGGAACAATCAAACGGACATCTGTCTTCGAAATCACATTGATAAGTTGGTGCTGAAGCGTGATACCATCGTGACCAATTAAGGAGCTAGAGGAAATTGGGGAATTAACTGAACACTGCCAATACGTACTGTAGTACACTTGACTCACATCACGATATCAATATCTTTCGAACTAGCGACCAGAGTTCACGATCGGAGAGATCAATCTCCACCGTGTCAATATTCTGGGGTAAACTTGAGATATCGGCGCCATTGCGATGTAGAACCCGAATGTAGGCATTGGAGGAGGCATGGGCTCTCAACTATCCCAGAACTTGCCCATTCCCGGTGGCCATAAACAGCGATGCGATTGAAGGACATGTTGAGACAACTATAATTGAATTAGTTTAAATTGAAACAAAAGAAACAAAATCCACAGTGTTTTATAAATATGTAGTTACAGAATCGTTTTTCTATACAAGTCTAAATCATTTGCAATGTTTGATTCAGACCCCATGTTGACCAATTGAAGCCACTACCTAGCTAGGTAATCCTGGAAATTCGCAAGATTTGTAGTGTCCCGCATTTTTTTCTGTTTTTTTCGTTTACATCTGACCTTAACCTCTACATGATCGGTTCTGTTGGTGTTTCTTTTTATTCGGAAGGAATCTGAACTCTCTGGTTGCGACGGTATCGTCGCCTGTTGCATTTGGCAGATATGTATATATATATATGGATCATTTGGGTCGCTGGTGCCATCTTAACCAAAGAAGATGTTACAAGGAAGTAATGAGGTCAATAGACAATGTAACTCCAGCTACTGAAATAGATTCCTGGGGAGTTAGACTTTCCAACGTATTGACCATACACGAGGACTTGAATAAACCTGGGCACGTACCAAAGTACGTGAGTCACAGCAGGCAATTTCAACAAAGCCCACAACCAAGTGAGCATTCCAAGGTCTGGTATCTAGTTGCCCATGTTTCAACAACAAGAACATAGAGATTCGAAGTCTCTATAAAATGAAACAGACCAAGACACAAAATACGGGAATATCCATATGAAGTCAAATCTACATCTCGGCCTCACACAAACACAGTGCTGACAACCCCCAGCCACCCGTATTCAGACCCCACTAATTTTTCAAGAAGCTCCGCTTCAAATAGTGCGACAGATTCCGATACGACGCAAGAGGAATATGCGCCGTAATAGAAATGCACCAGTCATAGGATCAAGCGACCAAGAATTCTGCATCACCCGAATCAATACTAGGTCCCGGTGAATAATACAAATATCCAAGCCAAAAGTGTCTAGGATATCTTTCTTCCCGGTACATGTAGAGCTAAAATAAGGTAAGATAGGCGACACGCCGCACGTGGACCACGTGGAATGAGGCTAAGCCCAGACTCGACAAGGGAAGCGGAAGCGAAATGAAAAAAAAAGAGACCACACTGGTCGGCTTCATCTAGAAGTGGTTTCAGGCTGGGTCTGTACTCCCTTCGGCTGCATATAGAACTGCAGATTTTAGAAATACGGCGGACCACAACATGCGTTTCAGGATGTCCCGCATGGTTAAGAATGGTCATAGGTCGAAATCTAGTCGGCGCTTTCGGGGGTTGCAGTGAGAAAAAGTGATTGATTTGCGCACGGGGGAATAGCCGGGTTCGGGGTGTGGCTTGAACTGAGGTCAGCTTCTTATCTTGGGATACCCCCGAAGCGAGCAACTATAATTATGGGCCGGACTTTTTGTTCGAGGATAAAGATAGTAAAAAAGTAAAATAAAGCCAAAAGCCGCCAAATGCCGCACCCGATGTTGCAGGTGTCACTCGAGAAATAGATCACTCCTTTGACCATGTTCGTTTTGCGCAAACTTGCAAGTCTCCGAGATTGTATTGTTTCCAGCACTGGACGCCTTGTCCGACCTTTTGGGCGATTCTATTTACGAGGACTTTGAAGTTGGCATATCCAGTAGGTGTGCGTGGATGCCCTCTGCACTCGGTCTATTTACATGTTTAGTGTAACATCTCAAGTGGATGTCTGCGAGAGCGACAACGTGTCCAAGAGGCTCGGAGATTGCCGTCATCGATTCAATTGAGTGACACCGGAATTGCAAGAGAGGGCAAGGGATAAGGGGGGAAAACGAGAATAACGCGAGAGCTCTACAGACGTGAGTGGGTGTGCGTGGGTGTGCGTGTGTGTGTGGTCATGGGAATATGCATCTCCAACAACAAGGCCGGGGCTGCAGTAAAGTCCACCGCCAGGAACATTCTTCTAGATTGTTACTAGAAGGCTCAAAATGCAACCCAACCAAGCATCCGGGGATAAATATGGATTATGAATGGCTACAATCCCTGCAGGAGGTAGGTTTTGGTCAAGGATGGCTGTGCAATTCTTGGAATTCCAACTGGAGGCTTGAACAGCATGAGCGGTGAAGCAAGCAATAATTGATGTACCGGGTACCTGAGCTGTTGTGTTCAACCAGCGTGTTACTAAAGTCATGAGATCCCTCCGACATCCTCGAACAGGAATAAGAAGGCTCGAGGCTGTACAGCTCAGCCCTACACGAGAGACAATAGCACTTTGGTGACGCACTGACGGAGTTAGGCCAGAATGGCCGCCGCGCATCCTGCTCCTAACTAGGATCCGGATTGGCCAATAAGCCCTGCAAGGCCACCTATTCATAGCTTGTCTTACCTGAACAGAGCCTCTTTGGCGTGTTCGCTTTTTTTACTTCCCGTCCCCCAGCTCTAAACCCTGTCTGGTCCAAGGAGGTGATGATGTATTTGGGTCGGAGTTAAGCCACTCAAAAGCCTGAGCGTATCGTCCGGGGGGCTAGGCAACAAGTGGATATTGCGCACCGAATACCTTCTTTGGTATCCCGTACGCAGGGCCAATCAGGCAACCAAAGCAAGCGCGTCCATAAACCTATGGAAATGAGAGGAAGTATAAAAATAAATCGCGGTATAGGGCCAAAACAAAAATTAAAAACCCAAACCTAAAATACCCAAAAAATCAACAGTTCAAATAATATGAGAGATTAAAATTATCAAAAAAAGCAAAGAACCATTCTAGTGATTACCGTGTGTAATGGGGGAAAGTGACTTTATTCCATGACAGGTATAGGGTTGAGTCAGTATACGAACTATCCAATTATCGCTCATAGGGAACTGGTAGGCGATACAGGCCCAACATTCCAGGCGCCTAGAACTCATGTTATTTCTCTCCACCTGGATACCCCTAGACATCTTGGACTCGATTTATTGCTTTTAATTGAACTTACGTTGAATGTGACTTGGTCATATTCTGCAATACGAAATTACTACCACACAGTGAATCACTACCATACTCCGTACGCCGTACTCTCATGAGTATTGGAATGTTACCAAATAAAGATCCGCCAAAGAGTAAGATCTTTATCCCCTTAGTCCGTTGCCAAGATTCAAAGACACAACGAAAAACGTGGTCTTAATGACCGTGCGCTTCACTGGGAGAGAGTGACACTCCGGTCTACAGAGGGAAATCAACTTCCACGTGAGAAAATAAAAAGAAATAAAACCATGTAAATTCAAAAACAAACAAGGTGTAACCCCAAAATCCACGCATCCCGTTTCATCCCTGGACATATCGTGTCTCGGGCCAGTCAGGTCGAATGAGGATCGCCTCCAAGCGAACGTCTGGTTAGCGTGTCCCGGCCCAACTCCAATAATTCATCCTACCGTCTTGGATTCGATCATACTTCGTACCACTTTAGTACTACATGTTAGATCTGAGATCCCACCGAACCGTAACTGACCGGTCTGTCGGTGTTTCTGGAAAAGAAAGACGAAGAGAGGAGAGCACGATCGCGGTATCAGGGAAGGGCCGAATCACTCTGTACATCCATATGTCTGTATCCATGGCTGTAGATGTATTGCAGTATGCAAGTTCAATGCGCACGGTACTGAGAGGCTGAACGAGGATCCTGGTAAAAATCGAATATAATTTAAATCCAGATAATTGAAATAATAAAACCACGATAATCGGAATAATATTAATATAATAATAATATATAATAAGAATTAAAAAGAATTAAAACGGACTTTGTGCACATGGCAAGTCGAGTCTAAAAAAGTGATTTCCACGGCCTGCACGGTTTATCGCGACGGGCTTAGCAATCTGCACTCCGAAATCCAATTCCAGCTGATCAATTAGGTATATAATCATAACTTATCCACTTCCTTCATTGTCTTGGCCCTAACTATTCCATCCTTTCTTGCTCATACTACGCTCTGCAAACTGTTCACCGACCCAACTTTTCTTACTCTTGTGAACCGGACTGTCTCCATCTATTGTAACTTTATTAGTTGTTGTTTATTCTATTCACTATGCATCGTTCTGCTTCATACGATGGCCGTTCAGGCTCTCGGGGAAGTCACAGCAACAGCAGCGCGTTCAGTCCTAACGCCAACCCAAACGAAGACTGGACCAAAATCTCCGATCTAGCAGAGCGTCGGCGCATTCAAAATCGTATTGCCCAGCGGAACTATCGTAAGTAGTCTACATCCACTAGTCGTTCGGATAGATTCCTAACCTAGTTCAAACGCCATAGGCAAGAAACTCAAGCGCCGTCTGGAGGACCTGGAGAGACGAGCCGCAACATCCGATTCCGCAGAAGAGTCACATGAAGTGCCCGTGTCTCCAAAGATATCATCTCCACCCAAGACTCGAAAGCCGCGAGCATCTAAGCCCATGGATGTGAAATCTCACTTGCAATCAGACCGACTCTACGACTACCATAATCCCGAGGACCGATCAGCTATGTTTGCTCAACAATGTACTCGGCAACTCTCAGCTTCACCCCCACCAGTCTTCTCGTATCCATCCATGTCACCATATGATGCCTACCGACAGTCAACCTACACCCAATCTCCTCTCTACCACGCTGCGCCGAACGCCTATAGTGAAATTTCCTACCAAGCAGACTACGGCTCGCCCGTACCCTCGCTGGTTCCCTTGCTACCGTCAATGCAGCGTAAACTCGCCTACGATGAAGATCTGATCAGTCCCTTCAGCATGAGCTACGCAACAATGGCGGGCATCGACTTGTGCCAACAACAGGCACAAGCACACTCCCATCCAGAAGGCCTTCCGGTACATATCCCTCGCTGAGTGATTTTTTTTTCCTTTTTCTTTTTGGGAAAAAGCAGCACATCTCCCGACCAGCAGCTAATGAACTGGGTTTCCAGGTGCCATCGCTTGCATACAGCTACTCAGAGGATCAGCGAGCACCATCGACGTCCCCAGAGGCATCTATCTTCACAATTCCACCCACGCCAGAACATGAACATCTTTCTCCTCGCTCGATGCCTGGATTCTATGACTATGATCTACGGCCGTAAGGCGATCGGAGAAGGTAACGCAAAAGCCCGAATTGCGGGTATTTCCGCCCCTTCCAGGCCCTAAAGCGGACCCCGAGAGCCGATCGAAACCACGTTTTTTTCTTCTTTTTCTTTTTCTTTTTCTATATTCTCTCCACTTGAGTCATTCATTTGTCAAAGCCCGTTTGATTTCAATATGAATATGTGTGACGAGATAGCTGCATGATAATTGGCGTTGAATTTTTTGTTCTATTGGTAGCGTGGTGTTTAACGGAATCGGGATGAGATATTAGCTATTGAAAGTATTTGTGTTTTTTTTTTGGTTTTCTCTGGATTTGTTGTAATGTTTTGATTAAATTCAGATATACGGAGCACAGATGGCAAATTTGATCATTTAGTATTAGAAGAATAACCTATAACAATGTCCTGCAATAGTGCCCTTTGTGGCCCCCAAACACCCGTGCGAGATTTTTTATTGCCATTGGATAATATTTGCTCAAAACGATCGAAACCAGGTTTACTTTGATCCAAGACTTAGAAAATGATTAACCGTCAAATGCCCCGATCTACATAGTACACTTTCCCATTTAGGGGTTGACTTTGCACTTCGCATGGTAGCCCTAAAGTACAGTGAGGCGCAGCTGAGGGGCCAACACAGACCAATTTCTTGAAACGGAAGACACCTGGGCAAGTGCACACACATGACTCATGGTAAATCCGGACGAATTTCACAGCTACAGGACCATTGGAAACCCGATCCTTGCAGAAAAGAAGGCACCCCGTGGGACTCGGTATTTATCCGACTTTGTTTCGCGACGATTATCGGTTTTTAGACTAGCACTAGCAAACCGGCCTCTAATTATGTACTTTCTAAAGTGAAAACCGGCTAACTAATTCACCGATGATGCAATCTAGTAATCTGCACTTCCCATTATCCCTTTGCCCGTTTACCCGTACCTACTCCGTATATAGTGTAGTTAGTACCTACTACAGAGTAACTGGGTACGGAGATGCCCCGAGATCCCCTCCCCCCTCCCTCTTTGGAAATTCCTTCCTGATAACTGCATGAAAGGAAGACTACGAGGCTAGGAAGAAACTACATTGAAACCAATAACGATACAAAGTTCCTCGTGAGCGATATTTCGACGAAAGAGCTTGTCCCAACATATTAAACATCTCATAGCTGATCCGATAATCCGAAACAATTTCGAAGAGCCGCGCTCTGGACCAAATCAATATACCTAGGTGTTATCCAATGAAGACTTCGTTATCACATACAGTGCGATATGCAATAAATCAAAACAAAGAAGAGGCAAAATCTGCACGGTCCTCTCCCTCCCTTTGCACCAAGATTTTCGGCCGGAAAATCCGTTGTAGATTTGGGGCTGAGAAATCAGAGAAACCACCTGGGCCGGAAAATCAGGGATGTTTAGCATACAACCTTAGTCTTTTCACCGTTGGAACCCACAGTTCTCAAGGAGGGTAAAGGGCTAGATGGTTAATAGCGCAATGTGCTTCCGCAACTCCGCTATTTCGTTATTCTGCTTTTTCCTTTACTGGTTAGCTTGGGGGCTTTTCTTATCAGGGTTGGCGGCTCTGGTCTGCAGTCCCATAAGATGGGGACAAGGTGGGGAGGCTAATAGGTCGGTGCTTGTAGAACTCTAAAGCGGAAGGTGATTCATGAGTGAGTTGATTCTCTAGAATGGGGCTTTCGTTTTTCTCTGTCTTTTGTTTCCAATCAATTATTACCCAAAACCACGATCTTCCCCTCGTTGCACGTTGCAGACTTGCAGACTGCAGTGATTCACCTGCATTGTTCCCAACCTTATCTATGCCGAAAGCCAAAAGGGAAAACGTTCAAATCGGTCAATATAACCGAGGGGATGTAGCAATATTATAGAATCAGAACGGTAAGCGAGTAAAGGTGCATGAAACACAAAGTAAAAAAGGGTCTCAGCCTTAGTCTTGGCTCTGCCAACTCATGATTTCACCCTCTTCAGTATGGCGAGAGCGGAGGATATCCCATTAGGTCCGAGTCAACAAGGCCTATTCCGGTCCAAAATGATTCGGACAATGACAAATCAGATACACCGAAAATAGCCTCAAGTATACGTGTACATTCCAACTCGTCACGAGTAAAGGAACCAAATTTTCGGAGTTTTAAAAATTGGAATATTTTTTCAGAAATAAAAAAAAGGCGACAAGCAAGGGCAAGGCATGCTCCACCTCTGAGGGAAATTCGAACGTAAAACAATAACCCGTTATAAAGCTCGTTTGAGCGATCTTGATAAAGATTTCTGTCCACCTATCATCGTACACAACGTTGGGACGCCTAGTTCTACAGCCTAGTTGTGAGATCACTACTAACCCATCCATCAAACTCCACATTCTGCAGCGGGGCTGGCCGCAGTCAGCGCGGGAGGCCAGAGCCTTGGGAACGTCAAGACGTTGATACGTGATACCTGGGTACATAGGCAGGACTATTTTGGGATGGATTTGTAGAATTCAAACGTAATTTGGGGGCTATCAGAGGCTATGAGAATTAACGAAATGATTCCTAGTGCGTGGCACTAGGAATTCGGTACATCACATCGACCATGTGCCAGGTGGGCCCATACTACTCCGTACAATAAATAGACGACTTCTGAAACAATGGGGTAATAGCATTTTAACATTTAGCATTTAGGCTCGGGTTCTTACCGAGTGTTGAACGTGCATCTCAATTATTTCGTTCTAGCTTGATTTCCTTGAACTTGGATCATCTAGTATTTGACATTTGTCTCCAGGGCTGCTATATTTGATTATCTCTCCAGGAAAGATTATTTGATCACGATCTAGGCTTTTATTGTTGGGGATCCTGGTCTGTATTGAGGAGATTGCAGGGTATTATTTACCAGCATATCACTGGAAGACCAGGAAGCCTTTGAAGCCTTGTGGATAACGCAGGCATTTCCTGCTCCCGTTTGGCGTTATTTATTTGATGCCAACAGTGAGCATGTACTCCCTAGGACACATGATACTGGAACAGGACAACAGTGCTTCGGAGGGACAAATATCATGAGGCTCGTATTTGATATATAGTGTCCCTTGCCAAGATGTAAGATTATGCAGGGCCATCTGAATTTAAGGTCTGACAACCTCAACGATCTCTATCCTATCTTCTTGAAAAGGATGGAAATATAGAACAGAAGTGAGAGCATATTGTAACAGGGTGATAATTAGCTGTATCAGATGAGACCGTCGGAAATGTTTACGAGCTCCAACGGAGTGAAGATGATAGGGATTTATCCATGCAGGAAATGCCAGCAAGTCCGAGTCCAATAGCAATCAAAAAAATAGAAACAATAATAAAGAAACCCTTCCAACAATCAAATAATCCAATAATCCAACAATCAAATAATCAATAATCCAATACCAATCAAAAGCGTGGCAATATCCTGCAACTCTCAAAAGCCCAACGCTGCCCCAACACCTCAACCCTGACCCCACTACCTAGCTATGAACCGTTCCCAATACCATACCTATCAAACAAAGAACTAAGCCAACCACAAAAACCACAAAACCCGCTAAAACCGACACATGTGACAGCGATTCGCACCCAGCAAACAAGTCCCCCGTATACCCCGTAGAACAACCCATTCAGGTAATTTACGCGCCAATGGAGAAGTGTCCATGCGCTTGCATATAGGTATGCATATACATACGCACGCAGATACGCTAAGGCTTTAATGGGTATTCCACAGGTGGAATCCTCCTCCGCCGTTCCGCTGAAGTTGGGGGCGCTTTGGATGATTGGTTCCCGGGATATTGGAACTGGCGGCAAGGAATGCGTTAGCAAATATGGGAGACTAATTTAATTTCAACACTATAACTCCCCAATGACAATATTCTATAGTATTCTTATAGTATTCTTATAATATGGCCCTCAATGATAAATCGGTTAACTCCACGCTATTTTCTTTTGGGAAGTGGGGGGCTTTGGGACTTTGTTGCTTTAATTTTTATAAATATAAATTTAATCTGTCTGTCTGTTGTGATTAGAAATATGCGGAATTAGCAACAGGTAAGGCACCGGCCCATTATGAGACTGTTGTATGAGGTTGCACAAAGTCTTTTTTTTCGTGACTCTTTTTCTTCTTTATTTTCGGGGACGCCGATGGACTTTTGATTGAAGCTTGAAAAGGAATATGAAGCACTATGTAGACGGAAACAGGCAATGGTCGTCTGTCTGTTTTGAGTTTGGTAAGTATTGTCGGGGAGGCCGATATACGAAGACGACTGCATTTGGAGCCTCTTGCAGATCCACGGGAGAGTTACGTGTCAAGGCTGATCAAGGCCGAGCATGGTTGAGGCTCTTAAGGTACTTGCACAGGTGTATATTATTTGGTATCTGTGGGGTTATTGATGTCATATGTGTACATATGAGTGGGAGCGCAGTATTGTCAAATATCTCGTGAACTGCAGTCCCATTCATATTGGTATTCTAACAGAAACCCAACATGAGAGATTCCAATGTCAGAGAGAAGATGTAGAATAGATGACAAAGAAAAGAAGAAGAAGAAGAATAAAGAAAAAAGAAAATACGATCCCATTCAAAAACAGAAAACCAAGCTAAACATCTGTCATCATCGTCATCAGTTGAACTAATAATTTCGGGCATCTTCCCCTAGATATCAAAAACCCTCAATGCATTTATCCCAATTCATCGACCGTGCACGTCCATCGGATCTGTCGCCGTCTCGCCAAGGTTCCTCCGTCGACGCATGGGAGCCTTCTTGCGGTTCGCAATCGCCGCATTCTGTGATTGTTGCTGATTCATTTCGGTATCACCATCCTTATCATCAGTCTGCGGAGAGTGGTTCTGCTCATGGTTCCAAGCCTCATCTAGCTCGATCACATTTTGGGGTTTGGAGCGCAGCCATTTCATGCGCGGGCCGACCCGCGACACCTCCGACACCTTGAATCCGTAGATACGGGGATCGTAGATCTTGCCCTTACCCAGACCGGGGCAGAGATTAGGGGTTCGAACACCGTTGATCTCCAGCGGTTGGTTTTCAGGAGTGGGCGAGGTCGGTTGGCGCGCGGCGGGGGAGCGGGTCGCAGAGCCGGTGCGAGACTGGTTGGGCGCGTTTCGGGGCGACATAACGGAGAGGGAAGCATCGAGGCGGGGGCCAATGTCGAGATCTGGGAAGGTCATGAAGAATAGACAGCCGAAGGTTGTGCCGAAGAATGCGCCATCCACGGAGTGGAACCGGCTATTGGGGGGTGTGTAAATGTCCTGGCAACCGGGGCAGAAGAGCTTGACTGTTTCTTGACCAGGAGTATCAGACCGGCCCACAGGGAGAACTTTGCAGCCATTGCAGTTGACTCGAGGACAGGTGCCAAAGTGCTGCATCTCGTACTTTTCGAGCATTTGTTGGATACCGGGTCGGGAGGTGATGTACCGCTGGTGGATCAAGCCGTACAGGAGCTCTGCAGAGCTCTCAATGACGCTCAAATCGCTGGCAACACGCGCATGTCGCCGATCGCCGGCTCTTCGGTATGCAGGCTGATCACCCAGCGCATCATCCTCGTCTTCCTCTTCCTCCTCTTCGTCTTCTTCTTCCTCATCCTCCTCAGGCTCCACGTCGAGAATCATCTCCAGCGCCTCCTTGTACATGGGCACCTGCGACTGCAGACCAGTGAGGTTGAAATCATCCTCGATGAAGTCCTCCGACACCTCAGCGAAAAACTCATGGCCCATCAGCGAACAGAAAGAGGAAATCCAGGATTCCGGTGCACCTTCCGAGGACGACATATCGAGCGAGGCGGACACCGATGATGATAATGTTGATTCAGACAGTTGACTCAAATCCAGCCTGTCGAGGCCGTCGGCCAACGCCGAACCTGTCTCTCTCGACACGTTGCCGAGCTGGGGGGTGAGGGGTTCGGGGAGGTTGGGACGAAGTGATTTCGTCACGAAGAGTTTTGTACAAGGTATGGTGAGAAGGAAGAGGATAGATTGAGTAAAATGGGCGTTGTAGTTCGACCGTGCAAAATGGTCGATGCTTGGTGGGGTGAATTATTGTAAATGATCGAGTCGAAGGTTAGTGTGTGTGGGTCAAAAACTCGGGATGGAGATTCTGAACAAGCAAACAAGTCGATCAATATCGCTGTTATGGCGAAATGATCTTCTTGACTTCTCAGACGTCAATTTGATCGATCAGAGTTGTTCAGACGTCAAATCGCTGAAAATCAGCGTCACGTGCGGCTGACTGTCCAAGCTTTGGGCTTCAGCTTCAGCATATCGTGATATTCAAAGTCTTTGTATGTCTCTTCACATAAAACAACCAGCGAAAGAAGATATGATTTAAATGCTCTCATCTCCTTGAAATTTACATTCATGCAAAACTACCGGCCCCTGGGTACAACGTGTGAGGCCTGGAGTTATCATACAGAAGCTAAAGATACTATGGTCTTGTCTAAAGCTCAGAATAAATCCCTAATGGCTCTTGCAAATTCCCCTTCGTCATCCAAAACTCCAGACAATCCCTCCCCGGTATTCTGTATATCCCCATCCGGTCCAACAAACCCGCTCATACCATCACCCGTTCCAGGCATGAAATTCCCAAAAGCACCAATAGCTTCAAACAGGTTGGTCAACTCATGGCTCATCTGCAGTCCATTAAGGGGACTATTTCCAAGCTCATTTCCACCATTAACAGGCCCATACATAGATAAATCTTCAATGGGATGACCTGCAAGGCCAGCCATAGCGACAGCAGCACTGGAATGCGGATCGGCAGAATCCGAGCCGAAAGGACGGGCCAGAACCCCGAGCCTTTCTCCGATCTTTCGCAGACCTTTGATTGTTTTCCAGAGGCGCTTGGAGACATAGGACTTGGTGCTGAACCCGTTGATCAGATCGAGAGCCATGTAGAATTCATCGCGGACTTGGCGATTGAAATCTGCGGGGGCGTGAGAGACTGCCAGAAACAAAACAGCCAGTGCAGCCACAAGGAAGTAGTTGAAAGTGATTTGCTGGGTGCGGTAAATATCGGACATTTGGTTGAGTCGGGTGAGAACGCGGACCGTGTCTTTGGCTACGTCGACAACAGTCTGGGCGTGGCCACGGTCCTCGGCAATGCTAGATGATGAATGCAAGACTGGACGGTAAATTAGGATTCGGAGCTGGTTCATTCGAAGGTAGAGCAGGACTCGGAGGCGCCTCATGCCTCTGCTAACGGTTTCACCGTTCTTGGGGGACTCGACGGGATAGAATTTTAGTTCGTCGGGTACTTGCTTGTACCACTGCAGGATTTGGTAATCGAGATAGCCGATTTCATCGCGTCGAATGTCGGTTGTACCTTCGGAACCAAGGCCCGAGTACCATATTTTCGAACTGATACGGTTGTACAGGATCATACAGCGTAGGTATGGAAGCGATGCATCCTTCTTAGGTTTTAGTCGCTTCAATTGCTTATTCAACGAGATGTAGACTTACCGGCTCGGGCAAATTGGGGTCGATGTCCTCATCTTGAATGACAAAAGGCAATCCCGTTCCCAAGCTCCACCGTCTGTCCAAGCTGTAGACTGACCAAAATAGTCGGGTGATCTTGTCCCAGTGTTCTTCGTTGGGAAAAGATTTGACCAACGCATCCCGTCGGTGCAGCCCCATCTCTAGGCACATTCGAGCTGCCAATCCGATGACTCGATAGGCCATAGCATCGTCATCGGTATGGAAATGATATGTAGCCTTGTATGAGCTAGATGTTAGCGTTGTACACCACAGCATAAATATGAACACTACTCACCACAATAGCGAAGAGTTGAATAGTTTTGATGCTATGTGGTTCCCACAATTTTGATTCAATAAAAGGCTTCACACTCAAGTAAAGCCGCCGTCCAAGGTCACTTTGTCCGCCCCCTTCCACGACCAGCGTGGTGGCTAGAATCAATTTCAAGATAATTGAGGCTTCGTCATGAAGACCATCAGAGCCCGGAAAACCCCGTTGTGCAAAACCCGTCCTGGTAGCAGCCTCTATGAATGTGTAGAGCAGATTAGCCTGGCTGGTAATCTTGGCTATATCCACCACAGGATACATGATCCCAATTTCTTCCTCATAGACTTTACAGAGACGCAATGCCTCTTCGCGTCGAATGGTCCATATTGGATCCTTCGTCGGATGTATGGTAGGAAGAAGCTGGCCCAGATTGGGAGGCGGTGATCCCGCCGGAGTCACATGTGCGGTGGTCAAGTCATCTGTGATTCCATCTTCTGCGGGTGTAATGCCCATGTTCTGTAGACTAGATTTGGCAACGTCAAAGTTAAAAGCCGAGCTTGTTGGCCCGTGAAAACGAGGGTGGCGGGCTCGGGGCTTTCCTAGTCCTGGCGGCATGGGAGTAAAGACCTGAGAGACATCCCTTGAAAGAGGATCAAATGATGGTGACTCAAATGCGGGTCTTTGGGTGCGAAGATCATTGAGATTCGTGAACAAACTATTGACCTGATCTTGCAAAGAGGTGATCTGATCGGTCATCGACCGGAACTCACTAGTGCGGCTATCAGCATGAGTGCCACATGGGGTTGATCCATATTCCGGAACTTACTCCGAGTCCTTGAAATTGTTATTACAACAATTGGGTGCGTAGCGACCTGGTGAGGAGGTCAGCGTGTGAGACCCTGGGCTAGGCTATACAAAACTGATGCGCAATCCATTGCCAAAGCACACAGTAAGGTTGATAGTAACATACATTCCAGATTCAAATGACCACAGCGTTGGCAAGGGACCTGCCCATTGCACTTAATCTTGCGACGTTTGCATTCATTGCTGAAAACACTTGTTAGCTCTATGCAACCAAAAAGAAAAAGAGCCGCGAGTAAAACGCAAGGTCGTATGACAATGCATCAATGATCATGACCAACGGAACGGCTGGAAATTGAAACGCGGAAAGGAAATATCCCGGATCAGACCATATCATACCATGCAATAGAGATGTAGCGATTCCGCTTTGTGCGCGTCTGCGTTCCGTTGCCTTGTTCCGCTTTCCTCTTGGTGGAATCGGATGCTCCGATAGACTGATCGCGGAGGTCTGTCGGTGGCGTCCTGTCCATTTGGGGCGATTCTGAAGCCATGATTTACAGAAACCTGGGTCATGAATCGGAAACACCGACGAAGTGCGGAGAAATTCCTCTGTCGCGGGGTTTCCCGTCCAGTTTTCCCCAGATTGCTTATCTCATCGCTTTACCGCAAAGATGATTGGCTGCCTTGCGGATAAATGATCTATTCTTCTTTCTGTTATGGCAATCAGTTGGAGAACTCATAGATATTATAATTATAATGAGAATTGAAATAATTTTTGACATGAGACGTGGCTCCTTGGTCACTTAGTTACTTGGACACGACACTTTACTTTTGTACAACTCAATGTAGAAAGAGATGCTGATATAGATCAATATGGAACGCTATGTTATCATAATACTGACTGTCAACACAATCATTTACTGTAATCGCAGAAGAAACAGAAAAGTCCATGATCAAAAAGGATAGCCAAATAGACATTTAAGCATGGCAATAAGACACTTCAGCGAGACGCCAATTGCCGCACAGCCGAGACCAGGTATTCTTTGCCAGCAACCAACGACTGCACCAATTGAATTTTGTGCTGAGGGTTCTTATGCAACCAACTAAAGCCTGCAATGAAAGCCACCAGCACTGAAGCCCGGAGTGTCTTCCGGATACCCCGCAGAACCCGTCCCTTCCGAGTGAGCTTTGCACTCCAATGTCCCCAGACAGGGAATTTGCACCGGAACCAGTAGTGAAACTGAGTATATCTAGATGAAGAACCAGAAAAATCAGTACAAGCCACGAGCAGATAAACAAAAAGACTCACGGATAGGCGGTTGAGTTCCAACCATCATCAGTGATATACCAACTTGAGCACAGCCCACGCCGGAACGCCGTCTTCTGCAACGTATCCTGCACCTGACGGGTCCATTCACGCTCAGCTTTCTCAGTAACCTCATACGAACTGACGCGGCCACTCAAAATTGGCTTTATAAATCTCAACGAATAGTTGACAGCATTCTCTGTTGCGAAAATCACACTTGTGTGCCCAGTCGCCGTGTTGGGGCCGAAGATCATGAAGAAATTCGGGAATGAATCCATCGCTATACCCTGATAGGCCTGCGCACCTCCACGCTCAGCCCAGATCTCTTCCAGATCCTTGCCTTGTCGGCCGATGACCTTCAGCGGGTGCAGCCATCGATTGGTTTCGAACCCATTGGCCATAATGATCACATCTGCGGGAATCTCCCTGGCCTCCTCTGTTTCAGACTTGTTGGACGGGTAATGGCTTCCCGGTCCAATAGTTACGCTTTTTGCGTGGACATGGGTCAGAGATTGGGTAGTCAATTCTACATTTGGCGCATTGAGAGCACGATACCAGGTACCGTCAATAATGCGTCTCTTACAGCCGAGACTGTAGTTGGGCGTTAGAACCTCATGGTATTCCTTCGGCGCAGTGGCCTGCATATGTTCCAAAAAGGCCTTCTCCATCTTCGGTCGCGACCGTCTGCTCCAGGCTGAGTCGGCGAATAAATCGAAGAAGGTCTTCTCGAGCATTAGGAAAAGAGCACCGCGCATTAGATTTGATAGTCCGGGCACGCGGGTCATTAATCTGGGAGACCATTTCTCGTACGTAGCGAGGAATTTGGGAGGAATCAGATCGGGCTGGACCCATGGGGGAGTGCGCATGAGTTGGGTGATGGATCGGACATTCGCTTCTGGTTTAGCTAGTTCGGGCACGACCTGCGCGGCACTGCAGCCAGAGCCAACAATGATAACATCCTTGTTGCGGAGATCTATTTGGTCGTTCCAGCGAGCCGTGTGCATTATTTCACCTTCAAAGTTTTCGAACCCAGGGATGTCTTTCGGTGTCTTGTTGGGTTCAACCAGGCCGCCAACACCACTGACAACCACTTTAGCTCGAACAATCTCCTTCTTCACGTAGACGGCGTGCTGGCCTTCCTCGTTTGCGATGCGATCTTTTTCATGTTGGGCTAAATCACCGGTTCCAGGGACAAGATGTAAGAGTGTAACTTCCCACTCCTCGTCTTCTTCGATCCATCGAAGTTCCTTGACATCGGTGTTAAATTGAATCTTGTCCACGATCTCATACTTTTCACAGACATCCGCCAAGTACTGTGCCAGTTCTGAGCCGGTGGGATGCAGCGTGGACCAGTCTTTCTTTTGACAAAAAGAGAATGAGTAAAACGCAGCTGGGCTGGATCTAGGTCAGTATTGTAGATCGAAGCTGAATTATATCACATACATGTCGCAAGCAACCCCTGGATACCGATTGATCCACCAAGTACCCCCGATGCCTGACTGACGTTCAAAGATTCGAAACTGGTCTGTTCCCAGAACCTCTTTTAAGCGACAACCCATGGCTATCCCTGACTCTCCGGCGCCTACTACTAGGACCGGATAGTATGTGTGGCCCTCTTTACTGTAGGCATGCCGCTTGTGGATTCTGGCAAATGATGCAGGCATCGTGTAGCTTCGCAATGACACAGTTGGGAACTTTCCAAGATTGTAGCCGAAGCTTGTAAAGTGTGAACACGATAAGCGAGTTCCGGGTATATCTTGTCGCACACTGGTAAGATGCGCCGGCGGTGATCTGTATGTATATTGTATTGTGAGTCGAAAGGAAAACAGAAATCTCCAGTGATCATATGGGGGGCAGCATTCAGCTCTCCACTCTGAGGGGGCGCTTGGCAACCTCGGCCCCAGTCGGCTTCATACTCCTTTTTTAAACGTCTAAACAACTACATAAGTACTATAGTACTTGTGAGGTGCATGACAGGTACATATGCTGTTTTGCCGAACTCGGATCGTACTTTTGTGCCGTTTCATGAATATTACACAGCAGATTACTTGCCGAAAATCCTTACACATGAATCGCGTGAGTCCAGCCCAAAATCCTACACCATGAAGTGCATTCCCTAGTTTCTTACACCTGTGATGTATCCAGGAACAAGAGGCAGTATAGTTGTTTAGATTAGAGATCTTCCAATGCAATTGATCTTTGGTGACAATTGGCCTATAATCCAAAGAATAGCAAGCACTTGCGAGCATAATGTCGCCAGATTTTCTAGACAGGATGTATTTGCTGGCAAGATATTAATAACTATTGATAAGTAGTGCGGGGCGGAATCGTTCGTCGGCATGCCCGGACTGGCGCTGAGGGGCTTAGTGGGGGCAATTGGATGGTCGTCTACGTCCTCCCGGTCCGCTGGGGGTGCCGCAGCGACCGGGCGCCTCGTGCGCCCCTCGGGACACCTTGCCAATGAGTTACCTGGTTGATTCTGCCAGTAGTCATATGCTTGTCTCAATGATCAAGTCATGCATGTCTAAGTATGAGCAACTTGTACTGCGAAGCTGCGAATGGCTCATCAAATCAATTATCGTTTATTTGACAGTACCTTACTACATGAATACCTGTGGTAATTCTAGAGCTAATGCATGCTAAAATTCCCGACTTCAGGAAGGGGTGTATTTATAAGATAAAAAACCAACGCCCTTGGTGAATCATAATCACTTAATGAGCTTAGAGGACATTACAGTAGTACCTAGGTACACCCAAATAGTTAGATGTATGTAAGAAATCCGGCGTATAGTCAGTTATATCCAACAATCAAAATGAGATGAATCGGATCCACATTTTCTCACGGAACTTCCACTTTCCAACACCTGAATGAAGCTGCAATGGTCAATACCCCGGGCGCGACTCCGTGATGCCCGAGCACAAGGTCGCAGATACTGCACAACGACGCACCGTCACTACAAGTCCCTGAATAGTCTTGAAAATGGCACCCTCGAGACCTTCCAAAAGCAATGCTTCCAACCCGAGCAACCCGCAATCCTCCCCCGCGCTACATTTACCGATCTCCCCGCAATAAACCGATGGTTCAAACCGTCTCCGACAAATAACTCGAGTCTCAACACCTCCTACCTCCGGGAACATGGCGCCGATGCCTTCGTCCCCCTTGAACTCACCGAGTCCGCGACAGAGGGACAGAGCTTCCGCGCCTTCCACGCGCCCCTCAGTTTATTCCTCGATTGGATAGACACGGAAACAACGCCAACCACGCGCCTCTATCTAGCACAATGCCAGCTCCTCGATCTCCCACCGATCCTGCGCGCCGACTTCCCGACGCCCTCACTCGTCTCACGTGCCGGCAAGGGTGACGTGTATGACACAAATGTGTGGATTGGACATCCCCCGACGTATACACCTCTTCACAAGGATCCGAATCCGAACATGTTTGTCCAGCTGGCTGGACAGAAGGTTGTGCGGTTGCTTGCGCCGAAGGAGGGACACGCTATTTTTGCGGCTGTGCGGGGACAGTTGGGGAAGAGTGGCAGTCAAGAGGCGGCCGCTTTCCGGGGAGAGGAGATGATGCAAGGTGATGAGAGGGCACTGCTCGATGAGATGGTTTGGGGAAAGGCTGCTGAATCGGGCTTTGAGGCGAGGCTCGGTGCCGGCGATGGGCTGTTTATTCCTAAGGGGTGGTGGCATAGTATTAAGGGGATTGGTGAGGGTGTTACTGGTTCAGTGAGTTCTTTCTTCTTCTTTCTGATGTCAAGCGCTAACAGTGGCAGGTTAATTGGTGGTTTAGATAGTCATGGCCGATGTGTATAATATATGATCTGTAGTTGTATGTCAATAAAGATTGTAAAATGTGAACCAGAATTGTATAAACAAAATCAGACGACAAGTACCCAAAAAAGTGGTGGATCGGATCCAGAACGGGATCTCCGCAATGTTTAATTTTCTCCTCAACCCTCTTCCATCTTCAAAAATTCACCTGAAAGAATGCAAGTTTCCCGCACCATCTATCGCGCCGCCCTCCTCCACCTCTCCGTCCATCCATTCCTGGTCCGCGCCTCGATAGGAACAACCTGGCCATCTCTCAGTGCCCCAAACCCGCGCCTTCACAGCATCCTCTTCCCACAGTGCGCGACCTTCAAACTCGACAAAAGCCAACTCCGCACCATGTCCGACTCCTCAAAACCCTCCAACCCTTCTGCTGCCCCGATTCAAAGCCTTGATACCCAAGAACCAGAGCAAAATGACAAAGCTACTCTCTACCTACCCGAAAGTGATGGCACTGCAGCACACCAGGCACAAGGCTCGGGTGGGATCAAACTTGACATGAGTGGCGGCGACACAGCAGTGAAGCTTGATCATCTAGGCCCGATGGTTGTGAATGTGGACGGGACGTTATCGCAGATTGGAAATTGGCAGCAGATGACTGAGGGGGAGCAACAAAACACGTTGCGGATCATCGGCAAGAGGAATCAGAAGAGGTTGGAGGCGCTTCGGGAGAAGGAGAAGGAGGGACAGTGATAACTTTGGGTTACAAGGAGTTGGTGTGTGGGTTGTATCATCAGATTGGGAGACTTTACTAGGCAGTGTTGTATATTGAGATATTCCACATAGTTAATTGGCAAGAATTGACCAACCCTACATACATATGTACTGACACGCAGTAATGTCAATAGCCGTGGGTATCATTGATGCTAATATCAGCTAAACTCTACAGAGTAATTGACACAAGCCGTCCAATGCATGCAATTATGGTTGAGATCATTCGAGCCAAGTATTTTCATGTGTATCGGACCACACAATCTCACTCAAAAAGCACATTGAACCACTTATGGAACACCGACCTATATCAGTCAGCATAAACTCAACTCAGTATGCCCAGGTGGGACGCAATACTTACTTCGGCGGCGGAGTTACGAAATCCCTCGTATACTCCTCGATCTCAACAACACCAGAAACCAAATCGACCTCCTCGGGCTTGAGGAATTTAGTCTTGTGGAAGAATTTCCAACCAAAGTATAGAATCGGAAAGACGCCAATCATGGTGTATGAGAAGAGGAATGTCGGAATAGACCAGTTACCGGGTAAGAAGACAGTGTAGCCACCGACGAAAGCCATAATCGTGGTACAGGTACAGGCGACGTAAGCAATATACGGCTGGAACCAACTTGTATATGGCAGAGAATCTCGGGAGATTCCTTGGGCGTCCATGGCCTTCTTGAATCGGATGAAGGTGAATGTGACAACAGAGAAGTTGATAAGTTGGGAAGCGGTGACCTGGGATGTTCATTAGATATTTTCAGTCTGGAAGAGGACTTAGTGCCGGATTGGTCATACCAGGTTAACAAACCAGTTCAGCACAACTGCTGCACTATTGGAGACTTGCAGGAAGCTCAGAAGGGCCACGACGAGGACAACGCAGACGCAGTATACTGGCACGCCGCGGCTGGTACATTTGGTCAAGAATTTCGGGGCCTTGCCTTCCAGTGCGAGGCCGTAGAGACTGCGACTAGCGCAGTACACGTAACTGTTACCGGCGCTGAACGAGGCCGTGAGAACGACGGCATTGACAATATCTGGTAAGACAGGAATCTTCAAGCGGTCCATAGAGATGACATATGGCGAAGCCGCAGCACCAGGCTTATCGTTGTCAAAGGCATCGGCCATGGTCTGATCATTGTATGGAACCAGAATTCCGACGCAAAGAACTCCCAGAACAAAAAACGCTGTGAGGCGATAGAAAACACCATTGAAGGCTTTGGGCAGCACCTTGCGCGGATTAATGGTCTCTCCAGCAGCCATGGAGACATAGTCAGGGCCCGCGATGGTGAAACTGGCTGTGATGAGTGCAGCCAAGACACCGAGGAACCGGCCCGTATCGCCTGTTTTGTAATATTCATTGAACGCACCGGGCTCGTTCCAGTATCGGAAGCCAAATCTATCTCCCAGCGGATTCCCGCCTAGCATGACGATGAAGGTGTAAAGAATCAGGCCTATACTCAACAGGACCTTGCCTAGTGAGAGCCAGAACTCTGCTTCGCCGTACCATTTGACAGCGAATAGATTGAGTGCTCTACATAGAGTGTCAGTTTGTATATTAGATACACAGGCAAGAAGACAAACCCATAGAGTACGAGGACAATGACATTCATGGCTGCAACGGGGATCACATTGGTCCAGTATCTGACAATCAGACTGACGGCCACAATTTCGAAAGGCACCAATGCAGCTTCGAACACGAAGAAATTATATCCGGCGGCAACACCTAGTGCTTCATCGACATAGCGGCCGGCGAATCGGATGAATGGCGAAGAGATGGGGAGGTAGGTTACCATTTCCGCCAGGCCTAGAAATAATGGTGAGTTTGAATATTATACTACGCGACCCGGGAACAGAATGAGATTGCAATTTTGCAATAGACGCAAGGGCAAGAAACCGAACTGTTGGCGCATTTGGAGTTCGAAAACAAGGATGCAAAGGGCTGGGGGGCATTCGTACAGACGGTGATGATCAAGATCACACAACTCCTAGAGAATAATATAAGATTAGGCCTTCAAGAGAAGCAGAAGGCACGATGACTTTGGGTTCATGGGTGTCCGACTGGTTGATAGAAACTAATGTCGAAGGTCGAGATTCATACAGAGGAGTTTTTACATCCTGGAAAACTGAAGTGGGAGTTCCTGGTAGGAATCCTGATGTTTTGTTTGTACATGATCTGTTTCTCTTCTTTGCTTTGGGAATATTTCTGTCATTCCCTACTTACCATGGCATTGCTTGATATCGCTGGACAACCCAAGTCGAGAACCCAAAAGAGCCAACAAGGCAATTCAACGAGGACAAAACTTACCAAAGACTGAAACCAATGAATAAACTAGCGGGACCACTGGTTCGCAGACCCGAGCCAATTTGGACATACAAGGCCGTGCCGATTGTACCTCCAATACCGATCAATTGGACATGGCGGGGCTTGAGCTTGCGATGGGTGTGGTCGTAGGTGGATTGCATTGACCCGCTGTCGACAGACTGTGCGCGCTTGCCGCTTGAGGAGTCTTTCTCAGATATCTCCAGTTTATTCACCTTCATAGCCTTTGATTCGGGGTCTGCAATGCGAGGATGCTCTGCGCTTTGGATAGCGGCGGACGTTGGGGTGTGGGAGACATGCTCCGCGGAAGACGACATGATTGTTATGTCAGGCAAGAGGGAAGCACGAACATTAATAAATATACAACACAAGTTGATCTGAACAAAAATGATAAAAAGACCGTCAGAAATGAGAGTGAGAAATTTTTCCCTAGCTGGGCAGTAGTTTCCTTGTTTAGTTTGAAGAGAGAAGAAAAAAAAATATTATGCAAATCTCGGTCTCGTGCAATCGGCATAGTCCGAAATAACTCACTGGCAAGTCTGGACGGACTTTGAGAACAAATCAGAGACCGTTGTCTCCGCTCTAAATCGCCCACATGTCCCCCACATGGGTCCTGGGGGGACAAGGGGGAGGGGAAGTTTGGCTTTTATCTGTTGTGACCCCTGCTATACGCTTATTGGACGGTTCGTATTTCCATACTAAGAGTTTGATCGACAAATAAGTACAAATAAGCACTCTGACTTCAAATATTTTGCAATTATATGGAAAGAAGTTGGAAAAGAGCGAGATTATACAAAATATCAAAAGATCCCGTGTGGAGCCCTAACCTTGCCGAGGTTCACGGAGAATGGAGTCCTCCGATGCGCATGTCGTAGAAGGTACAATGTTGTGTTTGAATGTACATCAAAACATAGTTACATGTGTAAGCATAGATGTGCATGAGATTGATTGAATATAAGCCATATTCCTGGAGATGTTCTAGCCTCTTAACCACTTGGGGTTTTAGTGGTTTCAGTCTCCCTGTCTTGGGAATCATTACTCTCCTTGCTTTCGGTGGAGGGTCTGCGGGTATCTTTGTCTTTTCCCATCCAACTAGGAGGAAAGAAACCGCCGTTGTCTTCGAAATAGAGGCGGTGGACCTCGGACTCTGTGGGGCTCTGATGATCCTGATCGTCTTGAGGCTTGGTTGAGATATTACTCAAGGGACGCGGATTTGCGTATGACATTTTGTGTTTAATGTCTGCGACTTGGGAAAGATGTATTATTGACAGCAAAAGCGAAGTAGATATTCGATTAGGACTAAACACCTTCAAGGTAAAAATAAGTTGAAGTTGAAGTTGAGACGTCAGGTGTCATCTGATTTGATTTGACGTCATGGTATATTCTATATCAAGAACTGCTTAGTTATATCATGTACGATTCACAATATACAATTTACATACCAATGAGTGTATTCAATCTATACTATTTGTTCGGATCGTGAACTTTACATCTTCTTCTAGCCTAATATGGGCAAAATGAGAGGACTCGAGGCATCATTCAAGATCTATATCGTCCTGAACAAGCAATCAGTCACGAATTGATAAAGTGAGACTTGCGACTGGATAGGAATCGTATCTTTACAAAGTACATAGGGCTTGGTCCTAAGATAACATAACATATACGTTACAATCTAGGGTTTGACTTGGTCAATCTACAGTAATGAGTAGAACATCCAACATATAATGAAATACTGACTTATAGAAATACTGACTTATTCGATCAAAATCTAAATGATACATTTATTGTTAAACATGAAAATTGTTTGAATTTTGATACCAACCAAATAAAAAGAACAAAGTAATAAATATGGGACTCGATCAATTAGAGAGCCGAGGATAGTAAGCGGATTTGGTGCCGAAACCCCGCCAAATTCCAACTTCCCCTCAACATCCTCCCCCAATTGCACACAAAATGACGGAAACAAGAGAAGAGAAGAAGCGTTTTGAACCCAAGGTGCCTGTTGAGCTCGATCCGCCCAAGGATGACCCCATTTCCCTAGAGGAACTGGCCAAATGCGACGGTATGAGTTTACCCCTCATCCCCGCCATATCCCGCAAAATCTCTAGTTAAAATGCTGATTCATTGTAGGCACCGATCCTAACCGTCCGACTCTGGTCGCTATCAAGGGAGTCGTTTTCGACGTGAGTAAGAACGCTGCGTACGGCGCCCAGGGTTCATACCGAGGTAAGGAAATGGCTTGTATGTTTGGATCAATTCACATAAGCTGACAATAATAGTCTTCGCCGGTAAGGACGCTTCTCGTGCCCTCGCATGCTCTTCCCTCAAGCCCGAACAATGTGTACCAGAGTGGTATGATCTCGATGACAAGGAGAAGACCGTACTGAACGAATGGTTCACCTTCTTCAGCAAGCGGTACAACATCGTCGGCAAGGTCGAGGGTGCCAAAAACACTTAGATACAATATGTCCGCGTTCAGTGTACGAGATATCCATATACCCAGGCCATTCAAATCCACAAAGCTTTTCATTTTAAGTGGTATCGCGTAGGTACAAGTTTTTTAAAAAAGAGAGCTGTACATTAAAATCCCTTATTTCCCCTTTCGGGACTTGCGCTTCATGCGCTTCTGTCCGATGATGCGATTGCGCTTCGCAGCCTTGTCTTCCTCTTCGTCGTTCTTCTCCTCGCCCTTGGAAGGCTTAGAAGGCTTCCCACGCTTAGCATCCTTCCCATCACGGCCATCATTCTTGCCCCGAGAATCAGAACGCTTCCTCTTGAAGTCCTTCTTATCACCATCATCGTCGTCCTCACGATCACGCTTGGGCCTTGGCTCACGGGACTTAGCTTGCAATTCATTGCGACGCTTAACAACCTGCGCGTTCTCAATAGCAAACTCGACAACAAGACTCTTCTTCTTGTCCTTATCATCCGGGTCCTGCGCAGAGGGAGGCACAACCATGGAATGGCAGTTGAGCCAGCGCAGACCCATCAGCGCATGGCGATGAGTGAAGTACTCAATGAATCCGTAGCCACGACTACGGCCACCACCAGTCTTCTCGGAGACCTTTGTTCCCTCACGGGTCTCAAAGACAACCTTGGCTTGTCGCACGATACCCTTCTTCTGCTGCTTGCGCAGCTGTTCGAGCTCCTTCATGGTGTCGCGGGAGCGTTGCTGCTCTTCTCTGGAAAGAGGCTGGCGCACGCCCTTCTTGACGTCCTTGGCGAAGTTCACAACAGACTCTCTGGCGAGCTGTTTCAAGTCCTTGGAGCCGATGTGACGGGGGAGGTTACGAATAGCGAGACGAGTGAGACTGAGGTGGAGAGCTGGGTTCTTCTTGATGAAGGTTTCGCGCTGCTTGTAGGAGTCCTCGCGCATCTTTACTTCAGAAGGCGAGAGCTTCTTGTACAAGGGAGAGTTGGAAGGAATGGTTCCTTCGTTGAGGAGGTAGAGGCGGCGCTTGTCAGTGTCGCGGACCATGCGGCGGGAGACACCTTCTTCTTCCAGCTTCGCGGCTTGGCCCTTGCTTACAGCGCGGGCGACCTGCAGGACACGGCCTTCGAGGGTGTAGCGGCCGCTGGGGTCGGAGTTCTCGTCCTGGAGAACGGAGTGCTTCATCGCGGTGTTGGACTTGGGCTTGTCCTTGTTGGGTGCCATCATTTCAGTTCCGCGAGGGGCTTCGCGGACGCAAGTGTTAGCATCCTCGACTTTCCAGAAGCATACGAAGCCGGTGCCACGAGGACGCTCGGTCTCGTGGTCTAGGACAACACGAGCGTAACGTAGAGGTCCGAATTGGGCAAAGTGTTCGTAGAGAGAGTCGTCTGTGGCGGTGAAGGGAAGGTTGCGAAGGAAGATTGTGGAGTTGTTACGGTCATCCTCTTTATTTTCGTCCTCGTCGTCCAGGTCGTCAAGCTCATCGTCATCGAGGTCTTCATCGTCGTCCTCATCATCTTCATCAGAAGAGGTCTCGTCATCTGAGGGCTCTTCCAAAGGACCTCCGGCATCCTCCATCTTGACATCCTCCGATTCCTTCTCTTCCTCCTTCTCCTCTTCCTCATCATCCTTCTTTGTAGTTTCCCAGACATCCTTCTCAACAGCCCAATCAACGGCCAATTGGCGACCATCGATCTCTTTGCCGTTGATGGTCTGAAGAGCCTTCTCGGCATTTTTCCTGCCGCGCAGGGTAACAAAACCAAAACCAGCGAGCTTGCCGTTCTTCTTGGGAAGAGTGACAAACTTAACCTTTCCGAAGCTGCGGAACAGAACAGAAAGATCCTGGGGCTCTTTGATACTCCATGGCAAATTGCGGACAATCAGCTTGGGCGGCAGGCCTTGACCTCTCTCCTCTTCCTTCTTTTTCTTCAACTCAAGAGACGCAGCAGTAGGTACACTGCGTCCAACCTTCTCATCGATCTCACGCTTACGCTGCTCAGCATAGTCGACGCGAATAATTTTCCCATCAAATTTGGACCCATTGAGTTCCTTCAAAGCGCTGTCGGCATCCTCGGCGTCGGCGAATGTAACGAAACCGAATTGCTTTGACTTTTTCGTTTCCTTGTCAAAAACAACAACGGCATGCTTGATAATGTAGGATTGCGAGAAGTATTCAGCCAGGCTCTCCGTAGTGGCCGACTCGGGCAGTGAGCGGACGAAGAGAGTTCTCCTGTTCTGGGGGGCAGCTGGGGTTTCGGCGGGGGTCGCAGTGGCTTCGACTTTGATTTCGGGGCTCTCAGTGTCTGAGAAACGCCGTTTTTTATTTAATTCAACCATGGTGGCTATGTTGCGACTGAAGTTGGTCTGTCGAGGAAGAACAAAAAAATTGGCGGCAGAAAATTGAGCCAGATTGGAGCTGGGCGGTGTGACCCACGCCGATAAGCTTTATCAACTTATCGACTCTCCAGTCGATGCTCCATCATTAATAACGACAACTTTGGCCACGATGGACTCTCAACGACCTGAGGATAGTCTACCGTCTCGATCCTTGGGCTCATCAGCTTTAGGTACGCCAGCAAGACCCAAAGTCCAACAACCGAAGCCCCAAGCACTCGGCAATCGCTCCGGCCCTTCTGCGATTCTCGTGTCCACGCGACAAAAGGGCAATCCAATCCTGAACCATATCAAACTCCTACCCTGGGAATATGCAGACATCCCCGCAGACTATGTCGTTGGCACCACAACATGCGCCATGTTTCTATCGTTGAAATACCACCGCCTACATCCAGAATACATTTACGCCCGAGTCAAGCAACTGGCTGGCAAATACAACCTACGCCTGGTACTGGTCATGGTCGACATTCAAAACCACGAAGATAGTCTCAGAGAACTGTCAAAGACATCCATAATCAACAATTTGACCTTGATCTTATGCTGGTCCGCACCAGAGGCAGCGCATTATCTCGAGCTCTACAAGTCTTCAGAAAATGCACAGCCAACAGCGATCCGCACGCAACAACCGCAGTCATATAAAGAATCGCTTGTCGAGTTTGTAACAGTTCCACGCAGCATCAACAAGTCCGATGCCGCAAGTTTGATCTCCACATTTGGCAGCTTGCAGAATGCAATCAATGCGCAACCGGAGCAGATCAGCGCTGTGCCAGGCTGGGGAGAGAAGAAGGTTCAGCAGTGGTGCAGTGCTGTCCGGGAAGACTTTAGAGTTGAGGGCTCGAAGAAAGCCTCCGCCACTGCTCCACAGCGCCGTCAACCGCTCCCTGTGGACGACACATCCCCTCAGGATGTAGATGAGGACGATGAAGAGGAAGCTATCCTGCGCGCTGTATTAGAAGAAAGTCGGAAAACAGCGGTCTCGGAGGCTGCAAATGCCAGTGGTCCTAGGGCTGACCAGCAGCCTGAAGAACTGAGTGAAGGCATCACGGCGGCACTTGCGCGGTTGAGAGATAACGGCAGTTGAAGGACAGTTGTCTTGCTCTAAATACCGCTAAAACTGCACACATGTAGATGGCCCAGCTGTCATTTGGGGATGCCCACGCTACCCCTGTGCCAGCAATATCCTTCTCCAAAGAGTCATGATCTCTCTATAATGGGCTGGACAGAGCAGTGATGCTATTGAGGTACAAACACGCCGAGTATCATGTCCCATGTCCTGCTTTGGACCAAAACTGTTGGGTATACCCATTCGTCTCTGGTTGCGTGTATCATTTTGCCTGGCCATCGAGCCATTAAATGTACTCCGCCACTCCGGCAACTCCATACGGGTTGAATTGATTATCTCCGTCTACTCTAGTTTTCGCATACATCACGACCCAGATACCTCATAATGACTTGCTGTGCTGGCCGCCGTTATGATAGACATGCATTGATCGCAATAGATGAGATAAGATGATTTGATTTTTCAATTATATACTTCACAGATCGAGCATTATATGGCCGAATACTCGTCTACCTGAACGTTACTGTATTGATTCAACAGAAGCCACCTCAAAGGACAGACTCGGCATAGGATAATCAAAGGGAACATATTTATACACCATTCGCCAAGAATCATCAGCCAGACCGCGCTCGTTTCGGGAGAACCGCAAATAGACTTGACTGGAACCTCGATTCCACTCTGCAATATCTTCTTGTGTTGTTCCCAAAGGCAAGCCGTCCCGCGGCCTAAAAATGGCGATTGGCCCAATTCGCGCCTCTTCTGGAATAAACCCTGTTGTTTTTGCACGAAATCCGACTTCGACAGGAGGAGAATGTGAGGGTCCAGTAAGTTGAAGGCCTGCAGGGGGTACTGTTGTAATGGTATTTTGTTGAGTTGCATTCATGTTCATCCCATACGACTCTTCGAGTTCCATGATCCTTTCACCCACGGCTGTCCCTATGGAGCATTGGTAAAACCCTTGAACTGGAGGGGCCTGGCGGAGCAGAGTCAGTGCTGCACGCCGAGTTCTTGGGTGACGGCATCGGAGACTAGCAAACCAAAGTGGGATACCAACACCAATCTCAAACGTGAAGGGGGGCTGTGTTCCATCTGGTCGTCTTGATGCTTTCAGTGCGATGGCAGATTGTTCAACAATATTTTGGAAATTTGGTATGAAGGCATCAAAGTTGGTGAGAGACAAAGATGTACAAGTCTCCAGTATGACATGAAGCATTTCGTGATAGGCTGAGAGGAGGGCCGCTGTGCCAATGTGTTCTGGTGAGATGTTTTTGTGGCACAACACTTCTGTCAAAGCAGCAAAGGCAGTGTGCCAACTCCTTAGTTTGGTTTCCAGGACAAGTTTCTGGGAAATGATCTCCTGAGGTATATCAGAGACATCTTGTCGCAGATGATCCATGCATTTAGTTTCAAAAAGCCCGATTTCTATAGATAGCGAAACAATCGCTGCCCGAGCGGATTTGACTGAATCAAACATCAGTGTTGTTGTTCCAGTGTCTCGTAGTAAAGAATTCACTGGGATTCCATCAATAGCTAGAACACCAGCCGCCAGACGGACGAATATTGGGATAATTGTGTCTTCTAGCAATGCAGCTTTGCTCGGCGGTATAGCCCCTGAATCTATTTGGGGGCGCAAAGCAAGGATAAGTCGCACGCCTTGTATAAACAGCTTCAAGGCCCCACCAGCATCACCTTGAAGGGCTTCAATGCAGATGAAAAGCATGCAACTAATCAGTCCGACAAAGGCGTCTACGCTGCCACAGTCGATGCGCTGACGAATGGCAGACACGGATCGTGAGTACCAAGCCAAGACATCTTGATGATTCTGATCAAGGGCTTTGTGATTCCCCTGGTGCTGGATGAAAAGATTGGACCCTTCTTTAGAACACTCAAAGAGAGCACCGATGGAGATGATAGCATCCCACACGGCAGGTTCGTTGCGGCAAACCTGAGGAACAACAGTGCGCCAGAAATCAAGATCAAGCCCACCACCCACAGATGAAGCTGCAAATTCAAAGTAGTAGGCAAATGCGCGTCGTTCCCGTGATACTGTGTTTGGTGATAATGATAGGGAGTTGACAAGCACTGGGACTGGTTGTGTGTCTTCGAAATCACACTTCCGGCCTGTACTGGTGCATCGAAGACAACTTGGCTTTTCTTCTCCACATTTGACCCGTCGGATTCTACGATGCATTTAATATCAAACCCACCGCATGAAAAGGAGACACATACTTGCAAGTTTTGCATCCTAATCTCGACCTCGGGCTCACCCTGATACGGCGCCTGGATGGGTCTGGGTAGTCAGGCATATTTGAAGCATTCTAAACTGCTCGAGCTAGAATGCCTCGGTGTGTAGAAATTGGAGGTTGGGCGATCACGAAGTACGAAGATCATCGGTGGGCCTTGGCTAGATTTCGAGGGCCAATGACTAAGCTTGTTTGTGCCTGAGGTTTCCAGGGCTAAAGGATCCATGGATGTAGATCTTGTTATTTCTTGCACGGATATCCTATTTTAGAAGATATATAGTTGTTCTAGAGCTGTGAAATGGAGAAACTCGCTAAGATAGGTCAAGTTTACTTTTTTTCAGAACAAAACAAAACAATAGTGGGTAACACTTACCAAGACCTAAGCCCAGAACAGGCACAATCCAGTGTGAGCCAGATGAGATTCCAATTTCCCATAATATCAAGGACAATTGGCAACAGACGGTAGAGAGAGCTAAGTTTGGTAGTCTCATCTCAGGTTCCCGCTTTCCTCTGTTTCGCTTCGTAGAAATAGATACAATGAGAAGCTGGAAGTTTCTTCGTCTAGAATGCGAATTGCCCCCGTTAGCGAGATATAACCGAGTGAAAGTACTACTGCCATTCCAATTAAGAGGGTCTTGGGGATCCCCAGATGGGCGAAGGATCAGAATCAATTATTCATGGCCGGATTCCGCAGCTGGACACCTCCCAGATCACTGGCCATGGCCGGTATCTGTCTACTATAGTGATTGACTTGGAGCTCATTGTCAGTCATTAGTGATACTTGCGATCAATCAATCTCGGAGGTGAGCTCTCGAGTTATTCCAAGATTAACTGGCATAATACAAAGAATTCTGGTCATCGTAGGACATGGTCATCGCCTGTGCGACGCGGATGGCATAATAGTTAGGGCACATTGAGAGCCTCACTGGTTCGAAAGATAAGCACTTATATTCAAGACAAAAGGAAGACCTAGCTGCCGCAAAGAGAATTCTCTTTTGATAACGATAATGTTACATGGCTCCTGAATAGGCTTTCCGCCTACATAAGGCTACATACTTTATATTGAGAGTGCGGCGGTTAGTGTCGGGAGTAGCATTGGCAAGATCATCTGGGATTCTCTAGCTGTGAAAGTCCTAGCATAAAATGGACATCCGGCTCGTGGGAGCCCTCCAATGAAGAGGCGGAGAAACAGTCTGGTACAGCTCAATGCATGGGATCGAAAATTACGACCCGTTCATTTCATTTCATATTAGGTCAACTCGGTCGACATGGATTGATTCACTCACGGGGCCTTGGCGAGGGATATGTTTCTTTTGATTTTTCACTTTCTGTTTTAATTGTTTTTTATTGTGATTGGGCAATTAGAGGGCTCAAGGGTGCCAATCAATAGTTCAATATGAGGTTACAAACTTCGTTTCTTAGGCGCATTGGATATGTCTCGGGATACACAGGCGTAGAAAACACCTCGGGGCTCGGATGTTATTAAGACGACGATGGATCATGGAGGGCTCCACGTCTCAAAAATACGGCGCGCCTTGCTGGGAATACAGTAGGTACAGGATAAACTTATATGTACAGGCTAGTATATTGGTCTCACGACACCCAATTTAAAGTTGTATCCTCGGAGTCTCTTGAATGCTCGGCGGTGGTGTTTTTCTTCGATGGTAGGAATGCGATCTGCATACCAAGTGATAAATCCAAACTCAGATCCAGCAAAATATGGCATATGACAAAAGAGTGGATTTTGCGTTACATAGGGATGTGTCAATCTTTGTTATAATCCGTCGTAGCCTAGTCCGCTGTAGTTGTAATTTACTCTAGCCCTAACCTTTAAGGTGCCAAAATCACAATGTGCTGCAACAAGCTGTTTCACTTATGTTTCTTTCTATCCACAGCATTTAGCAGTCCAGTGCTATATGAAAGAGATGTCCAAGATGCTCCAGAACTATTCACCAAGCTGCTTGAAACAGCTACAGGCTTCGCCTACGCGGGCAGAGGCCTAAAACAACAACTATCCCAACTCGCAGACCGAATATCAGAGATCACAACCGGAAAAGTCACTCCAATCCAAACTGTTCAAGAAGGTCTTTTAGCACTTTCCGCAATTCCAACGAGCGCCACAGTCCTCCAAAGAGCCATCTCAATAGTATCCGCCGGCTTAGTCCCACCCAACATCCTCGACATTCTGAATGGGATCAAAAACAACTCAATAAACTCACACAGTAACAATAATACCGAGCCCCCAGTCAATATATACCCCAAATCTCCCACCGATGCCCCTTACGACATCCTAGAATCCGACCTCCTCAGCTCAATCTTTATCCCACAGTCCTTCACCTGCACCAAAATTTCCATCCTCCTAATCCCCGGTACCGCCGATCCAGCCGGCAGCACCTTCTACTTCAGCTACGGCAAGCTATTTGAAACTAATTCCACGAGCCCAGTATGGGTCAATATCCCTGGCAACTCATTATCCGACATTCAAGACAACGCCGAATACGTAGCCTACGCGATAAACTACATATCCGCACTCTGCAGCCGCCCAATCGGGGTTCTATCCTGGTCACAGGGCAGTCTCGACGTTCAATGGGCACTGAAATACTGGCCCTCGACGCGAACCTCAGTATCTGATTTTATGGCCGTCAGTCCAGACTTCCACGGGACGCTACTTCAAACGCTTTGCATGCTCGATGAGCCGCTTTGCACACCTTCTATTCAGCAGCAGGGGTATGAGTCCGCATTCATTCATGCGCTGAGAGAGGAAGATGGGGATTCGGCGTATGTGCCGACGACGAACGTATATTCCGGTGTTGATTTCGTGGTACAGCCTCAGAGTGGAGATAATGCGTCTGGGGCATTGAAAGATGTGCGTGGCGTTGGTGCTTCGAATACGCAGATTCAAGTTGCTTGTGCTGGGAGGCCGGCTGGGGGTTTTTATTCGCATTCTGCGATGCTGGTGAATCCTTTGACTTATGCGCTTTTTGTGGATGCTTTAAGTTATGAGGGGCCTGGGAGAATGGAGAGAGTTACTATGGGGGTTTGTAAGGACTCCTTGGCGCCTGGGCTGAGGGTTAGTGACTTTCTGGGAACGGAGGCAGTTGCGGATGTCTTGGGGCCGATTGATGTTTTGTTATATAGGGGTCAAGGGGGTGGTCAAGAGCCGAAACTCAAGGACTATGTCTATAAAAAGGCAAGAAAGTGAAAGAGTCTGTTGTGCGAATATACATATAAACTCAATATCTATTACCAGCACAATTCTAGAGAATCTGGAGCAATCAATTGCCAATTGTATAACTAGTCTTCTTCCGTGATTCTTTTTCACCCTTAACACTCTTACAAGTCTGTGGCAGTTCAATATACTCTGATAAGGGGACGCCGGTTTCGGACTTTTTAGACCCATTCTATATTGAGGTTCAAGGACAATACTATATTGGTTCGCCCGATATCGATAGGCTAAACAGACCACTATGATACATGTACAAAGTCAAATGCTTCCATTGGGTATTATTGGGACCAGTACGAACAATGTCCGCAAAGATCACGGCAACAAAAAGCAGAGCACAGCCCTCCCGGCCCCGGCCGGCAAGCGGCGACAATGAGAATGAGAATAAAAAGGAATTAAGCAAAAACGAGGTGGATATAAGACCCGGCAAGCAGACTGGAAAACGATATGCCGGAAACAAACTTTGGAAATCGCAGTTCATCGTAATTCGAACACCCGCATGGCTCTAACCGCGATAAAACGAGGGTAGACAGGCAGAGTAAGTCGAAATGAGATTCGTCAAATTTTGATCAAGAGAAAAAGAAAATAAGCAGACGCAATTTACGTGGGCTTTTCACACCCAATGCGGCCAAGGAGGGCTTTGCGATCACTCTGGTCGAAGGGAACGCGTCCGCGGCCCCGTGCACGAACCGAAGCAGTGCCGTTGGACCGCCGGCGGTCCAGACCGGGGGCTTCTTCGCCCTCAACCAGTTCAACAGTGACCCCGTCCTTTGCGGCCAGGTGCAACGGGGCGTGTGATGCAGAGTAGCTTGGGACTTCGACCTCGTCCTCCTCGTCACTGCGGGAGTCTTCGGCATTACCGCCACAGATCACGCCGTAGGCAACGCGGACAATCATGCTGAACCACACAATGGATAGACTCTCGATAACCAACAGTAAGCCCAGGAAGATCCACTTGAGCGTGGGGTTGAAGCAGATGGGGTTGTCCAGACTGAAGTATGGGCCGAGCATGTATGCGAAGGAATTCGGGGGCTCGGCTGAGATGAATTCGCTGGTAGAGCCGCTGTAGCAGCCATAGTTGAGGTTGAGGGGCAGCTGGTGATATACCGACCAGCACACGACGGGGTAGATCATGTGGCGGGTAAGGAGCCAGGTACTCATGAAGAGGCCGAAGCCAATGTTGCAGGCGGTCTCGTACTTGAGGTACTTGAGTATTTTGGCACTCTGCCCAAGGGTTAGTTGCTGCGAACTCAGGAATCGGGGTTCAGGGTACACATACTGGCAACAAAACGTCCACAATGTCCATAAGACACAGCACAACGTTAGAAACATTGTACATGGCGTAGATATAGGCCGAACCAAGCAGAGCACTGGTGATAATGTGGTGGGACAGCATCTGGACGTGATCCTTCCGTCTCTCTTCCACGTGGATCACGAAGATCTGCTGCATCAGGAACGCCAACTCAACGAGAAGATACCACTTCATCAATCCGGACAAAGGGCGAGCGGGCCACTGCGACCACATGGCGGCGAAATCACCCCAGTAGTAGGAAGTCTTCCAGAGGTACTGCACGGTATCAGCTATTATCCCCCCAAGACCTCGGGCAAACTCACCAGTCCAACCACCCAAATGAAGCCATAGTACATCGCCATCCAACCCTGCTCAGCAATACGAACGGCATTCTTGCGCTTCAGCCCTGAAGCCCGAGCGATTGGCTGCATCACCCATTCAATCGCAATGGCGCGGATACCGGTGAGAGCGATGGTGGCACTGAGAACGAAGTAGACATCGTCCCATCCTTGTACGTAGGAATTCGAGGCTTCGTCATAGTAGGACAATTGGAAGAAGGGTTGGGTATATGGGCGGAGGGAGGGGTAGAGGTTATGAAGAGCCAGCAACATAGCCAGGGTAGTCAAGGAGATTCCTGCGGGAATTGCATGTTAGCCTTTTGAAAAAGGTTTCCGAATGCGAGAATAATCATCGTGAGTCTATTCAGAGTGACTGATTATCATCGATGTTATGCAATGGTGTCTCTCGTACCGATTTGGTTGGTGACCACCCATTCACGGAACGTGGTCTCCTTGGCCGGTCGCGCTCCAGACGAAACGTATGCATTGCGCTCCTTGCGCTCTAATGGCTGGACCGGCATGGTGTCTGCCATTGTGTGAGAAAGTTGGGGGGAAATTCGAAGAAGAAGGGTCGAGAGTCGAGAAATAATTAATGTGCCGCTAGGTGTGGACCTGCCTCATCCACCTTATTTACTTCGGTCTGGACTTCGTTCGACCAAGTGTCAAGTTTAATTGTCAATCAAATCCCTCTATGTGAATAAGAAGAACAAGAGAAAAAAAAGATGCAATTAGAAGAGAGGAGGGGAAAGGTGAAATTGGTTTCATCTGTTTCAATTCTACACGACGATCACTCTACACTTCACCGCCTCGTCAATTTGTCAAAGAAATGTGACGATATTGATGTCGTTGATTGGATATAATGAGCTGCATGAAATTCGCAGGAAGCTACGTAATTTACATCTTGGCTGACTAGGGTTTACTTTTTACTTTGGATGTGTGAGTGGCAATCAACAGAATACCATTTCCGGGGGAATTCGGCATCTTGGCATTTGTGTGTGCTATACGTGTTGTACTCCGCAGTGATATTCAATGTGGACTATGCTATATTTACATATCCTCCGTCACTCCTCGTACAAAATCATTAGCCTTAACTCCCAATTGAGCTAAATCAATTCCTCCTTGTCCAGCCATAGCTTGTGATACAGCCCTAGCAACCTCTTCTTGTTCCCAAATGTTGTTGAGGATCTCTCCTTCCCCAGTGTGAGTGGGGTTCTCCGAAGCCACCATAGTCTGCCAATACAAGTCATCACGACTCTTGAGTGTCTTGTCCCTGACCACCGCATTCCGCGTGACACTACTAGCATGAAGCTTAGTATTGGCACCCGTCAAGGCCTGCACAGCCATCGAAACTGCCCCGTCAATCTGCTCCACCGTGGAAGGCGGTTTGAAGAAGAACCGGTTGGTCGCCGACAACCAGATCACGGTAGAACAAATCACATCGCAGATCACGATCGCCAGCGGTCGCAGAAGCGTAATTTGGTTGTAGAGGCTGGTGGGCGGTTTCTGGCCTGCGCGGACGGAGAGCGGAGCACCTTGGATGGCGTCATACGTGGCCACAATGTAGATATCGATAGCGGCGAGAGCCAAACCAGCCATTGTGAACTTTGTGCGCCAGCGGGAAGCTTCGCGGCCAGCGATGGGGGCTGAGGTTGCGATGCCTAGGAGCATCAGGTGTGCGAGGTGCGGAAACAACACGTGGAAGGGGAGGTAGTACATGAGGTATGTGGTGAGGTTGTCGAAGGAGCAGAACTGACATGAGACCAGAGCATCTGGGCCAAAGGTCAGATAGACCTTGCGGGCGCCAAGGGAGGTCAACCTGGATTGGAGGAGAGTGTCGGAGTCGGTGAGGAGGTTATCAGGTCGGAACCGAGCAAGGCGGTTAAAGATGACATCGGTAGGTGTATTGAGACGGGATCGAGTCAGAGAGAAGATGTTTGGCTCGGGGGCGTGTGGGTTGAAAGGAAGACTGAGGAGGAGGAAGAAGACAATGCCGCCAAAGAGGATGTTCAATGCGCGCCCGGGGGCAGCAGGGAGAGGTTGTGGTGGTGGACGACTTGCGATGGATACGCGCAGGCTTCGGTATGCAGTTATCAGACGTGGAAGGATGACCGGACCAAAGAATATGAGGAGGGATTTGACACTATTCACGGTTAGGGTTGAACGAGCATGCGGGAGATTCAAAACTTACGTTCCCCAAGAGACCGAAAATGTAGCCATATTTGCAGCTATGAGGAGGGATATTCTACCTCATCGGGATGAATTGGGTATTGGAAGTTTTGGGTGTTGAGTGTTGAGTGTTGAGTTGACAAGTTGTCGAATGCTATTTAAGTTGTCATCTAGTCAACTACTACTCCTTTGAATTCGCGCCGGGGTCCGCTTTTCCGCGCTTTGTTTTGTTTTTGATCACAACCAGATCTTTCATCGACTTAAATTACTATTGCTATGCACTGTGAAGTGTTGACTTAACCACATAACTACGCACCGACGTTTACGAAGCTCAATTCTGAAAAGATCAAAAGCACTAATCCATTGCATAAAACACTCAAAAAAAGAAGATTTAACAGCGCCAAAAGCGCCATCGCAAGAACGCAAATTCAATATCGCGAGTTTCTCTCAGCCGTTTCCTATGGAGTCTAGCTCAAACATACTGACCAGTGTACAAGGCAGGGTGGTGCGCCAAGTCAGGAGGACGAATCTCAGCCGAATCGCGGGAATACTTCGAAGAAGCAGCATCATTCTCCGCAACAAAAGGCGGGCTTATAGGCTTTGAGATCTTGAGTGGGAATCGACCGGTCAGGCGCCTAGTAGCGCGCTTGATGGGGTTTGGGGTATAAGTGGGAAGAACTTCCTCACGCGTCGTATTCAGGTGGAGGGTGCGATGGCTGCTTGTTCGGCTCATTGCTTTTTGCGGAGCGACAGCGCCGTCGACCCGGACTTGGCGAGCACTGAAGCCTGTTTCGGGGTCACTGAAGATATAGCTCTGGAGGAAGTTAGTATATGGAACCAAAGGGAATTGAATTGGGATTGACTTACTGCGAGGACATTCAGAACGCTGACAATCATTGCCAGGACTCCAGCCGAAGTGATGATACGCCAGAACGCCATGCCGATTTTCTCCTGGGTCATTGCGTTTGTGTTCAGATTGCCAAGTGTCGAGATGCCCAGGATCATCATGATTCCAGCAAGAGAGTAGAACCCCGAATTTTGACCGAGCATTGGCCAGTGGTGGTCGAAGTAGTTTTGTAGGATTGGGAGCTCGGAGATGATCAAAAAGACTTAAATGTGTTAGTAGAGGATCACAGGGGAAAGGATATCTGTATACTTACTGCTAATCAAAGCCACCACCGCATGGGTCACAGCCTCGAAGAAAAAGAAGTTGTTCAGCATGTTGGTTTTGACGAGCATGACCACACAAGCCGCGATGAGATCGAGAAAAGTGATAATATTGAGAACGCGAATCGCATTCAGGATCACATATCCTGGACCAGCCAGGGACTTACGCAAGCGACCCATCATGATGTTTAAAAAAAAGGTTGATATCAACGTATGGATATCTGCTTGCAGATGGAGGGACGACGATGGGATTAAAAGATGGGAAAGAAGCCGACTGTCCAGCAGAAAGCTTGATGTCCCTCTGAACAATGAAAAAAGAACGAGATCAACTCGAGGGTAAGAATAGAGATACAAAGGAAATGACAGTTGGTAAATGGGATTGACGAGAAGAAAGAATGAAGAAAGGCTATTGACATGTAACAACAGAGCTCAATGGCAACAGGGCACGATCTATGAATAGACTTGAAACTCAAAGGGTTTTTATTTAGAGCCCCAAAAGGTAGAACTCTACGGAGTATGAATGTTTCATTGTCGCAGTGATAGAGCTAAGCGCAGAGATCAGGCCCAACTGAGTATGGTCTTCAACGCCTCAACTATTCCAATCTCAACTAGTTTCTGATCTGTCGAAAGGATTGGATATTAGTCGCCAAAACTGGGTAGTGGTGAAACGACCCTGGCGGCTACAACTGGTCACTTTCAGGTACCCATCTCCGCATGCCTTAGACATAGATTCCAGCTCGACTACTGTTGGGACCAGATGATACCGAACCATACCAGATGATATATGTAAAGTGATTGAGAAAGTTTGAAAGATAATGACAGTGTTCTTTCAGAAGCGCCAGGGGAAAGTAAGAGATGAAACCGATGCCATGCAAACAACCTGTCCAATCAGTGGCAGAATGTAGCCGCTTAGACTTCAGCAGATTATCAACTGGGTAACAATGCCTGCATTCATATTAAGGACAAGATTGTAGGTTCGTTGCATACATTCTAGTGTTCAATAGCTACTGTAGATACATTACCTGGTTGTTTACATATGTAGGTCGGTACAGGAGACCACCTTTTTCACACATGTCCAAAACTGTTGTTCTTCACATTCACTGGTGATCTATACAACAAAAGAGGTAAGCAAACTTCCGAACAATAAAATGACAAAAACTACGGTCATACATTGATCTATCGTCCGAGTCCTAATTCACATCCCCCCGCTAATGTAGGTCTTATTAAGGTTGCACTATTTTGTTATGTCATTCATTAGTCATGTGTACACCGATATAAATTGCCAGAGTTGGGGTTAATCGATTGCAGAGTTTTTTGCACATTCTTATTGGCTGCGTCAAAATTATCTAGGACTTCATTCTTTGAAAGGCTATAGGAGAGCCATGAGATGGTAGATTCAACAAAAAGAATAGGTACATATGTATAGGTACGCAATGAAGACGGCGAATTGGGCCAGGCAGAGGTACAGTCGCCGGAAGGGCGTAGTCACTGTCGGTGTAAAATACCTGACGATAAAAGTTCATAACAATGAGCGTCAATGCTTGCTTGAAAATAGAACCCTAAGCCATCACTACAGATTGTGGAGTGAGTACAAAATTGTCTATGGGGCGAGAATATTGGGCCTTCTAACTCTGGACCCGGGTCCGCTCTATGATTATTGCCGGCGCCCCTCGACCCCTCCAACTTTTTCCTCCTAACAACTTTGCGCCATTTTCGCTCCATTCACCTTTCCCGTCCAATTCTCTTCAATATGACCCGCGGTAACCAGCGTGAAAATGATCGGGCGAAGGCCCTAAAGAAGGCCGGCAATTCGGTGCGTCCTCAAATTCCTTACTCGCTTCCTTGCGACTAACTTTTCCACAGGCCAAGAAGAACACCCAGACCGGTACCCAGTTCAAAAAGGGCCAGGAAGATGTTGCTGCTACCATGCGTGAGAAGCAGAGGAAAGGTATGTTGGCATAATCTGGAATACCGAGCAAAGATTACTGACCGCTCCGATACAGCCGATGAGAAACGAGCAGCAGAGGCGAAACGAGCAGCCGATGAGAAACGAGCACTCGAGGAACAAAAAGCAGCAGATAAGAAACGAGCAGCCGAGGAGAAACGGGCAGCTGAGGAGAAACGGGCCGCCGAGCAGAAACGGGCCGCCGAGGCACAATGAGCAGCCGGCGAGCAACAGGCATCTGACGAGGAACAGGCAGCCGAAATCGCAAAGCAGGGAACAAATAAGCCGATCCCATTCAATGCCACGCCCTTTCTCACAATACAATCGTCCGAACTTTGCAAGAACAACAAAGGACGGTATATTGGACTGGATACCTGGACAAAAAAACTCATGGCCTACAACATGGATCTAGCGAGTCGTTTTGACACTCATTGGCGTTTATCATATTAGCTGAAGCGTGTATACCGTTTTTAATCAAACGCGACAACGATATTTGAGAAATAACACGGAGGTGCTATTTTGGTTGTAATCGTAAATCGGTGCTGTGTATATTCATAGCCACATTAGTCTCAGCCATTCCCATTTTGAGCCCAATATGCTCTCGCCAAACCCAGCCAGGTGTGCCATCGCTTCTGCGAACCTTGGGCGGAAACATTCCTCCCAAGGGGAATCATTATCGCATTCACCGTGTCTTCAAGGCCGAATTGGCTCGCCGCTTGCGCGACAAACGTCCACAGGCTCTCCCCTTCCCATCCAACACTAAGCGCAAACCGAGTAACTTTCCCAAGTGCCTGCACTTGGATATCTTCGCTTGGTATATCCTCCAACACATGAACAGCGAAGCTCCAACCCGATATATCGCGCGGATTGGCCAGGCACCAATCGATAACCCGGTCAACAACGGAGCGTGCGGATTCAGTATTCCAGTCCTCATCCTCAGCCGCATCAGTCAACACTACACCCAACTGTCGCATGTAGCTAAAGGCGTAGTAGTTCTTGGGGTGCAATTCTCCAGCGCGAAGAACAACATCCAATTCTGAGCGCTGAAGACTCAACAGCTCCGGTGTGCTCCAAGTCTGCATCCGCAGTAAATGGCCCAGCACCCACAGCCGATGATGCCACAAAGTGGGCGATTTGGTGTGGCGATGCAGCGGCGAGCACTGATAGCTCGACATGAGCGTGAGCTCAGTTTGGAACAGTAACAGCGTGGTAGCTGCGACGGAACTAGCCATGGCTGTGCAGAGTCTGCGCTTGCGCCAGTTACAAGCAGTGAGATGCTCGCAGTCGAAGAGAAGCATTATCTCTGTGATGACCGTATCGGACTGGTGGATGGCTTTGAGGTCATCTTCGGTCATAGGCTGTAGACGGTCGAAGAAGAGTTGTCGGGCCACCGTATAGGCCTGAATTAATGTTTTCTTGGTTGTGCCAATAGCGCATCCATCTTGGAGGAATGCGGCGCCTAGACTTGGTGGGATGATCTCGATTTCAAGGACTTTGTTGTCTCTAGATGCGAAGATATTGGCGAGTTCTTGAAATGCATGCTCTGGACTGGACATTTGAAGGATAATCAGGTGTAAATCAATGCCTCATTGTTATTTGTCAATTTAAAATTGTTGTTGTAAATAAAATATAGCCGCAGACGTAGATGGTGTGAAGGCGGAAAGGCCAAGTCCGCATTATTTCCTTCCACAAGGGACGTCATCCAACCTTCAACAACTTCGACCAAATCGCTCCCTACTTTCCCCATTCGACAAGTCTGACCGGCCGCTTTCATACAGGCTCAGCCTGTGCCATCGCATCCTACTGACCTCGACACCCGCCACGATGTTGTCCCTCATCCTCACGGTGTTCTTTGTGCACGTCGCAATCTACCTCGTTAATACGATCGGTGCAAGCACTGTTGACAGTTTGGTATGTATCTATAATTGTGCGCAAAGGTCTACCCTGAACCGAGCTGACACCTACATCAGTTATGGCTACTTTACCTTCGACTGCCTACACCGACCTCCCGAACAGCCCGCAAGCAGCAGGAGCTGAAGCGCGCGGTCCTCGAACAAAAGCGCGAAATGAACAACACGAGCTCGCAGGATGAGTTTGCGAAATGGGCGAAATTGCGGAGACGCCACGACAAGACCATGGAGGAATATGAGGCGTTGAGTACGTTGAACCACAGGAGGTCATGTCAAACAACTAACACCCCCCAGACAAAGCCCTCACATCGCACAAATCCTCCTTCGACTGGACCGTCAAGATCGCTCGCTGGCTCAGCACAAACGGCCTGAAAGTCTTCCTCCAGTTCTGGTACTCGAAGACACCCGTGTTCCCGCTCCCAGCTGGCTGGTTCCCTTACTACGTGGAATGGATTGTGTCGTTCCCTCGCGCACCGCTGGGCTCCGTCAGCATCCAGGTTTGGAGCAACGTCTGTGCGGCGGCGATTGCGCTCGCTGCGGAGATCGTGGGCGCTTTGCTGGTGCAGGTTATAGGCCAGAAGGAAAAGGTACCCGTCAGCGAAGGCGAGAAGGCACAGTAGACGAGCACAACTTATGCAGATTTTGTATTATATGAAGTGAGTGCTACGATATAGTCATGAAATATAAAATTCAATTGCATTGAGATATATAAAACAGGCTTGAAGTTCATCAGATAATTTTAAATCGTTTATCGTCAACGCCCCTTTGGGACTCTGTGCTTGACTCTATGATTGGTATATCATCACGCGAACAGCCTTTAGACAAAGAGTCCGACCCCTTCGAAAGGGTATCTGCAACGAGCAGAACTCGTGCCGCTTTGCCATAAGCTACAGACTCGAAAATATTTGAACTCCTCGCCTCAAGAATGAGCCCCATTGAGTTACTCGCGGGTGAGCGCGAGCAATCGCATGACTATCGAACTTGACGAAAGGCAACCCGATACGAGGACCGAAGTTCTCCCCCTCCCCCGACCAACGCAGTCACCCCATTGTTTCCATCGTCAGAGACGGTGTTGGGTGGTGCAGGAGGACGGGTAGGGAATGGGCAATGAGCCGCTATCGAATTGCTTCTATGGCGGCGCGTTTCCGCAGTGCCTGGCTTGGTACTTTGGTTGCCCAAAGCGCAGGGTGTCCGGGGACTTTCTCCCAAAGCGAGATTAGAAGACAATGCCTTCTGTGTGTGAGCTTTGAATGCGATTCTTTGAACGAGGAGTTGGAAGAAGGAAGAGGCTGCAGTTGGGGTTTTTATTTTTTGAGTGGATGCGTAGCGGTCATGTGATGTCTAACCTTTTTGGGACCAATTCGTTAGCCCTGCATTATGTAACCCGTTCCTTTCGACCCCAATGAGAACTAGTTTCGTTTCTTCCTGAGGCGCCGAAACCCAAAGAGCCCTAGCGTCCTCTTTCGCCGAGTCTTATCTCTCTTCTCTGTACTCCATACGGAGTACTCTGTACCTGAATTGGACTTTGGAATTCTCTTTACTTGTTGATTTTCCTTCTTGTATCTCCCAATTCTCCCCAGACCTCACAATTTCGAGCCATCCTCTTCTCCAAACCGCTCCGCGTGAGTCGAACCAACCGCAACTTCGCCCACATAACAATCCAGACTAGAGCTTTTGATACTCGAGAGGGCATTGTGGGGATTTTCAATGTTCAAATCCATCAACAAATGCAACTGATTGATATTGATATTACAACGTAGTACTCAGTCTGCTGTTTTGCCTACCTACTCTCTCAGTCATTTACTCTAATCTTTATATAAAAGTTGAACCAAAAAAAGAATGCATTTGACAAAAATGGCTATATGAATGAAATTACAAACGATTTTTACATGATCCCATTTACGCCTTGGCCTTGGTCTTGGTGGCCTTCTTGGTGGCCTTTCCCTTTTTAGCAGCAGGCGACTTGACAGCCGGTGACTCTGCAACAGCCTCCTTAGGAGTCTCCTCTGTCTTCTTTCCCTTCTTGGTCTTCTTGGGGGTATCATCGGTAGAAGCAGGGGCTTCAACAGCCTTAGGGGCCTCGACAGCCTTGGGCTCCTCGGTAGCGGGCTCGATGGCCTCGGTAGTCTCACCCTCAACAGCCTTGGGAGCCTCCTGGACGGGGACGTCCTCGACGCTCTTCAGCTGGGGAAGGTCGATCTCGTAGCCCAGAGCCTTGAGCTTCTTGGCCTTGGACAATCTCTTCTTCTGCTCGGACTCAATGCTCTTGGACCATTGCTCGCGGGTCTTGCCCTTCTCGAGACGCTTCTTCTCAATGCGGTTCCAGGGAGTGACCTTGAAGCGGCGGTTGGCACCCTTCCAAACCTCGGGGTGGAGCTGTTCCTTGGGAACAAACTTGCACTTGACAATGTGGCCGTACATAAGGTAGTTGTCCATTGTCTCGGCGACGATCTTGGCGACTGTGGTGGAAGAGAATTCGATGAAGGCGTAGTGCTTGGAGCGACCGGTGAGACGGTTGCGAGAGATACGAAGACGGGTAATTTCACCAAATTGAGAGAAGTAGGCTTTCATCTGGTGCTCGTAGAAACCGTGGGGAATGCGTCTGATAAGGTTAGATTTGAAAATAGACGAATGATTCGAAATTTGAAACTCACCCAATGTAGACAGTGCCAGGCTCCTCGGGGGGCCGTTCTTCTTCAGCTCCTTTGCGAGCTGCTTGGCAAGCTTGCGCTCAGCCTTCTTGGTGTCGGGGACCTGGGGGATGGGCTCGCCCTCTTTGTAACCCTCGCCGGACTCTTCATCGTCACTACTCTCAAAGCCCTTGATGAGATCGGCGGTTTGGTCATCCTCGGCCTCGGACTCGCTTTCAACAATGGCTGTGGGGACATCTTCCTCATCTTCGGACTCAACGACGGGCTCGGGCTTCTTCTCAGTCTTTTTGACGGCAGCCTTCTTGGGGGCGGCCTTCTTGGGAGTGGGAGCGGCAGCAGCCTCCTCCTTCTTGGACTTCTTGTTGGCGGGCTTCTCAGCAGGCTTCTTCTCAGTCTTCTTGTCGGTCTTCACGGGCGCAGCAGTCTCTTCGGTCTCCTCATCAGTAAGGAAATCGGCAGCGCGCTTGCGGGGCTTGGCTTGACGAGTAGGCTCGGCGGTCTTCTTCTCGATCTTCTCTGCCTTTGGCTTGGCGGCAGTCTCCTTCTTCTTCAGGATAGACTTAGGAGCAGCCTCCTTGGGGGCTTCAGCCTTGGCCTCGGCCTGTTTGGTTTTTTTGGCGGGCGAGTCGGCGGCAACAGGCGCAGCTGTAATAGCGTTAGTCAAATGAAATTCAAAAAGCAATTGAGGTTTCGCATACCCTTGCGCTTTGAAGTTCTCGTATTAGGGGCCATTTTGACGTTCCGTTGTGTAGAAATGAATACTGAACGCTGCTCGATTATCCGGAAACTTTTTTTTCTTCTCTGATTTGCTTGGAAGGCGGTGAGCGCGGACCACCGATTGCCCAATATGTCTTCAATCTACTACGACCCTGCTTATCAACCCAAATGGTCTACGGACATGGGGAAAAACAAGAATGTGTCTTTGACACACGAGGAAATTTGGGACGATTCTGCCCTTGTACAGTCTTGGGATGATGCTGTTGAGGAATATCAAGTCAGTCAAGCCCCGGTTCACGTGATCTATATCTAACTCAATGGCAGCTCTATCATAGTATTCACGCCAAGGGTGAGAATATCGAAGATGTCTTGAAGTCGGCAGAGGAGAATGGTACTGCTGCCGAGACTAAGAATGTCGAAGAAGAAGCCGAGAGTGTCGCAGAGAAGGATGCCAACCCTGAGAGCGAGGATGTCGCCATGGTCATCGAGGAATCAACTTCGGAGTCTGCTCCTAAGGTACATTACAGTTAATACTCTCTTTGGGATATTGACTAAAATTGAGCAGGTCTCTCAGCCCGTGGCGACTTCCACCGAGGTTTCAACAGGTGCTATGCCCCACCCAGTTATGGCCAACAGTATGTACCACGTCCATGATTTGTACGTTTACTAATTGTATTCAGTCAAAGATGAAGCTCTGAAGAACCTCATGATGTCGTGGTACTATGCTGGCTACTATACCGGACTACACGAAGGCCAGCAACAGGCAACCCAAGGCAAGACCTGAACAACTGACAGGCCAAGTCCACTACAGAGGAATCTCATTTGCATCAACGAGTTTTCTAGCATAGGGTGCGCGTCAATGGATTTCAATTTTTTGCGAGACCTGTCGACTTGGTCATCTATTGAGCAATGTCATGAAATCACATAAAAAAGTTGAAAGTACACGGCCAAAATGAAACATCATGTGCGGGTTTCCAAATAAAGTAAGAATACATCTTCCAAATTACCAGCTGGGCCAACTGCTTAGAGGCCGGCTCCAGCTCCGCTGAGAAGACCACCAACGAGAGGGATTTTGCTCAACTCGTTGGGCTTGGACTTGGGCTTGTGGGTGGCAGTAGCAGTGGGGGTAGCAAAATTACCGGAAGACAGCCTGTTCTTGTAGGAGGCAGTGGGAGTAGGCTTGATTTCCCCATTGGCCTCAGCAATCTTCTTATTAGCCTTGGCAATTGCCGCGTCGTCATCCTTCTTCTGCTGCTCTTTCTCCTCCTGCTCTTTCTTCTTCTTCTCCTGATCCTTCTTCTTCTGCTCCTCGGGGGACAATTTGTTCTTGTCGTCGCCGCCAAGACCAGGGAGAAGCTTGGTAGCACCCTGTCTTGTTAGTAAATTTTGGAAGATAACCCCAAGGCTTTGGCTTACCTGTAGTGGGCCAAGAGCACTGTCGAGGCTGAGCCCAGGGGCTTCACGCTTGACGGGCATAGAGAGGGCCAGCGCTGCCAGAACGAGCAGGACGGAAAGGAAAGAGAGACTGAGACGAGCCATTGTGTGTATGTTGTGAAGATATAGATCAAGAGAAGGAATATATGTTCAAAGAGTGTGTCTTAACGAGTGGATGTGGTGAGGGAATCCGAAAATGAGTGAGTGGCTGTAAAAACAATAGTAAACAGAGCGCAGGGCCCTGCGGGCAGTTATGTGGGATTTATATCAACCCCTTCGTTCATGTCACAGTGGGAATGGAAGCCAAAGGGAGGCTAGGGAGAATGGCCGATGATATCGCGTCTTCACATGGTATTTTGAATCAATCGAGATAATCTTTAATGGTATTTTTATTTGCTATTCTCGGTGGTTGGAGGCAGAGAAAACCCTCCAACTTGTAACATCTCAAGTATGGGCGCAGTTGCCTCCAAGCTTGAACATAGATGGCAGCAAATCATCATCACTGTAGCAATCAAGGGATGCATAGTAGTCCAGAGAGGCAAGTCAATCACTCTGCGCTGCGTGGGGCCTTGATAAATCAACACATTCCACGTTCTAAACTGCATCGAATGCAACTCTTTCCCTGGTTATAACGAATGGCTGACTTGACAAACCACCCTTGAGGTTTTGGACTGGTCAGATTACAATTAATAAATTTCCCTTATTGCAGGAACAGCAGCCATACATTGTAGGTAGGGATAGAGCGCAGGGTTGGGGACCGCTGGGAGATGTAGATCAACCCTGCCAACATTCCAACACGGAGCATTGCGCGGTGTTTTGTCCGATATCACGAGGCGGCGCCTGTCTACAGCAAGCCTCTTCAGCCTCCGAACGAATCAAGTTTCAAAAATTTGTATTTGTTTACAAGGAATGTATCTCCCTACTTTGACACGCACAGCCCCATGAAGGGAGCGGACGTAACACGTGGGAGTCTTCAGAAGGACTTGTCCAACTGTAAGAACTCAGTATGGGCAACTTTTTGACCTCGAACATCATAGGTATGACAAACAAGACTTCGAAGTTGCCAGATTATACGTCTAGATAAGCTGTTGGTTAGTGAATGAATGATCAATCCTTTTTGGAGAATATGAACAAGAAGTCGTCTTGCAGGGCTGAACCTCAACATTAAGGGTTCAGTGGCAGCCATGACTAGCCCCTGTAGACATTGACTTGACAAAATGACTGTTATACACAAATCACAAGATTGAAAAGGTATGTTGGCTCAAAAGCGAACCCGTTCCCCTCTGGTTGAAAGTCAGGGGGCGGGATTAGAACGAGCATTCTTCGGTCTGGGTCCCAAAGCTAAAATATGTAGATAGAGTGAGGATTTTCCATCGACAAGAGTGTGTTGGGGACCGTGTATATGTTTTGAAGTGAAGAAAAAAAGGAAAAGAGAAAGCGGATCGAAGACTTTTATTCCACCGCAGTAGCGCCAATTATGTCAGCAGATCACGTGTGTCTATATCTCTAACCTGCCACTCAGCCAACTTGCACAGGTTCATGGTGATTTCCTATAAATGTAGTCGGTAAAATTTTGACATAAATATTCATCATGTTGATGGCCCGTGTGAGTCTGCTGGGCAACCGTACGAAAACTGGTTGTTGGACTTGTGAAATGTCACAATCGCCACGACAAGATGTTCGAACTATGCAACATTAGCTAGAGCTTCAATGATCTCACGGAAAACATTAGGTGGTAAATCTTCTAGCCATAGGCGTTATTTTAACCTTTAATTGAAGATGTTCAGAAAAAACTGGTTGAAAAGAGCTGACAATAAAAAGAGGACAATATAGGGCACAGCAGACTGGAGAAATTGAGAACTAAAACACTATTGCAACACACTTTCGAACACAAGTTGCAAGCTATTAGACAGCAGGAGCAGAAATTTCATTATCGAGCTTATTTGCGCGACAAATCCAGTATTTAAATGGTTATTTAGATGGTGATATTGAAATAATTCTCCATCGTGGATCGATCAGCACGTCCCAGATGGTCCATTTCTTTACATCTGTTGACGATTTGGCTGTTCAATCCAGTAATTTATATCAGCTCATCTATAAATCAGTATCAATTTCGATCAATAGCCCTCAGCGATCTCTCACGGCCCATCTGAATGGATTCAGTGATGGTATCATAATCATTGCGTCGGTGTCTCGAGACATGGAAAAGGCGCTTCTCGTCGCTGCTTATCTTTCACCTTTGATGTGTGCTTGCAATTTCTTCATGAAGTCGCCTGCGAATCCGGTATGCCTCCCGCGGGCGTTCGCTTGTTTCTCGTCCTTCATTTGCAGCATGAAAGACGGGATGGTGGTTTTCATAGGTGTAGATATTGTGTCAAATGATGAAGGTTCAAATGGAACAGAGAGATTTATGAATTCAAGCGGGATCCAATACGCGGTAGTATATTATGAATCTGGGTAGAAAGAAAAAAATGCGTTTCTTTCTCCGCCGGCCGCGGGGTCGGGTTCCCATCAGATTCTCCCTGTTCTTTACTGAAACCATCAGGGTGCAAGGTTATGACAGGAGGTTCGTCAATTTTCTTTCGTTATAGACAAGCACCACAAGAAATGAGAGGCACAACTGTCAGCTGGCGTCTCCACTTGCTTGAATCCGGCATCACAATTCGGTATGATCAAATGAACTGAACCAACGATTGAGGTAACGGCAAATGAAACGACGGACTTAATTAAATTTGCGCAAATCGGCGGATTGCTTTATCCCCGAGATATCCAAGTGTAAGCGAAGATCTTCGGAGTCAGCACATCACACATCATGGTCCCTCACAGATGAAGCATATCCGAAGTGGGCCGCCTGCTGAATAGTCGGGTGACTCGCCATCCTGATTCGCCAACTCTAATGATAGCTCCAACCCGAAGACCTTCGGCTGATCCATAATTCTTCGGGGTGCGTCATCCAAAATGAAGCTCCTCCCCCACCCTAGCACCTAGCGTCTTATAAAAGATGCGACGGGCCGATTTATTGATACAGCAACAAAACAGTTACAACCATCTGAGAGATCTTGACCGTACTTTATACGCTATCATTTGCCCCAGACGACTGCCATTATGTCGGAGACCATCAAGCCTGTCAAAATCCCCGGCGTTGCGTGGGATATCGCCGCCGACATACACTTCCCACCAAACTTTGACAAGACAAAGAAATACCCAGCGGTATTGTCGGCCCATCCGATTGGCTCTTGCAAAGAGCAGACCTCGGGCAATGTCTATGGCAAGGCAATGGCTGAAGCCGGCTTTGTGGTTGTCGCTTTTGACGCATCTTTCCAAGGTGCCTCGGGCGGAGAGCCGCGGCTCATGGAGAACCCCGAATTTCGCGTCTCCGACTTTCGTTACGTGGTCGACTATATCCAAACACTGCCGTATGTCGACCCAGAGCGTATCGGCGTGCTGGGTGTTTGTGGCGGCGGTGGCTATGCTTTCAACGCTACCATGACCGACTACCGCCTCAAGTGCTGCGTCGGCATCACAGCGGCGAACTTTGGCCGGCTGGCCCGGGAATCCCTCGCTGGCTTCGATCCGGTCGGTTCTCTTGAGAAAATGGCCAAACAGCGCACCCTCGAAGCCCAGGGTGCCGATCGTTATATCTTCCCATTCCTTCCCCCGACAGTCGACGAGGCTAAGAAGATGACTTCGGATCCTGATATCGTCGAGGCGACAGAATATTATAAGACCAGCCGCGGCCAGAAACCATGTGGTACCACGAGCGGCCTTTTCTCATTCAATAGCGCCGCCCTTGCATGGGATGCTTTCAATCATGCGGAGGTCATCATGACTCGTCCATTCATCGCCGTTATTGGCGCCATTCCTGGTGGCTTTGGCGCCTATCGTGACGGCAATGAGATTTATGGTCGTGCCGCTTCTAAGGAGAAGGAGCTTGTTGTGCTCCCCGGCGTGTCGCACTACCAGCTTTATGACGAGCCGAAGGCTGTCAAAGCTGCGCTTGATAAGGTTCTGCCATTCCTGAAGAAGCATCTTGGCGATGCTATATAGATCTTGTCGTGACCGCAAGTGATCGTTCCACCTTCTTCTGTCTCTTTGACTCCTGGCACTTGTATCTGCCTATCCGTTTGTCTCTGAAAATATGAATCGACTTCGATTCATGATCAGCCCAATCGCTTATATTGTATATATTATATATTGTATATCTTATATATTGTATATCTTATAGCTTGACCACCGCTAGCCTTGTTCCGCTTGGCGCGTAGCCTAGGCTAGATAAAGATAAGCTTCTCGCTTACTGCTATATATGTGTACCACCAAGGACTGGTGATGGCGATAGTAGTGAAAAATGCTGGCGAATGGCTTTAAAAGAATCCCTGAGTCTTAATCGAGTTATCCAAAAGCTCAATAGCAATTGAGATGGCACAAAAATGTGAGATAGCGCATTTCGGAATGAACCATGACTGGGTCTTCTACAGCTCCCCACCGCGGCCCGCGCGACTCATGCGGACACTCTATCCTGTTCTGTAACATTGCTGGAATGGTAACTATGAGAGTAAAATTTGTGAACCTGAATTCGATCCATCCTGTATTATGAATTTCTAAGTACACATTGGATATGACAATCTTGGCAAAGAAATGGGTTAGATAAAGGAAATAGTAATAACTTATCAATTGATTAGGAATGAACTTAACTATCCCCCAATGATCTACATACGTTGTGAGTCTCAATGTGCAGGCGACGGGGAATATGATTGGGGGCGATTTGGGGATCGTTGGCCCTATTAGCGCCCAGGATTACCCCCACGGACTACAACGTTGTAAGTCTACGGGATGTCAGCGATCCCGCCAAGACCTTTGAGAACAACACATGGGAACGGACTTAGCTGTGAGTGGTTCAATTCTCTTTTTTTAATTGCTGCAGATGAACCCAATTGCGCTTAAAGTTGACTCTGGAGTACATTTACGTGCACGTTTTAGGACTTAATGATCTACTATAGATCAAGTATAATCTACTTTCTCCCTGCGCATTGATATTGCCCGTAGATCATGTCCATAGTACCTTCCGTACCCTAGCCATCTTATCGTCTATAACCTTCCCCCCACCCATGTGTTTCTCTGATAGGACGAGGAGAATGCGGTATTCCCCTCATGAGAGGCACATGTGGTCAAGCTCAACATCATTTGATTTGTATTTGAATTCGCTCTTTGCGCCTCGCTCGTTGTATCACTTTTCGTTCTTTTCGCCAAAAAAACATGGATTGGATGCACGTCTATATCACCGGGTCTGCCGTCCTGGTGTTCGCCCTGGTCGGCTTGGTTCTCCTCGTGTCCTCACAGCAGATCAAGTTCGTCAATACCCGCGCCGGTCCATACCTGAAGTTCATCTGGGCCAATTTCATCAAACCGCATGATAAGAAGATTGGGGGCCAGCAGGATGCACTGGAGAGCTTTTATAAGACACAGGTACAACTATATGGCCCCAAATAGGGAGGATATCCAATTGACATTGACAGGCCGCCGTCTACGATGCCACTCGTCGTCGTCTTCTCTGTGGCCGCGAGGATATGCTTGGGCTCGTGGGAGCGCAATTGAAACACAAGATCGAAAATAAGCAAATCAAGGCCGGCAAAGCTGTTTGGGTGGATGTGAGTGCTCGTTGTGATTATTGTCATTGCTATAACAGTGTGCTAATACCCTTCAGATTGGTGGTGGCACCGGGTAAGCTTTCTGAACCGATCATGATATCAAAACTGACTCGACAAGATACAACATTGAAGCAATGGCGACATTCCTTCCAGTAGACAAGTTCTTCAAGCACGTTTACCTGGTCGATCTCTCACCATCCCTCTGCGATGTTGCCCGCAAACGCTTCGAGCGTCTGGGGTGGAAGAATGTTACTGTTCTCTGCCAAGATGCGCGCTCATTCAGTCTCCCAGAGATGGTCTCTGCTCCCCAGTCTGCAAATTCAACCAATGATGGAGTGGACTTGATCACAATGAGCTACAGTTTATCCATGATTCCTGGTGAGTATCTAGAGGCCCCTTGAATGACTTTTGCTGACTGTCTCAGACTACTACAGCGTTGTGGATTCCTTGACCTCCCGCTTAAAGTCCACTGGCATTTTGGGCGTGTGTGATTTCTATGGTATGCATCCACGCTATATCTTTTAACATTCTGTGCTAAATCAATATAGTCCAAAGCATTGTCGACGTATCCTGCCGCAACTACACCGGTGGTGCCTTCAACCGTCATGTCAACTGGCTGGGACGTATGTTCTGGAGAGCTTGGTTTGATTTCGATCGAGTCAGCCTGGAGGCTGCCCGCCGTGACTACCTCGAATATAAGTTTGGAACTGTGATTTCGGCCAGTGAGCGAAACTATCTTCTCGGTGGTATTCCATACTATATCTTTGTTGGATGCCCCAAAGAAGTGCAATCAACACCATCGAGCCAATCTATCGAAAAGTTGGACGCTTCGTTCACCGAGTCTCCATATCTGCTACCAGCCAACCACAAGCAGGAAATGGATCACGCAGTGGTTAAAAGCACCCATGAAATTCGCTCGAAGGCTTATGAGTCGGCTGTTATCAATCTGAGTGCCAATCTTCCTCTTCCGTCGTCTTTCTACCAGAACCACCACTACCGCATTCACTACAACGACATGCTCCCAAAGCACACTCAATTCCAGAACGAGTACATCTATGCTTTCACATGGGAAGACCCCAGAGTTGATCACCGGCTATTGAACATTGGTAAAGACGACGTGATCCTAGCTATCACTAGTGCTGGCGACAACATCCTCGACTATCTACAGAAGAACCCCCGCCGGGTGCACGCAGTGGATCTGAACCCCAATCAGAACCATCTCCTCGAGTTGAAGGTTGCATCTTATACCGCCCTGGGCCACCGTGATATGTGGAAGATATTTGGTGACGGAAAGCACGCTCAATTCCGTGAGCTTCTCATCTCCAAACTTAGCCCTCATCTATCAAGTCAGGCTTTCCAATATTGGCTCGAGCATACCCAGACCTTCACTTCTAAATCTGGGCATGGACTGTATGAAACCGGTGGCTCTCGTCATGCCATTCGCATGGTTCGTTGGCTTTTCAACATTTTCGGACTGCAGGGAGAAGTTCGCAAGTTATGCGAGGCTCAGAGTCTTGCTGAACAGCGGGAGATCTGGCCTCGCATTCGTCGTGTATTGATGAGCCGTCCGCTACATTGGGCCATCGTGAGTACGGAATGGTTTGCCTGGAAAGCCGCTGGTGTGCCGCGCAACCAACGGAACATGATTGTTGATGATTTCTTCCGCCGCAACGGCCTAACTGAGGATATGAAGAAAGGTAAAGATGTCAGCGGTCAGTCGATCTGGGAATATGTTGTCGACACCCTTGACCCTGTTGTCAATGATACCCTCATCAGCAACGACAACTACTTCTACTTCCTTTGCGTGCAAGGAAAATTCTCCCGGAGGTTCGTGTACTTCTTCTGTTCAAGGACTCCTGTACTAAACCCGATAGATGTCACCCGACTTATCTATCGCCGCAAGCCCACGTCAAGCTCTCCACTCCTGGTGCATTTGATGGTCTTCGCATCCACACCGATGAGATCAACGAGGTGATCAACCGCATCACTCCGGGAACTCTGACTATTGCCGTGGTAAGTACAGTCAGCAACTGCCAAGTACGAAGCTAATCTGAGTAGGTCATGGACTCCATGGACTGGTTTGATCCCGCGGAGGACTCAGCTCCAGCGCAGGCCCGAACCTTCAACCACGCCCTGAAGAAGGGTGGCCGCATCCTGCTCCGCTCCGCCAGTATTGACCCATGGTACATCAAGCACTTTGAGGAGAACGGCTTCTCTGCTCGTCGTGTGGGAGCCCGGTTCCCAGGCACATGCATTGATCGGTGAGTTTCCCTTTGCGCATCTATCCCGAACAAAGCTTATAAAGACAGTGTAAATATGTATGCATCCACCTGGATCTGCACCAAGACCGAAGATCTATGCACTGGAATGACAGACCGCAAGATGTCGGCTCTTTCATTGCCTGATAGTGCTATTCAGGCCAAGAGGTCAGGCAGCGTAGAGGATCTGCAACTCTGAGTTCTTTTTCCGTGTTTACTGTGTTTTAGAATTTTGCTGAACATTCATTGATGATACCTACGAGGAGTTAAAGAGGGGTTCGAATTCTTGCCTCAAAAGCGTGGGACCGGGAGTACGAAGGTCTATAGTGGTTAGGTGTCAAATGCATTTGATCTCTAGAATTGATGCGAATATGCCCTATTCTAGACCGCTCAATGCCATACTGTTCCATCCTTGCATCTCCTTTTACACATCTTTTTACGTCTATCAGAAATTCGATATTCCATTTAATTTCATAAGCTTTGGTTTCGCTATAGTACTAGTGGTAAAATCGTAGAATTGAATGGTGGGAATAGCTTTAATATTTTAAACTTAGTGTATATATGTACTTTGCATATTGAGGCATCCGTGATAGTAAGTTATGTATCTCAGTTTCTGAGTATATAAGCGCAATTGATTCCTGACCGCTAGACACCTTCGGAGGGAATATGCAAAATACATCTCGTTTCACTACGAAAGTTCTGGAGGCTGTCATCAATTTGTTCCTAATGAGATACACCGTCTTTAGAACTTTAGTTTTTGCTGCAAAAAGGAGCTCTGCTAAAATTTGCATATCATATTCATGCAAGGGCGGCTCGTGAAGCGGTAGATAATCGACCATGCTGCAGGCAAGTGCCGATCCCTGCAGATCACGTCGATCCCCCATAAAAGGCGATGAAGCGGCCAATCATCCGGCGCTAGTTTGAGCACATTTGCGTTGAATTCGAATCTGTACACAGAAGTATGTTTCAACTGTCCTTTTCCTATGCTCGTGAGTTGATAGAACCCGATATAACGTCCATCCCCAGCTTCATTGAGTATTGCGAATTGATCCCACCTAACCAATTGCTTCGGAGTTTCTCTCTACCGAAATACATTTTCTCCCGAATTGAGTAATGCCGTTTGATTCACAAGGCGATAAATGGTCCTGGTAAGTCGGTACCGAATCTTGTCTCTGTCTATATCCCACGCTGTGTTCATGCTTACACCAAAAAGCACATCATGTATTCGAGGGCACCGTTCGTCAAAATGCGCCCACTACGACCGGCCCATGAAGCGAATCCGCAAAGCTGGAAGGCCATTGACAAAATGCACTCATCTCAATGGTGTTGATTGCAATTGCCGTGAGGTGTGGGCAGTCATGGTCCCGCTTGCGCCAGGTATGCTATGAACAACCAGAATATGGAGGTGCTTTATCCTGATAACGTCTGGTTACTCAGGTTCCACAGTGTGCAGACCGGAATGCAGGGTACAGCCAATAAAACAAAAACAGCCCGATCGCTCGGTTTTCAACTCGGGGAGAGAGACCCAATGCCGAAATTATGGATAATCTGCAATCGATGATGGCTAGATGTACTGAGGTTGTGAGATTATGAGACTGAGTTAAAACTCAAAGGCTTTGAGTTACGGTGCTATACGATCTTGCGTTAATCAGGGATGAAGAAAATGAGGGGAATGGAAAACGAACCGGGGGTTATACTCACACGGCATCATAGCTTCCCTTCCACAACTAGGCAACCATGTGACTCAATATGAAGACATGAGAAGACATCGAGAGAAACCAGGACTTATGGTCATTGCGGGAATATATCCAAATAACGAACAGTGAATTGGGTTCTATCCTGAACATGATTCTGATGGGTACATCAGTAGTTATTTGAAGATGCCAGCCTCGTATTATCATATTACAAATAAAATGCACCTCTCACAAGAGTCAAGAGTGGAGAGATCATACAGAAATATCTCTTTATCCATGAGCTTGTATTCTGAATATAGCAATTGCAACCTGGGACAACTCATCCGTGACAAGTCCCTTCCTGCCACCCAGAGGTTCCCTGAGAGAACCTTCCCAGGAATAATTCTCCCACCATAACACCACACAGCACAGTAAGAAAGACACCAACGTTGAATGTCATTACGGCTAGCATTCTGGTGGTATCAAGAGTTAGCAGAGCATAGATTTCAGAACTTCCATACTACCCACAGCAGGTAACCAATCAAAGCCCTAACAGTCTCGATCAACGAACGTGTTCCATCTTTCTGGAGACTCCAATACCCATTCGCCTTCCACGAGAACAGATGTCTGACAGACACGCATTTTCGTGAGCGAGTTACCAAAAGATTGGGAGTGCTTTTATCGGTGTCATCCATCAAACTAGACGGTTCTTCAGGGTCTTCGTCTTCGTCTTTATTCACACGCATGTAGGTAGGCAGAGGGCTGAGCTTTGCTTTTGGGATTTTCCGGTGACCTGGGGCAAGATTCAGAGCTGGGGTCGAGTCATTGTGAGCCCAGGATTGCTCGAGCTGGAACTTGAAAGCGCCGAGGAAACGATTGAAGATCGCGAGCAGGAAGAGGAATACCAGCGTCAGGATGTATTGAGTCGTGGTAGAGGTTGTCCAGCCTGTGAAGAGAACTGTGATCCTGGTCGATATTGAGAATACTGCTGGCATATTCGTATCACTGCCCATGGTCGTGGAGCTCTCACTCGAAGGTGTATGTGTATGTGAGCTTGAGGATGCCATGTATCATTAGTTATGCGTTATGCTAATTGTGAAAGTGTACCCACAAACTCAACAGGTAAGATGGATGGACTTTGCTCTTTTATCATTGCAGATGTGTTGGTTTAATGATGTCTCTATTCCGTAAATTAACTTGAATTCGACGCAAATCCCCGCATGTCTCAGATGAAGCGATGATACTTTTCTAAATTTATACGTGCAATCAGATGACTCTAACACTCAAAACTCTATGCTGTTTTCAAGAAAAATAATAATATATTGCAAGTCAGTTTACTCATTGACTTCAAGTCTAATCATATTTCACAGGTGAAGAACGATCCTCTAAGTGATTAAAAAAAGTCTGGAAAATTCATAAATGCTCGAGAGCCCGACACTGTCACCTCTTATCGTACCATGTCTGTGCTCATAAAGCAAAGGCGCGCATAACAAAGCATGCACATGCGAACAATCGTGAATATAGAGACAGAAAGGAAATTAAGAAATCAATTCTCATGAGCGGCCGTAGCGTGCCTTACCGAACGAGAAGGGCACGTAACGGTACTTGATCATGTGCTGAATTTGTCGGCGCACTAAAGACAGGTTAGCAATCCGAGTACACGCAATTCAGGTATCCAAAATTTGGATTCAATGTGATAAGAAAACTTACTGGTCAACACAAACAGAATGATCCAGTAAACAACCAACACCGGCCAGAACACGGGGATATCGAAGACGGCCAACCAGGAGCAGACGAAACCGATGGCAATGGCGCGGGTGGCGGAGTGCCAGAACTTGAACTCCGGCAGACGGCGGATGAAGGGTCGGAACTCCTCGTCCTTCTTGGTGGGGAGAGTCGGGGATCCAGATTCACCATCCTCAAGACCCTCATCTTGGGTAAGGGAGGGGTCGAACTTGGGGGTCAGGAAAGCAAGGAAGAGGTTCAGAAGGTAGATTCCGAGAGTATAGGCCACTGCATGCGAAGGTTAGCGATTTGTTTATCGGCGGCGCTTACGATGGATGTCGCTGAATTTGACGGCGCTTGTGTATCGCCTTCCCATTTCCGTCTCTCGGGAGGATTTCTTGAACGTACCGATATACCAGCCCTGCGCAAAGACAATGCGCAGGAAGAAGAGGAACAAAAGCACACCGGAGCCTACCCAGCGGTAGGTTGTGTATGGGGTCGAGGCATCGAGGTACGCTTGGTATTGCTGTGATGATGGTCAGGTTAGCTAATTGTTCCCTTTTTCCGATAGTTCCTAGAATTGAAAGATCTGAGGGCTTTGCGCAATGGCCTAGCCCCTCATAAACACTCACCCGAGTGATTTTCGACGTGTGGACGGACACGGCCGTGAAAGGTGACTGTTCGGGCTCAGGGACATCCATGGCGAAAGTATTAGATAGGGAGGAAAGCACAAGGCTGAACCACCGAGAAGAGAAGGGAAAAAAAGAAAGGCAAATGCGTTGATTATGATAAGCTGAAACCAGACACTGACATTCCAGGACAGGCACTTCAGGAGCGAAAAGTGTCCACTGCGCATGGACCAATCATAAAAGACACCACCAGCCACCCAGGGGCATGTGACGTGTGGCAGTGCAAATAATACACTAGCCCCTTTCGGACCCCGCTTATGTAATGTCACGTGAAAATTACCTCGGGACGGTTAACTTCGGCGTTCCGTCGGTCGCGGGGAAACGGAGTATGATGTTATCAAATTGCCATTTGCAACTCCTTTGCTCCCATTTCTCACTTTGAAAGCGATTCGTCTCACACATATCTAACAATGTTTGCCCGTCAATGCACTCGTCTTGCCAACTCCCGGACGGCTGTCCCTTTGACCTCGTATCTAGCCCGAGTCCGGGGTTATTCTTCAGCTGCCGGGAGCTACGAGCACATCCTCACATCAACCCCGAAGCCAGGAGTTGGATTGAGTATGTAGAGCCAAGAATAAATTACTTGTAAACCAAACTGACAATTTGTCTAGTTACCCTCAACCGACCTAAAGCTCTCAATGCGCTTTGCACTCCTCTCTTCAAGGAGCTCAACGAAGCTCTAAGCAACTATGACAACGACAAGAGCATCGGTGCAATTGTCATCACTGGAAGCGAGAAGGCATTTGCCGGTATGTGATCCTATCCTGCCTTGACCCGGCTACGTACTAACCACCACCTACTCCAGCCGGCGCGGACATTAAAGAAATGGCACCCCTCAGCTTCTCGGCCGCATACAGTGAGAACTTCATCGCTCCATGGTCCCACCTCGCCAACACAATTCGAACTCCCGTCATCGCCGCAGTCTCCGGCTACGCCCTCGGTGGAGGATGTGAGCTGGCCTTGATGTGCGACATCCTGTACTGCAGCGAGAACGCAACATTCGGCCAGCCAGAGATCAAATTGGGCACTATCCCCGGCGCCGGTGGTTCTCAGCGATTGACCCGTGCGGTTGGCAAGAGCAAGGCCATGGAGCTTATACTCACTGGCAAGAACTTCAGCGGTAAGGAGGCTGGCGAGTGGGGTGTGGCGGCGAAGGTGGTTGAAGGTGGTCAGGAACAGCTGTTGGAGGCGGCTTTCAAGACGGCAGAGACTATTGCGTCGTACAGCCGTGTTGCGGTTGTTGCTGGCAAGGAGGTTGTCAACAAGAGTCAGGAGCTGTCCCTCAAGGAAGGAGTCGAGTACGAGCGACGGCTGTTCCATGCTCTGTTCGGGAGCAAGGACCAGAAAATTGGTAAGTCTCTCAGCTGAGTGATTGGAATATTGTTAACATTCTTCTAGGAATGACTGCATTTGCCGAGAAGAAGAAGGCCGAGTGGTCTCATGAGTAAGTATAAAACGAAGAAGCTGGCTCTTTTCATCGTGTGTCATTCATGGTAATTTAGAAGAGTGACATAAGACAATATCAACTAAATTACTGCCATCTACCATCCGGCGACTCCTGCTTGATATAATCCACGTCCATCGCATCTCCCGGATGAGCATTGCCGGTCGGTGTTCCACATTTGTACTGTTCCAAGCCGCGATTGATTCCCACAATTCCCCATGCAAAGACAGCGACCTCGCGAATGGTGTCCATTAGGCGATATGAGTGGGGGCCGGTCTCTCCTGGCCCACCGGCTGCCTGCTTCTCAGAGCCGTACACAGAATCCGAGGCGCTTCCAGAGCTGGTTTCCATGCCCTCTCGGCAAAGAGTAGTTTTCACCTCAGGCTGGGCAGCTTGGGGGACAGCCGAACCAGATGCCAGGTCATCCCGGCATAAAGTAGACCGGTGCTCTGGGTAGGCAGTCGCAAAGCCCGGTGCATGTAGGGGAGCATGAGAAGGAGCTTGGGAAGGAGCCCCGTAGGAGAAGACCGGCTCGGGGGCCCAGGGTGCCGCAAAGACACCGCTGGTGTAAATCGGCGCTGGTTGGGGAGTTGCGGCAATTGTAGTAGGGATTGGAGCACGAGCGCGACGCAGAATCACAACGAGACCATCGGACGTGCAAGAGACAACAGCCTCCAGCTCGATCGGGGGCGTCTCGGTGGCTGTATTTGAGGCATTGTCGTTCGCGTTTTGGAGCGGATTCCGGAACCAAAATCGCAGATAGGCAATGGAGTCATTGGCTTTTGCACCCTCGAGACATCTGACTGCATCTCGAAGACATTCTTCTTTTATGCAGTAGTAAAAGCTCTGGGAGATAAGCTGGTTTGGGTGCACGCCTAGAATATCTGAGACGCCGCTGGTGGCATACATGATCGTAGCGGTTCGAGTGAACCGGTTGACGAACATGGCTGCACGAGTCTCGTGAAGAGGCTCAGTCAAGCGCTGTGAGAACTTGTTCGAGATCCAGGTAAGCATGTGGTAGCGGGGGTCATTCGGCGAAGAGTTGAAGAGTTGGCGAACAATGGGCGCATCAACGGCACGTTCTTCACAGGATCAGTAAAACCAAAACATCGAACGCCTGCATCTCGAAATAAAACTCACTTTGACTGCCTCTCCCGGGACCATAGACCGTTGTACTCGCTATCAAGACATCATACACAACTGTGAAGACGCACTCACACCCAACCCACGATCCATTCTTATGCCGAATAGAACAATAATTCAAGACAGCAGCCTTATCCAGGCGCACGCCCCGTCCATGGACTGATCGCGCAAAAGGCAGTTCCTGGGGGTGGAAGTATTCCCAGCATGAACGATCCAGGACCTCATGAGGTTGGTAGCCCAGTACCACCGTTATGCTGTCTGAAGCATATCGAATGGAGGCATCCCGGGTGAGATCTAGTGAGGGGTCAGTTGAAGGTGCATAAAATCCAAGCGTTCGATCGAAAATTATATTTCGATGGGTACGGATCGCACCAGTCAAGACTTGCCATGGATGGTAATGAAGGTAGTATCCATTTGCGGTATCTGCAGAGAAGTGGAACCGCACTAACCCCGCGTCAATGAAGAATTTAAATACTACTGTACTTACGTACTCCGTATGGAGTAGAATATTGTACAGCTGAAGGATTTCAAAAGAAGTGGAGAAAAGAAGAGAAAAGAAAAAAATGACGAAGGGGGCTAGGTTTCAACTGACAGCGGCTGAGCGGAGCTTGAAACAAGTTTTGTGGGCCATTTCCAGGTACAATGTTGTACAATTGTTCAATTGTTCATTTCATTATATTAATTTAATCGTTGTATTAATGCTACCTATGTACAAGTAAAGGAAATGCAGTCATTAAACACCATAAAACACCATCATATGCCATCGCATGCCATCATATGCCATCATTTTTCTCCAATTGACTTGGATCTCTGTTGTTTTTCTCAGCTTGATAATTATTGATGACATGTCCCTCGATAGTCTCGTCGAAAACGTCCACTTCAGTGGTTGCGAATTTGCGGGCGCTAACACCACGCTCAAAGAGCAGGTCCAGCTCGGCAAAGGTGCGACCGCGAGGTTCAGGCACGCGGAAGTAGGTGTAAATGATACACAGGAAACAGATGCTGCCCCAGAAGAATCCGGCGTAGTTGCCCCAGTTCCAGGCGCTCGGGTTCAACATGTAAGGGGTTAACACGCCGCATACGATGGCGACAATGTTGTACAGGTTGCGACCCAGGACGACCGTCTTGATTTGCAGACGACGGGTTGAAAGCTCCGCCACGAGAGAGTAGCAGACAGTTCCCACTGTCAGCTGGTAGAAGAGGGCCCAGATAAGCATCATCGCTCCTGTGGCCAGGGATGCTTGGTCTTTGTGCTCTTTCGGGACAAGACCGAGGAATCCCATGATGAAAAGCATGGTGCAGAGTCCACAGAGACCGTACAGGCATAGGGTGCGTCGGCCGATTCCAAGTGTCATGAGGAACCACGCTCCGAAGACACCGACCATGTTAATGCCATACTGGCCCATGGCAAATGAATAGGAGTTGCTGGAGCTTAATCCAGCCTGCTCCAAGAAGTAGGTGGAATAGTTGGAGAAAGAGTTTCCACTCAAATTCTGGATTGCCCAGACCATACAGACAATCTCTGTACGGCGCAGATCGGTACCCCGGAAGCAGTCGAGGTAGCTGGCACCGCTGGTGATTTTGGCCTCGAGGGCGGTGGTGTGCACCATCATTGCAACCGTCTCATCAGGGTCGAACTCGTCCTCTTGGCCCTTGCTGGTCAACCGCACCAGTGCGCGCTTCGCATCTTCAGTGCGCCCTTTTCGGACCAACCACCACGGAGATTCAGGCGCAAGCCAGATACCAATGAAGAGCGGCAGCGGCCACATCCATTGTAGTCCATATGGAATCCGGTATGCCCATTGGTCATCCCGATTCAGCATACCCTTAATCACACCGATACCAATCAGCTGGCCAAGACCCCAACAGAAGTTGACGTATGTGGTCAAATATCCTCGCAGCGCCACGGGGCACACCTCCGAGGCATAGGTGATGGTCAAGGTCTGGAATACACCCCATGGAATACCGCAAAGGATCTCCGCAACAAGCAGGGACTGTACGTTTTTGGCTGTGAAGAAGATGGCCGTCCATGCACTGACGAGGATGAGACAGGTCATAATAGTATATCGGTAACCGAAGCGTTCAGAGGCCCAGCCATTGATGAATAGACCGATGATCTCGCCACAGTAGGCACCGTTGCTCAGACCTGCTTGCCACTGTACAGAGAGAACCGTCAGTTATCACTCGAGAGGCAAATCAGGGTGGTAGACTCCAGTTGAATTCGATGATTAGACTTACCGCTGCAGACACTTGATATGTTCCATTAGCCAGCCTTGAGCCATACTTGCGGTTGAATTGTGGGAAGGCGTAAAAGTTGTTGACCAAACTGATGTCGTAGCCCTCCATGGCAATACACGTCGAGATGAGCACACTCCACAGAACGGCCTTGGGGTACAACTTAATTCCCTGAATCAAAGTCATAGCACGTTCCTTATCTGCTGCAGCCTTTGCATTTTGAATGACTTTCGTAGTGGAAGAGTCGGAGGCAGGACCAGCGGGGTATCCATAGTCGGGAGGGACGCCATCCACCGGCGTGATGGTGTCGGGTGCCTTGGGAACAACCATGGCGAATACAAGCCGAGAACGCTGGTGGAAAAGACAAAGAGGAAGAGTACAATATTTTAATATGAGATTGGAAGTTCGGGAAGTCGGAAGTCAGGGGAGAAAAAAATCAGAGTACCCACAGTGCTGGCAACATCGCACGCGAGCACCCCAGGGCAGCGAAAACTCCCTTGAAGCCGAGGGTAAGGAAGAGAAAGGAGATTGGATTGGACAAAAGAGAGTTTATCGGAAAGAGGATTAAAGAAACGAATTGGCGGGGGTGAAACGGGGGATTTTTGACGGTCTCGAAGCCTCCAAGCGCAAATTTTCGCGGGATAGGAAGCTTGGCGACCGGATGGGGCAAATGATGGGGCAATGACTTTCTGATTCTTATTGATGGATTATTTATGATTCGTTTTCAGTCTAGACTTACTGTACAACAGTGTAGTGTTTTAGTCTGTTCAGGATAAAATAATTGCTGATCTATAAGAAGTTCATGCAGAGGTATAACCCCCCACGTGGGGAAAACCCTGATATTCTCCGGATCCCTTGCAGGTGAAGAATGTTGATCAATTTAATGCTTCATTTAATTGTCTAAAGGCCCTTGAATATATGTCTTTTATCTACATACATAATCCATGGACATGAATTGGTATAAGGCGACAGGTGGGGTAAGACAATCAAGTTAAGTTTCTCAGCATAAGCACTTAATACTTGCAGGGATTAGAGACCACTCATGTTGATGGGATTCCAAACCCCCTCCAACTATGCCCAGTCTATCATCTGACGGAAATTTAGAATAATTCGTGAATCATATTCCAATGAGATATATGCAGTGCTAAATCCATGATGTTGAGTATATTGAACTACAGACGCGCTGGTGGCGCACCGGTGACATGAGCTTCGGTAGCAGACTGGATCCGGGCGCCAAGATCCGCATTGACACGACGGAACATCTCATACGTAGCCTTGCGAACACGCTCGTGGGCGCCACAGAGGTGGCCGGAGATGTTGCCCACAAAGCTCTCCTGTTGGCCCGGGGTACGGCCAAGAACCTGCCACAGGCCGTTGGCCTGGACATAGTCCTCCGAGGTAACAGGGTACTGCTCGGCAAGAACAGCGCCGGTCCATTTCTCGTGCTCTTGGCTGGCCTTGACGGGCTGGTAGGCGAGGGGGCGGAAGGTGGAGGGGTAGTTGGGGTTGGCGCCGTAGTTGCCGTTGACGTTCATGGCGCCATCGCGATGGGTAGGGTTGAAGGCCTTGAGCGGGCAGTTGACAGGGATCTGGTCGTAATTGCCGCCGAGACGGTGGCGTTGAGTGTCTGGGTAGGAGAAAAGGCGGGATTGGAGAACGGGGTCGGCGGAGGGCTCAACGCCGGGGACCATGTGCGAGGGGGAGAAGGCGGCCTGCTCGATTTCCGCGAAGTAGTTCTGCGGATTTTGGTTCAAAGTGAAGCGGCCGAAGCGGCGCAGAGGCACCTCGTTCTGTGGCCAGACCTTGGTCAGATCGAAGACGTTCCAGCGGAACTTCTCGGCCTGCTCGGGGCTCAGAACTTGAACGTAGCAGGTCCAGGATGGGTTCTCGCCGCGCTGGATAGCTTCGAACAGGTCCTGGGTGTGCCAGTCGGGGTTCTCCGCAGACAGCTTGGTTGCCTCGTCATTGGTGAAGGTCTTATTGCCCTGGTCAGTTTTGCAGTGGATCTGGACATAGTTGAAGGTGCCATCCGGTTTGATCCACTTATAGGTGTGGCCTGAGTAGCCGTTCATGTGGCGGTAAGAGAAGGGAGTACCACGGTCACTGAACAGGTGCATCACCTGGTGGACGGCCTCGTGGTGGGTGGACAGATAATCCCAGAATGCGGTGGCATCCTTCAGGTTGGTCTGTGGGTTGCGCTTTTGGGTGTGGATGAAAATGGGGAATTTGGCAGGGTCACGCAGGAAAAACACAGGCGTGTTGTTGAACACCCAATCCCAGTTGCCCTCGTCGGTATAGAACTTCATGGCGAAGCCACGGGGATCACGGGCACTATCAGGGGATCCCTTTTCACCACCAACGGTCGAGAAGCGGGTGAGCATTTTGGTCTTTTTGCCAACGGTTTTGAGCATATCAATAGTGGTCTATTCCCGGTAAGCATTTCCCGTATGTGCATACGTGCCGCTGACTTACGATATCGCTAATGTCGTCGGTGACCTCAAACTCACCGTAGGCGCCAGCACCCTTGGCATGGACTACGCGCTCAGGAATGCGCTCGCGGTCAAAGTGCGCCAACAGGTCAATCAAATGGAAATCCTGTAGCAGGAGAGGACCATTAGGACCAATGCGCTGGGCGGCCTGGGGGTCCATGACCTAGGTATATACGATTAGACTCTGGCGATCCAGGAATAGACAGTGAAGAGAGCGTACTGGGCAGCCATTGGAGGCCGTGTAGACGGGAGTCTCCTTGTAGCGGTAGGTTTCTGGAAAAGGAATCATTAGTCGATGTTTTGATTTTGCGGGTATGTGAACGTACTAGGCTCGTTGTCTTGACCCATGATGGACAACTTTGGAATTTCTTCTGGTACGAATAAAATCCCGAGGAGATATTCGGACTATGTTTATATAGTCAACAAAAACAAAGAGAGAAGAAGAAAGAAAAAATCCAATTGAAGCTTTTGGACCCACTGGTGATTTTGATATGGAATCATTCGCTATTCATTGGCTGTCGTGGTTTTCGTTGGAATCCACTGCCAACCTGTCTCCCTTTTATAATGTATTTTGTAATATAATGTGCGGAGTAATCGAATCTCCCTTGTACAGCGTATATAGGTATGAATAATAGGTTTGTCAGTGGACTGTGGCCAGACCAGGGCATTCGCGCGTTTGGTATACGTTTCAGGACATGTTATTCCTGTTGTTCCAATTTAGCAGGTCGATCCGAAGACTGTGGGGACTCACCAGGAACACCAGGTACTCAGTTTTGATAAGAACACAAGTACCTATATGTACCTGAGATATTTCAATGTGTAGGAAGATATCGTAGTACTGGACTTTGATATAATCTGTATCTGTTCAACGATGGCCGATCTGGGATCGAAGATGCCCAAAATTTTGACAACGATATAGCTATATACCTTGCGGCTGAAAATAGAACTTGTGATGTTATTGAGCTCATTCTAGAAGCTAGACCTAACTTGATAGAATCTAGGGTTTAGTCCGGTTTTCAAAGATTTGCCCAAACATAATAGGGTGTAGGACGTCGTAGGTTAGCTAAATAGCCATTAACACTAATAATAATTGAATAAAGGAGAAGCCAGGAAAATCCACAGAAAATGCATTTAGCTAGTGAATGGATCTATTCTATAGAGCGGTCCTTAAACGTATTCTTCGATGCAATCCGGGAATAGGGACATTACCTCTCGTATAATGAACGCTAGTAGCGAAGTGATTAAAGTCTAATTTTCTAGGCCGCGTTTACTTAGAGTAAACCGGTAGTACTTTTAACGAGTTAGCTAGCTTAAGGGTTCCCTTTAAGGGTCAAAGGTTTCGTTACTATACCTCTCTATCGCCTTTTATCCGCAAAAATCCAAAATCCCGTCTATCTATCGAGACACTATAGACTATAACGGTCCTATGATCACGGGAAGCCTTACGCTCCTAGTAAAGAATTACTAGAGAGAAATTCCACGGATAGCTATAAATTTTCAAGCTTAGTGTAGATTGAATAAATACTTACCTATATATCACAGCGCTTAGAACGCTCCCGTGCTTATCCCCCCTTCTCTTTTATCTTCTATCAGCATAGGATTAAAGGCCTTTCCTAGACCATCAAGCCAAATGTTGAGTCCTAATCCTTGAATGAGGGAGGGTAAGGGCATTTACCAATATAAAAAATTTTATAGAAAATGCAAAAACATACAACAGTGAGGATTCGCTGGTGGTCACCCACCCAACTACTAACTCACCGGCGTGTGGCTTAAGTACGGCTGAGCGGACGGGAAGCCCTGTTTTCCACACCCTATGGTCGTATGTGCTTCATTTCTCATTGAAAAGGACTATGTAGATAGCACGTTAATTTAATGGTTCACTGTCAATGTGGTAGAAACTATCCCTGAACGATGATAAAGGTTTACAGCACGGTGGATCCTGCTGCCGGTATAACACCTGCTAAATGCCCCTATAAAGCCATCATTCCCGCCTCTTATTGACTGCTTAATGTAAGACCTTCAGTGAACTTTCTTTCCATCAATACTGAAAGCCGAACTTTTTATTTGCCGCAGATGGAGAACGCCCCAAGAAACATTGAGAGTTTCTCGCTGCCAAAATCAGTCGACCATATTGCAAATCATGACCCAGAGCGATTATTTGCCGTTGTTGCATTGGGCTCATCTCTGCAATGGAGGGACATTAGCTTTCGTGATCTGATCCGGGCTGTAAAGTATACGGGTTGCTGGATTCAACGAAATGTACGAGTGCCTGCCAGGACAGAGTATTTGGCCTATATTGGGAGCAACGATATTCGCTATGCAGCGATTCTTCTGGCATGTATGAAGACCAATTACAAGGTACAGAAGAATCCTCGGCGTAGGTGTCGAGATCGGTATCACTAATCTCCTCCAGGTTTGACTACTATCGCCACAAAGTTCAGCCGAGGCTTTGGACCTTATATTGAAGCAGTCCGACTGCATTAAACTGGTTCACACCGAGGAATATCGCGACATGAAAGCAGTACTTGTGAGTAGAAGGGCTGACCTCCAAACTTGGAGTTTTGATTCCTTGGAAAGCATGCTACACGATCAGAAATTACTGAATGGCCTGGGTCAAGAGACCTATCTTGATTGTACAGATGATATTGTCATGACGATCTGCAGCTCAGGAACTACTGGTAATCTCTCATTCTAAGCCCGATGTACAAAAAGAGTTTATCTAATAACATTGCTTTTGGGCAGGATTCCCGAAACCGGTCCACTTAACCAACGATTATTTGACCACAGTTGCCAAAATCCCCAGTCTTCCAACACCCCCGGGGCGACGCATATCTTTCATGGGGACGTGTATAACGAGGGCTCTATTTTCTCGACGTTCCCCTTCTTTCATGTAGTCGGAATTCTTGTTGTTCTGTCTTCGATATTCCACAGGAGACCTTTCGTTCTCTGCCCCAATCAACCGATGACGGCCAAGCGATTGGCATCTATTTTGGCAACTACGCGCCCAAAGGCAGCTTTTTTCCCGCCATCTATTCTCCGGAAAATGAGCTATTCACAGTCCTTCTTGGATGAAGTTGCCAGGCTGGAAATGGTCTTGTACAGTGGCGCCCCTCTCTCTCCAGAGATGGGCGATCGGCTGAGCCAACTAAAAAAGGTTTGTGGAATGATTGGCACCAGCGAAGGCTCGGTTTTTCCGACCCTCATACCATTAGATAACAAAGACTGGGCCTATTTCGAGTGGGTGCCTACATATGGCTTAACCATGCGAGCAATGGATGACGACCTTGACGAGCTCGTCATATCTAGAACAGCCGCATTGCGCGACTATCATGCCATTTTCCATTCTTTACCTGATAAAGAAGAGTGGAAAAGTAAGGACACATACACCCGTCACCCACACAAACCTGGATTGTGGAAGTTTCACGGACGCCTGGAAGACATGATCACATTCCGGACAGGGGGAAGATGAATCCTGTCTTGATGAAAAAGATGATTAAGGACCATCCCTTCGTGCCTCGAGCTCTCATTGCCGGACAGAACAGGCCTCAGGCTGTGTTACTTGTCGAACCAGATTGGAATTTTGAGGGGGGACAAACCGATGTTAACACCGTCTTGATTGATAAAATATGGTCGACTGTTGTCGCGGCAAACATGTTTGCCCCTTCTTATGGAAAAATTGCAAAATCTCATGTTTGGGTATCTTCGAGAAGCATGCCATTTCGAACAACTACGAAAGGGTCAACTCAGCGAAGATACGTCATTGCTGACTATGCAGACGTTATTGAGGATATGTACTGCAGTGGCGGAGTATCTGATCAGGCCAATCTGGACTAGTCCAATCGCTGAGACTTTGAAGGGGCTGTTGCCAAGGCCGCTGTCCGTTTCAAGCTCATACTCTTTAGTTCCTTGTAGTCGTAACTTGGCCTCGCGTAACAATTTGCAATTGCTGAGGCGGCCGTTTCTGCCAAAGGGGTATGGCGGACGACAGCGGCCAGCGGCCAAAACCCCCTGATCCAATAATCTGTCGTCTCCTATACCCATATTCTCTGCACCGCTGGCCCGACCGCCCAGGGCACACTAGTTCACGAGCACATCTTGATGGGGGATGAAATCAAGCGTTTACAGAGGGGAACAGAAAGCAGATTAAAAAGAGGGGGAAATCGAAGAAGCAAATGATTAACTAGAGATTATGGACCTTGCTACCATTGTTGGTAGTGAAATAGGTGTAGTATAAGCCTGATTAAAACGTTCGTTGCCGGCTCGTGCTAGTGTTCTTTAATGATAAGGGTATTGAGAAGTCTAAAACTCCTTTAAAGAGGTGTAATGGAAGGTCCATTCCAATAGTACACTAAGTTATATCTCGGATACCCAGTCAGGTGACCCTGGGTAGTATATAGTGGGAACTCTGGTATGACAATCTGATCGATTGTCATAAGTGGTCTTTTTGGTAAATACGCGTTTAAGAATATTCCTTGTTCGATAATCAAGTCCAGAGCCTTAGTTACCCTTACAGTAACCTATTCACGATTTCCTACATATAGAATCTTTCGTTTACTATAGTATTCCGCAGAACGTATGATATATTATAAAGAGGTAAGACCTATCGCGAATACCGTCTTATTAAAGTTCTAAATATCAGCCGGAATGATACTATATTTTCTAATAGTATTTCGGACGAGATCAAACTACCCTTTTGTAAGTTTAGGGTCTTCGGATAGAGCTCTCTTATAGTTATATCGACGAAAGAGATAGGAGGCAAGATAATCATAGCTTTTAATAAAGTCTGTAACCCAGTTTTTGCCAACTTTTAGAGGGGTCTGGGAGGGGGTTAATTCACAGGCACGAAGTAGTAAATTAGCTATATCCCGACATATAGCATATGTAAGGGCAAACCCTCGAGAGTCCATAGAGAGCAGCTACTCTTCTATCGATTTTCCTTCAGGTTCAGAGAATTTATAGCGATGGTGGCGGCGTACAACCCGACTTTCATGATCCTTCATCCGATCTTGTAACGTTGATCGCGGCACAGTGAAAGCTTCGGCAGCAGCTTTAATAGAGGTTTGTTTCCCATTTTCTATCGCTTTAATGGGTAAAACAAGGCGGCCCTCCTGTTCAACCAATTTTTGAGCTTTTTGAGAGCGAATTAGGGGAATTCTTGATGTTCAAGAACATACGTTGCTACGGGATATATTTTATTTTGCGGGTGGCCAGAGTAACAAGGATCCATGGTGATTGCTAGGCCAAAAAAGTGCATACCTCCTTAGCTAGGCTTAAGTACGGTGTATTTGTGCGTGTTCTTGCTCTGACAATCCACGTTAGTGGGAAACTAATTGTAACTTAGCACTCACCTACACCCTTTCCCATGTGTACGCGAGTCAAGGCCTAAACCCAAGAAATGCAACCTTTCAATTTCAGGCCTATTTCTCGGCCACTATACCATCTGTATTTACAAATCTAAATAGTTCATCATCAACATCAAGATAATCTCTACCTCCTACTGCCGCTTCTTTTTCTTTGAGAGCTTGGTTGGCCCCATGCCAGTGGTCTCGAATACTGGCATTACCAATCTCTTGCCGTAAATCTATCCTTGATTCCTTTGTGAGGCGTTGCTGAACCCTAGAATTAATTGCGATTGATGACAATGGGGACTTAGAGGCTCCTTTTATAATACGCTGGGACTTCTTGACAGGTATTTCATGGCTTTGCATCCTTCTGATCCTGGTTCTGGCAATTTATAGGGATCTAAAATGACTATGGAATTACAAATAAACAGAGGATACTCTCTGGAAACTTACCAACAATTAATATTACGAGGGCTAATAAGTTATTAGTACTATTATACTTTATAAATAAAATGAAGGAGTACACGTCTTATACTAATAATATATTATATACATCCTTATTGTAACAGATCCTAGATTATAGTAAATAAGTAATAAACATAGGATCTCTCTCCTACGGTGCATTTTGGCATGGAGTTGACCAGTTCCTCCTGATGAAGAGAATCGTTGAACGAGGGAAACTCTATTGGGTTGGGGAATGGGAATTGAATAGCCTCTGCACGTAGGGTCCACTGGGAAAGACTGCTGTGGTGTAGATGCTGTGTATCATGTAGCCATCGCTTTCTTGTGGGTTATGGGGGAGAAGATAGATATTGGGGGCAAATTATATTCATTCATTCTCACTGTATCGCAGTCCAGAAACGTATCTAATCTAGATAAATCCAAGCACTCCACTATACACGGAGCACCATAGTCTTGACCCTGACAGCCGCCCTGCATTTCCTCTGGAGAACTGGTTGTTCTCTTCAGAGAGGAGAACTCTCCTGGCGTCGCCGCATGGAAACTTTCCCAACCATGTTAGCAATCATCATCATCCCAAACGGTTGGGGACTTGGCCTTCCGTCCACCAGCTGCAAGTCGTACTTCAGCAGAAGGTGACATAGGGTAATCTTTTGGGCTTGAACAGCAAAAAACCGACCCGGACACGCATGAACTCCATGGCCAAAGCCCATATGAATGGGGCTGGTTGAAGCGCACTGGTGGTTGGCTTCCGATCCCTGGGTCTGCCGCATCTTGAAAAACCTATCCGGCACGAATTGATCGGCGTTGGGATAGACCGACTCATCCCACATCCGGTAGGCGGGAACCAAAAGCGTATCTCCTTTAGCAATTTTGGTCCCATCTGGGAGATTGAAGTCCTTAGTGGCCGTACGCCCCATGGGTGCTAAAAAATGAGATTATCAGCAAAACTGCGTACTTCTCACAGAGTTTCAGGTCTGAGGTACCTATGTTGGCTGGCTTGAGCCGTTGGCTCTCCTTCATCACACTGTCCAGAAGCTTGAGCTTATCCAAAGACCCTTTCTGCAAGCCTCCATCTTCGGCAATCACGGAAAGGATCTCCTGACGGAGCTGCTGAACGAGCTCTTCGCGACCACTAAGATCATACACCAGCTGGGTCAACATATCAGTGGTGGTGTGAAGGCCCACAACAAACATGCTCATATGAATTATGGTTGGATCATGCGTTTTGCCACCACTTAATTCTTGAAGCCATTCGACCATAGGGAAACGAGAGTGCTCATCTGCTCGAGTGCCCATCCGAAGCGCTTCCTTGTTGTCCCCAAGAGTAGCCGCGATCAGACGACATGACTCAGCCAAGTCCGCACGTAACTTTTGGAATTTTGGCAGAAACCAGTGAACGAGTGAATGCAAAGGCTTAGGCCACACCCGGAGATCTCCAGCCGCCAAAGAGGCCGAGGCTGAATAATCCTCGAAGCTCTGAAACCATTTTGGATTGCTAGCTAACTCCTCCCCGAGGAATGTACCGGTAAAGGAACGAGTAAGAATCTTAAGAACGGTCTCCTTCACCCGTATCTCATGCCAATCTGCCTTCTTGATTAGTCCAACCCATCTAGGACTATTCCAGGCTCATGCAGTTACCTGGGTTATCGGTACAAATTTCCGCAAATGCCAGAGATGTCTCTCGATTCAATGGTTCGGTGAGCTTGTCTAAAGATCGAAAACCATGGTCAGTCTCATTGAATACCCTCGGAACATAATGGCTATCACATGGACTAAATGAATAAATTTATACCTAGTGCAGGTCCCCATAGCTTCTTTCGAATCGTACGTCTCATCAATTGGCCATGGTACCCATTGAATCGGAACACTTCTAGTCCAGGGAGATGGGCATGGAGAAGCTCGTCAATAATGCCATCGGTGGTGAGGTTGCGGTGGTTCTGGAGGTCTTGCGCATATTCCGGTGGTACAATGTATCGAGGACCCATGTCAGTCATTAATAAAAAAGTCTTTCCTGTCTAATTGAGCGAAGCCAAATATGCACGAATCAGTCCTCTATCTGTTCAATCCGAGCCAGTGAACCAGTGAAACAGTATTACCTTAGCAATGCCAGACTTCAACATGTCTGGGGCGCCCATTAGGAACCGCTTCTTGGCGTTATTAAAGAAGAGCTCCATGGGGGCTTTGCCATTTTGAAGAGGAAGACGATCATTTGGCTTGAAGGATAGAAGAAAAGCTATCAGACTGCCGATGGCTACAAAGCCAAGTGGTAACAATGCATCGATCCTGTACGCAGTGTCCATTGTGCGCAGCACACAGAGTCGTGCAAGAATGGAAGAAGGGTGAATCAAATGATGTCTTTGACGAAAAACGATGGGTAACCAAAGGAAAAGACCTTATAAGCACCTAAGTTGATAATTAAGCAAGCAGGTGTACTACTCAAGCTAGTTATCCATCCCTTGTTCGCTTGGACCCTCCATAAGGAATACCCGGCCTGTTACAAAATCATATGCATCATTTCTCTCAGAAATTTATGCATACATGCATGCTCTGCTTTCCTCTATTCTTGTCTTTATCATTTCCTTTGAAGAATTAATTATGTTTTATGTCCCATTCGCAAGAATCTATATGTTTTCTACGAGTATTTCTCTTTGCATTCTACCTAATCAACCCTCATATGACTAATATCCCCTGTATTAGGTGTCGCGATTATCAGTATTTATGTATAGGAAGGATGTCTGACTGAATCAGGCAATATCAATGCCTATGAATCGCTGCGTTGGGATGAGATCTCAAAAAGTATCAATGACGTGCACAGAAGATGGTTCTACGAAGTCGTACACGAGGGCATTGAAAGAGAGTACATTTGTATGGAAATGTCTGTTGCACTGTAATACGGTAGATGTATCTTACTGTAGATGGCACCGTCGCTGATAGCCACCCCCTTAGCTGGAAAAGAGATTCTATGACTGAATGTGTATAGGAGGTACAAAATGTGTTGGATACCACTTGCGTGATCATTTCTGCAAGGATAGATGGTCAATAAGTGAAGTATCACCAGTAGTCATGACTGCAGTAACACCTATATAGAGGAACGCCACTGATCCACTGTATTACTGATGGTAAGATAAATGGGGTTTTTGGGAACCAATCACCGTTCACGGGCTGCTTAATGTAGCCGTAGGGGAATATACCGAATAGCAGCAGTTACGGATGAGCAATGAGACTCTCAGGGACAATATCGCCAAAGTACGCGATGTGACTCACGAAAACTGCCTAGACCTCATGCAGGTGTATGAGGATCAAGATCTAGATTTCTTCGTCATGCATGGTGTGGGATTAGGTGCCACCCGGCGGTTCGTAGGTGACATCGCCTATTGGGTAAGTCGATGCAGAGAAAGCACTCGCCCAGAAACGATAATAACTTAGGTTTTACAAGATACAGTGGATAGAGAAACGCCCATACCGGCATGCTAGTTCTTGTCTATCCATCAGGTTGAAATCACAAATACACTATAATACTACCAGTTGACCAGTTCGATCATGATCGACAGTTGCATAGGTGTCCTCGATGATGTTCCGAACCAGTTGTTTGCGGGTAGATCAACGTCACCGGACTGGTCGGAGATGCAAGTGGTCGATAGTGCAGGGAGCGAGGCGAGAGACCGCATACGTTGCCTCCAGTCCTGCGCGGCGTCAATTAAGACCCGGTCATTTGTGTTGCTGATGGGTCTTGGCTACGACTAATGCATTCCAGCATGTTGGTCGGGTATTGGGAGTGGAGCTGGCTGCAGGGCAGTTGTAGCTGACACATATAGCAATGTAGGCGAGTCATATTGCCGAAAATATCAGATGACTAGAGCGGGAATGATTTCGACTATCTCGATACAAGAACTTAGCGACTTACTGAATGAGTTTTGGATTATGTCGCCGTAGTGGAGGTGCTAAGATCGACGGCCAGGCGATTATACCGATCATTTAGCTAGCGGCAGGAAATTAGTACATCAATAGATCGGCACGAGGCCAGCAGATCGTCAATCGACTAGGGGTTGATACCTCTGATGCCACTGTGCATGGCGTAGGGTGTGAGGAGAAACTTTAAACACTACTAAGCTATTCTAGGCCTAGAGAGCATGTACCAACGGGAACCATTGACTTTCCACTCACGTTCGGTCCCGACCCGCCGTTTGGTCTCAGTAAGTGTGAACTTTGGTTTTGTAAGTTTAGTTGGCCAGGTACATATGCTAATGTGACTTGACGTGATTGATCTAACATTGAATTAGTAGAGTACACCTACCAGCTCACAGCATATGAAAATCTCTAATATACATCTAACAATTTTAGTAGGAGATTAGATTAGTCCATAGAAGTTTGTGGATCTAGTATGCACCCCCCAGCCAGCCACAGCCAGCCACATCCCGACCGATAATATGATTCTTCAGATGTATGGAAGCATCATTTTGATATCAAGAAACAAAGTCAATTCAAGCTAAATAAATCCATCATTCCGGTTTATATCTTTCTACAATGCTGAATTCATATAATCTATTTGATCATAGAAGATAGGAGAATAGCAAATTATTGATTTATTTCTGAATAGTCTATTTACCATGCAGCACAGTGCGCTAGTGGCTGACCTGCATGCATGAAAAAGCTGCTTTCTCTACATTAGGGGCCAGAAGGGTTGCCTTTCGTACTACTCCGTACAACTGATCGATTCCGTCCAAAAGAATATGATACATCGTATGCTTCATCCAGAGTAAGAGCCTTTCGTGAGGCTGGGCAGTTGCTCACGCAACCCAGTCCACCAGAGAAAGCCATGTATTCTCGTCCTAGCATTCCTTCCGTTCTTGAATCGTCCCACTTGGTTAACTGAGACCATCATGGCGACTTCAGCCTTTGTCATCATGGAAGACCGCGTGGACCAATACATTCGGGAATACCCCGATAGCTGTTCAGCATGCTATAAGGTCGAAAGAAACACCGCCAACAACACCACACTTATGACTAGGATGCCTTCGAACTTGGCAGCTGTTCGCCACTTACCCCCCTCCATGGCGAATAGAGAGAGCACCATGATTCTCGCGGTATAGGATATGGACACGTAGAATAGATTGTCGTGTATTGAAGCGATCAGATCGCATGTGTTGACAGAAGCGAGGATGACAGCTGGACCGTATCATGTAAGCCATAAGGAATGAAAAAAAAGTGAGGTCTAAAGGATGAGATGATACCGAGTAGTCGTGCCACGACGCTATTCACTTCGTATTGTTTCATGGCTTGTTGAGGGTTGAACAGCTGACGAGCGTGCATGGGTAGGCTGATGCCAGCAAGAATAGCAAAGGGCCATCCGGCTAAGGAAGAGGGCAGCGGAAGATATTCCATGGCTACTGCTGCTCTGACAGAGTACCTAGAAGGAACGATGGTTAGGTTACTCCGTACGTGACCGGCTCTAGGTGTGTGAATGTTGCTGTATTCAAAGGCTAGTTTTCTCGCACCAGAGGCGTGGTAATATACAATATACGGAGCATGGTATCCGTGCCGACACCGCCAGACGTGGGAAAACTCCGCGGGCCCCCAACACAAAGGGGACACAAAGAACATTTGTGCAAATATTGGCCCCTTGCATACCTTAGTAAATGCGGTAGCAGATGAGGAGATGATGCTAGGACATGCAGAGCGCCACGAAGATCAGACTTGTCAATACCCCTGGCATCACAGCACGCTTCCGCCACGCCCCGCCCGCCTGAAGAAACACGAGGACCATCGTAACCCTTGCGGCAAACGAGATCCACAGGAATGTCAGGTTATTGTTGACAGCCGAAGTGAGGTCGTATGCGTTCATTGCTACCAAAAGCACGGCTGTTATTTTACCTGTCAGTATCAGGCCGATCACCGATCGTTCCCTGGATGAACTGGTCAAGAGTATATGGACGTACCAAGAGCCTTGCCAAGAATGGGACTGACTTCAAAGTTCCGCACATTATCTTTGGGATTGATGATTTGACAGGATTGGATGGGGATATCGAGAAGAGCGAGGCCGGCAAAGAGCCAGCCGGCGGGGGTCGAAGGAAGCTGGATAACCATTGCGTTTGTTGCTCTCAATTTCGTGTATAGAGCAGTTGGAAAATAGCAATGGTGAACAGTGCTGTTAGCGGTGTATATCCTTCTTTCATTTATGGCCATATCATGCCCGATTATCCACTTTGACTCGATAGCTCAGTAAGACACATCCAAAATTTATCTGCAAGGAACATTCAGCTCCGAGATTGTGCTATTGACGGTGTGCATCCTTCTTTCTTCATGGCCCTTTCATGCTTGATTATGCACCCTGACTGGCTCTGCATTTTAAAGAGGCGAAGGATGGATATTGTCTGCAAGGACCATTTAGCTCCGAGGCTGTGCTTTTAGCGGTGTGTATTCTTCTTTTTAAATAGCCAATACTGTTCTATCCTCCGATACGTTGATACTCCTCACTGATAGCCGCTGCGAGCAAAGAATTCTATCTGCCTCCATCTGTGATTATCAGGAAAGACGTGGAACGAAGCATGCCTGGAATTGAGATTCACAACACGTGCGACTGCCGAGTGTACGACATTCGGCAACAGGGACAGGGCTCAATTGACCTTTGCGGGGAGATCAATTATGGCCTTTCATCGAAGCCTCCGTCATTGCCTTCTCTCCTGCTATGGAACGAGGAGGGACTGCGACGATTCGATAAATTTGCTCATACGCCTTCATACTACCTCCACGACAAGGAGCTGGAGATCCTGCAGAGACGGAGCTGTGAGATAGCTGCCGTAGTGCCCACTGGCAGTATTCTTGTGGAGCTTGGATGTGGGTGAGTGTGCACTACCGCGTGCGATACGAATTCTCTTCGACGCTGACGGAGAACGCAGGAGCTTACAGAAGACGGGCCAACTCCTCCGCGCTTTGGAGAAACAGGGAAAGTCCATTCGCTACTACGCTTTGGATGTATCGCTCCAGGGACTGACCAGTAGCGTGGGTCAACTCTACAAGGAGCTCAGCAATCCAAGTTTGGTGGAAATCATCGGTCTCTGGGGCACATATGATGATTGTGTGAGCTGGATATCAACGCCGTCGGGCCAGGATCCAGTCGAAACTTCTACTATCACCTTCCTCTGGATGGGCAATAGCATCAGTAATATGGAAAAGCCCTCTGATGCCAGCGCATTACTTTCAAAATTCAAACAGGCGTCTGAAGCTTTCAGCCTGCGTTCCCAGTTCCTCATCGCCGCGGATGCATGTGAGGATGCCGATATGGTTCAGGATGCCTACGATTGTCAAACTGCCGCGCTGAAGGCCTTCATTCTGAACGGCCTGTCTCATGTCAACGATCTGATGGGAGACACCGTCTTCCACCTCGAGGATTGGTCGTGCGAGTCGGAGTTTGACCCGGAGAAGAGCCAGCTAGAAGTCTACTATACTCCGCTTCGGGATGTAACGGTGAATGGAGCGGATGGAGAGACGTATCACTTTAGCAAAGGGCATCGAATCCGCGCGATTTGCAGCGGAAAATGGGGAAGAAAGCTCATGTTTGAGGTTGCCTCGGCCGCTGGGTTGCAGATGAACCACGCTTGGGGAGACTGTGCTGGGCTGTATTGTAAGTTCATATCGTTATAACCCCCCCACCCGAGTTGAAAATGGACTGACCAAGTGCAGATTTCTACCACTTGTATGCTGGTGTATAGAGGGCCGGATTGACAATGCATTATAGCAAAAGTGTATGTGTATGCCTGGGGGAGCCGCCACTGTCACACCTCTAATTGCCAAGTTTCTGTCTTAATGAGCTATTTCCTGAACACGCAAAACGGACTTTTAATATTTTAGACAGAGTTTTTCTTTTGTCTAGATTTGGAATTAAATTCATGAGAAACCCTTCTCTAGAAAAGACATGGTTAAAACGTATGCTTCAAGGACTGAATTAGCAAGAACGATTCTGAGGCGTGCGTGACCTCTCATTGTTGACATGCACCGTAGAAGCAACTAAATCGGCATCGCGCAATATATGCAGGAGATGAACAACTCCTGCAGTCAAGCCCATGCCAAGGGGTTGACTAGAGGCAGCTTGATAGTTGATTGAGTATCATTTGGCAGAATTGCGGCCCAATCTCCTTGCCTGATGGACGCGTTGAAGACAATTGGTAACATTTCTCGGGCCAAAATCCCGGCAAAGGGGCGATAAGGCAGTCATATCTTTGCATTTGCAGTCACTAGGGAGAAACTTTTGGAACGTCAAGGTCATATGCATGTGATACAGATATTCCTGCGATTGACGAGGTATTACGGGAAATTGCGGATTCGGAGATACTCGGATTAATCTGTTTACATGCTTTAACTGACAATCAGAAAATGCTAATCCGCAGTACTGCAAGCCTCATCACGTCCCATTAGGCGGGCATGATGTCTGCGAGAGTGCTATCAGGTTGTCGCGCCATTAATTGAACTGCTGTAGCGATTTTGCGCGCCAGTTCGTCTGCCTCTGCAATCTGTAGTACGTGGGCTGGAGCGCGGATAGATATCTCCAGACCATCTTTCCCAGCCATAGAAAACACCCATACTTCTGACCGCATCAGCTGATGCATATAAGACCCTGTGATATGGTGTAATGTCCGGGGATTGCTCAGTCCAGGCAGTGATATCGCCATCTTCGTATCTAGATCCTGGTGGTGGAAGATGGCCCCCAACGCTGTTTGCGGCCTCCATGATGTGCAGTTCTCGACAATATCGGCAAGAGCCAAGTAGTCGTGAGGTGTAGTCTGGATATGTTGCGCTTGTACGTGCTGGAGATAATAGGCTGTTGGCCATGTTGGTTGTATGTCGATGCGGATGGGAGTAAAATTGAGACAAGCCCCCAGAATGCTTTCAATTCCAGGAAGAGGAAGCCCACTGCGTCCACTGACTGTTTGGCCGAAAACAATCTCTTTCTTGTGAGTCAATTGTCCAAGCACTAGGGCCCCCGCTGCTTTGATCAACGTGGCCATGGTGATCCCTTCCGGAGGCTCACAAGGGGACGTGATAAGTGCTTTTGCATCTACTGCTTCGAAAGTCCCCTGTTCCTTTGTTCGGTCTTTAGTATCGAATGTGCAGTCCTGTAGGTTTGTCATAGTAGACCCTTCCAGGTAAGTGCGCCAAAAGGTGTAGCCGGTCGTATTATCTTGCTGGGCACGACACTGGAGGTAGTCAGAGAACTGTAGGCCGAAAGACAGAGCGCCTTCACCGTATGCAACGGCGAGGTCCTCAGTGAGAATTGGCAAAGAAAGGCCATCGTATTGGGCATGAGACAGCCGTAAAATTAAAGCATGTTCATTCGCCTCGGTATTGGAGATAAGAATGAACCGAACGGGGAGAACATCCATCGGTAGCGATTCGAAAGAAGAATGGCTCCAGAGCTTCTCGGCTACCGCTGACACCTTGCGAGCGGTTGTAATATGGTGTAGGGGTGTTTCCATATGTGGTAGAGTAACCTGAAGAATGCGATGGTCCTTCTGAGTGAAGAAGGTTCGCAGCATGCTGTGTTTCTTCACTACCATGTCGCACGCGGCTTGCAGGCGGCCAAGATCCAAACTGCCTTCCAAGATATAGGCGAACCAGTCAAAGCAACTGCGATCAATGAAAAACTCTTGAATATCGCTGGCTGGAAGAATCAATGGTGTCTCAGAGCAGGAGTCCAACAATGAGGTGTGCTCACGGAGATAGGAGAGACAGGCTGTATGGACCTCATCATCTACCAGGCGAATCAGCTTTCGTTGAGTAACTGGGGCGTTGTTCAAAACTCTGGCGCTCCGGGCCATTTCGCGCAGATTTGGGGTTGTAAAGATGTCTGCTACCGTCAGATTCAATCCTTTGACGCGAGCCATTGCAACGACCCGCATGGCGACGATGGAGTCACCCCCCAGGGCTAGGAAATCGTCATCAGGTCCCAGTTGATTCGGGTCCAGGTGAAGAAGGGTGGCCCAGATTTGAGCAAGGGTCCGCTCCGCGTTGGACTCTAGTATAGCGGGGTCGTTCCTACTGCCGTCTTGCACCATGGTATATGCCTTCATCTGATCCCAAGTCATCTGGGCAACTTCCTGGCGCAGTCGACGCCGGTCCTTTTTCCCAGAGATGGTCTTAGGCATTTTCTTCAGTTGAAGAAAGAGAGTAGGAACCATATATCCCGGAAAGATCTTGGCTAGACTCAACTTCACGGATTGAACCTCCGCGAGGAAAGCTTCGCTCGCATATGCAAAGAGACGGTCATCCTCGGTAGGTCCGTCCGGCTGGAGAATGAAGGCCGCAAGAGAGGAAACATGATTTGACTTTTTTGGAATTACCACATCTACTACGATGTCGGCAACTCTCGAAAATAGCTCGCGGATACGATGCTCTATCTCGCTGGATTCTACCCGTTGACCGCGCACCTTGACCTGATGGTCTTTCCGGCCCATGTGGGAGATGCTCCCATCAGGATTGAATCGGGCTAGGTCACCAGTCTTGTAAAGCACGGTTGGACGATTCTGACGAGCAGGCACCTGGTGCTCCATCCAGGAGGGCGGAGAGACAAATGACAACGCTGTTCGTTGTGGATCATTAAGGTAGCCTTGGGCAAGATTGGAAGTATCGATGAGAAGCTCTCCCACTGCTCCAACGCCTCGCAACTGCTTGTGGTCCTGAGGATCTACAATCCAACAGCGCCCATTGACTGGATATCCAACTGTTCGCTGGGATGGATCGCAGAAGATGGGGTCGGAGGCTGCAAAGATCCCCGCGCACTCGGTGAGTCCGTATATCTGGATAAGTCGAGCACGTCGCCCCCAGTCGAGAATATGGCTCTCCTGGACAGGCTCTCCTCCAAGAACAATCGTTTTCAGACATCCCAGATCAGTCGGGGATATGGTACTTAGCGTGGTTGGAGAGAGCACCACCCAGTCCACGTCCATGTCGCTGATAGCCTTGGTCAACGAATTCATGCGGCCTGTGTCCGACGGGATACACAGCGTCGCACCACGGCTGAGGGTGCAAAAGACCTCGATCAGAGCCATGCCAAACCCAAGGGAGGCGAACTGGAGAACTCGGCTGTCTGACTGTAGATAGAGAGGGGAGCAGTGACTGGCAATTTTGGCGAAAGCGGCATGTCCCACGACACAGCCCTTGGGTTCACCCGTACTGCCCGATGTGAACAGGCAATACGCCGGTGAATCACGGCCCGGGTATATAGAGTTCGATCCGACTCTATCGCACCATTCATGCTCGTGCTTGTCCCCGACTGTGATAACCGATATACCCGCATCGTGTAGTATGCCAGCCTGTTCATTGCAGGCTAATGCTACACGGGCGTTTGTCTGGCGCAAAATGCTTGAGAGGCGATCTGACGGCACCTTTGGATCCACGGGGACAAATGCTGCTCCGCACTTGTTGACTGCAAGCATGGCAACGATAGCCCAGACAGACTTCTGGAAGCTGATAGGAACAAAGATATTTGGTCCGACGCCGCTATAAATCAGATGGGAGGCTAGTCGAGATGAGAGATAGTCAAGCTGAAAGTACGTTAAGGTGCCATCCCACGACTCTAATGCAGGTTTGTGTGGCATTTCAAGGGCTTGTTGATGAATGATCTCGTGCATCAACAGGTCAGCTGTCTCAACGGACCCAAGCGCATTCCATCTCTGCATCCTCCAGCGATCACAACCAGAAGTAGCCCACAGGTCACGCACTGTTTGTGTGGTTCTTTGACAGAGTTTGACTGTGATATCCTCCAATTGTTGCAATATACTTGACGCATGCATCGTCAACATGGTGGACTTGCGGTATGTCATGACTACTCGGAGCTCGTCTCGACTTTGGTATAGGACGAGAAGGACGTCACACGCCTGTATCATATCGGAAACATGTTATTAGATTGGCAAGATTGGTTGGATAAAGAGGGTTCTTACCTCGGAAAGTTCTTGCGAATGGTGCTGTACCAACTCGTCGTCCCATGTATGTGAGTGTACATCCTGAACAAAGATGATACCAGTATTTGGTGGTTCAGAAGCGTCAAGCGTGGCAGGAGTCCACGCTGTAGTCTCCAATAGGTTTGCAAATTCCATATCCTCCTTGATGTTGACGGTCATTATCTCAGGAAGTGACCGTTCGGAGCGATCTTGTCCTGGACTACTCAGCCAAAGTTGGGTGACGGGACTTTCGACATAACGGCGGAGAATGACGGACCATAGGGCCCCCAGGACAAGGTGTGACTCCTGCTGGCTTTCCGCTCTCATCCGGGTAATATTGGCTCCTACTATCTGGGGTGCTTCGGCACTACCCCACTGTGCAGCGCTCACTGGGATCTGGTGTAGCGGAGGAAAGAAACAACTCTCACCAGACAGAGCGTCTCTTCGTTCGGATAAAACCGTTCTAGTCATTTTTCCAATGGTAGTTGGACTGAGGAGCTGGGAATCGAGATTTGTGATGCAAGTGTATGTGGGCTATAGTTCCAGCGAGGAATAGATATCGACCTGGGTCAATCAGTACACCGCACAGTCCTTAAGCTACTGGGAATGAAATAATATATCATTATGCGCGTCGGGCCAAGATATAATCACTCTGCAGAAGTTTCCGTGCAAGAAGGCAGAGGCCCCACTCTACTTCAGCTAGTTTGAGGCTGTATCGGCTGCAAGGAGATACTGTACTAAAGATTGAAATGACGTTCTGATAATGTAGCTATTGCACTACGCATCACTAGTTTTTCTATTATTCCAACATCAAATCTGGTGGAGTAACTAATATTCCAAATAATGGGTTCACCTAGTGCGGTTGAGATATATGGATAAGAAAAAAGACTAGCCTACCGAAGGACCGTATAGATGTGCTTTCCCACCCACTCATGGTAAGTACCAAGGTCCATAGCCTGATATTGCTGGAGGCCTCAAATACGAACACCTGTATGTGGGTGTCTACTCACCGCTCAAACGTATGCATGGGAAAGGAGGGATCGTGATAGTGACGATGTTGGATAGACAGAGAAAAGTGACGAGTTTCAAGCATAAAGTACCTGTACCACGGCACTATACCGCCTTGACAATCCACATTGTATTTGAGCACTTGCCATGTGCAGCATATAGAGCGGCTGAAAGCAAATCAATGATCGCGCCCCTTGCATCAATAGATCGCCTGCAAGGCAGACGATCCCAGCAAAGGTCTGCATTTTATTGATTTTACACACGATATATCCGTTCATAGGTGATAGATCTGCTTTTCTTTGCCTTGCATTCTGTAGAGTGCGGAGCAATAAGTAATGAGAGTCTCTGTGCATGTGAGGCATCTGAGGGAACGCAACTCACTCCCAAAGAGTCCCATGAGTGGGAATGGTCCAGAATCAAGATAGAAATCACTTCATCATTTCCGACACCACTATTCCGTACCCAGCATCAGAATTTGCCATCCGCCACACGGACAACACCTGCTGATCATTATCACTCTTGTCCTCACACATATAAAGAGGGAGAGACAGAGGAAAGAACAGACGATTCTACAAATATTAGAGCACCGGCAGATGACGATGACCAGGAGCCAGCCTTTCCAACAACCAGAAGGGGCAGATGCTCGTGTCTGTATCTTTCCCCAGCTCAGCAAAACGGAAGGCTATGGTGCCGTCCACCATCAAACAGACCTGGTGGAAATTCCTATCGCTTGTATTGATAAGGTACTTGAGGGCGAAGGTATCACCATAAGCTCCTTCGTCTTGGTGGCATGGGCTGTCACTCTGCGGTGTTTCACCGAATGTCAAACTGCACAGCTTTGGGTAGGAAATGGCATCGAGGCACTCTCCAACACCAGTCTGGACGGATTGATAGATCTTCTTTCCATTCCAATTGAATCTGAGAGTTCACTGAAAAGCCTCTGTCAGTACACAAAGTGGACAATGACACATCTCCATCGACCGGGACATGCTCCTTGCAATGTTGGCATAATATTTCAAAAACCTGTCGTTATTGACTGTCCGACCACACACGAAGACGAAAATAGATTTGATGACTGGCCCTCTGTAAGTGGTGTCTCCGCCCGATAAAATCTATTTGACATCTGACTGGATATGGCTATGAACCAGGGTTGTGAAGTGGCTTTGCAGGTGTACATCGATGTAGACCAACTGCGCATGTCGCTTCGGTATAAAGATAGTCTGCTATCTTCGACTGCCGCGGAAAATGTACTCAGTACCGTCCAGCAAGCTATAATCAGCGGATTAGGTTCTCTTTCAGAACCAATCATCAATCTGTCCCTTTTCACAAGCCGACACCAAAGCCATATAGAAGACTTCCAGAGGCCATCTTCGGCCCTGAGCATGCCACCCAGCTCTCCCTGGTGGGATGAACTCAAGCGGTCCGTATTTGAGCAGGCAGGCAGGCGTGATAAGGTAGCGATCGATGGATGGGATGGCGTAGTTACCTATGAGGAGCTCGACGAATTCTCGTCCCGGGTCGCTGCTCACTTGCAGGCCCTCGGGATAGGCCCGCGGATGATGGTCCCAGTTTGTTTTGAGAAGTCCATCTGGTCGATTGTTGCGACCATCGGTGTCCATAAGACTGGTGCCGCATTTGTTCCTTTGGATCCAGCCTTGCCCATGCAGCGAATTGAAAAGATCGTGGCCTTGGCCGGGAGCAAATTCGTGGCTGTTTCATCCATGCAGAAGCCACGATTTGAGAGCTCGTCTGTCACTCCGGTCATTATCAATCCACAGGTCATGGCTAATTTTCCGCCGGCGGATGCACTGTTGCCGTCCGAAGTCTCCATGGAGGATCCTGGCTACTGCCTTTTTACCTCTGGAAGCTCTGGGACCCCCAAAGGGTGCATTATCAGCCAACGCGCGTTTGCAGGGATTAGCCAACAGGGTACGACCGTGCATCTCAGCGAGAGGTCGCGCAGTCTTCAATTCGCCTCCTATTCCTTTGGCATCTCCATCATCGAGATCTACTGCACGCTCGGCACTGGAGGCACTGTCTGTGTGGTTTCTAGTGAGGATTGTGCAGGAATCAGTAACCTAGCGCGTGCGATCACCCGAGTCAACGTGAACTGGACCTTCATGACTCCGACGATGGTCGGCTCTCTACATCCAAAGGAGGTTCCCTGTCTTAAAACAATCGTCACAGGCGGCGAGCCCTTACAGAAGGGTCAGATCATGACCTGGGCAGATGCAGTCAGTCTTCATCAGGCATTAGGCTTGACAGAGTGGGCTGGAACATGTTGTATCTCGCCTCGCATCACCTCAACCTCTTGCTTGGGAGTGGTCGGCAAGCCAATGTCGCATGCACGAGCATGGCTTGTCGATCCGAATAATGCAAACTTTCTTGCCCCCGTTGGTGCTGTCGCCGAGCTATGTATTGAGGGAACGTGTCTTGCACAGGGCTATCTTAACGACCCTGACAGGTCATCTAAGGCATTCATTTCGCACCCGGGATGGGGACACGAGCCGTTATTTCCGACTATCTCTGGCCCACGGAAACTCTACAGGACTGGAGATCTCGTGCGCTACATGTGTGATGGGAGTATTCAACACCTCGAACGAAAAGACATGCAGCGGAAGGTCCGAGGACAGCGGGTTGAGATCACAGAGGTCGAGTACCACATCAGACATTGCTTTCCCGAGGCCGTGCGGGTATTTGCGGAAGTCATTTGCCCATATGATCAAGATTCAGGGTCCAGCTCGGTGTTGGCGGCCTTTGTTCAGCTCGATCAACCAGGAGCTGGGTCAAATGCCACCAGCTGTGATGGCGAGAACTGGTTTGCCCCCGTCGGCATGGTCTTGCAAGATCGTATCAACGCCACGCGCGAGGCCCTGTCACTCCAACTGCCCCGGTACATGATTCCCGACCTCTTCCTCCGCCTCAGGGACATTCCCCTTACGGTCAGTGGAAAGCTCGACCGCCGGCGTCTCTGCAACTACGCGAACCGGCTTACGCGCCACCAGCTCCTCGGCAAAGACCATGAGGATGGGTCGCGTCGCGCACCGGCGACAGAGATGGAGACAATACTGCTTTCGCTCTTCGCCCACTCTCTCAAATCTTCTGTGGAGAAAATTGGCGTCGACGATAATTTCTTCCACCTTGGGGGCGATTCACTCAGGGCCATGACTCTTGTTGGCCAGGCGAATTCGAAGTACGGGCTAAAGATCACAGTGGGCGAAATCATCACTTATCCAACGGTCTCTCAATTAGCCACCGTGGTGCCTGGGACAAAAGTTGCTCAAGAAATGAACGGAGCTGTTGTACCTTTCTCCCAATTGTTCAAGTCTGAAAGCAAGGAAGAGGTCATCCGGGAAGCCTGCAAGCAGTGCCACGTGGAGCCTGACATCATTGAGGATATTTACCCCTGCACGCCTCTTCAGGAGGGGATGTTTGCCCTGGGCAGGAAACAAGCGGGTGGTTATGTCGCTCGCTGGGTGTTTGAGTTTCAGCAGATGTGCGAGGCGGATTTACAGCGCCTGAAAGACGCCTGGCTTAGTGTGCTGGAAGATAGCGCCCCTCTAAGGACACGTATTATAGCCTCTCCGTCCCAGCGCATGTATCAAGTCCTGCTCCGAGGCCAGTCTGTCTGGCAGGAGTCGAGCACTCTCTTTCATCGGGACGAGCGGGACGATAAGCCCGACCTGCTCGTTGAGTCTGGCCACCCATTGGCCCAAATTTCCATCCACCGGAACGACACTGCCGATTGCGTTCAGCTAGCACTCACTATGCACCACTCGGTGATTGATGGATGGTGTTTCCGCAAGATCCTGGATCAGGTAGAAGCGGTTTACCATGGGGAGGCCCTGCCAGCGTCACCCCCGTTCGCTACGTTCGTCCACTATCTCAGCCAGCTTCCAGACCACAAGACATATTGGACGGACTATTTCTCAGGCCTCAATGCAGAGGTCTTCCCTGCCATCTTGCCCGTGGCGTATGAGCCATGCCCCATGGGAGAAGCAACAGACTGGCTTCCGCTGGCGGCCTTTACCCCCGGACGATTCACACGTTCGGCGATTTTACGACTCGCCTGGGCGATGGTGCAGTCTCAATATCAAGGAAACAATGACATTGTTTATGGACTCACCGTATCCGGACGCAATGCTCCCGTCCCGGGCATCTTGACAATGACCTCCCCGACAGTGGCCACGATACCATTCCGGGTGCAGCTGGATCCGGCCGCATCAGTCGAGAAGGCACTGGACAATCTAGTTGCCCAGACTATCCGCAGCATTCCCCATGAGCAGACAGGACTGCAGAACATGCGAAAGTGGGGCGGAGATGTCGCCGCCGCGTGCGAATTCCAGACACTCCTGGTCATTCAGCACATTGACAGTACCACAGGGTACAGTCTGTTGGGAGCTGAGCCTCATGAAACCAGTTTTGCTGCCTTTTGCACTTACTCTCTCACTCTGGTCTGTAATCTCAACTCGGACCCGGTAGAGCTGAAGGCCTGGTTCGATCCTAAGATCGTGCCAGAGCGGCAGGTCCATCGTATCCTCCGCCAACTCAAGCATGTGGTTCAAGCCATTTCAAAAGACCCCGCTTCGACGGTGAGTGACTGCATGACTGTGAGCCCGAGTGACGCCGACGAAATCTGTGCATGGAACCAGCCGATTCCTGCCTTGCCCGAAAAGGGTGTTGACGCACTGTTCCACCAGCAGTGCGTGGCGCATCCAGACCGACTGGCAGTGGACGGATGGGATGTGCAGTTCACATACAAAGCCCTCGATGAGCTCTCCACTCATCTAGCCAAACACTTGGTGGCGATGGGAATAATAGCCGGTGATTTCGTGCCCATCTGCACAGAAAAATCTGGTTGGACGATTGTCTGCATGCTCGCCACGATCAAAATCGGGGCTGCGTTTATTCTGCTTGATCCGGCTGTCCCGAAACAGCGACTGGCTGCTAGCTGCCAGCAAGCCTTGGCCAAGCTGGTTCTCACGACGACTGGAACCCTTCCACTTGCCCTCGAGCTGGTGGCCAAAGTCGTCCTCGCGGATGATCCATATCCAGCCAGAGCAGGCATATTACTGCCAATAATCCAACCGGAACGGCCTTTGTTCGCCGTGTTTACTTCGGGGTCCACAGGCGTGCCAAAAGCGGCCATGGCGGACCATCAATCATTCCTCAGTTACTCTCTTCCTATCATGAGGAAGATGGGGATAGACGGGACGGTCCGATGGCTCCAGTTTTCCTCCTATGCATTCGACATGAGCGTGAATGAAACTCTGTGGACATTGTTGGGCGGTGGTTGTATATGCGTGCTATCTGATACACAGCGCTTGGACAACTTTGTTGACACCGTAACCACCTTCCGTCCGACTCATGCTGTCCTCACGCCCTCCTTCATGCGCTCACTTGATCCTAAGGACCTTCCATCGCTCCGAGCGCTCATGCTGGGTGGTGAGCCAACGCAGCCATCGGAACTTGCCGCCTGGAGCCCTTACATGAATCTGATGATCGGATATGGACCAGCCGAGTGCGGTGTGACTCACCTTCGGTACTTCGGTGAGAGTCCCAACGACCCGTACAACTCCGTCGGCTTCCCAACAGGGGGTGCCTCCTGGCTGGCGGCCCCTGGGGACCCGGAAAAGCTCCTTCCAATCGGCGCTGTGGGCGAGTTGTTCCTGGAGGGTTCCTTTGTTGGACCGGGATATATGCATGACCCGACAAAAACCCAGGAAGCCTTCATCGTGGCGCCCAGTTACGTCCGAGAGCTCCGTCACGGCCCAAGTCGCGTGTATAGGACCGGTGACCTGATGCGATACAATGTTGATGGATCGCTGAGTTTCGTCGGGCGAATGGATTCCCAGGTCAAGATCCGTGGCCAGCGAATAGAGTTGGCCGACATCGAGACTCATCTGGCGAGGTGTTTCTCCTCTCCTGTCCAGGTCGTGGTCGAGCTCGTCTCGCCAGAAGGCCATGGAGCACCCTTTCTCGCAGCTTTTATCTATTTCCCCGTCGAAGGCGGCCAAGGCCCCACTGCGGACGCCGGAGCGACAATTGCAAGCTGCCACGCCTTCTACCAACCGGAACAAGATTTTCAGGAGCGGGAAGCCAATGCTCTGGCCTTGCTTCGTGACCGGCTGCCTCGCTTCATGATCCCGTCGATGATGATCAATCTCGCACACATGCCACACACTGCTAGCGGCAAAGTAGACCGGAAATACCTACGAAAATCATTGGCTGAGTTGCCAGACAAAGAGCTCAAGCAGTTCCGCGCCACAATTGGGAAAAGGCGTGGTGCAGCCACCGAGATGGAAAAGAATATTCAGAAATTCTGTGCCACAGCCTTGCAGATCCCATGCGAAGAGGTTAGCCTCGACGACAACTTCCTTCAACTCGGCGGCGACTCCATCAGTGCGATGTATATGGTGGCAGAAGCCCGTAAAGACGGAGTTGCAATAAGTGTGGTTGATATTCTGGAAAATCCTCGCTTGTCAGCGTTGGCCAGTCATGTAGCATGCCACAATAGCTCCTTTGCTGGAAATTCCAATGCCTACAGCAGTGCTGATATTAAGCCTTTTGCGCTGGTTAACGAAGGGCTTCGAGCAGAGGCCACACGTGCGCTATTAGAGCTGCAAATTGTGAAGCAGGAATCGCATATTGCTGATGTCCTGCCAGTGACTGAAAGTCAGCAGTTTTTCCTCACCCAGTGGACCCCATTCCTTGCCTGCTACTTTTTAACTGGGTTTGTTGATGGGAGACGCCTCCGTCATGCTTGTCAAGCTGTTATGTCAGCTCATAGCATTCTTCGCACTGCCTTTGTACAAACACATCACGGTTTGCTCCAGGCAGTCCTTCAGGACATTGACCTACCATTTCATCAGGTCACCACGACGGATGACCTGCTGACCTACTGCGATTCGATATGGCAGAGCAACTCAGAGATATCATCCACTGTTAACACTGCGCCCCTTCGTTTCACGCTTGTGTCGCGCTCTGCAACTGAGCACGCTTTTATCCTCCGTATCTCCCACGCCCAGTACGATGGCATTTCGCTGCCAACCTTGATGAATGCCCTGGCAGAGGCGTACACAGGGCGTACACCGGAGGCAATAATTGATTTTGCCAGCTATATGCACCTTCGCTCATTACATGATCATACAGGGGCATTCCACTTCTGGCGTCAGTATCTGCTCAACTCATCCGTACGCCCATGGGACATTTCCACAAACGCCCCACCTCAGAGCCCGAACAATGTCTCCAGCTCTTCCCGCATAACCGCTGGACAGAGTGTCCCCATGCCCAGTCTTTCGGCAGGCCAGACCGTCGCAAGCCTTGTCAAGGCCGCTGCAGGCTGGCTCTTCGCCCGGGATACCCGTCAACACGATATCGTCCTGGGCCAAACAGTGTCCGGGCGCAGCATGCCCATCGGAGGCATCGAGAAGATGCTCGGTCCGTGTCTGAACACCATTCCATTCCGGTTACAGCTGCAGCCCAGGTGGAGTGCTCTCGATCTTTTGCAGCACGTTCAGAAGCAATGCTCCGCGACGTTTGCGCATGACTACGTGGATCTCGCAGATATTGTCCGTACCAGCACAGACTGGCCGCAGGATAGTTATCTTCCCTGTATTATTCAACATCAGAATGTTGCACAGACTTCCACTCTCCCATTACCTGACGTTGAGTGTACCTCGTCTGGCTGGGCACATTTCATCCCGCAATCCGGGATGTGGATATTGACCTCGCCGCAGGACTCCAAGTTACAGATTATGCTTTGTACGTCGGGGGCGTTCATGTCGCTGGAAACAGCCAGATTGTGGGTCAAGGATCTCGCGACCGTGATCACTATTTTCGCAAGCCAGCCTGAGATACTGCTGGATGATGTCCATGTATGATGATGCTTTCTTGTGTGGAATATGTTCCTCGTCAATTATCTGTACAGAGTAAACGCAATAGGATTGAAAATACATATGGTTGTGATGCGCTCTATCAGAAGACTGATTCTTTCGCAGAAGTTCACTTTCTTCTTCAAACACACTCTCTCTCTCTGCAAAGGAAGGTAGTCTTTCTACTCAGTACCTAGTAATGCTGTATCACTGTCGCCCCCGTTGTGGTAGAGATGCCCATAAGTGGGACAATTATTCCGTTTCAGAATTGCGCCTTTGCTGGTCCCAGTGATGAAAACAGAATTCTTGGCTTCCGAGATCTAGGCCACCAATTTCTAACAGAATCCTGAGAGTGCGGATTGTCGACTGAGGTATTTTCGCTACTGGATAGATGCAGGAGGGTGCAGCACCTCCAGGTAGCCACTTAGTAACCAAGTCACGACAGAACTAGGCAGAGATCACATACACAGTATACGCAATGAAGCTAGTCCCAAGGATAAACATTGTACTAGAATACAGGCGAGATTAGACGATACCCAGCCCGACCGACGCTTCTTTTCTGTTCACGGTCAATACCTTCGGATTTCGATATGATTATCATGAAATTCATTTGAAGCATAAATAAAAAAATATATATCACACGTATATGTTACCATCCATTGACTGTTTTTTCGGTCTCCTTTTATCCAAGGTCCATTTTGATGTCTAGGCCGCGAGGGGAGAGGTGAATCATCGAGTCAAGGACGCAAGGGAGGTTATTGAAAATAGACAGAGGGTGACAAAGACTTGCAGAACGATCAGTCTGCATTGGGTCGGCTCAGCCGCAGTGTCGATCGGGGACCGAAACTGGAAAGACTTGTACAATTTCTCAATTGCATATTGTATCCAGAAAAGTCGACGATGAGTCGACCTGCAGGATATCTTGGTAGTGCCACTCAAAGTCGGCCGTATTGACCGCTAGACCTCGAGACCCGATCGACTCCTTTTTCGGGCGATTGCTGAAGCATCAATTCAATAAAAAGCTGTGCTATGACGCAATGTACTTACGGCCGAGCTGCAGCTATACTCTCACTGCGCTCAGCGCAGCGGTTTTCTGATCTCTTTACTGATCTACAGTGCATGTGCCCCTATTCAAGGATGTTTGTGCCAAAGCAATGCCAGGTCGCTGGCTTCCGGCCAAATTTAAATTGAGCCCTTTCGTGACTCTTCCAGTCTCTTTACCGTCTCAACATCTCTCATGCGTTCACTTCAAGGTTATTAGCCCATTGAGTTGTGGATAACAATACGCTCCCATAATGTACTCTACTGGTGAGGCCACTTCAACCTACTTTTGAATTCCCCACTCCAAAGTCTAGTGGTTGCTAAAGATACAAAGCTCTTCTATTCCGGAAGTCTAGGGATGAACTTGGCTCATATCACATAAAGCAAGTTGACAGCAACGACTCTACGTCGCCGCTATCTGATCCAAGGAGCAAGAGCCGTATCTATTTTGAATTCAGTGGTGGCATTCTCGCCGTAAGCAAACTCATGTGGGAAGTTTCTTGTATTTGCTCTAACCTAGTGGTCTCGGAGCAGGTGTCCGGTTCTTTAAATATACAGACCCTGGAAACCGACCTCGAACTGACGATCTACGGAATGAACTTGGGTATCTTTCAAGGAAGGCTTGATCGACTGTTGAAAATAAATCTCGATATGAGCCTGGTAAAGGGCAGTGTTGAACTCAAGCTAACCGAATTTGATGAGTTACGGCTTGATATCGACATCAAGGCTTTGCAGGTCAACGAGGAAGGATCAGGGGGGTTTATAAATTGCAAACAGTCACATGTTATCCAAACGATACCTACTGTCAGATGCGAACCATGGTTAATCTGTGATTAATTTATTTGAGGATGAAATCAAGCGTCACCGATGAAGTAGCATTACCCCTGTAGGCGAGCCCTCTCCCTTCCCATTGATCGTTAGAATAGACCTGGCCCAGACCCGCGGGTGACTAGACTTCCGCATCACTATTCCGCGTTATAGTAATGTCTGACCCGGTACTGGATCTGGGGTCCTAGCTTAAATTATAAACACAGAAAACACGCTTAAGGCCATTATAACATGAAGTATGCAAGTTTTGCTTGTAACATTCAGCAGTAAGATATTTAGGTAATAACGAATAGATATTCATTCGCTACATATATTACAATGACTTGATCTATAGAATTGGATTATTCACATTGTCTCTCCTTCAGCCCCTCCCTCAAATGGCCGTGACCACCTTCTTCTGTTTAACTGATATCCATTGTAGGCACAGAACCCCAAAAATTGAAAGGGCACTGGTTGCAACTGCGATATAAAACGTCTGCGTGATAGCACCATTGTACGCTTGCAGAACTATATCGAGATTTCTTGGGAAGGATTCCCGCAGTCTCGTTGCTCCTGCTTGGACCACCAGTGCTGGATCAAGCATTGGAGCCATTTTCCGAACATTTGCCACCAGTCGATTCTCAAAAACATTCTGGGCAATGGAAATAAACACGGCTCCAGACAGCAATTGGCTGAATACGACCAATGAGGTCGCGACGGGGATATCAGTTTCCGTAACTGCTGCCTGCACAACGATCGTTGACAGCTGCATGCCCAAGCCTGCTCCAATACCGGCCATTGTTTGATAACCAATGGACTTACCAAGCCCGGAATCAGATTTCAATGTTGTGAGAAGGCCAATGCCAACGCTGAAAATCACAGACGAGGCTAGCATGAAAGGATTGTAGTATCCCGAAACCGTCACTAGTACGGCTGCAACTATCCCGAAAACACTCACTCCTAAGATCAACGGTAGATTCATCACGCCAGAGGCAGTAGCACTGGCCCCTTTGATTGCCTGGAACCAAAGAGGAAGCTGGCCCATACAGTTAGCAGTAATTCACGACTCGAACAGAAACCACATACATAGTATACCATGACGAAGAATGCACCGCCGATCAAAGAGCTGTACATCATTGTACCAAACACGTTGCGATTCTTGATTATCCGAGGCGGCACTGTGGCTCGATCCTGCTTTCGATATTGAATGTAGATCCAAACGCAAAGTCCCACCCCAAATAGCACAAACAGCACAATGATTCGCACATTGGACCAGTTGTATTTTTGACCTCCCCATTGCAAAGCAAGTAGCAGACAAATAAGACTCGGTAAGAAGATGGCTGTGCCAATTAAATCCAAGCTCCGCAGCTTGTCACGGCCTGTGATTTGGGTCTTGGTTGGTTCTTCATGGAAGAAAAGTATAACCACAAGAGCTGTGAAAGCTCCAAATGGTAGATTGATATAAAAACACCATCTCCAGCTGACATGGTCTGTAAGAGCGCCTCCTATCCTGGTGTGGTGTAAGATGTCATCAGTATATCGTAAGAGAGAATATCACCAGCCATAAAATGGCAAATAGAAAGAGGGTTGTCTTACAACGGACCGGCCACGCTAGAAACTCCAAACACAGCCCCAATCAGCCCGATGAAGATCGCGCGTTTGTGCAGCGGTACAGAACTTGCAACGACAAGCATAGCGCCCGAAAAAAGGCCTCCAGCTCCGACTCCCGCTATTGCTCGCCCAATTATCAGACCCGTCGAGGATGGAGTAGCGCCACAGACAAGGGATCCGAGCTCGAACAAGAACAGCGCCGCCGTGTATACCCATTTGACCGAATAGTAGGTGTAAAGCTTGCCAAAAGTGAGGGTCACGGCACATGTGGTCAACATGTAAGCGCTACCATACCAGCCCATGTCATCCAGCGAATCGAATTCAGCGGTGATTCTCGGGATGGCCGTTGCCACGATTGTATTATCCTTGCAAGGGGAGAATGTTAGCGGAGTGATGGCTAGGGGGTGGGATAGACAGCATCATACTAGACCGGTACAAAAAACCGAACAACAGAGTCCCGCTGTGATCGGAATGAGTTTCCACGTGGACGGATAGTGCGTTTTATCTTCGGAGTCATCAGACACAGCTGCTTTTTCTTCACCTTTACTGTCGACCATCTCCTTGGGCAGTGCGTCTAGTGAATTTGTCAAGCTATGATGGTCGGGTTCGCCACATGGTGATTTGTTGGCGTCCATCATGGTTGATACACCCTCAGCTTAATGCAGTTTGGGAGTGGGCAAGAACTGATTCAATTGTCGAGAGGTTTTCGAAGGGTTCGGCACCTAGTACACTTATATTCTATACGTTCGAGATGGGAATTACTGTCCTCCCTTCTCATTCCCCAATTTTGCTGCAGATCGAATGTAACATCAGGTAAGGGGTAGGATTGATTATTGACTCCGTACACCGAGAGACCCAGTGGGGATGATTTGGATGAATCGCCCTTACGACTCCATACGATTGATCAAGTGACGGAAACTAGTTAGGTGGAGCGGCTTCCAGAATTTGTTAAGATGGATTGAAAATAATGCTGTGAAACCATACATTTTTGAGATTACGAGGCTGGGTGTTCATGTGGCTGGCATCGTTCTGCAGGCGTCAATACACAGGCGTCAATATGCAGGCTTCAATATGCAGGGTGATGATCATTACCGGTCCGTGCCACTGAATGCCTCGCGTAATCTGACGGATGCTGTTTTGACCTAGCCAATAAGAATGTGTGAAAGACTGTGTATTTTGTTATCCCTGATCCTGGCAATTTAGAGGGATCTCAACATGACTAATGAATTAGGACTCCCTCAACGTCGTTCAAGTGCTGCTAGGCTGAAGTAGGCATGCTATCCTATTAGTTGGTTCATAGTTACTGCGAAGGAGGCCTGGCAGCAACTTGACTTGAGTATCCGAGAAAGTCTATCAGAGAGCGTGCCACGTTGGGTGCAGGCTATGACTGAGTCTAATAGACGGTACACTGATTACCTAGGTGTTAGTCATATTCGAAGAATCATATGCTAATTGTGATGCTGTTGAGCTCATTCTGGAAGCTAGACCTAACTTCATAGAATCCCGAGATTAGTCCGGTTTCTAAAGATTTGCCTAAACATAAAAGGGTGTGGGAACTTCGTCGGTTAGCTATATAGCCATTAAACGAGAAACCAGGAAAAGCTACATAAAATGCGTTTGGCTAGTGAATGGGTCTCTTCCATGGAGCGGCCCTTAGACGTGTTCTTCGATGCATCCGGGAATAGGGACATTGCCTCTCGCATGATGAACGCTTGTAGCGAAGTGATTAAAGTCTAATTTTCCAGGCCGTGTTTGCTCAGAGTAAAATAGTAGTACTTTAAACGAGTTAACTAGCTTAAGGTTCTCTTGAAGGGTCAAAGGTTTCGTTACTGTATCTCGCTGTCCCTGTTTATCCGTAAAAACACAAAATCTCCTCTATCTATCGAGACATCATAGACTATAGCGGTCCTATTATCACGGGAAGCCTTATACTCTTAGTAAAGAATTGCTAGAAAGAAATACCACGGATAGCTATGAATTTTCAAGCTTCCCTAGTGTAGATTGAATAAATACTTACCTATATATCACAGCGCTTAGAACGCTCCCGCGCTCATCCCCCCTTCTCTTTTAGCTTCAATTGGCATAAGATCAAAGGCCTTTGTTAGACCATGAAGCCAAATATCGAGTTCTAATCCTTAGATGAGGGAGGACAAGGGCGTTCTCCAAAATAAATAAAAAAGCAAAAACATACAACAGTGAGGATTCGCTGGTGGTCACCCACCCAACTACTAACTCACCGGCGTGTGGCTTAAGTACGGCTGAGCGGACGGGAAGCCCTGTTTTCCACACCCTATGGTCGTATGTGGTAGACAGGGTATCGAAAAGAATTATGTGGATAGCGCTTTAATCCAATGGTCCACTGTCAATGTGGTAGAAAATATCCCTAAACGATGATGAAGGTTTGCAGCACTAGCCCTATGATCGGCACATAAACACCGTACCAGAGTGTATAGTCGCAGTTCCCAGATGCTCTCTGGGGTTTCCCATTATGAATAACAGGAAGATAGACAAGCGGGGTCTCTCCATCTGCAGATTCAAGGGCCATGGGTCGAACTCTGGGCCTGGGTATGGGATGACTTCATTCAGTATAACATATAAGACGATGTCGATGACAGATCGTACAGATGGCCCATTCTCAGGGGCAGGTCTACTCATCTCGACTCTGATCCATACATTGGCTGGTGGATGAAGAGGTGTCGTAGAACAGAAGCTGCGGATCCGAGGGGGATTCAGAGTGCCATTAAATCTACTGGAAAATCAAGACGACAATCAGAGAACGGCTCATTTTTTTCGCAGCCCAGTTTGGATGTATTTCCGTTACTAGCTACCTTCTTTCCATCGGGGCAAATTTCGGAAAGCTCTGGTCTCCGAGTCTGCCCTGCGGAATTTCGGAGATCGGAGGTGGCCTTCATATCTGAATGAGGGTTCCTGCAATTTTGTTATGGTTCCATGCCCCAAAAGCTCAAAGTTTATTGCTGAGTCTAGCTAGGAAATTTTAAAAAAAGACCAAAGGTCAGTCCCCTCAAAACAGTCACTCAAACCATCGGTGGGATTCCACCTACAGTTGGGTGCACAATAATTGACGGTGCTGCCTCGGCAGTGTGGGAGAAAAATTCAAACGCCTTCCTCAAAGATATACCCAGTGAGTCCATGCCACCTGGGGATCATGGAAAGAAAGCCAATAGAGACAGAATGCTCGCTCACATGCCAATCATATATCTTGCACAGTGCAAGGGAAAAAGGAAAGTCAAAAGCGAAACGAAATTGAAAACAAATCGTGATATGTAAATGGGTATAGTTAGCGCATGCAGGCTTGCATATATTGAAATGATTAGATGCTTGAGTTAGTGGCTGTGGGCGCCGAGGTAATAATGGGAGTGCTAGTCGACTGATCACGGCATCCCCACATTAGGCCAGGAGTAAGACAGGTCGCGGAAGTAGGCGTCGAAACAGAGCCGGCCGTGGTCGACGGTACTGTACTTGTGGCATCACGACAACCAAACCACCCTGGGTCGTGGCAGCTGGTTGTTGCAGTCACGGTGGGTAGATTGGTCGTCATCGTTGGTGCTGGGGCAGCTGTCGTGGTGGTGGGGTCATTGCATCCGAACCAACCAGGAGTCTTGCATGTTGTGGTAGTAGCTGTGCTTGTTGGGGATGTCGTGATAGTTGTGGCGGTGGTACTTTCATCCAGACAGCCCCACCACCCGGGAGTTTTGCAAGTAGATGTCCTAGTGAGAGAGGTGGTGGTCGTCGTAGAGGTCGTCGTTGTGATCTCAGATCCATTGCTTCGGAAGAATTTCCACAGCTCGCAGTCATAACATTCTTCCTCTGCGATACAGGATGGGACCGTGTCGTATTTCAAGATGACGTCAGATATCACGTTCTCAATCTTGTGAGTACCAAGACCGACACGCCAGCCCTTGTCTGCTACAGTGTCGTATGTACACACCTGACCAGTGTGGCATGCCGACTCCATGGCGTAACCGCCCCATGTGCAGATCGAGTTGATTCCATTGCAGGTTCCCATGTAGATTGGATCCGCCGTATGTCCAAAATGGTAGGCTCCGGTGTATTGTCGCGACTGCGGGAGTCGTGGGTCAAGTCCAGGCGGACTCGGCAGACCAAGCCGAGCAGCAGGTAATGCTTCCGGAACGGCCTCAAAAGTGACCACGGGCAATCCAAATGTCAACCCAACCAGGCTGGTCATTGCACCGCCCAAAGAATGGCCAGTCATCCAGATATTTGCGTCCGGATAGATATCAGTGACGTTGGAGTAAAGATCGATGGCTTGTCGATAGTAGCGGTTTTCATCCGTCATAGACTCGACAATGCAGGTTAGATTTGCGGTGAACGTCGTACTCTGACAATCGCATGATTGCCTCCATAAATACGAGCCTCCTTGGCCACAGCAACAACTAAAAAACAGATTGTCGTTGACTTTGTCGTTGGTGGTGGTACCAGCGCCGTCGAAGAGCGCGGGCGAAGTACCCTTCAAGGAAATGATAACAGTGTTGTTGGTCTTATCCGAGTAGATATGTCCTCTGAGTCCATCTTTCTGCCATCCAAAGCTTCCCGAATAGTTAAATTGTCCATGGATGGTGTGCCACTCTCCTGTTCCAGGTTCTTGAATGTAGTCGTTGGCGGTCATTTGGGCAAAAGTCAAAATTGTCTGTTTATCCGTGATGTTCGGTCCTGTTAAAGTGTCCATGACCCATTCAGGTGGAGATAAGGCAGTTGCAGAGCCCGAAGTCCGCGCGGCTGCTAAGTGTGCTTCAATCACGGGAAGTCGTCGATCAGCTAATCGCTGTATTGTCAAAGGACTAGATGAAGCGAGTAGAGGTGACTCCGATGCAATATATTCTGTTTCGTAGCCATCTTCAGATATAGCTCGGAGGCGAGTGTCTGGCTGAATGTCGAGCCTCGCATGGAAGTCGGTTTCTTCATAGGTAGCTCGGTGAAAGATGTGACGTAAGGACTAAAAGACGATTATTAACAAGTCGTTTACTTGTAACACACTCTGCATTAGGACATCTTACAAACTCATGAGTATCTAGTGTAGCTTCCGGCCCGTTCAAGGGTACCTGTGGCGGGATGATGGGAACTTGTTGGGGTAAGTTGTAGGCCGAAGCAGAGACAACCCCTGACAGTATGGCAGTTGATAAGAAAAGGCTATGAACAATAAGTTCACACCATGAACTTGTTCGGGACATGATGTTGTGAGATCAAAGGAGATGACTCTATCAAGGTTAACGGTTATCGGCGAGTTCACTTATCAAGTGACGCAGTGCGGAGACGATCTTCACGTGACGAGTGACAAGTGACGCGATTCCATAATTCCTCGTCTCTGCTCCCTTTTTTATCCTTTCTTTCTCTCGGTGAAATATTCGGAATATCCAAGGCAATGCACTGGTCTTGATCAACCGCGATCTACTTGGGTCTTTTGACTCTGGAATTCCTGGATAGCCAGGTCGAAATTGTGGAGTTTGGACATTGATCGGCATAGGCCTATCAGCTGCATCCCGAAGCGGAGACACGCAATTAGTGCCTTATAGAACCCCATCGCCCCTGGCCTTAAAATGTCTGGCCCTTCTGAAAATGTCTTTCAGCCTCATCTGCATTCTACGCGGTCATTTACCAGAATGGACAGCTCAGATGTGAAAATCTCTGTTGAGGATTCGAAGCCACCTCTGTCGTCACCAGTCAATGAGGGGCAGGTAAATGGACCTGATGTGTTCGAAAGACGGGGTTCCGCAGACTCGAGCACTGCAGGCGATGGGCAGACAGACGAAGGGTTTGTCCTTTCACGCAGCCTGCATGATCCCTCGGAGGAGCTTCCGATTGAACTAGTCAGTCTCGCAGATCGGTAAGTCTGATCATTCCAAAGAAAAGCATTTTTATCTAACTGGTGCTCTTCCTCAGGTTTGTTAAGTCACTGAGCGCCAAAGTACACAACTCGCCTCCCACGATCGATAAGATTTCCGAGCTATTTCAAGTCTTCTATAGCCGCGCCGAGTCCCACATCGGCACCCACATATCTGCCCTTGCCACTCGTATCAACCGGGAGCTTTTGCCTCAGCTCCCTGCAAAACCTACGCGGGGAAATCCCCTGTCAAAATTAAGCAGCAAACCTTCTCAGGATGATGTCAAGCAAGCGGGCTCAGGTCGCCAAATGTTGACCGCGTCGGAAGTAGCTGAAAGGCGGAAGGCTCGTAAGGATCTTGAAAGCAAACGAAGTGCCTTGGAGGAGGCCGCAGAACGAAGGGTCTGCGAGCTAGTTTACGACAAGATCTGGAGACACGGAAGCACACTGGATGATGTGCGGGATGAAAAGTTGCGGTCCAAAACCGCGGCTTTGCTCTTGGTTGGAATTAACTTGAAAGATCTCGGGATCGATCTAGATCTCGAATCAATCGATGAACAGAAGCAAGACGAGGCGAACGAGTTTCTTGCTCAAGCTCGAGTATATCTCACCAAGATGAACGATTATAAATACCCTCTTGGAAAGCTTCAACAGCTTGCAGCGGCCCACAAGGCTATCGTTGACGCACTCACTAAGCTCCTGCCGTCTTCTTCGTCCGCAGATGAGATCCTACCAACTTTGATCTATTTACTTGTGACTTGCCCCCCTGAAGGAATAAACATTATCAGCAATCTAGTATTCATCCAGCGGTTCAGGTCATCAAGCAAAGTTGATGGAGAGACCGCTTATTGCTTGACCAACCTCGAAGCCGCGATAAGCTTTTTAGAAAACGTCGATCTTTCTACATTGCGCGCCGATGAACTGCAGGATGGCCCTCTCAAAACCCCCGAAACAACAACGCCCTCTTCAGAACATGTTGATCCTTTCCGGCCATCCAAAGAGACTGCAACATCATCTTTAACAATTGTATCTGCATCGCCGGAATTGTCAAAGCCAGAAATTAAAGAGCCTACCGCGTCGACATTACCCAGACCCCGCCTCGCTACCACGCCACAGCAACGACGTCTCAGCAACCTTTTCCAGCCCCCTGCCAAAGTACTCGGGGCTGCAAATGATGCCGTTCGAACCACTGCGGATCAAGGTTTGAAAAACATCGGTGCTACCTTGGACAGCAGTTTCAACTTTCTTTTTGGTCGTTTAAAGGAAATGCAAAGTAACCAACCACTGGAGGGAAATGGGCCTGTGCTTCCAAAGACATTGGCCGAAGCTCGTCGTCTAGTGACCCTGCCGCCTGCTTCTGCAACCAACCAAATTCTGACACAGGGAGAATTGGCAGCGATCAACTCTGTTTCTGTGGACGAAAGCACGCCTCTGCGCAGCAGCTCAAGGCTCACAGAGCCCTCCAGCGGTGGTCCTACCCCTCGTGACCGGAGTGTGGACAGTACCCGAACCCAGGGCAGCGGCAAAAAGTCCATCACTACATCGCTGCGCGAAGAGTTTGCAAATAATTCGCCGATCAGCCCAACCCCCCTAGAATCAATGCGAAGCTTTGGCAACACGCTCAACCCTCTGAACCACATTCCGGGCATGATGAAGAGCTTTAGCCGCAACATGCCAGAGACTCCCACGGGTAACTCCGTATCCCCTTCTGGGCTTGACCGGTTTAAACCATCGCCTGCTTTGACTGAAGGCGCCAGTAGCGCAGCCAGCCCGCTCCCTAATTCTTCATTGAAGATCGATCCTCCAATTCAGCGTTTCCTTGAGACACAAGACGTGCGCGATCTCCGTATCGGGGATGTGGCTCTTCTGCTAGAAGATTATAAGAGACTTGCCGCAGCTCTCTCCAAACCGTAATCCCGGGCGGACAGATTCATTTTTGTCTCGGTCTCCCTTTTTTTCACAACTTTGGAAAGTAAATGTCTTTCTGCATCATGGGCTGGCGGCGTTATTAAAGGCATCTGATATTCCATTTCTTGTTGACGAACAAACTTTAGATAGCATACATAGTTTGGCTTATTCGTGTATTGTGCATACAAGACATATTTGAGCATGATATAATTAAAACGTGGTATTCTTCCTGCGTAGAAGCATAAGAAAAATTAAAGAAAAGTCAGGCGTAAAAGGGGTATTGAGCAAGAATAATAGTCAAGTCTCGCGGCTGGTTAACACGGGGCTCTTTTCAGAGAATCAGTACTAATGACTCTAGGGGTGTCGTCCGCGAAGAACCTCTGCACCTCCACTTCTCATCTCGGTTAATTTGTTCGTCAACTCCGAACTCTGAGTTTCAATCTGATCATGGCGGCGCTTGACTTCGCCTTCAAACACAGCAGCTGTGTGGCGGCGAGCGCGTCTAAGATTTTTCATTTCCGAGAGAAGATGGGTAAAACGGTCTATCATTTGATCACCGCACTCCTCCCATTCATCCATGGACATATGAGACAAATAGATTTGGCGTTCTTGTTCGGTCAAAGCCAGGAGATGAGAGACAGCGTTCTTTGGCTCGTGGGTATCTGGGACAAAATGTGGTGGGTTTGGCGGCAGGGAGGGTGATTTGACGGGAGGAGGTGTGGGGGACTTGTCAAATGGCTCGGCTTGCAGCTCGGAAAAAGACTTTTGATAGAGCACTTCTGGGGGATAATCTGCTTCCAGCGGTCGCTTTTTGTTATGAATGACAGTGTTGCGGCGGCCTCGGGCTGAGTGCTCATGCGATTTTTGCGCAAAAAATGGATCCTGCATGGTGTCATCGACATCCAGTTCGGTTAGGCTGGTCATGTCAAAGGGATTGGTTGAGTGACTGATTTCTCGTCTATCATCCGCGCGGATGGTGGGGTCCAGGCCATCATCACTCCCACCGTCACTGTCGGTGTGGTCCCGGTAGGCTATGACGCTGGGCGGCCGACTAAGGTCTGGCGGGGGCTGGGAGTGGTGGCGAGTAGGTGATATATCGAGTCTCTTGTCAAGTTGTTCAAGAAGAGAGGGTTTGGGTGGACTGAAACGTGTCCTGGGAGTCGCTGACATGTTTTGAGGGAGAACAACCTTCCTAGGCCCAGTAGGAGGAAGCATTTGACCCAGTTTCCGAGGCTTGGCCTTGGGCTGAGGATCGGCGACTTGGGGCTCCGGGTCAGAGTCAATAGTGATGGGCTGCCGGGACGAGTTTCGCTTTCTGCTTGCAGACCAAAAATTTTCTAGGCGCTTGCTCAGTGGCTCCTCGGTCGTACGCGGCTTGTGCGACACTTGCCAGCTGGCTGCTTCGTCGGTCTTTTCATCATCTCCGCCATCTCCACCAAGAGACGAAGTAATTGGACTTCCGAAATCTTCGATACCATCTGAACCGAAGCCCTCGTGCTTGGGTTGGCCACCCAGGCCTTCATACCAGTTGGACCCGTAGGTTTGCCGTCCAGGTCGGGGCTGGTACATGGGCTGCGAATCATGGTTGGTGTAAGCTGCATTGCTGCTCGATGCTGCCTGGGATTTGTTGTCCTCAAATCCATAGACGCTTGTACCTGCAACGGTTGAATCATCGATTGCCTCCACATCAGTATCAAACACACCCCTGTCCCGAATTTCTCCATGCGGAGTAATTGTGCGGGGCTGGTTTGGGAATTGAGACACCACATGGGATTCTAGCGGTCCGCCTCTGCCATTGCTGGCCGTAGTACCTGGACCGAAATGCATGGGGGGTACTTCAACTCTGGCCAAATCTGCACGTTGCTGGCGCGACTGGGCCGTAAGTGTGCTGGGGGCTCCGCGAGGCTGCCCACCTTCTTTCGAGTGGACATAATCACCCACCCCCATGGCTACTAAAAGCCGAAAGTCAAGGGGAGATGAATTGCTCTCAAATTGTGTTGACAATTTTACGGTGATCAGTGAAAAGCAACGATCGTCGGGCAAACGCGATATCACCGCGTGGTCACGTGCCCATGATTATGTGACAATATACACAGCCCGATAATCTTGTTCTTCTGTTTGAACTATATTTTTGCTCAGATACTGCAGAGACTTTAACTAGAGCTGTTACTGATCGATTTGATGTGTAGCTGATATGGGGTATATTGGGAACCAGTTTCGTTCTAGCTGGAAGTGTCATCAATATGAAGATTCTCTAGGTTGTATGCGACACTCCTGCCGCGTTTCTTAGCTTTCTCGAAGAGCTCGGCCGCTTTCTGGAGCTCGGCCGCTTTTCTTTCAGTCGCAAGCCTATGTCCTCGCCTTACCTCTAAATAGCCTGGAGCTCCATCGATAAGCATTTGATCATTGCTGTAGTCTCCATCAAAGTCAACTGGCAATGAGAGCGCGGAGAATGACAAATCGCCAATCCAAAGAGAGACCATTCCTCTGAGTTCAAGCAATTCAGGTGAATCGGAGTATGGTGGAGATGCAAGAAGCTGGTCCATGCGCGTAGCAATCTGCTGCGCCTGTTCTAGCTCTTGTGCTCTGATTGAGCTGATGGCAGCATCTATCTTGCTTTGCTGCTTTCGATGCTGCCAGGATTCAGACTCCGAACCTTCGTCCTCAGTAAACTCTTCGGACTCTTCTTCTTGGCGGATAGCAGCATCTTTCCTGGCCTTTTTGCTTTCGTTCTGGGTGACATAAATCCACAATCCAAACATTGCAGGATAGAAATGCAATGCAGAAACTGACTGAGGCGAAGATTTAGAGAACGGATGATTGAGAATAAGTCGTTCATAGTACTCTCTGGCTTCCGCAAAGCCCTTTGCTGTAAAATTCAAGGGTGTGTTATCCGCCTCATCTGGCGTGTTGCCGAAACTGGCGGATGTTTCCTGTTGATCTCGGCGCAGCAGGATCTCAGCACCAATACCCCACCTTGTTTCGTTGCGGACATCCATTTGGAAGCCTCTGTAATTTTCACGCAGGATCAAGCCCCAGGCTCTTCCGGCTCGAACGTAGTCTCCTTGGAGCATGCATCGATGTAGGATGGCCGTCAGCGCCCCGAGATGTTGGAAGCGAATGTTGCCTTGCTGAACTGACTGAGGAGGGTAGATTGGAGTGGATAAGTCCGCTAGGGCTTTTATTTGGCGTGCGGTGGTATTCCTTCTTATGCCTTTATCTTTAAGTGGCCCATGTGGGAAGTGCCCTTGTGGTAATTCTTGATGAGAAGGGAAACCAGCGATTCGATATTGATGGGATTCGTTTGGTGTCAGTACCAAGGAAGGGCCCGCAGGCTCATATTCTGTGCCCGATGCAGCATCGGTTGTTTCGCCATCCAGGCCGTCTTCACTCGCCACGCTCTTGCGTTTGCGATCATACTGAGACGTGCGGGAACCGGATTGTTGAAGCCAGGGCGGTAGTGGAAGGGAGAAAACCGAAGCCGAAGGCGTAGACGCCATCAGGATGGGTCTTCCATACACACCAAAATAGGTGGGAGCTGTATAAGGACCTTTACCAATTTTGCGATTTTGCGGATGGAAGATGGCGGAAGAAACGATGCCTGAGGCAAATCATATCGGAGCACAATCACTTATCTTCTATCAGGTAGACACATCCGCCCAGAGGCCATATCACATCCTCCTTTTTTCTTATTCCCTTACATCTGATTACTCTTCCCCCCCTTTTATTCGTTTCTATTCTGTCTCCTGTTGACTTCCCAAGCGGCTTCACCTCTGTGAGTGCAGCCACCTTAGCTCCGAGTTTAAAGGCTCTCGGCGGTTATACCACTCGGAGTGGGCTGTCCCTGGGAGTGGTCAGACAGCTCGAGACATTTTGATCATCTTGACTGCTATTGTTCGTATTGGTGAAACTAATTGTCTTACACGTCTCGTACTTGCAAGCAATACGATCAAAATCTCTGTCATATTACCAATCCTTTGTTCCTACGGCCCGACACGGACTTTAGAACCCCAGCCGAGAAACCAACTGCCTCGACCCTACCGATCCCAACAACCAGCCCATTATTTCCCTTTGAATCCTGACCACCATCGCTTCCATCGCTGTACCTAGTATTCATACAGTCGCCGCCGCTAGCCATATGCTTCGATGGCAGTGAACGCCTGACATCCTGCAGCGATCTCAATTGCCACAACTACTATGGGACAGTCCTCTTCTACACAACGTGACCCACCTAACACCGGCTATCCGACACACCTTGAACCTTCACGTGGCGCGAACACGAGGGATGAAGACATGAATCATAGACAGGCGGCTGAACACGACGGAGGAGGTGATTATTCGGACAGACCCAGCGGGGGCGAACACAACATGGCGTCGGACAATATGGCGTCGGACCATCCAAATGAGAGCCAAGAAGCGTGGCAACAATCCACACGATTCTCGCGACCCATGCGGAGTATCGAAGAGGAGGATGGCGGCCACGAGTATGAGATGCCATCACGTGAAATGCGCAATGCAGCGTTCGCTCGAATGGCAGCGCGAAGACAATCGACAATGTCAAGGCTGGGTTCTAGGATACTCCCCGACACAGTCATTCGCAATCTTTTCAACAGTCAAGAGGAGACTCCGGCTGAGGGCCATGCACACCGGCATGGGCTATTGAACAGAACTATCCCAAGAGTTGAGACCACTGGTCGATTTAGTCCGTTTAGCTCTAGAGGAATTACTCGACGACGGTCGGCTCGGGCGCCTTATTTTATTCCCCCGCGTGCGGAATCCGTTGGGGCTCCAGATGGTCCGACAAATTTGCCGTTCGTTGATCCTGCAGATCAAATACCGGAGCCTACAAGGGCTTCCTGGCGTCGCAGTGTTCGGCTGAACCGTATGCGCCACTCAATCTCATCTCCTATCTCTCACATGTTCGGTCAACCACAAATAAACTTGCACGAAAATTTGGCACCCGCGATGTTAGATCAGTCGCTTGAGGAGAGAGCCATGGACACTCATATGGATCTTGGTGAGCTGCCTCATGAGCTTGATTCAGTGGAACCGGCCATACAGCCTGGTGAGTCGTCAATCCCTGGCCAACCAAGTCCCGCCTTGATGCGCCGTCTTCCGGGTATCATCAGAGCGAGATCAACCAGAGTACTACGACGAGAGGAACAGACCCCTCTTTCAAGAGTTCTTCAACTTGCCGCGGCCGCAATTGCGGCTCAGCTATCTGGCACTGCCGGCCCTGCCTTGCCCAACATCCAAGCATTGGGGAACGATGGAATTGATGGCTCTCTGGAGAATTTCATTCAGAGTTTACAGCACGCGACATCTGGTCAGGCCCAACCGACAGCGCCAGGAGAGGGACCGAGCAATGCTGCCAACAACGAAGCACCTGCGCAACCCGTCAACTTTTTGCGTGTGTTTCGATTCGCCAACTCGGAAACACCTGCAGGCTCAGGTGTTCCAGGGGAGAACACACACGGTGCACCTGAACACGCAGCGGATACCATGGACGTTGATGGCGATGGCGAAGGACGGACCGTAACACTGGTAGTCGTTGGAGTTCGCTCTGTTCCTGCTGGCAATGGAGGAAACAATGAGCAGCCACAGCATGCAGGCCCTGGAGGCCCTGGTTTAGATGCTTTGCTTGGTTTGCCATTTCTGCCGCCTAATGCTATACCGCGACCCCAGGAACTTCCCCTTAATTCTGCGCAGCGGGGTGATGGACAATCCAGATTCCACGTCCCTCGTCACTCAAGCCATGCAGGAGCACCTCATCCATCCGCTGGAGCTCCGGAATTTGTGCGTCCATCAATCCCTAGTGCTTCTAGGCGGCTGTCAGATACCGGGCCCCATCTGTCTGCATTATCCGAAAGTCCTCCAGGACCTCGCCCGCCACCATCAACTCCAGCGGAACAAGGTGCATCTGCCGTATCCTCGGGCACTTCCACCCCGAGTCGTAGGCCATCATCCGCTTCTGCGATTGCGTCAGATCTTCTTCCCCATCTTCGCGAGGGTCAAATAGTGCAGCCAACGACGGAGTCCACTGGCCCGCCCCCGGTATTCAATACTGCCCATCAGCGACGGCGAAGTGATTCTGAGTATGCTCGCCACCGAGGACTTGGATCCGGTTCCATTCGACGCAATGGAATGGTTGAACCCGACCAGCCTCCACCAAGCGGAGGTCGCAGCTGGTTAATCTATGTGGTTGGAACTAATCTCTCGGAGAATCATCCTGCTTTGACCACCCCAAGTCTTTTCACAGATGTAAGAATTCCCATTGATCGTCATTCAGACGCATTATTGACGATAACACAGAACCCAACTTATGAAGACATGATCCTCCTTTCGTCCTTGTTGGGTCCAGCAAAACCTCCTGTTGCCTCGCAAACTGACATTAACTCCGCAGGCGGATTGTTCCGTCTTGTAGAGTATGGTGGCTCCTTGGTAGCAGAAGCTGTGGAAGGTGCTGGCGCCATTCAAATTCAGGACGGGGAGCGCTGCTTGATCTGCTTAAGTGATTATGAGGTGGCCGAAGAAGTTCGAGAGCTTGGAAAATGCAAGCATATCTACCATAAGGAGTGCATAGACCAGGTTTGTTACCCTGTCCAACTTTGTCTCGGTCTTTTCAATCATGCTAACTATTACTTAGTGGTTAACCACTGGGCGAAACTCTTGCCCTCTATGCCGGGGTCAAGGTGTTCACGAAAACTCAGCATCTGATTCTGCTCCGCCTCCAGCCCCAGCTCCACCCCCAACTGGAACGGCCGTCTGAAGATTTCCACCCAAAGCATTGCCAACCTGGCTGTTACGTGAACCTTCCCCCCGATTCCGACCTTTGTACCCTTTCTTCTTTCCCTTTTAGCATGAAGCGTCTGCTTAGAGCTTTTAACAACTCTTTTTCATGGATATCCCCTTTGCATTTCAGTCTTGCGCATCAACTTTTGGGTGCTTTTATCATGTTCGGGTTATTGGAAGCTTACACTCAAGAGCTTGGGAAACTATAACTCTTGCTCTTTTGAGCCTCCATACCCAAGACATAATGACCATTCATGGCGGGTACATATTTAGGTATCAATTGTTAGGCTAAATCTGTTTCTTGGTATCTTGAGTAGGATAAATTATTCTCTTACTTCCTCTCCATACACACGGAGTAATATACATGGCCTCCGAGGCCGGCGGGCGTGCCCCGCGGATGACTCAGCAAAAAAACCCCCCTTGGGCGCCTGTGGGCAGGACACTTGATTGATTTGGTTTTTGAACAGCAATTTGTCCTAGTTCACTGATCCTCGAAGCTTTGAGGATAGAATAACAGGCTCATTTCAAGCGATAGCACCAAAATTGACCTTACTGAAGCCGAAAAACAACCAAATTTTGATCGATAAGAAACTACCCTTTACTTCCAGTCGAAGTCCGCAAAATCGAACCGAACTCCAGCGTCCCCCCCCCCCAAACCTCACAACTATACTTGTACATTCAACTCCACCATGACCTCCCCAATTCGTGTCACAGTTCTCATTTCCGGTAATGGCTCGAACCTGCAAGCCGTGATCGACAAAATCTCCGCCGGTCAGCTCAACGCAACAATTGTCCGTGTAATCTCCAACCGCAAGACTGCATTTGGTCTCGAACGTGCAAGCAAAGCAAACATCCCGACCCATTATCACAATCTCGTGAAGTACAAGAAACAGCACCCCGCGACAGCAGAGGGCATACAGCTTGCGCGCGAAGAATATGATGCCGAGCTCGCGAGGCTGATTCTTGCCGACGCGCCGGAGCTAGTGGTCTGTCTCGGCTTCATGCACATTCTCTCACCACAGTTCTTGGAGCCTTTAGAGGCTGCTAAGACGAGGATTATTAATTTGCACCCCGCACTGCCGGGGGCATTTAATGGTGTTGTAAGTCATGAGACTAGTGTCAATTAGCTGATACGAATATGCTAATCGTTACACTCTTGTTAGAACGCGATTGATCGTGCTCATGCTGCGTGGTTGGAGGGCAAGATCGACAAAACTGGCGTTATGATGCACGATGTCATTTCCGAGGTGGATATGGGTACACCAATCTTGGTCCGGGAGATCCCCTTCCGAAAGGGTCAGGATGAGAATCTTGAGGCATTCGAAACTCGAGTCCATGAAACTGAGTGGGGGTTGTCATTGAGGGAGTGGACTTGGTGCTGAAGGAACTAGAAGCTCAAAAACAAAAAGGCTCGAATGCATGAATACCCCTTGTGTCTTGGATGACGCGATACTGGAAACCGGACGAAAGGATAATGCGCTTCTTGATCTGCGTCATGTTCGACCTGTGATCGGGCTGCGAGCACTTGAATCCACTGTGTCTCGTCTGGTCTGTTGACGATTTATGACTATATATCATGTATGATTCCAGAAAAACAAGAAGAGATGAGTTACATGTACTTGGTACTTGCTGTTGTATCTCTCAATATGAGATCGGAGTCGTGCGCCATGCATTGAGACAAAATCAAGACTCGCACAAACAGCCGAGGGAAGCCAAGAATGCAAATCTCAACTTATGCCGAGACGGCCCAGGATCCAAAACACCCTTCGTTCATGTTGGTCTGGTAATTAGACACTCGGAAATGAGATATGGAGAAGCATAAAACGATGGCGCCTAGGGCCAGATGGGTCTAACGCAAAACCCATACGGACAATGAACAAGGGGGTATGAAATTGCAATCATCTCACCGGTCAAGTTCTCATCACATGCCAAGCACGGTAGTCGCACCTTAGTTCTCCCCTATCATTATCCTGGAATGGTCGATGCTTTAACAAGGAAAAGACAGGCAGCAATCTGACTGCGTCTCTTGTGCGTTCTAGGCAATGATTCGGAGCCACGCGACACATCCTACACGTGTACACCCCCCTTGTTCTGATCCCAGACCACAAACCACAAACTGCAGACCGCAACCCCGATGGAAGCTAAAGCGATAGAGAAAGTTCAACGCCTAGAACCAAACGGGAAAGGTTTGCGTGGTCCATGCAGTGCAACCACGAGCGAAAGTCGGCAATCAGAAGCGCTGCAACGCTGAGCCGTTGAGCCTATGATCGTTGCGCCAAGGTGACAGATCAAACCCAATTCCCAAAGTCTTGGTTCTCCAAGGGCTCCACCGGAATCTGTGGGTTTGCGGATTGCTTTTTGGCCCCCCGACTTCACCGGCGTCAACTCAATTAAAGGGTTTTCCGTCAGGATCGGCCGATGCCATGACCCCTTTGGGCGAGGACTGGGATCTGTTCCGGTGGGGGCTACTCTTGAGTCATTATTAATTTGGTTCTTCGAGATTGTATAGGCTGAATGTTTCGTGTGATGATCCTTACTTGATTGATATTTGAATTAGTTATGAAGTCGGGGCAATAAGTCCCGACTGCCGTGAAGGCTGAGACTGATGATTTTCTGTATAAATTCGCAATCTATTCCGTACTGTCAATAATATCCACCAGGTCATACTAGTGTAGACTATTGCTGTCCATGGTTAGTGTTAAAGAACAAGGCTCAGTACATTTAACCCGGTCTGCCAACCAATTAAGGGCTTGTGGGATTGCGGGCCGAGATAATCTTAGGGCCAGCGGCAGTCAATCAAATGCTTTTGTTCATATATGCTGTACGGAGTAAGTTGATCGAACAATCTAATAAAATCTCTTTTTGTTATTTTCTAAGCAATTAGCAGGGCTGAGGTCCAAGACAGAGACGATCGTTGCAGTATATAAAACTCCAATTTCATGATCACCGCACGTACCTTGCAAATCCCAACGCCATATGATCTTCAATAAGTCCACTAGAGAGCCACCAGTATAACGATGATCCGACTCGTCGACAGCCCCTGGAACCTTGTTGCTCTCGAAATTTACCTAATTAGGCATGGTGCCTGATGGGGATAGTATTGTCTGCCACAAGCGTTGAAACTACAACAAACTTGCGGAGATACTTCCTATACCAGCTTCCTGCATAATTATGAATGTACTAAAAGAGTTAAAAGATAGACACAATATTCCAAGGAGCCTCAGAGCCATTAAAAAAACCACCAATGTGGGCGCGCAGTCATAAACAGGTCAAGCTGATTCGCTGTAAGTTTTCTTTAGCGCCGTTGTACTCCGGGTTATCTCTCACCCACATGGAGATAGTGCACGGTCCAGCCATACATTTCTATATATGGTATGGTATATGTAGTATCCATGTGAATTTTTGGGTTGCTCCGGGGTTATTATTCTGTACATTATCACATTATAACCAATCATGCGTGGTCTTAATCTTGTTTTGTCTCTCTCCAGCTATTCAGGTATATCGTATCAAACTAATGTTACAAGTCGAATTATAGATCATGCGCCTTTAATGACGGAGCTACCAACTGGATTGAGATATTTAAGCCGATACTGGAGTCGATCCAAGGCTTTGAGTCTTAGTGTCATTTTTCGATCTACCAGGTCCACCCTCCTCTGTCAAACCATCGTCGATCAGGCACATTGCCGGTCGAACCCCCTGGTCAGATAATAACTTTGTATTAAGATAATAGGGGATAATATAACGAATATTCCAATAGATGGCCAATATACCACATAAAAAGAACCAGTTATTCCGCAGATAGAACATCAATTGCTAAAATTACCTAGAAGAAGAATGAAAAATGAAAAAAGGAAGGAAAAAAAACGAATTACCCACCATGAATCATAGTGCAGAACTATCGTTTGTCCAATCCCCGAATGAGGGCCTCCAGTTCCCACAATCAGCGTTAGCTGCCTCCACTCGGAACCGATCTTCATCACCAGAACGTTTTCGGCATTTTTCATCTGCGTTGGCGTCCTGGAAGGTTTCAGAATTGCCGAGTGAAGTGACTTGTGGGACTCTCCGTCTTATTATTCATGGATGACAGATATTGCTGATTTGCGGATCATTTTGATCTTGACATACCTACTCCGTACTTGGTTATTATCTCGGATTTGAATCAGATCTGATTATGTTTTTACTACTACTAGTAGAATATACAAGACAAAAAATTTGAGAAAATTTAAAGATGGAAAAAAACCATCTCTACGATATTGCATAACAGATGTCTTGGAAGACTCATGAACAAGTTGTTGTAACCCCCCAAAAAAGGAAAAAAAAATTTGGTTTATCCGAGTACGAATACTTAGCTTATATTGAAGCCAAAAAAAATGACTCGGGGAGTCCGGGACAGATCCAGTTGACAGACGCTATGATATCCTTATGCATAGACCCGGAGCCCTAACTTGAATTGCTTGGATGTCATGTGGCTTGAGGATCGTCGCCCTGACCTCGCCCCCCTTTATTTCTTTTTTTTTTTTTTTTCGGTTTTACACTCTTAAAATATTATTCTCTTACGCCGAGACCCGAGACTCATCCGCGGAGATCAGCTCTGTATGTATGATAAAAATAAATGACGTTCAAGATGCTTTGGATCCGCTTGATCTTCAGAGAATAGGAGTAATGACAAGTCTCAATGGAGCATTTACCATGTAGTATATACAAGCCGAGGTACACATCAAAATCATTAGTTTAATTGAGCTATGACTTGTTCTGTAGACTACTTACTACATTTTATACCAAGGCCCATCAGCTCCGCTGGACTCCGCTATAGAACCCTTGGATTGAGCTTTTATATTACAACGTACTTGTTTTATGTACGGAGTAGGAATTATATATATACATTATTTTCGGAAAACTACTTTCCGAAAATCAGCCCATAGTATAGATTCCACTTTGTATTCCATTCTAGGATGTAGGGAGCTCGTATTGGATACGGAATACCTGTCGGTCGCAGATCTCACGCTTTGGCTTCTGATTATGACCGGAGGCTGGGCCGATACCAAAATAGAATAGAAAGAAATTAGAAGAAATTCTTACATTTAGTCGATTTACTAGAATATTGTGTATAACCGGGCCTTACATTTTTTACACAAAATTACAGACCTTGCGAAGGAGGAATCGACAACCAAACTATAATACAACCAAAATTATCAATATTTCCATCATCATACCTGCAGAGAACGCTATATTCAAGGTTCCAATTACTTAGGTAATAGATGGCCTATTGTAGTAATCTTGGCCCGATATCTTAAAAACTACGCGTGAGTTGAACGTGCTTAATGACCGGCTTCGGAATCGTTTAGAAAGGTAGAAAATCCTTATATTGACGTTGACCTAATCGTCGTAAGCTTAGTTCTATTAAAGAATCTACTTATATTAGTTTATCGATTACTTCGATGAAGTAGGTGCTCCGATATAATAGTTATAAATTATAATCCTTACTAACGATTATCGATATCATTAATCGATAGCTCAGTTTATATAGACTTTAATGCGCTTAGAACTACTAAAAATGTATAAACCAAGCTTAGCGCTTGATAAATATTAGATTTGTTCTTCCTATTATAAAACATACTTACAAAAATCGTAAACAGTGCTAAAATCTTAGTATAGAACTATATTATAGTCCGAATTAGAAAATTCTTTGCTACTATAGCTACCCGCTACGCTAGTTATAATACTTCCTGGGCAAGGGTCTATACTACCGGTAATATTGATATAGGCTAAGGTTCATATATCAAGTAGAAGGTATAGGCGTATGTGAATGAGATAGGGGCGGGTTGTAGCTATTAAATTCATATAAATTAATAGATTTTGTATTCATTCTCATTCGAAATGGGTTGGTTTATATATATATGCCTAATATTAAGCTTAAAATTCGAGATGGTGAATTCTTTGTGGTTGGGTTGTCAGACCCTACGAAGGAGGGTCTGTAATTTTTTATTAGAAAAGGTAAGGCCCGGTTATTTGGTTATATAGTACAATAACTAGTTATACTTACTCCGTACTATGTAAGTAATCTTTTTTAATCTCCGCACGTCCCGGGTTCCATTAGTTTGGGTCCCCCACTAACTTCACATCTCTCACTCTTTCTTGACTTTCTTATATATGACTTTAATTCCTTCATATATTTCCATTTAGCTTAATTATGACTGAAATTCATGGAAACTAAGAATTTGCAACATGGCAAATTCATATCAATCATCACAGGCCGCCTTGTCGGGCTTCCTTGACTCAATGCAAGATTCAAGCGCATCCGCATATTCCTTGTTTGGTCCGACTCAATACCCAGAGAGCGTTGCATTCTGGCATGATCCCTCTGCACCGACAATGACAGTGGCGCCTTCATATACACAGTCCCAGAAAGCCCTGTTACCTCTCGCAGACCACAAGAAACACAAGCGGACCCGGAGTGGTTGCTTTACCTGCCGTTCACGCCGGATCAAATGTGACGAGAACCGTCCCACCTGTGAACGGTGTAGGAAAGGCAGCCGCGATTGTGTTTATCCGACACCATCCTCGTCTTCCAAACCCGGCGCACGAACTGCAGGCAAATCGCGCGCCAATCGTCATCAGTCGCAAAGCAGTGATTCATCTGGAAAGGTAGAGGTCGAGGCTCTCAGCCCCTTGGAGCCCATTCTCGATGAGGAGGAACCGGAAAGTGCCGTATCGGAGTCGCGACCGTCGCCAGGCGATACCAGATCACACAAAAGTCAGAGTCAGAGCGCGCAGTCTCCCAGTGTCCGACAATGGGACACCAGTTCATTCATTAAAGAGCAGAGTAGTTCTCCGTCAAATGAATCGTCGCGGTTGGAGTCGATGAGCGTGCGCTCGGGCAGCATCGGACATTCCACAACAGACATGCTCAGCAATGCGCGTCTACCCGATGATCTGCGTTTTTATTTAAATTTCCACCAAGACTTTATGACTACTCCACATTTCTTTTTGAGACAAAGCTGCTCTCATTTTATTCATCACAGTTTGGTCGAACTTGCTTTACAGTATGAGCCTCTGCTCCACGCTTTGGTGGGCTTCGCGGCCTATCATCATGCTTTGCACATCCCCGGAGGCAAGCTTTATACATTTTTGAAATATTATAACAAAGCATTGATCCTCCTACGGAAGTCACTTGGTTCTGGAGAACAGCACACCGAAGCTACACTTTGCACTGTTTTGGTTTTAACCACCATTGAGGTACGTTTTCTTTCTTCTTCTTTTCCCCCGCGGCCTGGCTAGGTTTCCGCGACATCTTTCTTACTTTCTTACTTGTATAGGAATACATCGGCGACTGGATGAATTTGATCGACCACCACCGAGCAGCACATGCGCTGATGCAAGAGTTGTTGACACCAGAGTCTGCCAATGCTAAAGAATTACATACCAACATATTCTTATGGTACGCACGCTTTGATGTCGTCGTGGGAATTTTGGCTGGCACCGAAACCGTTCTCAGTCGAGATTGGTATCTTGCAAAGGAAGAATACGACGCCGAACAAGCCGCTCTCTATCCCGATGACCCATCTAAACAACTCGAGCTTGTGGGATCGATCAATCGACGTTTTGGCTTGGACATGGCTTCCCTATACGCAAAGTTGTCCCGCGGTATGGTTTCGATGGAACAATTCGCCATTCAGAACGAACAGCTGGGCCAATGGATAGAGCAAGCCAAGACAATCCTGAGTGGATTCGATGACTACGAATACAAAGTGCAGGAATACCCACACCAACAACCCTTGACTGAGGATGACATTGTGGATCCATATATGCCAGGTGGCTTGCATCGCGGTGCCTTGTGGGATTTCAATTATGCCTGGATCGACATTCTCTCCACGGAAACAATGTACAAATTCCAGACCATGCAAGTCCTCCAGCAGCCTCTACTTGAGGACTTGCACAATTTAGCCCAGGAGCAGTGCCGCTTGATTGAGTCGATGGATCGCTGGCCTCAGAAGGAAAACGGACATTGCATTATGTTCAAAAACAGCATCGGCATGGCTAGCATGTTCCTCCCAAAAGACCACAAGCATCAGATGTGGTCTCGTCGCAAACTCGCCTTGATGGAGCAGAATGGGTGAGAGTCGCCTCGTCAATGATTTAGAGCAAAGCTAACTATTATCCCCCCTAGGTACATTATTGCCCCCCGCTTCCGCATGGCCCTCGCAGCCATCTGGCAGACGCCAGAGGTCAATAACTGGTGGCTTCCCGATGATCAAGGATACACAGATATCGTCCGTGAGATTCGGGAACTCACCGCAGAACGCTTAGCCCAGCCGCGGGATGAGCTCCGTGAAAACGTCCGTGATATGAAGACATTATTTGGGAGGCTCAACATGGATGACACGCCCTGAGTCAAAATTAGACGCTTCTAAAATACCCCTCGATCTTGATCATGACTTGATGTACTTTATTATACCCAAAAGATCGACTTACTACAAAGTCCAGCGACTAGATGGTATTCGCTGGATGCACTTTATAACTCTAATTGTTTCTCAAATTTTTTGTTCATTGGGTCTAACTTTACGATAAGAATAGATGGGGCATCCCCAAAGTTCTTAAGACACGATAGAGTATATCAGACATGGATTTACATCTCCCCTGCCCGACACCCAGACTTCCACGGAACCTCCTCGGCTATCACCACAGTCTCTAACCCTCCTGCCAACTCCCCACCACCAACCCCAAACTCCTCTCCATTGACATCCTCTCCCCATGGCAAGGCATCGACATCAACTTCCCAACCCAGCAGACACCGCAGAATAACCTCCGCACCAGCTTTGCTCATAACCACATTCATCTCTTTACACCGCTCATCACAAACACATTCCACGCACCCCTGCGGCGAGAGACAAGAACAAGCTTCTATGCGTGCAACCGCACGCCGAAGAAGCAGCCCAATAAACTCAAAGGCCTTGCTAGCGATTCCCGAGCCACAGGACCCGCCCTTAGCATCGTAGAATGTAAGCCGAGCAGGCCGTTGCCGGGAAGGCGGCTTGAGCTTGTCCTCAAATTCACTGGGCATGTTCGCGCGGCGCAGCGGACGACCGAGCTCCTTCTTCGCAACTTTACATTCGGTGCGGACATCACCGGGCGATGAGACGACAAAAGAAGGTAGTAGGGAGAGGACAGCGTGTTCAGCGGCATGAATGGCCGCTGCAACATTCAGTCTGTGGGATTGCAGGATCTCCATAGCGCGAGTAGGGACGTCAAGCCACATGCCTCGAGTGAGGCGGTCGATGGGCGGGTTATCGACGGCGACGGCATCGAGGACGCGGCCGCGCTTGTCGATTTTGAAGAAGCCGTAGACGACGGCGTGGATTTTGATTGCACCGAAACAGGCGCGCGAGGCAGATGGGTCGTTGCTGACTATGCGCATGGCTTCGGTTTCTATGGGATCAATATCGGTGTAGTCGCGCTGCATTGTGCTCCAGTCGACGCGGACGCGGACAACGCGGGCGAGCTTCATTTCTGTATTGAGTTCTTTGACGATATAGGTTGTGCCTTGGTGGAGGAAGATACCACCTTCATAGATTGTGAAGAAAGCGCGCGAGGCTTCGACTTCTTCCAAGACGATATTACGATTATCAGTTGTGTCTATGACTGCGAAGTGTTCCTCTTCTGTATCGCGAATTGAGACGCAGCGGGAGGGCTGGGGCCGGAATCGGGGGTGACAATGGTAAAAGCCGAGAGGATCTTTTGTGAGGCGGGTTGGAGCCAGGGCGAGGAGTTGATGGCCGAAATAGATGCTGTCTTCCTCGGGGCGGATGGGCATCTCAAATGCGGCGCACTGAACGTGGCCTTCAAGGATAAGCTCGTTGGTTAGATCTACCTGCAGCTCGCAATTCGGCCGCGTGAAAATTTCGTCTGGATTTTGCATGTAGTGTTGATCGGTTGGATATCTGTCTCCGACTAGCACCGAAAGAGAGTCTTTGTTACGCCGTCCAGCACGGCCGCTTTGTTGACGCAAGTTAGAGATAGAGTAGGGGAATCCCATGGTGATTACTGCATCCAGAGAGCCAATATCAACACCCAATTCCAGAGCGTTTGTTGCAACGATTCCCATCAACTTTCCCTCGAACATTTCTTTCTCAATTTGACGGCGATCTTGAGGACTATATCCGCCTCGGTAACCCATCACCATTTTTCCGATCTCGGCACGTTCAAGGCTATTGAACTCAGCCCGTACAGCCTGTAAGAGTACTTCACATAGTTTTCTGATCCGGCAGAAAGCTATAACTCTGACGCCCCTCAGGATCAGCTGGCAAAACAGCCGGGCAGTCTCGATAACGATATCACTTCGTCCAGAAGTAGGATCCTTGGGATCTTTAAAAGGGGGATTCCAGCAAACAAACTCCTTGCGCCCAGAGGGAGAGCCATCAAAATCAATCAACTTCACATCTTGAACCCCAAAGACAGATTTCATGTGCTCTTCGGGGTTTGCAACGGTTGCAGAGCAAGATATGAATTTGACATGCCGATTACCTACGGCAGCACATATCCTGCGAAGTCGTCGCATGATAAAAGCGACATGTGATCCGAATAGGCCATTGTAAACATGTAACTCGTCAACGACAACAAACTTCAGATTCTTCAGAAAGGTTCGCCAGGAGCCCTCCTGTGGCAGAATTGTAATATGCAACATATCAGGGTTTGTGAAAATAATGCGTGCCTCATCACGGATCAAGTTTCGGCTGCTCATTGGCGTGTCCCCGTCGAAAGTTTCAACCATAGTGTGCTGTAGTCCATTCATACACTGCAGCAATTCCACCATGCTGCGTCGTTGATCTTGCGCCAGAGCTTTCGTCGGAAAAATATACATTCCCCTGCTTTCTGAATCGTTTTCCAGCTCGTGAAGCATGGGTATTTGATAAATCAGGGACTTTCCTGAGCTTGTCGAGGTTGACACAATCACATTATGGCCTTCCCACAGATGATTGATCGCTTCTGCCTGATGTGCATAAAGTTGAGTGATGCCTTTTGTGTTATAGAGAGCATTCACAAGGTCCTGCGACAGCTGAAATATCAAGTCGCCATAGACAGAAGACTGAGCTTCAAATACACGATGGCCTTCCGGCACAATCTGCGCATAATACCACTCCATCTCCCGAATTTCCGCTAAAATTTCCCCAATGGACTTTCGCTCCTTGGGAATTGTTGCTGGTGCTTGTGCTGCAAGAGCAGGGGTGTTCCCTGCGCTGTTGGGAGGGGTGGGCACGAAAGCGTTTTTTTGTTGGTCGAGTGACTCAACTGGATCTGTCTCATTATCCTCGCACTGTACCAAGAACGCGTTCATAGCGTCCAAGAATTTAGAATTTCGCTTTTCGATCAAACCTAGCATCTGCTTTTGGCTGTAGACGGGCATCTTCAGATCCTCGTCTTTCATCCGACGCTTAGGCTTGGTAGGTTCCCCAGTCTTTGGATGCGAAACTTCGCGCTTCAGATCGCCATCTACAAATTCAAACAGTAGGACATGTTTGGTGCCACCTAGGCAGTCAACTTCGCCATCGCCGTCTTCTGCTGGGTCCAGGTCGGCCACGTCTGGCAAGCTATTTCGCTTTTGTTTCCCATACTGGGCTATCTCTTGATCGCCAACAGTCATGACTTCTAGTTTGGCTTCGTCCACATACTCGAACCGGACTGCTCCAGGCACTATGACCTTCACCCGTGCGACATCTTCGAGGGTAAGTTCTCGTCCTGGGCCAAGTTGGGCCTGCACTGCCTTTTTTATATTGTCAAATGTGGTAGCGAATTGCTTTCGCGTGGAGCAGAATGTATAAACAAGATTCAAAGCGCGGTGGGTTTGCGAAAGACGCTTGAAGGCATCTGGCAAAGGCGCAGATGGGGTGCGCTTCGGGGGCTTGGATCCAGCCCTGGAGGCTGGCTTTTTCCCTTTGCGTGTGCTATTGCCAATCGTTTGGTCGATTGGTTCGGTCTTAGGTGTGGTGGGTTTTGGAAGAGCTGAGGAAAGGCCTGGCGATAACGCGTTTGGTGAAGGTGCGGCAGACTCAGAGCCACGATCGCTCAGCTCATGAGTTCGTTTTCTTTTGAGCGATGCATCTGGAATTTGTTTTGATGGTGATCTTGCCATCTCGAACTCCAGCGCGTGAACCTTGACGTCGGTAAAATAGCCGCGACTACAGTGCCGAAGAGATCACGTGTACAATATGACCTAGAAGAGAAGTATACCTATGAACTACGAGGATAAGTGTCAGAGAAGAGAGCTACTTTGACTTCGTTGTTGTGGAATTTTCTTCATATCAGCATCGTAATTCTTTGATTCAAGCAAAAGCATCTACTTGGTTAGATATCTCTTTTCGTCTCAGTTCCCACCTGACTCAAGAACGACATTTAATCAATCACATAGACAATTAGACGATGGGAAAGAAAACCTTGTAAGATCAAGACCTGAAATTCTCGATAGAAAACTGCTCTACAAGCTCGATCTGATCTCATAGACTGCTTTTGACTATCATGATGCAGTTGTCCAGATCTATCCATGGCTACTCACCACAGCTCCTAGTCAATGAATCAGTGGGAGATCCATTTTAGGATCTTTGAGGAAGAGGTTACAGTAATCAAACATATGTATTGAGGATCGCTAATCACAAGAATAAGAAGATGGGCTGTCGCATCCTCGCAACAATGCAACAATAAAAACTCCAGCCGCCCACATCATGATCCATCTCCGATCTCCAGTGTAACCTTTTTTTTGTCTTTTTTGTTTTCTCTTCTTTAGCATTTAATATCTTCTCACTTGATTACTTCTTCAAATCCTTTAGAATATCCTCAAGAACATCGTATAGCCCAGCGGCTTGATCTTCATTGCCGAGCTGTGTACATTTATTAGCATCATTTCGAAGAAAATATGGAAAAGAGAAATCGAGAGTAAGCTTACACGGAGAAGCAGATGTCCGATCTTGCCCTCTTCGTTGCTGGCCAAGTGGATGTCCTTCGTGGTTGGTCTTTTACCGAGCGTGTCTCCATGGTGCATGTCCTTGAAGATGGCAGTGTTCAACATGACACGTAGGGCACCGTCCGCGCGCATGATCATGCGGCCGGAAATATTTCCATCCGAATCTGTCTTTGTGTTGACCTTGAAGGTACCAGAGCCACGCTCCTTCCACTTTTTGTCGTCAAAGTAGTAAAGTTTACCCTTGGCGGAGAACTTGTTGGTCTCGTTTTCCTCGCCGGTTTCCACTGGGGGTTCAGGTGAGCGACTCGTCAAATCAGGGACGGAGGGAGGGGAGATCCGGGGGTCCATACCAGTTTTTTCGTGGAAACGCTCATCTGTCTTCTCAGCCACAAAGGTGTCGTTGGGCTCAGCTTCTGATTCGTTGTCACTTTCTTCATTGTCGGATTTGGTGGCACCAAGTACCTTGCTCTTGGATTTGGAATCACCGAAGGTAGCAGGGGCATCGGGAGATGCGAAACTCGTGACTTTGCCAGTCTTGGCGGCGAATGCGCTGCCAAATGAAGACGTACCAGATCCAAGAGACCCAAACCCGGAAGTCGAAGCACCGCCGAGGGCGAAAGGCGAGGTGGCAGAGGTGGCATTGAAAGCGGAGCTTGCGAAAGGTGAAGCGGTGGAGTTTAACTTGCTTGTTGCGAAAGGCGAAGCGGCCGAGTTTGCGTTATTCAAAGCAAATGGTGAGCCAGCAGAAGCTTTTCCGAAGGCACTCGCGGTGAAAGCCTGTTCCAATTAAGACTGTTAATTGGGAAATTGGAGAAAAGATAGAGATATTGAAGAAGCAAACTCACCTGATCCGTGCTCGGCTCTTTCTTCGAGGTGTTCAAAGCCTTATCCTGGGTTTTGTCGTCCGAAATGGGGGGCTTCTGTTGGGTCTTGTTGTCAGAATCGTGCCTGTAACTCGCAGCGCTGGAATATGCGGGAACGGTCTTGTAATTTGCAGGACTGGGGTATTGGGGAGCACGACGGTATAGAGAAGCCTGAGGGTGGGCAGAATTTTGAGGGTAGGCAGAAACTTGAGGGTAGGAAGAGGCACGAGGGTAGGGAGAAACCTGGGGGTAGGGAGGAACGTGTGGGTAGGAAGAAGCACGAGGAACATCAGGCTCGCGAGCGTTGTCAGGATCGCGTTGGAAATATTGGGAATATCCTTTTTCGGATGGAACAGAGGCAGAGGACGAGCCCGAGGGAATAGAAATGTGGCTCTTGGCTTCTCCAGACACAGAGGAAGCAGCACGCACTGTTTCAACCGAGGGAAGATCGATCTTGACTTCTAGTGGAATTGACAAGTGCCGGGTGGTCTGCACCCCGGCACAGGTAATTGTGATTGCAACCTCCAAAGGGAGAGAGACATTCGTGGAGATCGGCGCACAAGACCATTTTCCATCGGCGTTCCGGTTGCTTGTTCCAGAGGGGCTTTGCATGTGAGGTTGGGTGTCGGATTCCAGTGGGGTTTCAGGTGGATCGGATTCATAATCGGCAAGCTCAGATTCACTCACAGTAGGGCCATTTTCGGTTTCTTGGGTGGTGGAAGCAACAGGTTCCTCGCTGGCGGGAGCAGTCTGAGAGGTGGGTTCCGGGGTTCCCTCTCGCGATCGCTTCGTGGGATGTTCGTCGGCGGCCGCATCGGCGTCTTCGAGTGAGCGCTTTCGACTGATTTGGGCGGAGCTATTGACAGAGTCGATGTTGGTATTCTTGAGCTGCTGGCGCATGGGGCGTTCGCCGCCGTCGTTGTCGGAGGGTGGTGACTGCGCGGTCACTGAAAACAATGTCAGCTCCCATGAACGGTTGGAAAGAAGCTCCGAGACACAAAGGAAGTGTGCAAATAGCAGCATCAAAGAGGAAATCACAGGAACAAAGACCAAACAATTGATTTTTACTCACCTTCTTCCTTCTCCATCTTTGGCTCGGTTGCCGGAGCTTGTAATTGTTAGCAAAACTGTTTCAACGTGGGGAAATTTTGAGACTTTGCGCCCAAACAATGATGACATACCAGCCGAGGGGCTCTGCTCACGTGCAGCAGAAGTCATGGCTTGAAGACTTGAATATTACTGAATAGTTAAACTGAAGACAAATTTGTCACAGGTACAACTAATTACCAGATATCTTGAAAAGGGGATTTGGGGGTATTGAACCACGAGGATCACAGTGATGATGTCAGTCGATTTGGACCAGCCGAATCGAAGAAGAATATGAAGCTTTTGCGAACGAGGCTTTGCGAACAGAGAAACAAGGTAAAGAAAAGAGGTGAAAAGGTAGAAGATGGGAGGAAATCTAGCTTGCCGGTCCTTATAACTTTGACCGCCGGGTGCGGGGCCAACAAACGGCGTATTGAAGAGGCACATGCAGTTATAGATACAATGGGCTCTCATTCAAAATGACTATTGCTAAAAATCAGAACATTACACTTAAAAATCAATTCAATTGTGAATATACCCGTATTCACATCAATTCTAATACAGTGCCTCTTTGTTGAGACCTTTCAATGCAGCCTATTGATGTGATAAGCACATGTTCTCAACTCATGCTCAATAGCAGAGCGTCAGAGCTTTTAACTGATGAAACAGAGACACCCAATTGCAATGTAGAACACAAACAATGGGTAAACTGCAATGCCAACTCGGTTTCGAACCACTCCAGAGCCTCCTAAGATGCTCACTCCTGCTGCTAGAGACCATGCCACCAATACGAGATAAACCGGTATCCGTGCAATTGTAGGAAGTCCCAATGCACTCAGCATTGCTGCAATGACCAAGGGGAATAGTGTATAACCGATTATGCAAATCGACTGGAAGAAAGAGCTAGGACGACCATGTCAGTAAATCACAATAATGTTGTAAGAGGCTATGGTAATGTCTTACATCTTGCCACCAAGAAGCTTGATCTGGAGGGTCACAGCTGCCTCTCCAATCCAAACAATACAGAAGACACCGGAAAATACCACTGATGATTGGTCACCCTTTGCGATAGACAGGAACAAACTTAGGACAAGACAAAACACAAGCGGTCCCCTAAAGAAAAAAAAAACACAAGGGTTAGTCAACCTGCCAGTGCAGAAATATACAGCGCATTTCATACCAGAGATCCCAGTCCCGCAGCCCATCGCTCATCCCACTCTGCAAGACCACATCGGCATCCGGCCAGCGGCCGACGAGTCCTCGAATGTTACGACCGAATCCTGACATTCCACCTTGTTCAGCATCAGCGATACCACTTCCTCCGCGCTGAAGCATTCCTCCAAGGAGATACTTTGGCCAGAGCACCTGGCGCATCTTCTCCCACACGGCAACTAGATCGCGTGACAATGTGTCCCACACACTCTCATCGATAGTGTTTTGTGTGGCGCGGCGATCTTCACCACCAATAGAGGATGACAAGTAGTTGCCATAGCCCGAAGTATTGCCTCGGCTGCCTGAATCGGATTGGATGTTGCCTCGTAGAGGGGCCGTGTCAGAGGTGTCGCGCAGAGGGTCATCAGCGTCGATGGCTAGTGTAAGATCATATTAGAGACCTGACTAGAGCTCTTTAAGAGATTAATAAATAGGAAAAAGTACTCACCATCATCAGCTTCAATCAGATCATCACCAAAGAGGGAGTCGTCATCACGGGGCTCCCCATGGGGCTGGCCGTGGTGTACAGTGGCCATGTTCGGTTTAGTATGTTTTTAATAGTGCCAGATACTAACGCAAGAGTATCGCGTCCCTTATTCCTTTGGGCAGGCAAATTTTACCAGGTCAAATATGAAATACAAGTTGAAACGAGCTGTCCCAAGGCTAGAGTGGCATTACGAGGCCCCGGGGTCACCGCCCTTGAGGTCACCGCCCAGCTGTTCAGGCACGTTCCATGCAGAACATCTATAGATATATACATACATTCGGCTTCGTGTTTTCTAATTTTATTTTTCTCTGTTTTGCAAGTTGAGATTTCATTCAATTATTCTCGAGCTAAGAATCATGCATCTGCCTTTGTACCGTCAACATACGGCTCTTCTTCCTGATAAACATCATATTTGTACTTGCTTCCCTCATGGTCAGCCCTAAGCTCTTTTTGGCCCTTGCCAAACACCTTCTCCCGTGCAGTAAGAGATGGTTCTGAAGGATCTGGAAGCTCTGGGTATAGACCACGTTGTCTCAGCTCTGGAATGAGCAAGTCCACCACATCCTCAAAGGTACCTGGCGTGGTGACATAGGCAACATTGAAACCATCAAGATCTGCCTCTCGAATCCAACGTTCCATTTCATCGGCCACAGTAGCAGGACTTCCGATCGAAACGGGGCCAAGACCACCTATTGCAGCCTTCTCGGCAACAATGCGAGGCGTCCAGCGAGGAATATCTTTGCTAGTCTTGAGTAACGAGTCAAGCAAGCTGGTCACCTTACCTGCTTCTAAGGAGTCTGCAGCTGTAAGATCCTGGTCCAATGGGATCTTAGAAATATCGATGCCTGTCCATCCGCTGAAAAGGACTAAGCCTCCAATGACCGAAGCATACTTCTTCAGCTCCTCGTACTTGGCCCACGCCTCTTCGTCAGTCTCGCCCACAATAGGTGTGAACGTGCCGAAGAATTTGATGGACTGAGGATCACGGCCTCGCTCTGCGGCTAGCTTGCGGATGTGTGCGATCTTAGGGCGCAACACCTCTGGCGAATGGGAGGACACAAAAATAGCCTCTGCATGAGTCGCAGCAAAATCTGACCCTGCAGGCGATGTTCCTGCCTGGAATAGGAATGGTGTTCGCTGCGGAGAGGGATCGACGATGTGCCGTGTGTTCAACGCAAAGTACTTGCCCTTGTGGTTGATTTGGCGGACTTTGTCTGGATTGATGTATGAGTCCGCTTCAGGGTCAGGCGACAGCGCATCGGGGGCCCAGGAACCCTCCCAGAGTCTAATGGCAGCAACCGACAAGTCAATGTGAAGAACTGGTTTAGGCGGGAAGCTTTCGTGCAACCTACTTATAAAGAACCCTCAAGTACTCATCTGCCTGGCGGTACCGTTCATCATGCTCAATTGGAGTATCCAGTCCAATGGCTTTGAAGGCCGCCTTCTTATATGAGGTCACGATGTTCCAACCCAGGCGACCATTGGTCAAATGATCTAAGGTGGAAAAGCGCTTGGCCAACAGAAAAGGTTGTTCAAATGAAGTAGAGGCAGTGATTCCAAACGCCAGATTCTTGGTCACAGCAGCCATTGCAGAAATTGGCTATACCTCTTGAGTCAGAAAACCCTCCGAGCCAATGCTTCGTAGTCACACTTACAATAGTCGGGTCTGTCACCGGCCATTGCGCTGCACGACGAATACACTCATCCACTTTGCCCTCATAGGTATCATGACCTCCCGTTGTATCCGCCAGGAACAATGCATTGATACCTCCGCGCTCCAACAGCTTCGCTAGCTCTACCCAATAGTCCAGTGTTCGCTTGGTCGCGGACTTGTCTTTGGGGTTCTATGTAGTGATTAGCATACACTCTACAACCTTGATCATTGGACTAACCCTCCATTGACCAGGGGACAAGTGTCCCACTGTCGACATATCAAAAGCATTGAGTAAAATTTGCTTCTTGCCATCGGCAGAGCCGTTCTGGCTTGCTGAATTGGTGTCTCCCATGATCATGTAAATCTATCTGCGCTTTTGAACTCACAGAATCTTAGAAAAGACAATTGGAACTTCTATAAAAAGACAAAAAAAGGAACAATGTCCCTCTCGGAGGGATTTGTATTTCCCCCGCGTCATCTAATATTCGCACATCGCACGTATATCTCACGCCATCGATAATGTGAGGGGAACGGAAAACCTCCGAACGCTCATTCTTTCTTCTTCAAGAAGGTAGTAAAGCATATGTCGTGCGGTATATGAAACATTCGCCAATCTTGGCGCATTGTGGATTAAAGCTATGGTAATAAATGTTTACATATTCAAGAGAAGTGAGCGAAATGATGTATCTCATCATTAGCTGTCAGGTTGCGTGACACTTTCATACTATAGAGCACTTGAAGAATTCTATTGATGATAGTTTAATCAATGACAATGCCAATTTATAATATCTCTTAAGATCTATATCCAGACATGGCCTTTATCTACCTAGTGCATCATTTTATCAATGAGTATCAACTTTCCCTTGCAGCGTATCGCTTTGAACACCCGGTTCGAAGCTACTCGCAACACCTGCGCTTTCTGAATCGGAAAGGCTCTCCCGGTTTGACATATTCTTCCTAAATCAGAATTGTTAGATCATCCTTACGGTATAAACATGGTGAGGACTCACTCTTCTCGTGAAATGAAGTATTGAATCACATGCGCGAGCAGAATCAAGCATATAGCGTTGGCAAGAACAAAGGAGTAGCCCTTTGTAAATCGCGGGCCCTCGACAGTTTTGAATACCAAAAGAGGGGTCCATGCCGTGGTGGACTGGGCAATTGTATTGACAATGATCAGTGTCAGGGCACGCTCAACTGGAGAGGCTCGGAGCTGGCTATTGATCCAGCCATAGAGAACACTGGACATTGCAACGGAAGAATATGTAGTCAGGAAAGCAAACCATAGAGTTGACTCTGAGAGTTCCCAAACGACAAGAATTATCAGCCCGACGATGTTCCATATATGAGCAATCGTAATCGCCCAAGCAGGCCCAAATAGTAGGTCTGACGAAAAGCAGATGAACAGTGTGTAGAATATACCCAGAGCAGGGGAGATAGCAGCCAACTCATTCAAACGACTAGTGGGATATTTATCCAGACTCTTGAGCCACAGCTGGTATCCACCGGCATTGGTATTCAGACATGCGTTCCAGAAGAAGATGTCCAGTAGAAGGAGGGCCCAGAACTTCCAATTACTGCCAACTCTGAGCACTGTGCGCCAAGAGAGGGTACTCTCTTTCGTTTCGTGTGCGACTCGCGCTAATCGGGCTTTGGCGAGCTGGACGTCTTTCTCTTTCAACACGAATTTGTTCGGCTTGTCAGGTGAACCGGGGAGAATGAAGTAGCCGAGGATTGCAACTGGAAGTGTAATAATTGCGCAAATGATGTACATCCAGCGCCATCCTGCGAGTCCGTTGACGCCGTCCAATCGGCTTGAGGCGCCCGCTTGGATTAGACTGGCTGTTAAAGTGCCGAAGGTCAGACCGACGTAAAAGCATCCTCCTCGACGGGCAATTTCGTCGCTGCGGTACCATGAGCCTAGAATGTATGAGCTTGGAACATCTCAAGATGGAAATCAAGTGAATAATTACCAAATATGTAATGCATTCCCGGGAAGAAACCCGCCTGGTACCTGTTAGTATACTTTGATTCCTCACCAATGGAAGACTTGGTTGGATACTTACTTCGAACCAACCCACAAGGAAGCGATATGCAGCAAGCTCTGCATAAGAATTTGCCCGATACTGCACCAACGTGAAGATTCCCCACGCAACATCCATAAAAGGAATCATCCAGGACATAGGAAGTTTGGTGAAGAGGAAGATAAAAGGAAGCTGGCCAACCACTGCTCCTATAGTGTACATTGTTTGCAGCTGAACAAGCTCGTTTCCATGTAGACCCAGGTCATCCTTAAGGCCAGAGACATAGGCATTGTCTAAATATTGTTAGAATTGACTCAATACCTTGTCGGAGGGCCTTCTTACTGATATTGGCCTGGTCGATGTATTTAGTCCAGTATGCAAGGAAAGCATAAGGAACAATCAGTAAGTCCAGCTTGAGGATGAGCTTTCTTTCTTCTTTGGTGTCCTGGTCTGCAAACCATTGCAGCTTCCACCATTTCCGCCGTTGTTGGGGAAGGGCCATCTTTGCGTGTTCTGGTTCCCGATAAACAGGAATTACGAAACCATTTATAGGAGACTTTAGTTATAACCATATATATATAGCGCTCGGTGATCAGCCGAGAAGTATACTGTATGTTTTAGGATGTTGAGCCAAGATGCAAGATGCCACTGGAGACGGTGATTGCGTGCTGAAAACTAGCTCTTACACATATTGCGACAAATGAGACGAGGATTAAACATTTTCTACACCAATTTCCACATAGTTTTCTGTACCTTTCCTATACCGTTTTCTACACTATTTTCTTCGCGTCTTCTCCATATTGTTATCGTTATTTACCTATCAATATAGCCTCCCTAGGCCTTGCATATCTATCAGACTAGGATTCCGAAGCCCAACCCAAACTCGTCCACCGAGCCAAGTCTACTACCATAACTACTAGTCAGATCGACGGAATTAACCTTTAATTCTGCGGATATAAGCGAGGTAGGAACTGAAGTTAAGGGTGCTTTATGAAGAAATGAAGAAAGGAAGGTTATATAGGAATAGAAGTCAATGAATTACAGAGAAAAGTACTTAATTATCAAATTCTGATAAGGAAGATGCATCTTTCTACTATGTAAGCTAGAATTCATACCTTTAGAAATAAAGTATAGCAGAAATATGATGATGTCTGAAAGTTGAAGCAGGGGGGTGCGGGTGTATCAATCCTTTCAAATGTACCTTCATATGTATTTTAATCTTTTATATAATAGTAGAGAATGTACCTATGGTATTATGTACATGATGCAAATATGCAACGCCATCTATAACTCCCGAAGATATGTGATATACAAGCATTATACAATCGAGACCTCACTCGATCTTCGAAACTACAGATCAAAGACTTAGGCCTCAGCCTTTGCCTACTGCTGTAGAGGATCCACATTCTGGTCTAAGGCTGTGGATCCAACTCACTCATATTTCCAAAACGGAACTCTTCCCTGTACTTGGCGATACGCTCCCTAGCCTCCTCCTTCTGATCAGACGTAGGGTAGACAATCTTGTTCTTGAAGTGTTCAATGACCTGCCTGTCGGAGTATTTCTTCAGCATCTGCGATTCAGCTTCCAGAGACTTGCGCTCCGCCTTTGAAATGAACGCCTTATAATCGTCCTTCAGTGTATCGTCGACAACCAGACGAACCCGCGACATGAACTTCACGGCCGCTGGAGCAGAGGCGGAATCAGAAAGTTGGTTTTGGATGGCACTCCATCGAGTTTTTGACTCGGGTCTGCCGTTCTCCATTGCCTCGTGGAGCTGAGCGACATAGGGACGCAACGTGGTGAGGGCAGTAAGCCGCAGCTTCGCTTGAAGTTTCCTTCCAAGGTCTTGCAGTCTGCGGCCTTTCGAGTCCTCGTCTGTACCGAGGCCTCTCAGGTTCAGAAGAACGGCTGGGTTGGTGGAAAGAATTTGGATTGTTTCAAGGTAGCCGTCCAGGACGCGAATGTCTGGTAGAATCAACGCTTTGTCCATAAGAGAAATCAGCTCATTTGCGTGTAAAAGCATTGAGTGGTTGCGGCGATCACGGCGACAGACGCTGAGAGCAACGTGAAATGCTGTTCCAGTTGCTTGGCCGGAAGGAACCATTTGCTCCTTCATGGTTTTAACACTGATTTTGCTGGACCGGGAGATGCGGAGCAGACGGAAATATTGGATGTACGTGAAAGTGTCGGGCTTAATTCGATAGTGGGTGTCATCCATTGTCAAGTGTTTCCAGTAGGCAAGGCCACCTTCAGTTCCTTGAGTCATGGTAAAGCACGCATCCAACAGAAGTGTCAGTTCTTTGCTGTTGGGTCGGAGGAATGCTAGCTCCTCCACCTCTGGAACCACGGGCTTGAAAAGGTCTTCAAATGACTCCTCCTCTTCTGGTTCCTCCTCGACCTTCGCCACCTCTTCGACAAATTGTTCGTCTTCCTCGGCCGGCTTTGTTGCCTCCAGTGGTTGGTTGTTTTCATCCACAAACGGAACATCTTCCATAGCTTGTTGCCGCTTAGACTCAGACACTTCAATGGACTGGTTTTCCTCATGAGTGATCCTGCGACGGGTTGTTTTCGAATTCTCGGTGGGCCGTTTTTGCAAGATAGGAATGCCCATGGTTTGCTTGTACAATTCCATAACATTGTAGCAATCAATATCACTAGCACCGTCCAAAAGCAAGCTTGCCATGCCGTTCACAAGGTCATTGTCGATTTCCAATGTTTGATTCTTCCACCGATAGATAACATCCGCCCAAATCCGTTTGCCTTCGGTGATGGCCTGAGATTTCCGCTCCAGAATTTTTTCAATCTGATCAGGAGACATGCTTTGGATGTCTCTGCGGGCCGCAAATTGCACAGCGGTCAAGATGATGGTGTATGTGGTAGCGTCGGCGGCCCCGTGTCCTTCCTCGGGCAGCTCACCGGCAATCTTCCACAGTCGGTCCATATCACCATGACGATGACAAACTGTAAGCATCGCATTTGTGTGAATGATATCAAGCTTGACGCCGGAATTCGGCGAGGCAATCGAACGATAGACGGCGGCGGCAGTCTTGACGAGGGCCAATGACATCGGGGCTGCACTGAAACCCTTCAGCATGATAGTATATGTCCTTGGGCTCGGTCTTCTGCCGCGCTTTTTCATCTGAGGGAGACATATGTTAGCATGCCAGTTCAGGAACTCAACTCTGAGCATGATTGTGACCATGCCACAAAACTTGGAGGGGACTTACATCATTATAAAACTTGAACGCAGCCTGCGGGTTCTTTTGATCCATGCAATACTGCAAGATGTGATTCCAAGCAGCATCACATCTCATTCCCTGTTTGGTTCCGGCACGAACTATCGCCGCCGCCAAGGCTGGATCACCGCTGTGCAAGATACGTGCAATTCGGTCCGCCATTTTGTGGGGGTCATTTAACCATTTCAACTCCATATTGACGATCTTCGGGGTGATCTTGCTTCCTCCTTGAGGAGGGCCGCGATATCTTTCGGTTTCGACAGTCTCGCTATCGCCAGTCTCACTCTTTGTGGCCTTGCCTTCAAGATTCTCGTCCTGGGAGAGTCCTTTCTCTGAAATATCGTCGTCCGCGACATCGTTTTCTGTGAGATCCTTGTCCAGAGCTTCACTCTCAGCAATCTCGCTGTCATTATTGTAATGCGCAGTAGGCGAACCCGACGCGATAGCCATGAGTAGGTCCTTTGACCTCGCCGTATTCACATCTTGATATACCCGCCTAGGGCCCTGCTTATTTTTAAGATGCTTTTGGCCACGCTTGTCAGGATATTCGCTGCGATCGCGGCGTTCGGGGCGTTTAGGACGTTCGGAGCGTTCGGAGCGTTCGGAGCCTTCAGGGCGGCGAGGTCTATTCCATTCGGAGGTGGTAGAAGCAGCTCTGCTGTTTTTTAATGCGATCCATGTCTGTGGAAGTTGTTGGGCCGCAGTTGCAGCACGGTGTTGTTGCGCAGAGAGAAGTCGGCTGCGCAAAGCTCTGTTGACGAGCGACCCCGGGAGCCGGAGGGTCATGACCGGGTTGTGATCTCCAGACTAGAGTCAATTGTGTCTGCTGCAATGAAGACACAAACTTGACAACGAATGAAATTTCAAAAAGAATGAAAAAAAAATATGTTGTTCTGTCCTCCGGGAGGTTGAATCTCGAAATAATTTCGCAGATTGAAACTCAACGCTAGTCCATATCAGGTCTAGACTAGATCCATCCCTATTAATTCAGGTGCTTATGCCTGAGGTGTCAACTTTCATCATATCCGCCACAAGTGTATCAAAACAACTCTCTCTTGCTAGCTGAGAACGTTCTTGTTTACCCGTCTTATCTAGACCATTAACTCGTGGTGGCAAAAATACAGCTTATAACGCACACAAATATTGCCGTTCTCACCATGAATCACCTCTATCAGGATAGGTCAAAAAGAAGTCACCGATGCACTTACTATTAGCTTGACCTATTGCACACCAATCCGAATTAATCTTTGAAGCGATTATATAGCACTTCGTCTATACGATTAAAACGCAATAGAAGCAAAGGACTCACATATGATTCCCACCCATAGACTGATCTTTCCCAGCGGAATATGAATAAACAACTGACCTCTTGCATCTCGTAAGATTATTTTGTTTGCATCTGAAATTTTCTTCTAGAACTGACCGATCTACGAGGAGGAGGGGAAACCAAGAATAATTGATCTATCAACTTATTGGCAAATACTATCTATTTGTGAATAGTACAAGTATGTTTCAAGGGCATAAAGGGCACAGGAAACGGGTACATTATATCAATTAGATATTGGCAATCTACACATCCGTCCTTTGACATTAATTGTCTTAACCATCAATTTTACCAGCAGCATCCAATTTAGTCATGTTAATGCCTAAATTGGATAGAAGTGGCGGCAAGCCTTAACAAGGTTGGTCTTCGTGAACAACAAATTTCCTTCTCTTGGCGAGTAGCAGGCTTCCGGCAAGAATTAATTCCAATTTAAGTTCCTGAGGAGTGTCCTCGGCTTCTTTCTGGGTAACAATGACCCTTCGTGACAATTGAGACCGTCGTTCCATGAGAGGGTCTGCTTGGGAAGAGGGGAGAGTATCCTCGGCATCAGCTTGCGTCCCACACGAGACTAGCATTTGTAGATTAGAGATAGAAGGCCTCTATGACAACTTGGCGCTTCTGTATTTGCTGGAAGGACTAGTTGGTCATGACTCCGGCTTTGTCGTCGGAGTTCAAATCCACCAGTGTATGTCAGTCACTAAAAGCTGTGTTGTGTTCCCGAACAAGCCGTTTGGATGGCAAATGATGGTCAAAGGGGATTTCGTGTGATAGGTGCGATCGACTTAGCCCCGTTTGTTTCAAGGCCAGGGATGCAATAATAAATCCTTTGTAGTTCGTCAAAAGGTTGATGTAGATAATTGCACATAATATAAATGTTGATTAGAAGAAATTTGGCAAGAGACCTCAAAGAAGCCGAAGAAAATACCCGAAGAAAAGACCGCTAGAAAGCCTTATGAACATGGAGTGTTTCCGTACTTTATGATCGACAACGTGTCATTATACTTAGCAAGACATCGGCGGGCCGCTTTGATGGGCACTTTTAGGCTTATGTTGGGGATAACTATGGACAGGGAGAGAGGAAGAGGAAAAAAATGTTTCAATGGTAAAGAGTTGGAAACAAAGGCACTCTTAAAACTTGTTGATCTGAAGCCCTGCGTGATACCGAGTCTTCCGGCAAAGAATATGAAGGCCCTCTAGCAACAGTGAACCAGGAAGACAGGTGCCTTATGCATTGGCATCAGCAGCCCTGTAGAATAGCAGCAGGTTCTGTCGAGAAATTGGACGCAAACAGCTAAATCAAGTCCTGTATATCGATTAGATTCCAATCCCGATATTTCAAGTCCCAACACTTATGATACCTGACTAGAAGCATGATTAGGGTTGCAATTTCGGCACACACGGGCCGAGTAACGAAAGTAACGAACCACTGCAGCAGGCACATACTGCGTGTGACTAGAGCAGATAAAGAAAAGAATTATGCATCCAACATTAACTAGTACAGTTAAGTGCACGTGGGGGAGGAATTAGTATCAGCCACCGATATCATCGGTCAGGCCGGTAATTTTGCTTTTAGAGTTATTCTTAGTCGTTTCTAGCTTCTACCTTATTCCTTATTCGTGACATGTCACACAACTGCTTATGTAGCCTCGTCTCCACCCGTGGACAGATTTCCTAGTTTCGGGTTAGTGTGTACCAGGTAGACTTGTACCAAACCAGAAATGACTTACAGGTACCTAGGTACATATGTACCCTAGCCCCGTTGCACTCTAGTACAGAAAGTATCCCCCGTAAACAGCTTGGTTCCATGTACATGCAATGTACTATTAACGGTCAATTCCAGCGAATAACAACAGAGGTGGCTTTACCTTCGTATTTTGTACAGACTTGGAGATGCACACATTCTGGCTGTCATTCCACTTCCCCCAAAGCGTCCTATCAGACACAAGCACGCTCTTGCGTAGCTGATTGGATTACTCTAAATTCAACATTACTTGCCCCGGTCGAGGCAATCAAATAGCTGGCCCTTGCCTGGTCCTTGTTACTTTTAATCAAGTTACTTGTAATCAATCCAGCAAAAGACCTGGACTTGGGTGATCAAACATGTTGATTCGCTGTTGCAATCAGATATTTCAAATGTGACCAAGTATATGAAAACAATTAGAACCATCAAGGTATTTGGAGCCGATTGAAGAATTCCATAGAGCATAATGTACGTTAAGTAGAAGAGAGGAGGGAACACTTGCACAGAGCAAAGTTGAGACAAGATAAGGAAACAACAGACAAGCAAAACTAGAACAAAAAGCCCCCAGGAAAGCAGTTTTGGGAGAATGCTGTCAAAATAAAAAGAAAAACAGATGCAAAGAATCCACCGCCCCATCCTTGGAGCCAGAACTGCAGGAGATAAGGATACACCCATCAAATTTCGAGAACAGGACATAAGAAAAGCCTCTCAGCTGAATGCACTCTAACACAAGGAAACACACAGGTATAGAACAAAGCCGGAAATCTACTCTTAGGTAGTAGATCGAAATTAGAAGCCGCAGAGGATGGTATCATAGCACGAAAGACTTTGGGGTGGATGGGGAAGGGAGTCGAGTCCAAGACGAGAACATTAGTCAAGGACGAGGGATATCGTGATTAGAAAAAGCAAATGCAGTTCCGTCCGTGTAAGGTCCATAACAGAAAGAAGATTATTGGGACATGATTATTGGTAGTTGGCGGATTGGGTCTCTGGAAGCCGTAGCGATTGAATCAGCGGACAGGTCCGGTGAGGATGAGGTGACCTTGTCGAAAAAAGGGTCCAGAGGGTCGATCCTGAGATGGCGACATTACTCACGTTGCGGGTACCCCGGTCCGCTCTGGTATGGAGAGTGAGGATAGTTGGGAGGGGGATAGGCCATCTGTCCGTTGTTCTGGTACACCATTCCACTGCCGGGGGGTCCACCGTATTGGCTGGAGACCTGGTTGTCGGCGGGCTGGTATCCGATAGGAGGGAGCTGAGGACGGACACCGCCGCCGTAGGCAGGTGGCTGACCGTGAGATGGGTCAGAGGGGTTGGAAGCTTCAACCTGGTTGGCCTGGACAGCCTGAGCGGCAGCGCGCTCACGCTCCTCGACGGCCTTACGCTGAGCATCTTCTTCCTTCTTGCGAGCTTTCCATTCCTTGCGGATTTCCTTGAATTCTAGAAAGAGACAAAGTCAGCAGTGAGTTTGGGCAACAATGAGCGTTAGCCAAAATGAGTATAGCGTGGACTAGCAAGGGATGAGGACTTAACCTCACGCCGTGGCCACGCTACTGCGGGCCCCGCGACATCTAGTGTAACTCACTAGCGTCCAGCAGCCGGCGCTAACCCAATCCAGCCATTTGCGACAAAAGATTGAATATCTCCGTCGCATTGACACCAAACAAAAGGAAAAAGATGGGCCTACCTTCAGGAGTGCGCTTCGCGCCGTGTGACTGCATAGTCACGTGTGCGTTCAAGTGATTCAAAGTACCATACGCCTTTTCGCAACCATTCCATCCACACTTGTACATGCGCTCAATTTCCTCGTAGCGACGACGTGGGCGCTTGTGCTGCTGTGCGCCGGGAATGGGGACAAATGAGTAGACCTAATCAACCAGCAATCATCAGCTTTGATCCAAACCCAATGGATTGAATAATTTCCCCAATCAAGCGATTGGGGGTTAAAGACAAGCAGTTTTTAATGATACCTGGAGTCCTGAACAAGCCTCAGCTTGTCAAGATACTCCCAGGAATTCAATCATCAGAAAAATCATACTTGTCCTGGACGCGACTCGGCCGTCGCGGGAACAAGGGAGGGGGGACCAACCGTTGTGGCCGGGGAGGCATAAGGTCCCGGTAATCCATGATGCTGTTGTCCATAGCTATGCGGCCAATCCGGACGCGCATACATGTGCTGAGGTGGAGGTGGATGGCCCTGGTACTGCGCCATCTCGTGCCCCTGAGGTTGGTAGGGAGAGTAGGCAGGAGGGTAGGTGGGGCTGTTTGCCGGAAGAGAAGGATCTATAGGAACGGGCGCGTCAGACTTAACGTTCGGACTGCGCGGGCCCGCAGGCTGGTTGAACGGACTTGTTGCTTGGGCCATACCTGCGCCACCACCGGGTTGAGAGTTGGGAGCGTAGGAGGGACGGTGAAGATAGTCCTGGTATGCGGGCGAGCGGGCGGTGGGCGGAGGGTTCAGACCGTAGTCCGATTGAGGCGTATTTGACGAGGGGATGTTGGGTCGCACCTCTGGCTGCGGCGTGTAATGGGGAGTAGGGCGAACTTCGGGTTGCGGGGTGTAGTGAGCAGCAGCAGCGTGGTCTGCAGGTTTTTGTTCAGAAGGTGCGTCGACAGGCGGAAGTTGGTGGTTCGAACCTGGCTGTGCGTACTCGGAAGTGGGCCGGTTGTCCATAAAAAACGATTGCACACAAGGATGCCGAGTCTGTGGAGACGCGTCTTGATGAGTTGAGAAGTTCGGGGAAAATTGACGAGTCGGTCCGACACGTTGCAAGCAAGGGACGGGAGACTAGGTCGCCACGTTGGAATCGTGGCTGACCTAGATCTGGGATCGCGTACCTTGATGGGATTTTTTGAATTGAATTGAATTGGCTTGTGAACTGATGCGACCCTTCAACAATCGAAGATGGTTGACAAAGTGAAAACGTGAAAAAGTGAATTCAAAGTGAATTCAATTTGTAAAGGTCAAAGCGCATAAAAAAAAGATAAAAAAAAGACTTAAGTAGTTGATACTAAGATGCTTAATCTTAGTTCGCTTTTGAGATGCCTTGCAGGCGGTAAGCACGAGGAAACTAGTGACGGAAACTAAAGAAAAAGATCAGTTCAACTGAGACTTGGAGCGACCTAAAAGGTGAGACGATTAGGGAGGAAATGGCAGGAAATGGTCTGGGATCCGAGGATGCTGTAGTGGACCCGGGTGGAGTGTGTAATTTTGGTTATATCGTTTTTACTTTGTATTGGGGATTTTTGCGATTTTGTTTTTGATTTTCTGGATTTCTTTTCTTTTTCTTTTCTTGCGTCTTTTTTTCCCTCACACATGGTCAATTCTACGCAATCGCAATCATCGATTTGATATATACATTGTATTCATTAAATGTGAAAATGGACTCTGAACCGCCAACATAACAGTATTCGATCTATAAGCGATGTCCGAGGAGAAAGACATCGTATTATCTCGGACCATTCCCATTTCCACACAATACTCCGATATTTAACTTGGCCCCTTTCCCCTCAGTGCCTTCTTTTTTTCCCGGCTAAGCTTTCCATGTGCGTGTGATAACACCTGTTTTTTTTTTTTTTTGATTTTTTCCAAAGAGAAAAAATAATGAAAAAGCGGAACCATCTATGGGAAGCAGTGACAACAATTTTCTTGAATATTTCCCTATCGTTGACCGATCATTGATCGTAGCAGATCTAGATATATACTGATCTGGATAAAGGTGTCGTTGTTTTTTGCTAAAGACTACTGCTTAGGTTCCCAACTGGAGGTCTCTTAGTCTACCCGGAGGAGAACCTAGCGTGTAGGGCCCGTGGGTACTAACCAAGATGTCAGAGAGGGGAAGCCAGGGGAGGTCCTGAGTTTTGAACCAAGAAGGTGGGCGCTAGGAATGGCGTGCCCGAGGAACCTTCAACCGAGAGAGGGAAACGAGACTGAAAGGGGTATAGGCCGACCAGCAGAAAGGGAACTAAGGCAGAAACGGGTGTAGCGCAAGTCGGGGGAAGTAGAAGCGATGGATACTCGGGAGGACCAGGGGCTAGTGTGGACGGTGTGTGGTTGACTCAACGTAGCTGTGAACCAATAGGAAAAAAGGATAGAAAGGGGTGGGGCCAAACTGGAGTTTCTGGATAGGCCTGACCTCTTTGGGCTTAGCCCTAAACTCTGCCTACCACAAAGGTTCAAAGCCGAGGCGGTTGGATCCGGTGATAGCTTCTTCTGGGAAAAGGAAAAAAAAGAAAAAGGAGGTTGCACTGTGATGACATGTGCCTATTACTTGCATACAATTATGCAATGGTTCAATTGTTGGGCTCAAATGGGAATCAGCGATCACTGACAATGTATCAGATTGTCAATATATCATATTGTACACTGTACGTTGGACAGCGAAGTAGTCACGAAGCTTTTTCTTCACGAGTCATGCTCTCGCGTACAGTACAGTAACCGTATCAAACGCGTGAGTGGGGAGTCCGGTGACCGAGTATCTCCTGACTTTCATTATTTTATTCATCGCTATATAAATTGCGACATTCAGTATCTACATCTTCCACGGTTCCACACAATGTTTGTCTATAATTATCATGTGGGAGAAAAAATAGGGGGCCATTTTCCAGCGGGTTTCCCGTGGCCTTGCCGGCCGTCAATTGGTCACCATCTTCCTAATCAAATTGCGCTGTGAGCGGAGGCTCGGCGGCTGTCCGGTATGATCATGGTACAATATTGTATGTACAATGCTAATTGATATCGTAGGGCAGTCTCATTCTTACGATACGTATAGACCCGTTATTCTCATCAAAATGCTCACCTTTCAGCCTCGCAATCCGACAAAGTGGAGATTTTTCTTTGGTTAACAACCCCACCTGGCTAAATACGCGCTTGATAGGAATAACACGGGAGAAACCAGGGAATAAATCCAGATGCAAGGCCTGCTGCCTTCGATCGTTGATTGGTGCTTTTTGACTCACCCCGCAGGCGGAAAATGTTCCTCCAGTGCCGGTGAAGGAAAAGCAAGTGCAGGTTATCTAAATTGATTCTGTGCAGCAAGTTACAGCAATACACAGCACTATTTTTTTTTTGCATGAGTTGCGCTTACGATTCGAGTCCTATGGACTCTCAAAAGGGTGATGTTGAATTCCAAGACTTGGCGGCGGACTCCGAACAACACATAGGTGCGGGATATCCGAGTCGAGGTCGTACCGGGATGATCAATATCAAATCCATATGGCGCGTCAGTCATTGGACGCCGCAGCCGCTCACAACCAACAGCAATTTAAATACTGTAACTCCGGATGATCAACCCAAAGTTGGCTCCAGTTGTCCCCAGTTTTTCTGTTGCATTTTCCGCCAAGGTAGTATGCTAGTTGATCGAATCAGAGAAAGGCATTGTTGGAGTCGATCTTGGCATGGCTCTATCATACTTGTTACAAAGTATCGTGAGCCTTCGCGGCTGTTCGGTAAGAATACATGCTTCTTCTGTAAGGTATGGTTTAAATGTCTCATTGTAGGCAACCTGCAGGTGTTCACCGTGCCACTTGATGCACGTGGGCCCATTTTCTACAGGTTTAATGTTGTTTTAATCTTGTGTCATAATCTCGTTATATTATTTTAACATTAAACGTTCTAAACGAAGTGACTAATTGATGTGTAAGAAAAAAAAAGCGGCGGAAACCTTTCCCACAATGGGTCTGGTCGAGCCGACGGCTATTCTTCGGTCATTATTTTGTTGTTGTTCAGGGGGCGATCATACAACAAGGAAAATCGATCCTTCTCTTTCCCCGCGGTTATGCAAATTCGTTGTAACTGTGCCTTGGTTATGATACATTTGGTACAGGATGATCGCTGAAACCGGGAAGCTGTCACACTTTACCTGGTCCAAGCACTAGAGAGATAGAGAGAGATAGACGAGAGTCTAGTAGCGGTTTTATGTACATACCGTAGCTTGAAGTTAACGACCCACGAGCTTGCCGAGCTCTAGGATTGCCATTCAGCGTCCGTGCTCTCAGGGCCGAGATAGAGACCAAAAATACGCAATCTCTCCTAACTCCACAATTGGCCTGTGCGGTGATAACTTGGTAGACTACGCCAGACAGAGTAAGTCATACCCGCTAATGCTTCGGCAGATCGCGTTGGAGAGATCAGCACACCCCGGATGATGATCACTGACCATTTCCGCGGTTGATAGAATGACTATTTAACATTGAATCGCATTGAATCACATTGAAAGTGATTTGGATATCGAACAGAGATATAAATCAAGCCAATGCCTGAGACTGGTTTCTACAGGGGTACGAATCCCGAGACAGTGGCGTAATAAAGTCCGGCAAAATCACTTTTGAGGGGAAATGACAAAATGACACTTGTTGAAGATCATGTCTAAGGCCTGAAAAATCTTGATACGTAAAAACCATGTTTTTTTTTTTTTTTTTGCCAAGTGGTTATTGTATGTAAGATAAAGGAGGGAAAAACCCCCCTAGGGTCAACGCCCAAAGGCCAACTATCCCGCAGAGTTACATTTTCCATGCATGTTCTACGTCTGCTCTAGATAGCGCCCAAAAACGGAAAGGAGGCAAACCAATGTATCTTATATATCTGTGCTTTTTACTCCTTTTGGGGCCTGGCGCGTTGTCTGACAGGCGAACGGCAAACGTTGTTTTTTTATTATGGATTTTTACTAGCGCATCATGGGTCCGGGCTAGCCTCCTGTTGGCCAGGACGTTGTCCGGTTCCAAGGTTGAATCTGGGCCAGAAGCATGAGTTTTGCCTCGTCTCCGACGTGCATCGTCGGCTGAAGTGTGCTTGCCGTTCTTGGTATGGCGGCCCTTAGACGTCGGAGGCGCTTGTGCATTGCATTTGACTCTATTCTTTGGTCACGCTACTGCACGTCGCTGTCTTAGGTTTCCGCGGATCGTGTACCTAGGTACGAAGGTTTTCGGTGTAATTTTTGCCCAGGGTTACTTCAAGATTTGGTGGACACATGCATGCATCAATATATAGACATATGCGTTGTAGGTCTATTATTATTAATATGCAGTGGCGTGTAAATGACGCATAACTCTTTCTTGGATCTGTCATGAAACATCTTGTCATAACGGTTGATTAAAAGCCTCATATATATTCAATTTACTGTACTTGCAAGCAAAAGGCCAATGCCATTGTGAAAGAGCAATGACCTGTTCCTCGCAAGCTTCTAGCGGTAGTTCAGACCGTGAAACGCTATAATCTACTAAGCAGCCTCGCTGCAGATTGTTGCATAAAGCTTGACTGAACTAGATGCGAAGATCTCGGCTGATCTTGAGTCTACAGAAGAAAACCATGCCACTCAGGGAGAGGCCTTTCACATAGATGATCGAGAGGTAGATCTGCCAGGCTCTCCCCACCTAGTAAACGTGCTGAAAGCCCGTGCTCCAAGGCGAGCGGTGCTAGTTCATCAATGTTTGATGACTACATGCTACTCAGTTTAGCTTATTTCTCTCTATATCTCTGGGGTAGTGAAGAAATCGAAACTGGTTGTAATTACAAGAACACGAGTCAATGTTGGTCAACATGTCTCTATTATCTCCAACCTTGCTTTTCATTGGAAGTCATATATCAGTTTGCGGCCTTTCTTTGCCGAGGGGAAGGTATATATCTCCTCACCACGATGGGATTCACTGTCCTAATGATTGGGTTTGTCTTTTCCTTCGCTTTTCGCAGCTCGTACATCTCAATAAATTAGCCTAAATGTCTCCAGGAAACCACCGGTGGAAAAATAAATCCCGTCACAAGAATATCCCGGCTTCTACATTGCGGGGTCAAGATCCTAGTCCAGAGATCTATATATCTTAGATCGGCATATCTTGGCTAACACACATAACCAAACCAATAAACATGTTCATTCTAGCAGCATATATTCTAATAACAGCCGCAATTCCTCTGGTCAGAGGAGGCCCTCTACCAAAATCAGCGAAATTTGACTGGTCATCAACCAAAGCTTTGTAAGTGCCTCAACAAATAGGATGCATGATAGCTAACCACTGAAGAATTGCATTTGGGGACTCCTATACCTATGTCCAGGGAACTCACGGCCACCAGAACTTCAGTTTCATTGGAGACCAATTCAATCTTGCCTATAAACCTGAAGATCTGCTTGACAACAAGATAGTTCAGAATCAAGTAAGTATAAAGCACTCGCCCGAAATAGTGATACTAACACAGACCCCAGACAGGAACTGCAGAGGGCGGTCCTAATTGGGTTGAATATCTCACAGGATGCGGAACTGAGGAAGGCCTGACCTCACCCCAGAGCTGCAAAAAGCAACTCTGGGACTTTGCATTTGCTGGAGCCGACATTTCAACGGAATAGTAAATCAATTCGAGACCCTCACTTGCATTCGTACTAACTATAGAAGCACACCCCTCCATCACAACTTCACCGTCTCCCTGGTAAACCAAATCAACCAGTTCAAGCAATACGGCCACCCAGTCCTCACGCAGAAAGTCCGCAAGTTCAAACAAGCCCAAACTCTGATCGCGCTCTGGATTGGCATAAACGACATCAACGACAGCGCTGCATACGCGGTCGACTTTCCAACTTTCTACAAAAGTCTCACAGACACACTGTTTGCCTCCGTCGAGCAACTTTACGGGCTAGGCTACCGATCATACCTTTTTATGAACCTTCCACCCTTGGACCGTACACCCGGAAACCTGGCGAAGAGCGACCCAAGCCCTAATGCCACGCAGATTGCTTGGTACAATGCAGCATTGGCGGATCATGCTGCAGAATTTTCTGATAATCACCGCGATGCACATGTGATGCTCTTTGATGCGCATTCCAGGCTCGGGGCTATACTGGATGAGCCGCACGAGTATGGGATTGTCAATACAACCAACTTCTGTCCTGGGTATGACCAGCCGGATATAGCGGTGAATTACCAGAATTATGGATGTCCGACGCCATTGAAGGAGTATTTCTGGTTTAATTCAGGCCATCTGACGAGTCATGTGCACGAGGTTCTAGCAGGGCAGATAGAGAGATGGTTAAGACAGTAATAGTTGAAGAAGAATGAGAATGATCATTATTACAGGGCAGACCCTGCGAGCTCTGGAATATGAAACTTTTGAACTAATCAACATGTAGGCGTCGTAAAAATCAGACCCAAGCGAATATCAGACCCGGAAAAATCGGGTCCAGGCCGGTAAAAACAAATAAAAGAATATCTATGACATCGAGGATAACGCCATACCGAACCGAGTTACGCAAGAAGTCGAAAGAATGAGAAAGGGTCTACCGGGAGAAGGCAATACAAGCTCGAGAGAACTGCAGATGCAGCAGCGAGACGTCTACCAGCGACGGTTGCCACCAACAGGAGCAGCGTTGGAAGCAGTGAAGCCACCACCACCACCACCGCGACCACGACCTCCCCAGCCACCACGGCCACGGCCACCACCCCAGCGACCACCACCGCCACCACCGTAGCGAACCATCTCGGCAAGACGGGGATCAATCTGCTGCTTGGCCTCGGTCAAGATAGTGACCAAGTCGCGAGCCTGCTTGGAGTCTGCAGACATGTTAGACAATACATAACAACGGAAAAAATAGGAACAAACTTACTGTCAGTGGTGAAGAAGGTAATGGCGGTACCCGTGGCACCGGCACGAGCAGTACGACCAATACGGTGGACATAGTCCTCCGAGTTGTTGGGGTAGTCGTAGTTCAGCACGTGAGTAATATCTTTCACATCTTTAAGGAGGGTTCGTTAGCAAACAGCGCATTAGTGATTTTATGAGGAGTATATGGCCATAAAGGACCCTCCGTCGTGCAGGACTTGATGCATCACTGCTCTCATAATGGGTAGAAAATCCCAAGGGAAGCGAATCCATAGGATCGCGTTATCGTGGTCCTAGATTAACCTTGGAATGCAGCCTTCAACAACGTTTAAAGATCTTCTGGTCTGTCAAAAGTTTTTTGAGATCCAAGTCAAGACAAAAAATGTCTGCTGCTGTGCTGCACTGTGAGTCCAAGGTCCTGTGGGCATGAAAACCACCTAGGGATGACCAGATACGCCTAAACGCGGCGTGTACCAACGTGCTTCGAGAGAGTTGAGCACCGTGCCATTGTATCACACAACGTCAACACGGGTGAGTGTTTTTAAGGGCCCCACAAGGGGGGGAGATATATACGGGAAGGGGGGAATGGGGAAGGGGGATGTAGTTTGTTCATACCGATACCACGGGAAGCCACATCAGTGGCCACCATGATGGGGCTCTTGCCCTGCTTGAACTCGTTCAAGACCCAGTCACGCTCGTTCTGCTGCTTGTCACCGTGGATGGCTGAAAAGGTTAGTTATGAACGAAAGGTAGTGAATGGAGGGGAACGTACAAAGCGCAGGCCATCCGTCTTGGCGGAGGAAGCGGGTAATCTCGTCAGCGACACGCTTGGTACCAGTGAAAATGAGGCACTTGTTGGAGCGGTCCTCCATAATCTTCTCAAGATGCTTGATCATCTTATCACGCTTCTCAAAGTCAGAGACAACCTCGACAATCTGGTGAATACGGTGGTTGGCGGAGAGATCAGTGGAGCCAACGTTAACTTGAATATAGTCGTTCAGGAAGTCAGAGGCGAGCTGACGAACTTCCTTGGGCCAAGTAGCGGACCACATGCAAGTTTGACGGTCAGGGCGAATCTGGCCAATGATCTTGCGAATCTGGGGCTCGAAACCCATGTCAAGCATGCGATCAGCCTCGTCAAGAACAAGGTAGGTGACACGGCGGAGGTTGGTACGGCCAGCCTCGAGCATATCGATCAGACGACCGGGGGTAGCAATGCAAACCTCAACACCACGGGAGAGGTCACGAATTTGAGGACCCTTGGGGACACCACCGTAGACACAGGTGTTGCGAATACGAGAGGACTTTCCGAACTTGGTGATTTCGGCCTGGATTTGAACGGCCAACTCACGAGTGGGAGCCAGAACAAGGACAATGGGGCCATCGCCGGGGGAAAGGAGAGGCTGGGCGTTGATGTGAACAATAGCAGGAAGACAGTAGCTCAGAGTCTTTCCGGAACCGGTCTCGGCGATACCGACAACATCACGACCGGAGAGAGCCATGGGCCAGCCCTGGGACTGGATAGCAGTGGGACGCTCGAAGCCCTGGGCCTTGACCTCAGACAGAACGTATGCGGGGAAACCAGCCTCATCGAAGGTCTCGACGGGGCGGGGGACGTTGGTACCCTGGACAGCCATCACCTTCTCCTTACGGAAGGCAATGACATCCTCTTCGGAGCGCGCAGAAACATCGGGGTGCTCCTTGTAGAATGACTTCTCAAACTTGGGCATAGTGTTGATATCTGGGAGGGTCGGTCAATAAATTACACTTCAAATTATTTTCGGGAAACAAAAACTCACCCCATTCTTGGACCTTGAGGCCAGCGCCGAGGTTGGACATGCGGTCACCACCGGCACCACCGCCGAAGCCGCCGCCGCCGCCGTAACCACCACCACCGCCGTAACCACCACCGCCGTAGCCACCGCCGCCTCCACGGCCACCACCGTAACCACCACCACCGCCGCCAGAGTAGCCATTGTCACCACCGCGGGAGCTGTGCAACGTTAGCATGTTTGCCTTGAAATGAAAGTTGCAGTCGTGAGCTGCATTATCTGAATAGGATAACGTACCGGTAAGAGTCACCACCACCACCGCCGCCGCGCGAGTAGCCGCCACCGTACGACATAATTAAGTCTGTGAGAACGTGTTTTCTTTAAAAGGGGAGGAAATAAAGGAGGAAGAGACAAGAGAGTTGAGGGGAAGTGAAAGAATGAAGAAAACAGTCGAGTTCAAGAAAAGTTGTCGAGAACTGGAAAGAACGGAAGGATGAAGAAGAAGAAAAGGAACAGGGGAGAAGGCGCGAGGAAAAAAAAAAAAAGATAAGTGACTTTATCGGGTTTAGCGTTCCTATGTTCTCTATCACGTGATGGGGCCTGGATCAGGTACCTTTCAAACCGCCTTCCTATAAAGGCTTAGCTTATGCTAATCTTTGTAAATTCGTTGAATTTTTCGTTTTGCCGTTTTGTATTTTTTCATTTTGATTGATTTGATTGGTTCAAATACCGGCAGAAACTTTTCTTAGAGGCAAAACAAAGAGATATTTTCAGTGGCAAATACTGATTTCGCCTCTAGAATACTGAAGTGCAGATAAACCAAAGTTAGGAACTGTATCTGAGAACCTTGGAATATAGTACTGAGATGGTTACAGTACATAGTCAAATAGGACGAATGATTGTTAGATCAAAACCTGAATATTTTAGATCTATCTCTCTCCGAGCCCCATGTCCCAGAACCGAATCTCCAACTCCGTAGCCCGGAGGAAGATCTTGATCAGTTCTTCCATACGACTAGGCGAGACGTGCTGCATATGCTTCTCCAGCAATTCTACAATATGAGACAAATCAGTAGGGTTCACTCAATACTCATGCGTTGACTTACCTGAACCCAACCGTACGGCTTCTGTGTAATCTTCCGCGACATAGTTTTCGATCCATTTCCAGTACTTGTTTCCTTGTCGCAGAGTACCTTCTTCGCTATGAAGTCGCTTGGCAATAGCGCCGTATCCGATCAAGCATGGTGCAAGGGCCATTTGAAGGGCCAGCCAATCTTCGGATTGGCCTACATCCAAGATGTATCGACTGTACGCGGTGCATGCTAACGAAGTTAGTAGACGCTTTTTTATTATGCAAGGAAGGTTAGCTACCGATGGTCTCGGGTGTGTCTTCCATCTCCTGCTTTGAAAGACCAAAAGAGGTACAGTAGTCAATGTGCAATGCCATTTCCCGCTGAATATGAAGGACGATTTGGGCCGACTGAATAGCGTTAGCCTGATGTTATAAGTCGCAAATGAATAAATAATACTCACTGCTGCAATTGAATCCATGTTTTTCGCCTTGTATGATGCTAGTGCATTGCTTCGGGCAAATTGAACCTGTGTCATGATGAGCAAAGACCGGTTTCTGTTTAATTATAACTTACCAGATAGAGGTAATCTTGCACGAGATAGGCCTTGAAGTGTTCGAGAGGCAGATCACCTTGACCCATACCCTTGACAAAGTCATGGTGAGTGAACTCCTGCCATACTCGTTGCACATCTGGGCGGTCCAATGTGTACTCGATAAAACGGCCACTGATATCATTAGAGTGAACCAAACCTGACGGGAGGAGGATACATACGGCGCAAAGGGCATTGTGTAGGTGGAATGGAAATGATTGATCGGGCCACTTCCCTTGCCCATGTCAATGCTTGTCTTTATTCCTACCTCGACAAATCGTACGGCATTGCGAACAGATCTGATCAGGTCCTTTCCGGATGCCAGGTTAGCAGCAATGGCGGAAGCAAGCGAGCAGCCTGTGCCATGGGTATTCTTAGATGTCAAAAACTCAGTTTCAAACAAGGTCGCTGTCTTTCCGTCAAAAAGAATATCGACCACATTAGTCGCCTCTCTCGGATCATGGGATATCTTATGATCCTTTGTCAGAGGAAGATGACCGCCCTTCAAAAGTACCGCCTGAGGACCCAAAGAGCAAATTTTCTTGGCAAGTTCGATCATTTCATCGAGGTCTGTTGGCTCGGGGACCTCTGCACCAGCGTCCTTCAACAAAAGCAGGGCCTCTGGAATGTTGGGTGTCAAAATGGTAGTAAGGGGAAGTAACTTTGCTCTTAATTCCTTGACTGCTCTCTCTGGTAGTAATTGTGATCCACTAGTGGAAACCATGACCTATTTCATTAGTATTATCAGATTGAGAGCAAGGAAACATCTTACCGGATCAAGCACAACAATAGGAACTTTGTGAACCTGCAATGTCTCTGCGATGACATCAATGGTCTCAGTAGAGGAAAGCATGCCTAAAACATCAGTAGCTGTCATAAAAAGCCCCCAAGTGACCTACCAAGTTTGACTACATCTGCACCAACATCCTCGAGACCAGCGTTGATCTGCTTTCGCACAAACTCCGAGGGCACAACGAAGATGTCCTGCACACCCAATGTGTTTTGAGCCGTCAATCCAGTTGTAGCAGTGAGAGCATAACAGCCATGGGCTGCAAGGACCCTTTGGTCAGCCTCGAGACCACTATGATAGTCAATAAAACAAATTTAGGATAAAAAGAATTGAAACCCCGGAGATGGGGTTGTCTTGGAGGATGGGGAAGAACTCACGCCCCTCCTGAGCTATCGGATCCTGCAATTACCAGGACTCGTTTGGCCGACATTTGAAGAGTCATATATATACACAGGTGTATTTCGGCAAATAAAGTGAGGTTGACGAGTGGGGTGGAAATATGCCGGAGGGGGTTCTCGATAAGATAAGAGATTTTGTATCAAAATATTACACCGTAGTGAGCAATTGAGAGAGTATTGAAGACTTAAGATAAATTATGCTGTTCAATTGATAGTGACAATGCATTCCCGAATCCTAGTATCCCAAGGTATATACAGAAAGAAAAAAAAAGCAAAACAGAACCACCGGGGCATTTACTGTAACATAAAGCGGAACAGACCATCCATCTCAACCCATTGCCGACCACATTTTTTCAAGTATGCATCAACCACACCCTTTAGCGTGCCAAACCTCGTCCGATTAAACTCAACAAGGGCGACAACGCTGTCTTTCTTTTCTCCGGTCTCTTTCTCCGCCAAGGCCTTGGCCTTGTCGACATCCCAGAGACCAGCAAAGTACAGAAGCTGGTTGTATATCTCCTTCTCTGAGTATTCGTACGACATACGGCCTAGACAGCCTTCCGCTCGTCCCCGAGGACCGAGACAGCGGTGTCCGTACACACTGGTCTGTCGTGTACGGTTTCCACACGAAGAATCATCACACACTAACCAGCCTTCGTAATAGCGCGATGTCTGTTCGCGTATTTGGTTTTCAAGTTGAGCAACAATAGTCAGCACCGAGAACGGTTTTTGGCAGGCTTGGTTCGGGCAAACAATGCCGTGAGCGGTGCACATGTGGGATGAAGTCACCAGACCCTCAAACACAGATCGTTCTTTGCAGAACCGGCATCTCAAGGACAGCCGTGTGGAATTGGCAAATCGCACCGAGTCTGGGATCTGGGACTCGAGCGGGGTAACCTCTGCATTCTCTTGAGTGTTGGAGCTGGAAGTGTTGATCTGATACTTGCGAGTGTCGAGACCCAAACATTCGGCAAGGCGAACGGCATCGGTTCCAGGAATCGGGGCGCAGAGACGCTCGATGGGAGGGAAAATTTGTTTGAGAAGGTAAAACTCAACATCTGGCTTTAATCCTGAGTCGGCCTTCATCACATCCTGCGGGCTGTATGATCGCTTCGCAGGCGCCAGAGAGGAGGTTTCTGAATCTCCATTGGTCACAATGTATGAGATCACGTCGTTGGGCCGAACAGTCTTGCCCCGGGCAATGTCCCGCAGAGCGACTTGAGCAGGAGGCATGCTTTCCTTATTGGGGTACTCCTGGGGTCTTTTTGAGAGTTTCTGTTCGAGTTAGCGACGTATATAATTTTCTTGTGGTTAGGATCACCCACCGTGTAGATCACGTATTTTTGGACAGGGATCGTATTTTCCTTCATCCTCTCTGCAAGTTCACGCAGATATTCGTGGACCTTGTTCAGAACGATTTCCTGGTCTTCCCCGGACAAGATCTCGTTGAGTAGCTTTGATGACACCTCTTTGGAGAGGGCGCAGTATTCACGTCGCTTCATGTCAAGTCCCTTGACCTCGAGCTTCTCAATGTACTTGCCATCTACCTCGGTGAGGTTGACAGCAGCGTACTTCTTTTTGGCATGCAGCAGGAGTCGACGGAATACATTGTCAACATCAATCTCCAGCAGTCGGTAGCGCTCATTGACCGACTTCTTGAACTCCTCGCCAACCTTGAGAGCGTCACTCATATTGTCCATGTTCGTGTTGATCATGACGGAATCGGTGTCACCGTAGATGACCCTCAATTGCTGGCTTTCAGCCAGCTCCTTCGTGTTTCTCAGAATCTCACGTCCTTTAAAGGTCGTGAGCATCGCGAGGGGTCGAGCGTAGAATCGACTCTGCGCGAATCCCAGACATCCGTACATGGAGTTAGCAGTCAATTTAAAGGCCATCTGCTTAGTGTCCCACAACGCTAGTTGTTCAGGTGTGGCGCGCTTGTCTTTCATCAATTTCTTCACTTCACGACGACGACTGACCAGCGTTGCGATCAGGCGAGGAAGAACACCCTGCTCTTGCTCTGGGGACGGGACATCGGGCACTTTCTCTTCATTCTCATTTTCGGCCTGATACATGTTAGAATAATAGCAAATACAAAGAATTGAGGTACTCACCGTGGCAGTTCGGTCAACAGTGGTGAAACAGATGTTGTACTCCTGGATAATGCTGGGATACAGACTGTTGAAATCCATGACAAGGACGAACTTGTCGTAAAGACCCTTTTCGGGTTCGAAGACGAGACCACCCTTGAACTTGTCTTTCTTCTTCTTGTCCACAGATTCATCCTCTCCTTCCTGCATCTTCTCCTCTGTCTTCTGCAGATGGGAAGAATACTTGTCCGGGCAGATGTACTTGTTGCGGTGGAATTCATGCAGCAGAATGTACTCGTTTCTCTCAGCACGCGTACCGCTTAGTGTGCGTGCCCACGAGTTACCGGCAATGTTTGTCAAGACCTTGGTCAGGGGCAGCATCTGAAGACGTAAAACCAATGCCGCAACGAAATACGTGTCTGTATCACAGTGATTGACAAAGTTCATGAGGCCTTCTTTGGTGGTGGCCCACGTCTTCAGCGCTGCTTCAACGTCCAGTTCCTGCCGGGAGTTGCCTTGACCAAGATAGAGCTGGCACATCTCGGTCAAACTCCACGACTGACACTTCATCATGAGAGACTTGCCCATATCATTGGCAATATCACACATCAATCTTCCAGCGATTAATTGTCTTTCGGCAAAGAAGTTTCCGCCCTTGTTGAAATGCTTGGGCCAATCTCCACGCCTGAGTCGGCCAATGCGGTGCCAACCGGGCGTCTTCTTCTCACGCATTCGGCTGAGAAGAATACCCAGGTCGACATCTTGCAGCTGGTGGCCCATGATCACATCAGGATCCATTTTTTCGAACAATGCCAAGAACTTGCTGAGCAAGAATTGCTCGGTCCTTTCAAGTATGATGGTACCCCGCTGCTTCTTTGCTTCGGCTTCGAAATGCATGGGGTATGATGCACCAGCAGGACGCATGATGGTGAATGTCTTACACGGAAGCTTCTCCGGGGGAGTGGTATCGGTGAGGGAGATATCCTCGTAAACTCTGGCACTCGCAACGAGAATCTCCTGCTTGTTCTCTTTGACGTTAAGCTGGGTGCGGAAGGCAAGACTCATAAAGGTCAAGGGCGGGGCGTCCAGGTTTTCGGAGTCTGAAACGGGGGTGATGAGCGCCGGTTTGGTGGCCTGGCATTCGAATTTGCACCAAGAGGCGTTTGTGACAGCAGCAAAGTCAGCCTGGTCGATCTTGAGCCAGCATGGGCCCATGATATTTTTCCACAGAACGAATTGCTCGAAAAGCGAGGTGTTCGTGCCAAAAACATTTGAAAAGGTCTCTCCCTTGGTCTCCATTGGCAAGGCGGCTTTGTCGTAGGGGTACAGCAGCTTCAGATACTCCGTCTCCTCTTTCGGCACGCCAGGCATCTCAAATGCGTACTTGCGCTTGGAGGGCTTGATCTTGTGCATACCGACCTTAAGCTTCGACATCATCTCATCGACCTCCGAGTATACATCTTGCATACCAACCTCCTCTTCTGTCGCTCGCCCGTGCTTGTGTCGGTACTCACGGGGGAGGAAGTAAAGCTTTCGCAAGATGTTGTCGACTTTAACAAACGCACTGGTGTAGGTCCCATTCTGCTTGTTCTTCACTTTTCCAAAAAGGCAAAGACTACCGTTGACTTCTGTGTAGTCCAGCCAGAACATCCGCAGACTGCCATCTTCTTCAACGACATCTTGGGCACGCAGCTTTCCAAAGGATCGCATCTCTGGAGCTGGACTGCTGAGAACGTTCAACTTGTTCCGCACGTCATTCCAAGAAGCATCCATCACTTCTGGCATTGATTTGACTGGGGAAGAGCTTGCCGGTGCCTGAATAGTCTCGGGCTTGATCTTCGGGGGCGGCCTACTACCAGTCATGTTGATGGTTTCTGCCTTGATACCAGAGTCTCCGGTGACCTCTGCAACGTCCATCAGGTCTATATCATCGTCTTCCAGCTCTTCGGGTTTGATCACACCGATATTCCTGCGCTCCACTGCTTTTGTGATGGGAGATGAAGGCAGAATATCGCTCATGGGAACGTCGTCGTCGGGCATTGGTAAGGGGCCATCATCAAGGTCATCAGAATGGAGGGCTTGGGCTTTCATCGGTGAGCTTGGCATATCATTTTCATCTCTCATGTGACCCTTTTGGCTCCGACGCTTCTCGGACAATGGTGGGGAGAGAACGCGAACTTTGCGCCGGGCCTCTGACTTGACGATATTTCGTGTGGGAGCATGATGCGAGACCACGTTGGTGTCGACCTCTCCGAGAAGATCATTCATAAAAGCGTCGTCCTCTGCAGTGGCAACGGGCTAAACAAATTCAAGTCAGCACCAAGCACTCCGTCACATCAGACAAAGCCTTACCTTGGGCTTCGCGGCCGCAGCAGCGGTTTGTCCTTTGTTAAAATACTTTGAAATGCCACTGTTTATCTTTTCTTTCCGTTGTTGCTCCTCCTCTCTTTTCCGCTTCGCGGCCTTTCCTCGTGTGGGTAATTCGTCGCTTTCGTCGCTGGCGTACTCGGCTGTCTGCTCGTTCCATACTTCGCGGCCGTCGTCCGCATATCCGGCACCATTATCATCGACAACGAAGTCGTCCTGGTCCAGACGATTCCGGATGACTTTTTTGTAGCCGTCATCGTCGACTTCGTCGTAGATGTCACCTTGGTCCTCGACTTCGTATGTGGAAATTCGCTTCTTTCCGGAGGCACGGAGGGCCCTCAGCTCAGCCAATCTCTCGCGGGCTGTAGGCATTGTGATTTGTATTAGAGACCACTGCCCAACAAAGATAGTTGTGTGGGCAGAGAAAACTGGATCGGAACGATACTTGTTGCGGGGAAAGGGAGGGAGAGAATCGGCGCTCAATTAATCCAGGCGCGCGCAACCACGCGTTGCATCGCGTTGGCGCTCATTGGTCACATATGGTTATGTCAGCCAATTTAATTCTGGGCGCCTTAGGCGACAATATCGTGCCCTAATTAACATACATACATGTATGTATGTATTGACTATAATGATACATTTCATTGATCTATAAAGCTACATATATAGATATATGTCAAAAATGAAAAGCCATCCATTAGCCTATATATGTAGATGGGGTATGATAATAATCCACCAAACGCCCAAAAATCGGATAGATGCTGGATTTCCTGCTGGATTTCGTGACTAATTAATATTGTAAAACTTGTACAATTCAAAAGTTTGATATTTGTTGTTCCAAAGAAACCATATACCAAGTTGAATATTGGTGATAGCTTAATACACTGTACTTCCTCTGGCAATATTATTTCCTACTTATTTTCCAGCTCTGTTCCCCTATCCTTGTCCTCCTTTGCTCTCGCCACGCTAACTATACATACTAAGTGGGACAAATGCAGCAGAGAAAAGAATAGACAATCTCACAGTGAGCCGTTTGATCTTTTTCAAATCTCACTGTTAGGGTAGATAATCCGTTCCTGGGGTGCACTCCTCAGATTGGAAGACCTATTATAACCACTAGCCACCAGGGTTTAAACTTGCTCTGCAGGATCTTGGATTGGAGCTTTTCATCCAAGATATCAGTCATAAACTGAGACAGCTGAAACTACTGCTGAATTTTATAAACTGCTTGCAGCCTGGAAGCTAGTAGCCCCCGCCTTCACATCGGTCGATGTAGTTGATCGCCCCATTGCAACAATCTAGAGATTCAAATGGTCATCAAGAGCCAAGATCAGCACTGCCAGATGTCTTAGTGTTGACATAACATTGGTTGTTGTTCTTCTGACCTTTCTTGCGTCTCATTGTAGCTCACTTACGGCCATATCGTGCTCTATATAGTACCGCTGGGCCCTTTTTGATATTCCACATATTGTACAGGAATTTGAAGTATAATTTATCATCATCTATATTTTGTCACATTGCCTTAGACAGTCTCGTTATTTTTAAGAATATTTGTTTTTCCAGTCGTCTTTCTTGCATCTACTTAGCCACCATGTAGAGATCTCCATCAGACGCGGGTCAGCCTTAGAACTGGTTCTAATGTTACCTAGTAGGCCCCGCGGCACAGCATCCATCGCTTATGTCGTCGACTGAGAGATGGCCCACCTAGGTGCCTTCATACTTTTTATAACTCTTAATATGGAAATTCCACTCCTGTCACGTCAACTTTCGCCGACACTACCATGCTTCAATTTATCCCATTTGAGTCCCCAAATCCACTACTGCTTCCTCGATTCTATTATCTCTTGTTTCTGAATTTTTGTTGAATTAATTTCGCAAGGTACATGATGTTTCCTTTATTGTCTCGACTAGCCGCACATCGTCCTACGCCAGAATTTTGTCAATCGCTTCATTGCTCACTTGGTACGTGTTTTCAGTCTATCTCTGTCTCTTGGAACTGGTTTTATACATATGAATTCAACTCTATGTTAGTCGCAATAAACAAGAATGAGAGGAATACTTATACAGATTCTTTCCTACCAGGGATCTATTGGTGTCTCAATGGCTAACAGTTGTTTGATACCACAGGATTACCGCAGCCTCATACATATACATGACTGTACATAGCCGCCGCAGATCTTCACAAATATCCTTTTGCGCTAGATTGAGTGGTTAGTGTGAAGTTGAAAACGCTCGGTTGAACCTCGGGGACAAACATACAACTATAGTTCCTTATTCATCTTACTGGGCATGAAGTTATCTCATGTGAGCCATACAACAGTACCCTAGCTTTCCAGCCCGGTGACATGAAGGCATTGCTAACAATCCCCGATATCTATACAGCTCACATCGGCTCTACGCTTAGATATGACTCCACACAATTCGATTCAGGTTTGCAACTACACATTTGCAGTCTACACATATGGGAGTCACAAGTGATGATTGTTTGAGAATCTGAATTATCCGCGAAGAAACCGAGTCTACCTGATGTGACGATTAAAGACTACTAATCCCCATGGCCCTTGGTTTCAAGGCTATTAGTGGCTTTATTTACTGACAGTTCCATATTATTTAGGCCCTGATTACTATGATAGGTCATGATTCAGTACAACCGAGTGTCTCTACAAACATACCTACAACAAGGTGGATTCGCAATCTCACAAATGATGACTTCTTCACGTGCTGCTAAGAAAACCGCAAGGTTCATAGGGCTGAGAACACTCCGTCTGATGTGAAATGAGGCAAAATATGCTTGGTTCACCAAGACAGTGCTATTGAATGCCTCTGCACACTTGTTGTGAGCTTTCGTTGACGATCCGCGAGGTTCGTCGTTCCAACAAACCCTTGTTCGGTACAATGTTAGATGAGGGTATGCCCCTGTGACATTATCATTGAAGATCTGCCGCTAACTATTAAACAATACACAGGACTTTCGTCTCATCTTCGCTTTCGACTATAGCTTCAGACTGTTCACATGAAGATGCCTCGATACAATTACAACTTACTGGGTTTCTAGCTAAATATCCGACAATAATTCCTATCCATCGATCATTCGGACACACTTATATCGGGAAATTTGCTTGTTCAGCAACAGAGGTACGATTTTAAATGGGTTTCTGGGCCCCCAAGAGCCCAATCTATGTCTGATGGATCCAAGAACTCAAACTGTGACACTTAATTGCACTACAGGTAAATAATCCGAAAAGAATGAGCATACGGCATATGCAACACCGCATGGAGCATATATTATGCTTCCATTGATCTCACGGTTCGATTTGTTTTTGGCTACAGTTGAACTTCCTCGCTAATACCTTTGGAGTGTTCAGTGCCTTTCATTTTCATACACAGGTAAGACTTGAGATCCTTATCTATCATGGAATCAACCAAAATTTAGTGTATTATCAATCGCACATGAAGAGAGATCAGAACAAGTCGAAGTGACCCTCTGGAAATCAAAGCCAGATGGGACACAATGAGATAACTACTACTTTATCGGAGGCAAGAGAAGACTCATCGAATTTTTGACATTATCACATCGCTTTCCTCACGTGGCTCTTTGAACTATGTTGCTGACCGTTCAATTCCCAGTCTCAATGCGAGTTGGGTGTTACTACCTCGAGCATCCAAAATAAACAGCTTTGAAGCGACTGTCGAGAGCCTGACTGAAAAAAAGGCCTTGAAAACTTGAACAAGCATCCATGCTGAGGAAACATTCACAAATCACCTAGATGCAGTGGGATCTGATAGATCTCGTGATTCTAGTGCTGAAAACCTTTTGCCGACACTGTCGATATATCTAGATGTATCACACTAAGGTATGTCTTGAGATGACTGCCATGGAGCCTCACGGACCCAATCGATGTATATGGACCTTGAATGATTACTTAGATACTACTCTTTGAGTGATTATCGGAAGCTCCATGAGACCGAAGAACACAGTGAAAAGAGAAAAGCAATATGATGCAAGATTCAACGAATGGGCAAGGGGAGCTTAAATTCGAGGCTAATTTCAAGGCTTTTGTTACAGAATCATAAAGGATACCATGTGCTGACGCTTGCATCAATCACTCAATCTAGGTCACACATCATCAGCGTTTATTTCAGTGCTATAGTTATACAGGTATGATTTTCTTGCATTCCCTTATCTGAATCCTAGTACTGGGCCAATTCAACAACTGACCAATGATGATCATCACCTCATGTTAAGTGACCTGGGCCCTTGGTCACAATACAAGAAAACAATATCCGAGTGCGAGATCAATTGGGCAGCATTATCCGTGGTCTCGAGTACATGTGCTTCACACATTTGCATGTTGATTCGAGACTGAAGAGAATGGAAACCCCATCAATCGACTAACAGGTTGTTTTTATACTACTCTTGGAAGATTGATGCTAACTCTTTTTATTGTTCCATGAAGGCCCGCGTTCTCCTGTCTTGTGCATTTTCGAGCACGTTTTCTTGGTCTCTTTATCAAAATTAAAGCATCTTGCAAGATAGCGACATTCTTTTACACCTCTTTGAACGAAAAACATGGTCAATGGAGCTTATTCAAGGAAATACGATGTGTGATCGATCCACGGCAGGAAACAGCAGCGCTGGTCAACATTACGACTATATATTCGTCTTGGATCTGGCCGTCGCTATTCTAGATTGATTCAAAGGTACTTCATCCCAAATCAATGTTCTATATGTACTTTGCTAGCCTTTCCCGTCTCGCTTAGGTCCGGTGGTTGATTATAACCGTGCGGGGGCTCCTAGCACATATGTGAGCGTTGGTAACATCCCAATTATAGCTATATGATGATTCAATTGTGGCCTACATTTGATCAAAATCCAAGGCTTCGGCCTATGACGAAAACAAAGAAAATCTGATGTAATTTGAGTTCATCTTCAGTGCTCCAGAGAGGATCGACCAACTGCGAAACAACAGTGCAGTCAATATTACTACCATACATGTCCTGAATCTAGCTAAGTAACCCCACTCCCTTTGCGTATGTACCCCACTAACTTTTCAAAGTGTGCTCGAGGATCATGTGCCTTTCAGTCCGGTGGTTGAATACAACTACGCGGCGACTCTTAGCACATGTGTGGGCGTTGGCAACATCTCATATATAGCTACATGATGGTTCAATTGCATACTGCATAGAGCTTGATCTGAGGCTTCAGCCTATGACGAGAAAAAAGAACATCTGATGCTTTTTAAGTGCAAATTCACAGCTCCAGAGGGAATCGATCAACTGCAGAACAAGAGTGCTGGTCAATCTCACAAGTATACTTTCGTCCTGATTCTAGCTGACAATATTCTACAGTAATTCAAAGCTAAGCCATCCTCCTCGCCCTAATACCTCGTATATAGTAAGCTAAATTTTCAAAGTGTTTTCATAGGAACGTGTGACCTTGACTCCTGTGCTTGCTTACAGCCGCACGGAGACTCGTAGCACCAATGTAAGCGTTGGTAATACCTTAAATATAGCATATTATGTCAGCCATTAACTACACCTGCCAGAATAAATCCGAAGCCGAGGCCAATGACGAAGTTTGAAGAACATCTGATGCTAATTGAGTTCAATTCCGCGGCTGTAGAGGGATTGTTCAAATGGAAGATTTGAATTGAGGATTTTGCCTTGGTGTGAACAAGGTCATGGAGTTGGAAAGGAATTGGAATGCAGTTGGGATGAAGCTGGGATGGAGTTGGTCCTATTTTTGTGACGATAGGAAGGCTGGACCTCAAGGAACAGATGAAAAGAAAGAACCTGGGAAGCAAGATTATTGAAAGATATGTGTATCACCCGGGCGAGACTCAAAACAAATCACCTTGCCTAGTGCCAAAATTGTTTCACTCTTGTACAAGAATGTAGAAAAGACCAGTTAAATCATAATGCATAATCCTGCACTAAGATTAGTCTTTTGATGTCTGCTATGTCCGTCAAATTGCCGCTTAATTTGTTGGACTGTTGGGCTTATATTCGGAGCATACATGGACGCACTTAACTGACCAGACACTGTCGAGGTAAAAAGCAATATTGTCGTTAGAATATTCCATACAGAAAGATTTGAACAAGATAAAACCCAGTATCATTGAGTAGATTTTCCTGGCTATGCTAGGTATTTTTTCCAGCCGTGCAGGACAGCGCCAGTGAAAAACATAGGATATCCATCCTCAACACAAGGCACCAACACAACGACTAGAGGCCATATTCATAAAGACCTCTAGCCCGGTCCTCTGATCTCATGCACGAGCGGTCATACCGAACCAAAACCGCTCAATACATATCATCCCCGGCACCTCCCGAAGTCCCCAGTCCACCAAGAAGTCATGGAAATGAGTCGTAAAAAAACAGATGAAGACAGCCATATTCCATTTCCTTCCCGTTGCCGTTGTAAACTTTTCTTTTCCTTTTCGCCGCGTAATAAGGTATAAAAGAGAAGAAAAATTTAACGGTAGGACTTCTGGTAGCGGGAGCGAGCACCGCGACCACCGAACTTCTTGGGCTCGGCGCGACGGTTGTCGGCAACGAGGAGTGTGCGGTCGTACTGAGCAAGAGCCTGCTTGAGCTGGTTCTTGGAGTGCTCATCGACGTACTTCTGGTAGTAGGCGACGATGGACTTGGCGATGGCCTGACGGATGGCGTAGACCTGGGAAGTGTGACCACCACCGGTGACACGGACACGGATGTCGACACCAGCGAACTTGTCAACGCCGACGATCAGGAGGGGCTCGTAGACCTAAAAAATTCGAACATGTATCGTCAGAAATTATTTCCGTTTGTTGCTTCTCCCGTTGCCATTGTTGCTTGCAGTTCGATGCGGATACACGTTGTCGTTGGCGGTGCGGAAGTTGATAGAGCGTGTGCGTACCTTGAAGCGGAGGATCTCGGGCTGGACCAGGGAGAGGGGCTGGCCGTTAACCTTGACGAGGCCCTTGCCTTGCTGTTATAAACACTCAGCATGTTGTCCATTTCAATATGTGTCTAACCCCCATGGTCGCGCAATGAGTTGTTTCGTATATATCCTTCCAAAAATTTCAATTTCGATGTCCGATTCTTTCCTCCTTTGCACAATTCCTTGTCGACTGATTTCCTTCCAGATATTTCGAAACAACGTATTGGGACCGAGGGGGGTAGAGGCGTCATCATACCTTGCAGTGGGCGACAGCGGTGGCTATTGAAAATTAAATGTTAGCGCACGGATTCTATCAGTCTTCAAATGTCGCCCAAAAAAAAGAGCTTACCCGTCTTCTTCTTGCCGAAGCATTGCACACTCGGGACGGAAGCCATGGTGGATAAAATGGCCCTTGTTGTCGTGGGGGAGGGAGTGTGTTGTCGAGGGAGATGGAAAAAGAGATCACTGAATTCCCAATACACACTGATTTGCCCTTCCGTGCGGGTTTCGCTTAGTGTGCGCCGCTAATTCCGCTTTGGGGTTAGTGTGGCACGAGACTTAGGGCTTGGTCACATGACCCGGAGAACTTCGATGGCGCGGGTTGGGGACTACAAGCAAAAGACAGAGAACGCTGAGATCATCATTTATCTCGGTCGGACTTGGGTGTTGTCTCTTTTTCACGTCTGATTTTCTCAATTGAATACTCCACTATCGTTACTGCTTCAATCTACCTCACCCCGATACCTATACCTCTTTCCGCCGCATCAACAAGATGTCGCAACTTGTCGGCAAGGTAAATAGCTTGAATGCGGAGTCTTCCGGGGCAACCCCAACTCTAACAAATCACTCATCAGACCCGTCTCGCCTACTCGCGCACATGGCACTATGTCGACGCCGGTTCTGATGAACGCTCCCTCGGCCGTCTGGCCTCGTCGATCGCCCTCGTCCTCATGGGCAAGAACAAGCCCATCTACGATCCCTCGACAGATTGTGGTGACTACGTGGTAGTTGTCGGATGCCATGACCTCAAGACGACAGGAAAGAAGCGATTCCAGAAGAAGTACTACACTCATAACACGCGGCCCGGTAGCTTGAAGAGCATGACGATGGATCAGATGTTTGCTAAATGGGGTGGTGGTGAAGTCCTGCGTCGCGCTGTCAGGGGCATGCTGCCCAAGAACCGTCTTCAGGATTCCCGCCTAGCTCGCTTGAAGAGTAAGTGCTGCACGTTATTTGCTTCCCGGTCATGTGGAATTGATGGATGTATCGTTCAATTCCTCCGAGGAACTTTACATGACTACTTCATTCTCACCATTCACCTGTCTCGGTCTTGACCCCAACTAACAGCATATCGCACAGCTTTCGAAGGCGTTGCCCACCCCTACAAGGAGAACATCGTCAAGTTCGGAAACCAATCGGTGATCGGCAACCTACCCGAAGTGCAGGAGGCATTCAAGGTGGCCGCTACCAAGCCCACTGCATAGAGCATATTCCCTTCTTTACTATTCTGTCGTCTTTTTACAAGACCGACCTCAACCGGGTCCGTGTCTGTCTGTATTCTATTCACCTGCGATGTTATGATCCAACCGCAAAAGCGCATTGGTGCGGAGTCCATTTGGGATATTGCTTTTGATTATCTACGATGTTGATTGGCCAGACTTTTCAACTTTTGAGCATGCGGTTCTTTCTCTTGAAATGTACTTATAGCACATACAATCACAATACCACGTATTATATTCTACTAATCAGGTCACTGGATCGTTCTTTTATGCAAATAGCTGTACCGCATTGGATTCGAGATGGAGGGAGTCTTATCCCAGAGGTATAAGAGGTAGATATATGTACAGGAATGAAAATAACTATGCTGACGCTCTTTTCGGAGCTCTCCGAGAGTCCGAGTGGAGAGCATTCACAGCTTAGCCTTCTGGCCAGCGCGGGCAACAGTGCACTTGATAAGGCCGTTGGGATTAGACTGGGGCGCGTAAACCTCGGCATCCTTGCCGGTGTTCTTGAGGCCCTTGTGCCAGCTGAGATCTACAAATGCAGCGATTAGTCCAGGTCCACGAATGCTGTGAACGGAAGGGGGAAGGGTCAAACATACCAACTTCAAAGTAGTGGTTATTGGGCAGCGAATATTCAACAGTCTCCACGAAAGGCGCGGCAGCCAGAATCTGCTCTCCCATCTTGTACATGGTCGCTTGGACTGAAGGGCTGTTCTCCTCGGCGAAGGTCTTGAGGGTGATGGCGCGGGCAGCTTCCCAGGCAGCATTGAACTTTTGGAAGTGCGCCTTGACCTCAGAGAGGCCAGTGAAGCGGCGCCACTGCCAGTTGGCCGCGACATCGGTGCTAAGAATACGGTCCCAAGTCTCCTTGAGGGTAGTGTACTCGTCGCGCAGGAAGCCCCAGAACTGGGAGCCGGTGCTCTTCAGCACGGTGAGACCGTTGATAGAGGAGGTGATATCAATACCCTTGCCCTCAATGACGTCGACCTGGACGTCGCGGGTCTCAGAGCCCGGCTTGACAAAGGAGTGCGGGTGAGGCTTGCCGTCGACGTCCATGCGCACCCAGCGGTGGGTCACGATCTTAACGTGGGCCGCGTGGATGTGGCTGTACTTCTCGACAAAGTGTGTACCCAGGATTGAGCCGAACAACTCCGGGGGAGTTACGGGGTTCTGCTTCGCTGTGATGTAGATTGTGTTCTTGATCGAGTCTGTTGCGACGACAACGCTGTTATCGGCCTTGGTGTAGCTGTGGGGAAGTTCGGATTAGCTTCAAGTTTGGGTGCGATAAGGGTTTTGAAAGCTTACGAGGTCTCAATGTCGCCCTCCAGAAGAACGCAGACGGTCATTTCCACGACAGTCTGAACACCGGTCTTTTCATCGCGGTGAACCTTGTAGACGCGGACATTGTCCTTGCCGTAGCGCGCAGCTGCCAATGAGCTCATGATGAAATGTGATTTAAGAGAGTAAATGGGGGAAGAGGTAGTCTTTGAAGTTAGATGGAGAACTGGAGAACTAGAGAATTTTCAAAACTACCAGCTAAACAGGAGCAGTCTTATTTATGTGGAATGAAGAATAGCTGTCGGGCACCTCCGATGGCCGCGAGTGGCCGCCTTCTCCAAATCCCGATCTTATCTGCGATAGATGGCCTGACACTTGCACACCTTACAGACCTGGGCACTTCCAGGCCCTAACACACAACACATAACACATACACCCTCGTTTCATCCTATCGTTTCATCTTCCCTAAAAGAAACGAAAAATGCAATCCCCTTGGCATCCCCAGACTTCGGGCCATGAGCCGCACCGCGTGTGGAGATTTACCATTCTGTATGATTAACATTCCATGTCCGAATCCCGAATTACCGACGTCCGAGCATAATAACCTCAACCCCCAACTTCTTCAAATCCCTTTAACTTATGATCTGGTGGTTATATGTGTATTTTGAAATCCCGAACTCCCCACTTGTGCCAGCCCGGCGACCTCCACTATGGACCCGGCGCGGAGAGTTGCGCCAACTTGAGATTTCACCGCTGACAATGAATGCTTCTGCTTACTGCCATTTGACCTTGTGAGAACATGACGAGAACATGCAGCCTCTCGCGGCTGGTGATACAGTGCGGGGAGAAAACGTGACATCCTGTACGTTGACTCGTCCTGAATACGAGTATTGTCTTCTTTGTGGTACCTATGTGGTTCTCATACGTACTTCCTACCCCGAGCATACTTCGGAGTTAAGGTTGTCACTATCACAATTCCGAAGGCTGATCAACATCTTGCGCGCTTTTCAAACAAGTTTGTGGACGCACGATCCTGATATGCCATACATTAAAGAATGTCGTTCTACTCGGGGGGAGCCACTTCTTATTATCAGCGCCCGGAGGTATGCTGATATCTTTACCGATGTTCGGTAGAAGAAGCGCCTCAGAACACATGGAAAACACAATTGTCTGTTGTAGGTACACGCTGCGACGGGGAAATGCAAGTCCACGCATCCTGTCACCGCATATGCGGACATAGAATAGTAGTACACACTGACTAATCTTATGGTCAATTGACTGCTTATGATGGACTCTAGTCGCCCCTACACGAGTTGCAATATTGTCCGAGACCTCTCATGAGACCAGCCGCACCGCCACCACGTCTGGGTAGCCAAGAAACAAGATCTCCAGGGTACAAAGTCGGTTTTCTATGCCCGGGTAATACAGAAGGGCTTTTATACTATTTCGACCGATCTAGACTATGAAACCTAAGTTCCATAAAAGCCAGATACCGTGAACGACGAAAAGTAGGCCGCAGATTTGATCATTTCCCTGTTCGAGAATGCCGAGCAAGGAAGTTAAACATAAGAAGGCTCGCCAAGCAGCTCGATCTCCGGCTTGGATGGCAACCCTCGAATCGGAGGCCGAGGCTGGTGCCATGCTGCAACGTCGGTCTGACGAATCTTATATGCTGTGCGCAATTTTCAAGCCCTACGCCATGTGCATGATATCCCATGATTGGGCAGAGGATTCATAGAGCGAAGATCAGGCGAGTGTTTGCTGGTTCCCAAGAAAGAATGGGCTGACAGAGGACTTCCTTGTTTATCAAAAGATCTTCCACCTGCCTACCTGGGTGTTATGTTATCTGGCATATGAGACCTGATCTTGTTTTATCTCCATGCTTTGAAGGGATTGAATTATTTCAACTCGAAATCGACTGAACGAAATATCCTTGTCAGTAAATTTTCGCGTCGTCATCAGTATTCAGTCTGGTTATCACCCACCGCGACTATGCTCGACTTGCAAAAATTTAAGAGAACCCCGAGGAGCAAGCGGCGCCCGTGGCTGTTGAAGCTACGTTCCTCAACGACCTTCATCGTTGGAGCAGTGTGGATGTCAACCTTCACAGTAAGTACGGTCCTTATATCGTGAGCGCGCAACTGACGTCGGCCGAACCAGGAATTTCTGCTGTATGCAATGGTGAGCTTTGTATGCTTTTTGCGAATTGGAGCCGGAATTAACGTTTGACAGATAGTTCCCGTCATGCCGACAGCGCTCGTCACGCGAGCCGGAATCGACTACAGTCACCGTATGATCCTATGAGCGGATTATCTACTACTCTCACTAACGCCTTGAACAGGTGAATATTGGGTCAGTGTACTACTCATGTGTGAGGCCGGCACGTCTTTGTTGCTATGCTCCTTTTTCGGCTACCTGGTGGACCGCGGCCGCACGCGCCGACTCCCTTTCATCGGAGCACTGATCATGCTAGCTGGCTGCATGGTGATCCTGCAATTATCGCATTCAATAGCCGGGTTCGTTACAGCCCGTCTGCTTCAAGGCATTGCGGGCGCTTTGGTAGTGGTTGCAGCCTTTGCTCTCATCGGTGATGCCGTACCGCAAGAACGCCTTGGTCAAACGATAGGATACTTGGGATCGGCAATTGCGTCGGGGTTCCTGCTAGGCCCGTTCCTAGGAGGCATTGTGTACAACGCTGGTGGGTATGATGCCGTATTCTGGTTTGCGTATCCCATTCTTGTACTCGACTTAGTGATGCGGCTGGTGTTGATCGAGAAGAAGGTTGCTGCTCAGTGGATCGAGACGAATGGGGACCTGGAGTCGGACGTGGAAACAGAGCCGCGCATTCCACATGTTGAGCCGTGTGAGCCACAGGTCCGAAGGAAAGGCTTTGTTATCTTCCGAATGCTCAAGCAGCGCCGAGTCCTGATCTCATCATGGGCACTTCTAGTCCAAGGCCTTTTGCTCTCTGCATTTGATGCGGTATGTTAGGCCCAACGCCGGAAGAAGAACGAGCTGATCATCATTTTCAGACACTCCCTATCTTTGTCGAGACGACATTTGGCTGGAATGCTCTGGGCATGGGATTGATTTTCCTGCCGATGGCAGTCCCAGCCTTCTTCGAGCCCTTGTTCGGCTTTATCACGGACCGATTCGGTGCTCGGTACGCATCATTCGGTTGCTTTGTTCTTCTCTCGCCGACACTCATCTGCCTGCGGTTTGTCGGACATAATTCCAATCAGCAGATTGCTCTGTTGGTCGCACTGCTTTTCCTCACTGGCATTTTCATCCATGCCTGCGCACCGGCAATGTATGTAGAGACACAAATGGCACTCACGGCAATGGAGCTCAAGAATCCTGGAGTACTGGGCCCTAAAGGTGCAATAGCTCAGGGATTTGGATTGCAAAGCATGTGCCAGTTCGCAGGAGTTTTCTTCGGACCACTTTGGGGTGGATTCGTAGAATATCGATTTGGATGGGGGGCGATGACAGGCACTTTGGGAGTTTTGGTAGCCATCACTGCGATACCGATGTTGTGGTTAGGTGAAATTGAGGAAGATAGAAGACTTTAATGAGGTAAAGGTTACTCAGTTAGGCAGCACTTTTTATTCAAAGTATCTTGAGCTCTCTTCTGTGCCATCGGACTGCCAATCAAGCAACTCAAAATATTCTCTGTCCAACTATGATATTGAGTACTTTAATCACCCATATGACAAACGGTTACAATGACCGAGCTACATGCAGGATGCGATAACTGTGCACGAGAGGGATATGATGAGTGTCTCTGCTCTTTTTGCACACAATGTGGGAATTTCGGTCACTCTCGCGATAATTGCACACGAGTCATGTGCCTCTGGTGTAACGAAAGACATGCGGTCAATGAGTATCCATTGAATGAATATGGGCACATACCTGTAGTTTGTCAGCTACAAACTACGTTTGTATTTGTGCTACGTGACAACAGTTGCTTGACAACTTCAGAGCCTATCACTCAGGTTTGTTATCCTTAATCTTGCTGTTTATTGCTTGCGTTAATGCGCCACTTGCTGACTCTCACCTTTTTATGATCAAGCTTCTACATGCGTCGCGGCTACTGGGCCTTCTACTCCTCCCATTCAACTCAAAAACCTTGGGGTTGTCGATCGTGCATTGATTTTACGGCATCTTATTTCTCGGGTTAAATTCAAATACAGGGAAAGATATGCAAAAGTACTTGATTTAAGCGACTTGGAATCTGTCCTAGAGAGCAGCTTGTCCCCGGCTGTGAGAGAGATCTGCGAGAATGGAAAGTTTACCCTTTCAAGGTATGCCTTCAGAATATGGAAAGTTGAATGGGCATTAATATTCTACTCCAAGTATGATCGAGATAGGAGGTAACCTTGAAGATTCCAAAGATTCTGGGGTCTACTTGCACATTCTTTGGCGACGAAACGTGCCCGATTGTTTCTGGCTGTATGTCGGTCAAGCCATGGAGCTCTGCGTGCGAATCGTTATTCACAACAATCCCTATCGTCCGAAACGCCAACCCTCGCTCCATTATACGATTTGGAACTCCGATGCTGAGACGGAATCAGTTTTTGTTACGCTGGCTGTCCATGATGCTGTTACCACCATAGAAGACCAACTCCTCCTGAACCTGCAAGAAATGTAAATGAGTTTGGTCTTCCAAACACTGAGAGGAGTTCACTTGGAAGAGTTCCTTCCTGAAGGTATCGTCAATCTCTGGGCAGGCAGTCACCTCAATGTCGCATTGCCATTGTGGCAAGGTTTCACTGCAGTTGCTAACGCAGACGCGATGGGTGGGAGGCTCGCTTTTCAAGAATTTCTGTTCCATGAGAATCCGCTCGTGCGGCAATGGGCCGAGAATCATCGTGATGCTTTCAACGATATTCGCAACTCGCCTGATCCTGAGCTTCGCCAATACTATCGAGATCTTCATCAGATACGACAGCAGCACACACAGCAAACGTGGGAGAAGAAGAAGTCTGACAAATTGCAAGCATACTTGTCTGGTAAGAAGGCCACTGTCGGGGAAAGCCACTACGGGGAACTCAGCACGATAAGGATTGGAAGTTACCAATTTACAATCTCTCGAAAGCTCGGGCTGAAGGTCAATGATGGAGACGAAGTCTTTGTTCGGTTTGAATTGACTGCAACTCCTCATCCACATGCCTATGCTTGCAACGCGCGGAGAGATGACCCTGCCAGTCGCTTTGCCATCTCTGTCAAGGGTCACAACACAAGCGGAGATTTCTTCGGATGGCTGACTACTGGTGGAGAGTTGAATGTTAAAAAAATGAACTCCCTTGTGGACGTACTGGAGGGATGCTCCCGAAAAGAGAGTCTAACATTTAAGAGGCGCTGGCACATAAAGCGCAAGATTCCAGGAGAAAGATCTTCGAGAGGCCATGTGTATACATAGTTCAAATTGGCCCCTACTTTTTTTCAAATGTCTCAAATATGACTTTCTTCATATTGAATGCAACAAAACCTTCCAGCTGTGTCAATAGAAGGGTATAGAATGAGGGACCGATTTTTGGGCACTAATTTTTTGTAAGAAAAAAACAAAAAAAAAGAAAGACATAGCATATCCTAGTTTCGATCCAGGGACCTGGTCAAGTTAGTTAATTGTTTTTGTGGGTTCATGAAGCAGATTATCGTACCTTCGGGTTATGAGCCCGACGCTCGTTCCTCTGAGCTAATATGCTAGACGGGTGAAAGGAAAGCTCCTGATAAGGAGTTTTAGCACTCAGATTGTACTAGTACTTAGCGCACAATTCTAGGAGAAAGATCTTCCAGCGGCCGTATATATACATAGTTTAAATTGGCCCCCTACTTCGTTTCAAGGGTCCTAGACAGTCCTTTATATCAAACATAATAATAAAACCCTCTGGCAGTTTCAAAAACAAAGGTATAAATTAAGGGACCAATTTTTAAAAAAGAAAAAGAAAAGACATAGCATATCCTAGTTTCGATCCAGGGACCTGGTTAAGTTAGTTGATTATGTCTTCTAGATTGAGGCAGACTATCGTACCTTCGGGTTATGAGCCCGACGCTCGTTCCTCTGAGCTAATATGCTAGATGAGTGAAGACGGTGCAAGCATAAACCATACAATTCTACGAGAAAGATCTTCGAAAGGGCCAGATAGCGGTCTTACCATATGACTAATCCCGCTTCCGCACATTAGTCTCTCACCTCAGGCAATTTTCTCACCTTAAATGAAATACGGATTTCAGGTATTTTTCGTATGAGGTTTGTAACGTATTCGGTAAGCGAGTCGCCATTGTAAGCCAGTCGCCATCTCACAACCACATAGTATACTCGGTATATGCTGCATTTCGACCTCAACAGCCACGTTTCTATTCTACTTTGTTATTTGTCGATAGCTATTGATAAGCACTATCAGCTCTATACATAAGTTCAGGGCAATAGAGAAGTGATGTGACTAAAATTTCAAATATTACTGAAAATTACAATGTTGTGATCTAGATATATAAATATCTTAATAACTAGTTTGAAAAAATTATTCAAACTCCCTGAAGAGGCTATTTATCACTTTAAAAGTATTAGACTGTAAGGAAAAGTCCCTATATACTACCGTTGTTAAGATATCGAACTGTAATTTATTGCTTTTACTATGTGTTTTGAAGATGGCGACTGGCTTACAATGGCGACTCGCTTACCGAATACGTTATATAAAAGCTACTTATTATATTGGTTCTAGAGTATACAATACAAAATTGTTATTGTTTTTAAAAGTAGATCCTTTTTGGAAGCTCTTTTCAACTTTCTAAATTAAGATATTGAAGCATACTTAATATTAGAAAAACATCGATTTTTGGTGTATTGAAAGATACAAGGAATTCCACTTTGATATTATAGGCTAATTCAATTACTCTACTATAATCTATATTAGCTATAAGATGTTTAAGAGTATTTGAATTATTATGTAGACTAAATAATAAAGCCAGCAAAAATATTGTAAAATAAAATTACTCTCTACTGGTTATATATAAGTGTGTAGAACAAAGGACCAGTTTTTTTGTTAAAAAAGAAAAAACAAAAAAAAGAATACATAGCATATCCTGGTTTCGATCCAGGGACCTGGTCAAGTTAGTTAATTGAAAATTATGGCAATTGAGGCAAATAATCGTACCTTCGGGTTATGAGCCCGACGCTCGTTCCCCTGAGCTAATATGCTAGAAGAGGGTAGAATTTTGCCGACTTAGTGCTAAATGAGGAGAGTCATCGAGGCTACTAGCACCACACTTCAATAGCTAGTTACATCGAGTCACAGTAATGTTGATGCCGGGAGTAGAGATGATCGAGAAGAAGGCTAGCATAATGTATATTTAGAAAGACATCGTAGAAACAAATGAGCAATACTATTATTAAAGCCAAAAAAGCAAGTAAATTTGTATCTAGGTAGGTACATGCGAAATGAGATCCTTCATCATGAAGCAATTAGTTAACTACTGAAAAATGTACGGTATTACAAGGCCAGTTCTAACCTACTGCATCGAAACAACCATCACGCTAGCACTAGCATGGTTATAAAAAATTGAATGAAATACTCGATGACTCTAAAATCCCTTCAATCGAGAAATATAACGGTAAACTAATTCAAAAAATCTCTAAATATGTGATGATAATTGATCAAAAAGATTTTACGAAAAAAAAAAAAGGAAAGCAATAGCATGTCCTGGTGTCGATCCAGGGACCTGTTTAAGTTAGTTATTTGAAATTTATGGTGATTACGGCAGATAATCGTACCTTCGGGTTATGAGCCCGACGCTCGTTCCTCTGAGCTAACATGCTAAGTTGGTGAAAACATTTTTGGTTTAGTGAATTATAACTGAAACAAGAAAATTATCAGCAGCTGCAGAGCAATTTACCAAATAGTTAACCGGGCCTTACATTTTTAATAAAGGTATCTATCGGAGGGTTCGTTATCTTTTACTAAAAAATGTAAGGCCCGGTTAGTTAGGTAATTGCTCATGATTCAGGTATTTCCCGATACTAGGTCAACCAACATGCTGATCCATTGGCCGTTTGCTAATACATCATCTAAAGTTTCAATATTAGAAAAAAAAAATTACAATTAGCAATATACTTGATAAAAGAGGAAAGACACATTTACATATTCTATTCCTAATTGTATTAGTCCTACCTATCTACATATGTAGATATACCTAAGCTATACCGATGTAGGCATTAAACGGTTGGCCCACCGCTATAGACTTTCTGCACTTGAGCTTCCGTTTTAGGAAGGAACAGACGACACTCACTTCTTTAACCTCATATGTAGCTCTCCTTCTATTCACCATATTTGTATTTGTACACGTCTATTTTCTATCTTGCTCTTTAACATAAATACCTCCCAAATCTCTTGATATCTTTTTGCCATGACAACTTCTCTTTCTCCAAGACTTGCATCTATCACCGTAAGTATAACTATACCCTCCGAGCTATAATTCCACACATGTGATCTAACACAATCAAGAGCTCAATCCGACGTCACATGCCAAACTATCAACATTCTATATCCAACTTCTTCTCAACAATGCCTCCAACCAACAACATCTATCATATCAAACACCAAGAAGCCCTAAAAATGGACCAGAAATACATATACCCATCAGAAACCAGCCCCCACAAAGCAACCCTCCTCAGTTTCCCCTCCGCCCGCTCCACCTTCCCAGAACTACACCTCAAAACCAGAAAAGAGATAATCAACCTGGCAACCACAATCGCCGCCTTTGAGCCCGTCCGCCTCCACACCAGACCAGAAGATCTCCCCAGCGCCGAGGCCCTCCTCTCCGAGTGCAAGGCCCACACACCCGCAGCCCACCTAGCAAACATAGCGCTCATCCCGGCACCAACAAACCACTGCTGGATCCGCGACACCGGCCCGGTATACGTGCGCAGCGCGGATTCCGCGGACACGGCGCGCTACGCAATCGACTTCCAGTTCTGCGAGTGGGGCCACAAGACTGATGAACGTATCTACGGGAGTGCGAACTCCGCTGCGGCGGCAGCTGCGCTGGAAAGGTCCCCGCAGCATGCCGATTGGCCGGTGATGGACGAGGCCGCAACGAAAGAGAACACGGCGTTTGCGGCTGCGGTGCTCGCTATCGAGAATGAAAGCACCGATGACCCTGTTACGCGGGTGCAGACGCATCTCAAGCTCGAAGGCGGCGGAATCGAGGTCGATGGCGAGGGAACGTTCATGGCGACGGAGAGTAGTATTATTGGTGATGCGCGCAATCCCGGTCTTGGGAAGGCGGAGATCGAAGCTGAGCTGAGCAGGTTGCTGGGTGTTAGTGCATTTGTTTGGTTCCCCGGTCGCATTGGGCTTGATGTTACGGACGTGCATGTTGATGCTGAGGCGAGGTTTATTCGGCCTGGGGTGGTTGTTGTTTGTCGGCCGCATCCTGATGCTGAGAAGGTGGAATGGGAGATCTACGAGGAGATTCGAGAGGTTTTGGAGAAATCTACTGATGCGCGCGGGCGCAGCTTTGAGGTGCATGATGTTGTTGAGCCGGATCCGAAGTTAGTCAAGGGAGACCTTGAGGGCGAGGAAGAGGCGCCGGCGGCTTCATATGTGAACTTCTACTTTGTTAATGGTGGGTTGGTGATGCCTGCATTTGGGGATGTTGAGGCGGATGCAGCGGCATTTGAATTGATCAAGAGCTTGGTTCCTGAGAGAGAGGTCAAGCAGGTTGATGTTAACGCTTTGCCGAGGACTGGGGGTGTGCTGCATTGTGTCACGCAGCAGGTTCTGTGATGCAAGTTAGAGAACTACTGATCCTTGATACTTTTTTCCAATACTAGCGCTATCATTACTTTTCAATAGTATCTACCTCTAAGCCTTCAAAGTACCTTATAATGAGGCTACAGAACGAGCATAAATGGGTGGCCAAACTGGCACTATACATCTAAGAGTACATAGTAGCAATGAGCCGATCCTCGGAGTAAATTGACAGCATGTGATGTTGATTTTGCTATCGAGCCCGGGCTACAAGCCCGGAAGTATTGAAGAAGTATGAAAGATAGACAGAGAAAAGTGATGAGAGAAGAAAGCAAGAAGTCGAAAAAGAAACAAACCCCCAGTTCCCAAGCAGATCATAAATCATGTAGAGCATAGTGTAAAATGTATGTCTTTTTTTGAGCTTCTTTTGTATCAAAGCCCCAAGGAGAGAAAAACCCCAGATTCTCACTTCCAACCCAGGTCAACCCAGGTATCAAAAGAAAGTAGAATAACGCCATCCCAGTGACCCCCGGTAATGCCATGCGCCAGACAAAAGAGAGAAGAAAAGAGAAGAAAAGCGATGAATCACAGCACAGCAGGGCCCAAACCACTCAGCTCCGGTCGTAGCCCTCAGAGCCAGCAACCAGTCAGCAAAACACCAGGACCGCTGTTGACAACCATCACAGGCTCAACTGATCGATGCTGCCGACCCTGCCCGACCCACCCAGCCGTCCACCCCCCTTCGTAACCATACCGAGACGATAGAAGCGCTCTTCGCCCGCCGGCGTCCGGCCGCCAATATACCACTTCTCAGGGCCGATAGCATCGCGGAATCCACCCGACCCACTGGAGGAGTCGCTCCCGCGACGCTGGCGATCAGCGGGGCTGCGGATCGGGATCGGGGTGGATGTGGATGTGGAAGTCTGGGATTGTTCGGCGTGGTAGTGTTGGGTTTGGGACGGGCCTTGGACAGGGCCTGCGGGTGTTGCTTGCGTGGATGAGTGTGTGTGGTGGTGTTGGTGGTGGTGGGAGGAGGTTGAGGGTGAGGTGGATGTGGGATGTGTTGGACCTTGGGAGTTGGCGGCTTTTGTTGCGATGGCGCGGGCGCTCTGGGAGATTTGGGCTGTTGTGAGAGTTTGTGGGGCTGGCGCTGAGGGCTTGTAGGTTGACTGGGCGCGGAAGGCCGCTAGGAAGTTGGAGAAGAAGGGGCGGTTGCTGGTCATTTTGTGGTGATGCTGGGGAAATTACAATGGGGAAAGTGGATATAAGTGATGATGAACGTAAATGAGTGAGAAGATCCCGATTTCAACCTTGAAAGTTCCCGATGCCGCAGACGCTCCAATCACAGTTGACGGATTATGGACATGACGTTCATACAGGAAGTTCCCGGGTGTTTTTAACATATGCATACATAGTGTATATAGTGTATGGTCTTTTTACTTCCTTTTCTCCGCTACTTAACGTTAGTGTACATGATGTACTTAGTTAGTCCTCAATGTACTTTAATCTTTGACTCGACTATGGGGTTTCCCCGCAAATGATTCATCTCTCTTACAATTTCCTTACAATACTCCCGAGGTCCCTCACTCTCGTAACTGGTCAATCATAAGTCTATTTCTAGCTGCTTTTCCAGTCAAAACCCTCAAAAAACAAGTAACACCCTAAATCACACCTCAAGGATTCCCAAAGCACACATATGTTCGTGCCATGCCGACTTTACAGAAGAGGCCATGCAATGCACACACCAGACAAGAGAGAAACAAATAGGACAAAAAGGACAAAATAAAAGGACATGGTAAGAATGAACTGCAAGAAAAAGAAAGGAAAGAAACTCGACAACAGCCTTCCCATAAAAAGATGATAAAAAAAGTGCTTTTCTTCTTTCTGCTGTCGAACTTGTAAAAAGATGAACACATGCCCAAGTCTATTGTTGTGGACGCCGAACAAACCACCCACCATACCATCTGCCCTCAACAGGGAAAAATCAAAAATCAACACTCGCAATCAACTGTTTAAGAATGCACACCCACACCGGATGGGATCATAAGAAAGAAATTGGATAGACATATTGAAGAAGAAACCGGATGGAAGCATGAAACGCCGGGCGAGTCAATACTGACGGAAGCGTATGTTGCTGGAATCGAAAAGAATCGAAAAGTGGATTTGACACCAGCAGAGAAGCTATGGGCCTAGAAACACTTGAAGAGAAGGCGGAGAACAATAGTCCTACCCACGGCGTGGAGAAGAAGAAACCCCCCCTTTTGGGTCGATTATCCTTAACTCGCAGGATCGCTTTTTTAGTCTCGTGTCTCGTTATTCATCTGGCTTTTTGATCAAATTCAACCCGTCTACTGTCTCGCGGGCTGCACGGTACCTGTAATCATTGTTAGGATGGATTCCAATAAAGAAAAAAAAAGCTGAGTCAAAACTAACCGTCTCCGCTCAGCGTAGTCGAAGCAAGGTACAGTCCGTTCATACCGCTATCCGGGCCGGTCGAGGCAGGGTAGAACTTGCGGTCGTGGTCGACGGGGGCGTGGATCGGCTCCTGGCCGGCAGCCATGGAGTGAGGGAAAACCGGGTTAATGTAACCGTCGGAGGGACCGTGCTGAAACACCGAATTCCAGTCAACACCCGGTTGATGTGAAGGGGGACCATGCATAACCGGTTTGTGGTCATGGTGGGGCTTTACCTGTTCAAGGGGACGATCAACCGTCAGCTGCTGGCCATGGGCATCGACACCAGGCTGCATGAGATACGGATTCTGCTTGGGTGCAGCCATCCACGAGGCTCTCGCGTGCGCCTGGCCAGCGGAGAACGCGTCATCGCCGGGACGACCGTTCATGCCATTGACAGACTGCATCGTGAAGCCCAGCGGCTGCTGCTCCGTGTAGCCAGGACGGCCATGAGCCATTCCATTGCCATTCACGGCCCCATCGAAATGCGTACCCATACCGCCATTGGAGTGGGGGACGGGATTACTGACTTCATCCTGAAGCGGCTTGGGAGGGTTTGCCGCGGCAGCCGCAGCTGCTTGCTGCTGAGACCGCTTCAAATGGGCCTGGGGGTGCGACAAGTGAGTCGCGCCGGTGGGGTTACCACGACGGATCGAGCACTTTTGGAAGTGACGCTTCAAGATATCACTGCGGGAGAAAGTATCTTTGCAAAGAACACACATGTAGGGGCGGTCACCAGTGTCTGTTAAAAGACGCCAAAAAAAACGCGTCGGTTAGCCAGAAAATTTCATAGTGAGGGGAAAGAAAATCCCAATAGAATCCTTTTTTGTTTGTGTGAACTCACGTCTCAACAGGTGGCGTTTCAAGTGCTTCGCATGGAGGTAGGTCTTGTTGCAATGAGGGCAGGGGAATTTTCCATCCGCATCCTTGGCCGGAATAGTGGTGCTCTTCGCGGTGCCATTGACACCATTGGTGACCGGAGTCGCGCGGCCCGGGACACTCGGCAAGATGCCACGACGGCCCTGAGAGCCCACGACCTGCGTGCGTGGCTGTTCCTTCGCGTAGGGCGAACCGTTGGCGCCATTCACATCAGGAGTCATACCCCAACCCTTACCATCGGAGTAACTAAAAGCACCGGAGGGGAGGCCATTGAAATCCGGGCGACGGTCGCGTGGGGGTGCCGGGGCGATCGGCTGAGGGTAGCTCTGAGCGGTGGATGCGGGCGGAAGCACGCTCGAGGGAGGAGGGGGGTACTGCTGATGCGCCTGTGTTTGAGGGTTAGGAAGGTTCAACAGAGACGATGGCGGAAGGCTACCGACAGTCGTGTGCGGCATCATAGGGGCCTGCGAGGCCCCGTAGACATCGTGAGTTGACGGAGGGTACCGCGACAGATCGGGTCGGTACGGCTGGCCCATGTAGTGGTGTGGCGCGGGCGACTGAGCGTGATGAGGCTGCAGAGGAGGGAGGGGTGTGCGGCTGCGAGACCGGATACTGAGGCTGCATCGAGTATTGTGGCATATGCATGCTCGAGATGGGAGTCGAAGACATGGGCGTGGAGCCTGGAGGCAGACTGTTGGTGGAGGGAGGACGGGAAGGGTGATTTCTGGGATCCATTGTGGACAGGGAGAAGATCGATGTAGAGATGTAGAAGAAGAGGAAATTGTTCACGGTAACTCAATCATCGAACTTCAAAATTCACTTTCGTCAAGTTCTTTTTTTCTTCTTTTTTTTTCTTCTTTGAGAAATTTGAGGAAGCTCCTTGTTTGACGAGATCTTTTTTTTTTCGAGGCGGAATGAGGTGTTACCACAGGGTCTCGGATTCAACTGGACTCCACACGAAAGAGGAAGTGTTAGAGAAGAGGAAAGAGAAGAATGCTTAATTGAAAAAGATTCCCCACGGTCACCCACCAGAGAATTGGATGGTGATTTATCCGCACGTTGTCAGCGTCGATGGTTCTGTATCCACCGAAGAAGCGGGCGTGTAAGTGGGTCTCTCGCAGCACAAAAACAACTAGTCCGAGATCTGCTTCGCGTCAAGGATATGATAATCCTTGAGATTTGGAAGACGTGAATTTCTTTTGGACGTTCTGACAGAGGGAAATAGTAAAAGAACGGATGAAGAGATTGGAAGTAATTCACAAGTTGAGAGATATGGAAAGGGGAACCACGAAAAGAGAAGAAACGAAAATTTCAAGGCGGAAGACCGGGTTTGAGTGAAATAAAAAAAAAGACGATCGTTCCTCGGGGAGGCAAGAGGCGACAAGTAAGAAAAAAAATTATAAAATGAAAAAAATTGTAAAAAAAATGAAAATAGTGTAAAATAAAATTCAAAAAAAAGAAAGTGAGAAAAAAAACCCCCCAATATTGGAGTGTATTTGATTGTATCGTTGTTTCAATACGTAATTGGTTTTTTTCATTTCCATATTTTGGCTTCTTACGGCCGTCTTCCGAACTCAGACACCCGATAGCGGTACGATACTCCGTACATTCTAGAATGAAATAGGATATAGTAGTTAACTTTTAGTTTGTGCTTTTCAATGCGTTGGCTTAATAGTTTCAATTGCAAGCGGTCATGATCAATTACATATGTACCTAAATATACCTACATATGAACATGTTGGCATAATTGAATTCCCTTTATTCCCTACGCGTCTAGTGATGACGCACTACCGAAGTATACGGATGATAATAAAGCCCCGAACAGTACGGAGAGGTTGGTATACGTAGTTCAATAGTAATAATGTAATGGTAGAATACAATATTATAATAATCCCTATATTATAATGCATCAATGCACCAATTGAACTCGTAAATCATAATATATGCTATCAGATTATTACCTGTAATCAAACATGAAAATGCAGGCTCACTGCCACATGCTGCATTCAGGGCCCAATTCTTGGCCAGATGCCTCCGATCGCGGCGGTTACCGGAAATCGATTGGCCGAACATCCCAAAGCTAAATGAATGTGTTGTACATTTCAAGCTGAACTCATTTTGACCTTGCAACATATATTGGATACTGGATGTTGGAGTCGATCTTTTGATATTTGGGGGATGGAGCCATCTCCCCGAGGGTGGATTATCGGTGACCCTGGCTCTCCCTTTGTTGGGCTCCGCAGTGGCTGACAAGCCCCGCAAGTGACATGAGATGAGATCTTAGATAACTATCAATAATAATAGTAGAGAATACTATAGTTAAGAGAGGACATCACTCTTGATTATACTTACAAACTATCTATAGTTTAGTCGACGTCAGACATTGCATTGATCTCTTAAATCACGTCATCCTAGAAGTTCGGGATGAGCCCCGTCACATCGAGCTCCGTGATAGCAAGACCTCAACATGCATTTGACTGCCGCATGGCTGCTCCTGCATGCAGCCCGGATGTATATTGCACATCGAGGGAGAGAAAGAGGAGGGGTTGGTTCTCAGGCCCGCCTAGAGATGTCCGACCGTACTTCTGTAACTAACTAACGGCCATGCATTGTTGCCCTACATACTTTGGTGGATGCGCTGTAGCCGCCTGATGTTCCGCACTCAATTCCGCACTGAGTTGGAGCTAAGTCGTAATTGTGAAACCGCAGTATTGAACTTAGCTTGTTGATCCAATAATAGTCTAAGTCTATTTTGTCGAGTCCTATGGAGTACTATTGCTGCCTAGGTCTTCGGCGCGTTCAACTGGTTTATGTTATTATTGTACCAGGTACATCAAAGAAACAGGAATGCTCTGGACAAAATTGGCATTCAGGGGGTTTCCCCTATTGGACGTGGCTACTTCCGTGGCCTGACATAGGCTGATGCAGGTTTGCGTACTTTTGCATGCAGATTTCTTATTATTATTAATCCGAGATCTCGACCGAGTAACGGGATTTTATTATATATTATTATGGTACGGAGTACAATACCTAAATGGTTTCAGATCAGGGTCATCCCACTACGTGGTCAAATATATCCGATCTTATAACTGCATTAGGTACATTAGGTAGATAGCGATTTGAAACTATATACCTACATCTGTAGATATATATACGATATTGTATAATGTACCTTTTATCTCGGAGATGATCTGTATTCCGCAATATCCATGCCCCTCTTTCTCCACCCCTTCGCAAGAGCTTCTCCCGCTTCGATTGTGGACCTGGAAGGCTTCGACCAGGGTTCTGCAGAAATATTGATCTGACCACCTGACTTCACCTTTTTTTTTTCTCTCACGATGTTGTCAAAAAGTGTAACATTATTATTGTGAGAATTGAAATAAAATTCCGCCAAGGGGGCGAGAATGAATCCAAATCCAAGCTACGACATAACAGGCAGGCCACTCGCTCGCTTAACCTTCCATTTTGTCTCACCTCGGCATGTATACACACCGATCAAGTACAGATACCGATCCTTCAATACTGTGTATCACACAATCAATCGTACCTAGACACCGATTCATGTACCTTTTCATTAGAACAAATTAGCTGCATGTTGTATATTGTATGGACTTTCTTATTCCTTCTCATTCTATGTAATATATATTCAATCCCGGGAAAATTTTACCCAGGTAGATATTGTGGCTTAACGCCATTACACGCGGTGTGTTCAAAGTGGCAGGTCGTTCTTCTAACAAAATGCAAAAAAATACCTCGAATACTAATAATTTTCTTTACTCGGCATCAGTCCCGGGAATTAATGACCCCCACACCGGCCCCCGAAACGGTTCGCAAAGTACGGTGAGGCTTTTGCCGAGTCTCTGAATTTTGAACCAGATCAGGGGTCATTTCAGTTTGTGTGGAATTGGACGTGACTGAGACTTACACTGTAGATACTAAAGCTATTGTTACTATCGAGTGTGATTAGCTAGTACTGCCCAGTGCTCAAGATCTGAAGATATATTCTTTTTCCTGTAGAAAGCTTGGCCTTGATCAAGTGTTCGAATTACAATAGTACAATACATATACAAGGAAACCCACTGCCGACTGAGATGGGGCCCGCCAATAAGGCTAAATTTTTCCCTATGCTTATAAAAGAGACAGAATTAGCAACCCAGATGCGTAGGAGCAAGATAGAGCGCGCAAGATCACGTAGATCCCGCCCCAGTCTCCATCCCTGCAGAACTGGTAGGATCTCACGTGGTACGAAATATAGCATAACGAACAATATACAATTTGAATCAGAAATGAATAATGAATAAATAATGATAGTAAAAGTACCACGCAGGTTGACTAACAAAACAAAAAAAGCATATCCCGAGATGGTAGTCTACACGATCTCTACGGGCCAACCTACCCAACACAGCTCTCGTCAACATCCGATGGAAGGTAGCCATCCCGGCACAGGCCGGAAATACATCAAAGCCAAGTCCGGATCGTCGAGTTTCAGGAATCCCTGGAGCCAATCAGAGGCCTGCACATGCTCCATTAGGTGAGAGGATCGCACCGCCACCGACCTCATAGGCTGCCGACTTATGTAGTCAAGGCCCAGAGGGGAGTAGCGCGCTTCCGCAAGGTCCTCGGAGATCTTACTTGCATTGTTTTATTTTATTTTTATTTACTCCGTGGATGGTATTGGTATTTGCAAAAGAAGGTTTGATGTTGACTTTAGAATTGACTTTGATGAGGTTGACGATGTCAGAGCAGAATTCTCCATCTGCTCCAGTTCCCCATGTGTTCTGTGGATCATTTTCTCGAATATATGGGTATTGAGGCAAATGTCAGTTTTGACAGTCCAGGAACATATAATTACCAACTCCATTCTATATTCTTCATCTTTCTATATTAGACATCTCTAATTTGCCTCCATGTTGGAACCAAGAGTTGCTGTTACCGTGGCCTTGGAAACACAAACGTGTACCGAGGGAGATTTTCCCCTGGTCGGACGCGTCATTGGTTTCGGATAGACTTCAATGTTGAACAGATGGCTGCACCAGTGTGATTCGCCTACTATTGATATTTGTTCTGATGACATTCCATTCAATGGCCACTTCGCTACCATGTCTCTATAAAATCTAAATTTATGCTTGGGGAAAGAACCTAAACAAGCCAGAGGCAACCGTAAGAAGCCCTGGGTTCCTCGATTCACAGACTATGGTAGCGAACCATGTCTCTAGAAAGTTACCTGGGCATAGTCATGCCTTATAGTCATGGCTGTTTGCAGTAAAATGAGACCAGTTGAGTTGATCAATCTCATAATGGATTAATCATTAAAGATGCACAATTACAATATAGATGCAACTATGCAATGTTGTATCAAATGCAAAGCAGAAGAATACCATAAATTGCAAAAGCAATAATACCGACGATTGTAAAAAATGCAAAATGGTATCCCGATTCGGGATGGTAACGTATTGTAAACTCGGCTCCCCCCCGACGCAAAAACAGCCACTTGGCTTTTTTTTTCTTCAACCTCATTTTTTGTTTTTGTTGTTGTAATAATATCGGGACTGACCGCTATTTCTGAACATATTACCAACTAATTAGGTCCAATATCTAGTCTAAGATATATACTACCTCAGTACTACCTCACTAAGTGAACAATCTTGTCCGTTGTAGATATAATAATGGACGATTCCTCATGACGTAAAAGTGGCCGATCGTCGGCTGTTCCTGGACTCATCTTTCGGCAGTCCACTCGTAACCCCTGACAGTGACGATCGGAACTGCGTGCGGATACCTAGGCGGGAGCGGGCGAAGAGGAAATAACCCCAACACGTTTTGGGGTTGCGCGTTTAGTATTATTGTACATCCGTATGTACGCATTATCGTCCCAAGAGTATGGGAATGGGAGAATCGGCTAATATGGTTGGACCATTCGGTCCAAAGGTTTGACTTTTATTATACTTTTGACAATGCTCGTTTCATTGTCTGATCATCGTGAGTTTTGGACTATCAATTCGATAGGCGCCACGTACTATTAGACACTAGAAGGTTTATTTGTCTGGAAATACATATCCGCGATAAATTGATCGGAACAGCGTTGTGGGCCTGTGTACAGGGACGGCCTCGTGGTAGGGGGTGGTGGATGCTCTCCATCTGGAGTCAGATTAAGCATATCTCTGTCCCAACTTTTTTTTCTCCGTTGCATCCATGTCCAGTGTCCACCAGCGCCGGTGGGGTCTCAGGGGGTGGTGGATCTTAGGAATCTTCCCGGGGATCCCAGCGCAAGTTACGTTGTACAGGGTACTTGGCTATACTAAGATATGCCATGTTGGGCTCGGTCCTTTGGTGTTTAAATTGCAGTTTAGGTTGTAATCAATCTCTCTGGGCATGCCTGCTCAAATATGGAGCTCTAATTGGGCTGTTTGTTGCTTTATTTGGTGGTGGTATATAGACTTTCACTTCCCCCGGAGGTACCTTGTACAATGCTAAGAAACGATCAGCGATTTACATGATTCCAAAACTGTTCTGCAGGGTGTATTTGATGCATGTCGAGTTACCCAACATATACGAGCTTATCTTTTATTATATATTTTTTTAATTCGTTGGTGTTTATTTCTTTCTTTTCCAAGTAACTCTCCTAGGCTTCAGGGGCATGGGTACCATACTATAATTAACCCTAAAACCATATACATACTCGCTCAAGACTGCCCCCAACCCGTTTTTCCAAGCACTGAGGTAACACCGTAAACAAGAATATTGTTACTTATCTATTTGTCCACATGCAATCCCACATGGTCCGCATGCAGCCTTATCTCATGAAATGGAACTGGTGGAGCAGTGGGCTTGCTCCATCGCCTGGAGCCACATATCCATCACGGCCCCGAAAATCGAATCAGGAGGGGCGCCGGGTCGGGCTCCATGTGGCTGCTGTCAGATTGATCCATATTATGGAGTCAAATGATGCCCTGCTTTCTGACATGCATGTGGCGAATGCTTATAATTGTGGTGGTATCTACATCTACTCTAGGGTAGCCTTTATATTTAGAACCTTTAGATTCCACATGAAGGCAGATATCTGATAAAATTATAGCAATTGATGAGCAGCTTTTTTGGGGTTTTACGGTTTGCTTGTGGTTTAAGCCTGTCCATTAAGAGAAGAAACTGGTACAAAAGAACTTGACGAAGACCTAGATGCCATCTAAAGATGAGTGTCACTTCTCGTAAATTATATGAATATAAAGTGCCGGTATAAGCAGCAAATCCTACATTGGCAAACCGATATTGTCTGCCTCCGATTACTTTCAAGACCTATCGACCTAGATAGGGTTATCTGGATCATCGAACTTGCGTGGCAAAGCATCTGTCTCTGCTCTTTGTGTTTCGGGCTCGATTCCCTCGCTGATAACAGGCTCCTGCTCGATTGCATAGATAGCATGCTCGACATTGACAACCGGGCCGGTAAACCAACGGTGCGCATCAACCCACCACCAGATTGTGACCGCCAGCATTGGAGCTCCCCAAACGAGACAGGTCCAGTTCATCAGATCGGGTGTCAAGTCGTTGCCAGTAGAACTGGGCAAACACAGAATGGGCACCATCAAAAACACAAATGAAACACCAATGGCACCAATATAGGGTCCAAATGGCCCTAGATGCCATGGTCCTTTGCGGAACCGATTCCCAACAAAGAACACCCGAATAGTGATAGGAATAGCAAAAGCGAAGAACTGCGCAATAGCGCCGATGGAAAACAGCGCCCCAATGGCAACTTCACCAGCAAGGATGAGCAGACACATCAAAATTCCAAGCACAGCATTCAAAATCACCGCATTGACAGGCGTTTGCGTAGACGAGTTAACTTGCTTCCAATATCTCGATAGCGGAAAGCAATCATCACGCGCGTACGCATACGTGACCCTCGATGCAGCAACCATACACCCCTGACCCATGGAGAAGCCACAGACAACGGTAAGCGCCAAGATAGCCATAGCAGTTTTCTGCGGCATGACCTGCAGCAAATACGAAGCCCAGGGCTGACCGAGTTCGGAATCAATCACGCCCTCGATGTCCATGACCGTGTATGCAACGACCAGCTGCAGGAACCAGCCCATTAGCCCGCCCACGCCGGAGGTGAGGACGATTGCGCGCGGCGAGGCGATGTTCGCGTTCGAGCACTCTTCGCTCAAGTGGAAGGGCGAGTCGTAGCCTGACATTGTCCAGATCACGCCGACGAAGGTCATGAGGACAGCGACACCGTCCGGGAAGTCGGTTAGGTTGGTTATGTGGCCCCAGACTTCTTTGCTGGAGTTGAACTTTGGGCTGTTTTTGGTGTTGGCGGGGATGAGGATCAGGACCGCGATCAGCGCGATGAAGTTGAAGGTTGAGCCCCACGAGTTGAATTGTGCTACGCGCTTCGTTGGCATACTGCTTATTCCCGCGTGCAGTATCATTATGAATGTTGTTAGCAGGAAGGTCTGCCATGTTGTTGGGACATAGTCGGGGTTGCTGATCGAAGCCGCTGCTAGGATCATGGCGCTGAGGGCGTAGTCGACAGACGGTGCTGCTGTGATCTGGCCAATCCAATTGGACCATCCGGTTATCCAGGCGGCAAATGGTCCATATCCAGGAGGCGCGAGGACTGCTGCGGCATAATATAGTCCGCCACTGTATAGATTTCGCGAATCAGCCTTGAAGCCCTAACTCTGAGCTTGATATCGCGCGAGGGTCAAACCTTGTGGGCATTGCTGAACATAGCTCTGCCATGGACATTGCAATGCATTGAATAAATATCATGGCGATGATCCAGCCCCAAACCATACCTGCTGTTCCAGCATATCCCATTCCTGTGATAACATCAATTTTCGATACTCGACCCAGTGCATATAGATATGGGAGCACTTACCATAGTACAGAGTACTCGCAAATGAGGGCAGCAGACCCAAAACTGCAAAACTGACGCAGAAAGTTGTCCAAAGTGAGAATTCGCGCTTGAATTCTTGCTTGTAGCCCAGCGCGGTTATTACCCTCTCGTCCGCATCCATGTCATGATCCGTATAGGGAACATCGCCATCTGGAAGTACAGACGTGACTTGAGCATGTTCAACCTCATGATGAGGCTTGGAGAACCCTGAGATCGAAGTCTTGGTTTCCATGCTTACGCCCATAGCTATAGCAGTGGAGTACTGATAGCACTGCTATGAGAGAGATATATATACGAACAAAATAGAACAACCACCATGCAAGGGGGTAAAAAGTGGACAAGAATGTTTTAAGCCCCCAAAACTAAGGGATTTAGATTATAATAAAAGAAGACCCAGGGAAATGATCTGTGAAGCCGGTCGCCAGGGGGTAGCACGACATGTTATCTATGCGTGTTGCAGGTGGCGCTCTGCCCCGCATATAGATTATCATGAGTACTAACCTGATATGTGTCTGAATCGTCTAAATTAGCAGTGATAGAGTCGAGCCAGACATATATGTCGGACGAGCCGACATACCGACACCAAAGAGCACAGACAAGGGGCGATAGAACTACTCGCAACTCGAGTAATCTGGGGGCGATAAGAACATATGATACCCACCAGGAAGTAGATGACGCCGGAGTGTTAATAAAGTCAATAATAGATATGATTGAGCCAAGTACAAAGTAAAATCGAATCCGAGTGGTTTCTCCGCACATCTATGTTGTCTCTGATTCGTAGAGACGGGAGTGGTCAACTAGTCTTCATCTGAAGAGAGCCTTCGATGATCCGTGCTGTACTAATCTTGGCAAAGATCCAGTCCCATCAAGGAAGTTCCAGGCGTTGGACCTCACGGGGTCTCTGCCGCAAGTGCCTAGCGCTGTGCTTTGAATGCAGCCCTGGAGGACCTCGGAACTCTTATCACCGTTTGATAAGCAACAGGAGATAAGGGCCATTACTTATGACTTCTGAATGATATGGACTTACGTCGTACACGAAGTGCTATTTTATTTCGATTCTCATTCGAGGCTTGTTATCTCTGTTGGACTTGCCCCGTTGGATAATAAGCTTGTGTTTTGATGGCCTTGGCATAGGCTCTTCTTAGGTTAGAATGTCCCTTGAAAGCTTGAAAGCCGGCAACTCTCGCTATTTCAAACCTTCGAGGGTTGTCGTTGATGGGAGAGGGGAGTTTGTCATTTCGACATGTACCATGCAGGTAAAAGCAAAGATTCAAGCTATAACCTTGAATGTTGATTCTAGGCGGAATATATCTTGAACCAGCACAGCGGCCAGGTAATATTGGATTGGAAACAATTATTTCCATGTTTTATTAAGAACAGAAAAAGACTTTCGTTGGTATTCTACACAGTACAGCACCAGCCCATCACCCATCACCCATCTGGGTCATTTGATCCAAAGGGAAGACCGGTATATACCCTCGCAAGATAATTTAGAAGGGCTAGAAAAACGTCAGCGACAGGCGAACCCAACTCAAGATAAAAGAATTTAACTTACGTTGTCCTCAGGGGCAATGGTGCGGTCGTAGTAGGTGTCGAAGAAAGGAAGCTGGCGGAGGATGTCGTTGCGCACACGGGGAACCTCACCGAAGATGAAGAGAGCGCCGGTGCCGAGAGCGACACCGAATCCGGCAGCGATGGAGCCACTGAAACAGTTAGTATCTAGATGTCCAACCCGAGGACCAGTTGTGGCTATGGAGGATTACTCACGCGTTGATGGCGGTGCCCAGGGTCATACCGGCAGCAGTGCGGGGAATGTAGTACCTTCAAATTCATGACTGTTAGCTTGGCCATCTTCTTGCGCCTGGTGTGCTCTTTCTTGATCGTCCGGCTTCTGTCGGAGTCCGTGATGGTTCTCTTGCTCCTTCCCTACGAATGCCGGACACCCAGTGAGCTCTGCTACGAAAGCAGACACAAAAGTGGCCGAAGTTCGAGAAGATGCGCAGGACATTGCGTGAGAGATATGTATCTTCCTCAGATCAAACGCTTTCATCACCAACGGCCAAAGTGTACCGTTCGGGGGTCGAGAGAGTTGGGTCTGGAGACGTCTTACTTGGGCGCGTAGGCGGAGGCCTGGGCCGCAGCGCGGCGAGCAGTAGAGGCGAACTATAAGTCATATGTTAGCAGTTGATAGATTTGAGGCGGCATCTTCTCTTTTGTCATCCCGCTGGCTCGGAAGACCGGTTGTGAGAGGTACCCGATTTTTCCCTAGCCAAAAGGGTGTTCCGGAGCAAGACACCAGGTTTTTCATTATCAATTGGACAGGATATCACTTACCATTGTGAATGACACCGGGGAGATTTGGTGGGACAATTGCTAGGAGACAGGAGCTGGCACTTGGTGTCGACGAAAACCGGGAGTGCCCGAGCGTACACGTGACTTCAAAGCCGCCGGCCAATCAGATGAGTTGTAATTGTTGTTAGGTCGAGTACGGAGTAGGGATTACACATATCAACAATCGTAGAACAGCAGGTCTTGATCTTGTATATCCATTACTTGATGCTTTCACTGTTGCTTGTACCGACTGCAGGTCTCGAAGAAGATAAAAGACTTATCGAAAATCCCGGAGAACGCACCAAGTGAACTATTGCTATGATGGAACAAACAAAACCACTCGAATGACCGTAAATGCTTATCAATATATGTGGTATTGCGTATGCTGATATGATACTTCAGAATCTCGATCTAATGAAATAGCTCTCAAGAATTTAATACGCCTGAACTCCAATATTACGTGTGATAGTGGAGTAAGAACTGAAACAAAGAGATATGTGCTTCAAAAAGCCCCTTTGATCTGACATGCAAAAGATTCAAATGAGACAGGATGGATCGGACAGACAATTGCATGAAAGGAGAGTAGCATCAATCAGATACAATGGAAACAGAAAATTATAAAAAAGCGCAGCCAAACACCCTAACTGTACATTTGTCTCATTAGTCGACTTTGTCAGTCGAGCCGCCATTCAGGAAGCCCTCCTTGCCATCCAAGTGGAAGAAGCCACCGTTGTTGGCGTTACCAATAATACCGCCACGGGGCACGCTTCTGCGAAGACGTCCACGCCCGAAGGCAGTAGCCAAAGCGATCACGGCACCCAAAATGATGAAAAAGAGGATGGGATGGCTGCTGAGAAGGGTTCGAGCGAAGAAGAAGATGGTCTCGAAGGTGCCAATGGTGGATTTAGGCGACAGCTTCGAGGGAGAAGCAATGACGAGAGGAATCGTCTCGAGAATGGAGGTGCGGGAGGCCATGATAGGAGCTCCGCTTGAAGCAGTATCCCAGTAGCGGCGGTTCTACAAAATCAGTTAGATTGCCCTAGCAATGTATAGCAATGTCCAAGAGTTCAACTTACATCTTGATCGTTGATAATCACACGGTCACCAGTCTCCACAGAAATACCATAGGTAGTGCGCAGCCAGCGCGCCCAGAAGTCACCGTCGACCCAGGCAAAGGTGACTTGTTTCTTGTCGTCCTCGCGGATTGTAATACGCATATTCTTCGCAGCTCGTAAGGCGCGCTGGTCGTTGCGGTCATCCGCTTCCTCGATCCGCAGTTGCTTGGCATCACGAAGTTCAGCACGCTCAAGGCGGAACAACTGAACCTGCTTGTCCATCCACTCAAGAGCAGCTTCCTTCAACTCGCGCTTCGACTGCTTGAAATCATCGCTACGACGGCGACTGAGCAGTCCAAGAACCACGAACTTTCCGTCCATGATTTCTTGGGCGTTAGATGCGGTGAGTTCGGGCACAATAGGAAGCCAGACTGTTTGCATCCAAGAAAGAATTTGGCGGAAATCTCTCATATCCTTGGGAGCAAGGGCATTGTAGTAGTTGGGCCGTCCGTCACGGACGACCAGAAGACGAGGCCAAGTCGAGATCTTAAAGCGTTCGGATAAGACAGCGCTGTTAGACTTGACCATGCGAGCGTGTCCCACAAGACTGAGAGTAAGGCGGTTCATGGCCTCGAAATCTTCAGATGTCGTCGCGTGGTCGTAGAGATACAAGAACAAAACCTCTTCGGTCTTTTCCAGCTCCTTGAAAGTAGTAGCATCGACATCCTGGATGCTTGAACCGACACCAACAGCTTTGCTGGTGTACGAAATGAGATCTCCCAAGCCACGGAGACCGGTGTACTCGACTCTCTCCCCGCCTCTGAAGAAGTAGATCGTTGGATAAGCAGCCACGCGGGCATCTTCGCAGAGCCTCTTCTCAAGTTCACAGTTCACCTCGCCGACATTGAGAGTGTCCTTCAACTCCTTGGCCATCGAGTTCCAGCTTGGAGCCAAAGCCTGGCAATGACCACACCACGGAACATAAAATTTAATAATCCAGGGGTCATGAGTGGTGGTTACAAGCTTTTGGAAACTCTCTGCGGTGAGTGGAATAGAAACGCCCTGCGGATTGGCGGGCCGTCCCTGCAGCTTGGCCTTCACGGCGTCGGGACTGGAGCCTTCCAACTCTGCGGTCTTGATACTCTCTTTCTCAACGGCGGTCTTCTCGCCAGTCTTGGCACCTTCAGGTTTGGCGATCATTTCCATGCTCCTGGCGTTGACTTTGGGCAACTCAACACCCTGCGAAGGCCGAGACCCGGGCTTGATCGACTCAAGTTTCTCTTCAATCATTTGAGCGATATTCGACATCTTCTTGGCACCGAGGGGAGGGTTCTTTTGAACACCCATATCGTAGAACGCCCACTCGGGGAAGGCATCCACCTTCTTTTCTGTACAAAAGTCCATGTAGGCCAGGCAGTTGATAGACCCGAAATGGAGATTGTAGTAATCGGTAAAGGACTTCAGAGATTCCGGCTCGTCGAGCTTCGCTGTGGAATAGAACAGGGGATTTGAAGTCTATCGTAAATCAGAACCAGGTATCATATTATCAGGACAAATTGGATGAATACTCACGTAGTAGTACTCATACAGAGTCTGGTAGATCGGGGCAGCCGTCTTGCAGTGCGGGCACTGAGGAGAGTAATGTTTGACCATCCTGGTTTATTTAGCACCAAGCGCGATTGAATTTTGAGGGGTAAGAGGCTGTTTCGCACCAGTAACCGTCTTTTGTGACTTCATCGAAATTCGCCGGGGTCAACTGTGTCAAAGGAGGCACCTCAATCCCATTGAACGTTGTGGGTTGATCGGAATCCACCAATTCACCCCACCTCTTGACGAGTGCGTCCCCAGATTCCTGGTCTGGGAAAGCATCTGAAGGTGTGGCCAAAGCAGGCACTGCCAACAGTGATAGGAGGGACCACCTCAGCAAAGATGATTTCATTTTGGTGGAAGACTGAAAACAAATATCGTGCAATTGAAAGAAAGTATAAATGAGTTCACAATGTCACAGTTGAGCAAAACGAGGGACTCTGGTCGAAATAAGGAGAATCGCGAAATGTCACAGGTGGCACATTGAACGGGGGTGAAGACTGGCGACTCGGGAGGGCACTGGTCGGCACGTCGCAAGAAGACAGCACTTAGCGACTATAGCGCCCGAAAGCTGAAAGTAAATAAGAACTGCACACAGCCCGAAGAGGATCGTAATGCTTTGGTGGCAGAGGAAAAGGTGAGTTGCCTTCGCTCCCCCTACCGTTTGGGGTGGAACATCGGGTTAATCCGCTCCGGTCCGACTTCAACACTTCAATCTCCCTGAGTAGTGCGACCGCCATACAACTTCAATCACATTCACAATGCGCTCTACACTTCGGCTACTGGCCAATGTTAAGCCCCGGTACTTGGAGCCTTTTGCTCCGACCGGCTTGACTGGACTTTTCACACACCCCAGTCCTCGCCCTACCCTAATCTACCTTTACTCGACCACTCTGCAAAAGCTTCAGGCATTCCCCGAGGCCTCCGCCTACCGCCAGTCCGTCGAGGCATTGACCCGCAACCGTTTGCAAATTATTGAATCACAGAAACCCGCTGGATTCGATGCCTGGTTAGAGCGCGTGCGCAAGACCGTGGGAGCCGAGCCTGAGCGGTACTCGAAGGTACAGCGCACCGAGGGTGGCTTCACCCATGCCGCTGCTCAACAAAAGGATGGAAGCGACAATCCTCGTGGTGAGGAATGGGATGGCGAAGGACCCCCAGTCCCCGGTGGTGGTCCCCGTACCCCTCAAGAACAAGCCGAATGGGCCCAAATCATGGCCGAGGCCAGCGAGACCACTGAAAAGGCCGAGCACGATTTCTACCACCAAGAAATGAAGTGGGAGAGCGAGCCTGCTCTCACTGCCGACCAGTATGTGTGCCTGGATCTATTCAATTTACCCATCGAAAACCAGGTGATAAATTACTAAACTGTTGGTGCAGGATCTCTCACGTTGAGCAGCAGATTGGTGCTGGTCTTATTGAGGAAGTTATCCAGGTCGCTGAGGCGGAGCTCAAGCTTGTGGATGAGTTGGCTAAGGCCAAGGTGTAAGTGAAAATGAATTCATGGGTCTGGACATATTACTGACAATATTGTAGTTGGGAGGAACTCGAGGAGAAGCCCCAACCCGGCCAGTGGTCCTACTTTGAGCGTGGCAACTAAATGGCAAACCTGGAATGGCTGTGGAATTTTTATCTCTGTAACTACCTAAATACTAGAGGTCGCCTTGTTTGAATACATGTTTTGAAGATTCAATGATTTAATGCCTGTGAAAATGACGACACAGTCAACATATCATCTTCTATATAGGCGAGTATACCTAGTTGTTTGCACATTGTCTCACGTACGTGGAATATTCTGATGATGTATTGATTGGTTTGAAGTCGCAAGGATGTCCATCCCCAGATTTTATATGTATACCTCGACTGGGTATCCACGCGGTAGTACATCGCCAATATTTCATCTTCTGCCTTGGTCCCGAAGCCAAGTACTGACACAGGATTCAATTGTATGTCAATATTCTTGTTGGGGCCATTGGTAATTATAAAAACCAGCTAAATGTTGGTCTAGAATTGTATAGACTCAAGTCTTATTGTATAGCGGAAGGAGAGGGAAGGCGGTGAGTACAGGCGGGAATCCCTTGTGGACACATACATTGCTGTCCCTGAACGAAGTGCTCTCCCTATAGCTCTCCTCCATCTCGATCCTCCTTTAACTCCTCCAATTTATACTCTGTCACGAGGATCGCTCCCCCTACCACCTGGGCTGTCTGAGCGGCTCCCGGAAACCTCCCTCGCTGTCAGGCCCAACGCCGCATCACACAAACACACCACTCATCCCCCACACAACATGCGGCTCGACGTCAAGGTACGCAATTGCAGATTATGCGATGATATGATGTGGCACATGCTCTGCCTTCGGCAGACGTATGTCGTGTTTCCACAGGTAAAGCTGGAAATAGTACTGACAAGAAATGTCACAGAGGCAGCTATTTGCCCGTTCCGAGCGGGTAAAGGGGATTGATTTCCACCCTACAGAGCCATGGGTAAGCTCATACAATATCATCTCATACCGGTGCTCAAACTAACAAATTCTTAGATTTTGACAACCTTGTACAGTGGTAGGTGGATAGAGGGGCAGTCTGCAAAAGATCGAATGCGCTAATCACTTTTTGGTCCAGGTCATGTCTACATTTGGTCTTATGAATCACAGGTAAGATCTGACCTTGGCTCGCGTTGCTTTTTGCCTCCATCTCACCTCTGTGCACTCTAGTCTATCATCAAAACATTCGAACTCACCGATGTCCCCGTCCGTGCCGGTCGATTCATTGCGCGGAAGAACTGGATTGTATGCGGTTCGGATGACTTCCAACTCCGTGTCTACAATTACAACACTTCCGAAAAAATCACGTCTTTCGAAGCACACCCGGATTATATCCGTTCCATTGCCGTCCATCCTACTCAGCCATTTGTGCTCACAGCCTCCGATGACATGACAATTAAGCTTTGGGATTGGGAGAAAGGCTGGAAGTGTGTCCAGATCTTTGAAGGTCACAGCCACTATGTAATGGGAATGTCAATCAACCCCAAGGACACCAACACTTTTGCATCCGCTTGTTTGGACCGCACCGTTAAGATCTGGAACCTCGGTTCCCCCCATGCCAACTTCACCCTCGAAGCCCACGAGACGAAAGGTGTCAACCATGTCGATTATTACCCGCAGGCTGATAAGCCATACCTTCTCACCACTTCCGACGACAAGACCGTCAAGATCTGGGATTACACCACAAAGGCTCTCATTGCAACCCTTGAGGGTCACACAAGCAATGTTTCCTTTGCTTGCTACCATCCCGAATTGCCTGTGATTATTTCAGGTTCCGAGGACGGTACCATTAAGATCTGGCATGCCAACACCTACCGCCTGGAGCAGTCATTAAGCTATGGCCTAGAACGGGCATGGTGTGTTTCCTACCAGCGGGGCAGACAGGGAATTGCCATGGGTTTCGACGATGGTGCCGTGGTGGTGAAGATGGGCCGGGAAGAGCCTGCCGTATCCATGGATGGATCTGGTAAGCTCATCTGGGCCAGACACAGTGAGGTTGTCTCATCAGTGATTAAGGGTGGCGATGCCAGCATCAAGGATGGTGAGCCCCTTTCACTACCGACGAAGGATTTGGGGCAATGCGAGGTGTACCCACAGACTTTGTCACACTCTCCCAATGGAAGATTTGTGTCTGTTTGTGGCGATGGAGAATACATTATTTACACCGCATTGGCGTGGAGAAACAAAGCCTTTGGCCAGGCTCTTGACTTTGCCTGGGGTGCGAAAGACAACAGCAACGACTATGCTATCCGGGAATCATCGACAAGTGTCAAGATTTTCAGAAACTTTAAGGAACAGAGCGCCGGTCTCGATGTTGGATTCCAAGCCGAGGGTCTGTCCGATGGTGTTCTTTTGGGTGTGAAGGGCCAGGGTGGTATTGGATTCTTCGACTGGGAGACTGGTAGTCTGGTTCGCAGAATCGAAGCTGACCCGAAATCCGTAAGTCTTGTGTGCTGACAAGTTTTATTGCAATCCTTGATGATTAACATTTTCACAGGTCTTCTGGTCTGAATCCGGCGAGCTAGTTACGCTTGCCTGTGAGGAAGATTTCTATGTTCTGCGCTACTCACGCGAAGAATATATCAACGGTCTGAATGCTGGCGAGGTCGATGAGGATGGAGTAGAGGCCGCTGTTGAATTGGTTGCCACAATCAATGAGTCCGTCCGGACGGGTCAGTGGGTTGGGGATTGCTTCATTTACACCAACTCCACGAACCGCTTGAACTATCTTGTCGGTGATCAGACTTATACAATCTCTCACTTTGACCAGCCAATGTACGTCCTAGGCTACCTGCCCAGGGATGGCCGTATCTACCTTGCCGACAAGGATGTCAACGCTGTCTCCTTTGGCCTTTCTCTTAGCATGGTTGAGTACCAGACAGTGGTGCTGCGTGGCGACATGGATATGGCATCTGAACTTCTTAAGGATGTACCGCAAGACCAGATGAACAAGGTCGCCCGCTTCCTCGAGGGACAAGGTTATAAGGAGTTGGCTCTGGAAGTCGCCACAGACCCCGAGCACCGCTTCGAGTTGGCCCTTGCGCTCAGCGACCTCGAGACCGCACTTCAGATCGCCCGAGAGGCTGACGTTGAGCACAAATGGAAGATTGTTGGTGACGCTGCCCTGACTGCCTGGAACCTCACTTTGGCTCAGGAGTGCTTCACCAACGCTAAGGATGTGGGATCACTCCTGCTGCTGCATACTGCCAGCAGTAACCGCGAAGGTCTCAAGTCCCTGGCCGCCCAAGCCTCGGAATCAGGCCTCCACAACGTCGCTTTCTCCACTCTCTGGTCCCTCGGAGATATCGATGGCTGCATCGCTCTTCTTGTCCAAACCAACCGCATTGCAGAGGCAGTCCTCTTTGCCCAAACTTACAAGCCCTCGCGTGCTGCCAAGCTAGTTGTTCAATGGAAGGAATCTCTTGATCAAGCCGGCAAGACCAAGGTTGCCCGCCTTATTGGTGTGCCTCCTGGTGCCCCCGATGTCGCTGCTGACGATGACCTCTTCCCTGAATGGGAAGAGTACATCCAGCTTGAGAAGGAGAGTGTTGTTCCCGAACCTGCTTCGTCCGAATCCTTGATTGATGTCAATGAGGTTGAGGACGAGGAGCCAGCTAGCGCGATCAACGGCGCATCCGAAGCAGAAGAGAGTGAAGAGACCGAGACGGCCGAAGAGGCTGCAGTGAATGAGGCCGATGCTGCCGAGGCTGAGTAAACGAACAAAAGCACCGGGTTCTTTTTGGTGACTTTCGAGGAGAGTTAGGTAGATCGTTTGTTTTCCGGCTGACAAGTCAGCTGATGCTTGATTGCGAGCGGCGTCTTAACGTGTGTCCGACTTTTCATTTTCTTATTTGTAATTCTGCTGCCATGTATGTCTAGATACAATAACAGCACATGTTTTTCTCTGTCGGTTTTTTGGAGGAGGATCTTCCTACATAGATCATAGTATATGTGTACATTTCATTTTGATGGATTCAAGCTTATCCTTGTGTAAGTCTATGTCTGATGGGCCATTACATGTATCATCAAAAATGATAATTAGCGTTGCTTCGACAGCCAAACCTGCTAGGATGGGCAATAAAAAAAGTAGTTTCAGATCGTACCAGCTAGGACATACTAGCCAAATTTACGAACAAGAGTTAGGTAGAATCTGAAGGTGTATGGCATTGTCCATTGAAGTTTTATTGAGATACAAAACAAGGGCAGACAATGACCGCTTGAGAAAACCAACAGAACAAGGATAAGAAAGGAACCTGCCTAGAGAGAATGAACACTTGAAATGGAAAGGAGATGACCGAGCAAGATAAGAAAATCAAATCAAAGCGCTCAACGGATGAAAGGAGAAGAATGTCGTCTCCAGAACCAGGGAGTGAGAGAAGCTCCGATATCAAGATGCCACAAGACTCCTTTGGGATGGGAAAATCAAACAATGTGGACAGCCACAAAAAATGGAACAGCAGATCAAAATTGATATGTGAATGAAAGACATACAGGCAGTTAAAAAGGGAAATCGTCTATGAGCCCTTGATCTCTCGCTCTTGCACACAGATCAATATTCGATGTAATTTGGCACTGCGAAAACAATATTTACTCCGGGATGCTTCCGAAGGACGGGTCTTTGACACTGCCACCCGCATCGCCGAGGCCAGCAATTGGTCGGTTGTATGAGAAGCCGGCGAATTGTTGCTGCATCGTCTGCGACAGAACAGGCCCATCGACGAATGAGTCCTTGGGTACCTCGGAGGTAAACTCGCGATCAAAGTTTTCCGTATCCCGAGCATCAACCTTATTGATGTTAGTTATCGAGGTTTCAATATATCAGTAGGCGAAAGAGTTACATACCACGTTTGGTCGGAAGCTGGGCTCGTACTTCCTCTGAAGAAGCTTGCGCCAGTCAATATTGGCAAAGAAGTGGTGCGATTTGATCTCAGCGGCACCGTTGGCACCCAGTCGGCGCACGGGATCCCGGTCAAGGAGTCGCGTGAGAAGATCCCGGGCAGCAGGTGGGACAATATCACTGTTGGGGAAAGTGAGGGGCTCTTGCAAGATCTTGCGATACATCTCGTTGGTGTTCTCATCGTAGAATGGAGGAAGTCCTGTCAGCATCTCGTAGAGCAGGACGCCCAGAGTCCACCAATCCACGGTCTTGGTGTAACCGTTGCCAAGCAAAAGTTCGGGGGCGAGATATTCGGGAGTTCCACAGAATGCTAGAAAGATAAACAGTTAGTTGTGAGGGGGACATGACGTGTCAGGGGAATCTCACTGTTGGTCCGGTCCTCATCCTTCATGTCCAGTTTACAGAGACCAAAGTCGCAGAGAGCAATATGTCCAGTGTAATCGAGAAGAATGTTCTCAGGCTTGAGATCTCGGTAGATAACCTTAAACCCATGCAGACACTCGAGAGCGCACAGCAACTCAGCGGTGTAGAATCGAGCTCGGTTGATATCGAATCGCTGTTCCCTTTGCAGATGGTGGAACAACTCTCCACCGTTCACAAACGCCAGCACGAAGTACAACTTCTCCGGTGATTGGAAGGAGAACTTGAGGGGAACAATGAACGGGTTGTTAATCTGGGCAAGCACTGATCGCTCGGCGAGTGTGTGCGTGACTTCTGATCTCGAGATAATGTGAGCCTTGCGAATGGTCTTGAGAGCGTAAATTCGACCGGTATCCTTCTTCATGACCTGCATGACCTTGCCGAAACTACCCTTGCCCACGACCTTGAGCAAGTCAAAGTCTTCTAGTTTGAGACTGCGCTGCTTGTTCTCCACGAATGAGATACCAATCTTGATAGAACCAGCTCCGAATTGAAGGTCCAGCCAATCGGTTCCATGTTGACCCAGCTGGCGCCCTTGCTGTTCGTGAGCCAGAGCGGCTTTCTGGTTATCCTTCTTGCTGAGTTTCGGGTCTTCCACATAAGGCTGGGCTTCCTCGAAGCGAGGGTTAACCTTGCATGCGCCCAAGAAGATATCCTCACTGCGCCCAGCACCAGGCCGGGCTGCGGGGTTGCGCAGGTACAACTGTACGTTCAACTCGGTCTTCCGGGACACATCGAATTTGAATGCTGTGTTATCGCCGGCCCACAGTGGGCTCTCCGGAGTGCCTGACACAGCATCCACGAAGACCTGGTTCTTTTCGAAATCGAGTAGGGCATAAGGAAGGTACTTGGTGGAATAGCGACCGTGGATAGTGGGGGCGGCGTTGATTCCCCCACTTGTAGATTGTGGTCGGCCTGACTGCACAAACGAACCCGCTTGGTTCTGAGCCGAGTGAGACGAGGAGGAGGTGCTTGGACGTAAGGAGGAAGGCGCGTAAGAGTTATTTTGGAAATGCGAGTTGAAGATTTGTTGGAAATGAGGGGACAGTGAAAAATCGCGCCCTTCATGAAGGGTGACAATGAGAATACCTGGGTTCACAGTAGCCACAGGAGGAGATACGAGGGACTCGGACGCCACTATAATACGGATGAGACGATTAGTTCCTGGATCGAGATTCGGATTGTAGGAATATTGCATACAAATTCCATTTGTTGACGGGGTGGCGGAGGCGATGCTGGGCGGGTTTGAGGCCACAGGTGTTGTAGCCTCGTCACCATTCGAGTCACCCTTGATTGTCGAAGTAGAAGATGACCGTCCGAAGGATGAGCTCAGAGGAGACAGGTGTGTCTCCTTCAATTCTGCATCGGATTTATTAGCGATTGCCCTCCTCCAAATGATATGGATTTCACTGCAGAGCAGAGAGGGGTTGTGGGCATTTTAAGAGGAGAGAGAGGGAGACCAACTGCCACTAAACATACTTTTAGTGAGCTTCCAGGACATAGTGGCGGTTGATGTGTGTTGAATCAAGGAAAAGAAGAGATCGAAGTTTCCAAGATACAATTGTGCAGAGAGTGTTAGAATCACCTAACAACATGCAAAGGGCCCCAAAATAAACCTGGAGAGCCACTCAGAAACATGCACACAATATAAGCACACACACACAGAGCAAAAGGAGGTGTATTCAGTGAAACAACCACCACTAGATTTATCCGAATGGAAGCACAACTAATAGGAATAAGAAGAAAAAAGGTGGAAGAAGTTAAGAAATTGGATTTAGAGGGAGAGAGAGAGGGGAAACCCCTGTAATTGAAATACATAAATTACCCATATGGCTGGTTGAACCAGTAACATTTAATGCCGGTAGGGCTGTAATTCCTGTAATTTGGAGCCTCAGGCATCAATATATAATACTCAGCCACTAACTCAGCCACGACTCCGCCCCAAGGGTTGAACCTCCAATTCAACAACTTCCCACTTTGACGATTAAGCACAAGTCCAACGGAACTACAAATCTTGATTGTTTGTTTCTATTAGCTGTGGATTGTTACAATATCTTATCTCACAACAGATCTCTTAAGCTTCGGAACATTCCCCGCTCCGAAGTGCGGAGACCAACTACCCCGGAAGATCTCATCTCACCTTGATCATAGCACACTTGAATTTGTTTACCTTTGATCATCCATTCAAGACTCCTAGTGGGTCTGTTTTGGTCCTTCGAAACTGTTTCACATAATCTGGGGATGAAAGGGGTGGAGGGCCAATGGGTGTGATACGCAAGAAGACCGCCTCGCGCGGCACCGAGGCAGGCACTAAGTTTCACTGCGATGTATGCTCAATTGATGTCACGTCAACAGTAAGTCATGATAATTCATCTATGCCGATATGCTTAGGGGGTTTCCATATGTCCAGAGCTCACGCGACTCCGTCATGTAGGTTCGCATTTCATGTGCACATCCCGCCTGCCCCGAATACGACCTTTGCGTTCCCTGCTTTGCAGATGGACAATGCTCAAAAAACCATGATCCCGCAACACATCCGTTCCAAGTGATTGAGCAAAATTCGGTCCCGATCTTCCAAGCGGACTGGGGCGCCGACGAAGAACTGCTGTTGTTGGAAGGTGCCGAAATCTACGGACTGGGTTCATGGGCAGATATTGCAGACCACATTGGAGGCTACCGAACCAAGGACGAGGTCCGCGATCATTATTATGATACATACTTGAAGAGCAAGCACTTCCCGCTCGCAGAACGCGCAGACCCAGACGACAGGAGTCTGCAAGATTCGATATCCAAAGAAGAATTCCAAACGCGCAAGAAGCGGCGTATCGAAGAGCGCAAGGACGCAGCCAAAGCAGCACCCCCGACAACACCGAAACAGAAGCCGACTGCTAGTGTACCTGCATGTCATGAAGTGCAGGGCTACATGCCAGGACGATTGGAGTTTGAGACTGAGTTCTTGAACGATGCTGAGGAAGCAGTGCAACACATGACCTTTGAGCCTGGAGCTGGACTCAATGAAAATGGCGAACCGGATGCAGAGACAGAACTCAAGATGACGGTTGTCGATATCTACAATTCCCGCCTCACAGCGCGCACAGAGCGTAAGAAGATCCTCTTCGAACACAACCTCCTCGAATACCGAAAGAACACTGCCCTGGATAAGAAGCGGTCCAAAGAAGAGCGAGACTTGTTGAATAAAGCAAAGCCGTTGGCACGCATGATGAATCGCAAGGACTTTGAAGATATTAATAAGGGTCTGGAGTACGAGCATAATCTCCGCCTAGCCATTGCCCAGCTCCAAGAATGGCGCTCGATGGGCATTGGTGACCTGAAAGCAGGCGAAAAGTATGAGCAGGATAAGCAACAGCGTGTGCAGCGATTAATTCCCACGGGCTCCTTTGATCGCTTTGCCAGCACTCGCCCCAAGCAGACCCAATTGACAGAGACCCCAGCGGCGGCGATTCAGTTGACGACCCCTGAACTTCCATTGCGTTTACAGAAAGCCGGCAACTCCAATGCACCGCCAGATTCTACCGACGAAGTATTGAATGATTTCGATCGCGCCTTCGCTGTCGACGGCGACGCGCCTCCCCCACAACCGGCAAAGACGAAATACGTCGTGCCTCCACTGAGCGGGATGCCTGCGTGGAAACTGAATAATGACACCGCTGCCGACCTGCATCTCTTGACCAAAGAAGAGACGGAGGTCTGCAACGTCCTACGCATCATGCCGAAACCGTACCTGGTCGTCAAGGAGACACTGTTGAAAGAAGCAATGAAGCAGGGCGGCAGCTTGAAGAAGAAAGACGCACGGACGATCTGCAAGGTATGTGTTCTCCCCTCCCCCGCTCTCTTGGCGGCCCTTTACTGACTTGATCGCTAGATCGAGGGAACTAAAACCAGCCGCATTTACGATTTCATGGTGCATAGTGGTTGGATCAACAAGGCGTAGGTGCGCCATCGATGATATATGCTTGCAATTACTTCTCTCTAGTCCATTGATATCCAAATACACTTCGATTTTGTCTCAGGGAGCGATTGTTTTATTGGCGTTAATACAAATGGCTGGTGCGGAGCCTCTGGGATATTGAGATGACGAGTTCGGAATTCAGAACAGTCATCGTCACTATAAGCGAGCAGAATAAATAAATGTTCACTGCATTGCAAATTATTCAACAAAGAAGACGCAAAACAAATGTAGACCCAATACACTATACCACCACCTAGTTAGTGGCATTGAGATGGAAGTGATCCACACCCCATCGGCCCTCGGTATCTTCTCCGCATCTACAAATAACCCAACTCCAACTCCCATCCACCTATTTATTACCATTCTCTCTCAGCCCAACCATCCTCAAATATCCACAAAGAACGACTCAATCAAAAATGTCACTCTTCAAAACCCAGCCCCCAACCCCCGCCGACGCAACACTCAGCTACCCATCACCGCACATCCTCCTAGTAACGCTCAACCGACCCCGCGACCTAAACTGCATAAGCGCCCAAGGCCACGCAGACCTACACGCCCTCTGGGAATGGCTAGACACCGAGCCGAGCCTGCGCGTCGGCGTGCTGACAGGCAAAGGGCGCGCGTTCTGCGCCGGCGCCGACCTCAAGGGTCCGTATTACACAGCGATTGACACCCAAACCCCCCATTTTACGGTTTATACTAACGCCCACAGCAGAATGGAACAGCCGCACGTCTGAAAGCAGCGGGTCTAGCGCGACGACGCCGATGCCGAATAGCGGGTTTGGCGGGCTGGCGCGGCGCAAGGGCCGCAAGCCGGTGATTTGTGCGGTGAACGGGATCTGTCTGGGTGGGGGCACGGAGATGATCATTAATAGTGATCTTGTTGTTGCTGCGTCGCGGGCTGTGTTTGGGTTGCCGGAGGTGAAGAGGGGTGTTGTTGCGCTTGCTGGGGCTTTGCCGAGGCTTGTGAGGACTGTGGGGAAGCAGCGGGCTATGGAGATGGTTCTTACGGGGCGGATGGTTGGGGCTGCTGAGGCGGAGAAGTGGGGGCTTGTTAATTGCGTTGTTGATGTTGGGAAGCCTGGGAAGGGGGATGAGGCGGATGAGGCTGTTTCGAGGCTTGTTGTGGAGAAGGCTTTGGAGATTGCTGGGGAGATTGCGGGGAATAGTCCTGATGCGGTGCTTGTTAGTCGGGAGGGAGTGAAGCTGGGATGGGAGGGGATTGGGGCTGATGAGGCGACGGCCATGTTGAATGAGACTTGGGTTAAAAGGTTGTATGAGGGGGAGAATATCAAGGAGGGACTCCTGGCGTTTGTGGAGAAGAGAAAGCCTGTTTGGGCTGATAGTAAACTGTGAGTTACTACGTGTATATAGGATTGGAAGTAAATATCACTTGTGTGAATCGTTCATTCGCTATTCATACTACAGTTCGTTAAGTCATGTAAAAAAACAAATAATCCCAGAATCCGTTCTCCATCGCGCCGATACCTAGTATTCGCCATAATCCATGCGAGTTCAATTCAATGCGAAATCAGATGCGTGGTTGGCCTGCCTCTCTTTGGGTGATGTTAGGATGTTGTGAGGTTGGCAGAAGGGAAAGAGAGGGGCCTACTTTGCGTCAGATTGTACACCGTCCACGACCTTGACCACATGGGGGAAGAGAGGGTGGTCTCGGTCCAAGCCGGTTAATCGGACAGCAGCGTCGGCAGGCGAATTCTCCTTGAGGATCTTGGCCAGCTCCACACTCTCCTCATCACCTTCCACATTCTGGAATCGCAGGGCCATTTCAACAGATCCCATCAGTGAATCGAACTTTCCACCGCGCTCAGCTAGTTGTGCAGCCGGACCGATGAATCGCTCCTTGCGGGAGAGTTTGCGCACCGGGGCACGACCCACACGCTCCACGCTGTCTTCCAGATAGTGGTTGGAGATTCGGGCGATGATGGTCTCGACGTATTCTTGCTGCTCGGTGGCACTGATTTCGTGCTTGTCGACAATAAGTGCGGCAGTCTCCTGAAGCACATCCCGAACAATGCCGCGAATGTACTTATCCTGCAGGGCTTCGGCGATAGTCTTCTTGCCGGCGTGGTATCCATAGTAGGCTGCGGTGGCATGTCCGGTGTTGACGGTGAACAGTTTGCGCTCAATGTAAGGCTCTAGGTTGCTAACCCAGTGAATGGCATCGATTTTCGGAGGACCATACTCGCCGAAGGGTGTTGACTCGACGGCCCACTCGTAAAACTTCTCGATGCGAACGTTGAGACCGCTGTCCGCGGGTTGAGCAGGAACAATGCGGTCGATAGCAGAGTTGGCGAATCGAGCTCGGTCTTGCATAGATTCAACACGGTCCGCGTCGGTGTTGTCTTTGATGAATCCGTGGAGGGTATCGGTGGCACCGATGGCGTTCTCACAAGCAATCACAGCCAATGGGGTAGTGTTGGTACGAGCGTCAATACCCTTGGCAATGACAGGGGCGATGAACTTCAGGATGTTAGGGCCCACGGCGCAGGTAACCACATCAGCAGTTGCGATCTCCTTGATGACATCGGCCTCATGAGTCTTGGAGTTGATTGCACGGTAGTTGGTGATGGTCTTGGTTGACTCGCCCTCATCGCTGACTTCAGTGACTTCGTAGGACTTGGTGGTTTGGAGAGCCTCAATGATCTTGTCCATGACATCAACGAAGACAACCTCATAACCTGCCGTGTGGAGGAACTCGGCAACGAAGCCACGGCCGATGTTGCCACCGCCAAAGTGAACAGCCTTCTTCTCCATGTTTAGATGAGGATGAGTTATATGAAGGGTGGAGTTGAAGAGAAAGTAGAATAGATGGGGTGGGTTGGAGTAGGAGTAGAAGTAGAAGTAGAAGGGGAAGGAGTAGAAGTAGAAGTAAAAGTAGAGTTCTAGATTGAGGAAGGATGTATAATTGGCACTTTCCAAACTCGGGGAAAAGCACTGGTATTTAAATAATAGAGAAAAGCAGAGGAAAGAGAGGGGGACGAGAACATTGGAACCTAATAAAATCAAAATACATAGTATGTTGCCAATGATGGTGGTTGACCATGTTCCCAGGCCACGATGACTTCATAGACAGTTGACGGAACTAGGCTCCGCCTTGTTTCCAACTTATGAGGACATCGTGAACATTCTCGACTATTGTAATCTAATCTATGTAATATCGCATTATTATTCTTGTATTATTGTATTATCTTCGACATATTCGCGTTACACTTTTTATTTACCCCCCTCGCTTTGTACGTGTGCACCCTGATACTACCCAACCCGCCACGAATCAATTACCGTGCAGTAGTGATAACTCATCCCCCACTATCTTCCTCTTTAGTAGTGTATTGTAGACCACTATGCTTCCACCGAGAGAGGAGTTAGTTGAGTTCTAATTTCATTCGTCGTTACAATCGGGCCCGAATCCACTCACCGGAACGACAAAGAATATCGGGGAAACCCGTCGCAAAGTCGTCACCAATACTTCCTCCACATTCCTGACGCTTTGACAGGAAAGACGGAAACCTTGGCAAGTCTGGGCTTAGTTCAAGAGGATTTGAATTTTGGATTCCGTCGCCGGAGAAGAACAGCCGATAAACCGGAAAACGTATAGCCGGAGGACAGTAGTCCTAAGCTCTAAGCCCTAACCTCGTGCCTCTGCTGACCCTATATTGGGTTTGAGGTATAATGCGGGATTTTCTCATAGTAGAATGTGTAGCCTCATCCACGAGGAAGATAATTGTATATCATTTTCCTTCAAATCTAGACCTCAGACTGTCCTCCATCTCCACATGTGATGACGTCGGATGAACGGGTTGGCAGCCAGACCCATTTTTTCCTGTTCTAGTCGCGGCCCCGAACTCCCAGCCCGAGGTTTATTCGAATCTCATCCATCCATTTCCATGCCCGACGTGGTCGACGCTCATTGTGAACTGGTTAGTTAGTTGATGTAAAGTGTTGCCTGAAACTTGCATGCACTGCCCGGAGGTGCGCCCAGAGGGGGCATATCTAAAGAAAAGGGCCTAATTTCTCTAGTCATCCCGGTTATTGGCCGCACTATGCAACCCTCAGATCTCCCGCAAAAGCAAGTGGCCGAATTCGCAACTTTAGTCATTTCGCTTGAAACAGTGCGCGTGTAGTGAGATTGTTTTATTGTCCTATTGGCTAGACGGACGTATAGTCTGGTCTCATTTGAAGGGGTAACATCGTTGAATTCATATCGGTTTCTATCTCTATATGGGATTTAATCACTCCAGTGAAATATGTCCTAGTTTCTCCGACAACCCCCTCCGTCTGAGTCTTTAAACGTTCTCCGACTGGCTAACACCCCCTTTATGGTGAACTGCCCCATTACCCCTCTATGTCCTTTTCGACGGGTGCAGGTGCAGGTGCAGCCTGCCGAACAAACACATTCGCAAAGCAAGCAACACTACCTGCAAGTAACAGCCCCGCCGCGGCCCAAGTCATCCCGAGGAATTTCTCGCCATACTTTGCTGACACGTTTGAACCCTCGCCATGGGCATTAATCAACGCAACGAACTCAAAGGCGATGACCGTCGCAATAATAGAAGCGATGTTGATACTGAAAGATCCGAGCTGAAAATGGTTCACGTCAGCCACTGTCGTATTCCGGGGAAACGCCGTGCTGACCTGCACGGCACAGACGTCTCCCGAAGGCAGAGTTTATGCGCGGGGAAAAAAACAACAGTTTGTGATCCCAGAACGCGTCGTACTCACCACCATGAATCCAAATTCTAGCAAGCCCTGTCCGGCCCGGGGAGTAGCTGTCGTCCATAATCTTACGAGGAGGGCCGCGCCCATCGCGCCAACGCCGATGCAGTATAACACGGCCATGGACCGGGTGGTTGTTCTAAACGCATGGAAGTCGTCGCTGATCACGCGCGGCCACTCCAGCGCCGGGCCGTGGGTGACCTTCGGCCAGTCTTGCGTCGGGTCGAACGAGAAGAGTATTGTGCGGTGCGAGCACTCGGTCACGTTGCGCGTGACTCCCGCGCTAGGGTCGGTTGTCCCCAGTGTTCCCTGGCAGTAGGACATGACGTGGATGGAATAGAAATCGCGCGCTGCACTGTCGGTGCTGCCTTCCGGGGTGTATAGCTAATCAGAGACCGGATTAGTCGATGTGGGGTCTATCATTGGAGATGGAAATTGTGGATGATAGAACTAACCGTTAGGATATCGGCGCCATTGAGGAAGCTCCTTTGTGTCCCTGCGAAGAGACACAGGAAGGTGAGTATAAATGCGATGAATACCGTCACCGTTGGGAATAGACCCTTGATATCCGGATTGGCCATTGCTGTATGTATGTATTATGCAGATGCGCTTTGAATTAAATGTGAATGCAGTGTATGTGCAGTGCAATGATCACTTTCGGTGGTGCTATTAGTAGAGCGGTATGACCACAGCGGATGATACGAGAAGTCAATGTTTAATCGGTGGATTCGGAATCTGTGATTCTGGATCGTCATAATCTTTATATACCATATGAGACGCAGAATAGGTCGCGACCTAGATTTCTCGCGATATCTTCATTCCTGAGTTGGGATGCCAAAAGGGGTTGGAGCATAGGTAATCTGGAACATAGAATATCGAGTTTGAGTTAGTTGTGGCATGTAGGTGCACTCCGCACATCATCTGACAGGCAGTCTCTGATTTATTTGACAGGTACATACCGAGCACAGACAGGTACAAGAGAGGGAGTCGATGTCTTGCCCGCGCCAGGAATGCTGAGGAATGTTGCCAGCCACGGATGGTCTTGCAAGCCGACGAGGAACGGGGTTTCCTCAAAAGAACTTGAAACAAAAATACTTAGTATAAGCGAGAAGAATTTGACTGATTTCATCTCAAAAGGTCTAAATTTGCAGAAACGTTTACAGGGGAAAACATGAATCTGTTCTAAAATTTGACGTCAGGGATCGGAGGTTAGTTATATATACATAACGATACCCAGGTAGATCTACTGACTGATTACTGACCTTTATGTAGCAAAAGCCCCCTTCAAAGGGGTCAGTCATATTCAACTTTTGGAGAAATTAGTTGGCGTGTTGAAAAACTTTTTATAGTTCCAACCAGCTCCATCGACATCCCCTCGTCATAAATTAAACTTAGTCCAGAATGACTCACTCGAGGGCTTTGCCTGATACTTTCATTTCTCTTTCGTTTTCCGATATGCAAGCTTACGTTCGCTATTTTACGAATATATTCTTCTCTCCTGCCCTACATATCTCTCTTTATTCCTACCGATAGATGAGGTAGATCGCTTTCTGTCCTTTTTGTCCCAACAAAGCACAGTCTCTCACCGAACACCTTCGTGGGTCTCATTTTATGAGGCCTTTGTTCTTGACTTGGTTCAAGAGACGGACAAGCACGCACCTGGGAAGCAGGGAATGCGCAGCAAGCTGCTGGAGATGCACAACGATGATACCGTGGCAAGCTGGTTCCGGAAAGCCAGAGCCGGGGAGCTCCTAAGCCGCCAGTATCACCAGACAAACCTTGGAAGATATCGGCAGATGTTGACCTCGGGACAAGTGTGTCAGGTTATGCATAGTGTACCAAACGATAGAATCCACGCGGATAAACCGCTAGGATTGCCAGCATTGATCTGGAAGGGAAACGTTACTGACGCTACCTTGTTCATCGTAGACCGTTATTATTTTTCGAAATGGTGCATTCATATCCTAGTTTTGACCACGATGATCCAGTTGCCGGCCACTTTGGTCGAGGGAGGGCCGAAGTGCCATTGAAGCGCAACTATGAAGTCACACTGCTGCAATTCATAGCCCGCGTTATAACGACATATAGATCGTCATTAGCATTTCAAAGACCGGGACGAGGGTGGTCTTGTGCAGCTGTGTACCTAGCTATGTATATACATTGTAGATACATGAAAGGGACTTCATCTGTGGTACAAAGGCAGTTCCTGCAACAAAAAAAGTCAATTATACTTGGCTCTATTTGAAACGTTGACCTATTACATATTAATGTGTCAATGACTCAGCTTATCATTGAAGAACCGCAAGTTACAAACACGGTCATAATTCACGCTGCAGAGGTGAGATTCCTAAATCCGAAGACAGAGTCGACTTGAGCAATGGACACAGATATGTCAATGAGACCAAGGGCAGAAAATGCTTCAACTCATCATGAAAGAGATGTTTCATCAACTGGGTCACTTTCTACCACCATCCAAAAGCTTAGAAACTGTTATTCACAGCTTCGAGTCTCGCTCGATGATTTCGGCACAGAGATCTCGACCTTGGTGGGACACCTAGAAATGCAACAAGAATGCGTATGCTGTCTAGAGAGCCAACTACCAAGCTAGATGACGAGAACGTCGTGCTCACACTTCTTCTGCAAACCATGCTTGATTCGGCTATTTGAGATTTCCCTGCACGACGGATCCCTATTTCCTCCTCGATGCTGCCGCAAACCAATAGCAGCATCGGAGGACATGATAGGACCGGAATTATACCAACAGCACACGCTGAAAGCCATTGAGTTCGATGATCCGGACAAGACATACTGCTGTGACCCAAATTGTGCTCGGTATATCCCACAAAACATGTGCTCGGTTTGCTTGTGCCATACCTGCGGTGTATACACCTGCAGGAAATGTAAAAGACGAGTCCACAAGGGTAGCTGTGTCAATGCGCTCGATGCCCTTTGTGCCCTCGATAAACTTGTTAAAAAGCTGGCAAAGTGCAAGGGCTGACAACAATGCCCCAATTGCAATCGGTTGATTGAGCGCGAATCAGGCTGTGATCATACTAGATAAGGGTCATTCGCTAATTCTTGTTCGAGCTTTCCTAGATCAAAACTGATATATACCAAATGCGTTTGCACCTTCCAATTTTGTTATATTTGTGCGAGACGATGGAATGATTGCAAATGTCGGAGGTTGACAATTGGCCCATGGCAATTAATCCGCACCTAGTAAGTATTATGCTTTCCTGAAACAGGTAGTAGGCTTCTGGACCGTGCAGAGTATGTTGTATTCGTATTTCGATCACAAGCCAAATCTCTCATTGTCGAAGAGGCACTTTGGAGACAGGCTTCTTGTGTTTCTAAGCCCGGTGGCAGACATCAATCAACATGTCTATCTTTTTTAATCTAGACGTTGAAGTGATATTTACCCTCAATTCACAGAAAAACAAAAAGAGTTGGCAGGTTCGAAACTTCCAGCGAGCCAAATAGTGTGGCCTAATTGATAGGAGGCTTCGGATCATCCCTCTCTATATAGATCAGTGACGCGACCATTTCATCTCTTGCCATAAAGAACAACATAACGTGATCAATATTGAGGAGCACAAGAAAGCGATCTTTGGGACTCCATCTCCACTGTAGTTAGTTGTGTTACGTTCATTGGATCTATAGCAAATACGGCACCGAATCAGGCAAAACACGAATACCAAAGGTCGTGCGATCTCGTCAGATGCCCAAGTGAACATGTTATCTATTTTCTTGCTCCGTGAAACTATTGATACAAGTTAGCTGAGCTGATACAAAACATACCAAATGATAACCTTGGAACCAAGATCGCCGCTGGATTCGTCGGCGGCGGCGTTTGATATTGACCCATGGGGTATACAAATTTAAGAGCAAAAGACAATTTTTGAACTTGACCTATACAAACTCTATAAATTCGTTCCATGCCCAACCTGGCACATGCGACCCTGGCACATGCGACCATAGGATGCCGAAATTGACCTCTGCTCGTCAAAACCGGCTACCCTTCCACCCTTAGTTTTAGGCCTGCCCGGCAACACGTATTCGGCAACGGACCTATAGCTAAGCTCTACCAACTCATGTTCAACTACCCCACAAGACGATCAGGTGGAGTTCTCAATCAACCAGAACTGCCGATAATGGACACAGTTTGGAGTCTGCCATCTTGCATGGTTGCAATTGCATCAATTCCAGGTCTCATAGCACCCATGATACCAGCAACACGGTGTGTAATAATAATCACAGTATAATCTTGGAGATCATGTCGAAGAATATCTATCAGAATAGACTCTGTTTTTGAGTCTAACGAAGAGCTGACTTCATCCAAGACAACAATCGGCTTGTGTGGTGCGGAACACCATATCCGTAGCAGTGTTCGGCTTAAGGCAAACAATTGAAGTTGTCCAGCTGAGAGTGGCAGAAATGATGACATAGGAAGATCGAGCAGGCTTCGAATTGGGAGACTCGCGCCTGCCTTATCAGCCGAACCGGCTATTGAATGGATCTTCTCCCAAAGACCTGTCCTTTGGAGACTCAGGGATATTTCCTGCTCTGAGCTGGTGTGATAAGGATCTAGATTGAAGCGTAGACTTGCCGTTGAAATTATCAGCCCGTCTTGTGGCACTGCAATGAACCCACGTTTTCGCACAGTTCTCTGGGATAGACGGGTGACGTTGATATCGTCGATCGATGTAGATCCCTGACTAGGCCCGAGAAGTTGTAACAAAGAAAGCATCAATGTGCTTTTACCGCTATTGAGACACCGTAATTAGTCAAATACTTTCAAAATAAATCAATCAGACTTGAATGATTGTCATACCTTCCCGTTCGGCCCACAACGATGGTCTTTTGGCCAGGCTTGACGTTGAGGCAAATATTTTGTAGGGCAAGTGGCGAGGTCTTCGAATAACCTACTGACATTTCGTTGACCTGCAGGTTTCCAAAAGAGGGCCATCGCGGTCCAGGATTCAGAGTATGACTAGTGCTATCTTCAGTTGGCAGATGTTCTTGTATGCTTTTCAATCGAGCAATGGCCCCTAAAGAAGTCTCAAGCGATGTCCAGGACTGCACAAGCTTTAGTAGCGTGGTGTTTGCGACAATTATCAAGTTTAGAGCCAAACCAAGATCGGCACCGGCTGTAGTGCTTCGATAAAAGATTGTGAAAGCAATCAGAATAACTGCAAAACCCGTGATAACACAATCTAATATCATCCTTAGCCAGCACTGTAGACAAAGAAGAAGATAGAATGGCTTTTGAGACAGGTCCAAGGCTTTCGAATTGTCGTTCTCGAATTTCTCTTTCCATCCAAAGGCTCGAATTGTAACAATGCCATTCGCCTACGTTCATTTCAGTAATGCAAAATATCGAATATTGTGGCAGATCACATACCGTGTCTAGAAAGTTCGTGAACAAAAGTGATTTTGACTCTAGCTCAAGGAAGCGTAGTTGTCGAGATGTCCGAAGATATATCCGTTGGATGAAATAAACGCATATGGCGCAGACGGGCAAAGTGAGAGTCATCATTGGTCGGATCTTCAAAAGTAGCGCCAACTGCATCAACAGCTTGAAGATTTCTGATAGTGATTGTCAGTAGAGAGATCAAAAGTGAAGATTATGACAAGCAGACGGGTATTGAGATCTGCCAGCGTTGTGGGAAGTTGCTTATCCACGAGGTTTATGTCTTGCCCAAACCTGAATGTCAGAAATTAGCACAACAGTAATGCATGCATATTCTCAACACAGGAGTATACTCCAGACCTGTTGACAATAACACCGATATCAGTTCCAGTGAAGTAAGACAGAGGCGCCCTAATTTAGAACGATCAGTACTTTAAAAAGGTTGACACGCCGAGGTTGGAAACACACTGCAGGATTCGATCAAGAAGCTGTGCGTGTAAAAATTCTCCTGAACTGACAGCAACTTTCATTTGAGTGGCCCTGGCGATGATTAGCAATGACCGTTTTCGACAGCGCCACTATGGTCTTACCACACGGTCCCACTAGTTGCCACCCATCCCAAGAACGATAGTGCGGCATAAAAGGACATATTAATCTTCAATCTGTCTGGGGGAGACTCTGTCGCCCATTTGAGAACATACTGAGCAAATGTAGAGCAAAATGAATAGACAGCCGTACAACTAATCAAAAGAAGAATATTTGACTGGCCGATTGCGTTGATATAATACCCTTCCTGAGGTCAGTAAATCTGGGAGACAGGCTGTGGGCACAAATATACCATATACGGCTCGGTCCCCAGTCCTCCGGAAGCTATCATCTTCAGCATCGCCTAGATGTAGATTCCGGCTCTTCGCAAAAGCTCTAACCTCCTTTGGTCGATTAGGGCTGTGTGAGACCTTTGTAGGCAATGCAAGATCTCCGAAAGAGGTTTTCGAATCTTCAAGGTGGATATGGTGATGTAGCCTTGAATCCTGTAGGAGCAACACTCGGTCTGAAATCGAAAATATCTCTCCTATTCAATCTTTGATGTCAGAGAAGGAACACACTCTGATCGCCAGATGTATGAACCCACTGGAGTTGCTGACTAAAAGCACTGTAGTCGCCATTTTTCGAAATAGACCTCGGGGGCCCAACAGCCTTCGCACAATGTGACCTGTCACAGCTTCATCAAGAGCACTGAACGGATCGTCTAGGACAAGCATTCTATATTTCGAGTAAACTGCTCGGGCCAGAGCCTTTGGTGGGTTAGTCAGCAAAACGATACTGAGGAGCCATCACAAGCAAAGTCACAAAGTTCGTACTATACGCTGTTTTTGCCCCCCAGAGAGATTCATTCCATTGTTCTCTATCAGTGCCATGTCACCAGCGACAAATGAATCGAAGTCTGGCACCAAACCGCATGCTTCGATCACAGTATTATACCATTCGATATCCAGGCCAACGATATGTCCTGATATAGCTTCACGGATAGTGACGCTAGGCAACCACGGCTCTTGAGCGCAATATGCAATCTCCTTAGAAGGTAGGCATATCGAACCAGTGGTAGCAGTGGCTTCTCCGAGAACAGCCATTGCTAAAGTTGATTTCCCACTTCCAACGGTGCCAGCGCAAATCACAATTTCCCCTCTTGTGATTGCTAAATCAACACCGCAGAGTATAGGATGGGGTACCGGAGGAGGCGCTACTGTTACATTTTGCATTGAAACGAATTGTTGAGCACTGCCGCCCTGAGAGACTTCTCGCGCGTCTTGAATGGAACTTTGGTCAACGAAGGTCTGAACACGGTCAAAGTTTGCCATAACAGAAATTGCCTGCGGAATAAGAGTCATGACCATGTTGGCTGGATGTGTAACCATGGCTAGAAGTGCAAGAGATGTAAAGGTCTGGTCGGCCTGCATTCGATCGCCTTGAGAGGACCAGAGGAAGAGAATGAGGGTCAAGACTGGAGCGAGGATCCCAAGTGCATTTGCTAAATTTTGCAGTTAGAATCATGGGGGTGATATTTGTCAATCTGACCTAATACATACCACTTGCATTGTAGGCGACCAGAATCCACCGTAGGCGCTTTGACTTTTGGATCTCATTGGTTCGCAAATGCAATACCTGAAACTGAATTGCATCCTCCATGCCCATCATCTTCAAGCTCTTCATTCCTTCTATAGCTGCGGTTGTTGCGGCAAGCCGGTTCTGCGTTGCCACGTTCCAGCTTTTCTGGCGATTCTCCAAGTGCTTTGCAACATAAGCACTCATCCGTGAACAGGCTTAGGGCGGAAATTAGCACAATTCAAACCCCAAACCCTTCTTCCTAGATATATAGATACCGAAGATTATCACCAATGGTAGAAATGCGAACCATTGGATCTGAGCGGCCAAGAGCACAACTCCAATAGCTACCTCTGCAAGCCGGGCCCAAGTCTCGTGGAGAATCTGACCCACAGATTCGATGCTGTCAATATCTGAGCTAGTCAAAGCTAATGCGGTTGAGCCTTGAGAATTCTCATTTGGCAAATGAAGAGACTGATGGTGAATGAGACCTATCAAAGCTCCCCGAACCATAACCCGCAGCCTATTCACTTGATGTTGGTAAATTGCTGCCGATACCTAGAGCGCATATTGTTAGATCTTTAGAAAGATTGGCACGACTTATGAGTATCGTACCGCTTTTCCCATATAAACCACTGTAGCAAAAAGCACCAATCGGAGGCCACTATCTCCACCGAGAATGGTCTGAGTTGCGCCATTGACAGACCGGATCGCTGTTCCAATGAGGATGGGCTGCAAGTATGTGAATAAGATGAGAAATACGCGTGGAAGTATTGGTAACAGAAGTGGACCCTTGAGACACCTCGCTAATACATATGGAAGCGTCCATTTCGTGTGAAGATTGGCTAAACTATACATTAGCATTGCGCTTCGGGTTAAGAACGCTTGAATGACCTACATTCTAAGGTCCAGTATGCCAAAACTCGCTTTCGTAAGCCTTTGGACAGAAGTCGTGGGTCAATCTCCGGTAAACTCGCGAGATTCAACCTAGCACTGTACCCTTTCCTTAGAACCGGATGCATCCACCGGAAGAACACTCGACCAAAAACCCCTGCTGCTTCTTCCGGGGTGGAATTGAATCGTTGTGAACGATGCGAGATAAAATCATTGACCCATAGATGCGAAGTCAGCCAGATTCCCTCCACAAATATCCTAGATCTGATGAAGTGATAGGAGCTGATGCCTGAGCAGCCTACGACTTGTAGCTCTAGAACATCTCTTGTCAACGAGCATATAAGGTAGGCCAGAATGACACCCGATGATCTTATTCCCCTGCTCTGTTCGAGCACGCAGAGCGAGAGGGCCGCAGCCGCGGCCACGAGTGATAGAGTAGAGTCAATCAGAGTGACGACACTCGTAAGATAGTAGTCATTCAACATGAGACACCAAAGACATGCCAAGTGGGTCATAAAAAGGGCCACCGGCAATGCCTGTAATACGTCAACAAGGTGCAATCAACATGCAATTTCTTTAGTAGCAACCAACTAATTTCTTTCTGTTTCGTGAGATGACTAGCTTCCTCTCTGGCTTCCGGTAATAACAGATGCGTTGTAGTAAACAAAGGAGCAAAATCAGTGACAGTATGATTGATCCCGGTTGGCCGTTTGACGACAACTGGGAACCCATGCTCGAAGATTTGATTTCAGGCCTAGCAACCTGCTCTAAAATGTTTCTTTCCGCCGTGTCAGATGTAAGGTTCTAGGATTTTGAAAAGCCTTACAGAGATATGGCGCTAATTGGATACAGTGGGGGAACATACACGTATAAGAAGGTGCTCAGAGAAATCAGCAACGCCTAGGGATTCCAAATTCCTCTCAGTAAATCTGGCCTGTCTTCAATGAAGACTTTGTAAGCTTTCACGGCAAGCCCGCTCGCGCAAAAATTGCGACAGGGGCTTTGCTGTATGGTCAGCAACACGGTCGCCGCGCTAGTGTACTGTAATCTCTCACTATTCTATGGGTAAGCGCATTCATCTCGCCGAAATTAACAGAGATAAGCAAGCGTTTAAAATCGTTTGTCTTGTGTGAGATAAAGACATATGTTATCATTCATTCGTCAGATTGCGCCTTCATCACTTCCTGCACGCGCGAAGCGTTTGTTCGCCGAAAATCTTTCATTTTGACAAGAACAATAATTGGGGAACAAAAAAACATACAACAGTGAGGATTCGCTGGTGGTCACCCACCCAACTACTAACTCACCGGCGTGTGGCTTAAGTACGGCTGAGCGGACGGGAAGCCCTGTTTTCCACACCCTATGGTCGTATGTACCAGATGAATCATGGAAAGAATTTATATAGGTCCCGTTCAAAAATTGTCTTTTGCTCTTGTCTTTGCATACTCCATGGGTAAATATGGGAAAATAACCAAAATATCAAAATGGTTCTGGGTCAATGTCAAACGCCGCCGCCGACGAGTCCGGCAGCGGTCTTGGCTCCAAGGTTATCATTTGATATGTTTTGTATCAGCTCAGCTAACTTATATCAATAGTTCCGCGGAACAAGAAAATGAATACCATGTCCACTCGTGCATCTGACGAGATCGTACGACCTTTGGTGTTTGTATTTTGCCTGACTTGGTGCCCACCTAAGGGCATAGCATCGAACCGAAATGAGAAACAGCTGGCATACCAGGCAAAGGATTCGCAAGTGAACTGGTGCGCTTATATCAATTCTAGGGTCCCAATTGGAGCCGCGGCCTGGAAAAATATGTCATCATGCAACCCTGCGACAAAGCGGGAGCTTTCGGTCTCGTTGTCTGGCAAAGAATACTAAAAAAGTAAAATTCAAACTATATTTTCAGGATGCTGTCATGCGCCTTGCTTTATCTCAGCACAAAGCGATTCAAGTTTGAAGTTTGAAACTGATTACTCACCGGCTAAGTATTTCTCAAGTCGACCAGGGTTCTCCAGTCCACCAGGAGCGAATGGGCTCTCTTCATTTGTTGTTGTGCCGATGATTATCGGAAGTCGTATGAAGCTTGCGGTCTGAAGTTGTAAGCTAGGAAATACTTTGATTATATATCCATCCAATGCAGGCGAGCAAAGCGCGTCTAGCGTCAGAGGATCATCACCAGAAACCTTTTCGATTTAACAATCAAGCTTGTCGAAAGGCATATTGCGTAGGCATTGCAGTGTGTCCTCAGCTCCAACGCAATTCGCCCGGTGTGTCAGTTGAATGTAAGCTTGCTGGGAACTCAACCCGGGCGGTGAAGTCCCTATAGTTTTAGCCTTCACTGGGGGTAAATAACACCTGCAAAGGAGTAGTAAAACCATAGGAAAGGTAGTAAGGCCCATAAGCCTGAATGTTCTTCCATCCGTCCCATGAAACGTTGTTCGGATGCGGTATGCTAAAGCGCAGGTCTCCTGTAGGGGGCATCGCATATGGCCTTCCGAGGAAAATATCCTGTGCGAAATAATGGTTTCACACTCTAATATATGTGCCGCTCTAAGTTGTGGCCAAGGGATATTCGCCATCGCATCTGAGGAAAGAGTCGATCTGGAATGGTAGGCCAAAACTCTAGGTCATGTCTCTGTACCAATCCCTTACCAATATCCGCCGCCGGACTCGTCGGCGGCAGCCTTTGACATTGACCCAGAACCATTTTGCTATTTTAGTTATTTTCCCATATTTACCCATGGGGTATGCAGAGACAAGAGCAAAAGACAATTTTTGAACGGGACCTATATAAATTCTTTCCATCACTCTTCTAGCACATACGACCATAGGGTGTGGAAAACAGGGCTTCCCGTCCGCTCAGCCGTACTTAAGCCACACGCCGGTGAGTTAGTAGTTGGGTGGGTGACCACCAGCGAATCCTCACTGTTGTATGTTTTTTTTGTTACCCAATTTTTGTCCTTATCGAAATTTACTGCCGGCCTAGCCTTCAGTTGCTTTTTGTTACCTTCAACTGAGCGCGCTCAGCAATAATGTTTTGTACTTGATTGAGTATGTTGTATGCTCCCTACGCTGACGTAACCTTCCCTCTCATATTGAGTGTTCGTTATAGGTGTATTGTTTCCGGCGTACAGCGTGGTTAAAGTAGGTTCAACAATAACGCAATCGGTAAACGACCCTAGGAGCTTTAATGTATAGCATGTTTTATACCTCGTTTACACAGTTACTAGTTCACATTCGGGATATACCTCAACCTACAGTGCGCTATTATGGCCGAGGACAACAAAGACCGAGAATGCCGGTATGATCATCAACTCGTGCTACTGCAGCTCTAAATTCGCTAGTGATAGTACCCGCATGGCAATTTAGGGGCTAGATGCACCGAAGCTGATAAAAACAGGCTGAATTAAACAGCTTACAGTGTCGCATATTAAGTGGATATAACATAGACCACATGCCCTTTCTGTGCCCTATTTAAATTGATACTACCTACCCCCTATCCTAATCAGACAAATCTTAGAAATAATTTCGGTGCAGCCGGTTTAGTACGTTTTCACCTCGATCGCGTCCTTTTCAAGCTTAATAACTACCTTCGAACCGCGACATCCCCCCGAGCTGGGGTAGTGAATCAAGCCGTTATCTCACACCAGAAACCCCGATAACTTACAAACAACTACATTGGCAAGCTGAATTAATCAGAGCTTTACTTTGTACGAGATCTCGAAGTCTACCGAGCCCGTCAGACCGCGCGATAAATCAACTTATTACAAGCTGCTGACTCGCGTTGTAAAGTGCTATTAATTCACCGAAAGAAAATAGTGAACTACGCACCGCTAATGAGAAAGGTAAGCAGAAGCGGACTAGATCTCAAATGGAGGTACCCTCGGCCGAGGGCTTGTCGGTTTTGCAAGTCTCAGTATCAATTATGCAGCTAGAGGGAGTTATTAAACCACTAATGTATGGTGGGTGTGTTGCTCGCTTACTGAATACGCTAAGGTGAGAAGCTGGATGGGTAAAAATCACAATTCTTCGCACGACCGCCACACTGACCTCAGTGAGGCAACTATGTGACACTACTGAGTCGTCTTGATTCCGCTGTCTACTCCGTCTTTGGCATCTACACACAGCTACTATTGCCACCTGAGACTAGTCAATGACAACTCAGTGATATGGATGCTAATCTAACCCTAATGCATGCTTAGTGTGTATCAGGATGTCCCAAGAGATTATTATAAACATAAATGCCCCGTATATGACCCGCCAAGAGCCCTCGTTCTCTTTTTAAGTGAGCATATAGGTTCATAGCGAACTACCATACCAATTTTCCCAAAAATTTTCCTCCGTCATTTGCAGCCCTCCCAGAATATGTCCTACTAGAACATGGCTTACCAGAATCTGTCAACCTTTTTTCTTCTGTTGTCTTTTCTCACTCTGCCTTTAGCCGCTGCAAAAAATGGCTTCACATATCCTCCCAGGGCCGGTGATACAGGCGAATATATCTCTGATTTAGTCTTCACCGTTGGCCAAGAGATATCATTGAAATGGACACTGGAATATGACTCCACTGTCGACTTCTGGCTGCTCCAGGATACTGCAGGTGATGGAAACGGCTGCCCCCTGAGCTATAGCAGGTTATGTGGTAGAATTGCGCGTATGTCTCTCACCCCTTATCATTTATAACCGTGCGTTGTATAACCTCTTGGAAATCTAACGAATTTTTTTTACGTCTTCTAGAAAATATCCCAAACAATGGCTCACTTCCGTGGGTCGTCAATCGAATGGACATGTTATTGTCGGATATTTACTACATCGCCGCAGTCTATGATACCAACTATGGATTCACCGCACATTACTTCAATATCACCGACTCTTCCTCTCTAAATACTACCTCTACGACAAGCTCGGCGCCAAGTGTAACTTCATCCTCGGCGCCAAGTGCAACTTCATCCTCGGCGCCAAGTGCAACTTCATCCTCGGCGCCAAGTGAAACTTCATCCTCGTCAGCGTCAGACGGAAGTACGGCAGCCACGAAATCTTCGGATTCCAGATCTAGCTCCTCCACGCCCGTTGGAGCGATCGCGGGTGGAGTGGTCGGTGGCGTGGTCGGCCTCAGCATCATTGCTGTTCTTGCCTTTATGCTTTACAAGAAACAGAAGAAGACTCGGTCTCCTGGCTCTCCCAACCACGGTCAGGTGGACGGACCAGCGCCTAAGTATCAGTATCCAGCAGAGATTGAGATGCCTGGGGTCTACGTGTTGAAACCGGAGATAGATGGTGCTTCGCGTCCACATGAGCTGCCTTCGTGATAGATAATATACCCTCCATGAGACCTTCTCCAACAAGTGGAAAGAAATATTGACAGGCAGAATGACATGAATATGTGGAAAGATGATTTGTTTGTAAGGCGACTATTCATTTATAAGCACAATTTTGTTACGCGATGCTGACGTGTCACTTATTTGCCTTAACTCCGTAGTGTCTCAACAATCTACTCGCAAATGTACTATGGCCCAGTAATTTAGGCCCTGTACAGGCTCGCCCTGTAGAGGTATCGAGAAAGGGTGCTATTTTGGGTGCCAAGTAGGTCAGCTTCCTACTTGTAGAAGGCTTGGTCTTGTATACAACTAGGGTAAGCTTTAGTTCAGTACCAAAATAATCGATCTGCATACTCGAACAACACTATCTATACTTTAGTCTGTACCAAATTCTGTCTCTTTCATCAGCAACCAAGCTTTGGAAATATGCTTGACACGTGGCAACCTGTACATGGAACAATAAACCTCTGTGACATGCTCGCAAACAATTAGTCGTGTCACGGGAAACACCCATCCTTCTCAGGTGTGGGTGTCCCACTGCCATTAGTTTTGAGGGCATTCCTCGGTTTTGTCGAACAGCGAGGTGCATTTACGCAGTGAGGTGGATTCTTCATCGCAGAGGTTCATTGATTTGTAGATGAAACCGATAGCCGAGGTCGGCATTCTGTAATGACATTAATTTTGAAAACATGGGTCTCGAATGAAAAGGTCGACAGGACCTCTGGAGAAGATCAAAGAAACATGATATATAAGCGTGAATTGACCCTGAAATATGCTGTAATTCAGCTGCAGGTAGAGATGATATGAAGCGAGACGACGTTATGCGAGCAATCACTAGGAGGCCCCTTAAGATTTTCCTACTTGTCAGTACGAGTGGTAAGAGCAAGAGGTCAAAGCTGGAGACATTCTGGGTCAGTTGACATTCACGGGCCGAAATAGAAACAGTCACGAACACATAGCTTCATCTTATTACAATACGGTTGATTGGTTAATCCAACCGTCAAATCATAGCCTCAATTATCACATAAGTTGGTTGATCCATCCGTTTCCACCGTCACCTGCTCTAAGTCTCGGAGAATCTGCTCGATATACTCACCCGCGCCACTGAATTTCAAAATATGTGAGATGGCACGATGAATGCTGAGAAGTCGGACGGATGGCATATCAATATCGTGTCCATTCTATTCATCGTTACCGTGTCTATTGAGGCCGGAGGTACCATTCAAGAAAATGATTGAGAGGAAAACCATGTGCGAAAATTTGAGGGGGCCAAGATGAAGAACACGGCATTTTACCCAAATTTGCGTCGATTGGTGTGTGCGCCCGTAGACACACACACATGCGGAAATTCCGTTGACTATGAGCAATGAGGATCGGCACGCTAGGTGGTTACATAGATATACCCTAATGCATGGGTGGTGCGTATCAGGGTGACAGGACAATACTATAGATATGGGTGCTCCAGCAAGTGCCAACACTAAACCCACTTAGCGCCAACGTGTAAAGAAAGCAAACTGGGAGCCTCTTCCCCACCTAAAGTGTAGGTCCGTGCATTTCACAATACCCTCGTACCCCCTAGGTCTCTGATAAGAAATTATTTCAACCTGCTCGCAAGGGCCACCTCCGCTCCATTCCGAGCACTCGGGCGGGACCGGAGAACTTGAACTCCCTTCTCCTATGGTTCACTAGTACAGTATGGATGGAAGGATGGATGGATTTCATTTACCCTGACCCCTTGCAATTAGGTTGATTTCCCGAATAGACTAAAATCGAATCCGTACCTAGCCTAGTGGGTTGTGGTTTATAAGCCAGCCAATTAGCAATATGCAGGCTACCACTATTGTGTAAATACATGATTGTGTGTTCCAATGAGATTGTTCCAAAACTTCCTGAAAGGTGAACTTTGAGCCTTACCTGGTAGGCCTGTGATTGTCTCCACTTTATCCCGTGAAAAGGCTAGGATTGAAGGCGGTGTACCGATAAAGACAGATTCTGGAGTGATCCGCCTAGGACATGGGGTGGTCAGTGAACCCACAGGCATACACTCTAGAGCAGTACAATGCCATCATGGCAAGGCGAAGGCTGGTCACTTTAAGCGCAAAGGTTCCCTCGCACCTCCACCTAGACTGCGACATTGCCCGTCCATGGGCAATTTAGATCTTCGAGTGCCCGTTCGCAACGCCCATCGCCCACGGGCATGCCCACCATGCCCACCATTGCATAAAGTCACCCAGAATGGACGCATAACTCGCTGACTTGGCAGAATAAGTAACTGCTATTTACACCTGTTTTGCTAACTCCATGTAAAAGCTCGGTTTTGATCTATTATATGTATAAATTTGATTGTAATATCTTGGTATATGAAAAATTAGAATATACACGATACGACTTAGAGGAAAGTTCTAATCAATATACTCTATGTTAAGTGGTAATTTTATCAACTTATTGAAACACGCTGTAACAGTTCAAAAATATATTATAAGTCAGTGATAGGAGCTTTCCATTTTCTATAAGTAAATACTAAGTAACATATTCCACTTCATCTCCCGTCTAGATATATTTCTTATAGATAGATCGAAAGATTATTAGTATAATTCTTATTCTACTTCAAAACCAAGGGGATATAGAGTATATATAATAAGTTCTAAGCTTTATAAAGCTTCTTCTAACTAGAGACTACTCTTTAAAAAATTAATGTCAAGGAAAATAGAAGGTTACACTATACCTTTGAGTAATCCTATAGTGTTCTACAATCTACCTTGGTATACTGGAACTATATTTTGTAAATATATATTTCTACTGTATGTTAGTATCACTGAATTAAGCATAATTTCATCGGAATATTATATCCTATGAAGTAATCAATATTAAACCAGACCTCCTATACTAATAAGCTAACATTTTTCATAAAGTTTCAATTACTATTTTACCAAATATTGAAGTCTTTCTCTGTGTGATCAAAACGAGGGAAGTTGAGTCCAATTGGGTTATTACTGGGTTGTTGAGGCACCGGCAGTTGGGTCCGGTGCTGGGTCGGACCTTCGACCCATTTCTGGTGCGTGCGGAAGTCTAGACGTGAGATATAAAGAGCTATTTGGTCCCACCCAAGAGAGTTTTTATGGCATTCCTTTAGTAACTGGAATCCTATTCTGTTCTACGTAGGAAAATCCCACGCTACTATATAGCATATATGAGTACACAAAGAAAGCCCAAACTATTAACTATACTAAAGCGTCAGAGTGCTTCGTTGTATATCTCCAAAGCCTTAAGCTTATGTGAAACTGCCTAGCCGTTTTAATGAGAAAGACACTTCCCGTGGCGCTGACTTAGTACGTCGATAGTCTACGTCTAAACCTCTATAGCACACCACTGAGAAACAATCCTATATCTTTATAGCCCTTGCTGAGATTGATACTGCCCTGAAGTGCTCTATCAAAACAATCGACTATCTATCTACATATACACATGCCACATCACTGTACCGACTCATAGGGGTCCAAAATCCTGCTACCCGTAAAGACACAGAGGATAGGGAGCCCTGATGGTCGGAGAAAAGGCAGGCGTACTGCCACTTTCTCTCAATGGGCCAGAGACCAAGAAGTACGGAATAGGCCGCCTGATCTGTGCTGCACCTATCCTATCCACTGTGTTACTACCGCGATGTGGGAGGTCCTTGCGCCGGAGCTTAGGCTCCTGGTTAGGTTCCCCGGTAAAGCAGACCAGTCGACGGCAGCTGTACGCGCCACTGGCACTCACTACTGGCTCCAGCAAATGGTCCAAATACAACCGCTCCAAGCCAGCCTCCTCAGATATGCAGTAGCCGAAGATAGTCTCGAACTTTGCCCCGTCGAGGAGAATCAGGTTCCGCAGCGATAGCTCGCTCAAAGTTGGCTGTAGCCTCTGTAGAAAAGCTAGTACATCTGCTGATCTCACCCGTAATCCGCGGAGAACGACGCGCTTTTAGGGAGGTAGCGGGATCATCTCGGCTATGTACGGGAAGGATCGTTCACGATGCCGGTTGAGATCCGAGAATATCAGATCCTTAAGTTGATAATGATGGAGTTCTAGACTCTCGAGCCCCCGGCAGCGTTGTACTAGGGCGGTGAGGCCACTAAACGTCGAATCCTGATACAACTCATGCTCTATATCTTCAGGTTCCCTCAACTCATCTTTCTAATACTCGTCCCACTCATCCGCTGAGTCGCCTGTCAGGCCGAAATCCTCTGTCCTTGGATTGATGACCCGATCCAAGAAGCTTACGGCGAGTGTCTTCAGCGATACGAGTGACGTTACTAGCGTGTTGAATTCAAAGTTCATGGCACTAGGCTCGTTGCACGCCAGGCTGCACCGCTCTACACCGTTGTAGACGTCGAGCCGCTGCACCGCGATCCAACTTGCCGCGAACGCCGCTAGCGCCGTAAGGAACGTGTCGGCGGCAGCTTGCCAGATCAGGGTCTAGCCGCCCCCGTCGGCGGGGGTCCAGTCTCGTCTGCGCGTCCTCACGATACACCACGACTGCCAGGGATAAGGAGCGGAGACCCCGGCGCCTACCATGGGCCATGAGGTTGCGGAATATCTGACTCAGCAGGAGAACATCACCGCGAGATGCATGTAGGGTTTAATACTCTGTTTGCCGTCGAGTCAGGATCCCGAAGTCCTGCTGCGCCTTTGCGCGCTGCCCTGTGCCCTCTGCAGCATACTTGACCTCTTGCGTGAGGAATTTGGTGTTGTTCACCACGCCGACCAGTACCAAGTCGTCAATGAAACAACCTAGTCGGCCGGGCTTTGCTGTTGCCTCTGCTACGGCCCGGAGGCTGCGCTCTGTAACGTCGACCTGTCTTTGCTCCAGGTAGGATCCGAGAGACGGGGCTACGGAGACCCTGAGTGCCAGGCCGCGGCTCGTGAGGCGGAGATTGCAAATATCGCGCAAGTTGAGAAACGAGACGATATTGTCGATTGTCTCAGCAGGACACTGCTCGATGGTGCTCATCCTGTCTTGAAAGATTCGCTTTGACCGACATGGGCTGATGGTACTTTACTCGGGGCAGCAGGAAAGAGGGATTGGGGTGGAGTGAAGGGGGATCGACCCTTCTTATAGTCGGCCCTTGACCCAGAACCATTTTGATATTTTGGTTATTTTCCCATATTTACCCATGGGGTATGCAGAGACAAGAGCAAAAGACAATTTTTGAACGGGACCTATATAAATTCTTTCCATGACTCTTCTAGCACATACGACCATAGGGTGTGGAAAACAGGGCTTCCCGTCCGCTCAGCCGTACTTAAGCCACACGCCGGTGAGTTAGTAGTTGGGTGGGTGACCACCAGCGAATCCTCACTGTTGTATGTTTTTTTTGTTCCCCAATTATTGTTCTTGTCAAAATTTACTGCCAGCCTACCCTCCAGTTGCTTTTTGTTACCTTCAACTAAGCGCGCTCAACAATAATGTTTTGTACTTGATTGAGTATGTTGTATGCTCCCTACGCTGACGTAGCCTTCCCTCTCATATTGAGTGTTCCTTGAAGCTGTATTGTTTCCGGCATGTCTCTCTGTGATTATCTCAAATCAATTAGATCCTCTATCAATTAACAGTAGTAAACTTACCCCTAAAATCCGCTTAACGTATATAAACTTGTTAATCATTTCATAGACTGCCGCTAATATATCAGCGCAGATAAATACTAACAATGATGGGCGTTGATTGGCTTTCACAGCAGACTGCTTGAATGTCAGACAATCATCCACCAGGACAGTAACCGAAGAATGGGCGAAGGTAGAACACGGATTTAGATCTGAGACAACTACCAATCATGGTAAGTAGGCCACAATATATTTTTGGACAATTATAGTGAGTCCGAGGAACAGCCCTATAGCAAACGGCGATACAAACACGCCCACCCAGGACAGGACATAAGCTCAATAATTAATAATACAAGCAAAAGCCACTACAAACTGGTAGCTTCCTGATATTAGAGATCCGAGTGCGCTTAGTGCGGTTATGAAAGAGGGCTGAAAGCCGAACGCCTTTTCAATAGCTCTGGCTAGTAGAGGCCTTAGCGATGGAGAGCAAGGAGGTGCGCCCCGAAGCAGATGAAACGCCACGATGTGAACACGAGGAACCCTGATGCATTCTTACTGATAATGGACCAATTAGAACCGCCCAAGGAGCCAGTAGCTATCGAATCCATCCGGACATACAGTGTTGTAACTACCGAGGGAAATGGTCACTTTATCTACCTACCTATCTAGACAATTCAAGTAGTTCCTACCGATCAGCGCCACCTAGCCGACAAGCATTTTAAAAAGACGGGCCAAGAATCGGTACTGAGAAGTGAGTTTCTCTGTGGGTACTACGCAGTGTGAAACACGCAGGGCAATCTTCCAAAAACCTTGGCTTCTAGAAGGCAGCCACGTCTCGAAAGGGGCCGAGTCCCAGCCAAGATGCAAGGTGACAGGATGATGGAACACGAGAATGAGCTGTGAAACAAAGACAGCCAACAAGAATGTCATCCAGCGGCAGTCATTGGCCGGTGGGTCGATGCAAGACCAATATAGTCGATTCGGGCCAGTGCAGCAAACCGAGATCGTCCAGTATCCACGCAAAGCATATACGCCCCTGAAAAGAAAACGAAAAAAGAAATAGCGCACTGGGCCCATGCAGGCGGGCAGCATGTCATACGCAAGGGCACTTGCAGAGGGTGGGTACATACTAAAGTTGCAAGTAACTATACATTTCTTTTCTCAACCCGAAGTAGCGAGTCAGCCGAGACATCAAATGGGCAGACCATCATTGCCTTGGGCAAGAGTAACCAGCGATAGACGCGGGATATGAGCACGTGCGCGCCACGGCTCTGGCAAGACCAAGCATTGGTGAAGCTCACTTGGCGACGCCTCGCTAGAGACGCCCGTTGCTTGACTAGCTGTAGGTTTTGGCTGGGCTGACCCGGACAAGGGGGGCCGAGAAGCAAGCATTAGCCAAGATACCGTAAGATGCTCGGCGCATTGGTGGTCGCATGTATTCATGATTGATATGTTATTGGTTGTTTCCATGGTTGATAATGCATTTGGTTACGGATTTGTTCTATATCTGAACGAGTTCACCGAGTAAGTCTTGCCAATAATATTCTCGACCAGAAATATACATTGTAGAACGTTGAATTGGGAGATTTGACTGTGACTGACACGCGACGCGATCCCACGTGTTGGTCGAAGATGGAGATTGGGGAAGCTTGAGGATGAACACATGGGAAGATACTGGACTGTGAGTGGTCAGAGATCATGCATATCCCCGACCTCTTAGCGTGGAATCTGGTTAAGCCACTACGTCAAATGGGCCAGAGCGGCCCGTTTAGACTTTGGATCTTTAAAGGAACTTTGTCTTTTTAAAAATCAATTTACTTGATTTATTGGAATTGCCATTGTTTCTTACATTTTGTTTGAACCTATCGGACTGGATGGTCATTCATCCACGCGGAAACTCTGTCAATGCGGGAAATGGAATAGTCCCTTGGTCAGACATGGCATTGGATTCGGTTGCCACTTTGGCCGGAGGCAACCCATTGGTATTCGTACCTGGGAACAGTGCAGCTCTCCATTGTAGGAAGGGTTGAGACTAATTACCATGAGAAATGCCAGGATATGTAAAACAACCGATGTAGTATTCGGACATTACTATTTTATTATAGTGAGCAATACTATCGATGCAAGAATGGCCAGAGAGTTGAACAACACATTGCACAAAGGACCAAATTAGACCATCGCCCCCGCGAAGATCTGCTAACATTTATCTACCGCCTACTGATTGTGGCGATCTGCATTTGAATTCTGCCACCACGTGCATAGTTGATTGGCTCCCGGCAGCTCCAGTTTAACTCCACCTGACTCCACTCCGATCCACTGAAACCCAGAAATTCCGTTTTCGGTAATCAAAATCAGCAATTTCTGAACTCCAGAAGAGACTAACGACCCAGTCTGGGTTCCCCAGCGGCCGAAATCCATTTCTTTTTTTTCTTTTCTTTTTTTGCCTTCGGAGGAAGCAGTTTTTTTTTTTTTTTCCTGGGATCGGAGTGGACCCCATTGTCACCGACTTATCAGCGATGGCCGCCAATGCATGTGTCTTCTCGCTTGTTCCGGTCCTTCCTTCTTTTTCCCAATCCCTCTCAATCCCTCATCGTATATAAGGAAAGTTGATCGCCACTGAATTTGGAACTGTCCATCCACAACCCTCGTGGTCACCCTCGACCCTTCCTTCCTTTCCCAAGTGGAATTGACCTATCTAGGCCAAGAAAAACTTGCTCACGCGACATTTGAGGAAACCTCGATCTCACACAATGACCGACTTTGGACCTCGCGCCCCTCATGGGCCTGACATGTCGGGAACTCACAACCCGTTGGAGGATATGGACATCAACGAGAAGGGAGCTTTCGATTCCCTAATCCGGCCCGATGACAGCTACACCCCCGAGGGTACCTACTGGGCTGATCTGCCCCTCATGAAGAAGATCGGTTTCGTCAGCTCCTACAACAACCAGGAGGCTAAGCGAGAGATCAGTGGCATTTGGGCCATGATGAAGGAGGACCCTCTCTCGCCTGTCTCTTACTACTTCCGCAACATGGTCCTGCCCGGTGCTGGTCTCGGTCTGGAGGGTTATGTGCTTTTCTCCATTGGTAACATCAAGCCGCTCTTCCAGAAGGCTTTCCCCGACTGCTGGAAGTCCGCCAAAACCTGCAGTCAGCAGTGGATATACGCCATCGATTATCTCGAAATCATCGGTATCATTGTTGGTCAAATTTTGGTTGGAATTCTGGGTGACTGGTAAGCCATCAATACAAAGTGTCTCCGGAAGATTTCATTATACTAACGCCGAATCTCAGGATTGGTCGTCGTTGGGGTTTGATTCAGGATGCTACTATCATGTTGCTCGGTCTTATCATGTTGACAGCCGCTTGGGGTGTCACTGAGAATGGCTGGGTCATTTGCTACGCTTGGTCTCTGTTCATTTACGGTATCGGTGTTGGTGGCGAGTACCCCATGACCGCCACCAGTGGTATGGAGAACGCTGTCGGCTCTGGAAAGATCTCTACCAAGGAGGATCGTCTCCACCGTGGTCGCAAGGTCACCAGTGCCTTCCTGATGCAAGGTTGGGGTCAGTTCTTCAACCAAGTCCTTCTTATCATCCTTCTGCTATGCTTCCACCACGGCAGCGGCAACAACCCTTACTCCGCCGTTGCTGTCCAGTGGACCTACCGTGTTTCCTTCGCTATCCCTGCCGTTGGTACTCTCTGGCTCGTCTACTACCGTGCCTACCACATGAAGGCCGCCAGCAAGCAGCTCGACGCCGCCAAGAAGAAGTCTTCCGTTACTGGATACGATGCTCAGTCTTTGAAGCTGACCTTCCGCTACTTTGGATTCCGCATCTTCGCCACTGCCGGTGGCTGGTTCGCCAACGATGTCTTCTTCTACGGTAACAAGCTTTTCCAGAGCGAGTTCATCAGTGTCATTAGCCCCCACACCAGCTCTGTCATGCCTACTTGGTTGTGGAACTTGTGCAACGTCGGTGTCTCGCTGTGCGGATACTACATGGCCTCTTTCCTGATCGACAACAAGCTGTATGGCCGCAAGTGGATGCAGATCATCGGTTTCCTGCTTTGCTTCATTCTCTTCATCGTCCCCGCTTTCAACTTCGAGTACTATACGCGCCCGGAGAACATCAAGTCTTTCCAGACCATGTACTTCCTTTCCTCCTTCTTCAACCAGTTCGGTCCCAACTCTGTTTCCTTCCTGGTTGCCGCCGAGGTCTTCCCCACTCCTATCCGTGCCTCCGCTCACGGTATGTCCGCTGCCTGGGGTAAGGCTGGTGCCCTTTTGGCCGCCGTCCTGTACAACTACATCGACACCCAGACCAAGTTCTACGTTGTTCCTTGGTTCGGTCTGGCCGGTGCCATTATCACCGCCTTCTTCCTCCCCGATACCACCGGTCTCGATCTCAAGGAGCAGGAGCGCCGCTGGGAGTACCTGCGCCAGGGCAAGGAAGAGGACTACCACGGTCCCGCCGTCCACCCCAAGCACTTGTCTTGGTACGAACGCTACGTCCTGCGCAAGTGCCGCTTCTACGACGCCGAGCTCGACTACCAACAGAAGGTTGAGGAGTACCGTGCTGAGTGGGAGTCTGCCATGGCTGCCAAGACTGCCGAGAAGGAGACTGCCGATGCTAACTTTGACACTGACGAGTCTCTCCTCGAGGGTCACGTTCACACTTACTTCCACCGTACCAGCCCCATGTTCAAGGGTATGGAGAAGAACGTCACTGCCAAGCAGGACAACTTCACCTTGCCTCCGCCTGCGGAGAGTGAGAACGAAGACACCGAAAACGAGAAGCACTAGCTGTGTTGCTTTTCAGTATATAAATAATTCCCTTTTCTGTTCTTTTTTATTGGCCAAAAGTGTCATGCATATACACTGATTTGTTTTGAAAGCCTGCCTTGCTATATGATCTGATGCATAACTTTGCTTGATGCATGGAGCGGGGATGTTGCCTTGTAATTAGATGTTGATACCACATACCCTCAGTTCCGAATGGACATTTTGCTACATATCATTATTGAATACCTTGAATCAAATAGACTCTTCAGTAGACTTCCATAGACTTAACCCAAAAAACAGCAATTTAAAGCCCGACCTAAGACCTCAGGCAGAAACGCTGACTAAAATCTTCTCCACCCCAGGGCCTGGGAGTGGGCATCAACATATGGGCTCGATCGACTTCACATTCTGTGAAATCCAATACATAACTTCAAGTAAACAAGACAAAGAAAAAAGACCCCAAAATGCGCCTCTTTGCCTTCGGCTCAAACGGCTCCGGTCAACTAGGGATCGGCCACCAAGAAGACGTCTCCAACCCCACACAATGTCTCTTCTCCCAGCCCAAGCAAGAACCAGAGCTCCAAAAAACCCAGCAATTAAACGACGAAATCACCCACATAGCAGCAGGCGGCAATCACACCCTACTACTGACAAAAACCGGCGCCGTCTACGCAGCAGGCTGCAACACCGACAGCCGTTGCGGAGCACAAGAAGACGAGCTTCTCCCCACCTTCCACCGCCTCAGTCTCTGTGACGCGAGTTCAGGCGCGAAGATCGACTGCTTCAAACTCGTCTCCGCAACCTGGGAAGGCTCCATTGTTGTCTCTGGTCAAACCGACCGCGATGCAGTCTACGTCCTCGGCTCAAACCCTAAAGGCGAGCTGGGCTTGCCTACTGATGTCGTTGCGCTGGGGTCGAGGATCCCAGATTTCCCGCCGGAGGGTGCGAGCGTCGTGGCGCTTGCGAGCGGAATGGCACATTCTGTGGCTGTGCTTTCTACCGGGGAGGTTTATGGCTGGGGCGCTGCGAGGAAGGGGCAGCTTGGGGCGCGGAATCGGGCTGCGAGGGTGCTGCCTGTGAAGGTTGAGGTGCCCTTTTTTGCGGAGAGCGTTGCTTGTGGGAGGGAGTTTACGGTTGTTGAGGGGAAGGGGAAGTTTGTTGTTCTTGGGGACGTGGGGAATCGGTGGGGTGTCTTGCGTGTGCCGTCTTTGCTTTCAGATTCTGAGCTGGGTGCAGGTCGGGATGATTTACGAGGGGAGGAAGGTGGCGGGTCTAGGGGCTTGGTTCGGTATCCGTATACGAGCATTGGAGCTAGCTGGCATGGGGTTTATGTACATGCTGCGCCGGGGCTAGAAGCGGCATCTGCCGGCTCTCATGCATTGGTCAATGATACCGAATCTGGATCTGGATCTGGATCTGGATCTGGATCTGGCTCCCTCATTGCTTGGGGCCGGAATGATCGCGGTCAACTTCCACCTTCAGACCTTCCCACGCCTGTCATGCTTGCTGTTGGTAGTGAGCATGTTCTTGCGCTTTTGGGGGATGGCCAGGTGGCTGCGTTTGGATGGGGAGAGCATGGAAACTGCGGGCCAGATACAGATTCAAAGGGAAATGTATCTGGCACGTACAATGTGGTCTCGCTTCCTGAAATCGCGACAGATGGAAAAGTTGTCGGGGTTGGAGCGGGATGCGCAACTAGCTGGATGATCGTGACTTGAACCCTTCGCCCAATTGCGCACTGAGATGTCCATAGCATATCCACTGGGGAGATATGCTCAGTCGAAAAGACCATATTGGCGAACCTACAGCCGTCAGTGTCCATCGCTAGTCTCGGAAGAAAATTACATACCTGGGACAAACGCTGAGTCGGCGGAAGACCCATTTCATCGTCTTGCTCATCGGCCCGAGACCCGCCATTGAAAGCAGGCTCTGCATCGCGGACAGATGCCCCGAACGCGTCCTGGAACTCGTGTTTAGCATCCCTTCTCCACCGAGCTGAACAGCCACGTACCTGAGTCCCCGACGCATCCCACCCCAGAATATCCTGCGGCTCCTCTTCTTCATTCATCTCATCCCATTGTCTATCATCATCCGCAGGAACAAAGAGACTATCGAAATCCATCGAAAGCCCAGATGCCAGAGGCCGATCCGCGCCAGCTCTCTGACTCAAATTCTCCTGCGTAGATGATCCATTAAGAGGACGAATTGACCGGCTCCGGCTCCGCGGTGGCGGAGGTGGCATCTGCGGACTGGGTGCTACAGACGGCTGCGTCTCACGAGACCTGTTTGTTGCGACAGGGATTGGCGCAGGCGTTTGCCGTGGAATTGTCGCTCGTGATGACATCGGGACATTGTCGTCCGCCTGGCCGCGGGTCATGACTGTAAATTCTGCGTTGACGCCTTCGAAGTGGTACTCCAATTGCAGTGGTTTGCAGGGCCGGGTGTATCGTGCTGTCACGGTGGCGTTGGCCGTTTCTGCGTGTCCCACTACAGCTTTGAAGTCTTTGAGATTGATTGCCACGTGCATGTTTTCTTCGACATTATACTCTTGGAAGTCGCGTTTGTCTGCTGCTACGGATGTGTGCACGGGGTGTTTCAATACCTCTGTATTAGAGTTAGCAAGTCGGAGCTCGACGATAGAGATGGAGTTATTCATACCTTTGCCTTCAGTGACCTTTGTCGTAAAACTTGTAAACACCGCTTTGCCGGAATCAGAGTACATATCTAGCTGTTCAGCAGATAGACTGAAGTGTTCAATGACCTGCTTGAGGAACCGCGGATCAGCAATCCACATGCTGGTAGCCCTAGATTTGTCGAACACGGCATGCTGGATTGCCGCCGGTTCGTAGGTAAGTTTATATGACTTAATAACCCCTAATCTTCTTCGTCAGAGACACAAATTTAAAGCACAAGGACCACGGCATAGAAATGAATCTTACCAAGCCCGCAGATCATCTTCACTGTCAGTCTGCATTCGGCCTGCTGCGGATCTTCATGCAGTTCCATATCACAGCGTTCAACAGCCGTGTCTTTGTTCTTTTCTATTCTCCCGCGGAAAATAGAGAGAAGTGCCTAGATCCAGCATCAGCATGTGCCAAGAGGAATCATACAGCAGAAAAGCCCAGAGATGGAAATTTTGACAGGGTTATATATCTACTCACCTTGAGGTAGATTTGACAGAAGAATCGATCCATTGAAACATTCCCACTCCGGCCATCACTGGCAGAATGGAAAGAATATGACTCAAAGAATACCTCTTTTTCAAATGCAAAGGAGGCAAACCCCGTTTTGGTAGAATTAAGGGCACTGAGGCGCAACTAAGGAGTAGTGTTAGTCCAAGTACGTCATTGATTGGTTTTCGGTTTTCAAATTGAGCTGGAAATTGCAACACAGAGTAGCTTACAATGGTTGGCTCGGCTTCGATAGCGACTGTGTCGCTGAACTTGGCTAGGCATATCAATGCATCGTGGAGCTTGACTAAGGCTGGCGGATCCAGGGATAAAATGAGAGATGTCATGGCTGCGTTCAGTCTGTCCAATATCAACGGAATGGAGTAATAGCTGCCACCTGCATGGATCGATTCCCTTAGTAAATCAGTAAATTGGGCTCAGGACGCGCTATTGGAGAAGACGCGGACAAACGTGATTACATCAGCGCTATACAAAGCCTTGGAGTGGGTCCACCTGTGAACTATACAAATTCACTGTTTCCTTCTATCATTCATTCGAACACCACTATTCTTTCGAAGATCACCATCCTCTCAAAAACTCATACTTCCCAGATATCACTTTGAGCTACATTGATTTGAAGTGATCTCAAGGTGGAAGCACCTCAGGAAGAGATAACACCGCTACAAACACCATCCCAGGAAGAGACACGACCGCTACGACCTAATGCCCCCATCATAAAGATCGCGTCTAGCCTTATGATAAGACCTCTGTGGTTGAGTGCGGGTAGCAGACATAGTGGCATCATGGAGGCCCTGTGGTACTTTTCGTAAGTAGCAAAACCCCATTTCTGTTATCGTGTTCTAGTCGCTGGACATTACTAGCTTCGAGTACAAGATGATACCCTGTCTTTCGTATCGTTATATGTTATGCACAACAAATTGCTGAATACCAAGGGTTCTGGATGGAGCGAGAATCAGCACGAGAATGAGAGTGAAGAAGCTTTTCAGGAAAGAGTTGATGAGGCAGGGAAGGAGATGAAAACTTGGGATTGGGATACTGTTGGAAATGATTATCTGGATGTTGTATCGGCCCTTTTCGGGGTCACTTTGTACAATCTTTCGGGCCTAGTTTCAGTTCCCTCTATATTCTACATCTATAGCAGAAGATGTATGCTTTAAGCTGCTCCCAGACAATTTAGCCACGAGGTGGGTTATATAACAATTTTCATTCCGAAATACTATATACGAGATGGATGTAAAAAAAAAAAGGAAATAATCGTTTGACTTCGTTAAAAGAGGGTATAATGCTTCTCAGATGGCAATTTGTAGATAGCAAATTTCCAGTGAGGCATTTTAAGTACCAAAAGATATGAGACCCGGGCCCGCTATCCAACAGCGGGCACATTTTCGGGGGGCGTCCCTCCGCATCATCTGCATTTTCCTCTCCGGCATTCGAATTGATTCCAGGCTCTCCATTCAATACAAGATCCAGATTGCGATCTCGCTGGGGCAAGGGGTGTGGGAATTGCATTTCCAAAAACCGGCGTCTTCGCCGTCCGTTTCGTAGGGCATGCAAGAAATTGACACCAACTTGTGCGAAGAATATTGCAAAAAATGCACCGATCACAAATACATGAGGAATATGCGTCTCGTTCGTTTGATCTTCGTTTATATCGCGGCGTTGTTCAGATTCATGGAGAGGGTGCGAGTCACTCCCAGGGAATGAGAGTCCCGAGCCACCGAATGAAACGGAGATCGAAAATGAGAATGGCGTGAATGATGTAAACGCCGTGAAGCCATTCGGTGATATCGAGGTGAATAGTCCTGATAAAGGTCTCAATACTAGAGGGATAATGCAGAAGATAAGGAGGGGAACAGATAGTCATAAGGCAGAGTAGAGGGATGAACGAGTAGACCTGTTTTTGAATGTGTCAGAGATGGAGCGGAGCATATTGGAAAAAGTTGATGAACCTACCAGTCTCGAGCCTCGAGTTGCCTGGCCCATCTGGCCGAGATCTTCAACCTCTCTCGAACACTTGTCGAAGCGAGTATGGGGTATTTTTCGTCTTCGGAGATGGGCAAGATGCTTGCAAACCACCAAGGAAAGCGGTCTGCGTCTACAGGAATCGGCCCGTACGCGAGCATGACACGCGGGTGCAACCAGGGAGCACCGGATTGACGCTGGTTGTTTATGAATTCTCTCGCGGAGAGGAGGAGTTGCTGAGTTGACATCGAGTCCAATGGAGGGTCAGACGGATCACCTTCTGACAACACATTTTCCGGGCTAATAGAGGTCTCCAGGGACTCAAGCCGCTCCTCCTCTGCCAGAGATATATCATCCACGCGTTCTGTTTTGGCAACGTGGTACCCATCTAGCATTGCCGAGTCGATAATTTTGAACCGCGACACGCCAGTCGCCACAACGAGACTCCGGCCATCGGGAAGAAGCTCATACCGCTCTATCATTAAGAGGGTTCCGTGTTTCATGAAAGTTGAATCGTCGTCCTGACCTAGTTGTAAGGGGCCGCGCCGGTTATACATCACCATGCCGAATTTGCCATCCCCGCTTTCGACGGCCCGGCGTATCATGAGCCGATATCGGGGCTCAAAGATGTGAAGAAAAGTTGGCATCGTCGGAAAAGAGAGCGTACACACGAAAAGTGGTAGCCTTTTCTCATTATCTGGGCTTGTCTCATCCTGGGCGACAGCATCCCTTCTGGCTGCGTTCTGTTCGGGGAAAAAGTAGTCAATCAACCGCCCCACGGTCTTGTTTATGGGCTCCGCTTGTAGGGTAGTCGGCATGCCTAGCTTGCGGCGACAAATAGGGCAAAGATCAGTGTGATCTAAAACTCGAGCAACACATTTTCGGCAGAAGGTGTGGCCGCAAGGTGTGGTCATCGGATCCAGAAGGAGTGCATAGCAGACTTGACAATCCAGCTCGGCGCGAAGACTATCCCATAATGACTGAATTTGAACAACATCATGCTGTTCTATTTGCTCAGTTGGGGCGTTGGAGCCTTCATAAATGACTTCTTCGGCATTGTGGGGGAAACGGCCTGCCGATGCCAATCTGTAGAGGCCCTCGAGCCAGCCAATTCGCTCCAATTGTGCGCTTTGCGACTGACAGCCTTCTTCGTCTGTTTTCCATCGAACAACGTTACCATCGTCAGAATGAGGCATATTGTCTGTGTCCGCGCCCGCCAGTAATTCTCCAAAAATCGTAACCAGCTTTCCAAGCAGAACATCAGTGCCACAATCCCCAACGCAATGAACCCCGGAACAACCCTCACTTCCTTCCCATGGACAGGTGAACTCCTGGTCTCTGCCCTCCGCCACGGGGTAGGTGATACCCGTCCGTGGGCGCGCGGGGGGGTAAACACTCACGACACACGGTATTCCCGCAAGGTAGCCGGAGTGGGATGCGCAAAGGGCGTGAACACTGTTTACACTGGATCAATCTCACGATAAGATGTGGGAGATTCGCTGTATGGCTAGACACATGGTCTTCTGAGCTAGAGAGATCTGCGCTGTCCATTGCGGTCGGGATATTGGTATTCAGTTGCGTCGGGTTCGAAGACTCGGCATCTTCCATGGCCATTTGGCAGCTATTACAGGAATGAAAGGCGAAGAATTCTGAACAAGCGGTGGATATACCTGGAGAGCTCGGAGTTGAGGATCCGCTATCTGCAGAGTGGCGGGCACAATTGCGGGTCAACTTTAGATAATCAGATCAGTGACAGGCCGAGGTTCACACTTCATATCTACATGTACTTTGATATCAACATTATGTTGGAAGAATATTATGATCTGGTCTACGCTAGATATTACTCTACGTAGATCTATGTCTAAGCTATACCATGCTTAACAATAAATCATATCTCATTTCTTAAGCCCCATGCGATGTCAAGATACAAAGGGAAAAAGGGAAAAGCACCTTATAAAATCGATAATGGATAATGGCGCCAATCAAGCAAGGCACACCCAGAATTTTAAGAATCATAGATTGGAATGCATAAATCATCGCTCAGAATACAAAAATCCAAACACCCGACCAACCGTTACGTCTTCCAGGGTATATGAGCAGCACTGGATAGCTAACAAGAAAACGACAAAGAAAGAAGTTTACTCTGATTGGGAGCTGGCAGAAGACTCCAAGTCCGAGTCGGAATCTTCGTCCAGGACGATTCGTCGCATCACGCTTTTGTCGAATAAGTCCAGAGCAAAGCGACGTGCAGGTAGTCGGAAATGATGGCTTTCCATGATGCACAGTGTTTTGCGGAAGAGATGAACTTGGCGAAATCGCTCAGGTTGTCTTGATTTCAAGCTGTGGTTGAGAATTGTAAGTAAATGCCAAAGATCATAGATGTAGAACGAGGAGAACGGAGAGCCTACTTATGAAGTTCCGAGGCGGCTCGTTTGGCAAGCACAGTGTTGCCCATGTCAACAATCGCCTTCAGAATACGTTGATTGCCGGGATCGGAATCTGTGGTGGCTTCCTTGATCTTCTCCTTGGGAGTGCGCTTCGATTTCGAATCAAAGCCAGGGAAAGAAATCTAGACGAATAAGCAATAAGGACGAGGAAAAAGATAATGATACTCACCCAAAACAACTTCCGGAAATCGGTAGGAAGGCAAAGGCCCAATGAGTCTCCTTTCTGATCAACACCAGAGTCCCAGCCCAACCCTCGCAAAACTCGGAGTCCATGTCGACTGCGGGAGATCAAACCCAGAACAAAGAAGGCAGTGCCTCGCATCGTGAGCACTCCAGCACTCGTTGCTATCGCCACAATCTGCTCAATGATCTCAGCATCAAGGAATGGTGCGCCAAGTTCCATCGAGCCAACATTTCCGACAGCCCAGAGACATCCTTTGGTCTTGAGAAGCAGTTCGTTGTCTTCTTCGTCTAGCTTGAAGTCGCGGATGGTCCAGGCAAACTCACTGAAGTGACCGGACTGCTCTAACAGCTTACATCCCTCGGCAGTTCGTGCAAGTTCTCGATAGAAATGAGGTGGTACCAAGCCAATGTCTTGGAGGTCCACCAAATCTTCGGGGGCAAGGCTGCCACGTCGTGGTTGCTCGACATAAGCACGGGAGAGAGAAGCCTCAACAAGACCAACATAGCTATCATTGCGACCAAGGAACCAGTCGTCCATTTCTTGTGTGATATAGTCAAGTCCATCCAAGTAATGATAGCCCACTGAGGTTGACAGGAACCGGAGAAGTAGTGGTGCGCCGATCTCACCCAAGTGATCGAGAGAGGGTCTGCATTTGACCACAAACTCGAGATAATCTCGCTGATTGCATGCCTCTTCGAGAATCTTCACGGCGACCTGGCAGACCGTGACCTCTGGATCATATAGCTGAGTTACGAGGAGCTTGACGACCCATTCCGCATTACCAATCGCGACGTGAGGAGAAAGCGATACATCACCGACGGCATATTTGCGCAAAAGTCTTGTTGCAAAGATCCGGATTTCCTTAGAACCAATTGTCAGGGCCTTGGAAAGTATTACTCGGAGATGACTCTCGCGACTGTAATCCATATTTCCTAGCAAAGTCTGGATGAGATCGTTCCGGTCTCGCAGTTCAATAATGTGATAAAACATGTTGAGCATGTGCCACCGCTCCATCATGGACAGGCCGTTAGCATCAGCGCTCAATGTTCCCAACATAGCAAAATAGCCTCCACTTAATGTGCTGGCCATCTGCTCACGTGAAAACAGGGGCGATTCAGACGTCAGCCCACTCATGCGGTCCAGCTGAGCCAAGCATTCTGCAACCTGGCGAAGGAATTTGTTCTCTGCCAGATACTTGGTACCCTCGGGGGTCATGACGAGAGTGCGCATGAGGACACATCCAGTTCGCACATATCGCTGATTCGCTTTTGTGTTTGAGACCATGGCAAAGCGATACTTGAAAGGTCGGTAAAAGCCAATGAGTCGTTTCATAAACTTGGAGCCTTTGATTGCCTCGTCCATTCTTTTCGAGTTTGTGAGAGGACCCTCGACCAGACGATGAATGATATCCCATTTCCATTTGGTATAGTTGACGGTGTTGAGGACATGAGTCTCCAAAATGGCATTGCGAAACTGGGTCTCGTCCATAGCAGGGCTCATCTTATCTTTGCCCTGTTCATTGGGAAGTAACGGTATTGATAAGTCTGTTTCCATGTTGTACCGACTCTGTCCACTTGGATACGCCCCGGAACGCGCCAATGTTCGATTGATACTATCGATTTGGAAGATAGTTGCCGTTGAGAGATCATGGTTTTCGGTCTCAAAATCGATTGCTGGAGAAATTAGGTGTGGAAGGACTTGGAGGTTGGCGCTGACCGCTTGGGGCAAGGAATGGTGGGCCAGCTTGAGCACTTCGGTCAACAGCAAGGTTGCCTTACGCCGGAGAGAAAGATCAGATTCATCCTCGATGACATCGGAGAGAGTCTGCATTTTGTTAGTTCCCTTGCCCATCCCGACAATGTGTATGGTAAATGGATGCATACCTTTGCGATACCTGCTTCAACCAACCCTGCCAATATGAGAGTAGAGAAATGTGAAGTTAGATCGAATCTGTTGCTATTGGTGTCGTGGAAGTTGCGAAGGAGCTTTGATGATTCGGCTTCGGAGCGGAGATTCGAGACCCTGCCGTAGGTTGTGAGTCGTCTGCCCGCAAGGAAGGATGACGACCACGACGGTGGCTTGATTCGCAGGGCGTCGAATAAAAGCTCCATGATCAGATCTCGGGCTGTCGGGTCATCATAATGAAGCGAGTCAAGAAGTGAACGCAAAGGCTGTGAGTCGTGTCTTGCGAGGATCACCAGACCAGGCCAGGTTTTCAGCATCGCGGAAATTGCCTTGGCCGCAGACTTTAAACGCCCGCTGCGCAGCGAATCTGACAATGAGTCGGTAAACGGCGTGAGGACGGCTTCCAGTTCCGATCCCTGGAGAAACTTTCGGCTGCGTGGAGTGTCCACAACATGCAGAAAACTTGAGATCAAGCTCTCAGAAGCGCCGAATGTACCCTCTGCAAGTGCATCATGCAGGGCAGCAAATCCGCCAGCAGTTGCAACCATTTCAGGGTCTTTTACCAACATCTCAGCCAGAGTCATTATTGATATATTGCGGAGACGGTCTTCATGATGCTCGGCCACGGCCACGATGGTTCGAACAACAGCCCGCGATATCTCTCGGACTCCGTCTTTGACATCTAGGAAGCCTCTGACAAATTTCAGTGCTTGTTCCCGTTCAATGCTTGCTTTGGTATCTTTGACCAGGGAAAGTATCACCAGTTCATCGGTGTGTAAGGAACGGATTGTTTGTAGGGATTTGCGATCCGCAATGGCGTAGCGTGTTAGCCGATAGCCAGCAGCTACCACTTCTTTGTTGTCACTTAAAAGCATGACTTGGACTCGTAGCCCGAAAACGGGCCATGCGAGGTCGTACTTCAATGTCGGATGTCGCTTAAATAATTCAACCAAACTGTTCGCTCGTTCAACGTAGAAATCGGGAGACATTCCCTCCACTTCCAACGCTTGCAGTGTTTCCGAGAGAACATAGGTGGGCGATTCCATCTCTCCTTCGCCATTTTCTTCACTGTCCCCATTTAATGAACTAGTGGCTTCTTTGTTCCGAGATGGCGAGCGCATGGGACTGGCTCGAAAGAGGCTCGAAAGTCGGCTGCTGCGCGGGGGTGTCGATGCCGGCGCCTGTGCACGTAATATCTCCTCCTCCAACTCATGCTGTAGTTCAACCAATTTGCGGTTGGAAGAGCTCAATTCCGACTCCACTTTGAGTCGCTGTTCCTTGGTTTGTTTCGGTGGTTTTGCCAGCAGCGCCTCCAACATGTTCTCGGTCCCGCTCTTGATCTTCATTTCCCTTGCGATCCTATCACGAAGATAGGCCTGGCGCTCCTCGGTTGTGTGTAAATCCTCCTCGCCGATCGATCTGCTCGCCCGTCTGTTGTATGCGCCGTCCGGTCGGGGGGTCACGTTGCGGGAGTGCATGCTCCTCAGCTCCGCACTGAAGCTACCTGGCCCGCCAAATGACGGTGCCAATGACCCTCCTCGTGCGCCCATGTTACTGCTACCTCCCGATCCCGATCGCCCATTCCTTCCAGTCTGTGGGATGCCATCTTGCCAGCTGCCATCAGCGGAGCCGCCATCCTGGCTGAACGAAGAGCGCCCGTCACCCAATGGACGGTGTTGGGTTGACGCGGAGTATGCTGAGTTGTGCCCGGAAGCCATCGAGCTCCATTTAGCCGTGACGGCTTCGCTATCACCTATCGCAAGTGTTCTGGGTATCAGGTGGCTGCATTGAGGTCGACTTGTTTCAGAGGGAGGGTTGAGCGGAGCAAGGGCAGTATGGGGAAGCGTGAGGGGCGCGGTCACGGGTGTTGATCAGAAGAAGGTAGCGGCCATGCCTACCTGTCAGAATAATCAAGTTTTAGAATGGACACACCAGTGATGGCTCAAATTCTCTTGTTGTCTTAAAAGATACTTGATTCATCCAGATCTGGACGAGCTTGGAGACCTCAAACAAATAGAGGCTAGCTTACTAAGAGTTTATCATGCGCCCGCCATCTCCAGGGCTGGATGTCGACAGCTCATTTATATTGTACGACCTGAGCCTTTTTCTGTTTGGTTTCTTTTTTCTCTAGGGGCCCTTGTTACCACCAGGGTTTGAAACATTGCCAAACGGCCTTCTACTCGACGTGATACAAAAGAATTTCCTTCAGAACACTGCCTAAAATTGCAATGTCCACAGATCTATACTGCGTGTGTTTACAACGGAGATTGGAATCATCCCAATTTTCTTTTCCGCCATCAAACTGAGATCATACATGATTTAAAGTCAAGATTGCCAGTCAATATGTAGACTAGACAGTCAATATGTCGATTTTTGTTCCATCTTTGGAGAAATCTTTCTGCTATCATCATACGCCGACGCAAACCAGCAAGAATATCATACACCGTTAACAGTTCATTAGTTGTTGGAAGTGGTCTTCTCAAGAATGGTCTTCATCATCTCATTACCAAGCGTGGCAGCTTCGGGGAAACGCGGCGCAAAATACTCTGCAATCCGCTCGAAACGGTGACGGTAGGACTCAAAGTCACCAAAGGAGACACAGTCAGACCACGCCTGGTTCACCATGTTAGCAGATGCAAATAACACGACACAAATGTCAGGACTATTGACTGGAACATACCCGTGCAGCAAATGTGAATTCCAGGTCGTCGGAGCGGAAGGTGTTGTCGTCGATTGCAGTATCCAGGGCCTCATCGAGAAGGTCCTGGTTCCGGAACAAGTATTCGGTCACACCCAACCAGAGACGGAAGAGCTGCAAGATGTCAGTAAGATGATCCAAGGATCATATCTTCATAATTTGTTACATACAGGTGTGGAGCAGATCATATGATCATAAGGAACGATGCCAAGCTTCGACCAACAGTCAACAATGGCAAGCAAACTGAGATGACTGTTGGGCGGCGCCTTCTCGCGTGGCCGGTTGGACAGAGAGAATCGATCCAGCACTTCGTCCTTCAGCAAGAGATCCTGCTTTTCAGTTCCAACTCTGAAGACCGAAGCGCCTGCAGCCTTCACTCGACTCTTGAGCTCCTCCCGGTGTCCTCCGATCATGAGCTTGTACAGTTCAGTGACTGACTCGGCGTACTGGCGAATCTGCTGCTTAGCCGCCGGGTTGAGGATGGCGAGGCCGGCATAGACGTGCCATTTGTTAGAGTAGATGCGCAAGGTGATGTTGATCTTGACGTTCTCGATACCGCCGACCCATCGACCAAGCTCCCAGGGGAACTGATTGTTGGCCTGCCATGCGGTTCCCATGCTCAAGAAAGCCGCGTGGGTGACGGCCTGTGTATCCGCAGTAATGCGGTCGTGCATCTCGCCGGTGAGATAGACATGTGTGGATCCGAAGCAGGAAAGGACGTTGTTGACAAATTCGAGGCTTTCGTCGGAGGCGCGGTGTTGAATTAGAACCTATATCACACTGTGTTACTAACAGACGTTCGGGCTGATTTAGAATCAAGCACAAGGTGAGCCATACCAAAGGCTGGCCCTGTGTGTTGACTTTGGGACCGTGTAGCGAATGACAAGATATGATCTCTACATCGGTAGGCAGGTGTTTTTCGAATGCAGCAAGCTCCGGGGCCTTGCAGGACGTTTGACCACCAACGATGGCACCAAGCTTGGTTGCTATGCATGCGAGTCAGAATATACTTGGACTGGGAAGAAACCAGTGGCTTTTGGTCGACACATACACGGCCCGTACTGTTCCACGACTTTGTCGATGGCTCCGGCTTCTACACTGTACAGAATGTAATCGCTAATTCTTGAAACGAAATGTCCATTGGCGAGTATGGTGACTCCTTTCTATATACGATGAGCTTCTTGAGCTTTTTTTTGTGGTATAACCAGACGTACTTGAGAAGCGAACTCTTGTTTTAAAGATTCAAAATTCTCAGGTCTGTCACAGGCGTTTATCCTTGATATCAAAATACCACGTTAGTGATCCCAAGTCTATAAAATTAGTTTGTCAAGGCCCGATGCAAATCTGTAAAATCTTTTCAGTTGTTAGCGAGTGATTCAAACAATTGAAGTGAAGCAATAATGGTGATTATTGAACAGAATCAGACAAAAAAAATAAGGTAGCGTGGGTTTAACATCATCGACGGCGGGTTGGTGAGCCACCAGCCAGAATGGCGTAGCGGCGCCAACCACACAGTACTCGAGCCAAATGCACTCATGTCATCATTCGAGGGGGAAGGTGTGAAAATGTGTTGAGAAGAGACCGGAAAGCTTACCTTGTAAAGCATTTTGTGGGCGCATGTTGAATGAATAGGGGGATAACCAGTTACCTCCATCCTGCGGCACTCAGGCGCTGGGCATACATTTTGCCCATGTCACCCATACCGATGATGCCAATCGAGGCATCTTCTTTGGTGCGACCCATTCCGGGAAGCAGTCACTGCTAATATGAGGCTCTTGTGCCTGGTAACACTGGTAGCCAATGAAGGTTACTTGTAAAACGTTCTGCTCAATTGAAGACGCAAACTCGAAGTTGTGCCACTTGAATTTGGGAAGATCAATTGCAGTGTTGGGAACAAACCGTCAGCAGCGAAAGATTTTTTTAAATAGGCACTGGAGCTAGCGGCTTCACCGCCCGTCGGGCCGATAAAGATGCCGGCGAAAGTACTTGAAACCTAAAGATTCAGGTATCAACTCGCTTGGTAACAGCCAATCACAGTACAGAAATTCTCTAGGGCACACACCCACTTTTTCTCATCCAAGTGGGATCGTGATCCGACTTTTTCTTCCTGTTCGTATTCCATCCACATCCACCAACAACAGTCGCAATGGCCCCCAAGACTAAGGCTCCCGCTGCCGCCAAGGAGAACGTCTCCCTCGGCCCCCTCGCCGGTGATGGTAGGTTTGAAAATTTAAAGCAGTCAGGAACATGAGGACTGACAATCGCGACAGGCAAGCTCGTTTTCGGCGTTGCCCGCATCTTCGCCTCCTTCAACGATACCTTCGTTCACGTTACCGATCTTTCGTGAGTCTCCCATAATCAACGAGTCTCTAGCGCGCCAATTACCATTGAAGCCGAGACAACACCATCCCGAGAATGATAACTGACTAGTCCTTGTTCACAGCGGTCGCGAAACCATCTGCCGTGTCACCGGTGGTATGAAGGTCAAGGCTGATCGTGACGAGTCCTCCCCCTACGCCGCCATGTTGGCTGCTCAGGACGTCGCTGTCCGCTGCAAGGAGCTCGGCATCAACGCCCTCCACATCAAGATCCGTGCCACTGGTGGTAACGGCACCAAGACCCCCGGTCCCGGTGCCCAGTCCGCTCTCCGTGCTCTTGCCCGTTCCGGCATGCGCATTGGCCGTATTGAGGACGTCACCCCCACTCCCTCCGACTCTACTCGTCGCAAGGGTGGTCGCCGTGGTCGTCGTCTGTAAGCGTGTGCGCTTGCGGCTGCGTCTTTCCCTTCCCCTTGCAAGATCATTGCATGGCTGGATTGGAGGCTATTTGCGGGCTTCTCCTGCATCTGTGGATGGAATAAACGCGAGGAACGGCATTGATCGCCTGGTCTTCAATTTTTTTCATACGCTGAAAATTACTCTCTCGGGTCATGCTGTTGTGTTAGGTAGCTTTTTGACATCTGAAGCAACATCTTGATCCATATCTTGTCCCTTGTAAAATCTTAGTTTATTTGATTCGTAGAGTCGATTGTTTGTCGCATCTAGCTGCGGTATCACCTGCGGATTCAATCATCCGCGGGGAGCTTTGGCGGGGCCGATAAAAAGATAGATCCTCTGTCCCAGCTCTTCTCGCCACTACCGAACCTCCAACTCACCCTCCACTGCTCTATCTTTTATAATTCTCCAGTTGAATCGCACCGTTCTGCATCATTTCGCATTAGACTGTTAGACTCGCGCGTTCATCTTCCCGGTTGGAGCTCAGCCAACTCCGCACCTTCGATTTTCCACCCGCGCTCCCCCAAGTGCAGACTTGCGCCACTCAACCAAATACCAGAGCCCCCTAGGCAACTTGGAAGGACTCATCAATAGACACAATGTCGACGCACCAGCCAACGCCAACAATCCTCCTCCCACACCTCCCGCCAAAGACCCTCGTCGGTATTGACCTAATAACCTTCACATCAACCGCCAACTTCCATGGAATACGCGACCTCTCCCCAGGATGGCACTTCCTCTACACCGGCGCAACAGAAACCCTATCGCTCCGCAGCGGCGCATGGTTCTACATCGGTGACATCAACACCGCAGGGAAGGGACTGGACGACACTGCGCTCGTCGCGCAAGCTCCGACCAAAAGCCAGGGCACACCAGGGCCGGAGATCTACATTTGGAAATGGAGCGTAGATACCGAGACACTTGTTTCACTGGGTGAGGAAAGCGATACAGCTCGTCAGGAAGCTATGCGCTACAAGGCGAATCTGGGCGCTGTATGGCAAAGTGGAGGGCTCTTCAAATACCGCAGCCGAATTGCGCCTTCTATGCTCGTCAAGTCTGCGTCAACTGAAGAAGATCAAAAAGACAAGGAAGACCAACCCCAGCCCCAAATCGAAGCGCGGGTCCAGACGGAGGATGATGGCGAAACTGAAGAAAGTGGACGGAGGGATTGGTCTGGGTTGACGAACCGGATATCGCCTAGTTTGTTATCGCGCATCATTGGGAGCCCGGAGATTGACGTTGATGGTCATCCACGATGGCTATTGACGTCTGCTTCGACGGCCAATCGTGATGCGGATCATATTCCCGGCGTTGATTCACCGGCAGAAACCAACGAGCCGGGGACGGGCGAGGAACCGGAACGAGAATTTGGGTTCGTTCCAATTGACCTGAAGCGGACGTGGAGAGAAGGCGCTGTTGGGCGTGAGAGAACGGAAGCCGCTCAGGACCGTTCTTGGGCTCTGGGAGATCTGATCGACCGGTACGCGGGAGAGGCTTCTGGGGAGAACCAGCTGCTTGGAGAGTTGCAGTTCACTTTCCTCATGGTGCTGACTATGATGAATTACTCGTGTCTTCAGCAGTGGAAACGGCTTCTTGAGCTTGTTCTCACATCCCGGGCGGCAATCGTGGACAGGGAGGAGTTTGTGAGCGAGGCTCTTCAAATTTTGTCGTTACAATTGCAACGATGTGATGATGTTGAGGGTGGGCTGTTTGAAATCGATGGCGATGAGGGTGGTTCTTTCGTCCGCAATCTGCTCATGAAGCTTCGTCAGTCGGTCGATGACCTGTTTGACGATGAGGCGGGTTCTATGGTCAAACAGCAACTCGACGAACTTGAAGAATGGGTGAAAGCGGAATATGACTGGGATCTGCATCGCGGGTCGGTTGTTCGTCATGGTATGCTTCAACTGGAAGACGGCGAAGAGGTTGAGATGGATTGGGATGGAAATGATGAAGAGGAGGAGACTGGAGAGTATGCTCCAGTGATTGTTGATATGTGAGCCGGGGTCAGGCATTGGCTCTGGTTCTATGTCTGGGCGTTCACAAACCGTGTAAACTACTTAACGACGACTACTATATATCTAGCTTGTTAGCATTTGATGGCGTTTATTTCTTTCTCTCGGTGAACTTCATTCATAATCGTAACGGGCATCATCTTTCAAGGGCATATATAATATCTATCAAGTTATCATCACTTGGATCTACCTTTTATTAACCCAGAGGCATTTCTACTGCATGGCTATTGATTTTGAATGGCAACCTAGTGTTATGGCTATTTGTTCAGCGATAAGACGAAATACATTTGCCCTTGGACATGAGGATTTCGCGTGTAATAGCTTCCGCTGCTTTCTGGCACGCAGTAGTTCCATTGATCGCTTGCTTTGTCTCCCTGTGATATATGAGTTATCTGTGTTTGACTATCACAACAGGAAGCCTTCCTCCCAGTCTGTGAGAACTTCAGTCTTCCCGCCACCTGCATCGGCATAGTATTTGCCTTTTGGCGACAAGGTGGCTTTGGTTCTAGCTGCATTTTTGGCCATCAAAGCTCATTCTTCGAGCCTCTTTCTTCCATTGCCTTGCGGGCCTTCGCGAGTGTACCAAGCTTCTCATGTTCAAATTTCACTTGCCATGTTCGATCCAATCTTACCGAGACGAATACATGGTAGGCTTATCGACATGGCCTTGGTAGACAGCATAGACCTCGTTCCTTTTGCTAGGTTTTCAAGCCATCGGCGAATTAATCTGTCCAATGCTTATCTTGGATCCTCAGATCGTATGCACCGCGAGAAATGAAAACCCCGACAGTATGGCAACTGCCCTGATATATCACATATGAACGGGAATTGGAGCATATGCATTGCCATCTCAAGGGCAACTGACGGCTTTGGGCTGCATTTGACTGGTAAATGTTCGATGAGCTAGCTTTGTGTGTCACGACCTAAGTAGATGGTCCGAAATGATCAAGTTATCATTCAGCCCAATTGCCTAGAGGGGCTATCTTTCTTGATCGAGGGAAGCACACGAGGCCTAACTTTGTCTTTGTATTTAGGGGAAAGTATAACGGGACCACGCGTATATAAAGGTGGGTTTAAATACGGGAATTGAGGGATCTTTAGGGATTCTGGTATATAATATGCCTTTCAGGTGTGAGAATTAGTGCTCTGTGAGCAATGCTGACGTCCATGGATGATGATGGTGCGCGACCTGGGCAGTAAAGCTCATGATCCATGGTGCGCAGATCAAGACCCGTACCGCTCATTGAGCGAGTTTACTAGAGTGCTTAATTTTGGTCAATGAGCAAAAAGCAACAAGAGGTAAGCACTGAAGCGGAAAGAGAAAATCATGTTCGCGGAGGCCTAAATTCCGGTTTATATGTGTATTGTAGGCAGTCTATGCAAATGTTTTTATCCCGTCTATTTCTCCTCCTCGATAGTGTAGGCCCATTCATGCTCCTCCTTTCCGAACATGATAACCTCGAGCCAGGACTTGATCTGCGCAGCATAGCCAGCAGGCTCGCCATCCACGCCCAGGGTGCTGATATCGGTGTTCTCATTGCGGATCATGGCAACAGGGGTAATAAAGTACTAAAATAAACAGTCAGCATGCACGCATTATTCAAACAGAACAAAAGCCACTCACAGCAGTGCCCGAGACGAAAGACTCGACGATACGGCCCTCCTTCGAAGCCTTCTCAATCTCATCGACAGTGAAAGTGCGCTCCACAACCTCCAGCGGCGCAAGCTTGCCGACGAAGTTCTCAGCCATTCTCTCGCGCACAAGCTCCAATACACTGCGGCGGGTAACACCAGGCAGAATAAGCTGGTTGCCCAGGGGAGCGGTAACAAGCTCCAACTTGCCGGTGTCTGCATTTTTCCAGATAATGAAGAAGTTACTGGCGCCAGCCTCTGTGACCTGGCGATCCTGTCCGAAAAGCCACAAGATCTGATCGAAGCCCTGGACCTGGGCCTGGCCGTGGGCCTGCAGGGAAGGGCCGTAGTTGGCGCCGAGCTTGGCGTAGCCGAAACCGCCGGGCCAGGCGCGGATGGTATCCGGCGAGGAGGCGAAGAGCTTCAGGCCCTTCTTGGGGGCTTCTGTGGGGTCCTTCTTCATCTTGGTAAAGTCGGGCCAGGGGACGGCAATGATGAACATGAGGGCTTCCTTGGGCACTTGGACGCCCAGGTGGGGTCCGTTGCCGATGACGGAGGGGCGGATGTAAAGGAATGAGCCCGGGTTAGGGAGCCAGCCTAGATGGTATTGTTAGTGGATTGATTATTTATCGCGAGCAGGGAGAGCTCGGGACGTAACGTCGGACTTACGGGGGCCGTCAATCTGCAAGAGCTTGGCAACAAGCTTCTTCAGCTCGTCGTACTTGAAACCAGGCAGAGATGAACGCTGGGAGCTGCTGTTCAATCGCTCGCCGTTGCAGTCGGGACGAAATAGACGCAGCTTGCCGTCGTATCCGCGGTACACCTTCATGCCCTCGAAGCACTCGGTGGCATAGTGCAGGACGGAGGCTGTAGGTGGGATGCTGAGATTCTGGTAGGGCTTGATCTCGGGGGTTTCCCAGCCCTTTTCGGCAGTCCATCGCACAGTGACCATGTGGTCGGTGCAGTGAGAGTGGCTCAGCTCCTCGGGGGAACCGGGCAGAGGCACATCGCGTAGGTTGGTGGAGCGAGTGATGTTAAATTTTGAGCCATCGAGCTCAGCAACGTGAGGAGCAACAGAACCCATGATGAATGATTTAGTTGGGTCAATTGAGTGGATATGTTATAGTTCTTGTTATCCCTCTTTGATGGGAATTTTGATGAGTCACTGGGCAGATGACCTGTTAACCGATGGTCTTTGTTGGGAGAATGCAAGATTCAGACAGGCAACCAACCTTTTTGTTGTTCTCTAATTGAATATGTTTACAATGTTGAAATCACAAAAGAGGAATTGAATTGTCTTATAAAGTTACGCGGTTTGCCCCGGGAATGTCCCTTTGGTATCAGGGCGGATCCCAAGAAAAAAAGTTTTCAACGCCGAGCGGGAGTCGCCTCTCCAACTTTTCACTTTTCACTTTTCACTTTTCACTTTTCACTTTTCAACTTATAATTGCCACTCCTAAGTGAACATCCATTGCCAAACATGAGCTTTTCTGCATACTATGATGAATCTTCCATCATTCATTGTGCGACTCCAAAGTCCTGTACGCCTTGCGCCTTGCGCCTTACGCCTTAGGAGGGGTCGAACATGATACAGTTATCGATCTATAGACCCACTCGGCCCGGTTGACATCTCCGAGGGTAGCCGTCGCTCGTTGGCCGTTCTTGCCGATATGTTCTGATATTGATGCTATCTGCTCGATAAAAACGCATATCTAGTCATAAGAGTGTGGCCTATATACGAGGGAAACTCGGCGAATGGAATCTCTCAAATCCAGCCAATTGGTGTACATAGATCTACTGATACAGTAGTCAATCTACTGGCATTGAGTGAATCTGCCACTGGAGTAGGCGATATGATCCTTTTAGGCTGCATGCATCTTTGTCCATCCCCAAATGTTCGCTCAAGGTTTGAAGAGTAACACGAAAGGGGCAAATGAGGTCACCGTTCAGTATGTGCATGCCATCGATCGAACATTGCAAACTCAATCACCAATCTTCCAAGCAATGATCCAATCACAAACGGATGGGTGATCTTTCCGCTCAAATCGGTGTCGAGCCTGAAAGGCGTAGCACACCTATGCTAATTATCGCGATGTCCTCTAAGTGCGTGTCCCTATACACACTACAATGTTCAATGCCACAACAATGACGATGTACTCCAGGTGTTATGTGATTGGGTCATCGTGAAAAGATCTATGCAGCCTGGTATCGAGTAGCATGGACCTTGCAGACTAGATGAGAAGTAGGCCTCCAAGTACACACAACATATATCAAAACATATATAAACTACCTCCTATCCGAAAGAGCAAGGTACAGATTCCAAGGTTTTATTTAACCCTTATCTCATGCAAATTGCAAGCTCCACGCACAAAAAATCTATACCTACCGTCTCAAAATGTTGAAAGTCCCCCGACGCCTCTTTACGACCCAAAGCCCAGCAAAGACAGCAGATACATTCATCCAAACCCACCCACTGACGCACTCCCTCCGAGCAAACCGCACATTCATCGAGTCACGGCCCCACCTCCATGCTCCGGGGCTACTACGAGCGGAGACGCTCATGGGCGGATCGCTAGCAGGATCCGAGAAAATAACCGTGCCACCGTACGTTTTCAGAAAACGCGGGGGCGGCAAATGCGTGATTATAATGCACCTCGGGAGCGATGTCTGCAGTCATCCCGGCGTAGTCCACGGCGGACTTCTGGCCACACTGCTGGACGAGACTTTTGCGTGGTGCTGCCTTCCTCGTTTCCCGAAGAGGGTGGGCGTGACGGCCAACTTGAGTGTCAATTATCGGGCACCAGCTATGGCTGACTCGTATGTTGTGGTGAATGCGGAGATTGTCAAGATGGAAGAGCGTAAGGCTTGGTTGGAAGGTCGGGTTGAGACGTTGGAAGCTGGCGGTGCGTGTTCGACGCTCCTTGCGGACGCTCAGGCGCTCTTTGTTGAGCCGAAGAAATCTGATGTGAGTCTTTCTTGGGCGATGCCTGGAACATATTGTCGAAAGCTGGGTGCTGATGGTTTAAGGGATTGGGTGGTGTTTATCTAACCTCGTAAATTTAGCATATGTATGGAAGTAGATATGGACTTGCGGGGGGTTACGGACATTGTTTTGGGTTGGCCTTATTGCCTTTTGATCGAATTGTTTGATGCAGTACGCCTTGTCTTGAAAGCTTAGACGCAAAAATGTTATTCTGAAGTTCGACGGAACGAACTAGAAACCAATCTTATGGCATTATGAAACATTTCTGATCTGTACCAGCACTTCTATTATTTGAGAGGTGCAAAGAAGGTTATACTCATTTGATTAAGTGGGCTCGTAGCATTAAGCTTATAGTCTATGGGAAAAGCACAGACCTCATGTTCATAGTACAATATTTTAAAATGAAGACAGCAGTTGATCTCGAAGACACGACGCCATTTTTTTGTAAATTTGAGATGTTGAAGTGTTTTAAAGTCGATGTAAATTGCTCCCTTCGTGTCAAGCTTCTTCGTCTGTATCATTTGATCGCTATACGTTGGGGGTTTTCTGAGACATATAAGTCATCTATAGTAATCCAAAAGTGTTCCCGAGGTTATCGTTATAGAGCATTTTACTAGGTTGATTCGCTCTTCCTCCCTTTTTTTTATTTGCCTCATTCAATACAGAAACCCTGGAATAACCTCATACCCCACAGACAAGTATTTCCAAGTTTGCCCCAGCCTCATCATCATATCTGCCAATCTATCTCGGTTAGCAAGGCCATCTGTCGATCACAGATGGCGAATACGTCATTTACGCTACCGGAACATTGCCTCTTATCACGAATGCCGACATGATATTAGTCGATGCGAACGAATCAAACAAAGAAGAAATGATGCCCAGTCTAATTAATAATAATATAAAATCCACAAAATGTATTTACTAGTAACTAGCAAACCATTTGCCTCTCACCCAGATTGGCTGACGTGGGAGATCTGACACAAAGCGATCTTAGTATGTCGAATATATCACACCCATGTGAGGTGAAGTCATAAGCCTCTTGGGTAGACCGACAATTGGGTAGAGAACCAACATAAGTCCTTAACCATGACTCGATCCAGCACATGATATTCAACAATGTTTGATCCCGGGTAAATAGATAATCAGCTCACATTGTATTGCGGTATGAACCTTGTCGATCATCCACTAAAGAACCTAAGTGGCTCGTAGGTTAGTAAGCGGTGCTAGAGGTGACACCACAGGTGTCAAAAATGACCAACTTATAGGCCTGTTCGAGGAAAACAACTCCAGGTCAAGACTTGTGGTCTATTTAGGTTTCGACGTTGGGATTAGGTATTTAGGTATTCCGCTAATCTTAGGGGCTGCAATGCAATGGCGGCCCGTTCAGTGTGCTATATCATAAAATAAAAATAGAGGCTATACGATTTTGCACAAGAATAGTGGAAAGTATAGCATAGTTATACATGGTGGCCAAAAATTTTAGTATCTTTCGATCTTTTCATAATTTTCAAACATTGTTATATGAAATGTGGGGAAAGGAAAACCATCTTATCGAGCGAAGTACGAAAGAAAAGAAAAGCAAACAGGCCCACTTCATAAAGAACAAAGTACCATATGTACAATAGTACACGAAGTATGGACGGCAAAATCATCCAACCAATCAAACAAGTCCGGCTATTTTCTCCGTATCATTGCCAGCCACTCACCGATCGCCATAAAAAAAAGTACATATGTAGCTCCGAGATACATGATTACAGATCGCAAACACGCAAGGGCGGACCCATTGGGACAGGGGACATGGTCTGATGAGATTCCATAGATCGGCAAATCTCGGTATATTGTATATTGTATATCGTATTGCTTTCTTCTGGTTTTTGAGTGGTTTCTGCTGTATCCCAAAGAAGTAACCACTCCCCGGGCTTCTAGCGTTCATATCTCCGAACGCCGTATCCGTACGGAGTACATGCAGGTATAGCATCAATTCGTAATTCCTGTTACATTGCAGTAAAAGCTATTGGTCAACTTGCAGGGATTGTTGGGAACTGTGTAGTTGCCTAAAGGAGGAATGGAATCTCAGCCGCATGGCCCCCTATTGGATATTGGATCTTGATCCTAGTACGGAGGACTATAACTGGAGCTTTGTTGTGCGGGGTTTGTGTAGTTCCAGCCAAAGCGATAGGACGGGGGCATGATGTTATCGGCCGAGCGCGAACTAGACTTGACGGTAGGGCGGGAGTATGCGACACTAGTAGGTAATTTGACTGTAAAAGTCCTTTCGTATGTTTAAAAATTTTCATTCAGACTTTTGCATTTTTGGAGGGGGAAATACCGTATCCTTACGGAGTAAATGCGGCCGATAGTTTATGACAACAAGGCTACGAAACGGGCTTGCATGGGTTAGTGCCGGATTTATAACACCGGGGCACCACAGACCCCCGAGCACCCTAGTCATATCTCACAGCAGATTAAGTCGATATACAACGTTAGATAATAGGTTATATATAACTGACATCATCACTCGTGTAATGTGGCCAATAAGTATAATATATTGCAATATTATGGCTATACTTACCTATGCCTATGTTCCTGTACATAAGTATGGATTGACCGTAGCTGGCTGAACCGAGAACACGCCAAGGTAAGAATTGCCAAAAAAAGAAAGCAGTCGAATTTGATTGGTTGATGTTTTAACCGTCCAATAAGAATCGTTGGAAGATTATTGTGGAGGTATTACAGCTCCAGGCAAATCTGCTTCCCAAGGGGTTCGTCTCGAGGCCAAGTAAGAATTGAATGGTGGTTCGGAGGATCGAATGATTCCAGATCCTATGGGCATATGTACCACACAAAGAAACGAAGGATGAGGGATGAGCGGGTAGCGAATTATGTTTCATGCTGCTAATACCGGCTGGCAATCACCGTGTAGATCCGCCGCTGTGGGCTTCCGATATATGGATTTATTTTCCTAGCCCTGTTAGCAAATACCGAGGGTCACGGTGGAGACAAAGATGATAGGCTGAGATGTTCCATGACCCGTGGATTCGAAGGACAAAGTACAACCGGGACTTTTTGAGCCGTAGGTAATATAGCAACATGTCTTGGTCAACCAGTGTGTTGGAATCTGGCCCCTTGCAAACCCCGAACTTTGGATCATTTTTCCTAGGGTCCGTCCAGGTCGAAATCAAAGATTTCATGTTTCCTAATATTGTAAGAGAACTATGCAATAAGTGATTAGGGGGAAGGGGGCGGCTGGTCAGAGTGACCACTGTTTATCAATGGCAAATGCTTACTACCAAGACAATATTGATGTGGGTTCACGAGTCGCAAGCTTAACATAGATGATGCTTAATGTACTCCGTACAGAGTACATGATACCTATCAGATGAAGGCGGAGAGGTTGTGGGGGTTGCGGGTGTTTGAATATTTGAATATTTGGCGACTTAAGGAGTTTCCTCTTGTAGTTTCGGATATGCAAGTGGAGTACAATCTGTACCATAGGCAGGCAAACAAACCGAGAAAGCAAAACCTTAACCAGATGGTCAAGGATGAAGCAATATGTGGAGTCGAATGAGATTGGATTGGCTGCAAATCGGTCGCGCTCTGCTGCAGTCAAGAGAGTATTTGGGACGTTGTCCATATGATGTCCCTTGTCTTGATGTGCCGTACAGTTTTCTTTTTTTTGTTTGGCTCCACGTTCTTTTTTCTTTTCTTGTTTTGTCCTGCTTATCATCAATTCTTTGTTTTATTGGTGGTATTCCGGAGGTTTGAGCTAGTGTTAGGAATTCCACTTTGGATGATTGCCCCTTGGGACTTCCGAGTTTTACCATATTTCAGGTTAGTCTCAACTCGGCCGCTCGCTATATGCTGCATGATACATATGTATTCTTAAATGTTTGGCAAACTGCTGATTCGTTAGCTCATAACTACTGCATTCCAGTTTGGGCTACCGGGCTACCCCGGCTGTATGACAGGCATCGAGCCCCCCTTCTTCTTGTTTGTCAAAGCAGCCCGAATTTAGTATCTTGTCACCCGCAGGTAGGCTCTGATCGCTTCAAATGGTTCCAGAATAGATGTTTGGACCGTGTCCCACCTTGATGCGTACTTAAAGCAGCCGCCTGTACCTTGACACCCGCATCCACAACATGACCATCATCTCCCTTCTGACGCCCTGAATGCCGGCGGTTTTCGCAAAAGGAATATAAAGAAGCGCAAAGACGTTGGCACTTACCTTCAAAGATCAAATCGTGCCTATACCCTATCCAAGAGGTATTCCATCTCATTCGAATCCTCGATAGCCAAATCCGGACATAATAGTGCACAAACTCGATCAGATGGACATGATGAGCCATCCCAATAACGCAAGGCACTTCCCGGCGTTGGCTCCAGGCCCGCCGCGTATGTTCGCACCACAAATGTCGACGGCTGTCACAAAGCCAAAGAAGAACTCGACGGCTTGTCTGGCATGCAAGGCAGCTAAAAGGAAGGCAAGTCGGTGCAAAATTTTTTTCCATATCATCCACAATTTGCAGAGAGAACAAAGGCTAATACCCGCTACCCTCAACAGTGTTCTGGGCCCGATGCACCTTGTAAGGCCTGTCGAGCCGCCAACACCTTGTGCCATTTTGATCCGAGTCGAGACCTTCGACGCAAGGTCGCCGTCAAGCGGACGATTCACGAACTCACAAAGTACAAAGACCTGTTGATATCTTTATTAGGCACTGTCGAGTCGGCCGACAAAATTGAGGTTGATAAGATTTGGGATATGATTCAGAGAAAGGTTACGTTTGAAGAACTCTCTCTCGCTGTCGGAGGCCCTGAGACAAAGTTCGGAGACCCCAGTGAGCTGTCAGCTGCCAGCAAGTTAGCTATAGCAGAGTATGGGGACCAGCCTTTGGAGGTTTCGAGATCCGAGGCAGGACGAAGCTCTGACGCTAGACGAACATCCGACGCTGGCAGTACCGCAAGCTCCCCAGACGAGGTTCAACCAATGAACCTTCAACGGCCAACTGTCAGTCCTTATGCACGTATTACGCTGGAAAGTCTCTGTGATATACCTCTATTTGAAGTACCGGCGAGGCCGTGGACAGAGGTCACAGATGACGACTATCTGGTATCACACCTTGTGTCACTCTATTTTACCTGGGACCATCCGTGCTCGCAGTTTCTTGATCAACGCACTTTCCTCACGCATATGAAACAAAAGGGGGGCTCAAAATCCGAATTCTGCACGCCGATTCTTGTTAATAGTCTTTTATCACTGGCCAGCGTATGTTATAACCTCAGGTTTCTTGTGTCAAGGTCAATAACTAACTTTGATAGACACACTCAGATAGCCCCGATGTGCTTTCAAGCCCCGACAACGCTTTCTCAAGGGGCCAACGCTTTTTTGATGAAGCACAAAGACTGTGGCAAGCTGAAGAGGAAATCAGTTTGCCCAACATTCAAGCACTTTTGTTGATGTGTTGCGTGTATGTAAGCCCCTGGGTTGTTATAGCCAATTTTTCACGTATTTTCTGAAAGCTGATTCAGTTTGCAGGTTCAAATTCCAGGGCCGAGCTGTTCAAAGCTGGGCTATGCTTGGGCAAGCTGCCCAGTTGGCCCAAGAAATGAGACTCTTTGATGCTCCGATATCTCAAGATAGGCCATTGTCGGAAATGGAGCGTGTTCGCACAATTACTGCCTGGGGTATCTTCAACTTGAGCTCGTAAGTACCACTTAAGATATGACAACTTGAACCCACAGCCACTGATATCTCAGCAGGCAAATGTCAGTTGAACAGAGGAGAATTGGTTCTTTGGCGTTTCCTATGTCAGACATCACCCTTTGTGGTAACGATGACTTCGATTGGACTCCATACCCTCGGTCCAACAAGATCACCTACCATAAGAAGCCAGCTCGTCTGCCAGAAGTCCGGCAAGGACTAGTTGAGGTCACAAAAATGATGAGTGATGTTCAAAAGCTTATATCCGAGAGACAAAGAGGCACGAGCTTCGATGAGCTGTGGACAAAGGCACAAGGTCCCTATGATCGGTTGACTGACTGGCTCCAACGCTGGCCCACCGTGTCTGAGATGCAAACAGATCCGGTCCCTCAAATCCTTCTCTTGCGAATCAAATGTCTTCAGGCTATTGTGTCTCTCTTTGAGGAGTTGAACGACCCCAATCAACCACAATTCGCACAACAAGCCCGATATTATCAGACCAAGTCCGCTTATGAAATGGCGCAGTGCTTCCGCGTCCACCGTCAGGCTTATGGTCTCAAATACATACCCAGTGAGATGGCTGATGCCACTCAGAGAGGCCTTCAGGTCTTGGCCCACCAGATTCAAGACAGTGACGAATCAAGACAGGCCTTTATGGAGCTCTGTCGCTTTGGAATGGCTTTCAGTTATACGCTCAAACAGACTGCCAATGTGGTCCATGAAATCAGAAACAGCGCGGTGCAACTTCAATTGCCTGCCGAGGCCATTGCAATCCTTGAGGACAAGGGTTACGAGTCGTGAAGTCCGGGTAGGTCATCTGTCTCGCTGGAGGCTCGGGCCACAAACAAGTGGTTGTGTTAGCCGAGGCCATCGCTGGATTGGTAGACGTTCAGACGTGGAGGTTCGGTTTTGGTGAAGGGAGAGTGAGTTGCTGCTATTTTCTGGAAAGCAGCTGTGCGGGTAAACAACGGCATTTGCCTAATTAGCACCGAGCAGTGACATGACTGCTTTCGACAATCAGGTTAAAGACATGTGGAATATCAAAAAAAAAGGGGGACGCAAAACGAACACGGGGGGCATGCAGATCGAAAGGAGAGGGCAGAATACTCAAGAGAGAGAGAGAGAGAGAGAGAGAGAGAGAGAGAGCGACAGAGTGTGTGTGCGACTTTGGGGCCACTTACCATTATCCAAAGTAGCCGGAGATATTATCCCCCTTGTCCCTTCAGGACACAAATACGTAAAATAGGGTATCATTCTTTAATTGATTATTGTTTAATGCTGACAAAAGAAATAGGTTCTAGAGATATTGTTATCAGTAAAAAGGCACTTGATTACCTCTTTGAATCAACTATATTTCTATCTGTTGGCTCCCATCCGCCGATGCTTCCATATCATGTGCACATCTGTCAGTGTTTCATGAGGCTTGAGAAAGATTATCTATCACATCATCTCAAAGTTGGGCATTTCAGATCGGTTTAACGATGGCTGAAATCCTTTATTTCCCTCATCAACACCAAGGGAACGTTCAATCTATGGTGATCCTGTATCTAGACACTTTTACTTCAACCTGGATCCAATTTCAACAATTCTGGCGAGGTTCTACGAATTCAAAGATGCAGGCGACATTTCTGCCCAAGAAGCATGCCAGTGGAGAGCATAGATGTTGGATCCTATCGACCCGAACAGCTCCCAAACAATATGTAGCTAGAAATGTCGAATCGATAAGCCTACTGAAGTGTCCCAATGGCGACAATGTATGACTTGGTCCCCAACGAAAGCTTTAAGATCTGCCGAAGAAAGACTAGAAGCGTCAACAAGTACAGTAGCCTTAAGAATCCGGCTATCCATATACGAAAGAGCTTCAACATATTTCTTCTTTCTACTAGGAGCTTTCTTCCCAAATGAATCCTGTACGGAACCTAGGACTCATACGCTCAGTAGTCAGTCAGGCATAACACAGTCCCATATTCTCACAAGTGAGAAGTCTTTAACAGTGTTTGAGCATTTGGAATTTGGAAGTATGTATAGCCCTGGAGTAGCCACCGCCTTGCTGACATTGAAAGCAATCACGAGAAGTAGATATTATAGGAAATCTAACCCCAACCAAGCGTCAAATCTAGGTATCTAGTACACAGCTATGGTCGAACCCTGCTGAGTCAGCAACATGCGATAAGATAAGCACAAACACCAAGCGAAAACCCTCAAAATTCGACTTCTTTGGCAAATCGCACACGCCGACGCTAGTCCTCCCTCCCCACCTCGCCTTTCCAGCGCCCTCTCTGCCGTTTCATCTCGGCATCCTGCTGTATTTTTCAATATCTTCACACTTCCTCCCATCCTACCCAAAATGTCGTACGACGACCGCGCCAATGCGCGCCCAAACCTGAACGACGAGTCCGATGTCGAGGAGGAGACTATGGCCAACGACTACCGCGAACAGGTCACCTTCGAAGATGGAATGAGTGAATTGGACCGGATTACATCCCAAGGCGGTGCCACCCAGGACCTCCAGGCCCAGCTGGCCGCAGCCGCTACCCCGCTGGAATACCAGGCTACTCTCGAGACCAAATTCGCCAGCTACGACAACTACTGCAGTCTCTTCCACTACATCCTGAACTCCGATGGTCCCGTCGACTTGGAAGTTCCCTCGGTAGGTGTTCGCCCCCCAAACGACGTAATATTGAATACCGTGAATGAAAAGGAAAATCTTGGCATCCGTGGATCCAGCAAAGATCGATTCATATCAAAAGGATGTACAAAAAACTAACATCTTTTTTCTCACTGTCAGTACTACTGGGCCTGGGAAGTCATCGATGAGTTCATCTACCAATTCGAGTCATTCTGCCGCTACCGCAACCGTGTTGCTCGCGGTGGATTCAACGAGGAGGAGACCCAGCTGCTCCGCGAGAACCCGAACACATGGGGCTGCTACTCTGTCCTGAACGTGCTCTACTCTCTCATCCAGCGTTCCCAGATCAGCGAGCAATTGAACGCCACCAAGCGGGGAGAGGATCCTTTGGCCGTCGCCGGCGAGTACGGTTCCCGCCCTCTCTACAAGATGCTCGGCTACTTCTCGATCATCGGACTGCTGCGCGTGCACTGCCTGCTCGGTGACTTCAGTCTTGCCCTGAAGATCCTCGACGACGTTGAGATGAACAAGAAGGCCATGTTCGCCCGCGTGATGGCCGCCCACTTCACCACCTACTACTACGTGGGCTTCTCCTACATGATGATGCGCCGCTACGGCGATGCCATCCGCATGTTCAGCCACATCCTCGTGTATGTGTCTCGGACGAAGAACTTCCAGAAGGGCGGCAACAACTACGATGCCATCGCCAAGAAGAACGACCAGATGTACGCCCTGATTGCCATCTGTGTCGCTCTCCACCCCACCCGTCTGGATGACACCATCCACTCCGCCGTCCGCGAGAAGTACGGCGAGCAGTTCTACCGCATGCAGAAGGGTGGCCCCGAGGCCCTCCCTGTCTTCGAGGAGCTTTTCCGCTCCTCCTGCCCCAAGTTCATCAACCCCACCCCTCCCGACTTCGACAACCCCGCCTCCAACGTCGACCCCGTCGACCACCACACCGCCATCTTCATGGACGAGGTCAAGAACACCCTCTTCAACCCCACCATCCGCTCTTACCTCAAGCTCTACACCACCATGGACCTCAAGAAGCTTGCCGGTTTCCTGGAGGTGTCCCCCGAGCAGCTCCGCTCCTGGCTGCTCGTTAACAAGCAGCGCAGCCGCCAGATCCGCTGGGTCGAGGGTGGCCTGCTGGATGGTGAGCCTGCCATCGCCAACGACCTTGACTACGCTCTTGAGGACGACCTGATCCACGTCAGCGAGACCAAGGCTGGTCGCCGCCTGGTCGACTGGTACCTTCGCAACCTTGCCCGCGTCTACTAAATGGCGTGTGTCTCATAAGTGTGCCGAGAGTTGAAAAGCAAAAAGAGAAGAGTGGAGAGAGTCTTCTGCTTACAAGAAGAGGAACGGACATGACTTGAGATGAATTTTCTTTTTCTCTGCCTACTTTGTTTTCATTTTCCATATTATACTCACTGCCCTTTCCCCTTTTCCCCTCCTGTTTCTTGTTTCCTTTTTTCATTTTATTTTTCGAGTGTTTCCGTCCGTAGATCGAGGAAGTTTAAGGCTTCCTGGTCAGTTCAAAATCAAGGATTGTCTCGATTTTTTTTGGTGGGCGTCCGCTGTTTCATGTGTTGCTCTGAGCTGTTGTCGCTGCTTTGAAAGCAGTTTGTTCACACACCTTGGAGATTATTTATGCCAGGTAGAAAAGAAAAGCAGTTACTTGATGAAAGCAATAGATCAACGAGAGATACTCTACATATTTCAGCCCTCTTCTATCTATGAGTGTACGGTGAAGTGCGAGATGCTTGTACATGGTCAGGTATTGGACTTGGACTACAAAACCTCTAAGGACTGGCATCAATTCAATGAATGAAGGCATTCTGTGATTACTAGGCCTAGACTGCATGAACCCCACTTTTTATCTACATGTACAATTACGCCCCCGGGCTTGGATTATAACAACAACAGCTCACCAGTGGCAGCTCCACCCGCTAGCTGTGGCTGATACCCCTGCTGTTGATTTTGCGTCACGACATATTGCGTCTGAGGCGCACCTCCACCACCGGTACCATCCAGGTCCAAGGAAGCCATTTGCTGAGAGCCAATTCCGCTGAAGTAGGCGTCTGCTGCATCAGCAGCCTCGTTCATGTTGCTGGGCCCTGTGTATGCGGTGTTGGGCCCGGGACCAACCGGGAGATTGGGTGTAGGCGGCGCGTTGATCGGTGTGATTGGATTTCCCGTCGTGGTGATGGTGGCTAGGCCACTGTTACTAGTTGACGCAGAGGCCATATTGGCGGAGGGAGGGTTGTATTCCAGCATATTGCCTGTGCCGTCCTCAACTGGGGGGCGTTGCAAAGCCGGGCTGGGTAACAGACGTCGTGGGCGGGCAGCACGGAAGACTTGATGGATGGGTTTCAGGTATACCGTAGCCAGAGTACCCACGTTCAGACACAGTTCCTCGAGCGTGCGAGGGTCCAGCTTTTCGCTCTCTGCGGTAATTGGAGGTTTTTGACCCATGACCACCTGTTTGGCAGTTGCTGGGTCTGTGGACAACAGTCGCCAGTACATGTAGCCACGGTCGCGAAGATCGGGATCATCTGTTTCTTCAGTGCACCATTTAAGTACTTGCGGTACAAGTTGCTGGCCCTTGGTGGGTCGCTGGATAAATAGCTTGACAGTAGCCGTGAGCAGGGCCAGCTGCACTTCGACCGTTTCGTCGTGGAAAGTAGACAAGTAATCTTGGAGGAGGCCATCTGAATTATCAATGCGATCCGCATACTGGCCAATGATCCAAATAACGGCTGCCTTGGCCTCGGGTTCATCCAGATCGTCGATGTTCCGAATAACGTGGCTGATTATACTTTCGTACTGGTTGGGGTATTTGCGGAAAATGTTGCGGATCACCACTGTTGCTTCTTGGACAATATATGGGATCTTGGCGTCCACCAGCTCCAAGAGTGTATCAATACACTGCTTCGCAGAGGATTCGATTTTGATGGCCAATTTGCCAATAGCCCGAACGGCCTTGCGCACAAAGTGAACGTCAATCTCAGTGGCATATCTGTGCATCAAGTCAGTACATCTTCGAGGCAAATGAAGTAATAAGCACCTACTCTCGGAGCTCTGCCAATACAACGGAGATGTTTTCCTTCGTGGTCAGCATAAACATGAGTTCCAGCTTAGTCACTTTGACGTAAATTGGGTCATTGTAATTGCAGAAGAACACCCGGATATCATTCCGTAAGACCTCCGGTCTCTTCTGGAGAATTAGGATAGCGTTTCGCAGAGCCAGATATTGGACCTCTGGGGGCTTTGAAAGGAGTGTGACGAGAGGTGGGGATAGCTTTTTGCATAATGAGGTGATATGCTTTTCACCCGCAATGTAGTTCATGAGATAAAGAATAACTCGACATGAAGTAAGAACGACGGCGGAATTTTGATGTGAAAGTCGTGGAGCAATTCGCTCTGCTAGCAGAAGTGCCTCGGCAGCATCTTGAGGCACATAGGACATCAACGCCTCCAAAATGTAAGTTTGGCCCCATCTATTTAAACGTTAGCACATTAGTCGATACACGAGAGTTAAGGAATCATACTCAGAGCAGTCTGCCAAAATCGAAACCAACTTCGAGGCGCTGACATAGTCGATGGTAAGAGAAATCGATTCACTTCGGCCCCAAATATCGACCAGCGATGCTAGAACGCTCGACACAACAGTCGGGTTTTCGTCTTTCAACATGCGATTAAGTCGATCAATCAGATCCGAATTTTCCACCATCTTCTTATCATGCTCATATAGCTTAGCAACGCAGAAAGCGGCCGTCTTGCGGACATATGGATCGTTGTCTTGCATAAGGCGTTTGACAGGCTGGAATGTCGCTTCGACAAATTCGCGCACGTGTACATAAGAAATGGTCCGTAGTGCCAGTGCGCGCACGAGTGGGTTGTTATCTGTCATATCCTGCGCATCTGTGTTAAACGCTTGGAAGCTTCATGCAGGGAATCGGGGCCGTACATCAACCAATATTGGCAACGCCTTCAATGCAACCTCGGGTTTCATCCTTGAGTAATTAACCAGGAACAAGAAGCACCTGGGTTCAATATCAGTATTCGCCCGGATTCGTTTGCCAGCTCGCGCATTTTGTGTAGACATACATCTTCTTGATCTCCAAGCTAGGCAGGTTCATGCAATCGATAACATCTGGGAAAAGCGCAATCATGTCGTTGTTGCTCATGGTCATGTTTGCGACAATCTTCTTGAGGGCGATCTTTTTGGCGGAGTAGTTCTTGTCTTTCTTGCCGCCGCTATTGAGCTCCTGCCGTAGCTCTGCAACCTTCCCCTGTGGATTCCGCGAGCGTAAGCCATGTGATGGAACAATAGGAGCAATACCAATGAACATGGGTAATAAAATGAAGTGAGATTTTGGGCTGAGGTAAGAACAGAGCAAGCATATGCCTCCGAATGCCAAAGCAAGCTGCCAAAGCAAGTAGCAAAACGAGGAGAGGTGAAGATACAGAGTGGAATGCGGGGAAGGGGGGTAAGGGCCAAGAATACTGCGTGGATAATCATGCGATCAGAGAAAAGAGCTGAGTCAACTTACCCTAGCGAACAGCTTCGCATCTCCTCCAGAACTCATGGCTGCGGCGTGGACGAATAGCGATTGGGCACTGATAGGCGCGATTCCTTGAGGCGCAGTTTCGGGCTAGGATTCGTTTCTAGTGACCGTGCGAGCGATCACAGGCGATATCGAGCAGAAAATCGTGACAAGACGTAGAGAAACAGCGCAAAGTTGACTCGAAAGCGTCCAGGCCGTCGGAGGATTTGGGGAGGGTCCGGAGGAAAAGGGTGAGACAGGTGTGTATTCACTGCACACTGTGCGTTCGGGATACTCGGAGACGAATCAGATAATGAAAGTGGACATGGTCCTTTAATGAAAACAACCTGTAATCGAGAATCGAAATAAAGAATTGGAGAATTGGAGTTGGTAGAGAAAAGGAGAGTTGAAGGCGGAGTGGACACTGCGGAACAACCTCCCTAGCAACTTCGACCCCGTTCTCAGTTCTGAGATCATCTCCCCACACAACGTCTATCAAGTTCCCATAATGTCGCAAGCACGTCTGCCACCACCACCTCCACCGCAATGGGTTGTTTCGTTGAACTCCCCGATGCCGCGCCCCTCAAAGGCTGCATCCAGCATCCCGGACCCGCCAGGCTTCTCAAGTAGTCGGGGAGGCAAGCAGGTGGGAATACATCCGTCACATGCCCACAGTCCGAGTAAAGGTGCTAATATGGAATGATGCAGCGCCAGCAACAGCAGCAGCAAGCCAGCACCAAGAAAATCGAAGATACCGACGCGCTCAAGATGAAGAAAGCATGGGAGATCGCTATCGCCCCCTCAAAGCAGATCCCAATGAACGCCATCATGATGTACATGTCTGGCAACAGTCTTCAGATCTTCAGTATTATGATGGTTCTCATGCTGTTCAAGGGTCCCATCCAGGGCATCATCAATACCAATGCGGCGTTCGCCAAATACGAAACTCCCTCGACACATTCGCGCCTTCTTGGAGTCAAGGTGGTCTACATGGCAATGCAGCTGGTATTACTAGGACTTGGTATCTGGAAGGTTAATGCGATGGGTCTATTGCCGTATGTCTGCTTCCTGTCACTTTTGACATGGTTTATCGCTAAAACATTTAACCAGAACTACGAGATCGGATTGGCTCGCGTGGGAGTCGGAACGGCAGCCACTGGAGAGTGCTCATTTTGCTTTCAGGTGATCAGATACAAATATACTTTAATTGGTGGAATAATGGTGGAAAGAGGCAGGCTTGACCATGAATGATAGCCTCAATCAGAAATCCAGTGTATCGTGGCAGTGGGAATTGGCCTTGTATTATTGATTAAGCTCCTAAGCATGCATTCGTTTGCCCTAAGAATATATCTCTTAACAGGTTGCATCAGAAAATTTTGATTCATGAAGGTCGTCAAGTTGTGGCATAAATAATTATTGGTCACTTCTCTCTTGTCCAGCCTTCTTGGATTCCTCTTTCAGGCGACGTGCTTCTCTCCAATCGGGACCCTTTCGAATCACAATCAAAAGCAGTGGTGTCGTGGCCAGCATCACGAGTGCAATGAAAGTGAAACACCAGCCACGCCCCATGGCCGAAAGCATGGGATCAATGAGCGCCGTTGCACCCGCTCCCAGTAAGCATCGCCCAAAATTGTTAGCGGCAGTAGCTTTGGCCGCTTGGGTTGGGTATAGATCTACCAGCAGTGTGCTGATGGTATTGAATGCTCCCGTTAAGGTCAATCCCATGAGGAACAAGATGCATGTTGGCGCGGCAAGATGGATTCCATAGTTCAGGAACCAACCAAATGCAAGAACACTAAGGCTTCCCAGAGCGAGAAGAGGAAATGCGATCTGAAGACGAGCTTTCTCAATGGGGAATTTTCGCAGGTCAGTGTGGCGGTTCTTGGTCAATGGGAAGTTCAGCTGCTTTGCAAGCCGGCGGTAGTTGTAGTCTAGAAATTTCCCGTTCCCAATAGAAGCAATGGTGGCACCAAGACCAAACGGAATATAGCATAGACCAACCTGGAGATCGTCCAGACCGTAGAGTTCGTTGTAGATGGAAGGAATGGTTGCGCTCACGTCGTAGAATCCGGCGAAAAGAATAGCGTTGCAGAAGAGAATAAGACTAGTATCTTTCTGAAATACAATAGCAAGAGTCTGGAAGGGATTAGGAAACTTGAGTTTCTGCTTGGGTGCATTGGCCGGAGAAACAACGCCCTCCTCACGAGCCTTTCGGGACTTTAGGTAGCTGATCAAGGACATATTCCATTTCTGCGGCGGCAGTGAACCATCACCAACGATACCTCGGGCTGTTTCTGGGAAGAAGATCAGGAACGGAACCATGAAGGCTCCAGCGAAGATTGTCAGAAACCAAAAGATAGCCCTCCAACCCAGATATTGAGAAAGCAGACCTCCAATAACTGGACCAACAGAAGGTCCCATAAGAGAACCTGCTGTGACAAATCCCATATAGGATCCTCGTTGGGAAGCAGTGGCTACATCAGCGACCACACCAGACGAGAGAGCAATAGTTGTGCTGCTCCCTGCACTTTGCAGGCATCTGAGAACGAAAAGAGCAGCATAGTTGTTTTGGAGGGCGAGTCCGATATTGGCTGCAATGTAAATAGCAAAACACAGAATGTATGCAGGTCGTCGCCCAGCTTTGTCTGCGAAATCACCAATGAACATAGGCGACAGACCTTGAAAAATCTATAGTTTGATGAGTGAAAATGCAAAGCTAAACATACTCTCTCCAAGACTTACCATATAACTCGTTAAAGTCAGATTAATCAATGAATTTGAGACGTGAAGATCTTTCGCCAAAGTATTCAGAGCGGGAAAGTAAATCTGAGAAGAGACAGGCGAGAAAAACCCCGCCCAGGATGCCATAAAGACGATATACCTGCGCTGATTGTCTGTGAAGACTGAGTAGTCCACATCGGCAACATCCCGACTTCCAGTACCCGCGTTCACCAGAACTGATTCAGGGTCCGACACAGACTTTTCTTCTGCCATAGTGACTGACAAGGGCGAGGCCAACCAGTGTCTGGAAACACCTGAGAAGCACGAACAAACCAGGTGAGATTGTTCATTTTTCTCACTAATCCGTTATTGGGAAGAGGGTCCATAAGGATATTGCGCTCGGCCGACAAATTTGCGGAGACGAAATGCCGAGAAGCCGAACGCAGCAAAGCTTTTCTAAGATAAGCATTTCGAGGAAGTTGAATGTGATACTATGATACTATCCCAAGACAATATGTTATTCTTAATCCAGCAACTGAACAGGACATTCACAATAATTATTACAATTTGATCAGCGCATCTTGACCGCATCTTTACACGCCTGCAAGAAGATCTGACAGAATTCCCAAACCTCCGTATATGTATTATACAACGGCGCAGGGGCGACTCGAACCACATCAGGTTTCCTCTCATCGATGACCACACCATTCTCTTCCAAAGAATGCAGAACGTGATCCAATAATCCCGGCTGGAGACGTATACTGAGCTGGGCACCTCGCTCGGCTGGGTTTGATGGGGTGATGAGGGTAAAGGGCTTGTCTTGCGCGGAAGCATCAAGAGGGTACTTCAAAAGAAGATGTTCCAAATATCCCGTGAGTTCGAGAGATTTTTGGCGGATTTCCTTCATTGTAGCTCGATTGAATATTTCAAGGGATGCAATGACGGCGTTGATGTCTAAGACAGAAGGGTTGGACAGCTGGAAACCAGCGGCACCGATTTGGGGTAGGAATTCTACAATTGTCAGTATTGCTTGTCAGTAAATCAGATTGCCACTTACTATTGTCCATGTTGAAGCGCGTTTTGAGATCACTACCCCACCAGCCTGAGAGTCGGGGGCGAAATGTCTCTTCGCTGTCGGACTGTTTTTCATCTACACGCCCGTGGCGTTCGTGGACAAATAGACCGGCGATTCCACCCGGTCCGCTGTTGAGATACTTGTAGTTGCACCAGGCTGCGAAATCCACATTCCAATCATGAAGACGCAAGTCAACATTGCCAGCAGCATGGGCACAGTCCCAGCCGATCAAGATATCTTTTGAGTGAGCGTGGGCTGTGATCCGCTCAATATCAAAATACTGTCCGGTGTAGAATTGGATAGCCGAGAGAAGTACCAAGGCAGTGCTGGAAGCATTTTCATCAATTACCTTGATGATCTGCTCCGTACTGAGGGTAGGCTTGTCTAGATTCTCTGGCTCGATCAAGACCATGCCGTCTTTCGGGTCAAAGTTGTGATGACGAAGTTGAGACTCAACCGCATACTTGGTTACACACGCGTCAGCACACATTCAGATAGAAAAACATGCTCGGGTAATCAGATGACTTTTATAACATACATGGTCACTGGGGAAGGCCTTGCCTTCCAAAATGATCTTATATTTCTCCTTAGTCGGCCGGTAGAAGCTTGCCATTAGCAAGTGCAAGTTGGCTGTCAGGGTACCCATCACTGCCACTTCACTCTGGGAAGCACCCACAATAGGTGCCATAAGCTTAGAGCCTGATGTATCAACATCGACAAAAGGAGGAAGGAGTTGGTCTTCATGCGGCACAAAGTGCCCGGTCACGCCTTTGGTTGCCCAAGTTCGCAGGTACTGTTCAATGTACTTCTGGGTACTGCGAGGCTGAACACCCAATGAGTTACCACAGAAGTAAATGCTTCTTGGATCAGATGCGTCGCTGTCTGGTAGGAAATTCCAAGATTCAAGGTTAGAATGACCGCCCGAGTATGAAAGAACTCCGATACGCACATTCATCTGCTGCCAGGGTGGTTCGCTTCAGATCCTTCTTGGATGGAATAATAAACTCATCCCGGAATGACCGAAGCGGATCTTGAGCATCTAAAGCTTCGGCATATTCTTTCTTGTAAGCCCTGATATCATCCGAATAGGGAAGCGGGGGACCACTTTGAATGTCCCGGATATGCTGGCGGGAGCCCATGACAACAAGATCAGATCTGACTGATAGCCAAGGTACAACAGATATATAATCGCAAAGTCGAGAAACCTAGCAGATCCAAACGCCAGAAGAGTCAATAGTACATCTGCATACAACGCATCTGCAAGTTTCCCCCCGCCATCTGCCTATCACTTCCTGATTAGGACAATTATTCTGTCCGGTATTCCCGCCCTTATTCGACCAATCAAATTCCAAATTGGCCAGCATATGTAATCGGAATCGGACGATTTGATATCTAAGCAAACCGACTTGCCCAGCTGTGTTTTCCACAATTTATCTTTCGATCTTGATCTTGATCTTGTCTACATACCAACCATGTCGCGTCCTTTGTTATCGTTAACAGCTACCCGCCAGCTCACCCAAGCCCCAGCCTGCCGATTCTTCTCAACTTCCCGGGCTCTGCGTCTCTCCGCATTCCCCGACGGCCAACTCAATACTCGCCGCTGCGCCGTCGCAAGTGGCGCCACGCTTTTCAACCGCTCAATCCCAAAAGTTTCCCCTTCTGCTTATACTCGCCAACGCTTTGTCAATTTCTCTTCATCGTCCGTTCGCTCGGCTACCAAGGTTACGCAAAATCCGAGAACCGGAGATGATGGCGAGTCTCTTATGATTTCTATATCGCCACGGGCTGTAGAGGTGAGTTGATACTGGTTTCTTTGCAATTACAGCTCTTGCGTTTTCTGTTTGATTTGCTATCATGAGGCTGTGCTGGGGCGAACGGGAAGCTACCTGGACCGCATCGGGAGACGAACACCGGGGGTACTGGGACCGGTTTGCTTCAGATGGAAGAAAGTGGACGACTCATCCGCCGTCATATGGTCCCTTCAACTTCTCTTTCGAGTACATGCGACCATAGGGTGTGGAAAACAGGGCTTCCCGTCCGCTCAGCCGTACTTAAGCCACACGCCGGTGAGTTAGTAGTTGGGTGGGTGACCACCAGCGAATCCTCACTGTTGCATGTATTTGTTTTTTTCTCTTTCTTTTTTGTTTTCGCTTTTGTTGTTGAGAAATGCTACCTTCTCGCGGTTGTTCTTCTTCTAGTATCGAGGCTAACTTGACCCAGCGTCTCCGCGACATCACAGACCCATCATCTTCTCCCTCCGCCATCAAAGAAGAGAATCCATACCACCATCTCCGTATCACAGTAACCAGTGGCGGGTGTCATGGTTTCCAATATATGATGTCTCTTGAAGGGGCTTCAAAAATTGACCCAGAAGAAGACACTATCTTCGAGGGAGAAGCAGATGCCTCGGGGCCCGCAGCCGGAGAAGCCAAGGTTGTCATGGATGAGCCATCTCTTGAGTTGCTCCATGGAAGCACTGTGGATTATACCACTGAGTTGATTGGAAGCCAGTTCAAAATCGTGGATAACCCACGTGCAACAAGTAATTGCGGTTGCGGAACGAGTTTCGATGTCAGTGATTGATCAAGAGTCATCCATACAGAGTCATAGGATATTTTCTCCTTTTTCTTTCATTCTCTCATGTACATCATATTACATTCTGCACTTTGGAAAGATAGATAATTGCATGCTATACCCCTCTTCTCTTGCATATCTATCCTCCGTACCATTGGCTATATTAGCAAACCACAAGATTCATCTTTCCGTAGCCATGGAACTTGGTACAGTGTATATTTACATTCATCGATGTAAATCGAGGCTAATAAACAAATTTTGTATAAAACAAGAGTGAAACCAATGCCCTGTCATAGCTTGGCAGCTGTCCAGGTGTCTCTGACTATACATCATGGCTGTCTGGTGGTTTTGATTAAACAATTCTACAGGAGCTTAGTATCACAAACTTTCCAAAGCATATAAAAGCATATCAGAGGTTCTGGGCCCCAATATATATATATATGTTGACGAAAATAATGTGCAATCGAAGGGAGATATGGAAGAAATATCTGCTCCCCTCGAACCAAGTGAGCAGTTTTAGTGAAAGTAAGTTGGAAATCATTTGAGCCAAGCTCAATAGAATGAACTGGTAATTCTCAAAGGTATTTACTTCCACCTCGAAGCAAATTTCGTGTTGCGTTGACCTTCAACGACCACTCGCTGCAGCTGCGCAAGCTCTTACCCCGTCTTCAGTCTAACAACCTTATGAAGACTCTGGTCGACCTTTCTGTTGAGATGGTCTTACTTATCATGGAGTTTCTCCTCATTGAAGCTATCGTTTGTCTAACACTCTGCAATCATCAGCTCTTCACAATTATTTGGAACCGATGGAAGCCTCACTTAGGGACCTGGACAAGCTATAGTTTCTGTCAAAGCTGGAGCTTGATCACCCACACTACTATTTCTGCCATTTCTGCTTTGTTTTGCATCGGGTTGAGGAGTCGAAATTGAAAGTCCTTGAACCATCAGACCCATGGGTCGAGCCTAATTGTCGCGTACCTTGTCCGGGTGCTCAGGCAAGGAGTACTGATTTCATTCTGCGCACCCACGACAGGTTCTTCCTCATCACATCTCGGTTTTCGTTTCTTCATCTTCAACAAGTTATGAAACAGTTCTATCACGGCCCTGAATACGGCATCAGTTAAAGGCGTTGCTTGTTTGTGTGCCTGCTTGCTATCCTTGTTTGACCTTCCTCCCTAGCAATATGTAGGGAGGTAACGACTATGAATAGCAATTCGCTTTCGGCACCTCTCGTGTTCTGAGAGATTTGATCCTATTTGTGTAATGTCTACACTCTATTCACGTGGAATTTGACCGGTGTGAGGCTGCCTAAATGCAAGCAATCTATACTCCGATATGCTTGTGGCCTATCTCATGGCTTTCAGCGGTGTTGGCTGTCTTTCTTGTTCAACCCAGGGTATCAGAAGCCTCCAACAAGGATCTAGTTAGATCATCCGTACTACCTGCATATTGATAGGTCCACATGATTGATAAGTTGTACTTTCAAATTTGAGCAATCTAGATCGTCAATAGGAACAATATGTATGAATCTTAGGTGACGTATTCTGTTTACTAGGGATAGTATAACAGTACTCTCACATCGAAATAGATGTCCACTGATAATAGATAAATATCCAAATATGCTGGCACTTATATAGCCTAAGGTTAAACAAAGCACAGCAAAAATATCCTATAAATATAAGTGTGTAATGATTAAATATGGAGGGGTTGTAAATGGACAAGTTGGACTCCGAGTCGGGAACTCCAAACTGGCCCGTGCACCCCTCGACCTTCTCCAAGCCTCACACATGACCATCCCTCTTCCAACTTGATGCGCTCCGCGTTTCGTTATTTTATGGCCTAGACTTTGCTATCCAATGTCCACCCTGGGGTGTGGTTTGCAAATATGGCCCAAGCAGGTGCAATGACAGACGTGACGCAACGACTATTCGTGGAGCTCAAGTCGAAGAATGAGGAGGCCAGGGCCAGAGCTGCCTATGAGCTCTATGACAACGTCCTCTCTGTCTCCAGAGGTATGGTTGCACTTTTGAAGCTCGGGAATCTGTACGCATAATCTGACAATCGTTCTCATAGATTGGCCCAACGAGAAGTTTGTCGAGTTTTACAATGCGGTCAGCCAACGGATCGCCCAACTTGTCGTGAACGGGAGTGATGCCAACGAGAGAATCGGTGGATTATTAGCACTCGACCGATTGATTGATTTTGACGGTGTTGACGCCGCCCAAAAAACAACTAGATTCGCCAGCTATCTTCGATCCGCCTTGCGCAGTAATGACAATGTGGTGTTAGTTTATGCGGCCCGATCGCTGGGCCGCCTTGCGAAGCCCGGCGGTGCTCTCACCGCAGAACTAGTGGAAAGTGAGATCCAATCAGCATTGGAATGGTTACAATCAGAGCGACAGGAGAGTCGGCGCTTCGCAGCAGTGCTTGTGATCCGGGAACTTGCCAAGGGCTCACCAACACTTCTCTATGGGTTCGTTCCACAGGTCTTTGAGCTCGTTTGGGTTGCCATCAGAGATCCAAAGGTTCTCATCCGGGAGACTGCTGCCGAGGCCGTGGGTGAGTGCTTCGAGATCATCGTGGCTCGTGACTCTCAAGTTCGGCAGTCATGGTTTGCACGTATCCACGACGAAGCACTCCTAGGCTTAAAGTCCCACAACATCGATTGGATCCACGGTTCCCTCTTGATCCTCAAAGAGCTGATTTTGAAGGGTACGATGTTCATGAAAGAACATTATCGAAATGCATGTGAAATTATTCTCCGTCTCAAGGACCACCGTGACCCAAAGATTCGCACCGAAGTCGTTACCACCATCCCCATTCTCGCCTCCTACTCCCCTACCGATTTCATTGAGATTTATCTTCATCGTTTCATGATCTATCTTCAGGCTCAATTGAAGCGAGACAAAGAGCGAAACGCCGCCTTCATTGCTATTGGCAAGATCGCCAATGCAGTCGGCCCTGCCATCGGTCAATATCTTGATGGCATTATAATCTACATCCGAGAGGGCCTTGCGATGAAAGCAAGAAACCGACCGGGCGTCAACGAGGCACCGATGTTCGAGTGTATCAGTATGCTCTCACTAGCTGTCGGACAGGCCCTCGCAAAGTATATGGAGGTTCTTCTAGATCAGATCTTCGCCTGCGGGCTTAGCAAATCATTGACGCAGGCTCTAGTCGATATGGCTCATTACATTCCTCCTATCAAACCCATGATCCAAGAAAAGCTCCTTGATATGCTGAGTATCATCCTTTGTGGAACGCCATTCCGACCCCTCGGCTGTCCTGAAAACCGACTCCCTCCAATGCCATCCTTCGCTAAAGACTTTGCGCCTCATGAGATTCACTCTGACTCCGATATTGCCTTAGCTCTTCATACCCTGGGCAGCTTTGACTTTTCTGGACACGTACTGAACGAGTTTGTGCGGGACGTTGCCATCAACTACGTGGAAAATGACAATCCTGAAATCCGAAAAGCTTCAGCTCTTACATGTTGTCAGCTGTTCGTTCACGATCCAATCATCAACCAGACTAGCGGACACTCGATCCAGGTTGTCAGCGAGGTCATTGACAAGCTTTTGACTGTTGGTGTGGGAGATCCCGACCCGGAAATTCGACGCACAGTTTTGTGGTCGCTGGATCGCAAGTTTGATCGTCACTTGGCACGACCAGAGAACATCAGATGCTTGTTCTTGGCTGTCAATGACGAAATTTTTGATGTCAAAGAAGCAGCAATCTGCATCATCGGTCGACTTTCCAGCGTTAACCCTGCTTATGTTTTCCCACCACTACGAAAACTCCTGGTCAACCTCCTGACTGGACTTGGATTCGCAAATTCCGCTCGTCAAAAAGAGGAAACAGCTCAACTCATCAGTTTGTTTGTTTCGAACGCGACGAAATTAATCAGGTCGTATGTAGACCCCATGGTGACAGCATTGTTGCCGAAATCAACAGACATCAATCCCGGCGTCGCCGCCACTACTTTGAAGGCAGTTGGCGAGCTTGCCAATGTCGGTGGTCACGAAATGAGACGATACTTGCCGCAGATCATGCCTATAATTTTGGACTCGCTTCAGGACCTCTCATCGCACACCAAACGAGAAGCTGCGCTTCGGACATTGGGACAACTGGCCAGCAACTCGGGTTACGTTATCGAGCCTTTCCTTGAATACCCTCATCTTCTCGCCGTACTCATCAACATCATCAAGACAGAACAGACGGGCTCTCTACGAAAGGAGACCATCAAGCTTCTTGGTGTTCTCGGTGCTCTCGACCCCTACAAGTATCAACAGATCAGCGAGATTGAACCAGATGTACACCACATTAACGAAATCCAGAAAGTTTCTGATGTGGCGCTCATCATGCAAGGTCTGACACCATCCAATGAGGAATACTACCCTACTGTGGTCATCCACACTTTGCTGCAGAACATTCTGCGAGAGAACTCGTTGGCACAATACCACTCAGCTGTGATTGACGCAATCGTCACGATTTTCAAGACCATGGGCCTGAAATGTGTTCCGTTCCTTGGACAAATCATTCCTGGATTCATCTTGGTTATCAGAAGTTCCCCTGCTAGTCGCCTCGAGTCATATTTCAACCAGATGGCAATCTTGGTGAACATTGTGCGACAACACATTCGCGCCTTCCTGCCAGAGATCATCGAAGTAATCAGAGACTTCTGGGATGCATCATCTCAAATCCAGGGTACTATTTTGTCCCTGGTTGAGGCCATTGCTCGCTCATTGGAAGGGGAGTTCAGAAAATATCTCGCTGGTTTGATTCCATTGATGCTCGGTTCACTTGACCAAGACACGAGTCCTCGTCGCCAGCCATCTGAGAAAATTCTCAATGCCCTTCTGATTTTTGGTACAAGTGGAGAGGAATACATGCACCTCATCATTCCTTCTATTGTGCGTCTGTTTGATCGTCCACAGAATCCCCAGAATATCCGCAAGTCTGCTATCGATAGCTTGACCAAGTTATCGCGGCAAGTCAATGTTTCTGACTTTGCATCCCTCATGGTCCACTCCCTTTCCCGCGTTGTGGCTAGCGGTGATCGTGTTCTGCGTCAAGCCGCGCTGGACTGCATTTGTGCTCTGATCTTCCAGCTGGGCCAGGATTTCACGCACTACATTCATCTCCTCAACAAGGTCATGAAAACCAATCAAATCACACATGTCAACTATCAAATCTTGGTGACGAAACTCCAAAATGGCGACCCACTCCCACAGGATCTCAGCCCGGAAGAGGCATACTCTTTCCCTGCCGACGATACCAACTTTGCGGAAATTGGACAAAAGAAGATCGTGGTGAACCAGCAACATCTGAAGAACGCCTGGGACGCTTCACAAAAGTCCACTCGAGAAGATTGGCAGGAATGGATTCGTCGCTTCAGCATCGAGCTTTTGAAGGAATCTCCATCGCCAGCGCTGCGTGCCTGTGCCAGTTTGGCTGGAATTTACCAACCCTTAGCCAGAGACCTTTTCAACGCCGCGTTCGTATCATGCTGGACCGAGTTGTATGACCAATACCAAGAGGAGCTCGTTCGCTCGATTGAGAAGGCTCTCACTTCTTCCAATATCTCACCGGAGATCTTGCAGATCCTTCTGAATTTGGCCGAATTTATGGAGCATGATGACAAGGCTCTTCCCATCGATATTCGCACTCTTGGAAAATACGCAGCGAAGTGTCATGCATTCGCCAAAGCTCTTCACTACAAAGAACTCGAGTTTGAGCAAGACCAGAACTCGGGTGCTGTCGAGGCCTTGATTACCATCAACAACCAACTTCAACAGTCTGACGCTGCTATTGGTATCCTCCGCAAAGCGCAGGCGTATCGTGATGTAGAGCTCAAAGAAACATGGTTCGAGAAGCTCCAACGGTGGGAAGAAGCTCTTGCTGCGTACAAACGACGCGAAAAGTCCGACCCAGACTCCTTTGGTATCACAATGGGTAAGATGCGCTGTCTTCACGCTCTTGGTGAGTGGAAGGTTCTCTCGGACCTTGCCCAAGAAAAGTGGAACCTAGCATCATTGGAGCATCGCCGAGCTATTGCACCTCTCGCAGCCGCCGCCGCCTGGGGTCGGGGCCAGTGGGAGCTGATGGACTCTTACCTTGGTGTCATGAAAGAACAGTCCCCCGATCGCTCATTCTTCGGTGCAATCTTGGCAATCCATCGTAACCAATTCGAGGAGGCCAATATGTACATCGAGAAGGCACGAAATGGTCTCGACACAGAGTTGTCTGCTCTCCTTGGAGAATCATACAACCGTGCCTATAACGTTGTTGTCAGGGTTCAGATGCTCGCTGAGCTCGAAGAGATCATCACATACAAGCAAAACATTGGTGACCCCGAAAAGCAAGATGCCATGCGTAAAACCTGGAATCAAAGGCTGCTTGGGTGTCAACAGAATGTGGAAGTGTGGCAGCGCATGCTCAAGGTTCGAGCTCTTGTCACTGCCCCGCGCGAGAACCTCGATATGTCGATCAAGTTCGCCAATCTTTGCCGCAAATCCAACCGCATGGGCCTTGCAGAACGATCTCTTGCGTCTCTAGAGACGGTAGTAGCAGATGCCAATGGCATGCGAACTATCGCACCCCCCGAGGTCACATACGCTAGGTTGAAGTTCAGTTGGGCAAATGGCCATCAACAAGAATCCCTCGAAATGCTGAAGGAATTTACTTCTGGTTTGACCGATGATTTCTCCAGGTACAACACACTCGTGGCAACAAACCCTGAACATCATGGAGTTAATGGAGTCAACGGGGTACCTGACCAAAACCATCTGGATGCCGACAGCTTACGTGAACGGATTGGAGATGTCAACAAATTCCGAAAGCTTCTGTCTAAGAGTTATCTTAGACAGGGAGAGTGGCAGACAACCCTCCAGAATGGTGATTGGAGACCGGAACACGTTCGTGAGGTCCTGAATGCCTACTCTGCAGCAACCCAGTACAACCGTGATTCGTACAAGGCCTGGCACTCCTGGGCACTTGCAAACTTTGAAGTTGTTACGACCATCTCAAACCAAGCTAATAATCGTGAGGGTTCTCCCTCGCCAGTTCCCGCCCACATCATTGCAGAGCATGTGATCCCTGCTATGCGTGGTTTCATCCGTTCCATTGCCCTGTCTTTGACATCTTCATTGCAAGATACTCTGAGGTTGCTTACTCTGTGGTTCACGCATGGTGGAGATCATGAAGTAAACAATGTTGTCACAGAAGGATTCGCCGCTGTGAACATTGACACCTGGCTTACTGTTACCCCTCAATTGATCGCTCGAATCAATCAGCCTAACATCAGGGTACGGGGTGCTGTCCACAGGCTACTTGCCGAGGTCGGAAAAGCCCATCCTCAAGCCCTGGTTTACCCACTGACGGTGGCAATGAAATCGAACGTCACACGTCGCTCTCAGTCTGCCAGCAACATTATGGAAAGCATGCGGCAACATAGTGCCAAGCTTGTCGAGCAGGCAGATCTTGTCAGTCATGAGCTGATTCGAGTTGCGGTTCTGTGGCATGAACTCTGGCACGAGGGTCTGGAAGAAGCTTCTCGTCTTTACTTCGGCGATCACAATGTCGAGGGTATGTTCTCAACGCTTGCTCCTTTCCATGATATGCTGGACAAGGGTGCCGAGACCCTTCGCGAGGTGTCATTCGCGCAAGCTTTCGGGCGTGATTTGGCCGAGGCCAAGCATTACTGCATGATGTATCGTGAATCGGAAGAAATTGGCGATCTCAACCAAGCCTGGGACTTGTATTACACTGTGTTCAGAAAGATCAGCAGGCAACTACCACAATTATCGACACTTGACCTCAAATATGTGTCCCCTCGACTCAAGGACTGCTCAGACCTTGACCTTGCCGTGCCGGGAACATACCAAAGTGGCAAGCCAATCATCCGAATCATGAGCTTTGACCCAATCTTGCTTGTCTTGCAGACCAAGAAACGACCGCGTCGCATGACACTCAAGGGCAGTAATGGAAGCTCTTACATGTACCTTGTCAAAGGTCACGAAGACATGCGACAAGATGAGAGAGTCATGCAGCTGTTTGGACTGTGTAACACCTTGCTGGATAACGATGGTGAGAGTTTCAAGCGACACTTGACAGTCCAACGCTTCCCCGCCATTCCTTTGTCTCAAAGCTCCGGTCTGCTAGGATGGGTGTCTAACAGTGACACTCTACATGCCGTGATCAAGGAATACCGAGAAAGTCGCCGCATTCTGCTCAATATTGAGCACCGGATCATGTTGCAAATGGCGCCTGACTACGATAGTCTCACTCTCATGCAGAAGGTCGAGGTCTTTGGCTACGCTATGGACAACACAACCGGCAAAGATCTGTACCGGGTCCTTTGGCTTAAGAGTAAGAGCTCCGAAGCTTGGCTGGAACGACGAACCAACTACACTCGTTCACTCGGTGTTATGTCCATGGTGGGCTACATCCTTGGTCTTGGAGACCGACATCCGTCCAACTTGCTGTTGGATCGTGGCAATGGCCGAGTCGTTCATATTGATTTCGGTGACTGTTTCGAGATCGCAATGCACAGAGAGAAGTTCCCGGAGCGAGTACCGTTCCGTCTCACCCGCATGTTGACCTTCGCTATGGAAGTAAGCAACATCGAGGGAAGCTACCGTATTACTTGCGAGGCCGTCATGCGTGTTCTACGCGAGAACAAAGACTCCTTGATGGCTGTACTTGAAGCTGTAAGTGACCTAACATCCCATTTTTTTTTCTTTCAACGATGATCGCTAATTTGCGTCGCAGTTCATTCATGATCCTTTGATCAACTGGCGTCTGGGTGCACAAGAGTCTCCTGAACGAGTATCTCTCACCACAGAACGCCGCCAGTCCATCATCGAAGGTGTAAACTTTGAGCACAGTATCCAACCAGGTGACTTCTCCCGTCGCCGTCGCCCCTCCATCCTTGAAGGTGGTATCCTCGATGCCCCTGAGGGTGTTCCACAAGAAGCCCGAGAGGCGCAGAATGCCCGTGCTCTCCAAGTTCTTGCACGAGTCAAGGAGAAGCTTACTGGACGAGACTTCAAACACAGCAACGAGCTGAGTGTCAGCGACCAAGTGGATAAGCTTCTTGCACAGGCGACCAACGTTGAGAATATCTGTCAACACTGGATCGGATGGTGTAGTTTCTGGTAACCTGGCTTTGGCTTCCGGAGTTCCGCGGCGTGGATGATGATATGATACGATGCGTTTTGTTATTCCTTTTCACACTACTATACTTAGAGTCACCCCATTACTCGTTCTTTTGGATTTTATTTTGAACTTTTTGAGCTGCTTAATATCTCTGGCTCATACTTTTACACTATTCGTCTCTTTTTTTATCGGTAGTTGGATGAAGTAGTGATAGGTGTACAAACAATTCCTCGACCAGTATTTTTTGCATGACGAGGACAATAATTGAATCGACTTTTAACAAACATCTACACACAAATATTCCGCAACTGCTCGACCTCCAGTCAGTGAAGGTCTGATATAGATTGACACGTGATCGGTGGCGGATCTCAAAGTCGGACAATCGTTCGGGCATCGAACTTGCTTGATCAACTTGATCATATCACATTTTGTTTGCTCTACCTGAGCTTCAGACATCATGGGCGGAGATTTGAATTTGAAAAAGTAAGTCATGCACTTTAAACTCATTCAATAATCCCACAATATTGAGTATAACCATACTGACTAGACAACAAGGTCATGGCACCCGGGCCTGTTCAAAAATCAGGAGCGGGTATGGCAGCAGGAGCAGCGCGCACTCGAGGAGCGCAAGCAGATCGAGCAACTGCGACGCGAGCGAGATGAAGAGCGACAAATGCAGGAGATTCAGCGACTCCAAGAAGCCTCTGGAAAGTCAAGGCAACAAACCCGTGTCGATTGGATGTACCAGGCACCCTCAAGCGCGACCGGACACTACTCGGAAGAGATGGAGGGATATCTACTTGGAAAGCGACGCATTGACGGAGTTTTGCTCAAGAACGACCCCGACACCAAGAAGCTAGAGAAGGGTTCGGAGGTAGTAGGCAATGGTGCCGCCGCCGGACCATCTGTCGGCTCCCAGCGCGATACCATGGCGAAGGTTATGGCGGACCCGCTGCTCGAGGTCAAGAAGAGAGAACAAGCTGCATATGAGGCGATGGTGAAGGAGGCTATTAAACGCAAAGAACGGGAGCAAAAACGCGAGAGCCGTAACGGAGGGAAGGACAAGGACCGCGAACGCCGCCATCGCACCCACGACTCCAAGCGCAGACGGTATAGCGATGATGCAGGCGATGACCGCCGCGATCGCCACCGGAGATCTTCGCCTCGTCGACACAGATCCCGATCCCGATCCCCTGCTTCGCCTGATCGATCCTCCCGCAGATACAGAAGTGGCCGGGACCGTGATCGCCGCGACGACGAACACCGCTCAGATAAACGTGACCGGAGAAGCGACGACACTCAAACTCGCCGTGATGATAGAGATCGAGGCCGCGATCGTCGCGACTACCAAGACAAGAAAGATACACACACCAGCCGACACCAAGACCGTGACGACAGAGGAGACCGTGACCGTGACCGCTCGCCGCGCCGGTACTCCCGCTCTCCACGTCCGGCGAGCGATCGCAAAGAACGACCCGTGAACGACGACCGACGTCGTGACTACCCCCGGCGCGATTACAATAACCGGCGCGACTCTGGCCGGAACGACTCTGGCCGGAACCAAGGATCAGCCTCTGCGCGTCCCTCAGTGCCTAAGCCTGATCCCAAGGAAGAGGAAGAGGAACGCCAGCGCAAACTAGCAGAAATGCAATCCAATGCTGCAGATATGGAATCGGAGCGTCTTCGGCGAATCACAGATCTATCTGCCAAGGAACAGCAGCAGCAAGAAGCGGATGATCGGCAGCGTTCTGATCGTGGCAGGTTCATGTCTGATGTCAACAAGCGAGTGCAGGAGGATAGCCTTGATGAGCGCATTCGTCGGAGCCGCGGAGGACTTTCGAAGATGGAAGAGGACTGAGAGCGTGAGGGTTATATGGACTAGGCTCTTCCCTGTCATGTGTCTCTGCAGCTGTGGTATTCTCATCTCACGATTTCTCTGTCTATTTATTTTTAGCGTTGGCAGTAGTTTTGATAATCATTGATATCCATTCGGCCCTCGGAGCCTACAATTGTCACAATGTGTCTTCTGATCGCTGAAAGAAATATTATCAGCCCCTAGAGTCGACGAAGAGCTAGATGGAGTCAATGGAGTCATGAGTAGAACTTATTCTAACCTTTCTTCCACTTTAAGCTCCATATTCGACAGAAGCATGGAACACATTGGAACCATATGGCATGAGGATGCTGAACGTACCAATATCTATAGAAATTCCGAAGCATGAATAAATGTATGTAATACCGAATACGCAACAATTTCTACAAATTGCAACGCAAGTTCTATGCTGTGTCTGTGGTTTTGGACAGCGCTAGTGCTCCTTCATTACTGCTGCGACGCCATTTCTTGTAGTCTTCACTTCCCAGGTCCTCCTGACCCTGATTTTCCTATTCCTTGCCTGACATCCCACTTTACGCATACCCACGAGAGCTGTGTTCAGAACCACTTCCCTAAACCAAGCGCTAAGAGGGCAACCTTCAACAACCAGGAAATCGTTTTGCACGACTCTGGCTTTGGGTCTGCTGGCTGTAGAATCTCGAAGGCCCGGATCAAGTTGAGCACGTCTCCCACTCGTGGATCGTTTGTGTTCAAGCCCGAGGTATCATGTCGAATGTCCGAACGGGATGATCTAGAAGCACAATTCCGGACTTAAGTGAATGGTGGGCAATAACACTTTGCGATTTGCGAACAAGGTGAATGACTCATGGGTTGTCAACATCCCATTCTTCTTTTATTTGATTTTTTTTGGTAAATCACTTACTTGTTCTGTGCTGTCTGAAGAATTGTACGGTATGATGAGGTTTCTTATATCACCACCATTCATTCAAGTGCTACCGGGCTTGTCCTTAGAACATACTCCATAGACCCCTTGCGGCTAGACCCAGCGCTTTTTTCTTACAATGTAATGAATGATATATAGGTGCGTATCTAGGTAAATGGGGTATGGGCTGTCTAGCCATTGCTAGACTCGTGGTCGTTCTTACTACCAAACCCTTGTAAAGAATCCTAGGGCTAAGCCTCTGTCTTATGTGGGTCCATCAAAGTGGTCCTGCTGTCCACAGATACAGGAAGAAGCTCGCCCGAGCGGCCCCCGGGGGAGAGGGGCCATAAGCCCGATAGCTTAGCTCCGTTTACACCGCAAACCCCATGAAATCCTACTTTAACACTCAATGTTAAATCCGCTAAACCCTGTCAAGACTTTCATTTGTAATCTTCCAAGTTTGTTGTATCCGGGCCGAGGCGGGGAAGGATGACGGGATCGATGAGTTTAAGGAACCATAAAAGCCCAAGGTTCTCGCTCTGATATCTCTCTTTACCTCGTACACAGTACTCTCTTTCGAATATTCAATACATACATACATACATTCTTCTTCTTTCTTCTCAGAATGGTTAAAGTGCTATTGACCGGTACGCTCATGTGCTTCAAATATCATATCTCACACTAGACTAACAGGGTACTAGGAGGCAGTGGCTTCATCGCCGCCCACATTGTCGACATTCTACTGCAGCACGGGTATGAAAACACACCCCTGCAAAGGAAATATATCAATCATTGACATTTGTACTTTAGCTTTGATACAGTCGTGACAGTCCGATCAGAAGAAAAGGGCAAACAAATCCTCGAGGCTCATCCCAATACACCCAAGGAGAAGCTTTCGTATGTGATTGTTACGGATGTAGCCAAGGACGGTGCATTCGATGAGGTCAGTAAGAAATGTTTGGTTGCTAGTATCAATAATTAACGAAGAAGAAACAGGCCGTCAAATCAAATCCGCCATTTGACTATGTTCTGCATACCGCATCCCCCTTCCACTTCAACGTTCAGGATCCCGTGAAGGACTTCCTCGACCCTGCCATTAAGGGGACCACGGGTATCTTGAAGGCCATCAAAGCCTACGCTCCTAGTGTGAAGCGAGTAGTGATCACATCTTCTTTCGCTGCTATTGTGAACGGCAAGCAGCACCCCAAGGTCTACAGTGAGAAGGAATGGAACCCAGTGACATGGGAGGAGGCAATGGACCACTCACAGGTTTATCGGGCCAGCAAGGTAAGCCATCTCGTTCCATTGACAAGGTTAAGATAAAAGCTAAACCATCATTGCACGTCAGACATTTGCTGAGAAAGCAGCTTGGGACTTTGTCGAGAAAGAGAAACCAAACTTCGACATTGCTACCATTAACCCACCGTTGGTATTCGGCCCAGTGGTCCACTATCTAAACACTCTTGAGTCCGTCAACACCTCAAACCAGCGCTTCAGAAATTTGATCCAGGGTGAGATGAAAGAGAAAATAGCCCCGACGGGTAATTTTCTCTGGGTGGATGTACGTGATGTTGCTCTTGCCCATGTCAGAGCAATTGAGGTCCCTGAGGCCGGAGGGGAGAGATTCTTCGTCACTGCTGGCTTCTTTTCGAATAAGAAAATTGCAGACATTATCCGTGAGGCTCGCCCCGAGTTGGAGTCCAAACTGCCACCTGTGAACGCCCCTGACGACTTTCCGGCAAACATTTTCGAGTACGATAACAACAAGTCACAGAGGGTTTTGGGCCTAGAATATCGCCCATTTAAACAAACGGTCATAGATACTGTCGACGCTCTTCTAGCTGTTGGCGCTTAACTGCTAGGGTCAAAAAGTCTATAGATCTAGAGATATTAGTATAGAAATAACCTTGAATCAAGAAATATTTTTAGCCGTCGGCTTGATAATCGTTTTGGGGTTTAAAATTCTAATATCAGCAGTGCAGAGAACTAAAAGATCTGTTTTAAAATTTACTCTTGATGTGAAACAGAGAAGACCTGGATGGTTCATCATATAGATAGCAGAAGTGCGGGTAGGGCACTTGTGGCCCGCCGTACGGCTTTGGCCCGTGTTCTCCGGTCAACTTTTCTTGAGCCAGCAACCCAAAGATCAAAGTCAATTGAACAAGATGGCATCCGCCAGGCTATCGCCAACGGCGAACCTACTGCGCAAGTCGCGTTTATTCGCACTTCCTAAGTCTCTCAAGGTTCCCGCGGACCAAGCGACGTCGAGAGCTGTTTACGATTCCGACTCCGCAACTCTGCCTCACCCGATTCGAGCCTCCATCGTTACCCCGGGTTCATCATTAGCCCGAGGCGATTGGGGTCTCAAGCGACCTCTACCTGCTAAAGCAACCTCAGAGAAATCCTCGAGACCTGTTGTCAGGGTCCACGCTCTCGACACATTCGAACATGTCACCGACTTCGAATCCGCCGCGGATCACACGATGACCCTCGAGAAGTTCCAGGAGTTGCACATGCCCATGTCTCTTCCCTCCAGAGTCAACTATGCGACAAACGTGGTCCCCAGACACCAGAGTCCATTCGAAACCCACCTTGATAACACCGAGACGAGCCAGGGTCTCAAGGAAACTGGTGCCAAACAATTCAGACACACCGGTCCTTGGCTCGCCGGACAAACGGACGCGGAGTTCGCTTCTTACCTGAAACAAGTGTCTAACAGGAAGCCCGAGCTTCTCCAGAAGCTTCGTGAACAATTCGTTGCCAAGCGTTCTGCTGAGCTTCGCAAACAGGCACAGGACAACGGAGAGGACTTTGCCGCTGGACCCATGAAAATCACCGATGAGGAGTTCAACACTTATATCAAAACTTTGCGCAATGATCCATTTGCTCTTGGCCCGGTTGTTTTCGATCTGCTTGACCTCTCTTCGCCCCCAGCCGTTCCCAGTGAGCGTATTGGACACAAGTACTACCAAGCTCCCCCAACCAATCTGGCCTCATCCGAATACGCCATTTCTGGACCTCCTAAGACCCACCCGTCTGCCGGTCTGTCCTACGCGCGATCACACGCTCTGATTCAGAACCATCCCAAGTTCGGTCCCCAGGCCTACCAGCGCCCCGTGGAGGCAAGAATCCTGCGCCCCAAGGGCCGTTTCAAGGGTAAGATGTCTCGTGCCATCGCAGGTATCGGTGGTATTGCCGTGGAAGACTTGAACGCCATGGCATTCGTTGAGCAGGGCACACCTCCTGGTCTTACTTCCTTCGACGCGTCCATTCCAGGTGGCGGCAAATACTGGGTGTCTCCCATTCGCGCAGCCATCGATTCCAACGGCCGGATTAGCCTTTCATCTTACCGCGCCAGCGCCACTGCCAAGGCGCCTTACGGAATTGAAGAGCACAAGAAGGAGTACCCCATTTTCATCTCGGACGTTGCCGATTCTTCATCTCAGACGGTCCCACGATTGGACAGACAGCCCTTCGGTCAGCCTCGGTTCAACCCTGCCAGTGATAGGCAGCCAAGGGGGCCAATTAGGGGAACAGAGGATATCGCCCGCAGCCTTCTCGACAACCTCAACTCTAAGTCATAAGGAGTGAGGTGTGAGTGAGTGGGTGTGCAAATAATTGTACAATGTATGATAGAACTGGTGCTTGTGTAAAGCTACTCTCAATTTTCTTTTCTGGCTGTGTCATAGTCATATAAATCTGATTCATCAATATCAAATTATTCTCTCAGCGATCTCTTCATACATAGGCCAACTTTATAAACCATTCCCAATTCAAGTGCACGCCCGCAGATTGAGCTGTTCTTGATGTGTTTGCTACGTTTGCTATTATCCTAAAAGGGAAATGTTGGATCCGATTGCGATGACATAATCCAAAGTCTCATATCACGTGATATTGAGATTAGGGCCTAGGGCAAGGATTGGATCCACACAGACTAAGCGAAACTCCTTCAAGTCAATTCACATCGCAACGGCAACTTTCGGTCTCCTGAACATCCATCCCGCCAGCCAACAACCGCCAAAATGGGTCGCGTCCGTACCAAGACAGTCAAGCGCTCCGCTAAGGTCATCATCGAGCGTTACTACCCCAAGTTGACCCTCGACTTCGAGACCAACAAGCGTATCTGTGATGAGATCGCCATCATTGCTTCCAAGCGTCTCCGCAACAAGGTGAGATTTTACAATAATCGCAATCGCAATATGCTTTCAAATACTGACTGCTTTGCCTATAGATTGCTGGTTACACCACCCACTTGATGAAGCGCATCCAGCGTGGTCCCGTCCGCGGTATCTCCTTCAAGCTCCAGGAGGAGGAGCGTGAGCGCAAGGACCAGTACGTCCCCGAGGTCTCCGCTCTCGACGTCTCCCAGACCGAGTCCGGCCAGCTCGATGTTGATGCCGACACCAAGGACCTTCTCAAGTCCATGGGCGTAAGTTTTTACCGTTCCAAAATTTCGAGAAATTCTATCTCTAACGCCATCACAGTTCGACAACCTCAAGGTCAACGTCGTTGCCGTCACTCAGCAGCAGCAGGCTGAGCGCCCCCGTCGCTTCGGTCCCCGCTAAATCCAGCGCCCGAAATAACGGAATAAAAAGTTCATGTCTGGTCGGTCGATTCCAGGCGTTTCGACGATGCTTGTTCTGGCTGGCTTTTCGCCCCGCTAGCATGGTTTAGCTTAGTGGAAGGCTATTCCTGGATGAGGAATGAATAAACATGATTCTCTTTGAGAAAGGTGTCGCCGATTCTCCTCACGGAGATGACGCTTGATTGCCATTTTTTCCCCTCGTGTCTGCCTGAGAGTTCACCCTCCAGGTTGGACTACGTAGGAGTTCTTGAACCTTGTCACCTTGGTTCAAGAGACTCAAGACCTTTGGTGGTCTGAGTTATGCATGGATTTCTACCTACTCAGGTTTAAGTCTTGCTGGCCAGTCCTAAGCCATATATATGGTCTATTTGTAGATTTATTGCTTCGTGTTGTCCAATGGACAATCATGGGTATCAAATTTGTAGAACGCCCAAATCCCGTAAAATGCCATAGCATTTTTATGCTATATGATCAGATTTGATCGAGTACATCTATGTCCCCATCCTGGTCCACAGATCTATCGTCCTGTCTGGGAACATAGCCTTCAATTGAGCCTCCGGTCATATCCTCCGGACGCATCTGTGGAGCTCCAGCCATACGTTGATCACCAAGATCATTCTCTCTCAGGGTAACGGGCACCCGTCCATCCCGACGAACGGAGCTGGTATCGCCACGTTCCATCGCAAGCGTCCGAGACCGATCAGTGTTCGTGTCCGTGTTCCCAAGCATCAGACTATTCATGTCATCCACGACGGACGAAACCGTTCCCGTAGCCGCAGGCGCCTTGAGACGTTTAGCACGTGCTTCCTCAAGAAGCATGATATTGATGCCGCGGGTAGCGTCAGCTCGTCGCTGCCATACCGGCTCCTCGGAGAGCTGCACTCTAATCCAAAGCGCGCGCTCCGCACACGCGTCCGAACACCACTTTTCAACCTGGTCTTGGGGCACGATATCTACGCTGCGTCCTCGGCCGCCCGGGCCGCTTCCCTTGGGCCCGTATTTGAACTGGAACCCACCGCCAGGGCCGTGCTTTTGTTTGCGGTGCTTGCGGGGGCAGAGCGTGTATCCACAGGAGTCTTCGTAGTTGCGCTCCAAAATGAGATTGTCGTAGTCACTGGGTCGGAAAGGAGCTAGCGCATATTTGAATTTGTTGGTATCTTCCTCGGATGGTGAGGCAGGATCAGCTGAGGGGGAGGAGGGGAGCTCGAGGAGCTCAAGAATGCGGGTCAGAATGACTTCCTCTGCGTCCTTTTGGGTCTGGATTTGCTGTGCATGTTGGAGTGCAATTTCGAGGTGCTGTTGGGTTGCACCGGGTCTGCCTTGTAGATATTTGTCTTGTTGTTCTTGTGAAGGATGCAGATATGAAGGTGGGGGTTGTTGAGCATTTATGGCGGCATATGTTTCTGGCAGAGAAGTCTTCAGGGCATGTTGCCCTTGCTGTGTGTCCATATTGTATAATTCAGCTCAATGAGATTCATAAATAGGGTGAGATCAAAGGGGCAGCAAGCGACGATAAAAAAAATTAGCGTGATAATTTGGGCCCCAAAGCGGAGGCAAAACCCCCCGGATTTCTACTTGCGGTTTCGTGGTCATTTTGCCTGGCAGAAAATCAGCTCTAGACTCGAATTGTAGAGTCTTTTATACTTCTTCTTACTATCGTACTACACATTCTGTATTTCAATAGAATATCATGCTCGTGAAATTTATGATGCTATGTTCAGATCATCAAGATAGCAGCGCTAAATCGGCCAAGAGCGGCTGGCTATTCTTGATACCATATCGAGTGTTCTTTGATGCCTTAGATACTACCTTTGATGCTATATCAAGCATCCCTCTCACAATGCCAGCTCTTTGTTTATGCTTCGCGGATGTTTCCTTGGAATATCTCTTTCAAGGACAAAGCTATTCGACGCTCTTTGTATCAACATGCGTCTTGATCTCTTCGCCACCAAACTCTTCCAAAGGTTGTCTTTGATCAACCGGGTCAAATGCAGCGCTTTCGGAGTTTATATTCGCCCCTCCTCTTTCAACTTCCTTTGTATCTCATTGAAGAGCAGGCTTATTATAACTCATAACCAATATAGAGGATCTACATCATTTTGAGTATCCTTTCATGTTGGTTCAGGCTTCCAACAATGACTATTTGCTAATATCTGCTAGCATATAAAACTGAAGATATTTTCCATACAGTAGATTCAGAACATCAAGAATCATCAGCACGATCCCAAGTCAGTATTAACATTCAATTCCAACAGCAGTCAATATACTTTGATAGTCACTCTCAAAATGTCGGCCAGTAAGTAATCACAGAAAACAAATCCGTCTTATCATCGACCGACTTAATAAGCTGATCATATATATAGAGCGCACGCTTCGCTCCGGAACAGTTCGAGACAGTCCTCCACCACCCCCAAAGCGCCAAGCTGTTCAGAGAGCTAATGTGACAACAAACCAGGAGTATAAGTACGACGGAGTCCCTATTTCTCTCAAATCCAAGAAGATCAATAGCTGCTTTATCGATTTTTTGGACGTCGGGCTTGGTGTGGACATGCCCAACCACACCATCCTCCGAATCCTTTTCGAACATCTACAGCAGCAGAATTCTCCATATGCCCCTGCTGGAACCAGGGGCCTTTTATTTGACATTCAGCCCGTGGGTAATGTTGATGATAATCTAATTGACGCTGAGCTGAGGATTAATACCATCACATATCAGGGTCCGCATATACGGGCGCTTCACACCTTGCAATTACCCGTGCGCGGAAATAAGACGGCCAGGGACTTCTTCCGTGTGATTGACGATACTAACTTACTTCCCGTGGGATATACTTCTACAAGTGAGGATTTACTTGGTTGCAGAGACTTTATGTGAGTTCCGGTCATTTCTATCGCGGGTTTTAGGGCTATTTGCTAACGACATCGATAGATCACAGCTAGTTTACCGCCTCGACGAAGCCGGGGCTATCAGGCTGCCCGCAAATACAATTGTCAGTGTTTGGAATAGCTTCAACCAACGATACTATGGTGATGGCACGTCGAGAATCGACGCTGTTGGGAAGATTGCTTTCAATGATGACTACGTGCACATAAGTATCCCCGGTATTGATTATGCATAATGAGCTGCAGTTATATCATTGATATCCGTATTCGGGTGAGTAATCTGTAAAGAGGTGACTAGCTCAAAATGCACCAGTGTTGTCAAAAGGGTGTTGGATTTGTTCTTGATTATGGTTTATGGTGCATATATGCCACATATGTAGATACTTTATTTTGATTAGGGTAATTATATCACTTTCACAGTTTATTTGTATCCTGCTCACATGTCTTACAGTATTTTTCCACAGTCTCTATAACTAGAACCCGCTTATGAACTGACTTCATGGCGTTTCTGGGTAATATTATCTCTCACTGGTTGCGAAATACACCACATCAATTCCATTCTGTAGACCTTTGCACGGAAAATTATGGTATGACCAAGAGAGTCATAAAGCTAACCTTGGAATGTAAGCTGCATACAGTACTACTAAAATATCAGAAATCCTCCAGCTATATCAAACCCTTATCAGGCGGTGACCAAGGCGGTGTTTCCAATATTGAAAGACCTCGTGCTGACGTAGCGCTTGGGCAACTTTTTTTTTTTGGAGTTCACGATTCTAAGGTACCGATATACACTTGTACTTCAGTGGTTCCAGTTGTAAAGAAAAGGTATACAGATTTAGATTGGTATATCTATTCCTTTTGTAACTGTTATTTTATAAAAAATATTCTTGTGGTTTATACTTCAAATATGTCCATACATGTAGGTTTGAGTATAAGTAACTTTACGGCTACATCAATCTACATATCTACCAGAACATGACATGAATTTAATATATACATAACAACCCAATATGACTGCCTACCCTTAATAGCAAGTCGCTATTGACCACATTTTCCCCATGTGTTGTGTGTTCCCTGGTTACTGTTAGCCGCCGATCGCCCAGTGGAGCCATTTCCCTCATCCCGCCAAGTGACGACCTCTCTCTCTTTACCTCATCTCCTGTTCATCGTTTGTTTTGGTCTTTTTCCTCCGATCAACTTCCCCATTTTTCATCTTGCATCGATTGTTTTTACTGGCCCTGGTGAGGGTGCTCGGTTCTACACATACGTGAGTGCCTTCCACAGGTTTCCCCCCTCCCCCTCATTTCCTAGCAGGCACCACTCATTGTCACTTCTGAGCTAATTCTGCCACAAAGGAATTGATTCGTTGTGCCAACTCATATCTCACTGTATGTCAGAGATATAGAAGCTGGCGACTTGCTCTGTACATTTATCCTAGCGTCATTGCCAGCAAAGCTCACCCCCGTTCAACCTTCCTCTCCACACCGATTGTCAAGTCTGAACCTCGGTCTCGAATTGCCAGATGTCTGGCCCTCCCTTCACAGTTCGGGCAGTCTTCGAATATGCTTCGGAGCACGATGACGACCTGAAATTCCCGATCGGTCAAATCGTGACGGTCACCGCTCTAGAGGACGACGATTGGTACTACGGTGAATACTCAGACGCCTCGGGGGCCAAACACGAGGGTATCTTTCCGAAAAACTTTGTCGAGAAGTACGAACCTCCAGCTCCCCCACGACCATCTCGACCTAGACCAAAGAAGGACTCCGAGACAGTGCCAGTGGAATCCCCTGTTGCCGCAACTAGAGCCCAGCCCGAGCCCGAGGTGCTGCCTGCGGAGGAGGCACATGAGATCGTGTCGCCACAGTCACCTGTGTCCCAGTCCCATCTACCTGCGAGTGCCCCTGTAGCGGAAGTTGCAGCTTCTCCTCCCCAACCGGCAAAGGCGCCCGTTCCCGCTGCTCCCGAGGCCCAAGTCGAACCTGTAGCCAAGGCACCTCCTCCGTCCAAGCCCGCTCCTCCAGCTGTCGCCGAGAAGCCTACAGCTTCTTCATTCCGCGACCGTATTGCCGCCTTCAACAAGCCTGCCGCCGCGCCAGTTACACCTTTCAAGCCAAGTGGTTCTCAGCCATCCTTCATCAAGAAGCCCTTCGTCGCGCCGCCCCCCAGCCGAGATGCCTATAAGCCACCACCAAGGGAGCCTGCACCTAAGGTCTACAAGAGAGATGAGGACCCGGAACTGAAGGAACAAGTCGCACGTGAGCTTCCTGTTTCAGAAAGCCGACCCTCTCCCGCTCCCGTTCCTACAGAAGGAGGCGAAGAGTCTGCTGAAGATCAACCCAAACCGACTAGTCTGAAAGAACGGATTGCTTTGCTCCAGAAGCAGCAGATGGAACAGGCCCAACGTCATGCAGAAGCAGCTCAAAAGAAGGAGAAGCCCCCGCGCGCTCCCCCGAGGAGGTCTATAGATGAGTCTGTGGCTCCTGTAGCCCCCGCAGTCCCTGCAGCCCCCGAGGAGGAACAAGAGTCTCCTGTCGATGCAATGGCGTCTGCTAGGGATCCTAGTATCGATACATTGAGAACTGCGCCCCCTTCCCAGCCTCCTGTGCCATTCTCACCCACTCAAGAAGCCGCGAGCGATGCCAATGATGCCGATGATTCTGCCCCGACTGACTCCGAAGATGCCGGTGAAACATCCACTAGCAGGGATGACGACGGTGATCAAGCTCCTCGCCCAAGCTCTCAACGTCGACCGTCCGCTCGACCAACCGAACAGCCTTTCGAGGAGGAGAACGAAGAAGAAGAGGAAGAGGAGGAGGAAGTGGACCCCGAAACAAAGCGCCGAATGGAGCTGCGAGAGCGCATGGCCAAGATGAGCGGTGGTATGGGCATGATGGGTCTGTTTGGACCACCCGCCGGAGGAATGCCTGGCATGTCTGGTGCTGGTACTCGCAAGCCACCAAAGACCCCCAGCGAGTCGGAAAAGAGACTTGCAGAGCCCGAAGTTGAACCCACTTCACCTGCCCATGCACCTCCAGTTCCCATGGTTCCTCTTCCTGGAATGAACCTGGCTACCAAGCCAGTGGCTCCCACCGAGGTGGAAAAGGATGAGGAGCAGCCTCTGGCCACGCCTATTACTGAACAGCACTCGGCGCACGAGATTCCAGACGTGGAAGAGGTGGTCCACGAAGGTCCAGTGCGTCGCACCTCGGTTGATCGTCCACCTCCGGCTCTCTCGTCTCAAGGTACAACACATTCCTCGGCGACCTGGTGTGTGATTTCAGATTTGCTAATTGACCCAGACCGTTCGGCGCCTCCCCCGCCTCCCCGGGAGTCGCGACCTGTTGAACAGGCGCCGGGTTCTCCTCCACCAGTCCCTGGAAGTAAGTGAATATCTAACGTAACTGACTTGGTTCCAAAGCTGACTTTGATACGTAGGCCGACCAGTCCCCCCTCGGCCAACCACTGCGGACAGGGGCGAGGAGTCCGACGATGAACTTTCGGTCCTCGAGTCTGCTCCGTCGTTGAACACTTCGGTTGCTCCACCGGCTGTGCCTGCACCTGCGATTCCTGATCAGATTGACTCTCGTCGTTCCTCGGCATACGGGCCAGAATCTTCAACGGCTTCGACCCCTGCAGTTGAACAGAGAGCTAGTCGTCCACCGCCACCTGTTCCAAGCAATATGCCCATACCACCGTCGCAGGGACGCGCCCCTCCTCCACCCCCTCCCGACCAACTTCGACGCCGGTCCACCGTTGATAATCGCAAGAGTACGACTTCTCCTCCCCGACAAGCTGGAGAAGAAGCTGAAGGGGAGGTTACTGAGTACGACGGGGACTACGATACTGATATCGCATCGGGGGTAAAGCATAAGGATGCCCTGAAGGCCCATGAACGCGACTCCAGCTTTGACGAGGGTACTATCACCGACGACCATTCTATTCAATCTCCTCCTAGCCCCCCGGTATCTCGGCAACCCCCTCCTCTCCCCCCGATCGCTCCCAGGGCAGTTCCGCCTCCTCCCCCAAGCCAGCCTCCCCGGAACGCTCGTGCATCAATCGACATACCCCGAGGACCCCCTCCCCCTCCGCCAAACAGAGAACCCGCCAGTGACGACGATGAAGAGTATGATCCATTCAACTACTCCGCTCCTCAGCATGGTCTGCCTACACCCCCACCACTTCCGCATGGTCGCTCAGAGATTCCACCTCCCTTCCCGCCACAAAAAGCCGCCGAGGCGGAATACGATGATTTGTATGATGCTCCCCCAGCACCGAGCGCAGTGAACGAAAGACCGACTGCCTCATATGAAAAGCGACTTTCATTGGCACCTCTTCCTCCTCAAAGTCAAGCTCCGGCTTTGCCATCCCCAGCTTTGCCATCCCCATCCGTAGCTCGAAGCCAACGCGCATCTATGGATCTTCTTCGAGGCCAGCCCAACATTCGCCGGTCGATGGATGTTTCTCGTCCCTCGGTGGATCAAGGCTACATCGCCACAGACGTTGATTTTGCCGAACACACCCTTTGGTGGACTCAATCCAACACTCCTCCCCCGGTGTTCCAAAACCGCAGCGATCTTCTCTTCGAGGTCGAGGAATCTGCTTCTACCAAGCGGGGTGGAAAGTCAATTGTCTCGAAGGATATCTATATCCTGTTCCTCGATTACTCTCAGACAGTTGTGAACGTGCAATTCGACCCTAGGAATCCTGCCGATGCTTCTCTTGAGCAGCGCCACGAACCCCCGCCACTCCAGCCTCGTCAAGATCAGCTTGAGCAAGCCCACATCCAACTTGGTACCCGAATCTCAGAAGCTGTCAACTCGATCCAGAACTCTACTGTTGGAGACGGCACTCCGTTCGGATTGGTCCAGCACCTACTCAACCCTCTTTCCGAGGCGCTGCTCCCTGTCGGCACCCGAGGATACGGCGCTTCCGTTTACTCCAACCTGGCAAATGCCTCCGTGTCCCAGAATGATGAGATCCGTGCCGGTGACATTGTCAGCTTCCGCAATGCCCGCTTCCAAGGACACCGCGGCACCATGCACCAGAAGTATAGCGCCGAGGTCGGCAAGCCAGACCACGTGGGCGTCGTTGTGGACTGGGACGGCACAAAGAAGAAGATCCGAGCCTGGGAGCAAGGTCGCGAGAGCAAGAAGGTCAAGATGGAGAGCTTCAAGCTGAACGACCTCCGCAGTGGCGAATGCAAGGTCTGGCGTGTGATGCCCCGTAGCTGGGTCGGTTGGGAATCCAATAAGTCGTAGGTTGGCGTGATTCCACGAGAACCAACCCTTTTGTTGCAGCTATTGCACTATGAGCAGATGACCCTTTCTTTTGTTACTTTTTTTCCCTGTCCTAGATTGGGTGGGTTCATGTATGAATGGAAAGGAGCCTCCTTTCTCCTTTCTCTTATATTGTTTTCTTCTGCCTTGTCTGACCTCTTGTGTGAATCATCGAATCATCGGCTTGCGGTGTGCTAATAATGTGAGATGGTGATTTTGAGAGTTGAGCGTGCACCTTTTTTGTCTTTCTATGTCAATGGTTCATCTTGCATGATTCTATTCTATCAGCAGACTTAGATACTATTCTTGAATCTACTTTACGTCTATGGTGTGGATTTACTGTAGTATATGTGGAATTCAACAACTAGTTCCTAGATGACATTCAACAGCACCACCGACTCTTTAATCTTGTTTATTCATGCTATTCAACATCGAAACAAACATCGCCAAATCGTGTGTTCGGAGGTAAGAGCTGAGCCTTTAGGTTAACTCCAGCGTTCTAGAACCCTACGCCCGGTCTGAGATATATTAACACGAAATCACAGTAAAGCTAACAAACCTTCTCTAATTAACGGATCGAAACGACAACAATTTAGGGACATTCAACCGCCGGCCCCACCCACAAAACCCGTTGTCGCGAGCGTTTTATCACAGTCCCAAAGAATCCGTAAATCAAAGCCAAACCCACAACCAGGCTCACACGAACTCCAACCTAACACATTCAAATGCAAACAAAAAAAAGGACCAACGCGAAATCCCATCCCTGAAACGACGGTCTACATGGAACCCACTTGCTACGGAGAGCATCGAGACTGGGGCAGCCCCCGGTCTCAACCCCTCACCCAACAAATGAGTGGATTGGATTACGGAGGGGGAAGAGTGCTCCAATTATAAGAGTTGGCGATGGAGTTCATTTCGCTTTGCGAGTTCCGGGGCTTTTCTTTTCGTGTACCGTGTTCGTGCAGGGATCTCGACCGGCTGTATCGTCCGGATATTCGCGATCGATCGGTTACTGAAATCCGGTCTGATCGTCATGCGTTGAGTTTAGCTGGATCAACGTACGTTGTAGTTAGAGATATCGATTGTATGGTGAATTTAGTATAATATACGAATTATATTATAGTGCGATATAGGTAGGGAACATCTACGGAGTACGGAGTACTCCGTAGATGTAGCAGGAATGGATTGTAATATGCGGGTGCTTTTGAACAACGAGTGACAAGTCGAAGGGAAATTAATAGAAAACTGGTATTCTGGGCTATTGTTTGGTTGAGAGAGCCCTGGAGAGTTTGGCCAAGTCCCGATGTATTTCTTCTACAATATATCACATATATCACCTATATTGTATACACTACCAATGTTAAAGTTATATTAATGACATCAATTGAATATCCAGTGTCCAGCTCTCCAGTTTTTGACGATATTAAAATATGAAAACAAGAAATAGTAATAAGAAATAATTGAAAGTTGAGTAACCAGATTTTAAATTAAAGCCCTAATTGGGACTAGTCAGGGGTACTAATTTATAGTTGGTGGACTTTCTGAGTCTATCGACCTTCCCACTCTAGGAATCGCTAGGAATCTACAATCTAGGAACATCTCTTCCGCCCCTCTCTAAAAAAAATCGCTAACTCCTTTCAGATAATCTCGGAAGTCTGAAAAGCTTGCCCGTACGTTGTTAAGCGGGACAACGGCTGTCAAGCCTCACCGAAAAGAAAAAAAAAAAAGCTGGTTTTACTTTGCTCCCTTTTACCCCGTTCCAGGCTTCATCGCCGGCTTTTTCCACCGGGCCTTTCTCGGCTACAATATTGTACAGTTGTTCATGATCTCATGGGTTCCACACAAAGGGTGTTGCCTCGACTTTCTTTTTTCGGCAATGATGTAACTTGTAAATACATAATTCAGCTACACAATCACCATATGGGCATAATAAGAGTAAAAAGACTATTCATCTCCGATCGAGTGGATTCTTAAGATGCCGGTCTCCATTTTCGGGGCATCCATGGTTCAGGTCTATATCGTGTTGTTATGGATCCACGTGAAGGGAACCATTCTAGCATGTCACATACTAAATACTAGTTAGTTATCCAATGTGTGGCACATGCTCGACAGCAGCCTCATACGTTGTGTATCGAGTCTCCGTGCTCATGCGTCACACCATCGTCCTGCACGATGCAGGAGGCGCTGCAGAGTCGGAACATTGTAGAGTGGTAGCCTGTAGTCTGGGCTTGGCTTACCGAGGACGGAGTACGAAGTACTAGTTGTGCAATTGTGCCTATTCTTGATATCACGGTGCCGATTAGTCCATATAGATTGTGGCTGGTCCTGCATGTCATTGTCTTCCAATCTAAGCCATATCTAATATATTGCTCTACCGTGTACATATTGCAGATTGTGATCGAGACGAATCTCCATTAACCCTATTACGGCGTGGCAATAGCAATATGGGGAGAATGTCCCGACGTAAGGAGTAAGGAGTTCAATAGTATGTAGCCTACCTAGATTGTACCACGTACAATATGGTACTCCGTAGGATCCGCCCCTATCTGATATGAGAAAAGAAAACCCGGTCACGAACTACCAGATCCCAAAGTATCGATTATACTTCGTAGGAAAAATCTGATCCGATCGTGTGGAATGAAGTAATGGAACGACGATCTCGTTTCCCGTGTCCAGGCCCTCGGAGGAAACTAGTGTGAAAGAGATTTAACTGGATATTCCTGGTGGAATTTTATTTTTACTTTTTACAGTTTCAGCTTTGGTATAATATGGTCAGCATGCGAGACGAAGCTTAGGGTTGATATTTCAGGATTGTCTTGAAATCATTGGACCATTTCTCACTTATATTGTAGACATGTCCAGGGTGACCTGTCCCGCAGTCAACTAAGGGTGGCGTTCAGCCCCAGGTTCCACATGCCGTACAGGCGAAGCGAAAGAGGCGAGTGAGAATCAGAGAGAGAGAGAGGGGAGAGGGTCGAAGATGTATCATTTCTATTAAATGAAGCAAGGGAGCGAAAGACCCGATATTATACTTGTACGGAGTGCAGAGTAATAAGTAGTACACTCTACAGTAATCTTAAGTAAGCTGTTCTGTTCCATGGATTGACTCGGGAAGGGGATAAGACAATAAACAAAGCAAGTATGTACCTGTGTCTACTTTAGATTGTATTTGGAGTATCATAGTATATAAGGTCTACAAAGGTAGAGAGGAAATACTAGTAAACGGGAGTAATAATGTACAATAATGTCCTCCGTATTGGAATTAATATTATTGTTCTCGAACGGTGGACTCATTTCAAGACGATCCTTTTTTTTTTATTAGGAAAATAATGTTATGGGGCTAAACGGAAATCAAGAGTTCTGGATCCATTCCAAATCTCCCTCTCTCCCTCTCTTGACATTCTTCGCGTCACTCTCTTATATTTCCATTAACTGGTTCTCAATCCTTTCATTATCTCGAATGTTGTGATCTATCCAATTGATTTGACATTGGGAATCGCTTTTGATCGCATCAATTCTCTTCAGGAGACATTCGATCTCAACATTCGTTCCACTCATTCCATTCATTCCACTTGGCCATGCCGCTATCTTCATTCTCTGGATAAGCACGTCCAGTGAGTCATTTGGAAAGCATTGGTGTCGACAGAATACTGACCCGTCAAGCCATACTATCCTACACTCGCTCATCCGCAACTCGATTCCAGCTACATTCATTCCCTAACGAACTACGAGGCCCCGGAGCGCCTCAAAACCCAAAATGATGAACCGATTTCGAAAAAGCAAAAAGGCCAAGGAGGCCATGGAGGATTCAGAAGGGGGATCACCAGCATTCAGCCTGAAAACACCAAAGAAGAAGGAACAGGAGCCGGAACAAGAACTAAACTTCGATCTCTCCGACGCACTCCCCTCAACAGACAACTTCCGCACCAGTCTTTTAATGCCCAAGTTATCCGCCCGCTTTAGCATGCTGAAGGAACAGGACGACCCCCTCTCCTTGATTGGAAAGGCCAGTGATGACAGCGTGCTGTTCCCCAAGCGTGCCTCGCGCCTCAACTTATTCGGTCACAATCCAGCCATGCTGGCGGATATCGACGAATGTTCCTCCAATGACGGCAGCAGGCCCTCCCTCGCACTTGGCCGAACCGATTCATTTGCTTCCGGCGGGGATGGATATGGCACAGACGATGATCGATCCCAAGCGGGGAGCATGATGAGCCGAGCCCGTCGAGCGGACGGCAATAATTTGTTTGGAGGGCGCCAGAAGGTTTATAAGATCCCGGTCCGATCCCCGGCAGGACCACCCGATGCGACGGAGGCTGCTCGCCGGGGGATGGGGAAACCTGTCTACGATCACGACCTGAACCTCTCTGCGTTCCAGCGCCTGCGCCTCAAGGAGAAGGAGGAGAGAGCGGCGGAGGCGATGCGCGAAGCGGCCGCTAGGGAATCTGGATATGCTGCTTCCACGGCCTCATCTAATAATAGTAGAGCCACATGCTCCTCCACAGCGTCTGTTCCCCTGACAAACGGCAGCACGTCGACTGCACCCACCTCGGTCGACGAATCGCCATTAAACACATCTCAAGGCCCCGCGAATGGGTATCCCTTTCCCGAAACTGTCGCCGAAGCCTCTCGACCGGGGTCAGCCATGTCTACCCCACGGAATGGTTCGATTCGCAATCGCCGTCTCTACGGACAAGGATTGACCCAAGCTGCACAAAGCCAGCAATCATCAACCTTGCACCGCTTGGAGAGTTTGAGTCGCCAACGCGCCGGCACTCCAGACCTGCCCTCCTTGAATCGTAACTATTCCCGGAGCGCAACAAACCTCCGTGACCGCTTGCAAAAGCTTGCGATTGTCGAGCCGGCTTCGACATCCCATCCAACCAGCCCTCCTTCCTCCGCGACCTCCCCCAAGCCCCGGGTTTCCGGAGAGTCGGCACTGAGGGATCGCCTGTCCCCTACGGCAGCGACATTCGGAGGTGCTCCCCCGTTGAGCCCACCCACAAGCGAAAATGATGATGTAGCTTCATTGTTGGCTGCATCAATCCACCCAGAAGATCATGGCAAGGCCACTGCAATGGGCCTGTTCAACCGACCGGCAACTGGTTTCGACGAGCAGGCATTCTCCCGCCGTCAACTCCAGATGCACCAAGGGCGAGAGACCCCACCTCCGCGACGTGCGTCGCCCCCGCGTCGACCTCTACCCGCCGAACCCGCCGGCCGCGCAAGGGGACTTTCCAAGTCAAGTTATCGCTCCCGGGCAGAGTCTGCTTCGTCACACTACAGCAGTGATGCGCACCGTGGTGTTGACTATTCTCGCGCATCCAGTGTCGAGGCTTCTCCCTTCAAACCGGGAATGGGAACTTTCTATGCTGCGTCGATCAACAGTGAATCGGGTGATGAGGGAGATGACCATCGTTCACATGAGCTCTCCTCTACAACCTCCCTGGCTACGGAAAACGGCCAATCGCTTCACCATAATGGGGTAGCATCTAGCAAACCGCCGACTCCGACAAAAGACCACCTCGAGACGCTCCCCGAAGTGAGATACTCGGATCTTGGTGATCTTAAGCCCATTGATGAAAACGAGCTCGATGCCGTTTCGCATGACATTAGTGATGATACTCCTAAAAGACCTGATTCGCCTACTTTGCAGCCGGATCAAGGTCTCGGGGATATGGGTGGATTGGTCCGATCTCACTTGCGCCAGCAGAGTGATAAATCGTCCATTTTCCCTCCTCCCTCGCCTCGTTTCCCGGAGGGCAAGGAATCGCTTCTTCCCAGCATCGAACCACATGAGCCGCTCTTCCCGCAGCAGACTAATACATCCACGGAAGAGCAGGCCCGCGAAGAAGCTAGGCCGGCATCAGCCCATCGCCCTGGGACATCCAGCTCCCTGGCTCCCTCTGGACATTCTGCAGAGGGAACACGCTCACGGTCCAGCGAAGATTCATCTGCCCATGCTTCCACCCCCGACACAGCTTCAGCCTCGAATGGTTTGTCGTGGAGAGAGGAACTGGAACAACACCACCGTCGTCACGGAAGCACTGAAACCCAGAGGGAGCGGGAGGAGTTTGCAATCGAGCTTGCAGAAAGACGTCGAAAGGTACAGGAAAAGCTGCGCAGTGTTGCTGAGTGTGAAAGTCGCTCAGCCAGTCCAACCCCAGGCCGCTCAACGCCAGACTTCTCTCGTACTGGCAACGCATTTGCTATGCTGAAGCAAAAGTCTAACAGGCAGGCTGGCCCAAAGCAGGATCAGAAGAAAATCTTTGGTTATGGCAATGCCAACTCGTCCACACCTGCCCTTCCTTCTGATGACTCTTGGCGCGAGGAGGAGCGTCCCTCTTTCAGCTTCGGACGCCACTCCAATTCCAGCTCTCCCCATATTGGATCCGAGCGTTCGCTTAGGTCCCGGCTGCCAACTCTCAGCCGGAACAGCAGCAACGAAGACTCGCGCGAGTCCAGCCGCAGCCGCAATCACTCTCCCTTCCGATCCCAGAGAGACCGTGCGGGCTCTGATGCATCAGGTCGTTCCAAGAGCCGAACCAGACTTCGCGAGCGGGATGATCTACAGACTGTGGACGAAGGCTCAGTCATTGCGCATGATAACTTTGTAGGCCCTGAGGGCTTCGAGCCCCCCATGCCCATGTCGCGCCCTGGCTCGACCCGTCCTTCAATCGAGATGACCGAGCCGAACGTCGACCGTGCCCCGTCCACCTCGTCCGCCAGACAACGCAGCACGAGCCAATCCGGCACTCCGGGCTACCAGTACGAACGACCATTCCAGTTCTCGCAGTCCAACACATCTTCAATCATCGGTGCTTCGCCCCGGGCCCCACCCGCTACCCCAGCCTACTCCACCAACACCACACCTCCCCTAACCGAAATGCCACCAGACATTTCGTCCACATCCCTGGTTTCCACAGCCAGCAACCCCCAGTCTCACGCGATCCCCGAGCGCGGCACAGGCAGCGGCTCCCTCCTCAAGCGCACAGTCAACAAGAAGCAGATCTCCGAGCCAACCTTCGTCTCATCAACATCAAACGTTCCTCTCATCGGCCTTCCTCCAGGATCCGCCCAGTCTTCGCCTAGCACCGCGCCTCCCTTGCCTCCCATGAACCCGCGACGCCGACGCGGAACAGCCACGCAAACCATCCTGAACGCGTTCAAGAGCGACAAGTCCGAGTCGCGCGTCTCCTCTCCCGCGTTCAGCACGAACGAAGAACACAGTATCTTCCCAGACGAAGAGAAGCGCCCTCAGTCTCGCAACCGTCTCCACAAGACTTCCAGCGACGGTGGGAACCTGCACGCCCGGGCGCGCCAGGAATCAATGACCGGTACCCCACCGGCTATCCCTCAATACCCGCCTCCGTCTATTCCTGTTGAAGGGGGCATGTTCTGAACATTCGATCTCTTCCTCCATTCTTTCAACATCGATCCGTATACCCACCTTAGGCTTACGCTTTCCTTTTTGTCAGCACCTTTCTCTCTCTTCTGCCTTCTACACATATCCCATTCCGGGCATTCTCCTTTTTCTTTTTGGACTGTTCTTTGTTTTCGTTGACGATTAGATACCACTCGGTGCATTTGAGCGTCTTCATGCTCCCGTTCTTTCTTTTTCCTTGGTGTCCTTATATCTCTATATCTCAGAAATCGGCGTGATACTCATGTACTCTACTTTCTGAATTCCAAAAGATACACAACAGTATTCAACTCTTCGGTTTTACAATGTAGAGATCTTCATCAATTGTCACCATCTACAACCCATTTTCATCCGATCGTAACTGGCATGATTCATACGGGACTTGTCTTTTGCCGTCTGCGATTAAACAAGACTCCCACCCTCTTACTATTATTACAACCTCCAAGTTGAAATCCACAAAATCACCTCCCCAAGCTAACCGGCATATCTAGAAGTACATATCGGGCCAAGCACAGCCTTGTCACAGGCCGTCCCAGCATGTCTCACCCGACTACTATCTTCCGGTCGAGTCTTGTCCCCCCACCACATCCGACCATCCTCGTCCGTCTTCCAATCATCAACCAGATCAATAAGAGTCTGCAGATGTCCCAGTGCAGCAGGCTGACAGCCCCGGGGCCTGTTGAGAGCCAAGTACGTCGCAAACACAGCCACGAGAACAGCCAGCACGCCATAGACAATCAGCCGCGAGTACACCATATCAAACTGGAATCCGCGCTTGAACACCACGCTATCAGAGTCCACCTCCGGCCCATATTTAGTATCCTCAATCGCAACAGACGCAAGCAAGCTCTGCCCGATAATCCAATGCAGCAGCGCCTTCGCAACAAACTGCGCAGCATTCTCCCAGCTCGAGACAGCCGCCCGAACCGCATTCGTCGCCAGCTGCGTCCCCGGCGCTTCTCCTTTTCCTTTCTCGCTGTACGCCTGGCGCCAGACGCCCTCGTCTCTGGACAAACTAACCAGCAGCTCTATACAGTGAAGCGCAATAGTCTGGCTAGCCTGGATGAGGCAGACGAAGAGCACGCAGAGGACAGCCTCGGCTGCATACGAGAATTCGGCGGCTCCAAGATTGCGGCTATTCGCATACGGGGAGAACGCCAGCGTCACGTCGTTCCGAGAACAGGCGCCTTCGCTTGCCGTCCAGTCAAAGCTTGATCGCCAGCACGATGATTGCTCGCCTTGCCCTGCGGCACTGTCGTTGCCGATTCTTCTAGAGACGGTCGCGATGGCGATGGGCCATGCGATGGCTAGCAGAGCAAGCGACCACAATAAGGCGAGAATGTATCGCACTGCGCCCTGTACGCGCAGCATATTCCCCTGTCGCTTCAGAGGATATGTCTCTTCGCTGGACATGTGTCTCTGGTGAACCGATAGCATGCATCTCCCGGGACGGCGGACAAGATCGCCTTTTTGGGATACGGCAAGCGCGGTGTTGAGTGGGTTCGAGCTCCATGTTGGTATGGATCTACAGCTGGACGCGAGACACCATATGGCGATGGCGGCTTGGCCGGTGAGTCCCAGGCCTAGCGCTACAAGAGCGGTGCCGTTGATCAGGACCGGGCGATGCTGTGGTGGGGAGGCATCGGTCTCGAATTTCGGGACGGTAAGATCGGAAAGAAACAGAACAGACGAAGAGGCGTATGTGAGCACCAGACACGCCAGGGCCACTAAGTTGATGTACCATCTATTGGGGCCGAATTTCCGCGAGCTGGTGAGGAGCCGGATGTTCGTGTTGAACTCCAGCCGGCCCTCGCGGTAGAGTGCCCAGCGCAGCGAGACGGAATGCACGAACATCATGCCGTCTGTGCAGAGCGCTAGTAGGATGTTGATGGCTAGGGCTAAGACTTCTTGTGCGGAAGGCGATATGGAAATTGAAACGCCCAGTGTTGTCGGCTTGGTGCATAGTATGTAAATGCCCGATATTAAGCAGAAAAGGGCGAGGACCGCGCCTGTCGCTACGGCGGCGATGCAGCAGGTTCTGGTACTGCTCGCCGCATCGATAGTCGGTTCGCACTGTTGTTCATTGTTTAGCGAATGCTCGACGAAAGGCTGTTTCTGCTCGGCGATTCCCTCTTCGCGGAGTCTGGAACCCAGCCTCAGTCGGTCCATGTCGAGTCCCGAATGCATAGGTTGATAGGTTGGGAAGTTTGGCTGGAGATGTCGGGAAACGGCCCATGATAAACCTGGACGAGACCGTGCGCTGTAGCGCTCGGGCAGTGCACACTGCCTTGTGCCGTAGTTGTGGACATTGTGCGCCGATCATAGCCTAAAGTTGGGGGCCAAGCTGGGGGCCAATCTGGGGGCTGTGGAATACTCAGTGACGCGAAATGGCATGAATTGCAGGATATAATAGAAAATCAAAGGCATAAGTCTAGTACATGTAGCCATAAGAATTGACAGTACTAGTTATCAAAGTTAATTGGCACATAGATGATTGTGGGTTTCTGGTTTAGATTGATCACGCTGTGTCAAGCAGACTTGATTGCAGTGAATGGATGGCCGTAAACGTCGTAAAACTCCCTCTTTTATGAAGTTATTTGCTTGTCATAGGGTACTAAGCTGTTAATTTCACTTTGAGATCTTGTTGCTAAACCTTTGGGCAGTTTATAATCCGTTGGTCTCATTTACAAAACATTAGCTTTATTACGTTACTTGACATATGGGGGTCAAATGTTCAACCATAAAGAGCAGATATTGTTGGAATTTAGTTTGGTATACAATGAGAGGATCCATGGATATGAAGGCAATTAAGGTAAAGAAGGCAAAGGAAGGAATGAGAGCTTACGAAACAAAAAGGCATATATAAAAGACGTGTGCCGCCCTTCCCCCCAATATACGGTACCGGGCCTAATATTGACTGCTTTAATAGCCTCTATTTTATGGTCCCAATAATAGGTTGTTAGACTGTTAGAGTAACATCATTTTTCTGTCTCTTGTTTTAGAGAGGAGAAAAAAGAGAGGCTGCCTAAGCCAAGTCACCCAATGGGGAATCGACCCGAGCATTAGGCACTAGGAAGCCAAATGCTTGTGTGATGAATCACTGGCGATTTACGATTCACTCTTGTAAGCCACCTTGAGATGGACCTTCCCACCATACCATGCCTTCAGCAGTGAGAAACAGTGGATCTGCTCTTGTTGATATGCCCACTTGTCCAAGTCACGTGACACTCATTCTTTTTCTCATTGTTCGGTCAATACTTCTTCCTCCACCTGTTTGCATTTATAAAATCTATCAGATCGCTGCTATATTTGAATTGACTCTCAATATAACCCTGTCCTATTGTCCAAAGCCCCAATATGATTCATGTGGGTGTTTGAACGTGTTCGAAGCTCGACCAATGAAATATATGTGGGTCTCGGCTCGGTCCGTGTTCCGACTTGCGCGTGTCCGGCGCGATGGCCAAAAGACAGACTGCTTCATCACTTTTCTGAAATTCTTCGTACAAGCCACAGAAGCCGCAATGAGTAATGTTCAATCAACAAGATGACAGGAAATAGTATACGTTTTACAAATCACATTCTCCTGCCGCAACCCAAAGATAAACAGTGTTCAAGGTAATCTGAACCAGATAGAACACAACAGTCAGCCAAAAAGTGATAGCACCATCCCAAGCAAAAGGACCATTGTGTACACAATGAGACCCCCAAGCACCAAACCACCCAATTGGTAAAACCCAATTCGCCCACCCTGACCAGGTAGGAACAACCGGTCTTTCTCTCCGGTCCCCTCTCACCAGCATCCCAACCAGAAGATCCTGGAAAACCAACATCGGTACTAATAGAGTAAAATATAACCACGCAAGATCGCTCAAAGCCTGAGTCACCGCTGCATCGCGATCCAGCCGGAATGTAATCACGGCGAAAAATATCCCGCAATTAATGAATGAAAGACCACATACCACACCCGCCGCAGCTTGGGTCATCATGATTACTGGGTCGCTGTTGGGGATTGGGGAGAAGATTCTGCTCACGCCGATTTCGTAAAAGGGGTAGATTATTGCGCTTAAAAGTGTGAAAACTACCCCGGCTCGGAATCCACGGTGGTTGTCTCGGTAGTGCTGGGCGAGTGTCTCTGGGGATAGGGTGGGGCTGACGGGTGGCAGATTTGATGATAACGGGAGGAGGAATAGTAGGATATCATTGAGATAGGCCAGCAATGAATTTGTATTCGTGTGGTTGTCAGCTTGGATAAAGGCAGGCGATTGTTTACATGGCCCGTTCGTTCTGATTCGCGCAATATCGTTTGCTTGAGATTGAACATAGTAAGATAGTTGGATGGGTTTAGAAATGCGATTTTTCTTCGGTCTGGCGTATATGGTGTATAAACAGGTTATCTAGAAAACTCACATTCAGTATCATTTCTAGGGAAGACCTTGCTATTTGTGCTGGAACTCACCGGCCGGGTTGACGGATAGCCCATCTTCTATTACTACCTAGAAGTAACTTAGTCTGAAGATGTAGCGTGGGTTTTTCTTAGATAGCAGTATCAGCTTCTCCAAGCTAGCTACATGTCGACTGAGGTCAAATATTGATTATCTTACCGTTTAAATCGTTCATATGAGAAGAGGGAAAAAAATCGGGCTATCATCATAGATGTGTATCACGTAGCACAGAGTATTTCGAGGTAAAGTGGACTGAAAGCCCTTTTAGTTCTGGGGTTTGTTATTATTGTAGCTCATCTAGGCCGCAGAAATATCAAGTAATGAGACCTTTCATTAAATATACCGAAGGATACGTTCTTTTAGCTTGCCCACCAAAATGATTCTCTAAAGCTTTATGATAATCGACATCGGAAGATTGCGCCACCGATGAAATTTGCTTATCTCGCCAGTCGCACGCCAGTTATCTCTGTGCCTATACCTAGGTAGATGGCTGGTTGGCATACATGGAATAAGACAGTAGAAGTATAAACCACAATCCCTCACGCGTGTTTATTGTGCTGCCTTCCAAGGTTGCACCTGGTTGAAATCTAGAGACACAATTGACTGGCTACGCACAGTCTAACGTTACACGGGGAGCAATGTATTGGGGAATGGGTCCATTTGTGACATATATATCTACCTCGTGGTATGTACTTAAAATAAATTGTATCTCCAAAACATTGATAATGTAGCTAGAAGATGCATTAAACCAATCTGAATGCTTCTCCACCATAGCGAGACATAACAGACGACACGAAGACATTGCCACTCATGACATGAATAGTAGCATCCACAAAGCGCCATTCCTCTGCTGTCAACACATTCTCTTGAATCATGCGCTGAATATCCACGTCTATATCAACCTCTATCTGTAGCTGGAGAGCTTCGGTCATGGCAACGGCCGCTCGGTCCATTGAAAGATTGAAAAGTTTCTTCACAACGTCCACTGCATTAATCAGGTAGAGAACTTGGCCAGTTTCATATGCTCGCTTTTCCTTTGCCCATGAGCCAAGATCATTGGCCACAGATACGTGGTGCTTGAAGAGACGCAGATAGCGGGACAGACGGGGGCTCTCTAAATCGACAGAAGAGTTGAGCGCAAACTTTGTGCAACCCAAGACGTATCTGTATCAAGCCAATCAACATATCACTACAAGACACAGTAATTAGATAGTAGCTTACGGAACAGCAGCGTCTTCATGCCGATATAGTAGAAATTCCTCCATAATATTGTATGTTGCTGGTGGCGGAGGCCGAGTGAAGAAGCGAATCATCAGGTCAATCATATCTTGCCCAGCATTGTTCCCACAGTCACGATCTAGCTTCAGAATTTCCTGAATTGCCTGATCAATGCTTGATTGCAAGACGTTTTTAGGTTTGTCGCTGGCACCGAAACCGGGTTTCATACGGGACACAAATTCCTTGTGCACGGAGGTAAACTAGAGACGCAATTAGCTCCAGCCTATCAAAACATACTTCCTCCATCCATTCAAATTGATTTCATGTCGTGCATTTCCCAAAAGTCTGCGGAAGAAAAGTGAGTTTTCGAGCAGTTCACAGGGTAACCCCATAATAGACAGCAATCAACTAGCCGTCGAAGACGAAAATGAAAACATTTACAATAGCTAACAAACGAGCCCGCTGCGAATCAGCCTCCGCAAACAAGTAGACCGGAAACTTCACCCAACCCTCCTCCATATTGAGCTCAGCTCCCTGCATGAGATTTCTGCAATCGAATAACCCGACTTGATCATTCTAGGCGTAGAATCATCGACCGCAAATAACGCCAGGAACATTCTCGTCGTGTCAAGTGTCCACTGCCAGTGCTTGTTCTGGCGACATGACAGAATTCCTGATGCCCAAGAAATTCCTGCCTTGCTGGGTGAGATGTCAATGGCATGGTATCCCCGCTCCCGGGATTTTGAATAATTTGGAAGGTCTTTGCCCATGCGCAGGAATTGTCTGGAAGAGATGTAGTCATTCAGGCGTAGAAATGGAAGTTTGAGATACGCAACCCCACCGTCGAGATAGTCATACGCATAATGAACCGGGAATTGATGATCGTAGTCGGCTGGCGACGAGAGCTGTTCTTCTCACATGAGTGATGGTGAACACGTGCAGAGTTAGGAGAGCTTTTCCTAGAGGTATAGTACCTTTGACCGAAGAGATCGTGTGAACGCCGTTTTTCATATTTACTCGCCACCAGAAATTTGACTGCCGCAAACTAGTTACAGAAGTTCACACTCGAGGCTTGTTATATACTCTCAAGATGTGCTTTGCCAAACAGTTTTGGGGTACGACGGCGAAACCTGGAAGTTGCGGGTATTGCTTATAAATAGAGCTTCTATGGGTGTATCCGCCAGTACTATAATTTCTATCGAAATCCTTTCTTATGATTATGTGCTCCAGTTCGGTATTGCACCTTAAGGTTCCACAGGATTAGCCAGACTAGTTCTCGCAATCGAAGATCCGGGCATCACCTATCACCTGTGCTACCATGATGCCATCCTAGGAATATGAATTCTGGTTCTTCGGCCTCTCGGATCTGAGGAGGAACTAGGCTATACGCCGCTCGAGTATGTGCTAATTATAGTAGTGCGACCTTTTGAGTATATGGAAGTAGGAAAATATCCCTCCCGAAAACTTCTGCTGCATGGGGTTACACTTGCATGTGAAGATAAAAGAGTAGATGCTTGTTTACGGCATCTACAAGCACACGGGTTGGATGCTGCATGACCAAATATTAGGTATTAGAGAGCTAGTCTAACCTTGACCAAAGCGTTCAAAGATGAGTGGTCATACCATTCTTTTTGTACCCAAGGCCAGATGAAGGTAGCTTGGACCGGGAAGACATTGTGCCACTGTTTATAGCCATTCGCTTTTAAGCAAGCATGGAGAGCACGGAGGATGCCCAGTGATGACGAAGGTGCGTTAGCGTACAGATCTTTGCACTTGACCTGTCTCCCTATTCCCATAAGTAACCCTCCCAATGTGTCATCAAGCTCCACTAGAATGCTATTCTGGAGTTGCGAAATATGACAATTTAGCTTGAAAGCAATAAATGGCTCGGGTTTACCGCGTGAAATAATTCAGCCTATGATAGGATGGCATGTTATCTCTTTTCAGTGCAAAATCTTGATTCGGTGAGGATTTGCCAAGTTTCCTATATCGGTGTGGTGTTGGCCCTGCTGTGTCTTGCTTTGACTCTATATCTTCGTCGCCACGTTCCAGCGACAGATCTGACTCCCCCTGGACCATCAAAGTTACCAATACTCGGTAATATCCATCAGATCCCAAAGAAAAATATATGGAAGGTTTATCAAAGTTGGCATCAAAGCTTCGGGCCGCTCATCTACACGCAATTTGGACAGCTGGCAGTGATAAGCATCGGATCCTTCAAGGTGGCCAAGGATCTTCTCAACAAAAGAAGTAGTATATACAGCTCACGACCTCAGTTTTCCGCTGCAAATCGCATCAACCAAGGGCTCCACACAGCCTTACTTCCATATGGTGATCGTCTACGTGTACACCAAGCTCTACTTACAGCCGTTCTTTGTCCCCGAATAGTGCAAGACTATCAGTACTTGCAGGACATTGAAAGCTGTCAGCTTTTACATGAGCTCCTTTGCCCTTCCCCCAGCAAAGTTGGGTTCCAAGCTCTGGCTCACAGATACACATACAGTGTCACGCTTACATTGGCATATGGAAGACGCCTCGCTACCTCAAGTGAGGACTTGATCCGGCGAATCAACCATTTAGGGACCAGTGTTGCTGAAAACATCCACAAGCCTACATCATTGATGGTGGATGTAATTCCCGCGCTGAAATGGCTGCCTAGAATGCTAGCAACGTGGAGAGTGGAGGGAGATCACTTATTTGCTGAATCTCTTGAACTTTTTGAAGAACTTCTACACTATGGAATTTTGCAACGCTCGTGGAACTGGGCAAAGGCCACCACGCGATTGAACGACGAGCGTCGTTACCACCTTTCACGGCGAGAGCTTGCCTTCATGCTTGGATCACTGCTAGAGGCTAGCGATACAACCGATAAAGTGCTTGAGTTCTTCGTAATGGCATGTGTGCTCCACAAGCAAGCGGTGCATTGTGCACAGAAAGAGCTCGAAAGCGTGGTTGGCCCTAATAGACTTCCAAACTTCGATGATGCGCCTAGTCTCCCGTACGTAAATGCCTTTGTTCAGGAAGTCATGCGTTGGCGGCCCATTACTCCGCTTGGAATGCCGCATGCTGTCGTGCAAGATGACGAGTATCACGGCTATCACATTCCAAAAGGCGCAATGGTTCTCCCGAATAACTGGAGCATGAACTTTGATCCAGAAGTCTACGACCAGCCGGAGGATTTCCGCCCAGAGAGATGGCTGCAAGATGCCAATCTTCCACTGAATGCTTTTGGTTTCGGCAAGCGAATTTGTCCAGGCCAGCATCTTGGGCGCCGCTCACTTTTCATCGTGGCTAGTCGTATTCTTTGGGCTTTTGATATTTCGGAAGCAGTTGGCGCGGATGGTAACATACGCGATATCGACCCGTCAGATCTTCTTCAAAGTGCTTTGACGGGACCAGCTTCTTTGGAGGCGTCGTTCATCGTTCGCTCACCTGATCGCAAGAGGATTATTGAGGATGCCTTTCATTCTGTCGATTTTGATGTTCATTCAACCATGCGCCGTGTCAGCCTTGAAAGAGTGTAAAGTGTATTCGCTGGTATATTCTCGTCTAACTTAGGTATCATATATTTTCCTCCAAGTATTTATGCCTTTTCTTCTGCAGTCTTCAAATATCCCAGCACCCTTTCAACAAGGAACTTTCGCGGCTCGGCTTGGTCATCATTACTCAATGCATGAGAAGCATTGGGAATGATACCAGTGTGCTTGTCATCCCAAATCTGATATTTGCCATCGTGATCAGTGGCCTTCTTCCACCGGGCCAACATCTTCTCCTTATCAACCCAATCAGGGATGGACTGATCTTTCCCAGAAATCAACACCATCAACTTATGGTTCAACAGACCCTGTTTCTGGATCATGCCGAACGTGGTTCCAAAGTGGTCATCGCTCAGATCGGAACTGAATAAGTCATCCTCCTGAGGTGATTGAGGACTCTCCGGGCTGACAAGGCTCAGGAATCTGCGACAGCTAATTGGTGTATTGGCAGGATAGATCATAGAAGTCAAAGATAGAGGCAGCATGTCATCGTGGGGCTTGTTCTCAGCCACAGATTCCCTAGCCAGCTTCTCCATCTCGTCGTATACAGCACGTGCCTTTTCAGGTGTTGTGTCACCAATACCCCACTTCAAGACCCAGAAGATAGCCTCGCGGTCAGAAACCGGTGCTTGCATGATTGCTCCGTCGAGGGCGGGGCGTTTAATGTGCTCGATGCCCGAGTCGAACGCTGGAATATCGGTGTGGGGGTTTGATTGGGATAGATAATGTAACACACACTGGCTACCAGTTGAATGACCCATCATGGCAAGCTTGCCACCGCCGAATTTGTCGGCCTTGTAGCTCTTGATGTATTCCAGACATTGGGCGATCTCGTTTGTATCACGGTCGAGATGTCCAAGACCCCATGATTGGTAGGAAGATGTGAGGTTCAGAGTGAAAAGGGACCATTCTGAGTTTTGCAATGCGCGTGCGAGATCGGCCATGTAGGATGTTGTCGCGAGACCGTCGCCGAGACCTCCTACGAAGAGGAGACTGTGGGGTTGACGGACGGTGCTGGATGCATATTCGAATGCGACGAGAGTTTCGGTCTATATGAGCAATTGAGGTCAGTTTCTCCTTTAGCTTGTTGACGCATGGTATTGGACTTACGTAGTGGTGCAGAATACCGGGAAGGCCTCCCTTGGGCCAGAATTTAGACATGATGTTTGTGAAAGGGTACTATGTCAATGCGAATAGTGTCAATTGCTTAGGAACAGTTTGAAAAACTCGAGTAAACGTATTGGGGAGGGGTGTTTTTCTTTAATCAAACGATTTGCCGGGACCGGTTGTGTGTCTTTCCGTGACGACAGTGTGGACATCCGCGGTAAGTTGGAACCGAGAGTGACGCGATCCACCAGAACCATGTCTCAGCAATCTTATCAGATTAATCCCGTGTCAAACCGAAAAATTATTAGGTAAGAAGTCTCACTTGAAGACAACCTTGGAATACGAGGGGAATTATCATAGAATACAACTTTTTTCCCCAGGGGTGCTTGGGATGTATTACACGTGTATGATGTGTACTGGTTTTTCCTATACGACGTATAGCAAAATACCAAAACGGTGAAAATTTCACCGTGTTTTGGCTAGTATGACCAAAGATTCCACAAGGTTTCCATGGAAAGAAAGGATTGGTCAGTTAAGCTCCGCAGCAAGCGCTAAAGTTTCGGTGCGCACGCACGCTAGATACACTAGCCGATATTGGTAAGATCAACGGATCAGATTAGATTGATTGGCTAGAAACAGGAGAATCTGATTAGATAGCCCCGCCTTGAGAAAACTCTATTGTGGGCTAGCGAGCAAATTTCGTCAAAACCTGCATATCGATCCTTACATCTGATGTTGTACCTACACAGGTCAAGACTTTGTTTTGAAAGGCTTGGGGATGCTTGGTGTGTCGATTGTCAGCCTTACCAGGCTTTATGTGCGATGATCATTGCCTACAAAGATATCTCTTGGCCATCTGCACATTTCGGATTAGACTACGAGGCAGGGCATAAGCCCCGAGACTAATTCATGTATGCAAAGTCCGTCAGACCAAGTAAACACTACATTGTTGTAATGACCAGTGGATGGATAGTATGTGGCGCTCGGAAGTACCTACGTACAGTATCCAACTAAGGCTTTCTGCAAGCGAGCCAAGACATAAACTTAGGAACGTGCACGAAGGCATTTTATTTTGCTTTTATTATATCACGCTTGTTGCGGCCGATGCGGCCTATTTATTTATTATTTTTCGGGATCAATTTTGTGAGAAAATTATTATTGTGAGTACACGATTTTGGAAGTGGGTCTCGGAACGACAAAATAATATCTCAGACCCTCTTGCTTTTCGCTTCCATTCATCGGGAATTTCCGACTGAAACGCACAACAATGGGTCTGCCGAGCGGTTGACCTCCGAAACATCGGAAAACAGTTCCTTTCAGTTTGAAGTGAGATCACTTAACTAGAATGTACGACTCGTTTATATCTGCTGCTTGCAAAATTTAATGCCGATTTCAAAGATGGACTGTACTCATTTGCTGTGCAATTTCAGCATGCCTTTCCTGGTATACAATTTGATCTTCTTTTTTCTCGATATTTTTTTAGGCCAGTTTGTGGTTTAATGTTTTACCCGAATTTAATGTGGAGTCTGTGGACACTGTATGGTACTGTACAGTATGAGGCGTATCAAGATGTATGGCCATGTATGGGACTAGATTGCTCATTCTGACTCGAGGGGCAAGTACAGCGTAACGGCCACAAGCTCCGATTTGGTATTTGGCCTCACAAAGAGCGCGCGTGCTAAAAGTCTTCACCCCGCAATAGCCGATTTCGGTCATGATATGCAAAATACCTGCAGGGAACAGTCTGATGCTTCAGAGCTTGCATGCGAGTGGAGCCGAATGCAACAGAACCGTGGCTAGCTGGTTATATAGTGGCCATACCACTTCCGTCGATCCGCGCAAAGCTCCGGATTTAATAGAAGACCGTATTCCAAGTCCTTCACATCACTTCAAGGATACCAAGACCAGCGACGCTGGTCTGTCGTCATAATGGGCTTCATACCTATGGAAGATGCACTTCTTCCTAATGCGCCAATCAATGCATTCGAAATTGCGCCAAAAGAGACAAATCCCAGTAGCTTCAGCTCTTTTGAAGTTGCGCACCTTGCCATGGACCAAAACACCACCCCAACCGGCATGAAGGAAGAGATTGTTTTGCTATCGTGGCTCATGGTACTTCTAAGAAGCCGGGAAGACAGCCAAATATCCTACGACTGGTCTTACGTGGGGGGCACAGATGGCATTAAGCAAGAAGCTGTGAACAAACTGTCGATGAATGAAGTAATGAAAGGATTACAAAGTAATGTCGGAGAAGTGGCAACTGCAATTTCTCAAAATCTTCCGACAGGTGCCTCAACTGGTGCCTCGATTATTCTTAGCACAAGTGCACTTTCGCGGACTTCCGAAGTAGTTAAAGATGAAGTGAGTGTTGGTTTGATCATGAGTATCGAGAGTTTGCTAACTGTAATCGAAAGGGCGCTATTCATCTGGAAGTTCGCTTCATTAATTCCAATCTCGAGATTCGCCCGGTGTGGCAAACAGAGAACATGCTGCCGTACACAGTGAACCACCATGTTGAGGCATTGGCAGACACTGTCAGGGTATGTCTCATAAATCCTGATGCAACCATTGAGCAGTGCCTCCGGCCAACTGCAAGTGATCTGAACGACATTTGGAGCTGGAACAACCAATTACCACCTACATACAACTTCTGCATGCAAGATATGGTTGCCGAACGAGCTCGCGAATACCCAGATAAGGTCGCAATTGATTCGTGGGATGGCAGCCTGACTTACGGCGAGGTCGATACGTGGTCCAACTCCGTCGCGTTGTCCCTAAAAGAAATGGGCGTCGAACTACACGATGTCCTTCCCGTCTGCTTCGAGAAATCCAGGTGGACAATTGTCGCCGTACTTGGAGTAATGAAGGCAGGTGCAACTCTTGCACTCATGGACCCAACCCTCCCGCTTGCTCGTCTGCAGAACATGGCGGTACAGGTCGGCGCAAAGTCGATGGTCGCATCCCGCAATCAATACGAGCTGTCATTGACGATTCTGCCAAATGGCAAGCACTTTGTTGTTGAGGCAGAGGCATTCACAAACCTCCCTAGCTCCCTACCAATCTCAGATCTCCCCGCTGTACCATCATCCGCTCTCATGTACATTATCTTCACCTCTGGCAGCACAGGCACACCAAAGGGAGTGAAGATCTCTCACGAAACATATACCAGCAGTGCAATTCCTAGAGCGAAGGCAGTTGGATACACCCCGGAATCGAGAGTACTCGATTTTGCTTCCTACGCTTTCGACGTTAGCATTGATAGTATGCTTCTGACCCTCGGAAACGGCGGCTGTCTTTGCATTCCCTCTGATGAGGATCGTCTCAACGATATCAACGAGGTCATCAGAAAGATGCGGATCAACTACGCAGGTCTGACTCCCTCAGTGGGCCGAATCCTGGATGCGGATGTCATTGCATCACTCAGTGGTCTCGGCTTAGGAGGTGAGGCAGTCTCGGCAAGGGATGCCAACCACTGGGGAAAGGAAACAAGGATTATCATTGGTTACGGCCCTTGCGAATGCACCATCGGTTGTACAGTCAACAGCAGCGCTGCAACTGGCAGAGACTATCTCTCTATTGGTCCTGGCAATGGAGCAGCCATTTGGATCGCCAACCCCAACGACCATAATGAGCTTGTGCCGGTCGGTGCCGTGGGCGAGCTGCTTGTCGAAGGCCCAATTGTCGGACAAGGCTACTTGAATGATCCCGAGAAGACTGCTGCTGCTTTCGTCAATGATCCTCCATGGTTGGTTGCAGGCCACAAAGAATACGCTGGTCGTCGGGGCCGTCTGTACAAGACTGGAGATCTGGGAAGATATGACCCCGATGGACTGGGTGGTATTGTCTTCGTTGGACGAAAAGATACCCAGGTCAAACTCCGTGGACAGCGCGTTGAGCTTGGCGAGATCGAAAGTCAACTCAGTGCTGTGCTGCCTTCTGAAGCTAATGTCATTGCCGAAGTGATTACGCCTAAAGACTATGGTGGCCAGGCAATGCTGGTTGCATTTGTTGCATTCCAACCCAAGGGACATGGACAAACAGAGCTTGCCTTGGATGAAATTTCAAGCGAGTTGAGTAGCACATTGTCAAATGCCAATGTGGAAGTGGCAAAGACTTTGCCGCGCTACATGGTGCCAACGACTTACATCCCGGTTAACCTGATCCCCGTGTTGATTTCAGGCAAGACTGATCGCAAGCAGCTCAGAGCATTTGGCGCAACAGTGGATCTGCGCCAGCTCGATCAAGGCGCAGCAAGCACTGCGTCTCGTGAGCTGACTGAGCTAGAACAGCGTCTTCGACGAGCCTGGGCCGAGGTACTCAAGCTTGAAGCTGAGGCCATTCGCCCCGATGACAACTTCTTTGCATTGGGCGGTGACTCTTTGGCAGCAATGAAACTTGTGTCTGTTTGCAGAACACAAGAGCTCGATCTCTCTGTCATTAGTACTTTTGGAAACCCCACTCTTTCAGCGATGGCAAACATCGTTCAGCCTTGCAGCTCGGAGACGGACGTAGAAATTCCATCATTCTCATTGATCTCTCAATCGGTTGAGAGCGCCCGTCTCGAAGCAGCACAGGCCTGTGGAGTGGATCAGGCCGATGTTGAAGATATCTACCTCTGTACCCCCACGCAGGAATCATTGTTCACCTTCTCGCTCAAATCGAACAAGGCATACATTGCCCAGAGAGTCGCATGTATACCTCCCCACATTGAAACCGATGACTGGAAGAAGGCATGGGAGATGGTGGTCACAGCAAGCCCCATCTTGCGCTCCCGTCTGGCACCGCTCCAGGATCCAGGCCTTCAGCAAATTGTCTTGAAAGAAGGCATCTCTTGGAGATACGCTACAGACCTGGAGCAGTATCTGGCGAACGATCGAAGCGAGCGAATGAACCTTGGCCAAAGCTTGGCCCGGTACGGCATTGTGACCAGCGTAACTGATGGCAAGCGATACATGATCTGGACTGTTCACCACGTCCTCTACGATGGATGGTCAGAGCCGATTGTCCTGAAACAGGTCAGCGATGCCCTTCAAAACCAGTCTGTCGAGATCCAGGCACAGATGCGCAACTTCGTCAAATATGTGCGCGATACAAATGAGACTGCCATGCACGAGTTCTGGCGACGGGAACTGAAAGGTGCTGTTGGTCCCCAATTCCCCCGTCTACCATCACGAGACTTCATGCCAACGCCTAGCGGTCTAATTGAACATCAAATTGCTCTCGAGGCGGGTGCCGGATCACCCTTCACAATGGCAACTTTGATCCGCGGTGCTTGGGCCTTGGTCGCATCGCAGTACACGGGCAGTGACGATGTCGTATTTGGCGAGACTCTCACTGGTCGTGATATTCCTCTACCAGGTGTCGAGAGTATTGTCGGACCACTCATCGCGACAATCCCCATCCGAGTCCAGGTCCGCCGTTCAAGCTCGGTTGAAGATTATCTGCAGACTGTTCAGCAAGCCGTCTTGGCCCGTACACCCTACCAGCATATGGGAATGCAGAACATCAGGAAGGTCAGCCAAGATGCCCAGTATGCATGTGAAGCCGGTACAGGCCTAGTCATTCAGCCTGACCCTGAATACGTGGGTAGTGAACTTGGATTTGAACTTGGAGATGTTGTGCGTGAAGCTCTCCACTTTAATCCATACCCGCTCATGGTGGCATTTGGCATTCGCAAGGGTGGTCTCAGAGTCTGCGCAAGCTTTGACAGCAGCCTGATCGAAGGTTCGCAGATGCAGCGGATTCTTGCCCAATTGGAAACCGCCTGTGTGCAGCTCTCTCGCGGCCTCGACAAGAGGGTTGATGAAATCTCCTGTCTTCCTGAGACTGAGGTGGACCAGATCTGGCAATGGAACCAGGCTCCTCCTCTGTCTGTTGACGAGTCATCTGGCAATCTCCGGGCCCACGTGAGCGTCAAGCAAGGATTGGTCTATCCTCGTGCTGTGATTCCTTGGGTGTGTAACGCACGAAACCCAGCTCTTCTGTCCCCAATTGGTAGCGTTGGGGAGCTTTGGCTTGAGGGTGCCTGTCTTTCCGGTGAGACATTTGAGTCTCCAGCCTGGCTCGTGGCTGGAAGCTCTGGATGTGCCGGTCGAACAGGTAAGGTTCAGCCCACAGGCGATATGGTTCAACTACAAGACGATGGCAGTCTGATCTTTGTTGGCCGAAAGGAGAATGTTGTGCCGCTCCAGGGCCACGCCGTGGATATCGCGGACCTTGAAAGCCATTTCGCAAAGCACCTCCCACCATCAACTCGCGCCGCTGCATCGGTATTCCAGCCGTTGAGGGATGGAAATCAAAAGGTGACAGAACAAGAGCTTGTCGTCTTCGTCGAGAGCCAGCCGTCCCAGGAGGATAATGTCAAAGTCATGGGAGAGAAGCATGAAATAGCCGGTGAAGGAACAATTATCTGTGATACCGTCTCTGTTACTCTTGCTGTCTCACTCAAGAAGCTCGACAAATACATTCGAGACTCGTTGCCTTCGTACATGGCTCCCTCTGCCTATGTTGTGGTTGACAAGTTGCCTGCTGGTTTGGAGCAACTTGACCACACTTTGCTCAACCAATTTGCTACAAAAATCCCCCAAAGCGTTCTTGATCAGCTTCGTGAAGGCTTCAAGGAGGCATGGATAAAGGGGTTGGCACAGACAAATCTTTCGCCCACCGAGAAAATCCTGCAGTCCGCTTGGGCAAAAATCCTTCGATTGAGCCCTGAACAGATTGATGTTGACGACAACTTCTTCCGTCTGGGAGGCGACTCTGTCTTGGCAATGAAGCTGGTGTCAAGCCTCCGAACAGAAGGACATGGCCTGTCAGTGGCCGATATTTTCCAGTACATGCGGCTGGGCGATGCTGCCAAGGTGCTGAAGGTTGACCAGGCGAAGGAAAGTGTACAGCCTTACAAGCCTTTCGCTGCCCTGAGCAATCTAGACGTCAAGATGTTTTTGACCTCGACTGTGCGGCCCAAGCTTGCGAACCCCGGGTGGCCAGTTCAGGACGTCTCTCCAGTCACGGATTCCCAAGCACTCGATGTTAGGGCAACCATTGGAGCATCGCGCACATCATATCAATACACAATGCTATACTTTGACCAGAGAATCAACTCCGAGCAGTTGTTGCGTGCTTGCAATGACTTGACCAAGACCCACGATATTCTGCGCACCGTGTTCATTGAACACGAGTCAAGCTTCCTTCAGGTTGTGTTGGAAGAAGCGTATGCACCCGTATCCATGCACAAGGCAAACAAAGAGATTGAGACGTACGTCGCTGACCTCTGCACGGCCGACATCGAATCAGATTTCGAGCTCGGATCACCATTCTTCAAGCTCTTCCACGTCGAAGGCGACGATGGAAAGCATTGCCTTGTCCTAGGACTCTCGCACGCCCAGTACGATGGTGTCTCGCTACCAAAGCTCCTTCAAGACCTGGAGACATTGTACGCCGGAGGTAAGGTTGTCGACTTCGAGCCATTTGCTTCGTACATGGCCCGCATTTCCGACGGACGCCTCCAAACCCAAGCGGTCAACTACTGGAGCAACCTGCTCCAGGACTCATCTTTGTCTATTCTCGATGGAACTACAGCCCCCCAGCTTTCAGACAAGGCCATCTTCCACGATAAGACTGTTGAAAACTTCCAACCTGTGCCAGAGATCACCACGGCCAATGTGCTCACCGCAGCCTGGGCATTAGTCCTCGCCCGCCGCCTCAGCAAGCAAGACGTTACATTCGGCACAGTAACTTCTGGCCGAACAATTGACCTTACAAACGTGGAGAACGTGGTGGGCCCTTGCTATCAGCTCACCCCCGTTAGAGTGAAGTTCGAGTCCCAGTGGACAGCAATGGACCTTTTGCGCTTTGTGCAGAAGCAATGCGCTGAATCCGCGGCCCATGATTTCCTTGGGTTTGACAAGATCTCAAAGCAATGCGCGCACTGGTCACCTGAGATGTGCTCATTTGACTCCATCGTCCATCACCAGGATTGGGAAGATTTCGATGATATGCCTTTCGCTGGATCATCTGCCAAGGTTGATATTTCAAATCCTCATGGTGATGCTGCCTATCCTCTCAAGGCCGTTTCCTTTGTCAAGAGCGGAAAGATGCACGTTGGTTTCGTTGCAAGTGAGAGGGATGCGACCTTTGTGGATGCTACCCTTGACGAGCTGGCTGCGGCTGTACAAGAGCTGTCAAAGTGCCGTTCCGAGCCTTTGGTCCTTGACGCTTGAATTAAGTACATGTGGGGTGATTTATCATGGTGTTCAAGCAGATAGGTTGGTTTAGTCAAGAATTTTATTGCATTCCGTTTTTGTTATATCATCCCTTCGCTGTAATCAACATTCCGCGCCTGCGAATGTTAGTCCTACACATTGACCTCTTCACTTGTAGGATTTCTATTAATCATTCCAAGGTTCAAGTCTCCTATTAATAACTATATTCCTTCTGCTTCCTATGTTTTGCAGTGAACTCTTGAGGTTCCAGTTATCCGCGCTGCATTATAAAGGGCCTAAGGGGAATTTTACGAGAACAAGACAAAAGTAATGAGATAGAATGATGTATATCGTGAGAATATAATATTTCGAATTAAACAAGTATAGGAATATATAATAAATCTAAATTTTATCAGGTTGCCACTGTCTGGTGCATGACGTTGGCCCTGTAGCTGTCGGACCGCTCGAGCAATTCGTCGTGCGATCCAGAATCAGTGCACACACCGCCATCAATCAAGAAAATAACATCTGCCTTGCGGATAGTGTAAAGGCGATGAGCAATGGCAATGACAGTGATTCCTCGAGCAGCCTTCTCAAGACCATCTTGCAAGAGCTTCTCAGACTCAGCGTCCAAGGCACTAGTCGATTCGTCAAGAATCAAAAGCTTGGGCTTGCGGACAAGAGCACGAGCAATTGAGAGTCGCTGCTTCTGACCTCCAGAAAACTGGTTGCCACTGGGTCCGCAGAGGGTCTGGTAACCCTCAGGCAAAGACATGATAACATCGTGGATGTTGGCAAGCTTGCAAGCCTCCTGAATATCTTCGAGGCTCACATTGTGGCCGGGACGGGCACCGAGACCGACGTTGAACTCGATGCTGCCCTCGAAGAGTACACTGTCCTGTGGCACTAGGGAAACCCAGTCGCGGAAGGAGATATCAGAGGTTTTTGTCACGTCGACACCGTCAATGATGATCGATCCAGATTCGGGGGTGTACAGGCGCTCGACCAGGGAGATGATGGTCGATTTTCCAGCACCACTGGGGCCAACCAGTGCGCAGAACTTGCCGGGGCGGATATCAACGTTCAAGCCCTTCAAAACCTTCATATCCGGTCGGGCGGGGTAGGAGAAGTGGACATCACGAAGCTGCACGCTCGAGGCCTTGTTGCCAGAGTCGTAAGAGGGCTTTTCTTCGATGGCCTCCACATCCTTGCCCTTGGAGGGATTGACCTTTCCATTCATCTTGTCCTTGCCGATCTCAATCAGGCCCAAGATTCTGGCCATTGCAGATCGTGCGGCAGAAAGTTCGGGCGCCAGAGCGAACATCTGACTCCAAAGCAAGGCGCTGACCAGAAGGGAGAGAAGACAACAATAAGGAATTGTGTCTGGGTGTAATTACCGTTGAGAATCTGCTTAGAACCCCACCAGTAGGCAAGTGCGTTGACCATGTTGCCAAGGAAGTAAGTCATGGCCTGCCAGAAACTTGCTTGCAAGGTAACCATAAAGGTCTCTTGGCGAGGTCCCTTCAAGGAGCGACGGTAGGTCTGCAGTGTGTTATCTTCCAGGGAAAGAGAAGCAATCGTTTTGATTGAGGTGATTGCCTCAACGCCAATGTCAACAGACTTGGTGTAGGCATTTTCATGACGCTCCTCGAACTTGCCGAGGACCATCAGCTCCATGAGACCAGCTCCAAGCAGAAGAGGGACCAAGGCGAGACAGACCAGAGCAATTCTCCAGGCAATAATGTGAGTCAAAATGATGGCGGCGATGAGATTGACAGTGATGGAGAACAGGGTACCAATAACTGAGCCACTCAGGCCAGCCAACGCATTTCCGTCTCTCGTGATGTACGAAAGAAGCAGAGCAGGCGATCGACCGTTAGACTGGTGCCACTGAAGATCCTGTTCAAACAAAGACCGGAAGGACAAAACTCTGACTTTGTAGACAATCTTCTCTGAAACAAAGCCAAATCCTCCCCAGCTGATAACATTGGCAAAGAACTCAATGAGGGCAAGCACGAAGAACATCAGACCATAGAAATTACCCCGGTTCATAATCTCAGCCGCACCCTTGCAAGGGTTCAAGCTTCCAACGGTGTTTCCGAAAATAACGGCTTCACCAGAAAAGGCTCCGCCAACCATGCTGGCGCCGAATAGCGCAGCGAAAATCACGAGGAGATGGGGTCTCAAGGCCGGAGAGTATCCCTTGCAAAGAGCCCAGATCGACTTTTGTGGGGTCTCAGGCTCTGCCTCCTCTTCCTCGGCCGAATCGGTAGTTGGCTTTTCGGTCGTTGAGACGTGTGTATCCTTGGCATTATCAATATCGTTTGAAACGCTACCCTTCTCATTTTCGATATCTGTAATAGAAGTAGCATCAGACTTGCTAACGCTCTCAATGCTGACAGTTGTATCGTTCTTAGAAGCAGACGCAGCTCCAAGAGTCTGTAACTTGACGAGGTCGGAGTAAGGTCCATTCTGGGCCATCAATTCTGTGTGAGTTCCCTGCTCCAGGATATCTCCCTTGTGCATACAGACAATCTTATCTGCATTGGTAATGGTTGAAAGACGGTGAGCAATGGTAATGACAGTTCGGCCGGTGGAGATATTGTTGATAGCACGCTGGATGCGCTGCTCACTTCGTGAATCCAGAGCAGCAGTGGCTTCGTCCAGAATGAGAACGGCGGGGTCCTTAACAAGGGCTCTAGCAAGAGAGACTCGTTGCTTCTGTCCACCACTGATTAAACGACCACTCGAACCGACCATCGTAGCGTATCCATATTGCAAGGCCTCGATGAAACCATCGGCATCGGCAAGAGCAGCAGCCTTTCGGACCAATTGGACGATTTCGACAACCTCAGCACCCCGCGCCTCAGCTGCGGCGGTAAGATCTTGACCCTCCCTGATGTCGTTGGCAAGGTCATTGAGGGAGGTTCCGAGTAGGGTAGTCTTCAGATGCGCATGGGCCGGGTTGCTCGAGTTCATCAAGCCGTGGGCAATGTTTTCCAAAAGGGAACGGTCGAGAAGAGATGGCTCCTGTTGCACTAGACTGAGGAATCCTCTCAAGTCACGGGTGTTCAAGTCGCGAAGGTTTTGACCGTCAAAGGTAATGTTACCTTCAGTGGCATCATACAAACGGGTGACCAGACCAGCAATGGTAGACTTTCCACTTCCAGAAAGACCAACGATGGCGGTATGCTTCTTAGGAGCGATAGAAAGATTGATGCTGTTGAGCACAGTGATCTCGGGTCGGGAGGGGTAAATGAAAGAGACATTGTTGAACTCGAATCCGCCTTCTGCCTGAGAGATGCGAATACCCGCGTCGGAGGACCCGTCGATCAACGATGGGCGGTCGATATCGTCGCGCAGCTTGTGATAAGAAGCAACAGCCTGTGTAAACAAGTGAATGAAAGGTGCGACTTGACTCAGGAGAAGAGTAGCTATAATTTTGTCAGTAGACTTTTCAAGTAAACACTACAATCAAACTGACCTTCGACCAAGACAAAGATAACAGTGAAGGTAGATCCAACGGTGGCTCCCGAAGTGCCTGCGCGCACGGAGTCGGCGATACGCTTACTTCCTTGCCAGAATGCAAGACCGTTCGCGCCATAGGCAATGAAATATAAGACACCGGCTTGAATACCAGTGGCACCGGCTTTCTTGAGTCCCTCGGTCTCGGAGTCCTTCAGCGCCTTGGAAAACTTCTCTTCCAGACGGTCATTTGCGCCAAAGGCATGCACAACGACAATGTTGTTAAGCGCCTCTGAAGCAATCGACGCTGCGGAAGCCGCATAGTCCGACATCCGCCCGGAATATTTCTCAATATAATGACTTCCAGTGAATGACATCAAGAAGTAGGCGGGGATCAAAGAAAGCAACATTGCGGCCAAAATATAATCTTTAATAAAGGCGACAATGTATGCAGTGACGAAGAAGGAGAAACTCGAAATACAGATTCCGACCTTCTCAGCTGTACCGGAGCGAATTGTTTGGATATCGGTGTTCAACCTGGAGGCGACTTCTCCAGCGGGCAGGTTATCGAAGAATGAGGGTTCTTGTCGCAACAGGTTCTCGAGGTATTTTTCGCGGAGTCGCTGCGCCAGACGCGCACCAGTCATAGTCCAGCAGGTCAAGTGCAGATAGATCAAAACAAACTGGGCAATACCAAGGTAAACGATCAGGAGAATCTTGCTGTTAATACCGGATTGCTCGCTGGAGGTCGAGGCCCCCGAGCCCTCGGATTCACTGCATGTTGCGGCGTTGAAATCGTCGAGCAGTTGACCGAAGATGATACCAATAATTGGGAAAGGAACACCGGACGCAATCGAAGATGCCAGACCAACAAAAAGCGTACCCAGCTCGAGGCGCGAGGGATTGGCGGCCACGAGCAGCTTGGGGTAGCTAGCGAGCTTCCCGAAGCCCATGATGACTATAAAAAGGCGTGTTGGGCGCCTTTCTCGTTGTCGTTCGAGGTTTGAAGAAGGTAAGTTCTCGGAAGAGTCCGATTTATCGCTTGACTAGCTCGAAAGTGGCGTCACCATAAAAAAAAGGCATCCACCCCTTAGCGTGAGTCCATTCGGTGAAACGGCTTTGGCGGTTATAATGAAGCCCAACCTTGGATAAATATTTGCCAAGTATGAAGTTGAAAAATCCAAAGGGGGTTCCCGGATGTTTTACAAGCCGAACTGAATTTTCCATCAGCCGACATCGGTTTTGACATTTGATCTCCGAAGATGCAACCCACTCACCTGAAGAATTTCAATTCTACGGACGGGGGTTATCTGATCAAAGTGGGTCTTGTGTACCGTGGTCTCGCACTAGTGTCCATACGCGTATGCTCGTTAGTTACGAGTGTATTGTATACTAGTTTCGAAATTTACACTTGAATATAATACCTACAATACTATAATTACGGGCTTGTTGTTGTACTCAGTGGATGCTATTAAATTATATTTGCGTGAGATTTATAGCCCAGCACTTTGGCTGGAAAGGGAGTAAGCTCCTTCTGTGCTGTGATCTTTTTCAATATCTTGTACATACCCAGATGTCTAAACCAGTAAATAGTCCTGTGTGCTTTGCTGGCCATTGCAAAATTGCCTCGAGGGACAACACGAAATAATCAAATTTGAATATTACGCGGAACCAACTAAGACTCCGAATTTTAATAGTGGGGCTTAAATACGTAGAGGAATTCAAGGAAAATATCAAAAGATTATCTGATTGATTGGAGCAATGTGGGGTGTAAAAAAAATGGATAAATGGATCTCAGGAAATGATGATGCATCATGGGATGGAGTAACACGAGCTACAAGCCCCCACATGTCTTGGATGTGGAGATTATCGGCAATACATAGAAGAAAAGATATGTCATGAAACTTTTGTACATTGATGCGCAGCAAATATGACCTGAGATAAGCTAACCACAAGGAACGACAAGTAGAATTACAGCTTGGCATTCCATGCGGCGCGATCGGCAGATTCCAAAGGCCGCTCGCGCCCGTCCCAGAAGATAGGACACAATTGAAACCACTTTTCGCGACTGGCGATGGAATGCACCGAGCGCTTGTGTCCGAGGTCGACGTACTTGCCAATAGTCAGACCTTGCGCGTTCTCATACGACAGGATGGTCGCGCCGGTGGCCTTGGGCTCGCCGACGGCATTGACAGTTCGGGGATCGTCCAGGAAGACGTAGTGAATGCAACTAGAGTACCAGGCGTTTACGCGGCGAGCGCCTCGGAAACTCGAGTCGCCGACAAGGGAGTGGCGACCGCGATCGTAATCTCCAGCATCGTAATGCGCTCCGTAGTGGTCCTCCTGCAAGAGTGTTAGCACCGATTCCGGGAAGAAGAAAAGTAATTAGGACGAAACATGAACATACCTTCGACCAGTACAGCTCATAATAGGAGAAGCGGGTATCATCGAAACGTCCAAACAAGCACAGCACATGGGGATCGAAGTGCAGCTTGCGTAGGTACTCAGTGTGCTCGGCGATGGTGCCAGTTTCGTTCCAGCCCGCGGCCACACGCGGGTCATTCTGCCACTTGTTGAACAACTGGACATGCTCCGCACTCTCCCAGTCAACAACTTCAAGCGAAAAGTGCTCGTTGATCTCGGGGATGTAGCGACTGTACGCAATTGATCCTGGGTGTGGCTTGGGGCGACGGGTTGGGTGACGCGTATACACCGGCTCCTCGGGGAACTTGTTTGTGATCTGGTAATTTTCCGGCATGATGGGGTACTGGGATAGAGGTTCGCGCATGGGTCCGTCTGTGCCATCGCCCACGACCCAAATTGGACGCGGGCCCATTGGGGAAGCAGCGCCTTGCCAAAAGGCGCTTCGGAGAATCAGTAACTCGTCGAATTCAAGGGCCTTGTTGTCTCTATCTCGGAGGTTCTTCGGGTGCTTGATTGCCAGGCCGGTGGTCAGGAGCTCGTTTTGAATGACTTCCTTTCCTGTTCCGGACAGAGTAAGTCGGAAGTACTCAATTGTTGGGTGACCGAGGTAAATGGCGTGGACGGTATTCCAAATCTGGCCTAGAGAGGGCGCACTGTTTCCTGACCATTGGAAAACGGTCTGGGGACTGCGACGTGCGCGACCCCAGGGTGTGTTATCTGAGATCGGTGGTTGTTCGGTCTTGGGAATAAAGGTCAAGTCGAGCCATGAGAGGGTATCCGAGTGCAGCGGTTCGGGCAAGGATCGACCCTTTGCGGGTTGCTCATCGAGGATCAAGCTGCGCTTTGCGGGTGTCGACCCATCGGTGTTCACGCGATATGAGGTCAGATAAGGGTGTGGTAGCTTAACCAACGGGTATTGGTGTGAATTGGAAGCCATGGTGTATTTCTGAGTATATAAGAGCTTCGGAAAAAAGATTAGAGAAATAAAAGAAACAGCTCTCCGCCCTAGGCAATTGGATTATATGTATGAGAGACCCTGAAAAGGCAGAGGATGATCAAGGCAAGGATTTAGTAACCGAGGCCGAGATTCTGCTCAATTGTCAGATCCCAAAGGAGAAGTTTTGTTTCGGAAACGCTAAGCGAATCCATAATTCTCACCTTATGGGGCTTTTCTAAAGTTGGTACATATGTGCCGCTCGCATTCTTGAGATGCAAGTTCCGAGGTTCCGCTGCGACACTAAACGATACATAACCGTTTAGGACCCGACCAGACAAAATATAACAAACTTGACCAAATTAGTCCTGTATATTTTTCTATTTCTCAATCATGTCTTTGCGATCAGGGCCCTTGAATCATGACAATTTTTATATTTCTTTTCCACACGAGCGGGTTGTCCAGGTGACGATCAACAGACCTGACAAGTTAAATTGTATCGACAAAACTACAAGTCGAGAAATTGCAAAGATCTGGGAGCAGTTTGATGAAGATGAAAGTCTATGGGTTGCCATTATCACCGGCGTTGGGCGAGCGTTCTGTACTGGGGCCGACTTAGGAGGTATATTATTTTCTATCTACTCAAAGCAAAACAAAAATTGACACAATTGAACAGAATGGAACGCTATGAACAAAGCAGGTGTCGTCAATGACATGTCTGCGCCAGGTCTGGCGGGTCTACCTCGTCGAACAGGCAAGAAGCCGATCATCGCCGCCGTGAACGGCCTCTGCATGGGCGGAGGGTTCGAGATGGTGGCAAATTGCGATCTTATCTTGGCCTCGTCCTCCGCTATTTTCGCTCTTCCGGAAGTGAAACGAGGAATCGTGCCAGTCGCCGGATGTTTGCCGCGATTGACCCGCACCATTGGTCTACAACGCACGATGGATCTTGTGCTTACCGGTAGGAACGTGAACGCCACCACGCTCCACGAATGGGGCCTTGTCAGTCAAGTGGTGGATTCATCGTCCGATGTCGTCCGCGCAGCAGTTGATGTTGCTGAAGTCATGTGCAAGAACAGCCCCGATGCGCTGATTGTTGGTCGACTAGGCGTCCGGATGAGCTGGGAAGCTGGCAGTGTGGAAGATACTGTTACAGACCTAGCGGATCAGTGGTATCCTCGGTTGGTTGGTGGTCCTAATTTTGCCGAAGGTATCCAGGCATTTGTGGAGAAGCGTTCTCCAAACTGGAAAAACTCGAAGCTGTGAAAGGTCAGAAAAATTTTAAATTAATCAGATTAAATGGCGTAATTTGGTTTACATGGTCAAATGGGCATTCCATGGTCCGTTGTGGATCCACTACTTATCAGATTGTAACGTAAATTTTATCTAATTTTTCAATTCTGGAATTTTGGTAATTTAGTATATTGTATTTAGTGTTCGAACAAATATTCCATGTTGATTTCACAGCAAAATGCACCTGTAAGCACTCTAAGCGACTGAAAAGGCATTTCAAATTTTCATCACATCAGTAGATACAATGAACCCCATATCAGAACTCACTCTGATTATCCGAAACAGTCCTTATGATAAACGTGTTCCACTAATATGCACATGATACAATAATTACAACCGCATACAATACACTATATATGCACCATACCGCTAGTACCAATCAATACTCTCGGGCGAAATCGCACGGATCTCGACTTGCGGACTTGAGTATTGGCCCCCAAGGCCCATCATACTGTCCGATCTTAGTATTCCATTCCTCGATATCTTTTTTCCGGCTCTTGTCGCGGCGAACAAGAATTTATTATAGATGCCAAGACTGCCAAGGTTTGCCAAGCACATTTACTATATTGATTACCTCAAAAGGATGCATCCACGAGCTCGCCCAAAGCTTGAAGCGGATCCATCCCCGGTTGGCCTTGCCTTTTAATTCATCCCTACAGCATAATAACCACGCCATCAATGAAATCAGATTAGATTCAGCCCTCGGAATGTCCGGTTCAGGATTCTGGCCATGCACTCGAGTGGGCTGCCAACGCCTTGACTTCCCAGCTTGGCAAAAGAGCCCCAAACAGAGCAAGCGAAAAACTCGGTTACTTGGAGACTAGCGAATGAACGTTGAGACATCGCCAAGGCTCGCCCTGCTGGTTCCCTTCCACCGCGTGGCGTGCATTAGTCTTCCAAGACTAAGATTGTACCAAGCTGCCGAGCTCGGTGATTGATTAAGTGCTGTATCGGGAGCGCTAGCAACTCAATATTCCCTATAAGGGCAGAGGCTTCCCTTCTGATCTAAAGCTTTTTTGAGTTCCTCCATCCTATCTTCTCTGACACAGATCAACATGGGCATTGCTAGGCTCCGATCTGCCTTCCGGCGGTCCTCGACCCAGGAGAGTGTTACTCCCGTCGCTGTGAATACAGTTGGTGAAAAGAATGGCGAGCTTCCCACCGATCCGGAGACTGCCATGCCAGCTACCGCAGACAACCCGAACGTTCCTACCGAAGATATCCAGCAGGGTGTCAAAGATGTCGAGGCTGTGACTTTGAGTTGGACCAAGGGCATGCTGATTGCTGTCTTCGCCAAGTAAGCCTTTCTCTTGCACCTGTGCAGACGGGTGATCGACTCGTATAATTGACCTTGGTCACTAACAAATCTCTCAATAGCATCTGGTTTCTCTACTTCGTTAATGCTATGCAATCATCTATCTGTGGAAGTTTGCTCGGCTATGTCACCAGTGACTTCGAAAGCCACTCGCTACTTAACGTCATTTACATTGTCGCAAACGCCATGACAGCCGCCGTATACATTCCTACTGCCAAGGCCATGGACGTTTGGGGCCGTGCTGAAGGTTTCCTGGTCATGACCGTGTTTGCTACGCTCGGTCTGATCCTGATGGCTGCGTGCAGCAACCTGCCCACTTTCTGCGCTGCCTACGTCTTCTATAGCATTGGTTTCGGAGGAATGACATACTGTGTTGATGTCATTACCGCTGATATTTCCAAGTTGAAGAATCGAGGATTGGCATACGCCTTCACCTCCTCTCCCTACATTATCACGGCATTCGCTGGCCCCAAGGCCGCCGAGGGCTTTTACGAGGATATCAGCTGGCGATGGGCCTTTGGTACATTCTCCATCATTTTCCCTATTGTGGCTTCTCCTCTGTTCTTCATCCTCAAGAGCAACCTGAGGAAGGCCAAGCAGACGGGACTTCTGGAAAAGGTGCCCAGCGGCCGCAACCTCTTCCAAAGCATTTGGCATTATTCAAAGGAGTTTGATCGTGAGTGAACCGCCCACCAGTCTTCTCGTTTTATAAAACTCTAATATGTTCCAGTGTTTGGTGTCCTCGTGTTCTCCATCGGCCTCACTGTCTTCCTTCTTCCATTCAGCATTGCCACCTACGCTCCCAATGGCTGGGCATCCGGCTACATCATCGCCATGATCGTTGTTGGGTTCGTTATGCTTATCGTCTTTATTACTTGGGAGTTCAAGTTCGCTCCCACGCCTATGTTCAATTTCAGTCTGTTGACAGACCGCACTATCATTGGTGCTTGCTTGCTTGACGCAACCTACCAATTGTCTTACTACTGCTGGAACAACTACTACACGTCCTTCTTGCAGGTGGTCAACGATCTCACCATCGCCGAGGCTGGATACGTCAGCAACACCTTCGACGTGGTCTCCGGATTCTTGTTGCTCGGTGTTGGTTTCCTGATTCGCCGCACTGGTCGCTTCAAGTGGCTTCTCTACATTGCCGTTCCTCTGTACATCTTCGCTCAGGGACTGATGATCTACTTCCGCCGTCCTAACCAGTCTGTTGGCTACCTTGTTATGTGCCAGATCTTCATCTCTATTGGTGGATCTGTGTTCATCATCGTCGAGCAGCTTGCTATCTTGGCCGCTGCCGACCACCAGCATGTTGCTACTGTTCTTGCTCTTCTGAACGTCGTCGGCACTGTCGGTGATGCTGCTGGTTCCACCATCTGCGCGGCAATCTGGACCAACACCTTCTACGGCGCCCTTCAGAGCAGACTGCCGGAGTCTGCTATTGGTGACATTGATAACATCTACGAGAACCTTGACATTCAAGTCGGCTACCCTGTCGGATCCCCCGCCAGAATTGCTATCCAGGAGGCCTACGGATACTCACAGACAAGAATGCTTGCTGTTGGAACTGGTATCATGGGTCTGAGCATCTTCTGGGCTCTCATGATCAGAAACATCGACCTGAGGAAGGTTGCCCAGGTCAAGGGTGTTGTCTTCTAAGGTACTCAATTATACCCTGGGAATCATGTATCAACACTACTGTTTTTGAGCCATCTCCCACCATTATAAAATGCGATCAGCAATCTTTCAGCTGCATCTACTACTTTTACTCTTCGAACCTTATCATCTAATTATATACATAACGATCTGAATGCAGAATGTTATTATCATTGAAACTAACGAAATAATAATCAAGTCGTAGTCATCCATAGACGAGCTGGGGTACATGAGACCAGGCCTACGTTAATTCAACAGCAAGCTTCATGTCTGAAATGCCAAGACTTCAACATCAAACAGACGCGGAAGTCCTCTGACATGCCAAGGAATTGCACTTCGAGCGCACGCCGATTTTCAGCGACGTGCAGCTCGGTTGGAAAGAATTTTTCAATTGCCGCGAGGAAAGTGGGATGTTGTTTGGTGGATACAAATGTCCATCGTATGATATTTATAAATTACACAGGCATACCGCTAGTATGAGTCGTATGTATTTTAGGTAATTTATGAATTATAAAATACCATTATGTATGTATCAAAAGAAGTCCTATGTGAAACCCAAGTAGATACCTACCGTTGTAGGCCACAGACTCCGGTGACATTTGATACTGATCCACGTGTCTGACCCGAGGCCTCCACCTCGGGGTGGAGTCAGGGACCAGAAGGATCTGATAACTTTTTTTCTTCGGGTGCGTTTCGACAATTGCGTCGAAAATGCCCCTTTCTCTCGGCTTAAACCGCCGCGAGTCACACGTGGCCGACAGTCTCGACCCACAGACCGTTTCCATTAGCAAAGCAGTAGCGAGCAGCGGGACCAAGGGTGATTGATTTTCTTGAGACCTTCTGTCCACGGAAGACTCGACCGAGCTTGTATTTCTTCACGGGTGGAGATGGCCGCGCGCTCAACGGTCTTCGTCCTTTCAGGCAGTAGAATTTCACTGGAAATGGTCCGAATGGGTCAATCTGATAATTTTCTGATCATCTGATTAGATTAGGCTATTGGTCCCGGTTTCTGTTAGCGTTAGGTGGCGTCTTTATCTGATCCGAATGAATTCCGTGTATCTATATATTGATTTTATACTCGCCAAGCATGGGTACCCGGGTTTCCGCGTGAGCCCGGTGTGATGGAAGCCTGGTCTCAATGGGCTTGTTGTGCTCAAGTAGGCATTACGTATCAATAGAGCGACAATGTGTTTATACGGCTTCTTCTCCCCCTTGGCGAGAAAACCAGGGCATTTGCTCCAAGTCAATATAGGTGCCAACTAGCAAAGTGTATTTCTTGGCCTCTGGCTTCAAGCAAATGCGGTGCCATTTGTGTATTCTGGTAATGTTCCTGATAATTTCTTTTGGGGTTCGCCTGCAAATGCTACAGAGCTCTAAATATCATTTCGTCCAACCATGAAGATTTTGAGACATGTTTGTATTCACCTAGAATCATCAGGTCCTATGTGTACCGATATAGATACAGATTCAATTGATGGACAGGAGATATCATTAATATCTATAGGCTAGCTGCTCTAGTTAGAAGAAACGTGGTATATTTAAGATAGCATGGTAAAATGACGAATTCTGATCACTGAACAGTCTCCATGTTTCGGGAACCAGCCTCTTTCTTCCGGTCATATCTCAATGTGGGTATCGATAGACGACACGACTGAGTGTATTCACTTGATATAAGAATATAGGGACGTCGTATCCAATTATGTGAGCTTAGATAACGTCGTTTTCCCCATGAAGACGAGAGTTACAATTCCCTCGGGCTATATTTTCAGGGTAATACCTGACGATAAGAACGAATGACCACTACCCTCGGTGGAACTTGTGGGACTGAGGTGGCACTTTCCTCGTGTTGCTTGTATACAGAGCAATCGCGAGTGCTGGCCAGAGGCTCATGGCACTGAAATCAAGTTTCTTTAAGCGATCTTTGACATTGGATATGAAAAGGGCCCAAAGTAAGTGATAAAGTAAGTAGATTAGCGCTGCTTGCGGGTGCTAACTAACACACTTTTTTAAGGACATCCGTAATGGGCATGGACCAGTCCTCTGCAATCTCTTCAAGGATAATGATAGTGATTATGAGTGCGATGGCGGTTCCACTTCCGTTTGTTTAGGCTCACGATCACCTATCAAGAGAGAGGCTATACTTCGCGAGGACATACACTTTCTGTCTATCCATCAAGTCACCCTCACTCTCAAAGCTACACAATGTATGTTTAAAGACTGACTTTATATTCTCCATCGTGGAGTAACGGGGTCGTTTTGTGCTTTAATGTAGCGACTGGCTCTTGCTATAACACAGCCTGATTTAAAGGTATAATTTGGAAGGGATATAATCAATATAAGGCAAAAAAAAGGGAATCTTCCTCCTTCCCCGGATGGGGGGCTAGGGTCACTCGGTACCTTGAACATCAAGATTCGATCGGCTTTCAGACATATGAATGACCCCGTGCGTCACCACAATCAAATTGTTACCTCTGGCTAGGCGGTCTTCCCATTAGGTCAGGTACAGAAGATCATTGAAAGATTGATACTTTGACCAAATGTATAGGACCAATATGCTCTATCTTGTTATATTCCATAAGTTTGTCATGTCTCTTTACCCCATAGCACCCAGAACCCAGTTGAGAATCAGCCCATCCCTTTGAAGGGACTCAGCTCCGCTGCGCATCGACACTCGAAGGATCCCTATGCACAGTATGTTTTGTCTCAAATTTAGGCTGTAGCAATGACTTGTCAGTACTAACCACCTTGAAAGTTACTAGTACATATATCCGCAATTGACTAAGTATCATTGCTTTCAGCCCATCGAGACGTGTAAATTATATTCGTCAATGCGATGGTAATCTTGGAAGGACGCAGGAAAAGGGCCTATTCTTGAGTATCTAGAAGGACTAGATACGGATCACAATGCTACAGTCTGGCAGGCAACGATGACAAGATCTGGCTTCATTTTTCCACAAACTCTGTGTATGTTGTTCAGTGTGCAATCATGTGCGACTTAACCGCTTGACCAGATTCCATTTATCTCCTATGTTTCCATGTTGAACATCCTAGTGAAAAGATGCAGGCCAACAGCCAAAAGTTCGATGAGGAGTGCTCGCATTAGGGTGAAGATATCTAGAGCGAGGAAGAGAAACATGAAAAGCATAGTAGCTAGGCCAATCTCACCGTGTTCTATCTTTTGGTCCAGTCGTCCGCTTTCTTCCTGCAGGGTCTCCAGGCCAATGTCAGTATTCTTTGGCCCGATATCCGGAATGACAATACTCTAAAGCAATATACACACAGATTAGCAGTGTTAACCAATAATCCATAGCCCCTAAACCCCGTCAATAACTCACAGCAGTGCCCAGTTTCTGCGGGATCTTCTGGCCAGTGTCAGTATTCCTGGAGTCATCATCCGGAATGACATTAGTCTAAAGTAATCAGCATAAAAATTAGCTTCATTCAATCAATAAGCCCCAACCCCTCAACCCAGTCAATTCTCACAGCGGTGTCCACTTTCTGCGAAGACTCAAACCAAATCACACGGAATACCGCTGCGCAGGGTTCCATATAGACCTCAGCCCTCTTGAACCAATGAACAGCATGTCGAAGTTCCTCCAAATTGTCATCTGTGGGTTCAAAATTTCCATACTGCCCCAGTCCCGGGTATTGAAAGACACACGGGGTATCTTGGAAGGTAGTTTGTCCAAGCGCGAGCTGACAGTGTTTAATACACGCGAGCGTCGACATGGACTGGGCAAAAAAGCTCTGCGGACTATCTCCAAGCACAAGTAGTCCGAGGTTGAACTGCTGGACTTGAATGTCGCGGATGAGCCGGTCATACTCTTTGGCATTGTCGTCGTGCACTTTGTTCGTCTCGGCTTCTGGTGACACCGCAAAAGGGTTAGGGTGGTTGAAGTGCCGGTGGATCCAGTTGATTGTTTGGACGATCTCCTTGGAAATATCAGCGTGGGACGGTCTTGTTTTTGGAATGGGAGGAATGCCGGGATTGTTGTTCTGCCAGAGCTGCTCTTTTTGCTTTGCCATGGCGTTGACTAAACGCTGGCGTCTGATGGCAGGGGGTTCTATGAATGCGTCTTTGGGGTCTCCCGCGATGCGGGAGGGTGACGGGGCCATTTGGACAGAAAAGGACGCAGCGGAACAATGAGACAAGAAGGAGCAGAGAAGAAGACGACGACGAAGAAGAAGAAGAAGAAGAAGAAGAAAAGTAAAATGAGAGAAGAGCTGGAAGATGCTTCTCCCTCATCTTGAGGGCGGCGAAGGCAATGCATCCAAAACTTCCACAGGGATCACATTACAATCTCGCCATTGCAAACCAAGTTGTTCTTCATGAAATCATAAATTTTCCTTGTGGTATCTAGTTCATCAAACACAAACGCATCCATCTATACATGAAGCAATTCTATCGACCAATATAGCACTGTACATCCGACTCTCTACTGCTTGTCAGGGAAACCAAAGTTGACACCGAAGGGAGGGTAGACAAAGCGCTGGAGCTTGCCCTCTGCCTGGAGATCGTCGCTGTACTTGCGTAGGGTAGCAATATCCTCGGCATCCAGGTTGATCAAGTCGGCACGGTTGGCCTCGATACGGGCTGGGGTCACGGACTTGGCCAAGACTGAGGATCCACGGGCAACTTAAATTGATCTGTTAGCTGAGAATTCTCAATTGAAGTGGTACATGCTGGAGAATTGCTTACTGTGATAGCTGAGGAGAACAGCGGCGGGGGTAACGCCACGCTTCTTGGCAATGGCCACAATGGGCTCCGCAGTGAACATGGGGCTGCCGGTGCTGCCCAGCGGGCTGTAGGCTGTGATATGGATGCCGGCCTTGTTACAGAAGTCGACAATCTCCTGCTGGGGCAGGGAGGGGTGGTTCTCAATCTGGTTGACAGCGGGAACAATAGTAGCCTCGGGCAGGAGCTGCTCAAGGTACCGGACACTGTAGTTGGAGACACCGATGGCCCTGACCTTGCCGGTGCCGACGAGCTTCTCCATGCTCTTCCAGGTAGTGACGTGGGAGTGGCTGTGATCAATATCCCGCGAGCCATCAGCGAGCTTGGGGAAAATGTTGTGGTTACCTGTAGGGAACTGGTTAGCGCTTTGTATGTCATTGTTTGAAAGAGCCAAACTCACCCTTAGGGTTCATAGCCAGGGGCCAATGCATCAGGTAGAGGTCGACATAGTCAAGTCCAAGGTCAGTCAGACTCTGTTGGAGACCCTCCTCGACACGGGCGTGGTAAGAGCACCACAGCTTGGTGGTAACGAAGAGGTCCTCGCGCTTGACGATTCCGGAGTCAATTGCCTCCTTGATACCCTGGCCGACCTCGTTCTCATTGCCGTAGCACAGAGCGGCATCAATGTGACGGTAACCAGACTTGATGGCGTGGGCAACGGCGCGCGCAACCTCGCCGGGCTGGGACTGCCATGTTCCCAGACCGAGGGCAGGGATCTCAGCGCCGGTGTTGAGCTTGAAACGGGTATCGCAGGCAGCCATTGTGAGTGAGTGAATATGTGATTGGTCTTTTTTTCGGAAAAGAATCAAGATTATTTACAGAAGCAACTTGAAAATGTCGAGAAGAAATGAGGGGAGATACTCTCGTTACAAAGGACCCCGAGGGTGTTCCCCCACGCGGGGCTCCAAGTCACCCCGCGCTCGGAAATCGGGCTTTTTTCCATCAATCACCTTTTCGCCTTACTACCTTTTCCTTGCGAGTATTTCCTTTCAATGTTTATCCGGTTATTCTCGATTATTCTCTACAAGAGGTGATTCCCTTAAAGCAGTAACCGCGCCCGCTCTGAGAGAACAGAGTAAATCTCCCCGCATTACCCGGTGGACTCAACAAACGATCAGTCAGCAGCGGAAACCGTCTTCCATCAGATTGTCTGCGACTGAAAATTGATCCACCTGACATCAGACTCTCCACATCGAAGTCTTGGGTGACGCGGGCTGCCAATCATCGTCATTCCTTTCCAGGGCATACCAAACCTTCCATCGGCGCGGAAGCCAGAATCCGTGATGTTTCACGGTGATGATTCTTGTCCCGCACAAGAAAGGCAAATCATGCATTATCTGGGGAAATTATGAGCGCACAATCGCTGAGATCGGAAATCTAGACGCGATGTTCTAAAATGATGGACTATCCTTGGAGCCCTAAGCCTATATATACACTTAGCAATCCTGGGATCATCTTCCGTTCTTTAAGCCTTTGTTAAACATTGAATCTCATTTGACAAGATTCAGCAAAAATTAAAAATTTTCCAAGTACATATCTTCTCCATACATTCAATATGGCACCCGTTGCCGTCTTCCCCCAAGCCTCCCCCGTCTTTAACAAGCGGGATGGCCAGGCACTCGAGGACCTATCCGATGCCATCGACGAGGTCAACGTCCTGAAGGACATGAAGAAACGAGAAGCCGAGAAGGCCGCCGCCGACAAGGGTCTATACGAAGAGTCCGAGTTTGACAAGGAGAAGGACAAGACCAACTTCCGCCAATACGAAGACGCCTGCGATCGTGTCAAGAACTTCTACAAAGAACAGCACACCAAGCAAACGGTAGCCTACAACCTGAAGGCCCGCCACGACTTCCACAGCAAGACCCGCGCCGAGATGACCGTCTGGGAAGCCATGGAGAAGCTCAACACGCTGATCGACGAGTCCGACCCCGACACCAGCCTCTCGCAGATCGAACACCTGCTCCAGTCTGCGGAAGCCATCCGCCGCGACGGCAAGCCGCGCTGGATGCAACTGACAGGCCTGATCCACGATCTGGGCAAGCTGCTCTTCTTCTTCGATGCCGAGGGCCAGTGGGATGTTGTCGGCGACACGTTCCCCGTGGGCTGTGGCTTCGACGAGAAGATCATCTACGGCCGGGAGTCGTTCGTCGACAACGAGGATTACCAGCACAAGATCTACGATACCAAGTTCGGCATTTACAGCCCCGGCTGTGGTCTCGATAAAGTCATGCTTTCTTGGGGCCATGACGAGTACCTCTACCACATCGCTAAGGAGCAGTCGACTCTCCCTGACGAGGCGCTCGCCATGATTCGCTATCACTCTTTCTACCCCTGGCACAACCAGGGCGCCTACCACGAGCTGATGAACGAGCATGACCGTGATATGCTGCGCGCTGTCAAGGCTTTCAACCCTTACGACTTGTACAGCAAGAGTGATGGTATTCCCAGCATCACTGAGCTCAAGGTATGTTCTACTGTTACCGGTATTTGGAGCAAATTCTAACTGTCTCATAGCCTTACTATATGGAGCTCATCGACGAGTACTTCCCCACCAAGGTCCTTAGGTGGTAGATATCTACTACTTGATCTTGATGCCTCTCACCTCTTCTTATGATTCCCCTTTTGAACCTGTTGGTTCCATGAAAATATCGACGATACATATCATCATGACATAAATTAAGCGTTGTTTTTTGTTTTAGAATTACAATTTCCTTTCATTCCAGGCTTTTGAATATTCCAAGTAAACCAATACAGTATTCGCTTTTACAAATCTTGTTAGTTATGAACCTCGGGAAAGAACTTGTCTACTAAAATCATGTATTTCGCTTATCTTGGCCGTGTCCACAATAATGGCTTCCACGTCTGCCTGCCTTTGAATATCTTGCCCCCACCATGTATTGTTTTGGCAAATTACCCTTGTAGTGATGCATTCGTTCGGTTTAAAGTCGTCAATTTACGCACCCCAGAGCGGAATATTTGACTTCTCCTGCAACATCAGAATAATATCCAACCAGACCCAAATCAAATCCAGTCCTTTTTCGGTAAATATCAAGTAACAACATATCGGACAAGGAAATCCTGTTTAGAAAGGTAGTCTGTGCTTTGGAAGCTATGGCCCTTGTTCACATTGCACATTTATACCTTTCTTTACTAATTCAACTGCTGTCTATCTATGTACGCTGTATACAACACCAGTCATAGCTAATTCATATCAATTGATATAATGATCTACCTAGGTATCGCTAATAACATGAAAGTATATGCAAACCCCAATCATCACACATCACACATAATTTACAGACGCGAGAGCTCCGTCCGGTTCCCATTTTGATCGAAGAAGATCTTCTGCTGGGTAATCAACGACTCCTGCAGCGCCGCACCAATCCGCACCGCCTTAACAGCATTGTTAATATCAATCGGCAGCGCCGAGTTATCCAAACAAGCCGCAGAGAACTCATTAGCCTCCGTAACAAACGCATACTCAAAGCGATCATAGTAATTCTGCGGGATCTCACGACGAATACCCGTCTCGTCATAGATGTTAACATGGTTAAGCGCAGGCTGGGTATTGACCGCAAGCTTGCCCTTAGTACCAATGATCTCAGTAACGTCTTCCTGGCCGGCAGCCATCATTCGCGAAGCATAGAAGAAGGCCATGCGGCCGTCCCAGAACTCGACGAGGCCGACTGCGTTATCGCGGTCGTTGTGCTTGCGCAGGTCTGGCTCGACGGCTGTGATGCCGACTGCGGAGACAGACTTGACTTTTGAGTCGTCGCCGAAGAACCACAGTGTGAGGTCGATGTCGTGAATGGAGCAGTCGACGAAAATGCCGCCAGAGAACTCGGCGTAGGCGACGAAGAAGCCGCTCGGGTCGAGCTTGTCGCAGGTTTGGCTGCGCAGCACGGAGGCTGTGCCGATGGCGCCGGATTTCATCTTTTCGTAGGCGTCGCGGTAGGACTTGTCGAAGCGCCGGGAGAAGCCACACATCACCTTCAGGTGAGGCTTTTTGGCTGCTGCGTCGACGACTGATTGGGACTGTAGCGAAGGGGTTGTTGTTAGTTTGTTCTGTTCTGTTGGTAGAGATATAGGGATATATCATAGACTGAAACAATAGAGGTAGTTGGCTGGGATTGAAACTTGACTTACGATTTCGACATTGGTAGAGATGGGCTTCTCGCAGAGAACATGCTTGTCCGCCTCAATAGCCTTGATTGCTTGTTCGGCGTGTACTGCAGTTGCGGATGCAACCACCACAGCAACAAGACCTTCATGCTTGAGCATATCGTCATAGTTCTGGTACAGGCGCACACCGAAGGGCTCGAGGTGAACCTTGGCCCATTCGAGCTCGACGGGGTCTGGAGAGCTGGCAGCCACCAGCTCAGCTCGGGGAGTACGCTCCAAGAAGTTCAGGGCGTGACGCTTGCCCATGCGGCCTAGACCGGCACAGCCGATCTTCAATCTTTGGGCAGACATGATGTTATAGGTATAAAGGGTAGAGAAGAGAATTAAATTGATCGTGAAATGCAATTGACAATGTACACAGAGAATTTCTTATAAAGTTGAGTCGGAAGTACAAATGCGGAGGCCAGTCTCCGATGATCTACTCCGCAAACGTGGGGTCGGAAAGTGAATTCCAGTTGAACTCCGACACAACTCCCTTTGACTTCCTTTGATTTCGTTATTATTTAGCAATGAGAAATTATTCCTGCTCGTTGGTCTTCTTTTCCCGTCGCAATTTACGCTTCGCAGCAACATCCACTGGATCCGTAAATCCATCACCTCTTAACCAAGCCAAGCCCTTTCGCAGACCGCCGCCCTGCACGGCTGCAGGGTTCGCCTCAAGGATCGACCCCATCAACGCCCAGGATGAAACAAATAACAACAACTCACCGCCTCTTCGGCCCTTCCACAGTCCGCGCTTGATTCCAGTTTTGTACGCCGACATGATAGCGGACCGGAAAAAATAGAGAAAGGTTGTGCGGCTGTTGCCCAGGAACATAAATGGTAGACCACCCAATGCTCCACTGATAAAGAAACGCTTGGTAGGGAGCGTGGAGCGAGGCAGATTCTTGTCCAAAAGACAGACACTGCCCCAGGTTGAGCCAATGGCAGCTGAGAGAACCGCTGTTATGGTAATTATGCGTTTCGACATGCTGTTAACCGATGACAGAGGCTGGAGCATGATTCTCTTGAGTTTGGGGATTGAGAGCGCCAGCGTGACAGTTGTTAAGAATCGCGCAAGCATCGGCACTGAAAGGAGAATTTGATGCAGGAATGCCGTGCCGCAGTTCGGCAGGTTGGGGTGCAAGAGAGCGCATGATAGACTCGTAATCGCGGGATGTGCTGGTCCAGTAATTGGCGAAATAGAAGACACCGCTGACGGCAACGTGTTAGAGTCACCGGGGTGTAGAATGGGAGAAACGAATGCCCTGGGTGGTGTTAGCAAGCCTGCGCTCGAGAAAAAAAAGCCCTTGGAACAACTCACGGCCAGCGGAGATCCGCAATAGATGCGAGAGAGTTCACAATCTCCTCCTTCTCCGGCCAAGCAATGTTATCCGGCAGCGACTCCGGTCGGCTCTGGATATAACTCGGCGAGAGTCTGAGGACAACATTTGCAAACCACTACATAAGTCAGCGACCGTACAAGCAACGCCACAATTACCGAACACAAACCTTAGGCGTAGTATCGCGATCAAAAACAAAGGCATGGAAAAGCTGCGCGAGCGCAACAGGCATCAACAGCCAGCTGCCAAACCATTTCGGGCGCTTTCCCAGCCACCCCTTCGAATCCAAAACATTAAATGAGAACTCTAAGCTGCGCATGGCGGTATAGATCACCGCAGTTAATCGGAGCTGGTCCTGTGGAGCGATGCCCAGGGCAAAGCCCGCAAGACTTGCACCGATGGCTGGCGCATAGCGGGAAGTTAGGGCCTGGGAAACGCGCGGGTTGCGCTCTCTGAAGGGCTGCGCATCTTCTGTGCGGAGATTTGCCCGCAGTCGAACGAGGAAGCGGTAGAGGAGACGGTGGATGAAGAGGAGGAGGGACAAGGAGATGGAAAGGCGAAACTTGGGAGAGCGGAGGAGGGAAGTTCGAGTGTTTTTCCTGTTGGGTCTAGCATTAGTACGTATTTTGGAATAACTATAATCATATTATTCGACGTGATCGTACTCTGTAGCAGCGCCTTGGAAACGGGCCATCAGGAGATCCGCCAACTTCAGCGCGACTCCTGAGCCGACGAAGACGCGGAGCGAGGCGCGCAGGGCGGCCTCGCTGTGTCTGTTCTTCGGGCGGACGATGGCATCGAAGCGAGATGGCGATGGGAACTTGCTTTGCACTGCCGGGGCGCGTTTCAGCGCTGATTCGTGGAGGAATCGGTATTCTTTGGCGCTGAGACACAGGCGGAGAACGTCCCGTATTGCTGGTGGTGGGAGGGTTGAGTCCACGGGGACTGGAGGGCTGTCCGCGGTGGACATGGTGTTTGTTGATGCGAGCCAACTGTGAGCATCGAAGTCTGGGGATAAGAAGGGGGTCGAGGGTCTCCGCTTCAGATTGGCGCGGAGTAATCCGACCTCGGCAATTCACGCGAACACATGATGAGCTACCTCAATCGAAGTATTTGCGAGATGAATAATTTTTTGTGTTTGTTTTGGGTTTCTTTGCATCTCTTCGACAATAACATTATTAGATGCTGAACTACATAAGCTGTGGATACAATCGATTGGATGCCTCAGGCCAAGATATATTCAGCATCCTAATACTTCAGGAGTCGAGGTTGCGAGGATTCGGTCTAGAACAGGTCAAAAAACCTTTGAAAGAATATCTTCCAAGTAGACCAGGGGTCTCCGCAGACCTCCGGTTAGGTAATGCTGGCATATTGATGTCAATTCGGCCTAGGAGTATGTAGATGCAAGAATTATATTCCCGGATGACCGTATTCGTATAGACCCTACTTTATGGCTGCCTATACTTAATTGATTATCTCAGGGTTCCCCTTAATATGCATAAACGAGTACTTTTGTTGTACTTTTCGGTGGCTGATTGTGGTCCTTGGTTTGTTTGTGAATCCTGATCTGGCCCTGGAACTATACCTCCCAATGCTTGTCGACTGGCTGAACATTTCCATTTCGATTAACCCAGAGACTATACATTTACCCAGTTCTTTATATATAAGTGTATTGTAGATTGTTCGGGAATCTACAGAGTACAGGTGAGAAGACTGTAGACTTGATTTCTAATGCCCTTTTATCACATTGCCAAAATCTTGCAAGAATTAATCTATAAAGCACATTAGAGAGTGGATGTGTTTCAGCGCCACGAGTGTATTGGACCGAAGCCCTAAGTGCAAAATCGAAGATCCAATTCTTGAAACACAAGCTCGAGAAGGGTCCACATAGCTTTTAACGGCGCGAATTATAGTGTGTAGATGTCAACAGCGGTGGATTCCTATTGGACAAATCAATAGTTCATTCCAAGCCGAAACTAGTAGCTGGTCCCGGACCTAGTTTACCCGATTATATCCCGAGTCTTATGTTTAATCCCCTTCGGCTTCGTTGTGTGTACTCCGTATTGTGTGGATCTGCGTAGTTTCGGAGGATTGCCATTTCTGGATTTAGCCTTAGGTTAATCTATTAAAGAATCTAGAAGGTTGTCCCTGCATACCGAGAGACCGGGTTTATCCACCAATAGTCATGCCGGTGGATAGCATGGGTCGACATGATAGCAGATGATATTGACTTTGTTTCACCGTGGTGCTAGTGCAGGGGTAGGATGCGGAAACCCTGTAGACTGGAGGGTTTAAATACCAGGGCCAAGGGCATGGCATAGCTTGTTCAAACCAATCCATTCATTCCTTCTTTTCATATTTCAACTTCATTTAGGCTAGTCCTAAATAATCCACTCTCTTTAATTGTCTGTTGATCGGACTTTTTCTTCAAAATGCGTACCTCTTTCGTTGCCATACTGGCACTCGGCGCCGCTGCCGTCTCTGCTGCCCCAACTCCTTCTGCCGTTTCCGAGCTTGTTGAGCGTTCTTCCTCGACTTGCACCTTCACCTCCGCTGCTAGTGCCAAGGCTGGCAAGAAGTCTTGCTCCAACATTGTCCTGGACAACATCAAGGTCCCTGCCGGCCAGACCCTCGACCTCACCAACTTGAAGGCTGGCACCAAGGTAGGCTCCTACAACATTGCGTTCTTGGAATCATATATCTAATTGTTTTGTCCAGGTCACCTTCAAGGGTGAGACCACCTTCGGGTACAAGGAGTGGACCGGTCCCCTCATCAGCGTTTCCGGCACGAACATTGAGGTGACCGGTGCGTCCGGCCATGTCATCAACGGCGGCGGTGCCAGCTGGTGGGACGGCAAGGGAACCAACGGCGGCAAGAAAAAGCCCAAGTTCTTCTACGCCCACTCTCTGGACCACTCAACCATTTCCGGCCTGAACGTCAAGAACACCCCGGTCCAGGGCTTCAGCGTGCAAGCCGACTACCTGACCCTCGACCGCATCACCATCGACAACTCCGCCGGTGACAGCGGCGGTGGCCACAACACCGATGCCTTCGATGTCGGCAAGTCCACCTACATCACCATCAGCAACGCCAACATCAAGAACCAGGACGACTGCCTGGCCATCAATTCCGGCGAGGTAAGAACCTAACATATCCATACTCTAAGGAATACACTCATCTCACACAAAACAGAACATCATCTTCACCGGCGGCACCTGCTCCGGCGGCCACGGTCTCTCCATCGGCTCCGTTGGCGGCCGCGACGACAACACCGTCAAGAACGTGACCATTTCCGACTCGACCGTCACCAACTCCGATAACGGCATCCGTGTCAAGACCATCTACAAGGCTACCGGCCAGGTCGCGGACGTGACCTTCTCTAACATCGCGCTGTCCAACATCGCCAAGTACGGTATCGTCATCGAGCAGGACTACGAGAACGGCAGCCCCACTGGCACCCCCACCACCGGTGTCCCCATCACTGGCCTCACTGTCGAGAAGGTTTCCGGAACTGTTAAGAGCAGCGCTACCGATGTCTACATCCTGTGCGGCTCTGGCTCTTGCTCTGACTGGACCTGGGCTGGTAACAAGATCTCTGGTGGTAAGACTAGCAGCAAGTGTAAGAACGTGCCTTCTGGTGCCTCTTGCTAGATCGTTGGTCTAGTTCTTGGATTTTGATCTGCAGATTGTCAAGTTTGTTGCAGATCGGTTGAGGCTCCATTTCGATATTGTAAAATAGCTTTGAGTTCTGTCTGGCCAATGCTCGCACTAAGTGAAGCTAGATCCTAATACATCCACGAATAACTGGTAAATCAGCCCGTCTCCTCAGCTTTCCCACGATCCTTCAACCTCGAGAAAACGAGCTAAATAGCTTCTCATCGTATGCCTTGGAATTTCCCCGATGCTGACTATCTCGTTCAACCGTTGACTACTAATGCTTAATTAAAGCCACAAGCAAGCACTCTAGCTACAACAGATTGTATGCCTCATCTTTTGACATGCCGACTTCAACGCTCTGCTTCGCCGAACCGGTTCTGTTCCGAGCTAGTATTGAGTGGGCCTGCGGTGAAGATGTGCTCTCCACCAGAGCAGTCCTTGTGGGACTGGCAGTCATGGTAGACCACGCAGTCGCGTTGTTCAATATTAAAGCCCTTGCATTCTGGAGGGCATATAGACAGGATAATGTCTGACAAGTCTTGGCTTTCCCTTTCCGTTTTAGTGCTCACCTTTGCCGGTTTTTGCTCACTGAGTAAAACTGAGCACACCCCTGAGTATTATATAAGCATTGTTTTCGCTCACTGAGCATCACCTGACCCGTATGTAAGCCAGATGATCCCTCACTGAGCAACCCGATCCCACTCACTGAGCGTGACCTGACCGCTCTGACTTACTGAGAGTGACCTAAGCAAAGGGCATAGCTAAGCCAGCAGGTAAGTCAGTCGAGGAACACTGGCGGGTATCGGATGACAGTGATACCGAAGCCGAATACTCCATCTATGCCGTAGACGCGATACTCGACTACCCGCAATCAGGGGAGCGTTTCAAAGGTCGTGCGGCAATTTCTGCACAGCGTGGTGGACACCCGGCTGACCGGCATTTCACCGTGCTACGGATCTCAGGCGACGGCCATCTATGGGTGAGCGAGTGCATCATCACCTATGACGGAGTACCAACATATTCAGTCTCCATTATGCGGTTTGCTCGCGAACTTGTGGTGCACGAGACACATTACTTCACCGAGAAATTCAGTGCACCTACCTGGCGGGCAGCACCCGCCGAGCCTATACCAGGCAGGCATATCCTAAATATTCAATATGTATTTGGATTTCGACCTTCTTGCAGAAGCGGACGAGAAGTAAGACTAGAGCAAGCCAATCTGGTACTGTTTTACACCGACCCTGCATCTTGCCCCTAAGTTTCACTCGCGAGGCCAGATTTTCAGATGAGGAGAGCATGTGGCATTCTGATATGCGATCCCGTAGCAAACTTTGGACTACTGCAAGCTATTACCTGTTTAAGAGCCTTTGGTGAGGTAAAGCAACATCCCCATTCGCGTGTCACAATGTACTTGTACAGGGTTAGCACACCTATCGTTCAGGTAAGAGATGAGATCTGGGATGGGTCAGAGGCTCGAAATAGTAGAATAAATTAATACATGAACAGATTCTTATAGAAGAGAAGTAGATACGTACAAATGCAGACAGTATCTGATATTGTAGATCATGATGGAATTTGGACACTTGGACTGGTGCTATACCAAGAGACCAGCCGGTCCGTCTGAACCTTCTTCACTCATCACACCCAAACTTATCTACGTAGACGGGGTGGTATAAGCAAAACTCCGAGATCAGATGACAGTAATCACCACGTAAATCCTCATTTCGCTCCCTAGCTTTTTGTCGAGTCGTCTTCTTTGACCACCCTTTACGATGCAGGGCGTCGCTGATCGTGGACCTAGGTATGGATATGTCGAATGTATCCAGCCAGAACAGTTCCATCACATAAAGGTATAAATTGGGTTTCTCAAGCAGGTGATCCAAATAACTATATCCACTACAGGAAATGAGGCAACGTTCAGCCGATAGGACGTCCAGTTCACTACAGCCAAATATCTGGGGCCATCCCTGAGGTACCCACTAATACCTCCGCGTGTGACTTTGAATACAGGCTCTCGCTCTTGTTTTTATCAACTTTCACCGACCGCCAATGAGATCTCCTCCTGGCGGCGGCGAACGCTGATTTGCGTAAACGGGTCGCTGGAAAGCCCAAACCCATACGTCATGGCTTGCGGCTTCTGATCACCAAGCTTCAGGTCATACTTGAGTAGCAGATGACAGAGGGCAATCTTTAATTCCGTAGCCGCAAAGAATCGTCCAGGGCAAGCATGATTGCCAAAGCCGAAGCCGGTGTGATCCGATGAGACTGAGACCAGCTGCGTCTGATGAGCTCGCTCTGGCACCTTGCGCATGTTGATGAACCGATAGCCATCATACTGATCCCCATTGGTGTAAGAAGAGTTCGGGTCCAGGGAGTGGTCATCGACCATGGCGATAAAGGTTCCTTTGGGAATCAGGGTCCCGTCACTCAGTGTAATGTCTGCCGTCACATACCGGTACAGTGATACTAACTCCGAGATCCAATTTCAGTCACATCATTTTTAAGGTGGGGAACGGGTATACGGACCGATCTGCATTGGCTTCATGCGTTGGCTTTCTTTCAGGACGCTATCTAGAAGCTTGAGGTTGAAGATTGCATTCTTACTCCAACCGTGCTGGGAAATGACCATGACAATCTCTTCTCGTAGTGGCTGAAGTAGCTCAGGATGTTCGCAGAGGTCAAAGATAACCTGTGATAAAAGGTCCGCGCTCGTATGAGTCGCCACGACTGCCAGACCCATCTGAAGCAGGGCTGGATCATAGTAGCCTCCCTTAGCACAGTCCTCCAACCATTGGACGGTGTCTACCCCATCGCTTGTTTCCGTTTCAAGAGAGGCGCTTTTCCGGTTTCGCTCTCGTTGCTGTAGAACTTGTGAGATAATGCCGCGCGCCTCCTGGACTTGGCTGCGTAGCTTCTTGCAGGAGGGCAGAAACCAATGAACCAGCCAGAGTAACCAGTGAGGCCACATTCGAAGTTTCTCGGCGGTCATAAATGCCTCGATAGTGTAGTTAATCATGATTCCTATCCAGGCTGGGTTCCGGCAGACTTGGGGGCCCAGGAAGATCCTTGCGGAAAGGCGAGCCACCAGCTGTAGGGAAGTCTCCTTCACATTGATCGAATGCCATTCTACTACAGTTAGGTCTATCCAGTTCTCCGAGACCAATTTCTTCAAGAATCTCACCTGGGCTATCCGTGAGCTGCTGTTGGAGAACAAAGTCTGTCTCCTCGGAGAGCGGGATACCCACCGCGCCTAGGCAATACGCCATTAACTTTTGTTCACTCCAATATCCCAAACTGAACCGAATGAACTCACCAATGGCGGAAGTCAGTTTGGTTCGTACCATGGCTGCAAAGACTTTGGGGTTTGTCTTCTCATGGTTGAAGGGTTCGAATCCTTGAAGCCAGCCGAAGAAATCCTGTTGAATTAGGGCTACCGCATACTAATTGCCTGGGAAGTTACGGAAAGTTACACGTACATCCTCGGGCGGCTTCGCATTGTTAAGGCTCTTGTGATCACGAAGCTCATTCCGATACTTGGAATGGAGTACGAGGAGGATCCGGTTGTTTGTTACCAGACGAAAAGCGTTGTCCGTCTATCGTGAACGAGTAATATTAATACATCAGCCAAGACCACGGCGATGGGAAAGGGAGTGCACCTTGGAGAGACCCTCATTCAGCAGGCTGCGCGCCTGGGTAATGAAGCGAATCTTGGATTGCGTGTAGAACAGTTCTCCCGGTCGCCTGCTATTGATGAATGGATACTGAGCCAAGGGATCGGGAGAAAAGAATACGACGACGGCCCAAATCCCCAGTAGCAGGGATCCGCCCACCCACCAGGCATTGACATCGGGCATCATCACAGCGAATACCTCTGCTTATTTTGAGGGGAGAGAATTCTACCTTCAGTGATGGTAATAGCCTTCACTAGAAGAGCCAGGAGTAACTCCGGTCTCGGTCCTTTAATTTGAGACGCCTGAAATATCTGAACGACGTGGAATACCACTTCAGCCTTAATCGTAGGGATCAAGAGCATCTAGTGGTTTTTTACGGCCACTTCCGTCTGTTCAGGGTCGACCTTCGCTAGTGTCTACATCTGCATCGTGAATGGAACCGTGTGATCTAAGCCGCCATCGGTGAATCCAGCCCAGCAAACCAGTGAGGGGAAATTCGATATGCAGTGTATTTTGGACAAAGCACACATTTTCACATACATGAGACGCTTGGAAACATTTGCATGTGTGCGATACCAATCTCGTATCCTTGATGATGCATCTCAGGTACTTCCGAATCAGTGATCACTTGTATGCTCAGGTTCCGCATCATCCAGCCAAGCTGATAGGCCGATTAGGGAGAATGCATTATGCATTCGTCTTAGGTCTAAGGATTAGCAAACAATTGGCAAACAAGGTCCTTCTTCACCGCAGTCAGCTAGTCGTTGGAACGATCTGATGTGTCGACTAGATGCGTCGACTAGAGAAAACGCATTATGCATTCGTCTCAGGTCTAAGGATTGGTATGCAAGATGCTTCTTCATCGCCAGTCAGCTAGTCGGTGCATCCCGCAATTGTTTGTCGCCTTCGGCACACCCCTACCAAGGCGGTAAGCTTCCAGCAAGTCAGAGATAATAGGGCCTTCCACGGACTATTTAGCGTTCTTGTGGTTTACCTTTTAGGGATCATCTCTTGTTTCTACTTTTTATAATTTTATATAGTGGTAAAATATCGTAGAAAAGATGATTCAGTTGTTGCTGGCGGAATACTACTCATCTGGCGCCTGCCAGTTGAAGTATTGTCGAGTCGCGAGGAGTGTAAAGGTAGTATCCAGCCCAACTTGATACCCTATTGCAGGGGGTGACAGAACGGATATAGAGCTGGCCTAGCCCTCTTCTTTCAGTCTTAGCATTGTTTTTCCTATAGCAGAAATTCCTGGATATCCGTGAGCTACTATTTTCACGAGTAAATTACGACCCACTTTGAGGTACTGCAACGAGTGCCTATCACTGCCAGAGACCAAACCAGTAAATTTTCACTCTCAGGAACCCCGCGCACTTTTTTCTTCATGGTCCAGACACGAAAGCTGGTCACGGTGTATGGAGCCACCGGTAACCAAGGCCGGTCGGTGGTGAGATCTTTGCTCCGCGCTCCAGATTCCTTTGAAGTGCGGGCAATCACTCGAAATCCCAACTCCGTTGCAGCACAGGAACTCTCTACTTTGGGAGCTAGTCTTGTCCAGGCGGATGGGTCCCAGAGTAACCAGATGACCGAGGCTTTTCACGGATCGTGGGCGGTTTTCCTAAATATCAATTCGGACGACCCGGTAAGTGGATTTCGGTAACTATATGCTCCTAATTGTAAAGCTGAAAGGATGTTCCTCAGGTCTTTTGGGATCCTAGCGGTCCCACCGAGTTTGATTACGGCAAAAGAATCATAGACAGTGCCATCATGGCTGGTGTGAGGACTTTGATCTACAGCACCGGAGCGGCCTGTACAGAGCTAACCAAGGGCACGGTTTCTCTCCGACATCTTGACAGTAGGAGGCTCCGTTTAGTCAAGTTGTCTTGGATCCCGTCATGACAGCTAACAATCTCCCAGCGAAGAACCAGATTGAGATGTATGCTCGCTCCATGGGGGCCTTTGAAAATCTTGTTCCCATCATCCCGGGATACTTTCTAGAGAATTTCCTTTTCAAGCAGGGCGCATCCATCATGGGGGGGTTCCCATGGGAGACCGATGTGGAGGGATATTTGACATGGAAGGTACCGTACTGGGGTGGTGATGAGCGAATCCCCTTCCTCAGCGTTGCGGATGACTTCGGCGATATTGTTCACGGCATCCTCATCTCCCCGTCAGAGTATCATCTTCAGGTAGTGCAAGCTATGAGCGAGATCACGAATTACCAGAAAATGACAGAGGCGTTCGCACAAGGTAAGCGCATACGACCCTTAGATGCTCTACATCAGGCTGACATGCTCGCAACGCCTAGTGACTGGTAAGAAAACACGGTTCCAGCCGGTACTACCAACCTGGAAAGCGTTTGATGCCTCGGGAAACCACGGATTTGAGGATGTGAAATCCATGTTCGGATTTACTCAAGAGACCCAAGGGCACTACTTTGGTCGAGAAGCTACAGATGATCAGGTTTCCAAAAATCTCAAAGTGAGGGCTGTTTGGAATTATAAAGAATCGCAGCAATCGTTCTCTTTGAAGACCGTTCGCGCTTGGTTTGCACGAGAGTTTGCTGCGTGATCTGTCCATATAGCTGCTCAGAAATAGTTCGCCTCCCTTTACGCACCACTTTTTATATAGACCTCTATTCATCTCTGTCATGATATTGTTCATTATTCCGCCAGCCATTCGATAGTATGTAAGCCCAAGTGGTGCCACAGACTCAAGATTGTGTGGCGTAGACACTCGTACTACATCCCTAATTCGCCTTCCATTTTATTTTTAACGTCAAATGCCAGTTCAGGAGATTTAAAAATGTCTCCCAGATACCTTGGAGACCAAAAATCTGTGTAAATGATGTCAACTATCTCAATGATGACCACTTCATGGATTTATAGTACTTCTGAAGTTATATTCACTATTTCACTAAATAGCCTTTGTGGACCAAAATCTATCGCTCTGAAAGAAGAACGTATGTACACATCACAGAAGCATGCAGACCGGGGTATGATCCTGAACAGGAACAGGATGAATATAGATCCAATGAGAAGCAGAACAAAAGGAAAACCAAGAAGGCGTAGATATCGGGAAACAAAAAGATGAAAGAAAAGAAAAATTAAAAAGAGAAAATAGTGAAAGATCGGCAAAACGTCAAAAAAACCATGGCATACATCTCGCATCAAATTCGTAACATCGCGATATTCGTCCTATACTCTAGAACTATTATAATTAAAATTATAGTATAGCAAACATAATCATAGCTGAATTTATATACTTCTATCTACCTTATGTTACAAGATATTCGAGGATGCTTGATATGTACTATTAAGTATCTTTGATATGTAAGCCACATACAAGGATACTTCCAAGGTTAAAAAATGTGCATTGCATTAGGTGACAATCTTGCAAAAGGGGAAACAGACCAATGCACGGTCGCGCGCGTCGGTCATATGGTAATACGGCTAGCTGTTTCTCATAAGTAAGAGGGATCAATTGGCCGGATGTGAGGTACTTCACAGCTAGATTTAGAAACGAGAAAACACCTCCTTCCAATAATGTATCCTTACTCCACCAGATATGGTACTCTAGTCGAATGCAGTGCACATGCTGCGGCAGGATGGACGCTTACCACGGCTCATGCAAGAAGGGCTGTGCAAAGAAAGCCAATGAGGCATCTATCTGATTTCTCCATTATGGTGGTGGAGACATAAATAATGAATGTAACTTTGAAATCTTGTGAGTACCGGCTGAAGCTGGCCATTCGGAACTATTGAGACATACAGGAAAACTACTGCGGGCGAGGCACTAGACTGCGACTTCTTGCATACAGTAATTAGGGTGATTTAATGCCTTGCATGTGACCGAGTACTGATGGAATCGAAGTACCCATGAGGATCCGCTATCCGAATCGATACTTCAAGCGCCAACAGTAACTTGTTCCGACCCACGAACCCTCTCCCTTCCGTCCCGACTTGAATTTACTTCTCCCATATCATCGTAACAGTTATGGTATTCCAAATTGAGTGTATCGGGCAAATTGTCCGCGGTGAGGTCCCGGTCATCTGGATCCCCGTGGCCTTGGTCCTCCTGGCTTACTTGATCCTCCCCAACCCAACCTACCGCACCAATGTCAAAGTCCCGACGGTAAGGTATCTGGGAGGCTGGATACCCGATCAGGTGGACCGTCTGTTCTTTAATACCAAGGCAGCCTCAGTGATCTATGACGGTTACAAGCAGGTAAGTGGGAAGAAAGGCGTGGGTTCATCATGGGTATTAATGCCCATATAGTACAAGAAGAAAGCATATAAGGTGCTTAAGGCCGATGGCGATCTCGTAGTCCTCTCGACCCGGTACGCCGAGGAGCTACGGCAATTGCCTGCATCGACTCTAAATGCCCTCGAGGCCACCTTTACAGTAAGAGCGCCACGCCCATTCCCTTGATGTTCGCACGACATTGAACGAAATGGCACCAGGATCATGTCGGTGATTACACGACCATTCTTACCGACAGCCACCTGCACACTGAGACCATCCAAAAGCGGTTGACCCCGGCAATCGGTAGGAGCCCGGTGGATGTCAGGAAGACCGATCGCTAACCCCTGTCGCAGGCCGACTAATCCCTCGTATTATCTCTGAGCTTGACCACGCGTACGAGGTGGAATTGCCCGAATGTGACGGTATGTCCAGATGATAACGCACGCCGTAAGTATCCGCATTGGACTAACTGTACTGGGACGAGAGGCAAGTGGGTGGCAATTAACCCATACGAACTCTTCTTGCGTCTCGTAGCCAGGGTTGGTGCTCGTGTTTTCATCGGAGAGACGCTATGCCGGGATGAACAATGGCTAAAGGCCTCGATCGATTACACCAAGAACATCTTCGTGACCATTGGGCTGTTGCGGCCAGTTCCTGGGTTTCTCCAACCCTTGGTTGGGCGAGTATTACCCAGCAGTCGAAGTTTGAATCATCAGCTTGCCTATATCAAGAATGAATTCCTGGGTCCCCTCATTGAGCAGCGCCGGGCGATGGAATCGTCAGGGGACCCCAATTATGAAAAACCTGACGATTTTCTGCAGTGGATGATGGACCTTGCCAAGACAGAGCAGGAGTCACATCCACATAACCTGGCCCAGCGACTTCTCGGAATCACCAGTATGGCGGTTGTCCACACGAGCGCCATGAGTCTCACGCATAGCCTATACGACCTGCTGGTCATGCCACAATGGCTTCAGCCTCTCCGCGACGAGATCCAGCAGGTCAACCCCGATTGGCACAGCACCACGCAGGCACACCTCATTGAACTTAAGGGCATGGACAGCTTTCTGAAGGAATCACAACGATTCAATCCGCCAGGGGAGCGTAAGTCAACCGTCCCGACGACCATTTGGGGATGATATGATATTGACGCAGAACCCGGCAGTCTCTTTTCACCGTGTGGTCAAGCATGATCTGACCCTTTCAGATGGTCTATTCCTCCCCAAAGGCACGCACATTTGCATGGCGGCGGGACCCATCTCGCGGGATCCCGATGTGATATCGGACCCGGACGCGTTCGATGCCTTCCGCTTCGTCAAGGAGAATCGACCAACCTCGGGCTTTGTCAGCACCGGCGTCCCCAATCTGCATTTTGGGCTTGGCCGCTATGCCTGTCCCGGCCGGTTCTTCGCCGCCTTTGTCATGAAGGCGATCCTTAGCCGATTCCTTGCCGACTATGACTTTCGATTTGCTCCCGATCAGAAAGAACGCCCCAAGAATATGGTGATCGGGGACAAGATCGTCCCAAATGTGTCCACTCCGATTTTCATCAGGAAAAGAACCACATCACGACCCCTTTGATCTTCCCGGGTTGTTAGGGTATTCATTTGCTAGATTTTGTGTCGTGTGCAGTTATATATACGTCAAGAGTATTTAGAGTTATCATGGCCAAACAAGCGGGACGTGGTCTTAGACCACGATTCCTGACGCCTAGAGTGAATACAAGTTGACCATGGACATCGATATCCAAGTTTCCAGCCTGTACAAGCGAACTAATGGTTAATGGAGTCCGCTCGAAGCTGGCAGCACAACGCATGGGGGCTTATTTCATGGGGCATTAACTGACTGTCGAAACAAAATAACTAAAAATACAATCCAGGAGGTCTAATCAATCGACATCTGATTCCTATCCAAGCACCGCGCATTACCTGTAATGTAGGGGACCACCCGCTCTGACACTGGTAAAGATACACTACGCTTCGGATTAAAGGACAATCTGATCCATGTAAAATTGATATGAGACATGATAGATCAGATCAAAAGAAAAGTGAGCTGAGGTACCTAACAAGGTCCCCGAGATGGCAAAAGTCCCCGAACCCCAATTAAAAATTGAGAGTAAAAACAGGAAACAAACACGGGAAAATGGTCGTAATCACACCCTGGTTTTTGACTAATAGTCGCCTTGCTCACCCCAATATATTGCATGAATTGATCAATATATTTAAAGCGATGCATTCATCCATTTTTTAAAGATTTGTAGACTCTTTGGCACGAATTTGCCTGAATCTGGGCTTGTTTTCATAGTTAGAATGATCTGACCTTATTGATTGAATCAGTAGAAACTGGTCGCAGTCTCGGTGTCCACTGATCGCCTCTGCGATCCGACCCGACCCGACCACGGGCACCCGCAAGCCACCCGCTACGTGGCCAAATTCATGCGCCTGCATAGTCATGCGCATCTAGTTAGACTGCAACAGGTTAATTGAACTTTGATTGATGGGCCCGACCACGGGACTCTTCACTCTTCCTCTCATGGTTCACTGGAAAAGCTATGACCGGTATAAGATTCGATTAGATGAGCAGAGAAGATGAGCAATTATGAAACTGTAGATAGGAAATCGATATCTTTCATTAGCACGACGAACAAAAAACTGAATACGCAATTGTTGAGGTTTACCCTTCCTCGGGTTACACTCGGACCGCAGAAGTCTCCGCGCTCCGGGCTCCACACCTTAATTATATCTTGCGGTTCTCGAAGAAGATTTACCTCGATTATGTATGGATTCGACGCGGATTTTCATGCAAGATAATTCCCCGATACACACTGCATTTATTATTCGTTATTACTTGTGGGAAAATGGAATTGACTCGATGGACTGGCCGCCGTATTCACCAGACTTATACCCTATTGAACATGTATAGGCCACACTCAAAAGAATCATTGATAGCCTAGACCCGAACCTTGATAAACTTAAAGGCACCAAATAGCAATTGATTGCGCATTTTTCTGAATTAATTACTAAGGCCTGAAGGGAGATATCACAGGTTTACATTGATGGGTTGATTGGAAGTATGATGAAAGGGTTAAGGCTGTCATTGCTGCTGAGGGGTGGAATACTAAATTTTAGTGTTTAAAAATAGCATTACTGAATTCAGGGGTCATTTCTTCAGAATGTGTGGATTTTACTAAGATATATTTTAAACATTAGGTGTGGTATGGTGGTTTAAATAACAGTGGTTGAATATATATCCAATTTATGATAGGGACCGGAGCGCGGAGACTTTTGCGGTATTACTGTACATGACCGGGCAGAATCACCTGCGGTCTCGCGACCAGCCCAGGACTCGACCTGTCAGAAACTTACGCATTTCTGCGTAGTAGAAAATTTGCCAAGTTCCATGTATGCAATAGAATGCTTGAATGCTGGGTATCCCAAAATCATTCCGTCGACAGATTCTCCAGCTAATTCAAAATGCCATTCTTTGGTTACACCGACTTCAAGTCCAGCTTTTCTTTCCTGTTCCATAGAGCCAGCCAGTCTTGAATGGATGAGCTAGATTCGGCCAGTTCATCCTTGCACATCTGATACACCTTGTCGCTGCGGATCACCCGCAGGGCATTTCGCACGTTCCGGGGGGAAGGGGACTGCAGCGCAAGCTCTACCCAGTGGCCATCGGGGGCGTTCATGGCCAGCACGATAGGGTAGGTCAATTCACCATTGCAGAGGTCCTCCGCCACAGCCCCTTTCATCTTGGCATATTCAGTTGAATAAACATTCTTGCAATCGTTTTGGAGCTGGGAGTACCAGCTAGCAAGCATCAGTAAGGGAGTGACACCGCAGGAGAAGGATGGGGGCAGGCACATACGCGACTAGGGTCATGGTCTCATCCATCGACCGGTCCTCTAGCACGAGGTGGCCGAGCAGTCGGAAGAGTGAGCCTGTCTTAAGAGACGCCATCCGCTGATAGGCGGCGGCTCGCTCTAAGGGAGTGGTCGGGAAGTTCTTGAGGCCGTCCCGGCGCCACACGAGTGATAGGTCCTGGCCTTCGAGGATACTCTCGAGGTCTTGCATCAGCCAGGGAGCGAGATGCGGGAAATTAATTGTCGTCTGATTCAAAATTTGAGTGACTCGAAAGTAGGCGCGGTTGGCAGTTTCCGACGGGCCGTAGATGCGGTGGGCAGCTGGGCGCCCCTTACGGAAGTCACTGCCGTCAGAGATCTGGGAGTGTTAGAATTGGGGGTGCGTCGGTATCCTCAGAGGCATGGTACGTACGTCATCAACCAGCATCAAACAGAGGTGGATGGCATCCATGATCTCCAGCACCATCTTGTACTTGGCTGCATCATCATATTGGAGAGTTGGAGACAACTTGTGCACGAAAGGAGCCCAATGATAGTGGCCATATAGCTGGCGAATATAGCTATACGGACATTCTAAAGATGTTGTGCTTGCTGGGTCCTTCTGACCGATCAATTGGGCTTTTTTCGACAACCACCGCGGCGCAGGGAAGCGGTCGATGGAGATATAGAGAACAAAAATCGGTGCCAGAACACCCATCGTTAGAGTCAGATACGACAGCGAGGGCTGCGACCATCCACTCAGAGGGTTCATTTGCATAGTGGTCATATTAAACTGGGCCTGGGAATCGAGTCAAGGGGAAGTAACGTAGAGAGATCTCGCAGAATTTGAATGGTGTGACACAAAGCAAGAAATGGGAGTTGATAGGCACTGGAGGTTGTTCGAGGAGCCGTTATGAGTATTCAGAAAGTACTTCTCATGCAGGCGATTTAGATCGAAATTGCGGTGTGATGGACGACAGGTTGCATATAGTGGGCTTCCTGAATGGGCGCCTCAACATAAACCACGTCCGGAAAGTAAACGAAATCACTGCTCTGGTCTATAAGTTGAAGTAAGAGACAGAAATAGTCTGTGTATCCGCGTTAATACGCCCACATGGAACATAACTCCTGCATGGGGGACTGTCTTGCATATCCCCGAGGTTGCAACGGAAATGCATGCACGAATCACTGCATATGACCTCCTGCGTGCAATCACTCAATCACCGCATGAAGCGTCAATCGTGTCCTCCACCGCACGGAATAAGAAGTAGCAGCACAGCCTGTCCGGGCAATTCCGGTTTACCACTAGCATCAGAGGACCATAACGCACCAAAATAACTAACTATCTTCATTTCAATCATGGATGGATTTGATGTTTCCCAAGCTCCACCCGAATATCGGGCCGTGGAGCCCATTGCCGACCTTTTTGTCCTGGGAATGGGGCTCGGGTGGCTGATCAACTATGTCGGAATGATTTACCAATCATTTAAGGACGAGACTTATGGGATGGCCATAATGCCTCTGTGTTGCAATATCGCCTGGGAGGTCGTGTATAGTTTGATATATCCGTCCAAAAGTCTTATGGAACAAGGTGTATTCATCGCCGGTCTCTCCATCAATATTGGCGTCATGTACGCAGCAATCAAATTCGCCCCCAAGGAATGGAGCCATGCCCCACTGGTCATGCGCAATCTGCCCCTCATTTTCTTCCTGGCTACCCTGGGATTTCTCACCGGGCATCTCGCTCTCGCCGCAGAGATTGGCCACTCTCTTGCATACTCGTGGGGTGCTGTGGTATGCCAGCTGCTCCTCAGCGTGGGTGGAATCTGCCAGCTATTATGTCGGGGAAGCACGCGCGGGGCCTCGTATACGTTATGGTATGTAATCATCGAGGGCCTTTGGCATATGTCAATTCTAAATATTCGTTCTAGGCTTTCTCGCTTCCTCGGTTCGTCATGCACCGTGGTTTTTGCATCCTTGCGTTGGATGTACTGGCCCGAGTCTTTTTCCTGGCTCAATAGCCCTCTGGTTTTGTGGAGCCTGGCGGTTTTCCTCACGATCGATGGTTCCTACGGGCTCTGCTACTGGTACGTTCGCCAATACGAATTGTCTCTTAAGGAAGTTGAAGGGCGCAAATTGAAGTAAGATGTTGGATGGAGGTAATTGCATATGGGGTGGGTGGGTCATGATGGTATATAGCATAATGTGAATTCATATGTATGTAGTGTCGCGAGGATGTACATTATTACACGAGGATACACATTATTACACATGCCTCCCATTGGTCCATGCAGGGTACATGTCTCCTCGGCCACAGTTATCTATAGTCTTCCTTCCCGATCTGTGCAGGCTCGTTGCCATGGCGGGTCTCAAGCTTATTACCCCATCCGTCGTTGTATGTTGATTTCCACCACCTTCTACTTGCGTTAGCCTTCCTGTGAGTTTCAATCAAAGAAACATGAACAAAGATCAATTCCACGTCATTATTGTTGGTGGCTCAATTGCTGGACTCACTTTAGCTCATTGTCTACATCGGGCGGGAATTAGTCATGTTGTGCTCGAGAAGGCCAGCGAACCAGCACCCCAAATTGGGGCCTCAGTTGGTATTTTGCCGAATGGCGCTCGAGTGCTCGATCAACTGCAACTGTATGAGACCATCGAAAACTATATCGAACCGCTGGAAACGGCAACCATCGGCTACCCGGATGGCTTCAGCTTCAGTAGTTCCTATCCTAAACTGGTGAACGAGAGGTTTGGCTCCGCTGCTTGCGCAAATATCGAGTTGCATCGCTGATACTGTCCCTAAAATGCCATATAGGTTCGGATTTCCCATAGCCTTTCTCGACCGACAGAAGCTGCTCCAAATCCTCTACCAGCACTACCCAGACAAGAGTAGAATTCGGCTGGCCGCAAGAGTCGTCAGCATTGAGAGCTCCGCCATCGATAGCACGGTAACCATGGAAGATGGGACGATCTACAAGGGCCATCTTATCGTCGGTGCCGACGGCGTCCATAGCAGAGTTCGCTCAGAGATGTGGAAGGCTGCACAGAGAACTAAACCTGACTTGGTCACAAAGAGAGAGCAGAGAAGTGAGTCATTGACCCTCGGATGACGTCCAATGCATGATCCTTACTGAATCATGGCATTTATTTTAGGCATGACGGTAGAATACAGCTGTATTTTTGGCATCTCTGCCCCCATCAAAGGATTGGTTGTGGGGGAACAGGTGAATGCCTTCTTTGATCATCTCACAATCGTGACGATCCATGGCAAAGAAGGTCGAGTCTATTGGTTCGTAATCCAGAAGCTCGACCGGAAATATACCTATCCCCAATGCCCTCGCTTTACGGCCAAAGAAATCGGACCCATCGCCAATCTTCTGAGAGAGGTCAGATTCTTCAAAGATATCACATTCGGGCAGCTCTGGGACAGCCGAGAGACAGCTTCCATGACGGCGTTGGAGGAGAACGTGTTTGACACCTGGTACCATGGTCGAATGGTTTTGATGGGCGATAGTGCCCACAAGGTAGGGCTTCGCCACTAATAAGCCATCATGATTTGCGAAGGCTAACTCTCCTCATTGGTCCACAGATGACACCAAATATCGGACAAGGGGCCAATATGGCCATTGAAGACGCAGCGGTCTTGAGCAGCCTGTTGAGTGCTTTGCTGCAGAAAAGGCAGACACAGCCTCCGACCAACGCACAGATTGAAAGACTCCTGGCCCAGTATCGCAAGGTTCGATATCCTCGAGTCAACTCTATCTATAAAACTTCGCGATTTTTGGTCCGATTCCAGGCTCGAGACGGGATCTTCAACACCCTCTTTGGACGTTACTATGCACCTCATGCAGGCGATCTCCCAGCTGATATGGCCTCCAAGACCATCGCTGACGGTGAATTGTGTGCCTATCTTCCCTCTCCCAACCGTTGTTGTTACGGATGGGATAAGTATAAAAATAGCGGGCTTGGCAGGATGGGGATTGTGTGGTGTGTCCTGGCGCTTCTCCTATCGGCTTTGACGTGGAGTTGCGTGGGGAACAGGGATATAATCATGGAGCTGTCACAGAGAGTTGCTATGAAAAGATAGGAGATAGGAGATGGGCTAGGTTCGTCGCACTAAATCATGGTAAAAATGTACATTCTCTCGGATGGCGTACATGTAATTTTTATGATGCATGAAGAAAAGTTTGAGGTGGTTGTCATTTTGAAGATTCTACCTTCTACTGGAATAGCCTCGCTACTATGATTGATACATTCGGTGCGGTGGAGATAGCCCCAGAGCTGTTTAAAATGGTTTACTAAGGATTATTGTGTACCAATTATATTGCCTTGGGAGCTATCGCTTGTGACAGCAACTCAGAGACCTCTTCCACTCCATTACTACCCCTACCTTCTCTTTTCTTAGAGTAACCATAGACTTGGCCTGTTCTACAACTGAACTAGCCTATAGGCGCTCTTTTGAAAACAATTAAATACGAAATTTATGAAGTAGGTGATCAATTCCCTTGAGAGCCATGCAGGTTTCTGGGTCTGAGCATGATCTCTGCTGACATATCAGGGAAACATATCTTCTTGAAAGTTGTATTTCTGGGACGAGACCCATGGTTCTTGATGGCAATATCAAAATGAAATAAGGTGTGGGCGACGATCAGTCGGATTTCATCGGCTGCCATGAAGCGCCCGGGGCTGTCGGTAGACGAAGAGTTAGCATTTGAAGCAGCCACAAGGTGGTAGGGTACATGCCAAGTGTGCCTTCCATCACCAAATTGTAGATATGTGGAACTCGCTGTGGCCAGTCGGTAGTCATGAGGCCTTTGGGTCTGCTGTGCTAACTTCCAGAACCGCAGCCCATCAAACTGACTACCAGCTGGGTAAAGTCTCTCGTCGAACAGCATTGGTCCATTGGGTGCGAACACCCAAGTCCCCTTGGGTAATTTCAAGCCATTTGAGAATTGAAAGTCCCGAGTGGCCTGGCGTGCCAACGATGCTAAGTGTCGGTTAGACTGGGATGACAGTACCATCACTCACGCAGGTCAGTGTGAAAGGGAGCTTACCTGCATCTAAAGGATTGAATCTTTGAGCCTCCTTGATAAAGCTATCGAGCTTGGTCATTGACTCAATAGCACTCTTAGTCCATCCACCATGGGCTTTGAGGGCAGTTGTGATCTCCTCTCGCAGGGGATCCACGTACTCGGGGCGGATTGCAATTTCAAGCAGGGTATGAACCGTAAGCTAACATACGATAAATGAGAGATATGTCCTCAATTCCTCAGTGTACAGCACCAACCTGGGTAGTGGTATGGATCCCCCCAAAGAATGTCGCGATAACTCGGACGACGGCGGATTCAATGGAATAACCGGGGTTGTTTTTGACCCATTGGGCCATCCAATCTGTCATGTCCTGAGGAAGCCTGTGTCTATTCTCCAGTTCTCGCCTAGCAATTTCTTCTGTGAGGACTTTCACCAATCGGCCTGAGAGTCGAGGAGCTTTGCAGAAGCGCGCTACAATCCTAATTCCGATCAATCACATCGTCCCTCGGTGATGGACCTATGTTTTGCTCACGGTTTCAGGACTGTCGGGAAAAGGGCAATAAAGAACCCATCCAGCGGAATGGCCTCGGCGTATTCACATAAGAGATCAATCAATTCGGGCCTGTTTGCCAACGATCCTAGAAGGGCTTTGACCGTCAGGGCCGCGACGACGCGCGAGTACCGCGGGAAGCAAGGGAAGGACTGCCATTCGAATGGGCCTGGAGAATACAGGTTAGGCTCTGCCTGGTTTTATCGGAAAATCTCGACTGCACCGTCTTGTTCAACCTTGATTTCCATCTTAAATGCCCGTTGGAATGTCTTCACAAAGTCGGGAAAATAGGGATCAGTGTCGTTGGCAGCGCGATTCCTCAGCCACATTAATGACTTGGCCAGCGCAGGTTGAGGAACCAGTTTGTGCACTGCACCCCAGTCTGCTCCAGGCAGGGTATACTTGGCTTGAAAGGTCTAAGAGGTAAACATTAAAGATCTGAATCAAGGAGGTTGGTATAGAAGGGCTGGAGTGCGGATACCTCGGATGTAACAGCCAGAGCTGACATCTGATCATCCATCAAGTTCTTGTATTCCTTGATCATGTCATTATTGCATATACAGACCTCCCATCCATTCGGCGTAGAAACCTGGAACGCAAAATCCCTATTCTAGAGTCTTATCATTAACATACTGGTCCGGGTCAAAGCTCTTGGAATACCTTTTCGTATCCTTTCTGGATGCAACTACGTGCTTCCCATGTCCAGAGAATTGCGCTGATCCAAGACCCTAGAAAGCCCGGTCGGCCCACCACTGGCACATTAACCTGAATATATGTCAGTGACTTTTATGTATATGTATTTGGATCTCACAGCAACAACACACCCAGGAGCGCCAATATTGAACCCACCTCAGGGTACAGTAAGTGGCTGCTGCTACAATAAAGGTCGCTATCCACGGAGACTGGGCCACATAGTCCATGGTCAAGAGTCGAATCTGTTAATTTTTGATTAAACACAGTTCGACTCTTGGGGAAGATATAACCACTTTCTTTAAATAGGATCATGCGACGCAAACTGCATAAAGTACCTTTTGCGGGGCTTTGGGGAGCTAGGAATACATCTAGATAGGGAATAAAATCAACCGCAAAAATGGAAAGAAGAAGGAAGCGCCAGCTGCACACTGCATAGGAGTAGCTGCATGAGAATTGCAACTCGCTAGACACCGCCTTTTTCGGTAATATCCGTACAGTCGCTCTAGACCCCGCGACACTGATCAAAGCCGTCTATCTCCCATCCGGATCTTCTCCTATCTTTTTCGCCATCTTTCAAATTGAAAACCACTACCACTCTATCGTCGATCTATTTTCTTAGAGAAAGTGATCGGAATGTCTCGTGTCATACGACCTGTATTGATCATTCTCGCATCCGTGGCCCTATATACAAAGTATTATTTATCTTTTCAAAATGGCTTCATTGATCTTCTGTCGACTATGGGCTCTCAGGGCTCTCTTGCTGGAATTCAAGGTGGTCTCCGGTCACATTATACTGGCTTGGGCCCACTTGATGGATTCCTAAAGGCATGCAATGTTTTCTTCTGGCCTATTTTTCATGGTACCTCACCTGCCCTATCCCTCTATGCGATTGCATTCGCAGGCTCCATGATCCCGATGTGGCTGATCCTCCTCATGCATACGTGCGTGAAGAGCTCAATTGTGGAAATAGTCATGATGTATGTGTGGGCTCATATCGTATAGCGTAATACTAATATTCCAAAATTAGAAATGCCCTTGCCGGTCTCCTGGTGCAAGGAATCGGTCCAGGGCTCATGATGTGTGTTCTACTAGCAACGAGAAATACATCCATGAAAGAGTTTGCCATCTCCGGTATACCAGCGGTATCTAAATTGGGGCCAAATGATCTTCCACTGTCAGTGGTCGTCTGTTATATACTGCCTTTAGGTTTGAGCAGTCTTCCAGCACCTGCAAGTATACCTGTTTCTTCTAAGCAATTATTTATTGCCATTTGGCAGGGATGGCCCCTTTATATTTCACTTGCCGTTGGAATCGCACACTCCTTAAGGCATCGTTATAGGCGAAGTCGCCCACAGCAACTGTTCAGACATGCTTATGCATTTGCCCTTGCGTGTTCCGTCATCAGCCACGTTGGTCTTCTTTCGATTTCATTCCTTTCGATATCTCATAAGAGCCCTTTCTTGTCACTGCACTCGGCAGACCTTCACCCACGGAGCCTCTTGATCCCCAGATTTCCATGGCAGGAGGTGAAAATCACATTGCTAGAGCCTGGAGTCCTTAGATTTCTACACTGGGACTATAGTATATCATCCATGGGGTCTCTGCTGTGGTGCTATGATGTGTATTGGGAAGACAAAATGAGAGGCAAGGGGTGGATCGTCTTTTTCTCTCTTTCATGTCGAATAGCTACAATGAGTCTGGTGTTTGGTCCTTGCAGTGTAGCACTTGCACTCTACTGGGCAGCATTTTCTAAGAATTTGATGAAGAGCGAGCATGTAAAGGAGAGATAGGTTTTGCCAAGGAAGGAATTTCTCTTTATCTGCTATAGTAGACTCAGCTCCAGCCTTGTAGCTATATTCTACAAATGATAGTGCATTAGATCATGTATATGCTAGTGAGATACAGACATCAACGCTGCGTTCTTTGGGGTCTCTCGCTATGGCGAAAACGAAGAATTTTGTTGCTGCAGTACCTGCGGCAATGCGAATCCAATAGCCTCATGGCTACAACTGATGATTAAGACCGAAGGGTGGCCCGTATCGTCTCTCGGTGTTGTTTGAATGATGGCTAAGTGTAAAGGCCACCCATAGTGTCCTCTCTACAGCCAAAGACTCTAGGGCCAGCGAGGTGTTTATTCGTCCATGTTTACGCTTGTTAAGTCTTACAAAACAGGGCCTACATAAGTGAAACAATTGGAGGCACCTCTCGTCCCATTTTCCATTCTCCAATGACAGCAGACGCTGGAACGTGATACTTAATATACATCTCGGGGCATGGCTGAAAACATCGTCAGCTACTGGTCAAGCTCGAGTGCACTGGATTACTTTTGATGTATCATTTTACCCTACCATTCTGCCAATGGTGCCAGTAGGAAATCCAGGAAAAGGGCTATTATTTAGCAAGTAGCTAGCTATTGTCTAGACTATGTGACGCTCCATTGGTCTGATCAGCTCTGGTCGATAATAGGCGGTAATGTACGGGTAATCATTCTTGTAGGAAAAGGAAATATCGTGATGTTCTCCAACCATCTTCCCATCCGGGGTGGAGCTGACCAAAGAAATCGTCAGTATCTCTATACAGAGAATCTGAGATGAAGTTACAGGTCAGGAAAACTTACAAAACAGACACAAAGTCTTTTTGGTATGAGCTGGCGAGCTCATCCCAGCCCTCACTCTTGAAAAATTCCACTAACCCTTCCATGACCTTCCCGTCTCCCGAACCGTAGAACTTCACAGGGATGTATATCTTAGCCTCGGGTTTGACACTGCTCTCCCGCAGTTCGTAGTTGTAAATGACCCCGGCAGTCAGATGGGGGCATGGGGGGAGATCCTGGCTCTCATCATGATCATCTGCGATCGAAAGAACAAGATGCCATAGCCTCTTCAGCACCGCCAGTCCCTTTTGAGTCTCGGCATCATTAAGCCGCCCGTCCAGCGTGTAAATTTTCTCAATATGGGACCAACAGGTTTTGGTCGTAAAGCCATACAGCTTCAGTCTTGCGGTATTTGCCATATTCTCGGCCAAGTCAAAGCTGATAAATTCCGGTTGAAAAATCCATCCACCCGGCTGTCTGGGGTTTCCGCATTCCTCGAGAAGGTTCAGAGCTCTCTTATATGGCTTTATCTGGGATCCTAGATTATTGATCGCTGTCCAGATCAATTCATGGTTCTCGATGTTCATCTGGAGGGCCTTCCATCGCGGGTTGAAGTACACTTTAACCCGGGGTACAGGTTCGAAATCATAACCCAACATCGACGCAACAACCAGCTGGTTGTACTGTGGCACGGGCTTTCTAGCGTCAAGGCCAACGGTATCTTCATCGGCGACAAGGAAAGCTTCGCTGAAGTAGTCGAAGAGAGTCACATCCATGCAGGGCAGTGCTTTTTGTATCTGCTTGATTGTCTGCACGACGCCTCTCTGGTTGAATGGGTCGGATGCCGTGCCGGCCAGAGCACCCGTTGGCACATTGCTGAGACGTACCGTGCATTTGTCTTTGTGAAAATTGAAGCTAACCTGACCTGGAGTATGGTTGTATGTTACATAGCTCTTCCAGAAGAATTCGCCGTTAATTGAGGGTCGTGGCCCGTAGGATGGTACAATAGAATCTTTGAAGAAAGAGAGAATATTCGCTTGGCTTTCGACCGAGTACTTAGAACACTGAAGCATTCGGCTCAGAATGGGCGCTAATGAGTCCCACCAGAACTGCTGGTCTGCATTAGGCAATTCGATTCCTCGAACCATGTCACCGATAGTTAACAAAGTGTTGGTCATGGTGGTAATTTGGGCTCAGAAGCATAAAGAGAACTGATATGGATTATGGATCAACACAGTTCAGGACAGCACCTTGTTTTTATTTGTCATGCTGATTGATTTCAAAATCGACCGCATAAATCCGCGCATACGTCAATTGTGACTTTCTTACCTTCTGAATACGTTAGTGGCATGCAACATCGAAATATGTTGTACTGTCACACCGCTCTTTGGCATCTTACATATCCCATGCTCTGTCAAACCGATGGCATCGTCTCTGTGTTCATCATCGAACCCGGCCTTACAATTTTTACCGGAAATTGTAAGACACGGTTACATCACTGAAAGTTTTCTACATATACCCAAAAAGTTCATTGTCATAAGTTTTGATATTCGGCATTTAATGGGGTGTTTTCTCTCTCTCTTTAGGGCTTCGTGCTTTCACATACTAGCTTATTATTAGTATTGGTGTAATTTACATTTCCCTACATGCGATCTCGCACCAAAAGAAAAATGAGAATGGGATGCTCTTTCCAAAAGTATGAGCCCTCGAGGGCATTACGCGGTGAGACACAGGACGTTTCAAGGCTAATCAGTGCTATATCATAGAGTATGCTTATTTAATATTGGTATATCAATACCAGAATAAATCAAAGGGGTGTTTGTTGAGATACCAGTCTCTAAGTGTTTTGGAGTGGGCGACTCACTAGTGAACTGTTTCGCATCTAGCACTATCTATATAGCCTAGTATTAAAGATATCTAATAGGACCACGATGATGGTCAGATTGATAGATGATAATAGTAAAGTTAAGGGGTCTCCTGCTAAGAGTGATCCAGAGTTATATACAGAAACATAACTCAGGAAAATTGGGCACTGAATGAATCAGCCCCTTCTAGGAGGGAAGTTAATACTCCACATAATTCGACAAATTACGCTAGGCGCTGTTCTCTATTACTTCGGAATCTCCTTTTGAGGGTCGAAAAGACACTACTACGGAACTAGCCTGGATGCAGAGGGCCACTAGCAGATCTGCCAGGCATAGCAGAAGGCTCGGGATGCCGCATAGAATCATGGTCGTGATAAGCTGGACAACTAATTCTAGGTAGCTTTAGCATGCATCAGCGTGGGTAGCGCGGGTAGCACTTACCGATGGTCGATCTCCGACCCGTGACAGTGTCCAGAAGCTCATCACGGATGATTCTTGGCGCACCGGACCATGCCCACGGACCGGCCAGACGAAACTTGGTGTTCAGAGTGCCCCCCATGGCCCAGAACACGATCACCTTCCACCCATGGGCGAGGGCTTGGAAGAACGAGGGGGCCGCACCGATATCCAAAGCCAGTCGGTGGGCAAACAGATCGTGGTCGACTCCATATCCAATGCGGCCGCTTGGGTTGCTGAAAAGACGATAGGAATCGTCCGCGACCAGAGGACCGGGCAGACGGTCAATGAGTTCCAACACCCAGACCTGGGCTTGCATCTCAGCCAGGGGTGGAATAGCACCTGTTGATCAATTACACGTTAATCACCCGGTGATGAATGGGGGGAAAGGATTGTTGTCCTACCGAAGCTGGGCCGCACAAAGCCAATGTAGCCGACGGATGCATCGCCCGTCCGCCAGATGCCGCGCTGATCGGCGTGATCGGGAGTGCAATACTCTGAGCTCAGGAAGGGAAATGACTGAGTGTACCCAGTCGCCAGCACCAGCACATCGGGCTTGCAGCGCCGCTCCTGAAGTAATACCTTGCTCTCCGGGCGGCTGGTCTTCTCGAAGTGCACCACCCCGTCCTCATCGATATACTTGGGCCAGGGCGCCAGGTCAATCTTCCGGGACCCTGTATCGGGCAGGACGGCCTGAACGATGTTGGATCGCAGACGGTGGACCCAGCTGCTCGATCGGTAGGGAGCACTGATGTACGGCATGGCCTTGGTGGACTTGCAATAGAAGTCTAGTAGATGTATTAGTGGTGGGCTCTTTCTCTCCGCCAGTAATACCCTTCCCGATCGAACGTACAATGGGATTCATCATATTTCTCCTTCGACAGACTGCCGACCCATTGATCGAACCCCCGGGTGGTCCCAGTCACCAGCCAGGAGCCAGCCTTGACTGTCCATCGGGACAGCTTGGTCTGAAGGGCTCCACGGACCTTGCGGTGGACATACGAGTTCACGAAGAGGTAGGGCCGACTGAGATCAACAGGAAGGGCCTTCCCGGGCGTCTTGCAGATTACCCGGCCGAACAGTTTGATCTCAGGCAATCTCTATATGCTGCGGGTCAGCGTCCAGAAGGAGCGTACGCGGTCACCGACTAACCTTGGGCCCAATCACGAATCCATTGCGGTGACATACAGTCGTGGATTTGGTCGAGTCAGCCGTCACCGAGAAGTATGCGATGTCCATCCCCGTCTCCCCAGTCCCTAGCACCATCACATTAGTATTCTGGCCCAGCTGCCGCACATGTTTGTATTCGGACGAGTGAAAGACCACCGGCACGCGGTCCAGCCCGGGGATGGACGGTACATTGGGCTTGACGTGCAGTCCGGAGCACACCGCGACGGCATCGCAGTCCCAGGTCCGTGTCTGCCCTCCGTGTGAGACAGTGACTCGGTGTCCCCCCTTGGCCGTCCGTTCGACCTTCTCGACCTGTGTCAAGAGGTGGATATGTGGCCAGAGCCCGAACCGATCACAGTATCCCTCCAGGTACTCAACGTACTCCACTGCAGACAGATAGTCGACGGATTTGTCGTGCCAGCGATAGTCAGAGAAAGTGGTCAACTGGGCGGACGAGACGAGCTATGCCTCATTTAGCGGTTGACTCCAATGAGCAGGGTTGACATTACCTCGGCCTTATCGTAGGTGCGGTAGGAAAAGGTGCCTCCCACTCGATCTTCTGATTCAAACAGCTGTACTTCGATCGGGTCGACCGGCTGGAAGTGGTGTGCGGCCAGCAAGTATTTGAGGGTAACGAGACCCGATGGCCCGCCTCCAATGACCGCAACTTTCATGGTCAGTAGATGTCAAGATCTATGCGTGCTGAAGGGAATTGCCACCCTTTCCGATATATACCCGGCATGAGAGGTCGGTTCCAAGGTTGTGACACATGAAGGGGACACGCTGCAGGACCCCATGCTATTGGATCTTTTTGCCCGTCGTCATGTTTTACGCCGTGCCGCTTTTTCTCGCCTCACGGGCCGACCCAGACTGTGTAATGGTTCGCATGAAGCAGCAATGGATCGCGCTGTGGCACGGTTGGTCGATCTATGTCTCACTCTCGGTCGCTGTCTTGCAGCTGCTCACATCTCCTGCACCTTACGCTGATCATCATTGGCGGCCGTTCGTCCAACTTGGCGTGGAAACCCCTCGTTATGCCCAGGCTCTTCTGGGCAGCTGAGCAGGTGGCAGACATCAAGCACGGGGTCAAACACTTCCTCCAATGGGACTACAGCATTTTTGCAGTGGTTATATTGACATGGTGCATTGCATACTGTACTACCATCACGCGATCAGGTACAGTGTTGTTTGTCAACGCAAGAATACGCATGAATAGACCGTACTTAGCTAAGCCAAAAATGTATGCACCTTTTGGGCCCAGCGGTCACGAAACAGGCCTTTTTTCTATGCGATAGTGATCCATGAGTATTTGATCATGGGTACATTAGGCCCTACCTTACGGTCTGACCGTTACCACAGACCACCTACTATATCAACATGGCTGATGTTAGTAAATCTGAGGGATGGCATACTAGCTATTTAATTGAACATCGAGTTCCGAGGTTTCTGCCAGGCAATATCAAAAAGTGTGTCCTGGGCCCAATGTACCAAGGTCAAATACTCATGGAACACCACTGCACATCCGTTTCGGTTTTAACAAGTTCGGACGTACCTTTTGTTGACATTGACCTGGAAACCCAACGCCACACGGTTGCAATCTATGTAATCAAAGAGTATGGCTTTGAAATACGGTAATCTAGATGTATTCTCGATAATGGCCGGGTTGTGGTGGAGTAAGTGTAATTAATTCGTGTTGACGACGGGTCAATATTCACCACGCAGCAAAAAAGGTGGATACCTAAATAGAAAAGATGTAACCTTCTTTCTCTCTAAGCCTTGGTAGCATCCTGGTCATTATTTGGCCAATCAATCATCAAGTGCCTGGCTGATTACCTGGCTGATTGAAAAATAATCTCAAAATATGTTAACCTTAGTTATGACTAGTATAGGTGTGACGAATGTGCCGTGCTACTTTTGTGATTGGTCTATATGCATCCGTGCCATATGCTCCTTCTTTGCTCCAGACCATCATCTGGATACACAAACAGATAGACATCTGCATGGTGTACAGGCGACCAAACGGTAGTTGAGTTACAATCACCCGAAGGGGAGATACAGGCTTGTGTCCATCTTGCATCATTTCCACTCGCATAGGGTGGCTCTTTTTGTGATAACTCACAGGCTGCTGCTTCTTACTTGCTCGGGCTCCCCGGTTGCATCTCCTTGTCTTTTAGTTGCATGAATTGTCTCTCGATAGTTATGTCTGATAGAGCATCCTGGTCTACCACGGTCAAGTTACCATCACAACAGATAAATAACCCAGCAGTGAGCGATAGTCAACATCAAACTGCCCCAGTGCCCGCGCTCAAGATTGTAAATCTCCATTGCTCTTTTGACACCTATACCTTCCTCCATACTCCGCAACTATGTCCTCATTCAAGAGCCAGTGTGAAATCATCATTGACAAGCCCGCCCATGTGGTCTATGACTTTGTGACCACCGTCTCGAACTGGATCGGGATCCACCCAGCCTGTAAGGGAATTGAAGGCGACGATGGTCTGGACAAAGAGGCTACTGTCGGCCTCAAATTCACCGAGACAATCGATGTACGTGGCTGGGTCTTCCAATGTCACTGGGAGGTGCGGAAAATGGTCAAGAACCAGTACTTCGAGTTCAGTCTGCCCACCGATTTCATTCTGCCTCCAGTCTATAACACCATCATCACCTACATCTTCGACCCCATCGGGGACAATCAGACACGCTTTATTCGTACCATGATCAACTGTACCAATGCCGACGCCACTCCAGAGCAAAAAGCCGACTTTGCCGATACCGACATGCACAACGACTATCTCAATGCAGTCAAGGCCCGGTTGGAGATGTCCTGAATACAAGAGTGATGGGATAGTATGCAAGTGTGTTGCATAATGCTCATGCTACCGAGGTCTGTAATGCAACAGCTGTGGATATGTTGCATTCGACACGTCTCATATTCCGTCCTTTGCATAGAGTCTTGGCGGTGGTAACCCCACCTACATGTGAGAGCTAAGTGATCAATGTACTTCTTTGCAGCTATCTGTAGGATACGGAGTCCTGTGCACGTAGGATGTTTAAACTTGTGGTAAAGCGCCAAGCCAATACGCCGTAAGAAGCTCTAGCAGTAGATGGAATCCCGTTGCGGCCCATCGCTATATCAAAGAACCATCGGGACCAAAACGTAGCTATTTATCAACTTTTCCGCACATGGAGCGTCGTACAGTGCTCATCACCGGATGTAGTCATGGTGGCATCGGGTCTGCCCTGGCGGAGGCGTTCCACCAAAGGGGATTTCATGTGTTTGCAACCGCCCGCAAGACGGAGAAGATGAAGCATTTGAGTTATTTAGCTCGGATGACGCTGATCCCTTTGGATGTCACTCAGGAATCCCAGATAATTGCGGCGCTTGAATTGGTCCAGAAGCACACCGGAGGGACACTGGACTATCTGGTAAACAATGCCGGGGATGGGTACATTATTCCGGTGCTGGATTGCGATCAAGTCCATGGCCGACAGATCTTCGACGTCAACTTCTGGGGTCCCCTGCGAATGATCCAAGAATTCTCTCCTCTCTTGATTGCGGCTCGTGGGACCATTGTTAACATCAACTCGGTTGCCAGCGAGACACTGCCCCTATGGCTTGGTACGTGATTCAGAACTCCTCACACCCAATATCTCACCAACCACCAATAGGTATCTATTCCAGCTCGAAGGCTGCATTGCTCGCCCTCAGTGAGACCCTGCGCTTGGAATTGAAACCGTTCGGAGTCCAGGTACTCTCCGTCATGACGGGAGCAGTGCAGACAATGATCTTTCAAGAAAACTACCGGCTTCCACCCGACTCCGCGTACGTGGCGTGGGAGAAGCAGATCGCCGCGCAGGCAGAGGGGAGTGAGCAGGCGTCCCGCATGTCAGCACCCGTGTACGCCGAACGAGTGGTGGGTGATATCTTGAATCGCCGAGGAGGCATTACCTACCGTGGTCAAATGGCGTCTTTTGCTTACTGGGTGGTGGCCCTTATGCCTCGCTTCTTAAGGGTAAGCGCCACTGGAGATGTTCCCAATGGCACTAGTTCATGCTAATCGTGGGAATTAGGACCTGGTCACGGTGAAAATGGCCGGAATTAGCTAAGGGGATGCAGACTTTTACTTATTACGTTTAGATTGTAGCTTCTTTGGTGATAGCAACGGACAGTATACTGCACTGACATGTGTCGGCTGCAGGTGTATCTTGCAGACTCAGTGTCAGAGATGCTCTGGCAGTACAATAATCTATAAATTGAAATAGGGAGCGTTCGTGGGCGAATCCACTGCTAGCACAGGTTTGGTCACAGTCAAACCCAGAAATATTATAAAAGCATGTACACAGCTAAAATTCGGGTACAAAGAGTGCGTATTCAGTACCTAGAGTTCTTACTACCATAGAAGCAGGGAACATTTACAGCCATGTAACTATCATAGAATTTAACACCGCATCTCGCCACTACAATATGCACGCATATGCTAAGGAGGGAAAGCCGCGATGGCAGTTAAATGCTGTTGGCGGGTCGAGAGCAACAACAACCGACAACACTGATCTAGACGCATGCAGGCACTAAGGCTAACGAGGTGATCAACATGCTGTATTTATGAGCGCCTCTGGGAAAATATATTAAACATAACATTGGGAGATCATCAAAATAAATTTGACCCTTGATTGTTGTCCAATCTGAAGAATGAACCTATCTGCAGTTTGGCAGCGGCCCTGGTTGGCCGAACGTTTAGTTATTAATATCACCAAGTTCGCGGTGCCCCCACTACAATGCATAAATGAATCCCACGGAAACATTACTGGCTGGGAATACCCACATCGCTGGTATATATGCTTACTCGACCCTCCTATGTTTTAAGCTAGCTCTCGTATCCCACAAAAGCAACCTGAACACATCCGCTCGGAACAAAATCAAACATCCAGCTGTGCTGCCATTATGTCCAAGCCCTCATTCGAAGCGTATTCTCTCGCCGGGCTTGATCATACGATTCCTCCATGTTATGTTCGCTTCTTTCTAACTTTCCCCTTGCCGGATGTGGCATTGGCTGTCAAGCAGCTGCAAAAGGGAGCTGACAATCTCATCGAGAGACTTCCTTTCTTGGCCGGATATTTGGCTCCATGCGAGACCCCCGGCGCACGCCCAGGGCAGCTCGAGATTCGACCTCCCGCTGGGGAAAGGAGACCTGTCTGTCTCGTCGCACATCACTCGAACCCCTGTCTCACAGGTTCCAGTGCGACATCGAAAACGGAGCAGCTGGGCACCGCCAACGAGAACTACCTCCCGGTTTCTTTCTTCCCGGAGCTAGACAAGCCGGTGCCCATCTTCCGGGTCAAGGTGAATGCCATGACGGATGGCATTATTCTGGGCTTTTCCTTCCACCATAGCGTGATCGATGCCACCGGGATTGGCACCATCGTCCGGGACTTTGCCAGATGCTGCCGTGGCCCTGATGACAGTCCCCTTGAAATCAGTCTGGAGTTTCAGCACGACTCTCGAGAGAAGCTGAGACACTGTGGAGGACCTCCCGATCCGCGGTTTGACCACGATAGGGAGTACCCTCTCGTGGCGTCTCTGCCCGCCGACCTCGAAGGCATGAAGCAGGTCTTGATCCAGACGGCTCGTCTCATGTCGACGCAGTATTTCCGCATCCCTGCCAGCCTGGTCAATGCGCTAAAGGAAATCTGCAATCAGATGCTTCGGGAATCACCAGCGTTCAGGGACGAGGGGGAGAATCCATGGGTTTCAAGCAACGATCTGGTGGTTTCGCTGTTGTGGCTGTGTTTAAACCGCGTTCGGTATCCTGCAGAGAATACCAACGTCATTCCCCCATCCGATTCCTCGGTCTGCATGGCCGTGAATATTCGAGAGCGTATGCACCCGCCCATTGATCCAGGATATGTTGGCAACGCCATCGTCCTTCTCCGGGAGAGCCTTGGCATGAACACTTTTCTGCATAAACTGGGCCACGATGATCCCCTGGGCGCCCTATGTTACGAAACAGCAAAACAGCTAGGCCGAGAAGCGTGGGAAGCAGCCCTGGTGCGCATCGCCCTAGCCATCCGCCGCAAGCTAAACACCATAAACGAGAGCTACGTGCGCAGTGTTATCTCCTATCTGGAGGACGTGCCGGACCTGTCCACTGTGGCGTTTGGCCAGACAGACTACCACATCAGCAGCTGGCGGGACATTGGCGTCTACGAGGCTGATTTCGGTGGCCACATGGGCCATCCCAGCGACATGCGAGTACCAGATGGGATGGTCGACGGCATGTTTTACATTTTACCTCGAAGGCAGACCAAAGACGCTTGCTGGGAGATTCATGTTACTATCCACCAGGACACAATGAAGCGACTCATTGCAGACCCTGTGTGGGCGCGATATACGGCGGGAAATCCCCCATCACACTGCCGGGATGGATGATGGGACTTCAATTTTTATATGGAATGAGAAGAGATTGCTTGGATATTAAAGAAGTTGTTCATTGTACTGACTCGATCGGTTCATATATCTGACATGTGCTGTTGCTGGAAACAGTGACTCGGGGGACAGTGAACACAACATCTATAGTCTAGCCAATCAACAACTTACGTCCTAAATCAGTAAATATTCATTATATCCTTCACACTCGCCCAGATAAATGCTAGGTGCTGCCCTTGTTATCTCTCTCCGCACCAGAATGAGAACTTCCTGGCACCGGCGGCTCTGGGGGTACCTTCTTCTTGACCGACACGTTCCATCGCACAATGAACGCCCCAAATACGGACAGAGAGGCTGCAGCCACTCCAACATAAAATGTATGGGTGACAGCGGTGTTGTACGCTTGCAGGATTGACGGCAGCACATCCGAGGGGAATCGGTCGGACAGAGCATAGGTGCCACCATCAAGAACCGACTTCGGATTCACGGAGGGAGCCAAGGTCTGCACGCTTTTTGCCAATTGATTCTGGAAGACATTTTGGGCAATGGCACTGAAGATGGAGCCCGCGAGGTTCTGCATGAAGATCACGACCGCCGTAGCTACTGGAACATCGGCTGTAGGGATGTCGGCCTGGATGACCAGCAGAGGTAGCTGGTATCCCAAGCCAGATCCCATTCCAATCATTGCCTGATATCCAATCCATGCAGAAGATCCCGAGCTGCGCTGAAAGGTCGAGCAGAGACCGGCACCTACAGCCAGCATGGCTGATCCCAAGACCAGGAAGGGCACCATGTATCCAACCTTCGATATTAACAAGCTAGATAGAAGGCCGACCACAATCATTCCAACCACGGTAGGCAGATTCATAATGCCGGACTGGGAGGCCGACACGCCCTTGACAGACTGGAACCATATGGGGAGCTGTTATGTCTTGCGTTAGTTCCGTTCCATGCCACGGTGGAGACTGACATACGTAGTATCCGAATACTATCACGCAGCCAACGAAGGGGACAGTGTAGATACAGGTGCCAACCATGCTCCGCCGCTGCATCAGTCTCGGGGGAATAGTGGCCTCCTCCTGCTTCCAGCGTTGGATCAACACCCACATCATCCCCAGCACTCCGGCAATAATGAATAGCATGATGATCCGCACGTTCTGCCAGTTATATCGTGCGCCAGCCCACTGAAGCGCCAGGAGCAGCGAAACAATCGCCGGGATGAAGACCACAGTGCCGATCCAGTCTAACCCCTTGATTTTCTGACTGGTGGGTACATTCTCCTTCACCTTACTGTTTTTCAGGAAGAGGAAAACCACGACTGCGGTGACACCACCAATAGGAAGGTTAATGTAAAAGCACCATCGCCATGACAGTCGATCGGTGAAGACACCGCCTAGTCTGAAGACGTTTAGTCAATAGACGCCAACGGGATAGGACTGACTCACAGAGGTCCAGTTACCGTGGCAATGCCCGACATGATGCCAATGAAAGCAATCAATAGCGGCCGCTGGTGCAGAGGCGCGATGCGGCTCAAGATGATCACCGAGCCAGGAAAGAGCCCAGCGGATCCGAAGCCCGCGATAGCTCTGCCTACGATCAATCCTGCCGAGGATGGGGTAACGGCGCAGATCAGCGACCCCAGTTCGAACAACCCGAGAGAGATTAAGTAGGTAAATTTGACGGAGTAGTAGGTGTAAATCTTGCCAAAGGAGAGGGTGAAGGCGGACGTGACCAGCATATAGGCGCTGACATACCAGCTCATGTCTTCGAGGGAGTTGAACTCGGAGGTGATCTTAGGAATCGCCGTTGCCAGGATCGTATTATCCTAGTTCGAATATCAATAAGGAACCATCGCAGTCAGCGGATGGACCAGGTCGCCTGGAACAACAATTCAACTCACGAGTCCAACACAGAAGGAGCAGAGCGCGACTCCCAGGGTGATCAGAATCACGCGAAAGAGACTGGGATACTCCACAGAACCCTCTTCTTGTTCCGGCGATTGCAATCGTTCCCCATACCGAGAGGCGGCCTGTTGCGAACGGTCTTGGTGCTGGAGTGTATCCAGCTGGATGTTTCCACTGTCCGGCATTGTGTGAAGGTTGGTGCTTGGCTCGTCTTGCCCACTGCCGTCTTTCTTATGCCCAAACAGACTCTGGGATCAGAACGACAGTGTCAGCAATGGCGAGGAAAATGTGCAGGAATGCCCAAGGCTAGTTAGATTCCGACCGGGGGAGGTTAGTAGGCGATTGGTGGTTTCAGCCATGAACAGGGCTTTTTCTCATCGCAATTTACCTTCTGCAAGGAGTAGGACTGGATTAGAATTTTATACAAACTGGTCTACCTTGAGCCTGTCCTTCATTTCTCTATTCCAACGCGTTTATTTTCGCTTCTGCTATTTTAAGTGCTTTTTTAAAGGTGCCCTAAACGCCACCCGCTACCTTAAACAGATTGCCTTACGATATCTGACTACCTGATTGCCAGGGTCATCCTCATTTGTTTGCCGCTACCTTGTTTTTGGATCCTCGTGAGAACCGCCCCTTTGTCTAGGATCGATAGACAAACATAGACTCAATTGAGACTTAGCAGGCGGACCGACTTCATGCTAAACTAGGGGGTCATGATGTGACTAAAATGATAGTAATGCATGCCGCCATTCCCACTATATGCGGTTGATCAACTGGACGTCCATAAAAGGAACATGACAGACTTGGCGTGCAAACTCCACGACGTTTAGCCAACTCAGTGGCCCCTTTCATAAATTACCATTTATTACGGATTCTATTGTATCATTACAGCTTAGGATCCACCATCATGAGACGGCTGCCTGCATTTCCTCCCATGATGCATAATCAAGTGTCATGCATAATCAAGTGTCATGCACGTGCGGGATAGATGTAACATGATGCAGCACCCCTCAAACTTGTCCAATGTGATATGTCACATGCTACTCATACAGATTACTAGCATACACGCCAATAGTAGAAACGCCATGTGCCCTGTTGCAGCGTAGATGCTGTCATTCCAGGGACGCATCCTATTGTGTGTTATACACGAGGCTTATGTGGCTACAGTAGTCTCGGCCGCTTCAGCTTGTGTATGTTGGTGTTGTTGTCCTTCTATCAGCCATTCATTATGTCCCTGCAAGCTACGAATATGGGAACTAGAATGCAGCACTTGCTAGCCTATTGCAATGTGGGGTGCCCTTCATGGCCTAGACTTTGGAAGATGTTAAAAGATCGGACTGCCCTACTGAAGAGCCATTCTCGTTGTGTCTTCAGAGGTAGCTGGGAATAGTCAGTGCTCAGCTTCGGCCCCATCGCAGTCTGTCACTTGAGCTATCGAAACCGGCGGATTCTTTTGTTGGGAAAAGATGTTATTTCTTGCTCCAGGATACATATTCCCCCATGTGGCTACTCCTGTTACAGTCGCCATCGATTTCGCACAAGCCATGAAGGAGGGAGCGTATAGCTTTCTTGACCTCAAGGCTTCCCCAATCCCTAACCCTGCATCAGTTCAGCCACCCTCAAGGGTGTCAATTGAGACGGCCGGTGGGAGAGAAGAACGGAATGAAGAGGTGAGTCTGAGGGCCTCTCTCGATGTCCAGCACCATTGCTGATGAGCCGGGGAAAATAAGATTATTCGAGGTCCCTTGAACTACCTGCTCTCTCTTCCGGGCAAGGACATCCGAGGGAAGATGATCGACGCTTTGAATGAGTGGTTCAGGGTCCCGGAGGATAAACTGGGTACTATTAAAGAGATCATTTCAATACTGCACACAGCATCTTTACTGTGAGGCAACAATTCACTGATGGAGAGAAAGTAGAGCTAATCTCGACTACTTCCAGGATTGATGACATTCAAGATTCATCCCAACTCCGAAGGGGAAACCCTGTGGCGCATAGAATCTTCGGTGTTGCACAGACAATCAACTCAGCGAACTACGCCTATTTCTTGGCCCAGGAGAAGCTAGAGGACCTCAATGACAGCCGCGCTTTTCACATCTTTACAAAGGGGCTGCTCAAGCTCCATCGGGGGCAGGGCATGGAATTGTACTGGAGAGACAATTTAATATGTCCCACAGAAGAAGAATACGTCGAGATGGTCTCCTACAAAACAGGAGGCCTGTTCTATTTGGCAGTGCAGTTGATGCAACTGAGCAGCGAGGTAACAGTGTATGCTCACGTCCCTCTCTCATTCAACCGAAACACACTAACTGACACGCAACAGGGACTTTTCGAGCTTCATCAATCTCCTGGGCATCATCTTCCAGATTCGTGATGACTATATGAACCTTCAAAGTGGAACTATGACCAAGACCAAGGGGTTCAGTGAGGATCTGACGGAGGGGAAATTCGGATTTCCCATCATCCACAGCATCCATGCTGCACCCAACAACCCACAGCTCATCCAAATCCTCAAGTTGAAGACCAGCGACGAAGCGATTAAGCACTATGCGGTGCGCTATATGGAGTCCACTGGTAGCTTCCTTTATTGCCGGGAAAAGCTTGACATGTACCTGCAAGAAGCAAATGAGATTTTCCGGGCTTTGGAGATGTTGTTGGGCCCCTCGAAAGGAATCCATGGGATTTTGGCATTTCTGAGGACAAGGTAGCAAATGCCGTGCAATTGATGATACTACTGTAAACAGTTTATAACGATTAAGATATAATTGTCCGAGTCATCTCAATTGAATCAGTTGGAAAATATCTACAACGTAGCTGTAGTAATGTCTCTCAGATCATACATATACCCTAGTTCGTGAACGAGTCAGTCCTCACTCGAATTACTCGTCACCTGACTGGCTAAACTGCCTGCCAGCCGTGATAGGTTGCGCATCCTCTGCTTTATCATCATTGCTTCTTTTAATGGCCAGTGGAGGAGAAGTGGTGCCCTTCCAGCAGTACGCGTACTGCATGGCGAATGACCCCCCCCCCCCCCCCACTCATTGCTCATCCCAGCGACATAGCAAAGTACGTGCTTCAGTTGCACAGTGACACAGACTCGCTAAAATTTCATCTTCCGCGTTGGATCCAGCAGAGTGCATCCGAGTCGGTGGGCAGGATCCCATCTCTGGCACACTGAGTACAGTCTCTCGATGACGTCTGCCGACCAGTACTGAGATTTGCGCACCTCAGGCACCCCGTCAGCAGCGAAGGTTCCCAGAACATAGGGCTTAATCTCTTGAATAAACTCTTGGATACGAGTACTCTGTTCTTCATCTTGCTGGGAGTCTTCGAAGATCGCGTACAGGGCGAGGTATTGATCTGCCTGGAGACTAAAAGCCATGTCTGGTAACTTTCTCCGACTCGTTGGATATAGAGGCTCCCAGTAGACCATTGATTGATCCCGAGGAAATTCACGGAACATTCGTCGGGTGACGGCGACAAAGTCAATCCCATCTTTGAACCACACACTGTCACAGATGTAGCGAGAATCCCGAGGCATGGTGCGTTCCTGGGACGCATATTCCTGTTGAATGCTGGTGGGTTCGCCCTTGAACTCCATGAGGGTTCCATCTGGCATGGCCGTCAGAGAGAGCTTCAGCTTCTCTGCGCCGGTTTCATTGGTGCCCAAAAAGACCAGAAACTGCACCAGAATGGCAGCGACGTTGGGTCCAGGGATAATGGTACTTATCACGAGTGGTTCAATGTCGGCGTGTAGTTCGGGGAGAATCTGCGTGCCGGATCCAGCCTCAGTATGGCTGAGTGTTGACTTAGAGAGGGGGTCCATACCTTCAAAATCCACGATACCACCGCGTCCGAACAGGCTGCGGGCCAGATGAAGGTGCTCTTCTCGTATTCTGCGGCTGCCGGTCGCGTCTGGATAAAAAACCGGGTCACAATTGCGGGGAATTCTACCGAGGTAGTTCGTTAGACGCATGGAGGGAAGTGATAGGATGGTAGAGGTACCTGGACCAGCGCCTCGAGCTGCCCAGAATAGGTCCTCATTTTCACTTTCACTACAATGTTTGTATTCGCCGTCGGCCGTAATCAAATCAATGCCGACCAGGTACTCGCATGCCCACCCATAGCTCTACTCGTTCTGTTAATGTGCATGCAATGGATCCTGAGGTTTGCAAATCCCCAACTTACCCGACAATTAAATCCCATCCCACCTTGGAGAAGGTACCCACCCAGTCCGACATCTCCACAGTGGCCGAACGGCATAAAGCGCCCATGGGCGACCAGCAGCTCGTTCAGCTGGGCGCTCGTGGTACTGGGAGAGGCACTGACAATGGTGGTCGTGGTATCGTACTCCATATGCCTGAAGTCGACCAAATCGATGAGAATACAATCCGCGCACAACGTCCAACCCGCTAGGCTATGGCCTCCGGATCGGACGCGGATTTGCTTGTCAAGGTCAATGGCGAGCTGCACCGCATGCTGGATTTGCTCCACATTCTTTGGCCTCACAATCGCATGGGGTAATTCTGGCGGGATTCGCTTATTGAAAGCCCTGCTGCGTGCCAATTCATATCCTGGACTATCCCGCCATAGAGTGGCAAGATCGGCTGGGAGAGTATGCCTCATTTTTATTGTCGAGGTAAGCTGCTATGCAAAATGGAAAGGGATTCAAACCTTTGCACTACTGAGAAGGATGGCTTCCCTTCTCGTTAAAAATCACGGAATTTTACGTATTCACTTACCTTCAAAAATACGGATCACCCCATTGAACCCCACAGGCACACGACGTTCCAATGGCGATAGGTATCACCGCCAACATGCAAGGTTGCGCATTATTGCAACTCAGCGGCTGCATGCAGAGTGACACTGATCCCACTTGATCCTAACCCTATTTGAGAAAGCAAATGTCAGTCGAAGAAAACTGCTGCATATTGAGGCCAGTTGAGCAACGCGCATGTACGGTGTTATGCATCTGTTCCGCACACCGTTATTCAACTCATGTTCAGAAGGCTAAAATTATATATATGAGCGATCGAACAACAGTGTACCATGATGGAATGCCCGGAAATAATTTGCCGAGGGATTAAGCAGTTAACAGAAGGCTGTCATTTCCCATATTGCCAGGGCCCTTCCCACTAAAATCTCAAATCGAGTTTCATTTTGGAGACGACCCGATCCCGAGAAGCAGAATATGTCTTCAACTCTGCTCCAGTCTGCACCCATTGCCATGATGCGCGATCCCCTAGGACCATTCGGAACCTTCACTCTCCTGACTGTCGGGCTTCTCTTGAGTCTCTCCGTGATCCAGACAGTGAAGCATCGACGGCGGTATCATGGATTAGTAGGCACTCTCCTTCTCCCTTAGACAACCCCAATGTAATATGTGAGGTTAATTGGTTTCTATCCTCACTGTAGCCAACGCCTCCGCATAATATGCTACTGGGGAATCTGGGGGTCGTGCTAGCCGAGATTCTAGCATCGCCCGAGGGGTTTTTCCATCTATTCTGTGTTGAGAACATCCGACGTAAGTACAACATGCCCTCGGTCTTCTATCTTGACCTCTGGCCGATCCTACCCTCGATCATGGTCGTCGCCGAACCGGCCGTCGCCAAGCACATGACGCAAATCAAGCCCCAGCCACGCGAGCGATTTTCGCCAAATCTTTTCAGTCCGCTGTTGACTGCCGAATTTATCCTGGCTGTGGAACAGAAGAATTGGAAGAAGGAGAACCCGGCCCTGAATGCGGCCCTCACATCGACACGCGTGAACGAAGCCACATCCTTGCTGTTCCCCAGCCTGCATTCGTTACGCTCCCGCCTACACTCAATATCCCAAAGTGGGCAGCATTATCCTATCAAAGACCTGTTGATTTCGTATATCATTGAGGTCGGATGCGTCATACAGCTAGGCGGGTCCTTCGATCTGCTGGCCGAGACAAGTACCTTGGATCCCATTATTAAGCGGTCGTTGGATACGATGAGATGGAATCCCGTCAAGCGATATATCTGCTCGAAGGAAGCAAAACAGCGTACAGACTGTCTCAACGGGGTTCTTGTTGCAAGTGTCCAAAACGCGGTGCAAACAGGGGAATCTGGCATGATGAGCCAATCACCGATCTACTTGGCCCATGTGGAACAATTGGCAAGCGGTCGAATGGATCATGCAGAATCAATCGCCTATCTGGTTGACACGTATGCAGCTGTCTTCCTAGGAGAATCGCTCTAACTGAGTCCACGCAGATTGAAGGTGATCATTCTGGCTTCGGTTGTCACAGCAGGGGCGGCCTCGGTATGTATTCTGGATACTATACTACATTCTACCGCAGTCACAGCTAACCTATGTCAATCTAGTACTGTTATCTGTTCCTGCATAAGCATCCCGACTGCTTGCGGGAGATGCGGGAAGAACATGATCGTGTCTTTTCCCCCGACAGAACCCAGACATGGGAGCTGTTGCAGAAGGAGCCACACCGAATTAATTCATTACCCTTTACCCTGGCTGTCGTCAAGGAAACCCTGCGCCTGATTGGTGTTGGTGGGGTGTTTAAGAAACTGAAACCAGGGTAGGCTGCCCTGAGATACGGGAAAGAACCAATATTGAAAGCCTTCTAGGGAGTTCATCGAGAGCGAAGGCAAGGAATATCCGGTGGTGTGCAACGTGGTAGGTGCTTCGGTGCTTCCGATTCCCTCATTCCATGCATCGTATAGCTCTATACTGATGATTTCCAGGCCTTTATCTGTCACTTGGCCATGGGTCGTCGTGCGGACCTGTTCCCTGATCCCGATTCCTTCCGGCCTCATCGCTTCCTCCCTGAGGCCAATCCCCCCATTCCTGCTGACGCTTTTCGTCCTTTTGAGAAAGGCCTACTGAGTTGCCCGGGGCAAACTCTGGCTTTAAAATCGCTGATTTTGCTGCTCTTAACCACTAGCCGCGAGTTTGACTTGGTTCCTGTGTTTCCCAAAGGTGCCCCCCGAGCGGCAGAATACCTGGGTGGCGAAGGGTATCCTGAGTTCCACATTGGGCCTCATGTGAATAAGGGAATGCCCGTGATGGTTCACACCAGGGTCGGCGCATGATTTAGTCTGGGATTAATTTAGGGTTTACCCTCTAATGCCATACACGTAGATTGTCGCTTAATGGATAATGTTTTTTTCACGGCCATCTAGAAAAAGTATCGTGGTATCTTAATAGTAGGTCGACAATTGTGAGGCAACCGTAAATAACCTACTCCCTCGATATTCAAAGTCATATATCGTGGAATTTCTTGAATTTCATGTATCGAAACTAGGCTACATAACATATTTCGGGCTAAATGAGAAACTTGTGAAATGTAGTCAATGGTTTTGGTACCATATACCATGTTGTCTTGACTTTAGTATATCATACCTTTAAGCTCCAACATATGCATTTGAACAACTGGTAAACCATTGGCAGATGTCATCCTGGCCCCAGAGTGCAAAGCCTCGAACATCAATCACACCAGCGAGCGCAGCTTCACTTTGACCCCGTCTGCTGGCCGTGGGGTGAACCAGCCCACGGGGGAGACATCGGCCGCGGGATTGTCAAGGGCCATATCAAACGACTGAATGACCGCAGCGACGACCGTCCGGAGTTCGGCCCGCGCAAATTGTTGTCCAATACAGTTATGGGGTCCGTGGAAAAATGAGAGAAAGGAATAGTTGCTGCTCGCACCACCGTGGTTGTTGAAACGACCCGTGTCGGGATTGATCCATCGGTCCGCATTGAATCGATCGGCATCGGGACCCCAGAGTTCGAAGGACCGGTTGATGGCTCTTGGTACGATCAAAAACGGCGTCCCTTTGGGAATCGGATGGTTCATGACGGTGGTATCTCGAATGGCGATGCGGTTGCCAATCGGTAACGGGGGAAACATCCGAATGGCCTCACTCACGACGGCATTCAGAAGAGGCAGCTGTTCGAGGATCGCCGGATCGACCTCATCTAACTCACGTTTTGGGAGGTTCGCCTGCAACTCCTGACGGAGGCGAGATTGCAGCTCAGAATTGGAGGCGAGGGACAGCATGACCCACATCACCACCGAGGAGGTGTTTTCATGTCTGTGGCACTCAATCAGTATACAAAACGGAGAAATCAGAATCGAGGTAAATGTATACCCGGCCGCTAGGAAGGTCCGGACCTGTTCAATTAACTCCTGAAATGTATATTCGCCGGTATGGATCATATTCGCTAGCAGATTGCTTGGTATGCCATCCCCGAGGGCACTCGTCGCCTTTGCATCGGTCACCCATTGATGACAGAAGTCTCGGATGCAGTCGATGTTATGGCGGAATTGCCGCCATCGGGGCCATGGTAGCCATTGTAGGATGATCCGTGGAAGCAGGGTGTCGGCGAAGACACACACCAGATGTCCTACTCCGATCGCGAAGGCTTTCTCATAGCAGTGGATGATCTCGCTGTCCGCGTCGCGCACGCAATGAAAAGACTGGCCAAAGCCGGCTGCTCCCATCATATCCATGCTGACTCGTGGTGCCCAGTAGACCATGTCTGTGGTCCCTGTATAGGTCCCGGACCCATCATGGGTCAGGGTTCGTTTGATCTGCTGGGTCAGCGCGGTCGCCTCTTTCCACAAGACTGGATAGAGAGCACGGATCTGCGGCGGCGTGAAGGCAGCCAGCAGCTTTCGTTTCTGCTGGTGATGCACATCACCTTCGGCCGTAACCAGGCCATCACCAACCACAGCGCGGAGGATCTTCCGCTCGCCTGGGAGCTTCTCGAAGTCATCTGCCTGGTGTACAAGAACATCGGCCAGGCTCTTGGGGGACGTGAGCAAGATCTTGGGCGCGCCAAACAGGCCACGTAGACAGATCATACCGTCATTGGGTATGTGCAACAAGAGCTCCGCGTGCAATTGGCCAATGGGTTGGAGGAACTCGGAAAAGGCATGATCCCATAGCCAGTGGCCGCGCTGCACTCTTTCAGCCACTCATCCTAGGAGATCTGGGTGGGAGTGCCTACCTCGGCTTGAGGTAGAGTCCTCAACGGCGACACGCAATAGGGGTACAGGACGACCCTGTATAGCGTCCATACGGCGCTCAGAGCAATTCCAACCCAGAAGAAGGTGACAGTAATCATGGTGACACGACAAAAACTCGATGGGAGGCCAATGGACGATCTGGCCAGCCCTGAAAAGAAAGAGCTCAGCTATCAGGCACAGCCGGCCATTGACTGTGGGTCATATTATGTTGCTACAATAAAGGACGTGCCGTAATGCAATGTTCCACGCCATGTTTCACTGGTTCTTCTTCTTCCCTGCTTGGGACTTTCTCGCCGTGCATTTCTATTGCATAGAGTGGGAGTGATCAAACATGCACATGCGGTCACAATGCAGGCCTGCTGCATGATGTGTTGTCCCCCCTCAAGGGAGTTGAGACAGGTATAGATGAAAATCGTCAACGATAAAGAATGGGAGACCCCCAGCAGCTATGTAGTTCACTTTTATTAAGATTAAATTTGGATCTCATCGCCGGCATTATGGGCTCTCTTTCGTCTCCAAGCTGCCTCACCCCTTATCAGGTGCTTTCCAAATATAAGAAGTTCCCTAGTCCCGATGAGGAGTTCTGGTGGGATCATGCAGCTTCCACGTTGGCCGATTTTATCAAGTGGACCAAGGCCACCCCTGACCAACAATATGAGTTCCTGCAATTTTTCTATGAGCATGTCATCCCCAACTTCTCGTGGTATCGACCCTATGATGTGCCCGGCCGGGCATGGAACACGGGGATTACCCCCAGTGGACTGCCCTTGGAATACAGCATCAATTGGCGAAACATTGACGCAAATGCAATGGTCCGCGTTGGCGTTGAGCCAATCAGCCAGTTCGCGGGCACTGCTCGTGATCCATACAGTCACTACAAGATCTGGGACACGCTGAACCAGCTGTCGCAAGTCAAGGCACTCAAGTCCTTTGACCTTGAGCTATGGCGGCACTTCTCCAGCGCTCTGTGCACAAGTCGCGAAGAGGAGGCGTTTCTCGACCAGACGCGCACGCTGCCCGAGTCCTTCTCCATTGCGAAGATGCAACACTCGATGGGATTCGACTTTTGTGACGACGAGGTGATCGTCAAGATCTACCTGATTCCCAATATGAAGGCACGCGCCTCAGGGACCCCCCTGAAGGAGCTGCTGACGGGGTCCATCCACGCCATTTATCGCGACACGATTGATCGCGAGACGCTGGCCACCGTGATCAACTATTTGGATAGCACCAGCAACTTCAACGATGCCACCTGGTTCTCGTTCGACTGCATCCCGCGCAGCCAGTCGCGCATCAAGATCTACGGCTCGGATTTCCACACCACCTGGGGCCGGGCCGAGGACCTGTGGACCGTCGGCGGCCGCTACACGGACGCAGTCACTATGAAAGGTCTTGCCTATCTTAAGGAGCTCTGGGATCTGCTGCCCATTCAGAACTTCGAGACGCTGCCTGAGCAGGCTGTGCAGAATCCCCCCATGCTATGGGCTTACGAAATTCGCCCTGGTGACAAGGTCCCATCGCCCCGGATCTACATCCCTGGTCACTGTCTCAACGATAAGAAGGTGGCCGATGGATTGTCAGCTTTCTTTAAACGGGTAGGATGGTCGGACCTGGGCGACCAGTATACAGATCGCTTGTTCTCAATGTTGTAGGTGCTTCTCTCCCCCGGTGACTAGACTGCTGTGCTAAATGATCCGCAGCCCCAAGCAAGACCCCAAGGACTCGACCACGTTGCATACATGGATTGCCTTTTCTTACACAGAAAAGAGCGGCGTGTATGTGAACTGCTACTATCTTGCCAGTGCCTCGTTTCCATTTAAACTGTAGTTACAGATTTAGGCTAGACGAGATGAATGCAATGATGCCAAATGGAAAGTCAAGTACAATATAAGAGCCCGGCACCAGGCTACATATGAAAGCTTTCTCTACTTCACTCGTTTGTCCACACGCATAGGTAGTCCTCCAGCCGGCGTCGGTCCGATGCCTGAGCCAGTTGTGTAGGCGTATCCGCCGTAGATATCTGGGCCCCTAGCAGCTTTTGGCGCGTACTTTGGCTGAAAATCGAACTCGGTTAAAGTCAACAGCAACATGACCTTCATTTGGATCATAGCCAGCTCCTGTCCCACGCAGTATCCGTTCCCCTTTTCGAATGGGCGCCAGGCGTCGGCGGGGATGGGAACGACGGCACCGGGCAGAAACCGGTATGGATTGAAAGCATCGGGGTCGGGGAAAAGGTCGGAGCGGCGATGGAGGAAGTTGTGCGAGATAGCGACCTACTCCGGTCAAGATCGAACAGAGAGAGCATGAGAGGTAACGAGACTTACGATATGATTCCGAATATCATATGTCCTGCCCTCATTTTCCATGGTCTCGCTAGGAATTCTCATTAGCATCGTAGAACTCAACGGACTTGAAACGAAATACCTAGGGCACTTGCGCAGAACAGGACCCATCGGAAAGAGCCGGAGCGTCTCCTTCAACACTGCGTGGGTCAGCTTTAAGTCGTTCAGCAGACGAGGGCGACTCTGTAATGCAAGGAGGATGGACTGTCGGTTGAATCCGCACACCCGCCCGTACTCTCTACGAAGGTCTTCCAGTATGTCTGGATGCTGGTGGAGGAGCAGAAAGGCATACTACCGTGTCCGAAACGATCAGCATTCTCCCTCAGAGGATCAGAGCCAGGACATCTTACACTGATCACGGATGCACCACTCGTGGCTCCGATCAAGAAGGCTGCACCACTACGTTCGTTAGCCCACATCGTCGATTTAAGGGAGGGACCTTACGTAGAGGTCAGCTCTTCTAGATACTCCGTGGAAAGGACTTCTTCGGAGACCCGAGGAAACCCGGGGAATCCGTTCTTCCGATAGACAGCGAAGGAGGATACTAGTAACGAGGGAACCCCGGCTCCATGATCTTCATCCTTATCGAACGCATGCTGGACTTTCTCCCGAATCATCGCATGGAAATTTCGGGCATGTCTCTTCCACAACGGCAACACAAATGGCTTCCACAAAGGGTTCCTCGCTGCTGATATTGGTATGGTAGCAGCCCGGAAGGCCGACGTCCACTGGCTTTTCGGGGCGAAACAGTCCAGCTCCATACCAAAATACGCTCGTCCAGTCATGGCGAGGATGGCATCGGTGGCCACGCGCTCCATGCAAAAGATCTGGTCCCGGTCGGACCAGTCGTTCAGTTGATCCAACATACCTCGCAGGTCCTCGGCCATCTGTGGCACCATCTGGACGAAGTGCGTAGCCGTAAAGGAGACGCCGACCACAGGATGCGATTTGGTCCATGTCCGATCCGCTACGGTGCGAAACCATCGGGTTGGAATGGCCGGATACAGCGTCTCAAAAATACCCGGATATCGCAGCGATCGATCTTCCTGCGTTACCTTTCGCGCGAGGCCGGGGTCGCTGATAAACACGATAGGATTGAAGAGGGGGTACAAGTCGAGAAAGAAAACCGCCGGTAGATCAAATTTGCGCCGAACCAGATCCACCACTAACGGGGGAAAGATATCTTTGGGTAAGGTCCAGAGCTCACGCAAGAGGACGGGGAAGTGGCCCAGAAACGCATGGTGGGGTGGTTTAGGCTGTAAATAGCACATATGTATCTTGTCAGTCTTAGGACTCGGGGGAGGGGGTGCACAAATGGAGGCCATACCAGGTCGCGAAACTGCCTCCGGATAGAACCGATTCGAATGCAGATATAGACCACTAGAAGAGCCACTGGGATGGCCAGAATGTGGCCTAGAGTCATGACGGTTCAGGGTGAGGGAAAGGTGGGTGAATGGGGCTTCCATGGTCTTTGGGACCTTTTTCTATCACATGGATAGTCATCGATTTATCTGTCGAATGTTTCGCCGCACTGTTCACGGCGCTTGCTACCAAGTGCTTTAGCCTCCCTCAATCCTCTATCAGCCGTCTGTTTCCTGCCGAATAGTGCCTGCATTTTCCTTGCGTCTTGCAGACCAACACGTCGAAGAGTTCCAGCCCAGCTCAGCCCAACCTGACCCTCGGTGCAGTGGTCTCTGAGACTAAATTTTATACCCATCAACCACATAGATCCATGCCGGAGAATGTGTGGCACCCCAACATATCAACTATCACATCCTTTGTAGCAATAGCGTCTCGACATGATAGCATACACGCTATATTCCAACGCGTTCTAATACGACTCTCGCATTCTTGTGTTTGAACATGTCTTTGATACGCAGGGTAGGGGGCAGTGGCTGATGTCATTAATTATGAGGGACACCCTACTAGCTATTAGACTGAAACTGAAGTTTCGGAGGTTTCAGTACGGCAGGATAAAATAGTGGGTCTTAGGTCAAAGTACCGGAGGTCAAATACTTATGATACACACTGTATGTGGTCTGTTTATCGCGTGTGTAATTCACCGTCGTAGAGACGGCAACTTCTAACTTCTACTGCATATGTATGAATAAGCCCGTATATACGTTGATAGAAAGCCCTCGTGAAGTTTCAAGAAAACCTTTAAGCTGTGAGGTTTAAAACATAGCTTCAATCAATTATAGTGGGGAATTGTTACTGTATTAGCCAACAATGTACTCCGTACGAAGTACGAGGAGAAGGCTTGGGTTAGGGGCCTAGGGAATATGGCAGAAAAGTGGACATGTCACGTACTTGTCTCAGAGGATATCGAACTTGGGCAGCAGGGTGAAATCAATTCTTGCCGTAGATTTGTGGGATTGCCTAGGTATTTAGGAAATGTCCGCGGGTTGAGGTGGAGACTGTTGTCTGGCCAATTATATTCATAAACACCTACTTCTTTGCCTGCGTCTGACGAGAAAATGAATGAATGAATCCGATTATCTATTGTTTTCTACCATGCTGTAGTCAGATTTTCAAGACAACCAATTAATTGATTTAGTCGCAGGCTGCACGTTTGCTTCCCCATTGACCCTCATGTTTTCTCCATTTATCGGCTAGTCGTTGAGGTTTTCGTTTATTCTACTGATGTGTCGTGGAAAGCATTGTTGAGTCAACTCCTAATAACCGTTGCGATATATCGCTCATCAACATTTCTCTCTTCAAAGTGTGTCACAGGCCATGATCATCGTTCTACTAAGTATTCCAGTCAGAGGAGCCTCCACGCTGCAATAACCCATATACCAATGATGTTTATAAAATCCAGGAATTTTGATTGATTAATTCCGGGAAACCCTCATGCTCCCGGGATTCGAGCGGGCAATAGAAAAAAGAGGAGATAAACTAGGCTAAATATTGGTGAGAACGCAGATATCATACATGTATGAATGTATGGAGTAGTAGACATTGGACGTAGTAGGTTTAGGGATTAGAAATCACTGCAGAGTTGGTGACGCAATGATCCGCAGAAACAACATAAATACCATCAATTGAGGTAAAAAGCCTTCGAAACATTCTCAACTTGCACATACATCTCTGACGAACAAAATAAATCACCATGCAAATTCTTCTACTCGGTGGCCACGGCAAAGTCGCCCTCCACCTCACCCCGCTCCTCCTCAAACGCGGCTGGAACGTTACCAGCGTGATCCGCAACCCTGATCACGAAAGCGAGATTCTCGCTCTAGGAAAGGGTCTCAAGGGCAATCTCAATGTCCTTCTCTCAAGTCTAGCGGATGTGAAGAGTGCCGCCGATGCCCAAAAGATCATTGATACAGTTTCCCCCGACTATGTGGTCTGGTCGGCTGGTAAGAAGTTCCCCTCACCCCTCACCTTATCGAAACACCCCACTGTACACAATATACGACATCTACATAGTTTGAAACATCAAAAGATCAACACCAAACATGCCCACCAGATGCCCAACAAATAAATGAATATTGACACTAAATAAAACTAACAACCCCCAGGCGCCGGCGGGAAAGGTGGCCCATCAGCCACAATTGCCATCGACCAAGAAGCCGCCAAACACTTCATGACCGCCTCCTTCGCCAGCCCGGGCGTAAGCAAATTTTTGATGGTCTCGTATCTAGGCAGCCGCAAGAAACAGCCAAGCTGGATGTCGGACTCCGAATGGGCGGGCGTGGTAAAGGTCAACACGGAGATCCTGCCGACCTACGCGAAAGCCAAGCAAGAAGCAGACGAGTACCTGACTGCGCTGGCGGAGGTGCGGAAGCGGGATCCCAATGCCTCCCGGTTCCAGGCTATCAATCTGCGTCCTGGGACTCTGACAGATGAGCCTGCGACGCGGATGGTCGATCTGGGTATCACGCCTAAGGGTAGGGGGAGTGTTACGCGGGAGGATGTTGCTATTGTTGCAGATTTGTTGCTTGCTAGGAGTGATACGGAGGGTTGGATTGATCTTGTTAATGGAGAGGAGGGGGTTGAGGGAGCTGTTGAGAGGGTTGCGAGGGAGAAGGTCGATGCTGTTGTTGGGGAGGATGTGGAGGGGATGGTTAAGAGGTTTTTTCCTGAGGCTGGGTTGAAATTCTAGGCTTCGAATTATTACAAGGTCCAAGTTTAGGAAACGGTAAGAAAGGCGGGTGAGAAAATTTTCGGTTACTCTTCGGATATATATTCAATATGAACATGGTCATGCATATGTCTAAAATATATTTTGCTTCTATGTCACGAATCATATCTAAAGCTTGGCCTTGGGTGCATTGGCTATGTCCTTGAACTTCTGCTTCAGCACACGACGCAGGATCTTTCCGCTTGGGTTCTTGGGGATCTCATCGACAAACTGTACACCACCACGTAGATGCTTGTGGTGGGCGACCTTGCTATCCAGCCACTTGATGATTTTCTCCGCTTCGTCTTTTTCGTTCGCACCAGACGACTTGCTCTTTGCGCTGCGAACAACACAAGCCAAAGGAACCTCTGAGCCGTGCGCTTCACTCTCAATACCAATGACAGCAACATCATCGATGGCGTCACTGTCAACCAGAAGTCCCTCCAGCTCGGCAGGAGGCACCTGGAAGCCCTTGTACTTGATAAGCTCCTTAACACGATCGGTAATGAAAAAGTTGCCCTTCACATCCTGGAAACCAACGTCACCAGTCTGGAACCAGCCATCTTCAGAAAGACAACCCCTGGTTGCCTCCGGGTTCTGATGGTAGCCGAGGAAAACGTTAGGGCCACTCAAGTATAGCTCGCCCACCTCGCCCACCGGAACTTCCTTTGGCTCAGAGCCATCCTCAGGCATGGTCATGTACTTGGCTTGCATGTTAGGCATCAAACGGCCGACGGAACCAATAGCTTCGCGCCAATCCCCCCACTGCTGCGAGTGGGTGGTGGGGCTGGTCTCGCTGAGTCCGTAGCCTTGCTTGATGCCGACCTTGATGCGCGAGTAGACTGCCTCCACCAATTCCTGTGTAAGCGGGGCAGCGCCGGAGTTCATCATGCGCAGGCTCGACAGGTCATACTTGTCAACTACCGGGTGCTTGCCCAATAGCAGCACCACGGGAGGGACGATATAACTGAATGTGCAGCGGTAGTTCTGCACGTGAGCGCACCACTTCTCAATGTCAAATTTGGCCATGACAACAAGGTGGTAACCCTTGTATAGGGCTTGAGTAATTAAACAAGTCAACCCTGCAAACTCGGCGTTAGTATCTTGCCGCACTTAGTTCAGATCAGAAAGCCATACCATAGATGTGATAGAACGGCAAAAACGCCAGAACCCGATCCCCCTTCCCATCAGGACCCCCATCCCAGCTCAAGTTTCCCCCCTCACCAGTAACCTGCTGCAAGATATTGGCCACGATATTCCGATGGGATAACATCACACCCTTCGGCACGCCGGTCGTCCCAGAAGAATAAACTAAGAACGCAACATCCTTCTCCGGCGCAACCTTCTGTTTCCGGTAGCGCGTAGCACCCGAAATATTACGCACAGAAGTGAAATGCTTTATGCGGGCATCTGGATCCCGCTGCTCCCCAATCAAGATAATACGATCCTCCGACATGCCGGCCTTCTTCGCGGCCTGCTTGGCAACAGCCAAGACAGACGCCTGCGTCGCGAGACCCTTCGCACCGGAGTTCTTCAGCTGAAATGCCAGCTCGTCGACCGTGTAAGCCGGATTTGCGGGGGAGATGACGCCGCCGGCCCAAAGCGTGCCCCACATTAGGACGGGAGTGTCGATGCTGTTTGGCGTGAAGAGGGCAAGCACGTCACCTTTTTTCCAGTCGTAGACGGCGCGCAGGCCCTTGCCGAAGTCTAGCGAGGCCTCGCGGAGCGATTTGTAGGTGTAGTGGCGCTTGGTTTCGGCATCTTGGTAGAGGACTAGCTGGGGTTAGGGCTTGGGGGAAGAAGAATGCTGCTAGCAGGTCAATGGGTATGACGTACTCTTTTCGTCGGGGTAAGGTCTGTCTTTGCGTTCGAAGAGGAATGTCCACAGGTCTACGGCTGGGATGTCGATTGGGGGGTAGTTGGAGGAGACGGGCATAATTGCGGGGAGAGCCAAGGGCCGATCCGGGGAATTTGAGGCTCAAGTGAGGTAGTCGGCAAACCGCTTTGGGAGTATCTCTGTCAGATGAAAGAGGATAGGAATTCTACGAGTGACCGAGTACTTATGAGATGGCTTTCTCCGCAGTCTCGGTTCGCGGGTTGCCTCGGCCCATCGTTACATTGGTTGGGGTTCAAACTAATACCCGAACGTTTACTCCACATTTGGATGTAAGAAGGCTCGTTTTTGCTTCATATATCTTCAATTAGAACCATTGAAACCCAAGCAGGATCATATGAGATACAATAATATCTCCCAAAGCGTCGCCGTTGAGTCTCGGTGCGCTTGAATTTGTTGCGAGCGTTGGGGATAGTATACCCGTTGGGATCGTCGCTCGGTGATTTCGGCGGTTTCTTTGACAGCCTCGGCGGAGATGATGTAATCAAACGGTCGAAATTTTGAGATGTTGTCGTGAACACAACGACTTTGGAAATAAATATATATTATTCAAAGTGATCAAATATGGTAGTGATACTGTTGATCCGGGTCACTGCAAATTTTGCCTGTACAAAAATATGTAGGTGGAGCTAGGTACTTGTCAATATTAAACATGGTCTCCGCTTTCCCAGCGAAACGTGCATATACTACTGCCTGAGAACACTGATGTCTAAGACCCTTGGGGCTAGCCTCGTTAAAATATGAAGTCTAGACATTTTGTACCTCAAAACTATGCCGTTGCGTTTTCAGATCGGCAATATTACAGACTACAATATAGCACATCGATGAAGTTGTAGTGTCGTTAGATTAAACGCCTTCCCTAGTACCAACCAAGGAAAGAGTATCTTTTTTTACCTCGCCAGATGGGGCGAGGAACCGAATCAAGATCCCAAAATGATTTCATGCCGACAAGATCTTAAATTGAGCAGGACACAGCTGACCCGAACTGGAAATACATGCTGAAAAAAGAACCCAGTTGCGAAAATTGCTGAATTCCATTTTTGATTTCCCAGCACCATTTCCTCCACACGCCACTCCAAGGGGAATCGTTTGAAATCGTTTACTTGAGGGGAATGAAACGGGAAGAGTGGGTGGCACCGATACCGGGACGACCGTGCTTGACGGGCTTGCTGGGAGGTTGTTAGTGTGCTGCCATCAATAAAGAACAGGAGTGGAAGGACACATACTAAGAGATAGAGAACTCAGCCAGGTAGTGGCCAACCATCTCGGGCTTGATCTCAACCTGGTTGAACTCCTTACCGGAGTAGATACCGACGACGGAGCCGATCATCTCGGGGACGACGATCATGTCACGGAGGTGGGTCTTGACGAGATCGGGCTTCTCGTTGGGCTTGGCCTCCTGCTTGGCCTTGCGGAGCTTCTTGATGAGACCCATGGGCTTGCGCTTCAGACCGCGGTTGAAGCGTCTGCGGGCACGAGCGTGAACGACATCACGGAGCTGCTCGGAGGAAAGGTCGAGGAGCCTGTAGAATTTTCTGTCAGATTGGTGTCCTTCATATTCCACATGGATTCAGTCGCAGCGCAGCACCAAGTAGACCAGAAAGAAAGCACGACATGCGATATGCGATATCCGTGAGGGCATATCGCAAGGAATTCTTCATTCCTGTATCACGAGGTGCTGGCTGCGAACGGATTCCGAGGGGTTCGATGATTTAGTGGAAACGTACTGTTCGAGGTCAATGCCGCGGTAAGAAAACTTGCGGAATTGTCTTCTCTTCTTGATCTCTGTTCGGCAGGAATTCAGTCAGCGGCTGCGATTTCAATGTCGTGTCCCTTCCATCCATGTTCAAAAGTTTTGCCCCGCCAACGTGTAGATTCCATCATTCCCATCACATAGTCGACCGAAATAAACATCCTTTCTCTCCTGGGTCGATCCTTCTGTTCATGGGCGATGGGTAGGGAGTTGAATTCATAACGTACCGGCAGCCTCCTCGGCGTTCTATATGAAAATCATATTAGTACATCGTAAGCGCTCGGACGAAGAAGAAAAAAAACTCACGTATTCGATGTCAGCCATTTTTGCAGATATTCCTGTTAGCTCGCTTCTCGAACGTACGAAAAGCGAAGGAAGATGGGTTGTCGGAAATTGTCGTGTCGCTGAGCGGTCGGGCTGCTAGTACGCTGGGTTTGGGAGTGGGCGCCGCTCGTTAAGCGACGGGTAGGTTCAAGCCCTATGCACTATACCATTTTGGGACATATGTAATTTATTTCGAAACATTGGTATTCAATTGTAATGGACTCTTTGTAATTAGGATTTACTCATGTTTACATGGAAGATTGTTCTCTTATCGTGTACCTTAAGTGTAATATAATGGTATTAGAATTACCTACTCAATCCGACCGTGAAGTTTGGACAGGATAAGACATTGTTGATTCTGAGCATGACCGCGCCTTGGGTAGTTCACATAGTAACACGGCAAGAATATTAGATTAACGATTCTAAAAGCAGATTTGGCTACACGCTATCACTTTTAAACCTAGAGGTCCCGGCGATCAGCTAAGATCGCTCGAATGGACTACGTCTAAGAAACTGTAGTGGAATCCAGATGGAATGTATTGGCTAGGAGCTTATTCCAGCTCACATGAGAAGTCGCAACTGTATCAAAACAGTCTTAACCATAAACACTTTGGAAGCCAACCGGCGCAAGTTTTGCCCGGATTGACAAACCAACCAAACATCTGTTCCCCAGAACCGTAATTTTTGAGACCTTGGAGAATAAGGCGCTTAGTCGAAGAGACCGAAGCCCATGTCCTCATCGGACTCCTCCTCCTTCTCCTCAGCCTTCTCCTCAGCGGGAGCGGCAGCGGCACCACCGGAAGCGGCAGCGGCAGCGGGGGCAGCACCAGCACCACCGGAGGGAACGGAGGCGAGCTTGGTGGAACCCTCAGCAATGAGCTGGAAGAGAGAGTTAGCAAACTGTTCAAATCAAAGTAGTGGTGCGAAAAATGCGGATATCACTAACCTCCTGGAGGTCCTTGCCCTGGAGCTCAGAGATGACCTTCTCGAGACGGTCACCCTCAGCGTCGATGCCGACGGAGGAGAGAACGGCCTTGATGTCGGCGGAGGAGGGGGCCTCGTTGCCGGCAAGGGCGAGGAGGAGGTAGGCAGCGAGGTACTTCATTTTGAAATGACTGTTCCAAAAGAAATTCTTGTTAGTATCGCGAGTTGAAGATTGGATGCGATCACACGTTTGATGGAGTGTAGATATCGCCAGGTAGATTCAGAAGCAAGGTGAACATACGTTTGATGATTATTTTCTGAACAGGAGAAACAATCGATTTAACCGCGAATTGGGCGGAGACTGCAACGTCGAGTTCTGGTGGAAGAGGGTTGGTTGACGAAGGATTAACCGAAGCGCCAGAATCTTAAGAAAAAAAAGGTGGTGCGATTTGGTGTGGCTAGTGCCGGGAACTCTTCTAAGCGAGTTGGTGTGGCGCATGAAATCCAAGGGTCACGTGTAAGCTTTTGCCATTCTGGGTCCAGCTTTGGTAATTGAATGTTGGCCTATCTACAAACCTGGAAACCTCCCCGCCTTCTTGTCTTCTTGAGGGGCCTCATCCATACCTCACAAAACTTCTGGGTCAAGACGGGCTCGCGACCTTCCCCTCGCTTCTGTTCTCTTTGAGTAACAGAATATCCCTGAGCGAACTAAGCCAGAGATCTATTCGGCTCGGAGTCATGAAGTTACCTAGTCGTACCAAATATCGACGGTGAGCGTGACTTCTTCTGTACAACTCCTCACAGACTACACCCTTCGGGTCATTTCTCCTACAGTCCCAAAATGAGTGTATGGTTATCTGTATCTATCTTTTTGTATAGGTTTCGCTAGCTAACATCGCGAACAGTTTCTCGATTCTATTCTCTCGTCTATCCAGACGGGTAAACCCTCACAATCCCCACTGTCTCAAGCGCCAGCTTCGCCCGCACCAGCTGCAGTTCCCAAGAAGGTGGAACGAAAATCGCTCGATGAGCGACCAGTGCCTCCAACCAGTGCAAATGTTGGAGTGAAGCGAAAGGCCGAGGACTCGCTACCCCGGCCCCCCAAACCTGAAACCAAAATGACGAGCAAGCCCGCAGTCATGAAGCCAACGGTTGCGACCAAGCCAACTGTTGCTCCTGCGATACCAAAGGCGTTGCAAAAGCCCGTCTTGGCTGCCAGTCCCAAGCCGGTCCCCCCAAAGCCTACTATCAAAAGCAGCACATCTGCGGCATCTGCGGCGACAAAAGCGACACCCCCCCAGAAAGTCCCCGCCAAGCCGACCCCCTCAGTCGCGCCTGTGCAATCCAAACCACCACCCAAGGGATCTTTTGCGGCGATCATGGCGCAAGCAAAGGCCGCTCAGTCCAAGGCACCCGTACAGGTGGGCATGCTGAAGCACCAAGCCTGTCCCAAAGAAAGACTCAGCAAACTTGAGCGCAAACGACGGATGGAGGAGGAACTGGCGAAACAAAAAGAAGCGCGATCGGGCAAAAAGCCCGTGCCTGGAGGCCCCAGCAAGGACAGGCCTGCCCGCCAGCGTGATACCGAGGGACCGTCTTACAAGGGCACCGCCAAACCGACCCAGACACCTGAGCCGCCTGCATATCGCGGCACGCTGGGCTTGCCGTCCCGGCGTGGTGGACACGACCGCCGACACCAGTCTCGTAATGGACGACAAAATGAATACCTCGGCACTGACGAGGAAGACGAGGGTGACTACGGTGGCTATGATGATTATTACTCGGATGCATCATCCGACATGGAGGCTGGAATGGATGACGTGGACCGCGAAGAAGCGGCTGCGTTGAAATTTGCAAAGCGAGAAGATGAAGAAGAGCTGCGACGGGAGATGGCAGCTAAAAAGCAGAAGCTTGAGCGTCAGCGTAAATTGGCTGCTCTTGCTTCTTCTAGAAAGCGATGAGTCTTTTGACCTTTTCGATTCTTTTTCGTTTGAACATCGCCTACTTGTTACGATCATTTTTGCCTTGATCTCCTTTGTTTTGGTCGGTCTTTTTTTTTACACCCGCATCATGAGCGTTCGGGGTGTCCATAGACGGGGTGCATTTTTGTTTTGAAAGCACCATATCTAGCGGGCGTCATTCCAATACCAACTTGCTTTTCTACATTTAATTATCTTCATACATATGAGTAGTCAGCATTTCATATTGAAGTCATCCATAATGGAAGTCTCACAATCTTGATCGTAAGCCCCACTTGGCGGTGACATCACTTGACCATCTAAATACTCTCTCTCTCTCTGTATTCAACATGTTTCCTTCTACATCAATTTTGCAGATCACCATGGAGTCTACCCACCATATATCGGCATCATCGAAAATGCTTCTCAGTAAAGTGCGCAAGATTGTTCCCCCAATGCTCGAAAAATTCCACAAAGGTAAGCTATATCGGGTGATCGACCATAACCAATGCAATGGAAACTCAATCTAACTATCCAAACAGGGCAACTTGGTCGTGTAGCCGTTGTTGGGGGATGCGCTGAGTATGACTCCCACCTGAACTATGCAGCTCAGGAGAAATCTTGCTAACTGAGATAAGCTACACCGGCGCTCCATACTTCTCAGCCATGGCCTCTGCAAGACTTGGTATGTCCTATCACTTTTGTGAAATCCAATCGGTACTGACATTTGAACCACAGGCTGTGACATGGTATGAGTAAAGGTTCACACCGAGTTTCGCGACAATGACTAACAATAACCAGAGCCACGTCCTCTGTGAACGATCTGCAGGACCGGTAAGTTCACAACCAACATAGATGATTCAGACTAAACATGGCATATGGACAGGTCATCAAGGGATATTCCCCCAATTTAATGGTACATCCACTACTGCCAAGCAGCGAGACAGTCAAGGATCCCAAGTCAATCGATGCTCCATCACTGGCAGGTCCGATTATCGGGATGCTCTCTCGTCTGCACGCACTTGTGATAGGGCCAGGTCTTGGCCGCGACAGTGTGACGCTCAAGGTCGTCGCGGAAGTTATTCGAGAGGCCCGGTCAAGGTCGATCCCATTTGTGCTGGACGCCGATGGACTGCTAATCGTAACGGAAGACCCAGACCTGGTCAAGGGATACAAGAACTGTATTCTCACGCCTAACGTGGTTGAATTCGGGCGCCTAGCTAAAGCCCTTGGCATCGAGGTAACCAGTCCTGCTGAGATTGCGCAAAGCGGCGGCAACGAAGCCATTGAAAAGGAATCAGAAGCCTGTGAGAAGCTTTCTCGGGCTCTGGGTGGTGTGACGATAATTCAAAAGGGTCCTCACGATTTTATCTCCAACGGGATTACCAGTATCATTTCCGATATCAAGGGAGGCTTGAAGCGCAGCGGTGGTCAGGGAGATACCCTGACGGGGTCGCTGGGAACCTTCCTCGCTTGGCGAGCGGCTTACCACGACAAAATGTGGGACTCGGGTGAAAAGGATAACGAGAAGGAGGCGCAGAGCAAGGACGAAGTTCAGGCAGAGCTCGTTTCTGAGGGCAAGCGCATGTCTCCGGCGACGAGCTTGCTGCTGGCTGCTTGGGCAGGAAGTAGTATTACGAGAGAGTGCTCTCGGCGGGCCTTTGAGGCCAAGGGGCGGAGTATGCAAGCTAGCGACCTGACTGATGAAGTACATGGGGCCTTTTTGAGGCTGGTTGGAGAGCCCGAGGAAACTAAGACACATCTCTAGGCTACCAACTGAAATGTACTATCCCTAATTCTCTGCATAGCACGAGAACATTGGCTACAGAATGCATTGGGGCATATCTTGGCGTCTCAAACTTGAACTCCAGCTGAGGGCAAACGATCATCAAACAAAGGATCATCATCTAATCTCATAAAACTCCCCACTAGTAATGCGGTGGTATCTGCAGAGATCAAGGAAAGGGGTTTGGCCTCAATACATGTATCTACTGAGCAGCAATCCTAGTTCAATATTGTACTCTCAGCCGCGCTTACCGTGTACGAGGTACTCCATTGTAACACAAGGCATGATTTGCTGCATGGTCCAAAAGTGAAATGTGCCCAAGGTTCACGAAGAGCCTCGGCGTTCAAGTATTGAGTTCTCTTCAAGGTCGAAATCGGTCTCAGCGTCGATGCTATTAGTTCGGGCATCATGGAGGCGTTCCAAGTACAACACGAGAATCCATGACAAAGAAGTACCAATAAAATTTAATTGATGGCATGTAGACTCGGATAATTGGGTTTGATTGGGCCTGAGATTCAAATGTAGTGGATTGGATCAACGTTCCAGGCCCTTGCTCTCGATGACGAGCAGAATCTTTGCTTCAACAAACAATCAAGTCTCACAATCCCACCTCCGCAAAGCAACCAATACTAATAGCCAATTTCCAACCTCTCGCTTGTTCCCACTTGCCTTTCGTCAGGTTCCAGAGCCTGCATAAGCAAAACGGTATCACTTACCGAGAACAACCTCAACATCGGATCGAAGAGTGCCCATATCATACCTAAAGGCTTCAAGCGGTTTGAGCCACCTGCAAAGACAGGTCAAATTATTTCCCGCATTTCCCTCTTTTTTATACATGGATACTGAGGATATTGGCATTGAGACATGCCCCGCCTGAAGCCTTCCAATGCAGAATAGACATCTCATAACAGTCAGTCGTGTTTGTCAAAACTACTTCCGAGCTGTCAAGCCATTGACACGACCTTCCATAATTATTGGTGTCTCGAGACTCAGCTCTCGTATTCACGCCTCACCCAATCCCAACCTCGATCGCTGTGATCCCCGCCCTACCAGTTTTTGGAAAAGCATATCCAGGTCTCAGAAGATGATATTGAAGCCACGGTACCGTATATCACCATATTGGGTATATGCTATACGAGGAACCCCAAGCAAAAGATGACCGCGTGATACGACGCTACTGAGCCTCGCCGAGAACGAGGTGGATAGCATATCCGCAAGACAAACTCCATAAATACGAGACCGCACAAGAAAACAGGTATATAAGATGTCGAGAATCCCCGATAACACCATCACAGACCAATCCGCGAGGACAAGCCCCAAGACCTAGTCGCTAGCCTATACTCAATTTCAACTTCCAACCGATCAACAATTATGCGTTTCGCCATGCTCACAGTGCTGGTCGCCAGCGCCACTCTGGCAGCCGCGAATCCCAACCCCAAGCCCCCTTGCGGCACCTGCAACCCGGTGTCTGGCCAAAACCGCTGTGACGTTACCACGTCGTGCATCAACACCGGGACTTCATTCCACTGTGCTTGCCGTGCTGGCTACAAAGCGTCTTCGCAAAATAACAATGTGAACCAGCAGTTCCGCTTGCCAGTGCCGAACTATGAGTTCCTTGTCTTTGTGCCGGAGAATACGCCTTGCAATACCCTTTGCGACAATCGCATGGCTCCTGCTTCGCAGCTCTGCCAGGAGGTTCCGCTTTACAACCAGTGTCCGGCTTAGGGTATTGTTGAGTGGCTGTAGTCAGAATGGCCAGAAGGAGAGGAGGAGGAGGAGGAGGAGGAAGCTGTGAGAAGTTAATCTCTTGGATAAATGTATTGCAATAAATGCGAGGGACTGGCAATGATGGTTATGAGATGGATCCATATACGTAGGATGGTCTTCGGAGTTGCTCACCAAGTACCAATATCTACTCATTAATCGAACATGGCTTTTACCTGGGATTTCGAAAGACATTTAGATGAAGATTAAAAAGAGTAGATTGGGAAGATCTTTTGATTGACCCTACAAAATCATGACCGGCTCCATATTCCCAAGAATACACCAAAACACCCGTCGCCTTAATTTCAGCCTGTTCAACATGCATTTTCAACACGCAAAAGCCCAGTCGACATATAAAAAGAGAGGGAACAAGAATAAAGAGACTTTCAAAATTACATGTCCATATCACCGTCAACCTCAGTAAAGAGTAGACGGGTGCCGTTGCCAGTGACTTGCCAAAGCTGTAGAGAATGTCAGTTATGGAACACAATAGCAGGGAAGAATCAGAACGTACGTTCATTTCAGCATATTCATCAATAGTCATGGTGAGGTTATCTTCAGTGAAGCCTCGGGCCAAGACACGCTCACGAATACGTCTCATGCTCATCTCACCCTCCTCGCCATCTCCGACGGCAGCGGCACCACTCTCCTTCATGCTGCGGATCAAGTTGTAGATCTTGCTAGAGGGAGTGTTGTCGGCGCCATGCTCGCCATCGTTGTACAGAGAAGCCTTGCTGACTTCAATAAGACGCAGAGCCTCGTCAACATCCTCGCGAACAACCTCATGGCTGAATCGAAGGCGAGCTAGGGCCTGGGACAGACGGACAATACCAAGCAAGGTACGGGGGGTGACGTGGGAGAACTGGCGCTGCTTGGACTCATCGATCTTCTGTCTCTTGCGCATGGCCACGTACGCACCAACCATGTAGTCGGAAACACTGCTGGGAACAGTAGGGCGGTATGTGCGTGCCTTGGCAATGTATTGACGGACCTCGTGGGGGGTGAACATCACACCTGCTTCTTCATTCTCCGGGTGCTTGTTGTGCATGTGAACGTAGGTAACGTGGTTGGCGAGTTCTTCATCGCCTTCACGGGAGGGGGTGTCCAAAAGCAGGAACATCACATCGAAACGAGAGAGCAAAGCGGCGGGCAAGTTGATGTTCTCAACGGGTGACACACGGGGGTTGTAGCGTCCATACAGCGGGTTGGCCGCTGCCAGGATAGAAGTACGTGCGTTGAGAGTCGTAGAAATACCGGCCTTGGAGATTGAGATGGTCTGCTGTTCCATCACTTCGTGAATGGCAGTACGGTCCGAGTCCTCCATCTTGTCGAACTCATCAATACAGCAGATACCGTTGTCAGCCAGAACAAGTGCACCTCCCTCCAGCACCATCTCGTCAGTTACCGGATCCCTCATAACTGCAGCAGTAAGACCGACGCCACTGCTTCCTCGTCCAGTGGTGTACACGCCACGAGGAGCAACCTTGGTGATGTATCGAAGAAGCTGAGATTTGGCCACACCGGGGTCACCCATCAAGCAAATGTTGATGTCACCACGGATGTGCATACCATCACCCATTTCTTTCGTAACACCGCCAATCAAGAGCAAGAGCAATGCTTTCTTGACATCGAGATGTCCATAAATTTCGGGAGCGATCGACCGTGAGAGGTACTCGTACATGTTACCGGAACGTTGGTGCTGTTCAATCTTGCGCAGAGTATTGCTGTCCATGCCCATATCGTTGTAGGACTTCTTGTGTTGAGTGATATGCTGAGCCTCAAGGTAGGTGTCGGTTAAAAGTCCAGCACGGATGGCACGGAAACCGGTGTAAGGTGTGGGCAAAAAGATGCCTGCAACATCGATAACGTCACCTGGGTTCAGCTGACGGGTGAGGGCGCCGTGGCAGTGGATGGTCAGAGTGCGAGGAATGTGACCCACAGGCACCTGGTCGGCCATTTCCTGGATCTTGACCTCCTGGAAGGGTACGAACTTCGACGCACGGGTTGACAAGAAGAGCTGGCCCTTGGAGTTGTTCTTTTTGCACTCTTCCGACAGACACTCGGACAAAGGCATGAATTGCTTGGTGGTGATGGGCTGGAAAACTTCACAACCGCAGCGATCGCAAGTATAGGCATTGATCTGGACAGCTGGCTTGACATCCGAGACACGGGTTGTAATACCACGAACCGTAATCAAGCTACCGAGGTGCTCACCACGCACGCTTCGGACGGCGAGGGCCTTGGAGTTGCGCTCGGTGCTGGACCCTGAAGGCGTGATGGGCTTGAAGTTAAGGGTATATCTGCGAGTGAGTTCTGCGGGGAACATGGATGGAGCAGTAGCAGCGGCCTCCATGTCAGCCTCCATTGCGGTTTCCATAGCATCGTTGCGCTTCTCGCGCTGAGACATGATCACATCCAGCACGTCATCCTTGTATCTGTGAAATAATTAGTTTAGCTGAGTTTTTGCAGCCGGCCAACGTGACTTACGTGATATCCTTCGTTTCCTTGGGCATAATCGAGTCCACTGCCTGGGAGACAACATCGATATACCGCCGTGCATTCTTTTCGATAGATTCGACGAGCTTGAGATCTTCTCCCTCGGGCAAGGATTTCTCGAACTTTTATAAATATTGTAAGCAACCGCTTTATACCGGAGCCAAGTATTCGCTTGGGATACTCACGGTGGCAAGGTCATCCAACTCGATCAGGATATGAGACTTATCGCGATTTGCGATATCTTGCAGAACCTGCATGTACTTGAGCTTCGGCTCCCGGCGCCTCCTTGCTCCTCTGGTGTTTGCTCCCTCATCATCGACATCATCCATGAAGTCATATTCATCACTGGTCCGGCCTTCATCAATGTTCAAATCCTCCAAAGCTTCGGTCGCCGCTGCTTCCGAGGACGATTGGAAGGTTTTAAAACCCTTCAAGAAATCCTTGAAGCCAGTAAGCTGTGCGCTATAATCCACCGGTGGGGGATATTGAAGGAGAGACATGGTGGGTTAAAAAAGCGCTCAATTGGCAGCAAGCGCAAATGGAGATAGTGGGATAGGGAGAAATAAAGAAGGAGGGTCTAGTGGCTATCCGAGCAAGCCCCTACCAAATTCGCTGGGAAACGCGAACGCGACGAAAAGACGCGCTGAGAATGCTACTAACCTGATTAGGAAAAGTGTCAATTATATCGGATTAATAGTTACGCCGTTTTCGTTATCAGAAGTGATATCGAGTCACATGACTTGTCATCGGGCCGAGGCGAAAGAGAGGAAGTGAGGTACTGTGGAGTCCGGGGTCGTGACTCTCCGAATTCACGTTCCCCCCTCTCCTTCTTATACTTTCTGAGTCTACAATAAATCAGTGCTTCAATATGGCACCAAAGAAGCCTGCTGCGACGGCTGAAATTGCCCTTATTCCTCTCAAGAACTGTCTTGTCAATCTACCGCCGTCGCTAGTCTCTCTACTGGTCAATGCAAACACAGTCAGTATACTAGCTGCTATGACCCAATGGACACTTTCCGGCTAACATGTGACCATACACCAGACTGCTCAAAATGTGATTATTGAATTACAATACAAGTCGAGCTCTACAAAGGCCAATGGAGCTCCTCCGCAGCAATCATGCTTCCTCGGTTGGACGGGTATGCCGAGCAAGCGCAGGCTTGCGCCAGTTGTTGGAAGGGACGGCATTAACAGTGGTTCTTCCAGAGAACAGGAGATATCCACTGTTGAGCTTGATACTACTTTCGGACGACTCCTTGGTCTCACTGAAGGCCAGAAGGTATATACTCCTCGTGCGTCATTATCCACGTGGGATGCTAACACTTGCAGGTTGGATTGTTCATCCATCTCGATCCTCCCGTAGCGCATACAATTAACATTGAACCATTGACACCGGAGGACTGGGAAAGTGTGTGAAAGCAAAACTTCAGTAATATGCATGTTGCTAATCCCGCTTCGCTATAGTCATCGAACTCCACGCCACATTCCTGGAACTCAATCTTCTGTCACAAATTCGCGCATTACCGAACCCTACATACAATGCAGCGCAAACAGAGCATATGCACCCGCTCGCATTACATCTATCTCCCACATCTACTGCGAATATTGTCGTCACTTCCCTTACACCCGTACCCTCAAACACGTCTCCTTTCGCCAAGATTGCGCCCGATGCCGAAGTCATCGTGGCTCCGAAAGTCCGACCAAAAACAAGCAAGACCTCGCGCGCTGACAGTCGCAGTGCGTCTGGGAATAGTAGGAAGAGCGCCGGGGGAAGAAGCGGCTCAAGCACAGTTCGTCCGAAGAGTGGACGGTCCGACTCCAGCACCCGAGGCTCCCTCTATCTGAGAGGCGTTGATCGCGCAGCGACCACTCAGCACTTTGATGACGAGATAGACGACGATGCAAATGAAGGCCTTCGCGTGTGGGTTGATCCTGATCTTCTAGCAAGCTATGAGCTTCGCGGAGCAACCTGGGCATGTGTTTCAGTTGTTCAACCATCCGGTCTCAAACCCCCACCAGATCCTCAACAACAGCTTGCTCAAGCCGAACAGCAAAAGTCCAATGATGCTGGATCTCCTTCGACCAAACTCGTGGCTAAATTGCTTCCATGGGAAGAAGCCCCGGACAATCGGCATGCGGCGATGTCCACCTTACTGTGCACGGCCCTTGGTGCGGAAAATATGGTTGGTGGGATCGTCCGAGTCGAGGCAGCACCCCCACAGTTGCATCGATCAGCAGTAAAAACTCTCAAAGTCTATCCATTCATCGGGGATGCCTCGAAGAAGAAAGATGGGCTGAAATTTGGCGCCGATACTGCGGCATCCCGGGATGCCCTAGCTGAGCGCCTTAAAGTAATTTACGGTAGTACAGGCTCAGACATTGGGTTATTCTCCGGGCCTTTGACTGATGGAATGGTTTTACCAAAATCCGAGTATCATCCTTCAGTCTCTTCATTCGATGGCGCTATTGTCCGATTTGATCCCCTTTTGAAAACCGGTGCTGATGAAACAAAGTCGATGTTCGGATGGCTACTGGGCTCGGAAGCCAAGATAAATCTTGAGATTCAAGCTGAAATCCCAAAGCCATTCGACACTACTTCGTCTGTGTTGCCTTTGGAAGACCCTCTTCCAGAGACTGCCCCTCAACTGGTCGGAATTGATTCTATCATTGAACAGGCATTGAACAACTTAACCAAATCCTCTTCTATCCTTCTCACTGGTGGTCTTGGTGCTGGTAAAACAGCCCTCGCTCAGCTCTTGGGTCATCGCATGAGGCGTGACCATCTCTCTAACGTCAAGTATTTCTCGTGTCGCAAGCTCGTTACCGATGAAACGCGAATTTCTAACATCAAAGAGACTTTGAACCGCCTTTTCATGTCCGCGGCATGGTGCGCGCGTCTTGGCGGCCAGTCAGTCGTGATTCTCGATGATCTGGACAAGCTTTGTCCAATGGAGACCGAGTTGCAAGTGGGCGGTGACAATGGCCGTAGCCGACAAAACAGTGAGGTTATCTGCTCTATGGTTCGAGAATTCTGCGCTTTGAACTCATCGGTGGTGCTACTCGCCACTGCCCAGGCCAAGGAGTCTCTGAATAATGTTATAATTGGCGGCCATATCGTTCGTGAAATTATCAGCATGAGAGCCCCCGACAAGGAAGGGCGCCGCAGGGTTTTGGAAAAGCTTACTAGCCAAGATAAACCCACCGAGGCGCAGAACGGGCATGCGAGAGCTGAAAGCTCTTCGACACAGGACTCCTGGCTAGACCCTTCGAATCCCGGGAGCCGCCCAAGTTCTTCTGGTGGCGATGGCTTTGTCATTGGGCGAGACGTGGAGTATCTGGAGCTGGCTGGCAAGACTGACGGGTATATGCCCGGCGATCTTGTTCTTCTCGTTGCTCGTGCGCGCAACGAGGCCCTCATCCGCTCCGTTTCCGATTTGACATCAACATCAAAGATGATCACACTCGGATTGCAGGATTTTGAAAGCGCCTTGAAAGACTTCACTCCTGCATCCCTTCGCAACGTCACCCTTACATCCTCAACAACTACATTTTCCTCTGTTGGTGGTCTGTTTGAAACTCGCAAGATGCTTTTGGAAACATTGCAGTATCCTACGAAGTATGCCCCGATTTTCGCACAGTGTCCATTGCGACTTCGATCTGGTTTGCTCCTCTATGGATTCCCTGGTTGTGGTAAGACGATGCTCGCCAGTGCAGTTGCTGGCGAGTGTGGGTTGAACTTCATCAGTGTGAAGGGTCCCGAGATCCTGAACAAATACATTGGAGCCAGTGAAAAGAGTGTCCGTGATTTGTTTGAGCGAGCCCAGGCCGCTCGTCCCTGCGTTCTCTTCTTCGATGAGTTTGACAGTATCGCGCCTAAGCGTGGTCATGACTCCACCGGTGTCACAGATCGTGTTGTCAACCAGCTGCTAACCCAGATGGACGGTGCAGAAGGTCTCTCGGGTGTTTATGTCCTAGCAGCAACATCACGCCCAGACTTGATTGATCCCGCGCTCCTGCGTCCTGGTCGTCTCGACAAGTCCCTACTGTGCGACATGCCCAACCACGAAGACCGCGCCGATATCATCCGCTCAGTAAGCGATAAACTGAAGATGAGCGACGAGGTCGCCTCCCGCCTTGATGACATCGCCGCCGCGACCGAGGGCTTCTCCGGCGCAGACTTGCAAGCAGTCGTGTACAACGCCCACCTCGAAGCCGTCCACGATGCTCTAGGCGACCGCACAACTGAAACAGCCAAGCCCGGCGCCAAGTCTGGCAAAGACTCCGCCAGTGCGTCCACCAAATCCTTCATCCAATTCCTTTACTCCTCATCCGAGGAAGCATCCGGGTCCGTCTCCATGCCACCGCCGGCGGTGATCTCCGCCAAACTGGAAGCAATCAAGAACTCGCGGCGCCGCCAACGCCAACTCGAGCAAGGGTCTTCTGGTGGTAATGCCGCTGCCTCAACGACTAACGGCACCGAGCCGGCTGCCGACGAATTGCGCGAAGACATTATCGTCCGCTGGGAGCATGTCGAACGCTCCTTGAACACTACACGCTCTTCTCTCAGTCCGCCTGAGCGCAGACGTCTGCAGGGGATTTACCGGGAGTTTGTGGCTGGACGCAACGGCGAAATGCCTAACGGTGAAGCTGCTAATGAGATTGGGGGACGGACTAGTCTGATGTGATGTGCATGCATGAAGTTGAGGATTTTGTATACTGTATATATGAACTGGGTTGCATCCTCGTTGGATTCCCCGTCTTCTTTAACTGTACTTATTGGTATTAGAAACTGGACATGTTATCATTCATCTAAATCTCCGTATCTCTACATTTTCTAAAGCTACACTCTTCTTCATCTATTACGCAACTTTTCAGTACACGTTTAAACATTTGGAGATCACCAGTACAATATACTATAAGACCAATGGAAGCATACCTGAAGAACGTGTATTTTGAACGTGGGTCATCGATTAAGAGAGTAAAGGGAAGCACTCGGGGAAATCTACAATTGGATGTCAAGAGCTTGTCATGAGCGGTACTATCCGTCAGACCACTAAAGATACATTCAAAAGGAAGCATAATCTTGATAAATCATTGAAACAGCAAGTTGAGTAGGGACTAGCCAATCATAACCACGAAAAGACGATGGAAAGAGACCAGCACAGGAAGACCAGCGCAAAGAGGACTCAATGTCTTCGGCCAATCGCCTATATAGGCGCAGAGAATATCTCGCATCGGGATAGTGGGTCGGGATAGGGGAGAGAATCTCCGCGAGAAGCGGCCGCGATGCCTCTGTGCATCAGCACAGCTTGACGAGATTTGGAAGTATCTCTCTATACTGATCTTGTCTGAACCCCGGAAAACCAATAGTCTATCCTTCGAAACAAAGCAACGGAGCAAGCTCATAATATAGCAAATATACGGGTTTTCGTGACGCCATCAATGAGGCAGGTGGTCAGGTGCGTTAGAATTCAAGGTTTGAGCTTCATGACGCCAGTACCCGGATAGGGGACGGAGGCGAATGACCAGCACGCATGTCGGAATGCAAGGCAGGAGCTTCGTGAAAACTAGCATTTAAACATGGATGGGATAAAGGCAGATGGCCAAACCTGCTAGGATCCAGTGTTCACGCTTCGGGGCCACCAGAACGGAAGAACGGAAGATGCTGGCTATGAATGGAGGTTGGCAGCAACTAGGAAATGGATGGAACATACAATACTCAACGTCCAGGTGCAGATCGTCTACGGCGTCTAGAAGACCATCCAGAAGCAGGGCGGATCTCAGGTTGGGACACCTCAAGATGGGGGATGGCAGAAAGGCACTGGTATCGAGGTTTTGCCCCGTGGCTTATAGAGCTTTATTTGCATTAGAAATGGTGCTGTGCTCCGTTTGTCGTATTACATTTTTGATACATAGTTTGCACGGAGTTTCTTGTGATTGCGTTCATAGGGTCACACCGTTCCATGAACGGCAGAGCGGACCCGAGAAGCAACTGTAATGCTGGCAAAAGGACGAAATAGTGAGTTGTGATAGAATGGAGGTAGAATTCAAAACTTGTTGTGAAAGAATAGAAAATTGATGCGAATGGGGAGAAGAGAGAGAAAGAGGGAAGGAAATCAATTGGGGATGAAATGTATACAATTTCGGGTTGAGAGTATGCCGATTTGGAAAGAACGCGCCCCCGATTCATGGGGCGTACTGGTCCCATCGCTCCTGCTAGATGGGGAGAGATCTCGTGACATAGGTTTTTGTTATTTGTCTATAAATCTATAAGAGTTTTCTTCATAAGTGATCCCTTGATGCCCAACTGATAGCTATAATGATAGCATGTCATTCATTTTTCACTCTTTTTCCAAAGCCTTGGTAACAAGACGCTCTAGCTTCTGCCACTCAGCAGCTAGAATACCTTTGGATGTACTTGGATCAAGGCCATTTGCCTTAAATTCATTGTGAACCTGCACAAACTGATTTCCCACCAACTTTCTAAAGCTAGGCACAGTACAACTCTCCAGCTGAGTGCTCGCCAGCTCAGCCAGAATATACCAAATCAAGTAATGGAAGTTCAGCTTGAACTCATGGATCTGCACGGGGTCTTTAGGGTCAGGCTGGAAGCCCTCCTGGGACAGAAATACGGTAAGCCTGACCAGGCTCCACGCATGAACGTGACGGATTGGATGGGCCTTGTCGTAAACAATGGGATCAATTCGCAGATACCTGATAGCCGCATGAATGAATGCCCGAGTGAAATTTCCCGCTGTAAGCAGGGAGATGATCAACTTATCCCGTAGAGATGCGTAGGGCTGGCGAGTGAGCGGCCAGGCACCTGTTTCATGGAGTTTGTGCATGGCAGCTTCCAATTTTGCAATTGCTTCTGGGGCCTCCGTGCTAGATGCAGTGGCCGTCTGCATGAGTTCTAGGGCTTCTCGCTCTGCTGTTTCCAGGAGTGTCGTGTCCTCAGGCGTGGATGAAAACTGGTCTTCAAGTGTGTCTGTTCCCTTTTGGCACTTTGTGCACTGGCAATCAAAAAAGTAGCGCTCTTTCAGTTCGTTCCGCCGGATGTCGTATGGGGTTGTGGTGTCAATGTATGAGATGAAGATTTGTTCATCCTGCTTGATAGGACGCATGGCTTTGACATAGAGCTCTTCGCCGTCAAACCCAACAGTGGAGTTATAGTCGCAGCTGTGATTGATCAGACCGGCATAAGGGTGCATGTACAGACCGATTCGGTCGTACATCGACGTGGTGAGGTTGAAAGAGTTCAGATCAAGCTAAATAGGGATTAATTATAGATTCCACGTTTTAAGGGCAACAATTATACTCACCTTCGCAGCATACGAAGAAATAGTCCCTTCCTCCAAATCGGTCCCGGAGTAGTTCTTGACGGCTCTTGCAGTCAAGGTGATCCTATCAAGCTGGCCTTGGCTCTCGGAGATCTCATTGATATGAGTCTCGAGCCCCTCAAAGACCTTAAGCTCCTCAGGATCATACTTATTGTTCGTAGAACGCAACACAATGCGCAGCAAAGCACGAGCATTATTAGGAAGCACCATAGGCTTGAGTTTTGCGAAAATTTTACACTCAAGCCCATGGGCAAACTTCCAATCCCTCGATTGACATTTCTAGTGCCGACATTAGCAAAACAAGTCAAATCCAGAAAACTCGGATGAAGAGAATTTGTATAACAGTGTCAAAAATAACAACCATTACATCTCAATCTCCATCGCATTGCCATGACGACTCACCCGATCACAATACTTCACAACTCGGCATCCCATGCAAGCACTCAGCTTATTGCCGGTTTCCAGCTGTCTCTTCCCGAGACAGTAGGAGCAGGTGTCCTCCAAACGGGGCGAATCGAGAACTGCCACAAAGGGCGTTTTGATGTGTAGGACATTTTCGCCCGAGTTGATGTCGGCCGTTGCAAACAGGCCATTGCCCATGCCATCCGGGGTAGGGCGCGGGACTGTCTTCGTCGTTACTGATGGCAATGCAGTTCTTGATGCCATTTTTTATGTAGATGGATATGTAAGGAGGTATAGTTTAACAATCTAGCGATCAGAAATTCAATGTCCAGGCGTGGGGATATATATTAGTCATCTTGGGGATTTGCCCAGGTGCCTAAGTAAGGTGTCTTGGCGTTACTCCTATATGATTATCATTACGTCTTATATGTGCTTTTCATGGGACTTTTTATAGAGGTAGTACGCAAGGATGAAGAAATATGAAAAAGCACTATGCCAGTCTCTTACTATATTGCTCTCTATCTCTAAGGGACAAAGACGAGCAACAACCTTGTAGAGGTTGAGATATCTGGGGTCAGGTAAGAGATCGAGCGAAAGCTTGTAGACACTCAGCTCAACGCTACGAATCCAGATCGAACAGCCCTACAGATCACACTACCAAAGCCCGAAGCATAAATAGACCGAATTCATATTGAGATCAAGACATATAAGCGCTACGGTACAGTAGCGAGAAAAGACAACATTCCAATCCGAGAGTACAACAATTAAAAACAACCAAACGATGCACGCCATCTATCAACAAGATTACCCTACCCACTATACCAACGAGCCAGGCGGTGACAGATCATGAAGGGATAGATCGAACCTGATATCATAGGGGAGATCGAGAGAGGAGGACTGCCCAAGTGGGCAACTCTCTGCGACATGGGCTTTTTACTTTTTCTGCTATTTGACAATTTACAGAGCCTTGCCGCCGACGAAGTCGGACCAGGTGCGGACTTCGGAGGGGATCTCGCCGCTGCGGGGCAGCTTCTCGCTCATGCACTGTGCGAAGAGCTGGGCAGTCTGGAGGGGGATGGGTTAGTAAGGTAAGGTAAACAGGGTTATAATTTAATTTGGGACGATGGGGCTTGAACATACCTTGGGCTCCATAAAGAGGGGAACACTGAAGTCGACAGCGTTACGGCGCATGACATAGTCCTCGTCGAGCTGGGTCTTGCCACGGGTCTTGGCGAGGTTGAAGCAGCCGCGGATGTCGTACTTCTGGAAGACCTCGCGGAGAGCGCGCTTGTCCTTCTTGGGGAACTCAATCAGCTGGACGGAGACAGTGTCCTTAGCGGTGGACTCGAGGTGCTCCTTGACGGCAGGGTTGACGGCGAAGAACTTGTAACCGAGAGGGTTGAGGTACTCGACGATCTTGGCCAAGTAGGGCTGGGTGATATCACCGCCGAGGAGGATACCCTCGCCCTGCTCGGGCATGCGGAAGTTCATGGTGGACTGGAGGGAGGCCCAGTAGGCCTCGATCAGATCCTTACCGAAGCAAGCAATCTCACCGGTGGAGGACATCTCGACGCCCAGGAAGGGGTCGGCGCCGGCAAGACGGGTCCAGGAGAACTGAGGCACCTTGGTGGCGAGGTAGTCGCGCTTCTCCTTCATGAGGTCGACGGGCTCGGGGACGTCACGGCCAACGAGAGCCTTGGTGGCGACGTCGATGAAGTTGGTACCCAGGACCTTGCTGACGAAGGGGAAGGAGCGGGAGGCACGCAAGTTGCACTCGATGACCTTCAGTGCGGGCTCGGCACCCTCCTGGTCGGCCTTGATGATCTGCATGTTGAAGGGACCGGTGATGTTCCAGGCCTTAGCGACCTTCTCGGCGATCTCCTTGACGCGGGCCATGATGGGCTCCTCGAGGTTGGCAGGGGGCAGAACGAGGGTGGCATCGCCGGAGTGGACACCAGCGGGCTCGACGTGCTCGGAGACGGCGTGGACCAAAAGCTTACCGTTGGAAGCAACAGCATCGACATCAATTTCCTCGGCACCCTCAATGAACTTGGTGATGACAACGGGGTGGTCGGGGGAAACGGCAGCGGCGTTGAGGAGCTTCTCCTTGAGCTCGTCGACGCTGTAGATGACGTTCATGGCGGCACCGGACAGGACGTAAGAGGGACGAACCAGGACGGGGTAACCAACAGCGTCGGCGAAGTTCTCAGCCTCAGCGACGGAGGTCAGTTCCTTCCAGGCAGGCTGATCGACACCAATGCTGTCGAGGATGGAGGAGAACTTGTGACGATCCTCGGCCTTGTCAATGTCCAGAGGGTTGGTACCGAGAATGGTAGCGCCACCAGTCTCCTGCAGACGGAGAGCGATGTTCTGAGGCAGCTGACCACCGACAGAGACAACGACACCGCTAGCGGCCTCGAGCTCGTAGATGTCCATGACACGCTCGTAGCTGAGCTCCTCGAAGTACAGCTTGTCGGCGGTATCGAAGTCAGTAGAGTAGGTCTCGGGGTTGTAGTTGATCATAACGGTCTTCTTGCCCATGTTGCGGAGGGAAAGAGTGGCGTTAACAGCGCACCAATCGAACTCGACGGAGCTACCAATACGGTACACACCGCTGCCCAGAATGATGGTTCCGTGGTCATCGAAGGTAACATCATGTGAAGAAGCGTTGTAGGTGGTGTAGAGGTAGTTGGTGTCGGCGGGAAACTCGGCAGCTAGAGTATCGATCTTCTTAACCCAAGGGGTGATGCCGAAGGACTTACGGCGGGCACGGACATCGTCCTCGGAAGAACCGACAAGGAGAGCAATCTGCTTGTCAGAGAATCCGAGCTTCTTAGCCTTCAGCAGGATCTCCTTCTTGAGGCCAAAGAGGCTGCCAATCTCCTTAAGTTCGTTGTTGCAGTCAACAATGTTCTGGATCTTGTACAAGAACCACTTGTCGATCTTGGTCAGCTCGTGGACCTTCTCGACAGAGTAGTTCTCGTGGAGCATAGCCTGGCCAACAGCCAACCAGCGGCGGTCAGTGGGGTTGCGGAGAACCTCGTCGAGATCCTCGAAGTGATCACCCTGGAGACCAAGGTACTTAGGGTCGACCTGGCGGATAGCCTTCTGCAGAGACTCCTCCCAGGTACGGCCAATAGCCATGACCTCACCAACCGACTTCATGGCAGAGCCAATGTCTCGGTTAACGTGCTGGAACTTGCTCAGATCCCACCGGGGAATCTTGGTGACAACGTAGTCCAGACTGGGCTCGAAGTTGGCGGTGGTAGTCTTGGTAACGGCGTTAGGGAGCTCGGGGAGAGTGTGTCCCAGACCAATCTTAGCCGCGGTGTACGCAAGAGGGTAACCGGTGGCCTTGGAAGCCAGAGCAGACGAACGAGACAGACGAGCGTTGACCTCGATGACACGGTAGTCGAGTCCATCGGGCTGCAGAGCGTACTGAACGTTGCACTCACCAACGACACCCAAGTGGCGGACAATCTTGATAGCAGCAGTGCGGAGCATGTGGTACTCCTCGTCAGACAGAGTCTGACTCGGGGCAACAACGATACTGTCACCGGTGTGAACACCGAGAGGATCGAAGTTCTCCATGTTGCAAACAGTGATACAGTTGTTGGCAGCGTCACGGACGACCTCGTACTCAACTTCCTTCCAGCCCTTGAGGGACTTCTCGACCAGAATCTGGGGAGCAAGGGAGAGAGAGCGCGAAGACAGATCACGGAGCTCATCGGGGTTGGCAGCGAAGCCAGAGCCCAGACCACCGAGGGCGTAGGCGGAACGGACAATGATGGGGTAGCCAACGGTCTCGGCAGCCTTGAGCGCATCATCGACAGTCTCGACGGCGATCGATTCAGCGATAGGGATGTTAATCTCGTTCAAGGCCTGGGAGAAGAGCTCACGGTCCTCACTGGTCTCCAGGGTCTTGATGCTGGTACCGAGAACCTTGACACCGTAGCGCTCGAAGATACCCATACGGTTCATCTGCACACCCAGGTTCAGACCAGTCTGACCACCGAAGGTAAGCAGGATACCATCGGGGCGCTCGCGCTCAATGACGTGGGTAACATATTCGGGGGTGACGGGGAGGTAGTAGACTTCATCAGCAAGCTTGTGATCGGTCTGAATGGTCGCGATGTTGGGGTTAATCAGGACCGAGTGGACACCAGCTTCCTTGAGAGCCTTCAGAGCCTGGGAACCTATTCGATGCAGATAAACCACGAATTAGTGACTACGTCTGAATTGGTTTTTGGAGCACTCTTCCAAGCTCTCCATTCTCCGCAGAAGAGCTTCCCATATACAACCCCCATGAAGTACAACAATGGAAATTCGGTTGCAATGGACAAACTCCAACTTGATTGAACTTACCAGAGTAATCAAATTCTCCAGCCTGACCAATACTCAGACCACCGGAGCCAATGACAAGGACCTTCTTGACATCGACGAGGTTGCTGCCAGTCTTGACAGCACCGCTAGCGAGATAAGACTCAGCAGCGGGGGGTTTCTCAGCAGCAAGGCGGTTAAGAGTGCTGGAGAAAGAACGGAGCTGGTTAGAGCGAGCCGTGGGGAACTTCTGACGCAGAACCGCCGAGCGGACGGGCTGGGAGGAGAATGCGCGCAGGGAGAGTGCCGGGCGAGTCTCAGCGAGGCAACGCTGGCGCAGCAGAGCCGCCGCCTGGCCACATCGAGCAGCAAGAACCATTGCGCACTACCGCTTTAGCGGAGATTGGGGGGTTCAATTGCTTGTTGAGAGGTGTGTAGAAGGATGAGTCTACGCTTTCCCGGAATTCTTTCTTTTTTTCCCCCCACGGATTCGCTAATTGGTCCGTTGCCCTCACCGTATACGGCTCCACTTTTTGCGAGGAAATGACGGGGAAGTTGATTGCTGTACAACCGTTAGGAAAGGTTGAGAAGAGAATTAAAAGAGGGTTGTATTAAGAATTGTCAAGGTTGGAGGATCAGATTCATACCAATTTCACAATTTAAAGAGGTCCCTAGGGCATTCTTGGTTTTTTGGTTTTTTCTTCTTGCTGTATGAGTCAATCAGAAGTGGGTACGGGGAGACTATACTCTTGATCACTTTATTATATTAATTATATATTACTTAAGTAGTTATCCTCGCTCTGTAGGGATAGTTATACTTTATAGTCGTATGCTCCTATAACCATGTTGTTGATCAAAATGTCAAGTTCTAGGGTCTCTAGGCAAACCCAACGCCAGTTCTAGCCTGCAGGTCTGTTGTGCGCGATCTGCACGCCGATGCCGGACTCCAAGGTATAGTGTTGTGGATCTCCCTTATCTATCAACTTCGAATTACAAGTGCCCTGCAATTACACATATACATTTGTAGTTGGTGATGGTGTACTAGTGCCATGGTCTAAGGCATAGGTGTTTTAGCGATATACGCTAAAGAGAAAAAATGATGAGATGAAAAAGCAAATATGAAAAATATTGCAACTATATATTTGGTCACACCTGGGAAGTACGACACCCTAAAAATGTTACGTAGGTAGGTAGACATACCAAAACCACGGAGTAAATCAATTGACGTAGATCGATTTAATTTAACAAGCTTTTAACCACTAGCGAACAGACCATCTTCTAAAAATTGAAGAACTGCACAACGCACAAGGTAGGGAATTGAGTTTGATGCACGTTGATCTACAACATTGTACAATGGTACTCCATCTTCTATGATGTAGTACGTCTGCCGAGAATCGGAGAAAAACCTAACTTTGTATAAACATACCAACCATCATGGATATTGACCGAAATAATTCAGAATATACATTAAACCAAGCTTTTTAAACCAAGCTACACCATACATATGTAATTATCCCTACTCTAAACCAATCTCCCCATCCAACCTCGCCCAAGGACCCCTTAACCGCTTCTCAACTCGAGACCCACCCCTCAACCCTCGTGTGGAGATAGGCGCATCCCGACTCTGCCCGTCTATGGCTTCATCAAGCTCCTGATTAAGAGTCCCATAAACATCAACTAGAGTCTGCCGCGCATCCCGGGTAACCTCCGTGCCCAGCGCAAGTTTCTGCTGCACATATTCTCGTCCATTGGCATCAGCGGCAGCAGAAGCGAATGCCCATGCTTCAGCAAGACCGACGACCTCGTCATTCTGCTCGGGCTGAGGCTGGGCTCGGGGGTGCTTAGCGCGCGGTGCTTGGATGGGGTACTCGGGCAGAAGATGGGACTCATCGCTCAGGCGATTGAGAGCGCGGAGCGTTGTGGATTTTTCTTTGGAGAGGAGGCCCGATAGATATGATTTTTGGAGAGAGAGGGACTTCTGGCTCTTGGATAGCGGGAGTAGGTTTTCGTTCGCGTAGGACAAGACGTCGATTGGGGCGAGCGAGGGGACTTCTGCGGGAACGAGGTCGGGCTTGCTGGCTGGTCGAGAGGAGGGTTTGGGGGCCACGTTGACGGGTTGGCAGGCTCTTGAGGCGGCGTCGAGGAGCTCGCGCCGAGCTTGTAGATATGCTGTATACTGACCTGCAATCTGGGCCTTGCGGTCTTCTAGCTCTTGCTGGGCTGCTTCGATTTCCTCGGGTGGAAGCTCATGGAGGAGACTTTCGTCCGGATCTCCTTGGCCAACTAGTCGTTCCTCCACCCACTGGACCAGCTCGTCCCGGGTCCTTTGTAGAGCTTGAGCTTTGGCGTCCGGTGAAACTTGGGTCTGGCTCTCGGGCCGAGAGTCGTGCTGCGCTTTGGTCTTTTCAAACAGCTGCTTTTGACGATCCAATTGAGTTTTGGCGCGAACCACCGCTCTCTCAAGACTATGAACAAGTTCATCCAATTCTGTCCCGGTGCCGTTCTGCCCCTCTGCATCCGCCTCTGGTAACACTGTTTGCTCCCCCTCGATTCCAATATCCCCCAGGTCACCCGTATCTCGCGATTTGATTTCTTCAAGGTACTGCTGAAACACCTGGAGCTTTGCATGTCGACGGCGATCACGCAAGAGGGCAAGGTAATCACGAAGTTCAGCGCTGGGTTCTTGCAGATCGTCATTGGGGCGGTTCGGGGGGGTTCTTTGGCGCCTCAGAGACGCGACATTCTCAGAGGCGGAGGCGAACTCTTTGCGAGCGGCGACGTTGGCAGCCAGTGCCTTCAGGTAATCCTTTCGCAGCCCAGGGAGATCGGCAGGGATGCGGTTGACGTCCGCGACGGCATCGGTGGGCGCGCACAGGGTGAGGTGGGATTGAGTAGGATCAATTGGCTGGTCTTTGAATACGATAAAGGAGCGTAGATAAGAGGTCAATGCCTGGCGGATCTGGAGAGCTTCCTGGCGGGACTTGACGTAAGGAGCTAGCTGTTTCACGACGGGTGGAATGTGGGTAACGTCATGAGAGGGATTGGCTCGGGCCATGGTTTCATTGAACACAATGGTGATGGGGATTATTCAAAGACAAGCCAAGACCCTGATAGGTCCTGTAATCACCACAATTGCGTCGAAGTTTCACGGTGCTCTTTTATGATTATGTAACCTGATCGACAGCCTAAGGGGGAGCTTACTGTTTTGATTCTCGATAGCTTCTCCAGCCCTGGAGGGTTATGATGTTATGATGTTATGGTGTTTCACAGGCTTATGTTAATGGTAAGGCAACCTTGTCTTCTGCCCAATTCACTACATATGTCGATAGCTCCGATTGAGACATCCAATATACCTGGAAGGGGCCTGAGCCCTGCATTGTATACAAGCAGTAGATCGACAGATATTAATCAATAATGTTGAGATCCTACAATATTGTGCCTAAAAGGTGTTGGAGGCATATGTTCGTTTTTCCATTTAATCTCAGTTCGATTGGAATGCCAATGACACAATATATCAGAACCTGTGATATAAATACTCAGGCTATACACTTACAATGTACATATGTACAGGAAGAATACAAAGGACCTGAGTACCTGAGTACATAGATACATACACCTGGTCAGACTATGCCCACGGCCCAATCAAAGAAACCAACTCGCAGAAGAGCCCAAAGAGATATTTTATCCCGTTACCTCGGGATATTTCTTGAACTTCCCTCTTTAAAGGAGTTACTCAACCCCTCCATAACTGGTGTGTTTCAAGTTTTCTCCTGGAATTCCTATCAAGGGGTGTTTTGATATCTGACGTTTATTTCCCCGGCATTGTTTACAGCTTTAAACGGTTATAGTTCAGTATTCCCGCAGTTTAAACCCAAACTTCAAGTACCTTGTACCTTTCAACCCCAGGGGCTGCTCCTACTTTAAGTTCCTCGAATATGTCACGACCTCGCGCCGCAACAACAGTCTTGCCAGCCATGGCATCACAGTCGCCGACACCCCGCCAGCCAGGACAAGGCCCCCACACTTCAATACTCCCAGGAAGTCCACCGCTAGGAACGGGAGATTATGGTATCACAAGCACCGCCCAGGGTAAGTCTATAGTGACAGGCGTCACCTCGTTGAGCCCGACTAACAGAGCAAGGCCCATTGCGTCACCCTCAGCCGCTGACGCCTTCGGACCTCCATTTAGTGCTTGAGAAAGAGCAGGAAGCGATGGTAAGATGACTACCCCCTGAGCTATACTGCCAGAGATTAACGCAACCATCTATAGGTGAATCGGTTGACCCGAGAGCTTTCCATCCTCCGCCAACAAACCGCATCGGTAGCATCAACAGCATCCTCCACCTCCAACGTCAATGAATCAGAAGCCCGAGCATCCCCGACCTTCAGCAGCTCAACCCGCTCCCAATCAGCCCGCCGGAATCGCTCAAACTCAAGCCTCAGCTCCCACGCTTCAACTCAGCAACAGACAGGAAGCATAAATGGCATCGCGCCGTCACGAGAAACAAGCCATCCATCTCGAGCTGACCACCGCACCGTCCGCAGCCGTGAGCCATCCCTCACATCCCGCCGACCCTCTACCGGGTCATTATCGACTTTCTCCCATAGCAACAGCAGCGTTTACCCACACCGCAACTCGCCGTCGCAGACCCACGTGGGGTATTCGCCTGGCGCTTCGTGGTCGCGGTTCGAGGAAGCTGTGCAGCACAGGTCAGAGCTTGAGCATACCAAGCGGGAGAACGAGCAGCTGAGGAAGCGTGTTTGGGAACTGGAGCAGACTCTGAAAAAGCAAAAAGAGCAGGCTTCGAGAGAAACCCCGGATGGGATCATCGATGCCTGATATCCATTCTTTTGCATTGCCACTGCATTGTCCAACAATTTTTTCTTTACGTTTGCAGGCAAACACATTAAGCTATTCTATTTGGATATTCCTTTTCCAGGCAGCTCTGTTAGCGAACGGCGAACAGAATAGAATGAATAGAAGGTGAAAATAAAAAAAGAAACAAGAAATCTATTTTGAGGCGTAGAGCCCCGCTATACGTCACTTGTGGCGCAGTCGATATCGTCAGATAAATAGGCGCTTCGTCATGATCTCTTGCTTTCCTTTACTCCATCCATTCCCCTTTCATTGCTCTTTGTAAACTCTTAACAACCACATTACACCATGTCTCACTCTACCGTCCACGTTTCCGGCATCTCGCCTGCAACCTCCGAGAAGGAGGTCCGCGACTTCTTCAGCTTCTGGTACATATGCACATCGCAGATCCCAAACGACGCAAGCTAACCTCCCCATCCAGCGGCAAGATCGTCACCCTCTCCATCACCCCAGTCTCCAGCGAAGCCGACGCCCCCAAGTCTGCAACCGTAACCTTTGAAAAGGAAGCGTAAGCTACTACCCCGCACCTTACCATCAACCCCCCAATCCCAACCAATCTAACAACCACGCAGCGCGGCCAAAACCGCCCTCCTCCTCGACCAGACCCAACTCGGCACCTCTGCCGTCCACGTCGAAGCAGCCTCGACAATCGACGATCTGGCTGGCCCCTCCGCCGCCGAAGTCGAAGCCAAAGAAGATGAGCACGACATCGACCAAGAAGACAAGCCGCGCTCGCGCATCTTCGCCGAATACCTGGCCCACGGCTACGTCGTCAGCGACAACGCCATCACCAAGGCGATCGAACTGGACCAGAAGCACGGCTTCTCGAACCGTTTCACATCCGCGCTGAACACCTTCGACAAGAAGCTCAATGCGACTGAGCGCGCTAAGGACCTCGACTCAAACTACCAGATCACCAACAAGGCAGTGAGCGGGTGGAAGGGACTGAGCTCGTACTTTGAGAAGGCGCTCGAGCATCCTTCTGGTCAGAAGCTTGTCGAATTCTATACCCAGACTGATAAGCAGATTCGTGATATTCATAATGAGGCTAGGCGTTTGGCGGATCTGAAGCAGAAGCACCCCACTACTGCGGAGTCTGCGACTGCCCCTGCTGAAGCTGCTGCCGAACCGGCCAACCCTAAGGCTTAGTTAGGATGGTTTGATATTTGATTGAATCGCGCTGGGCGTGTTCTGTCGTTACTTTTAGTACTCATGAAGCCATGAAGTGTCCATAGTTGATGTTTTGTCTGCCTGTGATTACTTTTGAATCTTTTGTTTTCCCTGTCGTTTGAATTGGTACTGTAATGAGACATCCATGGATGTAACTGGGAAATATGAAACAGTTCCATAATCTTGCACCTCTACTGTATTTCTAGAAAGTTTGGCGACATGTCACATTCTACGGCAGGTATGCTCTCCATGCTTTAAATCTTCTATTTATCATCTTTACGGTAATCTTCAACGTTCTCTGGGGCAACTTCCTAATTCTCTTCCAATCGTAAAAATTAACATCCTTCAAGTATCTTACGTTGTTCCAATCGAAACCTTTAACAAATGTAGTCAAAATCATAAACATTCATGATATCATTACCGAAGTCGAACAGTATTCAAAATCAAAATCTAGTATACAAATCAATCATGCTTGTTCTTCTCATTCCCATACTTCTCCGCCTCGATCTCCGCAAGCCGGTGTGCGGGGTTACTCTCGAGAGTGCTCTTGGTCTTCTCCGATTCGTGAGCTGAGTGCCCGGGCGAAGGGTGCGTGCCGACAGAGGTTCTGCCTGTGCCGGGTGTGTCTTGCTGCTGGGCGCCGGATTGGGTCTCTGGCTCTGGGGATTGGCGGCCGGGGTTGGGGGCGGACATTTTGGTTGGGTTGGATTGGTTTGTGTGGTGGTGTGGTGTGCTGGGAAGTGTGAGTTTATTGTTTGTGATGTATGAAGTATAGATGGAAGGGGTGTTTTGGAACGAACCTTCCAGTTGGTTGGTATGTTGGAGCTGAATATTGATGTACAATGGAGAGTATGTGTGTTAGATAAAATATAGAATTGAGAGCTTCGGTACTCTTTTATTTCCGAATCTCAACTGACGTTACCCGCTTAAACCGGTCATGGTTCATCATCATGACGTGGGGGCAATGTGTCTCCATGAAATTCTGTGGATCTATATCATATCTGGGCATTGACAAGTAAAATATCCCAGCGGTCTACAATGTGAATTTATTAATGTATGCAGGTATGCAGATCAACCTTGTTTCTATGTTTGCTTTCTGTTTCGAGGCGTTGGGATGTATGACGTCATTGGATATTATCTCTGCATACAATTTACAAATGTAGTTCTTTTGATATGTACTGCTCGAATCCACAATAGTGCACAGTGCATACAATAAAAGATAATAGACCTTGGAGAGTAGTTACGCTACAGTGTGAGTGAGCCTGGTCCAACATTTGTAGCATGGATGTACTATGTCATGAGGATGTCTTCTGGGGAATCTGTGCATCGAAGATTATAAGAAGGGGGAGGGGGAGAAGCCTCGAGAAAGAATGTCCAAGGGAAAGGACTTTTAGAGTACATCAGCGGGGGATGACAGGCAAAGAAAATGAGATAAAATACGAAAAGCAAAGGGGGCATGATCTAAGGAAGAGGGAAAGACATGAAAAGGGCATATGGTCTCGTGAGGAAAAAGGCAAATGAACAGAAACGCGACGTTGAGACTTTTCCAGAAATCTTTTGTTTCATTCCATCTCAGTTGTCCCTTAGTTGCCGTTAGCCTGCATGCCCGCTGCGGCGGCGGCTTCTGCGTTGGCGGCGGCAGCCATGGCCTTGGCGTCAGCCTCGTGGAAGACACCTTGGATGACCTGCTGCTCTTCGGGGCCGAGGACCTTGGTCAAGCTCTCGTAGAGCTGGGGCTGCTCTTGTTGAAGGCCTAAGATGGATGTTAGTGGGCAGTTCTTTAAAGGGGATTAGTTGTGGAGGTCACATACTCAGCAGGACATGCTTGAACATGCCGTAGGGCTCTATTTTGTCAAGGGGGGTCTCCAGGAGGCTCTCCTCATCCATATCGTCATCATCATCATCGGCGAATGAGCCGAACTTTTGCGCCTCTTGGTTGAGGAAGTCGAGGTAGGCGGCACTCTCGTCAGCGACATCGTCGTCAAGGGCTGCCTCAACTTCGTTCTCATCCCACTCCACATCTCCATCCCAGTCGTTGTCCTCATCATCCTCATCGTCCTCGTCGTCGAGGGTGAAGTCGGATTCCTTAGTAGCATCCTCGCGTTCTAGAGAATTTGTTAGCCTGGGAGTATTATGAAACAAATGGAAGAAACATACGCTTGAGAGCAGCAGGCAGGGTTTGGAACAACCTTGTTACACCCTGCAACAGTCTCGGCCAACCCTGCTGGACGCTGACGGGAACATCCCCAGCCTTCAGAGTAAGAAGAGCGCTGATTGCCGCAATCGACAGCTTCTTATCGTGCACACGTCGGAAGTTGTCGATGTTAGCGAACCAAGTGCTGAAGAACTTGTTGGTCCAACCCTTGGCCTCCATGACCTGGAGACTGAGGGCGGCATTGTAGTAGATGGCGTTGATGACCATCTCCATCAGGTGAATGCGGTAAGACTTCGTTCGTGCCTCACCGGCGTCGATGACCCGCATGGCCATCTCAATAAACATGGGGATATATTGGTCGACGGAACCCCGGAGGTTGAGCATCAGGGTTTCGGCAAGTTTGCAGCCGCAGATGCGGTCAACGCCACCAACCTTCTCGTCAGCGAAGATGTCCTGCACCATACCGACCATAGCGTTAAGGTAAGCTGGGTTCTGGACCAACATGTCGGAGCCATAAGCGATATAGTTGTCAAGGGCGGGGAGCATGTCCTCGAGGTACAGCTCGGCGCCAGCCTTGAAGGTCTTGTGGATGAGCTCAAAGGCTTGCCACATAGATGGGGAGATGGTCTTGGAGGCGAAGGTGCAGCTGTCGATAATCTCGAAAACCTCGTTGTAGAGATCGTAGAGCTTGTTCTCCAGGGTGATGCTGATGACGGGCATCAGAATGGTCTCAAGGTGCAGGAGAACGTCAGGGGTGCTCTCGAGAGTGAGGATGAGAGTGCCAATAGTCTGCAACACACCCAAGGCAGTGATGCTCTTGTCATCCAAGAAATCGCCGTAGGCGTCCTCCTCACCACCCTTGGCGGCGTTGCGCTCCAAAAGCTCACCGACAATACGCATATAAGTATCACGAAGCTGCTCGCTCAGGGCCACAGCGAAGGGAGTAAGCTCGGCAGAGAAAACCTCAACGAAGTCCTCCATGACGTTGGCCAGAGCATCCACGTCGACCTCGTTGGCCAACTTAAGGAGCTGCTGCATAATTTGGGGGATGTTTTGCTGCATCGATGTGCGGATGACATCGTGGCGAATGAGAGGCTGCAGAGCAAGAGCGGCCTCAACGCGCACGGGAAGCTCGGAGTCGGTCATGGATTCCAGGATGTTGCGGTAAATTACCATGAGGTTGTTGGGGTCCTTGAAGTCGAGCTGCTCGAATTTCTCTAGGGTATCACAGGCACGAGCACGGAGGAAGCCGTGAGGACTGCGGAACTCGGGGAAGACGTGGCGGACGAAGAAGTACTCGACCTGGTCGGCGATAGGGCTCTTCTTACCCAGGATCACTGAAGCGAGCGAGCCAATCATTCTCAAAGCACCCTCCTTCTCCCGGGGTTGCTTCTGGTCTTCTGGCGCGGCCTCGTACTTGCTCACGACGCTGTTCACGAAGGTGAGAATTGAGAAGGTCTGCTTCTTGCGGTTCTTGGTGAGGGAGACCAAGAAGTTTGTTGCCGCAACATCAGGAGCCGACACTTCCTCGTAGAAGTTCAGCTTGCGGTGGAGATATTCAGAAGGATCTTCTTCGAAGAGTTCGATGTCCTCATCAGATTGACATAATATAGGGAAGACGAAGTGAGCGATCAAGTTATCCATGTGCGCCTTCAGGTGATCCCACATGGCCTTAGGCTTGACGCACTCCTCCATGAAGACCAGGGTATATGAAAGCGCGGAGTTGCTGAGCCATTGTGTCTTAGAAACCCACTTGTCGATCTCAGTCAGGTATCCCTTGAGAATTTCAGGAGCAAATGTGGAAATGAAGGTCTTTGCATAGGGTGTGTAGTCGGGGGTAGAGGATTTCGTGATCGTGGTGGGGTTGCCGTATCTGATAAATAGTCGGTTCAGGTTGGCATATGACCACTTCTTGCACTTCCACCAGTGGTTCATTTCTCTCTCCTCCTTCGAATCTCCCATCGCGTTCGCGGGGGGCGTCTTCGCGACAATACGCAAGAATAGTGTGCACCAATCCACGGTGGCCTGGTGGGTCTGGAGAGCTGGAGAAAGCTCGAACTATATATTGCGATGCGGTCAGTACTCACGGCCTGCTAGCCCACACTTTAGGATTAGGATAACCAACGTAGATTGCATGCTTGAAAGCCTTCACCACAATGCGGAGCATCTCCGCAGCCTCCAGACTTTCCTCATCGACGAGCTTCGATCCGATACTGAGCAGCTGGGGAAACGAGTGCTCCACAATCTTATCAAACTCCTCTCTCTTTTCACCGGCCTTGAACCTATAAACCCGACAGATAGCCAAAAGGCACTGCAGACCCGCATAAACCGTGCTCGCATCATTGGTACCGAGAAGCTGCAGAGTCAGATCCAAGAATCCAGGCCACTGCTCTGGGAAATCATTTTGCAGAATCTTCTGAAGGAGGGGAACCAGCTGGTTGCGGACATTTGGCGGGGTCGAGGCCAGTGCAGGAATGAGTCTCTCCCTGAAAGAGGGCTTCTCATCTTCGGGAATTGGCGAGCGTTGCGGGTTATCTTCAACGGGGGCCCATCCACGAGTAATGCGGTTCTTCAGGTATACACCAGCTGTAGAGAAAAAGCGGGGTCAATCAAAGGCAAGTCCCTCGGTGGGCAAACATGGACCCTGTCAAGCATACCAGAGAGCTGGACAGCATTGTTCTGCTCGCCCTGTAGAATATCCAAAAGTGCATTGACAAAACCAGGCTGAGTCTCGGCCTAGATGTGGGCAACCACGTGTTAGCCTAAGGTTCTGAACTCCGCCAGTCGACCTAGCACGTACGTATTTCAAATCAACCTCTGCTTGCCGGCGAATATCCGCATTCGCGTCTAGAGTAGACTGAATGCGGTCTCGGAGGGCAGTGACATCCATCGCGCAACAATCCCCCAGCACCACAATAGACAAGAAATCTCCAAATAAAGAAACCCCCGGGGAAAACGCGAACCGGCGAAGGATGAAGGCCTGAGAGAACTAGTCAATGGAAGGACGAGAATGTCCTAGAGAGATCTTGTGGATCTTGTATAGGGGAGAAGTTGAAGAGGGGCGGAAGAATTATCTTTTTTTCGATTTTCCCCTCTGGGCGGTCTCAGCTAATCAAAGTTCCGCACAACGATTTTTACTATACATTTGGACTCTTGTTTACTGATTTTGATACATTAAGTATATGGAAATATGAACATTTGCATGTTTGTTTAGAGAATAGAAACAATTGGCATATTCATGTTCATATTCATTTATTCATCTTACTCTACATAAAATTTGTTTAATGTTCAATGTGTGGAGAGGTTCACGGCCCAATAGCACCAGAGGTATTTGAACCATACCTACAAGGTACATATATGTACTCGAAAGAGACACGTTCACATGTAAAGAGAGGCGGCGAAAATGACGTCGCGCTTGATCAAGTCTTGAGCCTGTTGCATCTTGAGGTGAAGTGTTGGGTCACCGACCAATTTGGCCGCATTCTTAACTTCACGACAAGTCTCGTCGAGTCGGGTAATAACTCGGACAATGGTACCCTCCATAACGTCTGTAAGATCTGTAATGCGGTTGAAAGACATGCCCTTGGCCCACTCATAGACAACCTCGGCGAGACCAAAGCGTGGCTTACTAGCGAAGTCGTTGGAATCTTCACTAGACTGGATAACCTGATGCTGGATCTGGAAATCATTCACCTTTTCGGCGATGGCGATAATCTCCTTGGTTCCCTTTTCTAAACGAGGGGTGAGCGTGGGAACGCTGTCTGTCTTCTCTTGGAAGACAAATGCGGACAGCAGTGCAACAATCTCCTCCGGTTCGTACTCAGCAAGGACGTTCTCAAGAACCAATTCAGTCAGAACTAGCTCGTCGGCGGAGTGGATCTCGCATGCCACCTTGCCCTTCAATTGAACGCGGGATTGATCGTCGATGAAGCCAAGCTCTCTCAACACCTGAATGCGCTGTTCATAGTCCGGAAGGAGTTGAAGGTTTTGGTCGGACATCAATTGTTTCAGTTGGGTGATGTTTTCCTTGACTTGCCATTCGTCGTGTTGCATCTCAAACTATTAGACGTTAGCATTTATTTGGGTCAAGACAGACACTGACTACTCACGTGTTTCACAAAGTCAGGACATTGCAGACAGTGAGATGACTGAACAATGTCCGCCTGGACCTGTCGCTTTTGCATAATTTCACGGACTTGCAGCTCTTTAAGACGCTGCCAGTCCACCTCGTCCCAGGCAGGGTCAACCCAAGACTTGGTGTATTTAGTCAATTCTATCTCTGCCCATTTGATAGATTCTTTATATAAAGTTAGACTTGTTCCATGCATACATAGGAGAACACAAAATTGTTCTTACCTTTCTTGACGTTCAGGTACCAGATGGGTCCTGAGAATTTGACCATGGTGTTCGTTACGCACTCCAAGTCCGTCAATGGAATTCTGGATGAGCGGAGAGTCATATCGGCGGTGTTATGAGGAAGTGGTTGGAACAAAGGCCGCATATGAGGCAAGAAGGGAAGAATATCGGTGGGGTGACGCTTGAGACTCATGGTTCCGATCTCAAGTACGTGGATGCAAGGTGCGATTCCTCCCATGCCTCCGGCGATTCCATCACGAACAAGAATACCAGCGGTACGGAGTCCGTCCTATCACACTTCATGTCAACATTCGGCCCCACACGTGTTATCACATCAAATCGCGAACTTACCTTTCGGAACACAACCAGCCTCTTCGTTGTGAAGAGGCGCTTGCCAATAGGCGATGAAAGAAGCTCAGTATGGAACTCAGTTGTGAGCTTCCGGTACTCCATCGCAGCGTCATGACAAGCTAACAAATCCACGTCGCAAGTCGTACATGGCTCACGTTTGATTTTAGCAAGACTGGCTTCAGATACCTGGACTTGTTTCTCGTGTTCTGGCAAGAGGGCCTGGGTGGCATTCTCACTGAAACTCCGCTTGATCATCTCTTCAATCTTCAAGGCTTCCACACGCAGCAGGTTCAATATCATATTATAGGTGAGTCGGAACTGAGACCTCAGCTTTGTTGGGTCGCCGAGAATCATCTGCTTCAACGAACCAGCAGCTGGGGCCTCGTCTTTCCCGCCATTGCTGACGATCACGTATCCCACTGTGTCGAGACCTCTACGACCTGCACGTCCAGCCATTTGCGTGTATTCACCGGGCAGAAGATCACGGAAACCTTTTCCATCATGCTTGCGGAACCCAGAGAATACGACTGTTCGGGTGGGAAGGTTCAGACCCATCGCAAACGTTTCCGTGGCGAACAAAACTTTGACCAGTGATCTGGCAAATAGAATCTCCACGACTTCCTTCATGATGGGGAGTAGACCACCATGGTGCACAGCAATACCCCTACTGAGCAGCTCGCGAAGGCGGAGAATTTGTGGAAGCGTGCGGTCCTCAGGCTTGAGGCGAGTAAGTGACTTCTCGATGAACATGTGAGTCAAACTTTTCTCAGTAGCATTATTGAAGTCCTGGTTTGACAATGAATCGGCATTCTCTTCACATCGCTTTTTAGAGAAAACGAAAACACATCCCGGCAGCAAGTCTTCTTTGCGAAGATGCGACACAAGGTGCACCCAGGTGTTTCTGTCTTGCGCAGCACTCGTCCTACCGCCTCCGCGACCTGTGCGGGCAATGTTACCTGTTCCCCGGTTGGAGTGTTGTCCCCGATTGGGACCGGCACCCCCGCCGCGGCCTCGCTGAGGAGCTCCTCCACGCTGTGGGCCACCGCGGCCCCCACCTCGGCCCCGACCCTGGTTCCCTTGAGCATTTGAGGATTTGGCCTGCGCAGACTGTGCCTGTGCCTCGGCCTCCTTCTTGGCGATGGCTTTATCTTTACCAGACAAAATATCGTTTGCTTCCTTCCAACCACTTTCAAGGAATCGTTTGTTCGAATCAACAATCTTGTGCTTGCTCTTTCCAGCCCAAAGATAATGCTCTAGCGGGACAGGCCGCTTGTGAGTCGAAATAACATAAATGTCCTTCTTTTTCGTGCGACCCACCCAGGATGCGAACTCTTGAGTGTTAGGGACAGTGGCTGAGAGAAGAATCAAAGTGACATGCTCGGGAAGCATAATGATGACTTCTTCCCACACGACTCCTCTTTCGAGGTCGTTCACGTAATGTACCTCGTCAAAAATAACGAACTCAACGTCGCGAATGAGATCTGCACCGCGGTACAGCATACTTCGCAGAATTTCAGTGGTCATGATGAGACAGCTGGCTTCCGGGTTGATTTGAACATCACCAGTCAGAATACCAACATCATCAAATTCAGTCCTGAAATCACGGTATTTCTGGTTGCTCAGCGCTTTGATAGGAGATGTGTAAATCGCCTTTGTCATATGCTTAGCAGCCAGAGCGATAGCATACTCGGCAACGACTGTTTTGCCTGCCGAAGTATGAGCGGCAACAAACACCGAGTCGCCATTCTCGAGATGGTACACGGCCTCTTTCTGGAAGGTGTCGAGCTCGAAGGGCCATTCACGGGCCATGTCTGGAACCAGCTCATGGAAGTTCGGAATATCTTTATTGACATCGACAACGTGGGCCCATTCTCTGCCCTTGTGCTTCTGGACACCTGCAAGCAACTGATTGCGAGGTTCCAACGCAGGAAATTCAACGGGGAGCAAGGCGTCAATGTCTTCTTCCCCGTCGTCATCACTGGCATCAGCTTCAGCGTCCACCTTCGCTGCTGACTCGGTATCTGGTGTGCCCTCTGATTGATCTACTTTCAAGTCGCTCTCCTCTTGGAGGGCTTCTTCAACTTCTTGGTCACCCTCGACATCCTTAGACTTGACCTCGTCGAAATTCAAGCCGCGATCGAAGCCAGGGGGTGTTGTTAGAAGGCCGCCTTCAGTGCCAAAATTGATGACGCGATCAAGTCCCGATTTCTTGCCATTGCGCGACTGTTCTGTGGACTGTTCCTCGGCTTCCAAGGCTGCCAATGCCTCAACAGCCTCTAAGCCTCCAGGCGCAAAAGGGAAGAATCCTGCAGCTCCTCTGACAAAGTCGGCACGACCAGCAGGTCGGCGGAGAAGTGAGGTGGAATTCTTAGCGTTTGCGCTTGCAGCGGGAACCGTGACTTCATGGTAACCGGTAACCCGACCTTCTAATCCTTCTCGTGTGAATCGAGTGACGGTTCGAGTTTGGGTCGGGGCGAGTTCGAAGAGGTCTGTGTGGTCCGTCGAAACATCCCATCGTCTGCAAAAGCTGTTAGAAGCTACCCCGCTAACGGAATCAGGATACTGACTTTTGCAATGCATTCAGCCACCTGGTGCTGAATTGGTCTGAGGGCTCAAGGAAGTTGTTCTCTAGCTCAGATAGCAGGTCCTCCGCGTTCTGGCGAGCTCTTTTACGCGGTTGAATATCCTTGATCAAACCATTCTCTTCGGCTTCCAGGCGGGCTGCAAAGACCGCAGGATCGATGTTGTGGGAATCTAGGCTGAGATTTGCCATCGAATCGTCGAGTGATGGCGACATTCTGGTGGCAAGGTGAGAGCTTGCGAGCCAACCTGAAATTGAAGCAATGTTTAACTCGGTAATGGCCGCCCCCACACTGATCTCGAAGTTAATCCAATCACGATAACCACTAGCAATTGGCAAGTGGATTGAGAGCAAATAGTCTCAAGATGATTCACAAACCGAAGTTGATGGACTTTGAGGGAAAAACAATTAAATCAAAAGAAAAGGTCAAAACGACCCAGATACTCGCAACTACGAAACAATAATGGCGGTCTAACGTAGCAGTTTTCATGACGTCGAATAGCCAATACTTTTTACCGCCTTTGATACCGCCTCACGATTTCCAATTTGGGCGAACTGTATGTACTACGACGCATATCTCTTGACTAGGAGATGCATTACTCGGTCGAAATGAGACATATCCAACTAGAGGAAGAAAGGTGTTCCTTTATATATTGATACCTGTCATCCAGACTTGCCAAACGGAACCTAGATTAGTTGTGTGACAGAATAGAAAAAATTTCATATTAGAGAGATAGAATATGTGACCAGACTTTTTGTACCTCGAACAGTCATACAAGAAGAAAAGTGGATGTAGAATAACAACAAATGAGAGAAATAGGATGATGCGCGCCTCTTGCGCCAGACAACTATGCAACGCAGTGACGACCCCAAACCAATACTTGCAGTGGTTAGCACGACAAAATTTTTAAAAATAGTTTAAGGAGATACTATGTTTTGTTCAGTAGACCATCCTATTTGGAAATGAGTCTGTTGGGGTTGATTCAAGAAGCGATTGGAGCTGAAGATTTGAAACCTGGATTATCAGAAAAGAGAGAGAAAGAGAGAAAAGGGATTCATGAATTGCAGACCAAGCCTGAAAGCCACATAACGCCAGGCGCAAAGTTTAACGGCACGAGAAAATGGGAAAGGTTTTTCGGTCATGGATGTTGAGTTGGAACTCGAAGATTCCCTCCAGTGTAGCGATATACCTGTGGTTGGTTGTTAGATAGGGTGGCAATGCAATATTCGCTGCACAATACTCACAATGTACGTCCGTCGGCGCCCCAGCCCACACCAGCAGTGGAGTCCGGTTCCTCGGCACCGGGACCGTGCATTAAACTTCGATCAGGCAGGTCATTTATTATATTCCTGATCCAACGGGGGGAATGTGTCTGCTCGAAACCAAGCAGTTGTTGGCGATGTCGTTGTTCCCTCTCAAAGGAGCGGCTGTGTACCTCATTGGCAATCTGACGCTGACGTCGGAGCCGCTCAGCGGCAGCATTGGCGCGGATTTCGTATGTGGTGAGGCGGGAGGGGTCGTATGATCTTTCTGCTCCCGAAGACAGTCGTTCAACGCGACGAGCGAGCTCTGCTGCTCGCTGTGAACGACGGTTCGAGCCATTGACGCCAAGACTTGTGTTGTTTGGGTCGGTTGCGTGTCGGGCGTCGCTGGACGTTTCGGGGTCTGCACCGGCCCGAGAGAAGAGTTCTGATGTTAGAGATGGGAGCTCGGGGGGTGAAGTTGAGTAACTGAGAGTGATGTTTGACGGGTCATCATGGTGAGAAGATGTGCCTTCTGAGGGGCGGTTCCCTTGTGATAACACAACCGAGCTCTGGCGTCTTGGATTGGATACAGCACGGCCCGAATGGCTATCCCGAGAAACATCAGAAGAATTGTAGTAATGCAGGGGTGGAGTGGGACGGTGGTTGCGAGTGGCACCATCTGTGGAACCATGATTTCGCGGTCTGGTGACTGGCTGAGGGTGAACATTTGCCCTAGCTGGACGATCTGGTCGCTCTGTTAGTCCTTCTTCCAGCCGCGACGTCCAGCGTGCCGTATTCAGAAATTCCATGATCAACCTTTCTCTCTCGCTAAGATCTTGAATCAAAGACTCTCGCAGTGAAGAGCGTTCTGTGTCCTCTTCATTAGGCTCTGTCGGAGAATCACTGCTGTCAAGCCTTGCTCGTGATGTACCCTCTAAGAAATCTGCATCCACGCGTTGGCGTTCAAAGCTTTCTGTCACAAAGTCTGTGAACACCTCCTCCATTTTCGGATCGCCGGCATCGAGCTGAATGATCTGTCTACGCAGAAAGTTTTGGCGAACATCGGCAATCCCAGCTCTTCCATGACCCTCTAGCCATACCAGAAGATCCCATGGCTCAGGCGAAAATGCCATACATCGCACAGCTCCACCCTCGGCACACGACCTTGAAGCCGGAAATTGACAAAGAATCGGGGAGTTGTCTTTGTCGCCATAGCTCCGATATACCGACTCAACATTGATGATCGTGATCATTCCAGACTGAGAACCTATGGCGCATAGTCGACTGGATGGCGAGAAGGCGACGGTGAAGCAGCACGCATCCTCCACCCGCGGGCCAATGTCCATCGCCACTTGATCAACGAGCTCCCATTCCCATCCCGTGAGCTTCTCTCCAGATTCAGTCGTTCCAGCTGATTCCAGGTCGCGGGCGATTTCATAGAAGTAAGCATTGTTCTCATCTCCGACTGCGGTGAGCAGTTTGGCGTCTGGGGAAATCGTCGCATAGTTCATGCATGTCGAGTGATGAAGAATCTTGAGAACTTTCGCGCGGGTTAGTGAGTATACTGTGACTGTTCGGTCGTTGTTACTATTCGCGGAAGTCAGCATTGCCGGTTATAGATTTTGCAGCCAATACCAACCTCAGGACCGCAATATCTTCATCGGCCAAGCCATCCCCGCCACCATATAACCGATGAATCGTCACTGAATTGACAATGCTCCCACCGAATTTGTGAAGCTCGACTTCGGGTAGTAGTCTGCTGGTGCGATAACGTGCTGGTATAGAGTGACCATTTGAATCGGGTGATGTCACTCCTGATGGTGGATCGAGATCGAGTGGTAGCGCACTGTCCACAGCCGCTGTCTGGAATGAAGGCGCATCACCATGTGCTTGCATACCCCGGTCGCCGATCCGAATGAATGCGCATTCCCCATTCTCAGGGCCACCCACAGCGATCCACCCATGTCCGGCGGCCAAACAGCGCGGCTCAAATGGAATGACAGCTACACTCGCTCGCCTTTGCGCCGATATGGTTATAGCGTATACGATCCTCTCGACGACGACATAGATGCGATCGGGATCAGCGGTACTGATGTAGTTACGAAGCTGGGTGTGACTAAAAAAATAGCTCTTATTAGGTTTTCGCACGGAAGATAAGAGGAATCAACGAACAAATTGGGGATCTTAAACGGGAAGAAGCGTCGTTTGGTCGGAAGGATGAGAGCCTCGGTTGGGCGATGTCTAAGATAATGTTTAATGACTGTTCTGATAACAGGATGTAAACGACTTACAGCAAAGTCGAGTCCGAGGTCATGATGGGAGGAGCTAAGCCAGAGGTGACATTGTTCGAGCGGGGAAGTTTCGAAGAAGAGAAACCCAACGTCCCCCCCAAGTCTTTGATTGATTATGGGCAGTAAGTCGCAGGCAACGCAACTTTTCTTTTTGGACTAAGTTCTTTTACAGAACAGAAGTATGTGCTCTGTTGAAAGTTGAAACGCATCACTTTGAAAACGGATGACGTAAGACTTAAAAAAAAGCCGGGGTCAGTTCCAACGAATGCGGTTGATCTCCGGAATCGGTGTTAATCTATAGAGTAAATGTTTTGATAGTAGTTTTATCTTAGTGGTTTCTATTGCTCTCTGTCTTTTTTCGTATGCGCATTTTTGATATGTCTGTTTGTGTGATTCTAGTTTGAGTCATCTACTACCTAACGTGCTATCGGATGATATTCTTATGTGCAATAAATATATCTTCATCTTGCCACCGTAGGTTACTGTCTCAATGATTTGGACCAGGTCTTCATTCACCTCCCAAAGCACATGAACCCGTGGACCTCCACTCCTCAGCTAGATATAGAGGTATACTGGTTCTTTCCCAACAATATCTCAGATTATTCAAATCGTCAGCTAAGGGTAGTTTGTCGACCGGTCACACGACATGTTACAAGTATGACAGGTTCATCCACTGAGTAAACATCATCGTAAGTATCACCTTGGAGTGGAATGCTTATTGCAACAGCTCAGTTTTACTATGTGAATTGCATTTATATGCATTTGAATGCAGCGTACATGTGTACCTAAGTGTGGGAGTATACCCGAGGACTTATATAAGGGGTCGCGAGCTTGCTCCGGGTTTAATATCCACGCTATAGCAGTCAAATACCATTGAAGTTGAATATTGATGAATATTGATGAATATGAAGTAACTTTCGTTATAGACCTATATTTTAAGTCTATTTTCCTCCAATGTAGGTTTTTTCGACAACATCCATGGATCTTCTCTCCAGTCTATACAAATGACCGCATAGACGGCAGTGAACCCGAGGCGGTGAGCTCGGTTACCTAGGAAGCGCCCCATCGAAGTGAATAGAATCACGGGATCTGGCCAATCACCGTCGGGCCGAAGCTCGCCGGTGCAATTTCTATCCCCCTTCTTCTTGATTCCGGAATCCTCTTTCTCCATCTCCATCTCTTCATCCTTTTTTGCCCTTTCCTTATCACTCTGCGATTGACTCGTTGGAGTGTTTTTCTCTTTTTATTGTATTAATTAATATCCTCACAATGCTTCCTCGCACCATCACACGCGCTGTAAGCCTCCCTTTCTTTCCCGAGGGAAAAAAAAATAAAATCGCGCGTCGCACGACACTGACTCAAATCTTTTACAGCTCCCGCGCTCTGCGTTCGCTCGCACTCCTGCCTCCAGACTCCCTTCCACATTCCGCCGATGGAACTCTACGGAAGGTGGTGAGGAGAAGGTCAAGGGCCAGGTCATCGGTATTGATCTTGGTGAGTTCACAGCGCAACTTCCATCAACCTTCGATTGCATAAAAGTCTAACATCTTTAATTTTAGGTACCACCAACTCTGCTGTCGCTGTTATGGAGGGAAAGACCCCTAAGATCATTGAGAACGCCGAAGGTACGTGTCCAGAAAAAAAATTAATCGGACAAGTGGCCAGAGCTTCGGAGCTCAAAATCCAGGAGACCTCTGCCCTTGAACCGATGACATCGAATATCCATATTAACTGAATACAGGTGCTCGCACTACTCCCTCCGTTGTCGGCTTCGCCCAGGATGGCGAGCGTCTCGTCGGTATTGCCGCCAAGCGTCAGGCCGTTGTCAACCCTGAGAACACTCTCTTCGCTACCAAGCGTCTGATTGGTCGCAAGTACACCGACGCTGAGGTCCAGCGTGACATTAAGGAGGTTCCCTACAAGATCGTCCAGCACACCAACGGTGACGCCTGGGTTGAGGCCCGTGGCCAGAAGTACTCTCCTTCCCAGGTTGGTGGCTTCGTCCTCAACAAGATGAAGGAGACCGCCGAGGCCTACCTCAGCAAGCCCGTTAAGAACGCCGTCGTTACTGTCCCTGCCTACTTCAACGACTCCCAGCGTCAGGCCACTAAGGATGCTGGTCAGATTGCCGGCCTGAATGTCCTCCGTGTCGTCAACGAGCCCACTGCTGCTGCCCTTGCCTACGGTATGGAGAAGGAGGCCGACCGTGTTGTCGCCGTCTACGATCTTGGTGGTGGTACCTTCGATATCTCCGTTCTCGAGATCCAGAAGGGTGTCTTCGAGGTCAAGTCCACCAACGGTGACACTCACCTTGGTGGTGAGGACTTCGATATCCACCTCGTCCGTCACATCGTCAACGAGTTCAAGAAGGAGTCTGGTGTCGATCTGTCCGGTGACCGCATGGCCATTCAGCGTGTCCGTGAGGCCGCCGAGAAGGCCAAGATTGAGCTGTCCTCTTCCCTCCAGACCGAGATCAGCTTGCCTTTCATCTCTGCTGGTCCCCAGGGTGCCATGCACGTTGCCACCAAGCTGACCCGCTCTCAGCTTGAGGCTCTCGTCGACCCCCTCATTGCCCGCACCACCGAGCCCGTCCGCAAGGCCCTCAAGGATGCCAACCTCCAGTCCGGCGACATCCAGGATATCATCCTTGTCGGTGGTATGACCCGTATGCCCAAGGTCACCGAGTCCGTCAAGTCCATCTTCGGCCGTGAGCCCTCCAAGTCCGTCAACCCCGATGAGGCTGTCGCCATTGGTGCCGCTATCCAGGGTGCTGTCCTTGCTGGTGAGGTCACTGATGTTCTCCTGCTCGATGTCACTCCTCTTTCCCTCGGTATCGAGACCCTCGGCGGTGTCTTCACCCGCCTGATCAACCGCAACACCACCATCCCTACCAAGAAGTCCCAGACTTTCTCCACCGCTGCTGATATGCAGACCGCTGTCGAGATCAAGGTCTACCAGGGTGAGCGTGAGCTTGTCCGTGACAACAAGATGCTCGGCAACTTCCAGCTCGTCGGCATCCCCCCTGCCCACCGTGGTGTTCCCCAGATCGAGGTCACCTTCGACATTGACGCTGACTCCATTGTTCACGTCAACGCCAAGGACAAGTCTACCAACAAGGATCAGTCCATCACCATTGCCTCCGGCTCCGGTCTCTCCGATGCCGAGATTCAATCCATGGTTGAGGACTCCGAGAAGTACGCTGAGGCTGATAAGGAGCGCAAGGCTGCCATTGAGGCCGCCAACCGCGCCGACAGCGTCCTGAACGATACCGAGAAGGCCCTTAAGGACTTCGAGGACCGTCTCGACAAGACCGAGGCTGAGACCATCAAGGAGAAGATCGCCACTCTCCGTGAGTTCGTCGTCAAGAGCCAGTCTGGCGAGGCCACTACCACTGCTGAGGAGCTCAAGGAGAAGGTCGATGAGCTCCAGACCGCCAGCTTGACCCTCTTCGACAAGATGCACAAGGCCAACAACGAGCAGCAGCAACAGCAGCAGCAGGGTGGTGAGCAGCAGGGTGAGAACAAGCAGTAAATGCTTTTCTGTCCTAACTGCCACGCCTGAACCATGAATGGTTCCTGTATTTTCTACTATTTCTCTTTTCTTTTTTTTACCCTTTGTGTTAGAATCTCCCTATTTGGCATCTCCTTTTTTTCGCATCCTGTACACATACTTTTAAGGCCCTTTTTTACCCCATTTTGTTTCCTGGTGTATCGGTGTTTTACTACCACTCTGTATGATCTATTCTCTTCTTTTATGCCCTCGTGCCTTGGACCAGCATCGTCTGTCCAAGGTCATACCCGGGATTGTCTGCAATTGTATCTAATGACATTACGGCAAGGGGGGCCACCAAAAAAGGATGTGGTAAACTTTGGCTTTTATGGGGCATGTGACAATAGAAATCGGACAATTCTCCTCTCTCTTCACAATACTTTCACTCTAAATTCGCTGTAAGAACATTATCAAACCACTGCGCAGTATGCATGTAGACCAGTACCCTGGTATTTCCTGGTGGCACGGGCGGTTGGAACATTCGCTGCCTCGCGGATGCATCTGAAGTTACTTCCAGCCTATCAGCATCCAACTCTACTTGATACAGACGAATCCAGGCCAGCCCATCAGCAACAACTTGTTTCTGAGTGCAATATGATATGCTTTCCCAGTTTCGTACTCTGCAGCCACTACACCCTTCATCTACAATATCGTCTATGAGTAAGATCAAGGGACAGCAGTATATGGAGAGTACATCGTAACGATAGCAAATGAAACCAATAGCACGACCATGCATCAAAGTCTTGTATCCGTGCATATGTATATAGTACATTAGTAGACCGTTGCCGTTATTATTAGTCCATCCCCACGCAAGCATGTTATTGGACTAACCAGGGATTGCGGCCAACGCCAACACCAGCATCTGGACAGCCGACAACGATGATAGGCCGGGAGCTCCAGCGGTGCACGGGTAGTTGTCAACACGTTGAACTCTCGTCTCTCGTCTCTATATTTTATCCTTGCTTTGCATGAAGGGCAGTTCTGAGTGTAGGTTATTCACTAGGGACTGGACTGGGTTTAGGGGTCAAGTGAAGGGATATGCTGTTTAAGGATATAATATTGTTGTACTGTATATATTGGGGTTGGCTATTGTGTTACTATTTGATGCTTGAAGCTGCACTTGGAGTCTGTGGACAAATCATGGAAGGGAAAGAAAGACACAATGTTAACCTACTTTCCGAGCAATCTGGACTCGAGAGAAGCGTGCAGAGTTCGGTCGAGTAGCGAATCATCGTTGTACACACCGGTTGGGCTGCTGTCCACAGGTGGGTCTTGCAATGACGTGAACAATAATCTAATGTATTAATTCCAAGGTTATTGATTTTACTTTTGTTTGTTTTGCAATTACCTACATAGATACAAGTAGCATTCATCGCATAATGTACAGAAGAGAATATGAAGAGCGACCAAACAAGCACCTTTCACCAAGATTGCTCTACTCCGTAGAGAACACATACCGAATGACTACAAGTATACAATATGGGAAAACCCGAACAAAAAAATTCAAACGCCCACCTCAGTTCCCATTCGTCGATCACTTGTGCGAGACCATCTACGTTAGCGCGCCCCTAGTACGTCTGATTAGTTTCCATTTCTCCACTCTGTCATGCTTGCTCTTTTCCCTTTTTTGCCCGTTCTATTCCAAGTTCAGCCCTGAAGTCACTAAACCTGGCTACCGAGTACATTTTCTGGCACTAGTTTTTGTGATTCTTGATTGTCAATCCCAGCACGGTGGGCGATTAGATAATTGAAATATAAGCTTATGACCGCGCATTGTGAATACAATATAACTACTGCGTACATTTGTACATATACCTATATACATATGTACCATTAAACATAGTGTCACCGTACTTTGTACTCCGTACTCTGTCAATGTAGGAGTGGAATGGCAGTGTAGATACATAAGAAATCAAAATAGATTGGCAGACAATAATATGCGGAGATAGCTAAGAGTCACTACTGGATACATTAATATTGAATGACATAGTGTATAAATGAAAATGTCCAGATTCAAGTAAATAAGTAAATCTTGAGGATTCTTCCCGCTTCTGTGCTTTGTACACTCGGTACCATGGAACTTTTCAGGAACAAGTTGTCACTTACATAATGATCTCCGCAGTCGGCTTGGCAGTGACTTTAGAAGAATTGAGTAGATCTATTGCTTGTAATTGGACCGTGAGACCCGGAAGTAGGAAACAACTGGAAATTTTAATCGGGGAGGCTCTGATTCGAGGCTTTAGACTATCCTTTTAGCTTAATTTTATTTTTTGTTTTTTGTTTTGTTTTTGAGTTTTGATTTGTTTAATTGAATTTTACCAGTCAAACTATGATATGAATCGGAAGTGTCCTACTGTCTCCGGGGAAGGTTAAAAGGACCTAAGTAGTAGTACAATATTGTACAATATTGTCAGATTTATTGACAGGGGACATCCCCTTGAAATTACCGAAAACGGTTCTAGGTATGGAATTAGGACTTGGAACAAACGAACAAATTTTTAGACACATCATGTTTAGGGATTATTAGGGCCCCTGAAGGATGGAAGTCAAGTGACTTAATGTTTTTTTTATTTGTTTTGTTTTTTTTTGTATTTAAATAGTTTTTGGGGATGACGATCATTGGCTCAGTAGATTAAGCCCCATTTTGATCCAAAGGAAATGAAATCAAACGGAGAAAAAAATGAAGGGAAAAAAGAAATACATGCTAGCGTTCAACCAATTCCATGAGTGGTTGTATCCACTAAGGAAAATTAAAAACATTGTACAATAATAATAGTCATAGTCAATACTATAACTTGAGTACAGAGTAACGATAGTGATACTAGATAGTATGTTGAATCTAATTCATTATATAAATATGATAATAAACCATACATGAAACTTTCATTAATCTACAATATAGATATATCAATAGTCTAATATTGTACTCCAGTCATCAAGGATGATCAATCACATCTCTCCCCTGAGATCCCCTTACGCCGTTACGGGAATTTTCACGATAACGGGGGTGCAGGGTCACGCTAGTGGAAGTCATTTCTTATTTTTTCTTTGCTTTCTTTCGTTTTAGTGCTCGATGTTTCGATGCTTCTATTATTATAGATGTAGTGATCCATGGTGGTAGAATATATTAATCTATAATACATACAATATTACAATATTACCTATAACTATACCTATAGATATAAATTCGTAGACTATAATTCCGATACAGTTAGCTTAAGGTCTGAATGTCAATCCTTTCCATACCCTCGACCCATAGATCGGATATGGGTCTTCCCTTTCGATCCTTGTCTCATCCTGTTTTTTTTCTTTTCTTATTTCGTATTTTTTTCCCTTCTTCAGCTTTTACTTTCTTCCAAGCTTCTTTTGTAATATCACCGCTATCATGACTACTGCACAACCGGTGCACCATGGCGAGGGTGGGAATGGGTTACCCGGTCATCTCGTCAACCATCTTCCTCGCTATCATCCTATCGCTATGAATCCTAATCCACCACCTCACATGCCACATCCAGACATGGTGCAAAACCACCACTATCGTCACCACTTTACACCAATGCATGAGCAACATCCACAAGGAGTCCCTCCAGTACACAGCCCAGCAAGCCTGGAACATATCGAAGCTCGGCTTCGGCATCTAGAGCATGAAGAAATGGCCCGGAACGCAACCCGAAGCCGCATTCTGGCAATGCGCAAGCACGAGGACGAGGAGTTTCGAGCAATGACAGAGCGAGCCGAGGCCGAAGAAGAGGTAAGCCGGATTGATATCTGCCCAAAAAAAATTTGAAATAAGCACAAATGCTAAAGCTTCCACAGGATCTTCGAAGGCAACGTAAAAAAATCAAAAGAGAGTCCATGGGCTTAGGGCTCAACGCCGCATCAGACTCGCCGCCTCTCCGTCCAACACCACCCCGCCGACTATCAGAAACCAGCGCAGCAACAACACTGGCCTTCTTCAAACAGCAAAGTCCCCCCGAGCCCCGCCAAGCACCTCACCCACCAACATCCCAAACACCAATGCCGCCACCACCACACATGCACGCCCAACCCCAACCACACCACCAACCACCCCCTCAATCCCACCCAATCGTCTCCCACGACTCACTACACAGCGCGGGCTCCATCCGCCGCAAACAAAAATACACCATCAAAAACGTCGAGGCCTGGGGCGAGCGCCACGGCCGACCAGCAGCCCACGACCCCTCCGGCCGAGCCCTTTGGAAGCGCCCCTCAGACAACAGCCTAGTGTACCTAACCTGCCCAATTCACGGCTGCGGCAAATCAGACTTCGTAACGCTGCACGGCTTCATGTGCCACCTGACAAAGAAACACAAAGACCGCACGCTGGGCAGCCAAAGCCGCGCCCTGGAAGTCTGTGGCGTCGTCTACGACCCCAACGCGCCCCTCCCGCCAATGAACCACCGCGGTTCAGCAGACGGCAGCCCATTGGGATCGAACCCCATGGACAACGACGAGGAAATGGACTCCGACTCCGATGAGAACGAGACAGACTACCGCGTCAAAACGGAAACAACGGACCGCTTTATGTCTGATGCTGAAGGGACGCCGACGGAGACGACCCCGCCCAAGCCCGCTGCCTCAACTAAACAGTCTATTATGTCGATTATTGACCGCACGCCGGAGACGGACAGCGTGAGGTTGGCTGCGTTTGGGGATCGCGAGGCGCTTTCCGCGCTGGCTTCTGTTGACGCTCAGGGCGCGGGCGAGTCTGCTGTCCCGTCTAAGAGGAAGTTTGAGTACTCGCCCGATAAGGAAAACGCGGAGCCTGATCGCGCGGAGTAGTGTTGGGTTCCGTTCCGGCTTTTATATATATAATTCTTTCTGGGGCGCGGCAGCGGCCCAGATATGATAATCAATTGCATATGTCACTATTATCCTTGTTTTGGGGGTAGCTCGTACATGTGTTTACCCCTTTGCATATCCTGTGTTCGGGTGGTTCCGGTGTTCTTGGTGTCTGTTAAATAAGCATTGTCTATAGCTAATTGCATATAAATATCTATATTTGGATCAAAAAGTTGTTGCAGTAGCTCAAATGCAGGATTGGAGTGCCTTCGGCTCTTATTTCGAACCTTCATATCCACTCCAGCTGATTATTCGGATAATATATTTCCATGCTAAACACAGGACACGAACGGAGACCACAAGCTCAAGAAGCCCCTATCTAACCAACAACAAATGTACCAGATACCCCGACCCACCCCTCAACCCCTCCCCAAGCACCTCATCCCCAATCCTCCAAACCCTAAACTCCCTCAGCGTCTCCCTCAACCACCCTTCAAACACATCTGGCGACCGTTGCTGCTGCGCAATGATACAAACCGTCGGCCTGCGCGCATCGCCACCCTCCTTCTCATAGCCCGGCCTGAGCCGACATATCTCCGCGCAGGTGCGCACGAACGGCGCAACCAGCGCTTCGTTGTAGATACAGTCGCACGAGATGAGGAGATCAAAGCCTTTATCTTCGTCCGGGTCTGGGCCCAGACATTCCTCTCTCAGCGAGGCGGCCTGGTCAGTTTCCCAGTCGAGGGTTGTGAAGGAGATATTGGATTTTGGGGGCTGTTTCGGGGTTGATTTTGATTTTTGGGATTTGGGCTTTTTGTTAGTTGCTGTTGTTGATGCGGGTGCATTGGCTTCGAGATTTGCGCGGAATAGCTTCTGCACGTATTCTTGGTCTGTAGCGATGTAGTGATTGATTTTGGGGGACAGGGTTAGGGCTAGGAGGGCTGAAATGCCGGTTCCTAGTTCGGCGACTGTGGAGCTTGGATTGAGGACTGTCGAGGTCCAGAGGGGGTTTTTGGGGGTTTATGATCCATTCTGCGAAGAGGGGGGTGATTTTCCAGAGGACTGGGTGGGTGGATGTGTTAGTATGTGATTGTATACGTATGTACGCAGGAGCTAGCTATGTAGTTTGCATGAAGTTGCAGTGAGAAACGAAACCAGGCCAAGTGGATAACAGCCAAGAGATAGCAGTGGCAGGTGATTGTTGGAGCCCTTGTGTCCGAGGACAAAGACGCCGAATAGGAAAGGGGAAACACTCGTGAATACGACTCAAGTGAAAGACATTTATATTGCATAGCCGAGGCACCGGAGCTATAGAGATACTCGGGCCTGGACACACTTGCGGGGAGTCCGTGCGGAGGAGTTATGCAGATCGTACATACCAGCGCCTGTAGTGCCTCCGGCTCGATGGGAGGATAGTAAAGATGGTGATTGATGGATTGTGTATTCGTTGTGGTTGATTGTGAGCTCTATTGATGGGGCGCGGGGATCAACCATGCCCAAATTGTTGCTCTCGACATCTTGGGCGAAAAGGAGGAATGTTTCTATGGGCTTGTGAGTTCGTATTGCTGCTTGGTATGTGGTCGTGGCGTACCCTCTTCCACGTCAAGGACTTCTTCGCCAATAATATTGAGGAGCTCGGTGATTTCTTCCATGGTGATGATTTATGATAATCTCTGTTCTGAGGTTATCTGAGAGTGGAACAATTTCAATTTTTTTTTTGATCTACGGGGATCACGGGACTTTGATGCAGGGACAGATATGGATGTATTGCTGTTTCTATAAAACAATTCTGGTTTACATAGTTAAATGGAAGCATCAAAGTAGCGGAAATAATTCTGTTGGGAACCCAACAGAACAAAATAAGAAAATTAGGAATTGATCCGCGGTTAAACGCAAACACTAGGAAAACTACACAAACTACGGCAATACTACGGCAAAAACAAGTGCAGACCCTACCGTACTAGTAATAGCTTCAATTTACGAAATGAAGCACAGCCCCTTGAATTATGCCGCGGTTATGGATATGAACAGGGATTCGAAAAATTCGATAGGGCTAAGACATTATGAAATTAAAAGAAAAAGAGACAGGGTAGGAGATAAGTGAAATATAAAGAACAGCAAAGCAGTAGGAGAAACACCAAGACGTTGGTTTGATGCGTCATTTGCCCGGAGCCCAGCCACCATATCTCCGCAAGCTCAGGCACCTCCTTCTGACCTTCTTATATCGACTTTTTCCTTTCACTCGAGTATCAATCAAATATTGATAATCATTGAGTGACCGGTAAGCTTCTTCAACCACTCACTTTCTGCCCTTTACCAGGTTTCCAATTCGCACTAGCTAAACTTCCGCCCCAAACACAGGAAACTTTTCTTCGACTACCCGTTCGAAGACTATTATTCCCCTCAATCTCCCCTCCGTTTCCTGCTGAGCGCGCTACTCCATTATGTCGAAACGCGACCAGCACATTCAGCCGCGCATGGTCAAGAAGGGCCCCTTCACTGTCGAAGCGTCCGGCTATGAACCCGTCGCCGGTGAGACAATCCCCCGTCGGCACCCCGCGGCCAAGGACGGCCTCATCCTGCGCCCGTCCGAAGACGTCACAACTACCTACGAGAACTTCCGCCGGTCCGCCCGTGTCTTTGGTAACTCCAGAGCAGTCGGTACTCGCAAGTTAATCAAGCTCCATACCGAGAACAAGAAAGTCAAGAAGATCGTCGACGGTGTTGAGACCGAGGTCGACAAGCAATGGACTTACTTTGAAAAAAGCGGTTACACCTACAAGTCCTTCCTGGAGTATGAGAAGCTTTGTCTGGAGCTTGGTTGCGGTCTCCGCAAGCTTGGCCTTGAGAAGGATAGCAGAATCCACTTGTACGGCGCAACGAGGTAAGAAGATACATGCGCTCCTGGCCGAGTTGGGACCAAAACAACTGACCTTTGATTGTATTTTGATAGTGCGCACTGGCTGGCAATGTCTCACGGTTTGTTCACTCTTTGCCGAATGCGCCACCAATTTGCTAACATACTGCTACAGGTGCTGCCTCTCAGTCCGTGACCATCGTGACCGCTTATGATACCCTGGGCGAAGAGGGCCTGAAGCACTCTCTGGTTCAAACTGGTAGCACTGCTATCTTCCTCGACCCCTCCCTGCTGAAGTCGCTCATTAACATCCTCCGGAGCGTACCCTCACTCAAGCACATTATCTATAACACCGACGACGAGGTCGACCAGAAGCTGCTTGACCAGCTGCACAGCGAATTCATTCACCTCAACGTGTTGAGCATTGAGGACTTGCGCAAGCAGGGTGAAGAGAACAATGTGGAGCCTGTTCCTCCTAAGCCGGAGGACCTTTGCTGCATCATGTACACCTCGGGCTCAACAGGCCCACCAAAGGGTGTCCCCTTGACCCACGCCAACGTGATTGCTGCCAGTAAGTCGAATTGGAAACCCGGAACTATAATCCATCCAGCTAATCTTTCGCAATAGCCGCCGGTATAAACGTAATCGTCGGTCCCTATATTAACCACAAGGACTCGCTGCTGACCTACCTCCCCCAATCTCACATCTTGGAATTCATGTTCGAGAACCTTTGCTTGTTCTGGGGTGGTACCATGGGTTACGGTAACCCCCGCACATTGTCCGATGCGTCCATGCGCAACTGCCTGGGCGATATCAAGGAATTCAAACCTACTATTCTGGTTGGTGTCCCGGCCGTGTGGGAGTCCGTGAAGAAGGGAGTCTTGAACAACCTGAACAAGAGCAGCTTCATCGTCAAGGGCATGTTCTGGGGTGCCATGTCGGCCAAGAACTTCCTGCTGACTACTGGCATTCCCGGCTCGGGCATCGGTGCCTCGATCCTGGACGCTATCGTTTTCAAGAAGCTGAAGGAGGCAACTGGTGGCAACCTCCGCATCGTGATGAACGGCGGTGGCCCCGTCTCCAAGGAAACCCAGAAGTTCCTGTCCATGGCCGTCGCCCCTATGATCAGCGGCTACGGTTTGACCGAGACTTCTGCCATGGGTGCCCTGAACGACCCTTTGGCCTGGAACCCCAATGCTCTGGGTGAAATACCTGCTTGCGTGGAGATCAAGCTCGTTGACTTCCCCGATGCTGGCTACTTGACCACAAACAAGCCACCCCAGGGTGAGATCTTCATTCGCGGTGGCAGTGTGACCTCGGGCTATTACGAGAACGAGGAGGAGACGAAGGCTGCTATTACCGAGGATGGCTGGTTCATGACCGGTGATATTGGCGAGTTCGACAGCAACGGTCACCTCAACATCATTGACCGCAAGAAGAACCTGGTCAAGACCCTGAACGGCGAATACATCGCTTTGGAGAAGCTTGAGTCGGTCTACCGCTCGTCTCCCGTTGTTGGCAACATCTGCGTCTACGCAGCTGAGGACCAGTACAAGCCCATTGCTATTATTGTTCCCGTCGAGGTGGCTTTGAAGAAGATTGCTCAGGATAACGGCATCGAGGGTGACACTCTCGAAACTCTCGTCCACAATGACAAACTTAACGGCATCGTCCTCAAACAACTGCAAGCTGCCGGCCGTGCTGGTGGTCTGAAGGGTATGGAGATCATCGACGGTGTTGTGCTGTCCGATGAGGAGTGGACCCCGCAAAACGTAAGTTGCTCCTTGTATACATGGCCTATGAATCTAGCTAACGATAGAATAGGGATTCATGACCGCTGCTCAGAAGCTTCAGCGCAAGAAGATCCTCAACCAGTACGAGAATGAGATCAACAAGGCGTACGGCAAGAAATAAAAGAAGCACGTCGAGCTTCATTTGAATATCTTATCTTTTTCTTCCCTTATTTTTGTGCTTGTTTTCTTGCGCTCTGAGACCCTCTTCGTTCTGTTGATTTTAATCAATTTACCTTGCAACTATTGATTGCTCTTGTGGATATTGCTTGATATGGCACGTCTCCTGCCTCCCATGATGTAGTCGAGGTAGTGATGGATGCGGACGAAGTGACATCGTGAATCTATTACTAGATTCTATTCTGTCCCTTGTTCTATTCCTCATTGATTTCTCCTTTCGTAGTCTGTAATCATCATATACACAGAAGGGCTTGGCCAGTGCCTCCGGCCAAAGTACCCCGGTACCTCACCGGTCAGCCACAGTTACACCACTCCCTCATCAATCCACAAGTACCCAGGTTGTGCATGTACTTGCGCGGAACTAAGCCCTGCCTAAAAGAGCACACGCTCGAACCCGTAGCACTTGTACAATCGAAGTCCATAGAGTTCACTAGCCTCAGGTACACTTCACACCCCGTGATCTGCAAGCACGTGACACCAGCAGCAAGTACCTCTTCCCAGTCACTACTACAGCACGCGACAGCACCCCAACCCAAAATGTCTCTCTGGAGGTACGCCAACGCCACACCACCCAATTCCAATCCCGCACGCAAATCTTGCAAAAAACCAAACTAACAAACACAGTTCCTACCGCGGCCTCACGCCCAAAACCCGCGCCTTGTTCGGCATCGGCGTCATGGCCTGGGCAGGCATCGGGCTGTGGACCTCACCGCAAGTCGAAACCGCGCTGGGCATGCAGCCCTCACAAGAAGAGCAGGATGCGCTAGACCGCAAGCTGGCGCTGCGCGTGTCGCGCGTCGGAGGAGATAAAGATAGCCAGTCGAAATGAGCATAGCATTGAGGTGTTGTGTTAGCTCTCAGAGACGAGAGAGAGGACAGGGCGCGACGCAAGACCATGTGATCGAAGATGCGGAAGCGGAAAGCACGGCATTCGGAAGGCACGGCTTGGACGTGACTGGTTGGCGGGGTTGGGGAGTCGGGCGTGAGAGGGAAGGTTTTGTTAGATGGCAGAATCAATATTGGAATTGCGATTGCGATTGCGAGTTTGAGTGCTGAACTTTTGTCAAACACGTCTATATGCTTTGATCCATACTTCGGATCCGGATCGGGGATTCAAATTCAAAAATGACCCTGTCAAGCCTCGCGACGGTCATAGCACTGTTTGCCGGCCAGAAACCATCGCAGATGTAAGTCTGATCGCCATGCCGTGTCGCCGTCATCGGAAAGGTCGCGAGGAGTGGCCTGATGGGTGATGGGAGTTTTGCCCTGTTCGCGGCCGTCCATGCGGCGAAACGACCCCGGCTCCAGCCGCTGTTCGCAGGAACAGGGGGCTGCGGGCAGCGGGCAGCGGGCCCCTCCCCCGCTCATCCAGCGGACGTTTTTTTTTTTTTTTTTGCATTTCTTCCATTTTTTCGGGGACATGGGTTTTGTTGGGTTTGGGGCTCGGAATAATTGCTGCGGCTGAAGGGTGGATCGGTGCTTAGCCTGGTCTGGATCGTGAGATGTTAGTTCCTTGTGCGAGAGGCCAATCAGGGGGTGGTTTTATTTTCCGAGGTTTGTCTTTTGTCCGATTGGGAATGTGATGCGAGGGGCAGGTCGGGTGGTTGGGTTGGTGTTGGTTTAATTCTTGGGCGTTTAGAGATTTTGAATATCTGTTTTAGGTAGCCCTAATCGGTTGACTTGGGTGTCTTTGTACATCCTTGATTTTAGACTTGTAATTCCGCATAGCTAATGGATTTGGCTACAACGACTCGGAAAGTCACAATGATAGTGCATCAGGTAGATGCCAAGTAATTAGCTGGTATTGACTGGACATTGAGCTGTTCATACTCTGTGCTTTACTTTGTTCCGAAACTCAATGCGTTGATATTGTAGCACAAGAGACCCTTGGGCCTTGAAAAGAGCATTGTGTATCCCTGAGATCGGAGAGTACCATGTGGACCTCGGGGCTTGTCATGTAAACTTCAACTAACCTTGGAAGGGTATCCTTCTATTAGCAGATATATCTAGCAGGTACATACAAGAGATAGTTTGCCGCTATACATCTACAATTGGAAGGGAATTGGAAACAAAATCTAAGATATGTAAAGAAAGACCCGAAAGGAGACTGACAGAAAGATATATCGAAAGGAGCGGCAATAACATGTTATTTTACTTAGGTAGAGTGTCGTTAGACTCTCCTAGACGGAAGGCACGAGGCGCTTTCATGCCTCCTACTGAGCCAAAGATTCCAAATACATACACGACTTACAGGGTACAGTCCTCGCTTTTCGATATTTGCATCAAGAATCAACACCAAACGCACATCCTCCTACCCAACGTGCCATCCAGACCAGGGATACCCAACGCAACGAACCACGTTGTATAGATCCGTGAATTGATCATGTGGCATTTGCAGTAGGACAAAGATAGCACAATGCTCGGAGGCCGTTAAGGTGGAACCCCGGAGAAAGAGTCTCTGCCAATCTCCCTTTTTAGCGCAGAAGATCAGGTCAACAGATATTCGGACATATTCAAATCCAAATCCCGATCTTAAAAAGCAATCCAATACAAGGACAGACCTCGATATCCTAAAATATGACCCACCATATCCAGGATTGATTATCTGCTCGCACTACATAGGGCATGCAGCTATTTGACTCCGACGGTGATTCATCTGAGCTACACCAGGGATAGGGCTTTGATCTGGTAGGCAGCAAAGCAAATTGCATGGTGAGTATATGGGCTGAATGTGCTATCGGGTGATCATGACTGTCTGTCCGGTTGGCCAGATGCCAAAGACAGGGCTGAAAAACGCTGTGGTATATTGAGACTGCATAGCTTGTTAGAGGGTCATTCGTTGTGAGCTAGTACCTTGGTGTCGAAGCCGATGTAATCAACAAGGCTCGTTGATAATGGTCCTAGCTTATACCATCATATGGGTGCTAGTGTATCTTCATTTTTTTGTTAATGGTAAACAGCCCGGTGGAGGCGATGTTGAAGGAGGCGACCCTTGAGCAAAAAGTGATTTAGTGAGCAAAGTTGGTCACATTGCAATTTTTACAAAATTATGAATTAATAGAATTATGGTCACCAAGTACATACGTATACTTTCAGAATACAGCAGGAAATACAACGTGTTAGACTGCAAAGTCCATAAATCAGGATATGGAAGACAACGAGACATAGACCACAAAACTAAGTGAAGGCAAATAGTCTAAAACCAGAAAAAAAAAAGCCATTACAGCACTCGAATCAAGATTTAGTCAAGTTCAAAGCGCCTAGGATTGACCTTCTGCCCGACTTCCCTTGTACGACGTGCAGAAGTACATATCCAACCGGCTATGAGAAAATGCAGCGGCCAATCAGGGTCACCTTACCCCAAGATCAACTATCTGAGCGCTTTGCTTTGTATATTTGTATATGGCAATGATAAATTTTCAATATACCAAATGTTCCATTTTGATCGGAGTGGTAATGCACTCCCCCGGTGGCAAACATACTAACAATACTGGTAACTTTGACTTGAACTGACCTGTTTCAGATGAAAGTCAAAAATAGTCTGATCCTAACAATGAATCCCTAGTTTTGAAGGTCTTCGACTCTCTTGCCGCAAGCGGATGTTACTACCCCGGTTCTTAGCAGGGGGTGCTATTGGCAAGGATCAAAGTGTTTAAAACATCGGAATATGCCGAGGTGCAGGGGGGCTTGGACAGTATGAAGATCCTTTCTTATCCGAATAAAACCATGAGTGAATTCAGTGGCAAGAAATAGATTATACCACATATAGATCTTGTAAGTACATATCCAGATTCATCTTGTACTTACTCGATTGATGCCAGGGTCACACGAGGAGCCTGTTTTTGTTCCACTTCATATACTTAGACCAAGATACCTACGTGGCTAAGTACCCAAGCCGGTAGAGTATGTGAACGGTTCCTGTACTGTGGTAGCCAAACAGGGCTGAGCTGACATGCAATAAAGCATCACCTGCACATATGTAATGTCGATCATGATCTGCACCTGATTCTCAAACCCTAGTACATGATACATGGGACATAAGTACATTAGTCATAGTACAAGCTGACTATATTGAATTTTTAACAATTATTACCCACAAGGCGATCTTCGCTGCCTAGAACGAAAGCAAAAGAATAAATAAAAATAAAGCCAAACTCCAGCCCCAGAACTCTACCCAAATAGGCTGCTGCTGAACTATCTGATTGGCTTTGATCTATCAAATCTGCATCCATCCTCCCTGTCTTGCAGTATACAATATACGGTATTCCCATGTTTCGTTTGGTTTTAATACCACGGAGCCTCCTAGAAACGTAAAAAAAAGCAAAATGTAAAAACTTTAGAACCAACAACAGGAAGGAAAAACAGATATACGCCACACCAAGCCCTTTAATTTTGCATGGACTGGTAATTGATGTGACCCAATTACAATAAGGTAGTAACCCATGCTTACTTTAAGGCCATCAGTCCATGTAGTCATCGGATACGAAAGAGCCCTGGAAGCAAATTACCGTTGACCGTTGCATGCTTCGCACATGATTGGATGGCAAAACGACAACGAGAATAAACACAAATATAGAGGACCGTCAGCTGAAAAAAGAGAAACAGACGAAAAGGTAAAAAAGTAAGAAGGCAAGACCGCATAAGCCCATGCCCATTGCAAATGAGACCGCGAGCCCTGCAACCGATGGAGACTGGGACCAGGTCTGCGTCAAATAACGGTTCCTGGCTATCTACCAGAGCAAATCGGGGAATTAAAATCTCAGAGCAGCAGGCAATGGATCGGAAGGATTAGTTTTAGTGGATTTCTCAAAGCACTGTAAGCTTTAGCTTTTGATGCATGGCAGGGTTGTTTACATATGGCCTTGTTTCAATGGCCAATATGGCCAAAGACAAACCTACTAGTGACTAGTGAATCTCAATTTGCGTACGGTGTATTCTGGGAATACACTTTTTATGGAATTACTTGTTGTTTTCAGGAGCATTCAGTGGATCACCTCCCCCTCCCCCCCCCCCTACCGTCTAGATTGCTATAATCTAGTCAAGTCCAGATCTTAATTCCACGGCGGATTGCCTTCGGCTGACAGGAGGTTCTATCATTTGTTTGTGAGCGCAGTCTTCAAGGGCATTCTGTATTTTCTTTTTGAATGGCAGATAATATGATAGAAATGGGAGCGAGGAAATAGTCCAAGAAAAAAGAAGAAATTAACTATTTGAATTGAAAACGAAAGACCAGCAATCATACACAGTCATAGTTTGAGGTCCTAAGTTCACTAGCCCACGCACGAAACGGGGGAAAAGATTAAAAAAGCAAATAGCGAATTGCAATTGCTTCATGGTTGACCTCCCACGCACGCCACCCAGCACCAGTTCATAAGTCCCATTTCGTTGATCACATCGAGAAAAGGTAGAAAGATAAAACAAAAAAAGAAGAAGTAAACAAAAAGTAAGCAAAAAGCAAAGCAAGAAATCGCAGTCTAGGTGCATAGACCATGGTTCTGGATAGGATCGTAACGACTATAAGCCGTTGAGTAAACAGGATCGTATCCACCGGTACTCGACTGGCGGTGCTGGTGGCCAGGGACCCCTGCATAGGTTGTATCCTGATAGGGGTTTGATCTGAGGTAGGGATCAGACTTGATGGTGTCCATAGGGTCCATAGTATCGATCATCGACAACTCGAACCCAGAAGAGGATGAAGAGGAAATAAGAGGGCTGTCGCTGAGCGGGGAATGATCATTTATAGTCATCTGCCGGTGATCGGCCCTGCCGTAAGAAAGACCGGCTCGATGGGATGCGTCGTACATCATATGATGGTTGTGGTTTGTATGGCCCAGTCCATGGGGGAGAATGCTTCCATTGCCATCGCCGCCAGCACCATCTGGGCCCATGCTGCTGGTGCTGCTGCGGCGTCCGTCTTTGTAGTGGCCAGGGGAGCGTCCGCGGACCACCATGGGTTGTGAGTGGCGGCGGGCGATTGGTACCCACTGGGTTTCACCCGGAACCGAGCTAGCAATCTCAGCGAAAAGCTCAACGACCAGATTGTAAGTTTGCTGCTGAGCGCGACGCTTGCCATTGTTCGCGGTTGCCTTTTGGAATTGAATGCGCTCAAACATGTGAGATGTCGGGGGCTGGCTTGGCTGAGGTGCTCCTGGGAATGTAGAGTTGTAGTCCATGGATTGGGAGCCGAGACCGAAACCTGCCAGGTTTCCATTTACTGTCGAGGTTGATGAGAATGAAGGCGGGGGTGAGGGCTGAAGGACGACACGGACTGGCTTGCGTTCGGACTGCTTGTCGCGCTTTGGGGTATGCTGAACCAGTTCTCTGGTCTCGTTGTATTGCCCATTGACAATTGCGGAAATGCCCATTGCAAAGCCACGGATCGGCTCGAGAGATTGATCATGATAGCGGACGTAGAGGGGGGCACCTAGCGGCCATGGATGGAAACCAAAGGCACAGGTCACAGCGAAGTAGTTGCGCCGGTAGCAAGTCCATTTTTTGTCACATGGAAAAAATCCTCGCCCCATCTTTGCTTGGACGTCTGGTGTCACCGTTTGATACTGTCCACCGAACTCTGCAACAATCGTTTCAAGATAAGTCGTGTCTTCAAACGGCGGAGCTTCAACCTGCGTCTGTGAGCGTTGCGAGGATTCCACAATCGGCTGCTGATACAAAGCATTTTGAGATCGATCTAGGTTCCCGTCTAACGCACGAGGGGTACCCGAATATCCATGGTTGCGCGAGATATCGCCCATTCCCGCAAGCGACAAGTTCATATTGCCAATTCCACGTTGTAAAGCATACGATCCATAGGCATTATTGCGCCCCATGAGAGCTGGAATGGAGTTCATACCGTGCCCTGAGCTCTGCATACCCATTGGCATGCCACTAGGTGGTTGACTGTATTGATAGAAGGTTAGGTATCCAGTGTTCAGCTAATATCGTAGTGGAGCAAGGCTTACAGAGCTGGCACTCGTTGATAGTCTGTCATCCTATCAACGGGAAGCTGAATTCGAGAGATATGTGGGAAGATAGGGCCAGATGTGGGGGGGAAGGAGTCTTCACAAGCTCAATCGTCAGTCAAAGCAGGCCTTATTAAAACTATAAGTATTGGAAAGAGGGCTTACCAGGACAGGAGTCTGGTGGGGTCATAGCAAGAGGATTCGAGCCGGTATATCTAGAGTGAGAAATCATTTAGTCAAAGCACATAGCCATAAAAGAAACCACGAGCGATCGGCTGGAATTAAAGCAGCCCAGCAGGTATCATATGAGTCCGGGCGCAGCACAGAAACCATGATGTATGTAAGAAGACAATCGAAACGGGCGCAAAAGAGGCAAGGACCTCAAGGCCACGGCACGAGTTCAGATAAAAAGGACAAAACATCGGAAGAAAGACATGCAGGCAGCAGATCGGTATGGAAGGTACAGAAACAGGCTGGACTGAAGTCCAAGCTGTCCGGACCCGGAGGAAGCGCAGTGACAAGGGGTCGAGAGGCTGACCGAGTGGATCGCCAGTGCAGTCCGGATTGAAAGAGTAGAAATAACTTACTGCAAATCCTGCACTGCAGGCTGCTGTGCGTGGTACCTCACGCCGTTGGTGTCAGGTATGGAGATGAGACCTCCGACTCGCTGGCTATTGTCGTCGTCGTCGGCAAACCCTGTCAAATGAGGGTTGATATAGTCGCCCTCCGAAGTTACAGGATCACTCAATGAGTACGATTCGGAAAGCAGAGCTGGGGGATTCATAGGTTAGCAAGACCAGGGGGATTATAGAGAAATAAATAGAATCAGGAATGACGAAGCAATCGCATGACAGATAAAACAGGGAGCAGAAAGGAATGAAGCTTACAGGGATTCATCCTAAGCGTGCTGATGCCAGGTGCCTCGAAGACCCTGACGTTTTGGTTTGACTGAGGTAACACCGGCGAGACGCAAAAGCCGTCGACTGGCCCTTGAGGTCTTGGGTGGCAAGAAGGTGATGTCTAGAACGGTGCGGAAGTTAGAGAACAGACCTCAAAACGCTTCAACTTTGTTGAATTCCCTCACAATGCTCGATTGATACCTCGTAGCGTAGGAAGTACTTGCAAATCCGCAAAAAGCGTAATGCGGGCTATTGGAGCGTGCGGAGCCTATGAGAAACGTGGGTTGAATATGACAAATGCAATAGAGACGTGCGCCGAATGGGTGTCAAATAGACATGTAAGGCAACCTGAGGACAGTAGGGCGATTGAGAAGACGTAAATACAGAAAGATTGTAAGCAAGATGGAGGAGACTAAAGGTTTGGTGGTAAAGAGCGAATAAATGGCAGCAGAATCCCGGGATTATAAAGGTGAGCGTGAGGGTAATAGCATGCCCAAAAGAACGAACGATAGTTCCTTTTTTTAAGCCAGACGTTGCCAGAATGAACGCAGACGTATGAATGTCCGGGAGCCAGAAGAGTGCGTCACCAGGTTGCTGATAGACATGATTTCCTGATTGGGAACCCTGACATAGCCATATACCTTTGACAAAAAAGGGAAAGAGCTGGAGAATAGATGGGACCAGGCTCTACAGTTCTCACAGACCAAGATCTAAGAAAGGTAGAGGAGGGTAGGAAGCAGATTGGCAGATTGGCAGATCGGGGCAAAGAAATAATAGTTTAACATTAATGTATTTCTGTTTTTTTTTTAATAAAAAGAAATACAAATGGCAAATTAAGCCCATAAATTAGATAATAGCAATCACAGCCAACGGAGGGGCAAGAATAATTTAAAAAAAAACATTAAACGAAATAGGGTCCAGAAGTGGAAAAGCTTTGGAAAAAGAGTTACTGATGTAATCTAGTGTGACAGCGTGAACAGCAAATGAAAGACTAGGGCTTAGCTATAAGTATCTTGCATGTATTGCCAAATAGGTATGCTACATCTAATCGCCAACCCTGGCTTGAGGTATGGAGAGAGAGAAAGAAAAATGGAACTGCCGAATCCTCAGATCCTGGGGCATGTTTTCTTTTGGCAGAGTGCAAGATCTATGGTTTGTGGCTTACCTGAAGTATGGAGTAGTTAGATGTATAGACAACATTAGTGAAATTGAAGCAGACGGTGTGTATGTAATTGATATTAGAATCTCTAACAGTTTTCATGTAAGTTGGATACAATTGACATTTACGTTAATTTGACAGACGTATTACGATGTGTGGTTTTGAAAAGCCGTTGTTATAATCATTGCTTGCCCTATAAGAAAATGTTTAGTGGACCCTGTCAAGGGTTCTATACAAATTCACTAGTAATGTAGCCGAGAGGCGACCGATCCCATGAATCGGGAAACACCAGGGCAGAACACGTTGTATTCGGCAAGGCTACAAAATAATAGACGGCAATGACTTCTTTCGCATCGGGGTCTAATTAGATCCGGACATGAAGGCCCGAAAATTTCTTTATTTAAATGAGATTGAGGGTGGAGGGAGAGTGGACGGAATTCTTTTTCCTAGTTGGATTCAATTTGTCATTCCTTTCTTTTCCATCTCTTGCCGCGGCAACAGAGCCTAAAGTATATGCTTGCATGTCTCCATAGCAGAGCCCGTACCGTCGAATCATCAGCTTCAACCTCAAGACGGTTTAATTGTTCAAGGAGCATGAACATTGGTCGAAACACCCTCCATGTTGCCCTGGGACCCGAGACCGGCTGCACGGACCGTGATCGATATTAGGGTATGGCACAATACAGTACACGGCTCATGAGTAATGTTGGCAGGATGTATTTTCCTTGCATCAGACTTCCAATGAAATATGACATTCCAGCGCGAACACCCGAATAGACGGGTTGCTGCAGGAGAACGAAATAAGATGAAACTAGAAAGGATAGAGGAGATGATCAACCTCCGGGATACCCGTGCAGACAAGACCCCAGTCCCATGACAAGAGTGATTGATGTATCCGACCTTGGGGGATCCACAAACCAATGACGCAGGGAAAGAAAAAAAAGCAGTCAGTGGTGGTGGGAAATAAACAGACAGGGAATAGAGATCTTTCGCCATGGTCCGTGTTCTCCTTCTTTTTAATTATTATGGTCTGAAAGGCCTGTCGGAGCAGTCCCGGCCATATTCAATTTATTTCTGTTGGTTTGACTTTAGGAGGCTCGAGGCACGAGCAGCGATTCTTGCATGAAGAATTGAGGAATATCATGCGATCGGCAGTTTTCCATTTAGCTAGGTGCATTATTCATGTTGGCAGGGTTCACCGACAAACCCGGTAGCGAAATAAACGTGGTATGGTGAGGATATTCCCCTTAATTACTCTTTATTTCACCCAGGCTAAGAGAGCAAAGACCAAGCTCTGTCGAACCTGGCTCTTCACAATATTGTACTGGCGTGGAAATAAGATACCCTACCGGGACGGGAACCCCACCACAAAAAGCTAAATAAGAGCTGAAATGGGGCCAACAGATGCAATAGTGCGGTCCGTACCCGGCAGCTTTTTCCAGAACCCACAGTCAAATTCAGATCCGTAGAATGAAACTGGCAATAGCGTAGACGGATTCAATCAAAAACTCTGGATCAGGTCCTGATCTCGTCGACATAACTGCATTAGTGGCTTGAAGATCGGCTATCCTGCAGGAGAGACTAGCTGTGTACGAACTAGCTGGGTAAGATGGCGAAGAGGTATGGTGGAAAGCATCCGCCGAATCATAATTGGTCAGACGGAAATGTTGATGTGATTTCAGCGGAGTCCAGTGAGTGGTCAGTATATGTTGTGCAGCTCTTCGCCCCCACTGACCACACATAATAGCCGTGCTGGTACCAAAATCGGCACTAGGAGCAGGGTTTAGCCACATTTGGGCATTAGTGTGTACTGATCAACAATACAACACCAGAGTCGGGCCCGAAATATACAAAAGATACCAATGTACAATGAAACTGAAGTTGAGATTTTCAGAGCCCCTATCGTCATGGGGTTGGCACGTGCAGGGGCGGTGAACTGACAACTAAACAACTTTGCAGAAGATGTAGGAAAGACGAGTAGATCAAAGAACTAATTAATGCATTGAACATGTAGAAGATACTGAACTTGGAAATGAGTGCTCTACTTCCCCTCATGTAGATACATGCATTAAATACTTTGGACATCTAGGTTTTAGGTTGTTTAGACGGACATCTCAAACCATGTTAGGGTTATTTGTTAAATGCAGCTAAAGGCATCATATCGGCCCACTTAGTTGCCCGTGAGCTCCACAAAATTCAAAAAGACAAAATTTCGGCGTTAGATCACATTGTGGCGATCGGGTACATGTCACTATTGGATGCATGTAGATATACATCAAGAGAACTATTGATTAGAAATTGCCCGATACGCGGATACCATTAAACACGGACTCACTGCAGGTACATGAAATCTTTCATAAGGATTTTGACTTTCTTAGGGCCTAAACTTGCATAAACTCATCAATCTAACCATGGATATCATTTAAATGGCTTTGGACCCTAGAACCTTGAATCATGAAAAAAAACTTTAGACGTTGCAACTGTCTCAATCTATCATGAGTCCTTTTCAAGACCCTGTCTCTGTTTCAGGCACGTGCCATTACTATCCCAACGATTGACAACCCAACGCGAGAAATAAATTTTGTGTGACAATTACATGCTGCAAATCAATGGCAATGTCCATGGTTGACTCCATGCCCGTTTAGTTGGTTGCATTCGGCCAGGTGTTCGACCTCACGACAGGGGTTTGAAAACTACTACTCGGCAACCAGGCAACGGTCCAAATTGAGGTATGTTTTGATCCCGGAATCGGGATGACGGTCTCTACCGTGACATTTGAGAGTTTTGATTTTCAGAATGACAACAAAAACAAAACTAAACTCAAGAAAATTACTCATTGGCTGGGGACGGTTTAACCTGGGCGCAAATCAAAAGGACCAGGCCCTAGTGCTATCCTAGACCGTTGTCCCCCTGTTAATCTAGCGTCAAATGCCTGTTGATCTAGGATATCGAAACGCTCAATAGACCCATCTTGTTCAATTCCCCAGTCAACACACCCTAGCCGAATAGGTCTAGGGGGCAAAATCTCACGTCTCGGGGAGATATTCCTGGACAATGACAACCAAGTATGGAAACAGTCGGACTAGCATTTCCTTGATAATTTTTTGAAGCGCTTTGTTGACTGAGACCTTACATTAAGGTTTTACTTATGCGCAAAGGCTGAGTCATTCCATCCCGAGACATCCACCGGGCTTGGCCGGGCGAGTTGATCCACTAAAGTATCTTTTGGTACAATGTCGAGTCTCATGCTCCATTAGGAAAAACGCAGACATTGATCCCAATGGCATAATTTGGAACCAATTTGGACCTCATAAATCGCAAATTGAAGCCTATCTAGACCCAGTGGCCCCACAATTGATGGCATCAGATTGCCTGGACACAAGGTTCTGTGATGGGTTACTTGTGTATCACTTCTTGCGAGATTAAAGGCTACTTCCTATGGTAAGTGGACCTAAGCACTGGTAGCCTATTACAATGGGCAGTTGCCCCGTACTGTCATTCCAAACCTTGATCACCATGGATCTACAGCTCAAAACGACCAATCGTCCCACCAAAACGAAGCTCCCGGCAAAAAGCTCCCCAAGGCCAGAAGTATTCGAACCTGTCGGCATGGATGGAAAGGCAGAAAGCCTCAAGTAGAGGGTTCCGACGGAATGAAGGGTCCCTCATTGGCTCGCCGCCCCCAATTATTCTGGATGAAGCTTGTCAGGCGGGCAATATGCTTTGGATGGCGCTGGATGCAGACCAGATGAAGACTCTTCTCCATCAAACAGCTCATCTGTTAGCCGTTTTCGCCTCCCCGTGGCAATAAACATCAGCTTTGGCGGCCATCCCTAGCATCCCTCAGCCAACCCTAAGCCGCGCCAGCGTAACACGGGAAGCATCAACCATGAAAATCTTGCACGGCGGCACGGTGCCGAAACGTTCTCGGTGAAGGACAGCCCTTCTGGTCAAACTCCCGTAACCAATGACAGCAAGACCACGGTGTTTGGCACCGATGTTCCCCGCGATGTTACTAGGATCTGGCGGAGTCACGAATTCCTTTCACATGTGTCTTCTTGTCATACTAGATGCCACTACAGCGGAGCAGAGATCAGAACGCAGTGGCCTAGAGGGCGTTTCTGGATAACTATAGCGACAGGGAGTAGTCTCGTGTTCTCCGCTCTTGCTTGGTCAGATAGCTCGTATTGGCTAAATGGGGATTTGGACGAGATGCCGAACTCCGAGGTGAACCTTTTACCCCGGTCCAAGTCTCTTTCCTAAAAAAAACACGGATGCGACGTGATGCAACCCAAGCCCGTTACCGGGAAATCGAGAAATCAACTTTTGCCGGCGAGGCTAAGTCTGGGTTTTGGCTCGTAGAAACCCCCTGTCGATCTGTACATTGCACTTCGGTAATTGAGCCCGAGATCTGCCACCCGTGGGCGTAGCTAGTATGTATCGAATTGTAACTAGAACAAAAGAGGAAAAAAAGGTACTGCTGCCGGAGCTCGATTTCCTTCCGATGTCATCTCCACTGTCATGCGAAGAGGGAGACATGAGATCCCTGAAACATTTTGAGAATCGAGCAGTCGAGACCTGCATTCTCTATTCCCAGATGACAGCTTCGCCCACGAGGTTGGGGATTGTCAGCCGGGTCCGGCACCAGATCGTTTTTATCGAGAGTGTTATGACCAATTACCTTCCAAGGTTCTGTCTGTGGCGAGATCGACGCCAGAATGGCTGCAACAGGAAGGAATCTGCTGGTTAGCAGCTTGTCTTGCTCCCACTTTCTCTGTTGAGTCATTTTGAACCTTGTATCTTACTAAATCTGGTGACACATGAATCATGTTAAGTGGACGGTGGATGAAGCCCGGCAACGGACGCCCATCGAACGGATCTACACGTCAAAGAACACCGAATTACCGAGGCTGAGCTACCAAAGTAGACTCTACTCTAGCTTGGAATGCGAAAGACGTTGGGTTAAAGAACCACGTGATAGAGGTGCCATGGGCCCCTGAGGAGTTCCATGGTTGCCATGAAGCAATTATAGAAATGCTTTATTAGGCAACGATGAAATATCAATAGCTCGAAGCACCACTTCTATCAAAGTTCAGCTGGAAGGTGTGTGAATAGAAGAATCATGCAGAATGTCTAAAATTTCTCTAACCCCTTGCTTTTGTATAGACTGACGAATGCAAGTAATTGACATGGTGGATGTCTTTTTGGTAATCATTATCAACCAGATCCTACAATACAAGGAAAAGAGCTTCAGCCCTAAAGTAGGCCTGCCTGAGAAGAAGGAAAGGTTCCATTCAAAAAGTCGTAAAAGAAAACCGGAAAACACATTTAAGTAGTACGCTTGGCGAACTCGACGCGGAGAATGAGGTGGCGGTAACCGACTAGAAGGAGAAAATGTTAGTGTCCCGTAGACCCATATAGAAAAGACCGCAAAGCGGGAGAATAACATACAGCCATCCACCTTCTCGCAAGCCAGTTGTGCGTCGCCACGATCCGCATAGCTGATGAAAGCAAAGCCCTTGGCTCTCTGGGTTTCCCGGTCCCGGGCAAGGAAGACTCTGGTAACACGACCGAAACGCTCGAACAGATCCCGCAACTCGTTTTCCTCTGCCAACTCGCTGACCTGTAGAAGAAGAAAAAAAAAATCAGTACCAACCCAAAACAAACAATCGTAACCCCCGGAGCAGGTAGAAAAGAGCCAAAACATACGTTTGTAACTCTGAGAGTCGCCAAATCGTCCTTCTCGAAGCGACCGCCCATCTTCTCACCACCAGCATTACCGCCCTTCCGCATGTGAGGAGGAACGTAGCTGGAGTTTCCAGCACCAAGACCACCCTTGTCTTCCTCCTCCTCGACGCCGCCAGCACCAGCACCAGTGCCCTCCTCGACGGGGGCCATGGTGTCCTTGAAGGGACAGCGAGCGGTGAAATGCTCTCCGCTGCAAATACGACACTTGACCTTCTTGTCCTTGAGCTGGTCCTTCATGCTGCCCTTCTCGGGGCCCTCCTTCTCGGCCTCCTTGGCATTTGCCTTCCAGTTAACTTGCGGGCGGAAGACGATGTTCTCGCCGACGGAGGTAGTGTCGAAGGTGGGACCGGGGGCGTGGCCCTTCTCGAGTCCGAACTTTTCCCATTTGCGGCGTTCGGCGACTTGGGGGTTGACGTGTTCGCGGACGACGGTGGTCTTAATTCGGCGGGTGACCTTCACTTTCTTGCCGTCATCGTTGAAGCGGTAGGAGATGACAGTCTTGGTGCCGTCCTTGTTCGCGATCACTTGTTGCGCGGGGAGCGCGGAGGGGTCATCGAATTCTTCGTCGTCGGCCCAGTTGGCACGGCTGGAAAAGAGAAATGGTTAGAGCAGTTATCACTGAGGGTTGACTGAGTAGTTACTCACTTCCCAAGTTGAGACATATTGTGCGTTGTGGTGTTATTGAGGCTGGAGCTGAATTTCTGGATTTCTTTCAAAGGCGAATCCGTTGTGGATTTAATAATTTACAGTGGCGCAGGTGTGGCTGGTGGCAGAATCACGTGGGGCGGTGATAGCCCCATTTGATGTGTCCTGACTACAGTAGTTGACTGACTATGCTTTCAACCACAACAAGAGACATAATTTAAAGCAAACATTATTTTCATTCTTTGCTCTATAGCATGTCTAATGACTAGATGCCGGTTCATAAACACCCATACCCCTTTGAAAGCCCCATTTACCTTTCTCCTATCTCTCTCCCCATTTGTTTTCTATTTTCCCTCAATTTTCCTCTTTGCGCTCATCTGCCTCAGTCATTCCGTCCTGTCCATTATCCGTCAAAGTTTAGTGGTGTTTTAGACATAGTCAACCCTCACACTGCCATGGTTCTTGCCCCTGAACCAAAGTGAATATTCGCAATGGGCCGAGTAATAAGTTGCCTCTATCTGGAAATTAACCTCGTAGTATCTTTCTCTATCGTGACCGCGTACAGTTGGGATACTCGCTTTATCGATTCGGTCAAGTGCCGGGTGGAGAATGGCGTGTGTTTTGATATCTTCCAGCAACCAAAGTTTAGTTTCTTTCCATGGTTTTTATCAGGCATGCACTTACTGCGATTAAAATACAATGGTGCCTCCTCGCCTTCAGCGGTATCCAGCTCGTAGAGCTGAAGACGGATTGAGTCAGCCTCTCCGTGACTTCTAAGGGCATGACGCCGCCAGTCGGTAATAGTCGGCTCAGAGTCTTTGATATCGTCACCCTATTCTAGTCAATAAGGCGTGATGCTTTAGCGAAGATCTTTGGATTTGTATCGATACTGACCTTGTTGATGAACCAGCTCATTACGTTAATGCGGTAATGGCCCCAGAAGTCGCACCAGTACCTGTTCCCGTCAGCAAGATTCTCAATCACTATTGCGGGTTATTTACCCTTTCTTGACTTTGTGGATGAAAGGGTCATAGCGAAAAGACATGATTAACCCATAGTTCTTTCGAGCCATTCGAGACTCAATGGAGACAGAAGGCGCTGATGAACACGTATCTGCCAGCACCTTTGCGCAAGCTCCTCTGACGACGGCAGTCTATCCATCAACAGGCGCGGGGATTGTGATTTCAGATGGCAAGGAATCGCGAAGAAAATTGAGCAAGAGCGGACTTTGGCCAAACCCACCGACTAGGAAGATAGATTTGACGCGATTTTTGGAGACTCTTATTTGATGCTCCACAAGTTCGCGAGTCTCTCGTAGAACGGGGGTCGACAAGTCCACTATTTCTTGACCTGTGACATGAAGGCGGCCTCGACGAACACTCAGATCCTCGTTGTCTGGAATGCCTGGCACTGAAAATGCAAATGTTTCCTTCGGGTTGCCATTGAACTTTCTCTTGACCACCATTTCGAATAACAACATCGCGGGCTCCAGGGTATCATCCCCCCAGCCTTCGCAATCACCTATTCGCCCGAGGACAAATTCTTCGAATAGATAATTGAGGTAAGCGCCACCACACAGTCTTCCACTACCTCTTGCAGACTCCCAGAGGCGAAGTCGGGGCTGGAGCTCAACGATTGTGAACGTAATACAGTCTACGGTCCCACCTCCTGCATCACAAATGACGATAGTGTCATTGACCTTCAGGGAGTGTGGGTTACTTACCGTCATAGCGTGGACAGCAGCAGCTTCGGGCTCGGATATTATTTGAATTTCCGATGCTTTACCAAAGCCAGCTTTTTCTGCACATTCAAGTGTTTGAAATTTGGCTTTTTCAGACCAGATTGCAGGCACAGTGATCACGTATGCAAAGGTCATGTCTGTAAAACCATCTCCAATCTGGATTTTGAGGACTTTGTCGATGTGCCTTTTAAGAGCACTCAGGTAATCCACCAAGGCACTCTCAGGGGTCGCGTGATGTGGGTAATCCATACGACGCCTATCTCGATGGTTGGCTGAAAGAGTAGAATCGAGGTGATGTTTTCCATCCTTGTCCAAGGTAAGCTTCATGAATTGCAGACGTGGCATATTCTCTGGAATTTGGAACCCACAGATTGGAGCAGTGACATTATTGTCATAAGTGTACGCGAGTTCTGAAGGTACCTTTTCACTTGTTGCCCCATCTATCGAATTAGTGTTGCTGTATGGCCATTGTTTGATATGATGAATTCTATCTGGCTTGTAAATGTCAGTCGATTGATCATGGAACAAAAACTGGAGAAGTGTTGCTCACGTTGCCCACTTGTGCCCAAGCAACCCCGGAAAAGGTGGTCCCGAAATCAACCGCGACAACAATATCTCTGGCTGATGAAGACATGGTTTCCCAGGTGCCATGATGGTGGAGTAAGGTTTTGCAATCCTTCGAGTATCAGAAATGAAAAGGAAACAAGTTTGGGTAGAGACAGAAGCCTGGTTTCACTGCTGGCACTTTAGAAGTGCAATGTATCCATGTAAGAATACCTGCAAGAGGGAGAAGTTGCCACCAATGTCGTTGGATTTTGTACTTTAAGTAAAATCAGGATTAAAATAGGATAAGGGGGAAAAGAAACTTCCCAAGAGCTTGAGCTAGCCCTGGAGCGAGAGCTCAAACCCTTGGTAGGAGGAGATTTTGACGTGATACTTAAGGTCTCAAGAGGGAGATAGCGAGCAGAAGTTTAGACAGCAGGGACTCAATGGCATGTTTGTGTAGATGATGAAGACAAACGGTGAAGATAAAGATCAAAATGAAGATGAAGATACAAGAGAAAGAGAGAGGCCGTGAAAGGAAGATAAGTAGGTACATATGTACCTAAATCACCTTGAGTGAAAGTTCAGTAAGGGATCTTCTAAAATTGACACATACACTTTACTACAGACATAGGCAGTTGGGTTTGATAGAATCATTGTTGTTTTCTCCAGGCTTTTTCTTAGGCAAAATTTTCTTTGAAATCTTTCGTTCTGTCATCAACCTTCATTTTTAGTCTTTCACTCAGATTTATCTCAGGATTCTTGTGAGTATCCTCATCCTTCCCTTTTATGACATCGTCTTTAGGCAAGACTCCAGCGTAAAATCCATCGACTGACCAATTGAATGACACTGGACTGCATTTTAGCCCCGCAATGTCTTCGCAACGGCCACCTCCAAGTGAGCATTCCCCGTCAATTGCAACACTTCTCTACTCCCTGAGCCAGGTCTTCAACAGAGGCCGCATAACTACTCGCAATCTGGAAATCAGCATCACGCAACTACAATCAGAAATCCAACAACAAAGATCACAAATCGAACAACTGCAAAACGAACTGAGTCGATGCAAACAACAAGTCTTCCAACATATCAGCACCTCCCAAGTGAGCGACCGCTGGGTCTCATCAGAGCTGATAGCTATTCACGAGGGCCTATTCAACTGGATCGGCGGGCTCCCGGAGATCAATGCCTTTGCCAAAACCTGGCCACGGGTTCACGCGCAACTGCTTGGACATGATGTTTCTGGCTGTTGCGAATTGCTATCATTGTCCCCGGAGAATGTTCGCGAAGCAATGACAGAAATACTAGTGTCCGACGTCTTCGCATTCTTATGGGACTGTTGCTTCTTTCCTTTTCTGGGCTTCCTTCACGGTACTCTTGGGTCTGATCTCAATTTCATCATGGACCAAATGGCTGCTCAGAGGACACAGAAGGGTATGTATCTCCAAAGGCCATTGTCACGAAAGGGAGAAAAAGGTCGCTCATATCTACGTTCTCGACTCCAAAGCTGCAAACAGATGGAGAGCAGATACCATACAAGTAATCGCAAACAGTCCGGAAGTAGAAGAGGTCCAACTTGGGATGAGAAGTGCCGTTCACTTTGTTCGCGAGTCCCTCGCACGATTTCGGTTTCGTAATGAGATTGATTGGCCCGAGCAACTGATCAGACTCCAGGACTACGTCTTGAACCCTACAGCAGATCTTGCTATGAAGATGAAATGCTCACCCGATGAGTATAGCTAGGATTGGTCATTTCCTGGGGAGAAAATTGAAAAGCAAGACTTCAACAAATTCGATTGTGTTGATCTTCACACACATGGCCTAGTCACCTCAGCGAAAATTCGCAATTTACCAGACAATGGAGCAGTTGGAACATACTTGATGATGATTTTTCCCGGTCTCGTTGGTCAAGGACAAGATGGCGAGAAGAACATAGTTATCAAAGCCCAAGGTCATGATCGAGCTTTCACAACCAAAACCGGCATGCAAGCGGGAACGAAGTTTGGAGATGGTTGCGCCAAACAATGCTCGAAGCCCGCGAGTAAAAAAAGAGCCGCTTATCAAAAAAAGAGGGCAATGACATGACCATTGGTCTTAATGCGAGCTCAAGGACAAGGACATCTTCACACCGCCAGTGAAGATTGAAAGGAAGACAGAGAGAGGGAAAAAGAACAGAGAACTAGATTCGAGGTATGGCAGAAAGAAGAAAATGGATAGGGATCGCTTTGACTTTTCTGATTTGATTGCGTGGAGTTCGTTTGAAGGAGGGTGAAATTTGAACTGGGAAAAAACGTTTGTTCGAGAATTTTCGTGATAGCCAGGGGCTTGCTAGGTTTACCAACTTGCAAAATTTTCTTTTATTTTCGGTGTTTACTCAATGCATGCTTGTGACTTAATTTAGAGCTCCAGGAATGTGCGAATTCAGCCTGTAACTTGAAAGATTTGACACCTACTCCGTTTCTTTTTGTTTCAGCGGCACTCTATTTCCCAGTGAAAGATGTTTGAATCCAGTATAAGTAAACAGCGGTCAATTTTGCCTATAAGGCAATTTGTCTTGACCGCACAAGAGTGATATACCCTCCAGGGCTTCTACACAAACCAAGGGACAACATTGACCATATAGCTCCCCACAGCGTAGAAGCTGAGCATCCATACATCCATGGATGTACCTAGGTATCTGGTTGGCGGATTGGCCTAAGGTCGTTCGCTCAAGTTTCGCATCATGCCACAGACTAGACAGTCCATAATGGTTATCAAATCAAGAATGGACTCGTCAGCTACAGATAAGCTGTCCTGTCATGCCCCGGGGCCCCCATGCCAACATGTATTTGAAGTTACAGTACATGGTGTTTCAACAATCTTCCAATGCAATAGCATTATGGAATATTTGCTTTTTGACTCAAAGAGATACACCAAAAAGATTGATAGAACACCGAACGATAAATTCGAACAGATCAAAACTCTCATTTAAGATATCAACCCGAACTATATCAAAACGCCAACAAAAACCTCACAACCCCTCCAAAGCCTCCTCGGTCCAATTCCAAAGCCTCTCCCCAAGTCCCTCATCCCTCGCATCCCCATCAAGCCGCCCATCCTTCAACCTCCCAACAGGCTCATAATACCCGCCATTAACAACCTCCTTCTTATCAACCGTAGCAGCCCAAACCTGATTCCACGCACCCTCCTGCACAGAAACAAACTTCCACCAAGCAGTCGCATAAATAAGCAGTTTATCCTTAAGCCCCAAGCCATGGAAAAGCCCAGTTCCCACAACACCCGGATGAACAGAAACAGCCGTCAACCCCGGCACGCGGCGTGCCAGCTCCCGCGCCCAAATCAGGTTCGCAAGCTTGCTTTGTCCGTACCGCCGCCACGGCCCGCCGAAGGGGAAAGATTGTGTTGTGCGCAGATCTGGAAATATGATGCCGCCACTGGGGTGTAGCGCCCAGCCTTGGGAGGTTAAAAGGACGGTGCGTGGATCTGGGGAGGCGGTGAGGAGGGGGAGGAGTTTTTTGATTAGCAGGGCATGGCCTAGGTGGTTGGTGCCGAATTGAATCTCATAGCCGTCTGTTGTTAGGGCTGGGGTATGGGCCATTATTCCTGCGTTGCAGATTAGGATATCGAGTTTTTGGACTTGAGGTTGAGCTATGAAGGTTGTTGCGGCTTGTGAGACGGAGGTGAGGGAGGCCAGGTCGCATTGTATGAATGTTACTGAGGTGATAGAGTTTGTTTCGTGGATTTGTTGGATGATAGCTTTGGCGGCGGCAGCGTTGCGGCCGCTTATGTAGATGTGTTCTGGGTTGTGTTTTGCTAGGTGGAGGGCTGATGCTGCGCCTAGGCCGCCGGTTCCTGGGAATGAGGTTAATTTGTGATTGAATGTGTGAGTGGTGTGGTTTGGAAGACTTACCTCCTGTGATGAAGATAGTTTTCCCTGTCAGGTCGGGGATATCCCTTTCTGGGTCGTAAATAGGCATGTTGTATGGATTTAGGGCTAAGTGTTATAAGGGCAGTATGGCAGTCAATATAGAAGATAACTAGCTGATTGTTTCGAACACAAGAATAAATCTCGAGCATTGTACTCAGCTCGAGAGCACTGCTTTTATTGAGAGATGCGGGATTTCCGGATCCCTTGCTCAAATGATATGTATCCAAATTAGGGCAACACACCTGTTGGATCCACAGTAGCTGATGGCAGCCAATCAAATGCCATAATTTGCGAGCCCTCCAATGCCCATGCCGTTCCTTTGCCTTATAGTTATCATGTTTTCTAACGCGCATTTAGGTAGTCCTTTTTTGACTCATCTGAGTCAGACACTGCTGTTCCAGTCATCAACTTTGGTTTCTTTCGAATTTTTTCCTTGGAGAAACCACTACTAGGCTTACGTTTTTACGAGTTCAGAAAAGAGGTATGTTTCAATCATGTTAAATTGATATGCGATTAATGCAGCAATGACAATACTCAAAGTCGATGAAATCGCAAAATAGCCACCCGAGTGAAGTCAACCAATATGTACACCACATCCCAAGCTATGTACCATAAAAATCAAAAAAGAAAAAAAAAAAACTACCGGCCAAAGTAACGAATCTCGATCGGTCGGAAGACGCAATACGTCGTAGAAGCAAATGCAAAGCCAAGCTCGAAGCCAACATCACCACCACTAGCATGCTTTGCAATAGGACCAGTCCACCACGATTGGCTCATTCCCACAACAACACCAGCAACGCCAAAGGCGAAGGCAACCGAGGCAGCAATGCCGACAGGCAGCTTATCAGCCTTGTCGTAATCTTCGGGACGGTAGCCGGCAAACCCACGACGGAAGATGAAGTGATCGGCGATCGCAATGCCAGAGTAAATGGCCAGCCAGTACGCGATAAGATTCATGAAGTTCTCAAGGACGACTTCGAAGTGCGAGTAGCCCGGAATGGCGATCGCGAGGGAGACACACGAGGCGAGGAAAGTCCAGATAAAGCGGGGCACGCGCTGGGTGACCCGGCCCAGGACCTGCAGGGTCAGGGAGACAGAGTAGATGTTGGGGCAGTTGTTTGCGATAATGGACAGAGCGAGAACAACGAGGCAGAATTTTCCAAAGCCGCCCAGAGGATCGAGCACAGCTGCCAGCAGGCCGCCGTTAGAGGATGCCTGGAAGCCTTCCATGTACTTGTTGTGGACGCCGTCGCCGATATCAGTCGCGGACATGACGGCGATGCCGAGGAATTGGGTGAAGATCAGTGGGACGATCAGGCCCAGCCAGGCGGAGAAAAAGACCAGACGCCGGCTTTGCGTCTTGGGCTGGTAGACGGTGTAGTCGGCTGCGTAGCTGGTCCAGCCAGTTGCGAAGCCGTAGACGGTTGAGCCGAAAGAGAGGCAGGAGCCCATTTCGGATTTTCCCACGCCCATGGGGATGTTGACGAAGTCGCCTGAGTGCGCGAACATGCCTAGCACGATGAAGAACACGATGCAGGTCGGGATCCAGCTCCAGTACTCATAGGCGTGCACGAACTTATATCCGGCGAAGGTGATGAAGAGTGTGCAGAAGGTGATGATCAGGATACCGGCGAATCCGGGGACGTCGCCGTTGACGGCGTTGAGGAGCTGCGCGCCGACGATGGCGTTGGCAGCGGACCAACCGACACATGCGATGACGTTGAGGACGGCGACTGGAAAGAACCAGGTCAGTTATACCGTTTTATGCACGCGTGCATATCAAGTGACTTACTGAATTTCACAGCCCACCATCCAAACCAGAATCGTGACAGCACCATCTGGCGCAGACCAAATGCGGGACCGAAGCACGAGAAGAAGCATACGGTCATCACACCGAGGAGGTTGAAAAAGAGGCACACTAGGATAGCATCGAGGAAGCCCATGTCGAAAGCGGACTTTCCAAGAACACCAATGGCAAAGGAACTGACTACCATGTTTGCGGCCAACCACTAGGTTCGGTCAGTTTATGTCCCTCTCCACGATTATGCCGGTATAGAAACACACCATGCTGCCAATGTTGAGGAACGAGTCATCGTTTCGCTCGGAATCCGGGACGCGTTCGACACCACGCTGTTCGATGTTGAACTTTCCGGCGAAGCGCTGGATCTTGGCGTAGGTGGAATTGCCGTACTCGAAGCTCTCGCCGGGCACAGCATTGTCGCTAGCGGTATCGTATTGCTCATTGCTATTTGTTTCGGAGCCATTGTTCACACGGGGCGCCTTTTCGAGGTCTTCTTCCGCCCCACGGAATGCTTTTGTGAATTTAGGAAGCATTGTCGTGTTAGTCCTCACCAGTGAAGGCGAAGAAGGGAAGGTATATAAAGAGGAATGAATCGAAGAGCTAAGCTCAGCGAGATCCAAATCAGGATAATCAGGATAAGAAAGAGAAATGAATACACATCTTTTTTTTCTTTTTTTCTTTGCTCCACTGCCGGGGAGGAGCTGTTAATATAGTGTCGCGAGAATTCTTTGCGCGTTCTCGGCCCCACCGTGGCAAAGATAGCCCTTGCTCGCGTGGGCGTGAAAATTCCACTCCAGAAAAAGAAGCAAATAACAAGCCTTCGGGTCCCACTCATGGCGGACTCTGCCCAATCAAAACATTCAAAGAGGCCTTAGCTTATCACAATCCAGAGGAATCTGTGTTCGCTTGCTTCGGTCGCGTCTGAAAAACGACGCGATTGGTTAATTTGTGTGCGAAACGGTCTAAGAGTGGAGTTGCTCGGACCCCGTCGGAAGAAGATAAGGACTCCCGACTCCGATAATGACTGTTGGCTTCACTGTTAAGGTTTCAGGTACCTTTTCTACTGATTGGATATACAAAGTGTACCTGGTCATCTTGTACACACCCTTATCATTTCAGTTCTGGTCGGTTCATTCATCAAATTACCCCCTTTCCACTGGTCAATCCCCGTATCAATGTCACCGTGTCACTATTGTCGGTGTCTTAAATCAAGCTTTGTGCTCGTCAGACGGAATACGCCGATATGCGTGAAACACAAAACCTTGGAAAGCTTGATATATGAAGCCTTTCCATCAACTTGGCACGTGGTGATGTGCGGGGAAATATGCTCTACCCCAGATGTATTATGAACTATACTCTATTTATGACTACATATCCAAGGATGACTTACTTATTTGACGTGACTATGATGCTATCAATACGTACATTACATGTAGTAGTTCGCTGCAAAGTGCATACAGTGGCTACAAGCCTCAATCTAGAAGGTAGAGCCGATCGATTGTGCATATCCCTGATTATCTTCAAAGTATTAGACATGTCTGTCTTGTCTGTCATATCTTTCACATCTTCTTTCCACAATCAATCAATTTAGTTTAGATAACTACATGTGTAGGATTACTATCCAAATCATTTGCGGAGATCACCGTGCTGCATATCATTGGTGCATGGACTCGGGAGCGGACCAGATCTGTTGACAGACCCGATCATGGAAATCTACCTCCGTGATCTATACTTGATTCTATCTAGTCCGTATGTCGGCCCGATGTAAATCATTGACTTGACCATTGGCTGCCGGGAAGGGGATATTGATTTACATCATTATACCTGGGGTCAATGGCATTGAACGATAATGATCTACTCGTGAGTCTCGTTTGTATTTTGCTCGCTGCTATTGATGGCATCGAAATTCGGGACGGTCCGAAATGGCGGGGGACTGCTATCTATGGCTATAATGCTAGATCTCGGACATGTTCGGTGAACCAACTTTGGGTTTCGACCGCAACGTTCGATGAATGCATCCAGGGATGTCAAATTATGCGACTAATCCGATCTTTGCACGGTAGTTAGACTTCGCTGTGGACGAACGAAGCTCTGAAATGCCACAGTTACTGTATTGTGCTTTCCTCCCTGTTCTACCAATCACATTGAGCACGTAAGCTACGATAGTCCCTTTCGTCAATTCCCCAAAGTACGTTCCAGCCTTTTCCTCGCAACATTTTTCTCCTCGCAACACTCGGAATCATCCATCAACCCTTCCTCTCCATATGCCTACTGCTCTGCTGCGCTATACCATGACGACGGATGCAGCATTGAAATCAACACCCGTTCCACACCCGATACAACCCAGGCGCATGTCAAATCCACAGATAGGAACATACAGAAAGAACAAGCTGCTGAGATGCCACCGTATTTAAAAAGGTGTTCAAAATTGCTCTTGATTGATTCGCCTTGCTATTCGAATTGGAAGCAAAACCTCTCACTGGCATTTCTCTCAACCAGGTAACCACGCATTTGGAGCTCATTAGCTTTGACTGTTTATGCTAACTCATGCCAAATCCCAAATTCGCGGCCTTTTTCTCTCCCTATCGTCCAGATTTCTCTCCACCAGCTACATCGCCACCATCTCCCTTTCTTCCTCAGACACATAACCCTCATCAGAATGATCATGCTGACCATCACTCAACCCCTCAACTCAGCCACCCCACTCAAAGCCAACTCCCTATTCAAACCCACTGCATCTCCAGCAACTTCTCCGACGGCAGCAGCACATTCTCCGGATCCTCCGTTGTGAGCGTATTGATTCCCCAGAACAAATCTTGCTCTCGGTAACATCAGGGGTGGCTGGAGCGATGCAATCATTTTCGGAGGTGGTGAGAATGGGCACGACCTGGATCACGCCAGAGGGCCGATACTCAGGCGCCCCTGAAGATGTCCGACAGGGAGGATACTTTGGAGGAGTAGAAGTGCTGATCCACCAATATCTTGATCTCCCGGTGGTAGATGTCCCTGGTGCTTGAGGGGAGGTTTGCTCTGGGTGCGTTGGGTGGGTGGTCCCTGGACAGTATCAGTGAGCGCGTCGAGCATATTACAAAGTATATATAACTGTGACCTACGCAGTTTCTGATTGAAGATCCACATTTGGTGCCCCAGGAGATGCAGACTGCTAGTCCAAGGCCTCTCGCGGGCACCATCAACGATCGATTTCAGGTAGTCTAGGTCTGACAACCAGAGGATAGCATGCAAAGAAGGATCAACGTAGCGAGTCTCACTGATCAGACTGATTTCTTTGAGCAAAGCCAATCGTAGGGGATCCTTAGCTTCTGATATGGCTTCTGGGACATCATCCATGATTGGAAGCTTGTCTTTGTGTTGTACGTGACGGGGTAAACAAAATTGTTCCAAACTACCAGTATCATCACGCCGAAATTCTTGGAAGGCATGAAGACAATTATGAGATAGGAGATAATGAGTGTAATTTTTATTTTTATTTTGAATGTTCGGTTTCATTCTACGTTGAGACTAGATTTCTCGTAGAGCTGTAAAGAAGTGTGGTATATATAACAAGAAGATAAAATGATTAATGCATGCTACCTCCTCTATGGCTTAATGATAAGTAAGATATAAATACAATTCTACCTCTAAAATCAGCTAATTATTGGCTTTCTTAGCTAGTGATCTGACTGAGTGAAGGATTGTGGTTAGTCCAAAAGAGGAGGGGCCAGGGGTTATATATCATGTCACAACAAGTTGAAAAATTAATTGAAGGCAGAGGCGAGTAGAGAATTACCGTAGCCATCTAAGGGTTTCAGCTCGATTCTGACTTGGTCCTGCAGATTGTAGTAGTATCTCAACTGAAGGTTGACTTTGCTACACTACACCCATTCAATGTAAGGAATAGGAATATTAAAAAGAGCATTATGACCTCGACATCTATTCATAGATATAGCAAATTTTTCGTCGCCTTGTTCAATTGAATGAGCATTTTCCACCCCCGAGGTCTTTGCGAATATTTCATCTTTTTAGTCACGAGCCGAACAAGTACATTCACAGAAATGAAAAGAAGAAGAAGAAGAAAGAAGGAGATAAGTATAACAAAATCAGAGCCGATTCCAAGTTGGGCCTAGCTCGAAACCTTATTGTGCAGCCGTAGAACTACATTTTCGGCGTCAAACCCGACTTGAATTGTATTCTAGGTATATCTTGTAGAAATGAATTTTAAACTTGTACGTCTGCATACCTAGGTATATATCTCTTAGCCCGTGGACAATACTCCCCAACACTTCAAAACTAAAGTCAGCGATTTGTCATGATGAAACCACTACTAAAAAAACGTGTAGAGGGCCTCAAAAAGTATACCTAAATATGATAGGTTCAGAATTTCTAGACCGGACAGGATGTACGTGTGAAAGCCATTTTGGAGGTATTTCGGTTCAGCAATAGAATCAACCAGACTAAGATCATCCCGATACCATCAAGCAATAACCAACGTGGCTCTACCATGCAACCCCTTTCGACCTTTCAATTCCGTTTCCACCATCGCCGTTTGACCTTATGGGATTCCTCGTTGAGAAGATTCTTCTCCTCGAGTTTCATTGGCGGCAACAAAAAGAAAGCCTCTGCCATCCGAACCATAAAGATCGGGTTATCGTCATCAAGATTCTTTTTAAATTCATCGGCAATTCCCTCTCTCTCTTCTGCCGTATACTCGAATCCTCGTTCACTCGAACAACACCCACAGCTAGGTGTACAGTGTCCAATCCCTTTGTTTCTTGTTGCTCGTTCGTGGCGAGTCTGACAGCATCCACATCTTCGGCTACAGCAGCCACCTCTTTTTTTCACAGTCCTCGACAAGCTCTTTCCGGAGAAACCAATTTGGAGTTTGTCGGAGGATATCATGGTCCGCTTTTATAGGCCCATCAGGAAGCATTCTTTGAGCAACGTATAGCCTATACTCGGCCTGGCTATATTGACGAAGTAAATTTGCAAGCTCTTGGTGAGACTCTGCTTCTTTGTCGTCATGTCCGTCGGCCGCTATCTTTTTGGAAACCAGAATCTTGCAAGTGACGAATTCTTGGCGTTGAACGATTTCACAGAGAAGATATTCGGCCAGGATAACATCCACGAAAATTTCAGTTTTGAAGAACAGTCTACCATAACCGTCGCCATAATAGAGTCCGCGATGACTTTCCCATTTACTAGTGCTGGTGCTGCATAGTTGCTTACAGGCGACAATCTTGCCTTTTCAGCCATGTTATACACCGATCCCGCTGGTTGAAAGTGCTGAACAGGGTAGAGATTCGAGGTGAAGGAGAAAAAGAAAAGAAGAGGAAGAAAAAGAACGTAGAAGGCATGACACTACCTAGGTAAGAGCCGCTCCTAAATTGGGCCTAGCCCGAAACCTTATACGTAGCCTTGTAAATAGGCGTCTAGGGCAATGTCCGCAGGTTACGAATTTGCTGTCTACTAAGTTACGAGATTTAAATCAGCATGCGAAGACAGAGTTTGGTTTGTCTATTAGTTTATACGTAAGTGAATCCTATTATCCCAAACGAAGCGTAAAACCAGCACCCGCTTCGCCCGCATCTCCACCAGCAGCACCACCAAAGACGCCCGCAAAATCCAATGCTGGCGCCTCTTGGCCGCGCCTAGGCGCCTCAGGAGTACGGTGACGTCTCTGCTTCTCCATACCGGCCTTAGACGGGAAAGTAGGGAACATCTCGCGTGGTTTCGGTCGAGGATCTTCCCTGAAATAAGGATGTTGAAGACACTGTTTTGCCGTAGGTCGCGAGGCAGGGTTGAGTGCCAAGAGCTCAGACAAAAGGCCCAGGCCTGCATTTGTGAGGTATGGGAATCGGGAGCGAGGCAGGAGAGGCGGGGTTCCTGCTGAGACGGACGCGGAGGAAGATGGTATCTTCAAGGATTTGGCATTAGGCAGTGACCGGAAGCCGGGCCATGTTTGGGAATTTGGCGGGCCTGTCAGGGCGAAGATCTTGGATACTTGGTCGACTTCGTTTTTGCCTTGGAGAAGGGGTTCTTTGGTCAGGAGCTCGCCGAAGATACAGCCGATGCTCCACATGTCGATTTCTGTGCCGTATTTATCTGCGCCGAGGAGGAGTTCCGGGGCGCGGTACCATAATGTTACGACGAGTTGGGTCAGTTTAGGTGGTGGGTCGCCGTAGTACCGGGCCATGCCGAAGTCGGCGATTTTGAGCTCGCCGCGGTTGTTCATTAAGAGGTTGGAGGTTTTAAGGTCGCGGTGCATGATCCATTGCGAGTGTAGAAATTCGAGTCCGCCTACTACCTGCAGAAGGACGGTTTTGATCTCCGAGGGAAGGAACGGTTCGCGCATTTCGTCTAGAAGGGCTTTGAGGTCGTGTTCGTGGAAATCCATCACTAAATATACACTGCAGCAACCGATTTATTAGCGCATTGATGACAGGGTATATTTTTGGGGGGAAACTCACTCGCTCATTTTATTGCCCATGACTACCTCGCGCAGGTAGACGACATTCTGATGTCGTGCCTCCAAGAGTGTCTGGATCTCCCGTAGGCCGGTGACTGGGAACCCGTCCGGCGAGTTCTCGAGCTTCAGCTTTTTCAACGCAACAATCTCTCCTGTTGAGATATCCTTCGCGCGCGACACCCATCCATAGGAGCCCTCTTCGATATGATTCAGTTTCTCGAAGTTGTCCACATGCCGGCAAGGGCCCCATTCTCCAACCGGGAAGCGCAACAATGCCGACTGCTTTCTCTCCTCTTTGTCGACGTTGGCTACCTTAGCTTCGGGGATGTTGCGGTCATTCGAGAGTCGTCGTCGTTTTGTCGGGGGACCTGATTCGCCATTGGGGCCTTGTGTGTTGTTTGCATCTTGCTGACGAGCTTGTTGAGCCTTGGCTTCCTCGAGCTGTCGTTGTTTCTCCGCCTTGGCGCGTCGTTTTTGTTCCTTTTCGTGTTTTTGTCGAGCAATTATTGCCTCCGTTTCTGGATCATCGTTTGCCCATCTGGATTTGGAGGACATGGTCGAAGTGGTTGTTGAGGAGAGAGAGGGTTCGGGATGACGTTTTTTTCCTTTATCGAAAAGAGTTGCCGAGTTCCAACGATTTGAAATCCGAACGGGGCCCCGCTTCCAAATTGTACTTCAACGATGTAGCACGTCTTAGTTCTGAACATTTCTGCTCTTATTTCTTTTCTCTTCTTTCGATCTTCAACCTTTACACCTCCTTCTCTCCCCCTTGCGACTCCCAGCAGATCTACCCTGACTTCCCCACCATGATCGAACCATTCCAGGTGAGCACATCCAAGCGCATCTGAAGACCCAATGCTAATAATTTCCACGTTTATAGACGACCTTCTCGGTCCCAATGACCTGCGAAGGGTGTATTAAGTCAATCTCCAACGCTCTGCACGCCATCACAGGTAAATCCACCCAGAAACAGCCCGGCGCATTCCACCGATCTAACCCCGCGACAGGTATCAACAAAGTCGACGCAAACCTAAAGGATCAGCTCGTCTTCGTCGAAGGCACCGCCGCCCCTAGTGAAATTGTCACCGCAATCGAAGGCACCGGCCGCGACGCTATCCTCCGCGGCAGTGGCAACACAGACAGTACGGGATCCCCGGACTCATACTCCAATACACCAAACAATGAACAAATCATTATCTAACATCACCCAGGCTCTGCCGTCTGTATTCTCGAAACACACGCGACAACCGTCCCCAACCAGGTTCGCGGCCTCGCGCGCATGGTCCAAGTCTCGTCCAACATGACACTCGTCGACTTGACTATCAACGGCCTCGCTCCGGGCCAGTACTCCGCGACAGTGCGCGAAGCGGGCGATATTTCCCGTGGCGCTGAGTCTACTGGCGGTATCTGGGAAGCTCTGAAGGACAAGCTTACTGGCACTGACAGCGGAAAGGCGCGTGGTCTTTTTGGCACTGTGGATGTCGGTGAGAACGGTCGTGGTAGTGTTTTCATGCAGCAGCCTGTTGCGATCTGGGAGATGATTGGGCGTAGTATGGTCTTGTCGAAGGGTACTGAGGGTCCTTTCCGGCGTGAGGATGAAAATACCCTTGTTGGTGTTATTGCGCGCAGTGCGGGAGTCTGGGATAACGATAAGATGGTTTGTTCGTGTTCGGGTAAGAATGTCTGGCAGGAGCGCCAGGAGCAGGTTGGTAGGGGCATGGCTTGAGTGGGTTTTACTTTTGATAGCGTGGTGTTGGGGTGGCATGGTGGTTTGTAGCAGTGAGATTCGGTACGGTTCCATGTACTACGTCCACTGCATCTCCCCACGAGGTGTTGCAGCGTTTCGATATGATTATGAATAAAAGCACGACGTTACCATGGTTAATCACGTACTTATTGAGTACATATGTAGGTACGGCATACAACAAAAAGAGACTATGGAATCCAAGACCCAAAGAATCCCCTCACGACGTTAAAACACGCCTCAATGAGAAGCTGAAGGGATGAGAAACTGTTACAAGAAAATGAATTAATACTGAAAGCCACTTAACGCAACCTAGCTCCAGACAGGGTCCATAAAAATACAATTATTTCAAGCATTAGCTCCGCGGAGAATATGAACAGCAAGTTTGATCACTTCCAACCAAAAGCGCAGTTCAAAACGGGAAGTCCGGGCGAACAGCCCTCGAAGGCCAAATCTCGATTTACAATCACTGAAACTGTCCCTGTGGCGCACCCACTCCTGGGTAAAACTCATCGTCTGTAAAATCGTCCTCAAAACTCATCACGGCCTGATCAATACTATTGGAAGGTATCTCCCGGGAAAGCATGCCCGGAGAAATCAAGTTGTTTAAACCTTGAGTCCTCTGATCTACAATCGGATATGGGCTTTGGTTGTTCATATGGCCATCATCGCTGATATGCGGTGTCATTTTGACTGGCTGGTTTCCTTGGTCTGGGTATTGGCCGCTGGTCTTGCCATCCGCAAAGAAGTATTCGTTTTGCTCGGTCACTGGAATTGGGAAAAGAATGTCAGATTCGACCGGAGACCAAATTATAGTCGATCTCGGTGTGACTGAGGTCCTTTCTGTTGATGGAATCTCTGGTGAGATAATCCCTGGAGAGGTGGAGTCGTCGGGCGAATAAAACGGGTTTTGATGATTATTGCATAGATATTCAACGGTGCCACGTTCTGAATATTCAAAGGAAGTCCGTACAGGCATGGTCGCCGCTTGGCGAGTAAAAGAAAACGTTCCATAGTCCCTGAGATTGGGTTGCATGTCGGGTTGCTCAATATGCTGATAGGTCAGTCAGAAATCAACAAGTCTGTCTACCAAACTTGTTGTGGTACTTACAGATAGCGGGGGCATGCCAATATCTGACAGGTGTTCGACCTCAGATTTTGATTCATCTGCCACTGATACCTCAGAATGGGAGGATTTCTCGTCAAAGTGAACATCATATATCTCGGCATCGGCTGAAGTAGATCTAATCAGCGGCTGCTCCTCGTCCGTATCCAGCATGTCATGGGCTGCAAGGTGTTGATTATCCGAGATCTCTGAGTGGTTTGTGCCAATAATATGCCCACCATATCCATAGGATTCCACTGCTTCATGGTAAGAAGGGGGGTCGCTGTACGATGCTTCCCGAAGAACAATGCAGTCAGGCTGCTCTTTTACTCGAGGAGCCCGTGTCGTTCCGTCTTGTCTCTCTCGTCTCTCCCTCGCCCACTGTTCCATTACCTCTTGATAGATACCCGGAAAGGCGAATGAAACTTCAGCAGAGGTTTCCGAGATTTCATCATCGGTGGTGTTTGTGATATTATGGGATCTGTGGGACCTTGAGATTGTTTGGGGGAGCGCAGAAGAGTTGCGTCTCTGTGATTCTCGTTGTTGACCTTGCTCTGAATGTCGATTGCGACCTGACTCCGAACTGTGTAGACTTCGAACTCCAGGCGAAGAAGTTAAAGGAGCTGATTTGTGAATGTGTCCCCCGCTGGGTTCTGCCCAAACAGATTGGGGATCTGCGAAATCAACGTCTTGTAGAGCAGTAGAGGTTGGATTGCCCATGGGAGATTCCATCAAATTGCGGTCTGTCGATTCGGAAGTGGTAGGAGCAACATGGCTGTCCGAACGTAGGTTCAAGGTAGTGATTTCTGTAGCTGGCTCTGCTCCCTGAGACAATTGAGAAAGAATATGATCCTGTGTGCTGGCATGGTCGATTGAGTTCTCCATCTCAGAGGCACTTATAATTGCAGAAAGTCTGCTAGGGCTTCCCGGCTTGTTAGGCACACGGTTATTATTTGTTAGTGAGAAAGTAGACAGAGTGTGTGTGTCATTAATCGGCCATGGGGGCGGAGCGCCCATTCGGTACATCTCAATGCCAAAATGCAAGTCCTCTTGTGTAGTCGAAGTATAGTTCCCCGATGAGCGATACCGTCCTTTTCTTTCACGCCTGAGATCGGCAGGGCTCATAAAACTTGGGGAATCTGAAGTCATTCCAAATTCATTTCCAACAGTAGATCGGTGAAGGATACCTGCTCTCAACGCCAATAGTCCTGACCTTGCACGGTGGAAAGAACGTTTTGAGATGCTAGAAACCCAGTTGATTGGTCTATGCGACTCTGAGGAAGAACTGGACGGCTCTTGACGACGCCAAGGGAAAATTAAAGCATCAGGATTGTGACGAGGGTCTCGAGGGTTGAAAACTGGGTAATGTGCCTTTTCCTGGCATGTTGGCTCATTTGGATTTGGGAGGCAGCTTCACTCTGAATCAGCAGAATATTTCTTTCATGCTTGCTTATGAAGTTACCTAGTTCTGTCTTTCTTCTGATGAAAGATCAGAGATAATGGAAATGGTTGGCGACGCGTGCCAGTGTCTGTCTTTTCTGTGCAATCCATGTTTAGACTAGTGAGTTGGAAGCAAACCAAGATATCCAAAAGAAAAACAAAAGCTCCACGAGGTTCAAAGCAAAGGCAGTTAAACAAGAAGCAAATGCGAAGTCGAAGGCGCGTGACCTACTCAGTACATGATGGTCGTTCTTTCCGTTATCCATATACATCGAGATATCAACATCAAGATGTACTATATAAACAATCTAAGATATTCCATCTCCTCTATGGCATACATACATGAATATGTATGCTCATAGCTCTTATATGTCCAAGGTGAGAGATACATACGCTCATCTCAATCAGCTTTATACTAAGTGTCGGTTTTATAGTCTGCTTTTTATTGAATGTTTCAACCTCAAGTTCAAAAATAGCGAGCACAGTTTCAATCGATTAAATAGAATGCGCCACAACATTCAAGAGCTTTCAATTGACATATTGAATAATTCCATTCATTCAATTCAACCAAAAAAATATATATAGATGTGGTCGATATACTCCCTACTAGGGCGGTGATACAATCAGCTCAGCCTCAACTCTGATCCGATCTCCGACCTCCGAGCTACGGCCTTCTTTTCCCCCTTCAGCCCTCCGCAATTCTTCTGCTCCAGTCACGTATTGACTTATTGTGACTGATTCATTACTTTTCTCATTCGAAATTTCCCCTCACCTCCTCACATTCAATTTGACATCTCACCATGGCCAACGAAAAATCCAAATCCAAGTCCATTTCATTTGATTCTATCATCCAGGCTGGTAAGACCCGGCGCTCCAACCCATGTGGTCAAACCTGATTATTTTCTCTTCCACATCCAGATCGCCAAAAGAAGAAGCAAGAAGATCTTGCAAACCAACTCCTAGGAAAGAACCGCAGGTCGAGCGCTCCCGGATCTGGCTCAGGCGCCGGCAGGAAAGGACAGGACAAAACACAGACCGCGAAGCCCGGCAGTTTAGCAAGCAGGATCGGAGTAGCCAAGGTATGAACGACCCCAGTATGCGACAGTGGATATATCCGCATTGAAGGAAATTGTCGACTCACCTCTCGTCTTCAACCTGCAGCGTTCTGTGTCTGCGACCGCGAAGCCCACCAAGCCAGCACCCGTCACCAATGGCCGATCGCGCGGAAACAATGGAAAGAAGGATCGCATCAATCCAGATCAGGTCTGGAAAGCTCTTCAGTCAGACAATGGGAATGTGATTGCCCAGCCACGCGCCTCTGCTCCGGGTGGCAACACCCGTAACAACATCTCCATCAAGGGCGCTTCGGGGCCATTCGTCGTTGTTGGACAAAACTTTGCACCTGGAACAACGGCTGCCGATATTCAATCCGCCCTGGAGCCAGTGACGGGGCCCATGCTCAGCTGTCGAATAATTGCGAGCAGCCCGAACGTCGTTGCGGAATTTGCATATGCGGAGAAATCGGCGGCTGAGTTGGTCGTCGCCAACTACCACAACCAGCGGGTAAGTGATGCCTCTTTTGATAGGCAGAACAGATGGATGCTGACGTGCACTCTCTAGGCCGACGGACGAATCCTCACCATGAACCTCAAATCAGCAAACACCCCGGCTCAGCCCAAGAACCAAGATCACTTCACCAAACTCCGAGCACAAGCTGATCGGGAGCGCGTCCGGGCTCGCCGCGGCCAAGGTCAAGACGACCTGCTGGCACAGACATCGAAAAACGCGCACTCTGGTCTCTATAGCGATGAAATGGTGGTTGATGCACCAGCGCAGAACACCCAGAAGAAGAACAACCAACGCAGGGGACGCCGATGAGGTCTATGCGAGGAACGATATTTGGGATTAACCAGTGTTACTATGCGAGATGGTTTGAGAGAATTCGATATGTTCTCTGATGAAATGTATGATATTGAGCAAGTGCGTTGAGATTCTTTTGCGTATCATCCGGAGCAATAACCGCGTCGGCAATGGGCCCCATCGAATCCAAACCTACGGACTAGCCAAGACCCTCGAAGAACTAGGCATAAACGTCCACACCACCGAGCTGAACCCAGTCGACGAATTCGAAGGCGAAATCGCCCGCAGCTCGAGCTCCGCCAACTATTCAAAGCAGTCAGCAGAGCAACCGAGCAGAACTTATTTCCATTAATCCTATTACAAACAAAATCGAGAAACGTACACAGATCTCATCAAGTTCAGGACACAAATAACTTCATTTGAAAATACACTACTCGGTCAACAAAGCAATGAGATATCTGATTGGTTTAGTGAGATACCAAAGCCTCGGTTTCTTTCTTGACACCAGCTCCCAAATCCGGATTGACACGCGAGAAGAGATCTAGCACAAGTCAGCCTGCAATTCATATACAAAACCCTCCACCCATTGATATCACCATAGCACCCACCGTAAACAGCCTGACGAAGCGAAGGGTGCTTCACCTGACAAAGGTGAATAGCAACATTCCCGAAGAATCTCTGCTGATGACCAGCCTCTCGCCCAATAACGTCCCACAGAGCAGCGGGCTGGACAAAATCCTCGTCTGTGACATGCGATTGGAAAGTGCATACCTCCCCTGTCCATTTCTCGTGCTCCGTGAACGTGCTCAGGGCGCTTGCCTTGACACCTTTGACGTCTTGGTAGAACTTGGTTGGCTGGAGTGAGGAGCCGACGTAGTTTGGATCTGCGCCGTAGTCGTTTGAAAAATTCATGAGGCCGTCACGCTGGAATGGACAGTATACGGGTGCTTTCGGGGCGTTTGTGGGGAGCTGCTGGTAGTTTACTCCTAGTCGATACCGGGCTGCATCTGGGTAGGAAAATAGTCTTGCTTGGAGAACTAGGACATGTGTGTTAACTTTTCGTTAGGTGCGGCGTTTGTATCTTGTGCTCTTATACTAACCTGGATCAGCGGACGGAGCAAAACCAGGCACCATGGTAGACGGCGAGAAAGCAGCTTGCTCGATATCAGTGAAGTAGTTAAGCGGCTATGGATTCCAATGACCTGTTAGCAACTTTGCACGAATGTTATGCAATGACGGCGTTCGATCTGGTGGAAACTGACGTTACGATCCAGCGTTATGCTTCCAATACGTCTCAGCGGGAAATCCTTATGCGGCCAGACTTTTGTCATGTCAAAGATGTTCCATCTATAGTTTTCCGCTTGTTCGGGGCTCATAACTTGGACATACACAGTCCAAGTCGGGTAGTCGCCCTTTTCAATGGCTTCAAAAAGATCCTGTAATAAGAAGTCAGGGTTCTCTCCGGCGATATTGACAGACTCCTCCTTGGTCAGGTTTTTGACGCTGGTTTTCATTTGGATTTTGACATAGTTGAATGACCCATCCTTGTAGTAGTGATGGCTGTTAGAAATCTGGAATAAAGCGAAGGCGCTGCCGACTCACTTCTTTGGTAAACTTGTACGTGTGACCGCTGTAAGCATTCATATGCCGAAGAGATGCTGGTGTGCCTCTATCGCTGAAGAAGTGCATCAGTTCGTGGAAACTCTCAGGATTTCCGACGTGAAAACTAATTGGTAGAAAGGAGTTTGATCAGTCTTTGCCAGATGTACTGGTTTGCCTGGAATGTGCATACTCCCAGAACTAGATGCAATTAGTATTGATACGATGATCTATGGATAAAAACTTGCACAACCTACCATATTTGGATCAGGAAGATGAGTCTGAGGGTGTCGCTTGTGCGATCTGTTCAAAGATGGGAACTTGATTGGATCTCTGATAAAGAATACAGGCTTGTCAACTGTCAGTTGTCTTAATCAGATCATAGGACAGAGGCCTGCAAACCGTGTTATTGAACACCCAGTCTAGGTTTCCTTCATCTGTGAAGAGCTTCATAGCCCAGCCATGCACGTCGCGCGAACTATCTGCCGATCCAGCTTCTCCTCCAACGGTAGAAATGCGCAACAGGAACGGTGTCTTTTTGTCTACTTTGCTCAGGAAGCTCGCGGATGTTATGTCCGAGCAGTCATCGGTGACTGTGAATTCACCAAAAGCTCTGAGAGAACCATTAGTCGGAAACTCTTCCATTGGGGTTTTTCTTACACACTTACCCAGCAGCTTTGGCGTGGACAACTCTGTCGAGAGAAAGACATTAATTTGAACCAAATTCCTGTGACAAAATGGATGACTTACCTCTCGGGGATTCTCTCTCTTGCAAAGTGAGCCAGGGTTTCAATGAGCTGAATATCCTGCAACAAGCCAGGGCCGCCGCCACCATTATTTCGAAACTGCACGGACGTGGAGGCACTCGGGTATGGACATCCTGGGTGAATTTTTTTTAGGTCAAACTCATTGTAGTTTCATGACTTTGGATTACCTTCAGCAAGCGTATAATAGCGTTGGTCCATTGCCAAAATTTGGTACGAAAGTTGTTGAAGGTACCTAGAATGATAGATGTTCTTAGAATCCTTTAATTACGCCCTTCTCGTCGTGAAGGTATAATTGTGTGACTTTAAATTGCCGTAGCGCTGACATCATGGTAGAGGTGACATGTTGCGCCCACGGGTTTTCATGGCCATCGAATGATATGCACCATCTATAATTGGCTCTTGTTCCTTTGATAAATGGGTGAGTGGAAAATTATTCCTCTACGACGATATCACAGCAGGAAAGTTTGGAGAATCTTATGAAAACGCCACGAGTTCTTATTGACTAGCGAGAGATCGTTGTATGCTAGCATTGTCATTCAAAGATCAAAGTACACAGGTATCCACAGCTCATAAGCTGTACCCTCCGTAAACCATTAAACCAGTTCCATAAATGAAGCTCATTATTTGGAGAAATGAGGAACAAGATCTTGTCTACAATTTCGTCTATCTCTCCAACTCTATGAGCTGCAGCAGAAGCAATCTCCCGTTCCATTAATGGATCTCCAATATCATCTCCAATCAACTTATATGAAAGAATCAAGCAAGGATGACATATTTAAAAGGCATATAGACCTTAAAATTTTGGCGGCCTTCAAATTTACCAAAATGGTTTCCCGTTGACTTCCAAGGGGCACTTCTATGCTTCCTTGGGTGGAATTTACCTCCAAATCCTCAGTGTTCTATGCATGTGTTCATTTCGTCTTCTGCAACACACTGAGGCTCTGAAGCTTTTCGAAAGCCTTCCAAATTTCGGTAGCACTTTGTTTCACATAGTCTGGGCTCCATTAGCGGCAATTTCACGTGTAGATGAATCATACGTACAGCATCCAACTACCATCCAGATAAAGTTGAAGAAAAAGTAATAAAACCAGAAGTAATACCCTTCCGGTCGACAGTATGAGATATCAAGCAAGCTCGTGGCGTAGTAAAGCACATCGCCGTAGACCTGGCCCAAAGATATGATGATCTGCAAAGCATGTCGCACGGGATGCTCTATCGCAATACAATATGCGATGAGGAAGGCCAGTGGTCCCCAACAAAACTAGAACAACCGAAGCCTGTCAGACATTTTCCCCGGGAAATCAATGAATACTTTCACGTACCGCAGTCACTGCTTCCATGCTGACCAAGAATGCATCGGATGTCAGATATCGGGAATCAGAAAGGGAGTATTCTTTCCAAAGCTGGTCAAACAAGCCCTGGCGAGCAGAGAGTGCTGCATGGTTGAGAACGAAGTGGGCTTCAAAGAAAAGGTGGATGAATCCAGCTGGTCCTCGTTAGCGGACTTATTTCTTGATCCTTGTCCAAAAGGATAGGGGAAACGATACTCAAGCACATCCAAGTAAAAGCCACTCGGTCCGACAGGCTCAAAGATGGCCGCATACGGCATATGAGAGTAAAAGAGAAACCCACAACAGCTGCCCACAGGATACCAAATTGCAGGATCAACGAAAGCACTGAACTTTCGTTTGCAACATAATCTGGCAACTGTATCGAAGTCGGGTAGTAATTGTGAGAAGTCATAATCGGGCTCGCCATTTTAAGGGTATAGGCGTAATCTTTTGCAGAAGTGAAGAGGGTTAGTTGTGATTCCTTCTTGTTGACTTTATAGAAAACGCAGAAGCATATAAATTTGGAACAGAATCTTGCCAAGACGGACTGAAGTAATTGAAGCCAATAAGAATGTCAAAGATGCAATATCTTCCTGGAGGCCGAGTCAGGCCACTCGTATAGTATTTTATTCCAATTTCAGGTAAAAAAGTGATGGGCTATTCGCTATGTCAACGGCGTCCGCGGGCCCCGAGACATACCCACCAGATATTATAACATATGGTGATTTACCCTCCTTCTAGTTATCTATATTTTAGTACTATTCATACCTTTTCTTTTAACTATAACCAAGGTACTTTCACATTTCGTTTATTTTCCTCATGTCTGATGTTCGACCTAGGATGTATAAACTTTGGTGAGTCTTGTCTCACGGTATCTTTAGTATGTGCACCCCATACAAAAGCTACTGAACTGAATCATAAGATCGGCATTAGGCTACATATGTGTAGGGGTGTTGTTAGACTAGGGGGCCGGGTATGTATATATGTATATACCCCGCCTGACACGTCACTTCCCTGGCGCATCTACTAATAATACCTTCAAGTCCCTATGGTTTGGGCATATCTTTTTGGTCCACACCTGCAGCAGTTCTCTCCCGAAGAATCGCAATTATGGAAGCAACGGCTACGATCCAGGATGAAATTGTTTCTCAAATAAATAAAGACTATGCAACGGTGAAGGGCTTCTTGGAAGCTAGGTCAACGATATTTCAGGAGCTCATGAAGGTCCAAGAATCGGTAAGATGATAGCAAACTTCAGTTCGATCTTTAATTTTCGATAACCTGACCAGACTACGAAACTTTGATAGGTCTGGGCGAGCCGTGAAGCAGATCAACACTATGTACACGACACGGATCCTGATGAAAAGCAGAAAAAGGGTTTCTTCTGGATGATGACGAAGATTGGCAATCAGATGCAGGCCAAAACAGAAATAATATTGCCTCCCTCCAAGACTATAAATCTCCAGGCTCTCGATATCTGCATGGCACCGGGAGGATACTCCGCAACTGTCTTGAGGTACAACTCTCATGCCAAAGTGTTTGGGCTCAGCCTACCGATAAACGAAGGTGGACATGAAGTTCTTCTTCCACGCTGGCAAACAGATAAGCGGGTTAAAATCCAGTTTGCCGACATTACCATGCTTGCTGCGGAACTCGGCTTTCCTGATTTAGTTCAAGGAGGCAATCTACAACCATCCCCATTTTCCAATGATATACCCTTTAAAGAGCAGAAGTTTGATCTTGTGTTTTGTGACGGACAGGTTCTCCGCACGCACGTACGGGCGCAGGGGTCCAAAAAGGAAGCTGTCCGACTCAGTGCCGCACAACTTATTATCGCGTTGCGAAGGATCAAGCCTGGTGGGACCTTGGTTATGCTTTTACACCAAGCCTACAGCCCTCATGTCATACGGCTTCTTGAGACATTCGATAACTTTTCTCAAATATCCCTATTTAAGTCCACAACTACCCATGCGTTTCGGAGCTCATTCTATCTTGTGGCCAAAAATGTGGACCCCCAAAGCGAGAGGGCTAATCATTTACTACAAGATATGAGAAGAAAATGGAGAACATACACAGTTCTGAATTTTGGTGTCAATCTGCCTGAGGATAACATTGAAGAAAACCAGGAAACTATGGAAGACATCATGGAGTCATTTGGTGAAAGATTGATTTCTCTGGCCGAGCCATTATGGAAGATCCAGAAAAAGGCTATGGTACAAAGGTTTTTGAAAGGGCACAGCTGACTCTATTTGTTTTCTTATCTTCTCGAGAAATGATTTGCCATTTCTTAATATGCTGCGACTTTTTACCAGTTGCTTGGGTTTTAAAAGAGTCGCATTCAACGTCTCTGCACTCACCGATATTCACTGCAACCCTCGGTGGGCATATGAACACTAACCTGGCTACAAACGAGGAGGATCCAGGACTAGTAGTTTTCAGGAAAGAGGACAGTCTTATTGTCTCTGCCTTGAAGTCTAATGGCTTGGCTCTCGTCGCTCATCTTTGCTATTCTAGACCGTCGTTTGGTTTCTCTGCGCAGGTCTACATGTGTATATCTGAGTAGGTGCTGTCTCAACGGAGTCCGCGGGTCCCGAGCCAGACCCACCAATCTATTTAGTGCAGGGATCTGCACTCCAGGGGCCCGCGGGCAGCGAGCAAGCCCTTAAAGATATAAATAGGTCTCGTATGACACTATGACGAAATAAACAAGGGGCTTGTGTTTGAGCTCTTCAAAAATTTTCGAATAGTTTGTTTGTTATCAATAGTAGCAAAACACTTGTCAACAAGTGGCTAGGATGGCCTCCACAGAAATCAATAATGTCAATCTTGACAGTGACATTGACTTTATAAAGACTCCAGCACCCAAGCCTTCAGCTTTCGGAACAAATGAAAGCTGTGAAATCCCACTGACAAATGTCAGTTTCTCAATGAACCGTCACTTGATTGAACAAATTGCTGAATCTCCCTAGTCCCCAGCCATTCACAATGCTCCTCTACCGGCCGAAGGGGCTGGCAATGAGAGCTTTTCCAATCGCCTGTTGATCGGTGCTCTCGTGGGAGTTCCAGCTCTCCTGGCCTACGGGTTGGGTGGAGGTGTGAAAACGACAATTTTCTTCGGCCTACTTACCAGCTTACCTGTTCTGATTGGTTACTGGGCCTGGAAATCAACCTCTAGTCCTCGCACCAATGACAACGTCAAATTGCCGGGTCGACCCATCGAACACTATGTGACGTTCAAAAACGAGGCAGACCGTGCCAAATGGCATGGAAGAAACCGCATCCCCATGCAAACCTTCTGTGAAATGTATCTGAACGGCGCGGTTGATTTCAACGGAGATTGTCTTGACATCCTGGAATATCGGCACGATTGGGCACATTTCGGATTTACCTGGGATCTCTTCAAATACATTTTCCTAACCTTTGCAAGGGACGTTTTGTTCCATACGAAGTCCCAAGATGAAGAGCAGATCCGTCCAAACTACGACCGCGGCAACGATCACTATGCCTGGTTCCTCGGTCCTCGCATGATCTACACCTCCGGCATAATTTCTGACACAGAGCGGGAAGAGACTCTGGAAGAAATGCAGGATAACAAGATGGCGATTGTATGCGAAAAGCTCGCACTCAAACAAGGGGAAACTATGCTGGACATCGGCTGTGGGTGGGGAACATTGGCTAAGTTCGCGAGCCTCAACTATGGAGCAAATGTGACAGGCCTCACTATTGCGCGCCACCAGACCGCATGGGGAAATGATGCTCTCCAAAAGGCCGGTATCCCCGAATCCCAAAGCCGTATTCTTTGCATGGACTACCGCGACATTCCTCATATGAAGTATGATAAGATCACGCAGCTGGAAATGGGCGAGCATGTTGGCATCCGTAAATTGACTGGCTTCTTCCGCCAATGCTATGATATGCTGAAAGATGACGGTGCCATGTATGTGCAGCTGTCCGGTCTCCGGCAAGCATGGCAGTATGAGGACTTTATCTGGGGTTTGTATTTGAATAAATACATTTTCCGTGGTGCCGACGCCTCCACCCCTCTTTGGAATTACGTCAGATCATTGGAGCGAGCTGGATTCGAAATCAAAGGGTGAGTTCCAGAAGCGCATCAAATTTTAGGCAAGACTAAACATGGAAATCGATAGTGTTGATACCGTTGGGGTTCACTATTCTGGAACACTTTGGAGATGGTATCGTAACTGGCTTGGCAACATCCATACTATCAACGCTAAGTATGGTCAGCGGTGGTTTAGAGTGAGTGCTGTCCTGAATGTGAAGTTCGTATTGGTCTAACATATGTCAGATTTGGGAACTCTTTCTTGCCTGGTCAGTTATCGCTTCTCGTCAAGGGAGTGCTACTTGTTTCCAAATCCTGGTGGTCAAGAATTTGAACGCCACGCACCGTGTCAATGGAATCGCATCCCAGTTTGGCTTGTCTGCTGCCCTTGAGTCTAGCAGAAAGGCTGGAAAGTCGAAGTTGCAGGCGGTATGAAATATTTTTCGTGGAATAGAGAGAGAGGTGCGTTGTGTTATCGAGCGGTCAAAAAGGCAGAAAGGAAGGCAGAACTCGCAAAAGCTGGCTGTGCTTGAAAATGCCTTTCTTCTGGTGGGCGTGCTTTGGTGATGCTTGCAACACGCAGATATAGCAGGTTGTGATGGCAGTTCTGCGGTATGCTTGGACGAAATTCCTTATTAAAGTAGGTTCCGATTAGTCAAGTCTGGGTTGACGTCTGCAGTATAGATTAGATGTTGATAGGAAGCAGAAGATGAACCATATTTGGTTTTGCCTTTTTTACATCAACAATCTTTCTTCCTTTTCCGATAATCAGGATCTGGGAAATCTTTAGCAATCGTTAGCAGATAACACAAAGAAGGGGAGAGGTCACTCCGACTTAGGGCTATGACTAGAACTATCCCATTTTGGGACTAGTGGATGAAAACACCGATAACGATAAGGTCACGTGTAGCGGAGCTTTTGCGGAGAGATTTAGAGAAACATCAACTCTCGATCTGGTGTACTTGAACAATTGGCTGGGCCCAGGTCATTCTGTGTTGCAAGCCAATTTAGGCTTGCGATTTTGTCGTTTTATCTGTTTGAGACAACTCCGGTGAATAAAAATCGCGACGACAATAAGATAATAACCAAAAATGAATCCAACCGCCAGGCGCGTAGCCTCGCATCTTCTCCGCAGACCTCGCCTTCCAGCTGCTCCAAGATGCCAAAAAAGATGGAACTCAAGCTTTGAACAGCGAGAATGGTCAACACCCCTAGCCAAACAACTGGCTAGCGTCATGAAGGTAGTTACGCACCAAGATCTGCCTACTTCATTCTACATTTGCTAATAATCCTCCCGACTTCAGGTCACCGGTCCCGTCCCAATTGCGGCATTCATGCGCCAAGTCTTGACCTCCCCCGATGGTGGATATTATACAACACGAGGCGAGGGCGGAGGCGTTTTCGGCAAAAATGGTGATTTCGTCACGTCGCCTGAGATTTCACAAGTTTTTGGAGAGTTGATTGGTATTTGGACTGTCGCGGAATGGATGGCACAGGGCCGTACCAGAAGTGGTGTTCAATTGATGGAGGTTGGTCCAGGAAAGGGTACTTTGATGGACGATATGCTGCGGGTGAGTGATTGCGATTGCGCTTGTCAACCCTGAAGAATGGGGATAGAACAGTCAGTGAACTGACCAGAGGATTTGTTATCGGATAGACATTCCGAAACTTCAAGAGCTTCTCCTCGAGTGTTGAAGCTATTTATCTTGTCGAAGCTAGTGGAACGCTCAGGGAAGTACAGAAGCGACTGCTTTGTGGCGAGGAAGCTGCGATGGAAGAGACTGATATCGGTCACCGGAGTAAATGCAAGTACTTTGATGTACCTGTCGTCTGGGTTGAGGATATTCGTCTTCTGCCACATGGTGAGTGATCAACCCGAGGGTCGCTAAATAGATTTGACGGATATTGACGAGAGACATTGATGATATGCAGAGGAAGGCAAGACGCCTTTCATTTTTGCACATGAATTCTTCGATGCACTTCCAATTCATGCATTTGAATCAGTCCCTCCATCTCCAGAGAACCAGCAGACAAATGAGCCAAGGAAGATCATGACCCCCACCGGCCCAGCCGAACTGCACACCCCGCCTAAGGTCGCAAATACCGCACAGTGGCGCGAGTTGATGGTCACATTAAATCCGAAGGCCGTTGAAGAGAACATAGCAGGAGAACCCGAGTTCCAATTGACTAAAGCCAAAGCTTCCACGCCCTCATCTCTGGTAATCCCAGAGATCTCCCAGCGCTACCGAGCACTCAAGTCGCAGGCAGGTTCGACCATCGAAATCAGCCCAGAGAGCCGAATCTATGCTGCAGACTTTGCACGCCGGATTGGTGGCGATTCTGCCTCCGCACTTGCTTCGAAAAAGAATCCGCCTTCCAACACACCCGCCCCATCCCAAAAAAAGACACCATCTGGCGCAGCTCTCATTATGGACTATGGAACATTGTCAACAATTCCCATTAACTCGCTTCGCGGAATCAAGAGCCACGAGAAGGTGCCCCCGCTTTCAGAGCCAGGCCGGGTGGATGTCAGCGCGGACGTGGATTTCACTTCGCTGGCTGAGGCTGCTATCGAAGGTAGTGATGGCGTTGAGGTTCACGGTCCTGTTGAGCAGGGTGATTTCCTAGGAGCTATGGGTATTGAGGAGCGCATGCGCCAGCTCCTCCGTAAAGTGCCAGATGATGAGCACAGAAAGACGCTAGAGACTGGCTGGAAGCGTCTTGTGGAGAAGAATGGCGGGTCCATGGGTCAGATCTACAAGGTCATGGCTATTCTTCCTGAGAACGGTGGAAAGAGACGGCCTGTTGGATTTGGAGGTGGCATCTCAATGTAAAGTTATGTGCCTGGTTATTATACCTCTAATGGGGATTGCTATATAATCGTTCAGCTAATACAAATATAAACCGCAACTCTGCAGACAAGAGTTTATGCGGCCGTGAAAGTTTCGTGCACTTCCAATGGCAATAGCCTTAAAATGGTTGCTTCATTCAAATCTGTTTTCTTCTTCTGTGAACCCTGGAAATTGGCATCACTTTTCCTAGCAATTACATGGGTTCATTCCGTTGGCTGACACCAGGTATATGGTGATGAGAAGATTCGCTTGCAAGCAATATCATGCAAGGTGAGCCCCCTGCATTGATCGACTACCCCTCAGGTGGCTCTCTTAAAAAGCGAGAGACTGGCCCGCACCGCTGCGTACGCTTGAAATATTCAAGTCTTTCAAATCGTGTTCAATACTGCCACGATGGCGACAGAAGAAAGCCCTCTCCTTCCGCGGCAGGAGGCACGCGTGCAGCCGAAATTTGTGGCTGGAATACTTTCTACTTGGATCGCCACTTTTCTGGCCGCCGCGGATACGACCATCACCGCAACACTCTCGTCCACGATCGCAGATGAGTTCAACTCTTTGGCGATCATCTCATGGCTTGGAACTGGATATCTCATTGGCCTCACAGTCACTCAACCCCTCAGTGGGAAGTTGAGCGACATTTTTGGCCGGCGAGCCAGCTTTTGCTTCGCGGCTTGCATGTTCATGATAGGGAATGCCATATGTGGCTTCGCGCGCTCAAAGGCTGTTCTTATCATGGCCCGAGTGGTCGCTGGTATTGGAGGAGGGGGCTGCATTTCTATCGCTACATTTATTGTATCGGACAACATTCCTCTCAAGCGCCGTGGTACATGGCAAGGCATGTCTACGGTGGTATTTACGATGGGAATAGGTCTAGGCGGAGTGATTGGAGGCGCTGTCAATGATGCCTTTGGCTGGCGATGGGCGTTTCTTGGAATTGCCCCGATCCCCATTATCTCTTGCGTTTTGGTGGCCATTTTTGTCCCGAACCATGCGGATAGAAACCAGGGCCTGCTCCAGATGCTCAGCCGTGTTGATTTTGCCGGCGCTATCACCCTTGTCGCATCCCTGGTATCACTTTTGCTCGGGTTGAACCACGAGGGTGATCAAATTCTCACTCTTCGTTTTATAGTTCTCATTTCTCTCGGAGCCACCCTTTTCGGGATATTTGTTCTCATTGAATGGCGCTGGGCCAAGGAGCCTATCATTCCTCTGTCGCTCTTCCGTCGACGCAGCGTCGTTGCCACATGTCTCACGGTTTGGTTCCTTGCCTCGTCGTTCTACATTCTTTTATATTACGTGCCGCTATATATGCGGTCCCTGGGCCATTCCCCTAGCGAGGTCGGTTTCCGGCTTTTGCCCTACCCTATCGCGTCCGGAGCAGGTTCATGCCTGATCGGTCTCATTATTCGGATGACTGGCAAATACGGCGTCTTCATGTACATCACGCCGTTGTTTATGATCATTGCGACGATCGGATTTTCGTTAACTAAGGAAAGCACACCTTGGATTCTACCAGAGCTGTATCTCGTGTGTCAGGGGATCGGCGTCGGTGGAGGACTGACTACGTTGCTTCTTGCAATGCTGCATTCTGTTTCGCACGACTCGCATGCCACTGCTACCTCCGCCCTGTATGCCTTTCGCTCGGTTGGTGCGACCGTAGGGTTGTCTGTTGCGGGTGCCGTATTCAAAGGCCGGCTTAAACGGTTTGAAAATAAGAATGGATTTAGCTGTAAGTTGACAGATGCTTGCTATCTGAACGCTCTTCATGGAGCATTTTGGTTGGCGTTGGGATTTGCATGTACGGCTTTACTTTGTGGGTTCTCGATCGAACTCAGCCCCAGAGAGAAAGACGATGAGGAGGATGAGAGAAATAGTTAGATCTGTGGTATTTCGATTGATGATGCCTGGTCTTTCAATTTGCATAGTTACATGCCCGGACTTGGCCGCGAAGGGGTTTCTCGGTCGAAATTTCTATAACAAGTCCTTCCAGAATATAACGAGGTAGAAGAGCAATTGAAGATTAATCGATCCAAATTTTTTTGCCTTCGATTCGCAAGTCATGAGCTGCCTCGCTATTGGATTAATCGTGTTTCATTTTATATCCATCCCCGTTTAGTACAGACGGCTGTTTAAATCCCTAGAGCCTGTGGAAGATATCAAACTTATAGTACCAGGTCCTTTTTGACAGGGTTCCGTGTTAATATTCTACGGCTGTGGAAAACCATAGGTCGAGATTCCATTGTTTAAACCCGATAAATGAGGTCAAAGTCGATGCCTTTAGAATGAAGTTCAGGATGCGACACTAAAGAACGAAATATCCATTGGACATGCTACGATTTATGCTTCAGAAGACGAGGACTCCTCTGTCTATTCAAGTTCTTCATACTTCAGCCAACTAAAATTAGAAACAACGAAATTCATCAATGCATCTAAGTGGTATCTCATATCAAGTTCATAAAATCACATAAAAAAGTAAATGCAGACGCAAAAGAGACCAAAGCGCGGTTCATCTCGAGCACCGAACTCAATATTCCTCCCAGACATCAGCAGCATAAGCCTCAGTCAGCTGAGTATCATTGCCATACTTTTGCTGCCACTCCACAAACCCACCATCAAGCACAAAAACTTGCTGCTTTGGGCTCTCTTCCGCGCCAAGGGTGCTTTCACGCTGGCGCGTATAGCGAAGAGCCGCAGAAGGACCACGCTGCTGGCTCAATGCACAGTGGAAGACAACCATTTTCTTGTCTTTGAGAGTGCGGATAAGCTCAGGCATGCGCACATCTAGCGTTGAGCTGGGAACCCAGTTTGAGGAGCGGATATGGCCGCCAACGTGGTCTATTTGGATTTTTAAATAAATCATCTCAATTATTTTGTAGTAAATGGATTCTTACCTGAGTCTCTGACATCAACAATGGCTAGGTTGGATGGCTCGCCAGTTGAGAGTAGGGCCGCTAGAGCATCGCGACCCATGCGGGGGAGAGTTGCAATTGAGATGGAAGACATCGTTTTTTTGAAACCGAAAAGTTTTTAACTTTTATCCAGGAGAGCCTAAGAGGCACAATGAGAGAAATTTGCAAGTTCAAGATATTTCAATGTTCTTGGACTCTACGGAGTAGAAAAGGTGCCTTGAACCATGATCCACGTGACCTACAATTTCATTTCCAATTGGGGAACGATGATTTTCCGTCGCGGCAAGATCAAGCACCCCGATTGACCCTGCAGGCTCACGCCAGACCAAATCCTCAATTCAAAAATACAACAGAGAGTCCAATCCACCTTTCAACCCTGCCAACCTGACACAAGCTCGTCCATCTACAATGGACGTCCGCCTCCTGGCCCGTGGCCTCCGCGCCAAACCAACACCATGGCTGCAACAAACCCAAGCTCTCCCCCAATTCACCCTCGCCAACGTGCGATACAACTCCAACTTCCCAAACAGAACGCCACCTAAACCCACAGCCGAAAGCACACCTGAAACCACCACGCCGCCGTCCGACTTCGACGACATCCTTAAAAAGCTCGACCTTAACCAGCGGCCCCAGGCCAACCCCGGCGCTCGCCGAATCTTCGCAGATTCCCTCTCCCGAGCCGTCGGCACCGGATCCCAGAGCGGTCTTCGATACCGGTCTCGCACGCTCCCTCCAGTCCGCAAGGTCGAAATGAAGCTCGGCCCTACCCTCGGCCGACAGGCCCACGTCGAGCCTGAGCGCGGCACCGATCTTGCTGGTGCTCTGCGCAAGCTGCAGCTTACTATTGCACAGAATAAAATTCGCCAGGAGGCTGCTGCGCAGCGCTTCCACGTCAGGAAGGGTATGGTTCGCAAGCAGAAGAAGATGGCTCGCTGGAAGAAGCTTTTCAAGTTCTCGTTCCAAGGGACTGTGCAGAAGATCCAGCGGATGCAGGCACAGGGCTGGTAGTTTGATGCTGTTTCGTTTGTTTCGTTTGGGATTGGCTACTCGGCTTGTGTATATATGCTGGTGATGGAATGGGGCAGAGTTGCGGCCTGAGAATTGGTGTTTTCCTTTGTACAATTATCATCTAGGTACTTGATTTTCTTGTTGAATTTGGCTCTCGCATTAGATATGGAATGCATTGGATTTGATTAACACGGTTAGGTATCGGTCATGAGATTACCGGGACAGACTTAGAGCACTAGTATTTTAGGGCTCTGGGTTTAGGTACACTGTACGCGCCATAGAGGGCACTTTATACCTAGGCGTAAATATAAACCTTTCCAAGCCAACTCAGTCTCTTTTCCCACTCGGGAACGAATATCCACCACCAGCCCCGTTACCATTTCCAGTCCCAGTCCCAGCTCCAGCATATCCCCCATACCCATTAGCCTTCCCACCATTACCAAAGGTAACACCAGGACTCTTTCCCCTAGCAGGAGTGCCGCCCAAAAGTCCATCCCCGTGCCAAACAGCACGACCACGGCCACCATTACGCTCCCAATACAGCGCAACCAAAGCACCAGCCGAGGCCGCCATAACAAAGAACACCAATTTCGAAAAGAAAGACCCAGAGCCCTTCCCAGTCCCAGTGGCCAACGCCAACCAAGAATCAGTAGCCGGCCGCACTGGCCACCCAATACTGTCCCCGCCTTCCAACCACGCAACATGGAAAGAGAAAGTCAGCGGTTCGCCGCGCACAACCTTGGTACCATGACCCGCAGTCCAAGGCTCACGCGCAGCCTGCGCAAGAGCAACCGGCTCCTCATCTTCATCGAGCTTGGCGATCTTTCCCGTATTATCAAACTCGGGAGTCGAGTACGCAGTCCCACCAACAACGAACCCAGGCTGCCCGGACTGAGCCCCGTTGTTAGTTTTCTGCTCTGCGGCCGCGTCCGAAGCCATGTTGTGCATGACGACGTTCATATCTGTCCAGATGTGCAGATGGCTCAGCTGCAGCGTGCCCTGGAGCGCGATGGTGAGCGGTGTAAAGGGTGGGCCGTTGTCAGCCAGCGCGGAGAGAGAGTCTGCTTCGCCTGTCTTCTCGTCTTTGGCTTTGTCTGCGTGTGCGGTAGACGGTGTTAGCGGTGCTGTTGGGATGCGGCAGGTCATGGGGACGTCTGAGTGGACGTAGAATTCGAGGAGATGGTAGAGCTCATCGGAGAGGGAGGGGATGGTGCAGGTTATTGTTTCGGAGATGCCGTAGTGGAGGGAGAGCGGGCGAGATGTCTCGTTGCAAGTGTAGAATGGAACGTATTGGAGCTTGCCGAGACTGTCGGTGACCTGTTCGCGTTGCTGTTAGCGATGCTGTTGTGGTTTGTGTGTCATGGGCGTCTGGCGCCTCGCTGGCTTACATGTTCTCCTTCCCTGTCAAAGGAATACGGTTAGCAATGGGGCTGTAGATGTGTTTGGGGGATTGCCTCACAGCGTCCGATTCAAACATGATACTGGGATGTCCTCTCTCAGCTTGTATCCCTCGCTGTTGCCATTGCTGCTCCCCGCAAGTGCGCCGGTTGGCCACAGCGCGCCTGTCAGAGAGAGCAGCGCCACCGCCGCTGAGCATGAACTAAATTGGGATCTTGGGGACATTATTGTCTTTTTCCAAGGGGTGTAGCAATTCAGGCACCCCCGCGTCGGCGGGTTGTGGACTTCGATGATGCGCAGGGGTCAAGGACGGAGTTCTGCCGCGGCGGTTGTGGAGTCCGAGTTGCGGCGCAACAAAATGTGGGTTTTTGCGCTTAAAAACAAGTAACTCTACCTTGTTGGTGACTATGTTAACCCTGAAGTCCTGAAATTGAAACCAAATTTCTACGTAACATTACACGGCGGATCGCAATGGATTCAAAAATTATTCATTTCTTTTTCCAAACTAGAAACTGTGTGAGAAAATGTCATTCGTTGCTCGTCAAAACAGCTCAAAGGTTCAAGTAAGAATTGAACACTCTTAAGCCAGGTTGGCCTTCTGCTTGAAAGCAAGCAGCAGGCCGCTGGTGGAGCTGTCGTGGTCAGCACCGGCACCGGAAGTCTCCAGCTCGCTCTGGATGTTCTTGGCGAGGGCCTTGCCCAGCTCGACACCCCACTGGTCGAAGGAGTTGATGTTCCAAACAGCACCCTCGGTGAAGGTGACGTGCTCGTAGTAGGTGATCAGAGCACCCAGAGTGGAAGGGGTGATCTTCTGGGCCAGAATAGAGGTGGTGGGACGGTTGCCGAGGAATGTCTTGTGAGAAACAAGTTCTTCGGGGGCGCCCTCAGCCTTGACCTGGTCAGGGGTCTTGCCAACCATCAGAGCCTCGGACTGGGCCAGGAAGTTAGCAGCCAGCATGCGCTGGTGCTTGCCGCCCTCAACGGGGTTGTGGGACTCAGCAGCCATCAAGAAGTCGGCCGGGATCAGCTTGGTGCCCTGGTGCAGAAGCTGGAAGAAGCTGTGCTGGGCGTTGGTGGCAGGCTCACCGAAAAGGATGGGTCCGGTGGTGTACTTGACGTACTCGCCGGTGCGAGTAATGGCCTTGCCGTTGCTCTCCATGGAAAGCTGCTGCAGGTAGGCAGGGAAACGGTGCAGGTATTGGTCGAAGGGAGCGACAAGGTGGGTCTGGGCACCAAAGAAGTCGCTGTACCAGACACTCAGCAGACCACCAAGAGCGGGGATATTCTGCTCAAGAGGAGTCTCGCGGAAGTGCTTGTCCATGGCCTGAGCACCGGCCAGGAACTGGTGGAAATTGTCGTAACCAATGTACAGAGCGACGGACAGACCAATGGCACTCCAGACGGAGTAACGGCCACCCACCCAAGACTCGAACCCAAACATGTTCTTAGCGTCAATGCCGAACTTGGTCACCTCGGACTCGTTGGTAGAGAGAGCAACGAAGTGCTTAGCAACGAATTCCTCGTTCTTGGCAGTCTCGAGGAACCATTTCTTAGCAGTTGTGGCGTTGGTGGTGGTCTCGGCGGTGGTGAAGGTCTTGGAGGCAATCAGGAAGAGGGTGGTCTCAGGGTCGGAGTTCTTCAGGGCTTCGGCGATGTGGGTGCCGTCAATGTTGGAAACGAAGTGGAGCTTCATGTCGGGGTGGCCGTAAGGCTTGAGGGCCTCGGTGACCATGACGGGGCCGCTATATAAATGATCAGTTACAATTCAGGACAGCCTGGGGGGAAATGCTTACAGATCAGAACCACCGATACCAATGTTGACAATGGTGTTGATCTTCTTGCCGGTGTAACCCTTCCACTCGCCGCTGCGAACCTGCTCGGAGAACTCCTTCATATGCTCTAAAACAGCGTTGACATCCTCAACAACGCTCTTTCCATCAACCTTCATGGGCTCCCCGGAGACGTTGCGCAGGGCAGCGTGGTAGACAGCACGGTCCTCAGTGAAGTTAATGTGCTCACCACGGAACATGGAATCACGGAGCTCCTCGACATTAGCTTCCTTGGCAAGCTTGACCAGCAGGGACACAGTCTCCTCGGTCAAGAAGTTCTTGGAGAAGTCGAAGAGAATCTCAGTGTTGTCGACAGTGTTGGCAAACTTGTGGCTGAACTTCTCGAAACGCTTAGGGTCCTTCTGGAAGTACTCCTTCAGGACAAGGTGGCGTCCGAGAGTGTTGTGGTGGTCCTGGAGCTCCTTCCAGGCGGGAAGGTCGCTAGCTTGTGAGAAACCAGGCATGATGGCGATTGGAGATCTACAGAGTCAGCGCGGGGCAAACGGAGATGACGATGACAAGGAACGTCCGGATGTTGGTTATAGGGAACTTACCAGATGGATTATGAGGAGTGTGTATGGTAGGATGAAGAAACAAAGAAAAGTGTAGAAGCAAAGAAAACTAATGGCGTCAGTTGTTCCCGGCGCGCTGGGGTCCGAGGGGTCGTGGGGCAACATCATCATTGCCGCATTCGGCCTGTTTTTTTTTTTCCATGAACTGGTTTCTATTACAAGATTGGTCTATTTACTTGTCAATTTTTCTTTGGCAATTGCTCTACAGTTTATTCTACTTGCTAATTACCTCTATTTGGGACATCTTGTCGGTCTTTTGAATGTTTTGCTATGAGGTCATTTAGTGTACCTTGCTACATATTGTCCTGCGTATTATTATCGTACATATGTACAAAATAGCACAGACCTGCACCTTGTCACTTGGATGACTGTGGACACCGAAGATACTAATTAGTCTAGTGAGTGTAATTACTTTCGACGTGGTAAATATATCCCATAGGCTATTGTTATTACTCTTCTTGGCCCGGTCTGACCAATTCGGCGGTTCCAGCTCTATAGCGGGGCATTAGAAATAGAACGGCCAACGGCTAACTATAGCTTTCCGGTTGTCAATTCGAATAGTCCAGTATTCAATTTAGCCGAAAAGTCATCTGATCATACTTTGATGCTCATGGTAAAAGATTGTATATTATTTGTGCCTAATTAGATTTCCATATTGTAACAGCTCTTTGAAAGCTTCAGAAATTCAGAGAAAGGGAAATAATTGTGCAATTGAGAGTGACACATGGACGGATTAATTAATCCGTGCCAATTAGGTACACAGTACGGAGTAAAGCAGGAAAAATGATGTTAGGAGTACATGCCGAAATGCAGAGAGATGATCTCAGAACCTTTGGGCTGGCTCACTTTGGTCTCAACACCGCCTACACCAAGCGCCGACCGCCCCCAGATTTTGCCAAGGATTGGTGCACGTGCCACCATACCGCCTTTCGCCATCGTCACGATGCCCGTGTTTCTCTTCTGTCATTGCTCTTTTGGCATTTGGCTCGGGGTCGGATTTGAAACGAGTACGATTTCAATTGAGTCTTGACTAACCCTTGCTCTGTTTAACACATCAAACTAGTCCAGGTACTGTCATTGCCGTGATGTACAACCCTTACCAAGGTAAGTAACTTTTTTCTTGCTATCGCAAAGACCTTCGAAGAAGCTTTGAATCCGCCCTGAATCAAGCTAACTATCATGAAGCTCCGGGCATGTATGGAGGTGCTCCGGATTACGGTGCCTACGGCGCTCCTCCGGGCATGGGTGAGTCGCTCCTTCCGATGTTGTATTTTTTCCAATACTAACTAGGCCCAGCACCTCCCGGAATGGCTGCTCCAGGAACTGCTGCTCCCCCCGGCATGCAGCAAGCCAACAACCAACAGGCCGGTCGAGGTTTTCCGCCCAACTTCCAACCTCCCGCCAATATGCCCAACATTAACTTTTCTGCGCCGGTGATTCGTCTAGGAACCTCCGGTCCCGCCAAGGCTGCAACACCAGATATGGGCCGGGAGCGGGGCTCGGATGGTCCTGGTCGTCGTGGTGGTCTCGGATCGACTGGCATGGACAACCAGCGTCACTCTGGCCGCGACACAATGATGCAGCTTCACCCTCCTACCCGCGATGAGGTCGTGCGCACTCTCTTTGTCGCTAATATTACTGAGGGTGTGGGTGGTGATGATGGCATTGAGCGCATCCTACGATCTGCTGGTATTTTGCGTCGCTGGATTCGCGCCACCGATGCTGACGAGAAGCCCTGTCGATTTGGTTTCGCCGAGTATGACGACCCTGAGAGTCTCGAGATTGCGGTTGAGACACTGAAGAATGTGGAGGTGCCAGTTAAGAGACAGATACCTCGCGCTGAAGGCGAAGAAGAAAAGGAGGTTGAAAAGAGCACTCTTTTGGTACGTACATATCTTCTTCTTTGTGCTCCAGAGTTACAACTGACTTTCTTTTTTTCCATAGGTCGTGGTGGATGAAGGCACTCTCACCTACCTAGAGCAATATGGGCTGAGCCGCCCAGAGCAAGACCCTGAGGATCGTCAGGCACGCTTCAGCGCTGCTCGCAACAACTTGGACAGAGCCTTGAAGGAACTCTTTCACCCTACAGCTCCTATCCAGAAGGAAGATGGGTCCGCTGTTGACCGGGAAGGCGACCTTGAGATGAAGGATGGCGAGCTTACAAAGGATGGGGAGGTGGTCACTATTCCCATTACAATTGAAGATGAATTGGCCGACATTCCGCCTGAGATGCGTGCCAATGTCGCCAAGGAGATTGCAGCATTCCGTGAGCGAAGCAATCGTCGCGATATCGAGCGTCTCCGACGTGAGGAGGAGATCGAGTCGATGGAGCGCGCACGCAATTCTGGATCTCGGATCAACCGACATGGCTCTCCTCCAGCCTCGGCTCCAAGTGGCCCTGCTGCTGGTACTAACGGTATTCCATTGGGCCCTCGGGATCGTCACGTACTGAACGCACCTTCTGGCCCAAAGGCATTTGGTGTGCAGATTCCCAAGGACTACCAGAAGGGAGTCTCATTCGTTAATGGCGGGTCCCTCAATGGGGTTTCGATTGACCGCGCAGACGAGGATTCCGATGCTAGCGATGAGGAAATTCAGCGCCGCCGCCAGGAAAAGCTAGATGGCGAACAAGAGATGTACTTCTTGGACCAAGAGCGCCGCTGGCTCAACCGGGAGCGCAGCCGAACTGCTGCCCTGGAGCGCGAGAAGAAGCGCGAGGATACGGAAGATGCAAAGCTGCAAGCTGCCCACGACGAAATGGAAATTCGCCTTGGTGCCTGGAATGACGATGTTGAGGACAGCCGAAAGATGGTCGATTACTACGCGGACCGTGGTGCCTGGCTCCGCAACCGTGGAGCATTCCGTTCGCGTGAGGTCAACATTGATGATTCCGATCGTGCCGCCGAGGATCGCGAGCGCGTGCAATCTGCCAAGCAACAAGAGCAGGCCCGTGGCATGGCTGATGACTTCCTCGCTCGCCAGGCAGAGGAACTTCAGGCCCGTACCGTGGAGGCGCCTCGCGAGCCCCAGCGCTTCAAGCTATCACTTGGAGCGGCTGCCCAGAAAGCTCAAGCCGCGACCACCCGCCGCACCGTCGCTGATGTTGAAGGTCTGTTGGAGGACGAGGAAGAAACTGAAACTACTACTCGCCGCCAACTTATTCCCATCAAGTACGACTCCGCTGCTGAGGCTGCGGGTCTCACCGAAGAAGAACGCGCCCAGGCTGCCCGTCAACTGGCCGCAGAGATCCCTACAGAGAAGGAAGGTCTCTGGAACTGGCCTGTCAAGTGGGAGTATGTGGACGAGGCTATCCTCAGCGACCAGCTCAAGCCATTCGTGGAGAAGAAGGTCGTCGAGTATCTCGGTGTGCAGGAACAAATGCTGGTCGACGTGGTGGAGGAGCATCTGCGGAAGCGTGGGCCTCCTCAGGAATTGGTAGAGCAGCTGGCAGAGGTGAGTTACCATACATCCATTCTTGTTCGCAACTTACTCATCGCGTTATTTAGGCATTGGATGAAGAAGCCGAGGTGCTTGTTCGCAAGCTGTGGCGTATGGTCATTTTCTTCTCGGAGAGCGAGAAGCGAGGCTTGTCGACTTGACGGCCCTCAATTCCAAACCCTTTTTAGCTGATGTACCTCAAAGTACGAAATACCAAGATCTGTACGTTGTACACAATAGCTATCAATGAACTATTCAATCTCGGATAACCCCAATACTTTTTCCGAATCCTAGACTAGATGCAACCCCACGGAGTAGCTTAGGATAAATCGCGGACCTACTCCGAGTATACTTCCTTTTGTCGTGATTGGTGGAATCCTGCATTTTCCCGCCGTCCGCAATTCTCCGCCAATAGGATCGCGTCTACCGTAAATGATTGAGGGCGAGGGAGGGGCGCGGGATAACCTGGTGACGGCGCGGGGGAATATATTTGCTCTATATACGGGTCGCAATCTCGTTGCATTCTTGGATTCTTTTCTCACTGAACATTTTCTTCTTCAATTCTTTGTGTCTGTTGCGCTGCTTTGAAAAAGCGCTCATCCATCCCCGAACTATACAATATACACCTTGCATTTTGGAATTGATCTACGCCAGCGTTGCTGCTAGTCATTGACAACTGTCTAATTCATTTCTTCCGTCGCAAACCTTCTTCAAAATGGTCAAGATCACTGGTTTCAGCACACGCGATGTGCGGTTCCCTGTACGTCTTGCCTCACCCATTACCATCCTACATAGTAGTTACTAACGGCCTCAAGACCTCCCTCGACAAGACTGGCTCAGACGCCATGAACGCAGCAGGCGACTACTCTTCCGCATACTGCATCATCACCACAGACTCGGAATACACCGGACATGGCATGGTACGTCAGAAACCCACCCACCCACGAACCCAACTAACAAACCAAAGACCTTCACAATCGGCCGCGGCAACGAGATCGTCTGCGCAGCCATCTCTCTCCTCGCCCCAATGGTCGTCGGCAAAGACCTGGACGAGCTAACCGCCGACTGGGGCAAGACCTGGCGGTACCTCGTCTCCGACAGCCAGCTGCGCTGGATCGGCCCGGAGAAGGGCGTAATGCACCTCGCGCTGGGCGCCGTCGTCAACGCCCTCTGGGATCTGTGGGCCAAGATCCTCGGTAAGCCCGTCTGGCGCATCGTCGCTGATATGACGCCCGAGGAATTCGTGCGCTGCATCGACTTCCGCTATATCACTGATGCTATTACGCCTGAGGAGGCGATCCGTCTCCTGCAGGAGGTCGAGCCTGGTAAGCAGGAGCGCATTAAGGAGGCTGAGGCTAGTAAGGCTGTGCCTGCTTATACTACCAGTGCTGGGTGGCTGGGGTATAGCCAGGATAAGTTGAAGCTTTTGTTGAAGGAGAGTGTTGCGCAGGGATATAAGCATTTCAAGCTTAAGGTTGGTGGTGATTTGGAGGATGATAAGGCACGTTTGAGGATTGCTCGCGAGGCCATTGGGTATGATCAGGGGAACATTCTGATGGTTGATGCCAACCAGGTATGTATATGGTTGTGATTTAGAACAAGCAGCTTCGGCGGCAAGCTAACATGTGAAACAAGGTCTGGTCCGTCCCAGAGGCTATCACCTGGATGCAGGAACTCGCCGAGTTCAAGCCCTGGTTCATTGAGGAGCCCACCTCACCCGATGATATCCTCGGCCACGCGGCCATCCGCAAGGCGCTGGAGAACACGCCACACGGCACTGTCGGCGTCGCCACAGGCGAAATGTGCCAGAACCGCGTTATCTTCAAGCAGCTTCTGCAAGCGGGTGCCTTGACGGTTCTGCAGCCTGATGCGTGCCGTGTTGGCGGTGTGAACGAGGTTCTTGCGATCTTGCTTCTGGCTCGCAAGTTCGGCGTCCCTATCGTACCTCACTCTGGTGGTGTTGGTCTGCCCGAGTACACACAGCACTTGAGCACGATCGACTATGTCGTCGTTACTGGCAAGAAGAGTGTGCTTGAGTACGTGGACCATCTGCATGAGCACTTCGTGCACCCGTCTAGTGTTCAGGATGGGTACTATGTGACACCTTTGGAGCCAGGATATAGTGTTGAGATGAAGGCGGATAGTATGGATGCATTTGAGTTCCCTGGCAAGGAGGGTAAGAGTTGGTGGAGATCTGAGGAGGCGAAGAGTATCATTGATGGGCCTCGGGTTGTATAGATTGGGACCACGTTGTCTGATAGATAATCATGTGTTTATGTGTATTTATGTTTAATAGCTTTATAAAAATTCATTGCATGTCTTGTTCATTGTGTCCAGTGTCAGTCAATAAGTCTAGACGATTTTCTTCGGTACATGCAACGTAACCTGATTGGGCGCTTTTTAGAATGCATACATTTCAATGCATCTAAAGCTTGTCTATGAGGCGCAAATCCCACATATATTGGGTCTAATTTTGGAAAGAGAGTATAAGGAGGGGGCAAAACTAGAATTGCCTCGTAAAGGCACGATTTTATTATAAAGCTAGTACATACGACCATAGGGTGTGGAAAACAGGGCTTCCCGTCCGCTCAGCCGTACTTAAGCCACACGCCGGTGAGTTAGTAGTTGGGTGGGTGACCACCAGCGAATCCTCACTGTTGTATGTTTTTTTTTTGATCAAACTGCAGGCTAGTCAAAGTGGACGACGTCATTGGTTGTGACTTCAAATAATGCAAAATAGGTTGATCATACATACAACCTGTGACAGATCGTGTAGAAGTTAGCCAGGTGCGGGTAATGGCATACCTGAAAGATCTCGGCAGCAAGGAGTATCAGCACCCGATGGATCAGTGTCGAAGTAAGGGGGCCAACAACGCTAAAACTATATCCACGCCATCGTCGAAGCTACCGCTAAAGTCGTGGTGGCCCTCAGCATTTCAAGCCTTTGTCGACAACGGGCGACTTCACACATCCTCCCATGGTCCATGTCTCCTCGATCTTAGACACACAACGCTGTCATTGGAGCTATAGAGCTTTAGGCGGGACTGGGAAGGATCAACACAATCGAAGGACCAGAAAGCAGATTGACTGGCTCCTTTCGTATTCTTAGGATAGTCCGTGACCATGTCAAACCCGGGATGCGGTCTTATCAGATCAAGGAGAGGCTTCACAGGTTCAGCCATGAACGGTCCAAACGCCTCGCCGCTGAGGTGGCATTTCATAGCTAGGAAGGTGTAACCCTTGACCGAGACTCCTCCGGGCTTGAGATCAAATCCAAAATCCGCCTACGAGGTCAACTGACTTCCTTCAATGGCCTTCTCCTGCACCTTGACTCTCTCCTGGGAGTTGAAAGTGTGTGCGTCCAGGAAGTAGCGAAATAGTGAATCATCATAACCGGGAAGATTGGGCTTCTGGGATTCATCCAGCAATGCAATGTGCATACTAAGCGTGGCCCTGTTAATGCAAGGAATATAGAATGGACGAAAGGAAAAGGGTTGAGATGCGACGGTTTCGTGGTGTGTGATGCATCTGCAGTGACTGTGCATGGAGATTGAAAAGAATCTTGAATCTATTCTGACGTAACCCTTGATTGGTATATCCGAAGCCTTTGTTTAACAGCTTCGGGGAGTTTTGATCTGATGATATTTGGGTGAGGATGTTGGCTTGGCCATTAGAAATTCATACTTGGACAGTGGAATCATATTCTCTTTGTTAAATTTGCCACTATATTCTTGGATATGAGATTCTCAGCGTGGAAGTATTATAGTCAGTGGACATAAGGTTTTACACCACCTATAGCCTCACCCAGCTCAATAGGGGTGTAAAAACTTACCTCCAGTCACTATACTTGGTCATTGATGAGAACAACCCGGCGAAGATGTGGATCTGCTCAAAGTTAGTGATCTATCTATGTAACCTACCTTACTCAATTCCAATACTCTCTATCCGATAAATATACCAAATTGACAGCCTCAACTTCTAAATTTCAGGAGCTCGTTCATCCTGCCGGCTACTTCAACCCGGACAAGTATTATGTCTTCGACAATGAGGACCAACAAAAAGGTGGTAGCAAACAGCTCCGCTGCCTGCACAGCCAGAATGACCTGGCCAATGCGCAGGCCGTTGTCGATATCTATAAGCACCTAGGCTGGCATGAGCTTGCTGATCTGTCTGTTCCTACTTTCCGCTCGTATTTGTATGTTCCGTTATGATTTGAGTTCTCAGTAATCTGAAAGGAACTGGCACGATTTATAGCCCGGATTCGGATCTCAGTGAGACCAGCAACCTCCTCCAATACGTTTTTCTCGCACACTCGCAGAAGACATCATATCTCAGTGTTTACTATCACTCCTTGTTAGAGTGTAAAGACAAGTAGACATGAGCAATCCTATTTAACATTCTTTCCCAATATATACATACTTCACAACATCTTAGGGCTGACCTTGGAGCCGGTAGAATGAGGATGTTGAGAACTCAATTGACCGCCATGGTTTGCTTGGCCCCGCCATATAATTGGTGACAGCGCACTCAGCCCCTCACTTCATATCTAGCGTCATCTATAACACGCGACTTAGGGCCTGCTTACTCTGCCAAATGAGTTGATCCTTTCGACAGCAGAGGTTTGCGGCAATGGTGAGATTTCAGCTTTAATCAGAACCAATTGACATCTAGACAATCTGTTGATTGATTTATGTACTGTCAAGGCCTAAAGTCAGGAAATCCCGTCTACAACTGGTCTACGAGAGTGAAATGGTAATCAATCTCCAGCGCTTTATTAGATGCGGGCTCAGCGTCAGATATCACCCACTGTATGAGCGGCCCCTGGTCAATGCTGCATCTCACGGCCACGCCTCTATCATTTAAATCCTCTGCGAGAACGGCATTAGGCTCGGTCATGATGCTTTTCCTTTTGGCAATCCTTTGGTGGAGACCGTACGCCAACATCACCAGGCGACAACACAGACACTCCTAGAATATGGAATGGACACAACCATTGCAATAAATCCAACAAAGTCCATTCATCAAGGCCGTGAGCACCAACGACTGATTTGTGAGCTGCTCATTAGTCGCGGTGTGCACTTGGAAATTCCGACCAGGAATAGGAAAAGCGCCCAGCCAAAACTACCGTGCTGGACCGCTCTGCATGGAGCTGTTCAAGCCCCGTCCTGCAGCCCAGACATGGTGGAGCTACTTATTTCTGTTGGTGCCGATGTCAATGTCAAGGATGAGGGTTGAAAAACGCCGTTGCGTTGGACTGCAAGTGAATGGGGGAGGGACCCCGTCACCAAAGCAAGGTTGCTTTTGGAGCACGGGACTGATATGTATATCTCAGATTACAGGAGCACGACGCCTATGGGGGAGGCAAAAGGTACAACGCGTATGTTTGAGTTTTTGTTGAATATGAAGCTAGTAGACATTTACCGAGGGGGCCAGATCCAGAGGATATTTCTACCGCCGATTGATAGCGATATAATCAGAAATCAAATTTAGATCTCCATGAAACTATGATACATTGTCAGGTCACCAGAGCCTGAGTAAATGGGTAATAGGCCCAATTCCAAAAAAAAGTACAAGGGAGCCTGTCTCCTAACTGGCATTGAAAGACCAGTCTTGAGACAGACCCCGAGAATAGAAGTTCAAAGATCAACCCTGAAGACTTCAATGCTCGTCGGCAGAAAAGAATTTTTAGATCCCACTGTGGTTGGAGGTAAAAGGGTATAATAAGAGGTTTGCGTGAGCATCATATTAGCGCCATTGAATACCAAAGAGCTTCAAGGCACTAGTCACATTTGGCTTCTCTGAAGCTTTTTCAAGAATGACGCGAGAATGACCCTTGACATCCAGCGCAAGAAGCTGGTACTCGAAATTGCTCTTGTCCAGAGGCTTCATCATGTGAACGACAACCACGCCAGAGTTGAGAGGACCCTCGACCTAGAGTGAAAGATTAGTACGCATGTTTTCATAGAATGGGGAACAAATCATACATGGAAGTGCATGTGAAGGTGTTCACGACCTAAACGATCCTTTTCGGTCCTTGATCTGGTCCTTGTCAGTACACGATTTATTGGAACTCAACCCATATAACTCACGCAATAGGTCTGTTCCGAGCCCATCTGCTGCGGGTATTCTCGCCATATGCTTGAATCTCTCTCCGATCACCGAGCAACTTTATGCATTGAGGGTCATCTTTAATGCGCGAAACTGCTTTCTCAAATTGCCATGTTCGACTGTTTGGTGAGATCACCTCGAGATAGAAAAGTGTGAAGACTCCGCCCTAGCGATATCATATAGTCAGTAACCGTATGGCAATCCTTGGAAGTTGGATACAATCCATACTGTCAGTACTGCACCGGCCAGCACGATAATGAAGTTAAAGGACTGCTGCGTTGTCCGCGCAACCTTTTCTCCCCTACTCAAATCACCCCACTGGACGCGCCCATCATCCGACAAGACTGTAATGCTCTTTTTCCTTGACGAAGTAGTTTTAGGACCAGTGCCTAGGTTACTCTGCGTGGCGTAGAACCGAGTGATCTGTGTGTGGGGGGAGGGGCGGAGGCCAAGGGATGCGGGCGAGACTCGAGGAATAGCGCGTAGCTGAAGAGCGTTCATTGTGAAGCGATATCAACCGTGAGTATTCTACAAATATAGTCAGGTCGAATGCTTCAAGTATCTCCGTTCGCTATCGATCTTCACAAGAGCATCACGTGCGGATATTACCATACGGTAATACAATACAGCCGATGGCGGAAATGGGCCAGGCCAAATGGGGGGCGCCGTATGACGATTACAGGCACAGGGTCTCCAGAAGTCCACGTTCGCCGTTCCCGATGGCTTCTTTTGTTTTCCCTAAACCCTTCTCTCATCCACCCACCTTTTCCTTTTCTCTTGTTTACTTCTGAGTGATATCTCCACTGTGTCATCATGAGTGCCACAAAGGCGCAGTCTCAAAAGATTTTTGAGAAAGTCAAGCTTAAGGCCGCAAACAAGGTGCGCAGACCCCCACCCCCGAACAGCGCTGTGTGATTGCTGCACTTGATGCTAATATTTTGGCGTATCTCAGGTCTGCTTCGACTGCGGCAGTAAGAACCCGACATGGTCCTCGGTGCCATTTGGCATTTACCTTTGCCTGGATTGCTCTGCTCACCACCGCAACCTCGGTGTGCACATCTCCTTCGTCCGATCAACAAACCTCGACCGTATGTACTCTGCGACGCAATTCCTCTACTTGTACTCCGAGTTGGAAGTTCAAGGCTGACATGTACATGCAGAGTGGCAATGGGAACAGCTGCGAGTGATGAAGGTCGGCGGAAATGAGTCCGCAACCAAATACTTCCAATCGCACGGAGGTTCCGCTGCGCTGGCTAGCAAGGATACCAAGGTCAAGTACACATGTAATGCAGCCGTCAAGTATAAGGAAGAGCTTAAGAAGCGCGCGGCGCTCGATGCGCAACAGTCAGTGCAACCCGTTATCTCGGTGGAAGTCGCATGATTCGGAGCTGACCAATGTTACTACTTTTAGGTATCCCGAGGAAGTCATCATCACGGACCTCCCCGCCGGCACTCCCTCGGATGGATCGAATACTCCCGCTGGCGATGCGGACGACGACTTTTTTTCCTCGTGGGACAAGCCCTCAATCAAGCGCCCGAGCAACCCTCCATCGCGCACCAGTACTCCGCCCGTCGTCAGCCGTACCGGCTCTCCTTTCCTGAACGCCGGTGCCAACGCAAACGGATCCCGCTCGAAATCTCCTCTGTCCGCCTCCGAAGAGAAAAGCGCATCTCCCGCTCCAAGCGCCATTCGGTCTACTGTTACCCGCAAGACCTCTGCAGCCCCCGCTGCCAAGAAGGGCAGTTTGCTCGGTGCTAAGAAGGCCCCGAAGCTTGGAGCCAAGAAGGTTGCCGCTGCCGATCTTATTGACTTCGACGAGGCCGAGCGCAAGGCCAAGGAAGAGGCTGATCGCATTGAAAAGCTTGGCTACGACCCTGAGGCTGAACAAGCAGAGGCTGACGCCAAGAAAGCAACGACTGCTGCCGCTATACCAATTGCTGCTCCTACCCCAATTAGCCCTGCTGGCAAGTCTCTTGAACGCAACTCGAGCGATGTAGGGCAGCTAGGCATGGGGATGAGCAGACTTGGCTTTGGCCAGGTCTCAAAGCCTCCTGCCCCCAAGAAGCCAACCTTTGGCTCTGTTGGTCCTGCTAAGCCCAGCGTTGAGGATCGTAAGTTGCGAAGGTTTATACTTTGCATAGACAAGACGTTCACTGACACTCGACACAGAAGCGGAACTCGACCAGAACAGGTCCCGATTCGGTAACCAGAAGGGTATCTCCTCCGATGAATTCTTTGGACGGGATCGATACGATCCCGCCGCTCAAACGGAAGCTAAGGAACGTCTCCGCCAATTCGATGGTGCTACGGCTATCTCCAGCAACAGCTACTTCGGCCGGTCCGAGGATGAGGTCCCAGCACTTGACGATGGATACGGTGATATGGAGGTTGCTGCCAAAGATTTCATCCGCCGCTTTGGTATCACCGCTGGAGACGATATCGAAAATCTTTCGCATCTCGTCGGTGAAGGTGCTACTAAACTGCAAGGTAAGCATATACCCCACACTGAATCGTCCATATAAGAGCTCCCTGCTAACTGAGCTTCCACAGGCGCTATCCGCAACTATCTGAACAACTAGGCTTGTGTCATATTTACCCATTTCCATCAGATATTACACCTTCTATTCCTCTAAGTCCCTTAGCAAGCCACATTTTTCTCCCGTTTCCCATCTTTCCCATTTCCCCTGCCCTTATATTGTGTCTATTCTCTTCCTCAAAAACCTGACAATACTCCACGAAAACCATTGTATCTGCAGTCGGTCAAATAATCAGATCTCATGTGTTTTTGTTTTTGCTTCCTGCCTCAGTGCGGCAATATAGTATGGTGGGAGGAATTTTGAGGTCTCTTTTCTTTTACTCGTCTCGTTGGTAATGTTCTAGATAATCAAAAAAACTCATGATTTGATATTTATTATAGACAACAATGCTTCTTCGCAAGTAATACAAACAAGAGTTCAACTCCAAGCTCTGTACCGCTGAAAAAAAAACTCCCATGATGAATGAAGAGACCACAGTAGTACAGACAACACCCAAATGTTGAATACAAAAAAAGGCCGAATACACAGCCAAAGGGTATCAGAAAAACACATCTCACACGCGATAAATCGCATCCGCAACCTTCGCAACCTGCCCCATCTCCCGCACATCATGAACACGCACAATGTCCGCACCCCCAGCAACACTCGCCGAAACCGTCGCCGCAGTGCCCCAAACCCTCTCCGCAGCAGTCTTCACCCCAGTAATATTCCCAATGAACCTCTTCCGACTAGGTCCCATCAACCAAGGGAAACACTCCAACCCATCCATCCCCCTCAAAGTCTCCAACCTCCTCAAGACCTCCAAATCCTCCCTTTGCCCCTTCGCAAATCCAAGCCCAGGATCAAGAATCATCCGCCACCGCCGCACCCCCGCCTCTTCGGCCGCCGCAATCCGCTCCCCCAGCTCCCCTGCAATACCCGCTATCACACCGTCCGGGTACTCGCACAGCGTGGTCATCGTCTGCGGCGTGCCGCGCATGTGCATGAGGATGACGGCCTTGCCGAGCCGCGCAACCGTAGGCAGCATATCAGGGTCCAGCATGCCGGCCGAGACATCGTTGACGATGTCCGCGCCTGCGGCGCAGGCGGCTTCGGCGACGCTCGCGCGGTAAGTGTCGATGCTGAGGGCGATGTGCGCGGCTTCAGGGAGCGAGCGGATGTGGCGGATTGCGGGGACTACGCGGGCGATTTCTGTGGCAGCACCTACGGGCTTTGAGCCTGGGCGGGTGCTTTCGCCGCCTATGTCGATTATTGTGGCGCCGGAGGCGATGAAGGCCCGGACGGTTGTTGTTAGGTGCTCGAGGTCTGTCGGGGAGTGTTTGCCGCCATCGGAGAAGGAGTCCGGGGTTAGATTTAGGATGGCCATTATGTGGGTTTGGCGGGTTGAGTCTGTTGAGTGGAGGGAGGGGAATTGGGGTGAGATTGGGGTTGTTGACATTGGGGTTGGATCTGGTGGGGGGAGCGCTGCTAGGTGTGCGCTGTATGTTTTTGAGTCCTTTCCTGGGAGAGGAGGGTATTCGTTGGGGATTAATCTGGGTTGATTGTTAGTGTCTATGTTGCTTTTGGGGTGTATATGGTTCCATTGGGAACGTACTGGCTGAGAGGTCGTAGTACAAAGTCACGCTCTAGCATCAAGTTGTGCGGAATGTTAAGACGCTCGTGGGAGAAGACCTCTTCATCATAGAGTAGGATGTCAAGATCAATGGAGCGTGGTCCTTTGTCTATGAGCTTCTTTCTGCCCAATGCAATCTCAATGGATTGAACAGCATCAAGAAGATCTAGAGGCGCGAGAGTCGTTTCCACCTAGCATTCATTAGAAAAGCTACATGTAATCGATTTTGGCTCAAGTGCATACCTCGCAAACACCATTGATGAATGGGTCTTGATCAAGCACATACATTGGTGCAGTCTCGAACAGGGAACTTGTTCTTTTCACTTTGATACCAATTCTATCCATTTCAAGACAGGCCTGTTCAATCATTTCTACTCGGTCCCCTACATTGCTCCCCAGGGCAATAAAAGCCCGGTGAATATCTGGACTGCTGTAAATCAGATTCATCTTGGAATCGAACCGAGCGGGTTGCCCAGCGGCGAAATTTCTCGCAGGCGGGGGCAAATGCAACGTTTCTAAACGATAAAGTCCATTTCTAGCCGGGTTTTTGGCTGTTGGTTTTGTGCTTTGTACGGATCCTTTTCGAATATTAGTAGTTGGTTTCAATGGAGACGCATGTCAGATCAAAAAAATTTAGCGGGGCTGCCATTTTTCCCTTTTGGGATGATACGCCGATAAGCATGCGAGGGGCTCTGGGAGTGCATACTTGGAGACTTTGTTGAGAACCGTCTATAACTATATGAAACGAACTTGTTAGTTTCACTAAAGTCAATTCATGCTTCATTTGAAGTGTACCTTGTATTCAATGATTGAGAGTCGTGCAATGCAGTTGCGTTTAACGGTAATGACAGGAGACTCAATAACTTTGCGGATGATCGTGCGCAATATGTTTGGGTCGAATATGCCAATTCAGGAGCTCTCTGCAATACCCGGGCACTCATGCTGGATTTCAAACACTATACAAAAAAAGACGAGAAACAGTGTAGAAGGAGTTCTGATAGGCCGTGAGGTTACGTCTGATTCTTGGCATAATTCGACACCTTGTTGCCTTGTTGATTGTTGCCTGAATGCCAAAAATTCTAAAACTAGTTTTGCCCGCCAGCAGGTGTTGGTGATTGATAAAACATATTTGGTGAGCTAATAAACAATTACATGGTTGTGTAGTGTAGTTGGTTATCACTGCCGGTTCTGATCCGGCCGACCTCGGTTCGAATCCGGGCACGACCTCTCTTTTTTGTCATTCTCCAAAGGAGACTATTTTTAATGGCCGTTGGCCGTCTTTTGCTGCCCTACGTATAATGAACATTGGAATGCAATGAATTATATCAAGTATTTCAACAATAGTTATCTATATCATTTTTATTTTATCTACTAAGTTTTTTAAGAATTTTTGTGAAATAATGGTTGAGATATATATATCCGAACTTGGTTTAACAAAGTAATTTTCGGTACTACTGTACCAATGTAAGTTTTTAATTCAATCGAAATTGATATGTAATACCAGAGATACACCAATTTCCGTCGACAAGCAATAAAACAAACCAACAATATAGTTGTCAACATATGACTATTGAATTCTAAACTTTCACCTTTGCTATGTATATGCTACATTACTCCGTAGATAACGTAGTTTGCCTATGAATGGCCTAGTATAGTAGAAGCAGCACTCTATCATCAATTGTGATTACATATAAAATGCTACCGGCCCAGGCAAAGCAGAATAGGGTGCCGCTTCTAATACCAAACAAATAAACGCCGCGGAGTACAAAGGAAGACAGAATATAAATATTGTGAATAGAAAGCATACATTCCGTGACGGTGTCGGCTACTAGGGGACTAACTAAGCCAGTAGGAGACCACTTATAATCTGCGCCACGGTCTGTACAATAATGGAGGACTGCCGGCCAAATAGCGTGCTTATCTCGGATTCTCGCAAGCGCGACTAGATCCTTACTCCAATCGATGGGGGGGGTAACGACTCAGGTGCTGAATGCACAGCGTGCCTATCGCGGAGTCCACCCCGTGAGACGGCGTCCCCATTGACGGGCAAAAAAAAAAAAAAAGAGGTCGTGCCCGGATTCGAACCGAGGTCGGCCGGATCAGAACCGGCAGTGATAACCAACTACACTACACAACCGTGTAGTTGTTTGTTCGTTCACTAAATACATTTATTATCCATAAACAAAATGACGGCTGGGACCATTCCGCCAAGCCAATAAAGACCAAGGTCTTACCTACATAGTTACACATGTACATAGTTACGTACATATGCAGGTACGAGATAAACTTTATCCAGACATCTCTACATCCCGAAGTCGTCTATATTTGGTCACAGTTCAGCCCACTTATCCTTATTGCCTACCCATTGGGTTCCCACTGAGAGTCTATAGTAGAAAGTCGCCTCACTTGGTGCGGACGGTGGCCCCAGCATTGCTAGGGCTAAAAAATTATAAACAGCAGGTATTGCGCTTGATTTAAAATCCAATGTTTTTCATTTTCCATCAGACATTGATCTTATGTTTATGGTGCCAAGCTCCACAGGCATTGAAGTATTGAGCTCTGTATGCGTTGAGCCGTCAAGCTCCGCACGGCGTGTACCAGCGAGCTCTGTAGGCGTTGAACCATTGAGTTCTGCGCGAACCGTCGTGCGATCCGACGCGAACTCAGATGTGAATTTTGTCGATGCGGGCAATTCAGCAGATTGCAACTCTTCGCTTCGATGGCGTCTTCTTCGAATACAAGATATGGCCAGAACAAAGAGGATGGCAAAAGTCACACCCAAAGAAACGCCAACTCCTATTTCTATTTTCGCGCCGGGGGAAAGACCAGAGCTCGGCGTCAATGCGTCAGCTGGATTTGTGAAATTGCTCCCATATCACGTTTCATCTATCCAGTTACCAACGGGGCGACGGGTCAACGCATTCCATTGTTTTATGAATTGTTATTCATAGATAACTCGAATTGCTTCCCACCCGGCTGGACCCCTACCTCTTATGTATCACCCGGCATATGCCCAAGCGGCTACACACTTGCCGAAACCTCATTGGAGAGCATCAATTCTTTAACCGAGACCTATGGAACTTGTTGTCCAACGTAGGTGACCCGTACCAGCGCACTATAATCTCAGTCCAATTGCGGGGAACCTCGAGGGGAGCTGATGGAGAAGACAAAGGAGCTATAATGTGATGACTTCATATGGGCTCGAATTGAATTCTCGTCACGGCCATGCCTCTCAAATTCAATCAAACATCAAAGCTATCGGGTGCCAAACACGACTACGGTCGCGGTTTCAACGCATTGATCATTCTTGCTCTAGTCTTCTTTGGTTCCGACGAAGAAAACAAGGGCAGCAGGAGGACCCTGCAAAGCCTCGAAATGAAGCTGATTCTACGCAAATTGTAGAGACATTCTCGTCGCAGAGGTATGAGCTTCCGGCACGCTCTGCTCCCACCGAGTTACCGCCAAACGAGATATCAGAGCTTGACGGAAGTTGTTGAGATCTTTGACCTTTAGCCATTTGTACCGGCCACCTAGTGAATAAAAATAGGATCTATTACTATAGGGTATTGATATCATGGGTGTAGTCATTAAAGAGTGGTGAGAACTGTTGCAGATAGTATTCATGACCTCTCTTTATATACAGTCTCATGTCTCGAATACCATAATTTTCCATTGCTTAAAAACGTTTCATCCTTTTATCTTTTCTGAGCTATATCTTAAATGATTTATTACACGAGAAGATCCTTCTTAGATGAGATCATCGTTACTGCACCTAGCAATATTGCCTTGTAGATATTACGTTGACTAGCATTAATTAGGATTGTACTGCGTTCACACGATCGAGAGTCTACGGCTAATAATAGAAATATTTCAAAGTTATAGCGTTCCAGTCTGACATGTCTTGAACGAATCATAGTTAGCTCACCTTTCAGTCATTGTTGTTGTCATCCATGGATGGGTGTCTCAGACATCAGCCTCTCCCAGTGGTTTGGTCCAATTTTCCTTCGTAATCTTTTCCTTCTGCAATTGGATACATTTCTCAGTTCTTTGAAGTTTCAGTAGCCTCAACAATTTTTCGTTTAGAAACACTTGTCTAGATTAACATGCAGTGTCTCCCCGCCTTTCCCCCTTCCTTGATATCCCGATCCTGGGGAAATCCTACCACCCTCTCTGAGATACCTAGACAGAATACCATCCCTGAACTCCCGGTTGAGGTCTTATTGTCAATAGCGGACTTTCTCACCCGCGACGATGTGACTTGCACCTCACTCTGCAATCGTCGACTTTTTGCTATCTTTCACCTTTGGAGGAATGATATTGGGCCACTAACAGGACGAGACAAGCTACCCTTGTTGACTCGCCTGGGACGGGATCTCCCCAGCTATTTCGTTTGCTATCACTGCAATGTTCTCCACAGGTACTATGCTTCAAAAGAATTCCTTGCCGGACCTCTACTCGGGGTGTCTCTTCGTTGCTTAAGCAACTCGACTGGGCTTGTGCTTCCCGCTGCCCAGATATGGCTTCCCAATTGGCCGCCTAGCTATTGTTTTTTCTTCCTACACTTACAGCTTGCTATGAGGATGTTCTATTATGGTCCAGATTATGGGATCAGCACAGAGGACATTTCTCACACACAAGTCCAACTTTACACTTTCCAATCTGGCACTCAAATCCCCTTACTTTCTTCCGTTGATGCACAAATATGCTCTACGTCTCCTAGTCTGATTCTAAGAAGTCAATTAGTTCCTCGTCGTAAGCGATACCTTTTGTATCGCTGTCCAAACCCATCGAGGAAAAGGGATCGGAGCCCTCCGTACAATATGTCCATTTGCGATCATAATCGTGACCGAGGCCTTGACAACTTGGTTAATGGGATTGTGGGAGCTCATCGTGCTGAAGAGAAAGCTCATTCTGTCTCTTCTACTTGTGACCGCTGTGATACCGAAGCTCTCGTTGAGATCTTTGAATGCGTAAACGAACTGGCTCTGGCGATCACAAAGTGGATTGACCCAGGCGCTGGTTTGACCCCAGATGACCCCCAATGGCAGAAACAAATGAATATGGGATTTGGAAACATAATACAAAGCTCACCTATTAAACGACACAAAGGCAACGTTAGTGCAGTGAAAGCGAGTGCTCGAGCCTGCTTCGAAAGTGCGTCAGTGGACAGCCTACGGTCTCGCAACATCGCCTTTCTCAAAGATCAGCGATTCAAAAGATCCATGATCTACCGACCCAGCATATTACATGAATACACTTGGTATCTATTCAGCAAACATCGTTAGATCGATCAATCGCTGATCAGGATCATGGACTTTCCGTATCTGACGTTGGGCATGTTTTTCTTTTCGCTGTGCTACTTCAACCAATTTATATCTGGTATAATGAGGATTTGCATCAGTATTTCCACAAGTTCCTTCTTCAAATGAGTATGCCGAGCCATAAATCTTATACGGAATAGTTCATCCTCTCTACATGTCAATATACTGTATATAGCTTCGCTCTTGCCAAAGGTAATGGCACCTGCTAATATATCTATGTCTTAGCTAATTTTTTGTTCATACCATAAATCCTTCTTTCCTTTCATTTTCCTTTCACTTTCTCTTCACTTTGTCTTCGCTTTGTCTTCACGCAACCACATTCAAGTAAGCATCAGCAGCACCATAAATAGCCAATCCAGAAGCGTGTTTTGACCGGCTTCGGCAAGTTCTGTGCCGATAATGGTGAATTGATTGGTATGTCATGAGTTCCACAACACTCTACTCCATAGGCCTGTGTCTATGGCTTCTGTGCTTGCCAGTCTCTCAGTGTTTTGGAGAGACGTTCACTGAGCATAGCAGAGGCCATACATGACAGATCTAGGAAATTAGGGCGAAAGCATTGTGAGGCACATACTAACACAATATTACGAGGCGATATAAGTCAACAAAACAAGCAAAGCTTCCCGGTGTTACAGCGTGTGATTGAATCATGCTCCGAAGTCCACAATGCAGTCCGTAAGTCAACACCTCCCACACCACATCCCAATCAAACTACTCGGATGACTGTGACTGGTTCGTTCTATGCTACAAGGGAGCGTCTTCCAGCGTGTTGAAAGACCACTTCCCCACCAAGCATAAGATCTACCATGATCATAAGCCCGACATAGCAGTAGGAGATGGGGGACAAGACCAATTCTAATATTTGAGGTAGAGGAAATCCCTGAAGAACGACAAGCAATGACAACACCACCCGCCTCGTCTCCCCCGCCCTGCGTTCACCGAGATAACTGGGACTCTTTCTTTCCTTACGCAACATGTTTGGCAACAAAGAAAAGAAACCAATCGAAGAAATCAGAGAGACCCCCAAATCCGCGACTCAGTGCTTTAGCAATCATTGGGCTTCGATCAAGAGCAATCAGGATACAATTGAGATTCATCAGGACAGGATCAGTGCACTTGAAAGAGGACTATGGGGCTGAGATGGATCCTAATCGATTGCTTTCTCATCGGTGAGACGGTTTGTCTCTTTAGTCAAGGCTTCTTATGACTTACCATATTGACAATGTATCTACTATGGGATGGCTCTCAGTCTCGACTCATAAAAGCGAGATGTAACAGTAGCAATATCCAAATTTCAATCAGCTGGACTTTTATTTATAATGTACATCGTTAGACCATCACTGCACGTGTCTCTCAGGCAACAAATCAGTCCAAATAAACCCATCAAAATCGAAGATTTTTGATCACGACACTTTTCGTGAGAGTAAATCTTTGACCCAATACCTCACTCGCGGGAGTTGACCAGTCTGAGAACAACGCAGATCTATCCGTAACCCTCAACAATGATTGCAAGATAGTTGTTATAAAGAAAAGTGTTGCCGAGAGAGGGAGGGAGTCAGCAGAAGTATGCTCCGAGTCAAACATGGAAGGAAGTGTATCATAAATGTCTTGCAACAAGCATGAACTCACTGAAGATGAATGCTCATAGTGCCATTTGAGGCTGTCAGTTGATACGCCTTGGCCTGGTAATGCTGGAGATAATAAAATGTCAAGATTGTCAAAAATTATCCGGTTGGCCAGTATGCGTGCCAAGCGATAGTAATTCCAAATTCGAGCAAACCAAGAATTTTGGTAGATATAGTACGGTTTAGCCGTGAGCCTATCATATTTCCATGCCCGTGGTAGTGAATTGGCCCATTCTTGGAGGGCTTGATCGCTTTGCGTGGCGAATGCAACGAATTGGCTAGGTAAAAATGTGTCGTGATTTGCCAAAATACGAAAATTTACCAGCGTGGCCATTAGAGCAAATAGTCGCATTGCTGACATTAAAGGGTTCTCACAATTTTTTGAGAAGTTCGAAGATGGTTCAAATCGATCTGGCAATTTCAATAGGAATGATGGTATTGGTCTGTCACTGACGAGACATGCAAGCGTCTCAATTGAAGTTAGTGAGTGAGAGACAAGTATAATTTGACGAACCGACTTACTGTGGTGAAACAAATGTCCAAAATTTCGTTTACCGGCGAAACAGGCAGGCCATTACTAGAACATAAATGATCCAAGAATGCAGCGGCTCCGAATACATGCTTTTGCCATGCATTTGAGTCGGAGGAATTATCGCATGTGATCATCTGTAGCTCCGTTAGCACTTGAATTGAAAGTGACGAACTGCACAACTCTGACCTCGAATATCGATAGAATAAAACTAGTAGCGATGGACTGTTCCAATCCAGTCTCCCCATGATGAACGATGGCCGCTGTAAGAGCCTTGATGGCAGAGTTGTACTTTCTTCGTGCCATGTTCATCATTTGAGGGTCTTTGTGGACAACAGCGAGAGCAGCTAGACCGACTGATGCAAAACTTATAGTAACCGAAGATGGCTTCTCCGCCCCACTTTCCATCCAACTCTTGCATCCCTTTCCCAGAACGGGGAAGTTGTCAGAAAAAACCTTTTGAGCGAGTTCATCCATGTTGAATGTGGGTCTCAATGATAGGCTCCATTTAATAACATGATTGTTCATCATGGCCCCCTGGGAGCCTGTAGATTGCACCTTATTCATGGTGGATTTGGTCTGATCTCGAAAGAGTAGCTCGGACTGTGACCTGTAGCCACTACAGGCTAGACCGGCTCGAGCGCACTGGCTGCATCTTGGTTTGAGTAGATTGCACTATGGAGTGGTTAGTGTGGCAAAGAAAATTGACCACTACGGGCTAACCTTGATTCTCCTGGACCTGCAATTCCCGCATGCTGGACTAGCTCTGATGGAAACCATGAGGAAAGAGGAGTGAGTGTTTTGCTAGTCAAAGATTGTTGTTAATGGGGCAATATCGCCGCTTAGTCTAAGGATCCACGGATCCATGGATCTCTTGGCGGCTTACAGAATAATGTAAAGTCGGCTCTTGCGGCCAATAGAGTAAAATCCACACTTCACCGGTAGTTGTGGAGAAATGCCATAACGGCCCCTAAACACTTCTATACGCCGAATCCACTTTGACGCTAATTCATGACTGACTTACCAAAAGTGAACTAGTGCATATTTCGGTTCTTTGGAGTCGATCGACATTCTGGGCATCCGCTCCGAACCTCCGACACTATTTTCCGACTCATCTTCCAAATTGCAAAATGTTTTACCTATTTGATGATTCGATTGCCAAATGTAGTAATTTTATGGTTTCAAGAATCATGGGGCTAATTATTCATCATTGCATTTCTTATGGTCTATAAAGGCATGGAAGATTCCCAGCGAAAGATTTATATTGCTCATTCTCATACAATAATACAAACATCTGTCTAATATTCTTCATCTTATATAAGATTCATTTGCACATCTCACATCAACGATGGTACCCGTCAAGAAAGTTGCACTTTTGGGGGTGAGTCTCATAATTATGAATCGATGTCAATTGTTTTCTGACCGACTCATTCTGAAACAGAAAGGATTGCTAGGATCTGCAATTCTTGATCAGCTCGTGAAATCTGGCTTCAAAGTCACAGTTCTGAGTCGCAAGAAAAGCTCATCTGACGAATCCTCTGCAGACTTCAGCACTGTGCAAGTCGACTATTCATCTATCGACAGTCTTGCGGCAGCTCTACAGGACCACGATGCCGTGGTATCGACTGTTGGTATCTCTGGAATCAGTGGGCAGAAGATAATGATTGACGCGAGCATCCAAGCTGGCGTGAGACGTTTTATCCCTTCTGACTTCGGAGCCCTCACAACCAGACCCGGGGCAGAATCACTCCCGTTGAATGCACCGTGGATAGACGTCCAGGCATATCTCAAAGAAAAGGCGCTTTCCAGAGATATCGAGTACACGCTATTCGCTGTTGGGCCCTTCCTGGAATTTGTCATGTCTATGCCATTCTTGGCCGATGTCATGACCCAAGAAGTCAGGCTGTATGACAATGGCGAGCATTCCTTTAGCTCAACTAGTGTGTTAAGCATCGGGAAAGCAGTTGCAGGTTCTCTGAGAAACGCTGAAGCGACCAAGAACCGCTTGGTCAGTGTCCATGATATCGTGTTGACTCAGAACAAAGTCTTGGATTTGGCAAAGAGATACTCTGCACCTGATGTCAATTGGAACATTACTCCGGTGAACGCCGAAGCTGAGGTTGAGAATATTCTCGAAAGGATCAGGACGAGTGGTCTGGACCTTCTCAATACGCTTGCACTCCTGAAAGCTGCGCTATTGGGCGGAAAGTTCGAGGCTGAATTCAAGAATTTGGACAATGAGCTTGTTGGATTATCCACCCTCTCCGATGATGAGTTTGAGAAGAAGTTTGCCGTGGAATTTAAGTCGATGGCCACTGCAATGGCAGAGTTTCAAGCAAAGAATGACGGAACTCAAGGCGAGGCTTAAGGGTAATTTGGTGAAATTCGGAGAGTGTAAACTTTCATTGGATGTCTTGGCTTTTTCTCCCTGAACTATCAAACTCAATCCCTTCAGCTATTTGGTTCAATAGACATCTAATATCGACTCGAAAATGGCAAAACAAACCAAAATCTCATTGCAATCGCTTGCACAGCCGAAATTTGGGTAGGGGAGATCCATTACTCTCACCGATGTTGTGTCTTGAGGTATTTTATGTAGTCAAGGACTGTAGAATGCACACATCTTTGGATTTTCAATGTTGCTGAAATGTTGCTGCCTGTACTTTCCGTGCTGGGGCTCCAACTCTGTGAATGCCCAATAGATACGTGGTCATACTCGGTGTCAACAACATACGAAGAGAGCTAGTATTGACGAGCTCCATTGTGTCCGTGTTAGAATACTATAAGCTGTTTAATATTGAGAAATAAAATAGGTTAGAAAGAGACTTAAAGGGATATTTAGAAAGCCGCCCAGAAAATGTATGGGAGTTGAATCGAAGGCAGCATTTGGAGGCAGGAAGAAAGATTCATTTCTTGAATTTCTGTTCTGCATTTGCAAAATATATTCCATTCTTTTATGTCGCATTAGAGCCATCTTATTGTTATGTACTATCGCACTTGTCTCTCGTGACTCGGACTTTGGAAATGACAATCACATCCCAAACCAACACAGATCCTTACACCACAACCCATATTAGACTTTGAAAAAAGCCCAAATGCACGAAATACGCGCATGCCACATGGAAGCAGCTAGAAATTAGAATGCGCCACCCGAACTACAACCGGATCTTCACCGAAATAGCGAAAGAAACTTAGCTTTTGATATTAATCACCCAAGGAAAAGACCCAGGAACACGTATAGGGCAAATTCCCCTAGTTTGCCACGAGAACTCTGACAAACTGCTGGGGTTAGTGGCAAACGAGTGGCTGGGTCAGCGAATTATAGCGAGATTATAGATTTTGGATGCTGAAATGACAGGATTGGGGTGGCGGGGTGCGGAGCCATTCTACAGAAACTGTCTCGGGAGATCGTCTCGGCTCGTAAAATGCCGATAGAAAAGTAGTAATATCCAATTGTTAATCAGCTAGAATTTTCCCAAGTCGCCACTGGCGTAGGTTGCGCGTGTCACTAAGCCACAAAGAACTGATGTCAGATTCTCCAATTTGAATTTTCTCTTTTGGAGTCTAGAGTATCATTCGAGGACCAAGCTCTGGCATTGCATGGGACGAACTACCAGAATGGAAATTCTAGAAGCCTACGCAGAATGTTCCACACGTAAGACGATGACGAGTGTTCGAGACCATGGTGGAAACCTCAGCCGCACAGTCTGATTGGTCGATCTCTGTCGGAAGTCAACCTTATTGAAAGGAATCCACATCTATAATTGTAGTCTATCCATAACTCGCACCTTCTGGTTCTCTCTGGAGTTGAAAGTTTTTCTCATACCGGAAACTCCACCGAGGAGTATAAGAAGCTGGAAGTTCGCAATGTCTCTCTTTCTTTTCTTCAAACACATTCTTTTGATCTTCAAGTCACTCTCTTCTTGAAGTCATTTTCATTCTCTTTTTTCATTCTTTCGAGGTCAATCCTCAATTACTGTCACTTTAGTATCTTCTGTTGACCAGACGAACTTCTGTCTATATCACTTTCACTACAATCCACAACTTTCCATCATGACTTTCAACGTCTTCCTTACCGGCCTCCTCGCAGCCACTGCCGCCGCCCTCCCCCAGCCCCACTGGGCCCGTTCCGGGGAGTCCAGCATCGAAGCCCGCGGCTCCGGCGGTATCCAGATCGTCAACAACATGGGTACCGACGTCTACTTGTGGAGCACCTCTGCCGAGAGCGGCAGCATGCAGACCCTCACCTCTGGAGGTGGTGAACACAGCGAAGCCTGGGATACCAACTCCAACGGCGGCGGTATCTCTATCAAGATGTCCACCACCCAGGATGAGGACAGCGTTCTTCAGTTCGAGTACACCCAAGACGGTGACACCTTGTACTGGGATATGTCATCTATTGACCTCGACTCCAGCTCCGACTTCATTAAGGCTGGCTTCACTGCCACCCCTAGTGACTCGAGCTGCCGCTCCTCTACCTGTGCCGCTGGCGACGCAAACTGCTCCGAGGCTTACCAGAAGCCTGATGACGTGAACACCTACTCTTGCTCTCTGAGCTCCGGTTTCACTCTCACTCTGGGATAAATTCTATTCTTATTTTCTTGAATTCGGCAGGGCCGATGGAATTTTGTTTTGTTTTGTTTTGTTTCATTTGGTTCCGGAACAATACTGCCTTGGGCTGTATTGAACTAGTCGTTGGATACTGCTCTCGGATTTGTATATAAAGTTCTGTGAATACTGTCAATCGCTTCTTACAAGCGAGAATACGCAGCATGACTGCATAAAATAACAAGAAATGCTAGAATGTGTTTAAAAAGGAACAAATTATATAATGTTATAAATATTCACGAGTAAAAGGGGGAAAAAGAAGAGAAAAAAATGTTGGATGCACATGACAATGACTGCCTTGACACCTAGCGACTCAGGTGTCCAACCCCGCGGCAGCTACTCCCGGGGCCGTGTTACATCGTGACTAATCTCGGCCAAACCTCTTGGACCGAGGCTCTATCGCGAGTCTGTGAACCACCGAGGCTGTTTTGCTTTATAGGCTGGCCACCTCCGCCTCTCTTCCCCAGACTTTTCTTTTTTCATCATCTGCAGGCTCCGCTTGAAATAAATATCCATCATGGCTTCTCCTCGTAAGTTGAACCTTTAAACCAAAATTTTCTCTCCTTGCCCTTCTGCCCATGTGATCCGACACAACCGGCACGTGGGCCCGTACACTGAAACGGCTGCTAACAATGGCCCTGAATAGAACGCATCCGTACCCCGATCACTGATCTGCTCAAGATCAACCACCCCGTCCTGCTGGCAGGCATGAACGTGGCTGCGGGACCCAAGCTGGCCGCCGCTGTCACCAACGCCGGTGGTCTCGGTGTGATCGGTGGTGTTGGTTACACCCCCGACATGCTCCGCGAGCAAATCGCCGAGCTCAAGAGCTTCCTCAACGATAAGAACGCTCCTTTCGGTGTCGACCTCCTCCTGCCCCAGGTTGGTGGCAGCGCCCGCAAGACCAAGTAAGAATCTGTGGACCGCGGTAGTTTTCCGCCATGGACACATCGCTAATTGCTTTTTTTTTCTCGCCATCAGCTATGATTACACCAAGGGCAAGCTCGGTGAGCTCGTCGACATTATCATCGAGCAAAAGGCTAGCCTATTTGTCTCCGCTGTCGGCGTTCCCCCCAAGGCCGTTGTCGACAAGCTCCACAGCGCCGGTATCCTCACCATGAACATGATTGGTCACCCCAAGCACGTGCAAAAGTGTCTCGATGTCGGTGTTGATATTATCTGCGCCCAGGGTGGTGAGGGTGGTGGTCACACTGGTGATGTCCCGACCACCGTTCTCATCCCTACTGTTGCCAAGTTGGTTGAGGGCAAGAAGAGCCCTCTGACCGGCCAGCCCGTGCAGGTCATTGCGGCTGGTGGTCTGTTCAACGGTAACTCCGTTGCTGCTGCTCTTATGCTCGGTGCTTCTGCCGTCTGGATCGGTACTCGCTTCATTCTGTCTGATGAGGCCGGTGCCCCTGCCGCTCACCAGGAGGCTGTCCGCACTTCAGGCTTCGAGGACAATATCCGTACTATTATCTTCACTGTATGTTTGGCCTGATGTTTATTAATTGTGCAGATCACTGACACAAACTATAGGGACGTCCCCTCCGTGTTCGTAAGAATGCTTACATCCTCAACTGGGAGGAGAACCGCCACGAGGAGATCAAGGAACTTACTTCCAAGGGTGTCATCCCCGTCGAGCACGACATGGAGAACATGCCCGATGACGCTGATGATGACGCCTTCGACAACGCTCGCCCCTTCTTGATGGGCAAGGTTGCTGCCGTTGTTAACGAGAAGAAATCCGCCAAGGCCATTGTTGACGAGCTCGTCACTGATGCCGCTGCTCTCCTCCAGAAGGGCAACCAGATGGTTGCTAAGCTGTAAATCAGATTCCCTATATGCTATACCTCCTACATAGTCGTCTTCAGCGTTGAACAATCAGATTCGGTGATTTTCCCGATTGAACTCATTCGAATTGTACTCGATAATACTCCTCTAGATGAAAATATCCCTCGCAAGGTAAGACAAGCGCTTTGGTGGAGCGCATACTTAGAACTGCCAGCCACCATGTCAAGTCATCACACCCGTACTCTCTGTGACCGGCATTAGTTGATTTTTCCATTGATATAAATAGATTTACTTCCCTGTTCATATGTCGAGCTTCAGTTCCCGTGTCTAGCTGTGTGTGTAGATGGTTCGAGTGCATGTCCCCATTACAGTGTCATCAATCTATTTTTTGTTTTCATTAGGAAGGCCCAGACAAAACGGTGTTTTGAGTTAAGTTCATTGGTTCTGTATACTCCGATGTCATGCAATGCATTCTCTCCGCCAGGGCTCATGTAGTCATACCCTACTTCGTACATGATAGTATACTAGTTGACTCCAGAAATAAAATTAGAACTAAGAACAAGACTAAAGCATATGCAATTGTAGCGTCCATGTAGCCTTGTGGGGTCTTTTTTCTTTTCCCCTTATCCTTATGACGACCTAAACCTTTATTGGATACGATACTCATCTATTTTCTTTTCAGGCATTCTAAACGAGGGTGTCAAGAAAATACACACGGGCCCTCTCCTATAACTAAATAAGGCACTGTAAGCGCCGTGGCGGGGAACACCTCGAGGACCAAGATTCTCTCAACACCAATAAGCACAGTTCCCAATATCTTCACGCGATAGACCAGATTCAAATGCCAACATCCCCCGCACTAACCGCGATCCAAGGGTCCAATTCGACCAAACGCCTGCAATCTCCAGTAAGTTTGATGGCGTGCCACAAATATGCGAGTTACTGGAGAAAAGTCCATCCAGTGATAGACGCGTAGTGAGAAAACCCTCGTTCGACGTTCTGATTGATCCAATCGTGCATAAATGCTGCAGCAAAAGCGGGTTATTGGTTGCTTTAATCCCATCACCTTTCTCTCGGTCTAACTAGCCTTTCCTAGTAGCTCTGTCTGTCTCTTTCGTTCTCTCTCTTTCTGCCCTATCCTCTGCCCGACGCTACAGCTAATATTTTCATTTTCATTTTTTTCAATTTGCGGTCGTCTGTTCTTATCCTCTTTTTCCTCTTCTCTCTATTTTCAATCCAAAAAGACACTACTATCTTCTTCACCTTGTCCCAAGTGGCTGGTTCCAACCTCCCTCACCGCGATCGGAGGTTGAACCGTTGCCAAAAAATTATATCGGGAGGCGGGATACCTTTTGATCGCATGATTCTATTAATAAATTCTCACGCCATTCCAGGGCTTCTTGTGGAGGCATCGACTCGATCGACCTAATCCACAATCAACACTCATCCCACCGTCTCCCCGCAGCTCGTTCCGCCCCATACGATCAGATTGCCCCTATCTCGCCCGGGGGGGTTTTTTCGTCGCTCGTCACACCTACACCTTGAGCCATTGGTGCCGATTATAATACTGGCATTCGCCTGGGGTGTTGTGACTTGTTTCGGATTGCATTTGCATATCGACAAATCGACAACCCGCGGTATATTTTGTGCGCTAGATTGAGTCGCATGGGATATAGTGTTTGATCGAGTCTTTCTACGGTCTATGTCGTTTAGGCATAGGAGAATTGTATAATCTGGCTATTTCTGCGTCTTGATCAGGACGATGTCGCTCAAACAAGTAAGGACATGTATGGGTTAGGTCTGGAATATCATGCATGCTGACTTGATTCAAAAAGGAAATCGAAACTTGGGTGCAGGCCCTTGATGCCTACGATAGTCAAAACTTCGATGAGGCCTTGCGCTGCTTTGAACATATTGCTGATACATCAAAGATCCTGTTCAATTGCGGCGTGATCTATGCAACGGTGGGCGAGCATAAGAACGCAGTACGTGGACATGGAATACTATTCCCAGGAAATGACTGACCATTGTGCAGGTAGTCTGTTACCAACGTGCTGTCGGCCTAGATCAGTACCTGGCAATCGCCTATTTCCAGCAAGGTGTATCCAATTTCCTGCTTGGTGACTTTGAAGAAGCATTGGCCAACTTCAATGATACTTTGCTATATCTGCGAGGGAATACCTCAATCGATTATGAGCAGCTGGGACTTCTGTTTCGACTATATTCATGCGAAGTCTTGTTCAATCGAGGTCTATGCTATATATACCTTCGGCAAATGAACCCTGGCATCGAAGACCTTCAATATGCAGCAAAGGAAAAAGTCACACCTGACCACGATGTGATCGACGATGCTATCCGCGAAAATGCAGATGTATGTGAACCCACTAGTGGTCTGTGATCCCAACTGATTTTGATACAGGGATACACTGTTTTCTCAATTCCCGTCGGGGTTCTCTATCGCCCAAATGCAGCCAAAGTCAAGAATCTCAAGACAAAAGACTACCTAGGCAAAGCCCGACTCGTTGCCGCATCAGACCGCAATCAATCTTCAAACCACCAATGGCAACCAATAATCGACCAAGAAGCCCTGCAAGGCCGAGAAGGCGTCTCCTTCGCAGCAAGCCATTTAGTCCGCCAAAACCTCAGCAGCCGCACCCGCCAGCAATCTGAACCACCTCTAACCCGCAACGTATTCCCCCCAACACCACCCCCAGACGACCGATCCGTCAGCACAGCCTCAGGAACTCAGTTGGGCCACAAACGCTCCACCTCTCTACGCTCCCCTCTACGAGGCGTCCGTCCCCCACGTCTCGAACTAGACCGCCCAAGTAGCGTAGACCCCCGAGAATCCTCCGAAAAACCGCGAATAGGCACAACCCGCACAGCGTCCGAGCCCCGCCCCTTCTCCAAAACCAACGCGCGAGCCTTCGCCGAACCAAGCCGGCACGCAGCAGGTCCAGGTCCCCGCCGAGACCTCGACGCAACACCGCACCCAGACCAAAAATACAGCACCGATTCTTACGAGTACTCCAACCGGCGCAGCGCAGGCTGGGGCCGCGGCCCCCGCTACCAACCACCACCGCAGTACATCGACGAAGAAGAAGAAGAGGAATTCGCCAGCGAGCTATGCGACGGTTCGACCCTCAACACCCTCAACAACGGCTTTGAGATTGTTGGTGCAGGTCAAAGCCAACGGCGAGACCCTTCGCCCGCGCCTGCGCGGTACTCGCGACCTGGCAATCCGCGCAGGGCTGAGATCCAAAAATTCCGTACGAAGGTTCATGCCCCTGATGATACGCGGTATATCATGATTGGGCCGACGGTTGAGTTTGGGGAATTTGAGAATCGGATCCGTGAGAAGTTTGGGTTTAAGTGTCCGCTTAAGATGAAGGTACAAGATGATGGGGATATGATTACGATGGTTGATCAGGAGGATTTGGATTTGCTAATTATTTCGGCGCGGGAGGTGGCGAATAGGGAGGGGAGTGGGATGGGGAAGATAGAGGTGAGTTTTCTTTTTCCTTGATTTTCTCTTCGCTCGGCAATGTTACTGACGAGGTTTTATTAGATATGGGTTGAAGAACGGGCTATGTTCTGATTTGTGGATAATTGCTTTTAGCATGATTTTGTTTATACCCTTTGCGTTTAGCAGATATACCAATGAGAGATACCAACGAGTTAATTGGGATCAAGTTCAGCAATCTTACGGTCATTTTGTGAGTGAGCAAAAAGAACAAAAAATGAGTGAACCCTGGTCGGGTTCCCACCAGTTATCGAACAACGGAATAAGTGGGTGTGTGGCTCTATCCGGAGCTATAGGCATAGGATCTGCAAATTGACATGTTCGTGCAGGGTGCGGGTTCATAGCCACCAATGAGATTTCCTCGAAGTCAATTTAATCAATTGAAAGGGTCTGGACTAATGAGTCAAGACTCACCGGAAGACTCAGATTCCCTGCTTTCGAAGGAACTTCACTCGGATAGTGACGAAAGAGTGGAGCAGCATACATTCCAAGGTTTGACGACAAGCTTTGACAGCTTAGAGCGATCAGTATTTTTTTTTGACTTAAATACGCTTGTTTCGCATTCAAAACCTTATATTCAGGTTCAACTGCATACGATTCATTGTCAAAATGGCATCGGACAGTCGCGAAAATGGCGAAGTGAAAGGTATATCTCAAATCACCAAAATCTCAAAGTATACCGCACTAACAACCCCAGACACCGTCGAAACACCCGAATATGAAGCTCAAGGCGGCACCCAAGAGAAAGCAAGCAGAAACAAAGGCCTGGGAACAAACCCCAGCTTCAGTCTAGCAGGTAACGGGGCCCCAAACCCTAACAACACCAACCAAGCCCCCTACCTAGACCAAGACTATCAATCCTACAACCCCCAATATGGCCAACCGGATGACGGACCAACCTGGTCTCTCGCCCAGCCACTGCCTCACATCGTGCGCCCAGGCATGCGCCACGGTGCCCTCCCAGAAGACAGAAAAGAAGACCAAGAGGCCCACCAAAACGGCGAGGACGAATCCCCCGAAGCAAAAAAGCAGCGCTCCTACGAGTCCCGCATGAATAGAGTCAACGGCCCAAATGAAGACGGTTTCTTCAACACCTGGTCCAAAATCAGACACTCCATCCGCGAACCACTGGCTGAATGGCTCGGCGTAAGTCCTCTTCCTACCCTATCCCTACAATCCCAGCCCTAAACCAAACCTAACACCTCGACAGACAACAATCGCAATGACAATCGGCCTCTGCGCCACTCTGTCCAACTTCACCTCCTCCAGCCAAGCAGGCACCTACACCTCCCAAAGCGCAGCCTGGGGCTTCGGCTTCATGGTCGCCATCTACACAACCGGTGGCATCTCCGGCGGGCACATGAATCCCGCAATCACAATCGCGCTATCCGTGTTCCGCGGGTTCCCAGCGCGCCGCTGCGTAATATACATAGCCGCGCAGCTGCTGGGCGCGATCACAGCCGGCGGCATCGCATACGCGCTGTACCACGATGCGATTGTGAACGTCGCGGCGACCGCAGGGGTCTCGCAGGGCGAGAGCGTCGCTGCGACCGCGCTCATTACTGCGCCTAAACCCTTCGTGCATCCTGCTACGGCGTTCTTTACGGAGTTTGTTGGTAGCGCGCTGCTTTTCGGTGCTGTTTTGGCGCTTGGTGATGACTCGAATGCGCCGCCTGGTGCGGGTATGCAGGCTTTTATTATGGGGATTTTGATTTCGATTATCATCCTTGCGTTGGGGTATAACACTGGAGGGTGAGTGCTTTCTTTTTGCTTTACGTTGCTTTTCTTTCGTGGGTTGGTTGGTGCTGACGGTTGGTATAGGTGCTTCAATTGCGCCCGCGACTTTGGACCCAGGCTTGTGGCTGTTATGGCTGGGTGGGGGGGGCACCTGTTTAGGGAGACGCATGCATGGTGGGTTTGGGGACCGTGGTGTGCGGATATCAGTGGTGCGTTGTTTGGCGCGCTGGTCTACGACATGGCTATCTTTACTGGTGGGGAGAGTCCGGTGAATTATCCCCCGCGGAGGCGCAAGCGGGCATACCGTGTGCGGGCTTTGAACCTTAGGAAGAAGCTTGGGCTTGGGAAGCATAAGATTGGGGACGTGGAGAGGTCTGTGAGGGAGTTGGAGGAGTGAATCTGGTATTTGGTTTTGGTAAAAGCATTGAAGCATTAAAGCATTAAAAGCATTAACGCAGGAAATAGGTCAGGTCTCGTATAGTATATTTCTCATAAACGCATGGTTCGATTGGCATTCAGTGTGCTGAGGGATTCTTTTCGTTGTTTTCTCATATCCTGCTCGTTCTCCAGGAGGATTTTTTGTACACAGCGGCTGCCATTGGGGTTGTGCTTGACTCGGTCGTCGTTGAGGATGTTTGTGAGGGTCGCCTTGACTTGGTGGTGGTAGTCTCGTAGTTCTTTGTTCATGGCAGAGGTCTTTTGGTCAGCTTCTGACTGTGTGGATTCGTCATGGTGAAGCATGGAGTATGAAGTGGTAGATCGCTTGATTGATGGGGCCAGTCGTAAGGTGGGCACCTTGATAGCAGTCGCTGCTGGATGCTTGTTTTGGGCCGGTCGGGACATCTTCAATTTATTTTTGGTGAAAATTTTGTTGAAAAAGGAAGACCATTAGGTCTGGATTAGCAAAGGTATATATATCTCTCTGATGAAGGAGGCAAACTTGGACATGTCACTCTAGTGACGTCTGACCGACAGATCTGAAACCTGCCCGATCCCTTGTCTTATCTTGACACAATACAATATTGCGCCTTTTAGGTTATTAACATGGGTATATCCTACCCATTGTAAAGTAATTTTCTACTTCCAGGGCTTTGGTTTGTCTAGAGCTTAGCATCCTGGCCAATAGGCGTTGCTGTGACCCATTATGGCATGGGACGCTAGTGCTTAGGCTGGAAAAGAGTCGCCACTGTGCATGGAACTACAAGGATTAGCTATATCAGACGGAAGTAAGGCCAGAATTCCCCGGGTCTGTTCGTATCTTGATTTAGGATCATCAGACGAGGAGTAAAAGTCTGATGTGTTTTGATTGGCTCCTATCATTCCAGACCCTGCTTTAGAACGTTGCAGGCCTGTATATTCACAACGGGATCATGGAGTCTCTGTACCAGTCTGGAACATAGCAGTACCTCCTATCCAACAACCGTCCACGTCATCCCCCGATTTTCTGAATCGAACACTGATCTCAGATGGTTTCCCCATGGCTGTGCCCTGTCTGACCTTAATAGCCCGATCCATGTCATGCACAGATCCATCGACTAGTAATCTAAATGCCAAAGCAGAAGCGGCAATTCCAGTCGCAGCGTCCTCGGGATATCCAACGTTCTGCGGAAATTGCCTTGCTTCGTATTCCTGTAATGCCAGGTTGGACACAGCGTACGGGTAGAGGCCAGTACTTCCAATTGTCTGACAGAGTTCTTTTACCCGAGGAAAGTCTGGTTTTAAAGCATGCAGCGCATGAACCGATCTGAGCGGAACCAGCGTCTTCACCCTGCTTGTGGCAGCATTCAGGATATGCAACCCAGGGGCCAAATCACCTTTTGAGATCCCCAAAACAGATAGTATCTCAATCACATGGACGGGGTTTTCCACGCGGTCCATGACCTTGTATTTAGGCTGGGACACTTCGACCCAAATTTCGTCATCTGCACCATGTGAAGTCTTTGTGACCTTCACATCCACAATGCCACTTTTGGTCAAGATTCGAAGATTGTCTGGGATCATGCCGCGCTTGGACATCAGCCAGGAAATCCCTAGTGTCGCATGGCCACACATCTCCATCTCATGGCCGGGGGTCCAGAACCGATATTCATAGTCGCAATGCGAGTCTGCCGGTGCGGGGAAGACAAACCCGCTTTCGTAGCTGTGCTGCGTGGCGATCGCTTGCATCTCTGCATTCGACATGTGCTTGGTATTGAGCACGACCGGTAGGGGATTGCCACCTCCTGTGCCTGCAGAAAATACTCGCAGTAGATGGATTTCAACTGTCATGGTGAATGTACAAAATATACGGGTATTTGAGTGAGTGTCAGTCCTGAACAAATAAAATTTGCTATCCAATGGATCAAGTAAAGCTGTGAGAATTTTAATCTAAAACAAACACTGACTCATTAGTTGGAGTCTCTACAAATCCCCGTAAATTCCCATCAACCTCGGGCATAGATCTACGGAGAGCGGGAAAGACTAACCACGCAGTGACGTTGATCAACAGTATACACCGTAACAGACCACATACTCACTCCCAGAAACAACAATGACCGACCTCACACCCACCCTCAATGGCCTCATCATGGAAAGGGGCTCAACGCCCCGAAAACCTAGCACTGCAACAGCCGACGAGTTCCTCAAAGAAGCCTACAGAATCGTAAGCGCCCAACGCACCCCAATCCCAATCCCAAATCCAATCTATTTAATCATTTCAATCTAACACCTCCAGAACGCACACATAACATCCCTCCTCAAATACCTCCACTCAATCCGCCACAGCTACCTCTCAACAACGCAGCGCCGCCCCCAAACCCAAACCCAAACCCAAACACAAAACGAAACAACCCCCAACCTAACAGACCCCGAGCGCGACGCGGTCGACACATCTACAGCCCTCCTCCTTCGCGACCTAGCAACCTCAATCGCCAACTTGTCTTCCGCAGAATCCCTCCGCCAGGAAACCTCCACAACACTCCTCCGCAAGAAATATGGCCACTCCGCCGCCGGCGCGGCGCTGTACCGCTGGGCCGGCGGGAACAGCGAGGCAGCGAAATCTGCTGAGCAAATGCGGGCGGAGGAATCGGCGCGGACGATGGCTACGGTGCGCGAGGCGGTGTTGTGGTTCTTAAGGCGCGGGTTGGAGGGCGCGGTGGGTGTGCAGCGCGGAATGGTGGAGAAGAGGATTGAGAGGGTGAGGGAGAAGGAGAAGAGTGTGCTTTATAAGGTTGCGGCGGGGAAGACGGCGATGGCTTCGGCTTCATCTGCATCTGTGAGCAAGACGGAGAGACAGGGTTGGGGTGGAGGGGGGGCCGGGGTTGGCTTTGAGGCGCCTGGTGCGCAGGTCTTGAGCCAGGATGATACGGCGCGCATCGAGGCGCAGCTGAGCCCGGAGCAGTTGCAGCTTTTTGCGGAGGAGAATGATTCTATGCTTAGGCATTATGAGGATACGCTGGGCAAGGTGCAGTATGTTTTTTCTTTCTTTCTTTTTGGGCTGCGTGGACTGATGGGTTTGCAGGAATGCCGAGAAATCGCTGCTGGAGATCTCGTCGTTGCAGGAGACTCTCGTTACGCATCTTGCGACGCAGGAGGAGTATATCTCCCAGCTTGTCTCGGATGTGGATACGACGCAGACGAACGTCGGGCAGGGAAATCGGGAGCTGAAGCGTGCTACGGAGCGCAGGAGTACGGCGCAGGCTGTGTTTTGGGGGACTGTTGGGTTGTGCACTTGGCTTGTGGCTTGGGATTTGATATTTTAGGCTTTACTTGTGTTCGACTGCCATGGGGATGGCTCCACTGGGGGCCTCCGTTTTGTATACGATACCATCATGTCTATTGCATTGAAATGTAGCATATCATCTTTTGGTTCGTATTCAATTAGTTTCCCATAAATGGTGGCTATTATCACTTCTAGTCTAGTCGTGCCACTGTAAAAGACAGATGGCCCTGCAAGTATTTTCCATGCCGTTTCTAATATGATTTACATGACATGGGACTCAAATGTCCACAGGAACGATGAAACGCAGTATCCAAGAAGCCGTGGCAAAGGAAAACAATATTGATAATCAAAAACGCCAACCCAGGCTTCGGTGTTTCCACCGCATCAAACCCAGATCCAAGGTATCAAGGTATCTAAGAAGACTCACGCACAACGCTATCAACGGCCTCAGCGAAGTAGTCGATGTTATTCGTGTTCAGGCCAGCCATAGAAATACGACCATTCTTCGTCTGCAAAATAGTCAACACAACGTCCACACACAGACCCAACCCGAAAGAAAAGAAAGGACGAAAACATACCATGTAAACATGCCACTTCGACCGCAGCCTCGAAACCTGCTCCTCCGTCAAGCCCGTGAAGCTGAACATTCCAATCTGCGAAGTGATATGATCCCAATTACCAGGCGTGCCCTTAGCCTCCAACCGCTCCCTCAACCCAGTCCTCATCTCCACAATCCGCCCACTCATAGTCCGCAAATCATCCTCCCACTCCTTAAACAGCACAGGGTCATTAAGCACCCGACTCGCAATCCGAGCCCCGTAAGCAGGCGGGTTCGAGATCTCGGAGCGCTGCAAGATCGCCAACTGCGACGCAACATGCGCAGTCGAAACCTCCGCGTCCGGCCCAGGCGCAGAAACAAAGTGGAACGCGCCCGTCCGCTCGCCGTAAAGCCCGAAATTCTTCGCAAACGACTGCGCAACACACAGCTCGAAACCCTGCTCCACGAAGTACCGGATCGCCCACGAGTCGCGCACCAAATCCCCAGACGCAAAGCCCTGGTAGGCCGTGTCGAAGAATGGGAAGTGGCGGCGCGCCTGCATCACCGATGCAATCTGCTTCCACTGGTCCTGTGTGGGGTCTACGCCTGTGGGATTGTGCGCGCAGGCGTGCAAAAGGATCACGGAGCCGTGCGGGGCGGCTTCGAGCGCGGCGATCATGCCGCTGAAGTCTAGGCCTTTGGTCTGCGGGGAGAAGTAGGGGTACTTTGCTAGGGTTAGGCCGACATTTGTGAAGATCTGGTTGTGGTTGGCCCAGGTGGGGTTAGAGAGGTAGATTGAGGGCTTGTTGGGGTGGAATTTCGAGAGGAAGAGGCCGCCTAGGTGGACGGCGCCGGTTCCCGAGATTGTTTGCAGGGAGCAGATCTGTAGGCGGGGTGTTAGTTTGGGAAGGTCGATGCGGGGGTTTATTTCGATTTAGTCCTGGGGAAGGTAGGGTTGGGTTTACGTACGCGCTTTTCCCTGATGGCGGGGCTGTCGGCGCCCACGATGAGTTTTTGTGCGGCGCTGGTGAAGTCTGCCAGGCCGCCGATTGAGAGATATTCGTGGTTCAGGCTGGGGTCGTTGTGGATGGCGTCATCGGCCTGGTTCGTGTTAATGCGATTACCATTATAGAAGGGCGTAGCTTGGGAGTCACCTTCTTGACGACGGGCAGAATCCAGGGCTTCGCATTGTTGTCGCGGTATGCACCGATTCCCAGGTCGACCTTCTTATCGGAGGGGTCTTCGCGATAGGCTTTCATGAGTCCGAATAGAGGATCTTCGGGGGCGGCAGCCACGAGGGCCGCAGTGAATACTGAGGGATTGGAGGAAGCCATGATGTGTGAGGAGATGTTGGAAAGGCGATCTTTTGCGGAGGAAGGTGAAGTCATGTTGAAAATGGGTAGGTCAAATTATATAACCCCGTTTTAATAAAATACGGTTAAATTTCCCCGGAATCTGACACCGAAACGGGATTTATCTGCTTGCGTTCACCGGATGAGGGGGAGTAACAAAAGAACAGACAATACGGAGTATCATCAACACATACACTTGTAGTATTGGAGAAATTAAATATGCAGACTCCTTGCATCATATCTCTTGGTCTACTTATTTATATTCCTTATTATTATCTTCACTTATACCCTCGGCAGATGTTACCGAGGAACATCCACTCAGTTCACATGCCAGTAATAGAAGGTACACGCAGAGTATATAATTACATAGTACAACTATATATGTATAGGAGAGGTATTCCATACTTCATACAATTGTAGCACCAGTTCTTTACGTTCAATTCTCTCCCCCCCCCAGCTGATCAATGACTAAATTTCCTCCGAACTAACCCCTCCGACAGGCCACACCCGCCGATTAGAAACCGTGTGTCATACAACGCCGACGGAGAAAAAAAGACGCACTGTGGAGACTGGAATGCTCATTGCATGATTCGGCTCAAGGGTTATCCATGTATGTAACAAAGTGTTATCAAGTTACCTCCAGGGCTATATTCGATGTTGTACAATTAGGCGTGCTCGCAAGTGCAACTTGTATTGTAGTATTGTACTAATCCTATACCCAATTAATCCCACATTTACCTTGAATTCTCCGCATGGAGACATATACCTCACAGCATGCAAGTCATAATTCACAGCCTCGTAGTAGTGCGGGGGACAATTACCACTTCCAATCCCGACCGAGCAATTTTCTCCTTGACAAAAACACCCAAAATATCCATGACAATTACCCCAAGGTACAGACGATACTATTCTAGTCTTTCCAGACGGCGGATCCTGCCTATGACAGGGCTATAAGATTAAACCCCAACTCCCCACATGAGGGGGCAACTCCAGAAATCGAAAATCGTCGGGGGATTAACGATTAAGGCGGACTTTCTCCGACTCCAACCGGGTCCACTGAGACTGTCTCGGTGCGTGTATTATTAATGGCTTGCTTGGTACGTAAGTAGCCTGTTGGATAATATTAGTGATGCGATGTTGGACAATAAGGCTGTTTTAAATATAGTTTTATGAAATATTTTATGGAGTAGGAGATTATTGATGATAATGTACAACGTATACCATTTACTACCGCCAACTATACATTTTATATATTATATTTTATATCATCGATACTCCATACATAAACCAGATTTCCAAGTTTCGTCAGTCGCTGATGCAATCCGATCAGCGCCCGAACCCAGTCACCTACCCGGCCACGTCCCTGGCGATCTTAGCCAACTACCCGGGTTGTACGGGGTACGGCAACTGACATATTGAGTACAACGTATGCATAGTATGCACAGATAACCTATTGTACGTCAACACCAGCAACCCTATTATCATAGCCAATACGAACGTGTTTCGAATGCCCTTATATAACTAATTAACGAGAACGAAGAGATGATCCCGATCGTGCCATGGTCCGCACTCCTGCTGACCAGCACAGCCGCATAGGTAAGCTGGAACGGGGATGGAGGTCGGCGCGGTCTAGACTTGATATTGCGCGTGATCTTGGTGATTGTATACGCATCTTTCAACTCCACGGATGTGAAAGTGAACGTGAATACGCAGAACAGAGCGTAAAGGATCTCATCACTGACTCCATAAAGATACGCACCGAGCAAAATCCTATCGCTTTGCTTTGACAATAATACACAAAGATATATGTACGCATAACCTTGGCAATAAGTAAATTTTAAAAATCTCAATATATACAGTCTGAAATCAAATCTTTGCCAACGCCATGCCAACATTGTAAACCCAACATAGTAAAGCCCCAACACCGAAATCATAATCATAATATGTGCAAACATAAGGAGTGGCTATTCACAGGTTAAATAAAAGTGACGAAATCATGCAGTAGGAGGAGACATGTGGACGGGTGGGGGCGCAACGGGCTCGGGCGCAGGAGCCTCGGCAGTAGGCGTAGGCACGGCCTCTGGGTCGTGAGCGCGGGTCCGGATACGGAAGCGCTCGCGCAGTCGGGCTGTGAGACGGCGCGGGGCGGGCGAAGACTGGTTTGATGCGCGGATGTGGCGGAGGGTCGCGAGGCGCTCTTCGACTGTTGCGTTGTGCATGCGGTGAGCGTTGAGGGGGCCGTGGAGGTAGTTTGTTAGACGGCGGGGGCGGGTCTGGGGAGTTGGTTCTTCTGCTTGAGTTTCTGGTGTTGGTGTTGGTGTTTCGGAGTCGGGGTGGGCGGGTTCTTCTGTTGCGTCGGGTTCTGGGGCTGGGTTGAGATCAATGCGGCTAGGTTGCGGGTTAGTTTGGTTTCTTGATGGGATTGGTTGCGCTTGGAAGGTGAAGATAGAATGTTGACTTACCACAGTGGACAGGTCCCGGAGACATTCACCAGCCATGGGTCTATGCATTCCATGTGGAACTGGTGGTTGCAAGGTAGGACACGTAGGTCTTGGCCCTTGATGAAATCATCCGTGCAAATGGGACACGAGAAATTACCAGAGTCGGGCACCGCGTCGGTCTTGGCTTCCGGAGTGGGTCTCTCTTCGTCTGGGGTTGGCGGTTCAGAGACCGGGGCGGATGTGATGCCATCAGAGTGTTCGCGGGCGGGATCCTCCATGGACAGTTCGACGTCGCGCTTGGCGGCCTCCACATCGTCGTTCTTGTCATCATACTTGACAATCGGTATTGTATCTAGCATGGCTCGAGCTATACCTCTTGCTCGGCTTTGCCGGACTCGCCCGGCTATCCGGCGAGGTCCGTAGCGCTCCGGATGGCGATGAGCCCGCACAGCACCTGTGATGATAATTCCCAGGAACAGGGCCGTGATGATGCCTGTGATACTGTACAGGATGATCATGGCTAGAAGAATGGTTAATTGATGGATCATGTCATGTGGAAGCGATGGCACCAACCTGTGTTTGGACTGTCGCCAGAGCCGGGAGGGTCTCCGGGAGAGTCGGCTGGAACCCCATTCACAAGGGACATGGAGACGATACTGATAGATGGGTCTGAGTCTTTTAAGATACTCTGCAATTCAGAGTAGGCGCGTCTACTGTTCAAAGTGAAGATATTGGGATATCGAGCAGCGGTAGTATCATCAATTGTCAAGTTGCAGTGCGTAGCAGATTTGCTGTATAACAGAATAGCCTGAGACGAATGAGCAGAGGTGACGTATGCGATTGTTTCATCAACGCCAATATTCCCGGTGTAGTCGTTCGGGTCGCAAGATATCAAGGCGATTGCTGTGTCCTGTAAAGCGAGGGAATTCCCAGGAATGACTTGAGTGGCAGTGCCCGAGACGTTGTAGGTCTTAGGCCTGTCAGCAATGGCCATCAACAATGGGAATGGGGACCACCCACCTTTAATTCACTATCACTCGCAGTTCTTAGGTCTGTGGTCAATGGAGTGACTGTTTCATTGAGATGATTCCCGGTAATGCGAAAGTTGCTCGAGTAAGATGTCAGATTGGATGGCCTCGCAACAACATCGGCCTGTACAGCGATGAACAGAAGGAAGAGGATGAACAACCCCATCAATGCGGGAGGCTGCGGGAATATGTGTGGGGTGATATTTACATTAGTCAGAGTAGAAGAGAGCAGAGAGAGAAAAAAAGAAGTGGAGAGAGGTGCATATGAGAGAAACCGGAATTTGAGGAAAATGAGGGGAGATCGGCCCTAATTTCTAGGCGCCAAAAGGGAACAGGAAGATCACGGATGACGATAAGACTGTCTCTTTTCCATGGGTCATTCTATTATATGATCTATTATATACATATGCATATTAATGGTTCACAATATTATACAGATACATAAATGGATTGTAGATAGATATAATATCGCTATTGTGCACTGTATATTTGTAGTTTTAATTATCAGCGGTGATAGTCAATCCGGGGCTAATAGCAGCATAATCAAACACAATTTGGATCGTCGGACATATCACCGACAATCCTTCGTCATACCCTTTTTTTCTCTTTTCCTCTCCTTTTCCCTTCCTTTTCCCTCTCGCCCGGGTATACTTACCTCCAAAAATTTAATCTTTGGCCTCCTCCCCCAGATGTCGTTCTCGTATTCGCTGGGCACTCGCTCTACTTGCCCATTTACCCTTTTAGTCCCAGCCTTTCGATCCTTTGATTTTAATCTTTCAGATGATTCGGGTTGTCTGCACGCGCCTCTCCGAGACATATACTATATACTCCGTAGTGTTTATATTGCAATCTGATCATCCCGGTATTTGATCTTCACTTGACCTTGACACTCTTCTTTCTTATTCTGATTATGATTGTCGCACGACACACCCGCAGCGATAGGTCATAGATCGACACGAACCACTAAATGGCCCGTGTATCTAATAACCCTAAAGGAAATCAGCCAGGAAAAGAAAAGAGATAAACAACCGATGTTGAATTGGACTAGAACTTTAAGTTCATTTGGAGTACGGAGTACTGCGATGTGATTGCTATCATCACTGCGATTGATACCCATAATATAGAACTCGGGCTAGGACTGAAATCTGGAGACGCGAACACCCGAAATCCGATTATGTTGTGTCAGAATTTTATCCCCGCAGAAATAGTCTACAGTAGTTCTACCCTATTATTATACTATACGTTATATCAATTTAGATTCATTTTTATATCTACCCAGCGATATCTATATATTATATATATTATATCCTTATATTACCCAGGTAGGTATCTTCTACATTTACATAGGTCAGATGAGACCAGAGAAATGGCCTAGTAAAAAAAGAGTCCAGACTCAATAACTCCGTGTACAAAAGGCCTCGGCTCTCATCGACCGGTGTTTTTGTTAACAATGGAGGAAAACCCGCGAGAAAAAGAAAAAAAGGAAAACAAGGAGGAAAAGAGTGTAAAGAAAAAAAAAACTTAAGTTAAACTCCAAGACATCTAGAATTTCACTTAAAATAGAAAATTACTCTACTTTACTTCTCTCTCTCTCTCTAATCGTACTTTACCACCTTTTAGCCTTCCCCTCCCTGAGCGGCAAAACCCGCCCTTCTTAAAAGTCCTCTTCCTCCTCCTTTTCCCACCCCCGATCGGCACTCCACTGGCCATCTCCACTCCTTTCTGATGTCGCGACAGTCTTGAATTTGTCTATATCAACTCTTGAGAGCCTTGTGGCAATAATGCCCGAGACTGCTAATTGCCCGAGTCGGGAGGCCTGGGAACACCGCTTTGACGGGAAGCCTATCTCACCGTAAGCGAGAAGAAAAAAAAAAGAACCTGGGAGTTTAACCCCTTGTCAATTTTCCCTAATAATATCTGCAGTAACCCCGCGATCGCAGACCTCGATATTGAAAGAAATGAGTTGGCCCACACCTGGAAGCGCTTCGTCAGTCTGCTCCTCCCGCAGGATCAGGTCGAGTGGGAGGAGCGACCACAGACCGTGGCCGACGTGAAGACCCTGTTGGGAAATATCAAAGCTTTTTGGATGTCCAGGCCACGGCAACGGGTGTTCAGTGATTCTATGGACTTGTGCGATCGACTCCTGCCAACCATGGACACCCACGAGTGTCTCTTATCCACCCTCCCGGACGCCCTTTCATATACCCCTCTCTTTTATGGTGTGCTGCAGTCAGTAATCAAGGTGGGTGAATCAGATATAACGGTATCATCGCATAGCTAACAACTCAGGCATCGTCACACTACCCACGAGTAATGGAGGGGTTAGCCACAGCCTTGTTAAATATTCACGACGCCTTAAGTCTCCCCAGTGACCCCAGTCAGCTTCCGACCGCCGGCGAACATATCTTGAGAACCTACGCTTTTATATTCTTCTTCCTCACCGAGTTTATGGACTGGTATGTCCGGAGATCGACGTGCCAGTTGCTCAATATCCACAGCCAGGACGTGTATTCGGAATTTCGTCATCTGGTCATCTACATACAACACCAGGCACAGAATTTGCCTTGGCAACACGATAGCATGGATGTCGACGAGGAGGACTCGGACCCTTACAGCCCCCGGGCACTTTGGGAGGAGTCTCGACTCAGCCAAGTAGGACGACAAAAGAAAGACCGCCGGATAGCGGCACAGAACACCATCACCCGTCGGCTTATCTGGGAAATTCAACAAGACGCAGAGGAACGTGCTAGGTACAGGGAAGGCCGGGACAGGCTGCTGGCAGAGACGTTGAGTTCTGTGCGGGAGCAACTGGAATCGGTCAGCGAGCAAAGTAGTGGCATAGTCTGCATGACTACGCCCCCCGCTCCTAATATAGGTAGGAAGCCATCCATATGATGTAATCGGGGACCGTCTAACTTGTGTGACAGATACATCATCGTTCGAATGGTCCAGAGGATCCAAACGCCGCCTCGCCCGTCTCGAGATTCAAAGTTCATCCAAACATCTCCAGGACTTCTTCGACAGCGATGATCAGATTTGTGACTACGAACCGGATGTTAAGGTCGTTGCCGACAGCAGTATCGTTACGTCTTTACAACAGTGGGCCACCAGCCCACGGTCCCAAGCCCTAGCAGTGGGCGGCACTCAATCGACCGATTCCCCCAGCCCCGTAGCCATGATTTCAGCCTGCTATGCCTCGTTCGCCCGCCACGCCCGATTACCAGTCGTCTCTCATTTCTGCGCCCTCCCAACGAAAGAGGTTATAGGCCTGAACCTTCAAGAGCAAGGTCTCATCGCACTGACCTACAGTGTGATCCGGCAACTAATCGACTGGCTCCCACCCGTGGTCGACAGTGACGCCGTGCTCGATCTCAGCGCAGAGCGGTTCCGCCAACTAGACGGAACCCTAACTAGCTGGAAAGCCGCCCTCTCGCTAGTCGACACTCTCCTACAATCCGCCCCGCCCCTGTTGGTCTTCATAATCGACGGCCTGGACACCATCCATGACGCATCTACCGATGGCGCAATCCGCGAACTCGTCCGCGTCCTACTCACCCACACCCGCCGCCAGCCGCAAGGTGGTCTCAACGGCCAAGGTCCAACGCTCCTACTGAAGGTTCTGTTCACCGTAATTGGACGCCCAAGCGCCCTCGTTGAGACTATGTCCGAACATCAGCTCGTGCTCTCCGATAATCAACCTGACCCCGCGCCCTCCGAGCCTGTCATTACCTCTGATCTCGGAGCGGTCATGATGAATGCATGAAATGCGCAGTCACGCCCTTACGAAATACTTGCTTTATGTTCGGTATAAAAGACTTTTTTTGAAATTTAAGCATAGATTTGCGTGGGTTGGAATATTGGATTGGATTTGGGATGTTTCACGGATGGCCACCTTGGGGCCTTCATTTTATGCATGGGCTGTTCTTTTTGCTTTTTTTTCAGGTTTTGCAGGGGTCATTCAGTGATTCCCGCTTTGTCCCCTGGCGTTCTTCTATGTTGGCGTTTTGGAGAACCGAATTATCTTGGAACTCTGTTTCGTTCTATATATATATATGCTACAGTGGCTAGCGGTAGACCTGTACTATACTTACTGCTTGATAGCTGTGATACCCATCTAGGTCTAGAAATCTTTTGCTCTTCTCTTCTCTATTCTTTTCTTTTTGGATTTCCTGTTTCTTTTCTTTTTTTCTATGCGGAAACCCATTTCCGAGTTGCCAATACCTTGATCATAATCTCTCACTTGTACAGACGTCAATGCGGGTCTGTAGTTCGGTAAAGCGTGAGAATGCGGGGAGCCGAAGGACATTGAATTCCGGCCTGGAGATATTTAAACATCCTAACATTGCTTCACCGGACCATCAATTGGGATATCTGCATAACATACCATAGCCTTGTCTACAATCTACACATCATAATGAACGGACAAGCAAACGGCCACCCCACCGTTTCCTCCCGCCTCTACACTCCCTCCACCCCCCAATTCCCCGAATTCAAAGCCATCGTCTCGCAAACCACCCAAAAATCAACCTACCCCCTCGCAAGCGAGATAGTCTCCAACATCCCAATCTACGACCTCTCCGCCCTCGAACAAGCCCTCTCCACAACCCTCCTCTCCGCCCTCCAAGATGAATGGCACCACATCCTGCATAAAGGACCAGGCGTCTACGTCCTCCGACAGATGTACGCGCCCACAAAATACGCGCAAACCCTAAGCGCCACAAATGAAGCCTTCAACGCAATCATCGCCCACGAGCGCGCAACCCTCGCCAAAAAAGGCGACCACTTTGCCGCCGGCGGCACAAACGACCGCATCTGGAACTCCTTCTCCAAACATGCCCTGCAAGACCCCTCCTCTTTCGCAGACTATTACTCAAACCCCTGGCTAGCAACAGTCGCCGAATCCTGGCTCGGCCCGGCCTACCGCGTCACCGCACAAGTCAACGCCGTCCACCCTGGCGGCGCAGCTCAGGAATCCCACCGCGACTACCACCTCGGCTTCCAGGAAGAAGCAGCCTGCAGCCGCTTCCCAGCAGCCACCCAGCTCGCATCACAGTTCCTGACTCTGCAGGGCGCCGTCGCGCACACGGATATGCCGGTTGAGAGTGGGCCGACGCGCTTCTTGCCTTTCAGCCAGACGTTCGACAGCGGGTATTTGGCCTGGCGGAAGCCGGAGTTTAGGCAGTTCTTCCAGGAGAATTATGTGGCGTTGCCGCTGGAGCTGGGGGATGGGGTGTTTTTCAATCCTGCGCTGTTCCATGCCGCCGGGGCTAATGAGATGGATAAGGAAAATGGGTTCCGGCGTGTGGCAAATCTGCTGCAGATTAGTAGTGCTTTTGGGAAGCCGATGGAGATGGTCGATTCGGTGCCTGTTGTTGCGAAGGTTTGGGAGTTTATGAGGGAGAGGTATAGGGTTGCTGGGAAGGTTGCGACTGTGCTTGATCCCGAGGAGTATAGTGCGCAGCAGCGAGAGCTGAAGGCTCTTGTGCAGGCTGTTGCGGAGGGGTATCCTTTCCCCACGAATTTGGATCAGAGACCGCCGGCGCCTAGTGGGATGGCGCCGGAGAGTGAGCAGGATATTGTTTTGCGGGGGGTTGGAGGGGGGTTGGGAGACGAAGGAGATTGTTGCTGCTTTGGAGCAGATGCATATTGATTCGAGGGCTTGAGCCCCATTTTTTCGGTACTTTGTATACATATGATTGATGGTATGCATTATGCAATGCGAGCGGGTGCTTTTGGTCTCCTCACTTGAGTGAAGTCACGTAAGAAAGTACAGAGAGTAAACCCCTTATTGATCTCAAGCCACCCGCTGATTGTATGCACTGATTGGACGATCAGACAGCATCGATGTGTGGGGATTGTGGACCTGCATGTGTCTTTTTCACAGGGGTGTCGGAGATTCATGGCCACGTATTTTAGATGTGGATGGCGAAATGGATACCTTACAGACCAGACCAAGGCTAGAAAAAAATGGGGGGCTGAGATCCATTCTAGAGTCGATCGGTAATAAAGATAGAGACTAGGAGGATTCTCATAGCGAATAATGAAGGAGAAGAAGGAGAAAGTGGGAATTGCCAGATTCCACAGGACCAAACATGGCGGTCTCACATTTTTGCTGTTTCCCCCCAACAGCCCTGGAGTGAAACACGGCTCTAATAATAATTCGATCTGTCGCGTTGACAATTTTTGTATTTGAATATTTCTTTCAAGATACAATGCTTGGGATTCTTGGTTCATCTATTTTTCTTCTCTCCTTTTAGAAAAATTCGTCCACTCATTTACATTTATTCGCTTCTCAGCTGGATCGTCTCAGACATTAACAACGCCGATCCACATCTCCACCAACTTGCGAGCCATTGACGTTTGATGATCAACTTCCAAACTTCATGCACACTGGTCGAGTCCGTTCCGGTAGTCTGAGCCACCCATAATTTCACAAGCAGTGACGACAGAATCCGTAACCACGGAAATTTGTTACCTTACCCGACGAGGGGGAGGCGAAAAATAACACACATACATACGAACCGTTGGTCTACTATTTTTTTCGCGTCTCCACTCTCCACCGCAGACACCGAGGCCAATTGAAGTCGACCAAGGCTCTAGGGGCGGATCGACACACGCAGATAAAGGTCCGTTCTGCCCGCAATGGGACGCTCGAGTCTTTCAACTAGGCGACTCACGGCTCATCGGTTTGAGCAGTTGCATGACATGCCGGAATACGGGAATGGGAATGGATTGAATCCAAACGATGTCACTATTGACATCCCTCTGACTGAGACCACTAGTCGTGGTCAGACGGGTGCGCGGAAATGGGCCTCAAATACTACTCCCCTGGATAGCACCACCAATACATCGGAGAAAAATCCCATCGTAGGCCATCCTCATCACAGAGGCCCTGGTCGCAGGCGTCGCACAGATACTGATATCAATGAGATGAACGGTAAACGTGCTGAGGCTCCCGAGGATGGTACCATCAATCGCATGGGTCGTTTCTACCAGGCTGTTCTGAACTACTCCCTTATCACTCGTTATCTCATCTATGTTATTCCTATTGCGATTTTGATCGCGGTTCCTATCATTGTTGGCGCCACTGTTGCGCAATACGCCAAAATTGGCGGTGTCCACATCTACTGGTTCTTTACTTGGATTGAAATTGTCTGGTTCAGTCTCTGGACGTCCAAGATCTTCGCTCGCTATATTCCTTATTTCTTCCAGTTCCTCTGCGGTATCGTCAGCTCCGGTACCCGCAAGTATGCGCTTATTCTGCGCGCCCTCGAAACCCCCCATCGCCCTTCTGCTGTGGGCTATTATCTCGTTGGTGACTTTTTTGCCTGTGATGACTCTCACACCCGGCAAGAAAGACAGTGGCGATACCGCCCCCAAGTCATGGGAGAAGAGTGTCAAAAACATTCTCTTCGCCCTGCTCGTCTGCTCAATCATCTACCTCGCTGAGAAGGCCCTCGTGCAGCTGATCTCCATTAGCTACCACCGCAAGCAGTTCGACGCCAAGATCCGTATCTCCAAGCGGAACATCTACTTGGTTACTCTGCTCTTCGAGGCCTCCCGTAATATGTTCCCAGTGTACTGCCAGGAGTTCAAGGAGGAGGATTCACTCATTTTCGACTCCATTCTTGCCCAGGCAGGTGTGAAGGGTGGCAAGCGATCGTCTGCTATGCCCCTTCGCATGCTCCGCCAGGTCGGCAAGAACGTTGGCCGTGTCGGCGACAAGGTCACTGCTGCTTTTGGTAACGTGGCTTCCGAGCTTACTGGTAAGCAAGTCTTCAACCCGACTGCGACTCACACCATGGTGATTGAGGCTTTGGAGCGCAAGCGCTGTGCTGCTGCGCTGGCCCGCCGTATTTGGATGTCGTTTGTCGTTGAGGGCCGCGAGTCTCTGTACATGGATGATATCGTTGAGGTCCTTGGTGCGGAGCACGAGGCCGAGGCTGAAGAGTGCTTCTTGGCTCTGGACAAGGATGGCAATGGCGATATCAGTCTCGATGAGATGGTGCTCACCATCACTGAATTCGGTCGTAACCGCAAGGCTCTCAACCACAGCATGCACGATGTTGACCAGGCTATTCGCGTTTTGGATAACCTGCTCATGTGTGTTGCTGGCCTGGTTGGTGTTTTGGTCTTCATCTCTTTCGTCACCACTGGATTCGGTACTGTCATCGCTGCCGGTGCCACCTCGCTGCTTTCCCTCAGTTTCGTCTTCTCCGTTACCGCCCAGGAGGTCCTGGGATCTTGCATCTTCCTCTTCGTCAAGCACCCCTTCGATATCGGTGATCGCGTTGAGGTCAGCGACAAGCCTTTCATTGTTGATCGTATCTCGCTTCTTTTCACTGTTTTCCGCAACGTCACCGATCACCGTGTCACGCAGGTCCCCAACAACATTCTGAACAGTCTCTGGGTCGATAACTTTACCCGCGCCAATGCCATGCATGAACAGCTCACTATTCCCGTTGCCTTTGATACCAGCTTTGCTGAGGTTCAGCAGCTGCGTCAGGAGATGGAGGCTTTCGTCCGTGACAAGGAGAACTGCCGTGACTTCCAGCCCGATGTTGACATTGAACTCGGCGGTGTTGGCGACATGGACAAGCTCCAGCTGCGTGTTGATATTCGTCACAAGTCCAACTGGTCCAACGAGACTGTCCGCGCTGCCCGTCGTTCCAAGTTCATGTGTGCATTGGTGTTGGCCGTCCGCAAGGTCCAGATTCGCGCCCCAGGTGTTGCCGCCCCCGAAGAAACCGCCGACGCCGCAGAAGGCGACGACAAAGGTGACGATGCTGGCGCCGGTGACAACAAGACTGCGCAGGCTGGTGCGGGTGTTGCTGCTGCTACCACCGGTGCTGGATTTCTAAATTCCGAGAACACGGCCCAGTCGACTGGATTCGACCAAGCCCGCTCCGGAACCATCACTCACCGCGGCTCGACCCAGACCAACGCCGAACGCGAAGCCGCTATCGTCGAAATGCTCAACGTCCGCTCCCCCGCCGTCGACGTCGGCCGTGATGACGCCAACGCCCTTCACCGCACCGCTACCAACACCTCAACCCAAGGCAACCAGCTCAGCGTGCACAACGGCGTAACTGGCAACATCTCCCGCGGTCTCTCAACCGGCCACCGCAAAGCCGGCGATCACGCCTCCTTCAGCGAAAACGCCGCCCCCGCCGTTCCCTACCCAGCCACCCTCTCCCCCGTCCCAGCAGGCATGACCCCTTCCTCCAGCCAAGTGCCCATCCTGGAAACCCCTAAGCCCGGCTCTCGCGGCAGCGCCCGCTACGAGCCTCGCCCCCACTCTTCTGGCAACGGAAGCCAGAGCCAGATGGCCACCGTCCAAGCAGTCGGGTCTCCTGATCCAAACGCTTACCAGGGTTTCTACTCCCACGACACCGGCTATAATCAGGTTCCTCCGGGCTACAGCGCGGAGAATACCCCCCAGCGCGATATCTCCGGTATGACGGCCCACAGCAACTACGAGATCTCAGATCGCTATGATCCTGTCTCGCCGCCTTCGGCCAGCAATTACTACCCGCCCCAGCAAGCTGGACTCAACTCCTTCAACTCTCATACGCCGACGCAGGAGACTGACTCTGCCGGTCGTCCTTCGTTTGCGTCCAGGGCTTTGAGGAAGGATAAGTCTCCTTATGGTGACCATGAGGCTTGATCTTTCTTCGGCCAATTTCATTTTCTTTCATTCTCTTCTCACTTCGATATCTTCTGATCTCGCCCAGTTCTCATCTTTGGGCTGTTTATATTATGTGTGAGATGTTCATAGATATTCCTCTCTGCGTTTCCGAAGCCATTGCATAAAACTTTCCTTTTTGTTTCTGGTGTATGACTATGATCTGTTCATGCCATCTGCCCCATCTGGGAGCTTTTCAAAATCTATCTACTTTTCTTTTCTCTTCATCATTTCTCTACAATTCATTCCAATTTGGCACGCCATAACGGTGAAAATGGCAAACTTCTGCGATCATAACAACGAATATATCCACTTCGTCATCGAAGACCAAAACCCGGCTTTCTATGGCGAGCCATAATAATACATTCACCATCCAAGAAACAGCCGTAAAGCACCAACAACGAGTAGAGATACAAATGCAATTCCTACAATCCAACCCAGACCCAAACCCTATGATACAAACCAGCGAGCATCGCTCACAGGACAAAAAGACTATCACCCGAATCTATTTACTCCCAGTCTCCTTCCAAGGATACCCAACGGGATCATCCTTGCGCGTCCAGATCTTCGTCTTCCGCTTGTTAACCACATGCTCAACAAACACCTCGCGCGTATACTGTGCCTTGTACTTGCGGATCCACCGTGGATCCCACAGCTCACTGGCAATCCCCAGGTCCTTACAGCAGCGCACAAGCGCATTAGACCGGCACCCCTCCGTAGCAGTGGGGATACCGTCCGGCGAGAAATAGTCCTGTTCGCCGCGCGCGACAGATACAAGTCTTTATGCGATAGATATGTCAGCTTCAGACCGCCAAGAACCCAATGTAACAATGTATATTGCGGACGAGATTAAAGTAAAGGGACTCACCGTCCATTACACACAAGCGCATATTCCCTCGTCACCGTCTTCGGAGTAACGATGCTCTCACTGCGCGGAACAAGACCCCACCCGCCGGGCCCGAAAGCGCGGTTGAGGATTCGCCGGTACTTGATCTCTGGTAGATAGAGGATGCCGTCTGGCTTGATCTCGACCTCTTGGGGGTCTGTCTCGGCGAGAAGGATGTCGGCTGCTTCTTTAGGGAAGGGGGCTGCGGAAAGACCGTGGAAGGAGCGCGTCCAGTCGATTTTCTCTTCTGCTGGGCTTTCGAGCTCCAGTGGTTTGTCCGAGAGCCCGCTTTTGGAGATATTTTCTGTTGTTGCGCGGCTGGGAGTTGGGGATGAGACTCGTGATGCGGCGCTGGGTGGTGATGAGGGGGCGGTCTTTGGGGCTGCTGCTGCTGCTGGGGCTGGGGTGGGCTTCGTGGGTGTTTGGTTGTTGCTCTTTTGGGTGGTGTACGTGATTGTTCTTTTGGTTGAGGTGGAGAGCTGGGTGATTCTTAGGCTGGGGGCTCTTGAGGTGTATGATGCTTGTCTGGCATGTTGTAAAGTCTCAATTGCCTTCCAGGGGCGGATTCTGAGGGGAGCCGACATTTTTGGGGATGCTGAGTGATGTTGAGAGGGAGGGTGAGGCCACTGAGACGAAGGCAGCACAAAGTCACGTGATTTAATTTTGATAGCTTCGTTAGATGCCTGGGATTGGGATGTTGCAAGCAATTGGTGTAGATGTAGTAGAACTGAAGAAGCGTTTAATTGTACATATGGTATAATTCGACGGGTAGAGTACATTAAGCGTCTTTGGTCTCCGTTCGCTGATCGTTGCCTTGACGCTTCCAACACTCGCGGAAAGCTTCCATCTGGATCAGCCTGTTAGTATAACCCAGATGAACATTTCGGCTATTGCACTGGTATGCTGTAATTTAGGCAGCTAGTAGAGCTTCACTTGTAGGACATGCGACCAATGGCTAGCTCCTAGCATCATATATGCCCAGACATTGTAGCTTACCTCTTGCTTGCATTCGCGCCAATCCTTCTTCGCAAAATAGCAGTCATTCATTTTGTCCTGTTCAGCTAATATGGCTATCAGTATTGCGAACCAACCCATAATTGTGGAATGACTTACAGTGGCAGCCGGTGCTGAAGATGCGCTTGTCCCTGCGACTTAGTTAGTACGCCAAGCAGGCCAATCGAAAAGAGAACTCACCAATCATCTGGCTCATCATCCTCCTCTGGGACAGCTGTCTTATTCTCCAAGTTGTTCGACATGATCGATATGTGCAGGAAAGTCGGAGCGGCTTGCCTCGGCGGATCGATTCAACTATCTTATCGTGGACTGATTTCCCCTTCAACAAAACAACCATGTCAACCCCAACGGGCAACAATGCCAATTTTAATGGCAAAAGGCTCAATGTTCTAGTCTATTCTGGTTCGCTTACACATTCCTCTGCCTGGCAACTCAGCCGTTTGCTGACCGACGACTTCCCGACAGGAACTGGAACTACCGTTGACTCAGTCCGTCATTGCCTCTATACACTCCGCCGCCTCCTCGCTCCCCACTATGCTGTCATTCCCGTAACAGGCGACATGCTCCTCAAGGAGCCATGGATGACCACATGTGCAATGCTTGTCATGCCCGGCGGCGCAGACTTGGGATACTGCCGCACGCTCAACGGTGCGGGGAATCGGCGCATTGCGCAGTTCGTCCGCAATGGCGGGAGATACCTCGGTTTATGTGCTGGTGGGTACTACGGATCCAAAAAATGTGAATTCGAGGTTGGCGACAAGACCATGGAGGTCATTGGGGATCGCGAACTGGCGTTCTACCCGGGTATCTGTCGGGGCGGGGCATTCCCAGGCTTCATTTATCATAGCGAGGCGGGCGCACGCGCTGCAGGGATCGACGTTGTCAAGGAAGCATTGAGCATTGGTACTGTTCCCGCAACCTTTCGGTCGTACTACAATGGCGGCGGAGTCTTTGTTGACGCGCCGTTGCTCGCGGACAAAGGCGTGGAGGTTCTTGCGAACTATACGGAGAAATTGAATGTCGATGCTGGGGAGGGAGCTGCTGCTGTTGTCTACTGCAAAGTCGGTAGTGGCGCAGCAATTTTGACGGGGCCTCATCCTGAGTATGCTATGGATTCACTAATAGAAAGGTTGACCTGCTGACTCGGCGACTTCGATAGATTCGCGGCTGCTAATCTCGATCCCAAAGCTGGTGGACCCGAATATGCGGAAATGGTGGCGGCACTCGCTGCCGATGACAAAGAACGTACGGACTTTTTGAAGGTGTGCCTATCCAAGCTTGGGCTTGAGGTCACGGAAGAGTCAACAGTGCCTTCTTTGTCGTCATTGCATATGTCTGGCGTCAATGCTGATGGTCCTATGGATATTCTATCGGGTCTTGGAGCGACATTGACCAAAGAAGGGGAGTCCGAGTATCTCAAAGACGAGCACGATAAATTCCGCATTGAACGGCCTGGAACATGGAACCTTGGCGATCTGGAAGAGTCGCTTCCAGCCGCGCAATCTACCGAGGGTATTATTGACTACCAGACTATCACCAAGCGTCTTGTATTCCATGACGATATTCCAGACTCGAAACTGACCCCATATTTCAACCATCATGCATTTTATTCTAATCTTCGTCAAAATCAAGCCGAGTCTAAGGGAGACGCCTCAACTTTTGGAAACAATCTGTTGTACGGAGAGGTAGTGACCAGCACGAACACTATCCTTGAAAAGTAAGCATGAAACTCCGTCTATAACGAGCATCTCTAACGTCCATCAGAAACACAAAATTGCTTCGTCAGCTGCCACAAGGCTTCACGGCGACAGCAACAGCGCAAATCGCTGGCCGCGGACGCGGATCCAATGTCTGGGTTTCACCGGCAGGTTCTCTTATCTTTTCAACCGTTGTGCGGCACCCAATCGACAAGATCCAGTCGGCACCGGTGATTTTCCTTCAGTATCTCTCGGCCATGGCAGTGGTCCGAGGCATCAAGAACTACGCAAGTGGCTACGACAAGATCCCAGTTAAATTAAAATGGCCTAACGACATTTGTGAGTTCGAACTACCTATGCCTTCTCACTCAAACCTCTGCGTTTCAATATTTGCCCTCTTATACAATTCCGCCTCTGATTAACAACCTCTACAGATGCATTAGATCCAGACGACCCTGAGCAGAAACGCTACACTAAGATCTGCGGTATTCTTATCAATTCCCATTTCATGTCGAACGAATACATCTCCGTCGTCGGCATCGGTATCAACGCCACGAACGCCTCCCCAACAACCGCCCTAACGACCCTCGCTGCACGCTACGCACCTCCCGGCGCGTCACCAGTCACACTCGAGAAGCTTCTGGCCCGCATTCTGACCACTTTTGAGGGGCTGTATACCCGCTTCTTGCGGACGGGCTTTGATCGTGGATTCGAGGCTATGTATTACCAAGACTGGCTGCACATGCACCAGATTGTCACCCTTGAGGAAGAAGGCGGCGCTCGTGCTCGTATTCAGGGTATTACTCGTGATCATGGTCTCTTGCTGGCTGAGGAGCTTGGGTGGAATGATCGGCCAACAGGCCGGGTTTGGCAGTTGCAAAGTGATAGCAATAGCTTTGACTTCTTCCGTGGGCTGGTTAAGAGGAAGGTGTAGAATGTTGTGATCTGCAATTGTTGTCAAAAGCTAGCTGTATATATATGAAAATTTGAAATATGCAGATGGTCATTCCCCCAAGGAAATAATGGCTTTTCGCCCTCAACCTTGTTGGTTTTGGATAGGAATTAGCAGTCTCAAGCGTACTGCACAAGAATTCGCAGATCATAAAAATAAGCTCAAAGACTAAAGGGAGCGCCAAACAAAACCAAGGAACAGAGTAAAGCGGTTGATTGTCTCATTGGTTCAAGACTTTACTTTAACCCCACGCCATATTATTTTTCTTTGCTACATGGACATCTCAGTCCTTGCGATTCAGAAATAGAGCACAAAATGCACACACACACACACACCTCTCTCACTGCGCTATGCAAATTGGAAATAATCAGTTCCATCTATCATTTCATCGACTCCGCCCAAGAAATCCACCTCCGAATACACTCATCAACACTACGCAACGACTCCTTCGCAGCCTCAACCTCAAACCATTCCTGATGTTCCTTCCCACACTCAGGACACTGACCCAAGTCCCTAATCCGTAGAGCATCCAACTCAAGATGAATCAGGCGTTCTACCCGATGCACATGCGGAACCTTCCGCCCAGGCACCATCTTAGCAAGAGGCTGACTCTTGCCGTTTTTCGACGGCACCCGAGCAGGAGAAGAAGACCCAGACACAGTATGGGTATAAGGGTAATAGCGGATAAGGGTCAGGTCGTAGGAACACTGTCGGGTCCATTCGGCCATTCGGCGGTGCACGTTGCTCGTGCGTCCGATTTTCAGCCGGAGCGTCCCCGGCTTGGTTGCCGTTGGGTTGGAGCTTAGGGCATTGAGATCTTGGGCTGCGCGGAGAGCTTCGCTGATGCTGCGAGATTGTGGTGGTGGGCGGAGAAGGCCTCTGCTGTTCTCTGTGGCTTCGGCTTGCGGGAGAAGAGATGATGCTATGTCGCTTGTTGTGGGACCGTCGATACTCCGTGTTGTGGTGGTAGGAGGTGTTACCCAGAACATGTAGATATAGCCATCCAAGTCGGCTTCAGAGATTGGTTTTTGCAGTTCCGCGAGAAGAGTGGAGGTTGTTTCTGGGGGAAGTGTAGGTGGAAGCCAGGATGCAGACGATTTCCCCTTCTTGGGAGAGGTAACACGCCCATTTTGCGGTTGTGCAGTCGAGGTAGGTAGTGGAACCTTTCCATTCGGGGTTTGAGAAGACACGCCGCTTTGTGGGCGATGGGCTGTAGGCTTTTGAGCCGGCACGGGTTTCTCGTCATCGCTGTCTTCCACTATCGTGAAACAACAAAATGTGCTCTTCTTCTTGGGTCGACGTTGATAAATGCCATTTTCGTTTGTTCGCCGCCTCCTATTAGGCTTTTTGAGCGCTGGGTCGTCGTTTATCTCCAGCACTCCCAGGCGATCCATTAACGTATCAATACTCGTCCTCGGTTTTCCCGAAATGGTGGTATCGACAGGATTCGCAGGTGAGTTTGCAGATACATCTTGGTCCCGGTGCTGCCAGCAGTACAAAGAAGCCTTGTCTATAGCTTCTTGTCGAGGATCACTCTTTCGAGGTTTAGAAGCAGATGATGGTTTAGGAGATGCTAAAGCGCGGCGACAAGGCCGGCCTTGTGTGGTAATTCCTCTACATGTTGTCGCTGGATTTCGGGAATCTGAGCGAGGAAGCAAAGATTCTGGAGTGTTTGGGATATGAGGCATACGCAAATTTGAGATGCACGGCACCTAAATAGTGTCTATTGAGAAGAAAATATTGGCAAAAAGTTAGGCTGCGTGGACCAAGAGACCGCAATGCGGTGAGTCTCCGAAATGCAGCCTTACGTTACTCCACTTAAGGGACTCCAGTAAGCGGCGAAAGGGATGTTATTTTTATCTTCAACTTTGTTTTTCCATATTTGCACAGCCACACGCTCTGTGGCGCATTCACTCTAATTAGTAAAATAATGGAGATCTATAAAATCATAATGAGATTATTGGATGACAACAAGCACATAAATAGCAATAGTATTAGAGAACTTCTGTTCAAAGGCAATTAGTCGAGTAAACGAAGAATAGATGGGCAGAACAATATATCTAAACAAACATAGCGTGCATATGAGGAGAGATACGTCCATTTGAGTAAGAAATCATTCATGTTAGTCAAACGCTTGGATGCCTTTCGAACCAAGCCAGTGCTTGTTTCTCAGACTCCTCAGCATGCTTGTTTGCATCCTTTAAAAAGAGATCAGCCCGCACACAGAACCCATGACCGGCCCCTTCGTAAATCTGCACCTCTCCTTTATCAGCTTTAGCTTCATTCTCAAAGACCTGTTGAATCAGCTTGATTTGGGGAGCCTTCACAACCAGATCCGCATCACCAAGTGCAAAGCTAATAGGAATGTTGATTTTCTCTATCTCGCTGGGGATCTCGAGGAAACTGGGATGTCCAGTGAATCCAGCATTAATCAGAGGCTTCCCGTTTGAAGCGACGTCTTCTCCGAAGCCTAGGTTAACAACGTGCTTTCCTCCCCAGCAGAACCCGGCTGCATAGATAGGGAGCTCGGAGCCTTCGTTTTCTCGAACGGACTTGATGAAGTCTCTCACAATTGGCCAGGTGGTCTGGAAAGAATTGTGGTATTTAAATGGGATAAACTGAAGCATGGTGATGGCCAGGTAATATCTGTACACTGATTTAGTATAGTCTTATGATAGCACTTGGATATTATATCCGCAGGCCAGATGCACTATGTTGCGACGTACGGTTTCATGAGCCATGTTTTCAGTCCACTGGTTGTGAGAAGCTCTTTTGTGTTGAACAACATGCCAATTGGTGCAGAATGTCCTGATAGTGGGATACAATGATCAGCGAGTTTTTGGGGATATATTGACGACTCTACTACGTACCATTCATGAAGTCGGGGAGGTAGACGAGGTATCCTCCCTTGTCGGCATAATGATCGGCCAGGATACGATTGTTTACAAATTCCCATCCGAAGGCATCAGGGACGATAATGATAATTCCACGGTGAGGTACATTGTCAGATGGTTTGGTGGTGTAGGCGTTTAAGCCATGTAAGGTGGTGACTTCACCTCGCGGTGTACCTTGATGGATATGACCTTTGAAGCATTCGGGACACGACATGTTGCAAAATGTGTAACTATTGAAAGATAAGTGCCACCTGTTGGTTTAAGAAGGTTACCTGGGGTAGAAATGTAGTGAGATCACATGCGGGACTTGGTCAGATGAAAGAGCTTGCCCTGATCGGGACGCCGCCTTCGGCCCCCCGAGGCCATAAGTGAGTACACGTAAACATGCATGGAGACTATTATAGTTAGCCCGTAGATAAGCTGGAATTCGGATTTTCGAAGTTAAGCTACAGCATAAGCTACAGCAATATTGTGCTCTCGTTCCGCATTTTATTTGGGGCCGCCAGCTGCAATGCGCAATTTCCGTCGGGTAACAAGAGAATCGCGGTCTCAACTCCTCAGCTTATGGTCAATCCAGCATCGTCATGCCATTAAGAGCAGCATATTCAGCTGTAAGGATGACGATAAGTCTTGTTATTCCTTATCAGTGCCGTGGAGCGCCCGGCCTCAAGAGTATTACTTGAACCCTCAGGATTCACTGGACACGGAAACTATCTATTTCACCATCACGGAACCTAACACACACTCGTCCAACTTCCAAATATATCTCATCATAGGCTCTTTACTTCTTGCTTGGCTATTCGAGAGGTACTGTAATGGGTGACTAGCTCTCTATGTCATGAATAAGATTTAGCCTTGAGGGAATGCGTCTAAAACGTGGCCTAAATTAAGACCACGCTAATAGGCCGGGAAGCTCCACTGGAAATAACTTCAGTGTAGGGAAGGAGGCTGTGCAAATTTAAATTATCGTGCTTCTAGGTAGAGTTCAGGAATCAATTCGTGAGACTACGTGGGATGATCTAATCTGGAATATCGCTGTAGGCACCCTAGCACCTAGCTCTAGAGGTACCTATTCGTGGCAGTAGCTGAATTACGCTCATCTTCAAAATTTTAATATTATTAGATTGTAAATTTATGCATTCTATAAATACAGGCGTAAAAATATGTAAACGCCTTGGTGGGAATTTGATACATGAACCTGATTCTCATGGCACCCTCCTGACAACGAATCTCGATTCTTCAATCCCCCGTTGACTCCATCCCCCGACCTCGGCCTTGTGCAAGCCTCGCTGACCTACGAGCACCAACTCCTGGTACTCGAGATACTCGAGGCCCGCTTCTACGCAATAAACACCAATTGCTTGTTGTTGCGCCACAAAAAGGTCTGGAAAAAGCGCGTGGGCCATCCTCGGCGATAGATATTATCTTCAAGAGACGGTCCTCCATGTTCTCCTGCCAGCTACGTTGACTCCTTTTCTCCTCACGCTCCCTTTCCAAATGCACGAGCTCAGGTTCTTCGCCTATCGTCTTAGGTGGTAGCATGTCGAAAGTAAAGCTGTTCAAAGTGGCGTATTCTGCGTACTCTCCCAGTCCTTTGTTTAGTCCTGCCTTCAATGTTATTTTTTGGAGACTTCCAAATGCCCTGGTCATATCATTGGATTTGGAATTTGCGTTCAACTCCCGATGTCGGGTGGCAAAGAAATTGGTGCCAACCTCTTTTGCCGCCTTATAAGTTAACTTGGGCTCATAGGAATGGCAATGTTCATTCCACTCGCCGGGGGGATCCGATAGGTACACTAGATTGCCTACTCTTGAGTGGAGCGCGAGTGTCTTGAGCTTTGAAAACCCACGGGCTAAGGTTTCAAGAGTACCTTGAGGCTGAGATTATAATCAGTCTATCGTCCCTAAGAAGACCAGGATATATACGTACCCACTGGTTTCCATTCTCGCGCTCAATATCCAGTTCCAGATTTTCCAGTTGAGGACACAGTTGATCCAAGGAAACCAAGTCAATTTTTTTGAAGACAGCCCGAGAGTCTAGACACTGCCAAGTCTCGCCAATGTGCACACAGAAGTTGACTAAACGAGTGTGCCGAGTAATAGCATGAATTGGAACGAAGCAGTTCAACAATTCCAGATCCACCAATGTGCCAAAAGACACCAGGAAATTCTCGAGGCTTTGGCAAAGCTCTTCGCTTCCGCCCCTGCAGGCTGTAACTTTCAAGTGTCGTAAATTTGTTACACGCCCTGTCATGGCATTGAGATTCTCAAGCACAAACAGCGTCTTTGGGCCGAGTTCGAGAGACAAAAGATTTGACCACTTGAAATGATCTTGCCAGCCCTTCCACATTTGGGTACCTATGTAGTATCCATCGAGGGCCAGATGTTCGAGCACAGGAAAAGGTTTGTGGATGCCGAATCCTTCAGAATCGGGAGATGTTTTACCAATAAGTTTTTCATTGGGGTCTCTCACTGCCCAAGAACAAGACTTCAGGTTGGGACAGGAAGTGATGAAATTTAAGAAGCTATTCCTGTGTAGTGGAGAACGGGACCTCTTGTAGTATGACCTGATATCCTGCATACAAACTCTGAGTACTGTCACTCGTGGGAGTGAATGAGGACTGAGCTTTTCGCCGTCCTCTGCGAGTAAGTGAATTTCCGGCTTTTGAGGGTGCTCGTCAATGCTTGTCATATATTTGTCGCCAAAACTGCACGGTACTTCGAGTCTATTGCAGGTGTTAGTCGCTCAAGGCATAGAAAATCTACCTGAATATCACGGATTCCATACCTCACTCGACGCAGGTCCGGGAGGCACTCAATCAACTGTGATACAGGCTTTTTATCTGCCTCTGTCAAATATCTGAACCTCCTATAGGGTTTGATAGTAATCTCTCGAACCAAACGCCGCGGTGAGTCGTGAGAAGTATCTAGCAGCCTGCCTAGAAGGCAATCGGCATTCTCTATCAGAGTATCTCCCCATAGTTGGAGGTGAGGAGAACGGTAGAGAAAGGGAGTGACCAAATCATTCATGGCTTTTGACACGCGGCAGAGACTGATCAAATCTCTTTCGCTCTGGTGGCATATCTATAATTTGTTGAGTTTCAATACCATAAGACGTTTGGATCGACTTACTGTTTCACACACTAAAAACCATGCATACCACGTTGAGTCTGTGAAGCTGCACTGGGGTTTCTCGACACACCTTCTTTTTGAAGGGGGATCTTCAGAAGGTGCAAGCCGGCTTGGGTTCTGGTTTTGGACTGGTGTTTCAGGTGCTGGTAAGCGAGCAGTCCATAATCCTCGAAGGAAATTCATAGTGAAATCAAAATATAAGGGGAGGAAATGTGGTGCATATCGATGAGATACATTTAGGATCGCATGGTAGTGGAAAAAGAAAGAGTTGAAAAAGGTGGCTACTTCTATTTAATTGAAATGGCGCTAAAACGGCGCTAAAGTAGCGGAGTGTCCTGTTGTAGTTAGATATAGGACTCTTTATAGGGGCCGATTAAGAGGGTTTGCAGCAGCATATACATCAAAATTTATTTGTTTCGTCTAGCCAAAGTCCAAGTCCGACCAACAGGTTCATAGCCTAGTTCCCATGTTCACATGAACAGCCTTGGTTTGGCTATACGCCTCAAGACCAGCCTCTCCTAGCTCACGCCCAATACCACTCTGCTTCACGCCACCGAAAGGAATGCGCGGATCGCAGTCTTGGCTACTGTTAATCCACACCATACCAGACTCAATTTCTGCAGCGACGCGGTGTGCGCGCTCCAAATCGCGCGTGAAGACAGAAGCACCGAGACCGTACGTTGTATCATTTGCACGACGAATAGCTTCATCCTCGTCGTCAAAGGGAAAGATCACCACGACAGGTCCAAAGATTTCTTCGCGGGCGATGCGCATGGAATCCGTGGCGTTTGTAATGACGGTTGGCTGTATGAAGTATCCGTTTGTGTTCTTCGCGTCTGTGGGCTTGTATGCAGCACCTCCTGTGAGAATAGTCGCACCTTCACTCTTGGCGATTTCGAAGTAGGAGAGGATGCGGTCATATTGGGTGCGGGTGACCTGTGGGCCCTGGAATACCGTCTCATCCCATTGGTCACCGATCTTCACGCTCTCAACGGCTGTCTTGTAGCTGGCAGTGAAAGAGTCGAGGATATCGCGGTGGACGTAGATTCTCGAGGTCGCGGTGCAGATCTCGCCTTTGTTGGACATGATACCGGCATGAGACCATTTGACGGCCTGGTCCAGGTCCGCATCTGGGAAAACGAGAAGTGGCGACTTGCCACCAGTCTCGAGTGTGATGTTTTTGAGGTTGCCAGCTGCCATCTTCATGATCTCCCGGGCGGTGGCTGTTGAGCCTGTGAATGCAACTTTGTCTACTAACGGGTGCGAGGCGAGCGCGGCGCCGGCCTCGCGTCCGTAGCCATTGACAATGTTCACCACGCCCGGGGGGAACCCAGCTTCTTTGATCAGAGTACCGAGAATGAGAGCACTCAAGGGAGTTTGTTCGGCGGGTTTCAACACGACGGTGTTTCCACAGGCCAGTGCGGGGCCAAGCTTCCAGGTGGCCATTGACAACGGGTAGTTCCAGGGGATGATTTGAGCTACAACACCAATTGGTTGACGGATTGTATAAGCGAACTTTTGGGGGGTTGTATTGATAGTCTGTCCAAAGGTCTTGTCTGCCCAACCACTGTAATACCGAATGGTGCTAATTGCCTCTGTGAGATCTTCATCAACGGCGACATGATAGGGTTTTCCTAACATAAGTGAGCAATTTGTTTATAAAAGCGTGCGATTCGAACATACCATTATCCCATGCATCAATAGAAGCCAACAGTTCTCGGTTTTCTTCCATGAGATCGGCGAGTCGGGCCATTAGCTGGCCCCGCTCTGTGGCGGGGAGCTGCTTCCACGAGGGGTGGACCAGAGCTGCCTTGGCTGCGTTCACGGCACGATCAACATCTTCGGCACTGGCAGCTTGAACGGTCGCAATGGGCTTGTCAGTGCTATGTGACTAGTCAGTGGTGTAACTTAATTATTTCCGAACATGACATACGCGGGGTCGAGAGAGGTGATGGTCTGGCCGCCAGTTGCGGGGATAAACTCGTTGTTGATGAAAAGACCGGTAGGCTGTTGGTAGCTCCGACCGTTGGGAGTAACAATATCAATGAAGAGATCCATTTTGTCATGAACAAAGTTCAGTTTGCCTCTCTGAAGGCGCGTGGGGTTTAATATAAGAAAGATAGGTCGCAGAAGACGTTAAGCCCGATATGGCAAGTCCTTCCGATGCATTCTCCGGCCAATTCAGAGAGCAATTCCACGCATTTGATTGTTATCCATTATCAGCCATCTGACATCGCGGAAGTATTTCTTGAATCTAGTCCGAGGCTATTGATAAAGGGGGCAGAAACGTATCTTTATGTACAATAGACCTCCCTAAATAAATTACGGCAATAGGTGAATATTGCGTATCCAATAATAACCAATTTCAGGGCATGAATTTCTCTCAGTTCATATCTGTATAAAGAGTACAAATTTTTTTTCTTTGCTGTTGTACAACTGACTAGTATCAAATGTCAAGCAAGCGTACCTCTCTGGATAGTTCATTTATAGTCCTCTTTAGGAAAGCCATCCCGAAAAGGTAAGTGTTTCCTCTATCTACAACTCGACGTAAATAGAACCAAGAACATGTTGGGAAAATGTAGAAATGGCAAGAGATTCCAAAAACAATTCAACTATATCTAGATCATCATCACTTCACTTGTAACAATCGAATTCAACCGCTCTACCAACTCCATATACAAACAACCACATCTCCCACCCCTTCATCAACACCTCCAAAATGTCATCCCTCCACGGCATCCTGGTGGCCCTCATCACCCCATTCAATGACGACAAGACCGCCATCGACGATAGTCGTCTGCAAGCACACATCGAGCACCTCATCCAAGCCGGCGTCCACGGTCTCGTGCCAGGCGGTAGTACAGGAGAATTTACCACAATGACAGTGGCTGAACGCAAACAGCTAACAGAGCTATGCGTGAAGTTTGCCGATGGTCGCGTCCCCGTCGTCGCAGGAACAGGCAGTCTCTCTTCCGCCGAAGCAGTTGAGCTCTCTGTGCACGCAGCCAAGGCCGGTGCCGCAGCGACCATGGTCGTGCCCCCATTCTACGACCCCGTTTCCGTCGATGAGCTACACGAGCTGCTGGACGAGATACACAAGGCTTCCAACCTCCCCATTGTCTTTTATAATATCCCCAGTGCGTCGGGTCTCAAGCTCAGTCCTACTGAGATTGCTGGCTTGTCGAAGGTTGGCGTCAAGTATCTCAAGGATACCTCTGGTGATGCGCCTGCTTTGACGGAGCTTATCTTCAGTCTTTCAGATCAGATTACTTCTTTCAATGGCTGGGATACGTTGACTTTCTATGGTCTTGCTGCTGGTGCGCCTGGTGGTGTTTGGGGTGCAGCGAATATTATCCCCGAGTTGGCAGTTGAGCTTTATAATGCGGTTGCTGTGGATGGGGACTTAAAGCGTGGAAGGGAGCTTTGGTCTAAGGCTTTTCCAATTTGCAAATTCCTTGAGTCGCACAGTTATGCTGCCGCTGTTAAAACTGGTGTTGAGCTGATTGGACAACCTACTGGTGGTTTGCGTAAGCCTTTTGCTCTTTTGAAGCCCGAGTTGCAGGCAGAGCTTAAGAAATTATTGCAAAATGCTGGTGTAAAGACTATTTAGATTTATATTGCGACAAAGATTTGAAAAATTTAAATTTTGTTGAAAGTATCTACAGTTCAAAGCGTGTATTGCAATGTCCGCAGAATTCATGTAATTTGCATAGTTTATTGTAATTCCCGCAGAGTTCTCTTCATGCCGGCAAGAAAGAAAAGTAGTCCTCGGAATCGTGTTCGTCATAAGACAGCAACCCCTTGAGTGGATGCCAGCACCACTTGGAATCTTCGAGGGCGCGATGGCCAGATCTCTATCCAGGCAGCAAAAACTCAACCAGCGTACTAGGGCCGTAGCAAATTCTGGAGCCAAGAAGTTTAGTCACAGCCCTGGAGTGTGATGCCCAGAGTATACGCTCCGGCGCAGGATCGGGGGTCAGGCCATGTTCGTATCCTAACATTGTATGCACCAAAGTCTGCCCACACTAGTTCAGCGTGAGCAGACATGCTTCGTGTCTACATTGTGTTCCACAGCCCAGCTCTGTCCTTGGTGAAAAAAGAGAGGAGATTTGGGAACGAAGGGAAGGAAGTGATTATACCTATGGGGTTGGCCTAATCGAGAAGGTGGGTCTATTTCTTCGTTCTTTTGATCCTCTCATCCTGTTGGTCCGTTTGTTATTGTTCTCTTTGTTCTCTTGATCTCTTCCTATCAATACCTTCATTCTATCGGTATATTCCCCTATTGTCTTATTGATCTATTATTATCACTCTATCCCTACAATGCTATCGGTGCTCCACATTGCTCTTCCTGATTCCATCCACTTCCGCCTGGAAACGAAATTACTCATTCATTAGATTACAAATGTGGGTATCAAGCACAGCTTGTCTCGTTGCCTCATAGTAATATACAACTGTATCTGAGACATAATAGAATGAAGCAACAAATGAGAAGAGTATCCGGGATCAACAAAACAAAGGCCATGTCTGTCCTTGCTTCACAGCATCAACCCACGACGGCATCGAATCACCCCTATTAGCAGTAAGATGCTCATCCTGCCTCCTCCACACCTCGGAAATAATATTCCTCGCAGTCGCAAAAGCAGCAAACCCACACGTCGAGCTAGCCTTATCCAACAATTCCATGATTGCCTCCCGCCGCGCAGCAGAAATCGCTTCACATCCAGCAATGAACAACGGCCATGCCGTTCCAGGTCCCGTTGGATCATCTTGTGTCCTTGTCGTGCCGCATGCCTCGAGAGCAGCAATCACGCTATCAACATGGCCCTGCAGAGCGGCGGGGTGGGTGTGTCGAATCCTTTTGTAGAAGAAAATCACCAGTGCTGAATTCAATGCTTCAACCATGTGCCCGTGGGACTTAGAGTCGGCATGAAGCTCGAGTACTCCGGCTCTTGTGCGGCCAAGACTAAACGAGCATATCATGTTTTCCAAACGCATGCTGCGTCTTTGGAGGGTCTCCCATGCTTCTAGGCTCACGTTCTTATCTGCTTCCCTGGCAATGCGAAATGTCTCCAAGACATTAGCTAGTCTTGTTGTTTGTGACACAAGGCTTAGCCACGTCTCTGGGATCCCATAGATCTGCTTGTATAAAGTCTCGGGGTGGCTTCGTGAATCTTGTAGATGGATATCGTAGAGTGCGGAAGCTTGGTCCTTCGGCTCGTCAATGTTGAGGTCACTATCTGAATTCTGTGTTTCAAGGCGGAGGAAATCGTCGAGGCGAGGGTTTGGCTCGGAGACCTCTGTCTCGTCTGAGTTCCGTGTGGTTCGAGACCGAAAGCGAGAGCCGAGTGCCTCGAGAGAGGAGGATGAGAGGTTGTAGTCGTGCAGAACGAAGGTGCTTTCCCCGACTATACGGAGCCAGGTATAGACGTGATGCAAGAGCCGTGCCTTCTTGGATATCCTTGTTTTGGACAGACCTCGAAGGCGTAAAAGTCGCTCTGCATCAATCATGAAGCACCGAGCATGTTGTTGCTGACCTGACATTATCTGTACGAGTCAAGAGACGTTCAATCAATTCCCAAAGGAAAACTTACTGTGTACTGTATGAGGATACATGTAGCCATCAGCTGGTCCTTGTATTTCGCCCTTTTCACACCCTGTGTCTCTGAGTTCAAAGAGGTTTGCATGTGATCCTTCGCCTCCTGGTATGCTTGGTTGGCAACCTGCCACCAATACTCAGGCGGCTTGGTCGGTGTTGCTGACGAGCTCAGAACAAGATGAATAGCTGAGCAGGCGAGCAACCCATACAGATTCGCCAACCTAGCGTGACTTATTCTCTCGGTGCCAAGAAACGTCAAGTCGCCGTAGGTAACAACAGCCGCCGGCACATTGAGAATTTTCCAAGGTGATTTCTGTCGACAAGGAATGGCCATTATATGGGGAATGACAATATCCTGAAAGTGTCTGAGGAGACATGTTGCATCTCTTAATGCATCTATATCTGCGGTGACAAGCTCTGCTGGAGTTTGCCGCGACGTGAGCATTCGTAGAAGGTCGTCATTGTGGTTCGAGCCAACAGGCAACAAGCCCATCTCCTGGCTCATATCAAACGATAAATCATTGGGTATATTCAACGCTCCAGTTGATTCATTTCCTGTATAATCTGGACTGAAGCTCAACAAGTCGGACCAGTGGAGGAAGTCGTCGATGTGAGATAAAGAGTCAACTATTGAAGAGGCACTGGGGTTTTGCACGTCCTCGGGAACCACTGCATCAGGAGTCTCAATCGTCGAGTTTAGATCTGGCTCGATGAGATTAACTCCGGGGGTCAACTCCAACGGTGATTTGTCTGGTGCTGACGAGAAATCCAGAACTGCAAAAGGTCCAATAACAATATCGCCCTCCGCAGATCGACCAGGATCTCGTGAGCGTGAGTCAACTTCTGCCAGTGACGCATCAATGGATCCGGATATCAAGTTAGATCCTAGAGCCGTGCTCATAGATAGTCGCGATTGTTCTACAATTCCGATTATTTTGGGACTTTTGCTTTTTGGATGGTCTGAACTCTTACCTGTATAGAGATGTCGTCGAGTTCCACGTGGGGTGCCCTCAACCTTCTCGCTACTATCAGAGCGCATCCACAAGACCTGATCGGAATATCCCTCGCACGGCACGCCAAGTGCCCGACATGTTCGGCAGACGGGCCGTTTCTGGTCGCATTTCACATGCCGGCGTCTGCATGTGCTGCAGCCTCCGAGTAAATGGGATCGGCGAGGCCGTGATCGTTTAGAAGTCGCCATTTTTCATAAGTAATTATACAAATCTAATGATCCTTGTTTGAACGGAATCTCTTGAACTTCCTAATGCTTCCATATCAGAAACGCGAAATATGGAGATGTTCAACCCCGCAAAACTCGGAATCACTTTCCAAAAAATTGCCCCGCCGTACAGCAATCTCCAGCGTCCGGTGCGCCATATTGCATTTTTGCCGGCAGTACATTTCATAAAATCAGTATTTTGTACCATTGAATAATACCTCATGTTATACGAAGCCGTTATCTATAATAATTTCACTTGCTTGGTTTCACCATAAAGACTGCTTATCCTAAATATGTAAAGGTGCAAGTTATATCTACGTGTCATAAATAAGCCCTATATGACTGCAGTAGATTCAAGTTCGACTAGAAACGAGTGAGCTTAACAGTACATTCCGTTATGTCTCTCTATCTATTCAACAAACAAAAGTCCTCTCTAGCCCTCGTATTTGTCATTGAGGACGTTGGGGATCCCCGAAAGCTCACTCTGCCAGTGACTACAATCGAGTTTCTTATGAGCCGCGAGATCTTTATTGGGCCATACAGAATCGTAGTCCAAATCCGGGCCGAGACTCAACAATCCACTCCAAAAGGGCTGTCCGATATTCTTCAGCAGGTCTGGACCCTTGTCAGCGTTCTTCTTTGGGTCCTTCCACACTGCAACAGAAAACGTCTTTCCATTGCTGAAGAAGAAGGTGTCGCGAGTTTTATCTATGTTTGTCGCAGATACCCTTTCTGGGAATGGCTGCATGGCAGCTTCTCGGTGGTCGGTCAAGGCGAGGATCAATCCGCCGGAGAGATCGCCAGCAAGGATGTGCTCTTTCGGCTTTGGCGAATTTTCATCCTTGGCTGATAAGGTGACCTTGGCAGCGGAGAGGGCGATGTTGGGAGATCGAAGAAGCACGTGGGAAATGTGCATCTGTTCGGGAGTGCCGTAAAGGTAAAAAGGCATGTCTTTCTGGGGATACTCATGGTCTCGGTTGATCGTGTTCAAGGGTCGGCTCTTGATAATGTCGTCTTTTGAGATGGTCACCTCTCCGTTAGCTAACGGGGGTAAGGGCCTGCAGAGTGTAATTAGCATATATTCAGCATTCAGCAACACAGGAAACCACATACTTCTCCTCGGAGCTCTCCTTGAGTTTCTCCTGGTGGTGAAGATATTGTGCCTTGCTGAAAATTTCTGCGCTGAACTTGAAAGGCTGCACAGGAAGACTTTTAATACAATCCTCAAGATTGATCTTTTGTTTAGACACCAAGAGGAGCGACGCCTCTGGGTTTTGGCCCTTTAAACGAAGATAATCCTTCTTGAAATTGTCTGCGAGGTCTGCAGAGACAATGAGCTGCTGTCGAAGAGTAGCAGTGTGGAACGAAGTTTGTAGAACCAGGAATGTCTTTCCGGTCGGTTTAGTGCCCTGCAAAAGGAATTGGACTTTATGTGCCGTCGGATCGTTCCGTTCCCTGACGTATTCAACCTCCTCGTTCACTTTCTTCTCAAATTCGTCCCAGAGCTTGCCGATGAAGTAATGCTTGGTGGGGAATGGACTCATGACCACATTGCGCAGGACAAACAGGTCTTCCTCGACTTCGGTAAGTCCGAGTCTCTTCATGAAGGTCTTTGCGCATTTTCCATACAACTTGGGCTCGAACTTGGTAGAGGTCAGGTAGACCGGGATCTTTGTTGGGTCAGTGTTTGCAGTGGTGATTGAAAGTCTGTCCACGACTCTCTTCATCAGGTAGTTGGCTTCCTCAATGTCGGTGTTAAGTTTTGTATTCTCTTTGTCGAGATAGAAGTTGAGGGCAAAGGCGTTGATGTTCGTGTCGGAGCCCAGCTGACGCAGCAGGTCCATTGCCTTGGGATTCTTCATCAGTTTCTCGTTATCCTGTTCCAGTATGAGCGTTCTTATCTCGTCGCGTTCCTCTTCAACTTCGTCGGAATCGAAAGCATATCCTTGTCTCTCCTTGGGTAGTCTGTTGAACGGGACGCAAATAAAGTTCTTCCGGTCCTTCCGGTCCTTACTGAAGTTGCTCAGAACGGCATAGCGCACAGATAACTATCAATGTTTCAGCGATGAGGGTCAATTATTGGAACAACAAGTATCCTACTCTGGAACTCGTGAAAGATGCTTGACCAAGCAGCTTTCCATATCCATCTGGGTCCAGGCCAATGGTCTGGTTAGAAAGCCATGTTGACATGGCGGCAGCTCCAGGTTTACTACAACAGTCGTGGTTAGAGGCCAAATCATGAGCTGAGGCAGTTTCAAGACAACACACCTTCCCTCTACACCATAGACACCGATATTCTCCGAAGACCCCTGGGAAAGATAAGGACTGGACCATGTCACTAGGTGTCTCATACGACCGTCCTTGTATACCAGACTTCCTGCAGGGTATGGCACATAACCAGCCTTGTGCGGGTCAACCGTGATCGAATCCGCACGGTGAAGTGCCAAAAGGTCTCTTTCAGTTTCCTTTCGCAGGGTCAAGGCCGGCACAGCACCTTTGTCGGCATCGCCAAGTTTAGGCTTTCCATTTGACCCTCGGTGCAGCATCGTGGCGAAGTAGCCTCCCCAGGCAGCGTCAGCATGAATGAGGAAAGACAGACCTTTCTTCTGCATTTTGTCTCTCATCTCAACAATCTCCTCCAGTCGGTCGACAGCACCCTCTTCAGTGGAGCCAATAATGGCCACAACCGCATAGACTGGAATTTTGTTTTTGATACAATCGTTCAGCTTATCTTCCAACTGCGCAATGTCAATGTGTGCGTCGTCATCAACATCGACTTCCAGGAGATTTGCAGAGCCCAGTCCGGCAATTGCTGAAACAGTTAGCTTTGCGTTCTTTGGTGTCATATATTAGGGTTGAAGGGCCGCATACCAAGGCCCTTCGGCCATGAATAGTGACGAGTCTTCGCCAGAAGATACTTCATCGGCTTAAGACTCTTGTAGAGCTGGTCGTTTTCATCAGGATTTAGACCCGCTGATTGTATGTTGTACTTGTCCAGAGCATCCTTGAGGTAGTCACTCGAAATGCCGAACTCTTTGTGCAGCTTCTCTGGCAGATCAAGGACCGTTTCAGGCTTCAGATTGAGCAGATCCCAAGTTTCCAGGGTCGCAAAATTCTTTTTTCCGTCCTTACAGGTCTCAACTTCGAATAGATCCTTGATGAAATTAAGGTTTCCCTTCTTGATGGCCTGAGAGAGAGCCAATGGGTAAAACTTTAGGTTTCGTGCTAGTCGCAGCTTCAGTATTTGATCCGTATGACTCCCGAAGGAAAGTACGTACCAACCCAAATGGATTCCAAATTGGCCACGGTACCATCGCAGGTAATATGGCCCCATGACTCTGGCTCACACTTTCTCTCTCCATCAGGATCAGGAGTGTGAGGAGTTTTATATCCGAACAACTCGGAAAGTTGCTCTCCCACTTTTAGTTCCGCAACGGTGGTCAAGGGACTGGCTTCGAGGGCAACATTGTTAGGGTTGTACAGCATCGTCATGAAGTATCCCAACAGGGAAGGCATGGTCAAGTCGGTACACATGTGGGCTTCATAACGGGGAGACCAGAAAGGCACCGAGTGCTCTCCCAGGAGCTGGGCAACCTTTCGGATGACATCACTAAAGTTGTCCCTGACCTTTTGGAACTCCTTTGATCTTCGCACATCTTTTGTAACAAATTTTTGGTTCTTTCAAAGGTCAGCTAAGTTGACACAGCGAAAAATGAGGAAAAGAAGTACATTATCCTCGGGGTAATAATCTAGTCTGGTTTCAAGCATTTCATCTAGGACGGTGTTGATGTTTGCTCTGAAATCGGGCATATTGGCACCACGTGGGCCGATGAAATAATTGTTGATAATGTTTTGGTCGGTGATTTGGTCTTCGCCGCGCTCAGCATGAGCTGTGAGAGAGGTAGTAGATTCAGACATGATGGAGCCTCTTTGCATTTCTGGCTTTCTCTGCTCTGGAAAAAAGATGGAAAACGTAAGGAAGATTGGAATTGTGGGAGTTTATGTAACTCTCCTCGATGGTTCAAACTTGCTCAGACCAGTGCATTTCAGCTCGTCTTGCATTGTCTAACAGATTCTCATCCTTGTTTGGTGTGCATTGATGTGCGTACGAATTGGCATCTCGTTGGTCTCTCCACCTTCAAGCCAGCTCATCATGGCCTAAGGAGCTGCATGACCTGGCCATTATCCCTGGGGTTTCATCCGAAGTCACGCCCCGTGGAAATTGCAAATCATACCCCCGCCCCAACTTCCGGTCATCCTATACCACATGTCATGTTTCGATAGGTACAGCTCTAAATCACCTTAGAGTATCAGTATGTTTGATATATCTATTCTATAAACTCAAATCAGAATATACAATTAACAAAGCATTCTTCCCTATCAGAATACTCAACGTGAATCATGCATGAATGTCTCAGAGGAGGGGTAGACCACTGTGGCTAGCTAACAGAACAATGATCCTTATTCTAGACGTTCATAGATGCATACGCAAAAGTCCCTAAAACAGATTCCTCGATCTACCTAAATAGGTCGTTCATTCATATTAGAATCCGCTTTGGATCTGCTTGGCCAAAAATTCATTCATGGTCATGCACGATATCGTCATAGTTTGCCGAGTTGTTACAGAGTTCCGCAGGATATAGTGGAGACCCGTGAGCGTTTTCCAGTTCCCATTTGTTAGTCAGCTTCGGCAGTCATGTCATTTAGTTAGTAGCTAAACTAATTCATATGCGAAATGTGATTCCAAGGTTTATCTTTTGCATATAATAGGCTAATGGTGCAGATCGTAAGGCAAATATGCAGCGTGTGCTCGGATCTTGCCTAGGCTACGATGGCCGGTTCATGGGCTTACGTTCGTTGCGCCTTGGGACCATGGTTTCAAGGTTGTTCAGCTCATTGGTGAATGTGGGCCTACCACTGTCACATATTTGTGTCTGTTAGAAAACGCATAAAAGTAGATCTACGCCTGGCTGCATCAACCAAGGGATGCCGATCTACTTCACTCACTCAGCCATCACGCATAGGAAACGCCATCACCAGAAACCGACCTGTTTCTGGTCTAGGTGGATGCGAACTGCCGCTTTAGGTGCACGGATAAATGCTGTTTACACACTTTTTGCTCTGGTCACTACTATATTTGCCCCTCGAAACGGCCAAAGCCAATAAAGCCAAACTGCTTTGGGAAACTCGACAGACTATCACATGGATGTGGGTGGGACTTCCACATACCAGTGAGCTGGGCTTTCGTTAACTATGTATGAGAGGCCAATCCAAAAGACTAGTAGTTGCATGGGAATAGGACCCATTCCACGCTCTTCGTCTGTGCGCCCCATAATCAAATATCCGATGGACAGCAAGGGCCTGCCATGTAATTGGGCTTATCGTCCTTGTGCTCTCGATTGACTGCAGCTGCCTGGCCTGGGTTTATCACGCATTTTGTGATAGATCTTGCAGGTCTTAACTTTCGGGTGGCGGGCACGGCCCGGGCGTCCCGTTCAGTGTAAGCGGTTCGTGCCCCTCACCCGAGAGTCAGCTACCACCTACTTACTAATCAGCAATGCGTTGGCAATCTATATCACCATGCGAATCATCAATGAGAAAGCTCGCTTAATTGTGCGATCATGTCGGTATAAATGACCGGGGATAGATTTTTTTAAACTCCGGAGCATGTTCATTCTTAGTACATGTATCAAGGGTGTGGAGAATGATAGGAAGCTGACATCGAACAACTGCAAATGTCGCCGGTAATTTGACGTCCTCCTGAGTACTGTCGTAGATTTCAATCGAAGATCCAATCGAGGTATCTATGAGGGTAATGACCGCAGAGGTAGCGCCAATCACCTCTGCCATGTTGAGGGGATATAATGGCAAACTGAAATTGCTGTTGTCTGGATGTCTCAGCATAAGCTTTGTGTAAATTTGAAATAATTGCAGCACCATCCACTCATTGTTACAAGCTTTTTCACCAATACAGTAGCTGAAAAGTTCGGCTTCTACAGTATTTACCCTCTTTCGCTCTTTCTCAGCGCCACTTTGGGGAACTAGTCTACTATGAGCTTATTTCCTTAGTTTGTTATTTAACATATCGTCTGTGACGGGACTATACCATAACACCATTTGGAATCTGTTCTATAAACACTTCTCCTTCCCAAAGGTCCGCTGTAAACAAGGCAAACCGAAGCGGACCTGTGCCTGGGCAGTCGGGTAACCAGTCTATTCTCTTCCTTTCCCAAGATTCCTTTCTGGTAGGTGTGAAAGTCACTACGGCTCAATATTACCATAAACTGCATATTATTTCTCTCCCTTATCCAAGGCAAGAGCTGCGTAATTGAAAAATACGATATTGCGCTTGCTTAGCGAAGTCCATTGGATGATGCTTGGTCTCGCGACGGGTGGCCCGCATGTCCACTATGCCCAACCGGTAGTCTCTGTAATATAACTGGTTGCTGATGCCCAATATTGCAAGAGTGGGAAAATGCGAACGAGGCCGACTGATTTATGAGGGGAACAAGGTTCGCGGATTGTACTTATTGGTAAAGTTTGTCGCTAAGATGCAACAATGACATATACCGCACTCCCGATAAGAGCATATGATGCGTTAAACTCTCTCCTCGCAGGGAAAGATGATAATTCAACGAATCTTGCCATCGAAATCTATCGGCTGTTCCTAGGAAACTGCCAGAAACCCTATGATCGGCCAGATAGAGTGTAAGACCCCGTTATGAGGGTCTTGGGACTTAGGTGGATTCGGGCAATAGAATGGAGAAAGCAGTAGACAGGCTTAATGCTGAACTAATCGCTGGAGTCCAAGACTCCAGCCCCTGAACTGTTTATATACAAATGTGGGGTCATGTGAGGTCATGAGCCCTCGCATTGCGGGTCTCAGCCCTGGGTCCAGTCCGCAGGTGCGAACTGGCCATCTCGCAGTCTCACATAGACTGCGAGGTATATATCGTCAGACCTGCTTAGTACTTGGGTCCTGACACTAGCGGTGTTTCTCGGACAGATGTGCGACACGGTCTTCCAGGTAGAAATCGGAATGTTTGCCTGATTCCATACCTTGGGGACTAGAAGGGGCGCCTTCAACGTGTAAGTGTTGGCCCGATTTCTCCATCTTAGACTTATATGGATCCAAGTTTTCGGTGAATGGAAGAATAAAATAGGAGTGAAATAAAAAGAGAGATTCGCTCAGCGCCTTCTTATAGTAAAGACCCCTAGTATCGCCTAGGTATTAAGTAGAGTCAATACTTCCCCGTGAGTATTCCCCATACTCCATAAGTCCGGGGATCTGGGGGTGGGGATAAGTGGACTCTCCGTACTGAATGGACCCAAAGATTTGCAAGATAGTGCACACGCATCTTCTCCACGCATCCTGTCAAAAATGAATTCCCAACATATCTGTAGGCCGTAATTGGTCGACAACAAAGCTCCGGGTATAATCTCAGCCGGGGCGTGGAGTGTGGGGTTGTGGAGATAAATAACCAAAAGATGGCATTGTAGCCTATTCAAATGTCATTAGATAAAGATCTAAATGGTTGTTTCAGCAGCTTCCTTTTAAGTTCCAATTTTCTTCATATTCGAGTGTTTTGCGTGAACACCATCAGTCGATGTCAACATTTGCTCTCGGGGGACGGGTAGAACAGAGGGCAAGGCTTGATCAATCTTGGCTACTCAGACCGAGGTAGAAATCAAATGTGACTTCCTTTGCTCTCCACACTTCTCCTTGGCTGCTTGGCTCACGCGTCGATTTCGATGGGCTCGGAGAACGCCAGATACAAAAGATTTGAGCAAAGCTCCGTACGGCCGGCTTTTGGTCTGGGAAAGGGGGTCTAGAACAAGCGAGTAAGTTTCGACCAATGGTTTGGAATCCCTGGATATGCTCTTTGGTATCTTGAATAATATATGTGCTCTTAGTCTTGAAAGTGTGTGGCGTTGCAATGTCCGAACCAGCTCGGGGCTTTAGTCTTGATCCGTCACAATAGGTCGTTTTCCTCGGGTTTAGCTCACTCTTCTCAATAACATTAATTTTCTTTATAATATAACACAAGGCAAACAACCATTTTACTGCAGTTGATCTCTATTGAGAATGATTTTCTTCTAAGTGTATACAAGACGGAAACCTTGGAATAAGCTTGTAGTATATAGTACATCAAATTGCCCTTCATTATGTAGAACCATTCCTATCCTCTTTTAGTGAGTATACAACAAACCAGCTTTCCCCCTCTTTAGCTATGTAAACTTTCGAGGTCGGTCATAGATATCGGAGGTGATTGCTCCACTGCCTAGATATATAGGAGCTAGTATAAATGGATATAAAGATGAATATATGTGTACCTTATTACCAATCTTAAGGGTATATAATTCTTGTGATACTAACATAAATAATTCTAAGTGTGTAATATACACTCTAAAGTCAACCCTCAACCCAAGGCCTGCATTTCTGGAGGACGAGCATAATACATATCCCAATCATGCATATCACACATTGCCAACCCTCCAGCTCCAATCGACTGCACCTCATCGTAAGGTATTTTCATCCAACCGACATCTTCCTGCGTACATTCCTCTATGGGCTAGAGCTCCTCATCCTCGTCGCCATCTTCATTTACCTCCGCCGGTTCCCAGTCTCCATAAACCAGACGAACAAATCCGGTTGTGATCATAGCCTTCGAATTCAAGACAGACTCTAGCGCCTCCTGGTCGACCATGACAAAAAATAAAAAGCGACCCGACGTGTAGAGAGTATCAATACCCTGTTCCTGCCGCTTAGCAGTCTTAACCACTTCCTGCAATGGGCGCGGAGAAGAGCGGTGGTCGTACCATCAAATGAGGGGTCTTCAAAGACTGTCGGGCGGAATCTTTCTAGCGTATCTAGACCCTTGTGAAATTCAAAATAATCTGTGACGGTGTGGAGGAAGAGGTCCATAAATCTGTCCCAGTTTTCTTGGCTTTGATATGTGCAGCGATAGATAACGAAGCTCCACTTTGTGAATCCGATCTTTTGGAATTCCCGCTCGAGATTGTCTGCCGCGTTCAGGCATGTTTGCTTGGCGGGAATCCCGTTTGGATGGTACTTCGATTTCATAATCGGGAGGCGTGAGGAGCTTATTGTTTTGGAGAATGATTTGGAGAGATGTGAAGGGCCAGTTCTGATACGGATAGGACGAGTTAAAAGGCTGATACTCCCTGAATAGTTATTTACGAGCAAGTTTTGGAATCATTGAAAAGGAAACGAAGAGATGGAAGAGATATTGGAAGAAATCAGGCCAAAGCTTGAATGCCTGATTTTGCAGGGTGCCAATGGTGCCTTAACGTATTCGGTAAGCGAGCTGCGCATGTAAGCCAGCTGCGCACCCCACCCAAAACGCGTCCATGAATTAGAACCTAAGTAATTCAACCACCCACTATGCCACCAATTCGCCCCCAAACTTCGAAAAATTCAATTGAGCAAGAGGGTAGGCTGTTATTAGCTATTCAGGCTATAAAGAACCAAGAGATTAGCGCTGTTCGTAAAGCAGCACGCTGTTTTGATGTACCTGAATCAACACTTCGGTCCCGCCTCCGTGGGGTTCAACACCGCGCGATTTCTCGCGCCAACAGCCATAAATTAACAGAACTCGAAGAGGAAACGCTTCAAAAATGGATCTTATCGCTTGATGATCGTGGAGCAGCGCCTAGGCCTACTACTGTACGAGAAACTGCGAATCTTCTTCTTCAAGCCCGCGGAACTACCCCGGTTCAAACAGTCGGCGAAAAATGGGTTTACAACTTCGTAAAAAGGCATCCCGAGCTATCAACCCGATTCTCGAGACGTTATAATTATGAACGTGCGAAGTGCGAAGACCCGAAGATTATCGGAGAGTGGTTTGATCTCGTTCAAAAAACGATTCTTCAATTTGGGATCACCCCCGACGACGTTTATAACTTTGACGAGACTGGTTTCGCGATAGGATTAATAGCGACTGCAAAGGTCGTTACGAGGGCTGAATACTACGGTCGGCGATCGCTTTTACAACCCGGAAATCGCGAGTGGGTAACCGCAATTGAATGTATAAATGCTTCGGGGTGGGCGCTACCTCCGTGTATTATATTTAAAGGCAAAGTGTATATTGAATCTTGGTTCGATAACCTTCCCGACGATTGGCGATTGGAGCTAAGTCCAAATGGATGGACCTCCGATGAAATTGGCCTTCGTTGGCTCCAAAACCTCTTTATTCCGTCGACTTCTTCGCGGTTAAAGGGTCGGTATCGACTTTTGATACTCGATGGTCACGGCAGCCATTTAACCCCAAATTTCGACGAAATTTGCGAAAAAAACAACATTATACCAATCTGTATGCCCGCACACTCGTCGCATCTTTTACAGCCACTCGATATCGGTTGTTTTGCGGTGTTAAAACGCTCGTATGGTCGGCTTATCGAAACGAAGATGCGCCTCGGGGTGAACTTTATCGAGAAACTTGATTTCCTCGAGGTATACCCGCACGCTCGAATCGAGGCATACAAATCCGAGAATATTATAAATAGCTTCGGAGCAGCCGGTTTAGTGCCTTTTTTACCCGATCGAGTGATCTCAAACCTCAATATTTGTCTTCGAACACCAACATCCCCTCCGAGCCGGGGTAGTGAATCAAGCCGGAATTTTACGCCAAAAACCCCCTTTACTGAGAAACAACTACGTCGGCAAGCTTCGTCGATAAAAGCTTTACTTCGTACGAGATCTCAAAGCCCTAGCCCGGCATTAAACCAGCTAATAAAGGGCTTCCAACTCTCAATACAAGGCTCTCTTTTATTAGCCAAAGAAAATAAGGAATTACGGGCGGAAAACGAGAAAAAGAAGCAAAAGCGCAATCAGTCTAATAGGCAAATACCTAAAGAAGGTGATATCTCAGTTAAACAGGTCCGTGAGCTACGATCAGAGCCCATTGAGGCCCAAATAGCGCGCATTGCTCAGGTTCGTGAGCAGATCTCGGGGCCTTTACAGCCCCGAACCAGGGCCTTACCGAAGTGTGGGGGATGTGGAAATCAGGGCCATAGGAAAAATTCATGTCCAAATAGACCTAGTTAGTTAAATTGTTAAATTAAATGGCGTTATGGTTGAGAAACATGCATTTAAATTTAATAAGTCAAATTGGGTGCGCAGCTGGCTTACATGCACAGCTCGCTTACCGAATACGTTATTTAAAACCGACCTACCTGCATTCTAAGTATTCAACGAATCCCTTGTTATACAAACTACTCAAAGTTACAATTTCATACTTACTTTCGAACCCTATAGAACGACATCAATATCTTGATGACAGCCACGAGCGAGATCAGCCAGCCGAAGAATGTGCCCAGGTGCCCAGGTGCCCGGGTGGCCATCCTCCTGCAAGATGGTGTATCCTGCATGAATTTGTTCACTAGTACTTCGTATTGCCACCCGAAATCTGGAAAAAGCAAAGCAAGTGTGGAACCGCCAACTCATCTTCATGCCGATCTTCGTTTGATAGAGATTCGAGGCTATGCTACGTTCTGTACATAGCTACGGAGTATATCCCGGAATATGCCAAAAACATATGTTGGCGAGTTCACTCTGACGCCTGACTACTATTATGGCCCCCTTCCCCGAATATAAACAACTCTGCGACAAGCTCATAATCGGTGCCAATAGCCACCTCCTGAGAAGATCTTCTGTCTCGCCAACTAAAAATTCGATGAAAAATGATCATCTCCCTGGTGAACCCAGATTAGAACTGGAAGACAACGGCATCTCCGAATATCTTCGGTCGGAATTCATGACTGGGATCCTAGATGATCTTTCCCCGTACCTCTGGCTTGTGGCGACACAAAACAGTGCTCATGTCTCATCCCTCACATACCAGGTTGTGAGAGGGCGGAACATCATCATAACAGAAAATCCCGGCCTACACCTCGTATGGATCTACGACAAAGTCTTCATCAAACCAATGCCGAAATATCTCTTATCGCATGCTTTCTGGCAGTTCTACCTCATCGACCCAAATTCAACGATTCCAGCGCATCAACGAGAGGGGATCAAAAAGGCGGCTCTCGGATTTATGCGCTCATACGCCTATCTTATACGTCACAAATCGGACTTCAACCTTGCCACTAACGACGATCATCGGCTTCTACCGAAGAAGATAAAACATTCCGCCTTCATCAAGTTCATTCTGCATTTCAAAGATATACCAGACGAATCTGTGTCCTCGCGTTACAAATTCGGCGAACTACGTCTTTCCCGCCTGAACTTCTGGGTCACCATTTTCCTGGGACACTTCACATACCATAATGTACATGGGTACTACAGTGCGTACTTTGCACGTTTCTTCGGACCTTTACTCTTCATTTTCGCACTCTTGAGTGTCTTGCTCTCTGCAATGCAAGTGGCATTGGCAGTTGGCCAACCACTCAATGATGGGTCATGGGTGGTATTTGCTTATACCTGTCGTGGATTCGCTACATCTTCGATTGTTGGTGTGGCTTTGGCTACGGCATTTCTTCTCTCGATGTTCATTTTTCGATCTTCGCGTGAGACTATCTTTGCACTCAAGGATCTTCATAGGAAGCACAGATTGAGGATGACCGGTAGCAGTCCGTGAAACCCGTCTACCTAGGTATTTACAATGTTCCTTTTTCAATGTTAGGCACATTCCTAGAAGACAGTTTTCTTGAGTCGGATTGATATGTCTATTGAATTTTGTCTTAGTTGATTGTAAGTTGGTCCGAAGCTGTGTATACATCCTTATTTATTGTTACTTCATGCCTTTTTTTGTGTTTCTCATGGTTTTCTTTCTGATAACATCCGAATTTTTATATAAGGACAGACAGGTTACAATATTACAATACCGATTCTGCCCATGACGTGACCGGAGAGAGTAGTTCTAATTTACCTAGGTAGGGTTATTCATTTACACATAATGCTTGCCATAACTGACCTTTATCTACGTTGTATGTTCCTTATTATCTTTATTGCTTCTCACATAGCTACTCGCTGATAAATCATTGCCCCGGTGGAAAAGCGGATTTCCCCTCAGTCGGGGATCGACATTGAGCCTTGCAGTAGACCAGTGGGCGATCAGCAGAGCGATGTTTTGTGTTTTAATCTCCCCTCGCAGCAGGCCACTTTCGTACCTGAGTGGTTTTGCGACCTATTGGTCACATCAATGCGTACACTCTAACTATAAGTATAAAGATATGAAAATTCAAATATAATTTGGTGTCTCAAGAATTATCATGGCTCTTCCAAGCAAAACCTCGTTATGTTTGGGCTGTTTTTCGGTACATGTATTCTATTATGGACTCGTGAAGTACGATATGCATACAGTAAGTAACATATGAGGGTGTTTGCCCGGGTGTGTATGTGCATAGCCACCTTATTGCGACCGACTCTCAGCTGCATGGCCTCCTTCACCGAAAAGCCACGCCCCGCTCTTCTCTCACTTCTTTCTGTGATCTGTCGAGTTGATTTTTATCATCCTTCATAGTGCACCATGGACATAAATACTATATATGCACTATCTTGCGCGGTGGTAGTTGCAATTTCGATTCTCTCATATCGTTCGCACCGATTTGGATCGGAGTCCTTGGAAAAATCTACGAGCCCGAAATCTGGAGAAAGATTTGTTTGTCTTCGTCAGGTTCATCCACCTGACCTGAAGACCAAGACTGACATTGATATCATCGCGATTCATGGCTTAGATACGAGGTCACCAGGCACCTGGGAGTACAAACAGGACGGCAAACCTCCATCAAACTGGCTCAAAGATGAAGATATGCTCCCAAGCAGAGTCGGAAATGCCCGTATATTTACATGCGACTGGCCCGCCAAGCAATTTGAATCATCTGAGATGGCTCAATTACATACCGAAGAACTTGTTCGACCACTGGTGGCCAGTATCAACGCGCGTTCACTAAGTGATCAAAAAGATAGACCTATTCTTTTTATTGCGTCCTGTTTAGGTGGAGTCATCTTGATGAAGGCCTTGACAGACTCAATTCAGGCTGATTCTATTCGGTCATCTACACGCGCTGTTATTTTTCTTGCCACTCCATTCAGTGGCACATCATTTGGAAAGATAGCATACTGGGTAAATCCCATTCTATCAGTCCAAGCTTGGCTGATAGGTGCTCGATTGACTCCACGTCATGACTATGTTGAGGGTGGGAGGTGGGAGGTGTCCAACCTTACTCACAAGTTCGTCCAACTTGGCCTCAATCAAGACTATTCTATCTTTGTCTTCTATGAGACACTGCCCACAAATCTCCTGGCCAAATATCTTCCACAGGCACTCCGTTGGTTATCCAAGGATGAATTGGTAAGTTATCCCAGGGTGGCTTATCGCTGTACGATATTAAAGAGACTTATCCATTTTTAGCTTGTTGATAAAGGGTCTGCTGTCCCTCCTATGGCAGAGAATCCGATACCCCTTAACCGTCGTCACACAAAGATGCATAAATTTCTTCACTCTGAAGAGGCGGACTACAAGCAAGTTGCCGATCGGGTTCAAAAGTGTCTGTTGAAAATAAGGGAGGGAAGGCCACTCGAAATGATGGACAAGGAATTGAAAAAATACTACGAGGCCGACAACAGACTCAAGATTGAACGCCTGTCTGGTAAGATGTTGCCGATGGATCTATGTTACATCAATCTTACTATCGTGGAACAAACCACTGAGAAAATTGGGATCTCAAAGAATGCTGGAGGTGCAAAAGCAGCTTCGCTCTTTTCACTCGCCACTCGAGTGGGAGTAGAAACCCTAGGTGATAACGTTCAGGTTGAGCTACAAAATGTCTTCAAAGGGCGAAACGGACGACAAGCACCAAGAAAGATATTGATTCGCGGTCGTGCTGGTATTGGAAAGACGACATTGTGCAAAAAGATGGTCTATGATTTCATCCATGCTGATCTTTGGAAGAAAGACTTTGACCGTATTTTTTGGTTACCTCTACGGAAACTCCAATGGAACTCCAAGCTCACAGATATGAAAAATCTTTTTTGCCATGAATACATCTCTGACGACTCAGGAAAGGAAAAGGAAGACCTCGCTCGCGAAGCATGGGGTGCGTTGAAGCCAGGCTATGACAGAACACTTTTTGTCCTTGATGGCTTGGATGAGGTCTCAGACAAATTGCATGATGGTCAGGTTATGATCAAACAGCTCATGAAGTTACCCTACGTGATTGTGACTTCTCGCCCACATATGTCACTTCCAACTTGGCTAGGAGATACGGAGAAGTTTGATCTTGAGTTGGAAACCATTGGGTTTCATCCCGATCAGGTTGAACGCTATGTTTCACAATATTTTCTGGACTCTGAAGTCACTGAGACTGATACGATCGACCCGGAGGAGATTTTGTCGTTCCTTAAAAAGCACCAGTTGATGGAGAGTCTTATGCGCATCCCGATTCTGCTTGATGCCTTGTGTTGGACTTGGAAGGACTTCAACCCGGAAGATCAGATCCCTCGGCCCCAAACAATGACTGAAATCTACAAGGCTATCGAATCCCGGCTTTGGAACAAGGATCTTGCGAACCTGGAAAAGATAAGATGGAGCCAAAGGCATATGACCCTGCCAGACGAGCATCGCAATCATATTGAAATCGAAACATTGATGCTAGAGCGCCTTGCTCTCACTGGAATGTACAACAACGTCATAAATTTTGAGACAAGACACCGCAGTAAGATTTTGGCAGGATTCAAACTTGATGCGGCGAACACAATTAATGAGACGCTTGGCAAGCTTTCCTTTTTGAGGAGCTCTGGCTTCTCTTTGAAGGCCCATTCGAGTGAAGAAAACAGAACCTATCACTTCCTCCACTTGACATTTCAGGAGTACTTTGCCGCGCTGCATCTTGTGCGCCAGTGGAAAGCCAACCAAGACGTGGAGCTATTCAATCTATCAAGCGGGGAGAAGACGATCATTTCACCAGTCGAGTTCCTGGGGAAAAATAAATACAATCCTCGCTATGATATAGTATGGCGATTTGTTGCTGGACTATTTAGCTCAAGCGAGAAGCCAAAAGAGCTAGAGACATTCTTCAAGTCCCTCGACTACGAACCACTCGATCTGTTGGGTTCTTGTCACCAGCGGCTTGTAATTCATTGCTTAAGTGAGACAGCGTCTACCTTTTCACTTCGGAGTACGATTGAAACCCATTTATCAAAGTGGTTGGTATTCCAATGCAGATCATTGCAGCCCTTGAGCGAAGCCCACTCCACCTTGAAATACAGATTCCAGACATTGGCGAGTGAGATAGAATTTCCCGAGCAAGCTTTGACTGGACTTTTGGAGGAATGTGATGATGTTAGGGCGATCGGTTACGAGTCAATGAAATGGCTCGGCCAGATACCATCCCAATTCATGGAGCATTTGATTTCAATTCTCGACAAAGAATCTGATAATGCAGCACTGTCACTAATTGGCCTGCTTGGACGATCAAGGAACAAGCTATCTGACGTCGTTTTACGCTCTATAGCCTCGCGGCTTTGGAGCAAAGTGGACTGCACTGCCGCAACTACTCTATACGGTCCCGGATCAGCCGAGCGAAAGTTTCGCTCTAGGGCATTTCATGTTCGGAATAATCTTTACACGAATGCCAGTCAAGCTCTACGCAATAACAATCTGCCAGTGACGCTTTGGTGTGAAATTGCAAAGGGCTTGGAGAAAATGGATAAAGGAGCCCGAAAGAAAGCCAGCTTTGCGCTAGGCGCCCAATCAGTTCCGAGCCAGCAAATATTGCTCGACTTTGTCAAAAAGTTAGCAGATTCATCTGCGGATGTCAGAGACGCCGGTACACAATTTTTACGCCACCAACCTCTGTCGCCGGAAGTGCTGTCATTGCTGGAGGAGAATATCAAGTCTGGGAATCATAGCACCATAATGGCCACACTCAAGGCTCTCAATGGGCAATCAAACCTGCCGGGGCGGCTTCTTCCATTATTGACGACTATTTTGGAACAGACAAAGTTGATAAAACCTGTTTTCGATGTTTTGTCTCAGATTTCAAATCCCCTTGATGATCTGTTAAGCGGGATTATACTAAAGAATGACATCTGGCTCAAGGGGGGTGATTCCTTCGACAGATGGTGCAAAAACTCAAAATTGTCGAATGAAGCCCTTGGCGTCTTAGAAAGGAATTTGATATCTCCCGCCACAACCCACGGTGCCAGAAAGCTGGTTCTCCAAATATTAAAAGCGCAGCCAAAATTGTCAGACGATGTTCTTAACGAGATAGTGAAACACCTTGGGCATGACAGCAATCACGTTAGGGAGGCTGCTGTTGAAACCCTCAGTTATAGGCCGTTCTTATCCACGGAAATTGTCAATGAGATAGTAGCCAGACTTGATGGACGCAATCTCACTAAACGGGCGGCCCTGGAAGTGCTGAAAAATCAACCCAATTTGGAGAAAAATGACCTTGACAGGATATCGAATTGCATGAAGAGTCAGGACGCCAAAATCAAGATAGCCGCCATCAACGCTCTCAGCGGCCGGCGATATCTGTTCGATTCGCTAGAAACCCTGAGAAGAATCACGACCTACATTGATCAAGCAGACGCGAAAGTTGAAGTAGGAGTCACACCAGGAGTGATAGCAGCTTCCATACGGGCTATCAGTGTTAGCGACCAGTCGGTTTTAAAGAAAAGGCTTGATTCAATTGCGTTGCGAATCAATGATGACGAAAAAGAGGTTCGAGAGGCTGTTGTTCATGTCCTTATTCAGCAGTCAGACCCAACAAATGATCACCTGAATTTGTTAGCCACTCGAATTAATGATGAGGACAAGAATATCAGATGGGATGTCATCCGGTTTCTTGAAAAGCAGGAGGCTCTGGACCAGAAAACTCTTGACACAATAACCTCGCAACTCCGTGATTCGGAGAACGTGAGACTTGCACACCCCGTCGAAGTTCATTTGTTGGTTCAGATGTTCATACAAAGGAAGTTGTTGCATTCAAATATCCTCCTTCATGGCCATGCCCATCGATTCTTGCTACCTATGTTAATGCGAAGCTTCAGGGAACACCTATCGTGGTATATTCAAAACGGGAAGTCGTATCTTGAGAGAGGCGACCAATCTGGGATGGCAATGTCTTTTGATGAAGTTAATGTTGATAACATCAAGGCTGAGATTGAATTAGTTCGAGAACAGCATGGGATTCCGCCCGTGGCGATATCTTATCCTTGAGAGTTCTCCATACCCCGCGAAGAAATTTCTCTGGCTCTTCCTCTTTCCATTCACGGATATTATTTGTTTCATGCGTAAATTCTTACGTAGTTATCGCCATACGAGTACGACACTTTTAGCCTCGCGGTGTGGTATTTACATATCTCCAACTGAGAGCCTCATGCTTGTATGTTTCCCGATCGGGCATGTGAGGCCATCTGGTATCGGCGCACGGACCTGTACAGAGTTGAGCAAATCACATGCTTCTATTCGGCCCTAATTAATTGTCGGTGAATTGCCACCACTGAAGATACAGATTTTGATTGGGCTTAAGCACTAGTTTGCTACTCATGAATTCACTATTGTATTGGTCAGTCCTTGTTCCACGGCCCATTCCCAGGACCTTTTGTTGCAGTTCGTAGCACTGTTATTGCTGTTTACTTCCGAATTGCAAGTTAATCGCTATACGCTTGCTACAATCGGCTCCTTTAGCTATTTGAGATATCGTAAGAGGCTGACTTTCTTGTATGTTACGAATGAAATAGAGCTTTGAGGTAGCAAGTCTCGGGGCCATTTTATGCAGTTAGCCATAGAAAACCCGAATGTTATCTAGCAGAGATAAGTGCTAGTGGGGTACCAAGATAAAAGAGTATGTGTGTTACTGTCGCGGAGACTTTTCACCAGCCGAACTTGCAAGGCCGGGTCTCTGTTCTAACGTAGCGATTGCGCGTTCGTGGGTTATGTTTAGCCGGTCATCGCCATGTTCGTTTATGATACAATCCATAGCCTTTCGGCTACACGATATGCGGGTATCCTTCCATGGCACTTTGAAGAGGTCAGCTGGTGGACTTTCTCGTGAGAAGTTCACATGCCTTATTTTTCCTTTTCTAGCATTCAACGCATGCCATAGAAGCCTTTTTTTAGTCGTGTTGCGACGGATGTCCTGGGCAGGTGCAAATGGCCTCGTAGAGGCTCGCATCGTAAATGCATCCCTAATTTGTTTTGATCACCAATGACGTCAGTGCCATGAGGAGAAAATCGTTTCGCTTGGTCATTTCCCTGCTTTTCGTGAAAGACTGCAATCGAGCATACCGGCTGGCCTTCCTACACATTGTCCAAGTGGCCTGAGAATTGTGCTCTTATCTGCTTATCTGCTCGGAGTCGCCTGCTATTTTCGTCTTCCCCATATCAGCGTCTAGTCTTGGATTGTTCCACCTCGTCACACCTCAGATTAATTGGGATCTAAAGATGTGTAATCGAAGCGATATGTTTCTAGTTGACAATATGTGATGCATGTTGTCAGTTTTGCTCTGAATCTGTAACCCACAGGACGCTTACATGACTCGATAACACAGCAGCTTTGCTCATGCTAGGGCTTTTACAGAGATTGAATCCGACAATTGCACATTGGGCACATTTTCCGCTGTTGGATGGTTTATTTAACGAGGTATTGAGCAAGATCAGCCCTTTGCATGCTGTGAAACATCAAACCAATCTCATCGTCTGATATTAAAAATGAATCTGAGATCGAGAATGGAGCTGTCAACAACTCTTTGTGGGGAGCTCCGGTGAATCATGGTCGGAGCTGATCGTCGGATTACTCTTCAAATTGACTCTTTTGAAATCTGGAAGTAGGATTATCCTGATCTTGACATACACGAAAATCGCCGCCAATGTAGAGCGGAGTACGGAGTAGTGGTGCTGATAATTGAATGAACATAACACTTCTTGTCCACAATACATGTGCACCACATCATACTACTGAATTTCTAGCCCAATCCAACTTGAGAAAGTGAGACCCAAATATGTCCCATGTGACTAACCTCTTGCGCCGTGACACGGTTGTGGTATCTTGACCTGGCAAGCGACTCCGACGACCGCCTGTGGGGGAACCCGCGATAGGAAGCCAACCCAAGAAAACAATGTATAGAAAAGGGAAGGTCATTGTACATAGCTGGATTTGGTAACTAGTTTGCCTCAGTTTTGACTCTTGGGGATTCGTCGCCAATCCTTTTATATGAACCGCGTCGTTGCCTTTCCCTGACTACCACTTCTCTATCACTTTCGATCACCGTTACAAAGAGCAACACCATGGCTCACCGCGGGGAGACTCTTCATAAAGATGTATGCTGCATCGCTGACTTGAAAAAATTGGGGAGTAGTCGGCTGGCACCGATGGTTAGAGGTAGATTAACTTGAACTCACGATTGGATGAGCTGTGCTGATCTGAACAGATTATTATAATGAAGGAGCTATGGATTTGATCACGTACGCACTCTGGTCACAGCTCTGGGAATGACTTACATCGTTATTTCTAGTCTTAACGAGAACGAAACCGCTTATGATCGTTATAAAATCCGTCCGCGAATCTTAGTCAATGTCGACAAGATCGACACAACCACCGAGATCCTCGGAAGCAAGGTATGTACACCAAATTGAACATCCAGCGCAGCACCTGACACATGGATTCCAGGTCTCACTCCCCTTCGGCTTCAGTCCCGCCGCATCAATGAAACTCGCCCACTCAGACGGAGAACTGGCAACTTCTCGTGCAGCCGCAAAATACGGCCTCTTCATGGGCCTCTCCTCTTACTCAAATTACGCGCTGGAGGACGTCGCCGCTCAGGGCGCGGGAAATCCATACGTGATGCAAATGTGTGTTCTGCGGGATCGGGCGATTACAATCCAGCTTTTGAAGCGAGCGGAAAGTATGCCATTCCATGCTGGTTTCTGCAAGCTGAGCTGACTTTGTCGTTTAGAGGCAGGATACAAGGCGCTATTTCTATCCGTCGATGTGCCTGTTCTGGGGAAGAGATTGAATGAATACCGTCACGAGTACACTATCCCAGAAGATATGTCGTGGCCTAATATTCTTAGTCACGGAGGTGATCACTCGGACCGCACTGATTATGGTATCTCTTGTCGGATCCAGTTTGTTGACATGGGCTGATAATAAATAGACCCCAGCCTTGACTGGGAGAGCACAATTCCTTGGTTGCGAGAACACACTTCTCTGCCGATTTGGCTTAAGGGTGGTATGTTTTGCTTTTAGGGAGTTTCAGAAAGCAAGCTCGGATGCACTAATAATCATATGGACCAACAGTAACCACTCCCGAAGACATTGAACTCGCTCTTGAATATGGCGTCGACGGAGTCGTCGTTTCAAACCACGGAGGTCGACAGTTGGACGGTGCACCATCAACATTGGACGCACTACGAGTTTGTGCACCTATAGCCAAGGGGCGTATCCCAATCACTGTTGATGGGGGGATCCGACGAGGCTCGGACATCTTCAAGGCCCTAGCTCTGGGAGCTGATTTCTGTTTCATTGGAAGGATTCCGTTCTGGGGTCTTGCTGTAAGTTCTTAACAAATTTGAGCGTATTGATTATGGGACTGACGTATCTAGTATAATGGACAAGACGGAGTAGAGCTGGCAATTCGGATTCTTCGCCAAGAGCTGAGGATCACCATGGCACTGGCCGGGTAAGTTTCCTCATTCTGAAATGAATAAAAGAAGAATGGGACATTCTAATGGGAAACAGGTGCCGGTCGATTAGCGAGATTCAACAATGCTATCTGTCCATTTTGCAGCCAGATGGCATTCTTGCAAAGCTATGAAATTTGGAATATAGATATATTCGGCACCAGATTCATCACCAGATCCATCACACTTGTTCAAATCTTCACCCTGACTCAGAAATTTAAATCTAGTTCCCGCTGTTCCCAAGATACTCATCCCTGCAGGACTGTATCTTGTTGTCCTATCAATAATTCGATCACTTAGGTTATATGACCTCGCACCTACGAGGTCTAAGTCACATATTAATTGCGGAGTTTCTTGCGCAGATCCTCTGGAATCCTGGTGAGAGCACACTGTCACTCTGCCCGCTGAAGCATTGCGACCAAACGACCGTAAAGTATGAACGACCTCTTCAAAGGAGCAGGTAAGCATAGCCACCAATGTCGGTTTAGCCGCTCCAACAGGAGGATCAGTGGTGCCATTATGTCTGGCTACCAGCGCTCGATACTTCGTTATTGTTAGGGTGGATCGGATGCGATCTACTTTCCCTTTTCGATGTTAGTGGCTTATCCTTTAAGTCCGAGATAATATCACCTGTGCTGAACCTTGTTCTTTATCCCATCTCGATGACATGCAATTCTATGAGGGAAATTTCCAGTTGAGAAAATCAAGTTCACAATTCTACCTATGACAAATCTCCTGAGGAAACCCACGATATACCTCCAAGATTAACCGACGTACGGTATACCTGCTAACGGGGTACCTAAAAACGCGCCTGGTGGAAGAAAGGCCAATGAGCGAAAAGCCTCGACCGTTATAAACAGCCTCGAAAACACAAACACTAATGAAATCGACCACGAGACTATCACAACAAATCCTAGAATCTTCAGGTTTGGATGCCTTGGATTATCAGATATCCGAATCGACTTGCGAACTTTTACCCTCGCATGACTGAGAGCCCATAATAGTGGCAAAGCACCAGCCGTTATAACCGCACTAATATGCCAACATAGTTTCTCTGCCTCTGTAGGAAATTTGAAATCCCATGCAAGGCAATGGATGGCGCCAAATACAATCATTGCAAGCGAGGATCCTAGGTACATCGTGAATAACCCATCTGACCTGTGCGAATCTCGGCTCAAGGCGGTATTGGGAATACATATGCTGAGACGAGAGCCCCAAAACATCATCGGGCCAGCGTTGGCAATAAGGATCAAGTCTTCTGCAGATGGGCGCTTAGCAGCTTTGATGGTGTATGATGTTTGGACGTCCTTTGGCTTATCAATCAATAGGATGTATGTGACCACCGAGCAGACTGCAAAGGAGAGGGTGAAGATTTCTAGTTGGCTCGAGGGAACATTTTGAGCCAGGCGTAAAATGAGCTGGATGACCATCCACGATATTTGAACCAATGCTAGAATCTTGACAATTAAGTCGCCCTTGTTGCGATCATTCAGGGAAGCTTGAGACAACGAAGGTAGTGTTTCAATTATCCCAAGCTCGCGTGCAAGGAGAAGCTGGTTTGCATCCAGCACCCAGAGATTCCCGCACAGGATACGAATATTTAGAAACCAATCGTAATGATTTGAAAGGAATTTCTCGCGCTCCCATTCTTCAACGAAATGGTCTGGACAAACTATACTGATTGCCTTTTTTATGGCTTGAATATTATGTAGGTCTAGTGTCCAATTGATCACTCCTATTGCATTGGAGATCTGTTGCACTGAATCATGGATTTCTCGTGGAGAAGCATAACCTCTGCTCATAAAAGCATCCAAGTTGCGTCGCAGATACTGCGGTAATGGCTGAAATCCATGCGGGGGGTAGCCGGCATCCCATGCCATATACACAGGGTTGGACGTATTGCACGTCTGGCTTCTGGTCAGCAAGCTAGGCTTTATTCGTTGTTTTGCTGTTGTATAATCCGGTAAGGAATGGCTTCGGCGTGCTGGAGAGATGTTTGATTGGGAGGTGGAAGGAGGTGGTCTTGGGTCCGATGATTCGCTGTAAGTCTGCTCCGGGTTGCGCAAATTGGTTGTATAACCGGGTCCCGCATCTGGCAAAAGCCATGGCTTGTTCAACAGCTCATCAAAGTGAATAGAAAATCCACCCATATTTGCGTAGTAGATATGAGAGCGACTCCATGGAACACCATCTTCCCTTTGATACTTTGCAAACTGGCCCTCGAGCAGAGCCACTGAACGTCTATTGCTCCAAGCTTGTCCTACCGCGAATTCTGGTGCAGCAAAGTTGATAAGCATCCATTTGAGCTTCATAGCAACTAGAAAGAGCTCTCGTAAATATTCTTGGCGTTTACCGATTGGAGTCGACTCGTATGGAACGTTGAGGTGAAGGATAGACCAAGTGCAGAGGACAAGAACACTGATACAAGACCAAAATATGTCTAAGGTTCCCCGAGTGTTTGGGGAAGAAACAAAGGCAACCCTCTCCGGAGGAAGAGTACAATTGCTGTCAAAAGTCTGCATCATTAAAACCAATGCCGATGAGATAGCAGGGCTGCTTGTAGTTAGGACATGAGGTTGGGCTTAAGATACACAATAACTGAATGAGGCGGCTTGAAGGCATATATATAAATAGAATTGCTTCTGCTGCACTCAGCCTGTCTCGTTTAAACAATGTTGCTAAATTGAGTATAGACATGCAGGCCAAGACTATGGCTGCCGCTAGTTTGAATGAACATCCTCTTTTCAATTGGTGCTTATGAGGCTGGCATATGCATCGGATTTCAGGCCGCGCGAGATGGCTTTTCCTTTTCGTTTTAGTGCTTACCCCCTGCCGCTGTTTGGTCACATAAACTGGGTGGCTGGCCCCGCTCCCGAGGTCCTCCAGGACTAGTGCGGCGGCTAGCACAAGGGCAATCAACTGAGCGTTCATCTCATTAGGAGGACTTTCTCTTCCCTTCAGTCATTTTATTGCAAAAAGTTCTATCCTGCCATGATGACTTATAGACCCGGCAGTGACCCCCCCCCCCCCCCCCCCCCATGCATAAAATTCCTGCAATTTACCTGATTAGGATAATAAAACAGATGACTTATGTCAATAAAATACCGTCACTTACTCCTGTTCTGTCTGTATGACTATTTACGTTGATTTCCTACCAGCAGCAGTGCTTGATTTAGGAATTGGAAATTGTTATACTATCTATGTAAATTAGATAATAGGTCTCTTGGTATTATAGGCTTTTCATAGTTTTAAAGCGGGTTCCAACTGAGCGGGACTACAAAAGACTTGGCGGGGACTACAGAAAAATAAATGATGTAATTTCTAGTCCCTGCCAGATCAGAGGCTAAGGGAGTCTACATATCTGGAGCCCCGAAGGGCTTGCATCGCACCCTGGCCGTCTGAGCATCAAAATTCAAAAATGGGGGCAAATTCCCTGATTCGTCCGTACTCAATGATCCACGACATTGAATATGTGTTCTCGGCCGTTTTGTTTATGTCTTGGTGATGTTTTCTGGCTCCATGTGGATCATCGTGCAGGTCTCGGAGATCATTTTAGCGGATTAAAAAGTAAATTTGAAAAGCGTAACGTATAACAGGACTATAAATTTTAGGTCTAACAAGATATGAACACCAAGATCAAAGGAATTACTTATTTATGACTATCATTAAGGAATTTATAACTTTTATAGCTTTTATACGTGCTCTCTCTCGGTGCGATGAGATCCTTCCCCATAATCACCATCCGCTGCGGTTCTCGTAACCTCGAACGTCTGATGAACACCCACTTCGATCTTTCCAGGAAGGTTTGGGTGCGGCAAAGTCAACCTTTCCTCGCTGCTGCTCAAGCTAGACGAGCGAGGCCATGAGTTTTCCAAGTCTCGATGACTCTCAATGTTAGTCACCATGACAGCCAGCTTGTCGGGTCGCAATTCGCTCCGCTCGGTTCCATTCATCGATTGCAGAGGCACTGGTCGCCCGGCACTCGCACCACCTGTGCGGCGTCCCGTAGATCCCTTGGGGAATCCGGCGGAATAGGACGGATCTACGTGTGAGCCGAGCCAGCGGCGAATGAGGGGTCGGAGGGTCGCGAGACTGCCAGCAGTAATACCGAGGCCGGCTTCGAGGTTTGACCAGTAGGCGATTTGGACGGTGGAATCTTAGGCGGGTAAGCTTTGTTCGAAGCGGAATTTCGAGGATGGGAAAAAAAGCTTACATAAAAAGTCGTCTAGATCATCGAACGTCTTCACAAATGGAATGCGAACAATCACGGCGGAGGATGCACTGCACGGGTTTAGTTAAGTATTCGCAAAACCGAGGGAAATAGTCACATACATGCAAGCCATGCTCAAAATTCCAATTACAGCCATCTTCGTCTGTCGCTTCATGTGCAATTTGTGCACAACGAAGATTGGTAGAATACCAACAGTGAAATCGCACATTGCGGCAAAAGCACTGTAAACGTATGTCATGGCGATAATGATTTCCATGTTGATACAGGAGCCTTCGCCTTCGATGTTCACAACGGGGTGATGCGCCATTCGGGTCCAGAAGAAGGACAAGGGCTTGCATTGCAAGAGCATCAGGAACATAAAAACCAGGCCAGCGAGGACCGTCAGGGCCATGACGGTATACAGAAGCAACAAATGAGTTCGCTTGATGCAGATACGCATCAAGAAAATGCAAATGGAGATCTTGCAGAAAATCGATGCAAAACAGAATGCGATTTCGCAGAGCCACCAGTACTATCAGAGTCAGAGAGAGTTCCTAGAAGATTTGGGCTCGGCTTACCTTCATGGCGATTACTCGCTCCTCTGGTTCCAAACTATACCAGTGTCGTCCATTTCCATGTATTCCTGCTCCGATCATGGATCCGGAGAACATTGCATACCACGCCTATAAATTGGTAAGTTTGCTGTAGAGTCCAGTAAGCAAAATGAGACGACTGACCATGGCCATGACCATTGAACCATCATCCCATCCGAACGCCTTCACGATCCAGCCGCGAACATAACATCGGAGCATAACGGCCACAGTTGCTAGTGACATAAACAGGCCGGCGACGACCTTAATGGCCATATTCCTTGAATCCTCATCGGTGGCCATGATGAGAGGCAATATGAAGCGTCTCAGAAAAACGTTTGCATGAGGGATGATTCCAAAGCAGGAAATTTTTTTTCTTAAAGGTGGACAACGCGGAGATCAACCAAACTAACTTCTGTCAGGGGCAATTTTGGGTGCGCCGAGGCACTTCTCCAACTCCTCATACCAGCGAATGGCAGGAAGGGATCAACAAGGACAACGCTAGAGTAGGTTCTAAACGGTCCAACTGGAGCCGCACACAAGATCACCTCCAGTTAATTAAACAAAATGCCGACAGTGTGGAGATTTTTCGCCTGTCGAGTCTGACGCCCCGCTCCACCCACAAACAGCAGGATTCCCAGCAAACATTATTGTGCCAAAACGGCAAATTTTCTTCAGGAGCATCAAGCTAACAGCCACCGGTGTCAACATAGCGTGGTTTGGCGAGGGGTGCATATCCACCAGACGCGGGACAGACCATCCGTAAGTGGGCAACTAGCCAAGTTTCCCAAGTTTCCGGGAATGAAGAAGAATTGGCCATTGCCGTAGAATGGTTTTTCCGGTTTGTATGTCCGACTTCCGTTTGCTTTTAAATGAATAGTTCACAAAGGGTCCATTTGACTCCATTTGACGAACCTGTTTTTGACAGCACTGGAACCACTGTTTTAACAGGTAGTTTGGTTCTATTCTAGTCTCTCCTAGAAAGCGGTCTACAAAACCGATGATCTCGATGATCTTCCTATAGTAGGACTAGTGCATTTCTATGGTTACTGTCGGAGATTAGCCTTGGAAACGGTCTATCGATTGTAGACAAAGTTATTGTTGTGGGATGGGGCGTATACTGCTCCGTGGTACTCGCGGAATCTGTCTAATTCTGTATCCAATTTCGCTAATAAGCGCAGATCTTTCAGACGTTGGGTCATCTTGTTCTAGAATAGAACAAATTCTTTTTTTAAATCGACTATTTGAAAAGCATATGTATTCAAGACCAATTCGTGTCGGACAATTCGCGGGATTCCGATAGGTCACATTCCCGCTATGCGACCCGATCAAATTCTGCTTCTAGACCCGGGAGATTAGAGAAGATTTCTTCACCTACCTGCCGAATACGAGCTGTCACTTCTCATGCCTTAGATGATTGACTAGTGATGTGCACTTAGGGCCCCGGAACAAACTACCTAAATACGCCCCTGATATAATTGCACTACAACAGATTGTATACAATATAACTACAAAAAACACATAGACCCGTGCCCCTAGCCCTATCAAGATTCTGATGGAGCATCTGGTGTCAGGGATCGTTCCTTGTGCCAAGTGCACAACAGAACCGATATTGATAATCCTACTCCATAAACGGAAAATCGGTGTCTGTACCGAACGGGAGCGGACCGAGGACAGAAAGGGGCTTGTGGAGAGATCATCAACTCAGGGGCACGAGGTACAGAAACTTATATCCTCCAACGTACAATATTCATGTCAACGACGCAGCTTAATTATAAGCCCAACTCGCCTGCCTATCTGATATTTTATTACCGAGCGCTTGGTGTGGACCCATTTATGTGGACTTCCCGACAATTTAAAACCCGGTCGGGTGTCGCTACGAACCCCTAAGATCGACAATGCACTCCCAGTACGAGGTCAATCGGCGTCAAAGTCGCGATTGCGATACGCGTGACTGGGCTTCTTTTGCTTCTTGACTAACTTCTGTTCCACCTTGATCGAATCTTTATCGATTTACAAAGCTGTGTATGCGTCCTCCGAAGTTCTCTGACCCTCTCGTGTCGCATTGTGGAGTGCGAGAGATGCGCTTTCGAAAGGCGCTGGTCAACAGTGCGGCCTGTCCACGTAATTTGGTTAAGCACGGTGCCTTCGGGCCTCCGTGGACAGCAACGGACCCAAATTCTCCTGGGTTCCACTTTGCAAACCAAGCGATTCATCGGTCAGCCTAAATCGTGCATACTTGGCTGTCCGTCCCCAAGGAGCTAATCAGTCGGATCACCATGGTCATTAAATGTTTTTTTGGCTACTTTGACTACAAAGCCCCCACTTGCGGCCTTAATTTAATTAAGGTTAAAGCAATTCTCGGACAGCAACACGCCTATCTGGCCTCTCCATCAAGCGCATATATTCCAATATGCCCCTGCCAAGTCAGAGAAGGACCAATAGTTCGTCTGCGGCTTGCTATCTATTGAACTGCGGGGACCAGCTTGTTTGTCTCAGATGCCAACACATACGATGCCTGTCTTTGAAGACACGTATGGTCATTTTAAAGAATCTAGGGCCTGCTATGATCATGACAGCGGACTCACTCCTAGCAGCGTGTCCAGACTCGCAATACGTCTATCTCAGAAGATCCAGTCTATCATCGAGCTTCTAAAAGGGATCAAAAAATAAGAGCTGCGACGGTGTACACGGATTTGCCGTCATCACGCGGAGCATAGTACCTTTCAAGCCCAGTGACACTTATCGGCAGCGTCCTGTAGGCAACCTGTTAGGTCCCGCTGATCTATATGGTGACTGCAAAGTTTACAGACAGCTACCTAGGTAGTAATCAAGGTACCCACTGGGTTGATAGAAGGGAAGAGTGAGCTGCTTGATATATATTGATAATTAACACCAGATGAGCAAAATACTTGAAAGATTAAATGGAGAGACACGGGAAGGAACCGATAAAAAGACACTCACAAGACGTATAGCCCTGGATATGACAATAAAGGGACATACCAGAGCGTCAATATACTTTCTAGATGGGATGTGGCTTGTCTCTCAGCGTCCGAACATCTATGAAGAAAAATTCCTAGGGTTCTAACGCCATCTTTTTCGACGTTGAGATACCCACTCTGAGATGAGCATTCCATTCTCCGTGAGTTGTAAAAATTGAACCTAGTCTATGTTCGATCGGCTGAACCGGTGGAATCACTGACCAGCTGAACTACTTTCACTGATCATAATGAGTTAAACGGTAAATAGGTGCATTATCTTATTGCTCTAGAGAACAGTGAGAGAGGATGAAAGCCCGCAAAATTAGCCTTGCAAGATGCGCAGTTTATGAGAAGTGCTAGCGTGGGGATGAAAAGAAATATTCCTTATCTACTCCGGAGCTATCTCTTCCAAATTTGTTATCGCCTCTTATCACCTTTTATCGGCTCAAATTATTCCTGTCGCTCATGTTTGTGCCAAAAGTCAAAACAAGATAGCACACCCGAAACGATGGCTATTCTTCATTTTCGCTGTCGCATCTAATGACTTGTTTCGTATAAAGGATCTCGTGAGGACACACAGGCACAGACCTGTTTTGGTATCCGGGATACCCCAGAACTGAATATTCAATCATGAACTTATGTAGTTAGGATTCTATGCACCTTCATAAAGTAATCCGCATATGACGAAATTGCGGTCTGTTGTCTACATTTCATACCTAAAATGTCCAATCTCAGCCCTAGAATACCCATGGAATCATATCATTGCCACGGGCTTGCCGTAATACCCGAACCACGGAATACCACTCCAATACGCGTGTTTTTCGCCAAGAGTCTTGGCAGCGCGCCCCGCAGGGCTGAGGGGATATTAGGGCTGAATTCCTTTCACGATAGAACACAATTCTGGTCAAGATGGCGCAGTCTAGATAAGCTCAAAGAGGCGCAGCACGTATGCAAATCCCTAGGTAGCCACTGTTGGCACAAACAAATATAGAAAGGGCCTAGGGAAAGGTGGATAGCGGACTTCAAAGCCACACTGCAGACTCTCGTCAGTCCGCAGGCAGCATCGTTCTGATTAGTCGGACGGCTATACTTAGCAACACGTACACATCTATTCGTGACGCAGCCCCGGAATGCTCGTAAATTAAGTGAAATCTGTAACGTCAGTCCCTTGGTCACTATTCCTGAGCCACTACTCCGTACTAGTCGATTCAATAATCAATTTAGGCCGATCCTCCACATTATTGAGCGAAAAAAAAAAGTTCGGAAAAAGTACATATACGTTCCCTTTCTCCCGTCTTCTAGTTTTGTTTTTGTACCACTACTACATACTTCACTATACAACCTCCTCAGGTTACTCTACCATCACAATGTTTAACTTCAACTTCTTTAAGTCTGCCGGCGCTGAGGAGCAGCACACCGAGGGCAATAACTGGAACGCCAACACCGTCACTATGCAACCTACCAGCCCCGCTGCCCCTTCAAGCAACCAGGCCGTCGTCTCTGAGCAGCCCGTATGTTCACCATATCGCTCATGGCAATATCATCCAAAATCATAATTCACAATCCCAAACTAACATCGCACAGTCTACCCAAGAGCAAATGCAGCTGCGCGGTGGTGGTGGCGGCGGCGTTTGCTGCGGAATGTACGTTTTCCAACCCTCTTAACCATATGGTCAAAGCAATACTAACATCAACCAGCTGCGCCGGTATTGCTTGCTGCGAGTGCCTGGAGTGCTGCTGCTAGACGATCAATGCGCAATGGCCGGGTCACCAGACCTGGCCACGGGCCGTGATCGGCATCGGCGGTCTTTGATGTTTTTCTTGGGTGACGGTTCATTGATGTCATGTTTCTTTTATACGCTATACCCCAGAACAATGCCAGTGATGGAGTTCCTTTTTCGATCTTGCTGAATCTCTTTCGTAGACCTGTCCCGTTCGTTCTGCATTGCAAGTTATAAAATTTCCCCTTCAAACGGTCGACGGGAAATCGCGCCCCGTAATGCAGCGTCGACATCCCATGCCCGGAACCCCGGGGCGCGGCCTAGGATGCGGAGGTTGGCGAGCAACACTGTCGTAGTCAGAAAAGCACCAAAACGCAACCAAAAGCACAAATACTCACAATCAAAGAAGCACTCCATATCAAGAGTATGAGCTTTCTTATACCCAGCCGCCCCAAACAGCTCTGCAACCAACCCCCCAGGAACCCTCAACCTAACAGCCGAATCAATCACAAATCCCCTGGACTCCAAATACCCTTGCACATCATGACAATCAAACCACTCCCCATCAAGCTCCAACTCCTTCATCCTCTTCTCCCCCATCCCGTCTCCACAAACCCCAACCTCCCTCCAATCCTCATCCCACCCCCAAATCCCACCCCGCTCCAGAATCCTCTCCAACCGCCTCAATATCCTCCCCGGTCGGCGCATATTCTCCGGGAAAACAGGCCTGCCGTCCTGCAACCGCGGGAAATGTCTCCCCGCCCCGCCGAGCGTATAGTAAGGCATCTTGACAGCCTCAAGACTGGTCCCAATCTCGGACCGTAGCGTGCGCCGGAACGTCCGCCGTATACCCGGCATGTCGTGGATGCAGGGGACGAGCGCGAAGATGCGCGTGAGCTGCGCAGGCGCCGTATTGCCGTCTGTTAGCCACCGGTAGATATGCTCTAGGCTGAATCTGTGCAGGCGCCGCGAGAGGTCGGATTCTTGGTGGCTGTAAGTGTAGATTGTTGCTGTTGGGAGGATGCGGTTGAGGAGTGGGGATGGGGAGCGCGCGCCATTCGTGCGGCTGCTTTGCGTTGGGTTGGAGCTGTGCGAGACTTGATAGCCGAATATGTCCCTTTCTGGTTGCTCCGGAGTTTGCTCCGTTGATATGGACTTGGCTATCTCTGCGAGGATGAGGGCTTGGGCGCGGGAGAGATGCGCGCTCGGAGTGGCGGTGCTGTCTGCTTCTGCATCTTGGAGGAGAGCTGAGACGCTCTCTAGGGTTTGCTCTAGGGTGTCGACGCGAGATCGTAGCGTCTGGATCGTGACCTCTTTTTTTAGCCGGTAGGTGCGTTGTGCCCGCCGGATCTGGAGCCGGCGTTCCTGTGGAGCTTAGTATGCTTTCTGGGGACTATCATGGGTGGGCCAGCGGGATCTACCTCGATGGCTGCGGCATCTTTCACGGTTTCCCGTCTCGGTCGGCCTCTTTTCCGGGCGGGTCGATCCGGAGCTGCTGAGTCTGTGTTCTCGGCTTGCTCGGGGATCTCCGGTGCTATGGGGGTGGTGGGCTTCTTTCGGGGTCTTAGATGACGCTCTGGTTCATCTTTGACCTCGGGGCTTGGTTGCCCTATGGGTTGTATATAATTCTTCTTGTTTCTTCCTGATGCGGGCGCTTTTTCTTCTTGTTCTTCTTGAGGCTGTTCGTCTGATAGTTCCAGGTAGGATCTTGAAGACAGCATGTTTGATAGCATCTCCGAGTCGTATCTCTGCATTGAGTATGACAAATTATTCGTGGGCTATAGGTTTATTCGGATGTAATTCATTCACAGATCATTCGCATGTTGGTAATCAGAGAAATCAAATTCATGTGGACGATTTTCGAGGTTAACGTTGTTGAATTTCCTGATCACTCATCGTAAAAGTCGACCTCGGCACTAAATAGCGGCCAACGCACAACACTTAAAGAGATCCGAAACTCCACAATCTGCAGAGTGTCGATATTGCATATCTGGAACAACTTCAACGTTTTTATGCATAACATACATATAGACATATATGGATGCATTTGCATTTGCATAATCACATTCTAGAGTTTTTGACGCCACACAGACCCTTCGTATCCTAGTCTAACCCGTCAGGGCAGGTGATGCATTCGGACTGTGCCGCGATGGTGTCAAAGAATATGTGGAGATTGAGCAATGTCGACGGGAGCTCCGAGACTCTGATCGGACACGGTGAAGCAGATCGTCAAGTTCATCGGGCCCTATGACAGACCGAGTAACAGCGCCGAGATTAACTCGGTCAAGGGCTTGAAAAAAACAGCGTGAAATCCGAACCCCGATCGACCATGACCTCCATGGTATAGTTCATTGGTTCATGAAACGACGATCAGACCTCAAATTGAATCTTGTTTCCGGAGGGTTTTTTCCCCACTCTTACATCGACCGAGGCTGCGTGTGGTTTTTTCTCATATAAACTAAATACCTTCGTCCTGTGTAACTATGTGCCGATAACATTCTCCAAATCAGAGAAAATGACTCTGACCTTCATTTTGGGCTTCGCGGCCGCGGCCATCGTGCTGCAGGTTATCCGCATGCTCGTCAACTCCTGGCAACATTCGCGCAATGCTAAGAGCTTGGGCTGTGGCAGTGTGCCATTGTACCCCTGCAAGGACCCCTTTGGAATCGACAACTTAAAACAATCCCTAGCAGCCGACAAAGAGAACGTCGTTCCCGAGTTGGCCGAGAAGCGCATTCAAGTCATTAGTGAACAGGAGAACCGCTACGTCACTACATTCTCCATTCGCAATCTCGGCCGCACCCACCTCTTCACGATCGACCCCAAGAACATTCAAGCTCTCCTGGCTACCCAATTCAAGGATTTCGAGCTCGGCTCAGTTCGTCGCGCCAGCTTGCACCCCTTGCTCGGCACTGGTATCGTGAGTCACATGCAATATCGGTTCAGTCTCCAATACTTAGTCCGAAGCACTAACTTTCTTAAAACAGTTCACCGCCGATGGAGAAGAATGGAGTCGGTCCCGCGGCCTGTTACGGCCTCAATTCACCCGCGAACAAATTAGTCAATTGGATCTGGAAGAAGAGCATGTCCAAAAGGCCATGCAGGCCCTGCCTGTCGCAGCCAACGGCTGGACAGCCGCGACAGACATCCAATCCATCTTCTTCCGCCTGACCATCGACTCCGCGACAGAATTCCTCTTCGGCGAAAGCGTCGAGAGCCAACTCGGCGCCCTAAACAACCTAAACAGACTAGAGGACTCGTTCGCCGCCTACTTCGACAAATCGCAATGGGTCTGCGCGCAGCGCTCCCGCTTCGAAAAACTCGCCTTCCTCGCCGAAAACAAAGAAACCAAATTCTCCGACACCCAAGTGCACGCCTTCGTCGACAAAGTCGTCGCAACGGCCCTCTCCGCCCAGAACCAATCCGAAAAGAAATCCCCAACCGATAAAACCTCCTACGTCTTCCTCGATGCCCTCCTCCAAGTAACCAGCGACCCAATCGAGCTCCGCTCCCAACTCCTCAACATCCTCCTCGCAGGCCGCGACACAACAGCTTCCCTCCTAAGCTGGACAACCCTCATGCTCGCCCGCAACCCAGATGTCTTCGCCCACCTCCGCTCCACAATTCTTTCCACTTTCGGCCCCTACTCCACCACGCAGAACATCACCTTCGCAGCCCTCAAATCCTGCCAGTACCTGCAGTACGTCATGAACGAGGTCCTGCGCCTGTACCCCGTTGTCCCCTTCAACCGCCGCAACGCAACCCGTGACACCACCATCCCCCGCGGCGGCGGCCCAGACGGCCAAGACCCCGTCTACGTCCGCAAGGGCCAGTCCGTTATCTATACGACGCATGTTATGCAGCGCCGCAAGGATCTCTGGGGTCCTGACGCTGATCAGTTCAAGCCTGAGCGCTGGGCGAATCGCAAGGCTGGCTGGGAGTATATTCCTTTCAATGGGGGTCCGAGAATCTGTATCGGGCAGCAGTTTGCGTTGACTGAGGCCGGATATGTTATTGTTAGGCTTTTGCAGCGCTTTGATCGTATCGAGGATGTTTACCCTGATCAGAAGATTCGGTACGGTCTTACTTTGACCAGTGCGCCGGCTGATAAGGTTACTGTGCGCATGCACCAGGCGGAGGATGTTTAGATTGAGGCGTTGTTTTGTTTGGGTGGCATGTGCAGGCATTGTGGGGTTCTTGGAAAAATCCCTGGCCTGTGTCTGATTTAGTAATAAGTTTGCATCGGTCTTGACTGGTGTAGTTTGGTCGGGCGATTCGCCTATGATAACGATGAGAATGATATCTCTTATTATGATTTTACATGTTTCCCATGCCATGCATCGTTCTCTAAATCACCTGTAGACATATGATATGGCATTAAGGTTGTTGTTAGCTGGGTTTACTTGTCCCCGGTATACGAAACAAGAGTATGAAGAAAACTCAAGTACCAAAATAAATTTATATGAAGAATAGAAAATGAAGAGAAGGTTAAGTATAGAAGTGTGTTGAAAAGACATCGATCCAGAAAGAAAAGCCCCAAACCACCCTGCACAAAAATTTCCCCTTTTAAGCTATGCAGTTTCACAAGACAAGACCTCGCTTAAAGACACTGGTAGTAGTAAGGGTTCTGCTTGACGCAAGTGGAGCCAGATTCGCAAGAAGTGGCACCAGTCCAGTTGATACCACCGCACTGGTAGTACTTCTTGGCGGATCCGCTAGCAGAGGCGCTGCCGTTGCTGCAGGCAGACTGTGTGGCAGACTGGGTAGCAGCCTGGGTAGTAGAGGGGGCGAGAGTAGTAGGGGCGGCAGTGGCGGTGGCAGTGGGGACTTCAACGGCGATGGAGGTCAGGGTGGTAGGGGCAACAACGGGAGCGGAGGAAGACTCGACAGCGACGGGAGCGACAGAGCTGACGATCTCGACCTGGCTGCTGGGGGTGCTGGTGACCTCGATCGCGGCGGTGGTGGTAGAACTCTGGGCGATGGTCTTGGTGGCGCTGGCGGTGGAGGTGGAAGAGGAAGAAGAGGAGGTGGAGGTGGAGGCAGAAGAAGTACCGTCGACGAAGTACTTCTCAAGGATGGGCAGGTAGGTCGAGTAAGCAGGGCCGTCGGTGGGCTCCAAGCTGTACATGTAAGAACCCCACCAAGGACCAGCAGCCCACCACTCGGCGCCCATCCAGACGTCGGTGTTGTCGGACATGTAGGAGAGCATGCCCTCGACGGCAGCCTCGCAGTCGCTGTTGACACCGCCGGCGAACTCGCCAATGAAGCCCTTCAGGTTGTTGGTTTGCAGCCAGGCGGTGGCGGACTCGAGGCGCTCCTTGCCGATTGTGCTGCTGACGCAGGTCTCGGAAGTGCCGGAGCTGTCGGCGTCGAGGTACTGGTGCATCTCGTAGACGATCTTGTCTTCGGTGTCGGTGAGACCCTTCAGGTTGTCGTTGTTGTCGGTCCAGGACCAGGCTCCGCTCCAGGCGTTGCCTTCGACGAAGATGTACTGGGAGGTGGCGCCGGCAGCACGGATACCGTTGATGGCGGCCTGGTTCAGGTTCAGGACAAGGGTCTGGTCAATGTCGTGGTACTCGTTGTCTGGAAGTGTGTTAGTGAATGTTTGCGTGGAGGTTGGTGGATGGCTTACTGGTGTCGAAGACAACCTTGGAGTTGGAGGCAAACTCAGTAGCAACGGTCTTCCAGAAGGCCTTAAAGTCATCAGTGGAGGTGATGACGCTTCCAGCGCTGTGGGTTCATTATTAGTATCATTCATGGTAAAGTTGTGGTCTGGTGCCACTTACTATCTTCCGTAGTTGTGGGGGTCAAGAACAGCGTAGGCACCGCTGTCAGTGATGAATGTGACTGTCTATAGAGCAATGTCGTTAGATCTTTCTGAAACATTTTTCATTGCCGCGAACACACCTTCTTCAAAGCAGCCAGGTAAGTCGCATCCGCAGTGCCGGTCATGCTGGATGGCACCAAGCGCTCCATCAAGAAAGGAACACGGAAGATGTTCATGCCTGCATCTCTCAAGACCTGGATCTTGGAGGTCTCGGGCCAGGTGTAGTCAGTGCCAAGGGTACCGGGGATGTTGCCCTGGCCGAACTCAGCACCAGACTCGCTGACGCCGACCCAGGTGAATCCATTGGCACGCTTGCTGACAGCAGCGCTCTGCTTGGTGCTAACAACTTCCCGTCCGCGAGGGTATGCGCAGGCCAGAGTTGCGGCACTGGCAGCCAAGGCGATGTTAGTGAACTTCATCTTGAAATATAAAAGAAGGTGATTGTCGAGTTTGACGAAGGAATGTGGGATTGAAAAGAAAAAGAACGAAAATCAAGAACCAGTCTTGAAGATTGAATGAAAAAGAATGTATTGGATGTAGTTCACAAATATCCCGGAGACCTTCTGTTATATACCCTCGTCAAACAGCGAGTAGTGTGAGCTAACGGAGAGTGTGGACAGAGTGGATTCACCGTTCGACACCACCAACTGAGCCACTTGGAGAATCCTCGGCTTGATGAGCAGGATCCCGACTAACCCGGAAAGCGGGATTCGTTTCTTCTAGACGCAGACTCTCTCCACCGGAGAAACCAGACGAACGGTCCCATTGCCCAGAAACCAATGGAACCAGCACAGACGACCAGAAACGGTCAAGTCTAGTATAAAGGTCAATATATTCCATAGTGAACCCAATATATGGGAGATTGGCCAGCAAGGCTTGGCTCTGTGGATAGGAGCCAGAGTGGAGATGAGATCACACTGCAGGGCCTGGCGCTCAGTATTAGTTTCCACGCCACTAATTTGGACCAGTCTCACCGTCAAAGAAAAACTAATCAATCCGATATTATTCTGATACACTCCCGGAATGAACTATCCCGTCTTGGGTGGGTGGCCGAGAAAGAAGCACGGGTAAATGAGCGATGCTCAAGATGAAACACGACGGCGCGTTTAGTATCACAGCCGTTACCGATCCCCGGCATAATTTGCCTAAATGAATCCGGAGGCTCCTTTGCAAACCTGTATGGCAGATGAAGTTTAATTTGGAGCTGGATCATATAAGATCGAGACCATGCTTCGATCATCCACTACTCTGCCCTTAGACGGATGGTCGTCCCGGGCATGAGTTGAGTTGAATTTCAGGAGGTTTGATGGACCTTCCATTGATTGCCTAATTAGCCATCTGGCATCAGATGAAAGGTACATGTGAATTTATCCAAAGCTGAAGCTTTAATCCTCGAGGAAATGGAAGTTATGAAGTTGTTCAAAAAAGTAAATCGTTGACTCCTGGTTTCATATCGCAACGTTGGACCCGCAAGTTTCCCCATTGGGTAAGCAATTGGGTGGTTTTAGACCCCCAAAACAGGCAACTCGCCAACCAGACTCCGGTAAGAAAACGGTTTGTAAAAAACTGCCCTTGTGTATCTTGTCATCGTTCAGAGCAAGCGGGAAGGAATACTTACTGAGTTTGTGCAATCCCAGGTCTCCAGAGGAATGTGAGAAATACCCCAAAGTTCGTTTTAACCTTAATTTTACTTTTCTTTTAAATATGTCTTTTTGGTAGTTCTAGAAAGAATAAGGGGACGAATTTGATGGCGTAGAGTGGACTGTTTTTTTCTAGCTCCGCGGATTCGAACAGGCGATCTCAGTTGTGATAAATATCACGTGATTTCCCAATCGCGTAATTGACAAAAAGCACCTCGGTACTTGTAAAAACGGCAACTTCATCAATATGCTTCTGTAAGGAAAAAAAAAACTGGTAGCTTCTCTTTGATTGAGCGTGTCATCCTTAGTGCAGGGGCCATGCTAATCTTCTCTGTATATTTTCATTTGACCAAATGCCCCGAAGGGCGAAGAGACGGACCTTAAAGTTCATTATAACCCCCATTTTGTGGCAGAATAGTACCGCTTTCTAGTTTGGATCTCGGTTCGTGGTCCGTGCATATACAGTGTCAAGGGAGTAGGAACACCAAATTGAAGATCCACATGTATTGAATGATGATTGATGAGCGAGGGTGACTGAATGTTGAAATGCATATTACTTATTCAATTTCTAGAGCTGAACTGGAGCTATAGTGTGTGTAGTGTTGAATTCAAACGAGTGGTCACCCTGCCCAACAGGCACGGCCTGAGCATCGTTGTCGTAAAGTGTCCTCTCAAAATACCGAACTCGCCCGTCCGGCTGTGCCAGGAGGACTGTCTGCTTCTGGGTTCCATAAGATCCAGATGTATAACTTTGATCCACTGGGCCGTTTGTGGGAGTTGCTTCATCTTCTACCCGAGCGGCTGCAGCCTTCTCTGCAGCTTGGTGGCGGTCGTTTGCAGTGCCGATGACGGGAATGAAGATACTCTTGCGCAGGTGATGTGTATATGTATCAATGGTTGCATTCTCTTCTGACAGTCGGGGCAGGGTATCGGTGCTGAGAACCTGCAGCAGACGATCAATCAAGACATCTTCATCTTCTTCTTGTCGCACATGCTCGGCAATAGCAGCTTCCATTAGCTTCTCCCCGTCAATGATCTTCGGCCAGCTTCTGTCATCAACGCTGGTGTTGCTCAGTCCGCGGGTCTGGTTCTTCTCCGTGGCTACCCAGGTGATGTGGTCCATGTCGGAGGATCGGTTGGAGACTATGGCCAAGGGTTCATTGATATGGCCACACACCAGGCTGAATCCTCCCACTTGCTTGGCTTCTGGGCTGGCCACGATGGCTTGTACGAATTCTCGAGTGGCTTCTTTTCTGTTTGGGGGGCTGGTGAGCCAGCTGTTGACGATGACACCTCGGCTGAAGAGCCCGATGGCTTCGCTAGCTTTGTCTTCACGATAGTTGGTGAGAACTGCTATTTTTCCGTGCTTGGTGACGCCCATCCAGGTACCGTGTGTTGATCGAGCTAGGTCGCGTGAGCCGAGGACGTGCGGGGATGGCTCAGGCCACCAATTTGGTGTGGATGTTGGCCGGTGGAGGAATTCCTGGATATGTTAACTTGGTTTTAAGAATATATTCTGCCCAGATGGTGTAGATAATTTACATCTCTGTTGTCAATTACGATCAAAGAGTATGACGGGTGGGCTGTTGAGATCAATGCGATACACATTATTGCAGTTCCGAGGTCCACCAGATCTATGACGGATAAATGCAATATTGAAGCCTGTTCACGTCGAATCGGACAGCGTCTGGGTATGAAAGACGAATGGTAAAAGAAAAGAGATTATTTATGAGAGAAGAAGGGAGAGGAGAAGTGGTCCGTTATTAGTACAGAACTCAGACATCGGGTGATTGGGCCGACCTGGATCATGATGGATTTGAGCTCAGTCAAGATAACAACATAGTAATGTAGGAACATGCCACAGCTGTATCCTCGGGGAAATATAGACAAGGTCATAGAAAGCAAATATATGTCAAGTCTTCTTCAAAATGCTGGATAACTACATAGTATATGCAGATATACATACGTACCTGTAAAATGATCTTCAACAATACAAGTGCTTCGTGACGTCAAGACGGATTATCCAGCTGATATGAACTTGTTATCGTGATGTGATTCTATGTCTTCATTGATTTATTTTAAGACCTTTGTTACTGTTCTATTTTTTTTCTTATGAATGTTCTTACCGTTTTCTATATCTTTGTTGCCTGTTCAGCCCCATTTTTTTTGTTCATTCGGAGTTCATCCCAAGACAGGCGGGGCTGACTGGAGATTAAAAACCACAGTGTCTCCGTGAATTTTTCTACCTTTAACAAACACCTCACTTTGGCCTTGGCCTTAATTTCACCATGTTCGGAATCTTTGCGGACATAATGTCGTGAGTTGCCGTCAATACAAGTTGTCCAGGTTGAACTGAACAGTTGGATCAAGCTAACACATCCATTTATAGCTCGGTCATCACGATCTTCTTCCCCGTCTTTGCTTCCTTTAAAGCCCTCCGTTCATCTGACCCCTCACAACTGGCACCATGGTTAATGTACTGGGTGGTACTTTCGGTCATCATATGGGCAGAGTCCTGGACATTTTTTATTATCGGCTGGTACACAGTCTCAAATGCTCGGTCTAGAATCGCAAGCTGACTCGATGGATTTCCAGGTTCCCATTCTATAGCTGGATCCGCCTCTTCTTCCTCTCTTATCTCGTTCTTCCCCAGACGCAAGGGGCTCGCTTCCTGTACCAGGATTACGTCGATCCATTTTTGGCACATCATGAAAAGGAGATCGAGGAAATGATCGGCCGCACCCATGAACGGGCCAAGACTCTGGGCCTACAATACTTCTATCGAGCCATTGAGTTGATCCGGGAAAAACTTCTGGGTCTACCCCCACAGCGCCCGGCAACACCCCCTCAACCAGGTCCCGCTTCCTATGCACAATCGCTGCTCTCGCGCTTCAACATCCCCGCCGCAGGAGCCGCTGCCGCCTCCAATGATTGGTATTCGGTTCTCAGTTCCGCCTTGGGCACGGTCACGTCTACTGGGAAGTCTCGCGAAGCTCGGGACGAGCAGCTCTCAGCTAGCGGCACTCTCTTGCAGCGCCAGATGCAGTCCATGTCTGGAGCCGATAAGGCGCACTTCATCTCCACCCAGCGGGAGCTGCTGGATCATCTGCATTCAACCCTGACGCGCGAGGAACAGGCCATTCCCCGAGGTGAAGACGATAATCTAGCCTACGGCGTGCCTTTGCGGAAGAACCGAAGCGAGAACTCGTTCGAGGTCGTCGATAATGAGGATCTCAATCGTCGGCCAGAGCGTAAGACTAGTGGCGGCTGGTCTACTGGGTGGTTTGGTAACGAGCAAGATTCCTCCGGGTCGTCTGGGACTGACTTCGCGGCCCGTGCCATTGATGAAATTGCCCGGTCGCGCGCAACCGGATACGATCGGTCTTGAGTTGGCGGGGATATTCCGCTCTTGGAGGGGTAGAACATGACAGAAACCAAAATAGAACTTCAACATTTAACTCTTGCTGGGTGAGAGACAGAGAATGGGAGGGCTGGGCCTTGGGAGGCATATATGGCTGTTTTTACCTTGCTGAATAGCGACCGAATTGAATTTTGAATTGACGAATACCTTCTTTCTCTTGTATACATAGCTATACATAGCTTGTATACAGCCGAGGATGTCAATCCGAATCCCTCCGGTCGGAGGAATATTGTCATTATGCATGAGGGAAATCAGATGTGCTGCAAGGACGGGAGATCGTAAGTATTTGATATCTGAGATGCCTCCTGATACTATTGAGGTAGGGGTGCATCCCTTTATGTTGAAGAGGCAGGAATCAATAGAACAAAAGGAGAACAATAGCTACGCCTTGGCTGGATTGAAGTACAATGTGTACATACACATGTATGTACTTGTGTATCGATACACGTACAATATGTTGGACTTGCTCTATATATAACATCTTGTCTAGTTTTTTTGAGTCTTTTAACTGGTCTTTTTTAATATATTTTTACAAACAATCTTTATCATATGCTTTGTAACCTCTTCTCAGACTTGTTCAAGGACCATAAAAATATAATATAAAATAGGTAGCTTCATTTGTACAATATTGTATACTAATACATCCATCGATGTATAAACCCAAGTTATATAGAGATGTGGCAAATGGGGAAAATGGGGCACAACTGGGGTCTATCAGGTTCCAGATTATAAGAATTCAATAGTCAGAGATACTTACGAGTCATCTCTAAGCCAATTGAACGAATTTGTAATGTTCTTAGGCCTACCATTCATTCTCTTAAGCCGCACTAGTTCGTACATCCATATAGTCCAGTAGTAAATCTCTTTGTAGGCGCACATGTCATAGGTGGCGTAGAGACATAACTCTGACTTTTCTCTTGTAAAAATTCCTAAACTTCAGATCATTTCTGGAATTCTCAAAGAGAATTCTTTATTTCAATTTCTTCGAAGGTGAGTTCGTCTGAAAGTTGTTCGTGAGAGCGCCCTTCCATTTTCTCTCCACAAACCCCGAATTTTTTTCCACCGAAACAACTTTTTCTTCATTTCCTCCCACTAACCTTCATCAACCCTTCAACAACCCACACATACCCTTGCACTGTTGACCAAACGCCGCTTCACTTGCTGCGTACCTGGTCTTCATTGCATTTGGAACTTCGTTTCCTTTTTTTTCCTTTCTTCTTATCTCATCCCTTTTAACCTGCGATAGGTTTGGATGTGGCACTGTTACGCCTCTACCGCGTCTTGACTTCACTTCGATATACACCTATCTTCGCCCTCTTCGCGCAGTTAGACGGAAACCAACCTGTCTAATGAGCTCGAACTCTCCTCAGTCGGGCCCCAAAGGACAAAGCACCGCTACCTCCGCTTCGACCCAGCCCGCATCCTCTCAGCCGACTCCTGCGGCTACCTCTTACGCCAACGCGACCAAGAAGTCCGCGACGGACTCGACCGCCGCCTCCGCCACCGTGAGCGGCTCAGCGCATAATGGGCAGAGTTCTGTATCTTCTGTGAACGGAAAACCCATGCATAACCCACCATCCAACACTTCGGGTGTGACCATCGTCAATGGGGCTCCCACTGCTCCAGCTGCTGGTGATCACTCTCGCAAGCCCTCTGTGACCATCACATCAAGTGGGACCTCCGGATTCATCCCTAACGGCGGCGCCCCGGCCAGTCGTCCCAACAGTCTTCAGTTTGGATTCGCCAACCAACAAAGCTCTCCTAACATGGGTGCCCCCGCTGTGCCTGCCTCTAGCCAGGCTCAGGCTGGTCTTGGTGCGCCTTCTACCAACCCACGTGTGACTTCTCCTCAGACTTCGCCTTCGCCTATTCCTCAGCCCGCCTCCAGTGGTGGTCGTCCTCCTCCATCAACTTACCAGGCACAAGGAAATGTGCCCAACTTTGGTAGCTTTGGGGAATCAGGTGATGCTAATGTAGGTTTCTCAATCCCTTCCTTCGTGAGCGATTTTGATGCGCAAACAAAAAAAAAACCTCACCATCCAAAAAATTATTGCACAACTGCACAAGGCGCGGCACATTTGTGCGCGACTTTCCTCCTCCAGAAGTCCTTATAATTGTTATTGCCTAGTTTTGCTAACATAGATGTGTCCAATTTCACAGGCTCCCATCGCCCACGGTCCTCCTCACATGCGTCGCGAGTCTTCTCAGTCTGCCCACAGCTCTGGCTTCCAGGGTGGCCGTGGCCGCGGATACTCTCAGTCTGGTTACCAAGGACAGCAGATTCCCTACTCTCCCAACCCGGGCTTCCGTCAGACCCCCAACCAACCCCGAGGTGGTCCCAACATGGGACCTCAATTCCACGGACCTAACCAGGGTCGTCCAATGGGCTACCCGAACTCGCCTCACCAAGCCAACCGCAGCCCTGCCTTGGCCAATGTTAACCCTACCACTCCCCAGATGAACCAGCCCCCAATGGCACACCCCCAGATGCCCCCCCAGTCCTACGGTTACGGCCAGCACATGGGTCCCCAAGCTGTGAGATCCCCCCCTTCTTCTTTTCCCCGTTACCCCCAGAATGCCCCTCGCCGCGGAAACCACAGGAAGTTCAGCAATGTCAAACGCAAGGAACAGCAGCAAGCCCCGTTGTACTCACCCGCGTATTCTGTGGATCTTGCGCCTGAGAGTGGACAATTTGAACAGTATCTGACTATGATGAAATCCCAACAGACTTACGCCGGTGGCTACGATCCCAACTACGCTGGTTACTACAACCAGGCTGGTTACTACATGACTCCACCTTCGCCTCAGCCCCGTGCTGCTGGCATGCCTTACAACCCCCAGTACATGGGCCAGCAATACTCTGCGCCGATGCCCCAGGCTGCTCCACTCTCGCGTACTCCTTCCCAGATGTCTACTGATCGCCCAGGTTCGAGCCTCGGCCAAGGATCAGCTCCTACCGCCGCCCCCGGCCACTCTCACACTGCCAGCCGAACCTCCAATTCTCCCGCTCCCAAGCCACACTTCATCATTCCCTCGGCTAAGAAGAGCCCGATCATCATCAAGGACCCCAACAGCGGCTCAGTCAAGACCTTCGAAAAGAACCCCGCCTCTCCTGCTCGCGCTACTCCTTCTCCAGTGAAGTTCACTCCTCCCCCCACTGCCACCCCCCTCCTCGCACTGCTAGCGCCACCGAGCACACTCGCTCCGACAGCAAGGCTTCCGCTGCCAAGACCGATGAAGAGAAGAAGCAGGAGTTGAAGGATGCCGTTCGTCTGAAGATTCAGCAAGACGAGGCTGCTCAAAAGCAGCGTTTGGCTGATGAGGCTTCTCGAAAGGCCACTGAGGCCGAGGCCACCCCTGCCAAGAAGGATGATACAGAGACTGCTCGTGCCGCCATTGAGGATCTCTCCATCAAGGAGAAGGCTGCTCCTGCCGAGGAGCCCAAGTCTGTTGCCGCCGAAGAGCCTAAGAAGGCTGCTCCCGCCGAGGAGCCCAAGAAGGCTCCCGCTCCCGCTCCCGCCCCTGCCGACGACGACGAAATTGACTTTGATGCTATTGAGCGCGAGATGGCCGAGATCGAGGCCAAGGAGCGTGCCGCTGAAGAAGATTACAACCGTGTCAAGGCAGAGAAGAAGGCGGATGCTGAACGCAAGGAACGTGAGGACCTTGCGAACTACGAAGCCAACATGAAGAAGGCCGAGGCTGAGGCTGAAGCCCGTGAGCTTGCTCGCGAGGCTGCTCGTGCTAGTGGTGAGCCCATGCCCAACGACAAGGAGCTGTTTGAGTCTCTCAAGAAGGGTGGACTCGGTGCCACTGAGACTTCCACTCCCGGTGACAGCGGCGCTGCCACTCCCGTCTCTGACATGGGCCCTCCTGCCAAGCCTACCAGCGCGGCCGCCAAGAAGCCTGCTGGCCTCAAGCTTGATACTCCCAAGCCCACTGAGCCCCTGCAGCCCACTCCCGGCATGAAGTCTCTGCAGAACGCCAAGTTCATTGTCGATCTCAGCAAGATTACTTACCCCGACTCCATTACCCCTCCCAACGCTGCCTTGAACGATGCCGCTCCTGAAGGCCGCAAGTTCCACTACGACCGTGACTTCTTGATTCAGTTCCAGGCCGTTTTCAAGGACAAGATCTCTGTCGACTGGGACATTCGTTTGCGTGATACTGTTGGTGACCCCAACGACTCTTCCCGCACCCCGTCCCGCACTCCCGGCAGCGCCATGGGTAGCCGCAACAACTCAACGCGCGGCGGTATGCCTAACCCTGCCTTCTCAATGGGCACTTTCACCTCAGCCCCTGGTGGCCGACCTGGTCAAATGCCTCCTATGGGCGGCGCCATGGGTGGTGGCCGCACCCCATCCAACTTCAGCAGCTTTGGACGAAATGGACTTCCTGTTGGCAACATGCGTTCTACCGGCTCTGGTGTCAGTGCTCGCACTGGCAGTAAGGGTACTCGCAATGATAGCAAGGCTGGCCGCAGCAAGACCAACGGCCGCAAGGATGAGGAGCAGAACAAGTCCATGCCCCTCACCGCTGGTATGGACCTTAAGGCTATCCAAACATCCGCAACTGGATGGAAGCCTCGCAGTGTCGGCCAAGGCGCTGCTGGCCCTGCCCCTGGTGGCACCGATGGCTATTTGGCACCCGATGTCGTGCAGCGCAAGGTCAAGGCTGCTCTTAACAAGATGACACCCGAGAAGTTCGATCGTATCGCTGGCCAAATTCTCGAGATTGTCTCACAGTCCAAGGATGAGACCGACGGCCGTACCCTGCGCCAGGTCATTCAACTCACTTTCGAGAAGGCTACTGATGAGGCTCACTGGGCTCCCATGTACGCCAAGTTCTGCAAGAGCATGCTTGAGAGCATGAGTGCCGACATCAAGGATGAGAACATTCGTGACCGCAACGGCACCGTTGTTGCTGGTGGCAGCTTGTTCCGCAAGTACTTGCTCAACCGTTGTCAAGAAGAGTTCGAGCGTGGTTGGAAGGTCAACCTGCCCGAGAAGCCTGAGGGCACCACTGAAGAGGTATGCATATCTGCAAGTCTAAAGTTTCTCACCTGCGTACTAACTACCCACAACAGGCTGCTATGCTTTCTGATGAATACTACATTGCCGCTGCCGCCAAGCGTCGTGGTCTCGGACTTGTCAAGTTCATTGGTGAGCTTTACAAGCTCGGCATGCTTACTGAGCGTATCATGCACGAGTGTGTCAAGAAGCTTGTCGACTACGAGGGTATTCCTGATGAGGCTGAGGTTGAGAGTTTGACCTCTCTCCTCCGCACCATCGGTGCCAGTCTCGATGCTTCTGAGAAGGGCCCCGCCATGATGGATGCTTACTTCGCCCGCATCCACCTCATGATTGAGACTCCCGGCCTGCCTAGTCGTCTCCGCTTCATGCTTCTTGTAAGTTACAAGTTCTATTCCTTGAATATAAAAATAACAACTAACCCAATTTTCAGGATATCATTGATCTGCGTGCCGCCCGCTGGAACTCCAAGGAGGCCGATAAGGGTCCGCAGACCATCGTCGAGATCCGTGAGGCCGCTGCCCGTGCTGCCCAGGCCGCAGAGGCCGAGCGCCAACGCCAGAGTAGCAACCGCGGAAACGGTGGCCGCATGCCCATGGGCCGCGGTGACGCCCGTGGCTTCGGATACGGCAACCAGGCCCCTCCTCCCGACTATGCCTCTAGCAAGGTTGGCAGCGACGATCTCCGCCGCCTCCGCGCGACCCGCAACACCAATCAGCCGATGTCTTTCGGCCCATCCAGCCTTCTTGGCTCGCGCACCAACAGCGGCCGCAAGAACCTCGGTCCTGGCGGCAACCTAGTCCGCGGCAGTGACGATAGCGCCGCCAGCTCACGCAACGGCACTCCTCCTACCAGCAAAAAGGACGACGCCTCCATGAATGCTTTCAGGTTCGTTCTTGTTCATGCATCCTTCTGAGAAATAAATACTAACAACCAGCTCTTAGTGCGCTTGCCGCCCTCGAAGACAGGGACAACATGGCGACTTCACCCCCATCGAACCCCACGTCCCCGATGCTCACCAAGTCGCAGCCCGCAGCCGAACGTCGCCCCTCAAAAACCCCGTCTGTCAAGGATGGCGAATCCACAGCATAGAAAGTTCTTAGGAGTTAATGATCAACGCTTTCCATTTCTGGTTCACAAAAGATTTCATTTCATTTATTTTTTTTTTGTTCCTGCTTTGTTTGCCATCTCCTCCCGGAGACGCGTCTGCTGTTCCCATTATGCATTTTTCCGACTGGTCGGTTCGAGGATTCATTTTTACTTTTTGCGGTTCGATACGACTTCATCAAGATCGTCGGTTCGGATCCCTTCATAGTGTACAATCTTCACATCTTTTTACTTCATTCTTTTCCTCCCAACTTCTCTGCGCTTTTTTTCTCTCTCTCGCTCCGGCGAGAATCTGGAACTGGGTTGATAGTAGGGCTTGCGGGCTTGCTTCTCAGTTTTTTCACGTTTTCTGATTCGGTTTCGTCTTTCTTTTCCATGCGTCAGTAGTGGAACATTTTTCCGTTCTGTCGGTTCCAAGTTGAACTTCGGGTGAGTGGTCTGACGAATACGATCGTTGTACGAAGGTCAATGGAGAGATGATCATGATCTGATCTGAAAGAGTTTGCTGATTTTCTTGCTGATTTTTGTCCTTGTCTTTTGATTTTTTTTATTGCATTTGCTCTTGTCCTCTCTCAATACCCGGAGCAGTCTCGGTACGATGCAGCTGAATTTACGGCCCTGTGGCAACCCTAATACATTTCTCCGTTCGAATCCTGTTCCTTGTAAGTTCTATCAAGTTCCATCTTGATAGAGCGATGATTTGATTGTACTAGTTCATGGAAAAATATACCCTATGTGTTAGGTTTACATATGAAAGTTTCAAATCAGTAACTTAGGACCGTGAGACAAAGAGGCGCATTGACACGAGCCACCTCCAATCCTAGAAAAGTTGAACGTTTGGGTGCTCTTTGATACACGTGCCTCATTCATTGTAATGCTTCCTACCGAAAGTTACCTCGGAGGTCCAAAGAGTAAGAATTGCATTTCCTCTTCAAGCGGTAACAGAGCCCTTTCCTTGAAGGCGTTGCAGTACTCTTTATCATCGAAATTTGCATCGGGGTTGAGGTATCCTTGTAGGCAGGTTAAAATAGCCTGGGAGAAGGCACATGATAATCTCCCATGAGACTTTTCCTCCTTGAGCCATCCCTCCGCTAGCTGGAGACCCAATTGATCATTCAGTAAGAGGTTAGTGATTTGATCATCTCCGAGTCTTTGCTCAACAGGCCGTCCAGAACTAATTTCAAGCAGCATAATCGCTAAGGCAAGTAAGTTCGAACAGGTTCTGTTGACGGGTATAGAATCGGGCCGTCGCGGACCAGCTCCTAAATTCTATATTAGCTGCGATGATATCGAAGTTAAATTTTGAAGCAACGCACCCCGATGGAATTTCTTCACTAAGGAAGGATATTTTAGGTCGACAGAAAATGGCTTGTTACTGTTCGCTCTTGCAAATACGATGTCCCTCTTACTCCATTCAGTTTCAAGCCATGGAGTATGATTTAGTTGAAAAATCGACGCTATCAAGGTGATAGCGAGTCCATACACTTCTTCTACAGGAAGCTTAGTTTGAAAACACGGAAGTACAGCCTCGAGAGATAAAGAATGCTGAACGTATTCAACAGCAGTCTCTTTGAAGGAAGGGCGTGATTTCAGACAGCCCTTATCATTAAGGCAAAATACCACAAATGGATGCGGGGGCTGCCCAATAACTTTGCATAAGCTTGTGATATGCTGCAAATTTGCAGGGTCGTGGTCGTCCTCGGGAACTGATATCGTCACGCGAACAGTCCCCGCGCTACTTTAGCGTCACCATCAGAGCTCAAAATGACAGTAAGAGAGAACTGAACAGTACGTACCACGACGGGAGTTCGTCAATCCTTATCTCAGAATTCAACCACTGAGAAGACGCATTGCAATCCCCACGAAGGCTCAATTCGAAACAAGTCGCTTGCGCCACCAAGTTCAAGCTAGCTGCTTGATGAGGCCTCCTCGTTTTCCTTGGCCTCCTCAGCCGTTGCTCGAGGAGCAGACGTGCGACATGCACAGGGTTGTCGTTACACCAATTTTGTGAAATTCCTTGATGTACTTTGGTCGCATTCTCTTGGATGGTATCCAATGATGCAGAAAATTCCAGCTTTGGACGACTTTGCGGTGTCTCATCCTGCAGCCTGTCGGCTCTAGTTGTCCAATCATCAATCTTCCTCGTACAAGCCTCCAAACGCTCCAGTGCTGCCTTCACGCGCTTTTTCTTCATGGTAAACTTGATCCTCTGCCCGAATTTGGAATTTTTGTGAAAAGACGGAGTATTCGCGATCTGCGAATTAAAGAAGACGATTGGCAAGAGGGTTTTACTTGTGAAAACCTACCGATATCAGTGCTGAGTCTACCTTCTAAGAGGGGGTGCACGAACCTGCTGTGATCCAGGGATATTGAGGCAAGCCGCTGTCTCGACCAGGATCTCTGACACTTCATCTATGGTGAGAATGAGTGGGTCGTATACCGATCCTAACTTATCGCGTAGACTGTCAGCAATGTCTCCCTCTCTCCACAATTCGTGTCGGGGATTCTCCATCATCTTGGTTTGGTCTGCGAGGTCGGCAAATGGCTTTAGTAGGAGACGAACGGCTTGGTCGTAAGAGGTATGTATTGTATAAAGCTCCCAGATCAACCTTTGTAAGGTCTTTTTCCAATGAAAAAAATCTTTTGTGGGAGCTGCCAAGTTCTCGTAGTTCTCGAGGGCAGATATAATGAGAGGAATGGCTCCTAGGACGAGTCCAGCTGCTTCCACTCCTGTCACCATTTTGGAATGAGAGGTACATCAACGCAACTGACTTTGGAGAGACGGTTGGCGAGATGAAACAACTCGAAAGAACAACGGCCCTTCCCCTCGACCTCGGCCGAGCCAAGGAATCCTTCCCTATGAAATGTGTCCCCGTGGAGCCTCCCGACGCGCCGGCTTCGACCAGATGTCAGCCGCACGTCGTTTTTTTGTTGCATCGACCCCGCTGAAGTGCAGCTCTTGGCGCTAGTTCTACGAATGATCTTTTGCCATTCCCTAGTATCCCTTCGTTATGATGAGGTATTTAATTGTGCTCGGGCATTGGAAAGAATCTCCGCGAACCGCGTGGATACACTCTTGGTTCTGTTGGGCCCTAGTCCACTCTAACGAGTTTGCGACTCATCAACAACAAATGATGAGAGTGAAGCTCACGAGGTCTACAAAACGATATTTTCTATGCCTCTGAGATCGAAACTTTAGCTATGGACGATATCGGCGCCCTTTCTACCTCTTGTGCAAGTTGCTTCAATACTCTGACACGATCGCTGCGCACGTCTACGGATGAGTTCAAAAAGCAGATGACGCCAATAGAAATTGATAATGAATATGCCCGTTTTAAGATTTGGGCTGGCAATACGGGCGCTTTACAGAGAGGTCGAAGTTCTCTTGACGCTAGATTACGAGACTCAGTGGTGCTACGAGCAGCCGTCCTCAAATTCTTGGGTCAGCTGCAAGACTCATTAAGCAAGAGTACGTTGCGTCGCGCTTCCTGCCATCCAGTTGGAATTTCTTACTGACTGTGATTGCCCAGGTGCCGAGATCACCACAGGCTCTCGTCTACCGTACGAACAGGGTGGCGATGTCACACATGGCCCCGACGAAGAAATTGAAGACGACAGTGACACCAGTGACACCAGTAGTGACTTGGAGACCGAGGAACTGGCTATGAGACTAGACGAAATCAAGGATATCATGGAGCACCTGTATAGGCTCTCGTTCAAGATACGCAATACGAGATATCGTTCTCTCACCAAGAAAGCTCTTCTGATGGAAGAAAAGGATCCACAAACCGGGAAAGACTTGTTCTCGACGTATGCCATCTTCGATCGTCGGCATGTACAAGAGTCACTCAATCATCTGCGCCTGCGCCCATCATTGAAGGAATTCGCTACTGAACCTGCACGAGACGCAAGTCACAGTCTTTTGGATGTTTTCGATGCCGGGGATCGCCTGCTAGATAGCGATAATTTTCTGCAAGATCGCTTGGCAAAAGCAATCACCGACCGGAGAAGGTATTTTGCATATTGGCGGAGACATGCTCTCAAGCTCTCACATGTTACGGATGAGCTAGCCCCCCAGCAGAATTTCACAGCTCTTGTGAAGCCCGCGGAACCTGTTTCCGAACCTCCAACCACACCCCTTATCTCAGGCAATTTCATACCGGCTCCAGGGCCAAAAACCATGGTGTCAGGAACCGATTTTTCCATGTATAACCGGGAACTGGACGACCAGCTGGATACAGAGACCATGATTTCTTACGCGACTACAGCCTATGACGTTGACGGAAATTCCTCAGAACTGCCTCCACCTCCTCCCGATGCGGCCAATAATTCAGAGTTCGTTTGTCCTTATTGCTGGATAGCTTGTCCGTCGAGACAAGGAAAAGGAAAGGCATGGCAGTAAGTGTCTAGGATCATTGGCAGGATAAGAGCATCGTTCTAATGAATATTAGAGAGCATATCCGCCAAGATCTCCAGCCGTACGTATGTACCTACGAGAAATGCCCAGAGGCCCACCGCATGTACGCCAGTCGGCATACGTGGCTTGAACATGAACGACTAGTCCACCGCCGCATATGGAGATGCTTCGAACACAGGTCCTTCATCTCAAAATCGGAAAAAGGCTTGCTGCAACACTTTTTAGATTGCCACAAAGGTCTAGATCAGCAGCAGATCGAAAGTCTCCTAGATATAGCCGAGACGACGGTAGCCGATGACCGAAAAACGTGCCCATTCTGCTACTCGATTGGACCTTTCGCTAAGGGCTTTTACAATCACGTGGCTTTCCATCAGGAACAACTCGCAACCTTTGCAATTCCACGAAACTTTGACAGTAACGAAGAGGAGGACTCTGGGAGAGCTGAAGGCATCAGATCAGCCGGTTCTTTGCGTTCCGTTGCTCTATATTTCACAGACGGTGATAGCAGCCTTGACAGCGATGAGAGTGACGTATCAGTACACAAGATCGATAACCCCCTACTAGACTCTGCAGGAATCGGGGACGACGCGGTCGTAAGGCTACTGCTCGACAAGGGTGCCAATCCCGAGTCGATGGGTAACCATGGCCAGACGCCGCTGGCGTGGGCGGCTACAAACGGCCACGAGGCGGTTGTAAGACTGCTGCTCGAAAGGGGCGCCGATCCCGAGTCGAAGGATAATGATGGCCAGACGCCGCTAGCATTGGCGGCTGCAAACGGCCACGAAGCGGTCGTAAGTCTGCTGCTCGAGAGGGGCGCCGATTCCGAAGCGACGGATAATCATGACCAGACGCCGCTGGCGTTGGCGGCTACAAACGGCCAAGAGGCGGTTGTAAGACTGCTGCTCGAGAGGGGCGCCCATCCCGAGCCGAAGGATAACTATTTCCAGGCGACGCTGGCCGAAACCATGCACAGGCGGGCGTTAGAGGACCAAGAAAAGGTGCTGGGGCCAAAACATCCAGACACGCTCACTAGTGTCAGCAAGCTTGGTTCAGTCCTTGATAGCCAGAGCAAGTATGAAGAGGCCGAAGCCATGCACCGGCGGGCATTACGAGACCGACAGAAGGTGCTAGGGTCAGAACATCCCGACACGCTTACTAGCTTTAGCAACCTTGGTTCGGTCCTTTCCCGCCAGGGCAAGTACAAAGAGGCCGAAGCTATGCACCGGCGAGCGTTAGAGGGATATGAAAAGGTGCTAGGGCCAGAAAGTCTACGCGCACTCACTAGTGTTAGTAACCTTGGCTTTGTCCTTGATAGCCAGGGCAAGTACGAAGAGGCTGAAGCCATGCACCGGCGGGTGTTACAAGACCGAGAGAAGGTGCTAGGGCCAGAACATCCAGACACGCTCACTAGCGTCAGTAACCTGGGTTCATTCTTTTCTAACCAGCAAAAGTACGAAGAGGCCGGAGCCATGTACCGGCGGGCGTTAGAAGGATATGAGAAGGTGCTAGGGCCAGAACATCTAGATACGCTCGCCAGCGTTAGCAACCTTGGTTTTTTCCTTGATAGCCAGGGCAAGTACGAAGAGGCCGAAGCTATGCACCAGCGGGCGGTAGAAGGATATGAGAAGGTGCTGGGGCCAGAACATCCAGACACGCTCGCCAGCATCAGCAACCTTGTTTTATTCCTTGATAGCCAGGGCAAGTACGAAGAGGCCGAAGCCATGCACGGGCCCAATCCATAGATTGAAATAAGTTGTATCTATTAATACTTCATGTATCATTATCACCCTCATAATGGTGTTTTGTTGGTATCGAATCACTTGTTCAAATATTTTGCATATCGAGGTCCAAACTGTGTCATATAGATTGTTGAATCCCCTTAGTCATGTCTTAAAGCTCACTTACTTTTTACAGTGAGCTTTCAGAAGGCTCTTGTCTTTCCAAGAGGGGAAATCAAACATCGAGAGGGACAGATTGATGTTTGGATAGTATCCCGGTAATTTAATTGGCTGTAGACTACGCTACAAATAATATAGAGATAAAATACAGTATCTAATCTGGCTCAAAGTCAAGATCAAGCTTGTCGAGTGCAAGTATTCATTGGAAGTGTAAGCACTGAGCATCAAGCTAAGCAAAAGGTACAGGAAGTGCTCAGAACGATATGTGGAGGAACGATAGGTATGGGTAGGGTATAAGTGCAGTCCGGGACCAATGACTAGTAAGTCAGTAAGTCGCAGGCAGTAAAACTGACCGAATGATTCGTATGCATCGTGAATATATGAGAAGCCTGATGTCCGATGTCATGCATGCTATGCTGCAACGCCAAGAATATAAAAGCAAGCCAAATTCAAGACTTCTTGTCATTATCATCAGCGGAAACTTCAATCGAAGGAATAGACACAGGCACTGGAGCCCCATTATCCGACTTGTCGCCTTCCGTAGTTGAGGAAGAATCAGACGAAGAGTCATTTTCAGCAGGCCCATCCAGTAGGAGAGCTGTCTGGCTCTCGCCCGCCACGCTTTCCTGGGAACTATCCGCCGGGCTGCCGAGCGGACTCTTCATAATTACAGCATCCAGCGAGTTGCGCGCAGGAGTCGTTGAGTCGGAGTCATCGTGGCTGATACTGCTGCGGTCCGAGACGGACAGTGAGCTGCGGGAGTTCATATTCGAGTATGATGCCGGGAGACCCAGTGCCTCGGCGACTGCGGCCTCTTCGTCTGGCAGTTTTGAGGTACTGCTGTCGTTGCTAGAGGTCGCGCCGAAGATGCGGCTGCCGCGCTGCTCGCTCAGTTCCAGAATGTGGTTGTAGCTCCGCCGGGTTGGGTCTGCGCGGCGCTTTTTCTTCTTTTTCTCACGCTTTTGGGATGGCCGGACGACAATCACTGGGATCGGTGATTGCTGCAGGCAATATTTGGACACAGAGCCTGGGAGTAGACTTTGCACACCTTTCATGTTGCGGCCTCGCGTGCCTACGACGAGCATTGCGGGCTCGTATATGCGGATCTAAAGAATGTTAGGCTGGTCCAGGCTTTAATGGGTCACATCTGCTTACCATGCGCTGGATGATGCTCTCGACCTTGCCGACGGCAAGTTCTAAGACCAAGCTGATAGCTTTCTCATCTTGGCTATTCTTCTGGATCACCTGCTCAAAGAGCTTCTCGGCTTCCTCGCGGTATTTCCGCTCTTCAATTGCAATGTCGGTGGCGATACGCGAATCCTTCTCCACCGCTCGCAGACAGACGATCTCGTCGCCATCGTCGACCAACTCGTCGATGAGCCATTCAAGTGCAAACTCGGAGTAGTCATTTTGATCAGTCCCGCACAAAAACGTTCTGCTGCGACGCGTACTCTGGTATCCCTTGTGTTTGTAGTTCAGGGTAAGGGAGAAATCGGTGGCGTCAAAATTATCAAATGTGTCGAAAGAGACGCCTCGTTCGTAGGTCCTGTCATAGATTAGCATGCGCGATTTCAAATCCCATTCTTCGCGGGAAACGTACTTTGGTGGGGGAGGGGACGGCCCTCTGTTCAATTGCGCAGCCTTCTGTTCCCTTTCCTTCTCTTCAAATTCCCTCGTCGGGGTATCTCCATATGACAGCCTTTTATCCTTGATGCTCGGCGACCGATTCGGCAGCCGAGTCTGTGCAGCTCCGACGCTGAACTGGATCGATCTCCGTCGCGGACTTCGATCTCTGGGTTTCACGTCACCGGAAAGGGTGCGGGTGTGTCCGGACCCCACAACGGGGATCGTATGATCTGTGGAATCGGGTTGCTCCTCAGACTCGAAAGAGGGCTTGGGGGAATTCGGTGCAGACATTCCAGGATAAATTCGAGAGGACTGTTGCAGGGAATACTGTATTCGCTGGGTTCCCTCAGGTGTTGACGTAGTTGACAATGGCTAGGAGCAAATATTAGCGGCCATGGGGTTGTTGGGTGTTCCACAAGACCAAGCGGGCAATCGATGTCATGGTTTGAAAGAGGGTGTGGAATGGAGTATAGGAATGTTAATAGTCACGAGTCATCTTGCTTGTTGTAGGGAGTGACGGATGCAGCGAGGGGTCAGGGCGGTGACCACTTATCGATAACTAGCCTAGAGAGCTGATGGTGATTACGTGAGGTCCGGGGCCGGGGCCGGGGCCGGGGTCGTGACCGAGCCAGCCCTACATGCGTGTATCAAAGGGAAATTTGGCTTTAATCGTGTTGTTCATGGAAGAAATAATTAGTTAGTTTACTGTAGGTTGACCATATCATGGAGATTTTGACACTCGTGTATCTATCCTGAGCAATAGTCTAACTATATATCTGTCTCTATGTTGATAAGGGACCAAATCTTCCGACTTGCCAATTTTGCATAATCAAGTCTATGTGTCTATGTATATATATGCATAATAGTATCTTCCAGGCTTAGCACTATCTGCTCCAAATATATAATCAGTTGTACAACAGAACTAGTTCCTACCATTACCTCAGTCTCGAAGTAGATGGAATAATACACACCATACCGGTAGATTTACCACCCACCGGAGGACAAGCCAGCCCCGAGAAGGATGGCAACAGACATGATTCACATGTTTCAGATACCATTAAAATCTCCACAAGGTATACAAAGTCTTATTGTAGCTTTGTGCGACCTAATTCCACATGTGAAGTCGAATTACAACTCGGCCTCCACTCGCTGATATCTCGGCCCACACATCAAGCCACAGCACTAAACCCTCCTACCCGTCCTCAAATGTTTATGCATACCAATGACTAACCCAACTCTATCTCCAGGGCTACGGTGTATGTATCCTGCATGGGATAAACCCTCAGCTCAAAACCCATGTGTCAGATAACGCGATTGCAGATAGGGGGCGCAGATCAACCAAGCCCAACCAATAATCAGCCCAAACCCTCGCATCAGCAGCAAATACTCCGTAATACTATTGCATATACCCAACCCCCTTACTCCGTATTGATAGTCGATAGTCTCCCGTCAGAATTTTCCACAAGCCCAACATCCACCCTCTACCCGACCGATACCAGCTGAGCCTCGTCCAGAAACCCACTGGAAGCAAATCGAAGCGAAAAAAAACCCTTGCACTCCACAGCGGAGTCTCCGAATCCACCTACAATATTAATATCATAACTACCGCGGCGCCAAACCCAAACAAGGAAAAGTACCAAGCACACACGGCCGTACGGATATCCTAATCCGTAGTAACTAGTAGTGGTTGTGAAAGAACGGCACTAGAAAAAGGGATTGATGATCAGAGATTTTCCAAGAGATTTGTCCGTCTCCGCTGAGCGAGATTCTCGCACTAGCCGGAACTAGTCTTCTCTTCGCGGCGCTATCAGGCATAGCTCTGGGATTATTACGCACTATGCCGACTTAGCCGCGATGCTCGGGCGTGATCGCTGCTACTAATCTCTGATCTATCTGCTCTTATCCGGCGGTGAAGAATGCATGGCGTGCTGGCGTGCGCGGAGGTGATTTGGCTGGGGCGCGCTCAGGGCGCGGATCGACGGGTCACATGCGCCGTTGGGTGGATGATGGTGATCAAAATTCTGCCGGTCTTTGGTTTACTTACTTAGCATTCTTTTAAGAGGAGTTGGTTGGTGTACCTAGGTAGTGTGCATTGCAGTAAGGAGTTACGTGGAAGTTTTGTGTTGCGTTTTGAATTTTTATTTGATTTGAGTATATTTTTGGTCATAGACATGTTTCGTCTATGTACATCCAAAGTCCCAGTTGGGATTGAAATGTTCCAATGTTCCAAAGCAGTCTCGACCTGATAGGGAGAACTGTTGGGCTGCACATCGCAGCTGGAGATGAGAGGGGTATGTAAAAATGAGAAATATCCAAGATGGCCGCCAGCAAGTGAAAAGAACGCCGTAAATAAAGATGTGAAATGTGTAAATGGCAAATGTAATCGCTCAGGAAACCAGAAATCGTAAAAGCATCAGGGTATCATAAATGAATGGATGATGGTACAGGGCCGAAGCAGACACAAGCGCTTAATCAATAAGCCTCGATGATCTGCTCCCGCACACCAAAATACCCCTGCTCAAAAAGATGAGGCTGGTCGTCCACGGCGAGGGTAATATCCGCAGAAGCCTTCTCATTGAATGCCTCAAGTTGAGGTTGAGGCGGGGACGGTGGCATCGCCGCGTCATCGTCCGAATCGTTGTCCGAATCGGCTAGGAGCTCGGGCGGTGATTGGCGCGATGGCGAGCGAGTCAGGCTCAGCTCGTCCAGATCCTCTGCATCGTCGTATTCAAAGTCTGAATCTGTGTCCTCGCCCTCGTCTTCTTCAAGTAGGTCCTCGTGGAAGAAAGCGACGGGCGACGGGGCCCGGCGCCGCGGTGGGTTGATTATGAAGTCTGACTCGTCGTATTCAGAGTCGCTGTCGCTTGCATCTGAGTCGGAGTCTGAGGCTGCTTCTTCTTCCTCCTGTTCCCATTCTTCGGGCTCTTCGACTACCGTAGAGGCCCATTGGATGTGTTGGCGGGATGAAGGAGGGGAGGACTTTGTTGCACCATTGACGGTTTGGTTGAACCAGCGTTCCTGTTCACGTTCTGCGTCGGCGAGATCAAACATGAGAGAGTCCAGGAGGTTGGCGTGACCGACGAGGAGGCGGAGATCGTGGTCTGCGCGGGAAGCTTCACGGGTGAGCTTCTTCCGGGCGGTATGAGCCAGGTAGTATGTTTGTGTAATGCTCATTTTCTTTTGTTGACGACGACGGACGAGGGAATCAAAATAGGGGCTGGGTGCAACAGCGGAGGTTGTTGTAAAAGTTGAATCCATGGTGGGCCAGGACAGCTTTTTGAGTAAATAATTAAAATGGGGTATGACTCTTGTTGGTGACTCAATTAGGCGTCATCCAGTCACAGTGGATAGGGTGTTGGGCGGTGTGATAGACAGTATACTTGGCGTAGTACTAGTATATGTATGATAGATCGAATTCGTGTTTCCAAGGGGTGATGTAGTGAAACGGTGTAGATGGATATGGATATGGATATAGATAGATAGATTAGTAGAAATAAAATGTCTTATTGACGAGAGACAAGAGGTTTATTTAACAAGACACATTCACTATTATTTTCTTTTTTTTTTTTTCTTTTTCTTTTCGCTTTAGTCCGATCGCCCCGAACCGGAGTTTACGGATTCCTAGGTATCCACCGGAAGAAATAATTATTTATTTGCTTATGAATACATCCATACAGTACCTAATCGTGAGTAATGCACTGTCCTCTCTTTATTTCCTTATTTCCTCCACACCGCTACAATATGATACCTGATTTTGTAAATTAGCCGTATACCTATATGTATCTATACAATTCGTCTCAGTATGTAGTGATTCAGTAAATACAATTCCTACAATCTCTATCATCCAAAACCGCATAATTCTCCCTCATAATGAGTCACGTACATAAAAAACGGGAACTCGGATGACCAATCCGCCGTGCCGTGGTCCGTTTTACCTGTACAGCGTACGGAGTATCGGTCATATCGACTTCCGATTACTCAACCTCGTATTCTTATTTGTTCTGATTTCTTCTTCTGACTTCCCTTAAATCCTTAAATCCTAATTCCTTAGGCGGAAAATCCAAAAATGATTAGTGATCGTGTCTTGGTCATTTCCCAAGGTTCTCAATCTAAGGTTTAATATTGATTTCTGCACTTTGATTTCCAATACGATTTCCAATTTCTAATCAATCACATCAGAAGCGATGACCCCTTCACATGGAGCTAGACCGAGAGCTGAAGCTACAGCTGGCACATGGAATTCGCAATCTCCTATCTTACAAATGAGCTGGCAGAGGCTCAAGCCAAGCCACACGTATTATATAATACCACCTAATACATGCGGCTGCATCACTTTCCTATTGTGGTCTCCTCAGCGACAGCGATCAACCATTAGTTCCTCCGTGCGCCGTACAGAATACTTATTGTACTATCAGCCTTGGCAACATCCAGCATTCCCCAGAATTTAGAGATAGACCAGGAACCCATGCACAAGTAGGCTGTGTAGTGGGGATCTGGAACTAGCATCGCATGATTATACCTATCTAGGTATGCAAGTAACAGGTAGCCAAGTGACCAAGGATTCAGGCTTCCCGATTACAATAAAGTTATCTCCACGTATGTAGGTATGAGCGCAATTCGCATATCCCTGTAGGCCAACGACCTCATCTCGCAGTTTTCTGCCTACACCGCACAATACCTCAATACCTAATCTAACACTCCTTGCAGGCCACAGAGCAAGCACAGATGTGGGGACCAATCAGCGCCAGCTCTCGGTTTCACTTGTGGAATGTGCCTTTCCGAATCCGTTGCACAGAGATTACCTTGGAGGTATACCTTTTCTGTACAATGATGATTCCTTGCTGGCAGCATGGCCAGCCTGGAATAATTAGCGTGTTTGGCGTACGTCACGCTAGGCAACGTCTAATCAGTTGTTTCAGTTGCGAGCTCGTATACTATGGCAGAAAATTCAGGCAGGCGTATTAAATCAAAACAGGGCTTACACAGCGGATATCGCCGAGAAGCCAAGCATCCGAGCCCTGGTGCGGCTTTGCGACTGTTTGGTTGTTTCGCAGGGTTTTCCCTTTCGAAACAGCATAGCTCCACTTCTATTTCCCCAGCCCTACGGCGCACTCCTTGCCGAATACGAAAATCTCTGACGTTTTATCTTGCTGACTACCGAGTAAGGCTATTTAGGCATATCTAACGTTCGTTCAATGCCAATCCTGCCTAGGCAGACATCCATGGCTCATCACTGTTAATTATAGTGAATTAAAAATAAATGAAATACACCTCTCGGAACCGAAGCGAATTGACAGGCCGAGATCACAGACAATCGGATTGATCTAGTTCCCAGATATCCATAGGTTTTCAAATACAATGATCATCGGGCGACAAAGCCATGGCTACACGGAGGAAAAGGCTATCGAGGGCCCAATAATTGATCTCGGAACTCGGCGTTTAGCTGATAATTTTCCGAGATCCACCTTGTTGACAGGTCAATGACATCAAGGACTTGGGCTTCATCGGCCATTCGTTACCGTTGGCCGAGCAATGTGTTCTTTTCGAGTCTGGATGAAGAATGAGGTTGACATTTTCCTCATTGGGCCGTGGTTAATGTCGAAATGAGGAATTATCGACCCAATGGTGAATTTAAATCCAACGGGTGAGCGTAACAACCATTCATTCAACGCTTACAAAAATTATTGTAATCGATCTGGGTTGTCTAGATTATTTGCCCAGGTGCATGAGGCTGACTACTATGTACATAGTTCGCTGAACACCTGATGCCCTAAATACCAACCCACATACCACACGAACCATCTCGCCAACTAACTAGGTAGACCCTTAATCCAGATTCCGACTCTCGGCACTAACCCAACCCACCATAACTCCATCGGCCACACCAAACTCCGTCTCCGGTTTCCGGCTGGCTCGTGCATAATTTATGCTCGGATCTTCATACGGAGGAGGTACTGTATCTCCATTTCCCGTTAGGCCTTGGCCCCATTTTGTTATGATTCCTTCACGATAATCCGTGCATACCCACTCCCTGTGCATAATCTGCGTCCATCGCAGCGCGGGTGATCGACACGTGCAAATGGCGCACAGGGCGTGGGTACTCTGACTCGCTCTCGGGGTTTCATCGCCGGCGCCCGGGATCGTCGTTCTGTCAGGTTTAGCTCAGCTGGCTTATGGGTATGCGGCACATCGGATGAAATCGTCCGCGCTGGGACGCTAGGCTGTGAGTCAGATGTGAAGCTATCGTGAGTCTTTTTTTTGGGCGTATTGCGCCCTGCGCGTGCTTTTCTGCTTTCGGTTCCTGGGCTTCCGGTTTACTTTAATTCTCCAATGGCTTTTTGGATGCCGTTTAATTTGGTATGCGTCATTTAGATGTTTGATTCCTTTTCAAGGTCTCTCTGTACTTGGCAGGACACTAGTGATCTGCGAGCTGTGTTCATGATGCACGGTTCGCGGTATTATTGTCTGGGCTCACCTGGGTATACTAACTGTCTCTGATTAGTCAATTGCTCTCATAATATATGGCATATGATATACCTGAACTATTCGTCATGCAAATGCATTCTCTTTCCTAGATAAAAGGTCTTGGCGTTGGGGGTGCTTGACATTGGGAGGTTTGCGAGCACCCAAAGGACCAGGGAGATGTCCATACTACACCTATCCCTGAGCAAGAAATTGAGCTCGAATGAAACAAATTGGACCAATGCCAGAGTTTGGTTTCAAGATATGCTGGCGAAAAGGCTATTTGCGATAGCACTATCTGGTCTACCAGCGAGACACCAATTCCAGCAACAAATGACTATCCGAACAGCGTGCTAACTGCACACTTCCAGCAAAGCGAAATTTCTCTTAAATGCTTAGGATTGCTTTTACGGATACCAAAAAGCGAAAAAAAATCCCTCAATGCAATGAGACCTAGATCGAATCATGACTGCTTAGGGCTACGTCTTCGCTCGAGCCCCAAGAGGCATTTCAAGTCAAGGAATCACATTTGAAATACAAAATACAGAATATCGTACAATCAAGACTGGTGGAAACCCTACCAGAACCCCCAGCAACAAAAAGTCATGCCGAATCCTCCCCACAACTCACACGAAATCCCCCTGCAGCAGCTCATTCCCCAAATGGTCAAGCACAAACGGCGCATTCTCGGGATCCTCCATTCTCAAATCCGCATGCGCCAGCGCCCTAAACATAAGCATTTCCAGATCCGTCACCTTCGCTGCATACCCACACAGCCTGAGCCGAAGCAGCGCAGCCCTGATCCAATCCACACAATTTTGCGGCGGCAACGCATTCGCAATAGGAAGCTGGATGCTTTGCAGCAGCGTGCAAATACTCAGCGGCGCATCGTGTACCTCGCCAATCGCCATCCGGATCAGCAGCGACGTGCTATTGCCCGGTCTCACATTGCCTTTCCAGCGAAACCGCCACTGGTGCTCGGAGTTGGTGTTGGCGTGGTAGCTGGGTTCTGTGGTGGCGCCGTTTGTTGTGTCGAAGGCGTAGCTTCGTCCGCCGCTGGCTGGGGTGATAAGGATTGCCCAGTGGTAGGCGGAGAAGCCGAGGCGGCGGCGGTGTTCATCGAGGGAGAGCTCGCCTCGGTGGTGGACTGTGAGGTAGACTACGTAGGTTCGTCTGGTCAGGGAGGGATCGCGTGTGATGGATGCGTGGCTGATCTGGGGGTTGTTAGTTGAGATTGGGGTTGCGGGGATTGTGCTATTTACTGGGGTATCCATGGAGGATTGTGTTGGTTAAGTGTCTGGGGTTGTGTGAAGTGAAGTTGGGAAGTAGCTTTCTTCTGATGGGACTGAGCGATTGGTTTACAAAACATCAACATCGTTTCAATTACGGACCAGTGACAGTCACCTCACAAGATCATACATAGATTATAGCATGTTTAGAACCCCAAATCAAAATTGAAAAGCTATCACTTCTTGAACAATTGATGCTTCATCAAAATAAGCACGGGCCATATATATAGTTCCGATGCATTGGTTGGAGCAGAGGAGTGCCGAGGCACCATACTATCATTACATATATGTACTCAGTAGTCTCGCTTGAGAGCCGAGTCATGAGGCTCTTCACTTGAGTCAATCTCAGAATAGAAGCTGGACGCTCCCGATGTCTGGCCTCATTTGCCTGGGTTCCCGTTTAGTTGGGCTAGCGTGCTGAACCACAAGTGTACAAGGGTACTTGAAATATTTATTGAAGCTATACAGAGTGTACAACCCACATTTATCTCATAGCCTGCACTGATCTAAACCAATTGGAATGAAGGAATGAAGGAATGATATCTGCTCCCCGCTTGTGGTCTCAAGTATCAAATAAATTGCATAGCACTTGCACGAGCTGAGCCATGATCTACCCACCTGAAAAGTGGCTGCGAGTACTGTTTTATTCTACATTGCGAAATATCAAAATTTGACGTGTTCTTTTAACTATAGACATAAATCACAAGGGCTATGGCTGGGCACAATAATCACGAAGACAACGATTGTCCGTAGTGATCCAGGATTCCAGCTAAGATGCCGATATCCTTCTCTTGTCCCATTCAAGGCAGAGAAAGGAACAGCTTCTTCAACTTGGGGTAGTTCGGCGTACCCAATCCGGTAGCTGGATCCCATCTGTGCGCATTGTTAGCAACATCCAACCAGACCAGATGACCGCACTTACCCCGCAATAGCACTGAACCCATCAGAGCCACATCCAACATTTGTACCATTGGTGATATCATTGAGAACCTCCGGGTGGGCATAAAGCACCGGGTTCACAAACCCAACAGGGCCCTTGCCCTTAGCAAGACGCTCCTCGTTAATCTATAAACAAGTTCGATTAGCAACAGCAATAGCAAAACCTAAACCAAAGCCTGAACTCACCAAGCTCAGCACAGAAGCAAACAAAGGCGAAGCTAAACTAGCACCATAGTAATGGTGGAGCGTTCCACCCGTATACGCAGGGAAGAGCGCCCCGTTAGCGGACACATCAGGATAAGCCCGCCCAATGCGATTGTAAAGACCCTTTGTCTTGTTGAGATTGACGCCCATCTCCGAGTAATGCGGGTACGTTAGCTTGGCCTTCTTGAAGTACTTCTCCACAGCAGACTTCTGGTATGCAGGCTGCGGGAAGTAATTCGAGAACCCGCCCGAGCTGCTGAAATTCGCAGCGTTGCCACCCAGGTCTGCATGCATGACGCTCTCGGCGTCTTTGACCGTCTGGTCTTTGTAGAGCATCGTACCACCGACGGAGGTCACGTAGGGACAGTTAGATGGGTATTGGGGGTTGAAAATCTTGCCTTCGGGTCCGAGGCAGCCGTTCTCGGAGCCGTCGCCGTGGAAGGAGGCTACGCCGTAGTCGCCGGAGGCGAAGAGGATCGAGTGGCCTTGTAGGCCGAGTTTAAGGAACTCGTTGCATTGCCGCTTTGTGTAGGCAACTGGAAGGTCGGCCTCGGCTTGGCCGTAGGAGGCGCTGATTACATTTGTGGGCTTGTAGACGCCGCATTGGAGTTTTCCTTTCTTTGTGTTAATTCTGAGTATGGACTATGCAAATGGGGCGGTATTACCTTTGTATCCATCGGGATGCGGGTTGGGATATACTGGGTCAATCTTTGGGTTGTTGCCAGTTTCGCCGAAAGCACTGTACGTGCAGTATGACTGGGAGTGTCAGCAGGGAGGAGGATTTATCTTGGGCAACATGACCTACGCCATCGAGAGCATCAAGAAAAGTGTTGAACAAGTTAGTGGTTGCAACCTCGATCGGCTCATAGACCTGGTCATCGACCTGGTACAGAGTGACAGATTGAGGATAGATCAGGGAATAACTTGGTCTGTATTAGCGAGATCCAGAAACAAAGATACGAAGCTCAACTCACGCCATGTCAATGTCAATGTTGGATTCACCGGTATTCAGCGAGCTATACGCAGGCACTGAGAAGTTTGCACCATCAATCAAGGCCGGAATGGGATAGGTGCCCTGCGGGATATGAGGAGCGTAGGCTTTATAATAGAGGTCAATATCCGACTTGGCGAAGTAGTCGCCCTGCTCGTAGAGACCGAGCGAGTTGTCCTTATGAGCCTTGGTGGCATCTGGGATATCATATAAGGCCTTGATGCAAGCCGGAGTCATGTCGGATCCGCAGGACTGAAGCTCTGCTGGAAGGGTCAAAGCATTGGCGGGAATCACCTTGGCTGCGGCGATGGAATCGGTTTCGACACTTTCCTTAGAATGAGCCAATTGCGACGCTCGCTTTGCCAGCGTGCTCTTCTTGACAATTGCGCTGAGCTTGACTCCCGGCGTCATGTAGTCAATGTGTCCTTGGATATGTTCCGGGACATGATATCTGGACTTGTTAATTGAATATCCCACCATAGAGATTCCAAGGAACCCGTAAACAGAAGGAATTCTATCTTACTCATCACAGCCAATTTTCAAGCTGGAGGTGCTCGCATGCTGATGTTCGTAGAACTCAGCCTTGAATAGCGTCTCGACTTCATGTGCATAGGCATCAAAAGCCAGCCATCCTTTGTTATCTGAGTGAACAATGCGGGACTCATGAATGCCAGAGGACTCAAGCCATCGACGAACGGACTCAACGGCATCTTTCGAGGGAGCAAAAGCATCATGCACTTCCTCTGCCGACCAATACTGTCCATATTTCGGAGAGCTTGGGTCGGAGCTATGCAAATTTAGTATCAAAAGCCAGTGAGCAAGAATGTAACAACTCACACTGCCATGAGATACTCCTCGCCCTTTTCCAAATTGTTTTGAGTAAGACCAATGCGCACAGGTAGCACAGAGTCACGCTTAACCCGGTCGCCTTTTACCCAGTCGACATGCAGGTTCCGTTTCTCATGCAAGACATGCTTCACTGGGGCCGGGACGGCACCGGAGAGAGCTGCAATCGCTAAAGCGACACAAACTTGACGGACCAGCATGGCTAGGAAAAGTCAGGGCACTGTACTTAGCCATTGTGTTGGGAGCGGGGGATGCCCCCTGATATAGACACGGGCAACCCCAGTCACAATGTTGTGATTGCAACCCTATTCCTCATTTAAGATGGTAAACAAGAGCCAATTAACTTTGACGGATGTGATTGGATGTAGGCACTTAGTATCTGCATATTGTTTGAGACATTAAACCGGGATTCAGCACCCTAGGGCTCGATATCCCTAGCGGGCAGATTGGCTTCGGCATTGTATGTGCAGAATATTCCGAAAACACAACTGCCATGTAGATCTGTATCTTCAGAGGTAGATATCCGCAGATTTCTTCACCTTGTTATCTGAGCTGTGTTATCATGGTGCTTTGCGAGATGCAAATGGTTATCAGGAGGCCGGTGTTGCTCCGGCGAACACCCCTCACGATATCGGAGCTCCGGCGGAGAATTGTCGTGACGACGCGACAACGGCCTGGTGAGTAACTATAGTTAAACTTGGCAAGAAATGAGGAGATTAAATTGCGGAGAGAACGAATAAACAAGCTACTTGAACCGACCGTAGCCTCTAGCTTGATGCATTTAAGAAACAATGCATTCTGGGCATAAATTAAATTGCAATTAATATTAGAACAAGCGAAAGCCATGTTGCTTTTATATAGCCAATGTCTTGTTTTCAGTCATATTTAGCCTACAAAAGAACCAACAGTAATACGGGAATATATGTATAAATTTCTAAATCATAAACAAGAAAAAGCTATCATCATCATATCGAATATCCAACCGTGGAAAGCCCAACGATGGAATCTTTTTTTACGAGAAAAAGTGTAAAGGGGGATAGGCGAAAAAAGACACCGAAAGACGACAACCCACTAGCCAACAACCTAGTGATGGAAGAGACGGATACCCTGCTCGACGAAGGTAATGCCCAGCTTCTCAGCAGTTTCGAAGACAGGGGTGTCGTTCTGGCTACCAGTAGGCGCGGCAATGTACTTGACGCCTGAGCGGGCAGCACGGAAGACGTTGTCGATGAAGGGGAACTAGCGGTAGTCAGCAACATGTTAAAATACTCAAAAGATAGGAGGGGAATGCTCACGAAGGCATCGGAAGAAACAGCGACCTCGCTGAGCTTCTGGAGCCAGGCCTCGCGCTCCTCAGCGGTGAAGGGGGCAGGGACTTCCTCGAAGACACGCTCGTACTCGATGGTCTCGGCTTCGCTGCGAGGGGTCTGGCCGGAGCAGAGCAGGTCGATGGCGTTGGACTTGTCAGCACGCTTGGTGCCTTGCTTCCACTTGATGCCGATGACGCGCTCGTGGAAGCGCATCCACCAGTTGTCGGCCTTGTCGCCGGCCAGACGGGTGCAGTGGATGCGGCTTTGCTGGCCGGCGCCCAGACCGATGATCTGGCCGTTCAGCGCGTAGCAGACGGAGTTGGACTGCGTGTACTTGAGGGCGATGGTGGCGACGGTCAAGTCACGGAGAGCAGCCTCGGGGAGAGCGGTGGTGCTCTTGGGGGTGATGATGGTGTTGAAGGTCTTGCTGGGGGAGATGACGACGTCGTTGCGGTGCTGGGTCAGCTGCACGCCATACAGGGTGCGAGTCTCCTCGGGAGCGGGGGTATAGTCCTCATCCATCTGGAGGACGAGGTACTTGCCGCCCTTCTTCTTGGAGAGGATGGCGAGAGCCTCAGGTTCGTAGCCGGCGGCAATGACACCGTCGGACACCTCGCGGGAGATGATCTTAGCGGTGGGCACATCGACAATGTCGCTGAGGGCCAGGATGTCGCCGAAGCTAGACATGCGGTCGGCACCGCGGGCACGAGCGTAGGCCTGGGCCAGACCGGAGGTCTCGATGTCCTTAATGTCGTCCACCATGTACACCTTGCGCTCCTTCTCGTTCAGGGGCACACCAATGGCGGCACCGGCGGGTGAAACGTGCTTGAAGCTAGCAGCGGCAGGGAAGCCGAGAGCCTGCTTGAGCTCCTTGACCAGAGGCCAGGCGTTCAGGGCATCGAGCAGGTTAACGTAGCCAGGAGAGCCGTTGAGGACCTTGAAGGGCAACTTGCCTTGGACGGCGTAGGCAGAAGCGGGCTTCTGGTGAGGGTTAGTACCGTAACGCAGAGAGAGCTGCTGTACACCATTGCCGGAGTACTCCTTGCGGAAGAAGCCAGAGATGGCGGAGTCGTAGTCGGCGGTCTGCTCGAACGCCTTGAGGGCGTATTGCCTGCGGCTGGCCTCGTTGATCTCGCCAGACTCAAGTTCCTTCAGGAAGTCGGAGTAGTCAGTAGGGTCTGACAGAATGGTCACACGCTTGTGGTTCTTGGCCGCAGCGCGGAGCAGAGTCACACCGCCGATATCGATCTCCTCCACGGCCTCGTCGATGGTGACGTTGACCTTGGCGACGGTCTCCTTGAAGGGGTACAGGTTGCAGACGACGTAGTCAACCTTGGAAATCTTCTGCTCGGCGAGGTCCTTCTCGTCGGACTCAATGTCACGGGCGAGGATACCACCGTGCACAGCAGGGTGGAGAGTCTTGACACGGCCGCCAAGCATCTCGGGGGCGTGAGTAATGGCGGAGACATCCCTGTGATTGAAGTCAGAGACTGAACTGTTTGTTGAAGCATGCTTCTTGTATTGTATTGCTGCGCTGGGAAGATAGAGGTGACTCACTCGACCGGGAATCCGGCCTCACGGATCATCTTAGCGGTACCGCCAGACGCGAGAAGACGAACATTCTGCTGGACGAGGCCCTTGGCCAGGTCAAGCAGACCAGTCTTGTCATAGACGGAGATGATAGCTGTTCACAACACAAGATGAAAATGTCAGCGTTGGCCTTGGATCACTTGAGACAAACAATATCATAGTCCGGGGAATGCTCGATCTATGGAGCCAAGGACCTACCGGACTTTTGAGACATGATGGATCTGACAATCGACACTACAGCTGTTAGCAAAGCCAGTCGGGACAAATCCCAATTGAATCAATTGAAAAGGAAGCAAATTACCTAAATCAAGTGACTATAGAGATGACGAAAAGTAAAAAAAAAAACGCAGAATCGATGTCCCGCGGGGTCACCGCAATCGGCGAGGGGCTGGTATGTAAACGGTTATATTACGTATATTACCAGCAGTCATTACCAACAGCTATTAACCAATCACAGTGCAGTATTTGGCAGAAGAGCTTAGCGTGCCACGTGACCTTGGCCTATATAACGATTTTCAATTTTTCGCCGTCTCTCTTTCTTTTTTTCTTCTTCATGAACAACGCAAAATCACATTCTACTCAAAAAGCGTTCCTACGAAGACAACCGTCTGATGAAGTACGGAAATCGTATAGAGAATGGAGACCAAGTACCAAATGGTAAAGGTATCGATCTTGGGTGCAGTGCCTGCTTGACCTTTGGTCATATAGTAGGGATTGCAATGATTGATTCTACAACCCAATTATCAAAATATTATTTCTTTTATGAACAAAACACTCGATCCTTCTAATAGTAAACTCGTAGTCGGTATTATCTGACAAGACATTTCAAATGTACCCACAAAGTCTACCATCACTCCAGTTGCTGTGGAGAAACCTAGCATAGAAAAAATATAACAGGATTCTCTGGAGCGGAGCCTTTTTATTACATATCTCTACCGAGACGTAAATTATCTGTATACATGAACATGTGCCCTCACAAGGCATTCCCCGTGTCGACTCGATTTCTCAAGCCAAAGGACAAACCTCAGCCTTTAGGGCTTCAGCGTATCTCTGCGACCAGCACCGATGGCGAGCTGGCGGCCAATATTTCCAAAGCACACGCAAGCGCAGAAAATGACACTGGCGATCCAGACACGGACAGCCAAGCTCTCCTGTGTAATTCCTGCGCCCAGCGCATTCTCCAACCCCGTTCCATTGAGAACACCGGTGCCAAATGACGGGGTGGTCGACGCAGGGACCAGCCCGGGCTTGAGGCCAAGAACGATACCCATGCCTGCCATACCAACTGTCGAAGAGAGGACGAAGCCGGTTGTGGTGCGGTCGATCAAGTACCATAGAACGGGGTTGGCGAGGGCGAGGGTCAGCGAGGCTTGCGTGGTAGACTGCCAAGGGAGTCTCCGCTGTAGAAAAAAAAAAATGTCAGCGTCCAGAAATACAGAAAAAAAAAGTCCCAGATCAAACTCACCATAGCGAAAGCAATTCCAACAAAAGCACCAACACTGCGAGCAACAGTCACCCACGAGGGCGTGCGGTCTTCACTCTCCTCCTCATTAGACCCATCATTCTTAGCATCAACACCCTCCTCACCCTCGCGCCAGCGATCCAACCAGGGAAGCAAATTGCCAAGCGCAATACCGGCCACCCCCAGAAACCCAAGTACTGCCACGAGTCATAGTAATGGACATTCTCCAGCTTTACCGGAGTAATCCAATGATTCTCATGCAGATTCACTGTAATAACACCATAAGCAATCCCAAACCCAAACAGCAGTAGCGAACTCCACGCCTGCGGCAAGATAACGCCACGGAACAAGCCATGGCTCAGTCGTGACCGCGTGCGCCGCAGCGCAAGTCGCCGTGGCCAAATGGCCGATTTCTCGGCCGCTCGCTGCGACGGCTCAGGCGGGTACTCGGCGGCTGGCGAGTTGGCTTCCGTGCCCCAAGGGCTGGACTCGTCACGGAATCCATCGAAGGCGGTCGGCGAGTAAATGCCGTACAGGGTTGAAGAGGTCAGGTTCATCACTGAGCCGGTGCGGCTCACACTCGTTGAGTTTGAGGCTGTGTCTGGGGCGTGGGGATTGAGGTAGTCGGTGGTGATTGGTTCGGAGGGTGTTGGGGGGCCAGACGATTCGGTTGATGCGGGTGTTACATCAAAGACTCGTCTGGGACGGGGCCGGAGGATGCGAGGTTGTTCTGTCATTGTGGGATTTGTTGGGGAGGTGGTGCTGGGAGCTTCTTTTCGTTTTGAGCGAGCTGGACTGGAGAAAACTGGAGTCTCCGATTGTCGGCGCAGCTGAACCAGGTTGAAATTTGAACTTGGTTCCACGCGTCTGATGAGGGTAGACTTCTATGTATAGTTGGGAATTGGAACAAATCCAGTAAGACGCGTGAGTAAATTATGAGGCGAGTTGTGGAAAGGAGGTTTCGACTTGGCGGCGAGCGGGCGACCAAAACTTCGGAAGAATGCAACCTCGGGTCAATTTAAAGGGTTCTGAGAGTGGCATAGATTGAAAAAAAAAAAGGAGAATCAAATAACGTCAAACGACAGTAAAGACCTCAATAATTCGCCAGAATTAAACCGTGAGGAATCCGTTCCGTGCTGTTCCAAGGTTGATTACCTATTTGGCTTCAAATTATGACTAACCAACACTGGTGGTATGATTCGCCGTTCGGATAGTATGCTTTCCAAGTGTAAATTGGATAGTGGTTCTCAGGTGTTACAAACACCTTCTCGGCAAGGTCCCGCGTGGGCTTCACTTGGTTATAAGGGGGAGATTTGTTGAAGTTACAGAATGAAGTATTGAATGAAGTATATGAAGTGAAAAAGAGGAGAAAGAGGGGAAATATCACATGCAGTCCATTTTGATATCAAAACAGCACATGAAAAGTGCATATCGATTCGGACTTTCAGCCACTTACAACTCAAACAATAGACAGATTGGAACAGTGACTTTGACTTTACTTTGCAGTAGGAAATACATCTCCGAAAAGTATACAAAACGCCCAAGCCAAAATAGATCGTGAGGTATGAAAAGAACATATGAAAAGAAAAAGGGAAAGTAGAAGAAAAAAAAAAGGACAAAACGCCAGCACTATTAATCTTCCATCGCGTCGTCTGCATAACCTTCCCGTGGTTCAATTGGCCGTGGGGGAGGGGACGAAGGCTCATGTCGTGCGTAACCATTGGCACCTTCGTCAGACGAATTATCATCGTCGTCTTCGTCGTCATCGGAGAATTCCTCGTCAACTCGAGGAGCACCGCCATCATCCTCATCACCAGATCCTTCGCCAAGAAGTTCACGATCGAGATCGTCAAGCTCTCCCTCCATGTAATCATCGGGTCCGTGCTCGGGATACCAGCTCGGCGTACCTACCGCTGATGCGCCCAAGCCGTCGGGGCGAGCGCTCTTCGCACGAGATGCTGCGGGTTTCTTTCCTGTGCCAGGGGTCCCTGTGACACCGGTGGACTTGCGCTTGGCGGCATTAGGACGAGCACGAGGGCGGGATCGATTGTTGGAGTTGCGCAGATTGGCTTCCAGGGCTGCTTTGGCTTGGTAACGTTCTTCGCGCTCGAGTTTGCGATCTTTCTTAGGCCCGTTGGCTTCCTCGTAGTCCCACCGGTCGAGTCGGCGTGCAGCTTTTCGTACTACGGAGAGGTAGACACTGGCGCATTCACCAAAGTCGTCTTCTTCCTCTGGGTTTGGGAAGAGGCCGCCCTTTCCCCATGAGACTTCTTCATCATCTGTATCATACCCTTCGGGCAGACCCTGGAGCAGGCGACCGTAGCGTCCGAAAGGAATCTCACTCTCTCGTTTCGCACGGAGAACACGGTATGCATTGGATTTCCGCTTGGCAAGTAGATAGTCGATTCTTTGTCGTCGGTTTTGCTCAACGGCAATCTGATGTTGTGTAAGGGGTCGTGGTCGGCGACCAGGTGCCGTGGAAAGCGACGGTTCAGTAATGAAGCGATTTAGTACTTGGTTGGGGTGGCTCTGGGGCGCGGGAGAAGCATCGGGTGTGTGCTCCATTCTGGTTTTCAAGATGAGGCGTTGGTGGCCCATTGCTTGATTGATTGAAGATTCCCGCTTGGCCTGCTTAGGGCGGGGACGTGAATAGCCAGGAGTCTGCTCATCCTCGTCATCATCGAGACTTCGCTTGGCAGAGGGGTGCAGAGGAGTGGACATAGCAGAGCCATGACCTCCCATACCCGAGTAGTCGCCGGCGAATGAATCTTCGTCAAACCCATATTCTATGAAGAACAGTCAGTATTAAGCGCTTATCGTGAGAAAACATTGAAATAACTATCACCTTTTTTAGGACGCTTAGGAATGCGCGGTAGTGGCTCCTCTTCTTCCAGAATGCCTGCACAGATGTTATTCAACCATTGACAATGGATTAGAACCTAGCACACTTACGCTTGCGTTCCAGTCTCTTTGATTCCCCATACTCCTGTTCCTCGGGCGTATCCTGATTCTCCTCGTTGGCTTGTTCATCGGTTAAAATATCAAAGACAGGTACTTTGAGAGGTAGTCCCTCAGAGCCCTCGCCCTCCATACCCGCGCCGAACGGATTGTTCAGAGCAGCCTCACGGCTGAAATCACTCTCTAGATACCACCACATCAACCAGAGGAATGCCCTGGCGCGACTTTGACTACTAAGCGTAGATCGCATGACAAGGTCGAAGAAGTCTCGTGGGGGGAAGAAATGTGTTTCGGACACTTTGGGGGCGTACTGCGCCAGAACGAATATCAGGTTCACCGGGTTGGTGCGAGGTATACTCAGTCGCTTGATCTTTTCCAGGGTATTCGGCTGTTCATAATCTTCCGAAGCGCCCTTGAGAATCGACTTGAGGCGCGGGGCGTCCTGGAGCTGCTTGTAGGCGTTGGAGTCCTGGCGCGCTTGTAGTGAGGGGATGGAGTGGTAGGTTCGTAGTTGAGCGCGCATTTCAGGGAAGACTAGATAAAGCAGAAGCAATTGCAATCAGCATTGTAAAGAAGGATAGCAGGTTGTGCCAAACGTACAATTCAGAGTGGTGTTCATGCGACCGAAATTGACCAGCAAGCAGACCATCGCCATGTTGATGGCCGCAGGCTTGTCGCTTTGCAGCTTATCCTTGAGGATCTTGCTGGTCTTACTGCTCCGGGCCATTGCATCGATATAGACATCCGCAAAGTCCAGTCCCTTTTGTCCATCAGGCCACCGCGTGAAAACGGGCGTTTTGTCTTCAAAGACCAACTTAAGGAATTGGTATTGGATATCTTTGCGCCAGAGAGGTATGCCATCCTCTTTCTTCAGGTGCCGAATCTTGTTGCCCGAATAGACAGAACCAATTGTACCGTTGGCTTGCCGCCTTGTACCGACCGTCGCGCTGGCGGTCATGCCAGATCCATCGTCCGCAGCTTCGGAGACCGCAAAGGACTCATCCATCATGCTATTTTCGATGTCGGCCATCTTATTATTATTAACGATGGGCTGTGGGGGTTTCGCGATAGATTCGGAAATTGGGAGGTAGTAGAGGTGTGCCCCCTAGGAGGCGCGAAACGAAAGAGGCAGAAGTACTATAGAGAAGAAAGGAAGCGAATAAAACGAATAAAGGACGAAAAACAGAGAAAAGGACATGTGCCAAGGGAAAAGGGAAAAGGGAAAATTACTGAAGTCGTCAGAGTTCGGAAAATCTGAGGAATAATGCAGTGCCGAGTGTCCCATGAAGGCAAATGACAAAAATCCGTATAGCTGGATATCTACCCGTGAGATTCTACACATGTTACTTTGCACTTTGTACTTTTTTTTATATACACATGTGCATACATATGTATATTAATATTAGAATAATTATAGTACATAATATATTTATGACCTTTTACAGATTCCATGTCATTATACAGCTATATATCTATCAGTTTATGTCTAAGAAGTCTAGAAATAGCTCACATTAGGAGATAGTTCGTCTATATATCCACATACATAGGTGCTTGGGAAAAGACCATAAATAACATCTGGAAAGGAACGAAAGAAATAGTTATTAGAATGGAATGGAAAAATAGTCATGCCAATATATGTACTTATACATACGTAGTAGGCAAGAATGGCATGTGCCCACTTTGTAGAGCTAGTTATATAACTCCATACTCCAATCATTACCATCTATGCACATCTATGTACCCCATACTCCATACATACTGGGAACTCAAGAACTACGAAAGACACCAAAATTGAAATACTTTTTCGAGATTGCATTGGATAAGAGAACTTTCCTTCTCGCCATTTGGCCTTGGTTCGTTTTTTTCCTCCCAATTCGAACACATGCGAGAAACCATGAAGCATACTCATTCATAAAGCGGCGGTGACGTCTCCTCCAAGGTCCGAGAAAAATGATAGAAACAGACAAGGAAATAAAAGCAAAGTGCTCCCACTCGGAAACAATCAGCCTCCACGGACCCGAAAGCAGAGGATATGCGTCAAGCCAACGCCATACAGAATGCAAAGAAAGCCTTGTTTTTCTTCTTGAATTCAAGATCCAAAAAAAAGGCCGGAGAAAGAAAGCGCACAGTTTTTTTTCTCAAAAAAAGAAAGGGACCGCAGAACGCAGGGCAGCAACAGAAAGAAATGTCCGCCATGAGATACCGACGCTGTAAAAAGTCTATGCTGCACGATCAATGCAGCTATAACAACACCGAGAAGATGGATGCGAATAGAAAAACGAAAACTTTTTGAGATGATAAAAAGTCATCATTCTCCGCTCGGCGCACGCGCGTCACTCGAACGTGTCCCCATTGGGAACGCTCGAACATAAGGGGTATCTGACGAGAGCGGACATAGGAAAAAAAAACAAGACAACGCATTCTATGATGTTCATGCAGTGGCGATCATAAGTTGCAGTAGAGAGATGTCCTCCCGAAGCAATAAATCAAGACCGCACTGCGCGTTGGCCCCGTCCATGCAAGGCGATGAAGAAAAGCCCATGATAGAACATCGAGGAGGCGCGAGAGGAACAGCAAAGGAAAAAAGAGATTAAACATGCGCAAAAGGGAAAACATAAATCTAAACAAGCATAGGAAAGTCGTGGCAGTCATGACAAAGCCGTCCCTGGGAGATAAAACAGGAAAAGAGAAACCCAGGGACTCGTTCTGATCGTATCCGTCAATGAGAGACACAAGGAAATAAAACAATGGAGCCAATCAGACCCGACGGCCTCGTCAAAAGACCACAACCGTTTACCACCAAGACGAGGGGCCGGATGAGCCAGAGGGGTTGCCGTAGCTACCACCGCCGCCGTAACCACCACCACCACCACCGTAAGAGGGAGCAGCCGCACCGCCGTAGCCAGCACCACCGTAGGAAGGAGCAGCACCACCGGCACCGTAGCCGCTGCCGCCGAAGGAGCCACCGCCCATGCCCATGCCACCGGGGACGCGACGCACATCACGGGTAGCAGTGGTGCCACGGCCACGACCGCCGCGGGAACTACCACGTCCACCGCCGAATCCGCTGCCCTCGCGAGCGATGCTCTCGAGGAATGCGGGAACCTCCTGGTGAGCCTCCTTGAGGAGCTCGAGCAGGTCACGAACAACACCACGGTTGCCACGGTTGAAGAAAGCAGTGGCAATACCGGTGTTACCGGCACGACCGGTACGACCAATGCGGTGAACGTAGTCATCGATGTCAGTGGGCAGATCGTAGTTGATAACGTGAGTCACGTTGGGGATATCGAGACCACGGGCAGCAACGGCAGTAGCAACCAGGATGGGGCAGCGACCGTTACGGAAGAGCTCAAGGGCACGCTCACGCTCGCGCTGAGTGCGATCACCGTGAATGGCAGTGGCGGGGAAACGCTGGTTGATGAGGAAATCGGAGAGCGAGTCGGCCATACGCTTGGTCTCGACGAAGATCAGAGTCAGACCAGTGCTACCGTGGGTGTGGAGGATATCAAGCAGAACGGAGCGCTTGTCAGCATCCTCGACGTACTCAACCTTCTGGGTGATGTTCTCAGAGGTAGATCCAACACGACCGACGGACAGGAAGATGTAGTCCTTCAGGAAATCACGTGCAAGCATCTGGATATCGCGAGGGAAAGTAGCGGAGAACATGAGAGTCTGACGGTCATTGACACCAGGCATATCCTCACCCTCGACGATGCGGCGAATCTGGGGCTCGAAACCCATGTCCAGCATGCGGTCAGCCTCATCGAGAACAAGGTACTTGATGTTAGCGAGGGAGATACGGCCACGCTCGATCAGATCAACAAGACGACCAGGGGTAGCAACGAGAAGATCGCAACCACGCTCGATCTGGCGGAGCTGAGAACCGATGTCGGCACCACCGTACACGACACAGGGACGAACCCAAGAACGGTAAGCAAACTTGCGGGCCTCGTCGAAGATCTGAGAAACCAGCTCACGGGTGGGGGCAAGAATGAGTGAGGTGGGGTAGGCCTTGCGCTGGCGGCCGTAGAACTGACCACCACCACCGGGCTGGGCAGGGGTAGGAGAGGGTCCGTTCTGGAAGGCCTGGGAAAGGATGGGGAACAAGAAACCACCGGTCTTTCCGGAACCAGTCTGGGCACAGGCCATCAGATCACGGCCACCCATGACAATAGGCACGGAGTACTTTTGCACAGGGGTGGGGATGATGTAGCTGGCGAGCTTGATGTTGGCGATCAGGTGGTCATCCAGAGGAGGGTTGGTGAACTGAGTAACGGGCTCGGGAACGTCGTTACCGGAGGCCTCAACGGGGATATCATCGTAGTTGGCGAAGTTGATACCAGTCTGCTGCTTGGAGGGGTCATTGGGGACACCAAACAGCTCGCGCTCCACGCGGGCATTGGCGGGTCCAGGGATGTGCTTGCCGTCGCGCCACTGGCCATCTCCTGAGCCACGGGCTTGCTGAGAAGAACCACCACTACCACCACCACCGCTGTAAGAAGATCCTGGGTGTCCGTAAGCATGGGGATCGAAGGGCCGGGTCATTCCGCCAGGAGTCCAGTTGGTCATACCGTTCGAAGGGCCACGGGGGCTGAAGTTAGGAGCATTTGCGTTGGCCCAGTTGCCACCACCGGGACCATTCCTAGAGAATCAAATTGGGGTTAGTGGGAGCTTGACATGCGAGGATTTGGACATTGTACCGAGGGTTAAAGTTATCACCGGGGAGAGGATCCTGAGCAGCGGAGCCAGGGCCAGCGGCGGCGGCGGGACCGCCGCGCTGGCGGAGGTGAGGAGGAATATAGGCGGCACGACCCTGGCCAGGGGCGTTACCCTGGGGGGCGTGCTGAGACTCGTTGAGGGAAAGGTTTCCCATTTGCAAACCGTCGGCCATTTTTGCGATTGATTTCTATGACCAGAAGAGGTAAAGTTAGTAGCTGTGCGGAGTAGTGAAGCAGGGGTAAGAAATGCGAGACAGTTTTTTTTTTCTGCTCGCCGGAAAAAAAAGGTTCGTGGGTTGTAGAGATAAGGCGCAAGGAATCTGGGCTAGATATCTTGCAGGAAGGAAGAAACTCACTTAAAAGATGTCCTTAAAGAAGAAGAGAGAGACGATGAAAAGATCAAGTTGCTTTTCTGTTTTACTCAATAAAAAAAAGATTGAGTGGCAAACAAGAATAGCCTAGAGAAACCACAGAGAATATGGAAAATGCAAATCTCCCAAATCTAAACACTCTATGGCAAAGAGAAGAAAAAAAGAGAGAGGGATGATTGAAAAAAAAAGGGATATGAAGTTTAGGTCAAGGGAAGAAGAAGTGGATTGCCCAGATGAGGTGGTTGTGGGAAGGAGGCAAATCATGCAAAAGTTGGAGTACTTCCTGGGTACAGGGTTGCGGTGCTGTGTGGCCTGTGTGTTGGCAGGTAGACCCACGGTACCATCGTACTAGAAGGTATGGGAGTGATACAAGAGGCGTTTGATACCTTTGAGAAACTTACATTTTTGGCAGAGTTTACTGTATATTTGATGTATTGATCAGGTACTCACCGCCACGAAGAAATTTCTTATTTTTTACTTGCCAGTTGGCTGTGGTCTCGGCGCTGGGTCTGACTAAGATAATTAGATGAGGATGTGATTGGATCACATATCAAAACTACTGGCCGTGCACTTGAAAAGGATATGTCGTCACCTACGTAACCAATAATCTATAAAACGTATGTGTAAGTTCTGACGATCTCTGAATCAAGGCCATTGGAAATGCCCAGTCTGGAGAGCATCTCTCCCAGGTCAGAAATCCAAGTAGTGTCATATATTTGATCTATAATATGAACACTTAAATTTAAGCATCGTACTCTTTTTCCTCTTGTTGCTGCTGCTGGCCACGTCGACGGGAAATCCAAATACCAACGGCGCCAACGAGGACGAAGAAAATTACGAAGGGCTGCAACGAGTGAGATGGCGTGACGGTCTCGGGGACCTCATTGGTAAAAGCCGATTCTTGGTCGAGTTCTTGAAAAATCCAGCATCATCAGCCACTTCCGACCTGCAGCAGAGAAAACAGCGCGCAGGTAGTCACCTGTCTAGAGTTCATCGCGGCTACCTTCGTCCTCGGTTCCGGCCTCCAACTCGAGCTCACCGCTCTTGACGATCTTGACCGCCTCCTTGGGCTTGTCACCGGGGTTCTTGGGAACGTTCTGGATCTTGTCAACAATGTCGTAGCCCTCTAGGACCTCGCCGAAGACGACGTGGCGGCCATCAAGCCATCTGTGTGGTGTTAGTTGGGACCTTCTCAAATATATGGCTGCATGGACGTGCTACATACGAGGTAATAGCGGTGGTGATGAAGAACTGAGAGCCGTTGGTGTCCTTGCCAGCGTTGGCCATGCCTAATTGTAGTCAGATATATGCGAGATATAATCCAGCAGGTGAAAGACTTACTCAGTTGACCCTTCTTGGTATGGCGCAGCTTGAAGTTCTCATCCTTGAACTTGTTGCCGTAGATCGACTTGCCGCCAGTGCCTGGATGATATTAGTATCATACAATTGAATGCGATCGGAAGCTGACGAACCGTCGCCCTTGGTGAAGTCACCACCCTGGATCATAAAGTCCTTGATCACACGATGGAAGGTAGAGTCCTGGTAACCAAAGCCCTTCTCGCCGGTAGCCAGAGCGCTAAAAGTGGGTCAATATATGCAATAGAAACGTCAAAAGTCCAAGACAGAGCTTTTAGCCATACCGGAAGTTCTCAGCGGTCTGTTCGAAGCAAACGGTTAGCGATAATCCTTCATGCTCGTTCCATGGAGATATAACTATACGAACCTCAGGAACAGTCTTGCCGTACAAGCCCATCACGATGCGACCAAGAGACTCTTCTCCATGCTGAATGTCAAAGTAGACCTGCGGTCACCGATTAGAAACGCTTCCAAAAAGACCCATCCAGGATATGTTACTCACCTTGCTAGTGATCTTAGGGCCGCGAGGCTCCTTAGAATCTTCAGCCTGAACCAGGGCGAAGCCCACGGCAAAGACCACGAAAAGGGACAAGAAAAGGCTGCGGAAATACATGCTTGCTAATTGCCACTGCTCTTGGAGAATACAGTGAAGGGGGAAGACGAAGCAATGAAAAGAGGAAGAAGGCCAGCTTGCAATGGCGTGCGGAGAGCGGACGGACACTCCACTCCTTGTGACGGTATTTTTCAATATACAATTTGATAATAAGGTGTGAAATGGACGTTTATTACGATAAATACGCCATTATGTAGTGCAAATACACGACCCGTTATGCAAATCATCCACGGAAAAAGGTTGATTCCGGAGGATTTCTCCCGGAGTTCAACAAGAGCAACAAGTGACGGCCTCCACTCAATTGCAAGGACACCAGCCAGCTAGAACAATTTAAGATGGTACGTCAACCTCGTGGAAAAGGGTCTTTAACCAAAAAATTCCCGCTAATAATCTATCTACCCACAGGTTTTCATCCTAGGCGTCAACTTCCCCGAGCGGAACCTGCTCAAGGCAAGCCAACCCCAATGATTGCGCCGCAACCTACGTATCAACCCAATTGATTCTCGGCTAACATGAAATCCTCCATCAGTTCTCTCTCCAGTCCTTCTTCGGAGTCGGAGAAAACGTCTCGAGCCGCCTCATGGCCCGCTTCAACATCCACCCGACCTGCCGTGTCGGCGAGCTAGCCAACAAGCAGGTCCTTGACCTCACAGCCGTGCTGTCTGAGATGAAGATCGAGAACGACTTGCGCCGAGAAGTCTTGAACGATATCAAGCGGCTGAAGGAGACTGGAACTTATCGCGGCCGCCGTCATGCGCTCGGCTTGCCTGTGAGGGGACAGCGTACACGGACTCAAGTGAGTTTACCTTCTTCTGACGCTCTTTTCTGGCGCTATATTCTGGCACCAGCTGGCGTCGATATACTGCTTGTGTCTCAGGAGAGTCTCGGCTAACAATACTACATCAGATCAAAACTCCTGTGAGGTTGAACCGCATGGAGCGCAGGCTGTAAATTTTGGTTGTGCTCGATTTTTGCTATTATGGGATTGTCTCACATTTTTGCGTGAGAGGCATGGATTTGGCGTTTTTTATTTTGTTTCTGGCACTTGATCGTTGCCAGGTTGTATGTGAATGGAACCCCTCTATGGATGTATTATAGGCTAGACACTCTGAAAGCTTTAAAATTGATGGACTGACCACAACCCCTAATTACGGTAGACTGCCATTTGATGCACATCAAATTTAGAGCAAATGATGTACGAAAGATGAAAAGGTAAAGAGAAAAAAATATATTTAAGTCTAAACTTTTGCCCTAAACCAAGTGTTAAACGCCAGGCCCATATGTGCACTCATGCCTTCGAAGACAGCACGCCTTCGCCGCGGTTGATTTGAATCCGCTTGTCCTCACCCGCGCTGACAATGCCAACCGTCTGGTCCCAGCACACGCTGAACACCTTGACACCTTCACCGCCAACACGCTTGCTATCGGACTTGCCCTCCTCCTCGAGGCTCTTCCGGGTAATCGAGTAAACGCTCTCACCAACAACACCTTCCTTGTCGGTCTTTGTCGACCGAATATCCCAGATGCGACATGTACCATCGTGGCTACCGCTAATGAGACCGTATTCGCTGTGCGGGTCACGAGCCAAGCTCACAACTGCGTTGGTGTGGCCTCGGAGAGTCATGGCGGCCACAGTGGTGGCAGATGCACGGGGGTCAATCAAGGTGATGTGGCGGGCGGCGGTACCAGCAGCCAGGAGGCTGAGTTCGGGGAGGTGCTCAAGGGAGAGTAGCGAGTGTGAGGTTGTGCGAGTGTCGACGAGAGAACCAGTAACCAGATCCCAGGTACGCAGCGAGTGGTCCCATGAGGCGGAGTAACCGACGGTAGCATCCTTTCCATCGAAGATAGCAGCAGACACGGGTGCTGTGTGGCCTGAAAGCAGGGACAGAGGACCGCGCTGTGGTGTGCTGACGGATGTGTTCAGCTTACGTCGCTTGCTGTTGCGGGCATGGCTGGATGGCAGCAAGCTGTCGGGGGCGGCCGGGGCATCGGCCTTCTTGGTTGACCAGAATCCAACAGTGTGGTCTGACGAACCAGTCAACAGACGATTGGATTTGGCGTGCACGGCCAGTGACTCGATTCCGGCCTTGTGACCGTACAGCTCCAGCTGGGGAGAGATCTTTCCAGCGAAACCGCCCTCTTCTTCGGTATACTTCCACAGTCGGACGGTGCGATCAAGACCAGCCGAGGCAATCTGGTTCGGGGAAACGAACTTGGCGGCTCTGATAGACGCAGTGTGGCCTCCATCGGCAGCAGCGGGAGATGTCGCAATAGTCTCAGAAGACATGTTCCAGATACGAAGTAGACCGTCATAACTTCCTGACAAGATTCGCTCTTGGCCTGGAGTAAAAGTCGCACCTGAGGCCCAAGATGCAGCAGGTGAAGTCTTGGAAAGCACATCCGTAGCACTGACCCAATCATCATGTTGGAATGATGCGATATGCAGAGGGGGAATCAAAGCTCGAACATATTCAATCTCAAGAGTTGTCTCAGAAGAGATACCATTGGAAACCAGATATTCATCGATGGAGGTCCGCAAAAATTGACCATTGATCAAAAACTCGAATGGGATTGGCTTTTCGCTCGAGAGAAGGTTGTTTACCAGTGTCGACAGCGCATATCGGCGAAGACCTTTTTGAGACCAAATTAGTACTTGAAACTTCCAATTGGAATACCTGATCGGCAATGGGTCTCTTACCAGTGGGAACAAGAATTGGGCCGGTGCTTTCAGGCAGAGCAATATCCTCCTGCTGGCTGGTAAGCTGCACTCGGACTTGTCTCTGCGCAGACTCAGCCGCAGCTGTGTTTAAGTCTTCACTCATTGTAAATCAAGTTCAAGTTGCTGCCGATGTTGCAGATGGAATCTTTTTTGGTGGCTGTCGCATTTTCGGCGGGTGAGGAAAAAATACGGTGACCTGTGCGGCACACTTGCGCAGAGCGCGGAGATGGCTCCGCTTATTTTATACACTGCAGAGGGGATGCATACAGATTTGTCGGTAGTTCCTGGAGTGTCTGGCTGTATATTACGAATTTGACTTGTATGTTCTTTGACTTGGAGCTCAAAGTCTGAGATACAGAGCCCGAAAAATATCAAAGTGAAAACCAGAAAACAATGTATTTAGAACGTCATGTTTCTTATACATAAATGACTTGGATGCTAGTTTAAAGTACACTCATCCTCTTGGCGCTCTTCTAATCTCCGCAATAGCACGCCGCCGGTAGTCAGACTCCGCAAACAATGCCTCAATCAGGTCAATCACCTCCTCAACAGAGAACTCCAAGCCCAATTCACCTTCGAGCCAAAGAAACTTGATATCAGCGAGAGAGCTTTCCAAGATGTTGACCAAGTATTGGAAACGAAGCCAGCTCGGAACATAGATGGCAGTAACAGGCAAAGCCTCTGCGTCACCATTCTCCGGCAGGAAGAGGTCCTCCAACTTGGAGATTCGATTACAGAAAGAGACCAGTTGCTTCGACTGATCTTCCGAGATGTCACCCAGATCTTCGACATCAATGATCACCTTGTTGATCACTGTAGACAAAAGGGAACCGACAGACTGGAGTAGCGCGGAGTGAGACAGGATCGGCTGCCATTCCTTGTAAACGTCGCGAATTCTGTCAACAGTTGCGCTGACGGAATTCTCGCAGTCTGATTGGAATGGCTGCTCGGAGCATTGTCCGAACCCTTGAGCTCCATCGAGCAGGTCAGTGACAATTGTACGCTGGGTTTGCATCTCTTTGCTATAGGCAAGCTTGCCGAATCTCTCCAGAGCTTCAACATCGGGTTCAAGTCTGGAAAGACTATGTTCCTCAACGAGTTTCCGAATCTCATCAGCAAGGTAGAGACTGTCGTTGTAAAGATACATCTGCCCTGAACTGAGTTTCAGCGAGTAGAATGTTGATGATGTAGCTTTGAACATGGCGAGGATCAAGGTTGGCAGTGCAAGAAGACCAGCGCCAGAAGAAGCGACGCGGGATTTGGCATGTCTAGGTTCATTAGTTTAATTTCAAGGGCATTGCTTGGGCAATAACAGTCTGACTTACGCAGGCTGCGAGATATCCTTTGAATCAGCAATTTGCTGCTGAACGACCTGGAGAACCGACTCAGGTATATCAGTGATTGTGAAGACTTCTTTCAGAGTAACTTCTTTGGGCGATGCAATTCCAGCTACATTTTTCTTGTTTGTTGGGTTTGCTGTTGCAGTTTTCTGGGAATTTGATGGTGCACCATCGGGTTTCTGGCCATCATCATCATCGTCACCCCAGCCCCAAGCATCGTCGGCATCATCCTCCTCCGTAGGAGCAGTCAAATCTGGTGTAGCATCCTTTTGAGTCTCTTCGGTCTCGCCATCATCGAGACCCCAAGCACTAACGTCTTCCTCTTCGTCCTCGGATTTCGGTGCTTCTAATTTCTCAGGAGTACTATCTTCTTTGTCGTCGTCCCAATCTGCGTCCCAGTCATCATGAATGGCATTTTCCAACAGAGCACCGTCGGCCTGGGAGACCTTTTCCTTTTCAATTCGCTCGACCTTCTTTGTTGTGCCTTGGCTAGCAGCAAGAACCTTTCGGACACTATCTAGTGAGTCGACCCGACGTCGAGTCAACCATAAACGTGGAGCTTGGTTCACCCACGAGACGAGTTCTTCTTGGCCAGTCCAACCCCAGGACTCAATCCTCTGGGTAAATTCTAAGACATGATCCAAAATGTTCTCGAAATCGGCCAGGCCATCTAGATCAGTGGGAATTGCACGGGACAGCCACTCCGAGATTGTCTTTGAAGAAAGCTTGGGGATGAACGAGTCAGAGAGAGCTGTGGATACCGATGTTGGCAGACTCTGTTTCAAATATCCCAAGACACTGGAAAGGCGATCCAAAGTCTCCGATGCCGTTGCTGTTGACGCTTCGGGCTCAATTTGAATGCCCGTCTTTGTCACCACGACACCTTGGCTGGTCCCATCAGGACGGGGAAGCAATATCGGGTTGATGATCGCAGAAAAGAATTCCTTCTGGAACTTCTCATTGGCAGAAGTGAGGATTTCCAGTCGGGCAAGCGACACAATCGTGTTCTCGAGGGTTTCCTCGCCGGCTTCGGAGACCTGGAATTCCCCCCGTGGTCGATCGATCTTCAATTGATCAGCCCAGCGTTTCTGAAGTGCTTCAACAATCTCCGACCGCAGGAGTGACACCTCTTCGGATAGTATCCCCATCACATTCGTATTGGTAAAGAAGGCATCCTTTCCCACAGCTGCGTGGGTAGACTCCAAGTGTTCAATAGCAGTGGTAATCTGGCCATTTCGTAGAGCTACTCGGCCGGTTTCCAGCTGCTGGCACAGGCGCTGCATCTCCTCCAGCGTTCCTGCTACGGCCTCATTGAAGGCAATCTCCGTCTCCACCAATGCGACTTTGGCCTTCGCATCATCCACCTTCGCCTGTAGGGGTTCGGTATGTTCATGCTGCGCGACGATCTCTCGTGCAGTCAACCTTGATCGTTCAATATCGGCGTGAAGCTGTTTCGCTTGGATAATCCAATCATCGGCATCGAAGGTGTTCTCGCGACTCAAGGAGCTAATCTCATTCTAAGGGTACCAAAAGATATTAATTAGTGAACCAAGCGAACATACAATTTGTGACTGCATACCTCAACCTGCTCACGGGCTTTCGATATAAGCTCTAATTCCCTTGCGAGAGCAGCTGCTGGGAACTTGCCCGCAACTACGTTCTCGTCAGGGTACGTGCCTCCGGCGACGAAGCCTAGCACTGCCTGGCACAGATCCTCGTCAGTAGTTCCTGGCATTATGCCAATGTTTCAATTTCCAAGAAAGAATAGAGAGAACGTCGGAGCCTCAGAGAACAAGAGCTGTCAACAACCCGTGACTTTGGTCGTCACCGCCCCACGTGTACGATTCAAAGATTCTCTAACATCAGAAAAAAATGAAAAGTAAGAAAAAGTCAAATCTATTAGCATTGAATATATTATTTGAACATGACTGGCTGCATATAATTTCACATAGATTCAGAGTATATATCTTTCTTTGTCACAACTTCCAACGCTCTTTCCAACTGTTGGTCGCTTTGTAAGGGAACGGGACCCAAACTCCGCCTGGAGACATTTCAATACTTTTACTCGAAATCTCATCGTGTCTCAAATTCTCAGCTTGAGTCGCTTGAGCCGTCCGATTTGTCTGAATCGGTCAATTTTTATGTAAGTAAAAAAAATTCCTCGTTGTTTCAGCCCCTCCAAATTCTCTGCCCCGCCATGTCATCAGTGACATGGCAGTGACATGGCAGCTAGCTAGCCATCATACATGCTAGCGTTCATAAACCTTGCTAACAGAGAATAAACACTCAAGCTTCCGACGAAGTATCTTCATTGGGTCTGCCCCATTGATCAATATGTCGTCCTCGATGAAGAACAGTCACTTCAAGCTGCTTCAGCAGTTCAAGCCTGATTACTCGTCGAGTGAGTTCACTCAATATGAATCACAGCGTACTGGAATGAGAGTGGTCGTTATCGACCAGCCTGGCCCCAAGGTCGACGGCTACTTTGCGCTTGCTACAGAGATTTGCGATGATTCAGGTGCTCCTCACACTTTGGAGCATTTGTGCTTCATGGGCTCGCGCAACTACCGCTACAAGGGCTTCTTGGACAAGCTGGCTACCCGCGTGTACTCCAATACTAATGCCTGGACCGCTACTGATCACACTGCCTACACATTGGAGACTGCAGGCTGGGAAGGCTTTGCGCGTATTCTGCCAGTCTATCTTGAGCATGTGATTGCTCCTACTTTGACTGACGAAGGCTGCTATACTGAGGTACACCATATCGATGGATCTGGAAACGATGCTGGTGTCGTGTATTCCGAGATGCAGGGTGTGCAGAACGATTCCTCTGAGCTGATCGATCTGGCAGCCCGGCGACTGCTTTATCCACCTGGTGTGGGCTTCCGCTATGAGACTGGAGGTATGATGGAACAGCTTCGTGTTTTGTCTGCAGAGCGGATCCGTGAATTCCACCGTGAGATGTATCAGCCTAAGAATTTGTGTTTGGTTATCACCGGAGAGGTCGACCAGAACAACATGTTGGAAATCTTGGACAAATTTGAAGAGACTATCTTGGATGTTATCCCCAGTCCGGATGCACCCTTTAAGAGACCTTGGGTGGATTCGAAGCAGGCCCCTCCCCTGGAGAAGTCGATTATCCAGAAGGTCGAGTTTCCTGAGGAGGATGAATCATACGGTGAAATCGAGATCCGTCTCATCGGACCCGATTGCACCGATTCCGTTCAATGTACGTTTGTTCCCAAACTTCAACCTTTCGATTCCACGCTCACACCATCACAGCCGGAGCTCTTAATGTGTCCCTGTTGTACCTGGCTGGTGGACCTGCAGCTCTCCTGGAAAACATTCTTGTTGAGAAGGAGGAACTGGCGAGTGCCGTTTACTATGCTACCGAGGATCGCCCGAACATGGAGATTAAATTCACATTGACCAGCGTCGAGACAGAAAGCCTGGAGAAGGTTGAAAAGAGATTCTTCGAAATCCTCCGGGAAGCGATGGACAAGGAACTGGATATGGAGTATTTGAAAGCGTGCATCGATCGTCAGCGCCGAAGCTGGAAGTTCTCGACTGAGAGTTCTGCTTCCTCATTCGCAGAGTACGTTATCTCTGACTTCCTGTACGGAAAGCGTGACGGCTCCACCATGATGGACGTCGCCACTCTGAAGGAATATGAAGTTCTCGAGACCTGGTCCGAGGACCAATGGCGAGCCTTCATCAAGAAATATATTTCTGATGCCGCTCATGTTACTATCTTGGGAATCCCCTCCAAAAAAATGTCCGAGACACTGAAGAAGGATGAAGAGCATCGCGTTGCTGCTCAGAAGGAACGCCTTGGCGAGAAGGGCTTGAAGGATCTTGCCGATAAGCTTGAAAAGGCCAAGGCAGAGAATGATAAGGAGATTCCACAGAAGTTGCTGGAGGAATTTGCAATCCCCGGAACCGAGTCAATTCATTTCATGGACACCATCACAGCTCGTTCGGGTGCTGCTCTGAAGGCTGGACGCCCTGACAACAAGATCCAGACACTGGTTGATGCCGACAAGTCTGACTCGTCTCTCTTCATCCACTTCGAGCACATTCCTAGCAACTTTGTTCAGCTTTCCGTTCTTATCTCGGCCGATTCCGTACCCGTTCAGCTGCGTCCTTTGCTGTCTATTTACACCGAAGCCTTCTTCAACATTCCCGTCCAGCGTGATGGCAAGACAATCGAATTTGAGCAAGTCGTTGTGGAGTTGGAGCGAGATACTGTCGGGTATTCGATGGATACTGCCCGTAGTCTTGGAAACAACGAGATGCTGTGCGTCTCTTTCCAGGTCGAGCTGGAGAAATATGAGAATGCCATCGCCTGGCTGAAAGAGTTGTGTTGGAAGTCCATCTTCGATGAGGAGAGACTCAAGGCCATCAACACGCGTCTTTTGGCTGATGTGCCCGACTCCAAGCGCAGCGGTGAAGACATGCTCGCTGCAGCCCATGTGATGGTTCACTACGCAGAGGAGTCGATCATCCGTGCCCGCTCCACTCTGGTCAAGGCCCGTTACCTCAAGTGCGTCAAGCGTTTGCTCAAGGACAAGCCCGAGGAAATCGTCAGCCGCATGGAAGAGATCCGCAACTCGCTCTTCCAGCCTAACAACGTCCGCGTTATCGTCATTGCCGACCTCGAGAAGCTCAAAAATCCCGTTTCGGCCTGGCAGCCCTTCGCCGAGACTCTCGGCACCGGCACTGACCTACATCCCATTACCAACCGACGTGCTCGCCTCAGCGAGGTCGGCAAGACTGTCGGCGGCAAGTCTTACATCGTGCCCATGCCAACCGTCGACTCATCCTTTGCCTACGCCACCAGCCGTGGCCTGGACTCCTACGACCACCCCAGCCTTCCCGCATTGATGGTCGCAATCTCGTATATGAACTCAGTCGAGGGGCCCCTCTGGGTTGCTGTCCGCGGTACTGGTCTGGCGTACGGCACCAACTTCAACCATAATATCGATACTGGCTTGGTCCACTTCGATGTGTACCGGTCTCCTAACGCACACAAGGCTTTCGAGTCCAGCAAGAAGATTGTTGAGGACTATCTGTCTGGTGCTTCGACTTTCGACCCTTTGATGCTGGAGGGTGCTATCAGCAGTATCGTGGTTAAGTATGCTAATGAGCAGATGACCGCTGCCCATGCTGCGCAGGGTAGTTTCATCCGCCAGGTCGTGCGCAACTTGCCTAGCGATTACAAAGAGAAGATGCTTAAGAATGTGCGCGCTATCACTGTTGACCAAATCAAGGGTGCTATGCGTGATATTCTCTTGCCGATATTTTCTCCTAAGACCGCGAATCTGGTCGTCACTTGCGCGACTGTGCTGGAAGAGGTGAGTACTTTGACCTGTAATTATATGGATGAATTACTAACAATGTTGGAACCAGCCCATTAAGCAGGGCTTCGAGGCATCAGGCTTCACTCCCACTGTCCAGCCCCTTAAGGACTTTGAAGACGACTACGGTCTGAAGGCTGGCAACGAGGATGAGGATGAGGATGAGGATGAAGACGACGACGACGAAGATGACGAGGACTCCGAGACTGGCTCCGAGGAGGAGGAGGATGATGAGGATGAAGATGAAGATGATGATTGAGTGTTCAATGCACGATCTATATACGGATAACCCAATACCTAGGTAGATCACATAGATGATGGAAACTGTCGGACTCTCAGACTCTCAATATTCTATTCGGTGATGAATCTACTCTTTGACTTGTACCCACTGCATCTTGAACTTTACATAAGTCGAAGCTGATCTCACATCTGATCTTAAAAAAGCTGAACAAAATGATTCGCACTATATGAAAAATGTAGCCTCACACATCCTCAAGCAGAGGTAATTATGGTACACGCCAAACAAGACCAAACATACCCATCTTGTTTGAACCCGAGTCCAACCTGAAAGGCAATGCCCAACAGTAGGTACTCAGCAATTCCCTTCTATCTGCCTACCAAGGGTACGGGGTAGGTTAAACTTTCCCATCACCCCGTACGTACATTGGTATAACCGCATCCCACCAAACAACAAATCCAAGCAAACCCAAGTAAATCACCAACTGAGTTCCTTCCGCCCCTTAAGAATCCTCCGCACGAGCGTCTTCCGCCCATTTCTATCCTTCTTGCGAGCCAAGTATCCATGGCGGCGCTTCTGCACCCGGCGCGATGGCCGGAATGTCACACGACGCACGCCTAGAGAGGCACTGGCAGAGAAAGAGCGGGTTTGCTGGGGCGCCTGGGAGAGGAGGGATGACAGCGGCGAAGAGAGGGCTGTGGTTGGGGTTGTGATGCGGCCGAATGATTGCGGTTGGAAGCGGGTTGGCGTGGAGAGGAGAGAGGAGAAGGATCGGGATGAGAGCATTGAGGGTGTGTTTTGTCGGGGTATTTGTGAGAGCCTAGACCAGAGAGCATTGTTAAGTGGACGTTCGTATGGTTCGTTGGCTGCTGGAGGTTGATTTGGATGCGTACCTGTTCATTGGGAATGGGATCGCGGATATGGTGGTCCGAATGGTGGAGGGCATGGCCCTTGGGCGGATGCAGAACATGGTGCCTGGTAATTTGCCTGGTAATTGGTGAGGCAATTGGGACAGAGTGGGATGTTGAGTTGGAGATGTCCACAGGACGCGGCGTCGGGAGACAGAAAATTAAGCGCGGAGCCGCCGAGGCACGGACCCGCCAGGTGTATGTCTTCTGCGAAGTGACTACAAAGATGTTGAAGATGGATATAGGTCAATTGCTGATATCAGAGATATATTTAGTTTTGAAATATGGTCTCTCATAGATACATTCCCAACAGCACTTTTTGCGCATACCATGAAGAAGATATGCCCGATCGGGACTAGCGTCACCGAAACTTTTTTGATCTCGAGATGCGAATCGCTCAACTTAGTCCCTCCAACCCCCAGTGCTGCTCCCAAGTCACACTCAAATCGGGGCAAACACTCATCCCAACCCCTTTAATCCCATAACGGTCAAACTCCCACAACAATTGCGACCACCGCCACAAATCCCAAGCGAACAAGACCAAATCTACCAATATGGCAACCCAAGGCCCCCAAGCCCTTCCTCCAACAATAGTGCACAGCACCACCTCAATCACCCAGGCCCAGGCCCACGAGTTTCTAGCAGCCTACCTAGACCGTGCAGGCACAGACCCGTCCCTGCAACCAAACGCCAGCATCAGCGAGCACGGCCCCGTCTCGCGCACAACCGCCGCAGCACCGAATTTGATCCTGCACAACCTGAAGCGTGTGCAGGCCGGTCTGGCCGGCGAACTTCTCGGTCGTGACTTGACGGTCGCTAAACAGAATCCCGGCGAGGATTACCTGGATGTTGCGGCTGGTGCTGTGAAGAACCAGGAGGAGCAGGAGGAGGATGGGGACTTCGTGATGGATGACGCTGAGTTTGGGGGTGAGGATGCGGCGTTTGCGGATCAGGAGGACGGGCTTGATAAGGAGGCGCGCAAGCGCAAGAAGAAGGAGAGACGGCAAGCGGAGAAGAAGGCGGCTAATGCTAAGGCTAAAGCTGAAGCTGAGGCTGAGGCTGAAAACTCGGATTAGTGGCTGGTTATGTATTTGTTGGCGTTGCTGCATTGGGTCGGAGTCTTTTTATTGGGTCTGTTACTTTGTAGCTCTGGACTGGTTTTGCTTTTGGATGCACGAAAGTACTCGCATTTTATGTCTGCACAAAAAGTGTCATTTAGATTTTAGATGGGAACAATCCGATCAATACATGATGGAACATTTCCAAGTCTTGCTTCTGCTCTTTGAGACTTGCTATAGCTTGCTTGAATGGAACAAAAGAATCATTTCTTTGATAATAAGACAGAATCGCCATCACATCCATCGGACCTACAGCTCGCGGTCTGAGGCTTTGATGGGCTTCTCGCTGTCCTCCTCCTTGCTGCTAGTGACCTTGCCACCCTTCCAGCCAAGCGCGGCGAGACGTTCGGTGAGAATGGGGTGCGAGTAGTGGTAGCTAGCATAGATGGGGTCAGCGTCCATGGTGCTCAGGTTCTGGATCTGGAGCTTCAGGAGCGAAGAGGCAAGCTTGTCGGAGTATCCAAGGTTCTGGGCAAATTCATCTTCAAAGCGCTGTCAGTTAAGTTTGGGAGTATAATCGATAAGACGAAACTTACCGGCCTCAAATTCGAATTTCCGGCTGAGAATGTTCATGAGCAGCTTCATGACAGCATCCAAAGGAGCCAGGGCGTCGGAGAAGAGCAGGAAACCAATCATGATCGGCTGTTCCTTGATGAAACCGAAGGACTGGTACAATGACTTGTTGTTGACGAAGACGGAGAACAGAGCGAAGATGTAGAACATGTGGGCCTAAGTTTCAATAGTCAGCGACAATTTGCATTTGGAAGTATTTAAATGGATGCATACCTGGGCAATACCGAACAGCTTGGTGGTGTGGCTCAAGCTCCAGTGGCCAAGCTCGTGACCCAGCACAGCGACAACCTCCTCGGGTTCGGTCTTCTCAATCAGGGTATCGTAGATGACAATGTGCTTCTTCCATGGCAGACCGTAGAAGTAAGCATTGCTGTGGGCGCTGCGCTTGCTGCCGTCAATGACATGCAGCTCCTGGAGAGGGAACTTGAGCTTCTCAGCCAGCTTCTCGACACCGGTCTTGAGATCACCGGGCTCGAGGGGCGAAAGCTTGTTGAACAGAGGCAGGATCACAATAGGGTAAATAGTAATGGCAAAGACTTGGAGGAAGACTCCAAAGAGCCAGAGATAGTAGAAGAACGAGGTGTCGAACTTCTGAACAATCTTGAGCACAGCGCTGATGATGGGAGCACCGAGAACAACGCCGAGCATTTGACCCTTGAGCATATCCGTGATCCAAAGCTTGACAGTCTGCTTGTTGAAGCCGAACTTCTCCTCGAGCACAAAAGTGTTGTAGTACGAGACAGGCAGCGAAAGGATAGTGCTTAGAATGTTGAAACCGAAGAAGAATACCAATGTTTGACAGATTTCACCCTGGAACCGACCGGGAAGGTACCGCGCGAGGACGAGGCCACTGATGCCCCAGATCTTAGGGAGAACATCACCGTAGATGAATGCGAGGTTTTGGATTTGACCGTAGAGACCGGAAACGAAGCTGAACTTGGCCTTTGCGCGACCATATGCCTGTGGTTATATTCCCATGAGTATGCTTTTATTCGGTGTTTCATCATCCTGTTCATACCTGGCTTTGGTCATAGACCTTTTGAGTAACCTCCCCCTCGAGAACCTTAGGGGGAGTCGTGCGTTGCAGAAACTTGTATTGTCGGAGTGAGAGGAAGCCTTCGAGGACGAACTGGCCCAACGAAAAGCCTACCAGCACGTTCTTCCATGGGAAGAGCGGGCGGTCGAGCAAACGCGCCAGTTGCTAAAGCCGGTTAGCAAGGTGTTCATGATGAAAAGCATGTTTCGCTATGTACCAAGAACAATAAAGCAAAAGATTTAACTTACCTCGAGGATATACATGATTTGAATTCTCGCAACTAGGCGAAAAGGAAAGTGGTGATCAAGGGACAGAGTTGCTACTTTGTTATTATCGGCAGCCTTAGTCAGATTCGAATCGCACCTTAGCATGCATGACGGGGCCAAAACACAACGTCATTTTGGCAATAGAATTATTTATTCATTGCTATTTAGAAAGTTGCTATCGAAATAAGCTGGTCATATTCATTGAATCAATTGCAACAAACATGGAGTTCTACCTAGCCCTGGAGGTGGTGCTGATGTCATTGCTGTTGGTATATTCAATTAGGGCAATGTTCATACTGACACTAGTACAAGTAACCTTGGGAGTATATTCATAAGTATTTCAACATTGTCCAATATCTAGCAAACACTATCCAGTTATCAATTCTAGCAGTGTTGCGGAGTATAATAAGCCTTTGATGGAACATGTTACTGGTAAGGATGGTCGAAAATATTTACTTGCTCAAGCAGAACTATATAATCATCCTACGCTGTTACTTGATATATGCTTCATACGATGACGACTCTAATTTAATCAATGCAAAGCAAAAGCTCTCAAATTGTGATCTTTCCTACATTTGTTAACCACAGACCTATATAGGCCTCTATCTACATAGGATATGATGCAGACATAAAATGAGCAATGAACAGGCAACCTCTTGAAAACAACTCCCTCATACGAAAGAAAAACAAACACATCTCTTATTCGCCGACGTTACCTGCATCCTGTTCGTCTTCCGTCCCTCAGATCAAACCCTATGCCGTCCGTCGTCTACCAAAGGTCGCCGAGGAAGCAGGTGGATTGATTAAGGTGGCGACAATGCAGGATTGCATTTCTCTCCCATCTTCTCTATTTAGCCGGGGGAATCAGTTGAATTATGTCTTTACTTTTCCGACTCGTCATGACCGTAAACTTTTCCGCGATCGAAGATCGCAAGACTCGTGTTCGAGGGTCGGTGGGTTGAGACAGTCGGCCAGGGATATAGCATGAGCTATGTGCAAATTTCCCCGGAACAGATCTCAATCCTGAACCTCCCCGTTTCGAACTGGGACATCGTTCAAAGAATGGCTTTACTGCTGCACAGGCTCGAGGGTGTTACCACTGTAGTGAGAGAGTCAGCATATGTCATCAATGTAATACACAAATCCTGTTGACTTACGCAACAATGTTGGCCCATCCAATGAGACGCCAGTGCTTCTCAATTCTGCGACTGATGGCGATCTTCTCGCCAACTTCTGTGCAAGCCGGGCTGGTCAAGCTGAGCTTAGCGGCATCGGCCTTGACACCAATGACCTTAGCACCGGTAGCAGTGGAACCGATGTTAACCATGAGAACTTCGTTCTTAGCAAGCTTAGCGACCTTGGCCTGCTTGCCGTCGGCGGTTTTGACACCGAGCAGACGACGGAGAAGGAAGTAGTTGACCTCGATCTCAGTGTAGATGGCGGGAAGGCGGCCACGGTGACCGAGGACGAAACCGACGAGACGATCGGCACGGCAGAGGGTGGGGTCGACACGGGTACCGACACCGATAAGACCACCGGGAACGGCGAACTTGAGGTCGTTGTGCTCGGCGAAGAGAGAGACAATGCGGGAGAAAATGGGACGGCATTGAATCTTGCCCTGCTCGTCCTTGGTGACGAGACCGGGACGGATCTCAATCTCATCGTTCAGCTTCACGACACCGGTCAGAATGGATCCACCAGCGACACCACCCTTGAGCTCATCGATCTCGGCACCGGGCTTGTTGACATCGAACGAACGAATGATCATCATGTGAGGGGTGGCCTCGAAGTTACGGGGAGGGATGGGGATGGTGTGGACGAGGGCCTCGTTGACAGCGTCGATGTTGTACTTCAGCTGGGCGGAGATGGGGATAATGGGCGAGCCATCGGCGACGGTACCACGGATGAACTTGAGGATCGACTGGTAGTGCTCAAGAGCGTTGTCTTCGCGCATAAGATCGACCTTATTTTGGAGAATAACGATGTGGCTGAGCTTCATGATCTCAATAGCGGCCAAATGCTCGGAGGTCTGGGGCTGGGGGCAAGTTTCGTTTCCGGCAATCAGAAGGAGGGCGGCGTCCTAGGAGACGATGTTAGTTCTCTGCAAGCCCCTCGGTATTGGGATATATTGAGGCGAATGATGAAACTCACCATGACCGCGGCTCCTGAAAGCATAGTGCTCATCTGCACGAGACTGGTTAGTATAATCGCTCAAATAGAAGCCAAAAAAAACCTGGAAGCAAGTATAGCTCCCAAAATGCGCAAGAAAGTTAATACTAACGAGAATATCGTGACCGGGGCAATCGACGAAACTGTATTGGGAACAATTGTTAGCTCATAGCCGCTTATAGCCGCAGGAAAGAGCCCACTGCTGGCGGGTTGGGATCTATGATACCTGAGATGACGCTATATCAGAGGTTAGCTTACGATCAACGAAAAGAGACCCTTTGAATGGATCTCAAATGGTTCTAAGGGAATGGGGATACACACCAGCAAGCGGTAAGTGCCTTCACATCCTTCGCGCTCACAAGGAGGGTCAATTTCCTTCTCACTCTTGAAACTCTTGTAGCATGTAGGCCGGGGACAGGCTTCATTGTCACACTTGTAAATCTTCGCGTTGGCGTAACCAAGCTTAATGGTAATGTTACGCTCGAGTTCGTTCTTGAAACGGACGGTCTGCACCTCGGAAATAGCCTTGACAACGGTGGATTTGCCGCTAGAAATTCATTAGTATGTTTGCAAGCGGGGAAGGAAGGCGTAGGTAGTCTAACTGAGCGACATGTCCAATTGTGCCTGATATTACGTTAGTTAATTTGTTGACTCGGGTGGGGGAAAAAAAAAAACAGAAACTCAAGAAATAGTATGCGATTTAAAGCGCAAACTTTTTCAAAGACCAATAATCACATACCGATGTTCTGGGTTGCTTGTCTGGCAATGATCTCAGGCGTGAGAGGCGTCAATTTTGACAGATCGAGAGTTTCCGGGTCGGGCTGTTCGGGGAGGACTGGGCGCTGGGGTTGAGAAACAGGGGGAGCGGCCTTCTTCATAGCCGACTTGATGGGCTTCTCCTCGAGAGGCTCGTGATCCTCGACCTCTCCGTGGGGGTTGTGGGCGTCGAGCGAAGGCGAGCCGGGCTGGGATCCCTCATCGGAGAAATCGCCGTTGGTAGCCATGGTTGCGAAAAGGAAAAAAAGAATTCAACTCGCGATCAGCGGCGGCGTAGATCGGAAAGTGAAGTTGAGCGAAGCTGGGGGAAAGGTGGAAGGTGGAAGGTCGGATGAAAATTGCTTCCTGCGGGCGATATGATAATGAAAGAATGTAGGTGGGGGATTGTGTGCAGTGGAGAGCCGGGCGGTGTCTAGATGGCAACTTCTTCAACTTTATGTCCAGTTGATGTAAATATTGACTTGGAATATGTATATTTCGATTGATTTTGTTTGTTTAAATTATCTTATTGATTACCTAGGTTGTTAATCATCTTGGTTGAGGTTATTGTGGGTGAGTCAAAATTTTTGACACTACAAATTTAGCTGGACAGTGTCCAAGAAGTATAGAATCGGCCGATATTGAAGCTAGCCTACTAAATAACACTAGAGGATAGTCAGTCAGCCACGATGCATTTGAATTCAAAGGGGACCAGGAAGAGGCTTCAATTTTATCAAGAATCACATAAAAATTGACCGGTAGAAAGACATATATAGGGCGCGGATAAGGGCGACAGCAAGAAAGCCGTTACCTACATGTAAACTAATGCCTGCACACAAGGATACTTCAAAGTAAAATCGTGATTATTTTTTGAGGCAATATTTTTTTCATACTCATGATACATTGCTTGCCACTCGGTTATTGACAGTACAAAGGGTATAACATTTTAGAACGAGGAGAAATTACTCATCGTCGCTATCACTAGATGACTCTGCCTCTTCTTCTTCCGATTCATCATCTCCGGAGTCAATCAGTGTAGACGGGTCCTCAGCAGGCAGCATGACGAAAGAAGCCAGACATGTGATGCGGTTTCCAGTCTCATTGGTGCTAAGGAGCTTTCCAACCTGAGTGGTCTCCTTGTCTTGCTTTGCAGAAGCAATCTCCTTATCAGCAAGTTTCCATACACGCACGACGCCGTCACTGTTACCGGTGACAACCAAGACATCATTACGGTATTCCTTCGCCTGTCCTTCGAGACTCAAAATGTCGAAATCCTTGATACGACCGGGGAACCCAGCTTGCTTTCCGCCAAGTTGAGCAACAGGGGTAGCATGGGGAATTGAGCAATCGGTATCCTCTTCATCTTTCTTCGTGTCTTTGGTCGAGTAGAAGATCACTCTGCCATCCTCTGTGGACACGGCCAGGAAATCTTCTTTCTCGCCACCCTTGACAGGTAGGGAAACATACTTCATTTGATGAAGCTTGCTCCGGGGACCAGGGATGAGTCTGCACCTTGGAACCGAGTCCTGCGCCAATAATCAGTATTTGATCGATGAAATATCATAATGTTAAGAAAAAAGAAGAAGACTTACGATTCCAAAGACAACTGCGCCCCATTCAAACGCAACCGCAAACTCCTCTCCTTCAGAGTCCCATGAAATGCGCCGACCTTCTCCAGTGCTCCACCTTGACTCCTTGACACCCTGTAGCACCTCCCTGGTGAAGTTCAACACACCAGCCTTTCTGCCGGTCACGAGGTTCCACAATCGCATGCACTTTTCTCCCCGTCCAATACTGAGCATGAGCTTCATACTAGGGTGCACCGCGAAGTGATTTACTCCAGACGGAGCTGCTCCGGGGGGTGCGGTATCACCACTTGGTCGTCCTTGTACTTTGGGGTTTGGCGCTTTGATGCTTGATACGACAGTCCAGTCACGGGTCTTAGAGATGGAAATTGTGTTGTCTTCACCAGCTGCGAGGAGCTTACTCCGTGAAGGGAAGCTCAAAGAGGTAATGCTGGCGGTGTGGTGCAGCAATGATCCTAGCTCACGGTTTCGGGGATTTTCGAGGATCTTGTTTCCGGCAAGGGTTGGCACGGAAGGATAGTCTTCATTCACGGCAGGAGGTGCGGCAGAGATGGAGTACAGGTTGATACGCTCATCTGTACTACCAGTAGCCAGCATCACCTTTTGGGCATCAGGAGAGTCGGTTGGTTTGGGTAGTGGCGACAATGCCAGGCAACGAATTGCAGATCCATGGGCCTCGAACAGGAAAGTGTCGACACAATCGATGGTGGGCAAGTTGGCATCAGTCTTTGCCTTGAGATGAGAAGCTGGAATTCCGGCTGTAAAGCCATGGAGGATTCGCTCATAAGAACCGGTGATCACTTGAATAGTGATAGCTGCATCAGGAGTTTCAGATGGGGTAGGGGCGGATTTGGTAGTCTTTGGGGGACTGCCAGCGGTCTTGTCCTCCTTAGGGAGGTCATTTCTCTTGCGTTTGACCATGATTGCTTGAGTATTCTGATATTTGTAGTTGGATGTCAAAAGCTTGATCTGGAGGGCGGACAACTTTTTTTCTTTGATTTTCTGCCGGAGGTATTTTATCTGCCGCCTGATAACTAGCCAAGTTTAAAAAGGTAGTCAGCCTTGAAAATAAGGTGTCACTGTTATTCTTCAATATATGCCTCAGGTATCTATATCACCGCAAGCAGTTGGGGAATGTCCAAAAACCAAATTACGCATTACAAGTTCCATACAGTGCTGATGTTACCAGTTGATGAAAGACTAAGAAGGCAGCAACAAAAGACACAATAACTATGAGAAACTCATTAAGTATAATAAAAATTAATAGTTGATATCTGATTAAATAGTTCTTTCATTACTATCAGTCAAAGAAGATTCCCTACTAAGTACCAGGTACTTAGCCAAGCCGTGTATTTTTTATGAGAGGAACGAGTACTGGTTGTACCTAAACCACCATCTTTCCCGCACCACCTTCATTTTCCCAAACATTTTTTCGTACGCTCCGTTACCTCATTTTCAACCCCTTCAAAAAGATCCTGCTTTTCATCACCTCCCACCTCGCACCCATCATTTCCATCTTGTTCGAGCGATTTTTTCCATCTGGATGACCTCGCTCAATCCATTCCCCTTGTTCCCGCGTTAATCGGATGCTGCGTTCCGAAGCTAGACTCCATGCTCCGCGACGAGCTTCTTCGGTCTAAAAATGATGAGATCGCGTAAGTATTAATCTATTCGCGATGTGTCTTTAATGCAGAAACATGTCAAGTGAATTTTTACTAATTTTTTTCAGAACTTGTTTGTCGCGCAGAAAGCGCAAGCTCAGCGCATTGTATCTAGCCACGGTCGGGTTTGGCGCGACCGAGGACCCTCAATACCACCAGCAAGAACAAACCTTCCTCGACGCCAATGATCTTTCAAAGTAAGTTCATTGACAGAGTTATTCTATTGTGATTTAACTATACCGTTTAATTTGATGATTCAAATTGTCCAATGGTTATTGACTGATCTTTTCAGAGGTCGCTATTTCAATGAAGCTACTCTTCCACCACCAGTCCATGCGCGCGCGCGTTCACCTAATAAAAATGCTCCGACAGTCTTGAAGCCTGTTGGGGCAACCTCACCCACTGAAGTTCCGCCTGCGACTGAGCCTCAACAGCGCGCAACACCTAATCTCCAACCTATTTCAACTGATGCGACTGGACCCCGTCGATCATCTGTTCAAGCTAGCCCTCAGCCACAGGATATAGAAGTACCACTATCTGCAGCGCAGTCACCCAGCTCACCCCGTGTTCACCGGAATGGCAGTGTCCCCGTGCTGGAAACACCACTTAATACAAACCATGATGGAACTCAGACGATATCCCCTGACGTGTCAAAGACATCTACGGGCAGTGCCCCCTCTTTGGAGATCCCACACGACCCTCGAAAGAAACACGAGAAACGACCTTCTCTTACCTTAGGACTCTCTCACGATCACCCACCATCTCCCGCCTCCTCAATCGATCCATACAATAATAACACACCTGCGCCAATTGCTGCATCGCCCGACACAAGTCCTGCGGAAGAGGTCGCCGAGGATGCCGGGACAATTGATCGTTCGAGATACAAACATGACCGATCGGTTCATGCGCGATCGAGTCTTGTTCCGTCGACCCCAGATGAGCAATTACGGCTTGAAGAAGCTCAATCGACACAGAAAGACGAATCCACAAATGGCGCGAGTGGCCTGGCTCCATCAAAGGAGAAGGAGGAGAACATGGAACAAGTAGACGACACAGATCGAATGGATATCGACCAGGAACCTGCCCCGGATCATTCCGAAGACAAACCGCAACAGGAAATTGCGCCAACAGCGGGAGAATCATTATCACCAACGGCGCCTGTTGAAGCTACTGCGGATTCCACCTTAGAGACTCCGGCCAAGAAGTCCGTGTCCATCCCATCTACCCAACCTGGATCAGCACAACCGGAACGCATGACCACTCGGGTTTCCTCGGGAGCTCTTCGACACAAATCAGTTTCAGAAATCCTCGGAGAAACCCCTAAGAGTCATGACAAAAGCCATCCCGCAACACCGTCTGAACAAGGCTCTCCTGATATCGTTGCCAGAATGCGCTTCAAGGACCGCAAGGAACGGGAGAAGGAGAGAAGCCGACTTTCAACCGTTGTGTTTCCGAAGCAGCCAGCTTCCCAGCAGGATAAGGCCGATGCTATGGATTTGACGCACAGAGACATGGATGCGGTTGCGAAGCTGAATGAGGAGCAAGACTACCTTTTCACATTGTTCCTGAACCGAGCATACGCACCTCCCCGAGGCACAAATCTTAACACACTTTTGGCATCTGCCCACAAGACCTTGAGCACCGGCAATCACCTGCTTGAATACCAAGAGCAGATGGATGTTCGTACACTCAGACGCATCTACGCTCTCCAGAACGCAAACCGATGGCCGTTGCGGCAATTGAAGCGTTCTGTTGAGCCTCCTCGTCAAGGTACACATTGGGATGTTGTGCTAGATCACGCGAAATGGATGCGGACAGACTTCCGGGAGGAGCGGAAGTGGAAGATTGCTGCTGCAAAGAGCTGCGCCGACTGGTGTGCAGAATATGTGCATAGCGACGAAGAGCATAGGAGTGTACTTCGTGTTCAAGTGAAGATTCCGAGTCCAGACTTGACCGAAAAGGATGCCTCTAAGGCCGTCCCAAGCCTACCTTCTGAGGACACTAGCGACGAGTCGTTTGGTGGTGTTTCTCATCCAACCCCAGATCTGATTCCCTCCGCAGAAGAGGAGTCTGTAAGTGATGGTTTCAACGACGAGCCTCGACATGAGCTCCACGACACTGTTGCGCCTGCCGCCATCTTTTCCTTAGGCTCGGACGAGTTCAACTTCTCAATTGACATGACCCCTGCTGCTGAAAAGCTGTTGGATGAATTGCCAATCTATGGAACAGTCCAGATTGCCCCCGGAACAAACCTACCGGCCTTTAAAGCTCCGCTCGATTCAACTTGGAAGACAGACCTTCTGCCGGTATCCAAGTTTGCGTCAACAAAGATCAGCTTCCATAATGATGCGCGACCACGCAAGCGGAGCCGCTACGACTGCTCTCAGTATGGCAAGGAAACTGATCATCGGATCACCGAATTGGCCCCTGAGCAGACCAATGTTGCGCTCTTCCGACCAGAGAACAAACCAATTCGTGATCGAATCCACCCAGGACATTCATTCCGCCCTCCAACTGAATACCCCATGCCATCTGTCGGCTTCTTCGAATCCCGTTCGTCCTCGCAATGGACTTACGCCGAGGACGATGAACTTCGTCGGTTGGTCAAGGAGTATTCTTACAATTGGTCTCTGATATCTAGCTGTCTGACCCCGTCATCACTGTTCACTTCTGGCGCCGAAAGACGGACGCCTTGGGAATGCTTTGAGCGATGGGTCGGATTGGAAGGTCTTCCCGCGGATATGTCCAAGACTCAATATTTCCGAGCTTACCACCAGAGGCTTGAGACTGCCCAACGTACTGTTTTGGCCCAGCAGCAGGCTGCTCAGCAACAGCAGCAACAACAGCAGCAGCAGCAAGGTGCCAATGCTCAACCTCAGCCACCTGTACGCCGGAGGACAACACAGCCTCTTCGGGTTGATCGGAGACGGTCGTCCAAGCATCTTGCTTTGCTCGATGCCATGCGCAAGCTGGCCAAGAAGCGGGAGACTATGCTTCAGAAACAGCAGCATGGTATGTTGGGAACAGATATTGGAATACTTTCTACCGAGGTCACTACTGACATTATGTTTTTTTAGCTTCTCATCTGGCTTCGTTGCGCAAGGCTAATGAGGCTAACCAGCCTAAGCCTCCAATCTCATCTCCAGCCGAGTTCAGTCGGTTGAAGTATGATAGAGAGATGAAGCTCCAGGAAAGACAGGAGCAGTACCGCCAGCAAATGATTGCGCAACAAAGAGTGAGTGCTCCGTCGTGTCTTTAAGACAACGTTTGACTAATTCCCCATCCAGGCTAGTCTCCAGGCTCAACGTTCCGGTCAATTGCCTAACCAAACGCAGGCTATGAATCAGCAAACGATGAATGTGCCGGGTCGCCCCAACAGCAACATGCCTCCTACCTCCAACCCTGGCCTACCAGGTGGTACTCCAAATGGATTGACTAATGGTTTACCTGCTGGCTCCAATGTCAACCAAGGCCGCCCTCTTCCCATGCAGAATATGCCTGGAGGAGCACAGCCCAATGGCCAGATGCCTAATGGCATGCCTATGAAGATGATGCCACAGGCCCAAATGCAGCAAACCCCAGGTGCAAGACCTGGCCTGCCAATTCAGACGTCTCCTGATAACACACGCGTCATTCGAGAAGCCAACAGATTGCAAGAGCAGCAACGTCTTCTCCAGTCTCGGCAGGGCCAGCCTCACCCCCAGCAGGGCCAGCAACAGTTCCACAATCAACAGTTTGGTTCGCAGGGTTCACCAAATATGAACATGCCAAATGTCAATGGTACTCCCAACAATCCTGCTATGATCGCCGCCATGCAGAACCAAGGGGGAATGCAAAGCCCATCGTTCCATGGTAACACGCCACAAGGAGTGTCAACACCATCGCCCCGTATGGGCCAGCCTAACCCTCTGTCAAGTGGTGTTGTGCCCCAAATCAGCACCATTCAAAGCCAGATTCAGCGCACAAACCCCAACTTGCCCCCTGAGCAGGTGACCAAGTTGGCGACTGATCGACTAAACCAGTACCAGCAGCAGCAACAGCAGCGCTTGTCCCAACAAGCTGCCATGAACGCCGCTGCTGGCAGCATCAACGCGAATGCTGTGCAGGCCAACTACCAAGTTCCACATGACGCCAACTTCCAGACCCCGTCAGCGCCCAATATGGCAAATGGCGGTTCCGGAATGCAGGTCCCTCAAAATCAAGGCTTCTCCCCCATGATGCGTGTCCCCCAACCAGGTCAAGCAAACCGCGTCGGACCGACCAGCTCGCCCGCCCTAAACGGAGCCGTGAACCAACCTAGCCGAAGCGCCACTCCTCAAAACCAGCGCAGCGGCAGCGCCCAAGCCGGGCCCGCTCAAGGCTCCAGCAAGAGCCCGCACGCTGCGGCAGCCCAAACCGCAACCAGCTAAGCGTCAAGCGCTTTGCACCAATTTCTTCTAACCCCTTTTACTTTCGTCTGTACATACTTACACCCACCTTTACGCTGATTTTATTTTTCACCCCGTCTTTTATCCGTTGATTCGGATTATCGCGCTACTACATCTACCTCCTTCTCTCTCGCGTGCTCCTATTTTGTTCTACGTTTTTGAAAACGACGACGTTCACCTTCTGTGAACTCGATTGCACTGGCTCTCTTTTTACCAGTGTCGCTCTTGTTTTTCTGGGCTTGGACTTGTATTATTGATGGGATTAGGCGAAAACTGGGACGGACGGACTCTAGGAATTGATATGAATTGTATGATTAGATTCGAGTTTTTTTAATGTTTTTTCTTTTTCTCTTGTATGGTGTAGATAGACGGGTAAACTTTTGAATTACATTGAAGATTTACGTGTGTGCTTTCACTTGTAGTTGTATTCTCTGGTTTGAACGAGTTCTGGGGAAAGTAACAAGAGTCAAGAGCATTCATCCTAACCCTAGGGTATTATCTGTAGCTGATGGTGTCGCAGGCCCACCGGCCCTTTCATTGAAAACGAAGTTGAAAAGCAAGCGTATTCCCGATCGAATGTCCCAAGTCATCTCCAGCGTGCCTTAAATAGAAACATTGAATTCGGTCTCGTGTGGATTATCTTTGGAACTTGTGTTACATCGTACATCAACCATGCAGCTAGTAGCTATTTGAGCGTTCGAACTGGAGTACTAAGACAACCTTGGAACCTTGGAAGCCTGAACATGTATTCCGGGTATTGGACACTGATTTGATTATGGAAAAGTTGTTCGATAGTTGTTCTCAAGCTGGACCGGAGATTTGTGTCCTTTCAGCTGGCAGCACTCTTGTAGATGAAGAAGAATCTCGTTAAAACTCTTGAGTCCCCTAGTGCCACTCCAATGGTCGTGCCGGGTGCTGATACAGAGACTATCACTTGCAGTGATTTTATGCGATTCATCAAGGATTCGATGTATCGTCCTGCCAAATACTCTCCGGTGCTGGTAGAAGTGCTGATAAGTGTCTCGCGTGGGAATGGGAGTGTTCTGGCGAATATCAAACGGACGGAGCAGGTGTCTGTTTGTTCAGAAGACGATGACCCGAGCGTCTGTCCGCCTTGGAGATTTGAAGGCATGACCCGTCTTTGTTTCTTTTCTATTCAGCTAACTACATATTTCCAGGGCCTATCGCAGGAAATCTGGCTCATCCCATCCTGTGGATTGGAAACACTCTAGATCCAGCTACGCCACTCAGGAAGTAAGCTTTTGAAATCTAATGTGTGATAAAATACTGAATTTTATCAAGTGCGTACGAAATGGCAGATAGATTCTCGAATTCGGTTGTTCTTGAACAAGACTCGGCAGGCGTGAGTGAACAAACTTTATCTTAATTCCTAATCATCAAACAATTCTGGTTGCATTCATTACATACAGCGTTGCTCCCCTGCATTCGACTCAGAATGTACAGCCAAAAATGTCCGCAGGTATTTTCAAACCGGTATACTACCTGATCTAGGAACTAGGTGTGGCCCTGATGATAACATTGATGGTATTTGATTGCTGTGAATGAAGGAAGAAAGAGGAGAACCGAGTGACATCTCTGTTAAAGCTTCCAGTGACAAATTGAATATCAAGATCATTTAGTTAAACGCTCTCCCATCTCACATTCCGACAAAAGTACATGTGCAGAATTGCCATCTCCCATGCCACTTTGATCGAACATACCATTTTTGGTAAGCCGACGAGCCTTCTTGATCAGTCGACCGGGATGATAGATGATTAGCACCAGCATCGCGAAAAACATCAAAAAAGCATCAAACACGTAGATATAAACCTCCTTAGTGTTCACGTCGGTCTTCTGACCTGCTCCAAATTGTATAGTCCGCACCAGATTGCGCAGCATTAACGCAAAGCAGGAGACGTAGATTGCCCACATGTATCGCTGCCAGGGAAGATCGGGATGAATATTAAGGAGAGGTGTAGGTCGTTGTTTGAGACGTCGATGAAAGCTAGCCGCAACCAAAATGAAGAAAGCGAAGACGATCAAAGAAAAGATCAGGCCAGCCAGCACAACTTTCTTGCCGATCTTCATCACTTGCTCGTCACCCGTCACTTGAACACCTGCACCTCCTAATTGTGTACAGAAGCAAAGCACGTCATTCATGACGAAAACAAAAGTCAACCACTTGACACGCATACTTGATAGATGTTCGGCGCCGAAAGAGCGGATGATGCGGCCGAGGACCATGTAAACTGTAGCTGCAACGAGGGGTGGTGCGCAGAGAATAAGCATCTCTTGAAGCGCCCAGGACTTGATCTCGAATCGGGACTCATGGGACCATGCTCGACCATAGTAACCGAAGGTTTCGCCTGGTTGGGTTTACCGTCAGCCCTAATTTCAAATTGAATGCGGAAGAGAAAGTCATACAGATTCCACCCAATATGAGGGGGATAAAATAGGCAGCACGAAATGGAAACATCAGAACAATATGCGCCAGAGTCGTGACACCAAAAATACCCATGAAGGCATATCCAGCTGTTGCGGATGGTGTATAAGGATAGAATTCTACCCAAGGATCAGATCCATTTTGGCCGGGGTGAAAAACAATATCCATTTTCGATGCAATGAGAATATATGTTCAACTTCTTATTCTAGGTCCTAGTACGGGAGTACAGCCAAGCTTTATATGTATTGAAGAAGTTTCATGATATCAGTGCGTGCTATTTCTAGATTCCCAATTAGGAAATTTTGTGAACGAATACGTTTGGGTGGAGCCGACTCCACTTAATCCCAAACTTTGTAGTTTATGCTTCTTTTCTTGCCTTCCATGGGCCCTTTTTACTACTTTTTGGAATATTTTTAGAAATAAAGATCCAGGGAAATAGGCAACTTATATCGGGCAAGATACGCATATCATGAAAATTGAGATTACGCAAGTGATACATCAATTTGGAGCTTCGATACGCATTGAGCTTAAGTAAGTACTGGTGGGATAAGCCTGTCAGTCACCCTAACTAGTCTTCCCTGCTTTTCGAGTTGAGCTGCATCAGATCAAAATGCAGTTTGTTGTGAGATGATTCCCCCGTTAGAAAATGATATTGACGCCAAATCTAAGGCTAGAGACACTGGAAGAAAACCAATACGAATGCGCAAAAGCTTTCCTTATCAAGTATCGATCAGCACTTCCGACAAACATAAAGCTAAAACATGCCTTAACTTGGGAGCCTAGAACTATGGTTTTGCCCGTTATAACTCTCAAGTGCTCAGATGAAGCATTTCCAGGTCTTCACGATGATGTCGATATGGCGCTAAGGATCTGTGGTCGCTTTGTGTACATCTGGTTGATCTTGTTCGTATAAGTTCCTTTATAGCAAGTAGATGTTATACTCGTAGACAACTGTATTTGAGGAAGGATCAAGCACAATTTGACCACTGGTTGTGATTTGTTGGTCGTAAATTTGTTTCGAAATAGCAACATTGTTTCAGTCATTTGTCAAAAAGCAAAATCCATAAAGCTGTAAGCCATATGCATTAGCCGATAGAAGTTGAACTATTTGTGATAATTCATGGGGAAGCTTTATAGAGTTGTAGTTCGTTTCGCTCTTAATATGAAAGGCGCCAAGAAATAAGCGCGCGCTTCTGGTTTTGCCACCGCCCGCATTGAGATCTCGAGATATCAGTTCTTCGAACTTTCTTTTCTCTGCTGTGCAGTTTAGTCTCAAATAAGTCCGTCGAGATGTCGTCACGCGATAATGATGAGGCCGGGCAGCCTCCGTCCAAGCCGATCTCCTTATCCCTCTCGAAATCAAATGGTCTTCCCAAAAAGACCGGTTTTAACATTCAATCTTCAAATCGCGGACGTCCTACTGGCTCCCCAGCCAGCGGCCGGTCTCTTCCTCGACGTCCTCACCAGCTCGGAAACGATGATGACTCCGACGAAGACGAAGTCCCTCCAGTCCACGAAGAAGTCTCGGGTTTCGACACCCACACCGGTGGCGCTATCACCATGGACGGACAGGCAGTCGATGATGCCAAGAAACCTCTAATAATTCCGGTCACAAGCAAGAACAATTGGCGCGACCGCGCAGGTCTCAACGTGAAGAAGGGGAAGAAGAACTTGCTTCCCCGTGAAGTACAAGCTATGCAAGAAGCCGAAAGGAATGGACAAGCACCTGGTGGAGAGCCCACAGTGGAGACAGATGCGCCGAGTATGGCATTCGGCTTGAGCTTCGCGCAGGAGTCTGCAGCTCAAGAGATTGCTGAATCAACGAACGAAGACCAGTCCATGCCCGATGCGGCTCCTGTGGAGACCACACCTCTCACCGATGACCAGATTGCTATGCAGGCGCTAATTCGCGAAAGCAAGGGCGAAGTCGAGCGAAGGTCGGATCTTGTTATCCAGGCCGCCGCCAAGGACGAAGCGGAGGACGAGGAAGCCCCGGTCCACCACTCCGAAACTAGCTCTTTCCGTACAGATGTGGCAACGCGGCCGGAATCTGCTACTCTAGACGCCTACAATGCGATTCCTGTTGAAGAATTCGGTGCCGCCTTGCTACGGGGAATGGGCTGGAAGGATGGTCAGTCTATCGGACGAGGCGACTATAGCAGTGCAACTGCTGCAGAGAAGGCCAACAAGCCTCGTATCCCAGAACGACGACCTGGGTTCCTCGGTATTGGCGCGAAAGACTCTTCCGGCGGCAAAGGTGCTGAAACCGAGCTCGGTGCCTGGGGAAAATCGGCTATGCGCAAGGCCTCCAGGAAGCAGGGTGAAGGTGACGACAAGGTTGAGGGTGTTTACATGCCCGTCACGATGCGGAACAAGAAGACCGGCGAACGCCTCACCGAGGAGGAACTTGCTGCAAAGAAAAAAGAGGCTGAGTCTAAGCCCGCTCAGGAGGACGACTGGCGCGAGCGAAGAGATCGCAATCTCGAGAAGAGCGGCCGAGACAAAGACCGGGAATACCGCAAACGCGATTACGATGACGAGGAGGATCGTTCTCGTCGAAAGACTGGTTCTTCGCGTCGTGACCGCAGTCGGTCTAGCGGCCGACACTCTTCTAGTCGCTCTTCTCGATACGATGATGCCGATAAGAGCAGACGAGATGACCGTTCCTATCGTGATCGAGACTATGATCGGGATCGTCGTCGGGATCGTGATGATGACAAGGATCGAAGGAGAGATGGGGATCGGGAGCGTGATAGGGATCGCAGTTATCGGTCCCGAGATGACAGATACAGCAGTTCCAGGCACTCGTCTCAATCGTCCCGAAACGACCGAGACCGAGAGCGTGATCGTGACTCACGCCGAAGCCGACGAGACGATTAGAGATAGAAACAAGGGATTGGAAGGACATCCACACTATTTGTATATGATAACGCTGTGTCTTGGAGCTGCACAGTCACTCCATCCGGCAATTTGACTACGAGTTCGCTTCAAAATAAAGATACCCCGAACAATAAGACTCATATGGTTATGCCAAAGAACAAGTTCACGATATACTGTTCAATTCTATAAAAGATTGGCTTTTATCCTTCCCACCCATGGTACTCCAGAACAAAAGCGCCAAATTCAATGTACAAACAGAAAGACTGGAGGCCAGATTATGCTTCCAACATGATAACATCCTTTTCATGCTCTTCCTCGCTGACATCACCCACAGTCAAATGGCGAAGTCCACCAAGCCCAACACCACCATCCATCTCCCCAAGAACCCACTCAACCAAGTAGCTGTCATCGACCAGCTCCTCAACCCGGCGATAGTGTCTCTCTGTGTACGCGGCCAGAGCCTGCATAATATCCTTCATACCCGCAGCAGCACGACCATTCTTTCCGCGGACGGACTGGGTCGCGAGCTCCACGAAAGTGGACGCAGGGTAAGAGCGGAACAGAGCATAAAGGATACGCTGAGAAACGCGTGAGGTGCGAGCATTGGTGTTCCAGTCACGGATACGGAGCAGGAGAGTGCGCAGGTTCGCGGGGTCCAAGTTCTGCAGGACCTCGTCGATGGCAGGGTTACCTGACAGACTGGCTGCGGCACGCTCGCGGTCCTCGGCCGGGGAAGTCGGGTCGTCTGCGGCGTCAATTGCGGCCTTGAAGAGCGAGAGCAGTCTACCGGGGTGGTTGAGCTGGAGAGCCAGAGTAATGGCTTCACGGTAGGCACCAGCACGGATGTAGTTCTGCAGCTCTTGGTCTTGCTCGACGCGAGCAGAGTTGGCGTGGACGGCGGCTGTGTATGTGGCTGACGTGGTGTCGGTCCAGAAAGTCACTGTTGCATCGGCGGAGCCGGAGGCGAGGGCGTAGGGCGTGCTGTTGAGGTTGGAGGAGATTTGCTTTACATCTGAGCGTGAGCCGGATGGAGTTGGGCTGGCGAGTGCCCAGACTCGGTCGATGTGGTTGTCCAGAGTTGTTTCGAGCTCGCCGGTGTAGGGAGACCAGATCTTGACAAGACCATCTGCGGCGGCGGAGGCAACAAGGGGACGGGCCTGGATGGCTTCGTTCTTGCGTGCCGCTGCAGCCTCTTCATCTTCGTCATCATCTTCTCTGTTGGATACCTGGGGAGGAGGGAGCCAGAGAACCTTGAGGACACTGTTGGTGTGGCCCTCGAACGTAAGGAGACAGCTGTAGTCAGACAAGCTCCAGAGCTTGACGGTCTTGTCACCCGATCCTGTGACCGCCAGGCCACGGCTCGTGCTTGTGCGCGAATCGGAGTTGATGATCGGTGTACCTTGAGGGGCGAATCGCACAGACCAAACACCTCGCTTGTGACCACGCAACACACCCACCGCTGAACCTTCATCGGCGGCCCAAATCTTCACGGTGCGATCTTGTGATGCTGAGGCAAACAACTCAGATGTAGAATCGACATCAATGGCATTGATATCCTTCTCGTGAGCCTTGCGGGTGTAGATTGCCTTGGGGGAGTGTGGCTTTTCTCCCTTCAAAGGGGTAAGCTTGCTTGTATCCCATCGTTTGATTGTGCGATCTTGGGAACCAGTGATCAAGAATGACGGGGGGTGGTTCACGGGGTCATTATAAGCGGCGCTTCCAACAGGCGGGGGCACCCGCGGCAAGGCGATTGCTCCCAGAGACTCCGCGTGACCGGTGAAGATAGCGAAGCAAGTATATGATGATGTCTTCGGGTCAATGCGCCAAAGACGAGCTGTGTTGTCTTTGGCACCAGTTGCAAGCCAGTGTCCTGACCAGTCGACGTCCAAGCAGATAATGATATCTTCGTGACCCTCAAGGTGTGTGACATCGGCACCAAAGTATTCCTCTCCTTGATTCGAAGGTCGGTCTTCAGAGGGGGCAACTGAGACCACACGAATGGTCTCGGTGTTGGTGGCCAAAGCAATCATGGACCGATCAGCTCCAACGTAAGCCAAATCAATGATCTCATCGTCATTTCCAGAGATACGGCGAATGACAGTCAAGGGCTCCAAGCTTGACCCTGGCTTATAGCCGGACAGTGCCTCCAGCGAGTGAACTCGCAGAGTTTGATCTGCATGAACAGTGAGGACGAAAGGTAGGCCGGCTGAATATTGGATAGCAACAACACTTTCAAACTCCTCTCCGGCTTCTTGTTCTTCTGTAACCTCGCTTCCGCGGTTGCAGTCCCAAACTCGCAGCTTTCCATTCTCTCCACCAATCACACACAGAGGGCTGTCCGCGATGAAGGCCGCGGCTTCCACGCTCTCCAGAACAGGGATAATGCGGCGAGTTTTCCAAGTGCGTGCATCCCAGACAATTACTGTCTTGTCTCTACTTGCTGAGATCAGTGCGTTCTCTGACGGAGAGAAAGACAAACTCCGAACAAGAGAGACATGTGACTCAAGCGATGCGATAGACTTTCTCTTGTGCAAATCCCATACGCGCATCTTGCCATCCTCACTGCCGGATGCTAGGCGGAATCCTGCAGTAGAACCTGTGGGAGCGGAACCCTCCATATCTTCGTCGTCATCGGTTGTCTTTTGCTTCGACTTGTTCTTCTTGGAGGACTTAGTTTCGCTGTCGGCGGTAGGAACCTCAAAAAAGCAAAGCGCAGACACAACACCACCATGGCCATGGAAAGTGTGTGTGACAAAACCACCTCTGATATCCCAAACCTTGATCGAGCCATCAGCACCACCGGTGGCAAGCAATGTGCCGGTAGGATCCACTGAGATGGTAACAACAGGAGCTGTGTGGGGTTTGAGAGTTCGGAGAAGGTTCGCTTCAATTGTTTGCGAAGACTCGTCGAAAGTTGTGAGAGAGTAGATGCGCATAGACATCGAACGGGAGCAAACAATAGCGTGAGAGGCAGATGGTGTGACTAGAAGAATTGTCAGCAAATTATTGCGATAATGAGGACATTCAAATTCAAATACTTACTAGCCAAACCAGTGACAATTTCTCCATCCTGTAGTGTTTATGCAATTAGCGTTTTGCAATTAAACAACCTGTATCCAACTGGAAAGGAACCTACTCCTTCAAGACTGGCAAGCTGGTTGCCAGTCTCCAAATCAACAATCAATGCATCCTCGCCCACGCAGCTCAGCAAGATGCGGCCACTGGCATCCAGCGCCGTGCTGCCGCCGGTGTAGATGGGGCGGAGCGTGCGGGACGCCTCAAAAGTGGTTTTGACGATAGCTTTCGACATGACTCTATAATATCTCGGCGTGAAAAAGTAAAATTCAGCACGCCATTGCCCAGTCGAAGAGCCGTAGAAACTGCGTCGCAAAAAAACGGCAGCTTGAGCGGGCAACTTTTTTTGATGTTTGCACTGTTTGTTTGATGATAAGATATGGTCTGTGCCTCAGGCCAAACTGTAGCCGCCACCTTCGTTTCACTCTTGAACATCGTTGAATACTCAGTTTCTGTTAGGCTTCTCACTGCTTTTTAATATGATGGTGATGTAGCTGCATTACTGGCTCAGTGATTTTCAAATATGGGACGACAGGCTTATTTGAACCGGCTCGCTTTGGTAAGCCCCATCTGTTGCCCAGCGCACTCCCACTTTTTATCTGCAATTAAGTACCAGGGTCTTATTAGGTCGGGCTGAATCTTAAGAAATAGGTTCTTCCTGATCTAGAGAGTGCCCATGATCATCTGGACTGTGAAAGCTTTCAACTATTTGGCCCCACCATATTGTTTCCGTATGAATATACAAAAGCCCTGGCATGATAACACCTTGTTTCATGAGATCTTTTTCAATGTCTTGAAATGAAATGTCATATTAACTTCTTTCAAGGGCCGGTCGCCATATGAAGCGCCTGATAGCGGGATAGTGGCTACCTCAAACACTTGCCAACAGATATCCACCGCGCACGCAGACAGTTACGTGCAACAATATGATGCTCGTGGCCACCCTATTAACCCCGAGTCCAGAGCTCTTGGGAAAGAGCTACGAAGAGCAAAAAATGACATTCTTTCAACAATGGGGATTGTCGTCAGCAGAGAAGATCGAAATTCCGGTTCACCCAGTGAACTGCAAAAGATTAACCAGATTGCGAGTGAGAACGACTTTGGATTGGTAATAACGACCCTTGACCAATTGTTCATTTTCTTCGGTACCTGGTGGACTTCATCACTCACTGGTCGTGTCCAGGTAATCAAATTTAACCCACTTTCGATATGCATCTAGCTAACAATTGGATGATTGTTCAGACTTACAAGCACTATACACATTCTGCGTTAATTAATGTCATTCAGTCTGAAAGAGACTCCGCAGGCATTTTCAATTTCTATTTCGCAGGTATTCCAGCATGGGCAATGTCAAGTGGATTGGCTATTGCTCGTGAAACTCCGTTGAAACGTGTTTTCGTCTCTCTTCGAGACTACACTCTGTCTTTGACTGGCGAATTACTTGGAGTCCGTTCTCTCTTCGGGTTGATTTATACAGTGTGAGTAGTTCGTCTGTCAAATTGGCTAACACCAACTGACTATGAATGTAGAGCGAGAAACTATGTACTTATGCTGTCTTTGGAGTTCTATATGTACTCTACACTCCAGTCACTGTGCCTTGTATCTCCCTATTCCATCCCCAGTGCCAGTCTTCTGCTTCCCTTTGGTGAACAGTCTCTGTTGCGACTGCCACAACTTCCCACCGATCTTTCCCCTCACTCGCTGGCCACATCGTTTGTGGGTCTTTTGACTTCTCCCGGTGCCCTAGTTTTCCTTTACGGCTACTACTTGAGACCTCAGCTTGAAGAGCGTATCTATCGGTTGATCCGACGACGCCTTCCAAAGTCAAACGTTCCGGATGAGCTTTCTGTTCGGGTGGCTTTTGAAGAAAATCTGATAGAGTGGGTGGTGCCCACACTTGGGCGCAGGTCGGATGAAGAATTGCATCGATCTAAGCTCACGCTGATTGAAGATATCAAATGTGAGATAGGGGTTTTCCGAAGATGGATCTTCTCATTCTTTGGACTTATATCGAGCAACTCCGCAAACCAGCAAGCTCTCCAGTCTTTTAGAGACGAAAGGATCGAACGGATGCGGCGGACTTCAAGAGAACAAGACAGGGAAAGGATGGAAAGGATTGAATCCATGTTGAATTCCATCGAGATGTTACAACATGAACCTGACGGAGCAGAACTCAATATTGTCCGCACAGAGGAACCAAGTGGCCCCTCGCCTAGTCCGCCGGGGATCACCCTGGAGGCCCAAAATGCCCCGGTTGCGCCATTGCCGCCGCCACAGGAGAGAAATAGGCCCACAAACTTGGAAGACATGAACCAGGAGGTGCTGCATCAAGTGCTTACAAATGAGAATCGCATGTCTCAATCGCCGGGGGAAATGAGCAATGATTACTTCTCTGAACTAACAACTGTTGGACGAACAAGTGGTCTTTCAACTACCTCAAACCCACAGGGTCAAACAAGTGAATCGCAAAATGGTGAGACTTTTGCCATGGACCGACAAAACTCACGATCTAATACACTCTTCTCTCGCCCATCTTCACCAGAAACATCTCCACCTACTTCACCGCGCGTCAGAGCATCATTGATCCACCAAAATTCTGACATTATTACGATGCAACTTGAGTTGCTGGGTAACCGTAATCGTAATCTGCAGACACCAGCCTCAAATCTTGCTCAGCTAAATGCTTTAGCCGGCAATGATTCGACGGGCTCAAATCGGATCCCAGATGCCATGGACAGAAGATCCATAGCTGAGTTTCTCGAGGCTTTGATCTTGAGTCAAGCACAGCGTCAGGTACTCAACCCACCCCCGGCGGCGGATGCTGACGGTCTCTCCAACATCACGGCCGGGGCTTCCAATCCAACGCCCCACGACGTGGGTGTCCCTGGGCCAGGGCCTGAAAACATGACCCAAGACACTCAACCCGTTGAGTCGCCGCCCTTCGAATCCATCGAAGAGGCCCTAGAGGCGATCACCCCGAACGTTCTTCCAGATGGTGTGGAAGAGCCAAACGACGATGAATCATCCAACGACCCAATTCCGGCCGCATTCGCAGATAATAATGATGACGCCCAGTCTGACACCCTTGTCCAGCCAATTCTGCCTTCTTCTCTCATGCCTGGACAATCGACAAACCCTCCAGCACAATCTCACCGGGTTACCCTTCTTTCGGCCTACCCAGTGGATGCACTCGCATCCCATCTCGCGGCTGCCCTCAGTGGCATCATACTCGCGCCCCTTGAAGCACTTTACCTCCGTTCCTTGAGTCAGTCTTGGTTAATCAGACACCCTTCTTCTACAACTCGTCTCTCGGATCTTCATCCTCTAGGTCTTTGGTTCGGAGGCAGTACATGGTCCGACATTGGTGTATATACTGGTCGGATGGTGCTCATGAGAGGAATGCAAATTGCAATGAGGGCGGGAATTTGGGGATTCCTGGTTGGATCGACTATGAGAATTGGGAGGAATTTCTGCGGTTGGGGGAAATTGTGATCTGTATTTCTTTTCAAGGGGTTGTCTGTACCCAGGTGGTCTCTCTACTCTTCCTGCCGCCTATGAGTCAAATTATTTTTCTATCCCACAGTAATCCAAGAAGATAAATCAACATAATTTCGTCAAGTTTATTGGTACATCAGATCTGCTCTTGATGGAAAAGCATATAAAAGATATCAAGATTAAACTCCAGATCAAGTCCCTCGGTTAACCCATCTTCATTTATGCACGACCTTTGCCTTTTTGTCCAGAGGTCTTGCGCCGCTCCCAAACCATGAGATATCCTTCACGCGTGAAAAGTGTCTCAGTTTCCGCACGCTTGACAAACAAGTCTTGAATCTCGAGCCACTCCGGACCCTTCTGCTGCTGTGCTGTTGCATTTCCGTTTTGTGTTCGTGTGTTCTCGGCAGACATAGCTTTGTCGTGAAGCTGGACAAGCCAGGAGACCTTCTCACTGCCACCACCGGCACCAGTAGAAGAGCCGCCGGCTCCAGATGCAGCCTTGACACCCTTATCAGCGGCGTCATCCATCTCACCGGGTGCAGCTATAGCGGGGTCGAGAATGACGTTTGCCACGAGATCATACAAAATTGGCTCGCCAGGCGAACAGACATCGGGGTTTGGTTCGACATAGGGGGACATGTCTAAAGAGCGAGGGGAGGGGAAAGTAACAATGGTGGGGTTTCGCTCGGAGACGAAGCGATTCTTGCTGAACCGCTTGATGTGGAAGAAGAGATAAGGAGGAAGGGGGTGGAGGAGACGGTGTCGGACACGGTGGTCCAATTTCTCCGAAGCCGTGTAGCCGTTATATTTGTTCAACAGGGTGGTTAAGGGAATCTGGGGGATGATTGATTCCCGGTTGGCAGACTGGAAGAGAGGCGTAGGAGGTAGATCCAAGGTCAAGATAAGGAAAGGTGTGACCTGGCTCTTGATTGTACCAGATTCGGTAAATACCAAGCGGGCATTCTGGGTATCAGAATGAGCGGTGATAGCTTGACTTTCAATTCGTACGCGGCCTTGGAACGCCGCGTGCACGACACTTGTGGGGGCAGGTGAGGGCTTTTTGGATCCTCCCAAAGCGAGGTGCAGGCTGTTCAAGAACCAGGATAAGAAGTCCACCGGGTCTGCCTGGTTCGTGAGTGTGAAGCGCTTCGAAGATCGCAAAGCGACCTCCTGTAGCAACTCGTGCGGAGAGACATGTGACCGGAATGCCTTTGGGTTCCATAGCTTTCGCACTAGTGTGCTGAAGCGAAGAACTATTTCTGGCGTACCAGGTGTAGGGAAGTTGTGGAGGAGGAAGAAATTGCGGATTGGCAGAACATGTGCCAGTAGTTGGGCTACAACGTTGACGTAGTCGTTGGCCTTGATATTGTTCATGCCGACAAATCCTACGAAATGAACATTAGTTTTTCGACATCTCCAGTTCGAATTGTGCAGTGAGTTCTTACCTGGTCTATATTTGGTTCCAGAAAGGTCCCAGGCATCGTGCACTTCCTTGTCAAGCTTGACCACCTCGTTTTTGGTGTAGTGCGGGTCGACCACGTATTTGATGTCGTCCAAACTCTTGCTCTGGACTTCGTATCCTTCTGGCAAGACGTAGACCTTTTTTGTGCCGATGTTGATAAAGACGTGATGTCCGACCTCAAGCGCGTGAAAATACGCATGGGATTTGGGACCACGACCCTGAAAGTACTTGCCGCAGACGAGACAGGCGTACACGTTGATATTGGACAGACTGACGGAGCACAGTTTTTCGAAATCGAAATCCAAGATCTCGCGATTGATCGTGTCAAGGTACAGGTCGCCGTAGCCTTCCATGGGAGCACTTTGTCGCTTCGGAGCACTGAGCGCAGGCGCATCTTCGTCAATATCCGACAGTCCTGACTGGTCATTTTCGCCCTCTTCGAGCTCCTCTTTTTCTAGTTCAGCTGCCCCTTCGAGATCGACATCCGCGCCATTGCGATCTGTCGGCTTTTGGTCGCTCGTTAGCCCTGCACTGTCGCCAAAATCGTCGTCGTTGTCTTCGACACGGGCCTTTTTGGAAGCAGGTGAGCCAGAAAAGTCTCGTTCCAGGGGAAGCTCTGCGGGCCTTTTGGACATTGTGATATGGTTGCGATAAAAGATTGGCGATCACGGAGTTCTTGAGTTTCCGAAAGCTCGAGATGCGCTAATGCAAACAAGACAAACAGCAGCATCGACTATGACAGCAGACAAAACGATCTCCAAGCTTCCCTTGGTCTTTTTGAGAGAGATTTTGGGTAGATTTGTTTATTATAATCCTCTAGGCCACCTAAGAATCTAGTCTTCAATTGACTTGCTACAGCCTAAATCATGCCGACTGTTTTGAGGACTATCTCAGAATCAAATAAAAACGTCATAGGATGTGATAAAAACGCCGTGGTATGTCGACCTTTAAGCACTCCGAACAATCTTATCGTTATCAACAGGAATTTCCTGTACGCCATCCTTTGTAACCACCTTGACCAGGACCTGTAGAAAATTGAGTCAGAATATGGTCCGAAAGATCGTTTGTTCGGAAAACTTACTCCCTTGTAGTCAATGGGTAGTCTGCGCTTCAGCTCGTCTGTGCACAGGGTGAGGAGTTTAAGACCCTCCTCAAGTGAGATGTCGGGGTTGTGGTGTTTGTCAAGGATGGAGAGGCAGTAGTATCTAGCAGAGTCAGTATCGATCGTCTCACCCGGAGCTTCGCATCATCCGACATCAAAGGGCGATAAAACATACTGTGCATAGCCATGAGCGGCGTACGGCAGGGGTGCCAATGACGCGAGGTAATCAATCCAGTACAGATGAGGCTTTTCAGTGACCGGATCTATACCACCAAGCAGCAGGTTCACTGTGTAGGGACTCCGTGATCGTAAGCTCCGCGCCAATTCGCCCCGCACGAAATTGGCAACTGCGGAGGGGCTGAGTTCGGTGTCATTACGCATACTGTAGAGTGCAGCGTTGGCTTGAATGTATTCGGCGAATTGAACTAGTCAAGGAAGCTCGTAAGTATCTTGTTTGTCTCTTTGAAGCAGTCTACATACCAGTATCTCCAGACTCGCCGGAGAAGGCCATGAGTGTGTGCTTGTTCAACTGTCGTGTCTTATCATCCTCGGCCTTGAGAACTGTCGGGCCTCTCATTGCAGCCTTGGATGCAGCAAGAATGACGAAGTCCTTGCCGGCGATACCCAAAAGAACCTCCCTGGTAAAGACCGTCAATGGCCATTTTCAAATAAGCAGGTATCATCATGAATACACTTACATGTTGGCGGTATGGATTAATAAATCAAGAAAATATGAGCAATTTAGATGATTAGAGAAGACGAAGGGGAGTAGTGGTCAAGTGAGGAGCGCCGCGCGGTGAGCTTGACGCCTGGAGCTCCCGTCTACCTGGGTGGGCAGCTTAGTTTGATGAGTAAGCGCCGCCCTGGAGCGCTTTTTTTTCTGCCAAAAAAAAGTTGAAGTTTTGATCTCCGCAACCCGAGTCTTTTGCGAACGCCATACATCTCTTTTTTACAGAGATCAGGAAGTGACAGACTCGACAATCAGTCGTAATGTCGTCGTTTTTCACTGTCCCAAATTCCCAGCGCAAGCGGAAGAGAGACGACCGCGCTGCACCACCGGGATCGAAAAAGAGAGGCGTGGACGCCAAAACCGACAGCGGTCGACGGAAAGAGAGAGAAGATTCAATCTCTGGAAGTGATTTGGATGACGCTGCTGGAATCGACTCGGCAGAGTCAGGCGACGAGAGTGGATCGGACTCGGAAGGCGAAACCGCAGCGGATCGAAGATTGAAACTCGCTGAACGCTACCTGGACAACATCAAAGGAGAAGTCGACGAAGCTGGTTTCGATGCGGCAGATATTGATCGGGACCTGATCGCAGAGCGACTCAAGAAGGACGTTGACGAGTTCAAAGGGCGGACGTTTCGTCAAATTGCTGCGAAACTATCCATTCCCACGGCGTCCCATTCATTTTTCCGCTCCGATACCCAGTCAACCACCAACATCGCAGTTCACCCCCCATTTGTCTACACTGTTTCTAAGGATAAGACTTTGACCAAATGGGAATTGGCTACACCCACTGTACCGGCAGCAGAAGAAACGAGCGGTGATAACGATACCTCCAAGCGACCCCCGCGTCCCCAGCGGAAGAAGCCCAAGCGCGTGAGCTATGCTCGGGGTATGCGCAAAGTGAGCGAATCAACTGAAGAGCAGGGACACACTGGTTCCATTCTATCCGTTGCTGTCTCTCCTTCTGGAAAATTCGTGGCCACCGGTGGAGCGGACAACAAACTTGTCATTTGGGATGCAGAGACATTGACCCCCACCAGGACATTTTTGCAACACAGGGACTCAATTTGCAGTCTCGCTTTTGCGCGCCATATCTCTACCATGAGCTCTGGAGAGCAATTGTTCTCTGGTTCGTACGATCGCACAATTAAAACCTGGTCTATCAGCGGAGCAGGCCACGCCTACGTTGAAACACTATTCGGTCACCAGGACCATGTCACTGGAGTTGCTGCTATGACCATCGATGAATGTGTCAGTGTCGGTGCTCGGGATCGCACAGCCCGATTGTGGAAGGTTGTCGACGAAACACAGCTTGTGTTCCGTGGTGGTGCATCAAGAAGCGCCCCTTACCATGAAAGCAATATCGATTGCATTGCCCCCCTTCCTCCCAACCACTTCGTTACTGGGTCAGACTCTGGCTCTATCTCGCTCTGGTCAATTCACAAGAAGAAGCCACTTTACACTGTCCGCCAGGCCCATGGCTTGGACCCGGTTCCCCCTCTGGATGTTCTATCACCCGAATTAGATGAGAAGATCGCTGCTCATAATGCGCGGCACATGCGCCCCACGCCCCGGTGGATCACCGCGCTCACTACTCTCCCTGGTACCGATGTTGTCCTCAGTGGAAGCTGGGACGGTTGGATCCGCGCATGGCGCATCTCAGACGATAAAAAAAGCATCATCCCTCTGGGCCCCATCGGTGCAGGCCGTCTTGGCGATGTCACTCCAGACACACCATCCCAGCAACTCAACCAGACCCTTGCACTTGATGCCACCCCAGAGTTGGAACAAAAGGAGCCAGAGCCTTTGATCAAGGGTGTTATCAACGATATTGCTGTCTTTGAAAGACGCCCTGAATCTGACCTGCCTGGTGCCGATGCGAAATCTAAGGAGGCTTGCAAGAATGAACCTCGTGGTGTATCCATCGTTGCCGCAGTCGGCAAAGAACACCGCCTGGCTCGCTGGAAGTGTTTTGACAATACCTTCTATGAGGGGCCTACTTCTGGCGGCCGCAACGGTGCTGTCGTGTTTGAAGTTCCATTCACCACTAATGATCCTGTGGCGGCTGGTGTATAAATTTTGTTCATAATTGATCTTCCGGTCTTCACTGGTCGAGGATAAAAATGGGGAGCGTTGCTCGGGGTCAGGTGTATTTGGAGTCAGATATGTGTAATTCTACCATTTTTGCATATGTACCGGATTCCTTCGGTGCATTGAATTCAACTATATCCTTTTTCCAAGCAGCTAATGTCATGGTAGATCTGTAGATGTTGGCTATTCCATAGAAATTGAAGATCTGGGCAACAACAATTCCCTACTTACACTTCTTCGGTTACTGTCTTATGCGGAGGGTGTTTCCTTCTCTAGTTCGAAGACGGAAACCGAAACACGTTGACCGCAGAATGAATGATGTATAAAGTCATAGAGTCCCGGAGAACCATTATGATGACTGAAGTTTGTTCATTCAAAGATTGAGCTCATTGCGCTCCATCAACATTGATCAATTATTGGCCATTCTAATTCAAGGAATATGGGAACGATATAGAAAAAGAGATAAAAGAGGATGAAAGACGAAATACCTAAACAGCAAGTATGGCGGGTAAAAAGAGCCAAAATCAACCAACAGGGCAGTTAGTGGTTACGATACCTAGGTATAGGAGCTTAAGGTGATGAGATATATAAATATTCTCGAATAATAACCGATATAATCAGTCGAAGCGTAAACTGACTGGTCATATATTGACGCCCTTGGGCGCGTGATTATGTGATACTGCCGCCTGAGGCCACAAAATACATATCTGCCCTTCCTCAAATAATTTAGATCACTCTATTCTTTTACTTGTTTTGTTATTCACTGCTCACATAATAACGCTAAACGTCCTCCATCCTCCGATTCATCAGCGTTATTTCTATTGAAGCTTCTTGAGCTCGCCTTGCCACACCAAACTTTTACTTTTCCGGACCCCCACCCATCTACCGGAACTCGCGCCTTCACCCGGAGAAACCTTCAACACGGATTGGTCGATGGTCAGGCTTACCCCTGCGATACTCGAGCTCGTGACGGGTGTTAGAACAAGTACATAATGGCATCCACCAGTGACTTCAAAACTGAGGCGTCGGGAGTAAGCTAAGGGCTCGCATCTACTCGGAAGCACCATTGAAAACTGACGAGTGATTTAGCTTGTTCACACTCTCCAAGACCATGTGCATGATATCCGTACTCTGGTACAGTGTGGTGTCTGCATCCTAGCCCTTTACGAACCTTTTACCCTCGCCTGCGGCCACACCTTTTGCTACTCAGTGAGTCCTTACACGCCCATTTGATTCTGATCATATATGCTGACCAAAATTCTTCGCAGTGCTTGAAAAGTTGGTTCCAAACGAAACGAACATGTCCAGATTGTCGCGCGCGTGTCAAAACACAACCGGCGCCAGCCTACCTGGTGAGTTTACGAACTACCTTCAATTCCACTCATTGGGTCTAACTCTTTTTTGTTGTTGTAGGTCCGGGCCATGGTGCAGATGCTCACAGGTCGTGCAGAGCTGTTGGAAAAAGGAGAAACAACCAAGGATCACACCAAACATCAAAAGATAGCAGCAGAGGAGCTGGAGGAGGACAAAGCGAATAACCATCCAACTAAAGGTGGTCTGTTTGGTGGACTTTTCAAGCCCAAGCCTCCTCGTCTGGAACCTTTGTATGACTTTGACGACAATGTACCGCGATGTCCTCATTGTGGATGGGAACTCGAAGACGGAAACTGTCCATCATGCGGCTATCAACAACCACCGAATGCCGGAGATTCTGATGGAAGTGAGTCAGATGACTACAGCGAAGACGATCTAGACTCATTCGATGGCTTGGACGAAGCGGGACCAACGGAGGGTGATCTCATTGACAACATTGCCGAAGAGGACGACTATCCAAGATGGACTCCGGATCAGGACCTTATTTGGGCGGAATTTGCGCGTAACAATCCCACCATGCGAGCCTTGCAACAGCAAGCGTTTCGGCAGCACCGCATGAACCACCATGTTCCTGGTCGGCCCTATTTCCCTCAGCATCACATGGTCCCACAAGGCAACAGCGACCTCGGGCTATTGTATCGCGCTGCACCTGCTCATACCAATGGGGATGCATACGACGAGGAAGATGAAGAAGAGGACGATGACGAAGATGAAGAAGACGAGTATGATGAGGCAGACTCCTTCATTGATGATGAAAATAACGATGTGCCCACAAGCTCTTTCATCGATAATGGGCTTCACGACACGAGTGGCGAGGTGTATGACGAGCACTCAGATTCACAGCCTTCCACTGGTACTGTTGTGGATGATATCCATGGCGGTGACACTTCAAGCACAGATGGGCTGCGTCAATGGAGAGATACCACTCCTTACATCGATATCGATGAAGAGTCAGCTGAGTCTTCTGAAGATGAAGATGAAGCAGTCCGGCCGCCTCCTCGACGTCCACAAACTGCGTCACGGTCTCATTTCTTCCAACCCCCTAGCCAGGCTTCATGGCTCACAGCAAGATCAAGGGCCCAGGCAATTCCTGACTCGGATGATGAGGTTGAGGAAATATCGGGAGAGTCGGAATCCGAGATCTCGCCGCCCGCTCGTCGGCCCGCTGGACGCGCCATTGCTTCGGGAAACACGGCCGGAAATGCGATAACTCTTGACGATTCAGACGAGGGGCCTGTCGGCCCGGTGAGAAGAAACACGCACAGACGGCATATGAGATTCTCCCCATATTGAGTCAGATCTTCCTACCACTGACTTTCAATCTGCGTTTACCTTTATGGGTCTATTTTAATGTTTTGCTTTGACTTCAACTTCAGCGCGGCGCTTGGGTATTGTTCTAGAGACACGCTTGGCACTTCTTTTTACTTTGATATCCTAAAGAATTTTTTAACTTGATGACTAGAATGGTCAGTCTTATTCTCGTGATGATTTTTATTCCTCTCTCGGTCCACAAGTAATCCTATAAACGCCCCTATATTTTCTCTATATATTCTCCGGTTGGTTTGCGTCGCAATCTTCAAGATAATTTTAAAAGCTTCGTGTTTCCTGAGATATGAGGAGCCGTCACTACTTTAGGGCTATCATAACCCTCGTTCTCCTAAAGAGGCCGTGGTTGTGTGACTTGGATATTCCACGATGAATCGCACCAGAGATCACACATTGGCTTATTTTCCACTTCTTTAACTACATACGTAGTTCGTTTGCATCTTTCCGGCTTCCAGTATATCTCATTATGTTTACACTTAAAGTTTTGTAATGGATGAATCTATGAGAATATATATTTAGTTCTAAGAACATTGCCTTGTAGAATATATGTAAAGTCATTTCCGATATAGCCAACATTCTGCGAGAGTGAGATTCTATTTTCCGCTCTTAGAATAATATGAGTCATGATCTCGGGATTCATTTACAAAAAATCTTAATATCATGCAGATGAGGCGACTACCACCCCAGGTATGTTTGAAGATCTCCGCGCCAAGACTGCGGATCCCCGATTCTTCCACCTGGGCAACGCCGACTCTCTACTCCAATCAACCTTCAGCAGACCTTCGATCTCAAGCAAAACTTTGGCATTCTACTCCATCAAATATATTGAGAAATTCCCTTCAATAATCGTTGATCAATACAAGAAAATTCCAAACACGCAACCATGGCGGATGAGTCAACACAAGGGGACGGCCATGACAAGGCGTGGGAGAAGGTGGAGAAGAAATTCACACAGTATGTTAAGGAAGTCATTTCTTTCCTCATATTGAGATCCCCCTTGCTTTGTTTCCCTTCAAACATATGCTTTGTCGTATCCTCGCCGATCTATGATTGTTGTCGAGGTCCACGGACTCCTCTTCATTCTATGGGGTCTCCGGAGAAGAGCCATGCTAGGCAAATAGGCCGAGCAGGCTTTTACTTATCGAATGAGCTAAATACTTGTACTTCTTGCTTATCCCGATGACTAATATACGGGTTAGCAAACATGCCAGTCAATACTACGATCCATGCCAAGATTTCGCGGATAGGAGTCTGAAGTGTATGAAGCGGAATGCTTATGACCGGGAATTGTGCCATGACTATTTCCAGTAAGTTTCAAAACTTCATGAATGCTGAAAGTCCTTTTGATTTGTCTTCGAATTGATGCGTTTGGCTTTCAATAAACTTTCGAGCTTCTACATTATGGTCATACTCAGCATCGGAACTAACGGTGTTTTTAGAGCCTATCGTGATTGCAAAAAGAACTGGGTATGTTCAAAGATGTGAATCTTTCCCATTATCTTGATTGTCTGCTTTGTCTGCAGATTTCGTGGATTTCGACCCATCCCGCTGTGCCTCCAACTGCTAACAATGATTATAGCTCACCCAGAAGAAGGTTTCTGTGTCTGCGCCTCAAAAATAAACTGTCACCTTTATGCCGAAATATTGCGATCAGTGATCATCGACTGACTTGATTGGTATATTCCTTGATATACTCAAACGAGCGTTGCATGCCATCATCTCACACTTGTTTTCTCAATTTGATGATTAGTTTCTATCCACAAAAGCGACAAGCATTCATTCTTATGTGCATTTGCAAATGACATTTGAAACACACGGACTGCTTTGGATACCGACATTCTACTAGGCAGCACCCCTTAATCGTCTGGCAATGATTTACAAATTAAGTCATTCGTATGTTCTAGGGTTTATTTCCGTGGCTTCTACTTGACGCACCGGGTTACTTCCTGGATGATCTCACACTTGTATATTAAAGTTCAATGTTTTTGTATGGCATATCTCTGGGTCTTCTTTTCAAATAGCGTAGGGCTCAGACATGATTGTTCATATAAATTGTACCCGCTGACGCTAGAAACCATCTAGGAAGTCCAGATATTGTTCAGGCATCGAATTGAATATCAATCAGCTAAGAGGTATCACAAAGATTCAATGTGTCCAAAATGTCAAAAAAATGGCTTAATATTCCAATCAGAAGATACTCAGACTTTTCGTATATACTAATATTTCTCTAAAAACCTTGCTATGGCTTTTGGGTTTGGTTTCTTCAGCGATAATTCAGTTGTATGCACGACAAACACCTATGACGCCTCATATTTTAGATGTTGGTTTCTTGCCAGCAGTATATTGCGGGGAGCTGCTGACCGCCTCCCATTTCGCGTTCTTCCCCGCCAAATAAAAAAGTGGCCGAAGGTGATCAATTTCAACTCCAACTGATCCTTGTACCTTTTAAGCATATGCTGTGCCTCGCGCAGTGACCGAGAAATAATATCAAGTACGGGGATCTAAAGACAACTAGGTAATTTCGCGCAATATCCTCAGGATGAGCTCCGGCAATGACGCGGTGTTCTTGCGCCGCAACAACCAGGTTCAAGATGCCATTGACTCGCAGAATATGAAGCAGGCACTGCAGCTCATTGAGAAGCGCATGAAGAAAGGTGAAAATACGCAGTTTCTGAAGGCAAGTGATCATATAATTCAACCCCGCAGCCATGTTGAAAGCTACCTGAAAATCGCTAACACATGAGATCGTACAGGTCTGGAAAGCCAATATTCTTTTCAACCATGCGGATGAAACCCACAAAAAGCGAGGCATTGCGGAAACCGTACAGCTGTGCAATGCAGAACCGGCCATTTCGGATCTAGACACTCTCGACATACTCCACCGGACGCTACAGAAGATGGACGACCACACCGAGCTTCGGAGCGCCATATGGGAGAAAGCAGCGAAGGCTAAGCCGCAGGATCTCACACTTCAGATGAGATGGTTCACATTAGGGTTTGAGGCCTCTGACTGGAAATCCGCTCAGAAGGTATGTTGTGGAGCGGCCTGTATGAGATGGGCATGGCAAATAATAATCAGGTTGCTAATATTACGAATGGTGCTTCTAGGCTGCAATGGGCCTTCAGAAAAACTTCCCTCGAGAGCGAAAGTATTATTTCTGGGCCATCTTTTTGTGCCATCTCATTGCACAAGATCCAACTAGTTCCGAAATGGACCGCAAGCTTTTCGGGACACTTGCTTACCGTATGATATCGAAGGCGGCTGCCGAGGTCCCTTCTAACCAGGTATGCAATTACCCTTTTTGAACACCTCAGGAGACAAACGATGCAGCTCGAAAATGGAATTTCAACATGGACAACTCACTGGATTGAAATTGACTTTTACAGACCGAGTTGCCTAGCAACGCAAGAGCTCTTCAATCTGGCGAGGACCTCTTCTTTCTTATTCGGATATATGAATCACAAAACCGCTCGGCCGAGGCTGTACAGATACTTGACAGCGAGAACACTGGCCTTGGATCTCGTATTGCCAACAATGACCGATTCTTGATGTTAGCAAAAGTTAACAATCTTGGGCTTGCTGGCCTCTGGAAAGAAGGCTATTCATATGCGAAAGGTCTCCTCGCTGTACCCGAAGATGAAGAAGGGCGCAAGGCTCTCAAGGAGCGGGATGATTGGAAGATCTGGAACCTACTCATCGCAGCTGCACGAAAATTGACCGAAGACAAGGAGTAAGTTCTTTTTTCCAACGCCGTTGAAGTATTGGCTTACGGATAACTTTCTTACTTTGCAGAGTGATTTCGGATGCGCAGCAACATATCCAGAAGTTTATTGAATTCGACCCTAAATCTCGAAATGCGCATATTGCCCTCTTGGACGTAGTCCTTACCGGGCTGAAACGGGGTGAGCGCACAGAAGACGATCTGGTTTCTGCCATACAAAATTACTTCGACCAACACAAGTCCAAACTCTATGCTTTCCAGGACTTGCGAGGTGTTTTAGAGACCCGTGAGGCTTCTGTGGTGCAACGAGTATCTCAGTATTGCATGGACAACGTCCAAGACAAACCAGTAAGTTAAGATTGGGTTAATTCGATGAGTTCAAGCTAATGGAATTGAAGGATGATGCCGTTCCATTGATAAATGCATACAAGCTACAGTATCATGAACAAATTGCTGGTAACAGCAAAGTGTCCAAATCCAGCATTGAGGACTTTGTCTGCAAATGCCTTGAACTTTACAACAAATTCACGCTTGCTGCGAAGGCCCAGAATGCAGGGTCACAGGACGAGGGCAATGGTGCTTCCGCGATGGAAAGTCGTCCCACAGACGACTTCTGCATCATTGCCGCTATGAGCATTATTCGCTCCAACCAAGTCTGTGAATTATCTAGTAGAGTCAGCAACACCGCTCTGATTCGCGCCGCTGGCGTTCTGGAGCAGCTGCTGATTGATTCTCCGCATAACTCCAATGCGATTATGTTGTTGATCCGCATTTATCTTCTTCTCGGCGCCGGCTCGATTGCCCTGAAGAAATTCAGCACGCTGTCTGTCAAACACATGCAGTATGAAACGGTCGCCCACAATCTTTTCACCCGCTTCGCCTCGATTCACCCACATTCGGGGCCACCAATTGAAGGTGCAGACTACAAGGAATTTGATCCCCAAGCTGCATTTGTTAAAGCGCTCGATTTCTACCGTTCTGTCGATGTTACCATCAGCCACTCTTTGATCAGAGGGCTCGGCGATGGGAGTTACGCCAACTTGGAGGACTCAATGGAACTCCGCTCTCGTCTCAAGGACAGCATTTGCCGAAGAATGTGGGCACTCGATGTACGACGAATGCAAAGACTCAGGAGAGGGGAGCACTTGAGTCACCATGAAGTTGTCGGTATGTGTTTGCTGACTCCATTCATATCCCAAAAATATGGATACTAATTATTCCACAGCCCAAACTGCTTCGTCGGCTCAAGACCAGCGTAAGTATGACGCTTTCATGAACTTGGAACGTTATGATAAACCCACGTTTGAGGAGCGATTGCGCGTAGGCCCGCTTCCCAGTGTGAGTATCTCTGCTGGAGTGATTAAGGGACAAATACTAATTCCGATGTAGGAAAACTGGCTTTCATCAGCCCGGGTTACTGACCAACTTTTCAATGTTCTCGCAAGCATCGGCCTTCAGAAGCCAGTCGACCTAGCCCTGGAGCTGCCTGTTGTCAGTGATCTGTCGCTTTCTGAGGCTGAGATTGATCAGACAGCCGCTGAGAAGGATGCAACTAAGATCCACTCAAAATTGCTCAAGGTCGCTCTGTTCATGGCTGGATCCAAGGCTCATACCACTGCCCAAATTGAAAGTGCACTCGGTGAAATGGAAGTTTGGCTCAAGGACAAGAGACAGAGCCTAGCTTTGGATGAGACAAAAAAGTCTGCCTTCATCGCAGAGACTGCCATCGAGTTCGTCCCAGGTACAACAGGCGCACCGACCTGGGAATACTTCCACGCCAATTGGACTCTTGTCGAGACCCTCAAGGCTATGTGGAAGGTAATTGATCTCGATTCTCGTAAGACAATCAAGACTGCTAAGCTTCCAGTTGAACACTTGAATCGATTGCATACTCTTGTTTGTGAAGTTTTCGAAGATATCCGCTCAAACACTCGAGCTTTGAAACAGGGCCTTAGCGAATCGGCCACTCTTAGCACGTTGATTGATCTTGTCAACCAAGGTGATCCGGCTGACGAATATGAGAAGCCCCTTCAAGATGTCCTAAGAAAAATGATGGATGATTCTGCGCTCGAAGTGTTCTGCGGAGACTTAAGGGAGAGTTGGGAGGAGGCACTTGATGGAGTGTTGGCTACCAAACTTTGAAGATGGGAGTCAAGGAATGTACGAAATGAGTCATGTGTCTATGAACATCCACAGCTAGAATACATGTAAACCATATCCATCAAAGCATTGATTTTGATCAATCGACGCAGCCTCAAGAACGTCAAAATTAAGAAGGGCATAAAGTGTCACGTGCGATCGCCAGAGGTTTAAGCCTGAGGTGTCGAGTTGCGGACACGCTAGTCCTAAATTAGTCCACAGCCCTAGCCCTAGCCCTTCGCCTACCGCACCAACCAGCGCCAAGACCCCATTTTTGCGGTTCCAGGCAAAAGAACTGGGACGATTTTCACACGGCTCCCTCACCTCCTCTTCGACAACCTCCGCCAACCCCTTCAATCAACAACCGCCGAGATGGTGCAGCAACGCTCCGGAATTGTCGTCGGCATTAACAGCGGCCGTGTACGTTTATCCCTGTCTCTTTCCTCATGCTGCTGGGTCTTTTGAAGGTCTCCAATGTCTCTTTCTCGTTCGGTCTGTCTGTTCGTTCAAGGCCATTCGGGTCACGGTTTATCGCGAAAACACGAAATATCACGACACAAGGATTGCAATTGCTCAAAACAATGGGACAAAATCAAGGACGCCGGGAGAAAAAATTAGAGATATGACGGGAAACTTTTTGGATTCGATCTTCGGCACACGAAATAAACACACGACTTTCACCCAACTTTCACCCAATCCTTTGATCCGACTACGCATTTGAACGAACCGACAGACCGACTCCAGACTTGAACAGGAGAGACTCTGGATCCTTTTGGCCTCTGTACTGATGACTCAATGAACCATGTACTGACTGCCCTCGATATAGCCCACGACTGCCCTGAACACCCCCAAGACCCGCATCAGCCGGTCCAAGGGCAAGAGCTCCCGTCGCACCGCTTTCGTTCGCGAAATCGCCCAGGAGGTCGTCGGTCTCGCCCCCTACGAGCGCCGCATCATTGAGTTGCTGCGCAACGCCCAGGACAAGCGTGCCCGCAAGCTCGCTAAGAAGCGCGTATGTTTATATTCTCTATTGCGGCTCAGACAAATTCTGCTCCGTGGATTACATTGGTTTTGGAATATGGTTGGTTGTGTTGCTACGTGTGATGGTGTTGAAAGGGTCCCGCGAGTCGATTTTGCAGGCAAAATTTGATGCAGATCGCTACTTGGATGGACCTTTACAACCACCGTTGCACATTTCAATGATCAAACCCGTGCTCGAAACCACATGGATTCATTGGAGCCAGAGATCACTGTCAAAATACTTCAGTGCACATTTACTGACTTCAAATTTAGCTCGGTACTTTCGGCCGCGGCAAGGCCAAGGTTGAGAGCATGCAGAAGGTCATTGCTGAGTCCCGTCGCGCCCAGGCTGCTCACTAAATGTCTCAACCCGTTCCTGTTTTTCTATCGTTTTAACGACTCGACGCACAAAAAGCGTGATTCTCGGATCGGAAAGGGGGGTTTTGTGGCCACTGGGGTGTGCATGAAGGGGAAGGCAAACATGGGATTCCTTTAGTGAAACCATAATGAAAACAATTTCTCAACCATTTCATGATATTTTTCTTTCTATCGTCTTTGCTATTAAGCCGAGAAATTGCCCGTATATATGGAAAATCAGCGGTTGCAGAGCAATTGCTGAGCTAGAAGAGATACAGTCTATGTGTATAACTGAGCAGCTTCTTTACCTGCAACTACCTCTAGGCAATTGGGAGCTTGGCGAGCATACTAGTCTACCATGACACTGGCACAGAACCTCGATCCCGCCACTATATATTCCTTCCTAAATGAAGCTTGAAGCATGTGATTCAGTTCTAATCGCACATCTAATTTAACTCACGGATATTCAAAAGATGCGCCACGTAGTTAATCATGATCATCAGAGAGACATGTCGTTCATTCTTGATTCAATCATTTCTTGCCCAGCTTCAGCCACTTAGGCACGGCACCACTTTTCCGTGCCCCGCTGGGCTTCGCATCACCTTGGGCGCTACTTGGACCAGGCTGCGGGACTGTCTCCTGTTCCTTCGGCTCCGGTGGCTGTTCAACTTTGAGCTGTTGAGCCTGACTTCGAAGCTCTGGGCGAAGCGTCTCTGTTCGGCGTTCATGAACGAAAGAGGCAGCGTTCTCAGCCCAAGAGAAGTTGACTAGCACACGACCGGTCAACCCTATATCCTTGATCAACCGTCTCTTTTCTGATGAAGGAATGGCGCTTGTGTGTTGGGAGCGAGATGCAGTGTGAACAGTGAGGCTAAAGTCCTCGTTGGCAAATGGCGGAGCAAGGCAACTGCGCACGAACTCATATAACGACTGTCCGGTGTCCGAAGTCCCGAACTTAGCGACCACTTGGCTCTGGTCTGGAAAGCGGACTTTGACATCGACTTCGCGGATTGCTGCTTGTTTCGCCTCTTCTTCCTTAGCCTTGGCGGCCATCTCCGCATGCGTCGGTAAGCGTTGGTTTCGAGATGATTCGTTGAGCAATCGCTGGTGCAGCTGTGCGTGCTCGATGGAGGGTATGTAGTCGTTCTCATTATACGCTATTTGAGCTGACGAAGGTGTGTCTTCCGATGGAGGGGAGAAGACGGTGATAGTCCGACCAGATTCAGTTGTTGAAGTGGCCGGCTCGAGGGTAGTTGGGGGAGGAGTAACTGGTTCAGAGGCGGCGACGCTAGAGGGCTCAGGCTGGGTTGCAGCAGATAGCTGCTGAACAGGTTCCTCAGTTTTGACCTCGGTAGGATCCACCGTGGGCGCGCCGCTTTTGTCCTGCGCTGGCGTATCGTCCTCTTCAGACTTGAAGAACTCGCCAATTTCGAGCATTGCTTCTTCGATCCGCTGTTCTGTCCGTCGGAAGCTGAGCCGAATGAGAACATTTCCACTATTGAATCCTAGCTGGGCCAGGGACTTCTGTAGATCTGTGAAGCTTGAGAGCTTACGCTCTAAGATCTGAAGTACAGGAGCTTCATAGTACAAACTTCCCGAACTTTCTCCGTCATCGGTAACAGGTACCGCACGTGAAGTAAAGTTCCGTGTCAGGCCACTGCCTGCAACTCCAGCCTCAAACTTGCGTAGTACTAGCCAGAGCGTTGTGGTGCTAGGGAATTTATCAAGTATACGGCCGTTCGGGGCACCGCGGGCTTCAGACTCTGGGAGTTGTAGGCCGACAGTGACAACGGACGGGGAACGAGATGCTTGTACAAGTTCGAGTTTTGCGCCAGAGCTAAGACCGGATAGACGAAAAGATAGAGAAAGGTCAAGCTGCTTGCGATTGTGCCTGTTGCGATGTAGAAAAGTCCCAGTTAGAGTTGTCATCCTTGTAAGGTAGGAAGCATCCACTCACTTCAATCCATATTGACTGGAGTTATATCCAAGCTTTGAACATGCTTCTTGCAGTATATCAGTCAAGTGTTTGGTAGGTGTGGTCTTGATCGTTGCCCGCCTGGCTGTCGCGTCGATCACCACAACGTGGGAACTCATTATGACTTATTAGCACAAGCTCAAATGAAACAGAAAATGTAATCTCAGTATTCCCTATACAAGATTACAAGTGTAAAATGAGAAACTTGAAAGACGTTTCAAAAAAAAAGGAATGCGGGGAGAAAGAGGGCAGAAGGTAGTCGAAGCATACGAAACACCAGGCAGCGGTGCGGGCGTCATCTGAGCTCTCTCGCGTACCTCAGAGCTTCCCCGTCATCAACTCACCTCCATCACCTCCCCCAATCTACCCCCTTCTCAACCACCTTCTTTCCTCTTTTTATTTGTTAATTAGCTCTGGAAATTACCTGTCATATTACATTGCTTTGAAATATCGCAATAATGGTATGAAACAAGCGCCCTTCCCCCGATCGGCTACAGTATTCTGGATCTCAAAGGCTGACCGACTTCTCCCATCATAGTCCAACCCCTTCGACATCAGTATGCCGGAAACCCGATCCTTGTGATTAATCAACAGAAATACTAATCTTTTTCTAGATGGCGGTGCCTGTGTCGCCATGGTGGGCAAGGACTGCGTCGCCATTGCCTGCGACCTTCGCCTGGGCATGCAGGCCTTGACTATCTCCAACAACTTCCCCAAGATCTTCAACTACGCTCCATCTACCTACCTCGGCCTGACTGGTCTGGCCACCGATGTGAACACCATCTCTGATCTCTTCCGCTACAAGGTCAATATGTACCGACTGCGCGAGGAGCGCGACATCGCACCGCAGACCTTCGCCAACCTAGTGAGCTCATCGCTTTACGAGAAGCGCTTCGGTCCCTACTTCGTCAGCCCCGTGCTGGCTGGTATCAACCCAACAACGGGGAAGCCATTCATCTGCGGCTTTGACAGCATTGGCTGTATCGATTTCGCCAAGGACTTCATCGTTAGCGGAACAGCAAGCGACCAGCTCTTCGGTACCTGCGAGGGTCTGTGGGAGCCTGATCTGGTATGTACAAGCAGATCTACGACACCTCCGCTTAATGCTAATACCGATGTTGCTGCAGGCCCCCGAGGATCTCTTCGAGACAATCTCACAAGCGCTGCTCAGTGCCGTCGACCGAGACGCTCTCTCCGGTTGGGGAGCCCAGGTTTATATCATAGAGAAGGACAAGGTTACCCAGCGTCTATTGAAGGGACGACAGGATTAGATTTGGGGAAGTGATTGTTTTGGGTTTTGCGTTGGTTTGAGGGCGAATCCCGGCGTCTACGGTCTTCACACTGGATGATACATGTCGTGTACGGTCGATCGAGGACGGGATAGCACAACATCAACGTGAGAGCGGTCGATACCTGAGCCAAAGGGCGAATTTGTTCTTTGACTCCATGTTTCTCTTACTCCTATCACGATAATAAAAGGCCCCCGTTGTCACGCCACGGCAGTGTTCTATGTTGCATCTTCTATCTTCCACCTAACTTGTCAGTCAGGACATTCACTAGTCATATCCCGAAGATTGGCTGGTCATTTTTTCTTTGTAGCTTTTTAGGCTCGGTGCACTGATTCTCTACAAGGTCCTCTTATACATAAATGTTGCAGGGTCGAAGTTCAGTCTTTTCAATCTTATGGACTCGATCGAAGACCATTTGAGTGATTCCTTCAGTATCCATCTCTGTCAGCTACTGCCCCAAATGCTGGCCCTTCTCTACCCAGGAACTCCTTGAGATCAGCAGCCAGTAGCTCAGGTACCTCCCAAGCAGCAAAATGGCCACCATGATCATACTCTTTCTCTTGCACAACATTCCCAATAGAGCGATACCACGCCATGGGCCACATAACAAGTTCCTCGCGGAACTGCGCCACCGCAAAGCGTACGCTCTGAGGAGCCCGAGCTCCAAGAACCTGCGCAAGCGACATATATTTCAAATCCACCTTCTCCTGTGGATCCACCTGAGATCCCCCATCTGACATATGATCATCCGCTCTTTTCGGCGCCGAAGCCTCATAGTAAATTCTCGTCGAAGCCATCGGCCCAGCCGTCGAAAAGTAATACACACTCACCCAAGTCAAAATCTCCTCGTCTGTCCAGGGATAATCGTCAGACCAACTGTGCATTTTGTCATATATCCAAGCCAGCAGCCCGATGGGACTATCGTGGAGCCCGTAGCCCAGAGTCTGGGGACGTGTCTCCTGCTGTTTCATATATGCATTGCCGCGCGTGAGATATCCCACTGACCGGGCGATGAAGCCGCGATCTTTCGCCGAGAAGGGCACTGAGATTAACGATTTGATAAACTGGTACGGGCTTCGCCATGGGTAGGGTGGTGTGACGGGTATGAAGTTCAGGTGAATGGCTTGCGTGTGTTGAGAGTAGAACTGGGCTATGGTGCGTGCGATCATGCTGCCCCAGTCCCCTCCTTGGATCACTGCTAGATGTTAGTTGAGTTGTTTTGACTAGAATAGGGGACGCTTGCCGTATTCGTCGTAACCCAGTGCTATCATTACTTTGTGGATAGTTTCGGCATATTGTGCCAGGCCGAATCCTCTCTAGTTCAAGTATTAGCATGATTGACGTGATCAGTGATACAGATTCCAGCGTACCTTTTTGACACCCTGGGAAAATCCAAAATTTGGTAATGAAGGCGCTACGACATCGAATACTGGTCCGTCTCCGTCGCTTTTAGTGAGTAGTGGGATCAGCTTGGTTGCCTCCAGGAAGCTGCCAGGCCCTTCGTAGAAAGAAAAAATCAGCTCTTGCTTTTTGGAGATTGAAACTTATAATCTCAGGCCCATACATCCATGGATAAATAGTAATGGAATAGCCCTCGAATTTCCACTTTTGTGATGCACAGCATGGATATCCAAGTCTCCAAAACCATCCACGCCAACTCGAACGTTCACCTGCTTGAAAGTTTCGTTCAATTTTGATTCTTGCGCGCGCCAATTGAATTCATCACGCCATACGGCAGCAAGCCGTTTGATCTCATGGAGAGGAACACCCATATCCCACCCGGAAGCATCGAGTTCATCAGGAAAGTTGGTCTGCTCCAATTTTTGGCGAAGTTGCTGGAGCTGCTCGTCTGGAACGGCAATTTTGTATGGGGTGATAGAACTCATAGATGCGTTTGTCGGAGAATTTTGATCCACGTTTCAAGGCTGGTTGTCTTGATATAGTTGCATTTATACTGCCCTAGTCGCGCTTGGGCCTTTGCACGATGCCGTGATGATCGGCCATTGCGGAGAAATATTTACCTCGGTTTCACGGCTCATATCGCACAAAATATCAAGAATTTAGGTGTAGCCATGAGGCAAATAGTTGAATCGTCGATTGAGTACTCGCGAATCGGCCAAAAAAATGGCTGCATGAAGTATGAATCTCACGGCAGAAGGTATGTATTCTGGTGCAACTTGAGAAGTTTTCTCGACAACTCCAATGGTTACTACATGTATATATCGAGCAAGGATACTACCTACTTGGGTAGGCACTCAGTATAAATCTGCAATTGATCCAATCAACCAAAGATAAGTCGAACCCCGGGGCTTCTATATCCTATGGTTGTAGTGCTGTAAAATAAGACGGGAAGACTTCACCGTTCAAATTGCAGAAGGCTGCATTGAATCTGCAAGTCCGAGTCATACCAGTTGGCATCAAGAGCCGGACAAGATCGCAGATGCACTTTCACTGGGTAAGAGAGTCTATAGTCTATATCATCGTAGTAATCGTACAGATGGGCTGAGTGGCACCGTTGTTCCAGTTGCTAACAAAACGACCCACATCTTGATTAACTATCGTATGATGATAATTAGAAGCCTACGGGTTATTACCCACCATCGCTAGCATAAAGTATTTCAGAGAATTATTTTTTTTTGGTTGTCAATCACCCGTGTAATTGCTATGTATCAAAATGTCCATCTCTTTCGTCATGAAAATGGATGAGTTTGCATTTGATGAAGACCCACAGAAGAAAACTTATCAGATTCTGTTTCATATTGAGATCGAACGACAAATATAGTATGTTATAAAGCTTATTGTGGGCCATGCTTGGTCAAGGCTCAGTAATATATATGTTGAACCTTGAAGTGTGTTTGAAGATCAAGTTCAAAACAAATTCAAAACAGAAAAAGAAAGTATTAAACACATGAATAACAATACTGTTTACAGACTCAATACTCAGTAGAAAAGTAAAGGTAATAAATGTAGTATGGATCATCCATGTAAACATGTAAATATGTAGATACAGTAAGAGTGGCCATGCACCCGGGCAAGTTATACTAACTAGGGCAAGGCTTTGTTATGACTCTTCAGGTACCGAGTACCTGACTAATTCAGTGTTGTCGCGTGACAATCCGAAGTACCCGGTACCTTCTTGGTCTAGAAGTCTAGATCCGCCGATCCTGCAGCACCTCCGTGCGCCTCCGCAGGGATTGAAGCAAAAATAAAAAAACCGCAACACACAAAGAAAAGGATTTAAAAGGAAAAACTTCAAGCTCTAATGAAGCTCAAACTTCCTATGTAATATACATAGAGAGAATTAGCTTCTAATTTTGTTTTCCATTCGTGAAATCAATTGATAGAAATCCTCCTGTTTCAGAAGTTCCGTGTCTAGACCGCCCGGCCCCCATTTGAACTAACGGAAAATCCCCTCTCCCCTCCTTCTCGGATTCGTTGGCTTTGGCTTTCGTTTCTTTCTTCTATATTTCCATCGGGTGGGTGTACCTCGACATTTCGATTCATCCACCGTCATCCACCATAGAGTTGCTAGGCTATGATCGTTGTCCTTGAATAAAGAGACAAAAGGAGCCATCTCATAACATATCAATACACTCAAATCAACCTCGAAAAGCGACTTCATCTCGACCTCATAATTTACACATCAACAATCACCTTCACTTGCCACATGGACTATGCCCGACACGCCCGAGCCGGATGTCTCCAATCCTGTACAACCTTGTCCCACCATGCCCTTCCCCTCCTGCAAATCCGAGTGCATCCCCGGTGACGGACTAAACGTTCGTGATGACGGAGACGTGAGACTGGACACGGGAACATGGAACGATGGGGCCCAGACCGCCGCCATTGAACAACTGGTCACACTCAAACAGGGGTTGAGGATATCCGACACAGAGCTGTTCTGGAAACGGCTCATGGAGGATGTCACATCGATCACAAAAGCCCAGTATGGATTCGTAGCTCGGAGAGTTCATGGGAGTGATCCTTTACCAGAACTAGACGGGCGGCGCCCGTCGCTTTTTGGTACGGCTTTCTACTTCAATGATGGCTACCAAAATGTTGGTCTGCAGCGGAACAGGTATTTTGCGGGCGGGAACCCCTTGTTGCATATGGATCATGAACGACCATGTTTGATCCCCGAAAATCTCAGCTCACTTGTCTCGTTCGGCGATGATCAATTACCATTTGCCGCCGATGGATATCTGGCGATTCCGCTTTTTTCGGCTGGAAAGTGCCTGGCGCACCTCGGATTGATGTGGTCGAAAGAAGGCCTTCGGCATCGAAACCTGTCATGGTCTTTTCTGGAGATGATCCTCCATGCACTCGAAGACCTCGTCGTACAACGACTTCAACCCGGAGAAATGATGCTAGATGAATTGATCTCACCCATGACGCACACCCCGGATTTCCAGAACCCTCACACCGCCGCCTTCCATGAACCCTCCGATTTCACCTCACAGCCCCTCAAACCATATGCAAGAAGCTTGTCCCATGAACTCAGAACCCCAATGCAAGGGGTGGTGGGTATGCTCGATGTCATGCACGCCACAGTACGAGAGGCTATGGAGAGCAAGACACCTATCAAGTCGGGCGGGATTTTCCAAGCTCTCAAAGAAGGGATCGAGATGGTCCAAGATAGTGCGAGACGTGCCGTCGAAGCGGCTGACAACGTTGTTCATGCGTATGATCTCAACATGCAGATTCCTAAAACACCGCTCCGTGAGGAAGCTGAAATTCTGGGCCAACCTGCAATCCCACCTGAAATCCCTGAAACCCACGTTCCCGAAACCCATGGTCCCGAAACTCGCCCGAGCATCTTCATTGAAGGAAGCAACATCGCTGTAAACCCATACAAACGGCGGCGAAGCTTACCGCTGGAAACGAATACACGTCCTGTACGCAAACAAAGACTTCGTGCTGCTTCGTCACGACAGGAGCTTTCGCCTCGCAGCGAAGAAGTCAAGAATGCTGTGCACGAAAGCGATCAGATTGTCCATGCTACGCCTGCCCGACAGATCGAGGCTGTCATGGCCAACATGGTCGACCCACGCCCTTCGATTGCTGTACGTCGATCTGCACCGCACTTACTCCTGGAAGGTATCAACGTCAACTTACGGGGCTCTGCTTTGCGCTTCACCAAATTGCGGGATCTTCTCCGCCTAGTGATCAACGAATCTCTTCACGTTGGTGGCCGACCAGATTCTGCCGTTAGCAATGCAACCGACTATGGAGAGAGAATCGAGATCCGGTCACGATCCTCAAATGGCGAGTTGTTCACCAAAGTCGTAGACTGGTCTGTGGATCCAGCATTGCCCGACACTCTTCTTGCCGATGACCGTGATTTAGCCAAGCTGATCTCCTGTGTCTTCTTGAACGCAATTAAGTTCACAAACAACGGTACTATCACTGTGTGGGCAACCATCGACCCTCAAAGAAACGACGTGCTTATTCTTGTCCGCGATACTGGCCCGGGAATTCCTGCTGCATTCTTACCAAATCTTTTCAAGCCATTTGCCCGTGAGGATGCTTCGACCACCAGGAGCAAAGACGGCCTCGGCCTCGGCCTTCTCGTAGCCAAAGGTCTCTCTCGCAAAATGGGTGGCGACTTGACCTGTGTTCGCTCGTCGACTTCGGGTCCTCAGCGAGGCACAGAATTCAGAATTCGAATCCCGGTTAACCAACGCGAGGCGGAACATCATCCCGCAACACCTGGCGAGAACCCATATGACCAAACTCGACATAGCAGTACCAGCAGCCTTTTGTCCGATCCTCCCTCCTTCAGTTCCCCATTCATCCTCCCCCAAAATTTCCAGCTGCAGCAACCGACCCCAAGTTCTAGCGACGAAAACATGTCTCAAAGCCCAACACCTCCACGACCATTATCCCAACCCCGTCTGCATCGGACCCATATCTCCGGAGATGCTTACGATAAGAAGCTCGGAGAGAAATACCCGTTGCGTTTCCTTGTCGCCGAAGACAATCGAATCAACCGGCGTGTGCTGGTGAACATGTTACGCAAACTTGGCTACCGAGATGTCCTCGAAGCAGCAGATGGCAAAGAAGCTGTCCAGATCGTCGAAGGCATTCTATCTGCATCAAAGACCTCTAATGAGGTTGATGTCGACTCCAACCCCTCGAACAAAATGCAAGGTGTCATCAACGAGGCCCCTCCAGCACCAAAAATGAAAGCGATCGATGTTGTGTTGATGGATCTCTGGATGCCTGAAATGGATGGATATGAAGCCACCTCTCGCATTCTCCAAATGGTCAACGATAATCGCAATCAACACGCCGCCTTTGAGCCCAACCGCAACAGCCCCGACTCCATGGAAATGGATTCAACCCCTAATACCTACTGTGCGCCACCACCTCCGACCGTCCTCGCCGTCAGTGCGGACGTCACCGACGAAGCATTGAACCGTGCTTCCAGGGTTGGAATCAAAGGCTACATGACGAAACCCTACAAACTCTCCGACCTTGAACGACTGATTCTTGAATTCTGTGGCGATGCCGGCAAGCCCGTTGCCTCATTTCCAGTATAGCGGGCCCGCCGTCAGACGATGGAATTTTCTTTCTGGATCCACACCAAGACCATTATATACCCGTTGGTGTGGATCTTTTGCTCATGCACTAATACTGCTATTGATTGCTTTGCACATTGGCCCTATTGAGATGGACCATGCAATGGCTCAGCGGGAAAATCTGCTGTTGCTCATCTGCACCTTATCCCAGTCTTCACTTCACATTTACTGCCATATACCATCATCGGCATTTTGATCCCTATTATGTTTATTATCCCCATCCTGGATATAATGATTGATGATAGATCACTACATATATATAGCGATCACCCGTTACTGCATAGCATCATGCAACCTTGGAATGAACATCATTTAGTTAAGATATACCGAAATTCCATTCTGGTAGCCATTCAGCTTGAAAAAAAGCCCTTATACTCAGCAAGAAGGATCAAGGCCACGAGCTCCTGGCTATGACTATCATCTGCTGTAAACATCCACCCTAGTTACACGTTGTGAAATCCACCAACCCTGTATCAGGCACAGTCTCTGTTGGAAGACACAACTCCACATTTTCTCCTTTGAGATGCGTGAAGACTCGAGAGTACTCAGCCTACGAGCCAATAGTCAGCGATATTCACCCATACTTAACCATTTTAAGAAAGCAGAGAAAACAAACCTCAATAATATCCACAAACTCAGTGTAAATATCATCGGCCTTCATTTTTTGACGAACAAAATCAGTCACTCCCCCCAAAACCGCATTCACAGTGGTAACCTTGCTATCCCAAGTGAGAAGCGCAGAAACACCAGTGCCATCAACACGTGTAGATTCAGTGCTGCCATAGATATCTGAAATAGCAATTAGTACCACAGCACTCTATCAAGCCGAGAAGTTATAGGGGTTATCACTAACTCTGCATCTTCTTGGCAACAACCATATTCCTCCACCAGGCCAACCCAACAGCCTTGTCGATGAGTATAGTCGGGAAAACACTGTATGGCGTAATTACATCCAGTTCTTGTACGGTTTGGTTCGAGATCGAGGGGATGCCGGCATTGGAGATGTAGCCTGTCACATCGCCCGTCGAAGGGTCGGTGATGTTATTGATTGAGGCGAACATGCCTGGTACTTTAGTGGCGACTGAGTTACAAGTTCGGACTCGCTCAGCGTTTTTGAAAAGGCGACTGCGTTGCAAATGTTAGCTTTTGATAGCTCGTGTCTGCGTCGTTATAAATACCGGACAATGTCAACATCGTAGTAGGGCATTTCCATTACTTTCCAAGTCTCGTGGCTGGAGAACCAGTATCCTGTTTCGTATTAGATATTGCTAATTCGGGGGTTTTTTGGTCATTGACAAACCCTTCTGCACAGTGATAGGTCCGAATTTGCCCATTTGGTAATCCACGCTCACGAGCTGCGGTCTTTTGACTTCCCAAAGAGCTTTCTTGTCGGCATCTGACAAGCCGCCAAAGAATTGGAGCCAGAAAGTAAAGATCTCGCCCTCGAAAGGGTCGTTCAGTAGACCATCGCCTTCGCATAAGTATGATTGGTCTGGGTGGTTGACTGCGAGAGTTTGGTCTTTGATATCTATGACGGCACAAACATGGCCATTGCCGTGATAAAATATCTATTTTGAAGCAGATTAGTTCAACTGCTCTGACTGGATAGTTACAAGGACAGTAGTTGAAGTACCTTGGCAGCAGTAGTTTTGGTATAGTCCATCCAGACCTGCCACTTTTGAGCGAGTTCAAGATAAGACTTATCACCTGTGTTCTCTAGAGCCTGAATAAACCCATATACAGCCCACAGGAGTTCACTAGACAGACTCGCGTTAGCTGAGAGCCACCGAAGCCAGAAATCAATACTCACCCATTGTCCAGCGCGGGCACGCGATTGACCCAGTCCAATGTTGGAGTCAGATCTTGAGAGTCCGCTGTGATCCAAGGCAAGAAGCCGCCAAAGCCGGGGTACGTTTCATTGAACTTGAGGTATGTCTGCAACTTGGTCTGCATGATGGAAGCGGCAATTTCAGGTGCTGCTGCTGTGTTACTAGGGGAAAGGAACCGAGCAGCTCCTGGAGACCCGTTGATAGCATGCGTATAGAGCATAATCTGAAGTGACTGTTGGAACAAAATTAGCCAATGGTCCGATAATGCAGAAAAAAGAAGCCAACCTCTTTGCTAGCTGCACTGAACGGGTGCTTAGCTGTTGCTTCACCAGTCACCCAGTCGATATTTGTCCCATCATAGGATATGCCATTGTTGCTGTTGTATGAGATATTGTTCTGGTGGAACTTGCCCTCCCAGTACAACAGGTCGTTCACAAAGGCATTGGGGTTTTGGAGAACCTGCTTCTGGGAATAATGACATGCGAACCGGCATGAAGGCTCTCTGTGTTGGCCAGACGATGAAGGTAGAGCCTTGACTAGGGATACCCATGTCAAGACATGACTGAGTTTCTCACCGAGGAGCATATTGTGATGCTGTAGTTAAGCAATGAAAGCGATTTGAAGGCTATAAAACCACGGAGAAGGCGATGTCGTGGATCATATAAATACTATGCTCCTCTACCATATAGCGGGAATCGTACATTTGTCCGAGGTCCATGTCCACGAATCATAACACCAAGAAATTTATCTGGGGTCCCCGCATGCTAAGAAACTTCCCCTGGCGATTTACTAGTTGGCCAATGAGATTGAGATATGTTCACCCATCCTCTCTTCTGCATGATGTTTTAGCCCAATGATTTGATATTGAAGTTGGCAAGCTTAATTGTCAAGATCAATGACCACTCAGGCGGGATTAGACCTCGGGCTCGGTCTTGCATCGGGATTTGAGGAAGAATTACCCAACACCCGAGTGGGCTGAGACGGAGAATCGGGAAAATAAAGAATTAAGCGGGGAATTTCCCCGAGTCAAAAATATTAATGTGGACTTTGGCTTTCGGGTGAAAGTTGATTTATCAAGATTCGTTCTTGGTGAATTGTGGCTAAAAGGGTTGAACACTTCATTTAAGCGATGATTCGCCGCACTATATCTAGAACCTAAATAGGAACTCGGCAAAAGATACAGAGAGAGAGATACAGAAGTAGGAATGATAGAAAGCCAATTGAAAACGAGATAATGAAAACATTCGCTAGACATTTGAACCGTAATATAGTATTTTCATTCATCATAAAACAAGTAGCCGCTTTTTTTCACAATAGCCGCCGCAAAGTATCCGACGCTTTTGAATCGAGGCGGGTCAGTATATCAAGAAGAACTGACAGATCGTTACGCGCTCGAGCTAATAGAGGGGATGTCTCATGTTGATCAATGATCTCGAGGAGACAAGCTCCAATTAGTCTGATCTTTTCGACCTGTATAGACATCAGCAGTGATTCATGACAAGATTAACGGGGGATGACCTACGCAAGGTTCGCCATTCACCTGCAAGGCCCAGAAAGGGGCATCACGAATTACTCGCAAAAGATCGCGTGCAATATCAGTTTTCCTGAGAAGCAGCATTTCGCTTTGTGCAGGTGGATAATAGTTTAACTCCTCGAATTTCTGTGTGATCACCATCTTCAGACAATGCAATGTGACATATACATTGGTTGCTTGTATGGTATGCAGCCTAGTCAATCTGGATAACCGTTGATTATCTTTATTGGAACCTGCCATGAGCTGATCATATTGCAAGAAGGGAGGCAGATCATCCAAAGCCGTTGCAAAAAGCACATAAAGATGGTCAAGTCGATGACATTCTTCAGATGTGGGTGGCTGACGCGGAAGTAAGTTTCCAGTTTTGTGACTGTCTAATAGTCGCATTTCCAAGAGCAAATCCGAAGCACTTTGCCAGAGCCGAATGTTGGCATTGAAACCTGCAATGAAGCTCTTGTGAACCCCCTCCTCATCCGGAACAGCACTACCCGGTGTTAATATTGCCTCGTCTTCAATGCCGGTCGGATAGCCAATGGTGATACCAGATTCAAAAGAATATTTATGAATCGTGATCGGCCGATTATTCAATATGGCCGCTGATTTATCGCCGATGTAGGCAATCCAGAATGCCCGTCGGCGAAATTCTGCCTCGAGAACAGTGAGACCTTGTAAGGATTCCTCTTCATGCATTTGCATCACTTGCGCCAATCGGGTCGCTTCCCCGAATATGTGCCATGATAGTCTCGGCTTGCCAGCTGCATGCATGCAGTTGGAATGGAAGTATCGGATGGCAACAGAATTAGCATTTGGGTATTCGAGATCGGCCTCTAAATAAGTGGCTAAGCAATTTCTAGAGGCTTGCAGGAATGGGTCTGCAATTCTCTCACCCTCTGGAAAAATATCCTTCGGAAGAAGAAAAGCCGCTTCTGCGCAGACGGCTGTGATTAAAGTAAATGTGAAATCAGGCCACATATCTGGGTACTTGAGGCTGCTGAGTCCATAGATGAGGCCATCGGATCTCGAGATTCGTCCTTGTGTCACGAAAAATCCTAGTCCATCTCGGAGACTGGGCTCATGAACGAGTGGAGTTAAGGGGTATAGATATTCGAAAAATAGTTCGAAACAATGATTGACGGTCTGCTCTAAGCTCGTGGACGGGTCTTGTAAGGCGAGGTCTCGCTCTAAGCCATGCCATCGTTGCAAAGCCGAGGTGACTCTGTTAGAAGCCGGATTGGAGATAGACGATTGAACTGTATGCACTGTTGCAGGGGACAAAGCCGGATCAAGCACCGACAGGGCCGGGTCCCACACATCTAGTGAGACCACAGCCGGGACAGAGGAGCATGCGTTTTGAGATGCAGAGCCGTGCTCCGAGAGTTGCAGGGATGAATTTGAAGGACTTTGCAAAACATTCGGATAAACCACATCATGGGATCTTTGCCGCTTGGATTTGGGACCTCTTCTTGCAATCGGCAAATCAAATGTGCAGTTCAAACGAGCCAGACGGCAAGTGGTGCAAGTTGACGATTGGCTGGAGCAATCACACTGAATCGCTGCAGTTTAGTTTTGGATTCGTCGATTTTTACCGTTTCATGTCATACCTTTGCTTTTCTCCGACGACATCGATCGCATGCCCTAGTAGATGATCGCGAGCCAGATGCAGGGCTGGAAGTGGCCATTAGGTACAAGGTGAGATAACGGGGAATTTCCTCGGTGTTGAAAAGTTGGGGATGGGCCTCGGTCAAATACTCCAGTTTCCCCGGTCCTGGCCCCGCATTCCGGGTACTAGAGGCAAAAAACACGTGTATAAGATTTCGCATGATAGAAATTGGTTTATTTGGATCAACAAGTCATTATGTGTCAAAGTTGATAATGCGAGAGCTTGTATTAGGGCCTAATGCGGGATTAATTGGAATAAAACAACGCCAATATATTGGGAGTAAGAAAACAAAAGAATATCACTGAGCAATAAAAGTAAATGATAATTAAAAGCAGTTCTGAAATATCATTCAAATATGTGGCCTAGGCTCGTCTGAACCTATATCACCTGCGCGAGATTGCGGGTTGGAAGTATCCAAATTCATACGTTCCTCGAACATACCTTTCAAAAGCAAGGCAGATCGCTTCGGAGTCCGTTCCAAAGTTTTGTAGTCAGTGAAGGTAACGCCAAAGCGAACCCCGTATCCATCGGACCATTCTAAAGGAAATTAATTAGCTTCGAAATAATCAAGTTTGCAACGAAGACATACCCAAATTATCCATCAAAGACCACGCAAAATATCCTTTGATATCAGACCCATCTTCGCGCGATCTACCAACCGCATCAAGATGATCTGCGAAGTATTGAATTCGGTATGTATCGTTGACAGCCTCTTCGCAAGTCATTTTGTCTTCACCAGGACACGGGCATCCATTCTCTGTGATGTAAATTGGCTTCCCATACTTTCGATAGACTCGTGTCAAATGCTTCCGGAAAAGATCGGGGGTGGACCGGAGCCAATGCACTCCACTTTTCTCTCCAATTGATACACCTTGCTTGTTTTCTTGCAATTCATCCACGTTGCCCAAGAAATCAGTTTCGGCGGCAGGCACGTTGCGGTGCCGGGCAAATTGGGAGGTGTAATAGTTCATTCCGTAGAAGTCCATATCGGCCTCTCTGAGCAGGGCAAAATCAGAGCCTGTAAATCTAGGGAGTCGGTCCCCCAACTGCTCTTTCATGCATTCTGGATAGTCTTGTGCTAGACTGCCATAATGTCAGCGATGTTCCTCTGCACAGTATTGTATGTGAGCGAAACATAAATGAAGACCTACCAAACCGGATTGGCGAACCATCCAATATGAAATTCCATCCTGCGTTCTGCAGCTTGCTGGTCGCGCTGGTCCTGGCTGTCCCAAGGCTCGTAGTAATCCCCATTCAGAGAAATCCCGATTTTCCCCTTTTGAGAAGCCTTGAAATGCCGGTTATACAGGGCTGTGGCACGAGCATGGCTCATGATCAAGGCTTTGCCGACGGTCCAAGGCTCTGTGGCAGTATTTCCCTCAGCACACTGAGGGTTCGTACTGCTCCTTCCAGGTGCATTGCCTCCAGTGGCGTATCCCTGAAAGACCAATTAGCTAAATTGCGTAAAGCATGAATGAAAAAATGACCTACAAATATAGAAACGATCCATGGCTCATTGAGTGTGATCCAGTTCTTGACCCGATCTCCGAATCGCTCGTAGCAGACTTTCGCGTATCGCTCAAAGTCGAGCTGCGACTCTTCCACATCCAACCAGCCTCCGTACCGGTCATGAATACCCTGAGGGAGATCCCAGTGATAAAGAGTAACCCATGGTGTAATTCCTCTGGCGAGCAAGGAATCGATGAGTTTGCTATAAAATGCAATACCCGATTCATTGATCGGATCATCTCTACCCCCTAAAGGAATGATTCGAGACCAGGAGATTGAAAATCGGTACGCCTTTGCACCGTATTTAGAGAGACTGTCGAAGTCTTCTTCAAATCGGTTATAGTGGTCGCAAGCAACATCTCCATTTGCCCCCTTTTGTTCTTGTAGGTTCAAGATGGCAAAATATATCCCAGATAGACTTGCCGCGCCCATCTTCATTTACTGCGCCTTCAATTTGGTATGATGCTGTTGCAAAACCCCATTCAAAATCCGAAGGCAGTGAGATTGTCGACATACTGAGTACAGAGAAGATGAACCGGGAGACAACTTGCAATCGAATACAAAGACCAGCTACACTGGATACTGGAAGGATTGAGAGTTATGCCTTATAGCTTCCGGGAAATTGTGGCGCTCAAATAATTCACGAAGCGAGCCCTGGAGTTGTCCCGTCGGAGATTGATCACCAGGCACATTTCGGGGAAATACAGATTTGGCCGATGACAATTCCCCGATACTTTTCCTTGAAACTTTCTCTTTCCCCACGGGGCAATTCCCCGCAGAATGCAGACTTCGAGTAATTTCCTTTCCCACGTGTGCATATGCGAAGTTTTAGGGTTGTCGGCATGCATCAATCTCATCGTCTCCACTTAATTGTCACTTCTATAAGAGGTGCAGGGAAGCCATTGAGCTGAGACCTTGGTTTTCGATAATTGGCAGTGAAGTTAACTGCACTTATCTTCTCTTTTTCATTTGGAGTCGTTGTTTCTCTGTAATCATGGCTCCTGCTGCTGCCCACGCCACCGAGGGCATTGTGTCATCCATTGATGTGGATTCTATGCCACCTTTTTGGCGACGCAAAAATGGTATTCTGTTATACTTTCTATTAACTTCGTCGCTGTTGGCAAGTGCTGCCCTCGGAATTGATGGAGTAAGTTTTTCCTCTCCAACCACGCATCGTATTTCGCTAATAGGTCTTTGCAGTCCATGACGAACGGCATGCAAGTTCTGGAATCTTGGCAAGATCGGTTCGGACATCCGGAAGGTGCCAAGTTGGGATTCTTTGGAGCTTCCAATGCAATTGGAGGCGTGATCCCATTCATTTTCCTCAGCTGGATTGGGGATAAGTTTGGCCGTCGTCTGCCCACTGCTCTAGGGTCGGTTATCATCATCACCGGTGTCATCGTCGAGTTCTTCGCTACTTCATTGAACATGTATATCGGCGGAAAGATCGTGTTGGGAATAGGATCTTCTCTTATTCAAATGGGCGCACCAGTCTTGATCACAGAGCTGTCTCATCCGAAAGAGCGTGTGCAGGTTACCACTTTTTACAATACCTCCATCGTCCTGGGATATGTGATTGGAGCTTGGGCAACTTTTGGCTGCTACAGAATTAGCAGTCAATGGTCGTGGAGATTGCCAACTTTGATTCAAATCGTTCCCTCGGCCTACCAATTCTGTCTCATCTGGTTCTGCCCAGAATCACCTCGTTGGCTGATCGCTAAGGGTCGTCACCAGGAGGCTCGCCAGATTTTGATTAAATTCCACGGCGAATGCGATCCCAATTCAGAATTGGTCCAAGTCGAGTGTGCCGAGATCCAACAGGCCATTGACAAAGAAGCAGAGAACAACATGAGCTGGAAGGACTTCTTTTCTTCTCGAGCCAACCTTAAGCGTCTTTTCCTCTGCTTTGCCACGGCCGTTTTCAGCCAGAGCTCCGGTAACCTTCTTGTCTCCAACTATCTTACTCAGATCCTCAAGGACACGGGGTTGAAAACGCAATATGAGATTACTCTTATCAACGGGATGGTCACTCTTTGGCAGTACATTGTCGCAATCTTCGTTGCACTGGTCATCGACAAATTCCGCCGCCGGTTCTTCTTCCTCACTGGGTCTGGTGGTGTTGTTGTCGTATTCGTTGTCTGGACCATTGCCGCTCAGCAGTATCTTGAACATAGCTCACTGGCCGCTGGCCGCGTTGTGATTGCATGCATCTTTGTCTTCCAGGCATTTTATACTCTTGCTTGGACCAATCTGATTGTGACATACCCACTGGAGATTGTAACCCTTCAAATGCGCGCCAAAACATGGGCATTTGTTCTTCTCACCATCCAGGTGGCATCCATCTTCGGAAGTTATGTCAACCCCATCGGATTGAAGGCTCTTGGGTGGAAGTTTTACATCTACTACTGTGTCTGGGTGCTTATCGTCTTCCTCGTGGTCTACTTCTTTTTCGTTGAGACGGCCGGCCCTACCCTTGAAGAGTTAGCTTATCTCTTTGAAGGAGAGGACGAAAAACAACAGATGGGCGAGAAGATCGTGGAGCAGAAGGAACAAATCCAGTACGAAGAACACGTGGGAAACAAGCTTGCATGACGTACCCGGTTGCATCCCTCAAAGTGATGATATAAAGTGATTTGGATTGAAATGAACAAGGGTGATGATAAAATCCCAATAATAAAATCAGGCTACATATAATGAAGTTCGAGACAAGTCTTACTCTAAGTTTGTGCGCACGCCGACTCCATGGATATACAGACGCACTCGAGGTTCCAGTAGCAACAGCCAATGTAGGGATTTAAGGATAGTATTCAAACCCGTACATATGTAGTTTCCGCCTCTTCCAGTGGTGAAGTACTCAACAATAACAGGAAGATTGCTGTACCGAAAATCGATGCAATGGAATCAGACACAGTGAATTTGGCTCAATCTCTTACATTGTAGCTGGTGGGAGTGGAGGAGCTGATTGCGGGAACTGAGCTTGACGCCAATTGATGTTTAATGGAATATTGGACAGTGCAATAATCCTAACGACGTTAAGGCTGAAGGTATTGAGTCTATCTAAAACCTGGTGGTGATCAATTAACAAACCTGGACGCATACGTCTAGAACGGCATACAAGGAAATCGAAACTGGAAGGAAAAGCTATCATTACATCCATTATCAAAATCGACATCTGACTTCGCTCCAAACGCTCCGCATCCTTTTCATTTGAAACGCTGGCGGGGTCCATCAAAAGAGCGAGGCCCAGAGAACTCCCGGCCAGCATTTGCAAGTTTCCCGTTCGCCAAGAAAATAGTATAATTCCATGCAAGAAACATTGATCAATATTCACGTAGACCGGCATGTTTGACCGGTAGGAGGAAGATGCAAAGCATTAAAATGAGGTAAGCCGTAGGTAACAAGACAAAATCCATCTAGGTCAACTTCTGCTTGATGAAGAATGACCGCAGATGCGAGAGCTGCCAGGCGCAAGCGGCGGACAGAACGACGAGCTGGATCACAGTCCAGCGCACAACACGGGAGTTGGTAGTCTCGGACTGATCACGGAATTCGGATTCGCGCTCCTGATAAAACAATATTAGTATACGTCCGATTCAAGCTATCAAACACCCGAGAGGCTTCATGTGGCCAATTCTTACCCGCTGGTACACCTGTTCGCGACGGATGTCGTGCAACCTGCTGTTCAAGTCCTTGACACGCTGGACAATATCCTTCATCTTATCCTTATCCTCGGTCTCGATCTTGCTAGTCTCGCCAATGGCAAGGTCGACGGTGACCTTGACGGCGCCCCGGGAGGTGCTCAACCAGTTGGAGGCAGCATCAGTCTCGGGTGTGAAGCAGATTTTGTGCTGGCCGGCGTCGGCGGCAGAGAAGTGGAAGCGGCCAGAGTGGCTGTCACGCTTGGACACAACGCGGTGGTCGTTGTCGAAGGTCTCTTCGACGGTGATGAGGACATGCATGTTGTGGTCGATCGCGTAAGTACCGGACTGCGCATTGAGAACTTCGGTCTCAAAGCGACCTATTGTTCATTAACATCGAGTTAGCTTGTGTTTCATCAACCAAAACGCAGGTTGGATCCTACCGGCCACTAGGGTATCCTTGGGCAGGTCTTCGAAGAAGCACTTCGTTTGCCGGCCCTCCATATAGAAGTAAAGGGCATTGGCGGGGAGAAGAAGAGAAAAGAAGGAAAACAGAGTCAAGACTGATGCCAGCCATGACGACGAGGTCCTAGAGAAAGCCATAGTAAAAGAATATGGGCAATTGTAGAATCGATCAAGTCCAACGTACTCCGTGAAGGTGTCAACATCCAGGGACCGCACCTCACCGCCTGCAGTATACGGAATCCTCCCTTTCCAACCGGAAACCTCTATCGACGGTGATCTTCAATTTCAACTGCACTGTTTCTATATCATCAAAGACAAGCCGGTTCATTTCTCCCTGATGCAGTTTTAATTGGTTGATTTCCCCTACATCGAAAATTTTGAGCCGATCTCATCTATCAAATTGCCATCATGGCATCCGCCGGCGATGTTCGCGACATGTTGGATTTGCCCGCAGAAGGCCAGCCTAGACCACACAAGAAGCAGAAAGTGGTTGAAAAACGACCAGGTTGGTGTCATGCGCGTTGTCAGGAGTGGTGGGATTGACTAACAGTATCGTTGCAGAGGGTATCACCCGTGAGTTGTACGCGCTGCTGGGCGAAAGGGCGCCGCCAATCGCGATTAATGAGAATAAATATAAGGGGCGTCCAAAATGGATGAACAAGCAACGTCCTCGACCCTGGTATGTTATTGAATTCACATCAAGAGCCTATGGATGAAGGCTGATATTGAATCCTATTTAGGGGCATGGCACCTTTTACAAACAGCGCTCGTTCCGATGGCCTGGTTTTGCACCACTGGCAGAGAAAGTATGAAACGGCACGACCGCCGGTGGCCGCACCAGCAATCGAAGAATCGCAAATGGATGTGGATCAGCCGAAGGAAGAAGCGAAGGAAGAAGCGAAGGAAGAGGCTCCCAAAGCAGTAGAGCAGGATTACGCTTTCGCCAAGTACAACGTCAAACCGCGCCTACCGCGTCGATACACGGACGACGAATACGCTCGACTTCTGAAAAGCGATGACTGGTCGCGTGAGGAAACAGACTACTTGATGGATATCGTCACAGAGTATGATATTCGTTGGGTGATCATCGTAGATCGTTATGACTATCAACCGCCACTGGAAACCGAGCCTGATGGAAATGCGCTCGTGCCAGCTAAGCAGTATCGGACGATGGAACAAATGAAGGCGCGCTATTATTATGTTGCTGCGACGATGCTTTCAATAGAGCACCCACCTTCAGAGATGTCCGAGGCGGAGTTCGAACTACACGAGAAAATGCTCAAATTCGACCCCAATCGCGAGCGCGACCGCAAAGACTTGGCCGCCTTGCAAATCAACCGGACAGCAGACGAAGTGCGCGAGGAGGCAATGTTACTGGAAGAGTTGAAGCGTATCACAAGCAACGAGCAGAACTTCATTACCGAGCGTCGCGAACTTTACTCTCGCCTCGAAGTTCCCATCAGCGTTGGAAACACAACAATGTACCAGTCCAGCGCAGGACTCTCCCAGCTCCTGCAAACCCTACTACAAGCCGACAAGACCAAGAAACGCCGCTCCATCCTCGGCGACGGTGCCATCCCCAGTCCCGCCGGTCAAACTCCAACCACAGCCGGCGGTCTTGGCCGAGCTGAAACACCAGTCAGCCAAGCGGCAAACAACAAAAAAGGGTCCACGGCCTCAAAAGAAACCCATCAAGCCGTTCGGACCCTCACACCCGCCGAGGAAGCCAAGTACGGCGTCACACACCACGAACGTGTCTCCGCAGGTGTGCAATTCCGCAGCGATCGCGCCCAGCGTCTCACACAAGCCAAGTCCAACGTTCAGACACAAAAACTGGCCAACGCGCTCTCCGAACTCGAGATCCCCGTGCGCCTATTCATGCCTACCGAGCGTGTGTGCAAGGACTTCGAGAAACTCATACAAGCCGTCAACATGCTTCTCGACGCGCGGAAGATCTCGGAGAAAGTCGAAAGCGAAGTTCGTGTCCTCGAAGCTGCCAAGTTCGAGCGTGAGCGTAAGGCACGTGAAGCTGCCGGTCTACCCGCTTTGCCTCATCCTGAGGTGAAGACGGAGGCTGAAGATGGTGACACGGGCATTTCTGCTTCCCATGCAACTGGGCACTCTGCGGCTCCTGCGGCACAACATGGCCAGGGTGCACCAAATGCCAATGCGCAAGAAGCGAGCAATGAAGGAGAAGCTCATCATAAGCGTTCTGCCAGTGTGCTTAGTGGCGTAAGTGATAAGAGCAACAAGCGTCAGCGGAGGTAGACGATCTACTGAGGAATAGTGTGCGCGAGAAGTGTAAGATGTATTCGGGATTTTTTATCCATTGTTTTGTACGATTAATGACATCAGACTGGGCGGCATACTCATAATTGAACTAACTCGATATCCTCACGGGTAAAAATACATGCAAACTGGCCCTGGGGCCATGAATAAAACTGCATCTTTGCTTGCACCTAACAGGATTTCCTCCATTTCTTCATGCTCAAAGTTTGCTGCTGATCACCATTACTCTGCTTCCACCACCAGACTTGTTCGACTCGCCCAACCGCTGCCGTAAAAAGACCCGGGCATTTGAATGCATTCTTGATAATCATTCGCTAATTCAGCTGCTATGTCACTTCTGGTAGAATTTTCTCGGTCAACACTGGGCGGCCACTCTTCGTACTGGACCGGAGAGATTTCAGACGGCTCTTTTGGAGGCATGTATGAGCGTTTCTTGCTCTCTCTGTTTCTGGAGAATCTCAAAACCCAACGCCCACTTCGAGAGCGCGAGGGTTGTCCGTTTAATTTGTCTGCGCTCCTTTCGTTTGACGGATCAAAGTAAGCAGATGGACGACAGTCTGTCTGATCCATTGATAATCGGCGATCTGCAATTAGGGAAGTCTCTGGAGTACACGAACTGCGCCGCGACTTTAGAACATCATTCTTATCTGTCTGGGGTTGTTGTTTCAGCGACAGACTGCCTCTTGACCATCGACGCAAAAATCTTCCATCCGTGTCCTCCACATAATCGACAGTTGCAGGGGTTGGAGATCGGTTGTACTGCGCATAAACTGAGCCTGCATTATGGAGGTTTGAAGGGGACATTGCCTCGCCTGTCATGTCCGCCGCTAGAGGGGCATGACCATGGCCTCGAACCGAGTGGCTTTTGATCTTCGCCCACATGCTTGGTGTTAGAATGGGCTCACCCTTGAGATCGATCGGGAGCTTGGTGGATGAACACCGGCTGTCGGGTCTCATGGAATATGCCCTGGGAGTCACTGGCTGAGCTTGAGGTTCCAGCTTGTTCCGCTGCTTGACAGATCCAATCATTCCAGCTTCATGGGCGGTACCAGTGGTTGGCGAGGGGGATTGGCAATCCCAGCCTCTATTGAAAAGCGGATTGTCATTCCCATCACCCTTTGATGGGGACTCGTCGACATCGTTTACCAAACTATAGCCGTAACCCATTCGCCGACCGTCAGTCATCCACCCGGAACTGACCTTGCGGGGTGAGCCCATGCCGTTCATGCCATTCTTGGAATTCGGTGTGGAATGGGTATAGAAGGATTTCGAGTTAGCGGCTTCGAATTGGTCGACAAGTTTGCTTTTGATGACCTCATCCGTAGGACTTCGTCCATCCTCAATGCAAGCATACTCTCCAGTCATCATTCCGCGAATGTTAGGCAAATGATCCAGAACATTCGCCGCATGAACTCTGAGCGAATGAACAGCAGGGGAGGCCGTCCCCAAGGCTTCATCGCTTTGACGTGAATAGAACGAAGACACGTCTCGTTTGTGAATAATAGCTTGCTTCTGGGACTCTGTCCCAACAATCGTTGAGATATCAGATGTCTCCCATGATCCAATGTTTTCTAAGGAGATCATGGGCGCCCCATATCTGTTTGCCCGTGGGAGATCCGAGACAGATGGATTGGCTGACGGTGGTCCGCGTGCTATGTTAGGCCCCGTAATTTTGTATGAGAGATCGGCGCCGCCTAGGTATGGCGGATTGCCTTCCGACTGGGATCTAGGAGAGCTCGTAGGCTGCCGTCTTTTTGAGACCATGATGTCAGATGTTTGCCTGGTCAGCGATTCTGAAGATGCCGCTCCATACTCATTGTGATCTGCATCCATATATTGAGCCCAGTCCACCACAAGATTCTGAAGATTCTCACCACTGCTACCCGTCAATACAGTTCGAGGTTGAAGATTTTCCCGCTTGGGCCGAGCCAATTCTTCTTGACTGACATGGAGACTTGGAAGAGACTTCGCAAAGCTGCTTTGCTCTCCTGGTCGTTGATTGGGGAGCGATGTGTTAGATGCGGGCGTAGAGCGGGCTCCTGTGCTTTCGATTCCATGCTTGACATGACGTGCACCAGAGATACCTCTTATACTTCCTGGTGGAGTGGGAATGAAGTGCATTCCAAAGCCAGCGCTCGGAGTCTCAGATCGATCCTGACCACCGGCGCTCGCCCAGCTCTCCATGTTGATGCAATCCCGACTGCGCTCTATGATATCATTCAATCCCATTCTGCGGAAGGCTGGGCTCTTGGATGATCCTTTTACGTTCTCAATACGCTGTGGGGTTCCGATACACCGGGCATCGCTGTCATATCCTTGCGCATTCATCAAGCTGCTTCCGTTTTCTTCAAAAACGGCTAGCTCCTTGGCTGTTTTTGGCGTGCTTGGATTTGGCTTGAGAGAGAAAGGAAAGACGATGCGGTGCTCCGTGGACGGTCGGGATTCTCGAGAGAATCGACGGCGAAGGCGATGCGAGAAACTTGCGGAGATACCTCTTTGGTTTTGAACGGGAGTTGGATTCTCTCTGTGTGGAGCCTGAGTGACCCCTTCAGACTAAATGTTAGATCGTGACGATGTGCTATCAGGAGTGACGTTGACTCTTGCCGTGAACTTGCTCCCCAGGACCATCCACGTTCCCATTTTGATCCTCTTGGTACGATTGCGCAAAGCCAGAGGGAGAAACAGCCCGATGCCCACTACGAAGACGGGGGCAATTGAATAAAAACATGACTCAGAACTTTGGAATAGTTGCAGGATGCGGAAAAGATCTTAATGGCTATACGATTTTGCTTTTGGTACGAGGAAAGAGCACAACAGAAGGCAACATGGAATGTCAATAGCTCTTTCAGTTTGCCATCTCTTGCCATCTATTGAGTATATAAGAGTAGATCCATGGTTTGGATCGGAACCAAGCAGTCTCTATCTTAGCTTAGAGTAATTTTGACGCTACTCACTGCTTTTTACAACACCTGGCGATAGAAAGTAGGTCGGTGAGACAGACTCCTACTCAAGTCTTGTTGGCCCAACATCTCAGTTGACCACATAGAGCCTCGTATTTATTAGATAAATTGGATTGGCGGTTACAAAGGTCTACCCAGTACATCTTATACTAACACACTATATATTGAAGACGCCATACAATTGGAAACCAGCAGTCAAATCTTCATGAAACGCTCAGCTATCATGAATGAGATGGCCGAGTACCTAGGTAGGTACTCGATCTTCTTCGCCCACTTTTGCATAACCCTGTGAGCGGCGGCAACCCTTCTATCCAAATGGAAGTCCCTCAATGAGCAGCTACACACAGCAGATGCGACAGCCAACCACGACCTCCACCCGGGGTTGGGTTGCCTTTTCACAATAGAATTGGAACCGTGGAGGCCGCCGCCAAGTTTTTTTTTAATCATCTCAACTTTCACAAAGACCATTATATAGCTGCTAATATGCCGTTAGCCCAGTCATATGAGCATATGGTGTTGCAGTGCGAGAAACCATGGGCAGCGAGCCATGGCTTACGAGAGACAATTGTGCGAATCTCTGCGGGGCTGGAAAACAAAGAGGAACTTTGGATCCGACTGCAGCATACTTTATCGATGGCATCGGATCTGTAGTTATGACTGGATATATAGTTGTTGTTTTCTTCTTCGGATATCTCTCTATCTATTGCTCTGTCCACGCGAGATCAAAATTTCCACTCGTTTTATTCCATATATCCGTGGATCTTCTCAAAAAAAAACTGTCGACATGACCTTGATGGATTATACACCTGAGTGTGGAGTCGTTTGACACAAAATCTTATTTCATTCGTTGCACAAACTGATCGTTATTTACTTCAATCTCAGCTCTCTGATTCCTGAGGCCGTATTTGGGGCTGAGTTGTTGACTGCGCGTATTCGGATCTTCCCGAGGACTCCACTATTGACCCGCCCTGCCACTTTTTGTTCATGAATCACACTTCTCTGCTCCCAGAAGGATCATTTCTCTGGATAACTACAGTGATGCTAGTGGGGTTTCTAAGCTCGTGTATTTGCTATGAACGAATAGAATGAGTGTCCCGGGGTACGGAGCCACCCCGGGATCCGGAGCTTCCACCCTAAAGGAAGCTATCGCAACTCAAGCCTACTACGGAAGGCTAGACAAGGCTAGAGTAAGCAAGAATGGAGCACATACGCTTTTAATAGGGGGTGGCTTTGCGATTCTCGTCAGCACTAACGTCACTCACCTAGCCGCAGGTGAATCATATATAAGGAGACTCTGATCTCCACGATGAAAAGGACACATATCACCCACGTCAATAGAAGCCACAGCATTGAATACAATATGTCTGAGAACACTCAATTGTCCAGCTTGGAGATTTTCCTTGAATCCTATCCCACCGTCAAATACATACAACCCTCTTCTCCTGACTATACATCGGCCCGAACAATCTTCATTAGCTCCAACCGGGATACCCCGCTGGCCATAGTGCAACCACAGTCTCCCTCTGACGTCGCTGCTCTTGTGAAATATGCTAAATCGCAGTCTATACCCTTCACTCTCCGATGTGGCGGCCACAACCTAGAAGGTCGCTCTGTGGCCCAGGGGGCCCTGCTTATCGATTTGCGGACGCTGACAGACGTCAGCATATCCCCGGACCGTAAGTCTGCCACTGTTCAAGGCGGCATCATATTAGAGGAGCTCGGCACCAAGCTCTCGGCAGAGGGTCTCTGTACCCCGATAGGAGCCACTCCGACTGTGGGATATGTGGGTTGGGCCTTGTACGGCGGGTATGGGTCCTTCTCCTCGAAATGGGGACTCGGAGTGGATCAGATTCTTGGTGCAACCGTTATCAACCCCGATGGCGAGATAATCACGGCCGACGAATCTCTTCTAGAGGGTATCCGAGGGGCAGGCGGCTTATTCGGTGTGATCATCGACCTCACCATCAAGGTTTACCCATTCGCCAGCGTAAGAGAATCAGATTTACTTTGAAATACGTCGTAACTTACCATCCGAGCCCCCCAGCTTCTGGCAGGAACCATACTCTATGATTCCACCGACATCGCCACAGTCTTCGTAGACTTCAACGCAGCCCACCAACGTCTCATCGACTCAGAGGACATTCCCCCCGAATTAACACTCCAACAACTGGTAGTGAACGCCCCACACGGCCGTTTCTTCGGTGTCAAATTCACGTGGAGTGGCGCCGATATCGAGGAAGGCCAGCGCTGGAGCACCAAAATCGCCAACCTAGCCCCAGCACTCATGAACACAGTCGCGGTCACTACAATCCCAGAATGGCTAGCTGCCAATGGCGCCTTGACCCCAGATAGTGTCTACGGCTCTGCCTTCACTCACAACATCAAAGCCATTACCCCGGCTGTGGCTGAGGCAATTGGAAGAAGTTTTGCTCTCATGCCGGCGGATCCCGGTGCCATGCTGTCTATCCATCAGCTGCGTGGGCCGTCGGCAGCGCCGCAGAGTCGTCCATCCGTATTTGTCACCCGTGAACCACATTATATGGTTGAGTTGCTGGGATTTGCGACGAGAGAGAGTTTGAAAGAGGAGTCTGAAAATTGGGCCGCGAGACTCTTCGAAGACATCATGCGAGCGGATCTGGGTAATGTGTTGCCGACTTGCTATATTTCATTGTGTAATACCTGGCAAGCAGCTTCACCGGCTGAGTTACTCACGGTGTTGTATGGAACAAAGGCGGAGCAAGTGAGAGAACTAAAGAAGAGGTTTGATCCAGACAATGTGTTTAGGCTTACGGTTCCGGTTTTGGAGTGAAGGAAAGGACTTGATCACTCAAGCTGTGTAGGTAGCGGTATTATCATCGGAGGTTGCATTTTTCTACATTCTGGCAAATTATCTTGTAAGTCTTCACTGAAGCCTTTACATAATACATAATCACGGTAACACAGGGATGTGCAAATACCTATGCATACTTTCTGTGTCCCCTAAAAACCCACCATACACAGGATATCCGGTGAACCCGAAGTAAATGGCGCTACCAATAAGAATCCTCAGCTTTCTGCCCATTGACTTGGCAATTAAGGCCACTGATCCGGACAAATGAATCTGGAATCGTATACAATAGTTTGACATGATGATAGGTAGATTGATTCTCTGCAGCTCTACCGTTAGCGGGGCGTAGAAAATCCTCAATTCCAGCCAAGTCGCACGCTAAAAGGATTTGCGTTGTCTCAAAGCTGCAGAAGTACGCCACATAGGTACCCAATCATGCACAGTTTCGTTTTTAATCTTGACACTATTCTCTCACCAAATACTCTAGCCCTGCTGGGGGCATTCTCTCTGGGTTGCGATGTTATCCAACTTGAAGACTTTGCGGCCCATTGGCTTAGTGCTTGCCCTCATCATCCCCTTTTCTATTTTTTGCTATCTGTACACAGACTGGATACCAGAAACATCAATTAGTCCCAAGATTACACTATCTCAGTCTTCAGAGACAACTGCGACCGGCACAAACCCAAACCCAGCCTCTGTGGCGCCACAACCGTCCAGCGACAATGAAAGTCATTACAACGATGCGCTAATTTATCAACACCCCGATAAAGTGTGGCACTCAGCGAAATTCGATAATCTCACAGAAACCCAACGTGAAAGAATCAGAAGCTGGACAAAGACGAACCCCTTTTGCCGCCAAGAATTGCTGACCGACCGATCGGCGCAGACGTTTGTTCGGGCTCACTACAACGAAACCCGACCGGATATCGTTGAAGTCTATGAAGCGATCCCCATTCCGATTCTGCGGGCTGATCTTCTCCGTTATTTAATTCTACTTGCAGAGGGTGGCATCTGGGGTGATCTAGATGTTACTTGTGAGAAAGAAGTCACCGAGTGGGTCCCTCTTGAGTACCAGAATCAAACGATCGACATGATCGTCGGGCTAGAATTCGATTTTGAATGGCGAGGACCAGGCAAGGCTGTCGCATCTCAATTCTGTAATTGGGTCTTTGTTGCACGGAAGTCTTCACGCAATCTCCAAGTAGTTGTCGACACTGTGATCGCCAAATTGAAGGAGATAGCTCTGGCCAACAGTGTCCATATCGAAGGTCTTACGCTTGAAATGCTCTCGGATGTGGTGGATGTGACAGGTCCCAAGATTATGACGGTTGCGATCCTGAAGAGTCTTGGACAGTTGCTTGATCGGCCTGTTGATGATCGTGATTTCTCAGGCATCAAACAGCCTAAGTTGGTGGGTGATGTGCTGATCATGCCTGGAAATGCCTTTGCCGCGCTTCAGAATGGCAATCCCACAGATCAGGGAGATGTTCTTGTCACACATCATTATGAGGGCTCATGGAAGAAGGAAGATCAAGAGGCAAAGGAGAGAAAGAAGCAGAAAGAACAGTCAACAGCAAAACCACCACCAGCGACGACGGAAAAGTGAGACCATATGGTATCATGAAATGTATGTATATGGAATGTATTGCAACCTTGGATTAATTGAACAGACTGCTACAACTAGGCATACAAATTTATATGTATAACCAATACAATGTGCAATAATCAAAGAAAAGAAATTCGGTGTGTTACTTGTTGTAATTGCTCTTTCCATTTAGGGAATCTCACCCCGTGTTGTTTACATATGTGTACAGTTGAAGACTTCGAAGTGCCACACAGACCTTCTTTATTTCACATTCACCCTTCATCTCTAAATCTTGCTCTTTCGTCCATCTCTCTGTATTCAAACTTGAACGGATACTGTACTTTCTAATGCGCGCTATTTTTGTTCTAGCAGGGCTATTCCTGCTGGCCGCAACGGCAGTGGCTAGCATTCCTCAGATCGAGATCAAGGCAAGTAAATACAAGGTTTTTGCTTGCTCGAGGGTTGTGAAGATCTAACCAAGCATTTTTGTCATTAGGGCTCCAAGTTCTTCTACGCAAACAACGGAACACAGTTGTAAGTTTTCTATCTTACACAGACCACAATCTACCAGGCACTGACCAGAACCAGCTACATCCGCGGTGTTGCCTATCAGGGTACACGTGCTGGGCCAAATTTCTTTCCACACCAGAGCTAACTTAACCACAGAGGACTACAACGCCGGAGGAGCTAACGGAACTGGACAATCGAGCGACGTACACTATACAGATCCCTTGGCCGACGGCTCCAAGTGCGAGCGCGACATCCCATATCTTTTACAGCTACGAACCAACGTAATCCGCACCTACGCCGTTGATCCGTCGAAGAATCACGATGATTGCATGGGCAAGTTGGCGGATGCAGGCATCTACGTGATCGCCGATCTTGCGTCCCCCGATGTCTCTATCGTCTCTGATCTGCCTGCTTGGACCGTCGACCATTACAAAAGGTATACCTCTGTCGTTGATGCATTCCAAGGGTATGATAATGTTATTGGCTTCTTTGCCGGAAATGAGGTTGTCAACCATGGGAACCAGACCACGGCGGCGGCCTTTGTGAAAGCCGCAACACGAGACATGAAAGCGTATGTCAAGGCCAAGGGATATCGTACATCATTGTCATTTGGATACGCAACCACCGATTCACCTGTTTTCCGGACAGAGCTCTCGGACTATCTCAACTGTGGTGATCAGTCGAGTGCTATTGACTTCTTCGCCTACAATATCTACGAGTGGTGTGGTGACAACACATTCCAGGCTTCTGGGTACCAAAACCGAACCCAGGATATCAAAGACTATTCTATTCCTGTATTCTTCTCCGAGTATGGATGCAATACGGTCAAGCCTCGCAAATTCAGTGACGTGCCTGTGTTGTTTGGTTCTGACATGAACGATGTCTGGAGTGGTGGCATCATCTACATGTACTTCCAGAGCACCAATGACTATGGTCTCGTGTCTGTCGACGGGAACTCTGTGAGTACCGAGGACGCTTTCAACTACTACTCCCAGGCGATCGAGAGCGCGACGCCCACCGGCATAAACAGCGGCATTTATTCTCCCAGCAACTCGCCCCGTCCGTGTCCCACTGTCGATGACAAGTGGCGGGCTATATCAAGCCCCTTGCCCCCTTCCCCAAACCAAGACCTATGTTCTTGTATGGTGAGCAGTCTGTCGTGTGTGGTCGCTGACTCTGTCACACCGAAGCAATATGGTGACCTGTTTGGCACGGTGTGCGGAAACGACAAGAGCGCCTGTGATGGCATCCTGGATAATTCAGCCAGTGGAACGTACGGCGCGTTTAGCGTGTGTTCAAGCAAGGACCAGCTTTCATATGTCGTTGATCGCTATTATCAGGACCAGAAGAAAGACAAAAAGGCGTGTGATTTCAGTGGAGCTGCATCCCTTCAATCAGCGAAGGGTCCGGCTGGAAATTGCAAATCGCTCTTGAGTCAGGCCGGCGTATCTGGGACAGGACAAGTCACCGGAGGGGGAATCCCAGCAGCAACTACATCAAAGGGTGCAGCGGCTTCAACCTATACCCCACCTGCAATTAATTGGGGTCATTATGCTGCGGCGATCTACATCTGTGTTGCGGCGATCACTTGGTCGCTGATGCTTTATCTTTAAGTTGGCACAACCCCGGGTTATGCGTCTTGATGTTTTCCGTTTTATTGATAGCAAGTGGAGCGACGGAGTTGTCAAGATGTTTTATTCAAATTATGCAGCCTATCAAGTGAGTTCTGGGTTGGCTCAGCTTCTGGACTTGGATTCTAGGTAGCAATAAACGCATTCTTCCATGCCAGAGTTTCTCGAGGTAGTTTGCGAATTGTCCTGTATAATTTCTGCACTTTGTCCTATCCCTCATTTTCAAGTCTTTCTGTGAACAATCCACTCCCATTCAATCTATATTTCCTAAAAGTTTCAGTAATTCTCCGAGATAACAAAACAGTCGGGATATAGATCTGCTTAGTCATTTTTTTTATCCCGCGCCCCACGTGCCCGTGGGGCTGACCCAATTCTTTTTACAAAAAAATACAGATCTTCACTTCAACCCATTGCATTTTTTTTTCACTTACTACCCTCTTTAATTCCCGACCTCGAGTCTAATACCGCAAAAATGGGCAACGTAAGTCATTCCAAACCCCTCCCAGACACAACAAGGCACTCTTGCGCTTTTTCTTTGTCTCGATCGACCCTAACACTGACGTTAAATCCAGGGAGCCAAGACCCTCACCCAGCGCAAGCGGGACACCAAGACCACTAAGGCTGCTGGATCGCAGCGCGACAGCGTGAGTGGATCCTTCGTACATATGAAGTGCTCGACGCTGACAATTGCCAGAATGAGAAAGCCATGAACATCCAGTGCAAGATCTGCAAACAGACTTTCCTCCAGACCACCAAGGCCCCTGCGTACGTGGTCCTTACCCTACATATCTCCCTTGTATTGACCATTCACTAATGCTTCTCTCGTCATAGTCTTATGGAGCACGCCGCCAACAAGCACGCAAAGCTCCCCGCTGCCAGCTGCTTCGACGCCCTCAGCGGAACAGCCTAATAGATGCGGAACCGGCACTTGATACGATACCACGGGTTAGCATGGCTTAGGAGTTTATGAAAGCGGAAATATCAGGAATGCACTTTGGGAGACTTTTCTGCGTAGGGAATATCGGGCCCGGGAGTGGGTGTAGTCTACACATGGTGTTGTCATGTGTGATGTGTGATGGTTCTCTACGTAGTCATATTAAATACGATACCCTTCCGTGCATTTGTCGCTCTGCCCCGCCCATTCATGAGACAATCGATCTTCCACAGTGGGAAACCCGGAAAAGATGGCAGATTTACCCGCGAAGCCGACGCTCAAGCTCACAACGTTGACTTGCTAGTCATCCGCCCTGAGAATCTATCGTACATTCCAAACCTACGCGACAGAATGGATCCGACGGTCTCTCCGTTCTGGAAGACCCAGGATACCATCCTGGGTGCGCCAAGCCAGCCGATGCAGATATCTGTGGGGAGGAATTCGCGGCTAGACACAAGCTCAAGTCGGCACTGAAGAAAGAACATCACAATACAATTCCGACAGACACTACCTCCCCAGCCGCTAGACCGTCAACAGTTGGCCCGTCAACTAGACCAGCGGCCACCCACGCGGAAGGACAGACCTACGACAGCGACGATGAGAAACTTGTCACCAAGCCAAAGGAAGTTGGAGTCGTTGAGTTTGGATCATGTAACTCCCAGAAGTTTGCTGGTGGATGGGCAACAACTTTGGTCAGCCGAACGTAGAGTGCACCTAAGACGGCGATCTTCGACTGTTTAGGCGCGTCGACAGTCTTGTTTGACTTATTGGCCGGGCTTACTTGTGCAGAGCTTTTTCGCTTTGCCATTGTGTTGAGTGAAAGTCAAGGTCAAGTGAAAGTCAAGGTCAAGTGAAAGTCAAGGTCAAGTGAAAGTCAAGGTCAAGTGAAAGTCAAGGTCAAGTGAAAGTCAAGGTCAAGTGAAAGTCAAGGTCAAGTGAAAGTCAAGGTCAAGTGAAAGTCAAGGTCAAGTGAAAGTCAAGGTCAAGTGAAAGTCAAGGTCAAGTGAAAGTCAAGGTCAAGTGAAAGTCAAGGTCAAGTGAAAGTCAAGGTCAAGTGAAAGTCAAGGTCAAGTGAAAGTCAAAGTCAAGTGAAAGTCAAGGTCAAGTGAAAGTCAAGGTCAAGTGAAAGTCAAAGTCAAGTGAAAGTCAAGGTCAAGTGAAAGTCAAGGTCAAGTGAAAGTCAAAGTCAAGTGAAAGTCAAGGTTAAGTGAAAGAAATGACGGGTTTGAGGTTGTGGAGGTAGGGAGAAGAAGAGAGAGCCTTGTCTCACTTTGTGTCTGTCCACTGTGTGTGAGACCACTATGATCGAGCTGGTTCGTGGCGGCCGCGTTCGACAGTTGAAATTGCCCGACGCAAATTCGGTTTCTCTTCTCTCTGTTACTGCCAACGACCGACCAGGTCGTGTTGGAAATACACCAAGCTAGTGCCTTTTCGCCTTTCTCTTCTCTATTGGAGTGTGAGCTTTTGCTAATCATCTGACTGCAGTTCCTATCGTTGCACCCTCTATTCTTGTCATCACGAAGATCAAAAGATGGTCGATCTTAGCCGAATCCACCCGTCCCAAGACCATCAGAAAGGCCAAAAGCGATGTTCAGGACATTGAGGTGATCTTGGATTGGCTGGCTCGAAACAATCTTCATGTGGATTTTGAAGGTTACCCGGAAAAGCCAAAAGAGGATCTGCTCTCTGTGGTTCGCAAGTTGCACCAGATGCATACTACAATTCGCTCTTTGCTTAAGGATACTTTGAAAGCGGAGGATTTTGCTCTCATTGACAATTAGATAGCTGATCGATAGAATGACAGTCACGAACGACAGATTGAGCAATATCCAGATACTCATTTCCCACAGCATTCCAATCCCAAGTTTTCATTTCATTCACTGCATCTTCAAGTCTTTTTTGAAAATCTTCGTCACTCTCGTTCTCGTTTTCATTCTCACTCCATCCAGGATCCTTGGTATCCAGCGGTTCGTCTCGCATAATATGAAAGGATATGAAAGACAGTAGATCATCTTCTACTCGACGCCTGAAGGTGTCTCTAACCGGGTGATTTAGGAGATGACGAATCAACGACACCATATACATGTGAGGCTTGGGCGTCAAGATATTTAGCATGCGATCAAAGGTAGATGTGACTTCGACAGTGTCCTGGAGCGTAAGACCGACAAATGACAGCGGGTAGAGATATACTGGACCGCTCTCATCTAGCCTGTGGCTGATGTTAGCTCGCTCCCATTTTCCAAACATGTCAGTGACCCTTGTGGATGGGGGAACGCAGGGGAATCCATAGTCTGATAGTATCTGCGATGAAAGTGAGAGCAGTGCATCGGGGACTGCCCACTCGACCAGCTAGGACTCAGAAGTTAGTAGTTCCCAACAACGAGAGTGCCGAATAGCAGAAAATTGTTTCGCTGCTTACGAGAAGAACCACAGGGTCTCCATTACGCCACTGTACCTGCTGCCCGTACTCCACCACAGGGATATTATTTTCAGCTAGAGCTCTCGTAGCGACCCTCGCGATGGGCGCATGAGGTTGTAGCGATGATGTCTCTTTCTGGGGTGGAGGTTCCATTTTCCGGTCACCTAAATTCAATACAACTCAAATGGTAGGACTCTTTGGTAAGTACGGTGGTCATTTGATGGTATGGTAAAGATGACGAAACATTCCGTGGATAGATGTGTTTTCATCTCAAGGCGGATGCGGCTTAGGGTGTGTCCACACATGACCGCCCTTCTGAGCGCTCAGCAGGGGGGAGACCGTCGGAACTCTCGGTACGGTTTGGTCAGGTTGTTTGTCTCATTCATATTCTTTGTTATGTTTTTTTTTTATCGTAATCAGGAATCCCTATATAAATTGTCAGAAATAAGGAGATACAGAGTGTTTAACGGTCCTGATTGGCCGATACATTTTGGTTCTGACAGAGGCTTGCAGCCGAAGGCATCAATGCCCCTTCAGCTTTCAGGCATACACCCCCGTGCGTCACTTATATTTAACATATTCCTAATTCCCTTTCCTCGGGTGCCAAATCACACTTCAAACAGAGCAAGACGTATCAATACTCTCCGATGATACAAGCTGCATCAATTTTTCACCCTCGGCAATTAGCAGCATATCAGAAGCCCCCTGTTGGAATTTAGGCCACGCAAAGTAGCTAGCATTGTTAGGGTTCGCCGCGGTGTTTCCCAAAGCTAAACGTGCCGGGCCACGCGTGGGATCCTCAGCAAAGCTGAGCCACAGGGCTTCCATTGCGTAGCTTACATCCCACTCAAAGCTGGTGGATTGACTGCGATATTCCGAGTGTGTACCGAAAAGCAGAGGCAACTCTGAGCTATGGTAGGCACCAAACCAAGGCAGTGGTGAGATATTGGAGAAGTTTCCAGCGTATTGGTAGCGATACGTGGGGAGGTCTCCAATATACCGATTCTGTGCTTCTGCTGCGACGGGACAGCTGATTATCTTGGTAGCTGCGGCCAATGCTTCGTCTCCGGGACCTTCGGGCGTGAAAGATACAAAGCCAGCACCTTCATTCGTGTTGCTACCGATAATCATTGGCTATAATAAAAAATTGTCAGATGTTTGGAACCTCGTGAATCAAGAAGAAGAAACTGACTGTTTTGGCAACCTTTCCATTCGTGAGCCTCTCTGTCCAGTTCGAAAACACAACCTTGTTGTCGACTACTGGCTTAAATGCCATTGATGGTGATGTACCATTGCCAGAATAGTAAGACAGGGCGTTTTCAAGTGTTTGGGCCGGCACCTTCCGAACGCAGCTTAGCTCCTCTTCGGAGCCCAGGCCATCGCATCCGACAAGGCCAGCCAATGTTGTGAAGTTTGTTTGGGCTAAATCATAGTTGACGATTCCAGGACCTCCTGAGTCTGCGATAAGACCTGCGACAATTGGATCCTCTGGGTATCCATAGGGATAGACTGAAACGCTGCCTGCTCCGGCAGACTGTCCCCATAGTGTTATCCTCTTCGTGTCGCCACCGAAATTTCCGATATTGTCTCTGACCCATTCAACACTATTGATGTGTCAGTTTTCCAAGTGCGTAGATGGTAGGGTTGAATTGACGTACGCCAATCTTTGATCTAGTAGCCCGACATTCTGATCTTCTAGGCCCTTTGCATTCGGGAAACCGAACAGATTGACACGATAGCTGGTATCAACATGTTAGAATAATAGCTTCACAGAAACCTCGAAAAGGCGGCTTACTTCATAATAACAACAATATGAGATTGAGTTCGCTGAACCCACTTGTCCGGAATTTTGTAAAGCGATGCTTGGCCTCCGCTGGTAAACCCGCCCCCAGGAATATAGAGAAGCACAGGAAGTGGTCTTTGTTGTGATTGAATATTCTCAACCTTCGGTGCCCATATAGAGAGATAAAGACAGTCTTCAGAATTTCCCCCGCTGACCAAGAACCCAGTTTCGTATTCAGTGTAGATTGTCGAGCTACTAGAATCAAATTGCTGCATGCAAGAGTTGGGAAGCGTGAGCGCCTTAACCGTCCCATTGGGTTGCTTGGCTTGTGGTTTGGCAAATCGAAGTTGTCCCACAGGAGGCTCTGCAAATGGCACACCTAGAAATTGGCGCACATCAGGAGCTGTGTGATTAATGAAGCCTTGGATATTTCCAGAGGTGGTTTCGACTAGCAAACCAGTTCCCACACTGACTTTTCTGTTGGAATGGGGGACAGCATGCGCTTCTAATGAGAGTATTGCGGCCAAGAAGGCAATGTTGAAAGATCTCATCTTCATAAGCGACAGAGACCAGAGCTAAGAGGTATGGGTAAAGATGTTTGTATGTCAAAATCAGTGGACAATAGCGTCCCTTATATATTTCCCCAGAATCTCGATTTCTCCATGCTTTGAGACGGGAAAGCGCTCTGTCATCAAACTCATGGCTGTCATTGACCATAAAAATCGAGAAAATAATAGCGAGGTCAAGCATATTTTCACTTAGGGCGGGGTTTGCAATGATCTCTGCTCGGTCAGGCAAAGCGATATGCCGGCAAAGATCAATCTCCACACTATGTTCCTCACTAAGCGAACCCAGATTGTTGCGGGGAAATTGCGGGGAACTTCGGGGTGCATCGACTGTTTCTCTCCGCGTTGTTGATTTGAGGAAACTATTGGTGGGAAAAACCACATGGTAGATTAGTGCCATCAATGGTGTACAAGGGGTGGGATATCACTCTGCCGGCCATATTGAAGCTTTTTGTTATGCCGAAAATCTCTATTCAAACGGCAAAATCCGAAATTGAACCGGCAAGTAGTGAGTGGCCAACCAATTCGGCGACATTCATCAGGCTCCGTGCGATCTCTTGTACCCGTTCTTTCAGTAAGAGCAGGTCGAGAACTTACCTTAATTCCGCTCTATTGCAAACGAATTCGCAATTTGATGAATCTATCTCGATATCTTGATTTGAGGGGTGTCAACATACGGAGTTCCCCGAGGCTGTCGTTAAAATTATTGTTCGACGAACGGCCAAATTTTCATTACAATAACCATATCTCACTAAGCGATTCCTTCAAACTAGTGGATCTCATACTCCACGAACGTTAGCAGAAAAATTATAGGCACGCTGCTGCCCTCACCCATATAACCCAGCCACCCAACGCGCCAATTGAAAATTAATCCCATTGAATACAGAAGAAACAGACTCTTCCGCCCATCTTGCCAGGTAGTAAATTGTGTGTTTCCTCGTACCGTCTGACCTTGGTCGCCCTGGGGCTGGACGGCGTTCTTTGGCGAGGATTTGCCCGTCGTCGTACCTGTCGGTGTCTTCTGGGTACCTTGGGTCGAAAATCGGCGAAGGAAGACCAATGGATCTGAGAGGACAACGTCGAGGGCTGCGAAGGACTTATCAAAGAGTTCAAGTTCAAGGAATACCACAACTAGACAATAAACAACAGACCGAAGATCTATGACCTGTATCACAAATATCTGTATCTTATCACACCTTCCCAATGCGACTATAAATTCTCCTCCCCCTTCCGGTTTCCTTCTGCTCTCTTTCTCCTCCTACATTACCACCACGGACAGAATAGTAGACTCGGTAGTGTAGATGAACCCCGACACTCTTTCCTTCTGATCGTCGACAAGAACTCTATCGTGATATTTGCGAATGACCTTCTTCGTGTGGAATCTGTGATGTCCGCAGGCGGCGCTCACTTGATCACGTATGGTGTTCATAATATCGCAGGATTGACAGAACATCAGGAATCGATCTTGCAGTCACTGAGGAATAAGCCCTTCTTTCTTCACGATCTCACTTAGACGGGCTATTTGCTGCATCATAGCAAATTGCGCGCCCGTCGAGCTTGTGGTACGTCTTCAGAAGATCATTCTGGACGTCATCTGAATCAGGAAAACAAATGTTGTCAAAGTATGGGATAAGCAGGTCATTTTCCTTCAGTCGAAAGAGGCGGGCGTCTCGTGTATGCATGCGTCCAGGCTCTTCAAGCATATACTCGGTGCTCGGAGGATTGAGGGCCCACCCCATATTGAATTATGTGGAGATGGTCCGGTGAAAGAGAACCTTACGATCTTCAGTGAATCTCCTCGTACTCCTATGGTTACCTAACGCGTCCACTCCTCGAAGAAATCGATGTCTTCATTTCTGAAGGTCATCTGTCGTGGTAGACAGATTTCCGAGGTCTTAACGACTTCTCCGTGGATGTTTTAAGGCAGTGAGCCCTATTTGTGTTTCATGTAGGCGTCGAAGGTGACCATCACCAGTCGTCGACAGCGTACTCGCTCTTCTTTGCTGAGGCCGTGGTTATTTAGGTCATCCCGCCAGTAGGTGCCGACGACCATCCCTTTAGACAACGGGCCCACAGAAGATTTAGGCGCTCGACGGCGACTGATTTCAACGAAGTGCTAGTGGAAATACCCACCGTAGCACTATGGTGAGTGAATACGATAGCGGGCTTGTCAGGTGGTGTAGACTCGATCATCGGTCTAACCTTCCGTAACACCCATACGAGACATGCGCATGCGACTTCAAGCTCTGTCGGCCAATAATTTTGCTCTGGGCCTGTCAACATCCGACTGAGAAACAGAATCGGCCTCACAGACAGCTGTTAATTTCAACTTCATCGGGAACTTATTAAAATTGTTTATTCCGTCGGACTTTTTGCCTTGGTAGACTTTTTCTTAAGTCGTCTGAACATTTACTTTGTTTTTTTCACCGATTCGGTTACAGTGGCCATGGCTATCTCCGCTACGGCAGCAGCTCTTCGCTTCGGCTGCTTACGAACTGGTTATTTGCTGGAACGAGGATCCGCTGACTTTCGCTTTGGACCCATGATGTCGATGGTGATGAGAGGTATCTTCAATTCTATTCATCTCTTGCAGCCTTCATGATAGTTTGCCTATCTTTCACTTAACGTAAAGTCGCATCGCCTTATTTAGCTGCCTCGCACACACTGGACAGAGACAAATTGAGACAAGTCTCTCTCACTTTCTCCCTACCTCCACAACCTCAAACCCGTCTTTTCTTTCACTTGACCTTGACTTTCACTTGACCTTGACTTTCACTTGATCTTGACTTTCACTTAACCTTGACTTTCACTTAACCTTGACTTTCACTTAACCTTGACTTTCACTTAACCTTGACTTTCACTTAACCTTGACTTTCACTTAACCTTGACTTTCACTTAACCTTGACTTTCACTTAACCTTGACTTTCACTTAACCTTGACTTTCACTTAACCTTGACTTTCACTTAACCTTGACTTTCACTTAACCTTGACTTTCACTTAACCTTGACTTTCACTTAACCTTGACTTTCACTTAACCTTGACTTTCACTTAACCTTGACTTTCACTCAACACAATGGCAAAGCGAAAAAGCTCTGCACAAGCAAGCCCGGCTAATAAGCCAAAAAAGACTGTCGACGCGCCTGAACAGTCGAAGATCGCCGTCTCAGGTGCACTCCACGTTCGGCTGACCAAAGTTGTTGCCCATCCACCAGCAAAGTTCTGGAAGTTGACATAGTGAAGAGAAACCGAATTTACGTCGGGCAATTTCAACTGTCGAGTGCGGCCACCACGGGGCAGCTCGATCACAACGGCATCGTCCCCGTGAGTGAAAAAAAGGTTGGTTGGTCCGGGACTGTCTGAATTTGAAAGAAAGCTTGAAGTAGCAGGTTTTGGGTATCACTTGGTTCTGCATCAACGATGATATCAATGTCCTGAGTCTGATCAGCCGGAAGGATCGTGGCAAAGATCAAAAGATATAGGGAAGGCTCGTCATCCTCGGTCCACCAATGAGGGACGTCGCATATCCGCCGATAAAGCCATAGCGAATATCAGCGCGAGCCAGAGCAGCTGTGGTTTCCTCGGCTGCTAAATCTAGGCAGCGGAAAGGGTTCTGGAGCACCTGTTCTCGGATCTGCTCCATCAATAACGTAAGCTTGTAATTTAGCGCCAGCGAGATTGAAAGAAGGGCATATGAAGGAAGATGGAGAGAAAGCGGCTTCCGAGAAATACGCATTTATTATCGACCTATATAGAGGCATGCAGGATGCAACTCTCCTGGGGGATCAATTGGTCCATGTGCTTAACGCCGGAAGGGATACAACAGCATGTCTGTTGTCTTAGGCATTCTTTCTTCTCGTGTGACAACACGAGGCGCTCGTGAAACTGCACATCGAGATCCAAGATGTCACTAGTGGGTAATCTGAAATGAGTCAGACGACATGAACTATCTTCGTTGCGTGATCAATAAAAGTAAGCTTACTCGGCGCAGGACATATCTTTCATTTCTTTTTCTAGCTACCACTCTTTTCCGTTTCAGCCCAGCGTCTATGGTTCCAACTACCATTCAACGTCCGAATAGCTGCTCGAACAACAGTCCTTCTCATTGGAGGAGACCCGAATGGCAACTCGCCGGTGCTGATACCCCAAAATACGGGCGTGGGATACTCGGTCTACCGCATGCACAGATTAAAGAGCTTCTACGGTGAGGATGCGAACGAGTTCCGGCCTGAAAGGTGGCTTGGTCCATAGCTAGACTGTGTCGGCTGGGGGTTCATGTCCTTCCATGAAGGGCCCAGGACATATCTCGGTCGTAAGTTGATTCGTTCACCGAGGTGTTGAACTAATCACACTGACCAAATATACAGAGTTCGCATTGACCGAAGCTTCATATGCGATCATATGGATCATTCAAATTTCCCGAGGCTCAGATTGCCCCCTGATATACGTGGCCTCCCATCCGGGGAGGAGAAACAGGCTATGATCATTTTGATAATGAGTGATGATTGATGCAAAGTTCTGCTCCAGTAGAAGAGACATGATATGCACAATTGATTATTGAATTAAGAAGTTCAACAAAAAGCGCATATACAAACGGAGCCATCTCAGCTATGTTGGCTTCAGACCAATGGATATAAATGTCTCCCATGGTTAAATCTTGAGGTCTAAACTTATCGAATAGTAAATCCGCCATCAACTCGAATATCCGCCCCATTAATCATACCGCTAGAATCCTGTTCAAAGGTCAGAAACTCACCAAGATCACCATCGCCTTCGAAAACATACCTGGCAAAGAAACAGAACAGAGTCAGCAACTTCTTCGGGAAGCGCAAACTTGCCCGTAGGAATACCCTCCAAAAAAGCATTCCGAACCTTCTCCTCCCCCCAAGCCTTCTTCCCCAGCTCCGTCCACGCAACAGTAGGAGACACTGTATTAGCTGTGATCCCTTTACCACCCCACTCAGAAGCCATACTGCGCGTCAAACCCAGCAATCCAGCCTTGGATGCACAGTACGCGCCATGGCGGTGCAGAGCAGCATGCGCCGCCTGGGAGGATATGCTAACAATCCTTCCTGGGGGCGGCGGGCTCCGTGATGCCGAGGCAGCTTTTGAGGCCGCGAAGTACAGCCGTGCAAATGCTTGTGAGCAGAGCATTGGGCCGTAGAGGTTAGTTGTTAGATGCTTGAGGGTCTCTTCGGGTGGAGTGAGCTCCATGTCGCTGAGAGATACGTAGCCGGCTGTGTTGATGAGGATGCTTGGAAAGGCCCGTCCGGATTCGGGTGATGAGGTTGGTTCTACGATTTCCTTTTCGAGGGAGTTGAAGGCCGACTGGACTGAGTCTGGGGAAGTTATGTCGCATTCGTAGGTGTGGATGTCGTCTAGGCTACTGCTTGCGCCGTAGCCTGATTCCAGGAGCTCATCACGGCGTGCTGCTTCGAATGGGGCGTAAAGAATGGCGAGACGGGCTCCTTGTTGGCGTAGCTTTTGGCCTATGCTGGTTCCCAGACCTCCTTGATGATAGATTAGATATTGGTGTACTGCAAACATATGTCTTGTTCTTACCGAGGCCTCCAGGAAGAATGGCCAGTCTGCGAGTGAATGCCATTGCATATGGAGTCTATCAAGTTTATATTTCGAACTAATTTCTTTAGTTCGAATCTTTTGAATGGGAGAAGACAGTCAAAAGATGAAGGTGTGGAGTTGATTTACCCCATATCTCTATTGAGGGGAACCAAACGCAATCGGAAATGATCGTCAGACGGGCTTGGCATTAGACGAATATCTTTGGCGTCCACAAGGTTGTTCTGCCCTTCATGTTTAAGGGAAAAAGTTCCAATCCCATTGGTTCACATTTTCAGTTTAGGGCAATACTTTAAATACGTTTATCGGATTAGCAAAACTCAATTGATCACAGCTCGAACCAATCAGAATGCACCATCCAGTATATCAACAAACCCTTGTATATACAAAGTTAAGCACTTGGTCAAAGGTACAAGGGTCCATTTGGATTAACATCTACGAGTTTACGAGCGGTTTGCTAAAACTGACCAACTACAAGAACCGAACCGCCAGTCAAGGGGGTCCAGTAGACAGTGGGTCATCCTTGCAGACTAAACTGCCACATCTCACCACCAAGGGGGTGGACATGGCGCAGCAAAGCTTGATAAACCGACATGAACTGCCTTGCAATCAGACAAGGCAATTCAAAGCAGTTGGAAAAGGGTCCGGTATGACAAAGTCATGGCAGGCCCCGCTTCACTGCGAGGAGTGTAACCAGCCCAAGCAATGAATGAGCCAACTGTCAAGACTCACCTGCCAGTAGCAAACCGCATCTACAGCTCAAAAGAGGCAGTCAGCAGTACCGGCCTTGAGATAGCATCCGCAAGGCCAACACTAAAAGAGGAGAAGAGGGATGAAGCAAGCATGTCCTTTCGCTGGTATTGTCCAGATCAAGTTTTAACGGTAATATCTCAGAACGAGGCATGTGCTTTTGGAGAACCAAAAGCACAAAACCTCGAACACCCGTCATGCGCGCTGCATAAAACAAAGATACACTTACCCAGCACATCCCCATATGGATGCCAAATTACCGCCTTTTTTACAGTGTCTCCATAGTAATCGCAATGACTACCAGAGAGCGATTTACCCGTAGAGCTGCCCGATTGCGGCCTAAACCGCGCCCGTCGGGAGACCAGGCTTCTCCTCTTGACCAGCATGGGTTGTCTCGGTATCCGAGTCGACGAACTTGAGGTGGGAGAACCAGATGTCGTTCGACTTGCGCCACCACTCGGCAATTGCAATGATAGTGACGCCGCCCATTATGACGATCGCATAATTGAAGAGGCTGGAGTCCGCGTCGATTTCACTGTTCGAGTACATCGGTGCGCACAGAACAGCGAACGCGAATCCGTTCCACAAGAATGTAACCACAGCAGCGGCCACACCGAAGCGGCCAAGATCCCAGAAACCGGGACGGAAGGTCTTGCGTGTGATGAAAGCACGGCCGACGCCAACCAATCCGTACGCAGCAAGCGAGCCCGCAGCAGAGGTGGAGATCAGACTGGAGAAGGCAACCTGGGACGGGAGCTGGGTGCAAAGCAGAAGCGCAGCGATGGTCGAAATGAAGATTACTGCGTTGTGGGGCTGCTTGGATTTCGAGACCCGCGACAGCACATCGCTGAAGGGGAATACGCCATCGCGGGCCACGGCGAAGACGAGGCGGGAAACCGCAACCAAGGAGATGGAGGTGTTCAGAATGGCGCCGATCATCGCAACAATGGTCGCCACAATATGAGCATGGGGACCGAGCGCCATGGCATACATGTTAATGAACGGCTGGGGCACGCTGGTGTCGTAGAAGGTCTCGATGGGAGGCATGCAGAACAGGAACAGAATGATAATCGGGAAACCGCACAGCGCAGACGCAACTGTTGCCCAGAAGATGCCCTTGGCGGCTGCTTTCTTAGCAGACACGGTCTCTTCTGCGACATGGCCTGATGCATCCTGTCCCACGAGACAGCTTGCAACCATGAACCACGAAAGAACCCAATTCAGTCCAGGACTAGTATTGCCACCGTTGTATTCGGATGTGAACACATATTCAGCTGTCTGGAAACCGTACGTTTTCGACACACCGATAGGAAGCCAGATGAAGTTGAGCAGCATATCGATGATGATCACGGTGACACCAGCGCGGAATACCCAAGAGTACATGCGTGGAGGCAGGAAGTTCAAGGAAGTAGCGATGGCCAAAAAGAGCAGGGAGAAAGCCCATGCGACGGCGCGGGCGCGCACATCAGACGTTTCATAGGGGAAGCTCGTTTGCGGGTCGAAGACCACAACCTCCGAGATCAAGTAGTTGGCAACGCCGAACGAGTCACTGGCCAGGAAAGCTGTCCACGCAACGAGTGTCCACGCAGCAACCAGGAAAGAGACGAACCGTCCGACTTTGCCACCTCCCCAAGATCGGAAAGCCCAGTAGTAGATTGATCCTGCGGCGGGGTAGCTCGAACAGGCTTCAGCGAGACAGGCGGCGGTGATAACGGACAATATGCTACCAGAGACCCAAGAGCTCCATCTGAGACATTGTTAGTTATTTGTTCGAACAACTCCCCGGTAGCCGATATCCGAACACCGGGTACCGAAATGGTTTAACATACATGGCAGTAGGACCACCACCGCTCAGGGCGATATAGAACAATACACGGATACCACCGATAACATTCAGAGCTGAGAAGGAGCATGCGAAGTTATCAAATGTGCCCCAACCACGCGCCAATACGGAGCGGTAGCCAAGCTTGAGGAGGTCGTGATCATCTTCATTAGTCACAGAAACTCCGTCGGAGTCGGAGTTTTGGACCTGATAATCGGTAGTCTGAGCAGCTTGGCTCTTGGCTGTTTCGACAGCAACAGGGTCGATGGATGCCATGATAGATGACATGTTCTGATTTGCACGTCACTTAAAGTCACTTGGACAACCCAATTCTTCGAATCCCTAAAAAAACTTTTCATGAATTAACTTTTTTCCAATATCGCGATATCACGTGGGGCGATCTATTGCTCGAACGGACACCGAGACCGGGGGGTTGTTCGGAGCCATTGACTCATAGGTTTTCTGATGGAATTTGACAGAATTTGGCAATTGGCAGAAATTGGTAGAAACTTTAGAAGGCGCAGAAATTGATTGGTATCATTATCGCAAGGGATGAGATTATGCAGTGAGCCATATTGGAAGTCATGCAGTGCAGCTTACAGGCATGTTTTGTCCAAAGTACTCCGTACGGGGGTTAACGTAGCGGGGTCAAATTGACAGTGTTGCCCCGTGCTCCCTGAGCTTAGTTCCAGGCCTTTGCCAATTTTGAGATATGCTGACCGCTCATTTAACATTGTGTCTACTGAGTATAAAACGTAAATATAACCGTAATAGGAGAACTATTATGAAATAAACACACATTACGGTGTATAAGTAATAAAATAATGTTGAGCGCAGAAATAAGTATTGAATTGACTTATCGTTGATCATCTTCCAATGGCGTGATCGACCAAAAGGGCCCGATCCCGGAGATTACTAGGGTCTGTTGATACTTTGTTAGTACTGTAATTTACATGATCACCAAATAGTTACTTCGGCATTACCCGCATAACTGGTTGAACCCCGGGTATTAAACTGGTACAAGCCATGTTCCATACAATACATTGCCCCTCCATGCTGTAACTCCCCATTGGGATTAGCGTATAGCATTCCCCCTCCATTTATTTTTCGTGCTTTCCCTCCTTTCCCTTCTCTTCTCCTTCTTCATTCTCTCTCAAAGGCTTGGATTTGTGAAAATTCTACCCTTGAGAACTCCCCCCCTTCCTTCTTTTACACACATCCATCAGAATGGTTCAATCATCTGTTCTGGGTTTCCCCCGCATGGGTAAGCTCCGTGACCTCAAGAAGGCCACTGAAGCTTACTGGGGTGGAAAGATCTCCCGTGATGAGCTCCTCGCTGAGGGCAAGCGTCTCCGTCTGGAGCACTGGAAGATCCAGCAGGATGCCGGTGTCGATGTTATTCCTAGCAACGACTTCGCTTTCTACGATCAGGTCCTTGACCACCACCAGCTCTTCGGTACCATCCCCGAGCGTTACTCCAAGTACAACCTCCACGCTCTCGATGAGTACTTCGCCATGGGCCGTGGTCTCCAGAAGGAGGGTGTCGATGTTCCCGCTCTCGAGATGGTGAAGTGGTTCGACTCTAACTACCACTACGTCAAGCCTACTCTCCAGGACAACCAGCAGTACAAGCTCGCTGCTGAGCCCAAGCCCGTTGCTGAGTTCCTTGAGGCCAAGGCTGCTGGCATCACCACCCGTCCCGTCATCCTGGGTCCCGTCTCTTTCCTGACCCTCGCCAAGGCCGACCGTGGCCAGAGCGTCGACCCCATCTCCCAGCTCGACCAGCTCCTTCCCCTCTACGTTGAGCTTCTGTCCCAGCTCAAGGCCGCCGGTGCCGAGGATGTTCAGATTGATGAGCCCGTCCTCGTCTTCGACCTTGCTGAGAAGAACAAGGCTGCCTTCAAGCCCGCTTACGAGAAGCTCGGCAGCCTCGGTGCCAAGGCTCCCCGCATCACCCTTGCCACCTACTTCGGTGACATCGTCCACAACATTGATGTCCTCGCCAACCTCCAGAACCTTCACTCCATCCACGTCGACCTGGTCCGCAACCCCGAGCAGCTCGACACTGTCGTCGCCGCTCTCGGCCCCAAGCAGGTCCTCTCCGCTGGTGTCGTTGACGGCCGTAACATCTGGAAGACCAACTTCAAGGCCGCCATCGAGAAGGTCGAGAACGCCATCCAGAAGCTCGGCAAGGAGCGTGTCATTGTTGCCACCTCCAGCTCCCTCCTTCACGTCCCCCACACCCTCGCCAGCGAGAAGACCCTCGATGCTGAGGTCCGTGACTGGTTCTCCTTCGCTGTTGAGAAGGCCACTGAGGTCACTGTGATCGCCAAGGCTGTCACCGAGGGCCCCGCCGCCGTCAAGGAGCAGCTCGAGGCCAACGCCAAGTCTGTCCAGGCTCGTGCTTCATCTGCCCGCACCAACGACCCCGCCGTCAAGGCCCGCCAGGCCGCCGTCACTGATGACATGCACAACCGTCGCTCTGAGTTCCCCCAGCGTCTCGCTGAGCAGACCAAGACCCTCAAGCTCCCTCTCTTCCCCACCACCACCATTGGTTCCTTCCCCCAGACCAAGGAGATCCGTATCCAGCGTAACAAGTTCACCAAGGGCGAGATCACCCCCGAGGAGTACGAGAAGTTCATTGAGAGCGAGATCCGTGATGTCATCAAGATCCAGGAGGAGCTTGACCTCGATGTCTTCGTCCACGGAGAGCCCGAGCGTAACGACATGGTGCAGTACTTCGGTGAGCGCCTCACTGGTTACGTCTTCACCACCCACGCCTGGGTTCAGTCTTACGGCTCCCGTTGCGTGCGTCCCCCTATCATTGTCGGTGACATCTCCCGTCCCGCTGCCATGACCGTCAAGGAGTCCAAGTACGCTGCCTCCGTGTCTCCCAAGCCCATGAAGGGCATGCTCACTGGTCCCATCACCTGTCTTCGCTGGTCTTTCCCCCGTGACGATGTCCACCAGTCCATCCAGGCTCAGCAGCTCGCCCTCGCCATCCGTGACGAGGTTGTTGACCTCGAGGCCGCCGGCATCCAGGTCATCCAGGTCGATGAGCCTGCTCTCCGTGAGGGTCTTCCCCTCCGCTCTGGCTCCGAGCGCGTCGCCTACCTGAAGTGGGCCGTCGACTCCTTCAAGCTGTCCACCGCCGGTGTCACCGACGGCACTCAGATCCACTCTCACTTCTGCTACTCGGAGTTCCAGGACTTCTTCCACGCCATTGCCGCTCTCGATGCCGATGTTCTCTCCATTGAGAACTCCAAGTCCGATGCCAAGCTGCTTCGCGTCTTTGTTGACGAGAAGTACCCCCGTCACATCGGCCCTGGTGTCTACGACATCCACTCTCCCCGTGTCCCCACCGAGGATGAGATCAAGGTCCGCATCGAGGAGATGCTCCAGTACCTCACTCCTGAGCAGCTGAACATCAACCCCGACTGTGGTCTTAAGACCCGTGGCTGGCCCGAGACCAAGGCCGCCCTGACCAACATGGTCAACGCTGCCAAGTTCTTCCGCCAGAAGTACGCGCAGTAAATGCATTCAACTATACATTATTTTAATGAGGAGGTGACAATCAACCTGTCACCTCGGGATTGAGGAGTTTTGTTTTCTGATGAGTTACGACGATGATACCAAAAGTTCAACATATGGGTTTCAACGGTTTCTAGAGGATACCAAAAGCGGGCCTGGAGTTTCAACATGACTGACGATTTCAAATTGGCACCACTTGCATCACAGCCTACTGCCGCTGTGGAGCTGGGTGGTGTTGGTTTTACTATTTCAACATTGTGTGGTTTTCCACATGCGCGAGGTCTACAACCTTGCTTGACTGGATTTGCATTGCCAAATCCGGTCTACTGTTTCTATGATCGTATAGAACCAGCTGTCAATATTATTATTCCACATTACTCTACTTCTTTTCGTAACAACAGCGTAATAGTGCTTGAGCAATGCACCGCCGTAGTTTCTCGTCTCTCTTATTTGCTCTATTAACACCCAGCTGTGAATTTTTTGAGCCTGGGAACATTCTGGCAACCCGATCCCCAGACTAGTGCGAGCGGGTATAGGTCAGCCCACACGATCGCCCGGCGGATGGTCGCTTTCCGGGCCGCTCTGGTCAGGGTCCGGGGCTTCCTCGCGGCGTCACTTTTTTACGCATTGCCCACCCTAGATTTCATTTCTCGGGCCCAGGATTGGTAGAAAAAGACGGAAGAACCACCAGAAAACGTAGCAACGTCGGTTATTACCGACGGCTCTAAATTAGCACTAAACCTTGCATGTATTTATTTCACTGCGAAACTTTGCTATCTCTTTAATAGCCCACTTACATCTTTTTCCATTCCCCTCAATATAAACACTTTCTCAATATGGCAGACTCTACTCCCACTCAGCAGCCAGTGAGAATCGGCACCCGTCGATCAAACCTAGCCATCGTCCAAGCGGAGGGCATCCGCGATAATTTAAAGAAAATTGCACCACACCGATCCTATGAAATCGTCTCCCTGCACACACTAGGTGACCGAGACAAATCAACAGCACTATACGACTTCAACGCCAAGAGTCTCTGGACAACCGAGCTAGAGGAAAAGCTCGTATCCGGCGAATTGGACGTAATCGTGCACTGCCTGAAAGGTCAACAAACCTAACCCCACCCCTCCGCATCCAAACTAACAGCCCCAGATATGCCAACCACACTCCCAGACACCTGCGAGCTGGCCGCAATCCCGCCGCGCGACAACCCCCAAGATGCACTGATCGTCAAGTCCGGGCTGCCCTACACAAGCCTGAAAGACCTCCCCGCAGGCGCAGTAGTAGGCACATCGTCAGTGCGGCGATCGGCGCAGCTCCGCCGTCTGTACCCAGGTCTCCGCTTTGCGAATATGCGCGGGAATGTGGACACTCGAATGGCGAAAGTCGATAACCCAGAGAGCGAGTACACGTGCATGATCATGTCTGCGGCGGGACTTGAGCGTCTCGGATTGGAGGGGCGGATCAATCAGTATCTGCGGTCTAGGGACGGGGGTATTTTTCATGCTGTTGGGCAGGGTGCTTTGGGGTTGGAGATTCGGAAGGGTGATGAGGGAATGAGGGAATTACTTGATGGGTTGGGTGATGAGAGGTCGACGCTTGCTTGTCTTGCTGAGAGGGCGCTTATGAGGGCGCTGGAGGGTGGTTGCAGTGTTCCTATTGGGGTTGAGACGGAGTGGGTTGAGTCTGGGGATTTGAGAATGGCTGCTATTGTTGTTAGCTTGGATGGGACCCAGAGCGTCGATGATGTTGTTGAGGTGCCGGTGAGGAGTGAGGATGAGGCTACGGCGCTTGGGGAGGACATGGCCAAGAGGTTGATTGGGGCTGGGGCTGAGGCTATTCTTAAGGATATCAATCGTAATCGGCCGGCCAAGGATTGATAAATGGATTATTATGGACCTTGTGGAGTATCTATTCTGGGGTTAAATGGAATGTTAGACAAGAAAAAGATTGGATTGTTCCAAAGACGAAGAGCTGTTCTTCTATACAACTTGAGAACAACGATCGTGCAGAATTGGACGAACATTACATTGCCCTTTACAATATAGTTTACTCTAGGGTTCAAGGATGCGTGATGGTTAACAAACAGGTTTGTTCGCCCCTCTCCTCCGGGGTTAACCCTAGTACCTTCGGCAAGGTAAAGCAAGAGGCTGATTTCCATACTCGACACCTCAGAGATACAGTTTCTTTGAGGGAGCCACAGTGTCCCCAGAATGATGTGAGAAACCGAGATTCGTCATCTTTCTTATAATCTCCAAATACCCTGTTCGCGCCCTCAAACTGATTAATCAGGAGCTGAAGCTCGTCATCCACGTGGTCGCCACCACGACCAAATTTTGCCCAGGTATCGATATCAGGTAAAGTGATAAGATGCATGTTGAGTGCTTTGTGGTGAAAGAGTGTTGAAGTTTGTATTAGGCTCTCTTTCCCTGTGTAATAGCCCCGCCTTGGCCCCAAAGGCGGGTGAGCTAAGGCCGATTTTGCCTCAAATTGTCTCCTAGTCTTCTCTTCGAGTCTGCAGTGGAAGGTTCAAACTAAGAAGGTCGTCAATGTGTAAGTAACAAATTAGAAAATTCGTGAACTTAAGATGACCTTCAATTTGTGTCTGTAGAGACAGCCTCAACAATAACAGCACACAACCAAGAGATATTTCCGCTGGGGGTCTTGAAGGACTCTGCTTATATTTGATTTACACATGAGACCTTAGCCACCACCCGAGTTCAGCCCCCAGTTTTCCTTCCTGGTCATACATAACCAGATGTCCCGCCTCTTCAATGCGAACAACACGCTGGGCATTCAACTTCTCCTTCAAACGCTCCGCCGTCTCCACAGGAATCCATTGATCTTCTGTTCCCCAGATAATCTGCACCGGCATCCTCTGTCCAACTTCCGGGTATCTCCTCTCAACCTCATCAGTGCTCCGGCTATTTGCTTGAATCATTTGTCGAACGAAGCCCCGTCTTCCTTCATCGGTAGAAATCCATGGACTCTTCAACATATTCATCGTTTCTTTGCTGAGTTCTTTAAATGCTGCATCCCGAATATAAGCTTCGACCACTCCTTCGAAGACCGGGCCCGTCAACGCAGTGAAAACACCCTCATTCTCTGCTACCAATTTGAACAAGGTCTGTCCAAATGGCCCAATTGCAACGACATTGATCAGGCACAAGCTTGCAAAGTCACAACCGTGTATGAGATGAGCCCGTAAACTCATTAAACCACCATGGTCATGCGCAATCACATGTGCCTTGACTGCTGGTGCCCAATTTTGCGACCAGAATTCATAGAGCGCAGCGAAGACTTCGCTCTGTTGAGCGAGATCTGCATCCAAGGCAAGCTTTTTGCTAATGAGGCCCGCTTTCTGTGCTGTAGGAAGTGGCTCGCCAAGGGGGCTTTCGCCGAATCCAGGGTTGTCGAATATGTAGACGTGGAAGTAGTTTGCAAAGGTCTGCGCGAGGGTGTGCCAGACGCGTGAGGACCATGGAGTACCATGGATAAAAATCAGCGGTGGTGAGGTTGGACTGCCAAGGGATGTCCAGCGAATCTGGTATGCATGGGTGGTGGTGGAATGGTGGAAGGTTTGAGTGAGGTTGGAGGCGGATAAAGACATTCTCAAGGCGATGACCGGAATTGTATTTAATCAAACAAGTAAATTATTGGAAGAAAAGGAGATCATATTGAGTATCTAGACTTTTTATGCCAAAGAGGTGTGTCTATATGGTGGTGGCTTGTGATTGGTCACATTGAAAGCAACAAGTATATGCACGATGATGAGATGATGATGTTCCCTATTTTATCTAATCCAGAAAAATACTAGGCCAAGTAAAACACCATATTCAGAATTCAGTTAAATAAGTCAACCCACAGAGTTGTGCTAACTTTAGTCAAGATTCCTGTCTCTCTGTTTTCACTCAATTGTTCATTCAACTTCGATTTCCTCTGCTCCATCTTTAGAAACACTTGCAGAACAATGCTCTCAATCTCATATCTTGCATGGACATTCAAAAATAAATATATACATGCGCAATTTCGAACCTAGTTAGGTCCCAAGTATGTTCCGACATATTTCGACATGTCACCGCAGACACTCACATCCTCATAGTTCAGACCGAAGCCCTTAATCTCAGCAATAGTTCGGAAATAAGAGTCTGGCTGATTCTTGACCTCGACAAAACCGAAGACTTCATCAGCTCCTGACTTGGTATATCTGTACCATTGGCGGGAAAGCTCGATTGAGGCCTGGTCAACGAAAGCACTGTCAAGGACATTGCTCGCAACCTTGTGGAACGCAATCTTGAATCCCTTGCCATCAAATCGCTTGTGGTTGCGAGAAGCATTGGTTCCGTTGCTTGAAAATCCATCGTGCGAAAGGTGCAGCTGACCCATTCCGTTGTCCCAATGATGGAGCGCAAAGTCATGGCCTTCGGTCTCATTCTGGAATCTGAGGTTCTTGATCACAATGGAAGAGGCCAATGCTGGCTGGTTGTCGCGTTTGACTTCACCAGCAGGGAGGGCAAGCTTGTGGACAGAGTCAAAGCTATAGATATCCTGGCTGAGTAGATCAATCATGTTAGAGTAATGATCATTGCCCTCAATCGAGCGGCGGCCGCTATTTCTCATCGCGGCGTGGTAGGCGTCTACTCCCGCTGCGATATCGACCTTGTGGCTCAGACTCAAGAGCATGTGGAAACCCAATCTGACATAGTTGGTATATCTTGCGCATTTCTCATAACCTTCGCCATGACAGACCATAGAAACAAAATCCGTTATGGTATCGACATAAGCAACACTGCATCATCATTCAAGATAAATGTTAGTTTTGAGGTATAAAGCCAGTGAACAGGATAAACCAAAGGTAACACGTACGCGGCCTGAGCAGTAATAGTAGCAGCAACTCCTATCACCACAGCTTTACACTGTCGCAGTACATCTCTTTGCTCAAGCCCGGCTTGCGCGAGGCCTTCAATATGGGGAGTTTGATTGGCAACTTGCAGCTCGTGACTGATTGCACTGATTTCATGTTCGTTGGATGTGACTACTGTGTTGGCAGTAGGAGCAGCTAAAGCAACAGAGTTGAGAGCAAGCAAAGGAAGAATAGTTGAAAGAACCTTCATGTTGCAGATCTTTGAGGAGGTAGGGAATTGGAAGTGGAAAGAACAATGCTTGATGAGGATGTAACGGAGGAAGAGACACATATATTTTATACCTTTCGATCTATTGCACTGATGATTCTCTAAATTTGATTTCCATATCGTGTTGGGTAGAGCAGTTTCCACTTGTCTCTGTCGTATACTTGGTTTTGTCCAATAATCGTGTAGAGCACACCAATATCGAGCCTGGATCCTGAAAAATCCCTCATATCGAAAGCCTCATGCAAGCTAAAATCAGTCATTATATTGGATATTGGGGTCCATTTACAGTCATCTACCGATTTAGAAATGGGATATCATCAGATGGGTACCGAAAAGATTGCGTTTAAGCAAATTTCATGCTAACATCCGGCCAGGCGAAGCACTAATGCGCATCCACACTCAGTTGATTGGATCAGTTCCTGCTTCGGGGGCCGTGTTGTGGGCATAGAAGTTTCATTTTCTGTGACGGGGGGATGGAGGGGCAAGGCTGTGCGGGATAATTGCTGATGCAACGTACATAGCTTATACATGGCTAGTGTCAATGGGTGTTCTGTCTTTGAGACGTTGGTTTTGTTTAGTCACTCTGCTGAGCAGGCTACATGCAAAATTGGTTGGGCTTGTAAGGCCTGACTAAAGGACGAATGGTTGAAAGCGGTGCCGAGATATGCTTTACATTGTAGGTAGTTAAGCGTGGTTGTGGGTACCTTATAGAACCAGGGACGATATTGTGGGGCGCTGAAGGGCCCCGTCTAGTGTATACGCGACCCTTTGGGCATTCGATCAGCCTATTCTGGTGAACGATGATGTGGTTTCAAGTGGGTAACAACCCGAAATATCAATTTCGGTGTACCACGAATTCATAGAACGTGCACAGTGTAAAAGACGGGAAGCATAAATCACTCGGCAACAGTTAGATCAAATTTGCAGAGATTAGAAACTTCGCACCGGAGTAACGAGAAGATGCTGTTTTATTGTCTTGCCTTCCATATGGTCCCATGCCAGGATGAGCATGAATTTTTCTCATTGCATACATTAATCGTGCCGTAACTCCGGGGGCCACAATACCGCCCCCTATATTGAGCTTAACCCAAAGTGGACAGAATCGCGAGGGCATAAATCTAGATAAGAGCCCCTGAGTGGACAATCTCTCATTGTCTATGAGTGGCTGAAATGCATAAAAAATAGCCTACAGGTGGGACTAAGCCCGCTGCGAGATCATGCCTCTTGGCACGATATTGGCTTGCTTGGGGCGGTCTTTCCCGGAAGCTTAGCGTGGCCCCTGGGTGGGGGCTAAACTCGCTACGGGCTGCTCAATTTTAGTTGCCTAAATTTTCACGAGGCTTGATACTATCTTCTGGGCATTTTGGCCCCCAAGTTCGTCCCACTACCGGAGCTTGATGTATCAAGAGCTGTGCGGGTGCCAATTTTCAAAATGTCTCAAATTCTTGGTCTTCCTTATTTTTCCAACCCTCTACTGTTCTGTGGGGCTGAGGGCAGAGCAGCTAGTCTCAGGGTCTTACCGTGGTCCATTTGGTATATTCCAAATCAATAGCACACTGGTAGGCTGAGTTATGCGGTGTGTGGGGAATAATATAAAATGTTATACAATATAGGGTGGAGATGCGTTTTTCCTCCCATCTGCACTTCCCCCTTCCCATTCTCCAATCTCCAATACCAACACCTGCCTATCTTCAAAACAGCTGCAAAAATCCGGTGCACTTCGTAAATTTCGAGGTGATTCTTACACTATGGACCTAAAACACACTTCCTCTTCCAATGAAATATTGGCCTTGTCTCAACGAGAGGATGCTATAACTGCGGACCCCAACTTTGGTTATCCCGAACGCGTGCTAGAAAAGCTTGGTTTCTACACCAATAAACCTATGTATAGTCATACGACATGATACTATAACGAGCACAACTGACACGGTATTCTCCAGGTTCGTGATCTCTTGGGTGGCATTCTTTTTTATGTATTTCTTTGCGTGTCGCAAATTCTGTGATGAAGACACGTGCCATAGACACGTCGCACGCATCGTGTCCTTCTGTGCACTTCTGGTTTTGATCACGGTAACTTTGAGGTACTATCGAAGTGTACGATATGTGATGAAAACCTACGAGGAAAGGCAACAAAAGGGAGAGGATAAGGCAACAAGTTCCTCAGGCTGAGAACGGGAAAGATTACCGCTCACACTCGAGTGAGTTCAAGCAGGCACTTGAGATTATTTTGGGGCTTGGGAATTATGGCAGAAACCCCCGTTGGATCTTGCTATGCATTCAAGAGTGTCAATGGAATTCTTTCCGATTATCGCGTCTATTGTCAGACACTCTTTCCATGGTCGCACAACTCAAAAATGGCTTTCACATAACGGACAAACCTTCGCGTTTATACGTTTCAAGATGAAACTCGGTCCGGCAGGCATTTTCTCCCAATTTTAAACATGTATAAATTCATTCGTGGCTCGTGTGTGGTCACTTTGAAAGCAATACACAAATGTACGCAATCTGGTGGCCCTCAAATTTTCCCTAGTTACTGGGATATGGGTCTACAAGCCATCAGAAAGAGTGTGAGATGTTTGTTGGAGCGAAAACCTCTGATATCTACTCGCCAATCGTGGAGTATCAACTTCAGCTAGCCGTGTATCTTTCACGCGGAAGGCACTTCTGCTTTTTGATTTGAGATCCGAGCAATTAAACTGATTCAAATGAGATATCTATATTTTGGACTACTACTATATAAGTTGCGCCTTCTGGCGTCAGATAGGCTCGGTTATAGTTACCCATCGCGCGGCCACGTGATATGGTGTGACATTGGCGTTTGTTGGGTTATCCGTTTATATAGTGTTTGGACTTGGCTAGCCCTGGCGACTATCTTGGGTTGGAACCGCCCCGTTTGCTTCAAGGTAATATTATGGATTCCCCTCTTTTAGTTTGCTTAGTCGGAGGAAAAAGTCAGGGTCCCTTGACACAGGCAGAAAGTCAGATTACCTAGATATATATAGTCAGCGATACACAGCATCTGCAGTTAATGTCAGCAATCAAATCATGCTGGAGCGTGATAGTTGACTACATGTACATACATGTATGGATTTCTCCGTAGAAGAAAGAGAGAAGCAAGGGATGTGCGCCTTGGCACTGGGGTAACCGCTTCGGGGATAGTCCCACTAAGCGGGGAAGGTGCGACTTCAGATTGTTTCAAAATTGACCAATGAGAAGCCACGGAGCTAATGCACGTGAATGATCTTAGGGGTCTACGCCTTGCCCATGTGCACATCCTGGAGAGCTTAATAATAATAAGCAAAAATCATAAAGCAGGGTCTCCCCGCACTTAATTGTTGTCACATTTCACTATGGCACCTGCAACTATCCTCAGAGCGTCAGGCCAAACTGTTCTCAAGCCACCTAGTGATCGAACCCTACGGTTCAGAAAGGATGGCAGCTTCCATATTGGAGTCTTCGAGGATCTGCATTTTGCCGAAGGTGCGTCCATCATTCGTGGAGCGAACTCGGCTAACCCGTCACAGATGAAGAGAAGGACAAGAAGTCCAAGGGGGTGATGTCATACATTCTGTCCGAAGAAGACATCGATTTCGTAGTGATCAATGGCGACTTGGTCTCAGGTGAAAGAACTCACAAATCTGATTCGAAGAAATACATCGCCGATGTTGTCTCTCCGCTCGTCAATGGCGGGTACCGCTGGGCATCGACTTATGGCAACCACGACAGTGAAGTCAATCTCAATCCGAAAGAGGATATGTACGAAGCCGAACACAAGTACATCAACAGCCTGACCGAGAGCGCTATCTCTGGCGATAAGGCCGGCATCACAAATTACTACCTACCTGTGTTTTCTCACGGAGCAAAGAATACTAGCACGCCCGCTCTCCTTCTTTGGTTTTTCGATTCGAAGGGTGGCCATTACTATCAACAAGAAGGAAAAGAGGGACCATCGGTCAAGAGACCGAGCTGGATCGACGAGTCTGTATGAACGCCACGACGCAAGTTCAAGCCAATCTTCCACATGGGCACTAACCGCATACAGGTTGTTGAATGGTTCACAGAAACAAACACCAAGCTACTCAAAAAACACGGCAAAGTCATCCCCTCGCTAGCATTCTACCACATCCCCGCACACGCAATGCTCCAAGCCCAAGAGCGAGGCCGTCTCGACCCGCACCGTACACCAGGCGCGAACCGCGAACGCGTCAACCCTCAAGGAACAGGTGAATGGAAATATAATAGCCAAGACGTCAAGTTCATGGAAGCGCTCCTCAACACCGAAGGACTGATCGCAGGATTCAGTGGCCATGACCACCAGAATGATTGGTAAGAGGTTCTCCCGAGTCTCTGGTATGTTCAGCCTTGGCCGGTCCGATTCTAACAACGACCAGGTGCTTTAAATGGGACGGTGCCCTCGTCGATCACAATTTAGTTGGAAACGGACTTAATATGTGCTACGGTCGGCATACGGGCTATGGTGGGTATGGCGATCTGACGCGTGGTGGACGACAGATTCTGCTGAATGAGGGTAATCTTGCTGAGGATACTCAGACATGGATCCGGTTGGAGGATGGGACTGTTCAGGCGCATGTTACGCTGAATACGACTTATGGGCAGGATCCTTATACTGCTGTCAGCAATGTTGGCAGGCCCAGCGTTCATAACGATGTTTCTTTGGTGCCATTTTCTTGGCTTTGGGTACCTTTCTTGATGCTTTGGAGATGGATTATGTGATTCTGGTATCTTGTGGATGGATATAGGCGTTTATGATTCAATCATGGTGTCCGGGTGGAAATTTTATTCATATCCTGCTACTGACACAGGATTATTTCCTTCCAAGCTTTCTATGTAGGATGGGCTTTCCAGGGTTCTTCATGAGTCTGCCAATAAAGTCACATGCGGTAGAATTTCATGTTTGGGGGCCGGGGAGGGGCGGTTTATACTCGCGATAATACCGTTGTACCTTACCCAGGAACTACGATTGTTGATTTTCCCGCAAATTGTGTCGAGGTAAGCTACCCACTAGCATCTGACAGGGAAGGATTCCCTTGAAGCCTCGTATATGGATCACGCCACTCCTTGCTCCTTCATACATACTTAGGTAGGTTGGCTATTAGCATCCCTGGATAATGGAGACACAGCATCTTTATCAATCATCTCACTTTTAGATCGCGGATTATTTACAACTTTGTCTTTATACTCGCATAATCACAACCAGGTCAACTTTCCAATCTCCAACTAGTTTCCAACCGTTCCCACTTTGTATAATCGTCACTTATCTTTACAGGTAAACATAGCAGAATGGACCAGAGGTGGTACTCATGAGATCACGCATGGTAATAGGCTCACCACCAGCATAACCAATATCAACAACGGTATCAAGAGTAGTGTTAGCCGACTCGGGCATATTCAAGAAGGTCCCAGTGCCAGAGATAGCATTCTGGCGCTTCTCCAAGTCCAAATTCTGCCAGATCCACCAAGTACGATCAATCATACCGTGGTGGTGCCAGAAAGCAGGGTCACCAGGGCTCACGTAGACATCGCGAGCCGGATCACCGCCCATAGAGTAGTGTCCGCCACCGTGCACGCCGATCGAGCCACTGCCGGGAACACCCTGCATGTTCATTTCGAAGTTCCAGATATCGTCGTTGCTCAGAATCAAATCCACAACTGAGGTGTAGTTGGCATATGCTTGGACAATTGCGGTGGTCAGGTCACGGCTCAGACAGCGCGGGTTGTACGCGAGCGGGTTGGCTGCTGAGCTGGTTTTGCCGCCCGGAAGCATCAATGCCACCGGGCCAAGGTTGACTTTGTAGTCTTTGAATGGACCGCTGGTTACGCAGCCACCACCTGTGCCTGTGGGCAATTGGATGACTGGGTACGTGCCCAGGCTGAGCTGGATGTCGCCGGTGGTGTTGGTTGCGGCACCGTTGCCGGACATCGAAGTGTCGCTGCCATCGAACACTTCGGAGCTTTCAAGGTCGTGGGCGTCAGCAGCCCAGTTCCAATAGCTGTGGCTGTGTTAGCGATCGTATTGCTTGTTGATTGGGGAGATCTTGGACTTACGGATAGTCGCCGGTGTAGCCACACTCGTTGCGCAGGGCTTGTTCAAAGTTCCAAATGAAGTACCGGTGCCACGCCAGGAAGGTTCCAGTGTAGTGGATTCCCAGAGTCTGGTTGATATGCGTTGCGACAAAGTCATCGTAACGAGACCGCGCACCGGGAGCCACTTCTGGGGGAGTCAGCGACGGCAGCTTCTGGAGACAGACGACAGAGCTGATGTAGGACTTTTTCTGCTTAGCAGAGAAAATCCTCCAATCACGACGAATTCGGAGATTTCCAAGCGTGCAGCCACTACGCTTCTCAAGGTCAGAATCGCCGGCGACATTGTCAGTCGTGGTTTTGTAGGCCAACTCCGCGAGCTGGTCGAGTTGGGCCGCAGCGACCGGCAGCGAAGTGGACGCAACGGTGGGAGTCGCAGCTGAACCCACCGCTGCGTTCTGAGAGACAGCGGGCATAGCCCATGTCTGTGAAAATAAAGCTCCCACGACAAAAGCGGAAAAAGCAACCATTTTGGCGAGGTGAATGTGGGAACTCCTGTCAATGATTGAAGCCCAGCACGTTCACGCCAAGATATTAGGAAAAATATTGACAGAGGTCGAATATGAATCCGGGCATGATGGTCGATTTTAAGGCGGGACCCAGATGCACGAACCCTGTATTAGGGATGCCTAAGTTGAGCTAATGCATGGGTGCCACTTTCCTTCTCCGACAGTGTCCGTCCGGACGAAGTTATCCCAGAATGATCAAGGCTAGAAGGTAAGGGCGAGTCAGGGCTTCGGCTAACGTCCCGCTTTCTCCACTAACACGACGGTTGGGCGGGACAAGCCGTCCACTTTTGCCAATCGCACATCAGGAAAGCCGGTCCATCGAACCCTGAAGATCAAGAATCGAGGGTCTTGATTAATTGGGAGAGAGGAAAAATTCTATCACATATGAAGCAGCGATGCCAGCCCTATCGGAGAGCTCACCGCCACCTTGTGGTGCAACAACTTTACTAGTACGATTCAATTGCAACGAAAATCCACAAAAACTAGCCGTCTTAGTTGAGTTATTCAAATTAATCCAATCAATCACGATGCTGAAAAGTTTCAAATAAGAGATTGCTTCGGGTATAGTCCACCGGCTGTTCACATCTTCGTCAACTAACTAATCCGCAACCCACTACAGTTTTCACAATAGGGCCGTTCCCGGCTTCCGACCCAATCTCCTTCAAAAGCTTGCCATAGGCCCAGGTATCTTTTGACTGTCGTGTCTCGAATGGAAGGTCGAAGAGTGATATCTCGTCCTATATCTTTGGAGCACGCCAACCATACGTCACTCCACCGATACCACTGAACTGATATCAATAAGGACTGCATTGCCTTCATCGTCGAGAACAACATTTGCAGGCTTGGCATCCATATGGGTCTTCTTCGCGTCGTGAGTAGCACCGATAGGATTCCCATTTTGGATCGCCCATCGGTCCCAGGAGAATTCCATTACACGGCTTTCATTCAACGCACTTTCCAAAGTGCCACCGCTATATGATCCAACTCGCTACGCAATTGAGATGTTCTGTTCTTGTTCGCCCTCGCTCACGACCACCTCTGTCACGGTATCACCAGAAGGGTGAATGATAATCAATCAGCTTGACGGATTGTTGAAATTCTGCTCGTCGTTCCCGTTGTGATACAATTTGCTCTTGGGGAGAAAACGAAACCGCGCCCTTGAAGGCTACTGTGACCCACTATTTGTTTTCTTGAAAACGGTAGATCACTATCTGCGAGCGACTGTCGGGCTAGGGATTTCCTTCGACTTCGTAGTTCTGGTCTTTATAATACGACTTCAATTCCAGATCCGGAACAGTAGATATGCAAACAGGAGCTACTGCGGCTTGGATATCATCAGGTAGTGTATCTTGCATGGACAATATACTTGTTGCCATATTAAGAAAAGGGTTTCACTCTGTTCCGAAACTTTGAGCGAGAAAGAATGATTGAGCGGTGGCCGAATGTCATCCCTTGAATGCGCACGACGTGGCCCTGAATACTGCAGCTTTTGCTCAAATTCGAGTTGGCCGTTAACAAAAGTAATAAGGATTGTAGTTCTACTGTTCCAGGCATGTATTTTTCATCAACGACGAACTCAATCTCAGTCAAAAGGGTAGATCATATTGAATATTTGGACATTAAAAAGAAAAGTCTTAGGTATGCCGCTAAGACAAGGAATTATATCACAGCAAAAGAAAAGGAAGCAAAAGGGCAACAACCATAAGCAATTTTTTTGAAGGTAGCGCACGAAAAAGATTACACAAAAGGCCATCATCACATCCACACACACCCAGGTACAGCAGCACCCCTTCCAGCAACAGCCTTCTCTCCAAACTTCTCCACATACCAAACCCTTCCCCAACGCGCATGAGGCAGCATATTCGTAACGGCATTGACGACAAAAATGACTGCCGGAAGAGGAAGCGGCACAGCGAGTTTCCCAGCTGCCCAAGCAGCAGGGACCAACCAAGGGGCAAGACGAAGGGGAGGAGTGATAGCCGCACCAGACGATGGCAGTGCATACAAAGGAACCACAGCTGTTCCGGCAAGAGCGAAACCAATCCACTCCAGCCACTCAAAGACATAGTGCGGATACAAGATGTAGCGGAAGACACCACGGGGAGGGGGGATGACGTAGACTTTGTGGAACTTATTTGGCTGTGCATCGTCTGTCTTTTTAGTTCGTTTTTCGGCTTCTTCTCGGCGGAGTCGGAAAAGTGCTGTTTCAGAGTAGATGTTGCCTGTCATTCCAATTGCGAAGAGGATGACGCCTACGATTGGGAGGAAAGTTGCCACTGGGGAGGGGGTAGTGCTTGGATCAAATCTTGGGATAGTCGGGATTGCGTAACCGCGCAACCAGCCGCTTAGGCAGGAGGAATTGAACCAGTTGAATAACATTGCTGAAGACATGATGAAGACGTGGATTGGGGACATGCTTGGTGCTGAGATAAAGGGGGAGATGATGGCGCGGTTGAGATAGTGAATGCAGTAGAGAGACGCGACTACAATGTTGGATGCTGGGAGGTTGGCAATAGAAGGCGAGTGGGCTGATGGGGTGATTAGGTTGTAGATCAAGTTGATAGGGCCAACTATCTCCATGGCACACCAGGCAATTCGGCCTGGGATGTTGAAGATGGACTGTGTGGATGTTTTCCCTGCTGGATGCCATGACAAAATCCATTGCACAATTGATATCTGAGTTCATTTAATTTTGACATCTTGTGGGGGTTAAAGGGTTCATACCAGGGGAAAGTATTGGAAATAGCCCAGGATGGCAGTGTAGATACCCGGAGCTGGTGGAGAAAGGTCTGAACTAGAAGGCAGAGCATGCCAGAGAGTAGAAGAAATAGTACCCATATTGAAGTAATGTAGAGAGTAGCTCTGTAGGGTTGCAAAGAGGAAAAGGTTGCGGAATTGAAAGAAGTAAACAAGAAAACCTTATACCTAGTGACGTAAAAGGCGGTGGGTCCCGATCAGGAGTAATCGATCGAGATATTCTTCACTTGCACTTCACTCATTTCACTCATCACTGGCTTCACTCTCACCATCGGCCTGGAGATCTTCCTCGCTTTGTTCAGAGGAGCATTCTTATTCCCAAGCGCATAAAACCTCCTCAACAGGTCAATGGCCTCAGTTTCAAACAAAGCCCCCCCCCCCCCCCCCCCCTTAATAACCGGAAAGGAGGATCAATCGAGCGATTCTGATGTAAAGAAATAACCCCCTCCCCCTTCCAATGCCGCCAAAGCGATCATTCGCACACCCATAGTAAACAATTCGAATCTGGCACTGCTCCAGTGCCGAAGCACACATAATACGCGGCTCAATTGTGACGTAGAGATCTGTTTCTTGGAGCGCAGATCTGGGGTAGCTCTCTAGCATCTGGGCAATGACGATGAATTCAGCGTGTCGCATACCGTTCATGCCTCGGTCCACGATCTCGTTGCTGTGGACTAGTATGCACATTACATATGGGTGAAAAAAGGCCTACAGATGAGCGAACCCCCCGTCGGCAGTTGTCGTGTCGTTCGTCTGGGGTGATTGGGGTCATGGTGTGCTTAGGTGGAGTGTGGCGTGCGTTAGGGCTACATGTAATTAATATCCAATGGGAGGTCGGATCTTCAATCTTGGCAAGTGGTATCTGCCAGGATATAAACTTTCAATGTATGCGAAAAACGACAGTTTCTAGTCAAGTCACATTCACATGTCATTCAGACAATTTGATCACTAATTTGACGACAATCTATCTCAGAGACGCTAAATGCCTAAGGCAGTTGATTCATGCAAAATTTGGTACTCCTGAATGCGACTAGGTGGATGTGTCCATTGAATCACTTCGGTTCTGTACCATCTCCCTCCGCTTACCGGCCAACTTCTCGGTCTTGAATGCTTCGATCTTGGCTTTGAGATCGGTATCAGCAACAACATCTTCCATCTTCAAAGGAACACGGTTGAACGGATCGTGAGGGTCACTCAGAAGATGCGAACGGATGGTCGCGCGGTCAATCGAAATCCGCGAGCTGGGAAGAATAACAGGGTCGTCCATGAGAGTATACATAAGGGGATCTGGATGAGATTAGCAAATGTCGTAGATGCAGAGTCTACAAAGAAGAATTTACCAAGGAACTCGTCTGGAATCTCGCCGAGGTCCTCCTCAGCTTGGTCATCGGCTTCCTTCGCAACCATGACCTTTTTCTGAAGCTGGCTCCAGCGGCGAAGCTCCTCAGGAGACTTCAGCGACCACTTATTCATAATATCAGCCGCCTTCTCGAAGTTGGCCGGCTTGTATGATCGGCCATCACGAGCGACAGCCAAGATAAAGTTCTCCTTGCCCATCAGATTAAGATAGACATCGACAATCTCACTGAGAAGAGCACGAGGATTGAACCCATATTCCTGCAAGTTTTCAACACGTAGGGTGGCGCTCTTGGTGCCTACCATTGCGTCCAGGTTGTAGTCCAACATATCTGCGAGACGCTGTACGATTTCGGGCATTGTAAAGGAATCTGCGAGCGCCTCGGTGAAAAGCTTCAACATAGCAACTGTCTCATTGGTCAGTTGCATGTAGCTCTTTGCTTTGCTCTGCGCTGATGCAAGATTCTCTTGGTGCTGCTGGCGGGTTGCGGCGTCCATCGTGTGTCCTTGAGTGTTGAGCTCTGTCTGGGTGCTGTGGATGGTCTTGAAGGCACCGAAAGATTCATCGAGAACGTAGGTCACGTCATTCAGGAGGAGGTTGACGAATCGAACGAAGAAGTCCAGGTTCTGATTTGCTTGGATGGACAGCTTCTCCCGGTAAAGGGTATTGGGCCAGATGCACTTAATGATCTGGAAGATCTCGTAACGGATGTTAAATTTGTCATAGAATTGCGTGTGTGCTCCTGTGTGCTCTGCCTCGATGTAAAACTTCATAACTGCGTGAAGGAGGTGCTCGTTGGCAAATGGCATCGAGTTAAGCAGATCCACCAACACACCGCTGGCGCCACCAGGGCGTTTCCAGGTGCCTCGGAACAGGATGGAGATCAATCCGGCTTTCAGATAGGGGTTCTTAATATAGGCAGAGCTCTCGAGGAATGTGATGCACAGCATTACCAGCTCATCACCCTGGGTGGCGGTGATGATTTGCGGCATGCACCACATGATGAATTTGAAGTTGCTGACAATATCTTCCAAGAAATACTCTGGTAGACATTTGAAAACTTCTGGCTGTTCTTCCGGTAGAGGGAGTGTAAGCGGTTGCTTGGGGAAGTTCTTGCCCGATACAAGTCTCAGCAGCCACACAGTGACGTATCGCATAAACAGCATAGAACGGGCCTGCCACTGGTCATCAAATAGCACACCCTGGAGACTGTACTTAAGAGCGATTCCCAGATCGAGTTTGTCTTTGTATTTCTTAACTGCCTGGTCGAATTGGCGCAGTTGAATTGGATTGTTGAGCCAACGGGCCCGCTCAAGCTCGAATTTATTGATTGTGGACTCCATCTGTCGCACGTCCTTTTCAAGTTGCTCCAATTTTGAAGTCAATGATTCGCTACCGTAGTGATGAGCGGCAACAGTCAGGAAAAATATTTCAGTGATAAAGTTAGATGTCCCCTCGGCCTTCTTGGAATAGAAAGCATCCGAAACATGCTGGTCGGCATTGATTTTGGTTTCATCACGCATTTCGACCCGAGAGCTTCGGTGAAGATAATCCGCATCAACTCTGTCAATTTTGGTGAAAGCTGCATCCATGAACGGCTCACATAGCTGATCAAGGCAAGTTGTAAGATTGAACATGAATCCATCAGAAGAAACTTGTTCGGCGTCGACCTGCATGGCACGCCGTTTGTGATTAATATTCATAGCAGCAGCAAACCAATCCAGAACACGATCCCGAGCCTCCTTGGAGGCGCGAATCAGGTGGTTGATCACATCGAGAAGGTCAGAGCTGATCATCTGTTGTGTCATACGAAGTGACCGCTGGGCATTGGAAATGTATGCCTGATCGCGGGTTTTGGGACTGGAGAAATAGGACATGGTAACATTAGCCTGGAGGGGGGACAAGCGGAACCATGGGCCCATAAGAGTGATTTTCTCAAATTGAGCAGGATCCTTGGAATGGTTGAAGATAGACGATTCTGTGATTGCCGTCGCAATTGACCCGTGACGCACAAGATTCCGAAGAGCCTGGTAGTTAAACATTAGAGCCGGTCCTGAGGGGAATAGGATGGTTGACGCACAATAGTGTAGGGCTTATAATCGTCATTGACGTCCAGTTGGGCAAGCTGTGTACTGAGCTGCTCGATGGCAGAAATGAAAGCTGGCTTGACAGTATCGTCTTCGTCGAATCTCCGGACAGCCTCGTTGATGAATTCGAAATCAATTCCCTTGTCATCCTCGGGGTCCACGAGAAGGTACGACGCTAGCGATGAGTCTGCAGACCACTCGCTCCTTTACCACGATACGTCAGCATTCACAACACATAAGAACGGCATATTCGCAAAACGCACCCAAACATCTCTGGCATCGTAATCGCAAAAATACAGTAACTCATGCACAGCCGCCGTGCCTCAACCAAAACCTGATACTTCGGGTCATCATCTCCGGTCCGCCTCAAGCCCTTCGACAACTTTGTGATGCGCTTCCAGCATGGCAGCAAATAATCTAGGGGACGCTGTCGTTCAGCCATAGAGGCAGCTTCCAGTAAAGCCTGGTCCAAGACCGCGAGCTGGATGCGCAGATCCTGGCCCTCATCCTGCAGTTCGCTCCGCAGACCGGGCAAGTATGTGCGCTTGCCGTGAATATCACGTTGCCCTTCCTCCTTGAGTGTCAATCTGAACACAGCGCTCAAAGTCCGGTCCTCAAAAGTCTCGATGCTCTCGATTTTTTGTGGCGGGGGTGTACTTGGGGCCGAAGGAGCGGCAGATCGCGGTCGCTCAGGCGTAGAAGCAGCGGGTGTGATCTTGATCCGTTTCCCTTCTGACTGCTGCGGGGGGGTGGCGCGTTGTGAAGACTTGTCGGTGGGTGTGCGGATAAAGGTGATTGTGCTGGGGAAGTGTTGGCCGAACTCTGCGCTGACTCTGAGGCTCCATCACCGGTGGGTTGGATGGGATTTGAGAGCTTTGCTAGACGCTTGTTGCGGATCTTGACATCACATAGCCATGTCAGTTGTCGAGTCGCTGCGGGGAAAATGGGATCGTGTGCTGGACGCAACGAGTTACTAACCTTGTCCGCGTCGGAGAGAGTGTCCGACATCTTGCGTTCAAGTCAAGACAAAACAACCTTAGGATATCGAGGATATCGACGGTATATCGGCAAAATATCAATATTTCAATCGTGTGGAAATCATAGGCGTCAAAGTGGAACGAGGGTCAAAAGTATCGAAGTGGAGACTACTGGGAGTTCCAGAGTTTTGAAGGAGAAGTAAGGCGGAGCTGGGTTGGAGCTGGCGATTCTGTGGTGATCGCCGAGATTCGTTTCGATCATTTACAGTATTTGTTCTGATTGACTGGCCATGGGGTTTTTGACTAAGCGGAAAAAGTTGGGGGGGGGGGGGGGGGGGGGTGAAATACATTCGAGGTACTTAAGAGCCGGTGGTGAGTCCGCGGTGAATAATGTACCTCAAAAGTCTATTCCTTGAAAATCAATGCTGTCATGTTCATTAATTCACGGAGTAGTTATATATCTATATCTAATCCAGACATCATGCACAAGCCTACAGCAGACCCAGTAAGGAAGTTAGGTAGAGTTCAAATATACTTGTTTCTTCTTGCAGTAGACCACTGTATGCATCTATATATTACCGAAGCAAACTTGTATGGAAAGTCGAACTAAGTATTGACTAGCCTCGAAGAAAAAGATTACCCCAAATCGGGCCAGTAATAAAATGAACAAGCTTGGAGAACTCAAGGTGACCACAGTATGAGATGCATTCAAAATCCCAGTCAAAGTCCAATCAATGTACAAAATGAAGTTCGAACTCCGGGTGTGCTAATAATATTAGAGTAGTTTCCAAAGCAAGCCTCAGACAACTGAAGATGCCACAAGAAGATGTGATCTAAATCCACAATCTCCATCTAGAACCTCCCCTTGGTCCTCAACGAGTCCAGTTGCCGACAAGCCGGCATCTCCATCGCCCGAGCCTTCTTCATCTTCTCGACATCGGGGAAGATCCACCCCTGCGCATCCTGCAACCTGCGTTCCCGCTCATGTGCCTCGGCGTCGCATTTGTTTCGCAATGTTCGAATATGCTCCACCTCGACACGATTGTCCAGCTCCCGGAAATTCCGCGCACTGAAGTTGTCCACATCAAGCGGGTTCACAAAGTAGTTCAGGTTCAGCTTTGGGGTCGTACGGCCCAATGTATGCGGGGAGACAGGGGTATCAAATCGATAAGTAGGACCGGATGGTGTCGAGGAGCCAGAGAATAGAGAGGAAAGGAGCGGCAGAATGAACAAAATAATGAGCGGGAGCAGTTGACGCAGTAAACTGCGGCCGTCTAGCGGAGTCTCCTGTGCACCAGCCGCTGCACGAGGCCGACGGCGCGGTTGTTGGCCTCCAAACTGGTGCACGCGGAACCCAGGACCTCCTCCCATATTGAAAACAAATTGCGGTCCACCTATATTATGAGACAATTAGTACGCTTGGACCGAATCACCGCTGCGCAAAGTAATACCGAAAGGACTGAACCCACCGCCCATTCCACCAAATCCACCATTGAAGAACCGGTTAAACATCTCCTCGGCGGAGATCTCCTCGTCAAACCCTGCGCCTCCGCGGGGGAATCCACCGCCACCGCCGCCGAACCCACTGAAGGGAGAGCCACCGCTTGCAGCGCTCGGCCCGGGTTGGAACCTGCTGTCCGGATCGCCGCCAAATTTGTCGTACTTGGACTTCTTATCCTCATCGGAGAGAATCTGGAAAGCACGCGAGACCACTGCTACGTGTAAGTATCGAATGGACCTAGGTTGGGCATCGCGCCGGGACTCATCTCGACTTACTCTTGAACGCCTCATCGGCACCGTCGTAACCGTTCTTATCGGGGTGCGTCAACAGACTCTGTTTGCGGTATGCCTTCTTAATCTCATTATCTGTCGATGAGCGCTCCACTAGCAAAATCTCGTAAAAGGCAGTGGGCTGGCATTTTCTGATCCGAAGGACGGCGGCCTTCTGCTCGTCTGTGTATTTGCGATCCTGGTTTCCCTGCTTGTGGTCGCGCGATGCGCCGCCTTTGGCGTCTGAGGGCATGGCAGCTTATATGAGAGGAATCGTGATTCTGAGCAGCGCTTGAGGTGTGAGAGAGAGGAGGGGGCGGAGAGAATCTGGAGGGCGCAGGGTGGCGTGGGACTGCGGAGGCAGTTCTAACCCGGTAAAGAGGGCGGGATAGAAAGATCAAACGTGCTATGAAATGGCCTGGCACAAGTGAATGTCGGCCTTATGAAAATGAAGCGGAATATGAGCGACAGGTGTGGCTGATTCGGTAGGCTTGAACCGAAGGAAAAGCGTGGTGTTAGGTGTCTTTGCCAAGCGTTGGAACGTCAGTTGCACTAGACATTGCGATAAGGTACATAACTTCATTTTCTCCGATAACCCTGCTTAAATTCCTTGTTTTAGTGCGCAGACTTCAATTGTGAGTGAATTAATTGTTTTTAGAGATCTTTTTGCGTGCAGTCTTGCTAATATACCTGCAGCAACAGCAATCCTTGGCTGTCAAAGCTCTGACGTTTCCGTCTTTATAAACCAAACCGACTTCAATCCTCCATCCCTCACTCACTCACACTACCTCAATATGGCAGACGACTCTACTGTCGAGGACGCGAAGCAGACGCTGATCCAGCGCTTCCGCGCTTGGGGTGGTAAGTAGCCCATGCCCGTTGGCCTCAGCAAGAGCTATACTCCGCCCGCAAACGAGCACTCTCTGATATTGAACCAGAAAACTCATTCCCGCCCACACTGCTCGCCTCCCTCATCGCCGCTCAGCACATGAAGCCCTTCCAATTCTTCCCGATGCTCTTCCCTCCCGCCTTGCTCTTCACCAGCTATGCGAACCTGCAGGGCTTCAAGACCGACACTGCCGGCCTTAGCGCGGCGTGGTCCGGATTGTATCTGCTTCTTGCAGCTCGCCGTCGCCAACCGTTCATGAAGAAGTTCGGTGTTCGGGGTGTTGTGCGTGGCGCGACGATGAGTCTGGCTTTGGTCAACATGATTGGTGGTGGACTGGCCTATACCCTCGGAAAGAGGGAAGAGGAGGATGAGTGATGGAGACGACTCATAACGAACGAAGGGCTGTGACGCTGTCGGACGTCACGCTCTGCCATGTAATATATTGTCTATAAAAGTTGTTCGGCTGTGCCTTTATTCAGAAGGACGTGTATGGCGTCGGTGGCATACATGCAATTCATGTTTTATCAATACCAACCTAACTTACACATACCGTAAACTGGATATGATCTTCCAATAGCTCCTCCCTACGATATATCCATGTCTACACCTTGCTATTTCCAGAATACGGACGTTCCGACAGAACAAATTGCCGCACCTGTTCTGGGACCAACCACTCCAGGTTCTTGGGATCGGATTGCAGTGCCTCCCTAGCCAAAGTCGAACTCACAGGCCTCTCACTAGGAGACCTACCCTCGACCAGCTGAATGCGCTGTGCCCACTCACGACGCCCACCCTCAGAATCCCGATCACCTCTAGCAAGAGCCTCCACCCAGCCAATTTGCTCCTCTTTACCACCCCACTCATCGCTCGGCCGCATAGTCACACGCAGGCGGTGCTTCGCGAGGAACGGTTCCAGAGGCTGCAATGTATGTGCAGGGGGGTAGTATTTTGAATTAAAGATGCGAATCAAAGTATCATAGCCAGTAAGGTGGACCTGCTCCAGCGCGACAGGATACGAGTCCGACGCCTCAATAGCAGCGGCCTTATCAACGAAATATGGCTTCCGCGTGACGCCAATATCGACTAGAGGGAGAGACTCAATGGCATGTGTGAGGCCCGATGCCGCGAAGGCTGGCGATTCCGCAAGGCGCGAGCGGAGATCGCGTGCAAATAGCTCCATCATTGCGAGCCGGTCCTCGAATGAGGCGGGATTGGATGGTTTGTCTGCATTTTGGGTGGCGAGCAGGAGTAGGAGGCGGGGACGGGGCTTGGGGTTTTCCAGAAGGGCAGTGCTGGCTATGCGGAGGTGGGCGCGGGTGGGGGGATTGAAGGAGGAGTCTAAGACATACAACGTCTCTGATTCCGCGGAGTGGTCGGGTGGAATTGTTGTGAGAACATCGAATTCTTTTGATGATGCGAGGAATCGTTTCAGTAGGGAGGCATACTGGGTACGGAGGGCTTGAAATGAAGTCATTGTTCGTATCTATCAATGGTAGTTACAACGCCCAGGTGTACGTGCCCAGGTGGTCAATTGTCATCGCCATAAGAGATATATCGTCACCGCCTTGGCTTGATATCTAAGAGAACCTCGGAAATATACTTTCCAAGCTTCACACTAAGAAATATATCAGACACACTAAGATTCATCATTGATGGTTCGTTGAGTTATTTTAGAAGCGAACCTGAAAACCAATCAGCAATCGGTGCAGGGTGGTGAGGAGAGAGGCAATTGGGATTTTGGCCCGGATGTTTCATGTTGGAAAGCTTCTCCGTGCCCCGGGACCCTGGCAATGATGCAATTTACCTAATAATTCCAAAGAATCCAGTGCTTAGATTTTGAAATCTATCGCGGGATTTCCGTCAGACATGGCGGCATAAATGTTATCCCTTGGCGGAATACAAACGGCTGGGAAGGGGGTAGAGATGGCTCAAGACCCAGCCCTAATTTCATGCGATATTGTATATTGTACGGAGTAGGGAAATGAAACAACCCAAAATTGATAAACCCCAGGGGTCGTGCTCCCAAGTCAGAACTAGTGTCATAGTTTCAATCATCTTAATTGATATAAAGAAAGCCCAAATTTGATAAATATGCTCCACCAACACGGCATTTAGATATAAAGAAGAATTTCATTTTATGGAACCTCATCTGTGTCCCGATCAGCAAAGTCCAGAATCTCAAATGGCCGAAATTCTTATTGAAGTAATCTATATCCCGCTTGGAGAAGCGGGCCGAAATATCGGTGGCGGTGTTTTATGTGAAACAATCGGCTTGTCGGGGCTGGTATACATGTATCATTATTACCAAAAGGCACTTGAAACGTTAGATCTACAATGTAAACCTTGGGAAAGAATCTCTCCAGTCTAGAATATTTTGTCTACCTAGAGACCATATTTTGTAAGTACATTTTTTTTACAGAATTCGATTACTATTTACTATTATATTCTACACTGTGCTACAATGACCGTGCTACCCGGGTAGTTTGCAAATGTCCCACCATGTATACGTGTCCGTGCCCCTCCAAAACCATTTAGCGACATTAGGTCAGTGCTAGAAGTCCTCCTATCGCCTTATAAAATAGGGGCGTATTAAGCAGAGTCAGCAGGTGGCGCCAGTGGCGCCACCTTAATACCTCAATTCAAGCCGCTGAGAGGCTCGTGGGCGCCGCCGATATCACACATTGTCTCTTTTTCCCCGTGAGATTAAAGGTCTTTTTTTCTTAGTTTTTTCACTGATTGATTGGCAGGGACCCCTGACAGATAAATCGTACACCAATGGGATACTGGTGCCTGAGACAGTGGGTACCCTGCACGTACCGCATACTCCACTTTTCCCAGCGACCGTTACCATCCGAGGGGTACTTGCGACAAGATATCTACTTTGTATACACAGGTTTATAGATCCACCGGTATTACCGAGACAGCCTTCGGGATTAATTTGATTAAAGTAACCAAACTAAACTAAACTAATTGAAAATTATTGATATTATCGATATCAAATTAATCTAAGGAAATGAGTTAATATTACCCTGGTCAATTCCACCTGGGCATCTTTCTTCTTCTTTTTCTTTACTTCTTCAAGCTTGTAGCTCGACTTTGATTCTATTTCGCTCTCTGTGAGAAGCCTTACGTTCCTTCCTTTCTTGCGAATTGACTTCGCTCTTTCTTCACTTCGCACACATACGTACACACTCGCTTACTTTGAATTGCTCATCTCAACTTGACTTTTTACTTTTTGCAACCACCACCGTCTTTACCAAGTTCCATCATGGTTGTTATCAACAAGGTCTCCATTGCCCTTGTGGCCGCTCTGGCTGCTATGGGCCAGGCTACTCACGAGGGTCTCCACGCTCGTCGTGTCCACCAGGTCCGTTCGGTCAGCGCTGTTGAGGAATCTACCTCTACCGTTCTCGTTATCCCTACTCCTGTTGCACCGGCCCCGGAGGCCCCCACTTCTGTTGTGGCTACTCCCGCTGAGTCCTCGTCTGTTGAGCCTTCTGTTGCTCCTTCCGTTGTTTCTACTCCGTCTGTGGCTCCCGTTGCTCCTAGCTCCGCTCCCAGCGTTGTTCCTAGCGCTCCTTCCGTGGCTCCATCCAGTGCTTCTTCATCTGTCGTTGCTCCCAGCAGCGCCACCTCAGTCGCTTCCACTCCCAGCGTGATTGCTTCTGTTGCTCCCGTTAGCACTCCCGGTAGCACTGTTGTTGGTCCTTCCGCTAGTGTTTCTCCCTCTGCCAGTATTTCTCTTGCTTCATCCAGCAAGCCTGTTGTCACTCGCACTCCCATTGGTACTAAGCCTTCTGGTACTCCTTCCGGCCGTCCCTCGGGTATCTCCTCTGGCTTGAGCAGTACCGTGTCTGCTCCTGCTGGCACCGCCGCTCCTGGCGAAGGCTCTGTGACTACCAGCGCTGTCACCCTTACCTACACCGTGGGCTCTGGCACCTCGACTAGCGTCATTACTACCACCATCTACAAGACTTACACCCAGGAACACACCGTCACTGCCGTGAGTATTATCTCAGCAGTTCATGCTTCTGGACTGCAAACTAACACTGTCACAGACTGAGACCGGCGCCGACTCCCAAGTTACCGCTACCAAGCCTACTGAGGACACCACCGACACTGTCACCTCTACTCTCCACTCCACCAAGACTGAGACTGTCACTCTTGTTGAGGTTCCCACCTCCTCTGGCGAGGCTGGCACTGGCAGCGACTCCGGTGCCTGCAAGCCAGTTACTGTTACCGCCACTGTCACTGAGACTGTGACTGCTGTATGTGCTTCCAATTCCCAATTTTGACATTGCAAACTGACTTTGGATTTTTTTTTCTCTACAGGGCTCTACCGAGACCTCTGCTCCCGTCAACCACCAGGGAGGCGGTAATGGCAGCGGTTCTGGTGAAGGCAACGGTGAGGGTTCCAAGAGCACCTCCACCGAGACTGTCGCTCCTCTCCCTGCTACCACCAGCGTGTCCACTCGTATCCCTGCCCCTGGTGCCCACACCCACACCCCTCACACCCGCACTCGCACTCCCTCAAGCAGTGGATTCGCGACCCGCACCCCTTCCTCTTCCGCCGGCATCAAGCCGCTCCCCACTTCCGCCGGCAAGCCTGCTCCCAGCGGCATTCCCAGTGGCAAGCCTAGGCGCCACTTCTTCTAAACACATCGCTCGCGTGAGAGGGACGCTACCTCTAAGCGGTGAGTTATGAGCCTGTTGACGATCTGAGAGAAAGCTCCGACTTCCTTCTACTCGCGCTGTTGCGCGCTGGTGCTGTACCTATTTTTGCCAAGTTTCGGTACAAACGGTTTCGATTTCACTTCTTATTTACGCTCTATTTTTTTTGCCATCTTTCTTCCTTTCGACTTCTATTCTTCCGCTGGATTTATCATGCTGGACTGTGTTAGGATTTGCAACCCCATTTTCAACTGGACAGCGACTTTCTACACATCTGACGTGTCATTTCCTTGCGTTTCATTTTTATCCAATGTGAAATGGATCCATTCATACGACCGATTTCCATTGCACTCGGAACATCTTCTTACGTATCGTGTTGATGGGTGACGCTTCTGCTTTGAAAGTAGAGTCCCTTCATCTTGTTGGGTTAAAAAACTTATTCTTACTTTTATGGATGTTCTCATCTGGTTGATCTCTTGCGTTGTTTTTCTCTTCTGCTCCAGGTGGAAGGCCGATGGGTGATGAGAATGTCGGTATCCGTAAACCCTGGGAAAGAATTGATTTGATTTGAGGATTTTGCTTTCAAGTGCTTTCAAGTGCTTTTCTCGTAAGTTACGACACTGCTGTAATGAAGTCTTATATAATGTCATCCTGGGTAAAAATTAAGCTTAAGTATAGGCCTGTTGATCATTGTCGATCTTCTGCAGGAAGGGATCACACTAGATGAGACTTGACCTCTAGTTTGGATACACAATCATCTGCGTCAAGTATCTATTTGTCGATGTCAAAATACTATACAGTTATCCGGCTTCAACTGCAGAAGTACTATGTCCCATGCTTGATTGGATCACAGTTCGCGCCAGGGATGCCCAAATTGCGGAAGCTATTATCTGTAGCATTATGATAAATACTTTCTATTGGTCATGAAATGTTGTGCTCGATTTGTCAGGCGACGTTTTAGACTTGCGTTTGGACTTGATTTCTAAAAATTCATCCACGCCCAAGGCCTCAACTCCCTCCCTTGCAATGCGCTCCCGCATGATCTGCCACTCAACCCATGCCACGCCTTGCAACAAGCAATCCGCCAGATCATCCAGCTTCCCAATATCGACATTCGCATCTTCCGCTGCTAATTGAGAGCCAGGCGACGACGATACCGACGGACCCGTCATAGCACGAGCCCCCTTCTTAGTCTGCGATCCGCCCCATTTCCGCATATACGCACCCGCAATGCCATGTAAAACAGGCGACTCGGATCTATCCGCCAACAAGATCTTATCAGAAGCACCAACTCCAGGCACCAGCGTGCTCCGAGCATTTGTCTCTGCATCATATGCAGCAGCAAGCCATCTCCCCACGATATCGATTTTAGCCTTTTTGACTTCCCGAGAGTTAAGCTTCACTGTTTCTTGCTCTGGTTCGTTTTTATTAGACGTCGGCTCAAGCCAATACCTGACCACCCTTTTTGGCTCGACGCCATGGATTGCCATCACATCGCCCCTTTCCATGCGCAATGCGTGCAGAATGGCATACAGCATCCCTTCGAAGACGCCGACGCGCAGCGTCCATTCTTGTACGGCGCTTGCGCCGCCTGTGCGGAAGCGCTGGCGCTCGATTAGGATGTGAGTTGGGCGGTAGGCGGTTAAAAGGGAGGTTATTAGCTTGTAGGCCGTTACGGCGTAGAGGTCAGGGGAGAACGATTCTTGTTTTTTTGTGGGTTTGGATTTGGATAGTTTCTTTGACTTGGTTTCTGTAGGTTCTTGCTTTGGAAGAGCATCTGATGGTGCCAATGTAAATTGCGAATTTGCTTCAATGGTGTCTCCTAACCCTGTTAGGTTCAGACTTGAGATGTCGGATACGGCAAGTCTGTGCCAGGCTGTGAGCTCTGGTATTGGCGGATTCGCCGTGTCAATTTGGGCAGAGCGGGGGACGCGTAGATGCGCAAATGCCAAGTTCTGGATTCCCATGTCGATGCTGAGAATGCTCCATGGTTTTTCATTTGTCTTTGCATGAGTGTTTGCCTTCAGCGAGCCCTTCGTCTTGGTCGGGCCCTTGCTCGAGCAATTGTCTTTTGATGATGACCTACAGTCGACATGTTGATCTTGACGCTGACTGGGGTCGGTACTTGGACTGGAACCAGTAAGCCCCCCTGCAACGCCATCCCCATCACTGTGAGGCAAATGCAACCCAAGCTCTGCTGTAATGCGCTCAATCAGAGCGCCCTTTGGTCCAGATGATTGGATGCCCGTTGCGCGCGCTATGCGCTGCAATTGTGCTGATTTCAAGCATGCAAGCCAGTGGGGGGAACACAGGACTGCGGAGAGACGCATTGGGAGTGTTTGGGCTGCTGTGCGGGGTGCAATTCCAAATTCCGATGTCGGAACCCTTGTATCTGCAACGGTTACTATCTTGTGCAACGTATTTATAGAATCTCGAAAGGGAGGCGATGTCGAGAGTCCTGGTCGGCGCACGGGCCATTTCCGTTCGCGTCTACCATGGATCCGGTATTGGATTCCCTGGTTGATCGAAACGTTTAGTTTGTATGTTTTTCTAGACGACAATCTACATCTCGCCTTGATCATATTAGAATAGTTGATGTCTTATACATCTGAATTAATAAAAAAAAAGACTATATGCGCCTTCTATTTCCCAGACACCAATAATCCGGTGGAGACGTCTGACAACGCTCTTGTATCCGTAAACGCCAAAATTAAACAAAAGTCCCCCCCAAAGAATAATATGCATGGCGCTGAAGAGCAGAACACTTGTAGACGAATCAATAAGCAAAGAACAAAAATATCCGAAAGAAAACACATAAGCAAAAACCAAGAAACTATACCAAAGCCGGCTCAAGCTCCGCCATCGCAATTTCATCGCGAAGGTATAACAGCGGCGCCCAAACACGCCAGTGCAAAACACCCATATGAGCAAGACGCATACCAATACGCTCAATATCTGATTGCTGGGGCGTCAAGGCCTGCCCAGACCCTGACCCAGCCGCAACTGTATTGACTGGCCCAGAAGCCGCAGTCGGCGGTACCCGCTGCGATTCACAGATCGCCAGCGGCGAAAGGGGCAAGTACCGTTTCGCTGCGGACAACGTGGCAGCGAGGACCTTAGCACGCATGCTATCCTGGAAATAAGCAAAGAGATCAGACTCATTGGAGAGATGCCACTCGAGGGCCTCTTCAATGGGCGCGATAACCTCATCCGCGACGACAGCGTCAAGCTGCAGCGCCGCGCAAGCAAACCGGGCAATTTCCAGCGCGATGCAGCGCATATTCTGGGTCCAGCGTTTTCCGCCGCGGTGATCGGGGTCGTCGTCGTTGTCGCCCGGGTTTCCGGCGATGCGGTTGTCCAGATCCATGCCGTCTTCCATTAGGGACCAGATGCGCGAGCGGAACGTGGAGTAGGTTTCTTCCGGGGCTGAGAGATACCGCTTGTGCTTGTTTACATATGATTCAAATATGTACCAGGAGATGTCGAGGTTGATTAGGTTTTGGACGGTGGAGCGGAGTTGCCAAAGGCGCTCGGAGTCGAAGAGGAAGGTTTCGGGAAAATCCTTTGGTGGAGAGAATTGGAGGAGTTGGTCGGAGATACCGCGAAAGAGGGCTTCGAGGGGTTTGAGTGTATCTTCTGTTTCGGTCTGGGCTTTGGGGTCGGTCTCGTCTTCTTGACGGGCTTGGGATCGCACGGTAAGATACCACTCGCGGGCGGGCTCAACTTGGAAGCTGCCGCGATTCATTTTGCCCTGGAAGTATTCTTGGAGGAATGGAACTGTATCTTCAATCAACAGGACGCGGAATGCTCGAATTTGGTGGTTAGCGACGTCCTAGAGTAATGTAAGTTTGCGAAATTAGAGAAGACTTTGGAAGGTGACGTACCAACTTCATCGCTTCCAAGATGGCGAAAAGTGTCTGAAGACCATTGACAATCTCCCGCGGGTCTTGCGATTTTGAACCCTTTTCGATTTGGCTAACCATACAATCTGCCCAATCATCACGCATCGGGGCGCAATGTGTTTTGAGCAGGGCAGCGAGCCACGTCGCCAGGGCAAGCATGTCAAGAACGCCTTTGCGGATTTGTTGCATGAGTAAGGGAACTTCCAAATTCTGCATCACAGTCGGATGGTCTCGTTCTGGGACGAGGGTCTTGATGACGTCCTGTAATGTCTCGAACAGGGCAGGCAAACGGGGATCAAAAGTGCGTCGAGTACCGTCAATCGACTCGACTTCCTCAACAGCGATATCCGCACTGGCAGCACGGAAAGCGTAAATAGCAATCTCTGAGGCCAATGAGTCCCAATAGTCTGTAGCTTCTTTCCGCTTCCGTTTGCCCTTTTCTCCATCTAGATCAGGCTTGAAGTGCAAATCGCGGTCGAAATTGGCGTCCATGCGTAAGTTAATGTTGCCCATGATACATGGCAAGTCAAGTTCGCTGAGCGTCTTCTTCGTAACCGGTGGGGATCTCCGAGCCTTGCGCAGTAGTCGCTGGTCGCGGGAGCTTAGTCCCAACGCTTGAGGTATACTGATAGCTTCCGGTGAAGGCGAGGGCTCTCGAGGCCGAGTCACGGCGGTGGCTGGTGATGCATTGTTTCTTTGAGATCCATGAGGATAGGCGAATGGTGGTTGACGTCGACGAAGCGGATGAATAGAAGTTCGGTCATCGCGGTTGTGAGAATCCCGCCCCTCGTTCTTGTGATACTCTTTCGAACGACTACCCCCAGCACCATATGCCTCGAGAGAACCTTCGCCCTCCTCCTTTCGGGCTTCTTTTGTACCTTGTAGATCCATCACCAGGAGACGATGTCTAACTTCTCCTGCTAAGGATGTCAGATAAAGAAGGATTTTTGGCACCAGATGAGGCGAATATGCAACTCACACGAGAAGAAGAAAAAACCCCCTGTTTGCCTCGGCCAATCCGCAGTCGCCAAAAAGTGATGCAAGTGAGCTGTCAATTGTAGTGGAGCCGAGGATTTGCCTGGATCTGCGTCTCGCCTCGTGGTTCCCAGGGGAAGGGTAAAGGGGGAATTAAGATATTAAAAAAATTAATATGAAAAAGTAATAGGATAATAGGATAATAGTCCAAAAGAGAACAAAAAACAAGTATAAGAAATCAATAAAAAGGAGATAATTGGAACAAAGAGTCTGTTCAGAAAAGTGATTAAACAGAGACTCTCTCCCAAAAAAGAAAGGTATACGGATTACTCAGGGCAAACAAACCCAAAAGTCGTGCAGATAACAAATCAAGAAACGAAAAAAAAGAAAAGAAAAGGAGCAATTGGTAAAACGACTGGGATGAACTGATATAGTGAGTGTATCCCCCAGATCTACCTCCGGATTCGGGTGGACGCAACCAGACTCACATTCCAACTGCTGCTACCCGCGAGCAGAAAGAACCATTTGATCGTTTCAGTTGAGATCTTGTACCATGAGCTTCCATTCCTGATCCGATCTCGGGGTATCCGATTTTATCTGAGCTTGTTTTTTCTTGTTTCCAGTGCGATGAAAAAAGGGGGGAAAACCGCCTCACTTTGAGCTTTGAAACCAGCACTGGCCACGTGAAATGTTCTCCTTGCTCGGGAAACCACTGGATGCAGCTGGTTTGCAGATTACCTTGGCAACTCCACGGATTTACATCGAGATGTTCGAGTGAGGCACTCGGGTGTCTACTCGTTGAGATCGGAATGTATTTCAAGTTTGGTTTTGGTGATGGTCTTGATGCCTTTGTGCCTGAGGAACTAGGCGCCATATCTTGAACCTCTCAACCTGACTACCAGGTACAGATAATCTTACCAGATGAAATACGAATCATGCAACACTCCAACCATGTGCCAACTGACTCCAATTGGCCAACAATTTACAGCTGCAACCTCAACCAATTAAGAGGGGAGTTTGTGATTTTCTGGGATACAGCATCACCGAGTATCCCCGAAGACAGTATCTCTAATTAAGAAGGGCCTCATTAAGGCCTAAAAGCCACTTGGGCAGAAGAAGAAAACGAAATAGTGGTCTAGGCAGAACTACTTATGTATTCGGTCAATGCGACTCGGATGGCTGTCAGGCTTACTTACAGGTGAGATGCTAACTAACCTAAATGCTGTTCCTGCTATCTATGGAGAAGGGTTTGTTTAGTATGGAGTAAAAAGTATGGAGTATATTTTCGTTGATGGAGATGTTCTGTATGTAGAGAAAATCAAATTAATGACAGCTAGCAACGAGGCAAAAACAAAAAAAGTAGTCGCGCCCGGGATCGAACCGGGAACCGTCTCGGTGTGAGCGAGAAATCATAACCATTAGACCACGCGACTGATTGATGATGACTGCTCATTTGTTACATTTATCAAATAAATCGTTCTCAACTCTATTAAATTCATATTTGTATCTAGGTTTTGACATCATGAATCATACCTACTACGTGAATCAAAAGGAAATTTTAGTTGAAAATTTGTGAATAAAGCCTTTGCATTCGCATAACAGTAGCGAAAACCCTAAATAAGGGAAAACCTTTACCAAGACTGAAAGAAAATAAGAGCAAATAAATCGAGGGTAGAGCCCATAGGCCACTTTGAGTCAGCACTGTGTACTCAGTCAACGCTTGTCGGTCAAGAGTCTCGACTTACAGCCTATTCACGTCCAACGCGGTGAGAATAGTGCACTCAAAGTTTTCGCTCTTCTATCAGCCCAGATCATCTACGCTATCCAAGTCCATAGCAGCCAGCAATATGTACTCAAGGTCATTCGCTCTTCAGTTAAGGGTCATCACTTACGGACTATTCACGTCCATCGTGGTCAGTACTATGTACTTAAAGTTATCGCTCTTTAGTAAAGGGTCATCACTTACATACTATTCACGGCCATCGTATTTAGCACTCTGTATATTCAAAGTCACCTCTCTGTTGTCAGAGGTCATCACTTACGACCTATTCACGTCCATCGCAGTTAGCACTATACTTATAGTTATCGCTCTTCAGTTAGGGGTCATCACTTACGGGCTATTTAGGTCCATCGCAGTTAGTAATTAATGCTTGATATCATCGCTCTTCAGTCTAGTGTCATCACTTACAATCTATTCAAGTCCATCGCAGTCAGCACTATATATAAAGTCATCGCTCTTTAGTCAAGGATCATCACTTACACACTACTCACGTTCACCTCAGTCAGTACTGTATATTCAAAGTCACCTCTCCATTGTCAGAGATCATCACTTACGGGCTATTCAAGTCCATCGCATTCAGTACTGGGTACTCAAATCTTTAGTGAAGGGCCATCACTCACATACTATTCACGGCCATCGCAATTAGCACTGTATATTTAAACTCACCGCTCTATTGTCGGAGGTCGTCACTTTCACACTATTCACGTCCATCGCAGTCAGCGCCTGAATGTAACTTGAAGTGTTCACTAAATGGACTATTCATACCTCTCTTTCAACTGCTTTATTGCCAGATGATTCATCCATAGATCCTGGTACCGCAAGTGCGACCAAGACAAAAGCCATTGCAAGAGACAGTACCTTCATATTGACACAGTTGTACTTGTAAAATATAGCTAGTGTCCTTGGACTGGTGATTCAGCAGAGTAGAATAATTTAAGCGATGATATTCGTACATATCTGGAGTGTCCATGATGGCTATTTATAATGGCATGAGTGTTACTCGCACCGCATTTACCCAAAGCGGGAGATTATCGAAGACTACTTGTGATACGCATTGTGTATAGACGTCTCCCGTCAGCTTCCTTGAACCGCTCGTTTTACTTTTACTTCTACTTTGTTATATCTTTTCCATATAATCAATCAATCGTGGTATCATTGAAGCAGGGTTGTTGCCGATCTCTCCTATTTAGTATTTGTTACATTCTACAAATCTCGAGAGAACTTAGTCAGAGTGACGTGATCATTGGGGTGGTGAGCGCGAAATCTGCATCTAGTCTTCACCCAGGTCACACAAGCATTATCTAGTAAAGTCGGTGAGATTGCCGGGTAATGTCGTGTCTAATGTCGGAAAGGTCATGGGCTTAATGCGGCATAATAAACTGCCCTGGTGTCTTAAACTATCAATCATATAAGAAGTGTATATCAATATAATTGGAAACAGTTTAGCCCTCAGACGCAAGCGCTTTGTTTCTCGGCTCGTATCTGATAAAACTATACTCTCTACTTAGATGAGTGGTAAATTAACATCGCTAGATTCAGGTAAGCTCCGTATTTGCTAGAAACAGAGCATATGTGCCTGAGGGGTAAACTGTTTTCGAATTCCACTGTATCTTCAAATTGAGAATCGTACTCTAAGACCCTCTAAAAATTATATAAATCAAATAATGCTAAGACGCTAGAATTATTTGACTTTCATAGCACAAACTGATTCCGTGCGAGGCTTTACTTCCGTCGGGCATGCATATTGCCCTATAACGGAAAACCCATAATCCGGCTGACTGTATGGACTTCTGTCGATGCAATTACGACACCGGTCATGGTGCTTATGGTAAAGTACTAGATCGAAATTAGTACAGGAATATCAATAGTCCGATGAGACTTCCAATAAAGACTTGCTTGCCTTGGGGTTGTGGCTGGAGAATCAATGAAAGAGTGGAAGTGGTCGCACCAATTTCGGGACGTACTATCCTGGAATTCTAAAATCATGGGTTTCCTTTCCTAGGGTTGCTCCTCTTCTCAGTAATATAACAATGTCTTAAGAAAATATTAATAATCAAGTCGCGTGGTCTAATGGTTATGATTTCTCGCTCACACCGAGACGGTTCCCGGTTCGATCCCGGGCGCGACTACTTTTTGTTCTTGTCTACTCCGTAGCTTCCAATTTGACTTTTTTTGATCTTTGTATAAAAGGGATGACTGGTAGATTCCCCCGCTCCGCTTCTATTAATGCAGACTGTAGAAGATCCTTGCTCTCCACCAAAAGTAGTGTCTTGCTGATGTGCACCTTTGGCCGCCGCCAGAATGCACCAAATGGATGCTCATGCTATATCAGAAAGCCTCACATGAAGGCCCCCGGGAGCTTTGGATTGAGAGTGATTCTGAATTTCAGATTGATTTAGTAGAATACCGGACAAGGTTGATTGTGCACTTTACATTGACGCTTACGATTGCATCGGGAACCTACCTAAAAGGATTTCCCAGATTAGGGTAGAAAATGCTAGCGGTGCGCATACCTAGGAACTGGACCCTGGCGAATTTTTGCAGAGCGGTATCAAAGCTCTTAGTATCACTAAGGATGTTGTTTCTATGCCTGTTGGCCGAGCAAGTTTTGATTGCTATGTTGGCCTACAGCACGGATATATATACTGTCACTGTCCACTCCATGGATTATATCGCCATGGCTACTACGACTAGGAATGGTGCCAGTACTACAAATCATGGGACCGATGGCACGGAGACAAGGAGTAGCGTCATGGCAACCACTGCCGGTGGTATATGGTACAGCGACGGGGGTGAGGTCGGTCTTTGGTCGCAAGCATCTTAGGATCGTCGGTCTGATAGATATATCAGGTCTGGTATTGACTTAGTAATTAAGCTACGTTGGTGCATGGGATAATTTTGATGCGAATTTCGATTCTTTGGATTTTAAACAGGAGGTCATAGTTATATATGTACGAGGAAATCGCTGCCTCCATCTAGCTTCGGCGGAAACAAATACTAGTTGTAGTGAGTATTTGGTAATCTACCTTTGAAAATCGACCATTAGAAGAGGCAAAAGATGATTTAAAGCCAATCAAAAGTTTGCCTAGTAAGGTAGACAGTTCGCTGTCAATACGTCACGATGTGATGACTAGGGTTTTGGTCAAAAAGGGAGGTCACCTAGGTAAACCAGCGTCCAGGGTAGCGCTGTGGTGTATTATTTAATTGTTGATATAAACAAGCCTTTCATGTTATCTTTTTGAGGTTCTCAATCCCAATCTTATTTCTGCAATCGGCATGGATGAACAGTTGACTGGCAACGCCCATCAATAGGTCATCCACTCAATAGGCCGCTAAAAAAGCTCACCAAAAAGCTCCTCACAATTGATTTTCACGTCCTAGACCCCACACATGTGTTTCTCCCTTCCCGTCCGTCTCTTTGATCTAGCCCATGTATGTTATTGGCACCCAATCTTATTCACACCCATATCCGGCATCAACCACCACCCGCTCAATAACACCAAATGGGTCCCATGTTCCACACCATGCTCCACAAGAAAAAGATAAAAAGGAAACATGGATTCCATGTGGAATTTGTTCTGCATCTGTATCCTGAGTTTTCCCGGTCTCGTTTCCAGAGAGTATCGTTTATCTACCGAAAGAGCGAGCAAAAAGCCTCATAGTTGTGCAGATCGCGGCGAAGTTCAATCATGAATATCTCGGCATTCCTTTATTTCTTCAATTTGCTATGGGCTACTCCCAGCGTTGTCTTCTCACGAGGACTTGAAAAAAATACTCAATTCAAAGTGGATTCCTTGCCAGGCATTGCCTCGTTGCCGGCTAGTTGGGCTGGTCGCCTCCAAGTTCCAGGAGCCGAGAGCGGGAATGAGATTTTCTTCTGGCTGTTTGGATCAGAGACGCTGACATATGATGAAAATTTGATCAGTACGTATGAATTGGGGAAAGGGACAGGATGTGGTTTACTAACGCTGTATAGTTTGGTTCAATGGCGGTCCTGGCTGTTCATCCTTGATAGGGCTGGCGACAGGCAATGGTCCCTTTTCGTTTAACGGCAACTCGACCAACCTCGTTCGCAATCCACACTCCTGGACGCACCTGGGCAACGTGCTGTATGTTGACCAGCCTGTCGGTACCGGCTTCTCAACGGCCAGCAATCCTTACCCTGTTAAGGACAACGGCCAGGTAACAACCGACTTTGCTGCCTGGTTGATCGATTTCTTCGAAAAGTTCCCTCATCTACGATCAAAGAAGATTCATCTTATGGGTGAATCGTATGCTGGAATTTATATACCATACTTTGCGTCCCAGCTTCTCAAAAGCAACAGCTCTGTGCCGTTCGACATCCGTTCAATGTCCCTGGGTGATGGCTCGTGGGGAAATGGGGCAGCCATGTCCTCCGTCGCCACGGGCCAGTACCTCAGGTCACAATCATCCCTCCTTCGAATCCCCGAGGACGTTCTCTCCGTCTTCTCCGAAGCAGATGAAACTTGTGGCTTCAATGGCGTACTAGCAAAGTCCGCCATCTACCCTCCCCAGGGAAAGATTGAGATCCCGGGAAACCCAGAATACTTCAACCTGAAACGTCAACGTCGGGACTTGACCAACGCCCTCAATGCTACGTGCGACATAGGACCTACGACTCCAGAAGAAATTCGTACCTCAATCTTCAATTCAACCTGTTATGGTCCTTGCGCTACCTTCTCCACAGCCATGGATCATATGACCACCATATCCACCACGAGCACAACTCGCGGTTGTTACGATGTCTACGACATCTCTCATGATTGCAGTTCCATCTCCGCACTGCCATTACTGGCAGAGTACTTCAGCCGTTCAGATGTGCAGGCTGCCCTGCATGTCCAGGACAGTGGACCTTATAGCGCCTGCAACTCAACCATCTTGGAAACTCTTCTTGCAGTAAGTTCCCCCGTGCCACCAGAATACTCCATTCTGCCATCACTGGTTACTGAATACAACATCTCGCTACATCTCTACTCCGGTGAGTGGGATATGCTGATCAACCACTTCGGCGCGGAGCTGTCGCTGCAGAATATGACGTGGCGTGGTGCGCAGGGGTTTGCAAAGAAACCCAATCAGTTATTCTATGCTGATAATGCAGCTCCAACTAAGACCAAGGTGTTGAAGTCCAAACCTGCTACCACTCTCGCGACTGCGACTGCTACGGCTTCTGCTGCAGGTACATGGGGTGAGGAGCGTGGTGTCTCGTATCATCTCTTCCGCGGGGCTGGTCATAGCGTGTTTGTGAATAAGCCGCGCGAGATGTTTTCGTTTGTGCGAGATGTGGTCGTTGCTCGGAGGGCTGGTTGAGAGACAAGGCGGAGAATTGGCTAGGGTTGTTCATATTTTGTAGGCATTCGGTTACAATTTCTTTCTTGGGTTAGTCCCAATCTATATCGAATATAATCAAGAAGTTAGCATTTGATTTTCTTGTGTCAGGCTTGTTTTGTGATTGTAGCCATGTGGCAGGCTTTCGGACGATGTCGACAAAGTTATTGCATCACTTAGGAGATCCACCAAAAGCAAGGTGATCAATGATTCAGCGAAGGATTTCGTCATGCCTGTTTTCTCCTAAAGAAGGACCGCTTCCGGTGGGAAATAAAGAGCAGATATTCAAACTTACTGCGTGCGCGTTGTTGAATAGGGTATATACTCGAATTTCTAGTTTTTGATTTTTGGAGATTCGTAGACATGATTCTAATAGATCCTACTGCTCGTGCATTTCAATCTGCTTTATATCTAAGCTAGAAAAGCAAAAAAAATCTTTTATTAGATGTGAGCGGACTTGATATTCATCGTGAGTCCTACACGACCCCGATCTCCGCATATCCACAGTATGAGCATAGTATTATGAAAAAATATGATACGAACTGTATATTTCTTGTGTAATGTTAAGTCTAGATTACTCGGGGATTAGTCGGTCTTTGTAGATGAGGGGTCATTATGAGCCAACATGACTCATGATGCATCAAGATGAGTGGGTAGGCATGCATCTTGATCTTGGGGCTGTTTTTATACATCCTTCTTACGAGATATTAATTCAATGAGTACTAGGCGCAGAGTATATTTGAGAGACTCTTCCAAGGACCGGTAACCCAGGCGAGAAAACTACATAGATGTAGAGATTTACAAACAACCTCTGTGGATTGCAAAAAACAGTTTATTTCGTGTGATGCCTAGTTGACCCTTGAACTCGGCAAAGATCATATCATATCACATACCAGCCCGAACTGCCAGACACGAATGAGATGGTGTTTCAGCTCCGAGTTCACCAAAGAACATCCAATAACATGCATGATAGATTCCGTGATACCCGAATATTGCGAAATAGATCAACCCGCTAATTCATAAAAAGTAAAAACAATACAAATAAAGCATCGAACTGCCTGGACAAGGAGGTGGTATCACAAAGACACACCTCGCTTGAGCAACGTCGATGGCGACACGAGATACTGTTCATAGTCATAATCATAAGATGCAACATGAGCATGTGAGTAGATCATGACACATAGAGAAACATATTCTCTTAAAGAGGACAAAGTAATTCAATTCAGAGTCGCCTAGCGACGGAAGAAAGGTGCTTGATTCGACGAAAGGAGCGCGTCAGCACGCTGGAACACATCTCCCTCAAAGAACTTGTCACTGTATGCACTCGCCGGCGTGGACGGTACTGTGGCCTGCGCAGCAGGACCGAGCGCCGCACTCAGTGGGGTGGCAGGGACGGTGATGGATTGTGGGGGCATCATCATGTTATGTTGGAAAGAGGGGTTGGTGATGGCGGATGTAGAGGCAGATGTTTGGTGCTGCAAGTACGGGGGCTGCAGTGGAGGTCCGTATAAGACGTTGGGATGGGGGTGACGGTCTGGATCTGCGAGGTACGCCCAAGGGGATACTTCGATTAAACGGCCCGCTTCTCGGCTTGCCTTTTGGACTGGCCGGAGGAGGATGATGATGTCAGAGGGAAGAAGCTGCATGCTTCTCACCTCGCGCATTTCGTTCACCAAATCGACGAATGATTGCATGAACGATTTGCATAGTTGCCAGAATTCGCGTTGGTTGCGGAGTCCACCGCCTGGTTCTTTGATTTTCATGGTGGAGAGTCGCTGCCCCAAAGCATCCGATACCTCTTGGCAGACTTGAGCTCGGCGGATGAGGTTGTTCCAAAGCAGCTGAAGCCCCTCCGAGTCGCGGGATTGCTGAGCTACTTCCAGACATCTGATGAACTGGCGACGGGCGAGCGGGAGTGCCCCATGTGCAGCGGTATGTGTAGAATTGAGCTGGTGGAAGATTCTTTCGAAGATTCGCTCCTCTTCGTTCTCATCCAGCCCAGTCAACGTGTTTACCCGAGGAGCCCCAGAGACGGGCATAGGAGGGAAACTTTCGCCCGAGCGAGGGGTTGCTAACGCGTGGGGCACAGATACGTTGGTCAAGTTTGACCTGCTGCTAGAGCGACTACGGGAATACGGCGTGGAGAAGCCGGGGGAGCTGCTACCAGTCTGGCTGGATGCCGTCATGGTCATAGGGTATTGAGGATGCCGGATTGTCGTGTCACTTCGCATCCGTCGTGTCGGTGGAACAGGTTCCCTTGTAGGGGTGACCAGCGGCAGTTGGGATCCATCTGGGATCGAGGGCAATGGGTTGGCTGGGCCAACGAGGCGCTTTGTAGCAGATAAGCGTTTGCTGGAAAATTGAAGTGGTGCTCTGAGAATAAGGCAGGCATTGCGTAGCTCCACTAGGCTGCCATAAATCATCATCATCAACGAGCGCACATAGCGTGGATCGCCGTTAGAGACTATTTTGGCAGCGCTATTGCGCAGTTGCGTGCCGACGTGAATATATGCCGCTATGCATGTCTCGCATTCACGTTTAACTGTCTCTATGACCGAATGGGTCGAATCTGGGTCATTGAATAAAGAGGATGCAGCTTTCTCAAGGACATCATTCAGTTGATCCACATGCGAGGAAGCATTGTAAAAGACGAGCTCAAGACTGTGACGTCTTGTGTCATCATGCTTGATCACGTTGATCAAAGTATCAATATGCGAATGAACTTGGAACAATGCAAATAAAACTCCTTTCGCACTTTTGATTATTGGGTCATCAGATCCACGCTCGCCTTTGTGTTCAGGGAGACTAGACATCCGATTGACCCATCCCTCTCGGGGGCGTCGACGCTCTCTTGGGCTGCTGGGACTCTGAGGAGTACTGTCATTTGTGGCCATTGGCGCAGGAGGTTGACGCGCTCGTAGCACAGAGCCGTGACTGAGACCCCGCAAATGGCTGTTTCGATACGGGCGTGTTTCATCCAACGTGCCTAAATCAGTGTTTTTGCGAGTTATCAGCCCCATCCTCTTGCTACGCGCAGCAGATGATCCTTGAATGATGCCCTCGCTGTTGCTTCGATTGCGCTCATTGACGCTGTGGGGTGCAATGGGGGGCCTTTGTAGACCGGGCATATGATAAGTAGCGCCTTGTTGCCCGGAGGCCATCCGGAAATGTGATTTGGCGGGGATTGGAGGCGCTCGCGATATTGATGGGGACCGGGATGAGGCTGCTGAGCCATCGCCAGTGCTGGGTATTACTGGAAACCGGCCACTCAGGTTTCTCTTTGAAGGTCCCGGTGTTGGGATCGGCTTGGCCTCGAAACTACCATCGCTGTGTGGAATATCAGTTTACGTTTATCCTCAAACCTCCTAGCGAACATACCTTGCATCGGTGTACACCTCTGGTTCGGGCGTAGTCACGGACTGCCTAGACTTCATGAAGAATCTCTTGAGTTTGGTAGTGGCTGCAACTTCTTTCTCATTATCGGTCAACCCCGATGGTGTCATTTCGTTTTCGGTTTCTTCCAAAATGTCACGAAGTGGCTGTCGAAGAGGATTGCCAGCACATTTGAATATTTGTAGCTTGTGCATTTCAGCAAGGCCAATTGGAAGGTCGTTCAGACGATTCTGCATCACCGACAGAACCCGCAACGACTTCAATTTGCTAATCTCATTTGGCAATTCTTTGATCTTATTTCGGCTCAGATCCAGAATTTCGAGCAATGGTAATTTGTAAACCTAGCAGGGTCAGTGATGAAAGCACTAAGATGTATCGTCATACATACTCCTTTTGGAAATTCACGGAAATTGTTCGCTCTGATGTTGAGATAACGTAAATGCGAGCATTCCGCGAATCGATAGGGAATATGGAAAAGTTGATTGTTGGATAGGGATAATCTTCGTCATGGTTAGTATAGCTCGGAGCTGTGCTGCTGTGGATTAAGATCACAGCGCAGGGTTCGGACGAAACAGTCCAAAAACGGATACCGACTAACCGTTCAACCTCATCTTTGATCAAGTCCACGACTGGCTCGGGTATGCGAGCAATGTTCGAATGACCAAGATCAATAGTCAATTTCGGCTTGACCACGTCTGTGACAGCTTCACTGCCTGCCAAAGAACGCTTGGTATCTTGTATTCCACTCTCAACAGCGTTTCGTGCTAGCTCGATGGTTTCTTCGGGAGTGAGCATCTTTGGTCCGGCCGTTTGCTTGCTAACATTCGCTGGAGCATCCCCTAAAGCAGTGCCTGGCCTGCTTTCTTCCTCCTCTGGGTATAGAGAGTCATCTTGTTGCGAATTCTGCGACAGTGCCTGGAAGCTGCTTGATTCGGGCGTTCCAATTTCTACTTCTTCTTCATCTGTCTCGCCGCGATACAAGCGCGGCCCGCGCACTGTGTCCTCCGGTCGAGTCATCGCAGATGTCATGATGGACAAAGGCCAAAAGGTCGATCAAGGAAGCCCAAGTCCGCAATTGCGTGCAACAACTGATACGCTGCCAATACTGACAAATTGTATCGATACAGCTACCATTACCATATGAACGCACTTCTGACACTTGCGCAAAGCATTGTTGGTTGGCCTGATGTTATGTCGGAGGGGCGATCTCGACGTCCGGGGACTAACAACGGAGTTCGAGGCGGCCTCTCGATGGGGTTGGGGGTGGAGGACGAAATTCGGAGTCGCTTAACAATAAATCGGCCAAAATAGGGCTGTAAGACTCGGAGGAGACTTCTTGGAAGAAGGCTAGGGGAAACGCGGTGCAATGATGCTCACGGATGTCAATCGCGGATACGATAAAGAGATTGGCGATGGGAATCAAGCCGAGGAATGCCGTTATCGATGGATCAAGGGCAAGTTCGCAAGGCTGAATACTTGTTCAATATGTAATTCGTGAAGGGCGAGGCTTAGGATTCTTCGAAAGGAAATCGGCACATTGAAGTTGGCGAGGCTGGAAATCCTCTGATTGGATGAAACACGTCCAACTTCCTGCGGCTCCGCGACTTGGCGATTTGTTGTCGCCCTTACTTCGTCGTATGTTGTTATTTGTTGTCTTTAGGTAAGTAACAATATAAATTCGTCTTGTTTTTAATGATAAGAACATACTGGAGAAGACAAAATAAGAAAGAATGCATGTGCTGTCGCGTAAATAGAGCTAGGGAGGTAAACCATCCAGTAGAATGGTTCAAATAATATACATAGATCAACATGAAAGACTGGGAGATCAAAGCCTCCCATTGAAAAACGATAGATGTCGTAACATCAAAGCTTGATCCTAACCCATTCCAGTGGCGGATACTCCTACTTCGTCTCCTCTTGGGCTTCCTCGTTCTCACCCTCGAGCTCAGATGGTTCCACTGTGTCATCTCCCAGCTCTGGAGCACCCACAAGAGCTGCCTTCCGCTGATCTTGAACTTGTGATGTTTCACGGGCCCAAGCAACCCATTTGTTGTATTGTTGATCTTCCAACTTCATACCAATATCCAAGTATGAAGGTCCAAACTCTGCGCCATATGCCGAGGCTTCTTCCGCGGCGACCCGACGCTGAATGTCCTCTTGCAATCGAACTCGGTAGAACTCTCGACGAGCAATATCGTAGGCGTTACTCTTGGTCATGTCTGGGACGTTGTTCAAAAGCCATAGCTGTCGCTGGACAACACTAGAGTAAAAAAGGCCATATGGTTAGCATTGGAAATCACAGCGGGAAATCAACGAAAATTCCAGGAACACAAGGGTCAAGAACTCACTTTTCACCATCTAACCGCTTTCCTGGCTGTTGAAGGCGGCTCCAATCGTAGTGTTCAAAGTCCTTGCCAGAACTCTCAAGAAGCACACGGGGTCGGGCAAGTTCCCAGGGGTGATCGCGGAAGAACTCGGTACGCAATTGGTCTTCTTCATATTTAAGCTCGACGGGCTGGAAAATTCGGCTGGCCTTCTTTGGTTTTCTGCGCTTCTCTTGGACTTGGAAGACGACCTGCGGCTTCGAGGATCCTTCGACGGTCTTCATCCGCTGGTGAACAAGCTGGTGCTGAGGAGCACGGGTACGAATGATTGTTTCAGCAGGAGGAATTTCGCCGATCACGTCGACCCATTGTGGCAGTTTGCTGGTCTTTCCACTGGCGAATTGTGAGATGGCTGTCTGTCGCACCCGAAGGGCAGTGAAATTCAATTTGCCCATGGTAGTCGAACACAGCCAGTGGCTAGCAAAGGCAACCCAGAGGAGAATAATTCAGACGCGACTGAGGGATTACGTAGAGACAATGGGAACAAAGCGCTGCAGGGACGAAGTTGGTTGATGCGGGAGCGAAAAAGATGGGATTGGCAAAGCACGGCTCCGATTGGACGAGAGTGGACTCCGCCAGGCCAGAAAGTGCAGGCCGTTCATCTTCAGAAAAACACACCTACGAAGATTCCAAGTCTTGTGTCTCTCCCTTTCTTTCTTTCTGTCTTTTAATATTGGAGATTGACAGATATCTACTGTGCGAGTGGCTTAAGGCCCTTATTTGGATGCGCAAGGCCTATTCAATGCCACAATGTCTGTTATCTCATGCCTCATCCAAATAGGTCCCCCAGCTCGCCGAGCCTGCGAAATCACCCCAAGCAGGCCTTGGATGGGCTTCCTCTCCCTCGAAAACCCCCAATGCCTCTCACGACACCCCCTTCCCACAACTCTTCCGTCCGAAGACTCTGTTCCCGTCGACCTCGCCCATCCGTCGCGTCAATAGCAGATATTTTTGTCGGTTCGTTGGTCCTGGCAAGTTTTTGCCATGAGCACTCACCGAACCGTCGAGGGATGTGTACAGTAGCCTGGAGCCCTTCAACCTATAATCTACAGAGATTGCGGAGCAAAGGGGCACCTGGCCGCAGACATTTACCACCCCGACAACCGCCAGAATATGCATGCTCCAGTTTGCATGTGTCGCAACCTAAAAGATTGATAAGCCATGGATTGGCACGCACGAAAGACGATAATACAGAGGAAGATAATATTGAATTCGACCCGCGGGAGGAAACGGAAACAGACGACGACTATATACCCTTGTGGCCGACAGAGAATGCGGACACCGAAACAGAAAAGCAACCAGAAAGATTTGATTTCACATTCACACATGATATGGACCGGAGGATACATCCATCAGATTATACCAAACCAGATGTCGACATATTGGAGCAAGAACTTCCCCACCAATCCTTTCCATCATGGCGGAACCCCGAGAAAGACAAGCACCTCTCCATCTCAAAACTGTACCAACGAGCATTGGCCAATCATGACTGGGAAGAAGCAGTGAATGCTGTGATTCCATATTCGCGTTTCTCAAAACCACAGAAAGACACGTCACGCGATCAAACAGACATCGAGTCAGTGGCGGAGCTTGTCAGAACACTGTGGGGAGAACCGGACCCTTCTACTCAATACCTGTTCAGACTCTACAGAGATCTCCCTGCACCCGGTGTGGCAGTGCTTTCACAGCGCACCCGCGGTGCTCTTTTGCGTTTGTTTGCGCATCCTCGTGACCGACGATGGGTCGATGCTCGTCGCTACTTGGCATTGGTGGATGACATGGTCTTGGCTAGACTCCTCTCTATCCCGGTCACTTTGGTCTTCCGCTATTCATCTTGCTGGTCGGGCTAATGGCAAAGTTTCGAGACGAGATCTCATCAGAGCCGTTGGTCTATGGCAGAAGATGGAACATGTTGCAGGAGTAAAGGCCGACGAGGTGGTTTTCAACATCTTGTTTGACATCGCAATCAAAGCCGGAGCATTCAAAGTTGCTGATCACCTGGAGGAGGAGATGACTGAGAGGGGCATGGGGTTTTCACGCTGCGGAAAGGTGTCTAAAATTTACTACTTTGGACTATTGCGAGATGCAGAAGGCATTCGATTCGCATTTGATGACTTTATAAAATCTGGAGAAATTGTTGATACAGTTGTCATGAACTGTCTCATTGCCTCGTTTCTCCGAGCCGGTGAGATCCAAACGGCAGAGCAGCTTTATTCCGGCATGCTGGAGCAGCAACAAAGCAAGAACAAACACATTTTGCCTTCTGACGATGGTTCATCCAATCACATCGATGGACCTAATTTGAGCTATGATATGCCCCGGTATCGGCAACGAGCCCGGAAGCTGGGCCGCGTATTGAAGAAGTCATCAGCACTGAAGGAAAAGTTCCCCGAATACCACCGTGCTCTTCAAGATTCTCTCTCTATGACGCCGGATACACGAACTTTCCATATATTCCTACGGCACTACGCACACAATACTGGCCAGCTTGATAGTTTCATGGCTGTCATGCGGGACATGGAAAAGACCTTTGTGGTTCCCCCACGCTCGATCATCTATATGTTCCTCTTTGAAGGATTCGCTCTTCATGGTCGGAGGAAGAAGCAATGGAGCGCGGAAAATCTCCGGCTGACATGGCATGCTTACATACGAGCCTTGCGTGACTCAAATGCAAGACTCCGTGGCCTATATCTGAATAACCAAAAGATAAAGTGGGAAAATCCATTGGCCAAGAGCGTGGCAAGTGATTTAATCGATGAGCTTCCGGTGACCGATGTTCCCAACGGGCTGTATGTGTCATTGCCGTCAGAAGACACAGCCTCGAATACAGAACAAGGCGCCGAAGAAACAGCAGAAAGCTCTACCACAATTGACCCACTCCTCGATGATGAAGGCTCAAAATCTCGGTTGGACGAAGAAGATGAATACTCAGATATAGAGGAACTTGATGCAAACGAGGTCTTTGGTCCTAGCTCGGATTTCCCACGCTCGGAACTTTCCGACGAGCCTGAACAAATCCCCTGGGATCCTGAGCAGCGTATTGAAAATGGCCTGTTCATCGGGCGTCGGATGATTACCACAATCTTGCAAGCATTCGGAACATGCTGTGGCCCCAAAGAGGTCCTGGAGGTTTGGCTTCAACTTGAGCGACTGTGGCATCCACAACAGCGCAAAGCAATCGATGTTCTTGCTGTCAAGGAAGAGCTAGATAAGCAGATGTCCAGGGATCCACCTCGGAGGCGTTGAATGAAACCAGAAGGAATGGATGGGAAGGAATCTTACACTTGTACATTATTTTTATCACATAGATCTGCCATATACCGACTCGATTTCTAGCGTGTCTTTGGCGCCAATGTATTACTTACAATTTTCACCTTAAATACCTCTGCACTATAACCAATCTCAAACCAAGTCTGCAATACTCATAGTATATTTCCATTTTGTTTTCCGAATTGCAATCCATTGATCAAACCCAAATAGGAAAGCAAGAAGAAATCCACGTGACACCGCGTTTGGAACGCGCTTTTGTCTCTTCGCTCTGATAGCACTCAAACTTCCCACTCACATTCGAATTCTCATAATATTGCTATGAAGGAAGATGAGTCGCGTTTCGGCCGTCACGCGCCAAACGGCTAACATGCGATGGTTGCTGAGAAATACTTTCAGAAAGCCCGATTTTCGGTGGGTTGATAATCTCAGACAGAAGGGCTAGTTCACTTACTCAACTACACAGTCCACTCCAACGAGAAGTGATCATAGCTGTCATTGAAGGGCATGATGTATTTCTTCAAGCCTCAACCTCATTTGGAAAGAGCTTGTGTTACCAGCTACCTGCGATTCTCAGGGATTGGGGATGTGAGTGTTCATTGCTCGTCATCAAAAGGAGGTGAGCCAGGCTGACTCGAACTTACAGTGACTATCGTCATCTGTCCACTCCTCTCATTGATGGTGAGTAGATCTAACTTTTTCACTTTACTTTACAAGTGACCAGCTGATGCCTGGTAGACGGATCAAGTCAATACCCTGAAAGGTCTCGGTGTATCAGTGGCAACGCTCAATTCCAATACCACCCTTGATGAGAAAAAATGGATACAGGAGGATATGCTTTGTGGTCACCCCAGTACCAGACTTCTTTATGTCACGCCTGAGCTATGTGAACAAGATCACTTTCGCCGTCGCTTGCTCAAGGTCCATGAGCAAGGCCAGCTCGTTCGTATTGCAATTGATGAAGCACATTGCATCAGTGAATGGGGAAATGATTTCCGCAAAGCATACAAAGAGCTAGGTTGGTTTAGAAGGAACTTGATCAATCCAACTATCCCAATGACGGCTGTGACAGCCACTGCTACACCCCGAGTCCGCGAGGACATCATCAATATCCTTGGATTTGACCTGAATCGACTCAAACTCTTCAATACCCCTTCAGATCGGCCTAACATCCACTATGAGGTTCGATACCGTCCAGACTTCGGCGGTGACGAAGCCGAAGCCGAGAACAGTCAGCTTCTAAACTTGTTCAATTGGCTCAAGGCTATTCGACTTCGACGCGAGGCTCGGCAGGGTAGCGAGCTACCGCCAATGTCAGGTATCGTCTACGTGGGAAAGCGTTTAATGGCTGAACATCTTGCACACAGACTGTCCTCAGACGAGACCATCATGGCCGTGGCGTACCACGCCGGCGTTGAGGCCAGCAGACGCTCGCAAATTCAGTCTACATGGAAATCATCTCATTCTTTCCAGCCAGCAGATGGCCGACCAATCCCTACGTTCTCCATCATCGTCGCAACGAATGCCTTCGGCATGGGCATCGACAACCCGGATGTCCGCTTTGTCGTGCACTGGACGCCACCGCGAAGCTTCGAAAGCTTCGTCCAAGAATCAGGCCGTGCAGGCCGAGACGGCCGTGCTGCTATATCCCTTGTTTACTATGGTATTCAAGAGAGGAACTTCATCGAGAATATGATCTATCGGGACGCACCCCAAAACCGAGAAGCCAAGCTCGAAAGCTTTGGCAAGGTGATTAGATACTGCGAAAGCATAACAAGATGTCGGCACGAACTCATTAAGGAGTTCTTTGGCGATTTTGAGCTTGAAGAAATGGGATCACAGCGGCCTTCTGTGGGAGGTGTTCCTATGAGCTCGTCACCTTGTGACTTTGCGTGCGATTTCTGTAAAGAGGGCCGTGCAGGATTGGCCAAGCGCCGGGAGAAGATGGCGTCTGAAACCCAGATGGCTGTCCTGTACGCAGATTGTGACTAAAGGAGATCCTAGCCTCTGCGATTACACTGAAATGTTTTTTTTTCCCCTGTCATCTTACTTTTCCTTTGGGGATTCCCTGTACATCGTTAAAGGCGTTAGCTTTGGGTTTGTCCTCGCTTTCTGGATGTCAGCCTGAGGGGAAGGCATTTTTGTTTGTATCTTGCATGTCTTATGGCGTCAGATATGTATACCGGACTATTGTGGCCTTGTTCAGTGATTAGTGCCCAATGCAACATTTACCTACATATATGTAGGCAGTCTCAAAAACAATTCACGATCCACTGGTAATGGGTGAGCCTAATATTATCGACACAATGTTCAAGTTTACCGTGAATAGAAATACGCAATGTAAAAGGTTAAGAATAAGGCACACGGCTAGAAAGGTTCTTTAGCAAAGACAAATATCCCACAAAGATTGCTGAAATCAAATCGCTGTATCTTCCTCCATTTAGAAAACGTGCTTTTGTTCACCATGAAATTTTTCAGATAGATCGCAACTGTAGAGCAGAGCACATACATAGCATCATTTGGCTACGACAGCTCCTGTCTTAAAGACCAGGGGGCGGGGGGACCTGTCAATGAAGCGATCAGTGGCCAGTACTCGTAGGGTTTTCGGAGGAATTTAGCTTACCGCGCCGTAGCCACCACCACCACCAGGAGGTGGTGATCCTGACCCCGGAGGTGGAGGTGGTGCTGCCTCCGCAGCAGGAGCCGGGGGAGCAGCAGAGCCATCAGTCGGCTGCTGTTGGGCGGCAGCCATCTGTTGGTAGTACTGGTAGTAGGCGACGTAGTTCTGGTAACCGCCATAAGCGGCGTAGGGGTCTGCAGTACCGTAGTACTGAGCATACTGAGCACTGTAGTCAGCGGCCGACTGGGTGCCAGCAGCATTGGGGGAAGCAGCCCCAGCGGCTGCTTGGCCCAATGGACTAGCAGAGGAGCCGTTGTTCTGGTGCTGTTGCTGGCGATTGTTGTATCCACCACCGTATCCACCACCGCCACCGCCTTGGTAGCGATCACCGCGATCACCGCCGCGGTACCCGCCGTAGTTGTGCTGGGGCGGGTTCTCTTTGAATCGCTGGTACTGCTCCTTCACATTGTTGAGCAGATCTTCGCAAAGTTCTTTAGCCTGCTGGACATCGTTGGCATCAGGGCCACTGGAGAGATTGTCAATAGGAGCTTACAAGTGAAAGAAAGAAGAAAACTCACGCCACATGGAGGTACATTGCCTCGTCACTCTCCCGGTTAGTGCTTGACTCAATGAATCCAGAGCCACGGCCCTTAATCTGCACTCGGCAGCGAGTCTGCTGCTGGATGTGCTTCACATAAGCACCACCCTGGCCAACAACCTGAGCGCGCAAGTTAAAGCCGGGAATTGGTTCGAGGTCAATTGGAATACGCTCATCCGGCCATTTGCGCTGCATACCATTAGTAAAAAAGACTATAAAGCGAGGACAAAGGGCCTCATACGCGGCCATACTCATCCCGCTCAACTTGTTGCTCCGGCTCCCGGCGACGGAAACGCCGCTCATCAACAAGATTGGGAAGCTCCTTTTGCATAAGGTCATTAATCATAGCGACAGCTTTCTCAAGACCATCCTTGTTGGTACTTGTGACGTGGAGGTAGAGAGGAGGGCTCTGAAACAACATATCAGCAACTGACCGAATGAACGTTCAAAGTACTTCTTACCGCAGCAGTCGCCATATTCTTGTCGGGGTAGTAGTTTCCTCGGGTGGTAACATCTTTAGAAACAGTGAGTCAGATCTTCATCGCTGAAATTAGATAAACAGAAGGAAGTAAAAGGAAGGCGTACCGGCGCCAGTCTCATCTTGAATCTAAAGTCACGCAGCGGAGGTCAGCAGATGCAACAGAGGGTAAAAAGAATGCTAATTCAGTGACGGGTAAGCTTCATCCGGTCCACAAAGAAGAAACAGAACGCTGAGAAAAAAACAATTCAGGGTGCCCGAATCTTCTGTGAGGATCAAGTATCAGCAGCAAGTCACTGGGAGTATTTACCATCTTCTGAGTAGATCCCTTTGTCAGGGTGTAGCGGTTGCGCAAATCATTGATTTCAATATCCTTGATGTAATCACCGTCCGCGACGTAGATTTCAGCATTCAACTTGGCTGAGCCCTCAGCAGTGGAAAGCCCTTCGGGGTTCTCGGCGGGGCCGTCGTTCTGTCAAAAATGTTAGGCGTGGATGGGGACAAATTGGAAGTGATCGCGTAGTCACCGAGCGAATGGGAGGGACATCAACATGCTGGATGCCCTTCTTAGCCTGAAGCTGCGCATTGATCTTGGCAGCAGCAGCCGCTGTAAAGTCCGAAACATTAGCAACATGTATCTGGTTTATTCGTGCGGCCTCGTATCACGTACCTGCGGCAGCGGCCGGGTCGGATACCGCTGGCTTCGATGGAGCATCTGCGCCGGGGCTGCGACTCAAAGGGCGACTCAGAGGGCTGCGTGTGCGAGCGGACTCTGACTGGCGGTTGGATGGGGATCGCGAACGGCGGTCGAAACGGGAGCGTCGGGGCTCAGGCTCAGTTTGGTCAAAGCGCGAGCGCTTAGCACGGGGCTCATCGTCCGCCATGGTGAATGATGAGATAAATTGAAAAATTTGTGGATCAGTCGTGAAAGAGAAGCTCAAAATGTCCAGATCGATTCGCGGGTAGGAGTTTTAGAGGCGGAGGTCGAGCGGGACAACACAACAAAACCACCGAAGACAAGCCTAGTAGATTTTGAGTGAATTGAAAAGCAGGGAGCAGACAGATGATCCTGAAATATTATATATTCCAAATATCAGGTGGCATTCTTCAGCAAATGGGTAGGTTGTAGTAAATGATAAAGTCACGTGGGATCACGTGTTATAGAATTTGGGATATACATAGGAACTAAGCCGCATTTGGACTAGCCCATATGAGTCAGCAAGTTGTCGCTGAGGTCGGCCAACCAAAAAGAATATCCCCGGGGCGAAATCTGGAGTGATTCATCGCACATCCTGTTCAAACACCTGCACTCCTCATGGCTTTCAGGCGCCCATTGACGCAGGCCGCAGGCTCAGCGTCCTTGCTGTCCTCTACCACAGCTACTGCTCGGTCCCGCACCGCTGCTGTGCTCCCCCGATTCACCTCTGTTCGTGCATCGTCGAGCTCAACCTCAGCACTTGCTTACAAGGCATTGCACCGTCGTTCTCCCCTACCCCTGCCGGTCTCCGATGCCTCCCCTCAATGGGATGCTCCCACCGCTGTCTCGTCCATTCTCTACGAGACTCCCGTGGCTCCCAGCAACCCGCCCAAGCGGCACATCCTGAACTGCCTCGTTCAGAACGAGCCCGGTGTGTTGTCCCGCGTATCTGGTATCTTGGCCGCCCGCGGTTTCAACATTGACAGCCTGGTCGTTTGCAACACTGAGGTTGAGGATCTCTCGCGCATGACCATCGTGCTGCAGGGCCAGGATGGTGTCGTCGAGCAGGCTCGCCGCCAGTTGGACGACCTTGTCCCAGTCTGGGCTGTGTTGGACTATACTGAATCTGCACTTGTGCAGCGTGAGTTGCTCCTGGCTAAGGTCTCTATCCTTGGTCCTGAGTTCTTCGAGGAGCTTCTCCAGCACCACCGCGAGATCACCACCTCGCCCGACTCCCTGGACAAGAACGCCCACCAGGATCATTCTACCCAGCAATACCACCCCCGCCACCTTCCCCAGAGTCAGGCCCTGCGCCACAAGCACGAGCATTTGGATGCTATCACCCGCCTGACTCACCAGTTCGGTGGCAAGATCCTAGACATCAGCACCAACAACTGCATTGTCGAGGTGTAAGTATTCCATGCCCTGACTCATTTTTCGATCACAATTGACTCATCTGTGCTCTCCTAGGTCCGCCAAGCCCAACCGTATTGATTCTTTCCTCAAGCTGATCGGTCCTTTCGGTATTCTTGAGTCCACCCGGACTGGTCTGATGGCCCTTCCCCGCTCTCCTCTTAGTGAGCCCCGCGAGGAGATTGAGAAGGATGCCGCCGACGTTGTCGATGCTAGCACCCTGCCTCCTGGCTAATCTCTCACATGGGATATCCAATTTAAAAACGTCCATACCCGAATAGGATCGAATTACTTTCTTGGTTTTATGTCTTTCTAGCTTTCCTGTGGAGTTGATCGAATTTGAAACAAATGGCTTAGCCTTTGTATGTAAAATGGCACAAATACTTTTTACCTGGAGTCTCTATAGCTTCGTCTCCTTCCAATGATCAAATGAGCGTACTATAGCAACCCGTTTGATATAACTAGCGGTGTACGTCAAGACATTGATTCTGATCTGCCATGGCGTCGCCTAGATCGGAGCCCTAGCATGCAGGTACTCCACAATGCTTGCTCCCAATTGCCACCTAAACATTACTACTCACTGGTTGAACTAAAATTTACCGTTGCTATATGTTCGAAATAAGTCATGGTTTGTGTGATACAGCACAGCAGTATGAGGACAATCAAATATTAATATCCGTATAGCAGAACACTTCCTATTCAAAACGTGGATTGCCGATCCAGCAGCAATAAGCTCATATAAAGATACTCAAATCACCATCCTGCAGGGTATAGCAGGTTTCGAAACACCTATATCCGGCCAACATCTTTTAAAAGCGTACTTTAGCCGCAATGCCCTTCCCATGGTAGAATACGACGTCCACGTAGTTCTTTATCTGGATTCCAACGTTGGCAATGGCATCCATCTCTAACGATTGACCAAGTGCTTTCCGCAAAGCATCATATCCAACGCCGCCCATGTTGAGATTGACGGGTAAGCGCGGGGTCTGGGATATACCAGGTGGGACTTCAAAGGGGTCGCGGTTTGTGATGCGGCCAATGGGCTCTTTCTGCTCATAGAAGGCTGTGGCGTCGATTGAGGTTATAAGAATGTTGGTTTCTGTTAGGGGCGAAGCGAGAGTGAAGTCTGCTGAAGAAGACCAGAGGTAGAACTATTTTGTCTGGCTGTTAGTATAAGTCTTTATAGGCTATGTAAGCGGAGGGATATAGTCAAAGAAAATGGGCGATACTGTTGCGTCTTGAATGAAATGTGGCTTGCTGTCTTCGTCGCCGCTTGCTGGGGAGCCAGGCATTGATATACGAGGGACTGGGACTGTGATGTTGAGCGCGGACAATGCTTCGCCCAGATTTGGGAGGGATGGAATCGTGTTTCGATGGGTCTTGATGGCAATTGATGTATTGAAACCTGTATACAAATGTTAGACCGAATCACCTGTTGGTGTTCATTCATACGATACTGACCGGATATATACGATGAAAATAATGCGCGGCCAGCCTCGACTCCATCTATTCCACTAGAGCTTAGTGGGGACCAGAAGAAGTCAAATGGAACGTAGCTATTGTTGCCAGGTACAATAGACAGGTTCTGGGCAGCGATATGAGCCACAGAGGTGCCGTTGTAGAGTATGAGAAGGTCAATAAAGGGGACTGTGGCCGAGTACTGAGTCGGGTTGGTGAAATTCACCAGTGTAGATACCACCATTGAGGATTCAGTCGTATCTCCTAATTGCAATGATACCACACGCGGATTCAGTTGGTCAAAGGGGTTTCCGAAGGAGGCTATCATATGGTCAATGGCCAAAGTTCTTGATTTATACTAAGATCATCTAATTCATGAGAACATACTCTTCATTGGTACCGTCCCTTCTGCGGGAATACCTCGCACGGCGAAGCGGCCCAAGCCAGTTGAGACCTTTGTATCTACGGTGGCAGCAACTCGCAGTTCGACTCCTTTGCTACCAAATAGCATTGCTTGGATGACCTCCGACAACAGTCCGTCATCAGTGACTTCCAATGGCGCGTCTTTCATAGCGAATTCCACAAGAAGTGCAGAAGAGCCATCTTTGTCGTCTACAATGGTGGAGTTGGCGTCTTGCCATTCGCTGATGTTTAAATACCCAAACTTCTCTTCCTTGTAGAAGACGTCCGCTAGTGCGCGAACTTCCGGAACGTCAACTTGGAAATTCATCTCGTCCGGCAGCGCAATGAGAACCTTTACCAAGGCAGATATTGTGGGTTGCGAGTCTGGAGAATCTGGTTCTGCGAAGGGATCGGGAAGAGAGAAATGAGTATCAGACATGGTGAAGTTTTTCACCAGGTTGTCCAATGCATGCCCTGTAAATGGCAAAGGCATGGTCACGCTGCGTAGCAAATCAACTATCCATGCCGGGGTATCAGGCGATGGTGCGTCAGATCCACGGACGTAAATGGTTGTCTCAAGCCCCTTCATGAAGCTGGAAACCAAGAAATCCAGAGGGGAGCCCTCCTGCCCTGGGCAATTGGAGATCAGCTCGTTAGGTAATTGTCTGATGAGGCCCTCGACGCCAAGTGGAGTCGCCCGACCAGGATGAACCTGTACTTCGCTGGTCTTCGCATTGGCGACCAATATATAAGGATCTCCGGGTGAGCAATTTGGCACAAAAACGTCAAACCCGAGGGCAGGGACAGTGAGAGCGACAGGAGAATCAATCAATGATGCCAGTAGAACATCAACTGCCATGGATCCACTCTTGGAATCATGGAAATTCAACTTTAGAATCGTGATATCCGGCAAAGCAGGGAAATCGTTTTCTGCAGGGGTTAGGTCATATAGCAAGACAGTAGCAACAACAAGATCATACCTTCAAAAATGACGTTGTGTGTCAAAATTTGAGACCCCAAAGCAATTAAACCCGATTTGAGTTCGATTCTAGCCTTGGCCTTGATACTGAGGCGGCCCAGTCGCCCTTCAATCCAATCAAGTGCAACCGCGTGAATCCCTCGGATGTCACCAGCTTCTAGATCGGTGAGAAAGTCGACGGTGGTATGGTGGCCGTTTCGGATATTCAATTTGATGATGGGTACCGCGGCAGTTCCAACAAGTACATTTCCATACTCCGGAAGATAAACTTCAACCTCGGTCGGATTCGTCTGGATTTCCCTGGCAATCCATGTTGCAAATCGACCAATGCCTCGAACCGATTTGTTCTTCACGCGAGCAGAGTCCATCACAAAATCACCTTGAACACGGGCTCTAATACCGCTGGGCGTCGTGGAATCAATTGAGACCGCCGTCGGTTTGAAGACAGCAGCTTGCTGACCATATTCTTGTACTGCTGCTGGGGCAGCGAAGGCAAGCACCAGTATCGACAAAACGGTAAGCGTTAGGACGGCAAGGGAGGTCACCGTCGCCCATGGTACACGGCTTCGCTTTTGGGGGACATCTTCGGGTGGAATTTGCGATCTGATTGAAATGGGACGTGATAGTACTTGCTCGGTCCCGTAGGGCGTCAATTCGTCGTTACGGCGGTGTAGGAGAGGTGTTGACTCCGACGACAGTTGGTACGATGATCTGAAATTGTCGGCGGATGCGCTTTCGGAGTGTTGATTTGGTTCATCGGCAACCACTGTCCGGGATGATGACCCAACCCCGCTCGAAGAAGAGCGCGAGTATTGTTGCTCCGAGCTGTAGACCGTCAATTCATCTTGACTGTGTGAAGAGTGTGTCGACATCTTGGTTGACCCCAATGATAATGCATCTGATAGCATAGGTCGTTCGGTGGTTGGTTGCCCATCCAGTAGGGGCCGATTAGCTTCGTCAGCCACTGCAGCCTGGAATGTATCGTCAGGCAAACTCCGGCCTGAAGATGATCGCGACAGTCTTTGCTCGGTACTATACACCGTCAAACCATCTTGACTTTGAGAAGTATTTGTCGACATGGTTGTTGAGAATTCATGTGGTGGCCTAGGCTGGTCGGTAGATGATCTATCGGTGGGCCATTCACTGGAATGCCCATCCAACAGAGGCTGGTTCGCCTCATCAGGCATCACGGCCCAGAATGGTTTGATAAATAATGATAAGCTATAATCTGGTGTTACCTAAATGCCAAAAAAGAAAGATAAATCAGAACGACAAAATACCTCGGAACAAATAATGGACAGAGAGAGAGGGAGAGAGAGAGAAACAAGATACAAGGAGGCGATCAATGACGATAAGCACGATGATAGCGGAAGTGTGGAGAAATTGACACCTGAGTCAGCGTCAGAGATAGAGTCAGGCAACAAGGCAACAAGGCATCCGCACATCCTCCAACTAATTGAGTCATTTGCCCGCTTACCCGCTTCTTCACCGTATAAAGTTCCCCGTTCCCAATTCCTTTCCTCAACACACCCAATTCAATATTAAACCTCCAGCCCATCATGGCTAGTGGTATTACAGCTGCTGCCCGTTATGGCACCCAAAGTGTAACTCAATTGGCCGGCTCTACCTCTTTGCGTCAAACACTCCAGGCTAATGGACTTCGACGATTTGCCCACCAGACATCTACAACACCACCTACCTCACCCTTCGCTCCCCGTCACCTTCTCTCCATTGCAGACCTGACCCCTACGGAATTTGCCACCTTGGTTCGCAATGCTGCATCCCATAAGCGCGCCATCAAATCCGGCGCAATCCCCGAAAGCCTCCTAGGATCCCTCTCCGGAAAGACCGTGGCCATGATGTTCAACAAGCGCAGCACTCGCACCCGTGTATCAACGGAAGCCGCTACCGTCCAGATGGGTGGCCACCCCATGTTCCTCGGAAAAGAGGACATCCAGCTCGGTGTCAACGAGTCGCTGTACGACACCTCCGTTGTGATTTCCTCCATGGTCTCTTGCATCGTCGCACGTGTCGCGAAGCACTCGGACGTCGCGGACCTGGCCAAGCACTCCACCGTGCCTGTCATCAATGCCTTGTGTGACTCATTCCACCCCCTCCAGATCATCGCCGACTTCCTCACCATCTACGAGTCTTTCCCCGCAAAGGCGCACAAGCTCTCCAGTCTTGGCCTGGAGGGTCTGAAGATCGCCTGGGTTGGCGATGCTAACAATGTCCTGTTCGATTTGGCTATCGGTGCTACTAAGATGGGTGTCGACATGGCCGTCGCTACACCCAAGGGCTACGAGATCCCGGCTGATATGATTGACATCATCCAGCGAGCTGGTGAGGGTGTCCCCAACGCCGGCAAACTCACCCAGACCAATGTCCCCGAGGAGGCGGTTAAGAACGCCGATATTCTGGTTACGGATACCTGGGTCTCCATGGGCCAGGAAGAGGAGGCCAAGAAACGCATGAAGGCCTTCGAGGGCTTCCAGATCACTGCTGATCTTGCCAAGCGTGGTGGTGCCAATGAAGGTTGGAAGTTCATGCACTGCCTGCCCCGTCACCCCGAGGAGGTGAGCGACGAGGTCTTCTACAGCCCGCGCTCTCTGGTCTTCCCCGAGGCCGAAAACCGTCTGTGGGCGGCTATTGCGGCTTTGGAAGGCTTCGTCGTGAAGAAGGGCAAGATTGCTGAGTAAAGCTCTACGGCAATTCGGCATAGGAAACCCATGTATATATTAGACCAAAATCTAGTTTTTTTTTCAATCCAAAATTAAGCTCAATTCTATGTTCCGCATCCGACCAATGACAGACATGATGATTCGACAATTAATCTAAGAGAGCCGAGCCACCCGCATATCCCACCTTTAGGGCTCCGGTTCCGGGGCCCGCGATACGTAATAAATACATGCCCATCGGATAATCCGAGGGGGTTTTCGGAAGTGTTCAATCACCACAATGCCCAACCACCAACATTGCGCTTCCGATGGATGTACTTGGTTGTATGTGACCTGATTATGCAATGCAGATCACCGGGAAATTTTGTAAAAAAATTATTAGTACTAGCTACATTATTGTAGTTATAGCTATTATAACCAGTACTTTAGTCATTTGTTTTACTAGCGACATTTAGTGCGATTCCCGGGTTGAAATTGTCTCGCATTTGTCCTAAATGTATTATTGCAAGCGCAATCATCGTGGAAACATGAGGGGATAAGATATTGACTGTATGAATTGTAGGAGTAAGGTAGACGAATATAGTATTCGATCAGTGTAGTCAACCTTTGCATCACTATATGTATCTATGCAATCCATTGTGAATGGGGGAAATCCGGAGTAAAACACTCGGAAGTTTCACTGACATCTTAACCCTCTCCCCACACTTACTCCGCGTCCGAAAGGACATATTCAGTTCGATTAATGTTCGGAACCGTAAAGGTACAGGCAGGGGAAAGCTCGATGAGCCAACATACATATAACCTGCTCGAGAACGTGGAATAGTCATCTTTATCTTCTCATATACCCCATTGGTTAGTCATCTATATATTCCTATAAGAAAACACCCCTCAGATCCGCAATGGGCTTCAAAGACAAGCGAGTTGCCATCGTGGGCGGTGGCTTAGGAGGCATGTCCTTCCTCAACGCCGCACTCTACACAGGCCTGAAAAACGTACAACTATACGAGCAAGCACCCCAATTCGCCGAAGTCGGTGCCGGAGTGAACATCACCTCCAATGCAAACCGCGTCCTCGACGCTTTCGGTCTGCAAGAAAGCATGACCCGCAAGTCATCTGGCAAGCTCCCCTGCTATATGGAATACCACAATTATAAGACTGGCGAGTACATCGGCGAGATCGGCGAGTTCTCAAAACCCCCCGCTCGCCTGCTGCACCGCGCCCACTTGCTGGACTCGCTCAAGGAGCGCGTTCCCCAATCAAGTCTGAACCTGGGCAAGCACTTTGCATTCGTGGACCGCAATACCGCTGCCGGTGCTGCTCCGTACACGCTCCGCTTCCAGGACGGGAGCACTGCCGAGGCGGATATCGTTATTGGCTGTGACGGTATAAAGTCTAATGTGCGTCGGGATATGGGTCTCGGCGATGATCCCAATTATTCGGGCCAGGTGGTTTACCGTGGTTTCGTTGACTACAAGGATCTCCCGAAGGAGACGGCTCAGTTGCTGCGCAAGACAGTGAACTTCCGTGGTCCCAAGCGCCATGTTCTAGTCTTGCCTATTGGGAATCAGGAGACTGGCACTGACCGCGCTGCCGTTATTGGATTTATGTCTGAGTCGCTAGCGTCCTGGGACTCTGAGAGCTGGATGTCCCGCTCTGATATTGACAGTCTGCAAGAGCATGTCCGTGACTGGTGCCCGCAGGTGCAGGATATCATTGCTGGTCTCCGTAAGAGCTCGGAGGACGGCAAGATGCTCAAGCAGGCACTGTATGTGCGTGACCCGATCGATAAGTGGTATGAGATGAAGGATGGACAGAAGGATGCAGGCATCATTCTGCTGGGTGATTCGGCGCACTCTACCCTTCCTCACCAAGGTAAGCTCTGATCTATAATTTCACTTGATTGTATTTCGGGGCATTCACTGACATTATGACTTTAGGCCAAGGAACGTGCATGGCTATTGAGTCTGGAATTGCTCTTGCCACCATTCTTCGCCACTGGAAGACTGATGACCTCGAGGCAGCGTTCAAGTTCTACCAAGGCCTCCGCAAGCCCCGGACAGACCGTGTTACGCAAACTAGCTATGAAGCTGGAAAGCTGGCTAGTGCTGACTCGCCTGATCAGATGACCGACAGCTTCAACCCGGAGGCATTGACGGAGCGCATGAAGTGGATTATGGAATATAATGTTTTGGAAGACTTGCGGGGAAACGGCGAGGGAGTTTTGGGCTTCCATGACTCACGCCTCTGAAGGTTATATGAATTTGTATATATTTTGATCAGTTTTGGTTACTGTATAAAGGGGTTTATGTTTACTTCTACTTCTGATTGTCACGCCACAGTCGTATGATTGACGATGACTTTTATAGATCGAAATGAGCTCACTGGTATTCACAGGATTTACTTTTATTTAAACCACATACAACGATCTGAATTTATAATTATGTATATTTCATCTCAACACATACATAACCACACTATACTCAACTACATCCCGACAAAAAAACAAAAATCAGAAATCAATTCGGCGCTCGGCCACTTTCACATGTAAACCGAACGGGCAACTCCGCATTTCAACTTCTTCCTCGTTTCTCTTCTCCTTTGAACCTCACCATGGAGGTAAGTACACTACAAACCATTAATGCATAACAAATTTAACACCCCCATAGTTCACAAATACTTCGGGAGGGTTCCGCTCCCGCCGCTCATATCCAAATCTCAACCATGTCTCTCTAGCACCACTAACCCCACGGTTCCCCATCGACGACGACACAGACCCAACAGACTACTTCGACCACCATTACAATGAATCGTCATCTTATTTATCCAGCATCTCCGTCCCAAGCACACCCCCGATCCTCTCGCACTCACGCAGCAACTCCCACACTCGCCACCACAACCGCAGCAAAAGCTCAACCTTGACAGCCCCATTGAGCGACACAAACCTCCAGAGCCGGGACCTCACCCACCCACTGCACCACATCCACCCCAAAAAAGCCCCCAGCATCTCTCAGTCCCACGGCCGGCGGCCCCTCCCAGACCCGCCAAGCACCAAAACCGACGCAGAATGGATGCTCCGGGCAGGCATCGCGCTCGCCTCCTCAACCCGCGAGGAAAAAGGCCAAAGCTGGCTGCACAAGCGCGAAAGCTCGACCAGCCTCGCAGCCGAGCTCAGTGACGACAAACCGCGCCACCACCAGCGGACGAAATCCGGGGCGTCACGCATGTCGCGGTCGGGCGCGTCGACGCCGTTCCGCTCTCGCGCACCCAGTAGACGCGGTAGCCGGGTGGGTTTGGCGATGACCACGATCCCCGGTATGTCTTCGTCGCCGGACACAGAGCGAGTCTCGACGGGTCCCGGCACGACGGGAACTAACAGTCCCGAGGGGCGGGGCCGCGCCCTAGTGCCCGATTTCGTGGACGAGCGGATCCGCGCTGAGATGGAGACGCTTCAGCGGGAGCGGTTTGGTGAGGATGTGTCGTTGTGGGAGCGGTTTGGGGATGAGGAGGATGAGTGTTCTGTTGTGTCTGATGAGTCAGTGGAGGAGTTTGACGAGGCGGATCTACAGCGGTTGACACGAGAGAGGGGCTTCGGGTTGGGGTCTTGGATTGATCGGCTTGTTGAGTGGACTTTGTTTGGTGTTGAGGAGTGGCCTGTGCCTGCTGCTGGTTCTGCGGCGAGGATTGGGTCTGCTGATACTACTACTACTGTTACGTTTGAGGAGCCCGCGCTTGGGGAGAGGGATCAAGATACGCTTTCGCTTGTTGAGGAGGAGGATTCGGATGGGGATGGCTCTCGTGCTGATGAGTCTACTGCTGATGAGGGTCCTGTTGAGAAGCCTGGGGTGCAGGGTGGATGGGAAGATGCGGGGTGGTTGTTCCGAGTTGTTAAGCGGGCATTGGTATGAATTACGATTTACATGAGATGGTTACATTACAAGACTATCTGTACATAGCTTTTGTTTGATTTGCGTTCTCTACTTTCAGCTTAATCTCCCAGAATGTTCGTGGATGCAAGTACATATTTTGCGTCTATAAATTATGGTGACACTTGATGACTGTCTCTTGATCATCTTCGTTCGTGTTCAGCGTCAGCTAAGTTTACAGAGAGCTTAGACTTCATGTACGTGGTGTCTACCAAGTGTCAAAATCTCAAAATCTACTAAGTATTACCGGACAAAGTCCCGATTTACTTGATTCAATACTTCAAAAATTGTTTGGATTTCAATGCACAAGATAACTAGCGTAAATGAAAATTCCTCCCAAACATGCACAACACGGGAGATATGTTGTACGAGATGGCAGAATGAAGCGTAAGCCGTAGACTGAGGTGGATGGCGAAGTCTTCCATATTGTGGAAACAGACTCAAATCTCCCGCCAACTTTTCCAAACCCAAAAGCACAAAGGCTGAGACGGGATTACCCCAATGAGTCCCCTTTGACACGCAGAATATGCAAGTAGCAGAATGACAAGAACAAGCTAGAGATTGAACTCCCCAAAGGGCGAAATAGGCAACCGGAAACAGCCGTGAAAATACAAAAAGAAAACAAAGTGCGGAAGACAGTGTGGGCAAGGAAGATATGAAATGAGAGTATCGGAGTTTGGATGAGATACACGGATGCCCAAGATTTACCTAGCAAGGTAGAAAAAAGAAAGATTTAAATGTAAGAAAGCAGAATGGAGACGAGACAAAAGAGAGAAAAGAAAGGATGAGGAAAGGAAACGGTATACTGGGATCAGAATGTGCTCATTGGAAGAAATTGATGATCAAACAAGACATAAAAACATTCGTCTTCCAGCGTTCCAACCGAGGAAAAAATAAAGGAGAAAAGAAATAGCTGTTAGGTTGTTCGCCTTGAGTAATATAACGCCATCTGAGACCATGTCGATTCTAAGGTCATGCAGCAGGTATTCGTGATCGTGACATACGTCGAAATTTGGGCGGTCGAAAGGGGTATGGACCGTGTCAAGCTTAAGCGTGAGCCGGCATGGATGACGTGAGGCCGGCACGCAGGTGTGGATGTTTAATGGTGGTCGTTCATAATGAGGTCGGAGTGGATTGATTTATCACCAGGGTCCAACCTTGACTGGAGTTCCCAGCCCGTATGTGCCGGAGAAAAGCTGATCCCTGATAGAGCCCATATCGTTGTTATTTCCGTGGGAAGGTGTGTCAGGTCCACCCATCCATCCCAAACTCTGGCCGAGTTCATTGACAGCTCCCTGGAGTTTCCCTCCCGAGCTTTGGTTGTGCTTGGCTAGCTTTTGGTCCCAGCCTCCATATTGTAACTGGATACCGCCACCACGCTTGGCCGCTTCCCGGATTACCAGAATCCATGCCTTGCACATCTCGTCGTAGGCAGAGTCTCGTTCTATATTGTTCTGTGGCGTGGCCCAGCGAGGCAGTGCGTGGATAATATCGGTTGCCCCGTCCAAGTAGCTCAAGGATGTGGATGCCTGAGATTCGTTGGGGGGAAGGAAGTTGGGTGTGAAGTCGCTCAGAGCGTCAAGAAGGTTGGTGAGTGGCTGCCGAACTCGGTTGTAGGCGTAGTCAGATTCGGTGTTGCCACCCAACGGGAAGGATGACTGGAGTGCCGCCTGGTAGTTTCGAAGAACCTGGAGGGTGGATGACACATTTGGACGTGGAGAGGTGTGCACAACCTCATCGGCGAGCTGAGGGTGGCGCTCGCACATGGTCCGTACCACCGTGCGGAGAGCATCGGTGTCGAGGGTCTCTAGGAGACGAGGAAGAGCTAGTGGTCGACCTGAGACATTCGGCCGGGCACGCTTCATGTTGCGGTAATTATGAGGTAGCTGTCGGGGAGTGAAGGCAGGAGAGTTGGTGGGAGACGCAGACATGCGTCCATCATGATCGTTGCCATCATCGTCGGCTTTCCGTTTACGGTTCGAATACGAAGAGGAAGGTGTAGACACTAGCAATTTTGTTAGTATACGAAAGTACCAAGAAGAAATTTCTTATCGAGCCAGAAAAAGAGGAAAGAGGTTCGTAAAAAGGGATGTCTTACTCATACGGGAGGGAGAGAATCGGTTCTCGTAGAAATGAGGAGGAACAGGAGGTGTGGCCACCAGACTGTTCATGATGACAGCCAGATGGCAGAAGATGTATGAGAGTCCAAAGGACTCGAAACCCCAAAGAATGAAAGAGCAGAGTAGTGAAGTGAGATAGAAGGTTGCTCGGTTTTGAAGTGGGGAGAGAAAGGTAAAGAAGCAGAGAAGCGGTGGAGAAAAAGTATGGCGTTGCGGGCGGCAACGCAGTCCCTCTGTGCAGGTTTCAAGAAGATTGACCAAATAATTATAAGTTATTGATATGGGCTATAAAAAGAAAATTAAAGAAGAGAATTGAGTCTTTCAAATCAATGTAATTTTGATGTTTCATTCATACAAATCTAGGGGAGAAAAAGTCGAATGTCGACTGTGTCACGATGAACTCTCTCCACTGCTTTCGGGTGTTCTATACGATACCCGCATCATCTACTACATTGATTTCTCGACTCCGTAACATTTTCTCTGTTCTACTCAGGTACTTGGTTTCCTCTGCCACTCCTTGGCTTTCCCTTTCTATGCTAGTGTTCACATCTTGCCACTTTTTGATCACTGAGTAGAATTGCACACGCCTCGTAGGCCTCTAGGAGAAGTACCATGTGCTAGACCAAAGAGACGGTTCCTAGGACCACGCCATATGCTCTTAAGAGCACACTAGACTCTGGCTGTTCTATGGAGACATATAGGCTAATCTTCAGTCGCATATAATAACGTAGATTCATAGGAGCTCGAACTGCAGAGATTACTAACTGACGATATGCGAGAGGCACGTGGAGCAATATAGAAAGAGCATATATTAGATTCACCAGAAGTACAGTTCTGAGGAAGAACGAGAGTGACTGTGTCCAGTCAAATATCTTGTTCCGTAACATCAGGGTGGTGCGTATTAGAGCGAGGTGTGTAGTGAATGATAATTTTGGTGTGGTCCTCGAGGAAGGGAAGTGGATTATGGCCGTTCGCGTTATGCAAGATAGCGATTCTTTTTGCTAGGGAAACGTCTTGACGCTGGTATCGTGAAAACTTCCAGGTGCAGCTTCTCGAAGAAAAGCGAAGTAAGTAGACTGGCAGAATAACAGAATGCTCATGAGCGATTTGGTAGTCATATTGGTCGTTGTTAAGGTGAAAGGCGAAGTGGGTGCGTTGCAACCAAACTTCCACCGCAAGAAGACGTGTTTCGGCTGTCTGATTCCATACCACAACGAAGTTGTTGATCTTTGCGGACACTGAAGCCAGGCAATCTTCTGGGTTTACTCAGCGATGGGTAGATCGCCAAGTATTCGGATCGAAGAAGTCACGTTCAGGGCGTTGAGCACCGGTAGGTTGATACTATCCATGACGGAATGATGATACTAGATAAGAACGAGACGCCGCTAGAGAAAACACGTTATAATTCCCTTTTGAGCCCGAAGACGAAGAGAAGAGCAACTACCTATGTAGGAGGTAATAACTGCGGGCTCTGAATGTCTCTTTCAAGGTGAGAGTGTCCACAATCTATCCACCCATGGACGTTAAGCTCCAGGTGCGTATATTGATATTGACATATGTAACAAGGAATCTTTATTGAAAGAAAACATGATGCTTTTAATGATATCAACGTGGCTGTCATCAAGTATGCTTTTGACTAAAGGAAAATGAACAAAGGGATATCGTATCTACAAGTACAGAGACTGAGCAGCAACAATGTCACGACGGACCTTGGTCAAGGCCTCCTCGAACTTGCTCTCCAGGTCCTCGCTGCCCATGACCTTGGCAGCTTGCGCCATCTGCCGCAAACATTCTTCCAACCGGCGGAAGACACGGATCAAGCTACCCTCGTAGACATCAGTCATTTTGCTAGAAATAGTTAGTATATTAATAGAGGTGATATGGTCGAGGATAGATGCTTACCAGATATCCGCAAAGGACTTGCCCTGAGTCCACTCGTAAATAACCTCCATCAGCTCCCAGTGGAAGCTCTGAACATATTCATCCTCGTTGACCTTCATCTTGCATTCCTGAGACACTTTGGCGACGATACGGGCTTGGGTTTGGATCTCCCGCAATGGTTTCGCCAATTCCTCTTTGGCCACGGGGGTGGCCTCCTTGACCTTCTCCTCGAATACGAAACAACTCATAATAGAAGCGACCTGTTCGGGAGTCAAGTTGTTGAAGAAACCGTTGAACAGCAACTCGCTAAGCATCAACTCATCACCTGTGCTGATCTCGCAAGCAACTCGAGCTTTCAATTGCACAACATCTTTGTCATCGATGAATGCGAAGCGACGCAGTACACGCTTCCGGTTCTTTAGCTCATCCTGCAACAGTACTGTCATGATTTCGTTGATCTCTTTCTTCTTGTCTTTTATCTTGACGCCAAGCTCCACCTTCTCGACATATTGCTCGTATAATTCGGCCAATCGGGGCGAATTATGGAGAGGGTTGCTCAGGAGACGGGACTCAAGAACCTCGATTTTCTTTGTTACAGTTAGCATTGTGTTCAAAATATTACGCAACAGGATGTTCACTTACTCGAAGCAGCTTCTTGAAGCTGTCATCCTTAATTTCCATGTTCTCAATTGGGTCAACCAGTGGAATACCATCTGGGAAGCGCCTCTTCACCTCGCCGACACTGTTCATGATTGAATTTCGAGCGTCCAGACCGGTGATATCATTCGGCAATTTGATGCGAATGTGAGAAATCTCCCTGATACAGCTTAGCACCATTGGGACAACCTCATGGCGATACGCTTCTCCCTCCTGGGCGGGGCGAATGGAAGATGGAATATCTTGGAAAGATTTAGTGCCGATGGCTGACCCTTCAGCAAGTTTGACCAAAACGTCGACAATGTGGGATTGGTGAGGCATTAGTTTCTCGGTGGCATTCTTTGCTTGCTTACGTGGCTTTTGGTTAATCACCACACCCCATCCGTAGTCAGCATCCTTGTATTTGAGATGGACCAGCCGCCCAGGGTGAACAAACGCCAAAGAGTAATTCGGATGGGTAATGACATGCTGGACATCATCGGCAAATGCGTCCAGTTGCTTCCGCAACTCGTAATATTCACGGATAGTCCCTTCATCAGAGATGACCATGTTGGTACGTTTCTCCTCCATTTCCTCAAGATCCTTCTCCAAACCCGCAAGGCTTCCTGTGTTCTGAAACTGCTTGAAACATTGTCGAAGCATGTATTCGGGCGAGATGCCCTCAACACGCAGCAAGTTGAGGATCATATTGTAACCGAGATGGAATGCAGAGTTGAGTTTATCCTGCTCACCACGGACAATCTCCTTTGCGACTGCAGGGTCCATCTCCTCGCCAACCATCATGATCACGATACCCCGGTCATCAAGACCACGACGACCGGCACGACCGGACATCTGGATGAATTCAGATGGGGTGACCCAGCGCTGGCTGGTTCCATCAAACTTGCGAACACTGGTGAAGACTACCGTTTTCGCGGGCATGTTGAGACCGATGGAGAAAGTTTCAGTTGCGAACAGAACTTTGATGAGACCCTCTTGGAACAGAATCTCGATGGTTTCCTTCAAGATGGGAAGCAATCCTGAGTGGTGAACACCGATACCCCGTCGCAAAAGAGGGAGCATGTTTTGAATTTGAGGCAGTTGTTGGTCTTCTGGGGACAGCATTTCAATAGCGCTTTCGAAGACCTTTGACACCATCTCTTTCTCGGAATCATCGTTGAAGGCTAGCTTCGCCATCTGCAAAGCACCCGATTCACACTCTCGCTTGCTGAAACTGAAAACAATGACAGGGTTGTAGTTCTTGATCATGATCATTCTCACGATCTTGAAGATGTCTGACGGGCCCTTGTTTCCGCCCTTGTTCAGCTGCTTATCGTTGCCTCTGCCCTTGCGTTTAGCCAAAGCGTCGTTAGGGTCATCTCCCTTCTTGTCAGAGATAGTGCTCATGGCCTTTTGGAAATTGTCTTCGCGGAAATTGCCCTTCTCGTCCACAATGAGGTGTATTCCCTCTCCACCAGCAGGGAAGAAGTAGTTCTGTAGTGGAGTCGGTCGGTAATTGGTGTAAACGACGTGACACGGCTGATGGTGCATTTTCACGATCCAATGGGCAAACTGCATGGCGTTCGGGATAGTGGCAGAAAGGAACACGTAACGGACCTTGTCTGGCAGCAAGATGATGGTCTCTTCCCACACCACACCACGGTTGACATCTCGCATGTAGTGAATTTCGTCAAATACAACCCATTGAACTTCACGCATGATCTCGGAGCCCCGGTACAACATGGAACGAAGAATCTCTGTGGTCATAACAAGACAGGTAGCAGTAGGATTAATTGTCACATCACCAGTCATGAGTCCGACATCGCCAAACTCTGCAGCGAATTCACGGTACTTCTGGTTACTCAGCGCCTTGATTGGACTGGTATAGATGACTCGCTGGTTTTGCTTCAAACTTTGCGCAATGGCGTATTCTGCCACTACAGTCTTTCCTGCACTGGTGTGGGCGGAAACGAGCACACTCTCCTCTCTTTGAATCGAAGCAACAGCCAGCTGCTGGAAGGGATCAAGTGTGAACGGCCATGTCTTTGCCGGCTCTGCTGGCGGTTTGTGCTCCGAAATAGGTACATATGGATAATTTGGAGGAAGCGCGACTTGATGACGCACTTGGTGAGCTACAACCACTTTGGAGTCTTCTGTGGAGTCTGTGAGTCCTCCAGAGGACTTGATTTGCACTTCTTGTTCGGTTTCGAAGGAGTCGGCAAGTACTGCCTCGGGTTCCTGCTCCAAACGAGGCCGCTTCGCATCGGGTTGATTTTGGTCGGTAGTCGCTTGGTCGGTGGGCGCGGGGGCATCGGTGTCAAGTGGTTCCGATTTCATAGCCGGTGCATCTGGCATCGAAGTATCCTCCTTCTGTTCAGTCTGGGAGTTTTCAGGTTTCTTCACGTCGCCATTCACCTGTCGTTTTTTGCTCTTGTCTTTTCTGGAGCGCTTAGGGACCGCCTCGGACGGTTTGACCGCCTGAGGATTGTCCTCAAAAACATCGAAGAGCTCATCCATCTCCGGGGTTGGGATCGGTAAATCAACCTCAGAAAAAGAATGAGCAATGTGAATACTGATCTGCACTTTTTCTGGTTGAGAAATTTGAAAGTTCCTGATGGGGTAAGCGGTGGAGATTCCACAAACTAGCACTAGCCCAATACGGATCAAGCCTCTCCGATAATCACGTGATTTCGATCATCCCATTCCGCACCTCGCGATGTTCGATTTGGCTTCGTCCGTCCCTTTCCGATCGTCCACTCTCTCCTCCCAGTCCCTCAAGGTAGATTTCCCCTGTCGCAATTGCCTTTGTGGAAACCGCTAACGTCCATTTCAAACTGCAGATGTACACCTCCGCTATCCGGGCCCGTATGGCCACCTCCTTTGCTGCCCGTCGTGGCTTCTCCACCACTCGCACCCAGCTCGGCAGCCCCTACCACTATGCCGAGGGTCCTCGCACCAACATCCCCTTCAACCCTCTCACCAAGCGCTTCTTCTGGCGCTACTGGGCCTTCATGAGTTTGTGATCCCTACTGGACATATGCGCAGAGCCACAACTAATTTGGATATCGTCTAGTTACCGGCTTCGGTACTCCCTTCGCCATTGCTGGTGAGTTATAACCCCATTCAACCTCTCATGATGCAAACGATCTAACATCTCTTTAGTCTGGCAAACCTACAAGACCAAATAGATTGCCCTTTACGCTATATTTTTGCGGTAACAGTCTGGGCGACTGGATGGTTCAAAATGGAACGGGTTCGAAGCAGTCGGATATCATGTACAAAGCTAGAGATTATTATTGACAATTGGCTCTGCCTCACAACAACTCCATTGTAGCTGTGTAGCTGTCGGAATGCGTAGTTTAAAAGACGTTGAAATATGGATGAAGTCATTGGCTGAGCGGGTGTGGAAAATCAAAATTTCTCTGGGTCGAGCGCGATTCATATATCAGTTCGCAACAACCACTCTCAAGTAACGAGACAGCTTTTTCTACAAAGAAGAAAAAGCTGCTCTCCAAGATTGGTATTTATTTTCTTGCCCTTGAGATTCCATACAATATTATACCCTTTATCGATTGATGGCGGGGTAAAAAAGAAGCATTCAAAAAAGATACCCCGTTCCTGAAAGATGCGCAACCTGAGAAACGTGCGCCTCGTTGAGACGCAGATTGAGGGCGAATTGCCTCTCACTGCTACAGCATGGGACACCTCCTCGGACTCGGTGGTATGCACCTTTGGTCCCGCTGAGAACAATCCAATTATAGAGGTGCGGCGCAAGCGCCCCGAGATTAACTCAACGGATCCCCTCTCCCCCGAAGCATTCGAATGCATTGCTTCCTGGGATGCCCCATGCCCTCTGCCGGACCTGGCATATGACCGCATACTTTCTCTGCACTACTTCGCGGACAATTTGACTACTTGCTTGGTGCTAGAAGGAGGCGATATCGTTGTCGTTCGCGAGGAGGCCCTCCCCGGTGAAGACAAGATTGAAATTGTCGGATCAGTTGATGTGGGAATCACAGCTGCTGCATGGTCACCAGACGAGGAAATGTTGGTCCTTACCACCAGAGCCCAGACGTTCTTGTATATGACTAGAGACTTCGAGAACGTGGCCGATATTAATCTGACCCCCAAAGATATGCAAGCATCGCAACACGTGTCCGTTGGATGGGGAAAGAAAGAGACTCAGTTCCAAGGAAAGCGAGCCAAGGCTCTCCGAGACCCAACTGTTCCAGAGAAGATCGACCTAGGAATTCTGAGCAACTATGATGATGGCAGCACTACGATCAGCTGGCGAGGAGATGGTGCTTACGTTGCGGTGAACAGCATCGAAGCAAACACTCGCCGCGTGATCAGAGTGTACTCAAGAGAGGGTACTTTGGATAGCGTGAGCGAGCCAGTCGATGGATTGGAAAGTGCTCTGAGCTGGCGTCCTTCCGGAAGTCTCATCGCAGGAATTCAAAGACTTGACAACCGCATTGATGTTGTATTCTTTGAACGGAACGGACTCCGTCACGGCGAGTTCTCTCTTCGCTTGACCGAGGCTGAGATGAATTCATGGGCTTCTCGTATCCAGCTTGCTTGGAATGTGGACTCTACCGTACTTGCTGTTAAGTTCCAAGATCGTGTACAATTCTGGACTACAGGCAACTATCATTGGTATCTAAAACAAGATATCCCCATCCCCGTTGATCCGAATTTCTCGCTTCCTTACTCTCTTGAGTGGCACCAAGAGAAAGCATTGCGATTGGTCGCTGGTTCTTCAGGTATGATAAAATCACAGGAACAGCATATGACCAAACAGCTAATTGTACTAGGCTCGATCGTGGATGTGGATTATGTATTTGATATCACTCATGGATCTACCTCCATTCCAGACGATGTCGGCGCTACCGCTGTCATCGATGGGAGTAAGTTTCTTATGTCAAGTTGAATGAGAATTTTATTGACATAAAGCTTAGAGAACCTTAAATTGACCCCGTTGCGACTCGCCGGTGTACCACCTCCGATGGCGCATAACGAGCTTGCTTTGGAGTCCAACGTCATTGATGTGGCGTTCAGTAAATCGGGAACTCGGATTGCTGTGCTCGAAAAAACCAGATTCTCTATTTTCCTTTGGTCTTTGAAGAGCCGGCCTGTTCCAGCTCCTATTCTTGAGTCGAGCTATCCCCTGTCAGATGCCACAGCAAGTTGCCCAAGGCAGATTGCGTTCCTGAATGACAACGAGGTATATGTGCTTAAGCACAACGGGCCAAACTCTAGTCAGATCGAGCGAACCAATCTGGAGACCCGAGTCACTGGAATTGTGTACCAGGCAGCGGAAACCGAGCAATTGGCGTCGATCTTCGCTGGTATTGGACACCACACTCTCTGGTTCTCACATGTCATTCAGCCAACTCGCCCTGTCAGCTATTCTAGCATTGAAACCTCAACAGAGAGCGTGGTTGTCGCCCCTTGGACCGAGAGCCCTAATGTTGATAGTCACTGGGCCCGCGCTGTTTCTATCTCCGACGACGAGCGCGTCTTGATCACCATGACGAGAACGGGTGGCTTGTATGCGAACAAACGAGCCCTTGCAAGGAATTGCACATCTTTCCTCGTGACACCGTCTCATCTTCTGTTCACCACTTCTCAGCACCTTTTGAAGTTTGTTCATTTGAACCATGTGGATGAGATGGAAGTTCCAGATGACACACCAGAGACCGACGAACGTTGCAGAAGCATCGAACGTGGCTCTAAGCTGGTGTCGGTGATGCCTTCAATTTTTGCCGTTGTTCTCCAAGCTCCCCGAGGAAACATTGAGACCATCTACCCCCGAGCCTTGGTCTTGGCTGGAATTCGTACATTCATCGACCAAAAGAAATACCGATCTGCGTTCCTTGCCTGTCGCAGTCAAATGGTTGATCTTAACATTCTACATGATTACGCCCCCGAACAGTTTATGGAAAATATCGCTCTGTTCATTGATCAAGTGAAGAGGATCGATTACATTGACGATTTTATTTCACGTCTGTCTGAGGACGATGTCTCGCAGACACTGTATAAAGACACACTCAAAATCTCTCAGACTGTATCAGCAGCCTTTGCTCAGTCGCAAGGCCCAGCAGGTCCCCCAGTACCCAAGTCAGGCAAAGTTGGGAGCAAGATTAACAAGATCTGTGATGCATTCCTGGCGACTCTCCAATCGCGCGTCGATACCAATCTGCAGAACATGATCACAGCGCATGTTTGCAAGTCCCCACCGGACATGGAGGCTGGATTGGCACTTGCAGCAGGTCTTAGAACACAAAATCCCGAGCGAGCTGAAGATGCCATTGAACACATGTGTTTCTTGACTGATGCACACCGTCTATATTCCCACGCGCTGGGTGTATATGATCTTGAGCTCACTCTGTTGGTTGCCCAGCAGGCTCAAATGGATCCTCGAGAATACCTTCCATTCTTGCGTAAACTGCAACAGCTCCCCGAGACCCGACGTCAATTCGAGATTGACAACCATCTCTCTCGCTTTACCAAGGCTTTGAAGCATCTTCACACTCTGAATGCCCACGATGAGATCCGGGCCTATATTGTCAAGCATGTCTTGTACAAGGAAGCTCTAGAGCTCTACAAATACCAAAACGAGCAACAACGGGAAGTTACCGAGCTTTATGCCGATTATCTCCAAGATCAGTCCAAGTACAAGGACGCGGCAATTGCTTATGAGTCTCTCGCACTCTATGACAGTGCTTATAAGTGCTACAACCTGGCACATAAATGGCGCGAGTCGCTGTATTGTGCCATGTTGGCATCTCTGCCGGAGGAGGAATTGACTTCTCACATTGACAACCTCATCAACACTCTCGTTGACGAGAACAAAGATTACGTCTCAGCGGCAACAATCTATGCCGAGCACTTGAAAGATTATATCACGGCTGCACGGCTTCTCTGCCGGGGATCTAAATTCGCCGATGCCGCTCGCCTTCTGACTCTTCACGGCAAACAAGACATGGTCGCCGACATTGTCGACTCCGGTCTTGCCGAAGCAATGGGCAACATGACCGATCTGCTTGCTGATTGCCGATCCCAGCTCAATGCCCAGGTTCCACGCCTCCGTGAGCTCCGTCAGCTCCGCGCTGCCGATCCGCTTGCATTCTACGGTGGTGATCCCACTGGCGGCGAAGGGGGCGTTGATATCCCAGATAACGTCTCACTGGCCCCTACAGATGCATCCACTCTCGCTGGCCGCTCTATGTTCACCCGCTACACAGGAAACACCGGTAAAACCGGCAAGACTGGAATGTCCCGACACACTTCCAAGACCCGTCGTCGCGAGGAGCGTAAGCGGGCTCGTGGTAAGAAGGGCACCGTGTACGAAGAGGAGTACCTGGTCAACAGTTCTCGACGACTCATTGAGCGAGTTAACTCCAGCGTCGCGGAGACTGAGACCCTTGTCGATGCCCTGCTGCGCCGGGGCATGCGCGAGCGTGCTGCTGCCATCGAGAAGGCGTTGCAGGAAGTCTTGACTATGTGTGCTGATTGCCGGGACGAGGTGTTCGAGGTTCCTCCTCCCAAGGCAAAGACAGATGAAGAAGAGGAAGATGAAAATGACGATGGTCAGCCCACTATTTCTCTTCGCAGAGGCGAAAATACTTTGGCTGAGAGCATTGCCATTGTTGAAGGTAATGGTACTGCTCATGTTAAGGACATTCCTATCGTCAAAGAGATGAAGAAATCTTCTCTGCTTGCATAGGTAGCTGGTGGAGAGTTTGCATTCCTTGTTCATATATCCACTATCATGAAATATAAAAAAGTGTTTCTGTTCCATTATCGCCTTTCGAAAGCACGTAATAGCGAACTGGGAAATGGAAATCCGATCCCAAAGAGATGTTATGGGACGGAGAATTACATACAGTGCTACGACACTCAAATTGACTCACCCAATTGTATCGTCCTCTGTTTCCCCATGAACTTGCAGGTATGCGTTCGCACTATTTATAATCGATCTCCGACCAAGCAGCCCTGGAGTGCTAGACGATTCACGCCAGTCTCTTCACCAACTAGGTGCTTTCTGTACCACATCCCCGCCAGCCTTCCAGCTTTTGTTCGAGAATCTATTCCCCAAGGCGATATATTCCAACTGAAATGGTCATACCACTAATTCTTCTGTACTCGCGACTGTTTCCAACGAACCTTATGACTCAAAAAGCAAACTCCAGGGACTTTCAGCTTTTGACACAGAGCTCCTCCATGGAAAGATCCCTGTATTCATGAATAGCTTCTACTATGATCGACAACTCAATAAAGTACTCTTTCAAGTGTAGTGGGTGACTTCTATCATTCCTTATTAATTTCATACGAAGCATCTGAAAAATAACAAGCTCATGGTTGTTTCTACGAGCGTTTCTGACGCTTAAAGTAGGATTGGATGGTCATCCACAGCAGCATGTTCTTCGATCTTATCCTTTACACTTGAACCCGAGGTTTCTTTGTCGGGGACTCCCAGCCTTGACATCAACTCTCTGGGAGTGCATTACTATAATACAGAACGACTAGATAATGACACAGATGAACTCAATCCCACCCACAGAGATCGCGGCACAATCGTAATCGTAATCGTAATCCTAGAACCAAGGGCTGGGTACGATCGTCTATGAATTGCTTATACTCAAGCTCTAAGACCAGCAGTAAAGCAGTCGATCAAGATGCCCATTTTATTCGTGTTCTCCGTGTTTCTGGTAAGATTTTTGTCCTTGCAAGAACGAAAAGTTGTCACGGATGCTTGGAGCTGTAAACTCCGATTGTGCTGTCCAGTCGGGATCGTACTGCGCTGGGTTATCACCGAACTGGTGAGTCTCCTCCTCTCCAGTTCTCGATAGACATCGGCTTGGATTTGGCGTCTGTCCTGGGTTGTAAAACGGAGAATTTCCACAATGGCATTAGCTGAAATGGTCCGCCGAAATCTTGTAGGACCCGGGCGATCTCTGACAGGTCCTGGGCATATGTGTAATTTCGGTTCTTGTCGTCGAACGGAATCTCATGACAGTTCCTGAGCATTTTATTTGACGCGACCACCGCTCCGAGATGGAATTCAACTTTAGAAAATAGGATGGATTAGAAACTTTCCGTAGCTGTCGAGCGGTGGCTGGGTCCATCCAGAGTCCGGCATTATCAATGATATCTTCATGATTCTCCATTACAAGCGCTAGGAGTGGCAAACAAACTTTCTGATCTGGCATGTGCGGGGTGGCTCGACGATCAATGGCTGAATTGACCTGGCAGGAGCACAGAACTTCTGCGATCTCTTACAGTTCGGAGGAAACGCATAGTCCGTCAGCGCATTTCAGGTTGAGCTCGGCGGTAGCCTTCCTTGAGTCGTGGCCTAAAGCCTTGCTGGCTATAGCGTTTTTTGACTTGCTAGGTCGTAAGGTTGACCTCCTCTCAGCTTTTTCTTTCGGTAAGTCCTTGGCTTTCTCCTTTTTGCCTTTCGCCGACTTCCTTGGAGCCATTTGAAAGGTTGTCAACGGTGTGAGGAGTCAACGTGATAAGGAAAGTAAAAGAAATTGGTGGAGAAGTTTGAGGGGAACTAAGGTTGAGGTGAGGTACAAGTGAGGCAAGGGTAACAGACTGTATCTCTAGCTGAGGTAACTTGGAATGCTTGACGATAAATTGAATAAATATGAAATGCAGAACGACGGATTGCTATGGGCTGGTTGGTAAAAGCATGTGAACAAAGAAGATGGACGGAGAGGAAGAAGAAGAAAGAGAAGAGATAAAGGTGGGATGAGGTTGGTGAACTGGAAAAGATAAGATGACAAAAGATATACAGGGTCTCTTGTTGGGAGGCGGCGCGCTGAGGCCAGACTTCTTCAAATTCCGCCTCTTCCCGATGTCTCTGCTCAAACTCGTCGAGCAGTTCCAAATTGCAGCAGCTTCTGGGTAAGAGCCTGGTTCAAGCTTGTGTGCACAGGGCACGGATCTCGGGCCTAAGCATTGGCTCTGGAAGATTGAGGGAGAGGTTGAGTATCACTATTGATTGTGCACATCCTATAGCAACGAGCTGAGTGTGCTACTTGCAAAGCTGCTACTGGCCGTGTGAAGCAAGCGTTCTGGTATCGTCTTGAATCCAAATTACTAGGAACAGCCTGGATAATTGAAGCCATCTACTGCATCTGGAGAAACTAAGTAGTACAATAGACACGCTGCTGTCACCTGGTTGCACAAAGAAGTTACGTGGATCTGCTGTACTCACTCCCTATATGGCCAGTTTATCAGGTATCCAAAGCTGGGGTATAAAATTGACTATGACTTTGGCCCTCGAGAATTCCAAGGTTGCGATCAACAAACGAATACTCAGAAGATACCTCGGTCAATAAATTCACTGAATAGTAAGCGCGTACTATTAGATTTCCATAGTCTCAGCCCGCGGGCTAACATCAACTAGTCGATTGAGATATCTCCAGGCCATGCTCATCCTTATTGCGAACTAATCAATTATCAAATGCGCTTGCAGCGGCACTACCAAACATTGTCGTCCAGCATGCCGTTCTACTGGGGCAAATCCAATGAAGGCGGCTGGGGGTTTTCGCAATGCTGTATTTATGCAGGTAGTGAGCAAGCCAACTTCATTGAGAACTGCGGAACGCTTGGTTTGGCTTCATGCGATGCGATGAATGTCATTTATGTTGAGGGAATGCTTAGGAGAATCTTGCAAAGTATGTCGAGGGGACTATTGGATTCTGAAGCGTGTGCTTTTGTGATTCTTACGCCAGTAATTCGCCAACCACGTGAATATGAGGTATGAGGTATGAGGTATGAATGGAAGGAATGTACTCTTTCGCGTGGAGTGGTCATTGAAATCGCGCTGCGATAGTATTATTATGTTCTAGAAATCCGCAGAAATCGAAAAAGATACAGCGAAAAGAATATCTGCATCAAAGTTGCAAGGCCAAGGAAAATTGGTCCCATGCAAGGAGAACGGTGGGGTATCTTTCGGGTCGTAGGACCTTCCGAGGTTGGCCAATTTGGCTATACCAATTGCTCAGTTCCAATAATTTAAAGGGTGCTGAGGATCTCGCCAGTCTCGCTGACAAGGTGATCCTCAACCGAGATGGGGCCCTCTCCCACACCGGTCAAGATGACGCGGCTCACGCCATCCTTCAGAACCTCGACGGCGCGAGAGTCGATCTTGTCCAGGGAGACACCAGGAGAAGTGATGTTGGCCAGTCTGTCGTAGAACGCACCGTCCCAACCCTCAGAGTTGGGGCCCAGGATGGCCTTGACAGTAGCCGCAACAATCTCAGAGTCCTTGTCTTCATAATAGATGACAGCATTGGGGCCTGCATCGAAGGTGTAGGCAGCGACAGTACGGCCAACAGCATTGTTGATGTCGTGCACAAGGCGAACAGCCGCGCGAGAGACGTCGTTCATGTAGAAGATAGGAGGCCACGAGTCAAGGCAAGTGGCGTGGAAAGTGTTCGAGTCACGCATGGTGATCTCAGCAAAGTCATGGAAGTTGCGGTTTTGGATGGCGGTCTCGATGGCGGCCATACGTCCGGGAACAACATTCTGGGCGCGCTCGGCGAAGAGAGCCGAGGTGGCGACGGTGGTTTGCATACCCTCTGTGCTAGGAACATCCTTCTTCTCGGCACTGACGACGAGAACCAGAGCTCGCATCTCAGGCCAGTGAGACGCAGGAGCAACTTCCTCGGCCAGACTGTCGCTTCCGTCGGCGAGCTCGCCCGTGCGCCAGGCAACGTATCCGCCCATCAGGGAACGGCAGGCAGATCCGGAACCCTGGCGAGCAATACGGCTCAGCTCCTTAGGGGACTGAGGCAGCTGGTACAGGTCGGCAACGGCACGGACTAGGGCTGCGAAACCGGCAGCGGAACTGGCCAGACCCGCAGCGGTGGGGAAGTTGTTCTCGGAGACAATCCGGAGAGGGAGAGTGGAAAGCTTGGGGAGCGAACTGTCAACATCCTCAATAGTCTTGCGCAGAGCACGAAGGTTGGAGATACAAGCGAGAGTACGCTTAGAAGACTGGATGTCCTGGGGCTTGCCGTTCAGGTTGAGGGTGTCCGTAGTTGGGTATTCGGCAGAGCAAGAGGCAGTAGTCAAGGTACGAAGAGATTTTTGAGAGAGGGTGACCGAAAGAGAAGAGTTTGTGGGAAGGTTAAGAGTAGTATCACGCTTGCCCCAGTATCTAAAGTATGTCTGTTAGAACAGGAGCTCTAGGAGCATCAAGGGGATGAGGGGCAACTTGAGATTGACTTACTTGATAACAGCAATGTTAACCGGGGCAGTGGTGGTGGCCCGGTAAACAGTATTGGTGGATGCAGACGCCATTTTTGCTCCAAATGAAAATATAAAGAGAAATTGTAAACAAATTCCAAACCAATGCAGAGCAAAAGGGGAGATTTCCTTGTTGGGTGTTAATATTGATTCCAGGCGGTGAGGGCAAAATTATCTCTAGTTCTTGTTGATGCGCCGATCATTCTCCTCCAGTCATTGATCCCCAATTATTCAACAATGGGTGCCGGAGCAAGTAAACCCTCTGCACCCTCTGCAGAACCCCCTGCAGCAACATGTCCTGTTGACCACAAGACTCGTGAGGTTTGGCTGCAACAGAATGGCAAAGCGCCTCATCCTCCGAATTCCGATGCACCCGCACAGGGAACACCACCAGTCAAGTCACAACGACCACTATCAACAGATCGGGAAGTGAGCAGTATTCCTCGGGCTGGTGATTTCAGCTCAGCAAGCGCCTGCCCTGAGGCTAACAAGGCTGCTCCATCCCCATACGCTGCGTCGCATGGTGGCCCATCGAACGCCGAAACCGAGACTGGCCGTGACGAAGCCACTGGAAATTGGATCTACCCCTCAGAAAAGCAGTTCTTTGAGGCCCTGATGCGCAAAGGCAACACCCCTGGATCGACTGAAACCGCCTCCGAACTCGCGACATCTGTAGCCTCCATCATCCCAATTCACAACGCCGTCAATGAGCGCGCGTGGGACCAAATCCTCGATTGGGAGAAGAATGGCCCCTCTTCAGATCCTGGGAGCAAGAAGTGCGGAGGCCCTAAACTATACTCCTTCCGAGGACTCGGTGTCGATCCACAGTACCTGAGTCCGCGTGCGCGCATCAATGGATGGCTCGGTTACCAGCACCCGTTCGATCGACACGACTGGGTTGTGGAGCGCTGTGGCGGTGAGCGGGTGGAATACGTGATCGACTTCTACCAGGGCAAGCCGTCTGACAAGTCAGGTTCGGGCCTGGCTGCCAATGCCGGTCCTGGGAAACTTAGCTTCTTCCTCGACGTGAGGCCCAAATTGAACACTTATGAAGGTTGGAGGCTGCGTTTTAATCGTTTCACGGGCCTATAAGATTCGACAAAGATCGGCTTTTGGCTAGATATACTTTCGCACTGCACATAGAAAGGCGACAACGGAGCATGGCTAGGAATTTGGGACCCAATTGGGTGTATTTTGCATGTATAACACATTTGTTCTGTACGATATAGTGCTACGTGATTGAGATATAGCGATGAATTAATGTTCTCCATTCCATATACAGTTGAGATTGCCATTGAATGCGTAAGCAGCAAGAGGGTGAGACAGGAAAACGGCGGGATGCTTCACAAATGAAGTGAAATCATGCGAGAGGGATATAGTGCGCATACATGACATAAAAAGAGACAAAAGCCACAGTGTTCCAGTAAACATAATTGAAAAGAGTCGAAGCAAGCGTCTATCCAAGGACGATGGCGAGCACAATGATGAGTAGGATGACAGCAAGAATCACGAACAGGCAGCATGCTCTGTTGCGTGCATTCTTCTGGTACCGACTAGCACTCCGCAACTCAACATTGGCACCCCGAGTATCTTGAGTGACATTCTGGACATTCTCACTAATGATGTCCAACTGTCCACCCTGTTCTGTGACGATGTGCGCAACATCCCGGAACAGTTCGTTTAACTCTCCCACGCTCTGTTCAATATTTCGGATCTCTGCCTCACGTTCGATGATCAAGGATTCCTGGAAGTCCACTTCGCCTTGGTTGGCCATGCGATGTTGCTCTTCCAGCTGCTGCTCTTGTAGCAGTAGGTCGTTATCTCCAGTTAGTTGTTCGCCATCTTCAATTGCGGTACGTGCAGCAACCGCTGAAGCACGTTGTTTCTCAAGCGCACGGCGCTGGATTGTTTGGAACTCGTCTAAAGTGGCCTTGAATTCAGACGATAGCTTTTGCTGCGTCCATTTCTGAGAGGGCTGGTAGGACCGAGATTTAGCAAGACATCATCAATATGAAAGTAATCGATAGAACATACATTGACATCTTTCCATGTTTGAATCTCCTTGATGCCTTCGCCTACATCCCTAAACCCCGTACGGGTCTCTTCGAGAAGATTATGGACTCGCTCGCGCACACGTTCGGTGTCTCGCTTGGTGCCAAGAAGAGCGATCTGGTTGGATAGGCGAGATATGTTTGAAGTCAATGTAAATAATTGATCAGAAAGCTGCTCGGCCAGATGATCAAAGTCCGGATCGTCACGGTACTGCGGGTCTTCATCCCTGCGCATAGTGGTAGGCTGGGACTCCAGCGAGTTTAGTTGGTCATATGACATTTTGCGTAGATTCAAGAAGAAGTAAGCGAGTGTCAAAAACAAAAGCAGAAGATAAATCAATAAGAACCGAGTTATCTGCAGGTCCCTGCTGCCTTCGATACCCGTGTGGATGATTCGACTGCAGACCGCCCTCACATGACGTTATCTTGTCAAGAGCTAGGCCTTATCGGGACTAAGTTGTGTGGCGCTGATTTACAAAAGCCACATGTCACATGATATGTTGTGGCTGATGTGTTTTGATACCTCAAAATATTCCCCGTTGACCTAAACCGTCGATTGATTTTGTCCGACCAGCTCATTACAACCTGCTGTCAGCCGCGACCCTACGTCGACCTTGTCGCCGGTCCACCAATTCTGTTCTACAGCTCGCGAAGCTTTCTTTACAACGGTCATTCTGATCATGCTCTAATCTTTAACTCATTCTCTTTCACGAGCGCATCCCACTCCTAAGCTTGCATCATGGCTGTCACTCAGACTCGGCCGTATAGGCGAATCCTGACCTCGGCCTTACACCGAAGATTTGTTCATGCGTCTACGCTTTCTCTTTTGGTGTGTTATATCATTGCAATTGCGATTGGGGAGAAATCATCCTGTGAGTATTTCGCAACCTCGTCGGACTGAACCGAGTCTGGTTCGCCGGGCCCCGCCCAAGAACTGAAATCCAAAAGGCGAACGGAGAACTTATTTTTATCATTTTCTAGTCTTTTGGTCATGGTTCCCCATCGGTAGCTGCGGTGTTCGAACTGCTCTGATCTTCATCTCCTCTCTTACCATATTCGTCCTTCGCGTTAGTCAAATGCATATTGGCTCGAGAACAGCTGGATCATCGTTCGGAATTTTCAGATCCTTCTCTCTACTCCAAATTGCGCAAACTTTCGGCTGGTACATTTTCTCGGCATGGTGGTTCACCTTGATCTACGTGTGGTCATCTTCGCCGAATGCCAATCTCGAACTTGTGAAGCACGGCAAGCCACACGAGCGCCCGACCTTGAACGAACGCCCGATCTACCTCCATTCCTTCCATATCATTCTCGCATGCGTGCAGGCGGTTTTCCACTTGTATTATGACTACGACCGTGTGCCTGTGCCTGTCGCGGAGCGCAGCTCTAACACGAATGATGAACGTACTCATCCAGTGCGGCCAACCTCCAAGTATCTGCAGGACGTTTTGCCGCAACAATTGGCGGATGGAGCTCTCCGAGGTATCGCTGTTGCGGCGGCCACCCTCGTGATATACCCTATTTTCTTCAGGCGGATCGCCTGGGGCTGGTCTTTGTACCTCGCCAAACTGTTTTGGAGCTTCCAAAGGTCGGCAGCCGAACCTCAGAGCTTTGTTCCTACAATTTTCCCCTACTTCTTCTTCCGGACTCTACTACCAGGATTGTTGCTTGTTCTTTGCTGGCAAAGCTCCAACCTCTTCTATTCCGTTTTCCTTGGAAAAGAGCCATTGAAGCGGGGCCAGCCACTAACAGCAGATGCCAAGGATCCCAATGGCAGTCTAATCAATGGCCTCAAGGCAAAGAAGGAGGTGGTGAAGACTTTCGCACTCTGGGAACTCGGTTTGATCAGCCAGCGCATTCCCGATCGCCGGAAGACCATTTTCAATGAAATTGATCGCGAGAATGGATCTGCCTGGTCCCAAGTCCTTGCTGCAACCACTGAGGTTATCCGGGCTGTCAACACTCGCATCGAGATAAGCAAGAACCCTGCTCCTACCAAACCAGCGCCACAGGCCGCGAAACAAGAGCCTGTCCTTCACAATCTCCCGCGACTATCCGATCCGATCAAGGATGACAACATATTTACCACTGCTCCAAAGGCCACTTCACGCCAAGATAAGTTTGGCAATGCATTCAGCTCAACGGCCAAATCCTTGGGTCAGTCTGAAGACTGGACCCCAACTGCGCGGGCCCGAGTCCGTGATGTCTTTGACCGGGCATCGTCAGCCATGCTGAGCCCGAAGCAGAAGCAGAAACTTATTGGCTCCTCTCAAAAGTTCAAGCTTCTTACTGGCGGTCCTTCTACGACTCATAAACCCGAGGACATCAACCCTATTCTGGTGCAATTTCTTCGCTCGCCCATTGGTCAACCTTTCCGGCAAACATATTCCCAACGCCTGTGTGCCATTGTTTTTGGAACACCCGAGTCTTCCTTGTCACCGGTCGTAGATGCTGTGGAGTCTTTGACCCGACTCCTTATTGCCAGCTTGACCGAAGACCCGTATGGTAAAGTCCAGGCCGATGTGCCGTCTTCCGTCCGACTTCTTACGGAAACTATTCTTTCCTTGGATGCATTTGTTCACCAGGGTGGCTTAGATGCTCATTGGACGGATGTCAATTTTCCGTCACCTAGCAATCCCGAAGCACAGGTAGAAGCTCGTCGGGTCCCCGATGTGGAGATTTTGCTGGCTACCCTTCGGGGCGGTCTCAACGATGTGCTGAAAGCCTTCAAGCCCTATCTGCGGGATATCGGCGTTGCCGGCAAAGATTTAAGGCTGGCGCAGGAAGCTGCTGGCATTGAATCAGAGTAGTTGCCGCTATGATCCGTTTGCTTCAAGTTCTTTAACGCTTACTATATTTCATGATCTTCTTTCACACCACCTCATGTATTGTTATCTGTAGTTTCTATTGGGGTTGGTCTCGGTGGACAAATGCATGGTCAGGCGTTCTGTTCAGATGGGTGTTGGGTGTTGGCTGGTTTAAATCCAGATCTAGTGAATCAATACCTTATTTCCATCAACGTCTCCATCAATACCTTCCTCGTGTAGTACGTCTATATATTTTGCTCGCGCAAGTTGGGGTCACATGACACTAACGCTAACTCAACAAGTCCATCTACACTTCTAACGTAGACCGGAGAGCAACAGCAGCTTCTGAGTTTGTGCGGATAAAATAGCTTCCTCTGCCTTAGATCATGTCATTGACCAACGTTTACCATGTGCGCCGCGTCGCGGATACATCCGCAAAGGCGTGCATGATCTGCTACAAGCCATCATCCACTGTGATGATCACACCGGATAACAAGGTATGGTGGCTTGTGATATTTCAAACCGAACCTGACCATTGCTCTACTCTATTTCTACTCGAATTCTCATTTATTGTGTATGTTAAGAGGCTAATTCAGCTCCTAGGACTTCTTTTATGTGTGCCCCGCACATCTTCAAGACCGGCACTTCTGCTCTCCAATCATCGACACAGAAGGTCAAGCCAAACGTCTCAAGGAAGAGGCGGTGGCTAAGGAGATCGAGATTGTTAAAAAAGAATACGAAGAAAAGCAGCGTCGAAAGAAAGAGCGCGAGAAGGCCTCTAGCAAGGACGATAAAGCGGATAAAGATAAGAACAAAGACGAATCTAAAGACAAGGACAAAGCTAGCACCGAAGCAAAGAAAGATGATGAAAAAGACCGAGATGAAAAAGTGAGTGATTGCATTCGATAAAAGACCATATCCTTGCGCGAACCGCTGACTGACCCTCACCAGATTGCTTCCATTCGAAAGGATAATGGCACGGAGACAAAACCAGATGATTCGCCTCGAATCTACTCATTGCATAAGTATGTATGCTGGAAATTATCATGGCTCAATTTCTAATGGACACAGAAACTTCTATCAGATGCGCACCGACCGGCTGCGCAATATTGAGATGGCCAAACGGAACCAGGAAAGATTGAAGAACCCTTCACTGTTCCCCTCTGTTCCATCAGGAAGCCCTTAAACACTTTTTTCCCTTTGTTCTCGTGTAGTCATGGCTTGACATCAGAAGCCCGAACACACCCGTTATATTGGCTCGGCTGTGTCTTTGTCGACATTGGGCAGCTCGGCTTCGTGGAAACCACAATGTACCGCAGAGCCATGAAGGTTCAATTGGAAGTCGATGTCTACGGCAAGCACTGCCTCTTACAATGCTCAGACAATTATCTACCAACCCTGTTTGTTTAGATCAAGCCGCAGGAAATGGTGCCGCAGCCTTGCGGGACAAATCGAGGTATAAACCCTTGTATCCTTTCGATTCGATTCTTTGTACAACTTAACTTTCATTAAATTTCCCGAGCGAACCTTTTCGAGTCATACGACTTCTAGCGGGGAATTATTAACTCAAACTCGTGATGTTGTATGGTCCCGATCCGTGCACAGGGCGCCGTAGACTCGGGCACGAACTCTACGTCCCATGTACAGTAGAAATCACTCATTTCTCAACCAAGTAGCTAATCCTGCAGGATCCATTAGTCAAACTTTCAAACCGCCTCTTTGCGAAATATCTATTTTCCCTTCATACTCTACTCTAACTATATTTGACTGTATTTTGCCCAATTACACATACCTTGATACAAGAAACCGTCAGCATTATTATAAACAAATAGTTTATTATCACGACAATACCGTATTGCATGACCTGCCCGTCGTCACAAGGCGGGGGAGGATAAGCACTAAAGCGGGTCCTGCCTAAGACTGAGGCGAAGCTCACGCATCCATCATTATTGAAGACAACATCAGCCTTAGTGGGCTGCTTACTTGCCCTGTTCCTGTCCTCTCCGACGAAATCGCTAACCATGGAAGTTAATGCGGCACTAGGCCGACTCTATTGACGCACAGACTTATCTTGGTAGTATACAGACACCTGGATATACACGACTTCAAAATACAACACTGGTATTCTTACCCCCGATGTTTCCGGAGCATGCTATAACCTAGCCTTCTGTCAACTAATACAAGCGTATTTCATCACCAATACCTGACTTATCTCAAATGCTTGAGGGTTATTGGCCTCTGATCTTGTGATTAGGTTGGGGCACTGCCTATCAATTTGGATGCCTATGTGCGAGCGGAGGATAGATCGTTGACATCATAGCAGCCTGTGACACTCTTCCGAGTATATTGCATTTGATAGTCAGCAGCATGGAATGTCTACTAAACCTTGCTGCCATTTCCAACTTAAAGCTTGCATGTCTGCCTTACGCGGCACAAGGAACAATCAGGTTGCCTGGCAATGCCACGATCTATATTAGCTGTAACTATTCACTAGTTATTCACTATCAAGTATGTACTTGTTTCTCAAAGCTTTGAGCCAAAGTAATGTGCTGCCTAACTGATTTAGAAGGTAAAGGATTCTACACTAATGCACCTGGGGTAAATTAGACTGACTCTATATGCTCTAGATGCATATATAAAGGACGTAGCGCTACGCTAAGCCGCTAAGAGGAGAAGCAAGGCACCCATAGGGTTTAATGCCATTTTTGTTGTTGATTTCACGGCTGCATGCGGTATACGGTGCATGATATGCGCGTCCATTGCCCAGGCATTCAATTTAGAGATATGAACTGAGTGTAACTTAGATTCTATTTTTGTTGACCTGTGATAGCCTGCTGGCTAATTGCCCAGCGGCTAGATAGAGGTCGAACTGGGCCGCAGGGCTTGTTCAACACTAAAGTTCACTCTACATGGAGCAGGCCGTCATATAACATCACGAGTAAATAATGAACTTACGTATTTCCAAGTAAAAAGGCATTCAAAACGACATTCTCGGGTTATTCGAATGTGATTAGGTCTAGTCGCAGGCATGTTCCCGTCAAGAGAACTACAATATTATACAAAAGTCTACCATACAAGAGCATCAATTACCGAATGATCATAGCCTAATCCCAGACAGCCTCAAACAAAGTGAGATGCTGGCGATCGACACCGGGCGATCACGGCCTGATGAACTATGTAACGATGCAGATTGAAGGATTGTAAGTAAGTTATTATTGTTCGGTCCCAAGCCAGCCCAGATAGGAACTCCACCCGTTAGCTTCCCCCCTGCAAGGTAGTGCACTGCCCCACCCCCACTAGGAAGGGTCATTGCCAATCACATCTAGAGTACGACGTGCATATGTATGTTTTGATATTCTGATTATTGTGATAAATGATGTGATGCCAAGAGTAAATTAAAGTAGCCTAGTGTATATCAACTAGCATTATTGTGACTATATAAACTCCATTTTAGTACATGTAACAAATATTGAAAGTAAGAGCAAGATACCCAAAATACCCCAGTAACAAATCCAAACAAACCGAATACCGGTAAAACCAATACACTAATACAGACCAATCGGGAAGCATAGGAAACAGACCCGCTTTGCACAGCCTCCTTCTGCTCCAAACCTTGGAAGAGTCGGTAGGGAGAAACAAAATGAAAAAGGAAAAAAAATAATAGGATGGAATGAAATGAAGTGAAATCCAAGGCGTCATTGAGCGTGACTCTGATCCTTGAAATTTGACCTGACAGCGGTGGGTCAGCTAAGAAACTCTCACATACAATATACAATAGTAATACAGAGTACAATATTTTGTATGCACAGAAGAGTGGAGTATGTGTTTGGTGGATCTTTGAGCTTCGGGAAACTCGCTCCTGCCGCGCGACTACTGTAAGTGCCATAAAATCTTGTAATGGGCACACTTCTTTGGCCATGGGTTGGTTATTCGACGGGATCTGTTCCGGTCAGTATATATTGGATGTAGATGTGATATGCGGTGCAGCCCTAGGATAAGCCGGACCTGATTTCAATTCTACTATGGGTTCGAAATAGAACTTTTGTCTTGTTCAGCCGATGCTGTATTACTCTATATCTGTCTCTGAGCTTATGTTAAGATGTATGTTTTTCTATTTGCAGCACGTCAGAGGTTAGAGTTGAGAGACATGGCGGCCTTGGTGTCATCAAAGCAATAGGGATCGGCAGGAACATATTGCCCATTTGCTGCCTAATTTGGCTTGTTAATCGTACCTGGGCAAGAGTACTCCGTACGGAAGGAGCCTTCTCTCGGGTTCGGGATGATCTGGAAGCCTAGGAGGCAGTGTTTCAAAAGCCACGCTATCTGATCGCCTTTCTCGCTGATTCTAGATTTAGAACCCAGAGGGATAATTCTTACGTTCCGCAATGATGCCCACTCTCCACATAATGCACGTGGTACTAGCGAAATGTACAACAGAATTGCTCGAAACTTGGCAATATGGCTGTGCGCTCCGTGTGGGTTTTCAGGCCCGAATTGGGACGTATACCCCTATTGCAACCAGCCCAGCGAAAGCTTTCGACTGGCACATGATTATTTGATACCAAAAAACCATAAGAAAAAAAAAATAAACAAAACATAAACCATAAGCAGAATGAGAATGTGAAGAAACGCAAGTTGGCACATTAAGCTTTCATGAATCGTAAATCTAACTATGCATACATGGCGTTCATGTCCTGTCATCTCAAAGATTACCACGTCCAGAGTCATGGGCAACTTCCGGAGCCCGCATGCCCGGAGGGAGGCGGATAGCAGGATTAGCCCTTGGTCCCCGAGACACATTGACTTGGTTTGCGATATCGACTCGGGCTTTGGTCAGACCGATGGCGGGTACGACCCAACCACCACAGCTGCATCGAAGGCCTTGCCACGCGAACTTGCCGACATTGGACCCGCACACAGGATTGGGGCAAGTAAGTCGCCCGGAGAGAGGAGCGTCGTCGGGATGCGCTCCGTAGATTGCATCCGCGTCAGCCTCGGCGTCCTCAGATGGGAAGAGACTTGAGCGCATCCATTTTAGGGGGTGAAGGAATACATGGCCGCACTCGGCGGTCGCAGAGGTCTTGGCAGTGTCTTTTTTCTCTTCTTCATGCGGGACGATGAATGCGCTAGTTGCCAATTTGAATCTAGACGGGATTGAAAATTTAGTGTTCGTCTCGAAAGTATGGATACAGATCTGCAATTGTGGGACTAACCTGCATTTGCGACACTTGATCTCGACCGTTTGACCAGTGTTTTCTTGAGAACGCATAGGTTGTTCGTCTTCAAATCGAACCGACTTCAGCTCTGGGGCACGGCCACAGGCCACACTTTCTTCGACCTCGCGGCGATACAGCCAGCGCTTGTATGCTGGGTGATCAGTGACATCATCTGGACACCCCATTTCATGGTATACTTCAAGCTGTTGCATAAAGCCATCGTTGGGCTCACAAAGTGGCCGGCTTTCGCGGACCAGGGCAAGGGCAGATTGCGGTGTGAGGGCCCCCGGCTGTCGGTGGAGCAAGTAGGCGATGCAAATGGTTGCGGAGCGGGACTTCCCCATTGCACTGGACCATCATATCAGCCATTGCGTATCTTTCCTTGTTGGGCAATTCCAGGCACGACTAGTAAATATCTAGCAAAAACAGGGTCCAACGATTATAGAAATTAGGCGGGAAACTCAGCATCGTGTAGATCATGATTGATAGACACATGATGACGTAGGGGGCATGAAGCCACTGATAAGTGTGCGTCAAACAGGAAAAAAGAGTAATCGAAGAGCCGAGAGAAACTTTCGGCAAGTAAAACATAGAAAACTTGTGTTTTGACTTACCAGTGCACAAGTACACCTCTACCGCTGTCTAGACCGGACTGAATGAACTTGATAGCGGCAGGAAAATGTTCCAATAAATTTTCATCGTCGACATCATCGACTCCTATGGAAAGATGCTGATATGGCTCAAATGTCTCTTGTTTTTCGGCTTCATTCAAATGTAACACGGACAGAACATGCGAGATGTCTGCACGTGTCAATGCTGCTTGGTTTTTGAGACTGAAAATACTACAAATGGCAGGTTAGCAACAGACCAACAAGTACATCCAAACATGGAGCTGGTCCGATTTATATCCAATAACCATCCCAGTAATGGATATCAGTGAAGTGTGACCAACCCTCCAATATAGATATTATGGCCTTTTATTTGATTCATGGCCATTCTGGACTGGGTTGACTGCGACTCGGCAGTGAGGATAGACAAAATGGAACTTGGAAGTCGAAATCTTTGAGGCTTGAGGTCCAAGTATTCACTGACTGTACTCTTCTATCCCAAAGGCGGAGGTTGAGCCTCGGCACCTGCCAAACTCAAAAAGTCTGATAGGGCAAGGGTATGACAAAGCAGGTGACTTTGCTGCCTCAGGCAATTATATAGTTTTTATGTGCTTCTTGTACTTTATCTATGGTTTTTAAGGCAAAGAATAATTGACGTTACAATCTAAATTTTGTTCAATTGCATCCAGCAAAGGTTTTGATCGGAAAATTTGAATTGATCCATATTCACTGTTATATAGAATTCACCTCATGAAAAGGTCATGTGACCCAATGTGAGAGTCTGAATAGCTTCCAGAATGATGACCATCTTTTGTCACTGTCCATTGTCGGTGTCATAATTTGTTAGCATGCCCTTCATGAGCATGAACGATTATAGTCCGAGCGGGATTAGTGAGATGACCTATGATCTGATCATGGCGATTCAAGATGCAAGATGGTGAGGCGTGACGCTTGTTGAAGAATACCACCCTGTTAATAACTTGAGACTTGCCATCTACCAAATTTAGACAATCCCTATTCTTTGGATAATTATTTGAGGTCGAGACTCACCTAGAAACAGCTAGACCTTCGCTTGCAGGTGCAATTACAGTACCCTTCCTCACCGCTATGAAACATACCCTTCACAATTCACAGATGGTCGCCCACCCCAGTTATTTTAATCTAGGGTTGTAATGTGCGATTGGAATTAAACAGAAGTACATATTCTGTAGTTCCGAATGTATAACATTCAAACTCAAAGACCAGTCTAGCCGAGCGGCGACACACGCCGCAATATCGAGTGTTGTTTAGTCCCGACAACTAACCTCGCCACCCGATGATCTGATTTGCCATACTTGCTGTAAGGGGGAATCCCAGTGAAACAAATCAATTAAGTTTTAGACTTACCGCGGGGAACTCCCAAATGGGCCATGGAGCATTGAGGGGATAAAGCTATAGCAACCGCCCTACTATAACTAATTAGTTAAAGGAGGCTGACATGTGTCACGTTGCATTGTTAATTAAAAAGTGTAACACGCGCTTCTAGGCTGCAGCCCTCTAGGGCTTAAGGCTGGCTGCGCCTCAGATGTGATGCAACAAACTTTCGTGTACAATGCCCTTCGGACATCCAGGCAATTTCCAAGTCATCAGTGGGATGAACTACGTAACCTCGGTCTTGCTGACGCCTCTTCTTAGGCATCTATTCGCCAGGGACTTTTATTGCCTGTCATCACGATGATCACCTCTTTAAGCGAAGTGCAGAAACACGCGCCGTGATGGGGTTCCATGACTTTGCTGGGTAGCTTTCACCTACCAAAAGCCAGCACAGTCATACTGCCTAAATGAGTCAAGGGCGGCTCCTGGAACACCAGCGGGGTGCTTGACGGCGACGATCAGTGTGAAGTCACAAAACTTTATTGAACTAGACCTTTTTGAATCCACCATGAGTTGAATCAAGAATGTCTGCCAAGCTGTACTGCCCGGCTATCACAACTCCCGATTTTGAGTGTTCTACCTGACTTGCGGAGCCAATTGTGGACTCCTAAACACACTGCATAATCATAGCCTATATTTGAGACAAGGGAAACGCAGTAAATCCCAAGTGTTCGAATCAGGAGATCTAATATTGCTCATATCCACCTGTAGTATGAAGTCATACGTGTAGGGCTAACCATAAAGTTCCATAGAGTTCATCTCATTGAAACCCCATTATTACATACAATGTTGTATAATATTGTAGTAGACCCAAACCTGGAGTGTACAATAACAAGTCTGTTGTATCCGAGGCACCAGAAATTATTTTATTTTTCTGGGAAAAAAGGCTCAGAGATTTTTGTTCTCGAAGCTGATGTGGGTCACAATCGATTACTCAGCCTGCCCCTGCACCTCTGGGCACCTGGGCACATCAGGGTTTCCAAGGTTGTTCTAACGTTCTTATTCCTTTCCTTCCCTTTCATCCAAGATCAGCCCATTTTGGGGAAGCCTTTTTTGGGTAGGGACTTCAAGCCTTACATGTCTGACTCGACCTAGAATGTTTGATTACACCAGTCAAAATTCACACCCCCTGCGGCCAAATGACAGGCGGACCGACAGTGTGGCAGTGCATGCAATGTAGAGCGCCAAGTGGGGTACGCTAGCAAATCAGTGGGTCAAAGGTCGACGACTCAGCATTGTCCGCTCTTTTCTTTGTGGAGGCAAAAGAATGTTCTGAATGTAGGGCCGAATCCTCCGACGCTGCACAAGATCTCGTTTGATACTCGCACAATATACATTTGTGCTCTTGAACACTCAGTGACTTTTAGGTGGTGTACGTTGTGCTACAGATTACCAGATTGCATGATCATCTGTGCAGTTCAGGCCAGGATCCAACCTCTCCCCCCCAATCCAATCAACAGGGTTCCTCATGTCGTATGCGCCCCCGGGAAATATTAAGCCTAAATGCCAAGCCCTCTAAGCCCTCCGGTGTATATTATCACTGGCTACTGTACTTGGTACAATTTTGCTCAAAGCCCTGCCAATCTATACTTCATTCTCATGGAGAGGCGTGAGGCGTGACTCCGCATATACCCCTCTCTGGCACAAGATTATGGGTTTCAAGGTCATCTTGGCCCGAATCTACATCAAACCATAATAACCATGACCCACAAACCATGGTTCCTCGTAGCCTTTGTCGCTTCTACTTGGTCTAATTCTACTTGGTCCAACTTAGACCGAGCCGTATTTTTTTACTTACCGAAAATCATAGGCCCCTTATTCTGTCGGCACCTTTGGTCCTCGCAGACCGCCAATAAAAACCAATCTAATTGCATGCGACTTGTTACTGGGACGGGGATTGAAAGAGTAGTTCAATCGTAAAGTGTATGACTAGTATACTTATTTTTAGTTGACATTCACTCACCACCTATTATCCCGATCATATTTGCGAGGCGTCCAATCCAACGTATACGAAAGACCCCCCACCCTTAAAGTTGGCCGCACGGTCATTTTTCTGGGATGCTTTGGTTGGCTTCCCGTCCATACCAACCGTGAAGACTCCATATGGGGTAGAGAGCGTCACATAGATCAGCGGGCTGGACCATGTAGTTTGTCCCTTTCGCCTTAACGGGCTGTACAATAATTAGATGTTTTTATTATGGTACCCAGGTAAAGAGCTGAACGAAACCACGGCACCTGGAACAATGGATCGACTGGAGAAGAAAAAATTACCGAGAGCCGGCGTTGTCCGTTAAGGCTGAAAGGGTTTGATTTCCAGCCTTGTGCCCTACGCCCTTTTTTTCGATCCCAACGTGGCATATTTCCACGTTGTATCATTATTTTTGATATATATTGTGATTGGTATTATTTATTTATTTAGGTTATACCTTGGAAGAAGATTTAAATAATAATTATACCTAATTATATTTCTATTAGAAAGATACTAAAGATACCCAGTTACTCAAATAACCCCTGTATTCGTATGTAATCTGTTTTACCAAACAAACACACGATACATACATATACACATATACCCAACTTCCACGTCAGTCTTTTTTCATTAAAAGTCCGAGACCTGTGGTATGTTTCAATTTCTTTTTTTTTTGCCTCTTTGCCTCTGATTAGTTGAACTTCTCCATCGTTTCCTTTCCTTCTCTCCCTTGGGTGAGGATGAGATCACCTAAATTGCCCCCTCTCTCTCTCTACTACTACTTGGTTGGATCCAATCGCTTGCGCCGCCCGAATTTCTACGCGCATTTCAAATCCTCACTGATCTTAGTTTCAGCTCTCTTAGCTTCCAGCTTCCCAACTTCAGCTTCACTCTTTTTTTTTGGAGCCAATGAACTAGAAGAACGTCTTGATACATCTTTTGATGTTAAAATTCGCCATCCCTTTTCAAAAATTTCTACAATCATTAGTGATTCATCTGTTCTATTTTCCACTATATTTCAATTATGTGCGCGCGCGTCTGAATTGCAGGCCAAGTTCTATGGGACACAAACCCGGTTCTCCGTGTGACTATTGCGGGAAACGTTTCATCTTATGAGGCGAATCGCCCAAGGGTCCCGAGGTAGGTGTCTTCAGCCCTATTGCCCCAGCTCTTTAATTATCTCTCCGTTCGCCATCTGACTTGCAATATAGACTTACACTGCATACTTCTCGTGACTGTCGCACCTGAACTATATAGAAGCTGGGCTTTCTGAGAACTCTTCATCGTGAGGCTGGATAACGGTCCGCTTAAGAATCCGCGCTGGTTCCACGACCGACGTTTGCACTCAACTGGATTGGGTTACTGCTGCTACAAGTTCTTCATTTGACCTGACTTATCTTTCCGATTTCAAGCTCAGCCTTTTTTTTTTTAAAAAAAAAAAGAGAGTGGAAAACCTTCACTTTTCGTGGTTCTTTCCCATCTCAGCTTGGGGTTCATGTGGACAGCCGGCCCGTATTGATTTCGATCCTGGCTCTAGTTCTAGAATGGAATCTCGATTTTCTTCGAGCTTTCATAATTTCAGAGAACATAGACGCCGTTATTCCGAAAGATCCATTCACGCTATGCCCGAGTTTTCATTCTCATCGCACGGCCCTTTACCCATAGCTTCAAGAAATAGCATGAACACTGCTCCTCCGCCACTTCCGCCACCTGTCAGAATCCGTGATTTGGATATGGGGTATGACGCAGGCTGGCAGCACGCAAATTCGCAACCATCGACTTCTCTCCCACCTATCAACCCGAACTCAAGTCTGCTTGGAAATCACCGACGGTTGGAAGCAGCCTCCCAAGGAGATCCAATGCAAATCGATGAACTGGAAGGGAGGCAGAGCGGTGTGATTTCGCGAAGCCCCGAAACTCAGATCACGATTGAACCGCCTCCACCTGCTACTGACGGATTCCCAAATTCAATGGCTGTCAATTCAAATCCTACGGGTTCAATGTAAGCGCCTAATGCGCGAAATCTGCGATTGCCTGCAGCCTGGCAATTTCTTTTTTTCATTCATTAGGTCTATATGGATCGCTAATTTTCTAACAGTTTGAGTGGCGAGCGCGACTTTTCATTGCGGAGCGTTAAAGATTCATCAAATGCCTACGATCAACATCTCTTATCAAAAATCGGCAAACCACAAATCGCGAAGCCAGTATCACCAAGAGGGTCCATCAGTCTGGGAACAGAAAACCGAAACTCACTATCTGCTCTCACTGTTCCGTCACGAAGCAATTTGCCATCACCAGGGCCGTTGGAAGGATCAACACTCGATGTGAAGTGGTACAACAGCCCTCAGTCCGGAGGCGTTTCCCCTAGAACCAGGGTTGGTTGGAGAGATTATGGCGAACGCCGAAGCCCAAGCGTGGAGAGCAACACACCGTCATCAGCACTCGATTACGACCAGGGGTCTTTGCGGGAGGTCAACCGGCGTCGCTACCGTGGAACAACGCCTTCACGAGAGGACAGCATCAGTCTCCCAAGTCGATCGAATCGTGGGAGCTATGACCAGGGTGTGTTTTCAGATATTGAGGGCGAGTTCTCGACTGATGAGCCGGCGCCACCGCGACAGTTCATCCTTCGAGAACCCACTCCACCCTATCAGGAGTCACAACATGGTATGAAGAGACGGGCATCTTCGCCACCGCGCGAGCCGTTGAGCGATGATAGACACACTTTGCATGTCGCTACGAGCAATGGCGATCTGTCGCAGAGAAGATTGAGCGGCCATCCGTTCACGAATAGCTTATCGGTCAACCCTAACTATCCGAGAAGCCAGCGGACATTATCTGCCGCATCATCCCTCAGCATTCGAACCTCTGGATCTTATTCATCTACGCTGTCTATTGGAGGAAGCAGTATGACCAGTCTTTCTCCCTACGACCGGCTATCCCCGGGGGGTCTTTCGCCAAGCTCCGATCTCGACACCTTCCACGAAAAGTCGATTCTCAATCCCAGCTCTCCAGCTGCGGTGATCCAGCCTGTACTTGCAAGACTGCCTGGCCCAGCATCATTGGAACCGCCTCCAACGGACGCCACAGGAAAATTGTCTGTGCCGACGACCATTTTGAACGTACCTAAGCCTGCAGTGCCAAAGATTGGCGGACTGTTCATCTGCGATTGTTGTCCCAAGAAACCCAAGAAGTTTGACAACCAAGATGATTTACGGTGAGTCTCCAATCATACAGGTTAACGAACCCCCTCAGCTAACTCTAACATAGTGCGCACGAGATGGAAAAGCAATACGCATGCGCATATTGCAACAACCGCTTTAAGAACAAAAACGAAGCTGAACGACACCAGAACTCCCTCCACCTTAGACGTCATTCCTGGTCCTGTGCCGCGCTGGTGAATTACCAAGCCGCATTCCACGCATCAGGCGCCCAAACTTGCCAAACAAGCGCCGGGGCATCACACGATACGTGCGGTTACTGCGGCGAGGAATTCCCCAATTTCCCTCAGGCAGATTGGGATTGCCGGTTCGAACATTTGACCACGGTGCACAAATTCGGCGAGTGCAACAATGCCAAGAAGTTCTTCCGCGCCGACCACTTCCGCCAGCATCTCAAGCACAGCCATGCTGGTACCAGCGGCAAGTGGACCAATATCCTCGAGAATGCTTGTATGAAGGAGGAGCAGCCGCCGGAACCTATTGATAGGAGTGGAAATGGGAATGGGTCGAAGTCATTGACGTCAAATGCTATTTCTGAAGTCCTCAGTGAAGAATGACAACCAAATTGTCGTGCTTCGCTTGTTCGGGCATCTGATCCTAATCCTCTACACCACCATTGGACGGAAAAATCAACTCTCTGCTGTTGATCAAGTTCTGCCAGCTCACACATCACTTATCACCTCATCCTCGTCATCCTTTATCTCAATACTCATCATACCGGGCTATACCCGAATCTCAAGCAGACAAACGCCAGAAACAAAACACTAGAAAACGAAGTTGCCACACTTCAAAAAGCAAAAAGCACAAAACCCGAAATTATGATATCCACGAACATTTTGAAATTTCAATTCCTTTTCCAAGGACTGGAGAGGGAGGAAACGGGAGTTTACGTCGGGACAGGGATCTCTTTTGCGTTGAATCTTGAATCAAAATATGTGTATACCCCGGTTGCATTGCAATGACCTGGGAGGGTTTATACGGTCATCATCACCATGATCATTCTCGTTCTCATTTTTACATGGAGTCGGTTTCATGGTTAAGGCCCGGTCGGACCGGATGACATATCTGCGTTTCTATTCTACTGTTCTCCCTGCTCATATTTTATACATATTCCCCGCCCTGCTTTATACAGATGGATGGAACTGTGGCAAATGGAAGGGCGTTGTATATAGAAATCTCTTGCATGGTAGCCTTATATAAAATTTTACCTTTTCAATGACATCCACGACTTACAGTAACATAACAAGTGAAATTGGAGTGATGTTGAAGAAAAAGTGTACGAGGCGCCTATTTAGGGATATCTAAGGCGTTAGGAGAATGCATTCTCCAGAATCAAATGCTGTTTTGTACATATACATGCATCTATGACCAAATGCCCCGAGACATAAAAATGTTCACTCATGCAAAGCACCAACGGAAATATCCGCATAAAACAGAAAAGAAAACCCATCCATCTACTCAGTAACACTATCCTTGATACTCCTCAGAGCACTCATCTTATGAGCAGGATCAATAGCAGCAGCGTTCTGCGCCCTCCTACGCGCATCAGTCCAAAGCATAAACTCACCATACCCCTTCGGCATGACATGCACATCCTTCTCAACAAGGAAAGTATAGTTGAACATGCCAGTAGACTTCTTCGTGCCGTGCTCAACATCCCGAACCTTGGAGTCAACGCGCACCTGCACCTTCGTGTACTTGGTACTATCGCCCTCGCGTTCCTCAGGCTCGGTGTAGGCGACTGTCGCGCGCAGGTAGAGCACGCTGCCGACGGGAACGGGGTTCTCGAAGGTGCTGGGGTCTAGTGCGACGAAGTTTGGTCGTGCGTGCGCGAACGACGCTGCGCAGCAGAAGGCTAGCTCGAATGTTTGCTTTAGTAGGAAGCCACCGAAGATCATGAAGTTGTGGCGGTTGCGGTCTTGGGGTTGCATGATCATGGCAGATTTAAGGACGGTGTCACTCATGAAGACTTGGTTGTCTGGGCGTATGATTCCGGATTGGGGGTCTGGTTTTGTTAGGTTATCTAATTGGTTGGTTGGATGGCTTGGTTGGTACTTACTCAGGTAGGACATCTCTTTTGTCCACATTGAGTGGATCAGGTTGCTCTCCTCGTCGTCGGGTGCCTTTTGTAGGAGACTGCGAGTGCGCAGAGCTTTCTTGGCCTTTGAGTTTTCCTCGCCCTTTTGGTAAAGGCGCTTTTCTTCTTCAGTCTCTACAATAAGTGGAGCCACGGGAACAGGACTGATTTGGCTGTGTTAGTTTTGTTGCTGGGAAAAGGGCGAGAAACAACATACGTTTTGGTGACGGGATCCAGCGACACCATGGTGAACGCACAGGTGATCAGAACATCTTCGGGCTTGGCTTCCACTCCTTCCGGACGGGCCTTGGTGATTTGAAGCGAAATTTCCATACTTGATCGTCCCGTAGCGTAGGTACACTGGCCGCTCAACTCGAGATCACAAATTTCCATTAGGGGGTTCTCAATGGTGATTCGGTCACAAGCAGCAGTGACAGTTGACACTCCATCGCCTGTATGGCGGTAAGCAATGACTCCGGAGAAGGCGTCAAGGTCCATCAGTAATGATCCCAATCTAACGAAATCGTTAATGGCATGTTCCTGCTGTCTAGAATCTAAGACTTACCTGATATGCCCATCGGCGTTGAGGTAGGAGTCTAGAAGCCATTTGTCTTGGGCTAGAGGAAGGACCTGAGGAAAAGTCAGAATCAACACAAGATATAACTTTTTCTGACGTTAATCGGAACGAGATGTACGTACAGCGCTGTAATAACTGTCAGACATCTTCTTCGGCGTCAGGTCAGGCTTTATATTCTGCTGACCACTCTGCTGTGCATCAGCTTTTTGGGCCTCGCGACTTTGAGTCAAAGCATCAATCCATGGTGTCTTAACACGCATAGGCATCCATGTAGCTCGAGATCCCGCCTGCGCCGTCGTGGAGTGGAAACTCTGGGCATTGATACATGAAGGCTTAGCTGCAACTGCAGTTCGTGCGGGCAGCTTAGATGCCAGGCATTTTGAGCGCGCCAGCGCCGATCTTCTGATGCCAAACATCCTGAATGTGAACAGAATCTGTAAAACAAAAGAAGGCGATACAAATGTAGTCGGCAAAGATGACGATGTCCCGAGGGTCCACCCGTGGTCGGCGGGGATTCTCGGATGCCGACGAAAATAAATGCCGAGATGTGTCACCGCTTCCGAGTGTTGTTGACGACTTCAATACATTCGAACCCCCAAATCATCTCATATCCGCAATTTAAAGGGATCGAAAAGAATTTTTACACATGGCACCCAACACTTACAAGCAATCTCTTGTCTGTAGATTCAATTTAAGCGTCGCCATGTTTTTATACGACAATGAACTCTTCGAGCCTGAATCTTTGCAGCTGGAGACAGAGGAAGAGAACAGGCGAAAAGGTCACCTCTTCACTGCAATTATCCATTCCCTGTTCAAGATTCCAGACTCATGGCAAACTAATTGCAGAGGTCTATGTTTCATTGTCGGTGTATACGATCCTGACCCATCAGACCGATCGAATGAAAAGAGTGCATCACAGAATTTCCAGAGAATTTATTTTCAATCCAATGAAAGCCTTGTATCAGAATCTCTGTCTGTCAATGCAATCACTAGCCTTCATTAATATCATTGGCCATGGCGTACTCTGCTGGCTCTTCGACCGCAACCGTGCGCGCTCATGGCGACAAAGTTGCCTCGAAATCTCTATACAAATGTTATCTGTAATTGAAATATCTGCTTCTTGTCAATAAGACCAACTTTCAAGTAACGCTTAGGGTTCCCGATGAATACACTCCCAATTCCACGAAAAAGCGTGTTCTTGTATTCCATCTTAGTAGTGGGCAAACAACGGGGATACCACGCCTAGAAAGGCTAACTGACTCAGATATAATCTGCTGAACAAGATTAAATCTAGATTAATGTCACATACGCAAATCACTTCCTGCAGTGAACATGGAACCTCATCGCAGAAATCAGACTTGGCATTGCCAACACACCACAACGGCACAACCAGTAAAGCCAGTAAGAGCATTGGCTCAACACAAATGCCAGTGAAGATCATAACCAAAACCTGCCATCTCGCATGAAGTCCAATTAAGGTAAACTAAGCTCCCCTGGCCCGAAGTCAGACCATCCGAAGTTCTCTCGCCCGAGAACGGCCAGACAGCGTCAAAATGAAGTCATTGATAAGATACTTGATCTATAACTATAAAAAAGCCGCAACAAAACTGAACCTCAAGTATCTTCTTTCTTATTCAATTAAACTTATCCAAATAATCGAAATTGGAATTTGCCCACCATGAGTGACCCCACGAACCCACATATCAAAGAGCGCACCACACCCCAATGGGGTCTCTACCAGCGCGAGCAATTCTGGAAACAAAATGAAGGAAAAACACCATTATTCAATACGGACCCTCGAAAAATGGAAGAAAGAGCTAAAGAGAAGCTCAGCGAAGGCGGCTGGTATATACCTAAACCCCTATATAACATGTAACAACAAACCTCCTAACAGAAAACAACAAAGGTACTACGCCTCCTCCAATGCCGGAATGTCCAACACCCACCTGGTAAACCGACAAGCCTTCTACAGACACCGTATAATCCCTAACCAACTCATCGACACTAACAACCGCGACACCACAACGACAATCTTCGGCCACAAAGTCTCAGCACCAATCGGCTTCGCCCCAATAGGAATCAACAAGATCTACCACCCCTCCGGCGAAGCCGCCGTCTCCAAAGTCGCCGGGGAGCTAAACCTGCCCTACTGCCTCTCGACGGCAGGTAGCACCTCGATCGAGAAAGTGGCGGAAGCAAACGGGTCCGGACCGCGCTTCTACCAACTCTACATGCCGCATGACGACGAGCTTACGGTTTCGCTCCTGACGCGCGCATGGGAAAACGGGTTCGACGCCCTCATTCTCACGACGGATACGTGGCAGCTTGGCTGGCGACATGACGATGTTGCGTCGTCGAATTATGCGTTTTACCGCGGGTTTGGGGCGGATCTTGGTCTTACGGATCCTGTTTTCAGGAAGAGATGCGCTGAGGCTGGAATCGATCCTGATGTCGATGTTGTTGCTGCTAGTGCAAAGTGGATTGATTCTGTTTGGCATGGAAGGGCTTGGTCTTGGGAGAAGATTCCTTGGTTGATGGAGACCTGGAAGCGGATTAGTGGTGGGCGGCCGTTTGCTATCAAGGGCATCCAGTCGGTGCGGGATGCGAGGAAGTGTGTTGAGCTGGGGGTGGATGGGATTGTCGTTAGTAATCATGCTGGGCGACAGGTTGATGGGGCGGTTGCTAGTCTTGATGCTTTGGAGAGGATTGCTCAGGACGTTGGTGACAAGATCTTCGTTATGTTTGATTCGGGGGTGAGGGGGGCGAGTGATGTTGTTAAGGCGCTTGCGCTTGGTGCGAAGTTTGTGTTTGTGGGTAGGCTTTGGATTTGGGGATTGAGTATTCATGGCGAAGATGGGGTGAGGCATGTCATGAAGTCCTTGCTGGCAGATTTGGATATTCTGATGGGTGTTGCTGGGTTCAACTCGGTTGAGGAGTTTGATCAGACTATGCTTGGTGAGTAGTTTGGGTCTCTGGGTCTTTCAAAGATGAGTTGCTAATTGAATTGCAGAGTCGGACCCGAAGAACTATTCACTCATTTCACAGAAGACGTTGTAAAAAGAAGTAATGTGAATGTCTACTTATTACAGGGAGCCGTATCGAGTTCGATACGATGAAATTGTGACATTTGTTGACAGCGAGAAATTCTGTGATGTTGCCAATGTATTGTAGAAGACTTTTCTCAGTATAAATGATAATTCTAGCAAGTCATGTCCAGATCGAGTCCAAGCTGGATGTGTAGTGCGTGTTGTTCGGCACGAAAGAGTGATATATGCAGCTGAAAAAAACCGGACAGACAAAATGCCGCCAACATGTGCTGGAAAGGTGGGTTTTCGTATGTGTACCCTGTTGTATGAACATAATTGAAAGATGTGCGTAGAGAGCGATTTATAATATGCACGGACAGATGTGGGTGGGAGTATACATTAATTAATACATGGAGCAAGGGATGAAGACGAGTCAAATCTGCCGAGAAAGGAAAGAGGCGCTGAATAGCACCTTAGATAACGAAGGCACCGAGGATGACTGGGAGCATAGACCAGCTAATGCTGCGGGTGAGGTGCGAGGCGGAGCTGCCAGAGGCTGCGGCCATGGCAGAGGATGATGTGGGGTCTGCTGCGGCACCGGTAGCGCTTGCAGCAGAGGCGCCGGTGGCAGTGATTGGTGGTGCAGTGAATGTGCCATTTCCTGCAGATGTGGTAGTTGAGGAAGAGTTGGTGGACGATTTTGAGGCTGAGGCAAGTTGGCCGAAGCCGATTTGACCGTTGTCGAAATCGAAGACGGTATAGACGTTTTTTAAGAAGACGTCACCGACGAGCCAGTTTGCACCGTTGGACGCGTAGCTGACAATTGTCGAGATGCAGTAGTCCGAGCCATCTTTTTCGGTACTTCCGACATAGTCTTTGGGGGAGATGGAATATTTGACGCCTGAGAACTCAAATTCAATGGTTGCTGTTGAGTTGCACGGAAGCACGTAGTTGTTGGAATTGCTTGCCTGTTTCGAGGCATTGGGGACTAGAGCAAAGAGTGTTGCAGCGTCTGATGGAGGAATCAGGAGATAAGTGGTACCGGTGTCGATGGTGGCGGATTTCCCAACAAACTTGCAACTCTGGCCATTCACGTAAGCATCATCCACGGGTATGCTCCAAATGTCGGCGTCGGTGGTAGTGTAAGAGATGGTTCCATCGAACTTTGTTGTATCGACACCACCAAAGTTGACCTCCCCATCCTTGCCATCGTCTGCTGCCCGGGAAAGACTGAATCCGACCAAGTTTGACTTGAGCAGTTTCTTTTGAGCGACAAGATCCATAAACGAAGGTAGATTCCATCCATTCGTGTGCGATCGACCTAGGCCAAGGATTCCATCGAATGGGTAATTTCTGAAGGTCATGGAGGCGTTTTTTGCCAGTCCGAATTTCTGAGAAACATCAAGACCCGCAATCGAAAGGGAATCAGTTCCCAGCTTTCCGATCACATTCCCACTACCGTAGCCAAGGCTGAACGTTGAGCCATCGGTGGAATAGCTGGTTGATTTGGAGGTGTCGAAAGTGTGATGACTGGTGCAGACCGTCTCGGTACAATCCGAGTCAAAGACCCAGGTATTGGGCGCACCGGTATCAAGCGCCATCCACATTTCTTGCTTTTGAGAACCCACCAGAACAGACGAGAAGTAGGAGTAGTCTGTTCCATCCTGGTCTAGCGGTGCACTGTTCGCCAATGAGGGCGTATAAGCTTCGACGATTTTGTAGCCATCGTCGCGGCGGACGGGGATTTTCTTCAAGTTGAGAGTCGGAGGCTTGATATCGTCATCGGTCTTCGCTTCGATCAAGCTCCATGGCATAAAGCGACGCTCAAGGGAGTCGTCATTGTCGCGCAGTTCCACCCGCAGCTCCCATGGGTAGAAGGCGTGCACGCCTGTGATGCCGGCAATGAAGACCAAACATGGTGAGAGATGCATAATCCCGGAGGGGTTTAGTTGCGAGAAAAGGTAGGATCCTGCATTTGATGGACTGATCCGGATTCAATTGGTCTGTTCGATATGGCCGTACGTTTCGCTGTATGTGGAGTCGGCGAATTTCGAACGAGTTGAGAGACTGAATTGAACGACTAAACGATTGAGCGATTGAACGGCTGAATGGCTGAACGATTGAACTGAAATAAATCAAAGAAACACAGATACTAAGAACAGAAGAAGATATAACACAAAGAACGAAAGGATGTGGAGGTTGGCAAGATGTGAGGGGGGAAGAAGGTGGCGGACATGGGGGTCCACTACTAAAATAATATGAGTTGAGGGAAATCTTCCCCCTGACGAGAGGTAACTGTCACTAACTCCAGTTGTTGCTAAACCACTATGGGTCTAGCTCGCCACTGGCAGGAACTATGATCCACTTTTTTTCAATTTCTAACGCTCATTCGAGTCTTGATCGGCTTGTCTGTCCAGGCTAGATAGACGCTAAACCAAGCTCAATGCTCCAGTGGGAACTTCCACCTTGATTTTTGAAGATGATCATTTGAAGAGATCCATTTTATTATTTCTATTTCTATCTTGACTATTGAATGATTGTGCTTGTGTGTATAATATAGAGGCAATTCGGTCGAAGGAACCTACATTGTACATATTTTCATCTGTATGTATGTAGCAGCAGCTTCATAAAAACGAGTCGATTATACTTTTCAACCCCTATTCTATAGCGTCGAACCACGATGTCAAAATTTCGAAATTCAAAAGTTCGCATAATTTGTACACTACCATGCTTTAAATTATTTGAGAGAAATCATTTGTAAAATTTTGTAAATGCGACCGTGTACAACAGCAGTATGTATACCAAAGCCACACAGGGTCTAGAACTCGGACTCCACATGGGTCGAGACCCTGAGTACTTAGGGCATGTCACTTCACAATAGTACTACAATTGAGTACCCCATACTTGTCACTACGTCGTATGTCTGTAAGACTGTTAAGATTTATATATATCAAACAGCCTTCGACCGTTCAGCAAGCTATCCCAACTGCCCAAGTCAAAGAAACCGTGTTGCGTAATTATATCAGGCACCTGAAACAATTCGATCCATCATGCAGATCATGAACGCCCCACGACTCCTTCTTACGAACTGTGGACACTTTTAATCTTCAAATCGAACACGTCCAGAACATGCATGGCTGCATAGTAGTTATTGCGGGTATCGCGCAATCGAGAAAGACTACTTGTTTGTAGCGATCTCTGGTGGTTTCAGTATAGATCCAAGCTCACCACCAGCAAGGAGATAACAGAGTATATTCAATGTTTTCTCTACTCAAGTGCAGATGCTATGAAAACAGTACTGTAACACAAACCCTTGGACTGTACGCTTTCAAAGGGTGCCTGTGGCAATGGAATCTCGGGTTATACCGAAATACGCAGTGAATACCGAAACATCTTGGAATCGACTTCATTCCTCTTGTCATCTATCGAGACTGAGAACGAAGATTTCTCATTGTTGTACCTGGGTATTCATGCCAACTAGTAAAAAAGCAGCGCACCTGACCAAGGAAAGCAAACAAAGACAGGTGATGGAGCGGAAACTGAGTGTCAAAATACTATCTCTTTAGATAGGCATTGTCCAAGTCTCTCCATCGGAAGAACAGCTCTCAGAAGCCCTAGCTGGTATCTGTGGTGGCTACCTACGGACTCTCAGCAACTGACATATCTTCAATTTGCCTTATACAGGCACACTATATACAAGCCTAACTAAGTTCCAATACTATCTCGCTGACCACAGCATGGAGGAGGGCTCATATCTGAGATAGACGTAAATGAAATATCCAAGAGACTTTAGAGCGGCGATGTAACTGTAAGTAGTAAGCCGCCTAGCAAAGGGGGCCAGACTAAAAACAAGCTGAGCCTCAAACACCATCTGGGCAGCGGAGTAGCTTCAAAATCAGCTGATTGCGGTATTTTCCCAATCACCTGTGAGCCTACTAGTGTTTGACTATGCAGAACAAACCCATGGAGACTTGTCGATATGATCAGCAAGAGACCATGATCTCTAGCATCAACAGGCCCAAGTCCAAGCCAAGGTCGGTAGGACAGTATCCTAGCGGCAAAGGGCGAGACAGACGACGTCAAAATACGAGTTCAAGAGATGAGGAGAAAGGAAAAAAAAACAGATATATGATCTCAGAGGAAACGCCATCTATCTGTAGCTAGGGAAGGCGTAGCAAACATCCCCGGATGCATACGTATCTGTATTCAGCGGACACAAAGGCCCTGGGCTCAGTGTAGTTGTTTCAAGATTTCTTCCACTGAGCCTGCATTACCGTGTATGTCAAACAAATTACAAGAACTCTCATCATGCAGTAAACGAAAATCATTAGACCGACACAGATCTAGCCATCTCCCTTACAGCAAAACAAAACTACACCAGCCACATATCCAACGCTCAAACAATTACCGAGAAAAGCCACAGTGACGCACATCCGCAAGGTACCAACCTTCAAATTGCAAAGCGATTGATAAATCAATCAGATAATCAACCCCAGACCGTCCCGAAACAGCCCGAGCGGGCTCCGACCTTCTCCCCTCGAACCCCATACCCAATTCAAACCTCGGGTTCCCAGCAAAAGAGATTACCCCATAAGTGGAAGCGGGACAAGCGAACTTGTAGACTGGTTCTCGCCAGATTGTTTTCGGTATAGTACGGTTTCCGTGGTCAGATGACGTGCCGAGCATGTTTTGCCGAGAGGAATTTAGCCTGTGTGTCGGGATCGGGATCATATGAATGGATGTTCATGTTCTGGATAAGTAGTGTAGTTGTGTGGTTCACATGCTTCTAGTGAGGAAGGCGAGATGGTGACTATAATGTATGTTTCAGTTGGGATTTGGTAGCCTCGGAATAATCTTCGTCGGAGGATATTCCGAGTGCTCGCTAGATCTGTTTTGCGTGTCGTAGATCATTGTGGGTATTGCGGATCGACTGCCTCGGCACAACGAAAACTGTGTGTTTTTTAGTGTTTTCCGGGTATGAATTCTTCAATTGATGGGTGAGTCATTTGGACTATCCAAGGGATCTAGATAATTGCAATTAGGTTGTTTTTGGCCGAGTGGTGGGTGACGACCACAAATGGCCTTTTACCTGCATTCAGTTAGATCTGACAGTAAGCGGCTAAGGCAGCTTGACAATTCAAACTTAACAACATGAAGATAGAAACAGAGTTTGGAAATAATGAATTGTTCAATTGGCAAACATCAACACTGAGTTGCAATGAGTAAAATTGGTAGAAAAAGAAGCCGACAGGTCAACAAGGAGGTACGAAGTACACACTCCATAAATGTTACATCGAAACGCTAGTATAAAACAAAAAAAAAGACATCATAAGCCCGTCAACAGGCCAATAACAATCGAAGAGCAGCTACTTCCTCTGCAAGCTCTCCTTGGGTCCCATAACATCATCAAGGAAACCAGCCCAAAGCTCACGGAAAGCACCAGGCTGACCTTTCTCTTGACGTTTCATCTCCTCGCCAACACGGGAGCGACCCACAGCCTCAGTAAGCGAGAACGGGTCCAGATCGACAGCGTGGTTGTCAACAACCTCGCTCATCGCGCTGGCAGCGACGTCAGCGCCGCTGCCGGACACGGTGTAGATCTGTGGCTTCATGGGTGGGGCGGAGGGTGAGGCGTGGCCCCGGATTGAGGGGAGTTCGGGGAGGACCGGGACTTGAATGCCGCGGTGGAGAGTGGGAACGTCGAGGTCGGCCATGGAAGGCATGTAGACGAAGTCAACGGACGAGCTGTCGTTCAGGGCCTTCGAGGCGCGAGATGTGTTAAACTGGCGGGGGGAGGGGGAGCTGGGTTGTTGTTAGATTTGGATCTTGGTTGGGATGGATAGATGGGTATATGTAGACGGGATGATATGGGATACATACTCTGAGAAGGCACTGCCGTTGATTCTGCGCATAGCGATGCTGAAGGCACGGGATTGGAGGAGGTCATGGTTGGAGATGGCCTTTTCACTTCCGTTGGCGGGTTGAGCTGATTGCACGCCGGTGATGTGTAGGTTACGGCGAGCAGAGGGGGCAGCAGTAGGCTTGGAGACAGCACGAATAGCGCGGAGTGATGTACGAGGAGCAGACATGATGTAGATGTGTGGATGTATAGAGCTTTGAGCTATACTGGTCTGTGTGTTGGGGGGGGGGGAGGAAGGGGTTCAGGTAGAATCAAAAGAAGGCTGACAAGAAATAGGTCTGACAAAAAAAAAGTGGTATGACAGGACAGAGAACTTTATAGTTGAAACGGGTTGGGAGCTATGCACTTCAGGGCTTGGCGGTCTTGACCCGTTATCGATAGTTCTGTTGCACGTATGGAGTAGACGACGTCAACACTGGAAAAATATGGATCGTTATCTTTCTTTTTTTTTTTTGTATAGAACAACTTTAGAATATGATTCGTAGAGAGAAGAGATAGAAAAGATAAAGAAGAACCTTGGTTCCCCCCTGTTCTCTTTATATATTTCCAACTGGGAGAAGAGGGTTCCCTCAACACTTTCTCGTTCGGAGATCTACGGCGTAAGTACCGGGTACCCAGCCGTCGGGACTGTGAGCTACCCCGTATCCACCAGAACAAGGAGTGACAAGATGTACCCGGTACATCATTTCCCCCGGGCATAATACTGTACAGTTGTAGTTAAATCGACCCAAGTGACTCCGGACGGAGTAACAAATGTACAATTGAGCATGATGACATGCCCCCTCAGTCCTCTCCTGAAACTTGGTGATCATTACCTTCTTGGCAGTAGATCATCCAATTGAATATTCACCATCACAGGCATTAGCCATTATTGGTGTACTTTCCCGTTATCCGTAGCCCTATTCCGTACTGCTACCCTCCTTTACATACATGTAAGTTACTTTTCCCCTCCTCTATGTACCTAATTCTCCTAGGGAAACTGAGTTCGGACCCGGAGACTGCGAAACGTCCACGGGTTGTGCATAAGATTACAATATTTTGATTGTGAGTGGCCTGAGTGGGCCTCCTTTCGGAAGTCGGTCAACACGTCAGTTATTTGCGCCATCCACGCATGAATTTTGGGGCATGCCGATCATAGAATTTGTTGAGGTCTTGGATTATTCTTAGATTTCTAAGTCATGGGATCTCTCAAGGAGCAGCTATTCCCCACAAAAGGGTGGAGCGGTGAACACCGGAGTTGGGTCCGCCTTCCGATCTTCTATTATTCTCTACTCTACACGGTATACATCGTCACCTATATACGTACATTCAATATGCACGTACATATTGGTTTGTACACACATTAGATTGCCACACTTTGTATGGTGCTACGTGTCCATTTGTAAATCATTTCATGCTTGAAAATCTTGTTCGCAACCCCGCAATCTCTCTGCGGAAGCTCCGGATCGAAATCGAGATCAGCAGACCTTAACACGGCTGTGCTAACTATTGTGGCTAAAGGGGGGCATTTGATAGCTGTAAGGGCCTAGCTGTTAATCAATCTTGGCATTCTGTTCCCCTGAATTCTTCCTGCAGAATCTAGGGATAGGAGTATCGTTTCGGGGAAATTTGTTTTGGTTGAGCTCTACTCCGTACTCCGTACAATATTGTCCACTGGCAAACCTAGGAAAGGGTCGCTTATTGTTGCTGTAATCAATATCAAGGTACCTTCTACATGCATACGCGGTATGCGGTATATCTTGATGTGTTAATTTCTATTGGAGTAGCAAAACAGCTCACATGCTATGCTTTATGCGACCAATGATCAATGCAACCCCAACCAATATCTCGTCTTTCCATAAAGTATCCCGTACTCCTACACTTAAAGTTTCGATCCCGTTCTCCGTCCTTTAGCTATGGTCCGAGCGTACGGGTGCACGCGCGATGCTGGAACCAGGTGGTCGACATCCCCAGTGTGGACAAGATCAGGCGTCGCCTCCGCCAGGGATGTAATGCCAACATTGCGCATCGAAGTCTCCAATTCATCTTGCATGACTGCGTGGATTTAGCAAAGCACAGTACCCTAAACTGTACAGCCGGGCAACTTACTATCAATCAAATGCTCGACACCCTCCTGGCCATAATTCGTAGCAAAGAGCATACTCCTCCCCATACCAACAGCAGTCGCACCAAGACAAACCGCCTTGAGGATATCAGTCCCGCGACGAATCCCACTATCAACATAAACCTCCAAGTGGTCGAATACCTCCGGACACCGGCGGTGAATCTCCAACAGGGTGATAATCGACGGCGGACTGGTATCCAAATTGCGACCGCCGTGGTTACTGAGCAGGATTCCATCAAGCCCCGCTTTCATCGCGAGCAGCGCGTCGTCCGCTGACATCACACCTTTCAAACACACCGGTTTGTGCGTGTGCTGTTTCACCCATTTCAAATCCTCCCACGTCAGCCCGGGATCGATGAATCCCGCCATGACGCGGCCAAGCCCGCCTCCTTTCTTGTCGTTTTGAGCTTTGGACGGCGACATGGGCACGGAGAGGCTTTCGTCTGCTTTGACACGCTCGTCTGCCTCGCGCTTGCCGGGCCATGCGGCGTCAACCGTTACGAAAATCGCTTTAATGTTCGGGTTTGCGGAACATTGGCGCAGTAGCGCCGCAGACTTCTCCCGGTCCCGGTTGACGTATAGTTGGAAGAAGAAGTCTGCCGTTGGTGCCGCTGTGCGCAGTTCCTCCATCGTGTACGATGAGTTATTTGAAATCTATCCAGTCAGTTTGGGGATTAGGAACGAGTTGGGAATCCTTACACCTTGCATTATGCCTTTGCTCGCACAGGCTCTGGCGATGGCACACTCTCCGTCCGGATGGATGAGCTTCGCCATTGCAGCTGGGCTGACAAACAGAGGGAGATTGTAGCTCCCGCCGAGGATATTTGTTCGAGCATCGACTGACCGGACATTTTTGAGAACCCGCGGCCGGAACCATATCCGGTCGAAGCATGTTTTATTGGCATCGCGCGTTAGTAGATCTGTAGCTGCGCTGGAGTAAAACGCCCATGTCTTCTTGCTCGCCGTCTTTGAGGCTACTATCTCGAAATCGTGCGAGTTGATCAGGGTGTGGAGTGGTGCTTTCTCGTTGTCGTGCATCACCTTGGGGCTTTCATTTGGCGGTGGCTTGGCCCAGTCGGCATCGATTGTAGATTCATCGAGGACACCCTTGAATTTCTTTGCATCGAGATTGTTCTTCATAACGCTTGGTGCATGAACTTCTGAGTAGGCTTTTGTTGCATCACCGCCCGCATACTTCAAGATAACTGATGCGGAGATAGTTAGATATTGCTTTGATGAAACCTGCTCGAATGCGTACTTGCTGATCCGCCTGGATGTTCTTCAAGAAAGTCAGTCACATCCCAGACTTGGTTGTCGACTACAACCCAGCAATCCTCGGGCGTTTTGTGCTCTGATATCTGTTGTGTAGATAACAGCCTTTGTTTTGCCATTTTGGGATCGTGTGAGATCGTGTGAGATCGTCGAATTATGGCGTCAGCAATTGATTATATACAGCACCACCCCAGAGCGTTTAATGTAGACCAGGAATCGTCAATGTTGGGGATCAAGGAGGTAAAGCAGCCATCCACGATAAGTTAAATACTCAGCAGGGGTCCGGGCGGAGAAGACCTTCGGTAATGTCCCCGGACTTACCCCAGATGGCACGGCCCAAGACCTTCGACTTCCAGAAACATTTTGCTATACAATCTCCCATGACTGATTGGTTATATTCTTATTTTGTTGGCACTGACATTGCCCGATATTGCATAGATGCCATGTCCATGACAATCTCAGCAGATCAGCTAGTTGTTGTTTAGAAGATCAGGACGACATAAACCGCCTAAACAAGATGCCAATCTTCAATTGCGCTGGTACCGCGCCGATCAGTTGCATCAATCCAAACCCTGAAGTGTCACGAATCGGCGTTGCACCGACTGGACTGCGGATTTCTCTCCGTTGCGGGTCTCTAATGGCGCCCTATTTCTGAGGCATCAACATCTAATCAGCCACATGCCTCAGCCCTGGTGTGGCTCATCCGTTCCGACCGTGAGTCAACACAAAATATTTGTCGAAATTGAAGCGATTTATCGACAACGAAACAGCAAGAGCTTTGGATTGACTGATCTAATGCAAAAGTTTGCTACTTGGGGCAGTGTTTGGAAACATCTTGGCCGCAATATTGCCTCAACTGTGAGAGTTAAGGGGATTGATAGATCTGTCTCTTTAGGTTGGTTTCGAGTTCCAGAATATAGATAGTTCGATTATGCAAAGCAATGTGTTGATCCAGAATCCGAGCTGATCAAATTTCCAGGCGCTAATAATAGACCTGATTCGGTTTGGTTATCTGCTGCTCATCCAGTATCTACTCAAAGTTGCAGGCCTTTCTCCACAAGAAGACAAAACTCCTTATCAAACATGGCTGAATCTGAATCTAAACCTCTCCGATATGTCGATGTATGATTGTCCACTTTGCAGCCTTTCAATATGTTCTAGTCCAGTGACTAATTAGAATATCAGATCGGTATCAACCTAAGTGACCCCATGTTCCGTGGTCACTACCATGGCAAACAGTCCCACGAAGACGATTCAGACGATGTTATCCAGCGCGCCAAAGATGTTGGATGTTCCAAATTTATGGTAACAGGCTCCGATCTCGAAGAATCAAAGCATGCCGTGCAAATCGCCAGCAAATACCGTAAGCGCGTTTCCAGAAATCCCCCTAAGACTCTATTAACACGCTCTTACAGCTGGTTTCTGCTATGCAACCGTTGGTGTGCATCCATGCCAAGCAAAACTCTTTGACGAATACCCTGGTGGCCCATCAAAAATGCTAGAGGAGCTCCGCGTTCTAGCGACAGAATCACAGCAAGCCGGTCACGCTGTTGCCTTCGGTGAAATTGGTCTGGACTACGACCGTCTGTTTTTGAGTCCTAAAGAGCCCCAGCTCAAGTATTTCGAAGCCCAACTAGATCTGGCTGTCGAGATTCAAATGCCACTCTTCCTCCATTCTCGCGCTGCAAGCGAGGACTTCGAAAGGCTTCTTGCTCCTAGACTTGCTAAGCTTCCGAAGCGCGGGCTTGTGCATAGCTTCACGGGGACAATGGAAGAGATGAATCGGATGGTTGCGTTAGGTTTGGACGTTGGCGTTAACGGGTGCAGTATGAAGACTGAGGAGAATTTGGAAGTTGTCAAAGCTATTCCGCTTGACAGGCTTCAAATTGAAACTGACGGCCCTTGGGTATGTACTTTCGCCAGACTAGCTGTGCATCGGCTGACTCTTTCTAGTGTGAAATTCGTCCTTCTCATGCGTCCGCGAAGCACCTCAACGGCGCACCTGATCTACCCAAGGCGGTTAAGAAGGAGAAATGGCAAAAGGGATGTATGGTGAAGGGACGCAATGAGCCCGTTGCTATCGCTCGCGTTGCTCATGTTATTGCTAGCGTGAAGGGTATTACTGTAGAGGAAGTTTGCGAAGCGTAAGATTCCACCACCGTCCGCTGTTTGGCTATGCTAACTATCTTCTTCTACGACAGTGCTTGGAATAACTCGATCAGGATGTTTGGACTGGGCGAAGAGTCGCCATGATTCGAGATTAGCTAGACTAGAATCTGAGTTTATTGCCAAACTCACTGGCAAACGATTTGCAAGTACACCCATTAGACAATATTGGCATGTTTGTTCTTCGATCATGCGTGAGAAGCGATCAAACGGAGTACTTTCTGTTTGTGAGGTGCCCAAAATATCTTAAGACGTGAAAAAAAGTACGCGCAAATTGATTGACCGAGGCATGCAAACAGACTGAACTGGAAATATGTTTCTCACATTATGAAATAATCATGATTCCAAGAATAATTCTTGCACAACAGTGGCTTTTTCTTTTTCTCTAGACAATGCAACGATCCCAGCCCGATGAAATCAAGCATTATGCTATATGACAATTGAAGTCTCACACAATGAACCTAAAACCCATCCAACATCAATATATCTGCATCATGGGTCTCCATTTTCCCTCGAGAATACGAGCCAGTCACAAGTCCGTCCCCATATTTTGCCAGTCCCCTGTAGTTCGATAACAGCATATTCTCATCATCAATCTCAGCAGTCTGAGAAGATAAAGCTGCGGAGAACAATGTATCAAGAGATGTTTGGGTTGATTCACCAATGTCTGTGAAACTCGTCTCACTGCAATCGTCCAAAAGCTGACCCTCGGACTCAGTTTGGCAGCTGGAATGACTGAAAATACTCGCAAAGTTGACTTCACTCTCCTCGCTTTGCCGAATTTGGTAGTTGGGACATGTACCAGACAAGCTGTTAAGGTTCTGCTGATCCAGAAACCAAGGACATGCAGTATCCTGTGGCGGATCCATATTTCTGTCCGATGGAGTAGTAGGAAACTTCAATGACTTTCTTTGGAGGGGCTTCGACTTGCGTGTATTTTCCTGGGCTATACGCCAAAGTCGAAAATGGATGGCAGCCCTTAAACTTGCTACTTGGGGGCTTGTCGCGGGGTAACTAACGTACGAGGGAGGAGACAGTAGAAGATTTGGCAATTTGTCCTCGATGGAGCGGCTCTGGCTTCCATTGAGCATGATCGAGATTGCTTTTGTGATAATTGGGATAGTAACTCCTCGTTGATTGATTGTCTAAACAACATCAGTACTATGAGCGCAGGCACGGATGAAAGAAATAATTACCTCTCGATGCCCAGCGTTAAACGCTGCAGGGGCTATATCTGGAAGACATTTGAGTGTTGCATCCTTGAAGATGCGAGTTTTGGGGTCCTTTATTGGGTTGGAGATAACCAGCATTCGCATGCCGAGCTCGAAGAGTTGAAAAAAGTCATCACAGGATGGGTTTGGCCTGCTCCCCGATGTATGAAAGATATGGGATTCGAGCGATTGAGAAAGTGTCTCGTGGTGCATTGTATCGAGCCAAATATTTCCAGGCATCGAGGATGAGATTTCTGGCTGCAATGTCGCCTCGGCGCTTGATTCAAAGGTAAGAAGATCTGGCAAATTTCTTTGGGAAATTCCAAACCCATAGTCGACAAAGTCTTGGGTTTGTATCATGTTCTCATCCTGAAGGCAATACTCCAGAGAGACATTAATTGAGACCAAAGTAGCCGACAGCACATCCGGAGGTGGGCACACATCTGGGGGATTTGCCATCACAATAGGCAAATTCCAACCCCTTTTATGGCTTTGTGTCTTATGCTCTCTTCGTAAGACAAGTTTGAGACACTGGGTTCCTGAAGTATCAATCCCCCCGCCATGTTCAACGTTGAGTCCAGCCGAGAATCCGAGGTCCGACCAAACCTAAAAGATGAAGAAATCAGTACAAGATCATAGTAGACATCTCATAGACATACTTTCAGCCCACAAAGCTTGTTTTCCAGCTCAGAAACGAATGTGTTGACTGTGTCCTTCAGCGTCCAGTCACTGTTGAAGAAGAAGCGCAGTTCCATCTCTGGTGCCTCTGTGACCCAAATACCTTCAAAATCAGACGGTTGGGAGAGGCTTTCTTGTCTTTCTATCTTACTGTTGGTCTGTAATTGATTGAAGTGAGCTGTTGCGGTGATGTGAAGCTGCAGCTTTGAGCCCCGGATTCGGAGGGTGGCTCGACCCAAGTCGAGTTGCGTCATTGGGGAGATATCTCATCGCCAAATCATCGCATAGTTGGCTTCCAAATCATAGTTGTCAATTGAGTAAAAGTTCGTGGTGTCTTGGGATGACTGGAGAACGAAATGGGGAATTCACATGATTCAAGACTCAGCCCCTATAGTTTCGTGCGCACATGACTTTCCATTCATTATATGAGTCTAGAACGGCAAGTCTTTTCTATTACAAGATCTCCGTTTAAAAACTCGATTGATATTCCATTCTGATCTCCTGCATTCACGAGGCTTCTCACTAGCTGCTCTCATTGTCTTGTCCGACTCTCGAGCAGATCCCCCAAAGCTCTTGATGATATCAGCATATATTTTATGTCTAGAAAAGAGCGCAGTATGAAGCAGTGGCATGAATCTATAGACAAGAATAGATTTCGAATAAAGAATCCTTGGGTTGGATAGGCTTGTTCAGAACGTCATCAAGCTGGATGAATAGTATTTCTACGAGTAGACCATACCCAAGCCTATGTATATACACCTCTGTTTGCATATAGATCTGTATGTGATTCTTGCATATGCTGACGTAAGGAAGTGTCCATATAATATTTCTTGAAGGGATCCATTTTGACAGAATCCTCTGCCTAGCAGAGTGACCGCGGTCACTGGGACACTGCTTGCGGTGCTTTCCCACGGTGGGTGTGCTCAACTGGCTGGTCCCCGGCTCGAAGCTCTTAAAAGAGGCTTCACCACCTTTTTGTTCCCCCCCTCCTCCTTGTACAGAAAAATTTGATTGTTCTCACTTCTTTAACATATTTTCATACCCTGAAGTCACAGTAGTAGAGCCTTTACGACCCACCTAGCTATTCTGATGTCTTGGCTTAGTGGGTCATGAAGGTGAGCGTTAGTCTAATCTAGAGGTGGGGACAACATTGCTAGTATTTGCTTCTTCTTCTCTTTTTACTACTATCATTCTTTATTCTTGATTCCGAGGGGGAATATTGGAGGTCTCTTGTTATGGCGGAATGTAGAAAAAATGGCACTTAGTTGCTGGATTTTGGCAGGTGAAACTGTTTTTTGAGGTAGGAACTATATTTGCCTAATCGGGAATACCTCGATGCATCACTTTGGAAGTCTTCGTTCCTTATTAAACATGGTAATTACACAAAGATAGCGCCCAACCTAGCCGCTTCAAAGAATGAGCTTATACACGACATGATCCGCAGCGGAGAGTTATCTGTAACGCAAAGTCTCTTCACCGATAAAGATGCACGCTGACGAAATGTCGACTCTTGTTTGTGGCCTAACTTGCTATACTCGAGTACGCCATTTTTCTATGGCTAACACCCTGCCTGAAACACAACCACTAGCGTACGGCTATCCTCTGACTGAAGCAATCTTCAATCGAACATTTGCACAAATAATTTCATCGCCACTACCATTCCCAACAAGCTTCCATCTCGTCTCGGTTTCTCCGCAGGAAGTGCGCCGTCAAGATCAAAGGTATAATCCATGGTCCATTCGCTGAATGTCTGCACAGGACATTCCATGCTCTCCCCACAAACAGCTTCTTTCAGAATTGGAGCCCGATGTCCTAAAAGGCCATCCATATTAAGGTTGACCTGGTCAACTTCTTGATCGTTGGTTCCAGTCATGATAGTATTCACGAATGTTCCCCTACCATGCCGTTCGAAAATGTCAAAAAGGAAGCGAAGGAAAAACCTTGACCAACGCACATGCGCATACGTTATTCCAAGCTTTTTGCTTGGATTTCTCTAGGCAAATTGACACAAATTCATTGTAAGGTGGAATAAGAGACTTACAAAGCCCACTCCTGCTCTCAATGCAGCCACTGCTTGAACCAATACACTGCCGCATTCTTCGCCCTCTCCAACCCCTTCATCTCAGCCCCATTCGCTCGATTCCCCCTAACAGCAAACGCGTGCTCTAAGCCATGGAAATACTGATAATCATAGTCCACCCCCAGCGAGGGGATAATGCGATTGCTGAACTCTTTCAGCTCGAGCGTGAACACAGTATCGATATCTGGCGCCATTATCTGTATTGGCACGCCAATCTCCTGGATCTCTTCCTTTGTGAGCCAAGATGGGTGCGCAGTCGATATGCAGTCCACCAATCCATTATTTGCTTTGGCACCCAGACGAAATACTGCCCAGCCGCCGTAGCAGAACCCAATCGCCGCGACGCGCTTGTACTGTGCGCGCAGGGCTTTGGCACAGGCGAAGATCTCAGGCTCTCGTATGTCCTTGCTATTGCGAGCTGTCATATTAGGAAGATCGAGGGGTCCCCATTCCGAGGGTTCTTTGCAGAGAATGTCGGAGGGGAGGACCAAGCCTCCGAAACTGGAGATACTGGTAAATAACCTTATCGTGAGTAGAAAGCACGATTCTGCTTACAAGTCTGGGACATAGACAGTAGCGTCGGCCTCTTCGGAGTATGCGTCTGCTAGTAATCGGATATTGCGAAATGTCTAGCCGAACAGGTCGTGGATGACGAGGATGGCAACCTCGCTGTTGGAGCCTGTCACGTACGCTGCATTGTCCGAGAGAGTCGTTTCGCGACCCTTAGACTCTCCTTTCCACTTAAAGCCTTTTGTACAGCAATTGCTCATGTTGCTTCCTTCTTGCAAGACAGTATTTGCTCTTCGCACTAAAAGAAGCGTTCTACGAGCCAGAGATTAGCCAGATCGCCAGATTCCCCCACCCTGTTTGAACACTCTACCTATAACATAACACACACACTAACGGTAGTTTACAGTGACTCATAGTATATTATAGCCTAATACGTTTTATACAACGATATCTTTAGGCAGGGGTTGTGTTCACAGTAACCTTATATGGCCTAGCGTTGTTTCGAGTAACGGGCTGAGAAACAAAGCGTGAGTGACCGGGGGTAATCTGCTTTCGAAAACTACTCTATGAGAAATCACAGACAAATTAGAACAGGCAATCGGTGATTTGATTTAGTTAGGTGGTGGTAGGGGTGGTGAGCTTTTATAAAACTCACTCTAAGGTAAAACAATTACTTCATCACTTTAATCACTTTAATCACATTGATATGATTTGATTAACATCTGACTCGTTACATTACTTTACCTATATGCAGGTAGTATTTCATATGCACCTACCTACGTTGTACATACATACATCTTTGTATGTGGTGTACAAGAGCTGTTGTTATCGCTTATCGGATCAAAGCCTTATCAGTAATCTCACGTGCGGCTTCATTCAGGTGGCCTGAAAGCAACTGACAACTTGCAACTATTCACGTTCAGCGATGCCCAGGGGTGAGACGTCAGAGGATCACCTGTCTGCCCAGCATGGTCAGGAGGAACATGAAGCTCAATCCCTTCTTTCGGCGGAGGAGGACGACATAGCATTCCAACCGAAGCCCGTTCCGTCGCCGATCCCCTCACGCAACGCGACAAATAGCCAACGCCACTCCTCGATCTCCCAGCCCACATTAAATGGACAGCGCCGCACACCGCGTACCATGAACCGAGTTCGATTTGATTTGGAGGAGGAGCCTAAAACCCCCGAACGCCATTCCATTGACCGTGCTACGAGTCCAGACGATGATATATGGCTCGATGATGAAGATTACGAATTGGAAAATCGGGGCCCGGGAACACACCACAATGGACAATCAATCCCTCTTCTCACAAACATTGAAGCGCCTAGTGTGACTCTTGCGACATCGGACGAGTTCTTCCCCGAAGAGCATCTAGAGGATGCGCGGCCAAGGAGTGGCATGAAAATGGCATTCATGAACATGGCCAACAGCATTATTGGCGCTGGAATCATTGGCCAACCTTATGCGCTTCGTCAAGCTGGTATGACAACGGGAATTTTGCTGTTGGCCGCCTTGACCTTTACCGTGGACTGGACCATTCGATTGATTGTGATCAACTCCAAATTGAGTGGGGCAGATTCATTCCAGGCGACCATGCAATATTGCTTCGGAAAGAGTGGCCTCATTGCGATTTCGATCGCACAGTGGGCATTCGCGTTTGGGGGCATGGTGGCATTCTGTATCATTGTTGGTGACACTATACCGCATGTCCTGGGAGCTTTGTTCCCGGCTCTTCGAGACATGTCATTTTTGTGGCTCCTCACTGATCGCCGGGCTGTTATCGTTATCTTCGTCTTGGGTGTTTCGTACCCACTTTCTTTGTATAGAGACATTGCCAAGGTGGGAGTCTTTTTTCTCCGTTGTCATTTGCATTAGACTAACAGAGAGCTAGTTGGCGAAAGCATCTGCATTAGCATTGGTCAGCATGATCGTCATTGTGATCACAGTTATTACTCAAGGCTTTCGGGTCCCATCTGAAGCACGCGGAGAGATCAAAAGCCAGCTTATATTCAACTCTGGCTTTTTCCAAGCTGTTGGCGTTATATCCTTTGGTGAGCTTCGACTGTTCTCTGCTACCCATAGGAATATTCACTGACAATTTTCGCAGCATTTGTTTGCCGTATGTTCATGTCAAGCTTTGATCAATGGCTCATTGCTAATCCTCACAGATCACAACAGCCTTCTCATCTACGGCTCCTTGAAGAGGCCCACCCTCGACCGTTTCACCAGAGTCACGCATTACTCGACAGGAGTATCTCTGGTCATGTGTCTTGCCATGGGCATAGCAGGGTTTCTCTCCTTCGGGTCCAAGACCCAAGGCAATGTTCTGAATAACTTCCCATCTGACAATATTGTTGTCAACATTGCCAGATTGTACGACCTCACCATTCACCTCAACATTGGGGCTTCTGCTGACTTTGACTAGTTGCTTTGGCTTAAATATGCTCACTACTCTCCCGCTCGAGGCCTTCGTCTGCCGTTCCGTCATGACGACTTACTACTTCCCAGACGAACCGTACAACCCGGCTCGGCATATCCTATTTACGACAGCGCTAGTTGTGACATCGTTGGGGTTGTCCTTGATAACCTGTGATTTGGGAAGTGTGTTTGAGCTCATTGGGGCAACCAGTGCTGCCGCTTTGGCCTACATATTTCCTCCACTTTGTTATATCAAACTCAGCAGCGCTTCACGGCGGGAGAAGATCCCTGCGTATCTGTGTGTCTGCTTTGGTGTGATTGTCATGGGTGTGAGTGTAGTCCAGGCGGTTGCTAAGATCATTCGAAGTAAGTAGCTCTGTCCAATGTACTTGGGTGCAACATACAATACTAACGGATGTTTTTCTCGCAGACGACGGCGAAGCTCATTCATGCAGTGCACCATAGAAAGAGGGGAGACTTCCGTGTCTTTCGTCCAGACATGGACGACTCATCCTTGAAATTGCCTATAGCGTATTCATCAACAAGATCAAATGTACATATACATAGCGGGGAGATTAGTGTTGTCATCGATTGCAATAAATCTCGTTCCGGTTTTCAATTATGGCGGTGTTTCCGTTAAGGTCGCTCGTACATGGTTGACTACTAACCTTTTTAAAGCGCAAACAAAGTACGCGTACTTCTTCCCTTCACAACTCACCTTGTTCTCTTCGCCCATCTCATCTGTGCTCGGGGTGTAAGTTCCTGATCTTGATGCCCCCATTGTCTATTTCCATCTACATAATCTATAATCACTGCTAGCTCTGGCAGATTCCGAACGTCTCGAATAATATTCTGCTTACATTTCTTTTTAGTCTGTCTCTCTCTACTTTGATAGGTCTCGGGCATCGCATGCATTTATAAGTTGCAAATGCCTTTGAAGGAAGGTATGACCGACTTGTTGCAGTAAGCTTAATCCTAGGTCGTTGCCTTAAGTCAATTGTGTATCTTGTTTACATGTACACATTCACACACTTGAACTAAGACATGATTTCTTTCATCCCATCTTGTCTACGAGTTCTTCAATCTTCCAATCTTCATTCTCTCCACTTCCTCACATTTGTACTCCGTCTTGTTCTCATCGATTTTTATCACGTCCATCAAAGCCTGGTTGTTTTCTGGATCACCAGTGCTCTTGGCTCTTAGGAGCCACCAGTATTGAGGTATCCGCACAGTCTTTTGTGTCCCTTCTGGTTACTGCTTTGGCCCTCTTGGCCTTTCAGTCTCTTTTAATATCTTTCTCCACACCTCTCTCCAGACGGCTGTCCATCCTCTTTCCAAATTGTACTTTCCTTTGCAGAAGGACTCAATACTTCTACAAAGGTGAATCCAACTTTCACTCTCGCAATCGTTCTCTGCAGTCTTCTGACATTTGATCGGTGGCTACAGTTTTTCACTGTGGACCTCCTCCACCACTTCCTTACACCCTTCTTGCTGACTTGAACATCGCTTAGACTGAACCCGATTTACCATGGCTCCCGAAATTGGTTCCAAAGACTTGGCAGAGGCTGAGCGTGAACGTGTTCTACGAGCTATTATGATGGTGAGAATTACTTTGTCGTTCATTCCTTTTTTTCTCTATCACATCTCTCACAACTTCTACAGGCTGACTTGGGCACGGCCCGTCGTGATATGTGCACGACCGCCGATTCCTCACAGGCTCTCGCAAATGTGCAGAGACTTGAATCTCAAAGACTGATTCATGTTCAAGGGAGCGGTACGCAGCGTCAATCCAAGATTGACGAGGTTGCTTTGAGCCAGTGGAAATGTTCGTTTTCAAATGCCAATGTTTTTTTTTGCTTTGATTAACTTTCGTTTTGCAGCTTTGCACAAAAGAGTTGGTGATACCGGTCAAATGGAAGATCTTCCCGACATCGCATCTGGTCAATCACATCGTGCTGCTTTGCATGCCGCGATGCGCGCACGTGAAGGTGCATCCTCTCAGCGAGGAGATCATGGTAATCGCCTTCAGTCTATGCTATCCGCAGTCCGTGGGAGTCAACCCTTTGGGGCTAGGGGACATGTTGCCCCTTCAGCTTCAAACAGAACTACAAGCTTTGGAGGAATTACCAAGCCTGGTCGTGCTGGGCCACCTCATCGTTCAGCTACGGATTCATTCGGCTTAGACCCTGCTTTGAACATCAACAATGATCCGAGTGAGGACGATTCTCGTGTCCGCGGAAGAGGGGGAAAAGCCAATCGTGGAAATGGACGAGCGAGAGGGAGTCCACAGCAGCGCAGCCCCGTTCCCGCTCGGCAGCCTCAGAAGCCACAGCGACCACAGCGACCTGTCATTGACTTTGCTAGAAAAATCGTGGACCCATCGAACTTTATGTCATCCTACCGGAGGACAGTTGAATTCCCTGTTGCCTCTACCCAAAGTCCCGAGGCTTTAGCACCCCTTTCCGTAACCAAGCTTGAGAAGGTGACTTCTAGCCATGCCTCGGCGCAGCCTAAAGACCCCAAGCCTCCAGCACCTCTCCCTATGGCCAAACCCGAGGAGAAAAATGTAACGTCTACTGATGCATCGGTCCAACCCAAAATTACGGAACCCCCAGCACCTCTTCTTGTTGCCAAGCCTGAGAAGAAGGTGACATCTACCCACGCATCGCCTCCATTTAAATCCCCAAGTGTATCGTCTATCACTGTCCCTCCTGAGAAGACCACTCAATTTACGAAGCCAAACGCCAGGTCCACTGCATCTGACAATGTTGTGGACCACATGAGACCTTACGCGGTGGAAACACCTACTCCCCCTGCTCGCTCGGTCGCTCCCAGGAAGATCCTTCCGCTCAAGAAATCCAGGCTGAAGGCCCCAACTACTCCAATCAAGACTCTTCAGCCTCTTGGTGTCGGTTTTCCTGATTTGCAAATTAAGTGGAAGGTTTCTCCCGGCGAGTATCCACGGAAGAAGGAAACATTGATTTCCGGGCCTATTACACCTTTGGCACCAAGGAATAAAAGCCGAATTATCGATCAGGAAATCGAACCTGAAGAAACCGAGCAGGAAACCAAGCAAGAAACGAAGCAGTCCCTTCCTTTCGTGCCACAGGTCGTTCCAAAGGTAGATCCAGTGGTGGTTCCAGAGAAACAAGGCGACAGTAACGTCTGGAGCGGCTCTCTTCTTGATACCGCCAACCCTCCTATTCCTGGTCCTGCATCCGATGTTCTTATCCCGGTTCCAAGTCCAGCGATTGCTGATCTGGATGGCGTTGAATTCTATTCAGACAAGTATGCCAAAGATATTGACGATAGCACCGAGCTTTCCTCAATCAAATCATCCAAGACGATTGATTCTGAAGTTGAAAATCTTCGAAATATGCTGGACGAGCGTCTCAAGGGTATCGAGGAAAGATTGAAAGTTGTTCCAGAACGGCGCAGTCCCAGCATTACAGGACTCAACTTCGAGGAATGGCTCAAGCAGGCTGACCCCCGTGAAGCCGCTCGTATTCAAGACGTTCTCCGGACAGCTAGCTTTACCAAGCACCGCTTCCCCTCACGGCCTCCGAGTGAGTCTTCGCCTGACCCGTCTCCGGTCAAGAAGTCCAAGGCACGCGTTCCTGCTTCTGTCCCGACAAACAATGATAAACGGGAGTTTGCGGATCGGTATACTGGTCGGGCAGTCTCAAGGGTCCGCTCTGTTAAGCCCCTGGAAGTTGCAAATAAAACTCTTGGTCCCATCGATCGCGAAACGATATCCCGCGGTCCAAATACTATCATACCTCCTGCCAAAATGGCGTCTGTTCCGGTCAAAGAGGTCCCACAATCTCGTTCGGTGAGCAAGAAAGCTCTGAGTCTGAATGACTCTATTTATGCATCCAAGTCCAAGGAAAACCGGGCCGATGTGGCCTCTGATTCTACACGGACAAAACCACATGATAATGTGCCAAAGGTGAAGGTTATCGGCGTCCAGCCATTTAATCCCAATCGCCTGAAGTGATGAATCTCATCACAGATTTTCTGGATGTTCCTTGGGGCATCTGCAATGGTTAGCATTCTACTCATTTTACCCACGACTTTTTTGTGCTTGTTACGTGCTTTATGTCTATCTTGTCTAGATTTAATGTGTAATTGAATGTCGATTTACTGGTAGTCACTTGCTTCCTAGCTGTAAAGCAGTAATTTTTGGTCTTATATGCAAAGGTGTATGGCGGCCAGGGGTCAAATGCATTTGATCTATGCTTGAAGATGGCCTATTCTACACCGTTCGATGCCATGTATATAAACATTCCCATCTTTAATAAGTACATTTCTACATATATTTATTCTTTCATCATGTTTTCTTTCGTCTCTTCTTACCTTACCCACAGATTTGATATCCAGCATCAAGTCTATAAGCTTTTATGCCGCTATACTCCTTGGCATATATACGACTACCTAGAAACGGGTTAATGAATGTGTTGGTCAATTTCTTAGTGCCTTCATTCTGGATTTGTTTGCCCTTGAGAGGACAAAGATATTCTGGCATACTCTGATGTGGTATATAGTGTGTCTGTTTGGATCAAGCCTATTTGCAAATCAGGGGGAAACGGGAGATTTTAGCGCCACGCTTAACAATTCCTGCGTGATTTGTTGGCTGTTCCGGGGTCTTCGATTCGGACACGGCACTCCTCTCGCAGATCTTGGCACAGCGACCGTCTTGAAGGAGCAGATCAGACATCGTTCCTAGGCAGACGCTTGCCTTGTCGTTGAATCTTGGCAACCAGAACGGTTCATGTCTAAATCTAGTAATTATTTGACTGCCCAAGGCATTCATCCTGGGTATAATTAATCTCTTGTTTGATTAATGGTAGGATGTCTGTCTAGTCTGGTCATGTACGTCTGAGCTTGAGTGTGGTTCAGCTGCGTCATGGACTAAAAATAATAAAATACGCCAATGTGAATGAAATGTATCAAGATGAGGTTAGCCAACGTGTCCCCAGGGATCCTGAGGACCCTGGTTTCTGCAGACTCTGAAACGCCTCCTATACTTCTCAATGGTAAACATGCAAAATAGGCCGTGGGCCCGAGTTGAAGAACGAAATCAAAACGCTTCTGGTTGAAAATTGAAGAGTCATATGCGCCCACGTAGACAAAAGGAAAATCAGATCATGTTCATTACTGGGTAGGCGGACGAGGTCCCGAAGAAGGACCCGAGGAGTCCGCATCCGACACACGGGGCCGTTTTGGATCATTTGGGCCGGAAACCGGGGCCCCGGGATGGGCGCCGGATGAATCATTGCTATTCGGGACATCGACCAAAGGTGGCCGCTTTCCGTTGATGTTTTGGTCGGGTTGCACAATGCCTCGGTTCGCTGTAACTGGGTTGGAAACACTCCTTTTATCGGGGTTGGGCCGTGTTAATGGCTTATATGATGACACTGATTGGCCTCTGTTAATGGGACTGCCAACTCCACCGCCGGGGGCGCCGACTCTGCGTTGGAGATCTGTTGCAGGGTTGACATAGTCGCGAGGATTGTTGGGTTTGGGTGCCGGGGAGGCAGATGATAGCATTGGTCTGGAGATCGGAATACTCTTGGTGTGGTCTACACCCGCTGTCTTGCGAATGGACGGGCTCTCTGCGTGAGGGTCAAATTGAGGGGCCCCTGGCGGAATGGAGTTTGGATTTTCGCGGAGGAGATCGACTGCTCGGGCAGAGAAAAATCCCCCGGACGGGGTGCCCTGCGGAGGATTCATATCCTGGTTCGCCATTGGGCCATTCTCTCTCTTGATCGGAGGTTGACCTATATTGTTGTGAGGGGCGACCGGGCCAGCCGGTTGCTGTGGTGGAACTGATGCTCTGGGGTTTGAGATGGTTTGGGCGGGGCTTTGGCCAACAACTGGCCGGCCGAGCACTGGATTTGCAGAAACAACTGCAGGGTTTGGACGTGCATTCGGGGGAAGAGGTCGTGCAACTGGACCTGTAGGGTTCCATCGCTCCGGTTTTGAAGGGGTTACGACAGACGGGTTGATATGTGTCCGAACAGGTGGTACTGGTTGTGGCGGAACGTTTGTTGGTCCAGAAGGTTGGTTTTGGTTGGACTCTGTGTCTATTACGATCTCGTCCGGGTTGCCCGTCTCGGCTACCCCAAAATCGGCTTCATCAAAAAGGTCACCTGTGTGTGATTAGCCAAGATCTAAGAATGCTCTTGCTGTTTCGTCATGACATACTGCCAAACTCTCCCTCGCCATCAAAAGAGCCCGACTTCCCTGTGTTATTTCCTCTCGCTTGCTGTATAGGACGAGGAAGCGGCATCTCCTCATCTTCGGGTTCACGTCTGGGTGGAGGAGGTTGCTTTTTGGCGGCTGGTGCGAAATCTGGGTGGCGATGTAGATCATCCACGTCCCATCGGCCCTGTTTCGGTGGTTAATTCGACACATGATGGAGAATGTCAGGTGTCTTACTGGCGCTGCCTTGACTTTGGTAACCTTGGAAACGTAGTCCTTATCATAGATGCAGTTGCCCAGCACATTGCCAAAGTTCCTCAAAGTACGCTTCAAAGAATCTGTTGTGCCTTCCTTCTTGGCTTTTTCGAAGGCTGCGGCCTTGCCCTTGCAATTTTCGATGTGCCCATAGCCAATATCCTGGCAAATGATTACAATCAATACAAGAGTTCATTCCTGTTCCATGTACTGTTGCTCTGTCTTACCTCGTGGAAGGTTCCGTCTCGCAGGGTAACTCTCATAATCACTGATAAGCCTAAGCTGACTCTGCCTGTGTTTTGGTTCTCCTCAACCTGATCGAGAAGCGTCAGTGAATCTCTTCGGCGGATAAAGACTTGCAACGAACGTACAAAATCAATCTGGATAGTCTGGATCGAACTAGACCAGCCATTGAATCCAAACACTTCGTTTGCCAGGTTAATGCACTTATCTGCAGAGAGATAATGTACTTTTTGCCCCGCGGCACCGGGTCGTGCAGAGATGTATTCGGGTCCCAACTTTTTGTCAAGACGGACTTGTAATGTTGCAATTTCCTGTGCAGTGTATTCATTGATTCGGCGTTGGGGCTCCTCAAATGGGTTCGCTGTGGTGGCTGTAGCGTTCGGCATCACGATTGAGCCCGCACCGCCACGGTGTTGATCACCAACGCTGGGAATATCACTATCAGTTGTTGATTTCATGGGGAACAAAACTTCCGAATCATGGGTATTGGGTCTCACGCTGGCATATCCTGAATGGGTTGTGTCGTGTTTGGTATTGGATGTAATGTTCGTGTCGAGCGCGTCAGGCACCAAGACGCGGCTCATCACGATATCACATGATGATAACATGATAAGATAAGAGATAATCAACCATTTCGGACTCGAGTCTTGGAAGTAAACAGAATGAATGGAACAGTTATTGACCCTACACTTTCATTTAGGCTAAGCTCGTCGGTTTCAGTTGAAAATAAAGCAAAAGTTAAATTGCATGCACAATGCAATTTTATATCTCATGTCTCATTCATAATAAGCAAAAGCTAAATGCATCTATCTATGTTGGGAGAGTACAGTGCTCGATCATTGAATGATGAGACTGGCACTGGGCACAAGTCCCAGCTCCTTCAAGGTCTCGCCAAAGAATTCGGCATCAAACACTTTCTTGGGGAAGTTCTGCAAGAAGCTCTGGACCTCAATTCCATCCTGCTCCTTCAAGGCGGCAGCAACTTCGAACAAAGTGGTGTCCACGGGCAATGTCTTCATGATGTTACCCTTGGAGGATTGAAATCGCAAACGAGATTCAGTGTAGGCAGAAGCAGGCTTAGATGGGGCGGGTGCTTGAGCAGCAGGCTGGGGAACCGCCACACCGGCACGCTCCGCTCGCTGCTGCTCGGCCTTTAACCGTCGCTCCTCCTTGTCAGCCTCGATCTTCGCCTTGATGCGCTTCTTCGCCTCAATCTCGTCCTGCTTCTCCTTCTTCTTCTTTGCTGCCTCCTTCATTTGCTGTTTGCGCTCAAGGTCCTCCTTCGCATCCTGGGTCTCTTTGGTGCTCTTCCTTCGGATTTCCTAGGGAAGAATTTAGCACATCTTTCAGTCACTGGTCAATAGACCTAATAGTAAGATACAAACCTCATTTCGCCTCTTGTCGATTTTGTCCTGTTCAGATGTTCCTGCCCGCTTCGCGGCAAGCTTCTCTCGTAGCTCTGCCAATTTCTCCTTCTTCTGCTCTTCGGTCAATGGAGCAATCTCCTCTGTGGACTCCGCAAAATCGACGTGGCCCGACTTGGATGCATGGAACTCGGCCTGTGACTGGCCTCGGAATTTCTTGCCACAGTCATTGCACACCAAGCTTCGTGGTTGTTCGCCTGGTTGAAGTGCGGGGTTCTCTTCGTCTTGTACCTGTGCCTGTGCCTGAATCTCCTCCAAAGTCTTGTCTTGGTTGTCCTCGAGCCACTGCAGTGCACCCTGCACTATAAAATTTGTCAGAACATATTCAAATTGGTGACGAGTGCAGATACTGACAGCCGCCGGTTTTTGTTACTGCGATCTGGGCGCGCTCTTTGTCAAAGCCCATCTCAATGAGCTGTTCCAGGTCTGATGCCATGATGATGATAAGTAGTGGAGTGAGTAATATAAAGCACCGGAAACAAGTGCACACAGTAAGTTGAAATTGAGAGAAAGTGAAGAGCTCAGGCGGCGCGCGAAGAGTGGGTGACGTATCAGAAAGGCGGCAAGCGATAAGGCCCACTCACCTTCCCCCGGGTTTGTGTGGCTTGGAGCTGTTAATATTGTTCTTCTAAATGAATATATGGTGCTATTCATGCTTAATTGGAAGTACAACAGACTTGATTGGGGCACAATCTACTTATACTTGTATTTGCCTTGGACTGCTGATGTATACTTGGTCCTGGTGCTCAGGCCAATTTCACCAATAGATCCTAACAAGCACGTAACTTGACTAGACAGGTGCGCAATGCATAAGGTATCCTGGACCCTGGGGAAATGTGGCAGGAAACCAATGGATACATCCTACTGCCGTAAATAGATCCGAATGAGTATAACAAGCCCAACACTGTAATGTGCACAGAAAAGCGGAAGCCAGAACACACTGCAGCTAGTTATATGATATATTTGATGACACCACGTTGATTGTACATGGGTCTACTTAGCCACCAATTTTCTGTCGGACATTCAATGATAATTTCAAATTACAAAATTGTACATACTGGATGTTCACGTACTGTGTGTGGTACATTGGGATCGGCACGAGGGATGAATGAGGCTTGGAAGGGTGTGTATGAGCACATAGTTCACTCAAATCCTTTTTTCTTTTGGATTCGTGTAGTGAGCAAAAAAGGCTTGGATTTTTTTAACAAATATAAGATCAAACATAATAAGATCTATGAAAGATACATCTAACTATGTAAAAAGTGGGATGACCCCACTGAAACATCATCCATCACATGTGGGACACATCCGAGGATGCGATGTCCGTGAACTGTGAAAACGAGGAGCTCCAGTGGACAGATTCCACTATTGTTTAAGAAGCAAGTAGAGCAATAAGAACAATTAAAGCAAATCATCTCTGCCAAGAAAGAAAAGACAACTAAGGTGAATGATGTACTTGTTCGAGTTATAGATCGGTGACATCACCTGACTGGTGACTAAGCCTCCCCCGAAGTGGACAGTAATCAAACTCCTGAGGTAATGCGGCCTGTTTGGACTTGATAACCCTCCCGCACGTCCATTTTCGAGTCGCAACCCGATCGCACAAAGTTTTCTGTATTGCTGCCTTTTTTGCTTTCTTCCCCTCTTCTTTTACTCTGACCCCGTGCACGATGAGTATCCAAATTGAGCCCTCTGAGTTGGGCTTCAAGCGTGAGTGCTAGATGCCAAACGTCTAACTTGGCTTATTCAAGGCTCATGTTTCGGTAATAGGCCCCTTCAATCATGAGGTGTGCCAGGTCCTTCGCCTGAGCAACTCGAACCAAGAAGCCGTTGTTTTCAAGGTATATTTGCTCTCTCTCGGCGCTTGTCGCGGAAACACAAACAGTACTAACGTCAGTCCTCGGTGTTAGGTCAAAACCACCGCTCCCAAGCAGTACGTCTCGGAGATTCCTTGCGCAATTCCTATAGTAAAATTTGGTTGTCTGACGATACTTTAGCTACTGTGTGCGCCCTAATTCCGGTCACATCAACCCAGGCCAGACTGTTGAAGTTCAGGGTGGGTCGATATTCAAGTCCACTCAAAGAGACCAAAGCTAATTGTCTGTCGTAGTACTGCTCCAGGCTTTGAAGGAGGAGCCTGCTCCGAATGCCAAGTGCAAGGACAAGTTCTTGGTTCAGGCCGTCACAGTCTCTTCTGGTTTTGAAGATGCGAGCGTTACCCAGATTGTAAGTTCTGCCCAGTCGCAACCATTCGCACAACACACTAACAATTCATTCCTAGTTCGACCAAACTGCCAAGGCTGATGTTGTTGAGCGCAAGATCCGAGTTGTCTACCTAGCATCAGATGACTCCTCAGACCAGGCCAATGATTCCGTATGTCTTGCGGCAATGCCACTCTCATACAGCCGATCTAACCGTTTCTAGGTCCTTAACGAAGAGCCCCCAGCATACACCTCTCCCAGTGGCGCCAACTTCCAGACCCCTGCCCCCAAGAAGCTCGATTCTGACCCAGCCTCCCCGATCCCCGGCCCCGATTTCTCCGAGAAGATCAAGACCGAGTCTCCTCAGCGCGAGGCCCCATCCGTTCTCTCAAGCGCGAAGTCTGCCGTGGCCAATGCCCTGCCCTCAAGCGAAGACTTGAAGTCCCAGTTGGCCGAAGCCAACGCTCAGATTCAACGCCTGAAGGACCGACTTGCAGACCAAGGCCTGCGGCAGCGCAAGACCGGTGCCGAGGCTGGCTCCGCCGCACCCACCACCATGCAGCAGTCACATGCGCAGACACAAGGTGGAGTTTCGATCCAATTTGTCTCGATGCTCTGTCTGCTGAGCTTCTTGATCGGTTACTTCTTTTTCTAAGCTGGTCTTCTCTGTCGCTTTTTAACGGTCTAATATGGCTGCACGCTTGCCGTGCTCATGCCTTCGGTTTAACGTCGCTGACGCCCCCAAATTCCCATTTACTCTTTTTCTCTTGAAGAGCATGCCGTTTTCTATCTGTTCTAGCATCAGCCTTTTTCTGCGTCTGCTTTGATTTTTCCCGGTATCGATATCTTGTCTACCATCCCCCTCTGGGTTTCCGAATCTCTTGAGGCCTGACTGACGTCTGCCTCATCCTACTCTGTCGCCGCTTTCCCTTTGTTTTTTTTTTCTTTCTATTTTTTCCGTCTTGTCTAATATCATTTCGTGGTGAACAGACTCAGCGTGTTGATTCGGTTTTCTTTGTCCCATAAATGATTCTCGAGCTTGCGAGATATTTCATGGTCATTGCCATCGAACCTTGTCGTAGCTGATGATTGTTTCTTTTCAATTTTGGTAATTGATTATCAATATTTAACTATATCCCACCCTTGTACGTTGAGTGAATAGCGCCAGGCAGTTGGGATCTGTATATGCAAACATCAGACATGATTCAAATCATACACATATACTACAGCAAACCATGAACTCTCACAGTAATGAACGCATTTTATTTGAAATTTGTGACCAGTACTCCGCCCATAATATAGAATAGATCCGCTGAAATCAACACCAGACCGTAAACCCAACAGAAGAACAAAAATCTAGCACTGAATCTCACTCTCCTTCCAACCATCACCCTCCTCACCCGCCGGGCCCGCCGACGCAGCCGAGATCCCCTCACCACCACGACCAGTCCACTGCTGAGCAGCAGCCTTCTCGTCACTCTTTTTTCCGCCACCAACAATACGACCGCCCTGCTCACGCTTCACGCGGCACCAAGGCCCAACATTCTTGTCAAGAATAAAGGTATAGATAACCCAGACCCAGCTGCGGTGGCAGGGAAGTGGCTCATAGAAGTCACTCGCGATCTCATGCAGCTTGTGCAGCTTAGTCCACGGGATAGCAGGAAAATCATGGTGCTCGTTATGCAAGCCGACGTTGTAAGTGAGTATGTTGAGCGGACCATAGTAAGAGTATGTCTCCGGGGGAGGGAGGGAGTCGAGCGGGTGTGGCTTCTTAGTCTTCTCGCCGTTCTTCAGCTGCGTGAGAGACTCGGTGCCGCCGTTCTCGACGTTCGAGAAGAAATAGTGCTCCGCGATGAAGTGGCCTGCGCAGGGGTGCAGGGATCCTGCCAGGAAGGAGCTCATCAGGAAGTAGAAGACTGGTTGGAAGGAGCCGCAGAATTGGGACAGCGCGTAGTCGACGCTCAGTTGGACGCCCAGATTCAGAAGGTGGATGTAGGTGAAGGGTGGGCTGTAGATGAACATCGGACGCACAGCGTAGAAGAGGATTTGGAAGGTGCAGAAGAAGGTCTTGCCGAGGAGGGAGTTCAGGAAGAAGGCTTCTACTGCTGTAGGGAGATCGGTATCGAGGCCTGTGACGCCGAGGGACTTGTGGTGTGTCAGATGGTAGGGCTAAGGGTTTTATGTATTAGTTGATTGCTTTCTCTGTGATATTCGACTTGTGTGCAACATAAGGGCGGAGCACATACTCTGAAGGCAGCACTATACGGCAGTCCGATGGGGAGATTGGCAAAGATGGCGAGCAACCGGTTGGCGATAGCGGACCGGAAGGCCAGATTGTGTGAGATCTCATGAATTGCGAGGAACAGATTCTGGTTGCAAGTTGCACCAATCACGTATGCCGTTGCCAGAAACCGCCAGTCGAGCATTGAGGTGTTGCGGAGGAGGTAGGCGCAGGTGAATTGCAAGGAGACGACACCAAGAACGACCCATTTCGTGAGAGGCTCGGGGCCACATAGTTTAGTAACCTATATTCACAAGATCAGAAAATCAGCATTGCAATTGCAATTGTTGAGGTCCTCCGCCCCTCCTCAAAAGTGGCCAGGTAACGCAGGGGATCTCCGCAAAACCTCCGCACGGAGTATGGCATTGCCCCTTAGTCCACAACGAGCGCTTGCAAAACAGTGTTACATACCTCCGGATGAGCTTTGATAATTGCTTGCCGTCTTGAACGATGGGGTTCTTCGGTGTAGGTCCAGAAGAAGTGGTCCTCGACCAGGGCCTCTGGTGCCTGGATTCTTGTTGATTCGGGTTCCTTTTTGGTGGATGCCTTGGCGGCTGACACCCGGAGGTGCGGCGAAGCTGTTTCAATGATCGCTGTCATTGTAAATATGAATTGATGATATGTTGAAGTTTAGGCCATCAAGAAAAGAGGCCAAATTAAAGAAAAAAAGTCGGAGGATGGTGGTTCCACGTGGGGCGACACACATGCTTGATGGCCTATGGCTTGGCAGGATCGACCCATTGATATCAATGTTTCTTCTACTTGCGGTGAAGGCATTACAAATAATCATTATTTCTTGAATTTTGCTGCCTTCGGTATTTGCTTATAACTATATAACAAGTACCTAGACTAGTAGTCGTCACCGCGGCTAATAACCTCCTTGACGTTAGGACGCAACACAATGGTCTGATGAGATAAGTCAGTGAATAATTTAAAAAGACGAAAAGAGAAACACGTACATGTTCATATTGTGCAGTGTATGAGCCCTTGATATCGCAAAGAGGGGGGTAATCCTGGACAATTCCAGATGAAACCAGGTTGTTCAACTGGATTTAAGTTAGCTAGAAAGTTCAAACGGATGGATTTGACCGTGCACTTACACCCAGAAGGTATTTATCTTGGCCGAGGCGGTCGAGGTAACGGCGGCAGAAGGGAAGAGTACCGAAGTTCTTGTTAATGACATTCAACAAGTTTTTGGCCGAAGAAAGACGCAATGGGACGTTGGGGGCATCTTGAGAGAGCGCGTAATGCGAAGTTTCCATCTGGAGAAATGTTAGTAATTTTCTGAGCCTCGTTAGGCCACAACATCAACTTACTTCCTCCCGCACGTAACCCTTTCCGGTACTACCGAAAGTCTCAATAGCGAAGACTTCACCTTCCTCCATCTTGGTCTGGTCAGTGTTCTTGACAATGGGCACACTCTTGCCTCCGTGGATAATGTGCTGATCAATGTTATGACCGTTCAGATTGCGAATACACTTGACAGGGTGCATAGTGCCATTGAGTTCGACTTCGTAGCTCTCCATGGCTTCCTGAATAGCGGCACCAATATCGCTCATGCGGACATCAATTCCGGCTTCCTATAAAGACAGTCAGCTCCGTTCAATTTGAATATCGCAGAAAGGTACTTACCCGAATACCAGTGTTGGTGGCATCCTTGACGGCCGCCAGAAGAGGGTCGTATACAGGGTCGAAAGACATGGTGAATGCACTGTCAACAATCCGGCCATTGAGCTGGGCACCAAAGTCGACCTTCATAACATCTCCTTGGTTCAAAACCATCTTGTTTCCAGCGTTCGGGGTATAATGCGCCGCGCAGTGGTTGATGCTCAAACCACAAGGGAAACCCATGCCTCCCTTGATGTTGTCGCCCTCCTCAAGACCTGAGTGGCCTGTCAATGCGCGCACTGAATCCTCGATTCCCTCCGCGATCTCGGTCAAGGTCTGGCCGGGCTTAATGTTCTTTTGCGCATACTGGCGGACTTGACGGTGGACTTCAGCACCCTGGCGATATTCCGTCAGGAAGTCATTGTTCATGCGATCGAGGTAGCGCTTCTCTTCGTCGGTGGTACGGTAGGCATTTTCGTTCAAGTATTCGACGATCTCGCCCTCGGGGTATTTGCCATTGGGGAAGAGATTGGCGACGGGAACGCGGGGAGGTTCACTTTGCACCTTAGCACTGGCCTTCTTCTTCTTCTTGGGCTTTCTCTTCTTCTTCTTTTTGTCGGCTATATTGGTTCGGCTTTCAGTTAGCGTCATCTACTTCTGCGGGGTGGCGAAAACTCGGAAGGCGAAGTAAAAGGAAAGGTATCAATTTCAGATTTCATACCTCCAGTAGCACCAGCCTCTGGGGTGCCTTCTTCTTGACCATCGTCTGAGTCTTCCTCCGCTTCGGCGGGGGCCTGGTTGGTTGTGGGGGCAGCTTGGACATTCACTGGTATCTTATCAGTCACACAGATACGGGTGAGATGAGGCCACGAATTGATGGGAATTCTCACGGTCCAGCTGGTCCAACTTCTCTGCTGCCTGTGCTGCCATATTGAAGTCGAGGGCGATTCAAGTGGTTTGTCGAAAGGCGAAAGAGGGGAATATTGTCGGGATGTCGGGGAAAAGAATTTTGCTGATAAGATAAGGATTGAAGATTCGTCTCCACAATTTAGACACCAACTGGCGAATATATATGTTGCAAACGTTGAATATCGAGGCATATCACTTGATACAGAGTGGCTTTGGGGCAGATTCGTGGGCATATCTGGTGAACACAAGGTAATGACACTCGCAATTTTCATTGGATATCCTATGCTCTAGTGCTGTTCGTATCATAGTACAATTTCCCCTGCCGAAAGGTTCTCCTCCCATCATAGAACGATAGTCGGAACGTATGGAGCGATCAATTCAACCACAGGCCGAATCTTTTTATTTATAGCGCTTTCCAAAGCCAAAGCACCATTCGCCCCGCTATCAAGAAGAATCTTTGCGGTCCCCAAACTCGGCCTTCTGTTTAAAGCCAATTCCAACGCCCGTTGGTTCCGTGATTCGCCGTTGGGACTGGCACCATGAGCGACTAATAGTTGAATAGTCTTTTCACGGCCATAACAAGCAGCCAGATTAATGGGACAGCATCCTATCGCTGCTCGTTCTGACCGGTAACGTTTATCGAGGAAATATTTCTCCTGTACCAATGTCTTCGTCAGTTCATCCAAGTCATGGAAAATCGCTCCTTTGAAAAGGTTCCACCGCTGGTGACTGCCCGATGCAATGACGGCGTCCACATCAAGCCAGCTGAGTAGCAGAGAAGCCATTTCTTGGTCCTTGCGTCTGGTGCGCGAGAACTCATTAAGGATATCGCCCGCACTTAGATTCTGTGGGCTGAACCCATTTTCCATCAAGAGCTGGAGTAGGGGTATATTCCTCGATTTTATAACTTCCAGCATGGAGTCACCATCGTTATCGACATTCGCGCCAGCGCGAACTAACAGTCGAACAATCTCGAAGACAGTCTTCGACTCTGATGGAGTTGTGGGTCTGATTGAGGCAGTATGGGCTAGTGGTGTCTTTTTTCCAACTGGGTGATCATTGGCGCCGCATTTAGATTTAATCAAGAGCTCCACAAGTGAGAGTCGATTATATCTGGCGGCTGCGCACAGAGGAAATGCGGCGAAGAAATTTCGCTTATAAAATGCGATGTGGGGTTTATACTTCAAAAGTAGCTTCACCACATTCTCATGACAGTACCGGACTGCTCCAATCACTGATTTTCTGAACGCAATTGCCTCGGCTTGATCTTCTTCTTTGGCAGTGTCATTCGGAAAGCTGTGACTGAGGAATAATTCAACCAGTTCCATGTGCCCATTCTCTGCGGCAATGATGATGGGTTGTCTGTCTTTAACTGCGCTTAAACAATTATTGCACTTTTCGATCAATTTATTTGCACTGGCTAAATTGCCTACCTTTGCTGCCCATTGGATCGCTCGTCCCGGATGGCGTTTTTCGGAGATGCGGTATAAATCGTCGGTTGTGAGGTTGTAGAAGTACCGGCTAGCTTGAGAGAAGGCATTCATATCACTCAACTCGTCGAGGTTAGAAAAGATCCATAGCAGCATTTCGTTTGGAAGGTCAGAGAGAAACATCTCGTTTGATTTGATTGTGGTTTATTGTTGGGGAAAGGGAGATATATATGTTGGTTTCTGGGGGCTCCAAGCGATAGACTTGAAAGCGATCCCTTTGTACGAAACTCTGGTACAAAGACCAGAAATAAAGGCTCTACATATAATTAGCCATTGTGATCTGGTACATTGTTCCTCGGTTGAAAGAAAATGCAATCTTGTATAGACTCTGGTTAAGAAACGCCTGCTTAGGGGTACCTTCATATGCAGCCACATGCAGCTAAATAACGAGTCATGCTTGAAACATCCGTCATGCAGGTCTGCTGGTGCTTTATTTTCTTGAGATCGAATTTCATTCGCAAGGTATTCTGGGTTTCAAGAGCAATTATGCAGAGTTAATTTCGAGATCAGAATATGAACGCCTATCAAATTGAATCGATGAACGTTTTCTTTGTTCGAGTAGCGTGAGCGCAAGCTACCGATGATCTCTCAAATATCCTACCAATTCACAACGAGAGACGCGCTCGATTCAGGTGTTTTCGTGTATCGTCTCTAACCTCCTGCATAATATTTGCCGCCGTCCCCTGCTTTGTAACCAAGCCCACGCCGGTCCCAGCCCAAACACTCCCCATATCCTTGACATGCAGAGCCGCAGCGGGGTCATTCATCCTTGTCGAAAGCCAAGACCTAATCTCCTTGATACTACCCCCCGCCTTATACTTTTCATATACTGTGTTTTTCAAACACCTTCCATCATAAGTTTCCGGCCAAAAGTTCGGGCCCCAGATCTCATCGAATACCCTCGATCTCGCGGTCACCTGTCCTCCATCAGACGCTTCAAGTATTGCGTTGAGATAGAAAGTAGGGATGGCAGTTTCTTCTGCAGCTAGGAACCGTGTTCCCATAATCGCCCCCGAAGCGCCGAGAGTCAACGCCGCAGCGCAACCCCTCCCATCGACAATCCCACCAGCGGCAATAAGAGGAATGGTGAAACCAAGCGCGGAAAGCTTGTCCGCTATCTCGGGAACTAGTGAAACAATACTAGCCCCGTCCTCGTGTCCATGGCCTCCAGCGTCAATCCCTTGCAAGACGAGCGCATCCGGCCGACACGCTCGCGCAACTTCTACAGCAGCTTGCACACTCCCCAGCTGGATCCAAACACGAGTCTGCGGCGAAGAGCGCCGGATCTCTTCTGTCCATATTTGAAGCTCGTCGGCACTAGCGAAGGATAGCCACGCGACTGCCGGTTTGTATTTTGCGAACAGAGTCATCCAGGCGTCTATGGGTGATCCGAAGACTATAACACCAAGACCAATTGGTAATGTTTGTGATTCAAGATCCGCTAGTGCTTCTTTTGCGGTCTCAAGCTCTTTGGAGAGGTCTTGGAGGCTATCCATGAAGCCAATTTGGCCGAGGCCGCCGGCGCGGGTCACAGCCGTGGCGAGGTTGCTTTTGGCGATACCACTCATAGGAGCGTTTGCTATTAGAGGCGATTGAATCCATGGAAGGTACTTTTTGAGGGTATCAAATGAAGACATTGTGGTAGTAACTAAGGTCGTGGAATGGCGAGTGTGAAGTTCGGGGATAGATGTACTTCTAGGACCGATCAAACACCGAATGCACCAAAGACCGAAGACCGAAGATTTCAACCACCTTGGATTTAAACAGATGTTGTCTCAAATATTAAAGTAAATAGAATGGCATTTAGGTACATATTGTACATATTGATGGGCGAAAATCGATGGAAATTCACCCAAATGTCCGCTAAAAAAAGAAGTTGTTCTACAATATTTCCGGAACTCGGTGTTACCGCCTATACTCTTTCATACTTTCTGTAACCCTAATGTCAGGATTAACTAGACTCGATAAGAAGAGGGGTGGAAAATAGGTAGTCCTGTATCATTATCTCTACCTTATTTCATTCCGCCTAGACGGTGATATCATGTCTTGTATCTGTATGGGTATGGTAGCTGGAAATATCCATTGAAGTGCAAGTAAATCAAACACAAAGAGCTAGAGCGCGTCTGGAGGATCTGGCAGGAAACTCTTTCTCCCTGTAACTCTTATACTGAACTAACGACCTACCTAGAGGTATACTGGCTCCTAGGGGTTTGTGCTCGATTTCCAAATATGGTTTGGAATTGGTGGCTAACTTTAATAGATTGATCTATATAACCTTGCTGACTTATAGCACCCAGACACTGATATCCCTTTGAACTCTAGTACAGTACTTCCAGAAATTGGTGTCACCATCTATACTTTTCGATTGTTCCACGAACCCTAATGCCAAGACAGGCTAGTCTATTCTGGAAGTGCTCTACTATATATCCCTGTCGTCATTTATTGTATTGAATCATACGAAACATAGCCATAACCATGCTTTGAGGCTCCGTCTGTTTGAAACGCCGACCAACGTCGGGCATCAATAATGCCCGCCCCGACCTCCATGAGGCTGATGCAGAAACCTCTCCCTTCTATACCTTTTTCTCTTTCCATCTCTCTAGAATGTCACTCTCTCATCCATCTTATTAACATCTCTCTGATCGTAAGTGAGAAGTCAACTTCACGATGGCTGAACCGCTTTCGATCGCATCGGGAATCGCGGGGTTACTCTCACTTGGGATTCAAGTCACTGAAACCTCAATCTCTAGGACAACTGTACCCAAATTGTCATCATCAATTAGCTTACCAACAGTATCGGTGGGATACCGGTGGGATACCGATGACAATAGTATTGTAGGGTGGGCATTCTTTGACATTCTTTGGACGATTAGTCACGATGGAATGAATCCAGATTATCAAAAGTTTCTATATAATTGAAGAGAGGGGATGCTGGGTTATTCAATTACTTAAAAATACTTGCTCGACCGATTTTTCTTTTATTATCGAACCATCACCATGGGCCTAATTCGCATTGGCATAATAGGTCTTTCACCTGGTTCATGGGCAGCTAATGCTCATCTACCATATCTGCAGAGCGCCGATTCAAAGTTCAGAATTGTGGCTGTTTGCAATTCATCTGTGGAAAGTGCTGCGAGGAGCGTCAAAGAACTTAAGCTTCCAGGTGACGTAAGGACGTATGGAAATGTGCAAGGTAAGTAACAAAATTATTCTCCCTATGTGCATTTCCCTAAGTAGAGTGAAATATCTGACTCCTATGACAAGGTATCGCCGACGATAAAAACATTGACCTTGTTGTTTGCGCTACGCGAGTAGATCGTCATTATAAGTCTATTCTTCCTTCTCTAAAGGCTGGCAAGGATGTCTTTGTCGAGTGGCCCCTTGGGGGGAGCCTAAAAGAAGCGAAGGAGCTCCTCGGTGTGGCAAAAGAAAATGGGGTGAAGCTCGCTGCGGTTGGCCTTCAAGGCCGGTTTGATGCCATTGTCGAAACCTTGAAAGGCGTCTTAGCAGAAGGAAGAATTGGCAAAGTTCTAAGCACTACAATCACTAGTCAAGGATTGATTGCAGGACAGACAGAGCTTGAAAGTCAAACTTACCTACTTGACCGTGAAAGTGGTGGCTCTTTACTCTCAATTCCAGCTTTACATTTGCTCGACACCGTTCAGGAAGGTTTGTCTTAGGTCCCAACACGTTAGGAAACTTGTCATCAGTCGCTAATCGATCGCAGTCCTTGGCGAATTCTCAAGCTTCCAATCTCTCCTTTCAAACCAACGACCAGTGGTCAGAATTATCAAAGTCGATGGCTCCGTGGCCAAAAAGAACGCCAAGAAGACAAATCCAGATCATATTATGATCCAGGGTTCGCTCAAGTCAGGTGCCGTACTTTCGGCTATGATTAGAGGCGGAGCACCATTCAAGGGATCCCCTGGACTTGAGTGGAGCATCTACGGCGAAAGAGGAGAGATCAGAATTACAGGTCCCAGTGCTTTCATCGAGATTGTCGGTACAAACAGCATTCAGCTTCACGACTTTGCCACCGACGAAATTGTGGAAATTGCGCTTAAGAACGGGGCTTTTACCGAAATGGGTCCGATAAACAGAAATTTGGCCCGCGTTTATGAGGCAATTGCAGCAGGTGACAAAACTATTCTTTGTGATTTTGAGGGGGCTGTGAAAAGACACCAGTTTATTGAGGAAGTTCACTGTCAAAACCTCGAGGTGTGATCCCCTAAGGTTTCCAGGTTCTGCTGTGTCAGCAGAACCTGAGAGCGGAAGTGGGCCTAAGGCATTCTGATGCCTTAGGCACTGCTTGCTACAAGTAAAACTGGGTTTCTCACTAAGCGATGCCTTGGCATTATTATGTAATTTACTATTATATACTCGGTGCCTCGGGCATCCAATGAAAACCATCTGATCCTTAAAGTATCACAGAGGTGTAATCTGTTTACCACGTGATCACGGTCTCTGGCCTTGACCCGGGCACGAAGTGACTATTCGAAACGCGGTTCACTACCACGTCCCCTAGTGAGATCCACCCAAGTTGAAGGTCTTTTCTACACCAGAGAAAACGAACTCGACAAATAGTACGGTGTAAGGGCCGATGTTCCTTCCTCTTACCTATCCTCATTTCAGTCCTCATCTCATAAAGCTACATTGAAATTAATTAGCCCAGAAGGGCGTGACAACTTGAGTGTTTTATTCGCACGCTACGGGTGCAAGTGCGAAGATGTACACATTTGGGCGATGAGCGGGGCCTTGGACTCAAGGCCTCATAAGCGCCTGCTTGTATTTGGAAGTTCCTCGGACTCTTCTTATATACATTTGATCTCTCTGGGTGTGATTTAATTGGTTTTCGCCTCTCCATGGTGCAATCGAAAGGGGGCGGAACAGGGATTCAACGAGCTAGATAACTAGATGTATTTAGCGCGATGCAAAGTGACTGCACCGCAAGAAACGGCCCCCAATATCACGGGCTTGTGACTCGAAAGAAAATTAATCCCTAGTAACTGATTTCTGCTTGTTCGCAAGTGCAAACTGTCTGATTATACTCTGAGTTGCCTGATAAAGATACTCTTATCACCATGGCTGGTTCGACCGAGGTAGAGGATATCGCCCTCCTTCAACTGCAGACAGAGCAAGGCCCTCTTCTTGACAAGATTGACGAACTTCGTACGATTGGAGTTGGTGGACTTGTCGAGTTGCCGCAGCTCATCGTCTGTGGAAACCAATCCAGCGGTAAAAGCTCTGTTCTTGAGGCTATTTCTCGAGTGCGTTTCCCAGTGAAGAGTAATGTTTGCACTCGATTCCCGACGGAGGTCATTCTCCGTCGTCATCCAGCGCCCCGGTTCAAAGTGTCTATCGAGCCTGGGTCATCTCGGACGACCAAAGAAAGTCGTCAGACGATCGAAGCATTCGCACCAGCCGAGGTCACCAACGGTAACCAGTTGGAGTCCCTGATTGAGAAAGCCAAGGAGTGTATGGGAATTACTGGCGAGGGATTTAGCGACGACGTTCTCAAAGTCGAGATATCGGGACCTGACAAACCAGAATTGACACTTGTCGATCTGCCTGGCCTCTATACATCCCACAGCACATCTCAGGATGAGCAGGGGATTAGGATTGTCCATGATATTACCAAACGCTACATGGCAAACAAGCGCAGCATCATTCTGGCTGTAGTTTCGGCAAAGAACGACTACCACAACCAAACAGTGTTGAATATGGCAGAGGAATTCGATCGATCGCGAGCGCGCACTATCGGAATAATCACGCAGCCTGACACGCTTGAAGCTCACTCAGATGAAGAAACGTCTTGGTTGCGGATTCTTAAGAATGAGAAAGTCCCTTTAAAGCTCGGGTGGCATGCATTGCGAAATAGATCCTTTGAAACTCGGAAAGTATCGGACGACGAAAGAGATAGCAAAGAGAAGGAATTCTTTGCCGCAGGAAATTGGGGCTTGAACGTGGCAGATTGTATGGGAATCGATAATTTGCGGCGTCGACTGAGCAATGTTTTGCTGAAGCACATTCAACGCAACCTCCCAGATCTCCTCGCTGATATCAATGAGAAAGTGCTGGATCGACAATCGAGGCTGGCCAAATTGGGTCCGCCTCGAGGCACTCTCCAGCAACAGAAGGGATTCCTGCTCGATATCAGCAGTAAATTCGAGCGCATCACCGCTCAAGCATTGAATGGCATGTACACAGATGAGTTCTTTGGCGATTTAGATAATGGAACAAAGCCGCCTCTCTATCAAGATCTTCGGCGTCTTCGTGCCACTATCCGTGCACTGAACGAATACTTTGCCGATGCCATGGATAATGTCGGGTGCCATCAATACATCCGCGAGCTCAATGGTGAAAGATATCCGCTGTCCATGTTTGGAAACCCCTACACAAATATCAAATCACCGAAATACATAACCAGGTCCGAAATCGAAAGTGACGTCAGCGTACAAGCACGTCAAAATCGAGGAATTGAGCTTCCAGGAAGCGCCAATCAACTTTTGGTGGGAAAGCTGTTTCGAGAACAATCCAAGCCATGGGAAGAACTTGCTCGAGAGCACTTGATAAAGTCTTGGGATTCTGCCAGAGATTTCATCAGCCTCCTCTTGCAATATCTCGCCAATGACCACACCTACTCCCTCTTGCTGGGTAATGTTCTTGATCCAGAGCTGGAGAAAATGAAGGATCGTCTACTGGCAAAGCTAGATGAGTTGACCGCATATAATAAGCGAGGCCATCCATTGCCTTTAGGCAAAGGCTTTCTTGCGAAAATCCAGAAAGCCAGGAGTGATCGCCAAATCGACAGACTGCAACAGACTTTGCAATCAGGATCTCGTTCCGGAGATGATTCTATTACTATTGAGCGGCTTCGGCAAGCCAGTCATGAGCTGGAATCGACAAGCAATCAGTTCGCAGCAGCAGATATTGTCGATCAGATGCAAGCATATTATGATGTGAGTTCGCGTCTCAACTAATCGGTCAATCATACGCCGGCTTGAGTGCTAATAACAATAGACTGCTATTATCACTTTCATTGATAATGTTGCCACGCTTGGAATTGAAAATTGTCTACTTGATCCTCTCAGCAGCATTCTTACAAGCCAGACAATCAACAATTTGGAGGATAAACAGGTTCAGGACCTTGCAGCCGAGCCATCCTCTATCTTGGATGAGCGAGAACGCCTGATTCGAGAGTTGGAGAAGCTGCAAGCCGGCTCGCGGACATTGAGCAAATTTAATATCCGGAAGGTCGTCGCGCAACCCGCTCTTGTCAACTCGATCACTCAGACCAAGTCGAGTAAGTCACTATTTTCACCGAAGTGGACATGATCTGATATGAATAGCCCGCGAAGCCACCAGTGCGAGTGCACCAAGCTCAGCGCTTGCTTCTCAAGCTGCCCTTCCTGGGTCGCACCTCAATTTGTTTGGACAAGGGGCGCCGTTAACTCCATCCCCCGTGGTGGGATTCACCGCGAACACAAGTACTGGCAACATGGGCCTCTTTGGTACTCCAAAGAGCTTGCAACCCGTGAATGGTAGGGCTCATAACCTGGATGCCAAGCGTCGTAGCCCATTTGGCTCCAGCGGGTCCGGGGTTAAAGGCGAAGCTTCTTCTAATACATCATCACTATTTGGTCCGGCCAGAACTCCCAACTTGAGTACTGCCACAAATGGGTCTTCAATTGGTGATTCAGGCAAGCCGTCTTCAAATCAGCCAAACCCTTTCTCGTTTCTGACTTCTGGGAACCCTCAACGCAAAGGTGAGAATACGGTGCCGGTCACTCAACCGAGCAACAGTTCTCAACGGTAGGTCCGAACAATTCTCTCATTGTCTTAAACATCAGGGAATTATTTTTGTCCTCTTTTGAATTTGTGATTCTTTTCATTATTATTCTTTGCTATTCCTTTAGTTCTGTTTTCTTTTTGGTCTACGTTTCCAAATCTTTAGTATTACAAGAGCTCGATTTAAATCGACATACTCGAACTGCAATATATGTGCTTGGAACCAGCTCGCTGATACGAACTGTGTACTTGACAGGGATTTTTTCATGGAAGAGAAAGACAGGACGAGCGCGAGTGGTACGATCAATCGATACTTTAGTATAGTACTTTCCCCAAAATACTCAAATGAGTCTCATGAAGTGGGAATATGTCGAACCCCTCAAAGAGTTCAATTTTACCTAATATGACATAGGAACTACGGTTGAAAGATTATGAGTCTCTTAAAAAGCTCCGTCTGCAAGGTGGTCTTTAGGGGCGAAAAGAATGGAGCGAGTGAGAAAGAATCTCCAGGCTCAGACCCCATGCGTAAGGGTTTGAAGCAGGGCCCCTGGACAGAGAAACTTGGCGATGGGTGATACAATTACTTGGGTCTTTTGTATGTATAAAAAAGGATGGGAGGGCTTCATGCGAGCAAATAAAAAAGATATTTGCCGCAAGATTTCCATTCCGGCATTTGTTTGTTCGCGGGGCGAGATACCCTTCAGCAACACCAATAACCCTTCGTACCGAGGGCTGCAGTGCCAAACGGATATCTATCAATGCCACACGCAATAAATTAGACCAATCCGAGCAAGACTGAAGAGGAAGCGGAAATGATATCGGATGCTAACCTTTGTCCTCTAGTGAAGTACTTTACGTCAACAAAGGAATGTTGCGATGACTCTTAATCAGGATCGTCAAATGTTCACTTTAGATTGATGTTTCTCTATTCATGTGCCGTTTGCTAATTGTGATGCATTATGCACCTACGTTAAGTCATGCTAGCATGTTGATGTTTGCCATGTCGGCCATGCTCATATAAAATGTGCATCCAGGCCACCATCTTAGATAGTTTTTTCATCCCCATTGTTCTTCCATTTCCATGAGCTATCGTAGTATCCACTATTCATTAGGTTATGAGGCCCCGTCTCAAAGAGTTTTGATCATTTTTAATCACAGTAATATCTCTGCCACGAGATAGTGATCGTCTTTATCAGATCTTCGCCTAAGATCTTGTGGTTTATCAACCTTTATCACCTTGTCCCAAGGTCAATATCTCTACTCACGCCGAGCATCATTTCCATATATCACCATAGCCCCTAAGCTTAGGGGTGTGAAGATAGAGATGACCTAAGAAGGGCAAGCCTAAGATCGATGGTTTCTGAATAGAAACAGAGGCTGTTTCATGAAAAGTGCAGAAAATTGCAGATATGGAGCTTTGGGGGAGTGATGGATTCACCAGGTTGTCATCGAGGTCAGAAATCCAGAAAAGTCTGGCCCCGATGAGGGGGTTAGTCGGGTGTCACGGAGATCTCAACAGTACATGAGTGACCTGGCTCCAACAATGGAGACTGAGCAAACCCGCAAATTTGCTTGACGGGGCGTCTCAGCTTTTCTTTCCCGGTTCGTACGGGCTGGCACCACAGAATCACGGGCTGCCGACCAGGGTGAGCAGTAGATGCGCCAAGAGATTTCCCTCGGGGAGCTCAGAGGGAAATTCTTTTTGACTCCTGTATTCTGAAGCTCAAAAGCTGAAAATACCATTTGCCAATTGAGATGCAGAACAAGTAGAAGAAACAGGACAAGCAGAGAAAACAAAAACAAGGAGGTCATAACACGAGAGCAGGCCAAAACAGGAGACAACCCAAAAGCACTAAACCCGAGCAGGTATCATAATGGTGCACCGATCACGGCGAGAGTACCACCACAGCCCTCTAGTTTTTGGCCGCCCTGCTGTGATTTTCGCAAGCCGACGGCAGGAGTCCTGGAAGGCCCACGACTCCACCTGCTATTTCCTTGCAGACCTCTCTTCTGTGATCAATGCATAAACAGAGTTAAGATAGAAACAAAGACAGTATATCGAAAGAAGCAAAAGAAAGCTGAGAGCAGGACAAGATATAAGAGAAGAATAACACATGAGAGAAGATCAAAAAAGAGTGAAGAGATGTAGAGAGGAAGAGAAGGGAAAGCACTGACATCTCCCTATTGAACTTGCGAGAAGGTTTTACTGAATTTTAGATTGTATATTGGTATATTCGTTGTTCTACTGAATCAACCTATACATAAAAATTCTATTGATACGATCAAAGTTAACCATGCTAGTCAAGCATGTTAGCCAATTATGCCAGCCAATCATATACACAAATAGAAATCTAAATGATCCACACCTATGGATCTACCAATCTATCAGCTTAAGCATATCAAGGAGCGTCCATAGATTCGATGAACCAGGCTAGTCAATGTCGACATCAAAATTTGGGATTCTCCCAAATCTGCACATCTTTCAGTGAAAACCAGATGAGTTATAACCTTGTAATATATACATATAGCCCATCAATTTGGAGCTATGAAGATCTGCTATAACGTGATAGATTACTCCGTACTATAAGTTGTTAGCGGTGTGGATTCGGGAGTTGATGCCCGACATGGCGCAGGATCGCTTTATCTTATCTGATCATCAGCTCCCAAATCGACTTGCAACAATGAACAGATCAAATCAAGACATGAAAAAAAGGTATATAAGAAAAGGGGGATATTCAAATATTCATGTATGATATCTAACTATTTTCATAAACATCCAGCTTAAAACACCGTATGTAGAGTGCACATAAATAATGTTGGCCTCGAAACCGGTGACGCCACCCGTCTGATCATCTCTCACGCACATCTCCGGGACCGCATTCCACTCCTTTCCTCATTCACTCACCCTCAATCCACATCTACCAAGACTTTCAGCTCCTGTACACTTATAAACTCCTTCATCTCCTCTTTTCATGTAACAAACACCATCATGCCTCCCCGAGTAACAGTCATTCGCCTCGCTCCGCACGCGACCCCCTCAACCCACCACATCATATCCCAACCCATCCGTCCGAGGCCACGCCAAAAACCCTACTACTCCAAGTCCACGATCCCTAAGCGCCCATTCACAAGCACCAGCCACGTCCGAGCCCGCGAGCAAAACTTCTACGAAATCCTTGATCTCCCCACCACCGCTTCGGCAGCAGAAATCAAAAAGTACTCCGCAACCCACCACAGCCCCCACAACAAGCCATATCTGACCTAAACCAGACAATTCTACGCCCTCTCCATGCGCCACCATCCCGATCGCAACCGCGAAGACCCAAATGCTAGCCAACGCTTCGCCCGCATCTCAGCAGCCTACAACGTACTAGGCAACGCCTCCAAGCGCGCCGTCTACGACCGCGACAACGGCTTCCACCAAGTCCACGCCTCCTCCAGCCCCGGCCATACCCACGCCCACCCAATGGGCAGCCACAGCAGCTACGCAGGGTCGCGCCCAGCAAGCGGGCTCAGCAAGCGGCGCTCCGCGTTCCACGGTCCGCCGCCTAGTTTCTACGATCAGGGCGGGTATGGTGCGACCGGTCGACAGGGCGATGGGTTTGCAGCTGGGAAAACCGGTCCTTCTGCGTCTGGTACGGGCTCGGCGGCTGGCGCTGCTGCTAATGGGCGGTATGCGGATCCGGAGGACTGGGAGGGATTTATTCGGCGGAATCCGTTGCATCATTTCAATGCGCGGGGACATTTCCGGACGCAGGCGGCGGAGGATAAGAGGAGGAGGGAGAGGGCTAGCACGGCTTGGAGGGGGAGTGTTTCTGATGCTGAGTGGCCGGGACCGGAGCCTGGGGCTGGGAGTGGGGTGTCGTTTACGCGGTTTTTGGTTTCTGCCGGTTGTTTGGTTCTTGCGGGTGCTTCGGCGGGTCTGTGGCCTTCGACGACACCTCGTGATGAGGTGAAGATGGCGAGGCAGCGGAGGGAGAGTATATCTTGATTGGTTTGGAGGCTTGTATGTAGCTTCTCAAATACGTTTTGTAGAGTAAAATACTTAGAGTACATTGCCGGTTGATGTACTTAGCTTTTTGAACATTATAACTATCACTTTACTTTATGGTTATGCGCACCGAGTACAACATAGATCTATAGTAACGATTCGCAATGATCAACAAAGGAAAAATTTGGATTTGATATACAAAGGGTGATCGAGCAGGAAACTCTACGACACACACATGGTTATTATCTTGGACGAAATCCCCGCCACCATAATCATCGTTCTGACACATCAGCAAGACAATTGAGCTAGCAACAGAAAATTACAAAATCTCCCCAAGAGGCAGTATGTCATCTCTCAGAATCCCTAGAGGAAGATAGAGATTCAGACGCTTAAGCCTCGAAGGTGAAGCTGGCGCCAACCTTGTGGGCAGCCTGGTTGAGGTTCTGGGTATCGAAAGAGGCACCGAGGCCAAGGGTGACACCGGGGCGGAGGAGGACGTTGTAAGCGAGAGCGGCAATACCACGGTCGTTGATCTTGGCCTAAATTGCGAGAAAATTGCGCGATTAGTCGTGATTTCCCACCCAGTTTTCGAAAAGCTTCAACTTGAAACATACCTTGGCGAAGGAAGAGGGGTCGAGGCGGTACTTGCTGGCGACCTCGAGGCCGACGGCGTTGCCGGAGGTGGAGTCCCAAGAAGCCTTAGCACCGGCCTCAACCTGAGCGTTGACGCGGTGGTAGTAGCTGGCGGAGAAGAGAGACAGGTTGTTGCTGGCAGTGATGGCAGCGGAGTACTGGGCAACGCTGTAGCCAACGGCAGCGGAGTACTTGGTAATAGCGGCCTTGTTGACGTCGTAGCCACCCTCGGCGCCGACGAGGAATCCCTCGTGGCCGAGAACAGCGTCGAAGTTGGCGGTAGGGCCGTTCAGGAGGTCGAAGAAGGCACGAGCGTTCAGGTTGGGCTGCTTGAAGTAGAGGTTGAGCTTGGCGCCCTTGGACTGCTTAGCGGGCTGGTACTGAGTGAGAATCTCAGCCTTGAGGCCCTTGGCAATGTTGTTGTCAAGCTCGAGCTTGGTGTCGAGAGCGTTGGCAGTGGTCCACGCCTGGGTGAGGGTGAGGCCTGGTCGGGGGAAATATATTAGCCTGGTTCTGAGAACAGCGGCATCCGAAAAAATAAACATGTTCAACCGGCGCGCTATTGGAAGGCCACATCCAAACATCAAAGACATTGGACTGGCCTTGCGCGCGCCGGGATCGGGGGGTTTTTTGTATGAGGGGCCTTTACCAGTGGGCGCATCAACGTATTTGGCCTCGAGCTGTGGGCGGATCAATTAACAATCTGCATGTTTGGATGAAATGAGAGCTAACTAACCTGGCCAGCAATGGGACCCTCGTGGGCAGACTTTCCCTTGACGGTGAAGGTGACACCGTTGGGGGCCTTGGACTTAACCTCAAGGTTGGCTAGAGAGCTTCAGTTAGCTATCAAAGCTTGTAAATTGGCACAATGCCATCTGTGGATAAACGAACCGGCAGCGGCGTGGTAGAAATCCTTGTTCAGGAGCTATTGGAATAAGGTATTAGCCAAATTTCGGGAGCACCGAGTTTTGTTCCTGAATGTGCGTACATCGTTGGCCGCCTTGGCGATATCGGAGAAAGCAGCGGGGGCAGACATATTGAGGAGAGAAAATTCTAAACGTTGGGAGATGGAGGAGGAAAGAGTGGTTCTATGGAGAGATGAAGCAAAGGAAAGGGAAGAAGACTTGCGATGATGTTGGGGGGGGAACTAGGGGCTTAGCACGGGTTGGTGGGAGCCCGGTGATTGGCGGTTGCTCGGCTGCCGGGAAAACCCGCCGGTGCATCACGTAAGCATTGAGGCCTGAGGCGGACACGGTATATCAAACTAGTGCTTCTATTGCTTCTATTGCTTCAATGAAATACAGAGATCATAACATTATACCGACAGATACCGCCATCGGGGTATATACAATCTATCCAGTGTTATATCCCCAAAACAAAATGCTAAATCAGAGAATAAAGTTCAGATCCTTTTGTGCTGCTCCGGTGCAACGTTTTACTCAGCCTGATCGTACTTCTTGTTGTGGTAGGAGATGGCTCTGTCAAGTATGTTAGAAACAAGTCAGCAGATGGGATGGAATATTTTTATCGCTCACCTTCCACTGGGGTCGGTCTGCTTGGACCAGGTAGGGGTCCAGCGCTCGACAGTGCCGGCACAGTAAGGAGGGAAGTGCTCGTCGAACATGGTACGGTACCAGTATCTATATTCAAGTTAGCCTTCAATTGTCTTTTGAGTGTGGAAAATTTGAGAACATACGCCTCCTTGGTGTCGGGGACATCAGTGCCCCATTCGGGCTTGGGGTTCTTCAGCATCTCATCGGTGACCTGGCGCTCAGCCTCATCCTTCAGGCCGTCGATCCAGCTGTAGCCAACACCGTCACTGAACTGTTCCTTCTGGCGCCAGAGGATCTTGTCGGGCAGGTAGGCAGCGGTCTCGGGCTCATCAGTGGTATCGAAAGCCTTGCGCAGCATGTGTTTCTCGATGCGCTCGGGTGTGATAATCTTGTCCTTAGGGTCAACACCCATGCAGGTCTCGAGGAACTCCTTGTCGAGGAAGGGCACACGGGCCTCAAGACCCCAAGCGGATGTGGACTTGTTGGCACGGAGGCAATCAGCCAAGTGCAGGTTCTTGACACGCCGGACGGTCTCCTTGTGGAGCTCCTCCTTGTTGGGGGCTGCGTGGAAGTAGAGGTAACCGCCGAAGATCTCGTCGGAACCCTCACCACTCAGAACCATCTTGACACCCATGGCCTTGATCTTGCGGGAAAGAAGGTACATGGGGGTAGAAGCACGAATGGTGGTCACATCGTAGGTCTCGAGGTGGTAAATCACGTCGGAGAGGGCATCGATACCGTCCTTGACGGTGAAAGTGAAGGGGTGGTGCTTAGTTCCCAGGAAGCGGGCAACCTCGATGGCGGCCTCAGTATCGGGGGCACCGGGGAGACCGATGGAGAATGAGTGCAGTTGGCTGTTGAAACCGCTGCCGTTCGACAGTTCGTTATCATCGTCAACACCGACAAGCTCTCCATCCTCGTTGGTCTGGGGCGCCTTGCGGGCAGCCTCGGCCATGCGGAGAGTCTCACGCTGGGCAATGGAAGCCACCAGAGATGAGTCCAGACCACCGGACAGCAGAACACCGTAAGGAACCTCAGCCATCAAACGCTTGCGGACAGCCTTTTCCAGGCTGTGGCGGATAACCTTGTAGTCAACGGGGGTAGAGGGGACGTTGGCAGGATCCCACCACTTGGGCTCGAAGTAGCGGGTCAAGGTATCGGTCTTGGAGTCGTAGACATGGCCGGGGGGAAGGCAATGATGTTGTCACAGACGGGGTGCAGAGACTTGAGCTCAGAGGCGAAGAAGACAGCACCGGGGGCAGTGGAGGAACGACCAAGGTAAAAGCTGGTGATACCAATGGGGTCACGGGCAGCAATAACACGGTCCTGCTTCTTGTCCCAGAGAACCCAAGAGAACATGCCATCGAGGTGCTTGGGGGCATCAAGACCGTACTCCTCGTACTAGTCGATATCAGCACTTACGTTCTAACGGTGTGGATCATCGAAGACGTACCAGGGGAATGATGACTTCACAGTCAGAGTGGGTCTTGAAGTTGTACTTGTGGTGAAGGTTCTTGCGGATGATGCGGTGGTTGTAGATCTCGCCGTTGACGGCGAGGGCGAGGGTGCTATCATCGTTGACAAGGGGCTGAGCACCAGAGTCTATAGTAAGTCATATCAGCGCATGGATCTTCCAATGTGACTTTTCTACAGGGACCACCTACCGACACCGACAATGCTCAGACGCTCGTGAGCCAGAACTATGATTTATGTGTTAGATTGCGAGGCCGACATTATATTTCAATGCGTGATTAACTCACTGGTTTTCTCGGCACAGAAGTTTCCACCTATCAAAGACCCTTTGTTAACTCTGTGTCTCCCAAGTATAACGCGCAAGTTTGCGCCTCGAAGTGTGACTCACTCCAGTCGGGGCCGCGGTGACGCACACTATTATCAGGTCAGCGACAATTGTATAAATTGCGTTTTTGTAGCAATCAAACATGAGGCAATTGGGATACTCACGCCTTGGCCATGCGCAGAGCGGTGGGCTTGAACTTCTGCACATCGGGGTGGCTGTATGACACTTAGCATGCATTCAATGAGCCCCGCCATAGTTATATCGCACTATGGAGGCGGGGCAGAGAAGAGCAAAACGCACTTGTAACACGCGAAAATTCCACACATGTTGGGCAATTGATAATTCTGTGAAGGATGAAGATCAATTGAATCGGAAGGAAAGGAAGAAGGAGAGCAATTGACTAATCGTAATTATATGGGGAAAGACCCGGCGATTTTTTTCAAATTTGCCCGCACTTGGCGGGGCGATGTCGGCAGTCACTGACTCACCGATAAGATAACCTCTATTAGCAACATTCGCCAACATTCAAAGGTTTTCTACTTACAAACATTGTAGAATAATATCGAGTTATAACTATTCTCTATATCTGTAGGCTTTAATTCTTCTTCTTCTTCTTCTTCTTCTTTCGGTCTTTTAGCTGTTTAAATTGCTGAGAATAGGGCTTCTGCAGAACTCTGTCGGTCTCGTCACGTGATCGCGTCAGTAATCGGCCTCAATATACTTTTCCGTAGCCCTAGTGGCCAAGCCCGTAGCCCGTATGTCGGGTATGCTTTAAATAAATGACTTTGTAAATATCATACGTACCTAGGTGTGAATGTGAGTTGGAAATATTATACAGATACTCAGATTTGTATCTAAAGGGATCATTCCATTTCTAGCAGTTGTAAAAGATGATACAGCCACGGCCATTGAAGCATTCCAAGGTTGCGCTTGCGATATATTCATTCAACATGGTACACGGTTGATATAGGGATATAAACAAGTTTTATTGATGGTGGATTTGAGACTATGATTAGTATTCGATTAACCTTCCTCAATATACTTGTAAATATGATCGTTCAGTACTTTTTTCTAAATTGACATACAAGGCAAAGATATATCTCCTCGCCATGTCTCATTGAATACCTCCTCCACAATATTTTTGCCACCGTACCCAAAACAGCAGAAGTCTCAAATAAACCCGACCAATATATACAACAAGACAGCAATCAGACAGAGCCCTTACCCAATGCAAACTTATCATATCAGTACCTAGGTAAGTGAGCGCACCGAGCAAAGGCCGAATTTGACCCGCACCCCATACAAAGACCAATACATACAAACTTAAAAAGCACCACTTAAGTTGGAAGCCTAACAGGAAAATGAAAGTCTTTTAAGTCAAAGTAAAAATCAAACAATGTGACTGAGGGACGCATTTGGAATGCATAAAAAAATAAAAAATAAACTCCCATGCGGGGATTCGAACCCCGGTCTGCACGGTACAATATAGGACAATTCCCATTTGAAAACGAGCGATGATAACCCCTACACCACATGGGATGTGATTATAGAAATTCGCACTTGTTCAACATTATCAGCAAAACCTTTACATCACAGCTAAACATCCAGAAGACATCAGAAAACAGACCATACTTAAATGCTAATCAATAACAATGATAACAATAACAATGATAATAATAACTACCTACTCCATATTCTATAGTTAAATATAAAAGAAAAAAACGAGAGCAAGTATATGGAAAAGAGAAAGGGTTATTAATATTATTATTGATTAACAAAAATCAATAATCAAAAAGAAAACTCCCATGCGGGGATTCGAACCCCGGTCTGCACGGATCAATTATGGAAAGAACCAATATGAAAACGAGCGATGATAACCCCTACACCACATGGGATTGCTTATCAAAGTCCAACATTTTTGTATACATAATCCTAAAGCTAATTTATGCCACAGTCAATCAGTCAGTTTAGTCAACTACTCAAAGGCACTTGCATCATGCTGTAGGAGCCCAAAGTTAAAGTCGGTCGAAATCGATAGTTTGCAGGAAGCGAAATGCCAGTGAGAGATATTTGAAGCTGCATCTTCTCTCAGCACAAAAGCCGCGGGTTTCCAAAGATTGGGATCCCGCGCCAGGAAATGATTCCCAAGCTCCAGTATCTAGGAGACTTGGCATGAAAGCGAAAAGGCTTGCATAGCTCAAAGATTCATGTATGAAGTTACTACAACGAAAAGTATCGAGCAACACTATTGCCATGGCTGTAGTATGGCTTTGCTTCATTCGTGCGTGGTTTGGTGTCATTCTTAGTGCTGCGGCCATATTAGGTATACGAGCTTAATTTTGGGCCCAATCTTGGACCAAATCCTGGACCAAAAAAGAATTTGATCTACTAGAAGATCGATCCGATGCAGTAAACTGGATACTTCCAGCCACTGGGAAAGACGGTTCGGGGATTTGGGAAGTAAGGCTCACTTTGGAGCCAATACTTATGGAAAGGCTTGAGAATGATGGCCTGATGAGGTGGCTCAAGCCGAATTATGTGTCAAAACTTTGACTGTGAATGATTTTATCGAATAATAGCATAGAATTTAATATGTTTCAATCTTTTCTCTGTCCTTCTTACATATAATCAATCGGGTTGGTTGCTCGCAGTTAATCTCAACAATATGATAGCCTTGATTTATGTCACATAGTTTGATATCCGCTATGATGGATCTTCCTTTTTTCTTCACAATCTTTTCTTATTAACACAATCAGCTGAAGATTGTCGAAAAGCCCTAACGGTTGCTGAGTAGCTTTGATAGATGCATACTATGACAAAGGTTAGCATGGAAGAGCCAAGAAGAAGCATCTCACTGGAATGTGATTTCTTACAGGCTGGAATAAATATCCAGAATGCATTCAAGAAGATAAAGTATCCCCAATAGTAATAGGTTTCAGGGCGAGAATAAGATACCTCGTGGTAATATTCCTCCATCATACTCGTCCCATAATACAGAACATCTCCATAGATCTGACCCATGGAGACAATCATCTGTGTTGGATGGCGGTATGGAGACTTGACGACGATCATCCAAGCTGTCAAATAGCAAAGTGGCCCCCATCCAAACTGCAAAACATGTCAGACTCGAAATATTTTTCACAAGATAACAAGAGTGTACACATACTGCTGTGATTGATTCCATGCAAAGCACAAATGGCTCTATGGTCAAATATCGAGAATCTGCCTGAGCATATTCCTTCCAGAGCTGGCCAAGCAGATCTTGCATACGGGGCATTGTTTTGTGGTTGTATACAAAGTAGCCTTCCAAAATCAGATGTATACACCCGGCTGCCAAGATTAGGGTATTTTATTAGCAGCGCTCATCCAAGACCGACATATATAACCAAAATAATGGGAAGGCTCACAGAAGACAAACCACCCGAACAAGACCTTATCTCCACGAGATAATATCGGACTTAGCCTCTTCATGGCAATTGTGGAGACTCCTATTATAATGAAGGTTGCCAGAGCAAAGCTGCCGAGGAGTGCTGGAACACTCATTGTATTGGGGACATAATCGATAATATTGGTATTGAGGGGCCAATAAGGATGGGCTAAATTATGCACCATGTTTGTTGTAAAATATTTGGAGAACAAATATTGTTTTTGGGCATGAACGAATGAGCAAGGAGGCAGATGGGCTGACGGCAGTTTTTAAGGTGAGTTGGGGAAATGAGCTTTTCGCCCGATAGACAAGGCACGACTCGGATACTTACATTCCGGTGCAGGGGTGTGACCTTGTCTTGTTTCGGAAGGCTTGCACTACGATTAAAGCTGGTGCCTGCAAGTCTACATATGAGCCGGTAAAAACAATGGCGTTTAAGGAGCTTGTCGCTTGATTCAGGAGAATTTTTGGAGATGTCCCCCACTAGATGCCCTGCTTTGTTTTCTATTGTGTTGAAAACCTTACTCCTTTAGCTGAAGGATGCTTGGATAGTAGGAATAAATCAGTTGACAGATACTGCCCAATGGGAAAGAGAGGCGGAGCTTAGATTGCAGAACGGAAGTCTCATAATGGCCAGTATCTGGGTGTTCTTGAGCATGGCAATTGTTAATTGGCTTTGCAAGGTCATTGTCAATGTGATAACTATATGCTGTAGGGACTGTTGTATGGAAGGTTCCCGAAGAAAAAACGCCTTGTCGAACTGACGACCAATATGGAGTAGAACAACATAATTACAGACCCAAGAAGTTTCTCAACAATGAAAGTCCTCCGCAATGGTATGCTTTTACAATAATTATCGGGATAGGGAGCTTGGGGTGTGATATCATTGATCCTGATTGACCCTAATTCAGAAAACGCCATCCATTGGGTTATGTAGAAACGCCATGCTTGCGATAGAAAAAGCGTAAGATGCTCCCCTCGCCAAAAGTAAATGCATGATCTCCTCACAATATCTCTGGTATCCATGCTGCAAAATAAATAAGAAAGTGATCACCAATATAGCATCATTGATGCTGCTTGGCACACCCGCATTTAGTTGTTCGGATTGTCTCGAACGACCTGGCGGACTTTGCGCTCATACGCAGGGCGGTCCTTCTTAAAGAGGTTATAGGCGTCAGCCTGAGCAGGAGACTCGGGGTTCGGATCGTCAAGCAGAGCCTGAATACCGAGCAGGATCTGCTTGATGGTGATTGCGGGACGCCAATCCTCCTCCTCATTAAGAATCGACAAGCAAACTGTTCCAGAGGGGTAGACGTTGGGGTGGAACAAGGGAGGTGTGAATTTGCCTGGATAGTTTGGAGTTAGCGCAAGACTCTACTGAAGCCATGCACAATATTTTGGGGCTGGAGTTGGATCATGGGAGGGAAGTACATACACTTGGGCGGCTTGGTAGGGTATTCTAGAAGAGCGGTAAACCTTGATTAGTACAAGGATCGTCGACTGAATGGAATGTATTGCGCCGCTCACCATCAGGGAAAATCACGCTCATTTTAAAAAGACCACCTTCCCAGAGGGTGCTAGGCTTGCCAGGAATCGCACATTCCCAATTCTTCAGGTCAAGACCACCTTGGCTAGTGCGTGCGGGCTTTGCGACAAACCCGAATGGGTGATCGCGACGCCACTGCTTTCTTGAATCCGTAAGGGTTAGCGCAAGGTAAGAGCGTGGCGCAAATGATGCGCATAATCTCAGACTCTGCGGGAAGCAAAAGGCACTTACCGCTCTTCTTGAAGACGGTTCTGGCATAGAGACATCTCGGGTGATTTGGGCGGGGTGTAGCTGATAGAAAGAAGTGGGCTTGCGGGAAGGTGTACGGATTATGAAGCTAGAAAAAACTCCTACGACTTAAAGCTGAGTCCCAGAGCAAGCAAAGTGGCCGCCGTGTAATGTGGAAGAGGAAGCCGTGACACGATGTGTGAAAGGAAGAAATTAAAGGTGGCAATCGTCAAAGCCGGAGGTGATCTGGAGCAATGGATTCACCTACAAACTTGCTTACGTAATACATATACGGCCTTCTGCGATGAGCCTCACATTTGTAGGAATAGCAACCACAACTACTTGAAAATGATTTTTCCTTCTTTGTTTTCTGTTTGCCTACATAATTTTCAGATTTTTAACACCTCTTCTAGTACTGCTCTACATAATTAGTCATTATACTTCTAGTCACTATGTTTTTACACGAATCTCTCTTCGAGATTATCGAACACATTGAGCAAGCAACTCAAAAATACAATTTGGGAAACTTCAGGTCAGACATATTGTCTTTGATTATGTTTATTGCTTCAACCTGTTAAGCGTTAAGGTACCTCACCATGTCCAAGCACCGCGTCGTCCAAATTTTGTCTGTCACTCAATTAGACCGGCATAATTCTAGAGATTTCTGAATGAATCCAGATAATTTGCAGATTGCAACCAGCATGCTGATGCGGCATTATAGATGTGGTGGAAGAGTTTCATGTTCCAAAGCCCACGATGTCGTCAACAATTCTCGATCTATGATGGTGGATCAGCCTCAATTTTGTGTATTCCAAGGCTTTACCCACTGGCTTTAGTTCCTATCTGTTAAACCCCCACAATGTCAGCTACAGGAGTGGCTGCATGGCGGGGCTTTTGTGGAATCAAGATAATGAAAGAGATGCCCAGGTGCCGGAGACAAGAACTGGCAGTTAATGATCCTTTGCCGCCCTACTCATAGTCTGGCGTACCGTAGCTGGTGGTTCGATAGTGGAAAGAGAAACATAACTATAGCGGCGGAGGATTCTATTCCCAACAAATTGACTCCGTTACCGAGCCTTAAATCGGCAAGAGACCTTGTACTGAGCAAAAAGTCTAGATGAAGATAAATATCATAACTGCATGCACCAAGTCTGCCACTGGAAGCGATGAACAGATGTCTTGCAAAAGTCTCGACTCAGTATCCCCCACCTGCGGTGTCACCGGCAGTCTGTCACGTCCAAATCGGCTGCCAGGCCCCGGAGTGGCCCATCACCCATTTTCAAACTGCCATGAAGGTATCAAACTTATGTTTAGATGTGCCTCAACAACGATGTACACCAAGGAGGTAAAGAAGCTTGGGTAATGTCCATCTACCCCTTGTAAACAATGTCATTAATTGGACAATAAAACAAAGAGCTCAAAGAGAACTGTTTATTCAGCGCTACAACTACTTTGACCGTGACTTTGTGAAACAGCGAGTGAGATCCCAAGGAAGTTTGTCGGCATAAAGCGTCCTTTTTCTCGAGGCTAAATCTGACAAAATTATAAAAGACTAGTGCCCACCTGAGAAATGAAATTCACCACTCATCTCATTCAAGTATCTCAATCAGCAGGCTGAATATTTTAAACATACTCCACATCCACAACCATCGATAAGAACCATGTGTCATTCAATAACCTGGTACTATAGCAAATGTCTTCACGAAGAACCAGATTCAAGCTCAGAAAACCCATGTGACAAAGCCCTTCGAAGAGGTTACGAATGTATGGACGGTTATGCTACCGAGTTTAACCTCCCATTGTTCGGGCAATGTCTAGAATGCAAAATTAAGAAACTCTTGAGTCGACAGAACCTCCTCCGCACATTGAAGACCAGGAAACGACTGGATAATATCAACGATGAAGCAAAATATAGTGAAGAAGACGAAATCTCTGACAGCGAGGCCGAGAGTGAAAGTGGTATCGATTTGAATATGCCTGCATTCCGGAATTTTGCTCCTCCCAATTCAGCTGATACCATTGAAAGGCTGGAGGAATGGGCTGAACTCCATGATGGATTGGCTCGGAGGACTGAAGTAATTATTCCTACAGCCCCTGTTGTTTCATATAATGCTCTTATTGAAGATCTCGAGGATGATGGGGAAGAGGACGAGAACGAAGAACCCGAGTCTGTGGTCCAAGAGGCTCAGGTGAGGCGCGGTTTACGCTGGCGCTCTTGGATTCCTCTTCCCACCAGATTGTTACAGGCACGATCTTACCAAAGATTGGTTTCCGTTAATGCGGATGATGTGTTGGAGAATGACCCTTTGATTAAAAGTGAGCCTAAGAAGCGCCCGGGGTTTCAATCTTTACTTCCCCTTTCTGGCAAGCGAGTGAAAGGATAGTAGATTATGATGGAATTATTTGATCGTATGATGTATTTTTGCCTTGCATTGGGCATTGGAAGCATTACTGAAAGGAAATAGCAGGCTTGTTCTGGTAACAGAAATGACATTATCATCATCGTGTTCGAATGTGTATGGACCTTAGCTGTTACTCGACATAAACACCCTGGTCAAATTTCTCTCGGTCAAAAAACCGTGCCATGATAGTATTGCCGTTGAAAACTCGGCCATCGAGAGCATTGACAGCCTAAAAGTACACCCGAAGGTTAGATACACAAAGTAGAAGGATGTAAATTCCAAGTACTTACCCGTAGAGCAGACAGCGGACTGACGAATTTCACAAAGACCGGGACTGGGGTACCAGCGTCACGAGCAATATAAACTCGTTCCACGGTTCCATACTGTAAAATCGTAAGTACAAGGCCAAAGTAAGCTTCAGCAGGAAGAAGATGCTCACCTTCTCGTTACATTCCTCTCCGATCTCCTGCATCAAACCGCCACCCTGACTGCCCTCCAATTCCAAGTCGATATCCATTCCATCCAGCATGCCCCGAAGAATGATGACTTCACACATAGGACCAAACTTGCTTTCATACTGACCGGGTTTCTTGCTGCCAATGATTTTGCCCCGTCCGGCGGGTGTCACAAAGCCACCTCCTTCAGAGTCAGGTCGTTTCTTGCGCTTCTCAACTTGGACTTGCAGAGGATTCACCATGCCAGAACCAGTAGCACCAAGCCCAGAACCCTTGGTCCAGCCATATTTGGAAAGCAAACGTTCTGCGAAGCCTTTTTGGCCAGGGCGGAGAGAGCGAGGGGCATCCTCGTCTGGTTCTTCTTCGTCCTGTTCTTCTTGGGCGAACGTGGCCTCGAGTTCGGCTTCTGATGCAGGTATGTCTTCTGGGGGTGGTGGGAGTGTGTATCGGACTGGGGCACGGGAAATAGTTGCGGAGCTGGGCTGGAAGGTGTCGAGAGGGCGGGATGAAGGAGGTGGGGGTATGTTTTGTCCTGCTGGCGGGTTTTGGAAGCGACGCATGCGTGCATCTTCGCCGATGGAGTCGTTCAGGCCCGGGGCTGGCTCCTCTGGTGGAGGTGGTGGAGGTGGTGGGGGTTGCGTAGACTGTTGTGCTAAGGCTGCGCGACGAGCGAATGCATCCTCCCCGGATGCATCGTTCAGGACCTGAACAGCAGCCGGTGGGGGCGGGGGCGCATCGTTGATGTTTGGCGGCGGTGCAAAGTTGCTCGGGGGCGCGAATTGTCCTGTAAAAGCAGTCAGTTCTGGTTTATCAGTTGTGGTTTATGCAAAGCATACGGTTTGCTGGCCGGTCATAATCCTCATCCGAATCTCTGCTCTGAGAACGTTTCATCCGATGTCTATACAAGCGGTCCTTCCACTCGCGGACTTCACGAATTTTCTCGTCACTATGCCGATATTCGTGATAGCCGGTTGGCAATGTAGGGTCATAGACAGCATCCCAGTTCTCTTCAATGCGAACTTGTTCATGGGGGTTCTTCTTGCGCTTTTTCCTTCCACCGCGTTGCCTTTTGATTCCTGCGTAGTACTCATGGTCATCATCGCCTCTAGAAGTCCAATCGGCCATGGTAGTTGTTGCCGGTACTGAAGATTGCTTGGCTGTTGGCTGTGGCGCTGCCTTGGGCAAAGTGTGTTTGGGCTTGGGTTTTTGGGCTGACAGTTGTGGTCTTTTGGTAGGTTGAAAGCGGAGAGTAGCTGCTCAGTGAGGAGAAGGTGAGATCAAAAGCCTTCCTTAGGTCAAACAAGTTCAAGATACTTACCAGGATTGAGTTGTTGTTTTTTGCCTGAGTCGTCGGCTGGCGGCTCGGTCTCCGAGCTTTGCTTGAAGACGACCGGCGCGCGGGAGATCGTTACTGGTGCATCTGTAGATTCGCCAAGTAAATTTGCATAAAGTGACATGCCACCTTTGCGGCCCCCTTTGGAGGCCGATTCGGAAGCCATGGCTGCTGTGTATGAATGATGTCGACGGCCTGAGAACGTCAGCCTCGATACGGCGATGCGATGCGATAAGGGTGTTTGATCAGTTTGCATACCAATCCCAAAGGGGGGTGATTTAATGTATCTTTAGGTATCTTTAGGTATCTTAACGCAGCTCTTTGTATTCAAAAGTACTTCACACAACTTATATATACCTGAACCTTTGTCCGTATGTTTGAACTTCACATCGCACCGAGCTACTCCTACGTTGTTTTCATTCCGGGCTTTGTACCTTTTTACTGCTGCCCAAACCCAGATAAAGACGACCATCTCTAATAAGCTGTCAACCTCAAGAGTTCAAGCATACAGAAGGTAGGAAAGCAGAAGCTTCCACATTACCCGACAGCTCCCTCCACATCCAACTTTGGACAACACAATTCCAAAATTCGTAATGACGCAAAAGCCAAATCCCAAGACATTAGGCAAGCCATCAGGGGTATGTGACCTGCATCTGGCCCCTTTGATTTCTTGAACAAGCTTTGCAGTTATAAATCAATATCACATTGCTCTTCTGACACCGATCTTAATTAAGTCACTTCATGCCCCGATTGCAGCCTTTACAATGGCAGTCATTCTTTGTTCCTATTGTTTCAGTTCAATCCACGCTGCCCGACGAGATGCGCAATCCAAAGCTCTAACAGGACCTAAATCTTCTCAGCGGCCCCTACCATCTGAGAGGAAAGACGAGTCCTGGATACAACAGGCTCTTGAAGAGAGTCGAGCACAAAATTCAGGAAAGGGGAGATGATTAAAAGCTTTGGTGTTACATGAGAATATATAAAATCGGGGTTTGATAGGGTTGTGATACCAATTGCATGTAAATTATTTGTTCATTTTGAAACTCATTTAAGTATATTTACTGTTATAAAAAACAGTATCAAAGTCGGGAAGTGAACAGGGACATGATTTGCATCTTCGTATTCAATCAGAATTTTCAGTGTATGAATGATCATGCACCGGGAGTCCAAGTGTATTGACAACCCAGTTCAATCTTGAAATTGTTCATCATGCGAATAGAGAAGAGCCCAATTGGGTATAGAGGAATCGCTAAATGTGAGAAGATAGGAAGAAGATCTGTTCGAGTTTCGAATAGACATAGATATTTGTCTAGCGCAACATCAAAATGTTGAACAATTCAAGAGAGCTGACGAAATGAATCGATCAACTTCACTCGATGGGATGATTAGTGTGAAATAAGAAATGGATCATTTGATCCTCATAGTGCCATCATAATACACTTGAAGAACAGGTATGAGCCAGTTCAAGGGTTACTTAAGTAACAGTGAGTCGAAAATGTTAAGAGAAGCCGAAATGAAAAATTGCGCGAAAGGAAATTTAAATAGTGTGTCACGTGGCTGCCCCACAGATTTTACAAGTCGTTTCAATATCAAAGCATACAATACTGTACGAAGGTCTGGCTGTCAATCAACATAAGAAGACAAGAATGAAAATGAGGATTCTTCATAAAAAATTTGCAGAATAGATCTCAATTGCCAGAAAAGGTACTGCGTCTTGCCGCCTAGGGTCAATGGACTTGCAACATGCAACATGCCATCTGCCTTCTTGAAATGCTCGGCCATATGCCAGAGAGCTCGGCAAGAAAAAAAGTGGCATATATGCAATCATTACCCAAAAAATTCTGGTTACTTTAGTTACCGCGTAGATGACAATTTGTGGCCCAGTATCTCTTGTTCTGAGTTGACATTACATCCGCCTGCCCTTTTCCAGATGGAGACTTGCAGTATTCCAAGTGTATTCACGAGAACATGTAGAATAATGTATGTACAGAAATAACATGCAAAAGCCAGTAAAATGGTAAACAGTTTGAGAAGCAAAGGAGAAAATATGCTTGAAGCCACAGTCTTTAGGGCAGAGTAAGCACGTGAATGCATGTGATAGGATCTTCACATGTCCGGGCCTCAAATTATGGAGGTGCCATCTATGCCGAGACAGATGGTTTCAGTATGCAGAAGCCAAGGGTAACTCGCTAAAAGAGTATCTGCAAATCTCGAGCAGACCGCCTTATCCATGTCTATACAGTACGAGAGAAAAAAAGGAAAAAGGACTTGATGACCGGAAGCGATAGAGAAGTTGAGACGCGTTGAGAGAGGAGTATGGATCATCTTGTTCGATGGATGACGGGTATCAAATAGAGAGCTGAGCTTCGGCTTCCATCTGTAATTTCAACGTTCCCTCATGTTGGTAGGTATTGATCTGCTTCCGCAAATATTCGTATGTGAGCATAGTCGTCATAGCCGCCGGGATAGCCCGGAACAAGTTCGTGCCGATCCCTGCATAGAATGCACGCCAACCCTCTTCTTGAAGGATTGTCTGGAACGTGCGAATCATACCATTGTAGCGTGGGCGACTGCGCATTCCGTCAGATGAAGAAATACCCCCAGAGCGGCCGCGATCATGCGGATGGTTCAATCCGCCGCGGAAAGCAATTTGCTCGGGGGATGGTGCTGGGGCCGTCCGCTGCTGAGTTTGAAGTCGGGTGCGTAGGACCTCATGGGGGTATGTGATTGTGCTTGCGCAGATTTTGCTCAGGAATGTAGCAACTGAGATTCCAATCCAGTGTGAACTGCCAGTATCGGGATGTTCGCCGATGCCGTAGCCGGTGAATGCCATTTTCAAGTATTCGTAGAGTGGGAATTGGATTGCCACATGTGTCAACCCCAGTAATGCTGGAGTGAGACCGGAGTAAAAGGATCGAATACCTTCAATTTGATACATCTTGCGAGCAGCATCCCATGTGCCTGAGTATTGCCATGGGGCCCGGACTCCTTCGCTGTTTTGTTTCAAACTTTGCGACATGAGTCTTGTTTTGATAACCCATATGGGATTCGTAACAATCGTGGAGCATGCGCCCGCAGTGATCGAGGCATAGCCGCGGGATAACCACCAGCTTCCTGGGACTAAGTCAGTTCGCTAAAAGTCCGACCTCTGAGATATAGGGGAAGTACCAACCTGTTGAATCATAGAAATATTCACGACTGCGATCGTAAACCGCTAGATAAACAGCCCAGGTGGGGAGGTATCCAAGTAACATTGGACCAAGTCCTTGGTAGAGACCGCGAATACCATCTTCCCGCCAAATCCTCCTACCGCTGCCGAGCATTCCACGGTACAGTGCTCCGGAGGCAACCTCTTGTGCTCCCCCTCGCCGAAACCCGCCCTGGGCTTGTAGCTTTGTTTTGATGACATCGAGAGGGCATGTGACAATACCGGAAGCCACGCCAGCGCTGGCTCCGCAGAAAGGTGCGATGTAGAAATTGGGTATCTTGGTGGAAAAGATCTCCAGCCTAGTCTGGAAATCGGAGCTCCGCGCGGGCATGTGGGGAGCATTGTCGACATGGTATGACCGAGTTTGGTCTGGGGAGCTGCCCGAAGCGCTTCGGCCGTTGGAGTTCATCTTGGTGGCCGGCGCTCACGTAGCTTGTCAGACCGTATTGAATCAACGAGGGCCCCCGGACGCGAGCATATCGTGCTCGATCCGGAACCCAAGAACCGTATTTCAATATGGGCTGGAAAATGCGTAGATTCGTCTGAGTTTTCAAGACTTCGATATGGTGTGAGGGAAGTAAAGTCGATTTGTAAGGTTGAGTGGGAAGTTTCTGGAGCCGATGGTTACCGAACCCGGTGTTTCTCGATGCAATGCCCTATTATCTGTGCAGCACGGACGTAAGCGGGGTTGCCGGAACAATCAAGCTTCTTATTAGAAGCAGGGATTGGTGATGAATCTGAAAGCCAACAAAATCCGAGCTCCTCAAACAAGTGAAAAGGTCAAGAAGGAGGTATGACATAGGGAACCCATCTGTGAGGTGGAGAGCACCGATTCACATTCCCACTCAGTGTGGCCTGAGGCATCAGATCATATAATCACGTGTTTCTTACGCCTCAGGCGTAAGTATACCGCTTCAGGACTAGTGGCTCTAGCTCATTTGCACAACTTCGCAACATCGGGTCATCTCGTGTTCCAGCCGGATAGCCCTTCCAACCCTTCACCTCACCGTCAATTGTGATACCCGGGATTCAAAATGTCTGCCCCTTCGCTCGCCAGTTACATCGTCAAGCGCCCATGGCTCAAGAGTTGGTTGACTCCTCTCTCCCACTGGTACACCGATGCCGCCGGCTACAGACGTCTCGGTCTCAAGTAATTATTGCCCACCCACGACCCGACCGCGAGCAATTGAAACAAGGATTGGGGATTGGCTGGGCCAATTTGTCACAGTCAGGTGGCACCTTTTTTGGATGCGATCACAATTGTGTCGAATTTGCCCGGACCCCCGGTTCTGCGGATATCACTCGCGACAGGATTGGATTGAGTCACATACTAAACAGTCACTTAGGTTCGATGACTTGATCCCCGAGGAGAGCGAGAACGTCCAGCGGGCCATCAAGCGTCTTCCTGCCAAGGAGGCCTACGACCGTGTCTTCCGTATCCGCCGTGCATTCCAGGTTCGACAAGCCCCTTCCCAATATCGGATCCGCGCAAAGTCTAACAAAGATGTCAATTGCAGTGCTCCATCTCTCACACTCTTCTTCCCGCCCACGAGCAGATCAAGCCCGAGGAGGTAAGTCCCCAATATCCAAATTTCGCCCTCCCCGCATTAGTCTCTATATCGGCCAATCCTGTTGCACGGATTTGTCACTTGCACCCCGACTCGCTTTGGTTACATATACCCACCACAACAAATACAATGCTAATAAAACCAATCGAATAGGACGTTGAGTACCTCAGCCCTATCATCCGCGAGATCGAGAAGGAGGTCCAGGAGCGTGCCGACCTCGACAACCTTGTTGTCCGCAAGTAAGCGGTATCTGCTTGCTTCAATAGATCTGGAAAGGGATTGGGGGAGCATGTTGTTTACATGAAATAGACGCCTGGTGTTCTTCGTAATGGATTGGGCGCCGTCGGCAGCCCATGGCTTGGTTACGCAGCCTGAGTGTACTGATATTGTACAAATCGATTTTCTTCGCGCTTTTTATATGTGCTCGATACCGTAGACAGCAAGTGGGCTTCACTTAGCTTGTTGTACATGTACATATGTATGTATGGTTGTACTCAGTAATTCCCCTGGTTTTGAAAAATGCTCATGCGGGTTGTGATCTCAAGTCAGCTTGGGCACCAGGCGCCTAATGACACTTGTATCTAGCTGGGAACCATCCAAGGGGTTTGGCAATTCCCATTAGTCACACACTTATATCCGCAAGTGCTTCATTTCATTTAATCAACTATATAAGGCCCACCTCCTATGAACAGCACCTGGGCATGATATCGCGTCGTATGTATCATGACGACCTGAATGACGGCAGCCCATATCTTTTATACTTTTCAGCCACTGAGTACTGCCACATCGACATTCTCAATCCGCCACATATACCACATGAACAAGCTCCTGCGTCAACCATGTAAGCAGCCATATCTACCTGGGTAGGCAAAAGCAGATGAATCATGGGACATACCTATAAGGCGCAAACTTGGCAGCAAGCTCCAACATGTCCTTCTCTGCCATGTATTTAAATTTACCACCCCCTTTGCCTTTGAGTTTGCTCACATCACGGCCAACAAAGGCAGCACAGCCTCGTCTAAAAAAGTGTTAGCGAGTCCCTATTCAATGCCCTAAATCACAGATGCCAGGTACATAGAGAAACATTCATGGGTAAAATGGAGGGCAAAAGCTAGGCTCAACTCACTGCACTCCTAAATCACCAGTAGAAAAGACATCAATGCGCTTAAGCGCAAAGATAGCAAACATCTCAACAGACCACTTCCCCAACCCCCTGACGGCAATCAATTTATCAAAAAGCTCCTCGTCAGTCGCGCTAGCCAGCATCCTAGCTCCAAGCTCCCCATTCGCAAATTTCTCCGCGAGACCTTGAATATACTCTGCCTTCCGCTGCGACAAACCCGCCGAGCGCAAAGTCGGAATATCACACTTAGCAACCCGGTCCGGAGTCGGGAACTTCGGATGACGATGTCCATCCGGCGCAACAGCGTCAGGCAAATCAAACAACGCAAGGAACTTATTTCGAATAGACTTCGCCGCTGCACCCGAGACTTGCTGGCCGATAATGCTGCTAGTCAGGCTATTGAAAGGGTCAATTTCCTCGGCCAGGCCAGCGGGCGAGAAGAGTGGACAGGGATGCTGTGAGATTATTGTTGCCAAGCGGGGATCTGTGGCGATCAGATGTGCGGTTGCTTGATCGAGGATAGTTCCCGTTGTAGCGAGGGGTCGGGGGAGCCCTGTTTTTGTGGGCGAGGCATCTTCTATGTGGGCAGGGTAGGCGTTTACTGCTGAGCCGTGCGGGGTGAGGAGGGTTGCGTTGGTTCGGTGAGGGTCGACGGGGCGGTCCAGAGGAGGAGGCGTCGATGGTCTGAAGTGAGGGGGGTTAGTGGGCGTGGGTTTTTGGTCTGTTTCTTTTTCTGCTGCGAGTGGCTCCGGAGACCAGTAGGAAGCTTCTGGTTTTGGCTGTGCTTTTGGTTTTGTTGCTTTGCGAGGTTTTGCGACTCTTGCTTTACTCGATATGGTTGGTGGTTTGGTAGTTGGGATAGAGCCCAGTCGGGCTGAACGTCTAAGTGACATTCTTTTCAAACAAAAGAGCTGTTTTCGACTCCGAGGAAGTTGATAAGGTCAGGCTAAGCGGCTCTTTGCGGAGGTGCGGAGGTGGAAATATGGACCCACATGCCAAGAGAACCTGCTTCCTATACATATTCTACAGAGTATTCTACGGAGTACTATATTGGCTAATAACATTTTCACCAGCTGTTGAATTCAATGCTCTTATATGTTATATGTATACTGCTCGACATATTACCAGCGACCCTCAGCGAGTCAATATCACATTCAGAGTAAGTGAAAGCCATATATGCCTTAGAATAAACATCGGTTCTGTTAATCCAAATGACTCGTAGGCCAGAAAATCGCACCTAGTGTGCAAATCTAAAATCTAATCTCTTGCTTCCTTGCTCCCGAGTCTGCTTGATGTAATCAGCTCGCTCTGATTCCGACATGGCGTTCCATACTTTCTCCCGCCTTTGGTTCTCAAGCACATAGTATGCTTTCGCTGCTAGAAACATGATGATCGCAAGAATATTGATAGCAATGAGAGATGTGTTTCCTCTGCGATATTTCGGTTTGTCGTCATCTCTGTATACGAAATAGGCAGCAATATCGCCCGCCTGGACCGACATCTGCGAAGGTTTTTAGCATAAACATTTTGTCTATATGATTTTTGATGACCAACATTATAAAGTGCAGCCGAAACAGATCGGTTTCCAACGTTGTTAGCATTTCTTGATGCCCAAGCAACTACAATTGCTATACTCGGAATCAGTATTCTGCAAATTATGAAAGACAGTTGAGTATACGAACCATGACAATATGGATAGCTCAGCAAGACCGTCACTACAGCGTACGTTCCCCAGGCATTTGTAATCACACCCGGCCAGAACCGCAACGCAAGTAAACAGGGTAACGTCCAGATGGCCTGAAACATGGCAACCAGCGACCATTGGTTCAGCCGACTGGATACCCATGTGATCAGAAGTAGATTGAAAATATGAAAGACACTGGCTGGGATTGTAAGCAAATTCGTGTTGAACTTGTTGAACCCAGCCGAACGAAGAGTAAGCGTAATGTAGGAGCTCACTGGTGACTGTGGGATGTATGCAACCACTCCAATCAAGTAGATGGGCCACATATGGTAGTCTTTGATGGCGCCCCAGAGTCTGGTAGGTGTTATAGCTTGACGATTGTGCATGTCGCCCTTAGAAGGGTCATCACGAAGGACTCGGTTTGCCACAATGGCAATTTCACGGTCAGTGAACCAGCCGTTGGGTCTGAACCAGGTCTTTGTTTGTACCACTGATGCTGGCATCATGAAAAATGAAGCAAGTCCTATGGCAAGGGTGATAAGACCCTCGATGAGGAAAAGCCATCTCCAACCCGCTAAGCCGTGTACTCCACTCAAGTGAAATACCGCAAAGGCCAGGAGGGAGGTCACGATGGTTGTCACAGAGAGTGAAGTCCAGAAGAAACTAGAGCCAGCTTAGCAGAGCCACATATCAGAAGAGATGAGACATACCTCAAGCGCACGGGAAGTTCACGAGCAGTATAGAAATAGGAGAGCCAGAGGACAATGTCGGGAATGAATCCACCCTGCAATATTAGCAAACGGTTCTCGTACCTAGTACTGAAACTAACCTCGAGAACACCAAGTAAGGCGCGCGTGACCAGAAAAGTCCTGCGATCGGTCAAGGCGCACTGTGAAATGGCCACTACAGACCATAGCACCATTTGAATGGGAATCCACCGATCCGGTCCGAGTTTCTTAGACACTAGCTGTGAGGGCAGTTCCGCAATGAGAAATGCTAGTCGAAAGACAATGTTGCCGTAATTGTAGTCTGGAGATAACACCGATTAGAAGAAAGGTTTGAAGCTAATTGTGGAGAGACCTGAGTTACCATTTGTAGTCAGATTCAAATCCGTCAAAAATGTATCCGAAACTGCCTGAACAAGATTTCCTCGATCAACCTGAAGCGCAAAGAACATGACACACTAGAGTTAGGTGTTAGCGAGCGGCTCTTGGGCAATGGCAGCGAAGCAAAATATACAGCCCACAGACAAATCCTCCAGTCTAGCTTTCGCACCAGATGTTTCTCTTCCTCTTCCGACCAATTAAGTGAAGGGTCAAACACATGCCGACATTCATATTGGGCCTTTTCGTACACAAGTCGCCAATGGGCCGCGATATCAGGGTCTAGAAATGGATTTTCCGCATCAGTGTTCTCACCCTGCGGCTCAAGAGTGCCATATGATCTCTTGCGCTCAGGCAAGTTATCGGTCACTGTCATTGTGGTCTTTCCGTTAATTGCACTCATATTACAGGTGACACGGCTGTCATATAAGGTATCTCATCAAAACCTGTAGCAATCTAGGAAAACCACACCACTTAAAAGACGTTTTGGGGACATAACCCCCGCATTATGTTATTTTTCAAATGGCGATAGCGCTGGATGTTGTGATGTGCTAGAGCGGCATGGTGGTCAGATAGGCAGTTAACCTAATACGTGACTTTCATTGCGTGCTTCATGCTTCCAGAGATTACCATCCCGCATGAACATCAGTCATGAGCGTCATAAATCACCTTGCCTTCCCAGTAGAAATTATTTCGACATGGTGGAGGACTTAGTCGAGTTTGGTTTAAGGTGATTTGATTATTCACTCGTTGCCAAAATTTAGCTGTAATTTGAAGTCAATGAGGAAGCTAGCTAAGCTGGCTTGGTAATAATCACATCGCAATTGTATATCGGAGCTTAAATGGCGACATACTTCTGGTTTACTCTTGGCACCTAAAGAGACGATTACCAAATGCTCTTCATTCCTCAATTGGCAGCAACTCCGAAAGGCTTGACAGGCTAAGACTTCCTCGGCACGATGTCAAGCTCAAATCCATATGCCTTGCTTGGGATTTGCCGTGCATTCCCGCCGGGGGTTGAGATTTTCTACTCACAGATTGTCGTCTGCATCGATAGTTCCTTGTTCACTGGCACGATAAACGCAGAGTGTCTCCTCAAAGTATGAAACATTGCTAGTTCGGCCAATAAATACTTTACTAAAAGCAGGACCTTCCTGTTAAAAGCCCCCTTTGAAAGCTTACTTGCATACTGCGCCTTTTATTCTTATCTGACAAAAATCATTGCTTTTGGTATAACAGCTGTGGAAGCCGGTGGCTTTGACTTCTGAAGTTGTCACACCCAAAAAACTAATCATATCGATTTGACTGGATTCGACTGGAAAATCGTAACACTTTGCCAATATACTATCCATGAAACAAGCTAGTAAAAAATCGCTAGAAGGCTTGGAAGCTGCTGATATTGAGGTTGAAGGATAAATGTATAGTTGCTATCAAGACTATCAAATCCTCAAACGCAAAGAGATCGAGGAAATGTGGTAAGAATTTACGGGGAAGATCAGTAGAAAGAAGTATAGATGAAGGGCTCATAAGAAGATGACAATAAAGTGAAATTAAAGAGTCTCGCTAGAGTTTCGAGACATAGCTTCCGTTGCTTGGTCTGCCTACAGCTTTTTGTTTCTCAAACTTCCATTTTCCAACACTTTATAATAGATTCGGCTTCCCTGTATCTGGACTCTTATATAGAATCATCGCCTACATTTTTCGGGGATAAACATGACTCACTCTATCAGGTTCTCTGCTCCCTTTCCTGGCACTGCCGAGTCTCGGATCGCGGCGCACCTTAGCAGCCCTTCTTTAGAGGGTCTCGATTCTGTCAACTCTCGCTTGCAAAATCACTGACCGTCCGGCAAGATTGAAATCGTTTCAACCATCTTATACTTGATTTATGTTTTGATGCTCAGTTTATCCCGGTACCCTCTGTGGTGGATCTCACCACGCCAGAGAAAGCATTCCAAAGTGAGGAAAATTTATATTGCTAACATAAATCCAATTTAGAGTGACCCAAGTGCGAGATTTTCATTGTGGAGAGCTGGAGATTTCGGGTCTGTATACTCTCCTCCTTCGGCACCTGCTCTACAGTATCGAGGGTACCCGAGGTCCAGAACGGAGCGTAAATTCTCCATTAAGCCTGTGTGGAGCTACATGGCTTACTTTTTGATCTCTCCTACTTTGGGCTAGCTCAGCCTAAGACTTATAACGTGGGTCATTAGAGTTAACTTTTTCACCTATTGTTCGAGCGGTCAGATCATTCGATACATAAATAAATATGTAGGTACATAAAAGCCAATCACTCATCGAAAAAACAAGAAACGACCCTCGGCAATGAACTTTACTAGGAAAAGAGAGTAAAATACGAGGATACAACAATTCAGACTTTCATGGTTGATATGTCGAAAAAAGTACGCAGAAATCCTTGATTTCATGCTACTATAAATACTCGGCCGTTGAAATCAAATCTACCAAACACAAAGCACCGAGCATATTCAGCGAATCAACAATGACACGACAAGCATGAACATATATGTTCCTTGGATCTTTATTGAAGAGCCGTGCGATTGGATGTGATATACTCCGCTGTAGTACAGTTCCAAGGAACGATCCTAAGAACACCGGGATTGGAATCAGAGCCATGGTAAAGTGGCAATACAGCAATACAAAACCAAATATGAAAAATTCGGCTTAAACCGAAGATAAACAAAGATATCATGAGCCTCAAAATTAATTTCGAGATCAGACAGTCAATTATGGATCATCAGAACAAAAATGGAGATACCTACTTTTCGGAGATTGCGTCAGCGTCCTACGCTACGCATTTATCAACCCCATCAGCTATGTTGCACTAATCAGTTTACTTGATCGCAAAAAAGCATGCAGTGGGGATGAACCGACCATTCATTTAGTGTAATTGGTCAACCAGTAAGAACAAAGATTAACATTTAGCCCGAAGCGTTGAACCAAGTTAGATTATCTCGAAACAAGCATCAATCCTAGTCTGTGTTACCAGCCAATACCCAAGGCAAATGAGTTTGCACTACAGCCCCAGTCTACCCAAAAGAACTCGGCGGAATAGGTATAAAGGTACATACCCCAGAGTGGCCGGGAAAAACCATTGGGCATGTGGTTTGTGTTTGGGCAGTGGTCTCGTGCGCTCGGGAATGTAGCCATTTTTGCCCCTACATTGTAGATTGAGATGTAATAGTACTACCGCACTTAACCGGGCCACGCATTCCACTGTGTGGCCAGTCTTCAGCCCTTTGACCTAGACTGTCAGGAATGCGACCTGAATGCCACGAGCAAGATTCGTACATCTGTCTCTGGTACTGTGACAAGTGACGGCTAAGGTTAACTAGACAGCACAGACTTAGGCTAAGGCCGCGCGGTATCCATATTTGTGGCGTCCGAGGACGGTATCAGAAAAACAGATGCTTTTGTGATCGTGGTGACTGCAGAGTTTTTGTACCGGTAGTTTTTTTGCAAAGCAACGCGGCCATTCGGTAATAAGTTGAAGCGACCAAGTTTTCGAATGATTCTAAGCGATTGAAAAAAAAACATATCGATCACTTGTGGACCGTTACAAAAAGTGGAGCGAGGCGTACGGAGCCAGTTGGCCCCGTTCTGAAACATTTCCAAATTTACACTGTAACGTTGTTTAGGCACTTAAAGACATTAATGACTTTGTTGCCACCCAAACAAAAGCCGCTATGTTTACTGGTTACAATGTACAATTAATAGGTGAGTTGCGTATCGGTTCAAAATTTTCGATTCTGAGGATTCCACTGGATCTAGAAAAAGCGGGATGCGACCCGGTTTTCCTAAGACTCGGGCCGATGAAGCTCTGGACATGACTTGATCGTCGCGGTTTCAGTGACAGGAGCTCCAACCTCGGAGCCAAACTTATAGCCGAGCTCTGAATCTGTGCACTGAAATTTTCATTACGGCATATAACGCACAGCAATCAAAGATATCAGACCATTGCGTTCGTCTTATGACATCCTTGTGCAGGTACTATATACGTTATAGGCAAGGAATATTGGCGATGGAAATTCTAGACGCAGAATGTAGCGAAGATTCGCAGTCGCGGTGGACGATCTGCTATAGAAGAGCCAGTAAGGGTATTTGCAGCGTACATACAGAATACGTTGGATGTACAGCGTATAACAGCTAACTACGTTGTACTGTACTTATGCATAAAAAGGGGCTTGTTGCTCAGGGGATCGCGTGGCTCCTAAAGGATAGAATTTTTATTTTGACACCATTTGCATATCGCGCGAGGGGCGATCATTTTGCCTCAAAATAATTCAAAACCAGTAACACTAATCCAGGAGTCATTCCAACGTGCCAATTAGAAGTCGCGCATGCCGGGGGCAATCGACGATAGCGGCAGGGGGGCGGGGCCATGGAAGGCTTGGAATCCCGCAAATTTAGATCGGCCGCTATCAATTGAAGCTCGAAATACATTTTGAAGATTGCGTCTTATTCTGGTAGAATTGAACCCGATAGATGAGATTTGGATTGACTCAGTACTTATATAGGGGGGGGGGTTTATCTGCATTTGTATCCAATCAACTAAATTTGTCTTAGAGATCAACAGGGGAGTTCTCAAGCTTATACAGATAGATGACGTTGACAGGTGATAGATAGGATGGGCCCGTGGGAAATTGGTCTAGCTGGTTACTTCTAATTTGCATCTAACATTGGTAACAAGCTAGTATTTATGAAGCATTATTCTTAGGTCCTGTATACTCGAGACTGTTTTCTATAAGGCACAAGTGCATATCCAAGATACCAAGCGTGGTTACACAATTACATTTGATAGGCCGAAGCGAGATACAAGACAAGTGGCACTGCAATTTGAACAACTATTTGTGACAACTATACAATGTGCAATACCTGATCAACAGCTAATTTCCGTGTACCTTGCTGATTGCATCGTCCAAATTGAAAGCAACAGAAACTTAGATTGTAGTTACAAGGCAAGAAACATCCAACTATCAAATAGTTTGATTTGCAATGATAGTTTTCCGCATTAACAAAACAAGCATAGAATAACACGTGTGTAAGGAATACCAAAATTAGATACGTAGAAAGGGGGTTGACGAATCGGGCGGGGAGTAGGGTGGGACGAGTAGGCACTAGCGCCAGTCAAAAGCAGGAATTGACTCTTGATTCAACTTTTTTTTTGGCAGAGTTTGGCTTAGAGTAATTTAATGATCTGGTAATCTGGTAATCTGGTAATTTGGGTAATTTTGACAACTTGTCATAATTCTTGTAATGTCGTGGTATTTTTCAGCCAAAAAGTATGACTGGAAGCGGCAATAAAATACCAGGCACTACCATAAACACCGGATGCGGTACTGTGTGTGTTTTTCTCATCCCTTCGTATCAATACCAAGATTTGAAAAGTAAACATATAAGAAAAAAAGTGGTCCAGTACCTTGGTAAGATACAATCTCCACCACATCCACTGACTCCCCTTTCCTCTTCCTTCTTCTTCTTCATTCTCCTCCAACCCTGTCCATTCGTTCTTACCATTCGAGAGTTCCTGCCTATAGTCCTTGGCAGTATTACCGCTTCCCTTTCGTTTGAAGCGCTTCTTCTTCTTCCACTCATTGCGAATTCACTAAACTCCATATCCCTTAATCGGTACGTGTTCATCTTCCATCGCAGTGAAATCATTATCTCCATTACTGACGCGCTGCAGAATTCATGATGTCTCTCAAGTACATCCTCCCCGCGCTGGCCGCCAGCCAGATGGTCTTCGCCAGCTGTAAGTTCTGACCTCCTGGAAACAGTCATAAATCAGTCACTTAACACTACTTCTTAACAGCCGACGACTGCGGTGATACCAAGATCAAGACTCAGAGCGACGCTGACGGCATCAACACTTGCTCCACCATTAGCGGTGACATTACCATCGACGAGTCCTACAGTGGTGACCTTATTCTCAGCGGTATCGAAAAGATTACCGGTGGTCTTTCTTGCTCCGAGGGTGCCAACGTCAGCTCCATCACCGCTTCCGAACTCACCAGCATCGGCAAGACCTTCGACCTTGAGGGTCTCACCACCCTCACCCTCCTCGACTTCGCCCAGCTGGACAGCGTTGGTTCCATCAACTGGGATGCTCTCCCCAAGCTCCAGTCCCTGAACTTCGCCAAGGGTGTCACCGAGGCCGGTGATGTCAGCATCACCAACACTGGTCTGACCGACCTGAACGGTATCTCCCTGCAGACCGTCGGTCTCTTCAGCATCCAGAACAACCGTGACCTGAAGACCATCAACATCAACAACCTGAAGAACGCCACCAAGTCTATCAGCTTCTCCGGTAACTACGACACCCTCGAGGTCAACTTCCCCAACCTTGGCACTGGTGTTGGCATGACCTTCCAGAACATCTCTGCTGTCTCCCTGCCTTCTCTCGAGAAGCTTACCGGCCAGCTCGGCTTCTGGGGTACCAAGTTCGAGACTTTCTCCGCTCCTAACCTGACCCAGACTGGTGACCTGATCTTCAAGGACAACACCAAGCTGTCCAACATCTCTATGCCCGTCCTGAAGACCGTCAACGGTGGTTTCACCATTGCCCGTGATGACGAGCTCAACATCATCTCTCTGTCCAACCTCGAGACTGTCAAGGGTGCCATTGACTTCAGCGGTACCTTCAACAAGTAAGTAAAAGCTACATCGCAATACCAGAAATCACAAATATTAACGTGAAACAGGGTCTCTCTCGGTGCTCTTAAGGATGTTGAGGGTGCCTTCAACATGCAGTCTACCCACGGCAACTTCTCTTGCTCCGACTTCAAGAAGCTCAAGACTGAGGACGTCATCAAGGGCAAGTTCAGCTGCAATGCCACCAACGACAACCCCACCACTGCCAACGGTACCTCCGGCACTGGCTCCGGTACCTCCACCGGTAGCGGCTCCTCCAGCACCTCCTCCGGTGCTGCCTTCTTCACCGGCGCCAACGTCCCCGTCGTCGGTATCGCCGCCTTCTTCGGCGCTCTCGCCTCTTTCCTGTAAGGGGTCGGTTAGTGGAGGAGTCAATTGACTTTGAGGATTTGTACAAATTTTTACCAAGTCCCACACTGCAGTCATGATAATAATTCGGTCTTTTGTGGAGAAAATTCGCAATATGGATCCTGGCCTCGGAAAACGCACCTCCGTCGTTGTTCACAGGCAGGAGTCTTTCTTACCCTTGTGCTACTTGTTTTGTTATGTTCTATGGTGCGCTCATCGCGTCCTAATGCATTCGGTTGCACTTTGTAACCTGCTTGTTCATCCTGCGAGGCGAGGCTTTTCGGGCCTGTGGTTGGGATCTTTGCTCACGTTGTATTTCTTGTAAACACTCTTTCCAGCTTTCCCTTATGCTAGTAGTAATATTGCTTTTTGTTTCATGCGCGCAGATTAATGATTGTAATCTCATATATTTACCCAGATGTTGCCTGTTGTAAGACTATTTCTCACTTTGTAAGCACATTCCGTCGGTGCCATGAAGTCTTAACAACTAAATGGTTGTCCGCAGGTCGACTATGATACTAGGCCCATGTCCATTCCACGTTTTTGGTCGGTTCCGCCGAACTTGGTAAAGTGCTCAAGTGGTATAGGATAAACATATATATGTATCCATTCGCATTGTCAGTTGATCCATTCCGCTCATTCTTACGATTCGATATCGATAGAAAACACAAATTGCTACACAACTATTCTGTACAGACTCATCCATTTACTCAATCGACATTCGGACATAGAACTAGGAAGTCTGGCGATTTGTCAGTCTGTGATACGCTTTTAACATGTCTCGTAAATTTTTGTAACTATATATATCTATTCAACTTTTTTTCCGATTTGGTTTCGATCACTGTGTACATAGCAGCTCAGTATATTCTATTACCATTGCAGCTGAATATCCTGATCACGCAGGCCTTCAAATTATTCTATCGGATCCCAAAATCACGTCCCCGCAACACCCATCATCTCTTCAATCACTACACCCAGCCTCCCACTTCACTTACGAAACAAACCCCGAAGCATCCACCTGTGTAGAACGAAATCTTGCCAGACCAGTACTAACAAAAGTATAAAAATATGAAATCCAATTTTTTTGATAATCCCCTCACCTCGTACTAGTCTGAGATCAGAGATCAGCATCACCGCAAATCCCCCATTGCGACCATCCTGCGAATGCAGACCCCGATGTTGAATCCCGATGTGGGGATTCTCGCCATTAGATATGCTGGCAGCCCTCGCGCTAGAAAGCAGATACCAGAAGGAGCGCTGGTCCATGATAGGTACTAACCACTAGCTACCTTAGTAGCGGGATGAAGTTTCATCGGAACGTCCTGCGACATCCCCCGAAAGGCATGGCAAAAGAGGGGAAACATGTATCCGAAGCTAGGATGTCGATTCCGGCCTGCTGTAGCCGTTGGTTCGTTTGGTTCCGTGGGATGAACGATGCCAGGCGGATTCGGTGGGGGTGTTCGGTGGGGGGGGGGTTGTTTTTCGTGGTGGATTTTTTTGATCCGATCTGGGTCCTCAAGATCGGGATGGTTAGAGATGAAATTTAGAGATAGAGGGAAAGTGACTAGCATTGGATGTGGGCCAACCGTGTACGATCTGCGATGTTCACTTCCAAAGGAGGTATGCTAGATTTTAGTGTTAAAACATGTGTCTGTATGTGAGTTGACAACGATATTGAGATAGCGATAAGTACATATGTAATGCTAGGGAAATAATATTAATATGATATTGCCAATAATAGTAAAGGACCTATTTACGGATTATATTTCCTTACATCGGGAGTCTCGCGTGTAAATTCCAACTAGCCACAAAGCCAACCCAGCCCGTCGGGAGAAAATCGATATGTCGAATCCACAGCATCGGGCCCATTCTTGCAATCCTAGTCAAGTTCGTCCTCTCCGAAAAGTATGAACGAAGGGTTCGAGCGCGGTGGCTAACTTGAAACAGGGCCCGGGGACCAGTAGGAACCACGATTTAGTTATTGGTAGCCTCGTTCTTCTATGATGTGGGGTTAAGAAAGGGCAGGACTTGGAAAATTTTGATACCTAGGTAGACGCGCATAGTTCCTGGTGTGGTGAGACCAATCAGGGGTGAGAGATGAGAAAAAGAAATGTTTGCACTATTATTATAGTATGATATCAAATCATTCTACAGAGTACTAAAAATCTATCCAGCTAGACTATTGGGATGTTCAATCATTCAATTATTGTGGTATGACCTCAAAAGTTGGTTTTTATAAAATGTATAGACGGAGCGGGGAGCTGGGAAGAGGGGATCTCGACGAACCGGATGCATTAGTTCTCGGTCGCGAGAATCTTATCTTGTGAGACGAACACTCAATCTTAGGAAATTCAAGGAACAGGAACAAGATCTGAATCTGAGAAGTGAAAGCTAATACTAAACTACATTATGGCGCATTTATGACGACTGTGGAAAGGGTTTGCTATGTGCTGTGCATATATAGATTGCCGCATGTGTCGATGTACAGGAATCGACCGTGCCTGCGTGACTGAAACCCACAAAAAATCATAAATGACGAAGGGTATTATGGAAAAATATAGGTATAGCCGAGGATTAGAGACATATATCAACTATGGGGCTGGGGGCGACTCGGATGCACGGGTTGCTCATGGCGTTTATTTTATATTTCTTTTTATATATATAAATATACATTTCTTTTCTGCACAAAGTACGAAGTATGGAGTACAATTTTACATGCTTATTTGAGTTTCGGATCATGGATTCTCACAGATGTTGGCTCTTTTGATCTCTTTGGATTTGATTTACTCAAAATAATAGACTTTGACGGGGTCTGACATCCACCGAATAGCACCGAACGAGGCTCAATTGGTCGGAACGCTTGATCGATATCTATATATTACTTAGTGCTCTAGATCTACATCGGCATTGTAAGTTCGGGGAGTCGGGGAACTACCCAGAGAACATTGTTTGCGGGGTTGAACAATAGAGTAGACTGACCTTGACCCTTTTTTTTCATGACAAAAAACAGAGGAAAATATGGGTCAAATTACGAAGATAAGCCATTGTACTGCAATGTATGTGTGTCATTATTTGCTTCTCCACCGAGTCCAGGCTGGTCTTCATTTTTGCTGTGCGTAAGAAAGTGGATATAGTAAGTGCAAGACATGGGATGAGCTGGCAACTCCGTAGTATAGATTATGTGCAGCATACGAGATTGTGGCAACGGAGCAATCCCACCAAAAAGTCCACCACTTTATATTGAATCGTTGTCAGCTCAAATCTCACACGAATATAATATGATGCATAGCGGTAAAAAAAATCGGTACCTGAATAAGGTCGCGTCCACCGAAGTATACATCCGCCTTGCATTGGAGGCAACCAGTGTTCCTGGTAATGGGGAAATCGAGACCTGAGCGCGCAAATCACTGCACCAAGTAGATCGATCCCATCGCAAAATAGATCCAAAAAAACCTCGTACCTCACAGAAATTCGATCGCGAACTCCACGGGCAAGCCGTATGCGTATGCATGTACATGTATGCTGGGGACGACAGAAGTCCTCCGAGTGAGACCTGTCAGATGCGGCAAATTTGAGTTCCAAGAATAGTTACTTCGTACTATGCACCGCGGGCGCCTGCTAGATCTGTATACTAGGGAGTTATCCTTGCAGGAGCTGGTGGCGGCTGCACCAGTCGGGAAATAGATTCCTGCCCAGAAGATCGGTTGTACCTGCGCAGGGATCAGAGTATCGCCGTCGAGTTTGTTTGGGGTGGTTCTCGCCTCGTGAACATTTGAATATTTTGGCTTTTATTTTTCTAACGTACTTTTGCACATTTAAAACCCACTACCGGTTTAGGTAGTCAGTCGGCAGTGCACTAAGTCAAGTCGTACAAGGAGAAATGGTAAGACGTAAGATCCACATGGCTTTGGGACCGTGGATCATGATTGCCCTTGCTGCTAATCTTGTCCTCTTTGATACCATGTACGAGAGAACAATTATTGCCTAGCTCGTACATGGGCAAGCCATGATGGTCAGCAATTGTCGGTAATAGGCTTCCCCCAATAATTAGACCGGAAGTATACACAGCCTCCTCCGTCATGGCTCATATAATGACACTCAGTATAGCGGGAGCCTGCAATTTTATGCTAGCGGCTTAAGTGGTATTCATTTGCGTTTCCCGTGGGGGAAGACAGCACGTACGTACCGAGTGCAGTGTATAAAAGGGGCAAGAGAAAAATGTGAATAAAGTAATTTTCTATGTATCGTGTTATTAAGTTGGGGAACAAGTCATCCAATCCAAAAACACGGAAAAGCAAAGAGGTCGATCATGCATTTGGGGAAACCCGATCGAATCGCACATAATAAGTAACAACGCACAATGGGAAGAGAGTCAGCCATGCACGCTACAACCTGGGGGATCCATATTCATGCGTCTAGGTAAATTAGCACCAAATTCCCTATACCCTGTTGCCACCAGGGAATGGAATCTTGCATTATGCATGAACCGGTACTTTTAACGGCTTGGCGTAGATCTAGGCCAATATTGTATGTAGATGATTTTCGTTCTAAATCACACTCGGTGATACCCAAACTGAATAGAAATCAATCTGAAATCATGGCCATATCATTAGATATTTGACGTTTCTATAGGACACATGCAGTAGTGTAGAAAATTAAAATCCCATAGTCGTTACACTGCCCCGCCGACAGATGAAACTTGACAGGTCAGGGACGGCACGGGAGCGGCTGACTCAACTAAGTACTACTATTGGGAATAATTTGGCGCGTTGGCGCGAGGAGGACACCCAGCACTATCATTGGCTCTGAGGCTACCGTTAGCTTTGATTAGCACCGTGGTAATCAAGCGTCTAAATTGGACAGACTGACGAGGTGGCTGGGTTCCTTGCACCTGATAGCCGCACTGGACGGAAGTATCATCCGAGGCTATTGCAAAGGCTGTACTCAGTATGATATGAGAAATGTGGTTACAGAATGAGTGGCCACCTAGTCATGTACATACAACCACCTAGATTGTGCAGAGGAGACTAGGTTTGGAGCCCACTGAAAAGCAATTTACGATTGATCTCGGTACATGAAGGATAATAGATGCATATGTTCATAATGACACGCACACAGGCACATAAAAGACGAGCACGAAGTGAGTTCAAGAGCATAAGCCGGTCCCAGTGGTAGGGCGTGATCTCTGATCTCATAAACTTTATGTTTTGATTTACCATTCGGAAGATGCGGAGAGGAGACACTAGATGCACGTCACTTGAAATGGTAAGTAGGGAGGCAGAAAACAGATCTGAAGCGTGAAGATCGCTGGGCCCAGATGGGTCCGGGGAACTACCGGAACAGCTGTAAAGTTGGAGCCAGCTAAAATGGTTCGTGTCTACATAGTTTCCCCTCGAATTACTGCACTCTTTGCATGCCGTCTGCAGATGGCTCTTAGGTGCAGGCGTGGAACCTAGTGGGAGACCCAGATCGGGATCATCTGTGAGATTCAAACTAGAAAACGTGAAAGGCAGGGAAATAGGTTTTTGATAGGGGTCTGCAGATAAAAGAGGAGACTAGAGACGAGGGATATCTCTTCCGGTAACTATAGAGTGGACTCACTGCATGGAATGCATGGAATGGCAACTAATTTCTATATTGTTTTTTTTCTGTCAAGGCATTGAATAACCACGATTCAATAGTAAGAACCAGAATATTATGAACACGAAGACCAGAACGTGGGACTAGTGTCTTTGATGGGGCTTAACATGAGACTCGATTCAAGACGGGACGGAGAATATGACAGCTCTAATTCTATATGACCCACTCTGGTCCTTAACAAAGAACGCGGCATGGGGTTGTTAAGTTATAAAGGGATAGATATCAAGTTATGGAAGTATTTGAGATTAAGAATAAATACAAGTGTACAGAAATTAATCGAGAAATCCCTCAAAAAAATAGGATGATGGTCACTAGAACATAGGGCTATGTCCACAAGGGGAACGTGTCATTTTTAGGGCCTTCGCTAAGAATAATCAATAAAGCTAACCTTTTAACAACTTAAGTCAAATTATTCCGAATTTAAAACTAATATCCATCCCCTCTGACTCGTCTATTTCCTTAACGTCTGTGTGTTGAGAGAAATTCCAAATTATCTTAATGATTCGCTGCCTGACAGCAAAGGTACCCGGTGCTTGGGTCAATCGCTGTCCCAAGTTGCTGGTTTCCTCGAGCGATCATTTCGGTCGGGCCTCTTCACTTCAAATGATTCGTTTGACATGCGACGATAATGATTAAATGAAATTTGACGTTAATTCCATAACGTTCAAACTTGACCCTTGCCACTTTGTAACGTTTCGTATATCCGTTCTTGTGCCCAACTTTGTATAGAGCTAGATACCTCCTCGCATTGTTGGAGGATGACACTTTGAGGTCCTTGCTTGATTCTATTAATTCTAGCGACTTTAGGGTCAATTAGAATTTGCCAGAAGTTCTTACGAGGGGGATCGTCTGGTTTATTATTGTAGCCCCTTGATACTCTACTATAGCCACCGGAGCTTCTCCTGAATATCCATGCAACAGATCGAGGTGCATGCTTTAGTTTTGCTGCAGTGGGCGTTTCAAGACCAAGATCGAAGCGGGGATGTGATACTACATGTTGTATGTAGGGACGGTTCGATATAGATCCATTGGAATATGTCCATATGTACAATATAGTGTAAATCTTAGTTTCTTCTACTTTTTACCCGTTTGAGTAAATCTGTTAATCCTTTTGTATTCGATTTATGAGTATTTAGGTTCTCTAACACAAGAATGGCCGGAGAATATGATTTCCAAAGATCTCCCATGTCATTAATTGGGATAACTATTGATGCAAGGACCTAACAGTGTTGCCCCTAAAATCTTCCCCGTGTCGATCGTCAACAACCCAACAGCCCGGTGACAAATCAAGGGCCCTGGATCCTCATCATGAACCTTTCACTCGGGCTTGATCGAACTGCTATGATTTGTCGATCTGAGAGCACTGTATGTGAGGTTCGGTCTGTGCATGATGTGACAGATAATTCTGTGATACAAAATATTTTTGCATCGTTCTCTGGTGCTTCTTTCTGGGCCCAAGCGGGCACTAGCAGATGGTCCAGAGCATCCACCCGGGATGCCCGTCTTTCTTCCCCGTTCTTATGCCGGTGGGGCAGACAATGCACTGTCTGCTGTCTGTATGACATTCCCGATTCCGCGCTTGATGTCTCTGTAGAGAGGATCGGCCCTGATCGTTCACGGTTCCCCTCTCCTAGGTCTGCAGCGGTACGAGTTTGGTCTACTCCAAAGTACCCTCCTCGTTTACATATAAACATGCATCCCAGCCCGCATGGTTTTGTTTTGTCTCACTCCTTGTATACAGCCTCGTGTGGATTTTGATTCTTTCACCTCTTTGTCCATAACTCCCCTTTTGTTCATAACCTTGATTGTGCATATATACAACGCCATTGTTTTATCTGCACTTCGACCCTTGCTATAACCGACGACTCATCAACGACCCATCTGAACATATATTCAAGGAACTACCAACAGCCCTGATCTACCAGTATATAGTTCCTCGCCATACTTCGTGCACTCCGACATATCCAGCATTGCATATATCGCCCATTACTTGAATATTTCCAGCAATGTATGAAGAGATGGCCCGCATGACTGAAGAGATTCCTCGCCGCTGCTCTCTGCCGTAAGCCGTTTCCATGATATCCTTTTGATATCAGTCAAATCTAACATGGTCTCAAGTTCTCTCAAATCATCTACCAGCATGACTAGCATGGGATCCTCCGACGTGGGTGAAGAGCGTCGACTGCCTCCCCTCCCTCAAATCTTGCCTCTTCCTTCCCGTGGTCCCTTCAACCCATTCAACGCCAAAGATGCCCTAGTTCCCACCACCCCCGGGCCTCAGGATACCTTCCAATTCAAGTCACCATGGGCAGCTGCCGAGCACATTGTCGCTCCTCCTTCACCGGCTAACTCGGCCGAAAGCTCCTGGCAAGAATCCTTTGCCATGCAAAAGTCTGGTGCAGGAGACTGGCCCAATGACCTCTCTCCGAACGAGATCATGGCCCTTGTGGCCCCGCAGAACCTCAACCGCAAAGCCCCACTACAGCAGCTCTGTGGCCGTAAGCGCAAGGGCAGTGCTCAATCTAACGAAGATGATCAGCGCGAGAAGCACCGCATCGCCGAGGGCAATCGCCGTAGCAACCTCAGCGAGCTGCACCGCCAGCTGGACAGCCGCATCCACGACTTCTTCCTCGAGCGTGCAGGCTGGAACCCTTCCAAGAGCCTTACTCAATCCAAGGAACACATTGTGCAAGGAGCCATCTACCTAGTGGACTTCATGCTTGCCATTATTGTCCACCTCATCCGCCAGGAACAGGTCACACCGCAGCTCTCAGAGAAGCTGCAGCCCCAGGTCCGCTGCATGCAGTTACAGCAATTGGTCAGCTCCCTGCAGCAACAGAACCAGACCGCCCAGCAGCAGCTCAAGGCCACCAAGGCCGAGAATGAGATGCTCGCTGACCGCAACCGCGCCCTTGAATTTCAGCTCAAGTCCTACGAGCAGATGTTCCGCTCCCCCAAGGCTGAAAGCACCAGCCCCGGCCCTGTTCTCGAGTTCCCGGAGCACAAGCGCCAGAAGAAGAACGGCCTCCCTGGTCTTCGGGTATTATGTGGCGAGATTGCTGCCAACATGGGCTCCGAGCCTTCATCCGCTGTTGCCTACCATGACTCTTTGCCCAGCTCTACCTCGCAGTCTTTCAATAGCTCCTACCTCACTGCTACTCCACCCATGACTGGTCCTTCCTCGCCTGCCTTCCCTCCTTCCCACGCTTCCTCCTTCACATTTCCCTCTGGGCCTCGTCGCCACTCTCTCATCGGGTCTCCATAGAAACGCGATGGAGCCCGATGCTCTGATGATATCATGACTCCTTCCTCTTTAACTTTATCTTTCTCCATCCCCTCCACTTTCCATGAATCCCTTGCGGCAGCGGTCCCTTACTCTTGCGTTCAGCTCGATACTTCCGTCCATGTGCATCTAGCGCCTGCATTGTAACAATATTGCTTTTGTCTGTGGGATAAACGCAATGTTCCCATTTTGCTCGAATCCTTTTCCTTTGTTGATTGCTTTCGGTGCCCGCCAGGTTCCTTTTGTCACTTTTCTTGCTTCAACAAAATGGGTATTTGTTTTATTTTTATTGTCTTTTGGCGTCAGTGACCGTGTGGATATATGATTCGTTGGATATATTTTGGTTTTCTGTTTATTTTTATCTTTCTTTTGTCACTTTTACTTTTTCATGTCTATAGCTACGACTCAATGAATCTTTTTCAAGTGAACATGGTGCACCTTTTCCACTGATCATCCTACCGTGAATAAATTATAAAGTGTCCTCTGGTTGGTAGTCAGGCTGCCTGGTCACCCAGGTTGTGCAATGGGAGCATACTGAAACAGCAGAACCTTTACTATGGACGTGCCATATTCATAATCCCAGCCTCTTTGTCACCAAATCTTCCCTCTTTTCCTTCTCGCCGGTTGATATGGTTCTACGCAGTATGGTTTGATTCAGAATACTTACTGGCTGGACGAATACATAGTGTACAACGATGTGCACTTGTTGGTCCTATGGCTCGATCCATTTCCTAACGAATGTGGTAGCCTCGGTGATGATTGTCGCAACTTTGAGCCGGATCCATTGGACTGAGCCCCAAACGCTGACAACCAAGAGCCTTGTGGAATAACTAAATACACGCATATGAGCCATATATTTAGAGTGGATTGTTGTAACCTCAATCTGTTTCCACCTGATATTCTTGCTTTCTTTTCCTTGGCTTACTACGCTGTTTAAAAGATACATGTTAGCTTGGTGAAAAAAGACGGTCCTTAAGACGAACCTTGAATCACCAGTCTCTATCAAAAGCAAACCCTGGTTTTGCAATGTATTAAAAGGAAGAGAATTAATTGAATCATGAGAGCAATCCAGGATTTTTGCAGCATATAATCCGTTGGTGTTTTAGGCTGCTCTATGAACATCGATATGTATGTCTTGACCCCTCAGCCTAATTACACTTCAAAGTTCAATCCAAGTTTCAGTATACATTGTAAGTCTGGTAATATCTCCATAATGAAGTGCTCCTCGTACCCGGAGTTTTACCTGGTATGTTCGTCCATCCGCTCTTACTATAAGGTCTATATGTCTATATTACTCCAAGCTAAGAAGGATATGTTGATACATTCGTCACATTATAGCCTATGTATACATATACTCTTTGGGAGTACCTAATTATATAGGAATTCAACAAATCTTGCACAGAATGTCTAACTATTATACAACGTACGATGTAATAGATGTAGGATGAATGGACGAATCAGGCGTCGATGAACAACGGGCTTGTCGATCTCAGTGGAGACGGTCGAGACTGCTGAAATGGACAAGTGTCTCCATGGTTCATATTTGTAAATTTGCATGCAGCTTGTTCTCCTTTGAAAACAAAGTAGAATGTGAATCAGATTAGCTATATTGATAGCTATCTATGTAAGTATGTATTAAATTACATATGCAAAGAATATATAGAAAAGCGATATGGTCTCTAGATTCGTGCAGTTGTCTCACTTTTTCCTCCAGTGCTCAATAAAAGTCTTAGATTTCCAATTAAATTTGGACACATTTATTAGACATAATTATAATCAAATATCCAATGAAGCAAATTACCAAATTGTGCAGGGGAACATAAATAAGCTGAGCACGCAGTATCACCGTGATGTGTGACTGTGAGTAGCCCCGTAGCCCCTTATACAATATTTTATGTACTTTTTTCTACGGGATTGCGTGTACACTGACACGCGGAATTTGTACACACGCACAATACACGTTTTCTTTGAAATTTTAGAATCTACACATGTATATTGTGTGATTGAATCTTTTTTTACAGATTAGAATTAATCCACCAAATTCTAGTAAGTAAAGATCTGGACGATCACACGAGACATTGAGACTATAAATAAAATAAAAAAAAGGGTCTTCGAGGCTGTCAAAATCCATTGAAATAAGGCTGGATTCGGCTTTGAGATTCTATCGAAGTGACTACATATGCTATGATATATTGAAGTTATAAGTTCAAACCGTAGAATTGATTCCAATAGATAATTCAATCAAGTTCTTCACAAAAATGCCAGTAAAAAGTGAAGTGTAGTTGTTTTTTGCATTGCTGCTGATTTTCTGATTTTAGCCGTTCCCTCTTGGCAAAAGGCAGCGCATTCATTTCCCCCGATCCCCGTCACTCCTCTTTTCTCTCCCTATCAACCCTTCATATTTCGCATTTTGCTTCTTACCACCGTGGTCCTCCCGCCCTCTCTTCGCCACATTCGTTCGGTCGGGGGGTAATCGACGGGCCAAACTTCGACACCCCGGATCGCCCTGTTACTCCTGAATTCAAACGCGTTTCCGTCATGTTGTTGCCAAAGGGTGGTGTAAATTGGAAGTCGGCCAAGGCTAGACTCCCACCATGGAGGGCAGTCGTCATACTATTAACAAGGACTCGCTTTCTGGTCTCGATTGCCTTGACCGGGCTGCTCTTCCTCATGTGGCGCGGCGTCAGCAAGTCGGCTTCGGAGATGCAAAAGTGAGTGAACCGTTGCGAATCGAGGGCTTCGAAGACTTTCATACTGATCTCACTAGTTTCTACTGCTACGGCTCCAGTAAATCACCGATGGAAATGTCCATCAACGAAATGGTTGAGTGGAATGCGCACGCCCAAACCCCCGTCCTCTTCAACCGTCACGAACCTTATGAAGTCAACTCCACCTCTATCGAAGATGTAGACCTGAACCCGATCAAGTCTACCATCCAAGCTGTTAAGAACCGTGAACGTGTCCTTATCTTGACCCCTCTGCGCGACGCCGCTCCTTATCTGGCCAAATATTTCGACCTCTTGTACAAGCTGACCTATCCCCACGAATTGATTGATCTGGCCTTCCTCGTCGGTGACTGCAAAGACGAAACCCTGGCCAATCTTGCCTCCGAACTCGATCGTATCCAGAACCACGCCGATGAAAAAGTCCGCTTCCGCAGTGCCACCGTTATCCGGAAGGATTTCGGTGCCAGCACTGAGATGGATGTGGCTGAGCGTCACTCGTTTGCCGCTCAGGGCCCGCGACGCATAGCTATAGGCCGTGCCCGTAACTACCTCCTGTACTCCGCTCTGAAGCCCGATCACTCTTGGGTGTACTGGCGGGATGTGGATATTACAGACTGCCCCGAGCGGATCTTGGAGGACTTCATGGCCCACGATAAAGACATCCTTGTGCCTAGTATGTGACTTGTCTCTGAATTTGGGGCCGAAAAACCAGCTAACATTCAATCCACAGACATCTGGTTCCACCGTTACATAGATAATCATGACATCGAAGGTCGCTGTAAGTTACACCGAAATCCTGCGTGCCATGCAACCTGCTAACTTTGCCCTCTATAGTCGACTACAACTCATGGATTGAATCTGACAAGGGCCGCCGCCTACGTGCAACTCTGCCCACCGACACCGTTCTGGCCGAAGGCTACAAGGAATACAACACCGGCCGTACCTACCTGGTCAGCATGGGCGACTGGCGCAAGAACAAAGACGAAGAAGTGGAGCTTGATGGAATCGGTGGTGTCAACATCCTCGTCAAGGCCGATGTCCACCGCTCAGGCATCAACTTCCCGGCCTACGCCTTCGAGAACCAAGCCGAGACGGAAGGATTCGCTCGCATGGCCAAGCGCGCTGGCTACAAGGTGATCGGACTTCCCAACTACGTGGTCTGGCACATCGATACCGAGGAGAAACCTGGTAATTTGGGAGACCGCAAAGCGTTCTAGATTCCAGTCATTTCGACCGTCGGAAATCTCACCGCTTGGGATCCAAGTCGATCTTTGATTCCGCCCCGTTCTCGAACATCCAATCTCCATTCCCACCGCCGACCAATGCCATCAGGCTAAACTGCGGCGGCTTTCACTTTCTTTCCCTTGTGACCCACATTTCTCTTTCTCTCTTTCTCTCTTTCTCTTTCTCTTGGAGGGATGTTCGCAACGGAAAGCCTTATGATTTCCCTAATCCTGTGTCTTCGCGTTAGGGAGTGTGTGTATTTGTTACCTTGGCGCTACGGGGGAAAATGTTTGGCGGGTCGCAGGTCTATAGAGTTCTTTCTCCAGGCCTTTTGATATACTGAATTTGTGCCTCTGAGAGACCCTTTCCAACTGGATTGTGTGTCCGGGCATGTATGTACACTGGAATGATTTTACTTTCATCATCCGTTTTGTTTCTTACGCAATCATAGGGACCGACATCCGGAACATTACTGTCATGTCTTTTTTTTCTTATCAAGTCTATTTGGTATCGATTCTGCTCTGCTGGTCTCCTTTTCCGCTTTGTATAAGCATTGCCTTGTTAAAGAACTACTCACATGTATATAATAAATTGCTTCAATATGGTTCTGCCGAACGTACACATACCAGTGTACAATATTGTAGTACAATAATTGTAGATGGAGTCTCCGGTGGCCACGGCTATATCGCCCTTTGGCAGACACCCAAAATCAAACCTCGGCCAAACAAACCTACCCCCATCCGCATTCCATAAAGAACCCTCAATTGCCCTCCAATTTCCCTTTAATCCCCCAATTCCTCTGGAGGATCCCCTAGAAAATGACAGTCCTCCGTCTAGCCCGCCTACCAACCAATCTCCCCGCTTTCCCCCACGTTCGGCAATTCGTCCCACCACACCTCTCCTCAGCCTTTGCAATCCGCCCCCAATCCTCCCTATACACCCTCCAAACTAGCAAAATGTCCACCTCACCCGCCAAGAAGGAATTCCTCTGCATCCTGCCCGACAAGCCCGGCGCGCAGGCCAAGCGTCTGGAAGTTCGCCCGTGAGTGCCTTGTACTGGCTCGGAGCCGTGTGGCCTGTGTTGATTGCTAATCCATCCTCTCCTAGTCAGCATCTCGAGGGCGTGAAACCCCACGTCGCATCTGGCGCTATCGTTGCTGGCGGTAAGTGGTGCTCTATTGAGAATTGAGACGCTGTGGCCTTTGAGCGGTGGTCGGCTGATACCTGATGCTTCTAACTAGGCGCAATGCTCAATGCTCACCCCGCTGAAGGAGAGACTCCCTCTTTCAAGGGTAGTATGATGATGGCTGTTGCGGAGAATAAGGAGCAGGTTCTTGAGCTGTTGAGCAAGGATATTTACGTCACTTCTGGCGTGTGGGATATGGAGAATGCGCAGATTATTCCGGTATGTTGGAACCATGAGGTTGGGAGTTGAGCTAGTGTGCTGCTGTTTGCTAATCTGATTTGTTTGTTTAGTTCAAGTCTGCTGTTCGGGAGGCTCTGTAGGTCGCATGGGCATGTTTGGTTTAGCTTTGCATTGTATTGGACTGGTTGATACCTGTGTAGTAGTATGAATTACAACATTGGTTATTAATCTTTCTGGTTGTATTAGTGGATTTGACTTAGAGCTCTGGAAGGAGGGCCTATGTCTTCTGGTATATCTGTATCGTGTAAAAGTAACTCCGGGTGTTCTATTGAAGAGCTCTTCGGAGGACCCATGTATTCTGGTATAATTGTGTATCGTGCAAAGGTAACCCCGGGTGTTTTATTGAAGAGCTCTTCGGAGGTGAGGCGCATCTTGTATAGGGAGGGGAAAGTAAAAGTAGAGGAAGTCAGTTTCCTCTCTATATTATTAAAAGAAAGGCAACTATGGAGTCAATTTTATGGATTTTGGCCACGAAACCGTTCCCCCCAATATAGTATCCGCTCAGCATCTTCTTAGAAGCCGGTCTAGACGTTAGGGCACCTTTGCAGATGCACATGCTTAATAGTGAGGGGTTAAAAGCGTTTCAACGTTGTAAACTACAAGAAATTACAATATTGTATTTCTTGATTTGGTTTGAATATCCCGGTCCGGGCGAACAAGCGGAGGCTTGTTTCCGTCTCCGAGTTGCTATCTCCGCGGGGATAAGCTCCGCGGGGATAAGCCATGAGGTGCCAAAATGGAGTGTATGATATTCAATAGTTTCACATGTAATTCAATGTACAGTAGTTATCAAATAGAAGAAGTAAGAATTGAGATGAAATAATGCCCATCACTACCATTCAAGTCAACTCCACAATTTGATATCATCGCTCAACAATTGGTCATAGAGACGCGGGAAACAAGACGATGGCCGGAAGAGTCCACCGCGGACAACTTGAGTGGTGCATCAGGGTCGCCACCCCTGATAACTGATATCATCAACAAGTAATTTGACTGGCATACAGAACGAAGTCTCCAATTAAAGCATCAGTCTGAACTCTGGCCATAAAACATCGGAACAATAATACAGGAATAGCAAAGGATAGAAGGAAATGAAGTCATCTCCGACGACCGGCGAATCCGGACCTAGCTTTTACCCCATTAGGAATAGCGTGGCTTATCTAATGGATCAGATTATTTATGAATTCATCACTTTTTCTCCCTATCAGATCCATCATTTTGCCTCACAGCTACCCAACTACTCACATTCAACTCACCAAATAACACAATCTATAATATCAACATGTTCAAGCGTCTCGCCACTGTTGCCCCTCGCGTGGGCTCTGTTGCTACTCGCAGCACTCTCTCTCCTCTCGCCAGCCTGCAATCTACCCAGCCCGCTATTCGCCGCACTGCTGCTCCCGTCCAGCGCCGTGGATACCACGAGAAGGTCCTCGATCACTACAACAACCCCCGCAATGTGGGATCCATGCAGAAGGGTGATCAGGATGTTGGCACTGGTCTCGTCGGTGCCCCCGCTTGTGGCGATGTTATGAAGTTGCAGATCCGCGTGAACAAGGACTCCGGCCGTATCGACGATGTTGTCTTCAAGACTTTCGGATGTGGCAGTGCGATCGCTTCATCGAGTTATTTGACCGAACTTGTTCGCGGTATGACTCTCGATGAGGCCGGCAAGATTAAGAACACCGATGTGGCGAAAGAGTTGTGCTTGCCTCCCGTCAAGCGTATGTTATCCTTCGTACTATCTGTGGATGTTTTGATATAGTTATACTAACTGTTCTTTCTTTTCAGTCCACTGCTCTATGCTCGCTGAGGATGCCATCAAGTCTGCCATCGCCAACTACTACACCAAGAACCCCAACACCCGCGTCACAGATCTTTCCGGAACAGGTGGTTCTATTCCCGATGTTAAGGTCGAGATGGAGCAGACTGCTTCCAGCCCTGCTGCTATCTAAGTTTGCTCTTTTTTTCCCAGTGCGCTCGACGGATACCGCTTCCGTACGCAACTCACTCGTTTGTGAAATCTGCGACTTCGAGGTTGTTTAGTACACAATCTTTTGATCAAGGATGGTCTTGCTTGTCAGACAGACTTGACAAACCCCAATTTGGAATGGATTTGTCTTGTTTCCGATGGCACCGAGTGTGCCTCGGTTGGCAATGGATGAGATGAAAACAAGCAAATTGCCCGATTTGTTTGATTGTACATATTCCCTTTTCCTTTTCACTCTTCGATACGTTTTTTCTTTTTCCTGTTTTCTGTGACGGCGCCTCGGTGGGATCCTTGATCGATACTCTCTCATCTTGATTTTATGAAAAGCAGCGCCTTGATAGTTTCTAATGAAACGATGAAACCAGAATGTCTCTCCAATTCAATAACAAAGTAAACTAGAATGAAGATAAATATGTATAATCCCGTCTAATGTATTGTGTATCTGCAATCTATCTATTTGTACAAAACCACATAGGATCTTTTCTTTTCAGAACGGAAAAACAACACTTCCAGGTCATCGCAAAGAGATGGAAGTGAAAGAAAAACGAAGGTAAAACGCCATCGCCGATGCACAGATGGACCACTTCAGACAATCCGTGCCCATAACCAAAACAAGGGATATATGTTAACAAAATGAAAAGGCACCAAAACAGACCCTCTAGGCGCTCCGGAGCCCGAAGCGAGTCTTGAGAGACAGCAAAGTTTCATATACAGACAGTTTCACCTCAACGCGAAGGAAATTGGCATAGGCACCCAAGAAGCGGAAGAAGTTAGCAAACACACCGCCAGACTCTCTGATGAATTCCATCTGTTCCTGGAAAACAGTGCGCGTAGCATACCGCGCCAAAATCAGGAACGAGCGCATCGGTCCCTGCCGGGTATGGAGGTTCTCATCTAGACTGCGTGCTGGAGGAATATTAGCAATTGCAGTAAAACCAAATTCGTCATCGCAATACGTACTGAGGTCATTAGTCTTCAAGATAAGCAGTATAATCCGCGGAACCTGTCCAAGCAATACAACCAACTGCTGCAACATTCCCTCGCCCAATGCGCCCGAGATTTCATCCTTCTCTTCTGCCGTCCGCGAAGAAACAACACTCTGCTTCGTGAGCACGCTGTAGTCCCGCCCGGTGATAGCACTGGCGAAGAGCGGGAACTGCTCGTCTGTCACGCCGGCGACTTTGTGTGCATACTCGCGCATGCGCGGCACGTCCGCATCAATGACTGCTAGCCAGAGCTTGGCGTAGTTGCGGCGCAGGTCGCGGTCGATGGTGCGGTATAGGCCGTGGTCGTAGAGGATGATGTCGAAGTTTGGATGGGAGCGTGTGTGGTTAGGTCGGATGGCGATGTTGCCGCCATGAGGGTCGCAGTGAAGAGGGGCGTTGTCACCAAAGATCATTTCGTTGAAGATGTGTGCGAAGGCTGCTGAGACTTCGTCGCGGTCGATTTTGTTGGCGTCTAGGTAGGCGAGGTCATCTGGGCGGCGGCCTGCGATGTATTCCATTACTAGAATGCGTTTTTGGGACCATTTCACTAGACTTTGTTAGCTTTATAGGTTGAATGCGACGGAGAGATGTGTACCTTCAGGAATCACCAATGGGGCGTTGGAGTGCTTCTTAAAATACTCGCTGGCGTGAGTCGCATTCTGCGCTTCCATGCGGAAGTCCAGTTCTTGAGGCAGCGAGAAATCCATCTCCTTGGACAACCATTCCAGATCATACTCGGGGAAGAAGCGTTTCAGCATGGAGAAAGTGAACCGGGTCAAAGCGAGATCTAACGGCACCCACTCGTCCAGCGCGGGGTGCTGGACCTTCACAGCGACTTTCTGTCCGGTTTCTTTCAAAGTGGCAATGTGTACCTGGGCCAGGGAGGCGGCGCCGATGGGTGTCGGCTCAAAAGAGTCAAATAGCTCGTCTATGCTCTGGCCTGTGTCTTTGCGGAATAGATCGCCAATTGACTCAATTGATGAGACGGGGCATCGGTCTTGGAGCGGGATGAAGGTCGAGGTCCATTCGATCGGAAGGAGGTAGCCCATGCTGCTGAGATGTTGGCCTAGCTTGATGAAGATTGAACCGTTTTTCTCTAGCACTCGGAGGGTGCGCTCGGCGCAGCGTTTGTGGCATGCGCGAACCAGTGCCGCGTGTTCTTCGGGGGTGGAGGCGTCTTGTTTGAGGGTGACACGATAGCTGCGAGTCAGTACCATGTTAGCGACGTCGTCAAAGTAAAGCACATGGACACAATATGGAGCCAAGGCATTGAACATACTCGTTGATACAGACAGCCAGTGTGCCAACAACACGGCCACTGCGCTTGGCCGCACCAAACACATGTCCTGCTTGTTCGGAGAACGCAAAAGCACCCATACCAATGACACCAGCAATAATCAACCACTTGACCAACTTCCGTTGTGATCCCGCCTTGGCTTTCTCTTTAGACTGATGTTGCCCAATCTCTGACAAAAGAGGCGCCTTCACGGAGAAGAAGCGACGACCGTGCGAGGCCCATGACGGAGCATTGTATGCGGCACATAGTGGCGATGGTCGTAGCAGCGAACTCGACGGCAGAACGAACGAGGAACCGAATGTTGAGGCTTTAGTTGTTTTCCCGATCACTGCGAGGGGATCAATCTTGGATGCCCGCCACGGCACGCGATGCGCTACGGTCATACCGAAGCGAGGGCCTGCGGCCAAAAGAAAAAAAGAAAAGTTAAGCAAAAGGGGCCTGGTACTGTCAGACGTCTTTTGGTTCAATTCATCGTATGATCTCCATGGAGATTTTTCAAGGTTCTCGCCAATCGGCCTTCGGCATTCCACGTGATCCCAATTTATATCATCGGCCCATAATAGAGGGAGTTCACATTCTTGATTATTTGGAAGTTATGGCCGGATGGAACTCGCTATGGATGGAGTTGAGTGATGCAGAGATATGATATATACATATATATATACAAGTATATGGACGAGAGTGGTAATTTACGTGCATGTCTAGCCTACGCCTCCAAGCCCAATAATAAAGTGAAGAAATAATTATGTTTGATACAAAAAAAAGGTTGAGTGTACTCTATGTGCAGCAACTTGTGCTTCCACAATGACAAAGGGGGTTTACACAAACACAAAGATATAACACCAGAATCCATCAATCCGAGTCCTCCTGTCAAGAACGCCGTTTCCCATGTGGGTCAGTATGATGATAGGCCGATGGACAATGAAAATTGCGAATGCAATGACACAAACATATAGTCCGACATTTGATTCTTCCAGGCGTCAGATTACGTCCATTCAGAGTCCGCCAGGGTGGGACGGCGGCGTCGAGGGATGATCGAAGGCCGGCGGCTCAAGGAGCTCGGAGTACTACTATCATCTTCCTCGCGCAGCATTTCAATTTGAGACATTCGGTTAGAGAGAGGTCGTGCAGATCTGGGCCTGGCTGCGGCCGCGTTGCTCGAGTTCACGGCTGACCCAAGGGCTGGGCTACTTCCATCCCGGCTGCCAGGTCTCATAGCCAGAGAGGATACGCCAAGGGAGTTGCGTGGATGTCGGGGTGTCTCGCGGCCTTCCAGATACCCTCTGGACTGACCGGCGCGGTTTGACGAGGGAGTGGAGGGGGTAGAGGAGCCCGAGAATAAGATTGGTGGGGTGGTAGATGTGCTTTGTCGCCGAGCCGTAGTCGGTCTTCGTTTGGCAACAAATGCCTCGCTGGATCGTACCAGCTTGCCTGCCATATCTCTGACCAGGATAGCGGGGTCATTTTCCATATTTCGGATAGAATCAAGAAGACCATATGTTGCGAGTAGCCCGCCTTGGTCTTCATTGGAGTCACAAATACTGGCAATTATGCGTAGAAGATTAAGACGAACAGCAGCTTTGCTGTGGTGGAGCTTCTGCCTCAGTCTTGTGAACAGGTCGGATCGCACAAATGTGGATGCAACCTGAGGGCTGAGACGCACGAGCTTTTGCAGAGGCTCAAGGGTGTTTTCGAATGCGTTAGCTTTGGAAAGCTTCAAACATTGTACGACGGCATCAGTAAATGTCTTGCCATCTTTAAAGATACCTTGCAGCAGGTGCTCTTCGACCTTGGCAGTTTCTTCTTGAAGCCTGTTGTTTATTGTCAGCATTATAAATCTTCACGATTTTCCACAGGATACATACCAGGTATGAATAGCATCCAGAGCAGTGACCTGCCAGTATGGATCTTCTAACAAAGAGATGTAGAAGGCTAGACCCTTGTTGCGCCACAACTCGCGACGACCGACCTTTCCAGACTGTGCCATGTCACAGAGAATTGGGAGAGCGAACTCTTTCAAAGGACGCTCTGTGTTAGTAATCTTTTGCAGAAGTGGCACTATGCCGTTTAGTGCGGCGTCTTCTTGTCGAGACTTGTTAAGACGGCACATGTTGTAGATGGTGTTTAGGATCTGATTCGAGACCTCGCGGGAATAAACTCGCTTGAAGTTTGATCGGAGCAGATCAATCAGGACATCGATTGCGTTGGAGTTCTGAAGTGAATCAAGAGTTGTTGAAAGCATGGACAGGTTTTTGATGAACTTTAACATCGTAATTTGGTGGACTGGGCTCATTCGCCGCAGTTCTTTCAAAACTCCTGTGATAATTCATTAGTACAGAGCTTTACAGAGGTTGTCTGGTAAAGATAATCCTCACTGTGCAAGACTGTTCGCTCGGCAACCATCTCCTTGACATGATTCTCGGCCTGCGAGAATATAAAAAAGATATTGGCAATACGACCCTCAATAACTTCCGCTAGCTCGCCACCCTCATCCAGAGCGCGACTCAGAACTAGAGACAATGGATCAAGAACGGAGTTGCGAGACAAGATTCTACAGAAATCGTTTTTGGGGGTGGACCCCTAGAGAGCACGGTTAGATCATAATAGCAACTTTGGGGCAATGGCAGCCAAACACTTACTTGCAGCTCAAATACACTCCAAATTCCATTCACACCAATCAAGACCAACTCGCGTTCGTCTTCGTAATCGTCCTCTAAAAACTCGACCAGAACGTTCAAACCTCCAGCACTTACGAACATCTGGAGGGTCAAAGTAGAAGTCTGGTACATCTGCTCCACGAAAGCGGCAGCCTCGAGTCGAATTTCGCGAGGGTACTTCTTCGATGCGAACTCATTGATGATAGGGATACCACCAACGAAGCAGAGATTTTCCTGGACCTCATAATCATCATAGATGATTGCGTTGACGACTCTCAGCAGACAGAATACAATGTCGCGTCGTCGAGTAGTATCAAGAATCTCGAGAATCGGTAGCATGCCGTGAGCACTGATGATAATGTTCTTGGTTTCCGGAAGATCACAGAAGATGTTGAACAACTGCTCAGAAATCTCCGCGAGGACTTCTTCGTCTTGGGATGTCTTAAGAGAGTCGACAAGACCCTCGACTTGATTCCGAAGACGTGCATACTTATCACGCGCAATATTTTCCTCCAGATTAACCTCATCGAAAGCCTCTTCCAGTTGAGCGAAGGGATCATCTTCGTCATCTTGATCTCCTAGCCATGCATTACTATTAAGCTTCGAGTTCAGCATCAATGTATTTTGGTCCGAGCCACTGTCATCACTTGTCTGATGAATGGCAGTTTGACCAGCCCCAAGAATGTCGGAGAAGTCCTCATCGTTCTCATTCTCCGCAAACCTCTGGATCTCGATTCCCGAGCGGTCTCGCTTTACAGAAAGCTGTTTGCGTAGCTGGGGTTGAGAGAAGCCAAACTGTTCATCTGGCGGGTTATATCCGATGTTCTCATGAATAGGTGATGATGGGTCATCTTCAAACTCCTATAAGATGTTAGAATTAGAAAAAACCACAAGCATTGCAGTATCAGTTACCTGGTAGCCACCTAGTTTCTGATCTAGTACATCTTCATTGGCCTTAATAAGGTCGGAATAATCGTCGACGGAGCTCTCTTTGAATAAAGTAGCTGGACGGGCAGATGGCCGAGAACCTCTTGGCATGGGATTTTGAGTAAGAATGGGAACATTTTGTGTTGCAGAAACTGGAGTGCTAGACATAGACTGGGGGCGTGTGGGGTTTTGAGACTTTGAAGGCTCTGCCACGGCAGTCTTGGTAGGATATGGTCGGATCGTTTGCACATCGTCCGAGAACACTGAGCCGTCATCAAAGCTATCAAAGCTGTCATCCGCTTTAAGTATAGTCCCATCAAGTGAAGCAAAGGCCTTGAGTTTCTCCGAAGAAAGCATGCCCCCGAAGTTATCCTGGGGCTGTAGATGCGGCAGCTTGAGTGCGCTGGGGGATATTGCGGACGCAAAGTCATCGTCCCAATTGTCCTCGCCGGGAACTGTGGGTGATCGGAAACGATCTGCAGACCTCATAGAAGTTGGTGACGGTAAGGTATCGACCAATGGGTTGTTTCTAGTGGATGGCAGGCCTGCATTGTTGGAGTTTTCGTGTTTAGGCTTTCTTTTTGAAGTCACTGTTTCGGGTGACCGCAATGCCTCGTTCCATTCTTGAACACTCTTGACGGCTTCTTCGTATTCTGTAGATTTCTTTGGGATGACAGATTCAGTTCTCCGGGCATTGACAATCCATGGATGTTTGAGCAACTTGCGTGCTGAAACTCGAAGGTTGGGATCCTTTTGGAAACATTGCATCAAGAAATCTTTCACAGCCTGAGTAAAATTAGCGTTGTTTTCGTATAAAATTGGGCAACTTGGGAGACTGTACCGGCGAAGCACCCTGTGAGAATGGAGGGTGGTCATCGTTCACGATACGAAACAATGCTGGCATTGGCTGCATATTGTGATAAGGGGGATTTCCCTCGAGCAGTTCGATGACAGTACATCCTAAGCTCCAGATATCCGAAGCAGTGGTTGCACCGGAAAGCTCGATTACCTCAGGGGCCATCCAGTATGGCGTACCAACCACACTTGATTCGCTGAGACCTGTAGTCCGGCTGGCCACACCGAAATCTGCGAGCTTAACCAAGCCTTCCTTTGTGGTCAGAATGTTGGCGCCTTTGATATCTCGGTGGATGACACCCTGTTCATGCAAGTAGAGCAGGCCATGAAGAACCTGGGACATGTACAGACCCACGAGGTTCTCGGGGAAACGACCAAAGTTCTTTGCAATCGAATGTAAGGAGCCATTTTCACAATATCTTTGAATCATTAACCTCCGTGCTCCCCTGGCAGATATCGGATGAACTTACTCAAGAATGATGTTGAGCGTTTCCGCAGACTTCACAAAACCGTGGTACTTGACAATGTTGGGGTGCTGCGATTGATATCAATATGTGTTTTGATGCGTTTTGACGGGGTATCTCACGTCAAGATTTTTCAAGAGGTCAATCTCAAGCTGTTATAGCCCCGTGTTAGCCAACATCAGACGACTGCGTACGATGCGATACCGTACCATGATCACGCGTAATTCGCTTTTTGGGAGGTCCGTCAACTTGATCTGTTTGACGGCGACAGTTTCTCCAGTGTTCCAGTTCAACGCACGATACACAGAGCCAAACGCTCCTTTCCCCAGGCAGTCGCCCAATTGCTACCATATCAAAGGACAATGTCAGCACCTGTCCCATTGATTATGCGGGGAAATGTCCATACATAGTCCTTGAGCTCAGCAACATCTTTCGCTGACGACTTCAAAACCTTATCGTCCTTTGTTTTCTCATCCCGCTTCGTCGGACTCGTTCCGACTCGTGGCAATCGCGGCTTTATCGGGGTTCCGGGTGTTCTCGACGAGGGGGTGAGAGGGCGAGTGTGTCCCTCGCTCCCTTCGGCGGATCGGGAGACCATGTTGGAACAGACTCAAGTCCGGCGTATCTCCGGTCGTGCTCAAGCGATCTGTCGGTCTCAAGATGTGGTTTCAGGTACAGGGTGGGGTGGAAGCTAGGGAAGGAGGCAAGTGCTAATAGCAACGGTCTCAGAGGTCATGTCCGCAGGTCCTAGCTGAATGTCGTTAAATAAGCTGATTTTATCAAAGCGCAAACGACGATGGACTGGAACCGTTCCAAAACGAATGTTGGGGATCAGGATCTCACCAAGCGGACATTACAGGAGGGATTCAGCTCTCACGCCCTGGAGAGCCGTTTCCACGTTGAATCGAGGCGCATGCAAGATTATCAGATAATTACCATGAGCAATTCAGCTGACTATCAATTCACTAAAGGCGACAATAAAGCGTGAAGGGAGATGACCGCAACGAAATGGTTGTTTTGAACTTTCGTGCTCCACCCGCCGCGGCTGTGCTGGACAATCGCATCGCCGATCAGCCCTATGGTCATATTACCTTAGATCTTTCTACTATTGATAATTTATATTAGATTTTGATGCATAGCCCTGATATAGCAGAGAATCAACTATAGATCGAAAAAAAACAATGGAAAGTTGTATTTTTGACATAAAGTGTTCGTCTATTTACAATTTTATAGATCGTGAACATAGAGTCAATCTATAAAGGGTATCACTTTTGGGACTCGCGGAGCAGGCGCAGCACATCAGAGACCAGATACAAGCTCCCAGCGATGACAAGAGGCCCTCCTTGGGCCTCACCGCTGGCCCATCGGATAGCAGAGAGTAAATCGCCTCCGAAACTCTGCACCTCTCTAAGATCTTGGATAGACTGAATGGAAGAGGCAAGCTCTGCTGCATCGGTTGACTGCACCCAGGGCATCCCATCGACGGGACCAAACTCTGTGGTGGCTACACGGTCCTGGGGGCGGATAATGGAGCCAAAGACTCCAGCCAGGTCTTTTCCACTCGACGCAGCAACGACCCAGGTAACAGGTTTTTCTAGAGAACGCATCCTGCGGTCAACATACTTGCCGAGAACTTCAGCAGACTGCGCATTGTGAGCACCATCAAGTAAAATAGGGGCTGTGCGATCAATGAGAGGGCGAAGGCTAAGATTTTGCAAACGGCCTGGCCATCTCACATCGGCAAGACGTGGGAGTAGCGAGAAAACATCCGCAGTCCCCATTTGAGGTTTCAACTGGGGTAGGGCAAGGTTGAGGGCGGACACGGCACAGCACATATTCTGCTGTTGGTGGGGCTCTAGATCCAAATCCTTAAAGAAAGGCGCAAGCTCGGCACACTGCACAGGAGAGACAAATGATGAATTAATCCCCAATTCCTGGATATGACTCTTCACAGTTTCGATCACTTCTGCATCATTTGTGTTGTCCACTACGCAAGGAACTCCAGGCTTCAGGATCCCCGCTTTTTCACGCGCGATCTCCCCGATCGTGGATCCAAGGAAAGCTTGGTGATCCATCCCAATCTTTGATATTACCGACACAAGAACATTATTCAAGACATTGGTAGCATCAAGACGCCCTCCCATTCCCACCTCAACGACGCCCACTTCGACACGCTCGTGGTTGAATATCTCGAAGGCCGTTGCGGTCAATAGCTCGAATTCGGAGGCTCCGATACCTAGTGTTTGGTCTCGTAGTTTGACTTTGTCTTCAATTTGTCGAAACAGTGATTCCTGAACCACCTTCTCTCCGATTGTAATGCAGTCCCATCGATCGATCAAATGCGGGGAAGTGAATCTTCCACAACGCACTCCGCCGGTAGATAGCAGATGAGATAGGTAGGCGCTGATAGAGCCTTTGCCATTGGTTCCAGCAATGTGAATGGCCTTCCATGTGAGCGGAGTCTGCTGAAGCAGACTTGCGACCCGGCTCAATCCTAGTTCGATCATTTTTCCAGATAACAGGTAATGTAAGTGTATGGTCAATATGACATGGTCAGGACAACATCAATCGAAGAGTGACAGTGAGCTTCAAGGCTGCATAGTTAACGATGGAAACAGAATAGAGCTAAAGATGTGGCTATTGTTGATCCTAAGGCTTACGATTACGGGTGAGCACACGTGACTGATCACAGAAGAGTTTAGCGGCCTTTTGGAAATATGCCGTTCTTCTGGCAGAAGTACCTTGCAGCTCCTACCGTTGTAAGATGAAATTTGAACTTCTTTTCGCACAACCTCGCCCTCTGCCCCTCTCTTCTACTGGTCGATTCCAATATACCTTGTACATGTTCTTTTTATCTATACATGTGTGTGTTTTCACATGAAACTTTACAAAGGGAAACACTCGAATCTATAATAAGGCGGTGATCAAGGCGGTTACCGACCTACGGCTAAAACTTGCCGTATTCGTTCACGCCTCAGGCTCCAATCTCCTGGAAAATTCCCCAATCTCCCCGTCTCCATCTGTCCATCCCCACAACGGCGCTATCGCACCTAGTCGCGTTCTACTTTCTTAATCATTTTGTGTTTGTCATTACTTGCCTTACTATCAGTATTTCCAGTTGTTTCGCATCAAAATCAGAATGGGAATTCCGTAAGTCATCTGCTCCTTGGACGTGTCGCATGCGCCACTGCATCACGTTATGCCAATCTAATCAATACAGGATGTGGCGTGAGCCTCCCACGGCAAACAAAACTGCAATCGAAAAGGACTCTTCCGCTGCTGCGCGCTCGTCCATCGGTCGCCGAGGACGTGCTTATCGAGCGCGTCGCTCCGGTGTTCTATCTTCATTTCACTCACAAATAATCAATGAACTCCGAGGCGGCACTTCTGGTACTACGTTAAACCCCAGTGCAAGTGCGGATCGAACCCCTGCTCGGTCTCCTATTTTGGCCAATGGCATCAGTGAAGATGGAATGACTTTGGAACAAAGTCGACGTGAGGCGTTTGGTCGGGTTCCCCATCCTCCGCGTGTGCATATGCACCGAGCATTGGACGCCCCCAGCCGACAGAACAGGAGTACTCGCGATCAAGCCTTGACAGATCTCCTCGATCGCTATGAACCTATCAACCCGATTACCGGCTCATTCGCCCCCAGTTTCGCCCCTGCTCTCGCATACCATACCAATGCTACTCGTTCCAGCAGCGTTCGCCTTCCGCCTTTGCTTCGCACCGACAGTCATGGCGATGACGCCGCCTTGATGCAGTCCAGCATGCCGCCGGACGTACGCCAATACCGGTCCGCCAGTTCTCATGCTCAAAATCGGGGGCCCGGCACAGATGGTGCCATGGATGGACTGGGTGACCGCGAGCGCAGCCCAACCTTATACGAAGGTGATGCTGATGCGTGGGAAACTTTGTTGTCGACCATCACCCCCGATGCCAACCTTCCCTCGACCGATACTTCCTTCGCTTCGACCTCAGCTTCTGCGGCTTCCAGACCTTCCCCTCCCCCGGCGTTGGGTTATAGACATGCCCCTCGTGCACATGCGGTGCTTGACCCCTATCCGGATCACCTCAACCCCTGCGACTTCTCTTCTTCGGATGATGACGATACGCCTGCCAACTACCACTCATTCATGGGCCCAGGCGGGGCTATGGCACTTCGACGTTTCCAAGATCGTAACTCGACTTTGAGTGTTCATCCTCCTCTCCTCCCAATCCCACTCTCTCTTTCCGACCAGCGCCGGCAAAGCGATGAAATTCAACAGATGCAGGTCATCCTGGATCGACTTGCCCGCCGTGAGGACATTCCTGACGATTTGTGGGCGGCAGTGGGTCTTACACGCACACTTCATCGTGGTCTTAATGCTAGCATGGATTCCACTGATACTGAAGGCCCTTCCCGATCAGGCGGCCATTGAGCATGAGCACAGCTTTTGATGAATCTGAACAGCACGACTAATGGTAATGGCGTTCTCTCTGGCCTTTTTCTTTTTTTTTGGACTATTTTTTGACTTTTGGACTATTTTTTTTTAATCGGGATGCGACTTCGGGGGCGTTGATTGGAATCATCTCTGACATCTTTCTTCATGGGCTCAATTATTTCGTGGCTGTGTTGCACCGGTTGCACCACCAATTTCAGGCGTTGCATTGGCCTTCTTCTATTGTATCCATATTTGTTGATTTAGTACTGTTGACTGACATGTATCTTGCATTGAACAAAAGGGGACAACGGCAAAGGATAGTGAATTCGTTGGCCAATCAAGCTCATCATCAACCTTCTTCCAGTATATCCCATTACTCTCTTGAGAATCAATCCTTTAGTGCTTTTGGAAGTTTTCTCAATATATTTGGCCCAGTGTTATGTTCCTAAATTCCGATACTGTATATGTTATAACTCGAAGCTCTTGCAATTCACGAAGAAATGCTTGTATACACATTTTTGCGGCGACTGGTACAGTGACGTATGCCTCGGTGCCTCGGAGTACAGCAGTCCCCACTCAATCAAAGCCCCGCGAAATCGTTATCAGGAAATTGATTGTTGCAGACAACTCCAAAAGACAACAATTACTACCAAACGAAAAATCCGCTGGACAATTGACGTGCGCAATTGCAACGGACACCCGTGACACTCAAAACACTCTGTACTACAAGACTTTGCGCAACCACAAGATACCTCCGAATCCACCAACAGTCACAAGAACTCAATTAGCCAGAGGAATCTTCCTCTCACTTCACTTCAGACCTATCCAATTCGCTGTCACGCGCACCAGAGCCAACCGTGACCACGAGCGTCGCACCAGCCATGGATCGACAGGTAGAGCACCTAGTTAACAAGACCTGGGGTAAGCATCACATCGTATCGCATCTACATAAACCAAACCTCAGACAGGGCCTTCATGAAACCGAAACCCGAAGCCTCACCCTTAGCCTCCATGAACACGCGTCAAAACCAAAGCTAACAGCCCTCCAGCAAAATTCTGCTCAACAGCAGATGACGCGCGCCTGATGATAGCAATCAGCGGCATCCCAGGCAGCGGTAAAACCGGCCTCGCAAACATGCTCGCAAGCCGAATCAACAAGATCTACGCCTCAGAAAACCCAACCTCACCTACACCTATAGCAAGCGCCCTCCCAATGGACGGCTACCACCTCACGCGCGCACAGCTAGCAGCAATGCCAGACCCGGCATTCGCGATAGCCCGTCGCGGCGCAGCATTCACATTCGACGGAGAGAAATTCCTATCTCTTGTTCGGGCCTTACGGACACCAATAACCAACCAGACTGGATCTCTCCACGCTCCGAGTTTCGACCACGCCGTCAAGGATCCTGTTGATGGTGATATCGCCATTCCAGCTGAATGTCGGGTCTTGTTCTTCGAGGGGAATTATTTGAGCTTGGACAAGGAGCCTTGGAACACAGCTGCTGCGTTGATGGATGAGCTCTGGTTCGTGGATGTTGATTTTGAGGTTGCGAGGAAGAGATTGGTTGCTAGACATGTTATTGCGGGGATTGCAAGGGATGAGATCGAGGCGGATAAGAGGGCCAGGGAGAATGATTTGGTCAATGGGAAGGAGATTGTTGATTGTCGGTTGCCGGTTCAGGAGGTTGTTTCTAGTATCTTTGACCCGGTCTGGGAGAGGTGATGTCCACGGGTGGCTTGGCTGCTTTGTGACATGTACGATCTTCGAATTTCGTCAATATTATATGCTTGATATCATTCGTGCTTGCTCAAGGTTGGGAAGCTACGCGTCCCCTTTAGGCATCTATAAATTTGTAGAGATTACCGTGGAACCATCAACTTTGGATGCTATCTTCACACGCAATTGACATCGGCCATTGCCGTAGTAGAAGAAAGTAGACTTAGAAATAGAGTCTCGAAATTCAAAACAGTATTTCCTAGACTCATATTTCTTACCCAATCACTGTCCGTTATTATTTACTAGACCAAACAGACTGGACGTTCAGCCTTCGTATCAAAATTTTATTCCTTTATATCTCTTTTTACATCTCTTTTTAGAGTAACAAGGTGCCATCTTATGTAGGAATAGTATCTTGAGAGACTGTTCAATATCTAATTTCCCCCCTTCTGGCTCCATATATCCAAGACATAAAAAAATAAGTCCCAGTCTCACCACAATCTCCTCAAATCTTCCTAATACCGCCCTTGAGATGAAATATATATATATATATATATACATAATTAAGTTCTTGTGTAGCTCTTGTGTCACATACAATTTACTTCGACTATGGATTTCGTTGTTCCATGTACAACATGTTCAGCATGTTCAGTCAGTATCTGGGGGACAAGTCCCTGACGCTATTCCACTTTGGGGAAATTGGTGTGACAAGCCTTAGGGGTAAAATACAATGTATATGAATATGACAGGTATTGTAAAGTTAATTTAATGTCGAGATCAGGCAAAAAAGTACTTGCCAAAAAGGGTCTAATACGTAGGTAGGTAATATTACAGACCCTGTGCCACTGGAACCCCATCGCGGCTTCCGAAATTGGGGAACCCAAACCGCCCGAGTTCCTTCCGTTGTTTTTCTTTGGTTTAGACCTTCATCAACTTTCCCAACTCCGTCACTCTTTGTCTTTCACTTTACGCTCTTTAACCCACTCTCTTTAAGCACCTTGATTCGCTGTGCGATCTGTCCAATCCTTCCATCAAATCTCAACCTCAATCACCATGTTGTTCAACAAGTCCATCCTCGCCGTGGCCGTCATGGCCCTCGCCAACGTCGCAGCCGCGGCTAGCAACAATGTCCAAACCCCCGCCTGCGTTCTCAAGATCATCGGGTAAGTTCGAAGGAATGGAAGGAGTTGAGGAATGTTCGGCAAGTTCCATAATTAACCAACCCCCTCAGCGGCACCGACAACCCTGCCGACTCCAAGGCTATCTGTGGCACCGACGCCAGCAAGATTCAGTCCCAGATCTCCAAGAACTGTGCCGACAGCGATGCTTCCCTGAAGTTCTTCGCCAACAACTGCGCCCAGCTCGGTCACAAAGTTGGTAAGAATTGACACTCGATCTCGTTACATCATTTACTCGGATACTTATCATGATCATCTCTGCAGAGGTTTCCAGCGCTACCGAGAAGTCAACCGCTACCGGCACCTCGGGCGCTGCTACTTCCTCCGGCTTCGTTACCGCTGCCTCGTCCGGCCTCTCTGCTACACAGACTGGTTCCTCTGCTCAAGCCACTGGCACCTCCGGCTCTGCCTCTGGTTCTGGCTCGGCTGGCTCTCACACTGGCACTGGCTCTGCCTCTGGTAGCGCTTCGTCCCCTACCTCGACCTTCAACGCTGCTTCGTCCGACCGCCAGTTTGGTGTCACCACCCTCTTTGCTGCGGTTTTCATGGGCGCTGCCGCCTTGCTGTAAGAAGCTCTGAAGGCATTCAAATGCGAATATCGATGCAATCATACATTATTGGCCCTGATATCGCTGCTTTCGATCTGATTTGATTCGCTATTCCGGGATCTGGTTTGACTTCTTTAATATGTTTGCTCGTCTCATACCGATACCTGTGTCCCTGGATCTTATTATTTAGTTGCCAAAATCTCATTGATTTCTGCGCCCTTCAGCTTCCAATAGATGTAGGAAATTTTTGACCCTATCAACCGTCACCCTCGAAAGAACCTGCTATGCTTTGACTTGACCTCACATTTCATGTTGGAGGGTCAATGCCTGTATCATGATGTTCTTGAGGTCATCTTGCACCATCTGGCCACTTGATTCGTAGATCTATCGCATTGATGCACGGCGATGCAGCAAGGGCTGCGATCAAGCCGCATCTGTGTTGTATACGATGTTGACCAGCAGAAGAAATTCAGTCCGAAATTGTCAAACACAAACACAACCACAAACAAACAAATAAGATCATCCGAGTCCGGAATACTTGAGGCCGCTCGGCGGTGATCCTTCCGATGCTATTGCCGTGAGCCGATTGATTATCGATGCGCACGTGTTCACGTGACAATACGCGCCTGCAGGTCGAGACTCACCGCCTCTTTTGTCACTCCTACCGCCTTCCCAATTGTACACTAGTTACCCCACGCTAATCTCAATTCCACAGACACACTAACTAGAAGTGGTTAAATGTACAGTTTTCTGCGCAGCAGAATGGCAAAAGAAACTGGCCCGGGGAGTGGATCCGGTTGGTAAGCTAAGAAAAAACGCGGGCAACGCGAGGGACCTGGCAACGCGTCTGCTCGGCAACCAAAGATTCCTGCCCCTCTGGTCTTTTCTTCTTCTCACACCCCTCTTCGGGAATCTTTCTTGCATTCATCTGTGCTATACCCCTCTAATACTACCTCAATTCTGTTACCTGTGATCTTAATACCTGATACCCCCGTTCATACTTTTTGTTCTCCCCTTTTCAACCCCCTACCTCGCTATCCAAAATGTTCGTCTACAAGAGAGGTAAGTCACTACTTTGCTACACCATCGGAGAGGCACAATAGCTTGTGCTTTGATCTATGCATCTTGCCAAAGAATTTGTCTTGCCACATACGTTTGATCAAAGGCTGACGCAAGAACAAACAGATGGACGCAAAGAACGCGTGCAGTTCGACAAAATTACCGCACGTGTCTCGAGGCTCTGTTACGGCCTTGATCCCGAGCACGTCGATGCTGCTGCTATCACTCAGAAGGTTATCTCTGGTGTCTACCAGGGTGTCGGTACCATTGAGTTGGATAACTTGGTATGTTGACTTCAGTGCTTCGTCCCTCTGTTTGACAGCCACTGACGACAAAATTTCAGGCTGCCGAGACTGCGGCCTACATGACCGTCACACACCCTGACTACGCTATCCTGGCTGCCCGTATCGCCGTTTCCAACCTCCACAAGCAGACAAAAAAGCAATTTTCCATGGTCATTTCTGATCTCTACCACTATGTCAACCCCAAGAACAACAAGGCTGCTCCCATGATCTCGAAGCAACATTATGAGATTGTCATGAAGCATGCCGAGGAGCTCAACTCCGCCATCGTGTACGACCGCGATTTCAACTACAACTTCTTCGGTTTCAAGACGCTGGAGCGTTCATATCTTCTCCGTATCAACGGTGCCGTTGCCGAGCGTCCTCAGCACCTGCTGATGCGTGTTGCCGTTGGAATTCACGGTGAAGATATCGAGAAGGCCATTGAGACCTACCACTTGATGTCCCAGAAGTACTTCACACACGCATCCCCTACCCTCTTCAACGCCGCTACTCCTTCGCCCCAGCTTGCTTCTTGCTTCTTGGTCGATATGAGTGCAGACAGCATCGAGGGTATCTACGATACTCTCAAGACTTGTGCCATGATCTCTAAGACCGCTGGTGGTATCGGTCTGAACGTCCACCGCATCCGTGCTACCGGCTCTTACATCGGTGGAACTAACGGTTCTTCCAACGGTATTGTTCCTATGCTGCGTGTGTACAACAACACCGCTCGATACGTCGACCAGGGTGGTAACAAGCGCCCTGGTGCGTTCGCCATCTACCTTGAGCCGTGGCACGCCGATGTGTTCGAGTTCCTCGACCTCCGCAAGAACCACGGAAAGGAGGAAGTTCGTGCCCGCGATCTCTTCTATGCCTTGTGGACCCCCGATCTGTTCATGAAGCGTGTTGAGCAGAACGGTGACTGGACCCTCTTCTGTCCCCACGAAGCTCCCGGCATGGCCGATGTCTATGGTGACGAGTTCGAGGCACTCTACGAGAAATACGAGCGCGAGGGCCGTGGTCGCAAGACCATCAAGGCTCAGAAGCTCTGGTACGCCATTCTGGAGGCCCAAACTGAGACTGGTAACCCGTTCATGCTGTACAAGGATGCCTGCAACAGGAAGAGCAACCAGAAGAACCTTGGCACCATCCGCAGCTCCAACCTGTGCACTGAGATCATCGAGTACAGTGCCCCTGATGAGGTGGCAGTTTGCAACTTGGCCTCCCTGGCCCTGCCCACCTACGTTGATGCTGCCCGTGGCGAGTTTGACTTCGGCAGGCTCCACGAGGTTGTCCAAGTTCTCGTTCACAACTTGAACAAGATCATCGAAGTCAACTACTACCCTGTCCCTGAGGCAAAGAAGAGCAACTTCCGTCACCGTCCTATCGCTCTCGGTGTCAACGGTCTTGCCGATGCCTTCCTGGCTCTGCGTCTGCCTTTCGATTCCCCCGAGGCCAGGCAGCTGAACATCCAGATCTTCGAGACCATCTACCACGGTGCTCTCACTGCCTCGTGCGATCTCGCCAAGAAGCTCGGCACCTACGAGACCTACCCCGGATCTCCCGTCTCGCAGGGCATCTTGCAGTACGACATGTGGGACCGCACCCCCACCGACCTCTGGGACTGGGCCTCCCTCAAGGCCAAGATCGCCGAGCACGGTGTCCGCAACAGTCTCCTCGTTGCCCCCATGCCCACAGCCAGCACCAGTCAGATCCTCGGCTTCAACGAGTGCTTCGAGCCCTACACCTCGAACATTTACTCCCGCCGTGTCCTGGCTGGTGAGTTCCAGGTCGTCAACCCTTGGCTTCTCAAGGATCTCGTCGACCTCGGTCTGTGGTCCGACAACATGAAGAACCGCATCATCGCCGACGGCGGTTCCGTCCAGAACATTCCCAACATCCCCGCCGACATTAAGGCCCTTTACAAGACCGTCTGGGAAATTTCCCAGCGTAACATCTTGCAGATGGCTGCTGACCGTGGTGCCTTCATTGATCAGTCTCAATCCCTCAACATCCACTTGAAGGAGCCTACCATGGGCAAGCTCACCAGTATGCACTTCGCCGGCTGGAAGATGGGTCTCAAGACTGGAATGTACTACCTCCGTACCATGGCCGCTTCTGCCCCTATCCAGTTCACCGTCGACCAGGAGCAGCTTAAGGTCGAGGACACCAATGTCGCTCGCTCGAAGAAGCGTGTCGGTGGCAACGCCGCTGCTTCCTACTCCGCTGTTCCTCGCGCCGAGGCTGTCCCCGCTTCTGTTGTCCCCATCCAGGAGGCTCCTCGCACTGTTGTTGTTGAAGCTGCTGTCCCTGCTGAGGTCCCGGCCGAGGTCGAGCCTAAGGATGCCGATGCTAAAACCGAGGTTGATATCTACTCCGACGCTGTTCTGCAATGCAGCATTGAGAACAAGGAGGATTGTCTCATGTGCTCTGGCTAGATGGTTCGGTGATTTCTTATTATGTTTTTGGTTTCGGTATTTTCGCATGGTCGTGGTTTCCACGTGTACCCATATTATGATAGTGATGGTCTTTTTCCTTTGTTCGTGTGTTTCGGCGTGGTTCATGATTTTCTGTATTTTCTTTTTACAATTCAACAACATGTTATGCTGTTCATATTTCCCAGTAGACTGTATTCGTATCGACTACATCAAGTTTGTATGGTAGGCCTTGGGCTCCTTTGCATGTCTGCATCGTTCCTCTCTTTGATCGCCGAGGGAAGTTCAGCACAGTGATAGAAGTCGTAATAGCGTGGGTTGCTGCTCCTTCTAGGGCTGGCGGACCTTTGACTAGTCCATGGATGCAAGGTGAATTCAATAGCTATCACACAGATCGGGCATGTTCTGTCAATCTATGACTTGGATTGGTAGTCATGATCAAAACATCTCTATATTATACATGCACTGTCTTGTGGTCACCTTGTATTGGTGAAAAAAATTACAAACGATGGGGAGTGAGACCACCCTCAACATAGCGAACCTTGAACCAAGGCGTCTCCACAACATCATAATCAGAATTCTTGGCAGGGTCTCCAAAGATCTTCAGAGCTCTGACACGCAGAGAGTAAGAGCCAGCAGGAACATTGGAACCGTCAGCCATATAGCCTTGCCATTCGACACCAGAAGCACCAGTCGCAGAGCGACTCTTGAACTCCTGAGGGAATTGGGCAATAGAGCCTAGAACAGTTCCATTGCTCGACTTAGCGTCGATTTCTAGAAGACGCGTTCCCATGGAGAGAAGCAGATCGAAGACCGGGTAGCTAGTGTTAGTCTCAGCGCCATGAGGTCCAGCAAAAGTGAACACCTGGCCTGCAGTCACGGGCTTGCTGCTGACCGAGGACTTCAGGACGTTGTCGCCATGCTTGGTATCCAGAATGGTGACGTTGCGCATGGAAGTTGCGGCGCCCAAGTATGGGATTGACAGAGAATCGCCGTTCGTTCCGTTCAGAGTCACGTATCCGCTGTAGATAGGAATCCGGCTGGCGTTCAAGCCCTTGGGTGGCGCAGCGGAGACTCGCACAACAGCCGTCTGTCCCGGTGAAACAACCACGCGCTTGGAGCTGAAGCTCAGCGAGGCGTAGGTGGCGGTTGTCTCCATGAAGTCGCCTGCGTCGAAGAAAACGGGGATCGTGGTGCCGTCGTTGGCAAGCGTGTAGACTGTTCCACTGCCCACTTGGTCGATGGTGTAGGTCACGTCCTGTGAGCCGGTGTTCTTGAGGCTAAAGGAGGTCGGGGTGAGATATTCGGTGTCGTTGAAGCTGATGCTGCTTACGTTCAGGACGGTCTTTGCGTGGACAGCGTCGTATGCGTTGATCAGACCGGCGCCTTGTTGGGCGACAGAGTCGAGCCACGGATAAGCTGAGACACCGTCGTGGAAGACATTGGGGTTCGAGTTTGTTGCGAAGAGGGACTGGACGGTTGAGGATGAGATCTTTCCGCGGGCTTCGAAGAGGAGAGCAATGCAGCCGGCGAAGTAAGGTGTTGCCATGGAGGTGCCGGACTCAACTGCGTAGCCACCCAGGGCTAGAGGGTGTGTTGACAGCATGAATCCACCAGGGGCACTGATGGTAGGCAGCGCAACGAGTTCGTTTGTAAGACCCCATTGGGAGAAGTCACTGACGTAGCCGCCTGCCACTTTGTTCTTCTCGCTGATGAAGAGAGAAGAAGAATGAGCTTTGCTTGTCATGCGAAGAGTAATTGTTGTGTTCTTTGCAGCAAGCTTCACCCTCTTCGGATTCGAACATGTAGACTATACACATCTTTTAGTGTTATTAAAACAATAGGATCGCTATTTTTGATCAATCCGATAATCTGCCGTGGAGGGGTGCCTTGCTCAAGAAGGTTCCAAATAGTATTCCGCTGCTCTTGATTAATCGTATACGCTGCTGGGTGGGCAATCATATTATCTTCAAGTTCGTGGGTATGGTGCGGATTACTGATTTTTAGATGCCACTTACAGTACCTTGCAAAATCGCCCTGCGTTTTCGCATTCACTCTTTTTTTTCGACCGTTAATGCCAAGCTGCTCTAACCATATATAGTTAGCTGTTGACCTATTCTTAGGTCTGTATATTACATAGTATTGTCATAAACTGTATTATGGTTCGTTACAAGATGAGCTCTCTCCCGGCTACTTCAATTTTGTTTACTATAGATGCCGCCATGAGGCATATATAACGAAAAGTCGGTGTTTGGTGAGACTGTATACAATAACATTGTTCGAGGAAGAGCAGGTTGACTAATACTCAATATCCAAGGGGGGTGGTGAGAATATGTTCTCCATGGTCGCGACTTTGATCGACTTCTTTATGCGTTGGAGAGCGTGCTGAGATGCCAGTCGAGAGGGATGTTCTTCATCCAACGTTCTCTCTTGTACCGCGACCACGTGCTCAAGTAGCTCCACGGCCTGCTTTATCTGTCCGTTGGATTCGTATGCCCCTGCGAGTACTTGCTGAGATGCCAGTCGATCAGGATGTTCTTCATCCAGCGTTCGTTCTTCCACCGTGACCACGTGCTCAAGTAGCTCCACGGCCTGCTTGATCTGTCCGTTGGATTCGTATGCCCCTGCGAGCGCGTGCTGAGATGCCAGTCGAGAGGGATGTTCTTCATCCAGCGTTCGTTCTTCCACCGTGACCACGTGCTCAAGTAGCTCCACGGCCTGCTTGATCTGTCCGTTGGATTCGTATGCCCCTGCGAGCGCGTGCTGAGATGCCAGTCGAGAGGGATGTTCTTCATCTAGCGTTCTCTCTCGCACCGTGACCACGTGCTCAAGCAGCTCCACGGCCTGCTTGATCTGTCCGTTGGATTTGTATGCCCCTGCGAGCGCGTGCTGAGATACCAGTCGAGAGGGATGTTCTTCATCTAGCGTTCTCTCTCGCACTGTGACCACATGCTCAAGTAGCTCCACGGCCTGCTTTATCTGTCCGTTGGATTCGTATGCCCCTGCGAGCTCGTGCTGAGATGCCAGCCGAGAGGGATGTTCTTCATCTAGCGTTCTCTCTCGCACCGTGACCACGTGCTCAAGTAGCTCCACGGCCTGCTTTATCTGTCCGTTGGATTCATATGCCCCTGCGAGCGCGTGCTGAGATGCCAGTCGATCAGGATGTTCTTCATCCAGCGTTCGTTCTTCCACCGTGACCACGTGCTCAAGTAGCTCCACGGCCCGCTTGATCTGCCCGTTGGATTCGTATGCCCCTGCAAGCGCGTGCTGAGATGCCAGCCGAGAGGGATGTTCTTCATCTAGCGTTCTCTCTCGCACCGTGACCACGTGCTCAAGCAGCTCCACGGCCTGCTTGATCTGTCCGTTGGATTTGTATGCCCCTGCGAGCGCGTGCTGAGATGCCAGTCGATCAGGATGTTCTTCATCTAGCGTTCTCTCTCGCACTGTGACCACATGCTCAAGTAGCTCCACGGCCTGCTTGATCTGTCCGTTGGATTCGTATGCCCCTGCGAGCTCGTGCTGAGATGCCAGTCGAGAGGGATGTTCTTCATCGTAGTGACTTTCATTCCATGCACACACATTCCCAAAAATACTAACCGCTTCTTTCGCTCGGCCATCGGCTAGAAGACATTTTCCAACTTTGGAAAGTAAGGTATATCTTTCACTCAAATCTTGACTTTCCTCTCGTCTGAGAATCTCAAGAGCGTGTGGTAGGTATATTCTCCATGTGTCACGATGTTTGTATTCATCAGATGGAAAACGCTTGTCCATATGTCGCGTCAAGGTCGCGATGATTTGTTGTGTCTTCCGTGCGTCTGTTATCCACATTCGAGTTGATAGCTGTACTAGGCTATGCACATCAAACATATTTCCATCGTCCCTCCTGGTGAGAAATCCATAGCTACACAGCGTACCAATTGAAAAGTCCATCTCCTCTTCTGAATCGAGGGTGGGGAGAATAGATCGCGGGATTGCCTTTGGCTCAATGTAAGACATAAATCCTAATAAATCAGCAGCAGAGGGATCAGAGACTTCAATCTGATTAAATGAGATAAGCCATGTGGTGGCCACCGCGTTTGCCAGTCTACGATATCGAGTGCTATCGTGGAACTCCCTGCTCGCTAGACGCATCCGATCTTTTTCGGTTTTATGCATAAGCTGAAGATATCGTGTGGCCGTTCCACCATTTCGACAAATATAGTAAGCTGCCTGTACAATAGCTAGAGGTAAGAAGTTTAGCTCCTCTAATAATTGTATTGTGGACTGCTGGTCACAAAGCGAGTCTTCTCCTACAATTCTAGTAAGAAAAGCGATCCCTTCCTCTGTTGTCATCTTTTGGAGCTCAACTATGTCCCTTCCTGCGAATGACAGTGCCACCTCGCGGGAACGAGTAGTGAGCAAAGTAACGCCGTTGTTGCTAGCGGGGAAGTACTGATCAAGCTTATCGAAAAGCATGTCCACGTCATCGGCATTATCGACAATGAAAAGCCACTTTCCAGCTTTATCAGAGCTTAGCTGTCGCTGTACTGATTCCATCGCACTTTCACCGTCTGCATTCGGAGGGATTTGCAGCTCTTTCGCGATTTGCGAACAAGCCTGCTCAAAACTCTCGAGACTCAGGGCAGGAGCCCAGAAAATTGAGCAGTCTGGTATATGCGCCCTCACCCACCGGGCAAGCTGAAGAGCAACTTGGGTTTTGCCGATGCCACCTAGTCCAAATAGCGCTAGTCTTTCCGTATTCGGTTCCAGAAATAGCTTCTCCTTAAGCTCATCCAGCGTGGATTCACGACCAGTAAAGTGTCGATTTTCCAAAGATGGAATGACATAATGGACTACAAACTGATCATCTTGGAGAGTATTAGGGTATCTAATGTTGTACTTGGGGCTTCTATTGACTTACGAGGCTTATTTTCTGTCTCGTTCATTCCTGTAATAGGCGCGTGGAAGTGGTAAGTGACAGGGCCGTGGCTCACGCCTATCTGGGCCCCCGAATTTGAACCCATAAAAGATATTGCGGATGTCATGCTCGCCACGTGGACCGGTTTCAATTCTTCAATGGGCATATGGAAAAACACATGTCTGGCATAAGCTGCCGCTGCCGCCGCCACGAATATAAGAATGAATGGGCAGTAATAAAGTGTATCGCTTGGCTTCAAAAGTGTCCGTAGGCTGTAGACTCGGCCATTCAACAAAATCAGGGACGGGGAGGGTTAAAGAGGGATGAATGCGACCGCAGAGACAACTCGCCATCAGCTTAATATATGAGTGATGGGGTGCATGGCCTAAGCGCCCGCCCGCATCAACGAATGAGGTAACCCAGCCAATCATTATGCTTATAAGGATGTCGACCCGCAGGAGATACCGCGTGCTAAGTTGTGATTGCGCAGCAGCAGAACCAACCAGCAGCCTACAAGGTATGGCAAGAAGCCGGATTATCGAACTTGCCGTTTCCGACGACGTGAAAAGGCAGAAACTACCAGAGAGCGTCCCACGTGATTTGGCAAAAAGAAAAACGAACATGAAAGAATCTACTAAAGGAGTGAATTACAAGCCGGAAATATACGAGCTCTATATATTTATACAGGTCAATCAACAATGCTCAATTATCAGACCCGAATGACGAAAGTGGCCTTCAGCACTCTCTTCTCTTGCGCCCACCATATCGATGCACCACTCCAGAAATTTTTCAAAATCTCCATCTGGGCCATCTTCAAACAACTGCCAGTTGCGTTTAATGAAAGCTTTGAGCTCCGCGAAAAATTCCTCGATGGGATTCAGATCAGGGAAATAAGGCGGAAGATACACCAGCTCAACTCCAGCTTGGACACACATGCATTTAATCCGCTCAGAGTGGTGGAATGATGCATTATCCATCAACAATACCGATTTAGGCTCCGGCCATCTGCCACAGTGATGAAGGAGCTCCCCAATGAAATTCTCAAATATAGAAGCATCAGTCGACCCTCGGAAGACGCGAGAAAACAGTACACCATCCTGGCAATATGCCGGCAAGATCTGGTATCGCTGGCCGCGATGAAACTTGGCCACTTGGACCGGGGGGCCCAGCCTGTTCGCCGATACCCTATCCGCTTGTCACATCCAGATTCGTCCACATAGACCAGGTGATATGACTTCAACTCCGACAGATTATGGAGATAGTAGTCTCGCAAATCCGCATTTCGCTCCTTCGCTTGATTCCGTGTTGTCTTCTTAGACCAGCCCTTTGCTGCCAGAGCCCGGCTGATGGTAGAGTTGGCCACGCAGACGTCATATTCCTCCCGAAGGAACACGCCATCTCATCAAGGTATAGCCCGGGGTTTTCGGAAAGGTGATAACATAGAGCCTCAAGCACAAGTGGTGTGATTCTCTTTGGTCGGCCGGGGGGGATTGAAGGCGCCTTGGGACTGCCGAACATCCGCAGATTAGAACGAATATATCTAACAGACTGTTTACTGCATTCCGCTGCATTAGCGATATCAGTAATTTTTATATTGCTCTCAATCATATCACATATCAGCTGCCGCTTCGATGGGGATAAGTTCGGAGCCATCTTTCGTACTATCAACAGTGGGTGTTGAGTGGAAAGACCTTAGATGGCAAGGGACAAAAGGGGGGGGGGGGAGGGGGGCGCCCAGGTCGCAGCCGGTGTTGTCATGGTCTTGTTCCTTACCCTACCTGTCAAAATATTCTAGCCAGGGCCTTTCCTGGGTCAACCCCATTACGGTTAGCGTGGCCTTGGCAACTGGATTTAGAAAACAAAGAGAGTGCGTAAAAGCGCAAGGCGATTTTGCAAGCTACTGTACCATTAGAGATCTTACCATATAAACGAAAGGTGCATCCAATTCGCCTCGTGCTAGTTTTCCGGCGCTTTGCCCCCTCTAGTGCATATATGCGATCGTGATACTGCCCTCCACGATCGCATCCAAGAGTGATATTCCTTCCGGTACTTGAACTAATCGTTGTGATAGCGTAACCTTGAGAAACTGCATAGCTGCAATGAGTTGTAAGCATTTCCTCGCGGGAATCGTACGCTTGATCAAATGGGGTTGCCATGGTTGAAATTGAGTGGTAAAGGGAGTGTTTAGATAGTCAAATATATGAACTGATTGATCAATAACTTAATATTCAACACTAAGTGGGAAATAACGGATAATAACGGATAATAATTGAGTGTATGCAGTTGCTATAGTAATTCATGGAAAATGCGAGATTACGTAATATATCTTCTTATGTAAGCAATTTGTTGTGTCCGTAACGTGAAGTCCGGTTGCGCGAGCGACCCCACCCAACTTTGAAAAACCTTCAATTTTTAACCACTATTAAACAAAAACACCATAAATCTAGCTATTGAACACGTGTAGGGCATTTAGAATAGGTATGTCCTTTTATCCCACAGCTAGAACATGTCACCTGCCGCCGAACCAACGGCATAGAAGGTAAAGTAGGCTTAGTAACTATTTTTACAGGCATCTCTAGTAAAGATATATCTTTGCTTATATCTTCATCCTTAACAACCACATCATCTTCACCACCTTCTAGACCCCCAAAGATACCTTTTTAGGTAATAAATTTGTGTTTTATCTCTCGTTTTTTAGCCTGTTTCTTATTAGTAGCTTCCAATTAGGTACAGCGATGCTGGCGAAAAATGTGGTGGTGGACTACTTTTATAGTCATATCGTAGGTCCGTTGAAGCTCTCTTTTTGTTGGCGAAGAGAGGATTGAAGAAGAAAATTCTAGACCTTTCTTAATCCGAGATTGCGATTTTGCGAATTTTGAGAGGGTCTAAAGAGTATTTGGATCACTGTCGCTGCCAAAAGAGAGTGGCCGCTGGGAAAGGGTCTCTAGAGGCGGAAGAGAATCCAGGTGCACATTTAGCTTTTCCAAGACTTTATTAGCATCAAATGGTGCTAATCCAGTAGCTAAAAAGCTATTTTGTATAGTGGAAGTCTTAAAAGCACCCATTCTTGCATCTGTAATCAATTCAAGGAAATCTTCTTTGTCAATAGAGCTAACTCCATTCCGTATCAAAGTTGAAACCGCTCCACTATAAAGCCTCTTCAAAACCAAAAAACAACCCACATCTAAAGGTTGCAAAAGATGAGAAGCATGAGGAGGCATACAGATTGCGATAATATGGTTTTCTTCACAAAGTCGGTCAAATTCAGGGGTTAAATGACTCCCATGACCATTAAGGACTAGTAGGCAGTATTTTCCCACTCTTGTCCCAATATTTGAGATAAAATGATGTTTCAACCACTATAAACCAATTGTATTGGTAGTCCAGCCATTATCACTCATAGTAAGGTGAGCTCCTTTTTGATTTGAAAGAAGATAGGGGCGTAGATGCTCCGGAAACTTCTTTCCTATAAAAACAAAGAGCGGAGGGAGAACACTTCCAGAAGCTCTAATACACTCAATCGTAGTCACCCACTCACGATTTCCAGCTTGTAGAAGAGCTCTTTTCCCATGGTATTCTGCTGAAGTGATAATCTTTTGGGTTGCGCCAATACCCATAGCAAAACCAGACTCATCAAAGTTGAAGATATCGTCTAAAGCAATACCCCACTTTTCAATTGTCTTTTGAACCAAATCAAACCATGGTTTGATGATTCGAGGGTATTCTGAAAGAGCTCTCTGATCGTCGTATTTCCGAGAGAGGCGAGTAGAGAGATTTGGGCATCGTTTGATAAATCCAGCAGGCCAATGATTACCCACAGTAGAGGGTGTGGTTTTTCGGGCACGACCATACCGATACCAACCAGTTTGTCGTTAGTAAAAGAGAACTGGTCGACGCCAGGGATATCGTTGTAGAAGAGAATGTTCTTTGCGCCAGCATTGGCGGCATTGGCTGCCTTCAAGGAGAAGGCACAGCCGCCGCGTCTGATGAGAACGATCTTTTTCGAGAGATCCGGGGTGCTAGATGGCAGCGCTTCACAACCATCACCCACAATCGACGAATTGAGGCTGAGAGGGTAAAGTTGATAGGTCCCGTTCTTGAAGTCCGCAGTTCCAGAAAGCGACCAGCCAAACTCATTAGTTCCATTTTTTGTCGAGTAAGTGGCCTTGTTGAGCAGCATGGGAGCCATTACGTTGTTAACAGATCCAACACCTGTAGCTCCCTTTCCATCTGCTCCGTCTGAAGCATAGAACATACCATACGCCCCGTCGTTTCCGACTGCAACCATACAAGGGACACCAGCTTTGACAATGCGAGAAATAAGGACTCCTCAGGGCTCCTCTGACCAACCACTGTAGCTACCAATAGAAGCGGTGATAATGTCGGCTTTATCCTCAAAGGCCATTCTGAAAGCTTGCATCATTTGGTCGGTGGAAGAACCCTGCTTACATTTGTTGACCTTATAATGACCAAGTGTCACATTAGGCGCGACACCAGTGAAGTTGTAAGCGTTTGACTGGGCAGCAATCAAACCGGAAACGTGTGTTCCATGGCCGTCGCAATTATCGTAAGGATCGGTGGTGTTATCAACAAGGTTCCATCCAAACGAGACCAAGCAACCCTCGCCGAAACAGCCACCAAGTGCAGGATGCTTGTAGTCAATACCAGTATCCACTACGGCCACTCTCAGTCCACTGCCAAGGTAACCCTCGTCGCGCAGGCGGTCGACACCAGTCATGACGTGAGGGAAGTCGTTATTACCAACAGCGAAGCTCTGGCCACGGCGGCTGAGAATATTTTCATGGTGACGCTGGAATGAAGTATCATGGGCAGTTGAGACTTGACGAGGAGGGAGATGAAGCTCGCGAACGGGTGTAACGAATTTTACGGATGCCAAGGAAGAGATTCTCTTGATGGTAGCATCTTCATTCTGCGGGTTGCCTGTCAGGCTGAATGATCCTCCATGGAAGAGGGAGAAGGACAAGTCTTGTTTGAGATTGGCAGGAATGCCTCTATGAGTGAGCGAGTCGATGAAAGATTGGGCGGACTGCAGAGGTAAGCTTAAGAAAGAACAAAATGCTATTATGCAGTCTCACAATATGAGCGCCGCTAAATTCGATGATATATGAACTAGGCACTGCATCGCCTGATTTTCCCGCAAGAGCGAGAGGCAGGGCCATTAAGGCACCAAGCCATGGCCACAAGTAGACCATGTCTATAAAAACTATAAAAGAGCGACAATAATGAGTGTGGTATCAAAGAAATGAGTGACAATTAACGAGAAAGAGCGACAGTGAAGTAAATTTAACAATTTGATCGAAGCCGGGCAAGTAAATCTCTTATAGCATTGAATTTTCACTTCCACTATGAGATCGACCTACCAATTTCGTATCCCAACCATGTCTGACCAATATACTCCGTAGCGTCGATACATCGGGTCCTCGGAGGCCGTCAAGACACTATTGTGGGAACTGTTCCTGGGAAAAAAAGGGGGGAATGTGGTATAGGAAACACTTCCGTAAAAGAATCGGCATTTAGGAGAAAAGATCGGCAGGGATTGTTGATCTTGTACAGATCTAACCCGTCACTGTGGGTTTTATAGTTAGCCACGGGTCATCGTGAGATTCTAATGGCCGTGGAAATTAGTGCGGCCTGCTGAGAGCCACTATAATGTGCGAAGACCGAAAAGAAGAGACAGAGAGCATGTTGACAGGCTACAATGTGACAAGTAACAATGTGACAAGTAACCTACTACGGAGTAATCACTAAGCAATAATTAAATATTCGGTCAGTATGTATGTACTACGTACTTCCTCACTTAAATTCTATAGTTCGGTTAGGATCTTATTTAGGGTGCTCAGATTTATTTACTTTGATCCACAAGATTGTGAGATCGACCAACTTAATCTCTTTTCCATAACACGATCGTGATTAGCTAGTGATTCTGATATGCCAGCTGAATCATGATGGTCGTTGAAGAACCCAAGCCATACTAGATGAAAATATACAGGTCATTCACACAATAATAGGCTAAATGTCTTCCTAAAGTCTGCTAACACTCTGGTGATGTGAACCGCGTTGATCATACTTACAGCGGTAGTACAGTATACAAGGATTGACCGGCAATTTAAAAGACCCAACTAAACGGCCTTTGACTGACACAATGAGACTTACAAACTCAGCATCAATATCATCTCCTCATTTTCCGGTTCTATAAAAGAGGCACGATGCGGCAAAGCTTCGGACAATCCTTATTTTTGCCTGGCCAAGGAGGCTCTCATAAGATTGAGCGCACCGAAAAATCGATCCGAGAACATCCAGATGGAGATCAGGTTGGCTATGCTTGTCAGAGAACGGGGCTCTATGGATAGTCCTCGCCGAGCCTTGTCTTTACTTATCTCCCTCAACTGCATTTTGAACCCCTAGGCTCCTCTCGCCGGCCATACCGATAGGCTAAGGCAAGTGGCAAACAATCTAATGGTCAAGCATTTCCAACTCCAGTTTGATGCATGCATGGAACAATATCTCTTTCACGCCTTGATGGAAACTCATTTTCCCTGTCGCTGGAAGAAGTGTTTCATCATGAGTTTCACAACCTCCATCAAGAAAAGAATTTGATCTCTTATCCACTCCACACCTACCCTATTGCGAACCCATACACAGAAGTGAACATAGCAACGTCAGTATATCTTTGGCACATGGATGTGATGACTAAAGACCTTGCCCTGTTCCCCCACACTCAGACGTTCTTAAAAGACTCAGGCGTGAGCCAGCTTTCGTTACTGTGCCCTCAATCACCACACATGCCGCCGGAAGTGCCTCCTTCAGTGCCAGGACTGGAACGCGCACGGTTTTGAACGATGGATGTATCTTTTCTGAATCTCATTATCATGGTGCTGTCTTAAAATATCAATTGAGCAGGGGTGCATTGGAAAGAAATCCTCTGCGTGGCACATTTCGGTAGGCAAATTGGTCAATATACGAGCGAGAGCCTTTTCCCTAGCTAACAGTGACTTACTGATGGAGTCGATTTTGTCAACGAAATGGGAACCGACGCTGCCCAACCTTTTGAGGACCTCTTCTTCTCGACTGAGAAATTCAGAACTGGCAGTGTCACTGAGTATTATAATGAGATCAGCGGTGGCAAGATCAGCCTCAACGGCGAGGTTATCAGCCCACTACGTATGCCATGTGCGCTACCAGCCTACGCAAATGGTAACAGCGGGATGACCGACGATACACCAAATGCTCAGACCATGACTGTAGGTGCACTGGATGCTCTCAGAGGTCAAGTCAATCTTGATCAATATGACAATGACCGTAATGGGTATGTTGATGCCTTTATTATGGTGCACGCCGGACAGGGTGCTGAGCAAACGGTCAGTAAGGACGACATTTGGTCCCTCAAATGGACAATACCAAATGCTATCCTTCTCAATGATACTAGCATCTTTGCCTTTTTCACAACTCCAGAGGATGCCACCATCGGCGTGGCTGCTCATGAACTGTGCCACCTCGTCTTCGGCTGGCCAGACCTATACGACGTCGATTATAGCTCTGAAGGCGTGGGAAACTGGTGCCTCATGGCTGGGGGTGTATGGAGCGGTTTACCACCGGGCTTTAAGCCTTGTCATCATTCTGCTTGGTGCAAATTGACTTAGGGCTGGGTGGACAAGGTCATGGATTCCCATGCCCAGACTATCGGAGTAGCCGGTGGAAGATAAGAAGCAGGTCCACTGATTGTGGAAGATGGTGATAGTACAAGCAAGGAGTATTTCTAGGAATCATGAGCCCATCGGCTTTGATCAGTCACTTCCTGGATCTGCTCTTCTTGGTATTTTATTCCTCTATTTCGTTGTTCATCTAAGATACGTTCTGGCACATCGATGATTCACCAGACGATAACCATGATGAGTGGTACCACAAAGTAGGTCTCATGCAGGCTGATGGCCTGGACCAGCTCGCAAAAGTCAGCGCAGGCCACCGTCACTCTGGTGATCCGTTCCGGGGACATACTGAAAACAAGGCCTTCACATGTGAATCCAATCCTAGCACCCGCTCGTATGCGGGATATGACCCCAAAGTGCCTATCGCGAATATCTTTTCACCGACACCGACAATGACAATGAATATTGCTGCATAACAGCCTATTCTCGGAGCAGATCATGTAAGCCATGGATGTGAGTCTATTGGAATCAGGTACTATGCCTGTCACTCCATCTGCAAGTTGCCTGTGGATTACAAATATTATCAAAAGTGTGCCTAGTGGAAATTGATGGTTTTTGAAACGGAAATAGAGCTCTTGTTTTACTATCAAATAGATATTCATAGGCATGAATTTGATACTGGGAACAGGAGAAGATTGCCAGTAAACTCTAGCAACGACTAGCGCGCTCTGCTCTGCTGAGTTGATAGTACCAAGAGTCGTTGGGCCTTGGGCTTCAATAACAACCAACTCAGAACAATCATACGATTTTGCACAAATTTTCTTAAAAAATTGGAGTCCAAACGAAAACTCACCTTGCCTCGGCAGCTCCAAATGGAACCATTTCCCCATCCGGCGATGTTTGATGGCAAAATGACAAAATGCTAAAAACAAAAAACCAATCTTTTATCCCCCGGGAAAAAAGAATGTGGATCAATGAAACTTGAAACGGTTTTCAAACGCCGCCGTTATCCGTCATCTGGTCGACACTGTGGGTTCCTGGCAAGCCACATGCTTCATAGGTTCTATTGGTTTTGCCACGAACCTCTCGATCATTGAGTCATTTCCGAATTTTAAATTCTTGGTTTTACTCTTGGTGTCATTCCAGTGAACTTAATCTAGCGAACAGAAATTTTCTATCGGAAGCACTAACTTGATCTCACATTCTTGAGATTGGATTTCAAGGTGGGGATTGTCCTAATGATTCAAATCAGCGAAAACTTGCTAACTTTGGCAAGACATTAATATACCCACCATCAGATTCGTAAAGATATCAGTTTCAGTGCGTTTGTCTAGAAGTTTCTCTAGAGGAAGGGCCTAGAGCAGAGATATGGCTAAGATGGTTAAGCCCGTCACATTCTAGAACTTCGAATCGATCAACGTCCTTGAATAGCCTTTTGCCTTCAAGAACATCCCATAACTAACAAAACGACGTTAGCTTCAATATTCAAAATAATATTTCCAATTCCCATATAAGCGCCATTATTCAAACACACAGTATCAACATCCAAATTACAGATGCACTGCTCATTGATAGACCACATTGTTACTTCAAGACTTTGTCACATTCTTGACACTCATATATTTGATGCTAGATAAATACAATGACCATACGATCGTTACATAATGATATGGTCATTGATTCCCTTGATTCATGCAAGGTAAAGCATACTCCGTATTCTAAAACAATAATAGCTTTCGCGTTTACTATAGAAGGCACAAAAATACCCCTCCAATCCCAACAAAAGCAAATCCTTCGTTATGCAATACTACCATGCACACCAGACCCCATTTCATCCGGGATCGGCATAGCGGAGCAGAGCGGACTGGACAACGGGGAAAAAATGTGGAATTATGGATGCTATCCAAATTCCCAATGTCGTTGTACCATGTATCGCGACAGGGTCCAATACCCCGCTCGGGAACTGAAAGAGGGGACGGTTGGGCCTGGAATCCGGCAGGTACTTGTATAGACATATTTATGTAGCATATTCCGTACAGCAGCAGGTATCGATGCGGTGGTGAGTTGGCGGGAATACAGTACAGAGATTATCTCGGGCGGGTATTACTGTGCCCTGCATTAGGGCTGGGAGCAATTGGGGGTTGGGTGTGACATTGGACTGGGCTTTTCATACTGCACAGTACGGGAGAGTCGTTTTTGAGATTGTTCTTTTGACAGCTCTACCTTTGAATATCTGTGGATATTGTAGGTAGTTTTCATATGGTGGAATTAAACACGCAAAATTGTGTTGAAATCGCCTAGGATCGGCACTACTTCCCACTAAAAAAACGGTCAGACAATACTGTAAGTCCAGACCGTTTCAGTGGAGCGCCTCCAGAATAACCCAATACTACATTGTACAGTAATGTAAAACAAAAGCTGAATTGACTTAAAAGATCTCTGTGTCAAAGTCCAATCAAATGGTGATGTCCGGCAACCCGCAATACACACGTCAGACAGTGCAAAGGTAACCTGCAGCCCAACCTCAAGAAGGATCTGACCAGTCCCTTGATCTTGCGGCCGAGTGCACACGTCATTCCCAAGGCGACTAAGTATCAAATTGATCGGAGATGAGAAACCGGCAGAAATCTCTTTAAAATTCTAAGACTGAAAGCGGATATGGTTTCCCTCAAAACGAGTATTTCAGCTTTTCAGAAGGTTCACAAATGTGATAGGCTGTGTCTGTCAGGTACCAGCGGACCCAATAAACTCAGTTAGATCGGCTGAAGGGGCCGTCGGACTAATCCCGACGGAGATTAGCGCCAGGAGACCAGTCAGCGCACAAACCCCCTATTTCTGTGTTTCTGTAACTCGATTGGTTTATTTTCAACCACTGCAATCCCGGGGGCGTCCGGTTCAGGTACCTGTTGTGATTGTAATATCTCACAAGCCATAGGATAGGATGGAGGATCAAACGGGGGCTTGAGATGTGTGTAAAAGAATTCTGTAACCGGATCTTGGATGTGGCTTACTCTCGACCATGGGTTTGGTCAAAGTGGATTGCGCCTTCTTTTTGTGGAGACTTTTGCGTTTCCTTTGGTTTTCTTGAACTCTTGCGTATTGAAATCTTTCCTCTGGTATTTAATAGTCTCGACTTCCCCGAGCGCTCTTTCTCTTCTCTCTTCTCCCATCCCTTTCAGCCTCAACGGTCCATTTCTTCTTTTTCGCACTCTCGCTCCTTTTAGAGTTGCCCAATTGAATATTCCTGCTGTGCAGTGATCAGTCCTTTGAATACACATTCATTATCTTTTATCTCAATATCTTCACTATTCCGATTCAATCGCAATGGCCCCTATCACCAAGACTCTCGCCCTCGCTGGCGCTTTCTTCGCCATGACCGGCTATGCCGCTCCAGTCGCCAAGCGCGCTGTCGTCTGGGAGACTGTCACTGACATCGTCTGGACTACCGTCGATGTCACCACCACTCTCTACCCCAACCAGGTTCCTACCGCCACCGTTGTCCCCGTGGCCGCCCCTGCTGTCCCTACTACCACTGCTGCTGCCGTTGCTGCCATCGTCACTCCCTCCGAGACTCCCGAGGAGGAAGAGGAGGAGGCTGCGCCTACCACCAGCACTAGCACCACCGAGGCCGCTCCCGCTCCCACCGTTGAGGCGGAGACTTCTTCCGCAGCTCCCGCTCCTGTTCCAACCACCACCGAAGCTACCGTCGCTCCGGCCCCTGCCCCCACCACCTCAACCAGTACCGCTGCCGTCGCTGCCAACACCCGCTCTGCCAGCACTGAGTCCACTGCCAGCAGCGGTTACTCCGGCGCCTGCTCTGAGGGCAGCCCTTGCGATGGCATGATCACCTACTACGATACTGCTACTACTAGCACCAACCCCAGCTCCTGCGGCACCACCAACGACGGCGCCACCGAGAATGTCCTTGCCCTGCCCCACGGTATCATGAAGGACGGCGACTGCGGCAAGACTGTCACGATTACCTACAACGGCCAGACCGCCACCGGTACCGTCGTCGACAAGTGCATGGGCTGCGACGACAGCTCCATCGATCTGTCCCGCCACCTGTTCGGACAGCTCGCCTCCATGGACGCTGGTCGTGTCTCCGGTGCCAAGTGGTACATCAACTAAAGCGTTTTGGTAACATCTCTGGTAGATTGCACATGCGGGATATGGTCTTGACGACTCTTCCCTTTTTTGTTCATCTTTGGTTCATCTTTTATTCTTCTTTCCCGGTTTCGGTCTGAGACTGGGCCCTTTTTTTCCATCTCGTCTACACTCCTTCGACATTTTTACCATTTCTGCGAGCCCCTAGCGGGCCGCTTTTTCATTTACCCCTGTTGATAGATTTTTCTTCTTGTGTGCAATACTACCCTATGATGGACCCCATTCGGCCATAAAAGCTTCCTGCGCATGCTGGCAATTGCACTGGTTCGATTCTCTTGATGAGATTCCCGCGTGCTAATGCGTCAGAGAATGATGATCACGATGATTATGCTCGACGAAAATCAAAAAGAATCGCGTATCGCAAACGCGTGTCTTGCAATGAAATTCGTTTACTTCTCAATTCCTACATAAAGTGTGCCCGTAATTTTCGAGTGTCCCTTAAGATTACGACTGGTTTTTTTCTTGCCTCTTTTGTTATGATAGCGCTGTTTTCTCCTTTGTACTTTTGAGATTTGCCTCGAAAATTGCCGCAAGAAGTAAAAGAGCGACGACGAGGCAAGGCTAGTGAGATGTATTGGTCCATGCTTTGAGACAGCTGCGCCTCGTTTTTGCTTGGGATGCTAAATCTCGGCCTTGAACCCCTGCTATGTATAGAATTAGCAGCATGGTCTTAGATATGTCTCATTGAGAAACAAAATGATCTGATGATAAGTTACGCTATTGTCCTATGCATCTACCATAATGATTCTAGTCACGGCAGGTGAATGGGATTCTCAATACCGACGACCAGGTAGCCGAATAAATCAATCAAACATAGTATTGTTTCCCCAAATGCAAATACCATCAATGGAACTATCCATCTGTGGACCAGGAGCAAGGTACTTTGGCGGCATAAACCAGCGCCAGCACCAAATACGAACTAACCAAGTCATTGAACGTGCCTTGGTAGCATGTCCTTGGCTATAGCAGTCGCAGGCCCCAATAAACCCAACAATCAGCAAACAGCACAAGAAAAGAAAAGCCCCACTCTAGGCGTCCTCCAGGGTTCGTCACAGTTACGCCACCCTTTTCCGAAGTAGTCAACTGCACAGGATACGAGTCCAAATATGCAACCAACCCTCACCGTCAAAGTCAGGCGAGCCGGGCCCAGGATACAATCAGTAATTTAGATTCAAGAGTATCGCTATTGACCATACGCGTAATGTATAATGCAAAGGCAATCAACTAAATACATTATGCTTCCTATAACAAAACCTTACACATCTAGATAAAACCATGGCATATCACTTTTCCCAGGCTCGGTCGATCTCTCGCTCAGCATCATATCCATAACACCACATCTGAGTGGCCGGATCACTCCATTGATTAGGGCTATGGAGGAATTGCAGGCCCAGCGTTTCCGGTTTCATACCTGTATCACGGGCTCGCTGAAGTAGTCCGTCGGCAAAATGTAACAACTTTCCATTCAGAAGACTTGCTTCCTGCATTTTTTCTGCGCGTTCCTTACGAACCTGTTCGAAAATATGCAGGGCCTTGGAGAGATCTGCTGCATCCGAAAGCTCGGACAGAGATCGTGCTAGTGCGATACCGTCTTCCACGGCCATTGCTGCGCCTGTCAATTGCCAACAATTAGAGGGGTTTGGATGTTGACATTGTAAGTTTGAATAAGGGCGCTTACCTTGAGACATGTAGGGAAGCATTGAATGTGCTGCATCTCCCAGAATCAACACTTTACCAGTTACCCAGCGGGTTAATGGGACACCACTAATCAACGGCCACTTGAGCGTTTTGTCAATTAGTCCAACAAGCTTTTCGAGTCTAGAGGCGTGTAAGCAAAAAGTGATATGCACAAAACAGGTATACTCATACTGGGTGTCCCATCCCATGAATTCGCGCCTCATCTCGGTAATTGCCGTCGCTGGATTCCAGGTGGAAGGGTCACTGTCATCTGGATGCGAGAGAACCATATTGAAAGACTTCCCAGCTCCGATGGTATATGTCATCACATGTCGCTGATCACCGATCCTACCGGACGTTAAACAAAGCTGGACATTCGGCCCACTAAACTCACCAGATATTCATAGCCGGTCGATCCAGTAGCCACGAAAGCTCCGGGTCATCTCTAATGCGTTCCACGTCCACAGTGGCCCGATACGCTGCAAACCCAGTCTTTTGGAAAGCAGGTTTGCCACTGTCATCAAGAATTCCCCGAGCAACCGATTTGACGCCTGTGAAAAGGTTACTATCACGGTCCGCAGCATAGTTTAGAGATACATACCATCTGCTGCAACAACCAAATCAGCTGGAACAGACATGCCTGTTTCAAGCTCAATTCTCGGTACCTCAGTATCGTACCCAACAACCCGCGAAGCGAATTTGATTTTGACACCTACATCCAACGCCCGCCTATACAAAGCTGACTGGTAGTTGGCGCGATGGATCACGTAGTACGGAGAGCCGAATGTTCGCTTGATATTCGGGATTATCTGCGTGAGACCAATGACATCTCCCGTCTGCCAACGTCGCAAAGAGATGGACTCGGGCTCGGTCGTGTACCCTTTCAAGTAGGGATCTAAGCCTAGTTTGCTCAGAATACGAGTTGAGTTTGGTGGTACTTGAATACCAGCGCCGACCTGAGATGCATTAGGCGATATCAACAACATGCAGTAAACCAAGGGGGCGGCTTACTTCCCCGAGCTCTTGGGCTTGTTCATAAACTGTTACTTCATGGCCGGAAATCGCGAGAGCGATCGCTGTAGCTAGCCCACCGATTCCAGCACCCACAACAATTATGTTCAGTTTGATCCTCGCAAATTTGGATCGTTCGTCGGCTGATAAATTGGTCAAGAACGCTAGGCAGTTGCTGGGATAAGTTGGAGGCTACCGACTCATGACTTCATTAGAATGATCTGGTGTCATTTTTTGTATAGACACGCACCTCCATGGCATGTTGTGTACAATCTCTATTTACTTGGAGAACTTTCAGAGTCATCTTCACAATATATAGGCAATGGACCTGGAAGGATCGCTTATGGTGCGCCCATAAGCAGGGCGCAGGTTTACATAAACCACCGCCTTAGGAAACCCCACGATTCTGACACACACCCCGAGCACCGAGTGCGTTTAGTACCGGAAAAGCCGAAGCCGAGTCAGTAATATATCGCTATGCTGTAACATAGTGTCTCAAATATCAGTGTTCGGCGGTCGGTAAGAGTGTCGAGATAAGGACCTACAAAATACAAAGTAACAGTAACTATAAATCTCAATAATAGACATGGAGCAAGCAAGATCCCTTGCCTATGGAAGCAGATAGCACGCCTGGACTCACCAAAGAAATGATGTCTACGATGGTTTCAATCCCATACTAATGCGTATTGAAAGAACGCAGATTACAGAGATCGGATGGTAAAACAATCCTTTGAAAATGGTTCATTGACTTCGTAACCTCATCTGCTTGTTGGGCGACAGGTAGATCACCTCGTGCAAGCATACTCTGCATAGTAATCTATAAACATCTAAAACAAAGCCGCCACGATAATTTGCAAGTCATACTTTACACAGGCTGATGTGGCTGCGTACCTCTGACAAGATAGACCTCTCCAATGAGAACAACACACCCAACCACCATAGCGATTGCAATAATGGGAAGGTTCACGCGCGCAAACTCCAGACTGCCAACACGAATATGCTTCCTCCTCAAGATATCACGCCATAACAGGCCAGCTAGGGATGCACTAAACGCGGTACTGAATGCTCCGAAATTGACACCAAGGGCCATACTGTAGATAGTCGCCCACCATGTGCGATCACTGATTGGAATGCCTGTCTCGACGGATATTTGTTCCCAAGCCTGAATCACCCGGGAAAGAAGGATTGTGGTGCCGATGTTTGTGCCGGCAAACTGATTGAGACAAGTTAGCAGGTCTGGGTGATATCAAGAAGGATCAGTACGAATATTGCTTAGTACTTACGTTGCACAGGATCACAGATAGGAATCCCATTCCCCCGACAGCTCCCACCGTCCCGGTCTTATTCACCCAATGGTTCCATCCATACGCGAAGACAGGTACCCAGCCTTTGGTAACGAGTGCCTGAACAAGAACGAACATAGCAAAGGCAAAGGGGACCAGTGGGAATGGCATGTGCGAAACAACGACCGTCACGGTTGGGAAAGTCTCCTGCAACCAGCGGTATAAGTCTGCGGAAAGAGAAAACAATGTGCGCGGACCGTTTTCTTCTTGGTCTGAATGCTCGCGCTTTTCCACATCGGTTGTGTCGGTAGTCTGTCTTGTGTCCAATGCCTCCGGGGATGATGTGAGTGCCAGCTGCTTGCTGTCCATCGCAATAACACCATGTTGTTGAAGTTCAGGAAACTTCTCTTTATCGACGAGCACAGAACCCGACAAGGGTGTTTCGCTGTCATGGTGAGGAGTCCTGGTGTCTAAACTACTATCGGCAGCGCCAAGCGACATGTCATCGTCAGTGTGCTCGCTGCGATGGCGCATGTCTGAAGCATCACACTGTTCCGACCGATCAAGTCCCATCATCTCGGGACTTGACTTTTCCGATTGGAGCTCTTGTTCTTCTTTCTTGCGCATGTCTTTTTCTGCCCGTGCGTCCTCAAGTTCCTGTCGGCCCTTTGCGGCAATCTCACGGGTATCATGGCGATGATACCAGCCGAATCCAACGTCCCAACAGAACATCACAAACGCGGCGGGAACTGTTGCCCAAAAAACGGGACGTTCGTGGTCTTTCTGGCTCGATGCGTTCATAGCAAGGACAGTGATGAGGGTGGCGGCCATGATAAATGCGCCGAATCCAGCACCCTTCTTATCCAAAAACGGGTTCATGATCTCTTCTAGCGAGAGTTGCTTTCCCTGCTCATCGTCGTTTTCCTCCTCTTCCTCCGCTACTCCCCTGGCATTTGGAATGTTGGGATTCACTGGCGCTCTGGCTTTTTCTGCCTCAGTGAGCTGATGCATCTCGATGGATAGAGGTATGAGAGATTCATCGGCGAAAATGATGTATAGCAGAAAAGGGAAAATGACGATGGCAGTCACCACTACTGGGACGATCATGTTTGCAGTGTAGACAATGAACTTGATCTGAAAAGCACCAGCGAGGACCAGATTCGTTGGATTAGAAGACACAAGAATTGCAGATGCAATGTTAGCTACAGCAAATTGGCTGTGGATCCAGGCCCTAGGATGGACGATATTGCTTGACACACGAGTCATGTAGGCCAGGAAGGCGGTACCCGACAAGATAATCGGATCATTTCCAATGAAAGTGCCGAGCCCGAAGAAAAAGGCGTACAGGTAGAAAAAGAGCCGGTGACCGACCTTACCTCCTTTTTGCAAGACCTTGAAGGCCAAGAATCTGATCAGACCCGACGCATCGATCGAAATGGCGATGTATGCAAGTGTGAGGAAGAAGGCCATGATATCGATGGGTACAATTCCGTCTGCGCCAAGCGTTCCATCGTGCACTTCTTGTCGACCGATAGCTATGATCGCAAGAAGAAACAGATCCGCGATTAACGGAACGGTCACAAAGTTCAGGGGGAAGCTTAGCTTCACAAATGCGCTTTTTTTGGTATTATATCGAGAACGGGATCGACGGGGCATTATGCGCAGGGTACTCAATAAGTCCAGAAATCCGTTGACGAGCCATCGAGGCAGGTATACGGGGACATGGAAGGGGAAAAGGACGATGATATCTGTAATGGTGCAAGGAAGCGAGCGTCAGTCTTAACATCTTTGTCAAGGCGCAATCGCACTTACTAGTTATGACAAAAACAATTAGAGTAATGATTGAGCGCCAACTTTTGATTTTCGAAGTATCGAGACTCTCCGTCATTTTTAATATTTTGGTGTGCTTCCTTCCAACGTTTGTGAGGGCCGGCTGAGCTTCAGATTTTTGCTACAAAAAAAAAAAAAAACATGCACAGAGTACTTGGGTTCTGTTACGATGATCAGGCACCACGTCAGTATCGTGCTTCAGCCGCAGTCAGGCATGGATGGATAAGATACCGGAATGCAGAGAGAGAAATTCAGGTTCTGCCAGAGACTTATCGCGCATACATTTCCTTCGCGCGGTAATTCGTAAGGGAGGACGATCGGAACTGTTTCCTTCTATTTCCCGTAGATCGAAGATTTGCAGCGAAGATATTTGCGCGGTGATCGCTTCGCAACTTGACCTGGGGAAATCAAGAAAGAGTAGGAATGTGGGTCACCCGGACGGACTATCGCTCCCTCATGATATCCTGGCGGTTTCAGAAGAGCGTGACTAGCTTGAGCGAGCAGATATAGGAGGCCAACCTTAATGAAGAGTAGTAAGAGCAATGATACTCTATAAAAGAAGTAGCGAGGGCAGTGAGGCTGTGGAAGCTAGCACTCCGTGTTGAAAGCGGGATCTGCGAATTACCTAGGTGGTAGGGTATTAGTTATGCTGTGATTAAAGTTGAACTAGAAGCAGGGCGAAGCAAACAATCTTCCGCGCTATATTGCTCACGCATCCAAGCGAAAGCGAAGACCATGGGAGAATTTTATCAATATTTCATACCAAGAGGTCTAAGGGTCTTAATCGCCAAATCAAAAAAAATTTAAAAAAAGCGAGGCATGCACGAGACAAGTCAGGGCACTGTGATTAGCCTAGAGTTAGGCTTGGACAAGAAATGCCAACGAAATGCCAATGAAAATCTTGTAAGAAAGAACCAAAAGCCCCGCACTTATGTTTCTTGGCGAAAGGTCGTTGTTATGTGAAGTTGACCATGGTTCCGGTCTATATTAACCAACGATTTGCCAACATTGGATCCTATTCTCGTTTTCTCCCGCGATTCTCGTGGAATGTTACTGACTGCTATCTAACATCCATATTCATCCCTCGCCGTGTTCAATTAAATTACTTTGCAGACACAGCCACCGTACGGACTTAAAAGTACCCAATCAGCGGAGATGGTATCGCCCCGTCTCGTATTCTTCGCCTGGGTTTCTGCGCCCGCCCAGATCATCATCACGGGGGCACTCCCTGCTTCGAGAGACTGATGCTGAAGCAAGAGTGAAGACTTGAAACTGTCCAATCCCAGGGTAGACCGAACGTACTTGATGTAACTGAATCCGAGAATGAGGCTGTATTGCTGACGAACCATCTTCACGCCCGGGTGCGTGCCCTGTTCCCTTTGTTGATGATTTCCATTGTATTCTTCGCGAATAAGACGGTCCCCGGGGCTGCTCTCTCTCTTTCTCTCTTCGTCATTCATGTTATCAAGTTGCATTATATGGAGTGACTGTCAGTGATAGAGTACAACACCTCAATATATATGCCTTTTCTGCTCCTTTATCCTAGAGTTCCCGTCACCGGAGGCGGATAACATGCAATGCCCGCAATTCCCTCTGCAACCTCCTTCCTAGAAAATGCCCTTGTGCACCGTGATACCCTTGCTTCTCCAAACGTGACTGCGGCTGCAACCCAAAAGGCGCTTGAGGTTATCTGCGCCTGGCCTGTCTCCGGTCAATATGGCCCAGGAACACGGGCCCTGTACGTTTCCCCACAGATAAAAAACAACACTACGATGATATTCTGACAGTCTCTAGGTACTATTTCTTGATTGCAGCTTGCGTGGTTGCTCGAAAAGTGGAATGGATTCGGAACGCCTGCCTAGCTGCCGTGTTACTTTTCCCCGCTGTCGCGGCCCTCCATGCGATTGCGCTTGCCGTACTCCACGTTGAGGGTGAGTTTGTTACCCAAGACTCCAAGTGTGACTTTTTCAAATGATCAAAGCTCTAACAATCTGCAGGTGCCGTTGACATGGATATTTATGGAGCATTCCAGTTGTGCGCAATCGGTATTCTTACAGCGCCGGCGACCGTAAAGATATCTCAAACATATTTTAACAATCCCGGTCGGGATATCATCTTCATCTGGACAGTCCTACTTCTTGCTGGACTATTGAGTTTGATCGTGGAATTCATGCGCCTCGAGGCTATTCCTTGTCCAAGCGCTGGAAAAGTGTTTTCGTATGGCGAATCTTGCGGCCTCACGTGTACCACTGACAACGGTCCCCAATCAAGCTTACGACAAGGTTCAACGAACAATATATACGTGGTACCAGCACCTAGTGAGCTATCCTTCAATACCGCCACGCTTCTCGCTGCTGCATGCTGCATCCCCGCAATCCTGTCGCTGGTGTCGACATGGATCAAAATTCTGGACCATAATTGGGAGAGATTTTCCAAGAAAGAGGTGAAGCCAGATGATCCTATTAAAGGAACTAATGGTGCTACCATCAACCATATGACTGGAATTGGCGAGAAAATAAAAGAGTGGATGTCTCTGATCGAGGTACCAGTCATGGCCGCAGCCGTATTAGCAATTCTTATACAGGGCGAGAGGAACTTCTGGAGTCCACAAGTCTATTACCAAACAGAACCAATAACAAGCATCGGTAGGTGGATGTGCTGCCTAAATCAATGGGTCCTCAAGTAACTGACCGGCAAACGTTTAGGTCAATGGGCACCGATCGTTGGTACCGGTCTCGCTGTGTTAGGATCGCTCTATCTCCTGCTCGCAGCCGACATGGATGCTGAGGTCAAAGGGGATACCGAGATAAAATGCCCAGGTTGCGTGGAGTGCACAGCATCAGAAACACAAGACGGTTCCCGACGACAGTCTGATACAAGTGGCGAGGCCACAGTGAGTGAAATCGAAATGACAACAGCGAGCATGCGCCGCCACACTACCAACCAAACACATACCAACCAGACCACAGACGAAGGTGGAAGAAGAAAGGTTGCTCGCTTTCTCAATTGGGCTAGTGCCGCGCTCGCCACCCATGCACACAAGCAAATTGAAAAGGGGGGATTTAAACGGGACTCGTCATCTTACCCGGAAACCCCAGGAGAAGGTTACAAGAATCCCCATCTACAAAAACAAATCGAGAGATACAGAGGGTCATCAATAGCCCCAAGTTTCAGAAGCAGTAGGGGTTCCTTCGACAATGGCGAAGGTCCCTCTAATCCCCCCAACAGGGCCCGGAGCCAAACGCGACGGCATGAATCGTTACCAGTCTCATCTCTTCCAAGGGCAAGTTCTCGCCCAGGTCGAGATCACTCGGGGTCACTCCCAGGAGGGGGGCTGCTCGATTCTTCTCCTCTCTATTGTCCGCCGTCCCCCAGGAGCCCATCTCGGGAATGGACCCCGCAATTGAGTCAGTCTAGTGGAGGAATGTTGAGTCGAAGTCGAGCAAATTCCGATGTTAGCCCGACGACAACATCACCTGGGCTCCAATCTCTACCCACGCCTCCGCCTAAAATTGTCATTTCTTCAGATGGAGGTGGATGATGGAGTTATGTATACGGGTAATCAATCCCCTTAACGGTTTTATGAGTTACATATGTTCTAAATAGGTCGCTGTTGAAATAGTGTATACATAAATCATTTCATTAACTATAATATCTATGAAACACTAGTCCGTCTACGCGCGCTATTTTCCAACTAGATATCTCAAGATTCCTCTCCTTTCCATTCATTTTCTTCGTCCTGAATGAGTGACAATGTTTCCGTGGCCGCTTCCAAAAGAAACGTCTTTGCAGAGTCGACGGTGAAGCCGGGACAGCAGTCAAAACAGAAGAGCTTGCAATTGCCACGTAAAGATCGGAGCGACTTAACGCCCGTCTACTTTTCAGTCCTGCCTGTAACGCGCTCAGTGCTGTCGACACGCCGGATACATACATCCAAGTCGCACGTAAGGTAAATCGGTATAAATTGACGACCAGGTTCGCAGGCGGCATCTTTGTATTCTGTGGCTACGTCCCAGCTAAGCGCATTGTAGGGCTGCAAGTCTAACCTGATATTAGAGTTGGGCCGTTTCATTATAATCAGATTATTCCATGAATCTATTCTCGGCCATATCGTAGGCGAGAAGGGTAAAAAAGGATTTTGTTGATAGGGGGCATTGCTTGGTTACTTTCTCTGTTTGTTGTTGTTTTTTGTGACAGAACCGAGCCTATCAAGAAATGTGGCCGAGTATATTGGTCGCATCCCTGCGTTCTCTACCCATGGACTCAAAATGGTCGTCTTTTGATCTGTAAGTAATACCCTTTTATTTTCCCACCCAGATTTCATCGTAAAAAATGTGAGTAGGAATTAAGCCGATGATTCGAATCTTATTTCGCATTCAACGTTCTCACTCCATCCCATACCAACCCCGCAGCCCTTCATTACCGACTGCATAATTAACATAGTTATGTTTTCTTTCTGGTTACTTCCTTGAAAGATGATTTCACGCAGCTTTTCACCATATTGACAGCTTCAGCCTTAAGCCTTTGATCTCCAGATTTGTGAATCGAGACCGGCGCAATGGGCAAATTCGCCTCCCGGTGTGGGAATGCGGTGGTGTTCAAAGTGATCGCCTGTTAACCCTCGAAAAGGATGGTGTGTTCATTTAGTGCTGTGTTGGAATGAGTGATGAGCGAGAAATAATCGAAAGCAGCACGCTGTGCCGCAGGGTTATATTGCTGTAAACTCTCTGGGAAGCGGCTCTTTGACTGCTCGAGTCTCTGGCATGGAGGGGAGTTTATGTAACTCACGAGGGAGTCAGCTCGACTAGCCGCATACCCAGGTATTTCATCAGGCTCTAAAATTATCTAGGCGCCATTCAATGAAGTCACCCATCTTTAAGGCGCTCCACGGTGGCTTAGGCAATTGAATCACAAGGAATGTATGTTACTCAAGCCGAGAATCATTGGCGACACAGGTGAATGTTGTTTGATAGTCTTCTCTTTGTTCACTTGGCACAGTTCTTCACAGTCCCCTTGAAACTATGGATCTAGAGCGATAACTTACCCTCTATATCTAAGTAGTATGATTGGGCTAGTATCAACTAAGTCCAGGCGTTTCGGATTTTTTATAAGCGTGCTTTGTAAGGAAACTTGGATTGGAAAAGATATAGCTACGTAGTTTCTGTCATTGGTGCATGGATCAAGCAGCTACAATTCTCACATCCCCTCAAGCGTCTTCCAATTTTTTCGCAACTCTAGCCCGATAAGCGATCTTGCCCAAAAGAGAAGCCAATCCGGCATGATCGCAATGAGATTGCGACTCCTCTTCCGGCAAAGCAACAGTCTCTCCATCACGCTTAGAAAAGTTGAGTCCAGGCTTCGGCTTAACACAATTATACTGCGCATCCGCAGCGCGAAGGGTGCAAATTTCTGCTGTCATGCAATCACCAGTGCATCCGGTAACATTATAGCCACGCACACGTCTCGCCCAGAAATCTTGGAAAACAGATTGGTCGTGTTCCATAGTAACAGTGACATTGTGCCAGAAAGCCGGCGTGAGCTCGGCCTTGGGGTCTGTAACCGGAGGAGAAAGCTTCGATCCGTAATCCGCTTTGGCGGAGTAGTACGGGATCCATTTTGGCTTTGTCTGATACGTCGGATCACTGATATTGGCGATATACTGTGTGTAATCGAGGACACCGAAAGTATCAGGATCGATCTCGTAAACACGGAAAGACGGCGGGCCTTCTGTGGGCGTCATTGCTGGAGCGATATATCCCATCGCAGTAGCAGTTTCCCAGTTGCGATTATTGTAGTTCGAGTATGCGATTTGAAACTCATCCATGTGTGTATGGCCGTAGAACATTCCTGCGATGGTGGCTTCATATCGCTGTACGATTTGGTCGAAGTATTGTGAGTAGTCGTGGAAGTGATCTGCGACTCCGGATGGGATGTGTGAGATTAGCCATGCGCGTTGGCCTGCATCTTCTGCTGCTTGGAGTTCTTTGATGAGCCATTGTAATTGGCCATTTGGGTCTGTTTCCATTGGTTCTTGGTACATGTAGAAGTTGAACTTGTAGTAGAAGATACTGTTGTAGGAGATGATGCGTAAGTTGCTGTTTGGGTGGATAGCAGAATACGAGCCGTACTCGTCGGCAGATTGTACGGATGAGATTCCGGTTAGTGCGACCCAGTCTTCGGCGAGAGCATTGTATGCCCATTGGTTGTTTCCGTCTTGGATAGTGTTTGGTGGGAATAGATTGAGAGGTGCGCTGTCATGATTGCCTATGGCGGCGTAAACCATACCAAGCGACTTTTCCATTTGACCATATGTAGAATTGAAACTTTCCAGAGCCTCGGCCTGATCCACTAACCAGACATCGTGAGATACCACGTCACCTGTGTATATGGAGAACTCTGGGTTAATCTCTGCAATAGCAGCGTGCATGCTCTCTTGGAGCGCCTGAGGCGGGTCACATTTAGGGTTTCCAAATGGTCCACAAGGGGTCTTTGTGATCCCCGGGGCGTCCTTGTCTTCAAAAACTCTGCAACAGATAGGCTTGGAACATTCATAGCTCGAGCCGGTTTTGTACGAAAGATCCACATGTGTATCGCTGAAATGGACAACCTTGATCGGTGATTTGCCGCTAGACGGCAGAATGATATCTTTTGGTTTGGGCGACGGAAACGAAAGAGTATGGGGCCGGACTGCAGGATACTGGCAAAGGCCAATCAGGTTGGCGCACATCGTCTTGGTGGAGTGAGACCCAATCTTCAAAGCTTGAAAAGCATCATGAAGTGCAGGTCCCTCCTTCTTGATGATCCCTTCACAGACATCGGAATCTTCAGCCTATGTGAAATAGAAAAATCAGCTAGGAACTTCAAGGGTTCGTGGGCTCACCAGTACCTTGCTGATATCGCACAACCCAGTCAAGACATCGATCATAAAGTTCTCCCCAAATCCTGAGACAAATTTCAGACCACCGAGAAGAGCCTGGGCAATGCAGTAAGGTTAGTCATTCAAGTACATATGAAACAATGTACTTGTGATGGGGGTTCCACCTGGCAACTTCCGCAATCTACGGCATTTTTAAAGTCCTCCCAGATAGAGGAAATGGCGCTCTCAAGGGTGGCTTGAGCTTGAACATCCGGCAAAGATACCAGGAGCCCACAAGCGACGAACAGAATGTCCAGTCTCATCTTGACAAACGTCGATGAGATGACGATACCGAAAGGTAGGATTAAACCGGAGTCAAACGGTCTAGGAACTCCGTACCTTCCTAAGGAACTTATTGTAAGACCCGAGAAGACTACATCTTATACCATAGGTCAAAACCTACTCTATAGATAGCGTTTAGGCTAGAGGAGGTCTTGCAGCTCGCTTAGAACGAACGTAGGATCTCGCGTAGCGAGGATTTTCTTCAGCTCGGCTTTTGCGACGTATTGCCATGTGATAAGTGCAAGATATAGTACTAATTCTGTTGACTGAGAACGCATCTCGGGCTGAGATGCCCACTTTTTCTGCATATTATTTGCATAAATTGACTGTCAGAAAGCTCGGGGTGGACATCGGACTTAGGTAGCAACCGATCGGTCTACCGAGAGGGATTCTCGCAAATGTATACTGGAAACAGAGTGGCCAAGCAACTAGCAAGCTGTCATCTGCAACGTTGTACCCCAACAGCCGTTGATCTCGGGGGTTGATTATATGCCGTGGGGTCTTCTTGGCATAGCTCGCATAGACTCGGAGGATTTCAAAATCTGAGACCAGTGTGACAATGTTCAAATAAGATTGTCTAGCTATAATCAAACAGTGAAAAGCTTATGCAGACCATCCAGCTCATCAAATGGTAGATCAGATCATTGTTAGTGGATGCGTTCATCGATCTGACATGCCAAGCTCTGTGCCTGCAGGGGAAGGGTTTAGGGTGGATATTTGTGTTTCCAGATTCCAACATGACTAATCATCCAATTGGAGATCATAAAAGATGAGTTGAAGTTCAATGCGATCGCTAAAGGGCTAATATAAGTTCGAGATTCAAACTGGTGTCTAGAGGTTGCGGTGTAGACACAGACCGTAATTCCTGGTCCCGTGCATGATCCCAGCAGATCAATGTCGATCCCAAGCATGCTAGTTCATCTCTTGTTGAGCCTATAATATATGGTTTTCAATAAATCCCTCAAAGCTGGTTCGAGGTAAGACACGCTTCATGCTCATCGAGACTGGATGCCACGCGTACGCAAACTCTAGCAACTCGGCCAAATGGAAAAACGGGAGATGTGGATGGACGATGAATTGCCTATATAGGCAGTCAGAACTATGGACGTAATCCGATCTCAGGGGGGAGTTCGAATTGGTTGAACGGCCAGTCATATTATTTTGTGGGTAAGTGGCGTCTGCCTCATCTTATGTACCAGGATGTGATTATGTAGGGGATGAATTGAGATGATTCATATCTGTACAGTGCGAGTTTATTGCACAGACTATTAGCATGTAGTACTTGTAATAATAGGAGAGCAATAGTGACATAGGTGACTTAGAACGCTGTAAAATAATGAAAACAGCGGGGAATGTTAGTTGAAAAGGAGAAAAACCGGGGTAAAAACGGATTGTCTAGTAATTTTTTCCTCCCCGCTCTCTCTTCCAACTTCAACTTCTGGACTTCTTATTCCCACTTACTTTTTTGTCTGCTGCTTTTTCCCACCTCTCTCTCCTTCACCTCTTCTCCCTCCGTTTATTTTCCCTCGGTCGCCCATACGAATTTACAAAATTTGAATAGCGATCGAGACGATATGGGGCCTCCGCACACGCGCCATCCTAGCCCGCCTCAAACTGCGATACACTAGGAATTGGAAAAAACCGTGCAATTAGGGATTTTCACAACAGGGCTGTCCGAAGGGCAGTCCACTTGTCATGATGGAAGGTCGACAACCAGCGACACTAGGTGTCTCAATCACCTTCTTCACAATCGCGAGCATCTTCGTCGCGCTCCGGTTCATTTCGCGAATATTCGTGGTCAGAAAAATTGGGTTACACGACTGGCTGATGTTGGTCGCATGGGTATGTAGGATTCCTCGGCTTGATCCCTGCATGTACCCGGAGTTGGAGAGACAATGGACACGATCAGAACATCCTGGCAACATGATTGGGAAGCTCTGGCTGAAGCTCGGAGGCTAATCAGGTTACAGATCATCGATTTTGGCTTCTCGTTCTCACTCTTCTTTTCTGTGCAGAAAGGTTTGGGATTACATTCCAGCGAGATCAAACCTGAAGACGAGCTCGCTTTTAACAAGGCCAATTATGCATTTACGGTTCTCTACGTCAGTCTCAAACTGCCCTTGGTGACTTCGGAATTGGTGCACTGACAGTCTTTCAGAACCCGGCGTTAATGGCCGTCAAGACCTCGATCCTTATCTTCTACCTAACCCTGACACGAAATCAAAAAGTCTTTCGCTACGCAAACTATATCACTCTGTTTGTCGTAAATGCTGCAGGCCTTGCATTGACATTAGTAAATGTTTTCCAATGCAGTCCTATCGGCGCAGCGTTTCTCTCCGACATTCCCGCTTATGCGCATTGTACCGATATTGTTACTCTCTACTTGTCCTCCTCGCCGGTGAATATCATTACCGACCTCGCAATCCTCTTTCTTCCGATGCCGCTCTTGACGAAAATGCGCCTACCTTTCAAGCAAAAAATAATATTGGTCGTGACATTTTCCTTCGGTTTCTTTGTAGCTGTGGTGGATGTGATTCGAATTGCATTCCTCCAACAAGCTGCCATATCTCGTTCACTGGAGGTCAAGTCGATTCATATTCAAAACATTGGCGGGGTGGATTTTAGCTGTACGACCCTAATCTCCCATCTAAAAATACTACGTGTGGATTTGGAATTGAGCTGACCGTGGACTTTTACAGGGTACGCATCGCTATCTTTCATGTGGTCTGTGGTCGAAGTAAACGTCTCCATTATCTGCGGTTGTGTTCCAAGTCTCAAGCCGCTCGTCACTCGTCTCGTTCCGAAGTTGATTAGAGACACCAATGATACAACAACCGCTGGATATGGAGCTGGGGAAAGTCCGATTGTGGTACCCCCTCCCGCCGCAGTAGCTGGTCCTGCGTCTGCGTCTGCGTCTGCGTCACCGGGCAGCGAAGGAGACAAAGCTTTGCAAAATCATGTTGGAACTTTCTCTGCTGCGCGACAAAGCTCCGGGGAGTCAGAGCCCATGGACTTACTGGACTTTCTTGGTCGCCCAGCACCCCTCGATAATGAAACAGCCACACGTACTAGCACGAGCTACCCGCCGGATATCACCTTCTTTGACTTCGTCAACATGAAAAACCCAGAAAGTATGCTTAAGCTGAACACTAGGGAGTCAATTGCGCCAATCGCCCTGACCACGCTCCTTTTCTTCCTGTGGGGTTTCGCATATGGTTTGCTTGATATCTTGAACTCTCGATTCCAGACCATCGTTCACCTTGGCCCGTGGCATTCATTGGGTCTTCATGGTGCCTACTTTGGTGGATATGTGTTGGGACCTCTATGTGTTGGTGGCCCCGTTTTGAAAATTTGGGGCTTCAAAGCCACATTCATGACGGGCCTTTGCATCTATGCCTGCGGTACGCTTATTTTCTGGCCTTCTGCTGTTCTCACCTCGACGCCTGCCTTCATTCTATCCAACTTCATTGTCGGGTTTGGTCTTGCTGTTTTGGAAACCGCGGCAAACCCGTTCATCGCCCTTTGTGGACCACTGGAAAATTCGGAGATCAGATTAAACATCTCGCAGGGTGTGCAAGCTGTCGGCAGCGTCTTGTCACCGCTTCTGGCCAAGAGAGTTCTCTTCAAAGATGTCCAGGACGTCGCATCTTTAGTCGATGTGCAATGGGCATACCTCGGCATCGCCCTCTTCGACGTCCTTTTAGCAGTGGCCTTCTACTACCTCCCGGTCCCCGAAGCCTCAGACGAAGACCTCGAAGAATTAGCAAATCGTCGCCGAGAAGACAACATGACAAAAGTCATCGGCATTCCCGTCGTCTGGTTGACCCTAGGCCTGGGAATTTGGTCCCAATTCTTCTACTGTGCCGGCCAAGAAGTCCTCGCAACAACTCTGAACCGCTTCGTCCTCGCCGCTCGCCCAGACTCCTCCCTCAAACCCTTCGACTTCCTAACAATCGGCCATAGTGTCTTCGCCGTGGGCCGGTTCCTCGCCGCTTTCGCTCAATGGTTTTTGAAACCCCGCTGGATTTTGATGGTCAATTACATCGGCATGATTGTCTGCGGGGTCCTCTGTATGAAAACCAGCGGCTCCGCGGCAATTGTCATGGCAATGCTGCTCTACCTTTTTGAAAGCGGTACATTCAGTATCATCTTCGCCATCTCCCTCCGCGGCACCGCACAACATACGAAGACCGCAGCCATCCTCTTGACAATGGCCATCAGTGGCGGTACTTACTTCCCGTTCGCCGAGTACGCCGCATACTTATCCCGTGGCGAAGCATACTCCTTCTGCGTTCTCGTCGCGCTCTTCTCCGCCGGCGCTATCTTCCCCATTTACCTAAACTTCGTCCCCGCCGTCAAGAAACAAGTCGACCCCGTTCCGAATGAGTATCTTCGTCGTCATCGGAGGAGAACTCGTACACACGTCGACACTATGCAGCGTGAAAAGGACAATCCCTCTCTCGGCGGTGTCTTCTCCCGCCCGCGCAGTCTGGTCTCGAATCCCGACCATCTACCCGATCTGCCCCTCCCAGAGGATATCCATCGCTCTTCCCTTGCCCATAATCTTCCCGGTGGAAAATCAAGCTCCAGCTCCAGTCGGGACTCGACTGAGTCTAGGAATTTGAGCTCGAAAAACCGATTCTCAGATCGAAGCAATAATTCATGACCATTGGGTGGGATTCTCGATCTAGTCATGGGTATCTGCAGTTAGCTGTAGCTACGCTTGGATTTTTCTCTTTTACTCATACCGACATTCGATGACAGCCATACCGCGCTCTTGACTGCGATCATTTAAGATACCCATTTGGATCCATTTAGGACTTGTGATGTTTTTTTATGCGTATATTTTCTTTCTCTGTGTACTTTTGGTGGCTACAGTCCTTTGTTTCTGCATTTCAGCGATGGTGTTACATCAAAAGCTTGGTGATTCGTCTTGCTTATCCCTCCAAAATACTTCGATTCATTAATAATATACAATATTCTCACTCTACATTGATTGGGCTTGTTTATGAAATCAAATCTTTATGCCTGATCATTGGTCTCACTACTGAACTCCGATAATGTATCTGTCTGCTTTCCCTTTCCACTGACATCGAACGACGATCGCCAATCACAACTGCAGTAGAGGCAACTCAATGGATGATGAGTCTTGCCTTACCCACCACTACCCATCTTGCCAACTCATCTGGTTCTGGCATCTTCTTTAAGCCTCATGCGAAAGACCCCGCCTTTTCACTTCAAACCTTCAGCGGCATTTCCTTGATCTTTTTTGAAAGCAGGCTTGGCTTGGCCAATTTGTCCTCTCATCATTTACACCGGCTTTCCTTACTATGGATGACGGAAACGATCCTTCAAGCTGGCAGGATTCTTGCAAAAGAAGCAATCTGTATCATTTCCAGGACTCAGGCCACGCGATGGAAGATCCGACTAGAAATCCTCCACAAAAGCTGCAGCAGGTAAGCGTAAAAAACAAATCTGTTCCGATGGATTTATGCATACATTGACTGGTGGCTGTGAACATAGTTTCAGGCAGGTCGGGAGTCTATGTTTTTATTCCCAAGAAATCCAATGAGCCTCCACTACCTGGCAACTAACGAGCGCAGGCCTTTAACAATGCCATTCGAAGAGGTGAAACAGAACGTGTCCTATGGTATATGCGATAAAGCGTGGGCTTGATTGTGATTACACGCGTTACTATGTCGTCCGCAGGGTTCTTATTCCCCTCTTACGGCCGCTGTATCCTTTGAATGGCTGGAGATGATAGAAATCATACTCGATGCGGGAGCAGATATCAACATGCAGTTGAAAGAGGGCCCATCTGGCACGGCCCTTAAGGTGGCTACTCAATACAAATCAACTTTCGCCCCAGATATGATGCGCCTTCTGATCAGTCGAGGAGCTGATGTGAATTTGGGGCCGACAAAGGGGACTTATGGCAGTGCTCTTGCTGCGGCTCATTCTGTCCAAAACATCCAAGCACTTGTTCGAGCGGGTAGTAATGTCAAATATGCAGTTGAAACATGGAGAGTATGGCAGTCCCCTAGCTGCTACTGCTGCTGATTATCCCGATAATGTCGAAGCTGTTGTTCAAGCAGATGCTGATGTTAACATGAAATTAACGCATGGCCGTTGTGGAAGTGCCCTACATCACCTCTCAGATGCGAGCCCCAAACCTGTCAGTTGGCGCTGGGGTGGAGCAAACTTACAACTTGTCCCACAGTCAGCGTCCCATTTGGCGTTAGGTGGCCAGGTAGGGCTCACATTCCATCACTACTCAATTCAATTCTTCCAATAATTATCTTAAATGCTTTTCAAACATTGCCAGGCAACCGACTGTTCACCCCCACCTACAGGTACTCCCGGTCCAGACAGTGGTCTTGTCTCATTAATTGCTCTGCGTGATCAGAGTGGGCTTGTCCTTGATAGTTCCAGGGATGATATGACCATGGTTCGAGAACTCATAATCATCAAAGGCTACAGTGCACGCCCCTAAAGGGCCAAGGGTATACTGATATGAAATTTTGGATATTATCATAGACCCCCCAAAATCGGGCTAATGAGAACAAAACTCGGGAAAGAGGCCTCGGTTGGACATAACTTATGAACGAGATTAAGTGCCTCTGTTGCTCTGATTAAGGTGACGTGATGATCGGAAAAAGTTCTTCTTTACCTTCATCGCCTTGCAATACTCTAGTTGAAGGGTACGATTTCATGGCTGCATCAATTCATAGCATCGAAAGTCTGTCCAAAAGGTATGGAGACAAAGCGTATGGATCCTTCTGTCCGCTATCTCAAACCCATTTCTGGCGTCTAGCCGGCTCGCCATCTCAAGGCTGTCAACATGGGCATAATGAAGAGTCTTGCGGGAACCGCCCGGAGGCTCGTGGAGAAACCCTCAATATATCAAAACTCAACCATACGAGCATCTAAGTGAAGATTCCGGTAAACTCTGTATGAATGGAACCTGGGTTTCGGTGGACAGCCTCGGTCGAAAACATCTTTAAACTGTGTTCAATCAGCCCAGCCTTACACAGTCTCGTTTCGTAGCATGACCAAGTAGTGCAAGTAATTAGTTGATCACACACGGAGAAATATCTCGAAAGAGAAAGTGACCAGAATTGCGCCTGATCTAAGAATATTTTAGCTTGCCAGCTAGCTCCAAATAATGTGCATAATCTGCATGCAGTCGATCCCGCCAACCCTACAGCTGGTTCTTTAGCATGTTTCCAATCTGCACTGCACATCTTGATAGGTCACTTCAAAAATATCAACCCGGTGGAAATGTTCAAACCCCGAGTTCCACCCCCAAATCTCCAATTTGTTCAAGACCTTTTACCCACATCAGCCGACATAATCACACAATTCCACTGTTTCATAAACGAAAATCGCAGCGAACGAAACCCGGCCGTGACAGGAATCCATGGTTCGAGCACGTCAATCAACACCGTTGAGTCTGCGACTAGCCAATCTACTTTAGCGCATACCCACCTAGGGCCGGCGCTTCATTTTCCGGACCAAAGTTGAGCTGATCCCACGAACTGATACTGCAGCCGGCCTAAATGACCCAAGATTTCGACAGTGGTGGCGACCTTGGTCCACTTGAACAGAAACGGGTTTGTCAGGGAGTTGGCAGATTTCCTGTTTCTTAGCTCTCCCAAAAAAGAACACGATTTTCAATGTACGCTGAAAAAACAAAAAATACTCTGATGGTTTGTAACTCCATCTTCTAGTGATATTCGATCTGGACAATGTGTGTTGTTTGAAAGTTCTGCAGGATCTCGGAGAGGCGTGCCTCGATACGAACCCTGGCGGAAAGTGACATCCTAAGTAGCCCCCAATCTGAGCAATGCAGGAAAGTATAACACCAACTCTAATGAACATAATAGGGCCATTAAACCGGATTTGCACCCTTTTGAAAGTCAAGAGTCCACTGATTTACATGCACGAGCATGATATACCGAAAGTTGGTACGCTGATGGGTTTCAGGAACACCCGGAAACCCTCACGGAAATGGTATCCGGTACCATCAGGGGCAATATTATCACATTATTCCCTATCCCAAATAATGAAAGCTTTCCATTTTTCCAAAAAAAAAAAAATCAAAAAGCCACGCGGGAAAAGAGACAGCTCGTAAATAAAAACCAATAGTGCACCTCCGCCAGAGCCTCCGAGGTGGCGATCGCAGGTCAAAAAAAAGGTGATCTCGGAGAATTTTTCTGATAGACACCAGTCATGGGGGCGGAAAAAACGCAGACTCCGCAGGGGCAAAGGGCTAGTGGAGCAAACCTTGAACTAAAAGACCGAACTAAAGGCGCGACAGCCTGAGAATTGCCTGAAAGGGCAAGCTAGCGTCCCCGGTTTCAGCTACGCCACGAGATTTCTCGCGGCACGGACATGCCATCTAAATAGGGCTAGCAAAGCTAACGAAACAACTATGCCAATCTGGTGGACCTTGAACAACTCCAGGCTTTTGGACAAACCTTGCTCTTTTCCCTACAATCGCCTTATTTGTTCTAGTGTTCGTATTGGACAGTGCTCGTATTGGACAGTGTTGGCGTTTTCGGAGTAGATCGGTGATATGGTGATCCTACGCATTTATGGGGCTGATATAACTAAGTCCGTCTTTTACTATTACTCCTTACAGAACACGGCCTTATTAAAATTGGGCAGCAAAACCATCTAGAAGAAAGTTATAGGGGGAAACCAACTACTGGTGCACTACTACAATCCATATATTGCCATATATTGTAGTAATGGACGTCAAAGTGGATTCTAGACTCCTGCCTGATTCTTCCATGATATTCATGGATTTTTCACATGTCCGATTATCAACCAACTATCTAGTTAGTCCAGGTAGTCCACCGTTCATCCTTACATCTAATTAATCTAGTTAATCTCATTAATCTCATATCCATCTCGATTACCGGCCTAGTTCCATGGACGACAGTTCTTGGCGATAAGTACCGATGAAAAAGACGCGCACAATTACACCTTGGAGTCACAATTCCAAGGGACCTCCATCAATGGCCGAGTCTCGGATTGGATCTGGGGAGTCCACAGCGGAACGAGCGCAAACTAGTGGGGTCGAACAAGAATTGTGGTTCGATCGGCTGGAATTGTAGACAAATAACGGCACGGTTCATTTGTTGGTACGGACGTTGGGGGTCTTTGTCTTGATGTAGTACGTTCGTGGGACAACTAGCAAAATAGTGCTGGCCATTCTCTTTTTTGATAATTGAACTCGGTCGGAAGGAAAGGGTGAAAAATATGACGCGCTGCAATTATACTCCCCAAGGCTCGTATTTTCTTACGCAGTTCCGTGGGATTCGTCGGCTTTACTCCGGCCATTGGGTAATTATTTTTTATCATTCATTTTTCGCTTTTTTCTCCCCCAACGGCTCAAGGTACGGCCCAATAGTTGCGACCCAGCTTTGTGCAGTCGCATTTCTGATCCGAGATTATTTAATAAATGAACTCATCTTGGAGAAACGAAATCTCGTAAGAGATTAATGTGATTGTAAGATGCAGTATAGAGGTGCCATATGCATAGATCTAAACAAACCCCCGAGCGAGGAAACCCCCCAGAACTCGCCAGCACAGTCGTAACAAGATTTCCGTATTAATGCTGTGACCAGATGAAGCCGCTAGACAAAGAGCAAAACAAAAATCGCTATAAAAAATAAGATGATGGGGTTTCAAGACGCCGTCTCGCCAACGCGGTATGAATGAGAAGTTTCCAAGGTGTCGCGAACTCCGAGAGCCAAAAAAAAAAACCCTGCTATCCGCGTGCACTCCGCGGTCGTGAATTTTGCGAAGACGAGTCTTGGAGAATATCCGGCGCCCGCGGCCCTACCATCCAATCCTCCATAGCGAGCCATTCACTCCAACTGCGCTCCGCAGCCTCGATCTCGGCGTCGAGCGGGCCCTGCAAAGGTCGGAGGAAGGGAATAGTCTCTAGCGGAGGCATGTCGTAGTCCTTTTTGACAGATGCCCAGCCGCCGCTCTTGGCGGCGAATAGGTAATTGCGGCGTTCTTGCTCGTGAAGTGGGCCAACACCGCTGCTCCAGTCGTCGCCAAAAAACCCATGCAGAACTCCTGGGAAATCCATTCCCGTTGCGACTAATCGGCGGATGTAGGGGATCAATGAGACGGAAGGTGGGCCTGGTGGTTGTGTGCCTGTTGGTGGGGTGTGGGATGCGGAGGTTGGCGAGGAGTTCACGACTGAGGGTTGGCGTTGGAAGGGAAGGCGGATGTTCAAGAATGCTGAGAGGGCTTGGACGGGAACGCTGTGTTGGGCGTGGTCTAGGAAGTAGCGTTGGCAGCTTTGATAGCGTGGATACCATTCAAAGATATCGAAGTTGTCGTCGGTTCTTCCTGGCGAAGCGCCGGCTAAGCCAATCATTGTGGCCGGATCGAATTGGGGACGGGAGTTCATGGATGGTGAAGTTGAGGTTGGAGGTGAAGGTGTAGGAGGAGCTACTGGTCTGCTATATTTTTCCCAATGGCTTTGCTTAGTTCGTGTTCTCTTTTGTTTTTCCGGTCTCTTTTGGGGTGCGTCTCTTTTCCCGGTTTCTGGGAATTCAGTGGGGTCGAATTGCGCCCCGAATTGGGATGAACTCGAGGGGTACAACGGGGGAGGGATTGTTACTTGGAAAAAATATGCCTACCTCGACGGACCAGATGAGATATTCGGCGCCGTGAAGGGGAGGCGGAAGGTGTAGAAAAGCGAAACAGATTTCTGATGGTACCAAGTCCGCCACGAGGTTGAGGCTTATCCATGGACATCTGTTAGGGATCCATCGAGAGGTTGAGGATGTGGGGGATTTGTTCAATGAGGAATACCCATTGAGGGGGTATATTTATGAAGTAAAAGAACCGTTAGACATACATGTGATTTTGTCCAAAAGGAGAGAAAAGAGAGAAGAGAGAAGAGAATAGAGAAGAGAGAAGGAGTAAGTAAAAAGATAAAAGAAGTAGAAGTCACAAGAATTAGAGATTAATAGACAGAAATAATGGATCCTCAGAATTGCAAGTTTGTTCTGGAATGTTCATAGAAGAGAGAGATTGGTCTAATAAAGAAAGACATCACCTCAGAGCCTATGGGTTATACGGAGCTTTTTTTTTCTAAATCGGATCCCTCACGACGGGTCTATCCGGTCAGGCCAATTAATATGAGATCTACTTGACCACGGGTCGAAGGCGGGTACAAGTATCAATCTAGGCAAGAGGCCCGTCTGTTTTTATTTTATTATTTTTAAATGGGGTTTTATATATTAATTTTTTTATATATTTATGACATTTCCTGACATTTCATGATATTTATAATCATACAGTCCCTTAGTCCCCAGTACCTGGTAACTTATATCCTAGGTAAGGATTGTGTTCTCATGCTCAATTTGCACTAATGATATTAAGACAGATCTCATCGGCCACTTGTCACATCTAATTGGCTGTCGGAATCGGGATGGCGTCGATACTAATAACACTTTCTCCTTTTTTCCCTTCGTATATGCTGATTCTATTCGACCATTATGACACCCATCGTAGGAACTTACCAGATCATACCCAAATCAAGAATCAAAAGAGACCAAAGGATCCAAAAAAAGGGGGAGGGGGGTCCCTCAAGGCTGGGCCCTCCTGGTTTGTGCTCAACCAATCTAAGCCCAAGTCCGTCTCTTCGCTGCAAGGTATCCTAGTCATGATTGGAATCTGAGTCCACGAGGACAACTGCCTAAACATTTTTACTATTGTCAGCACTGCCCACTCCCAAGAGTAGATTATCAAATAGTTAGTCAGTTCTACTTAATATATTGACCATGCGTCCCTGCAGTCATGGTTTTGTCATGGTCTCACGTATATTGTAATAATCTGACGATTCTATCCGAGCGGCAAGTCATGATAACAGCAGTGGTGGCGCTTTTATAGTGGGCTGGAATGTCTGTGAATGTTGCGATTGACCTGTATACTCCCTTTCTTCCTTTGCCAAGCTCCCATCTACCGGGATATTCAGATCGCGTGCAGCACCGAGAAGACCCGAAACCCACTTCGGCTGTCGATGACAAGCCGAAAACCATGCCTTGCTGATCTTGTATTGTTTCAGCCTCCAATCAACCCCGTCGGATATATTCAGGGGGCTCTGTTAAGATACAATCGCGTTCTCGAACACATGGCGTCACTAGAATCTCGACACTAAAAGGCCATAGCTAGAGCTAGGGCCACTTGTCGAGCTGTGAGAACTAAAGCCCCCCCTTTAGCGGGGATCAAGCTCCGATCGCACCAAGATAAGAAATGACAGAGCCGATCTTTAAAAGAATGAGCATGCGCGTCTGTTCGGTCTTCATATTCGGATCCGATAACGAATCGCGAAAGGGTTGTTTGTCTCCTTTTCTAGATTATGGATCAACACAGCCGCACTAGGGGGGTTCTCGAGTTCTCTATTAACATATCTTGATTTTAATCCTTTAGGCTCGGGGATTGCAAATTTGAAATAGGTCGCCAAGCCGAACGAGTTAATCTATATTATATGATTATATGAATTCGAGTCATCTGATTCCATTCTCTTTCTCCGTCATCCCCCCGAAGTTGGGAATTCGCCACATGCAGAGTTCAGGCCCACTCATTTCTAATAGATGGCAGTTTTTCGCGCAAACGTTGTATAAATATATATGACCTGTGTCGCCATGCCTCTCAAACCTGCAGCGCCAACCCACCAGTCAAGACGCCGAAGTGCTCAATGATGTTCGAATGGACCCCTACAAGATAATGCAACACGACACTATCAACTGACTACGGCACGAAGTCGATCGCGGCTGTCATTTTTTGCTCTTGCCAAGGTCGATGGCACGCACAAAGATTCCGTTATAGGCAGCGACGACCGATGCATGTAAGGTTTTTTTTCAGTGCAATTTAACACCCTGTACATCAAGGCTCTGCTTTCTCCGTTGATTGAACAGACTCGCGAAAAGCAATTACACCATCTTCTCCGGCTTGTGCAATTCGGGGACTGGCATCGTGGTACCCGAAGCGGGCGCGTCGCCCGACCCGTTCCTTGACCCCGATGCGCACAACCTTGGAATACAACCTGCCTGTGACTTGGTTCTAAATACCTCTGATTAGGAAGTTGGCGTGGCAGACCGTGCGTTGGGGAATCTGCGCGCATTGTCCAATGATGCGCTGTGTCGTAGGTCACGCGACTTGAAACGAACCGGTCGCTATGGAGATTATGTTGCTCTATGATGGTATGCATGGGCGTGGTCAATGAGTATCAAGGCGATGCAGCGAGTCAGCGACCGTGCTCGCTGTCAAGCGGGAACTATACTTCCCTCGGTAATGCTGATCAACTTATATTGCGCTAGCCATGTGTTTGCCCCTGACCGCCGAGTCCGAGCTGCAACGAAGAATCCAAATCGTTTCCTGGTCGTTGAAAACACAATCCCCCTCTTCGGTCGGTGTCAGAACTTCTCTGCTACTAAATCTCTCTGCCAACACCATCCGTCACATCCCACAACTGTGGCAATGAGTCGGATTTGCTTTGGATGTGTAAGCGAAGAAGTTGGACCCTAAACTCTTTCAAATTGATCGTCGGCGCTTATTTCTAACCGAGTGTCAAACATGATCTATCAACTTCACGGCTGCCCAACTGCCGAGCTACATGATACTAGCTCCAAGTCAGCCTGGCAATCACAGCGGCCGGAAATTATTTTCAGTTGCTCGGTGTGAATGCAATTTTCAGGTGCATTAGCATCCTTTGCCAGCATGTCTGGTCCAAATCACTAACCAGACGAAGAACGGGGCTGTCAACCAATGAGGTAAGGTTCATTTCTCGCTTTCTGCACTGGATTCGAAAGAATAGAGCACATCAAGTGACAGAAAGAAGAGCTCCCTCTTTGCCAGCAAGCTTCGGGCCACAGTGCGTAGCGCTCACCGTCGAGGTCGCAGTACAAATCAGAAACGATAGCTCAAGCCTAGCCAAAACAAGAAGCGAGATAAAATGCCAATCCACTCAATTCGATTCACCCGCCCCCCCCCCTCCATGGTGATATGTAGCATATGCGTAATGCTATACCGGGTATAGAAAATCTGGCCACATTTACGCATATCTAGCTTCAATTAATTCCCATTTTCCCTTGTTCTGCCTACCTATAGATAGCCTGCTTCCTATCAGAGATTATGGCATAGACAATACAAGGATGCAATGCATTCAATGGTACGCAAGAGGATTTATTGATCTAGGGCACTTCTCTCCCATCCTAGGATGGGATAAATTAGAATTTGGTATGATAGGGGGGATTATTTAGGGATCCCGGGACCAGTCCCGGTCTAGCAGAGGGCGTGGAGCATCCTAAGCTGTGCCCGGGAAATTGGTTCTGGTCAAGTAGGGGAGAGGGAACCTATTGAAATAATTAAGAAGGCATTTGAGCCTCGCTTCGACATTAGGTCTGAGAAGACCTATCTTTTGAAGCTTGTGTAGATACCATTGTAACCAGTTTTAGTCACCCTTTGGCTTGTGCCTTTAGAGCGGCTGTTCATACACTCATACTGAGGGGCTGCAATGAGCTGGGGCATCAAGTACACGGGTGTCTGCATGGCAGTCTTTTTGGACCTCATCTAACTGGACTGGTCTTGATGGGACCATAATCGCACACCAATGGTTCCGATGAGAAGATATGCGACGGCCCAACGGTCATGGATAGCTGAATCATCTACCAATCCTCTCCTATGGGGTTAGCTAATCCCCAGCACAATCTGCATGTATACGTCCTTTTGTAGCCAACAGACATTAACTCGAGCTTACGTACATGTGTATGTTACATACATTGATGGGTACTCAGAATGGGATGCACAGACAAAAAAGCAAACGAAACATTGATCCTATACAAATGACCATCTCCCTTTCCACTGGCCTAAACACTCACTTATTCACATCCTCTCCATCTTGAGCTATTATTAATACTCCAGGAATAACGAAAAGCATAAACATAACCAACCCATTTCGCCACGCGAATAAACCGGACAGTTTACACCGATGTAGCACTCGGCCGGTACTTTGATCTCGAGTAAACAAAGAAGTCATAAAACTTATCGATAGGGAAACAAGACAGCGACGAATGAGAAGCGCGCTATTTGTCCGGGTTGATGTGCAAGTTGCGGAGACCGCCGATGGCCTGACCTGGGGTTGATATCTCCATTTTTGCGCGGGGTGGCGGGGTGGAGTTTATGGTTCACGGGGCGCTAGATGGGAAAGTACAATATTGTGAAGTAGTAAATATCTGTTGATTATTCATTTTATTATTTATTGATTTTGTTTGGATTCAAGGTGGACCAGGTTAGTGCGGGGCGGTGGCTTGAGGCTCTTTCTAGATTTGTTCGGGATCTAAATCACAATGGAATGATGTAGATTACTGGCACAGATGGAGTAGCTTGATGGATTTTGGATCTTGCTGATATGCTACTACATACAAATGTATGCACCTATTTAGTGGGAGATACTGGGACTGGTGTCACTCTCTCACTAGCCACCCGGGTAGCACTGGACATCATAGTGAAATAAGGTCGCGTGCCATGTAATCTGCTATCTTTTTATCAGAGAGTATTCAACTGTTGCATATCTATAGGTCCAAGAATAGAATAGAAAGAGGTTTGATAGAGCGATATGCAAAATGCTTGTAGAAAGTACCATTTAAGATTTTCGCTAAAGTTTATAAGCGAAAGAAATGCATGAATTCCAGCTATATAGCGAGACCTAGGGGGTGGAATGGAGAAATGAAAAGACTGTTGACTGTATATTGTAGACTGGAAAAAGTTGAGCAGAGATTACGCGCATTCTTGTATTGTTGAAGAGCAATTCATCATATCAGATCAAAGGCTTCTTGGCCCTTTGAGTCGAAATAAAGTCGTTTTAGTGGAAGGGCTAGCTAGTGTAAGGTATGTATGCTGATATGTACGGTGTAGACAGCACGTCATAGTTTTCTCAATAAACATTCAAAGGACTGGTCCTTATGCCGGAGCCTCCATTCCTATAGACAAATAACCAATCGGAGAGCATCAAGAGATTGCCCACCCAAAACCTAACCATACATAGAAACTGAACTGGATCTATGGTTGAATTTTCATGCAACAAATACATTGTACTGCAAGCACGTTCAACTAGCTCCTGTCAAAGCTCAGCCTAAGATAAGAACACGTGTAAGATTCATCGATTTGACTCATCGCTCTAAAAGGAAATCAGTTTATAGTACTCCGTACGTTGTACTCCATAGCTATGACATGCAGCAAAACACGTGCCCAAACTTCATGTGACTTCCAACTCTCGTTTGTAATAACCAACTGTCAAAACCTGGAGATACGAAAAAATAAACGCACGGAGCATGGCCCGTGTGCATTTAACCTGCGTCTGGATCCGGATAGCCGGTGAGCAACCCGCACCCCCAGAAACTTAAAGCCAAGTCAGCAAGGAGTGGGGATCCTTGCATTCTGGATGATCCGCTGCAACCTCAGATTGGTCGTATGCGGACGATCACCCCAAACATGGGGCAATTGGTCTACAGTATGGGGTGTTCATCTTGCATAGCCTGCTTACGTTGTACGTTAAATATCTACATCGGATGTACAGAAAATGCTGGGTTTCGAGGTTGGAGGTGGACGCTGTAGCCGTCGATATTATTCCGTTGTATGATCAAGGTTGATGGTCAAGAATGCGCCACGGAGATAAGCAAGCATTGGTATAATAGTGCTGTAGTGTTATTAGAATTATTAGAATTATTGTATACAACATGCAACGTCAGCTTGGTCTTAGAACTCAGGTTGTAATAGGTGGCTAATTGGTAGGCCGACCATCGGCCAAAGTCAAAGGCAGTTAACCGCTCTTGGCATCACACGGCATTTGTGCCTAACCCCCGGGGAAGAGGACCCCTGAGATTCTGGTCGAGTCCACTGAGATGACTATTAGAGGCAAGGTTACTGGACGATCTATGTGCCTACGGGGTTCTGCAGAAAGTACATGGTACTAAGTAAATCAGTCTTGGTACTTACTGTAAGGTACTACTTATATGTATGTATGTATGTACAATGTAGCACAAGAGTAGCTTTTAAATATAATTCCATCAAACATTTAGGGAATTAAAGATTCAGGACCTGAGATTTCCCCTCTCTTAACCCCTCATTATAAGGTGGGGGATCAAAAAGGTCAGAGATAAAGCAGTTGTAAGGTTATGAATAAAACGATGTGAAAAGGAAATCAGTCGATCAGATAAGGTCGGTGGAGCAAAAGTCCCACTTTCTTTGGCTCAGTCGCCGTTTTCAGTATAGTAGGCACGTGACTCTCCTTGCAGCCGAGCCAATTTGCCGAAGGTGGCAGTTGGTGGCGGATCCCCTTTGCCTCTAATTTTTAGAATCATTAGTTATAGCTAGTTAGTAGCATACTCTGTGGAATTACATTCTTATACACTCTCGTTGCATCACGCGTTTTCAATTTCTTATTATTTTTACTCTCCAAACTCATTGATCTCAGCCTGGGGTGTTTCTACAAGTTTAACTATGTTACATTAAAAATCAATATGTTCCGTCGTATCGGAGAGGACCGATCCGATGGGATCTACGAAATAAAGTCGGAACAAAAAAAAAAAGCAAAGGAAGATTTAGGAAGCAAATGAGAGCTCCTGATTGCCTAGTGAATAAAATATAGTAATGCATGTCGAGTAATAATAATTGGACTCAGTACGACGTTGAATGGCTAAATGCATAGAAAGAAGTGGGTAGTCCCGCCACCCTAGATAAGAAACCAATTCTGTGACCTTAATCCATAAGATAACATTGTCCGGCCCCCGAACTTCGGACTTTCTTCCCACGGAATTCATTGGTGTTTCACTCTATTCTACTCCTCCCAATCCGTACAACCTACAAGTCTTGGTATACACTGTAAGGCAGTTGCAACTTGCCCTTTTTCCCCGTAGTTGTCCGGACTCTCTCGTCCGACTCCGGCCCTCCACTCTTCCATCTCCCAAACTTGTATATATAATATTCTTCAATCCCCCTCGAATAACTTTCTTTCATCTACTCTAAATCCAATTGTCTTACACTCTGCTCTTGGGCATCTACTACTTTTCTATAATATATATTAGATCTTTGCCAAGCATTGATCTATCTTCACCCTAAAGCAGAGTAACAAGACTACACACAACAAATCTCCCAAAATGTCCAACCTTCCTTACGAGCCCGAGTTCGAGCAGGCCTACAAGGGTATGTGCAATATCATCTCGAAATCTGCCCCTCCAAGCCCCTCCAAGCCCCTCCAATTCTTAATCCTTTTTCCATCGGCATCCTCGGCTTGTGGCTCCATAATTTCGGCGTGACTAAGCTAATCCCGAAAACAGAGCTCGCCTCCACCCTCGAGAACTCCACTCTCTTCCAGAAGAAGCCTGAGTACCGCAAGGCCCTCCAGGTCGTCTCCGTGCCCGAGCGCGTTGTTCAATTCCGCGTTGTCTGGGAAGATGACAACCAGCAGGTAAGCCACTGCATCGCCACAGATCCCAAGGAAAGAAAGAAAAAATTCTAATCCCGTCTTAGGTCCAAATTAACCGTGGATTCCGCGTCCAATTCAACTCCGCCCTTGGCCCCTACAAGGGTGGACTCCGGTTCCACCCTTCGGTGAACCTGTCCATTCTCAAGTTCCTCGGCTTCGAGCAGATCTTCAAGAATGCCCTGACTGGCCTCAACATGGGCGGTGGTAAGGGTGGCTCCGACTTCGACCCCAAGGGCAAGTCCGATAACGAGATCCGTCGCTTCTGTGTCTCTTTCATGACCGAGCTGTGCAAGCACATCGGTGCCGACACTGATGTTCCCGCTGGTGATATCGGTGTCACTGGTCGCGAGGTCGGTTTCATGTTCGGCCAGTACAAGAAGATCCGCAACTCCTGGGAGGGTGTCCTGACCGGAAAGGGTGGATCTTGGGGTGGATCTCTCATCCGTCCTGAGGCCACTGGTTACGGTGTTGTCTACTACGTCGAGCACATGATTAAGTATGCCACCCAGGGCAAGGAGTCCTTCGCTGGCAAGCGTGTTGCTATTTCCGGCTCCGGAAACGTTGCCCAGTACGCTGCTCTCAAGGTCATTGAGCTTGGTGGATCCGTTGTCTCCCTCTCTGACTCCCAGGGTGCTCTTGTCCTCAAGGGCGAGGAGGGCTCTTTCACCGAGGAGGAAATTAACACTATTGCCGCCATCAAGGTCGAGCGCAAGCAGATCTCCGAGCTCGCCAACACTGAGGCTTTCAGCTCCAAGTTCAAGTACATCCCCGGTGCCCGCCCCTGGACCAACATCGTCGGCCGCATCGACGTTGCTCTTCCCTCCGCTACCCAGAACGAGGTCTCCGGCGACGAGGCCAAGGCTCTCATTGCCGCCGGCTGCAAGTTCATCGCCGAGGGCTCCAACATGGGCTCCACCCAGGATGCCATCGATGTCTTCGAGGCTGACCGTGACACCAAGAAGTCCGAGGCTATCTGGTACGCCCCCGGTAAGGCCGCCAACGCCGGTGGTGTTGCCGTTTCCGGTCTCGAGATGGCTCAGAACTCCGCCCGTGTCAACTGGACCCGCGAGGAGGTCGACTCCCGTCTTAAGAAAATTATGGAGGACTGCTTCAACAACGGTCTCGCTACCGCTAAGGAGTACGCTACTCCTTCCAAGGGCGCTCTGCCTTCCCTCGTTGCTGGTTCCAACATTGCTGGCTTCACCAAGGTTGCTGAGGCTATGAAGGACCACGGTGACTGGTGGTAGATCAGTCGCTTCCTTTGATGATTCCGTGCTCTCTGAGCCGGCTTTGATGCATTTTCTTCTTTTGTCAAATAGCTTTCACTTTTTACCCTTTTTGAGCGGGTTTTGGATAGAGGCGCTGGTTTTTCTGCATTTGATTGATATCCCCACTTGAGCTGTTTTTTGTGCTGCTGGGATTCACGATAATGAGATTGAATGAATGATCCTAAAATATTTACTCTCAAGCTTTAAACTGTAACAAGTATGAAAATGTAAACTTACCGTTCACGGATGTAAAATGTGCGCCCGGTCGGGCAATCTACTTCCCCAATGGTCTCATTGGTCTCTACCATACACACCCCTAAAGTACCCTTAAGTAAACTTCAAAGTAGAATTATGTTTGAGCTGAATTTGTTTGACCGGGCTCTTTCATGTCGCTTTATCTAAACACCATGTTGAGGCTTAGATATATCACCACCCTGACTCATTCCTATTTTCCTCTTGCTTTCTGCGTCCTATAAAATATAATCAGTCAAATCTTACAAAATATCCATCCCCACGTTATTTTGTACATCTATCCAATCATCGCCTGAGACATTTGTATCTGACATAAGATCACGTGACTACGCTTGCATTACGTAAGTGCTTTCCACGGCTGCCCGTTGAAGCAAAGCCATCACTCCAGCCTCAAACTCGAAATTCGATACCCAATTCAATTCATTTGAAGCCTTGTGCAAGATTGTGGTTTTTAGGTGACCTTGAAATTATTAAACGGGCGCAGTGGTATGTTGCGATGATGTTGCCGGCGCAGGCCCTCGAACAATGGAAGACCTTCTTCCGCCAGTGTCTAGCCAATCGCATAGACATCGACGAGTTCACAGATCTGTCTAAGCTATTACTTGCGCGAGCACCGGTCAAAGAGCACGAAATTCTCGATCTGTTGTTTCAGGCTCGGGACGACTCGAACATTTCCTGGGACCCGCTGCTACCGTTGTATGTTGATGGGCTTTGCAGGGCTGGGCGGGTGAAGAGTTCTTCTGCGCTTGCTGGTCTCTTGAGACATTCTTCCATTCAGGACGTTGAGCTGGGGCGAGTCTCGGACCGGCCTTTGACTCTTATGACTGATATTAAGGTCGTGCAAGATGTTATGATGTTCATTTCTACTGGGTCTATTCCCAAGACTGCTGCTGAGGCGGCAGATATCTACTCTGCTACTGTTGATTGGATTGTCGCTTTTGTTGCTTGGCATCATCATAGCGCTGATGGGTCGCAGCAGACGGGTGGCCTAATGGGCTCGCCTGATGCGGTTTCGCTATTTGAGTCGCTTGGTATTTTGCTTGCGGCACTTTCGGGGACGAACAAGGGGCTTGAGGTCTTATCTAGTGACTTTAACCAAGGTAAATGATGCGGTGTGGTTGGGGCTTTTGTTCAGTGCTGACGGGCTTCTAGGTTTGAAATCGAAGCTGGGCCAGGCTTTGTCCTCTTATTTGCCGCTCTGCGTTGACGTTTCGCTACCACTGAGGCATCGCTTGGAAGAGCTACAGAAGGTGTTTAATTTATATCCTGTTCAACTGTCCAAGGCGTTGGATGAGCCCGCTATCCATGGCGTGAATGTCAATGCGCTTCAGTTTGAGGCGTCTGTTATGGATGGACCCGTTGTCAATACTAGAGCTGGACTCTATATTTATATCAACTCAATGGTGTGTCATTCTCATCCTTTGCGTTATGCTAATGGCTGACTAGTTGCAGGTCGTTGGACGTCCGTTGGTTGACGATACCATTCTGATCAACTATCTCACCAACCGGTATCAAGTAAGTTAACACTCACTTCTTGCGCGGCTTCATTCAGACAGCCTGGTATTGCGAAAGACTTTTTTTATTAAAACTGGTCAGGGCCACAATGATGTCCTCATTGAAGAAATCATCACAGCCACCTTTGACGTTTTATCGAATGGCGTCTACCGCAATGAATCCAGCAGAACAATGTTTCTTTTTCGATCATTTTTAGTTAACAAGCTCCCCGCATTCTTTGCTGCCATCTCTGCAGCATCTATGGTGCCGATATCCATGGAGATGTGCATCAGTCAAGCCTTGAGCCGGCTCGACCCGAATGCTTTCCCTTCATTTTCTCAAATGTTTTCGATGCAAGGTAGCAGCATCTTATCGGATGCTCGGCAGGAGTTCCTCTTCGCCTGCGCATCACACAAGCTCATCCAGGAATCCAGCATTGAACAACTATTGGGAGAGAACCCCATGCAGACGCTGCCCAGTGGCGGTCCTTATGTCAAAGACGACATTGTCTCCCAGATCAATAATAATCATGAGCGGGCGGAGCAGCTCATTGGTGAGATCGAGTCGATGGAGGGTAATGCAGGCGCAATAGTCGGCGCGGTGGTCGAGGTATGTGGGAACGTCAACTGCTGTCTCAAGCATCCAGCTAATTCCATTAAAGGTCATGCATAATCTGTGTCATCAGAAAGAGACGATGACGCTGAAGAACATCTGTAACTCGCTCTCGCGTCGCCCGCAGACTCTGGATGTCATCTTACTGTTCCGAACTACGAAACAAGTCCTGCAGCCTCTGTGTTCTGTTCTTGATTCCTGGAAGTGGGACGAGGACCAGGGCGAAAACCAACCCGTCTATGATGAATTTGGCAGTATCTTGTTACTTGTACTCGCATTCAAATATCGCTATGACTTGACCCCCTCCGACTTGGGTATCTCGACCAACGACTCGTTCTTGTTGAAGCTTCTGACCCGCGGCGCTTGCAGCCAGAAACTAGCAGACCTGAGTGAGAAACAGAACAATGATCTCAGCGCTTGGATCGGTGCTTTATTCATTGCTGAGGGCATCAGCGAAGAGACAATGTCTTCTTGCAGCCCACACGAGTTTTACATGCTCGTGACAACGTTGTTTGATCAAAGTCTGGGCGCATGCGAGTCTGGAAAGCTAGAATTCGACACCCTGAAGGGTGGGTTTGAATGTAAGTGTATGATTATCCAGTCACATCCATCTTGCTAACATCCATAGATCTTCTCGAGCCCTTTCTCCTTCCATCTTTAGTCGTTGCCCTCACCTGGCTGGGCAACCATATCTGGGAATCCGAAACCGACCCAACAATCCCTCTCAAAACCCTCTACTCTCTCATAAAACCCAGCTCGATCTCCGGTGAGGCCCAGGCCATCCACCAAACAGTCCTGAACATAACTGCGCGCCCCCTAGAAGAACAACTCAAAAATGTGCGCACAAGACACCAATCCCGCACAGACATAAAACCCATCCTGGACGCACTGGAGCCCTATCTCTCCTTCCGCCGCGTTGGCAGTAGCCACCGCTCAGAACTAGATACCTGGACCACCCACGCAACCGGTGGACTCCTCGCCAGTATCCGCACAACCTTCCAAGCCCTAGTTCTCTGGTCCTCGAACCCAGAAATCAACATGGCCCCGCACACATACACACATCGACAAATTATCACCGGCATTCGGATGCTAGGCGCAACCCGCGTGCTCTCCGCCCTAGTCGACGAAGTCAAGCAGCAAACCGAATCCGGAAGCGGCCACATCGCCCTCGATATCGCAACAACAATGATCTGCGCCCCCATGCCGGAATCTTTCGCCGTAGACCAAAACAACAACCACCCCGATAAACCCGTTCCGCGCTGCGTGGTCCTCACGCTGCGCGATGCCTTGGCTCTGTTGCACGAGAATGTTCCCAAGACTTCTGAGACGGATCCGCTACGCGCAGAGGTCATTGTTCGTCTTGCGCGTCGTGTGAACGTGCTTCTTACGCCGCCGTCGCAGGTCTCCAATATCGATGTCAGCAACATTATTCAGAATATGGCGCTTGGTGTCGAGGGCGATCGCATGGACCTTGAGCCGTCTGCTGCTGATGTTGCGGGTAACACGGTTGAGGATGATTCGGATAATATCAATCAAATGCTTGATAATGCGGCTGCGGCTGCGGCTGCGGCGGGCATGGATGGTGGTTTGGATGGTGGCTTGGATGGAGGCATGGTTGGGCAGGATATGGGACTTGATTCTGGTGCCGGGATGGATGCTATTGATGATGTGCTTAATGCCGCTGATATGGCGGTTGGAAACCCTGAGTTCCTTGATCTGGATATGGAGGGGATGTTTTAAATCGCATGATCTGTTTGATTTGTGAGTTTGTTGTGTCTATAGATTTGCTTTGTTTCGATTTGGCATAGCATCTATTTCTTTGGCCTTTGGCTTTGTGGCGTTCCTGTGTGATTCTTGTCCGATTAGGTTGCAGATAATGTTGAAGTTTGTTCGTTTACATACTGAAGATGAAAAAGCAAAAGCAAAAGCAAAACCCGGCATTAACGATGACCATCTGCCAACGAATAAGAAGAACGGCGGAAGAAATAAGTCTTTCCTGAAAGGCATTCTCGGCATCCGATTGACCATTAACTACATGTAGTGTCCATGGATTGAGGTGAAACGCACACTGTATTAGAATGTTATATCTCATAATATTATCAACGGGTCTAGAAGTATAGCTGCACGAAAAAGTTCCCCGCAAAGAAGTATCAATAGAATAGGACATCATCATACATAACACGTTGAGTCCCATATAACCGTACTCAATTTCATTATCCGAATCTTTCATCCTGGAGACAGTAAAAGATCCATTAGCGATCTGGCATCTTATCACAATCATAATGAAGAACATACAAATACCAAGTTTGCCCATCAGCTTCCCTGTAAGCTTGGGAATTCCCGAACCAGGGACAAGTGCGTCCACGGCTTGCATTGGGGATGGAAGCAGCCTTCGTGGGCTGAACGAAAGAGGGGCTGCTACTACCGCAGAAGAGAAGGTGAGAGCGGCAAGGATTGTGGTAAACTTCATTTTGGTGAATTATCTGAAAGACTGGGCTCGGCTTCGTAGTGCTCTTGTGTTGTGCAATACCAACTGGTGCTATGCATGTGAGTATGTCAGTCCCTAAGATTTCATTAACGACTTGTTCCGCTCTTACTTTTGGGCCGGAGAAGATAGCGAGGGATGCGGACTCAAGAATCGGGGGTGGGTTTTTGCGATTTTGTTCCAGGGTGCATGCCTGGCTCGCCCTTTTATATACATCTCCTTGTGTGTTCATTGGCCCTGGGCTAGGCCCTTTATCGTAGAGTGTATCACAAGCACGGTGTTAGTTCATTCCTGTGGAAAAGTTCGCGAAAACTCTTTCCTTTGGCATGGGGAATTTAAGATACGCGACGTGCCTAACACGTTGATGCTGTGTACGGTCAAAAAACATGAGCAACTCATGTATACTTCGGACAGTTTTGTTGTTTTTCAGTCTTGTATGTACGTTAATATGATATTTCTCTTGCTTTGGTGGTTTGAAAGGGCATTGCTAGCTTACTATCAGTGATAAAGATACCTCCTGTGACATATAATGCCGGTTGGTACCTTGTAGGGCACAATGACGCAAGGGATGTCAGTCTATATCCCTGGAATTCCTATCAGCACAACAAAAGGATACATTCAAGTGACACTAACCAAGATAACACAAGCAATGCAAACCCGTCGATTTGATTGGCATGCATAATGGTCTCAATGACTACAAATATCTATTCACGACATCTAACCTTGGAACTTCCCGAAGTTCGGCACAAGGTAGATCCATCAATATCCTGCGCTCTGGCCATGGTCATTGCCTTCCTAGGTGTTTATCATAAAATGATTCAAGGTTTGTTTGGAATAAACCTTGGAAGCCCTTGTTGTTGTCAAGGTCTAGAACCATGACCGAATCCAAAACAAGGCCCTTTGTTGACATTTTACCCCTGCCAAATTGGTGTGATATACTCGTGGCTTCCGCATATATATATATATCCATACGAACTGATTTAGATGAAAACATTTGTCTACTTCAAAACAACCAGAACATTAAAATGATAAGTGAATGGTGCTGGCAAATACACATGATATGATGCAGGCATGTAGTTATAGTCGACAGTACCTTCGAAGACCGACCGAACAAACAAGCGATTTGCACGACCTGGCATATATGCCAAGGATATGCGGAATGTTTGGTCATAGCAAGTAGTCACTTCAAGGTCGGTTCTTCAAGCACAAATACCGAGTGTCGCGCGCCAGTTGCCGACATCAATCATTGAGATATTTGTCGCTGATTTCATAAGTTAATCCAAGGTTGGTGTTTTCTGGCTGTATCCACAATGTGACAAGATTACAGCACCTGGACCAAGCGGCCGTCGAGAACGTGCATCGTTCGTGCACTGGAGAAGATTTCCCGGGGCGCACCGCATTGACACATTATCTCACCTTCCTAATCGGGTCTTCGCGACAAGGTCGCTCATTAAGGAAGGGACAGCCTCCGCCCGTTTGAATGTGCTGCTGGTCCCCGACGAAAGGATTAAAAGTTGGATTGTACCGGATCGTCGAGTATTAAAGTCAAGCGTAAATGACGGAATGTAATGGGCCCGAGTCGAGGCCAACCTGCAGGACTGGGCTCTCCTCAACGAACATCATTGCCTAAATGCTGCAAGTTGTGCACCGACAACATGGAACCTTCACGACTGATTTTGCTCAGTGGGTAACTGAATTCAGGAATCGTTCCACTCCAGTACACGAGGTGTCCGCTACCGTGTGTAAATGCAAAAGGGTGGAAACTGGCCCGCGAGGGACAGAGTTCAGCACGATGTGATAGTTTCAAGACCAGATTTGGCGCAGTGAAGAACCTAGAATCTGTCGATCTCATATTCGAACTCATTCTTTGAACTCAATTCAGCAGGAGCCGGGCTGCTTAAGGGCATTTCTTTTGCCTTTCTTCACATTTGCTTCTTTTCCCGCGGCCAATTGTTGGTTGTCGGCCTGAGGTTTCTCATATTATCGCAGACAGAGGATCAGGATCGCTCGGAAAATGTCCGCATGAGGTAATCACCCAAGTGGGGAGTATGTGTTTGTGGAAATGATTCGGGTCGCATCCCCGAGAGTCGGATTGGCTATCCTGTTTGGACCATGTCCGGGGAACTTCGAAACATAATGTATATTCTTTGTTCCAGATTCCAAAATTTCAAATGTCGCTGTCCCCTGCCACATCACTTCTTTATCAGCAAATGAGCACTCCAATATAACCCGAGACTCGGCCAAGAAACGATCGGCAAACAGAGTGGAGTACAATAGTAGCACGTTTTTCCGTTTAATATAATAAAAGGAAAACCCCAAGCCCCGCCAAGTCAGTACATGCTCGTACGGAGTACTTGCCGGACTTCGAATCATTGAACTACTCGATCGCCGATGCATTGCTCCACTGAAAGGAAGGTTCGTAATTTATTTCCGGCTAAGCGAAATCGTTGCTAGAACAACGTTGAAACGAAGCTTATGAGTTTGAGTTGAGTGCAAGTAAACTTAGTCATGGAAATGAGCACGAAGGTATTGATGTGAAATCAGAGGTTCGAGACTTGTACTTCAAAGACTGTCCCCACAAACGGATGTAGTAGCTGAGAACTCGATAACCGTTCATGATTGCTACCAATCATGCTATAGATAGAACACTGAACGTCTGGGTTTCTCGGAAACGGTGGAGTTGATGGGATCTCTCTCAGTGAGTAAGCCTAGTAGATTAATTGGAAAACAAACCAATAATGAACCGTTGAATGTAAATTCAATTCTGTATAGTTAACTAGTCAACTAAATTCTCATAACTATTATGAACTCATAAAGTACAAGAGACGTATACGTCTGATGAGTACACGTGACATCAACACCCCTGAATCCCCAGACACATGTCTCCTTTTCTATTCACCGAGGTATCTCCAGTTCAATAATCCCTCTCAATAATCTCAATATTAAGGCCAGTGCGATGCCAATAATGGCTTTAATGAACAGTATTATTGACAAGGACCAAAATGACTTAACGCCTCTATCACGTCGGCAAAGGGTGAGAGGGTTGATCTTTAATTGTGCCGTCCCACACGATGATGGAAAAGTCCAAAGAAACCTATCATAATCCCCTTTCATCCCGTCCCAGCAAACCATGGAACAGACCACGGGATATGTGGAGAGGTTCCATCCCTAGTAAGTAATTCAGGAACTTGGAAAATTGAAAACTATTGATCCTTTCAACGGCCGGAAGCACGCGATACACAAGGTTATCGATAGTATATGTACCGTTTATCTAGCTATTCATTGAATTTTGTACTTATCATACGAAATCGATAGGTCTACGGAGTACCACGCTGGACTATCAGAATGGAAGCTTGTTATTCCGCCTGTTCTGAGCAACCTATGTTCTGGTCCACGACTCCCCAAGACTCTTTGGTGATAATTTTCCCTCATCAATCATCTCTCTTAATAGGTCAGACTATTTTTCTAGCCTCCCCACACAATCTGGACCCTTGTTCACTGCGCAACAGCTAAATTCATTCCAAGGATAGTGACAACTCCTACATTAGTCCCGCATAGTGTTCCAGCACGTGAATCATTGAACAATAAAACGCGAACAGCCGCAGGTCGAAAGCAATTCACGTCTCCAAATGATCTTTAAATTAGCTTACCGATGTAATACTCCTAAGTTATACGCTCTCGCCCTAAACTCTAAGGAAACTCTAGAATTGCGGCACAGGCCCTCTTCGGCATTAGAGAGAACGTTGAACTATTGATTTCAAAGCAAAGCAAGCTGGTAAGATAAACAAGCTCTAAACAATTATCCAACTATCTCATACAATATATCACGACAAAATTTCAATTTATTCACATAATGATCTGAATTATACTTCACAAAGTGGATTGATGACCACATTGTGCATGGAGCGACGCAATGCAAATCTTTGAGTCTGCCAGACTCACACGTCCACTTTCATAACTAATATTTTTTTTATCTCTGGCACCGGAAGACTTTCCGCCCACGCTAAAGTTCCCAGGCTATACCGAAAATGAAAGGCAATAAAAAACGCGGTCTAATTTTGGGACCAGTGCCTCACCGCGTCTGGACTCAATAATCCCGCTCTAAATTATGATCTCAGATCCCGAACAAACGTAACAAAGAGATCCTTCGTGCGTGGCGCCAGATCCCGGTCGCTTTTGCAGCGTACCATTGCCGTTCTCCACTGACATGGAATATACAGCCGGTGAGCTCACTGCGCCGCTCATTAGGGCCCCA